AAACCCAGACACCTAAGAAACCAGACACCTAAGAAAACCCAGACACCTAAGAAAACCCAGACACCTAAGAAAACCCAGACACCTAAGAAAACCCAGACACCTAAGAAAACCCAGACACCTAAGAAAACCCAGACACCTAAGAAAACCCAGACACCTAAGAAAACCCAGACACCTAAGAAAACCCAGACACCTAAGAAAACCCAGACACCTAAGAAAACCCAGACACCTAAGAAAACCCAGACACCTAAGAAAACCCAGACACCTAAGAAAACCCAGACACCTAAGAAAACCCAGACACCTAAGAAAACCCAGACACCTAAGAAAACCCAGACACCTAAGAAAACCCAGACACCTAAGAAAACCCAGACACCTAAGAAAACCCAGACACCTAAGAAAACCCAGACACCTAAGAAAACCCAGACACCTAATGTTTGTATAATAGTATAGATGATCAATAAAATCTGGGAAAGCTGTCAATATATATACCTACTTGTGGCGACAGCTCTATACAGACTTAGGGGGCAAAGCCTAAACAGATCTTATCGAAGCCGCATATCTGAAGGCAATGCGGCCACACTTTGAGCCGACTATTTTGCGCTTTTGGAAAAGCATATGGCGACAAACGCGGGAGATAAACCACACTTACAACTATTCTGCTAGCTCAAATGACCTTTAATCTTATTCGGGCATGACTATTTAGACTCTTTGATGACAAAGCTATATCTTGTTCAAAGATTTATGAGAATCACCGAATAGTACCATGTCGCACCCCTTATCAGTCGTGCCGTATGGAGCCACCTCTCGAAAGTTGTAAGGGGCGTAGCTAAGGCGCGCATGAGATACAAATCCAATGCCCGTTTTACTTTCTAGCATTTGGATTATCTTTTATTGATTACGATAAGGAATTGGTTTCCCACCTACCTGAAAAACAACTCAATGGTGTACCCGTGTTGAAGCCCCGCGACGTAATCAAACTTTATTAAGGGTGCATGCGTTGCCCTGTCAAGTGTGCGGCGCTGATTCCACATTGGGATGCCACTTTGATAACGGCAGTGTATGTCAAGGCCTTCAGGTGGTAAATAGGGGCTATCCTTGAGGTAAAAAAATGGGATACTGCAAGCCTAATTACATTATTTCGCTGACTGTGTCACATAACTATATTCGTTAGTATTGTCACTCAAGAAGAATTGTACCGGAGAATTAAGCTGAGAAATGGTGAACATGAAATTGTTAATGGCTGTACCTCTTATGATGATAGGAGTAGTGCTGGCAGCACCAATTGATGCCTCAGAGGATCATATTCTTAGCTATGATGGTATTTTTCCCATCCTCAGCACCACCATGGGTAAACACCACGACGACTTAGAAATCATCAAATTCATTGTCAACTTCGAGGACGGCTCACTGCGCGAGGTGCCAGTCGCAGACGTGGACGAGGTTATCGTGTCCATTCCATCCTGTGCTCACTTCAACGTCTCATTTAATTCCAAAATGTCACTGGCAAATTCAGCATATATACCACCCAAAGCACTGAAGATTTCAGCTATTGTACTGCTTTTGTCAGCGAAATCAATATCGTGATGGTTACCACCGTAAGCAAGAAGGAGAACATCTTCCACCAACTCATTGGGACTTTTACCTGGATAGATATCAACAGCTTCCAAAGCCTTCCTCGCCTCATCATCAAGACCAGACCAAAGACTCGAAACGTCTGCCGCCTCGATGTTTCCAAGACCTAAGTGCTGGCCGATGTTTCCATCGACGTTAATGGGCTCCGGCTGTTGCGCTGTTGCTCCAACAATAAGGCTCACCAAGGGTAAAACATTAATCATAGGCAAATACATTTTCTTCAATAATTAATTAGCTAATTTTCTTTGAATAATCTTGATTTTGGAATTGCGGTGCTCCTCAGCTCTCTATATATACCCTGAGGAATAAAATTACTCCAACGTGCAGCTAATATTCCGATTGGCTTGACGTTATTGCGGCAACACCGATATGGTGGCGCGCAGGGATTATTATCGAGCGTTTACCCCAAAATAGCCTAAATCTCTCTACAGGTGTCTATCTTTACCCGTCGTGCACCTCCTTCAACATAGAAGTCACTATGCGTGTGTCAAAATGCCTCATGCGCCTTATGCGTAAATTGCTATGGACTAAAAAATGGACTGCGCCGCTTGGATGACGTTAGATCCCTCTAATAGCTCGTAAAAACCACGACGGCAGAGAGGCCTTTGGAGGCAAGGGAGACTACTTTTTATTGCAAACACTTCAGAATAGTACCTCTCTTGCTTTTAGGCGTCGATCGATAATGTGCGAAAAATTAAAAGCTGTACGCTGTCTGCGTACGTCGTAGGTGACCACGTTCTATGCTGAAGATAGAATAATATTGAAGTTTGCAGGGGACTAATGATAACTCCTAATTGCATTAAAGCTCTCAAAAGTAGTTTGGAAAATCGCTTTAAGAGCCACGTGGGTTGAACACTTGGGAATTTTAATAAGAATTGAACCTGCTTGCCTGAAACTGTGGAAACTTCGATGAAGTCGGAATTTGATTACTTTCTGAAAAAGACAATATCTAACACTTGCGGGTACGCTCTCGATTTAGTTAGATCCGAAGTTAAAGAAGTGTACTGTTGAGAATTCATTATGATGGAGCCATTCCTGTTTGTATAGCTTCCACCAAAAACTTCAGGCTTTAGAGAGGTTATACAGTTTTAGACCATCTTTGGCAGATATAATTTGATATTTTTTTGCATAATTTTGAATTATTATGGTACTGCTTCAATTTGGATTAGCTGGAAACCTGGGGTATGTCTTTAATTTAATCGCGTTTTTCTCATATAGTAACAAAATCAACTAATATAAACACACTGTTAAAAATCAAAAACAGGATGAAAAATGAAAAAAGAATATTCTTTTAACCTCTTCTTACTTCTACCCAAGAAATTCAAGTTTTTTGCCTCAAAATACTGCCTGTGTGGACCCTAGGAGGCATTTTTGAATTTTTGCCAAAATCGAAGACGCGTCGCATGCTTGAAAAGTTGTCTTCTGATGGGAAGATACCTGAAAACAGAGATAATTGAGCCCTTTCTGACCCTTGAGCTCCTTCTAAGATGACGTTTTCAAGCATCTAATAGCTGCCAAGCCATGTCTTTTTCACTATTGCATCTGTTACAGCCTTTTGTCGCTTACGGCTAATGTCATAACAATTCTTCATATCGACTAGCAATGTTTACTTTACAATTAAGCAGAAGAACACACGAATTTAAGCTGGAAATGGCTTCATGAAGACATTTTGGGATATACCGAATGCGCTGATTGTCTGTAAAATATTCTGACCTAAACAATTGACGTCACATAACATCGAAATGGTGCCAGGTATTAATCCCGTATTATTGTTTAATGTGTGTATCTAGTTTACCCAATGGGAACTCTATTTGAGAATTTCAACAAACCACTTTGTCCAGAGTTGAAAGAACACCTTTTTTTTTTTTGCCAAGCAAAGCCCAAAAGAGGAACATTGTTAGTTCGATACCTTTCCCTTACCGGGTTTATTCGACACTTGGAAGTGATGAAGCTAACCATTTCAGACATTCTCTGAAGAATCTAATAAGTGAATAATAGTTGTTGAGGACCCTAAGATATTTTGCTTGACTGCGTCTTTTTACCAGCGCCTTATTCTTTACAAGCTGCTTATAGCTATACATTGATAACTTTAATCAGCAGTTATGTTCCCATCACAAATTACCTTGCAAAAAATATATGAGAAAATGAAATTTAAAATGATGTAGAACTTTATTCTTGATAGTTAGGTCGACACTTATTTATGGTGAGCGTAAAGTATATTTTTCATTTCCTCATTTCTCGTGCTACAGTGTAAGTTGAAACCAATCAAAAAGATACCACCTAGATTGGCCATATGAAGCTTTACCTCAAGTTAGTCAAGTAAATGGAGTAGAAAGTAACACGAGTGTACTTTTTCTATTGTTTTTCAATCCAAACTTATCATCGACGCTACATCGTCAGATTTTCTGAACCAATACTAGCGCCCCGTCCCCGAAACACGAAAACGGGTCATAGTACGAATCTCTCAAGTCCAATAACCACTTTAAAATTAGGAGGCCCAAAATGCTTGCCATATCTCCTTTTCCATTTAGATCAACTTTTGAAACCATTGCAATGCCCAAATAGGCAAGACGATCAAACATCATGGACCAATTGATAGTCCCAAAATGGGAAACTAATGAGACCACCTAGTAAAAAACAGAGAAAATATTATTCAAGAAATGAATATATAAGGACTTCCACTTCCTATCTTTACTCCCCATCATCAATCAAAAATGGCCGCTCAAACTACTCAGAACAAGAACAACACTCCAAAGGACAACAACTTGAACAAGCACGCTGGACGTGGTGCTGTTCCTTTCATGTGTACTATCGTTTAAATGAATAAACACGATTTGCTTTGATTTTATAAATCTTGTAGAATAAGGGATGGATGAGTTTCGTTCCGATAGAAGCAGAAAACACAAATCATCACTGTAAAATATAGAACTAGGGAAATACGAAGCGCATTACCTAGTAATAGTCGCTATCCTGGCAATCTACAATTAATCCTAAAGCTTCTGTATATGTTTTCATTTTATCATATCTCATCAAATTAATTATGGGAAGTCACCAACTCTTGGACCAAAGTAACCATCTGGTGCTTCCAATGTAGCGTTCTTTAAGCTTTGCCTGCCAGATCCACCTTCAATGCCTTCGTATGAAACCGTATTACCCCACCACTCGAGAGGCTTCTCATTGTATTGAACGGAAAAGAAAATGATGATACTGCTGAAAGCCACACCAGCATCCAATGCTCCTGACAAAACGTAGTTGTACTTTTCCCACCATGCTTGATAATGCTTTCTAATGTAGTACATGAAAGCAAAGGATGCATAAAGACCAGAAGTGTAGTAGGACAAATTATATGGAGCATAGACCAAGAAACCTCCAATAATCAAGGTAGGTTGAAAGTATTTTGTGAGTTTTGGTGGGCCGTATTTCTTGAAGATAATACATGGGATTGGAGCAAGAGCACCAATCAAGAAGCACCATTGCAACATCGGGTAAAGACCACCAAAAACCTTTGCAGGGCCGATAACACCCCATAGGACCGATGCAGAGAAGAAAATATTGGTGCCTGGACAGTAAAATTTTTGTTTACTGTAAGGTGTGCAATAATCTTCCACTTCATCAATCATGAAATTCAAGACAGCCAAAGAAACAAAACAGTTGATCAAAACTGAAAGCATTTGGCATCTGAAAAGAGCTCTTGGAGGAACTTTAATGTAGTGACCCATCTTCTGGTCTGTAATATAGTTCTGAGCTTGACCGTTGATGTTATACCCTAATGCTTTAATAAAGTTCAATGCAAGACCGTTACCTGGCAAAGCGTAACCAACAATCAACTCAACTAACACATTAAGCCCGAAGCCAAAACCAGTTGTAGCTTGAATTGCCGTAAGAGGAATCAAGAAAATGATATTCATTCCGAGCGCAAAGAAGATACCCCAAACTGGCGTTTCAGCAGGATAGATTTGAACACAGATAATGGCCAAGACAATCGAAATTACCAACACAACAAGGAAAACCCAGTCGGCCACCTCCTTATATTTCTTCATCATTACAGTGTGAGGGTCGTCAAAGCCGTCAAAAGTGGATGCTTTAAAGCTTCTGAAAGATAAACCCAAACTTTTCAAAGCGTACCACATAGGCTTCCAGTGCATGAAGACTTCGTAAATAAAAGCAAATGGATAAATAGCAAAGAAAGTGCCATATACAACCAAGTTTGCAGCGGAATAGAATGGTGGCCCGATTTCTTCATACTTTTGGGAGTCAAACAATGATCTGTCGTTGACAACCTCATTCACTTGATATCTTTCACCGCGGTTGTTAAATAAAGTCGATGTATTGATAGGGAGGTAAGCCGTCCAGTAGTAGTTCGAATAGTATACTCCAATGATGCAAAAAAATCCAAGGAGCGTTCCAATGTATTGGTTAACCTGAGAATAGAATGGGATCACTAATGCAAAGTTCCAGTTGATGATGTTCCAATCAAAGGTCGGTATTGGATTCAAGCCTAACCCATAAAGATGCCCAGTCACCAAGTTTAATGTAAAATCCTTGGGAGCAATCCATGTTAGCCAGTTAAAGTAAGACATGGCTTCAAAAAGATATGTTGGGACCCAGAAGTAAAGAAACGAGGCAGCAAAGGCGATGAAAAAGAATGAGTATCTCGAGATAGTCCATCCATTGATGTTTGCTTTTTTCTCCTTTTGCATCAAAGCTCTGTTCAACGCAAGTGTTGGCAAGAGGGTTGGCCACATGGCTCTAACAGGGTACACAGCAAACTTTCTAATAAGACCGGCAATTCCAAAACCCATGAACTGAGTCGAAAGAACAAGTAATATCTGGTAACCCCAATCAACCCATTGGTTATTATAGTAGTGGGGGAGTCTTTGGACGTGGATGTTTGCTGAGACGTATGGAATAGTAGCAGAAACGGAGTAGAAAATCGTGGCTAACATTTGTTCTTTGTAATTCCATGGCCCTGGATTTAAATCGACAGACCACTTCCAGAGCCTGAGAGTTTTGCGAGGGAGGATAGCAGCCATGAGCTCACCAGAGGGATAAAGCAAGAGCTGAACAACTGGCGTTCCCAATGAAATAGTTGGCTGTCTTTCAGAAAAAAACTGATTGACAAACGTACCAACAGCAGTCCATATGGTACCAAGAATATAAACTCTTAAAGTCTCAACAGGAAGAGTGTGGTCATCGAATGGATGTGTGACTGACCTGACTTCTGGGTAAGGCGAATGGTAGGCCACCATAGCTGCTTCGGTACGAAGTTGAAGACCCCAGTCGAAAATATGGTAGACTGAAGACTCAACATCAGAACTAACCTCACTAGAAGTATTGAAATGCCCCTTTTTCTTATTCACGACTGCTTTGGCGATGGGATCTTTGCTGTCACTGGACGAGACTTCCTCTCGAAGCAATCCTCCTTTTTCATCAATCTTAGGCTGGAGAATGTAATCAGGGGCCATATTGTATAGCTTTTCGACGAAGTCGTATTCTTCAGTAGGAATATTCACGTCATCTTGGTGGTCTGTCAAATATTCCTTGCAAATTTCCAAAGAATCTTCAATGGAGATATCAGCAACTTTCTGTAACATAAAGGTCGCCGAAATAGGTAAGTCTTCAAGAGTGTCTAAGTTTTCGTAGTTAAGACGCTTCAAGATATAAAATTTCTCTTCGGCTGTAAGATCAAAAGCAACATCCTCAATAGCGACATCTTGGGAACTGAGTACGTGAAGATCGACTTCGTGGTCAGCAGCTTGTGTACGATCCCCAGCACTACCTAAACTGGTAAGTGGCTCAAGGCCTTTTGCTTCGGCTCTAACTTTCCCACCAGGAGCCATAGTTACGTGTTTCTCGAATCATTCAGGCGGCTTGAATGATATTTAAGACTTTTTGGCGTCCTGACACAAACACATATTCAGGACGCAAGGTCCAAAGCATGAATAAAAAGACCATTTGCTTTTCTTAGCTTTGTTATTGAGGAGTCACTGCGGCATTCTTCACCTTTCAGTGACACAGAAGCCCATGATCGTTTACACAATAGCCTTTTGCGCTTCACGACAGCAAGGGAAAATGTTTTGTGGAGAGATGATGCCATAAAATAGCACAATGTAAATGTCACTCAAACGAGTGGGCTAAATGTCAGGCGGTTTTTCTGAAAAAGAATTTAGGCAGCTTATCATGCTAATTAGTATCAACACTTCGCAAGCGAGAAACATGCCTAAACCGTTTTCACGTCAGAAGTGACAAGACATGTAACAGGTCTTATTGCATTCTATTTTCTTCATTCCCCTTTTTTCTGAAAGTTTTTTTTCTTAAGGACACAAAATATAACATTGCCAATAGCTGTTTCGGGGACACAAAACAATTTTTTGTTAAGCTTATCACCAGAGCTTTATCTTGGCACCATGACGCGCCGTCGCCGGTACCGGGCAGAAGCAGTTGACACAAAGCTTGAACAACCTCTTCTTCGCTCTGAAGTCATCATCGATCAACATGGTGGACTGGATTATAAATGGGAAGGTCTGAAATTTGGCTTCTTTTGCCCTGTCTCTTCTTTTGCCCTGTCTCTTCTTTTGCTGTAGTTTTTTGAAGTGCTGAAAAGACGATTTTTGAAGAGGTATTAAATGGCGTGCTCTACGACCTAACTTGCATTTCAAGCGCTAAGTGGTTTTGAGTAAACCCTGACGCCCGGGGCTCACGGCTCTTTTTACTTCCTCCCTTTGTAGTTTCTTATTCCTCTATGGTTTGATTTTTTTGTGTCTCCTACGCCAAGTTCAACTCTAGAGTACGGTATTGAAAAACTTACCCATGGGACTGAACCGAAACATGCTCTTTCAGCGGGACTACTCTGTAGTTGTTGATCTCTATGGGTCGTTACCAAGGGAAGTAGGCATTACATAAACACATAGCACACCATCTACTACTAAGTCAATACACTGTAAGCAAGTAAAGTGTCAAGGTTAAGAAAGAGTCAAATTAATAGAGATAGCTTAGCTAACCTAGTCAAGAGCGTACCTTGTGGACTACCCTTCTGCAGAATCTGAAGATTGGGTCGTCATCATCCGTGTAAATGACAGTACCCTTCTTTCTCTCTGCTGCCACAGCACCCTTCTCGACATCCTCAACATCTTCAAGAGACTGGGCATTAATCAACTTATGGTCTCTGAGCAAGAAAACAAATACAAGCAATGGAACCAAGAGACAGATGGCAACAATACAAAGCTGTTTTTGCAATTCGGCATAGGCTAAAACGACGGCTCTTCTTGCAGGAGTCCCCCATGGGTAGTCTTTAATAAACTTGTATGGAGATTCATAAGCAGAGTTGGCCAATATCGGATCGACCCCCAACTCTCTCATCTTAGCAGCAATTGTAGGGTGCATTCTCTGTGTCCAGATTGCACCAGAAACACAGCTTCCCAAAGCTCTTCCGATGTTATAGAGGGCTGCAAATAAGGCGGTAACGGTAGCCATGTACTCGTGGTTAGTACAAGCTTGAATAGAGACACCCACGGGTCTCATAAAGAAAGCAGAAGCAAAGCCGTCCAAGGAAAAAGCGGCAGCAATACCATCTCTGAAGTATTTAGCGGCAATCCCGTCGTTGTCACCTCTAAAGTGAACGAACAATCCCATTGAGACAAACATCATACAGTTACCAAAAAGAATAAAGCCTTTGGTTCTCTTGACCTTGATGATCACTAATCCAAGGATGGGCAAAACAATCGAAGAAATGAATCCACCCAATCTAGGAGTACGCGTAGCTACCACTTCGGTAGCATTCATACCGACCAAGAGAACAGCGTAAGCAAAAGCACCTGGGATACCAGAAGCGAAGTTGTTTAAAACACCGATAGCAAGACCAGCCCATACGCCACGATCCTTCAATAAAGGGAATGGTACCAAGGGAGTCTTAGCAAACTTCGTCTCCCAGAGGACAAAGGCAGGAATAAGACAGAAACCGAGTACCAAGGGAACAAGAATTTTTGCTTGCACCCAAGCGCTTTGAGCACCGCCAGCCAAGGTCAAAGGTACCAAGATAAGACCAAAGATTGCAATAATGAAAACACAAGCCATAAGATCAACATCCCAAAACGTTTGCACCGATTTGTATTTCACATAAGTGCATGCTTTCTTGGTCCTTCCCCAAATCTTCGAGCCTCCGTTTTGGATATATTCGTCATGTTTCATCTGGGCGGCATTCAACTCAACATGGCTTTCTCTTTCTTCCTGGCATAACTTTACCCATTGGGGTGTCTTCAGTGCTTTATACCAGGTGTATACAAAAGTTGATAAGAATGGAATAGAAGACAACGGCATTGTCCAGGCCCAAAGCAAGGTTCCAAAACTCCATCCGTGTCTAGCCAACAATTCATCCACAATCTCTCCTGCTGCCCAAGTCGTGATAATAGTGGGCAAGCTAACAACCGCCACCGCCAACAATCTGTTTCTCAAAGAAGAAGCGTCCGAGGCACTAATCTGGAACAAAATTCTTGCACCAGCCCAGCCGGCCGAATAAAGCACAATTCCTCCAGCATAAATCTGAACATTCTTAGCTTGCGACATGATGATAAGACCAGCAACTCTCAAGATCAAACTGAATAAGAAAAGTTCAAAACGACCGAAAATATCAGACAATCTAGCATAAGCTGGTAAGGAAGCGGCAGCAACGACTCCCTGGATAAGCTGAATGGTAGACATAAGTGAATGTTGCTTATATTCACTGGTGGCATAGCCCATAAAAACTCTCGTCACGTTGTTTTCCAAAACAGAAACAAGCATACCGGCGAAGATTCCAAAGAAATGAAGAGTCCGAAGAGGGATGGTATTGAGGTGCTCCATCATAAGCTCCTGCTTACGAATACCAAACGACTTGCCCAACACCTTTGAATCATCAGTGCTGGAGGATGAGACAGTATCCTGTCTTGATAAATCATGGGAAGACTTCGTAGCAGGTGAAGGCTCTGAAGTGACTTGTATTGCACTTGGTTTCACGTCCATTATGATTGTAGGTAAAAGCTGGGAAGTGAAACATCAATGAAAACCCCTGGAGCTTTTATAATGAATCTCAAGAATATTTTTGGTGAAACCATCAGGTTTCCCTTCTTTACGACTGGCTGCAAACACGTAGCTCGTTGAGCGACTTCGGTCAATGAAACGTATATGGTATGATGCGGTCCTTTTTCAACTAACCCCAATAGTTACATTGTCCATCTGTTCTTACAATTGACAGCATTCGCTTGACTGGTCCGTTCGTTCCGTTTACTCCGTCTTGTGGACTCAATTTGCAAGTTTAGGATCTTATGGTCATCTTTGGGTAGCTGAAAGCAGCTCCTATTATCAACTGCTTGTCTTAGGTTTCATTTCTGACCAGAATCGCTTTTTTCCGGTGAAAATAGGACGAGATCTGAAAGAACCAAAAGATCCCCAGAGCTGAAATGTTGACAGCTGTAGAAATAAGTTTCTCACGCCAAGCCCGCCCTATGTAGATGTTTATGTATGAATGCAAGTTTCTGCAAGCCGTCAGCCGTACTATATGTCAATTAGAGAAACTGGCTTAGTCTCTCGCGCCGCATAGTTAAGCCAGTCTCGATAAGACATTAAAAGCTCAGCTTCGAAATTTTGAACGTCTTTTCTACGTAATTTACAGTTTGTGCTTCAACTCTCTAAAAAGAAGAACCTTCCACATTTTAACAATCCATGCCTGAAACCATATAAACCTACTAGTCTTGTGAGCCTTCTATTGTTGCAGCCTGTACTCAAGAATGACAAGCTATGGGCGGCTTTTCTTGATCTCTTTCAAGTGATGCGATTGGCCAAGTTTCGTATAAGTACTTGCTACGTTTCTTTTTCTTTCTTGGCTCGAAATCTGAATAATGGATCAGTGGAGGCTTCTGCGATTACGAGGTCGGCCGGGGTTGGGGATACTCGGCTGACATTGAAGAAGTGGAGCAATGCGCATTTGGTTCGAGCTCAGGGCACAAAAGCTGGAGATTCTTTGATTTTAGCATTTTTAGCCAATCCGATCAAGCCTAATTGGCGTTAGCTAATTTTTTATTCTTGGGGTTCTTAGTTTGGAAAAGTGATGTTCGAAGTGGAAACGAAGGGAGTCGTGCTTACGAAGTCTGCGTCGCTTGAACAGAACGAAACGTGGGGTAAAGCGCTGAGCTTTTTCAGAAAATGACTAAAATGGTTGGTTTATTATTTCAAGGGATAATTCCGTGATCTGGGGTTTCCGCTTGTACGATGTTGGAGTAGGTGAGGGTATCGTATGGTTTGTATCTGGCAAGCTACTGATAACGCAAGAAGTGTGAAAAAAAAAAAGAAGGGTATGGTAAGCAAGGGAAAAATATATGATGGAGGTACCTTAATCATTTTGATGGACTTTCTTCGTTGCTAGTATTATGGTAGTAGTCACAATTTCGCTTTCTGACCACAAATAGAATGCTCCTTCAGAATGAGACATTTCGAGCACGTTATACTTTGTGGGACGATGCTTTCTGATAAGCTATTTAAGTTGGAAGATCGTTTTCTTTAAGCTTTTTAAATTTGATGTTTTCACTTGAATATATTAAAGGTCTCGGGATTCACTGGAAGGCTTGCTGAATTGGCCAGAAACGTAGAAATGAAAACTGCAAAAGCAACCTTCTTCTAGATAGGGCCTAAATTTACATCTCTTTACATTTAAACTTCTCCTATATATCTCTTCCTGTTATATTGGTATCTGTTGAAATATCCCAACACGCAACCACCCCATGTCTTTTAGCTCTAGGCCCACTTGGATAGAGCTACCGAAGTTCACCCCAGTTCAAAGATCGTAGGATTGCATTCCAGAGGTAACGTATGAATCCTTGCTGGTTCAATTTATAAAAGAGCTGCTTTATACCTACTGCGAGCTCCAACTGCAATGCTTTTCGTCTCTTTCCGCCGATGGGTCGCAACGGCCCTTTGCCTTGCAATGGCATGGTCGTTGACCGTTACCCATAACACAGTGATTATTTCGCCAGCAAACTTGAAAATTGGAGATCTTATTATTTACCCGGATGTTTATTATTCCATGGTGAACAATTTACTTACCGCTATTGGCGGCAGTTTGGACAACGATGGCTACTTCTATGTTACTTCAACTAACGGTTTGGCTGCCTCTGTTTCGCTTCTCTCAGGCACCATTAAGAACAAAGGAATTGTTGCTTTCAACTCCATGAGAGCAAATGTTGTCAGTAGCTACAATATGAATTCTATTGGAGAATTCTCTAACGAGGGATTCATGTGGTTTGGAATTAGCTCTTTTTCTTTGACACCCCCAATTGTCCTCGGATCTGCAACAAACTGGGATAACCTGGGTCTTATTTACCTTAAACAAGAGTCTGGAACTCCTTCTGCTGTCACTATATCTCAAGCTCTAGGATCTATTAACAACGTTGGAGGTATTTGTTTGGAGCGTTTGAATTGGATACAGACGACCAGTATTAAGGGTGCTGGGTGTATCAATATTATGGAAGACGCCCATCTTCAGCTTCAGCTCAGTCCATGGACTGTTGATAAAGAACAAACAATTTACCTTTCAACCGGTTCCTCTTCATTATCTGTTTTTGGATTAGCTGAAGGTCTTACAGGCACCAAGACTTTCCAAGTTGTGGGATTCGGTGATGGAAATGAAATCAGTGTTAACACTGGCTTCACAGGTCACAAACTACAGGGTACCGTATTGATTCTTACCTTCTTTGCTGGGTTATTCAAGCTTGGATTTGACATTGGTGAAGGTTACAAGTCAAGTGATTTTGTCACTAATGGTCTTTTGGGTGCTGGTACGAAGATTCTGTACAAGGGCCATTACCCAGGTAACGTTCCTTCCGTATGTGTATGTAAGGATTTCCCAGAAGCTCCAGTTGAGCCGTTGTCTTCATCTATAGTTGAGAGTTCCAGTGCTGTGTTTCCATCTGTCCTGTCAGAGGTTGAATCATCTTCGATGGAAGATACTCTGATTCTCGAAACGGGTTCTTCTTCTGAGCAAGAAACATCATCTAAACCAGAGGAAACGGATGATTCTTCCCTGACGGAAACAGACATCTCGATCAGCGAATCTGTGGTATCTCCTTCTGATACTTTGACCGAATATACTACCACCTGGACCACCACGGACTCTGACGGTAATCCTACGACAGAGTCTGGTGTTGTCATTATCACTACTGACGACGAAGGTTCTTTGACGACTACTACCTCCACTATTGCTTACCCTTACACTACTTACACCTCGACATGGACTACTTCTGGGCCTGACGGCGAGGCAACTGAATCTGGTGTAATTATTGTAACCACCGATGATGATGGCTCTCTTACAACGACAACTTCAGTAATCCCATCTGCTCCTTGGACCACTTACACAACCACTTGGACTTCCACCAACGAAGATGGTACAACTGAGACAGATTCTGGTATAGTTGTTGTTACAAGCGATGAAGATGGATCAACAATTACCACTACTATTGTGATGCCTCCACCTTGGACAACTTTTACAAGTACTTGGTCTGCAGACGATGGTGATACCGATTCTGGCGTGATTATTGTCACTTCCAAATCTGATGGTTTCTTGACTACCACCACATCCACTTATCCTCGGCCTTGGACTACTTATACCACGACCTGGACTACTGATGGTGAAGACGGAGACTCTGAAACTGACTCAGGTGTTGTAATTGTAACTACCGATGAAGAAGGTTCCTTGACGACCACAACTTCAACCATTCCACGTCCCTGGACTACCTATACTACTACGTGGACTACTGAAGGCGGTGATGGCAGTGAAGAAACAGAATCAGGTGTAGTGATTATCACCACAGACTCTGAGGGGTCTATTACTACTACCACTTCCATTATTCCTTCGCCTTGGACAACCTACACTACATCCTGGGTTACAACTGATGACAATGGTAATGAGGTAACGGACTCTGGAATAGTAGTGGTTACACCTGACGATGATGGATCTCCTTCAACTACCACATCCATTATTCCACGGCCATGGACAACCTATACTACCACTTGGACCACGGACGGTGAAGGTGGAGATCCATCGACCAATTCTGGAGTTGTCATTGTGACTACAGACTCAGATGGAGAGTTAACCACAACCACTTCCATTATTCCTCCTTTGTGGACGACGTTTACGTCTACTTGGACCAGTGCTGATGGTGACGGTAACCCTGTTACAGAATCTGGTGTAATTATTGTGACAACAGACGAGGATGGCAGTATTACAACAACTACTTCCACCATTCCTCCTCCTTGGACTACTTACACCACAACATGGACTACAGATGATGACGATGGTAATCCAGCCACAGATTCTGGTGTGGTAATTGTCACTACCGACGACGAGGGTTCCTTAACTACTGTAACGTCGGTGATCGATCTGCCTTGGACGACTTATACTACTACTTGGACTACAGACGGTGACGATGGTAATCCCACAACCGAATCTGGAGTGGTTATTGTAATTACAGACCCAGAGGGATCTTTGACGACCACTACATCTGTCATTCCTGCTCCATGGACAACATTCACGACGACTTGGACTACGTCAGACGACGATGGTAATTGGCAGACAGAATCTGGCGTTGTCATTGTTACTACAGATGAAGAAGGACAGATTACAACTACGACATCTGTTATTCCAATGCCCTGGACAACATATACCACTACTTGGACTTCAGATGGACCTGACGGGCCTGAAACAGCTTCAGGTGTAGTGATTGTAACTACTGATGAGGATGGTGCTTTGACGACGACCACTTCTACTATAATGCCTCCATGGACAACTTACACTACTACTTGGACGACAGAAGGTGAAGATGGTACTCCTACTACAGATTCTGGTGTTGTAATTGTTACTACAGATGATGAAGGGTCGCTTACAACGACTACTTCTGTGATTCCTCCACCGTGGACCACATTCACTACTACATGGACATCTGTTGACGAAGGTGGTGATCCAGTCACTGATTCTGGTGTCGTCGTGGTATCAACTGACTCCGAGGGTTCTTTGACCACTATTACCTCGGTTATTCCTCAACCTTGGACTACGTTCACTACAACTTGGACCACAACGGATGAAAATGGCGATGTTGAAACCAACTCTGGTGTGGTGATTGTAACGACGGATTCTGATGGTGCTTTGGCTACAACTACATCTACAATTGCAGTTCCATGGACGACTTATACTACTACATGGACTACTACCGATCAAGATGGCGAGGTAGACACCAACTCTGGAGTAGTGATTGTTACAAGCGACTCGGATGGTCAACTTTCCACTACGACCTCGGTTATTCCAAACCCATGGACTACGTATACAACTGCTTGGACGACTGTTGATGATGAAGGAACAGAAGTAACAGACTCAGGAGTGGTTATTGTGACGACTGACTCTGAAGGTGAATTGACTACTACCACCTCAGTTATCCCACCTCCATGGACTACTTTTACAAGTACATGGACCTCTGAAAATGACGAAGGTGACCCTGTGACTGAATCGGGTATTATTATTGTGACGACCGATAAAGATGGATCTTTGACCACCACAACATCGCTTTTCCCTCTTCCTTGGACTACTTACACTTCTACATGGACCACTGGTGGTGAAGATGGTGACCCTGTTACTGAATCTGGTGTTGTAATTGTTACAACAGACCCTGAGGGTTCTATCACTACTATGACATCAGTTATTCCAGCTCCTTGGACGACCTATACTTCCACTTGGACCACTGATGGTGAAGATGGTGCTATTGAAACCGACTCTGGTATTGTGATAGTGACTACTGACGAAGATGGATTGCTCACCACAACGACTTCTGTCTTACCTAGACCATGGACGACTTACACCACAACTTGGACTACTGCTGATGACGAAGGTAAGCCTTCCACTGAGTCTGGGGTTGTCATTGTCACTACTGACCCTGAAGGTTCCCTTACAACTGTTACGTCTACCATTGGCCAGCCTTGGACGACCTATACGACTTCTTGGGAAACGTCTGATAGCGATGGAAACCCAGTAACCGATTCTGGTATTGTGGTTGTTACTACTGACGACCAGGGAGAATTGACGACTTCCACTTCTATTATACAGCAGCCTTGGACTACTTATACCTCGACTTGGACTACATCGAATGAAGATGGTGGTAGTGAAACCGTTTCAGGAATTATCGTTGTGACTACTGATGAAGTTGGTAGCTTAACTACAACTACCTCTATTATTCCATCCCCTTGGACGACCTACACTACGACTTGGACGACCACTGATCAAGACGGAGCCGAAGAAACTATTTCTGGTATTGTTATAGTGACAACTGATCCTGATGGCTTGTTGACCACCACTACATCCATTATTTCCCTGCCATATACCACTTATACTACGACATGGACTACTGACGATGGAGAAGGCGGATCAGTGACCGACTCGGGTGTGGTGATTGTCACTACAGATGAAGAAGGTTCTCTTACAACCATGACATCGATTATTCCACCTAACGTCTCCCCATCTGCTAGTATCTCTGAGTATCCTCCATTGACTACTTTCACTTCGACCTGGACTACTTCTGATGAAAATGGTGAACCTGTTACAAACTCTGGGGTTATTATTGTGACTACAGATGAAGATGGAGCCTTGACAACTACAACATCGATTATCCCTGCCCAAAGCACTCCTGTCGAAACGTCTTCTGTTTCGCCTCCATTTACAACTTACACTACTACCTGGACTACTTCTGGTGAGGACGGTTCGCCTGTGACTGACTCAGGTGTTGTTATAGTTACAACTGATGAAGAAGGATCTTTGACGACCACCACATCTATCTTTCCTCCCGCTGGAACCTCTTACACTACTACTTGGACTACCACTGGAGACGATGGACACTCTGAGACCAAATCTGGTATTGTCATTGTTACTACTGATGAAGATGGTGCTTGGACAACTACGACTTCTCAGTTCCCCGCTGAAAGCTCTCCAGTTTACCCAACCTTTACGACATTCACGTCTACTTGGACTACGGCAGAAGAAGACGGCTCCCTGGAAACCAAATCTGGAGTAATTATTGTGACGACTGATTCTGATGGCTCTTATACCACCATGACTTCTATAATTCCTGATACTTCGGATCCATGGACTACTTTCACCAGTACGTGGACTACCAGTGGTGAAGATGGAAGTATTGAGACGAACTCTGGTGTCATTATTGTGACAACTGATTCTGATGGTAGTTTGACTACAATGACATCCATGTTCCCTCCAGAAGAGACAGCCTCGTACTCCTCCAAGCTGATGCCAGATTACTCTTCTGCTATTTCGTCATTGACTTCACCAGAAGTGCCTTCGTTGACAACGTATACCACGACTTGGACCACTACCGATGATAAGGGTGAGACTACTACGCCTTCTGGTGTGGTAATTGTCACTACTGACGAAGAGGGCTGTTTGACTACAATTACTTCAACCATTTCGGAGGAGTGTATCACTTCTAGTGTAAGTGATGGAGGTGTTGGCTCTTTGTCGTATACATTCCCTAGCAGTGAAGCTTCTGGCTCTTCATCTGATGTACCAGATGACTCTTCTTCGGTTGGTGTACCAGATGGTTCTGTTTCTTGTACTGAGTGTTCTTCATTCACTACGACATGGACAGTTACCAAGACTGACGGTGAATGTGAGACTGATTCTGGTGTGGTTATTGTGACAACAGATAGTGATGGCTGTATTACTACGACAACTTCCATTATCGATTGCACTACAGGAGTTTCGACAGATGCTGGAGAAGCGCCAGAGACACATTCAGTCACAGTTACAGATTCTAATGGAGACTTGACAACTTCTCCTGTCTTACCTTCGCTGACAACGTCTACAAGCTGTTTGGAATCTCCTTCGTGTACGACATTCACAACCACATTGACACTGGTTGATGATGAAGGATGCACGATTACAGAGTCAGCCGTTTGCATCGTTTCTACTGATGAACATGGCACAGTTACTACTACCACATCGTTGATCTGCCCATCGTGTTCCTCTTACACTTCAACTTGGGCAACGACTTGCGAAGATGGTAAGGTTGAAACCGATTCTTGTATTGTCATTGTCACCACTGATAAGCAGGGCTCTCTTGTGACAAGTACTTCTATGTTACCTGAGAAAACTCCAAGTCCAGACCACCCTGTTCCTGACCATCCAGAGACGACTGTTCTTTCTCATGGCATCCCTATAACTCACGGTCTCCAGTCATCTAAACGTGTTCCGGTCGGATCTCTGACTTTTGTTACTACCAGAGAAGATGGTCATGTCATGACTGTTGCTGGTGAAGTCTTTGAAACAACTATTGAGGGTAAGGTTTCAAGTTACACTTCTGTATATTCTCCTATTGAAGAAGCTCACGGAAGCCAACCAACTAAAGATAAAGGTGGAGACCATACACTGGAAGCTGTCATTGTTGGAACTGACTCTAATGGACATACCTATACAACTGTTGCAGGACAGGCAACTGCTCCAAACAAACCAGAAGCTGGAAAGGCTGGACCTGAACCTCATTCAGAACAGGGTGAACAAGATACCACAGTTGATCTTGGATTCCCAACATCCTTGGAATCGGTGTACGTATCTAGCTCACTCGAGCCTCAGAGTGTTTCTACGTTTGCTGGAGCTGGCTCCTTCTTACGTACCACGTTTGAGTGGCTTCTTCCATTGGCTGTTTTGGTCCTTTAAGGTTAGCACTGTGCTGTAGTGATATGTTTTTAGCACAAGTGTTTCAAAGTATTTAGTTTTACGTTGTTTAATATTGATGATATTTAATTTGAATTTGAGTAGGGGAAGTACGTTTTAGATCCTGCCAAGCGGCTTAACCAGAGAACCGTACTCTCTATATCTCTTCCTTTCCACTCAATTTTACCTAAGAGGAATCGGTCCAATTAATCCCAAGACACCACCGAGGGATTGCTGAAAGATACGAGTTATAAGTGACGAATCCGTTTTATTCGGTGTTTCTTCGCCAATTTTGCTTCCTCTAGCTGAACTTGGAATCGTGCTTATTACCTGCGAAAGCTGAACGTCAGCTCCAGGATAAAGAACGTTGGTGGATCTTACAGTACGATTGCATCCCTTCACTGGCTCTTCACCGTTAAGCATACGCTCAAGCCACGCTAAAGCTGCTCCATTGCCAACAGTCGCTTCTAAGAGGTGGCCTGATGTTTCTGAAACAGCAAATTCAAGACTGTCAATACCCCATTCGCAGAAATTTTCATAAGCCTTTTGACTTCCATTGAAAGGTACGATTTGGTCAGGCGTTCCATGGTAAAGGAAAAGAGGAATCTCCGGACGAGGTGTATCTTTCAACACACCAATTGAGTTGTTCAAAACAGCCTCCTTTATCTCTGGAATCTTAAAGAAATCCCAACCTTTTTCTGTCCAAGGATCATCACCGCCAAAGATATCACGATTCAAGTAATTGATAAACGAGGTAAAAACACAATCATCGGTTCGACTATACAACTCTTTCCTTCTGTCTTCCTTGAATTCTGCGTCAAAAACTTCCTTAAGGTCTGGATTGCTTTTGATCATACCGTTTAGTATGTTAGGAACCAAGCCAGCGTATGTAGTGCCATCGCTTGCAGCAATTACATCTGTCCAGTTTGTTACCCATCCACCCAAGGCAGCACCAACTAGGTTTTCTTTAAGATCGGGTGCATATTCCGGCTGAACTGAGGCTCCCCAAGTCGAGGCAAATGATCCGCCAGAGAAGCCCCACAAGGCTGTATCTGCGTTTGGCAGGATACCAGTAATGCTTTTTGAGCTTAAGGCAGCTCTAATAGAATCTACTGTTGCATATCCTGCTTGCCAACCGGAAGTAAAAGCTCCATCTGGACCTTCATAATCAGGCAACACAACATACCATCCTTTCGTGAGTAATGCTTGAACAAGAAGTGTTTCAGCTTGTTGCACAAATGTTCCAATTTCCCCACGGTAAAGTAATGAGTACGAAGGAGCACAGTCCATGGTAGCGGAATCTTGAGCGTACTGGTAAGAAACAAGTTTCAGTGGATCAGCGTTGTAAGGGACCAAAACCGTTGTTACCATGGCAATTGGCTCGCCTCTAGCATTCTGGGACTTAACAAGTAGTTGCCATGCATTTTCAACTTTGAGTGGAGTAAAAAGAGACCTCACTTGATTAGGTGCCCGTCTAAAGTCAATTATATCACCAGCGTCATAGGAAGTGAGGTTAGATGGAGCGTTATAGAAATCATCTTCAGAAGGAATTGTTGGTCTTATTGTCTGAGCCAACACTGTAGCTAAACAAGCAAAAACAGTTAGTAACTTCATGGATGAGCTTGAGAGTGAAAGAAGGTCGGGAAATATACTACTTTAATAGACCCTGAAAGGTACTTGCCTGACTTGGCATAACGTTAGTGTCAGATGAAAGCTTCTCGGAAGTAAGACCCCACATTTCTCATACATTACCCTTTGTAGACCCTTGAAGGTGATTACAACTTTTTGCAACCATAACAATGCAAGATAGATCTCGCAGTGCATCTCGCCAACGTAAGCGAAGAACCTTCATTACTCTCGTACTACAATAAACCATTTTTTAGCGTCAAGGCGTCAATGTCATTAGATTTTTATTGAAGATTTAGCTCTCTAGTGAAACTTTATTTATTGATCTTTAGGCGCAAATATAATTACTTTCCCGTATCAGGAAATTATCTACACAAGGGTGCACAGGACATTCCAGATTACAATGGGTTAAGACCACCGGATATTATTTCTTAAATCCTGGGGAAATAAGGGTCACAAGAGTGATGGAAACGTTAACTCCAGTTCTAGTACCGTGAGAACACTTCTGTTTGTAAGTTGTGGAGCGAAAGTGTGAAAAGTCTCGTTTGAGCGCCTGGCTACAGATATACTGGACAACAATACGGGGTAGTCTTACTAGGGCTAAACGGCACCGATCGCTTACTACTCCTGGACCTTTTGCCATTCGGGACTTTGGCTCCCTTTCCATCCGAACTTTCCGTGATTGGATAATCTGACGTTTCGATAAGAAGAGCGTCAATTGTAACCAGTTACGGCGCCTCCTTTATCAGTCCGATCAGTTTCACTTGTTCTGCAACCTGATTGCTGCTGCCCCGAACACCTCCTCATGTCATCTCGGTGTCACTTTCGGCCCCTTTCCATATCTTGCGGCAAGTCGAGCTAAACAGCATCCGCCAACGTCTATCTGCCCAAATACCAAACCTTAATTTGAACCGACTTTCTACGATAATCTACACAATTAGAGCACCACCACCTATATCCCTATCTCCTTCATCGCCCCGTATCTGCCAAAGCCCAATCGAATTTTCGGAGCCTCCTCATCGGGAACACTTCATAACCAACGCATAGTCTGCATTTTCCATCGATCGCCAGTTTGACGCATCCATCTTGAAGCACCCCCGCCAGAGCTCTTAATTATCGAGAAATGACGTGCCATAAACGTCATTCGTCCAATTTCCAGAACAAATGCCTTGTAGAAAAACCAAGCTTGAGAACTTCATCTCACCATTCAAAGAACACTTTATTCATGCTTTTCCCTTTTTAGTGTTTTTTTTCCTTCCCTCTAGTTCGGGATGTGCCCACCAACTTTCCGAAAAAAGCCCTGCTTGTCAAAGGCAGTACGGTTTTTTTTTTGCGACATATAGACACTTCATTGCAGACGCACCTGTACCTGTCACTTGGCATATTTTGGCCTCCTTTGATGCCGTGCGTCAGACGCCATACATGTAATTATCTGATGGGATCGATAACTGAGTTTTTTGAAACTTGAAGGTTGGTGGGTAGTGTTTGGCTGCAAATCTTACCAAGGAACATATAGTAGACCTTGGGTTCCACCATAGACAAGGGATACCTTCGTTGGTCTGGGCATCACATATCCTCCATTGGGGGACTGCGCCGCAATAGCGCTTTCTTGACTGTTAAGTACGTCGCTTTTTTATTGGTTCTTTTGTGTCAGAAAACGGGTTCTCCAAGTGCCGTGAGTCGGCTTCACGCAAAGCTGGTGGGTATAAGTAGCCAAGCTCAGCCACTGGTAGTGAAGGGCCAGGATGGACAAGAAAGACCACAGAAGGGATTCTTCCCAGACAGAGTCTCAGCAAGACGCTAGCTATGATTTGGAGAAGAGGGTCGACTCGGAGAACGAGTACCATGAAGACTTCAGCTCGTCTGGCGATGAGAACGTCGCCACAAACCGTATTGACGCTGATGCAGAGGTCATTACTGATCGAGGTGTCTACCGTGTGGAGGCTTTAAAGAAGGTGTTGTATACGCATAAGAATGGTCTTAGAATGAGAGTCATTTTGGGTATTTCGGTGCTTCTATGTGCCTGGGCATCTTCTTTGGACTCGTCTGTTACCAACAGTTTGCAGCCATGGGCGACCTCGGCATTCAACCACCATTCGATGGGTCTTGGTACGCTTAATATTGCCATTCAGATTATCACGGCTATCTCCAAGCCCGTTTGGGCTAGAACTGCCAACATCGTGTCTCGTCCTGCTACGTACATGTTCTCCATGGTGTTCTATGTCATCGGCTATGTTATCGTGGCTTCGAGTCATACCATCTCTGCCTATATCGTGGGTTCAGCTTTAGCTGCTGCAGGTAGCTCAGGTGTCGATTTCTTGAACCTGATCATTGTTGCCGATATGACATCTTTGAAATGGAGAGCTCTCGCTACGTCCATTTTGAGTACTCCCTTCATTATCAACACCTGGTACGCTGGTTACATTGTTCAGGATTTGGGTCCTACTGGATGGAGATGGGGTTATGGTATGTTCTGTATTATCATGCCAGTCGTTCTCTCCCCAGCCACTATCATCATGTTCTTCTATGAGGATAAGGCCCACAATAAGCTAGACCAGCAGGAGAGGTCTGACTACAGAGAGGAGATGGGTTTCAAGAAAAATTGGAAAAAGCTTCTCTGGAGAGTTTTCATTGAAGTTGATGCCTTCGGCTTGGTTGTCTTGGGTTTTGCTTTCTCTTTACTTTTGCTTCCATTTTCTTTATATGCGGGTGCAGACAACCAATGGAAAAACCCAAGTTTGATTGCAATGTTCGTGGTTGGAGGTATCTTGCTCATCTTCTTCTTTGCTTATGAGTTCCTTTGGGCCCCATTCCCAATTGTGCCCAAGAGATGTATCAACAGAACCCTTGCTGCGTCTGTGGTTATTGACTTTATCTACCAGCTCGCTGGTATGGTGCCTCTCGTGTACTTTTCATCCTTTGTATGGATTGTCAAGGACTGGAGCAACCAGGATTGGACTTACTTTAACAACACCTTGACCATGGCACTTTGTGTTTTTGGTGTTGTTGCCGGTATTTGCATGAGAGTGACCCACAGATACAAAGTCTTCCAGTACTTTGGTGTTGTTTTAGCTATCCTCGGCTCTGGTATTATGATTGATGGAAGAACAGCTAGTGACAACACTCAGAGGATTATCTGGTCGCAGATTCTTTCTGGTATGGGAGGAGGTTTCAATGTTGTTGCTTCTGGTGTTGCCTTGCAGGCATCCATTCCTCATAGAGATATGGCGATCTCAATCTCTATTGTGAGCTTGATTTCGTCTATTGGATCTTCCATTGGATCTTCCATCTCCACTGCTATTTGGCAAGGCAAGATGGAAGATTCTTTGAGGAAGTATATGCCTTCTTCAGTCACTGACGAACAAGTTCTGGGTTTCTTTGGCAACATCGCTACGCTTCGGAACTACGAGATCGACAGCGAGGTCAGGCAAGCAGGTATCAGAGCTTATAGAGAGGTTAACTTTTATTTCTACCCAATCGCTTTGAGTTTACAGGCAATTCGTCTTGCAGCAGTCTTCTTCCAGAGCAACTACTACCTTGGTGATACGCATAATGCAGTGGAAGATGATGATGGGAAGCCACTTCACCCTGAGGACCAAGACCCTGAGAAGAAGAACGAACAGAAAAGCTGGAAGCATATTTTGCTTGGTATTGACAGTTAATAGTGTTTATCATGTATGTATATAATTTATAATTCGTCATTTCACGATATCTACTCGCCTTCTGATTGAGAGTCAACTAGTCGAGCCAGATAATTACCTCGTATACGAGGTGTTATGGGTACTTTTTAAACATATCGCTTTTATTTATCTTACTTTACAATCTTTTCTCCAGTTAATGTGCTCTTCTGCCTCAGTTCTTTCAAAACTGGGACTCTTCTGGAGTCGATCAGACACAAATGCCCAAATTTGCCTTCAAATTACTAAAAGGCACAATATTAGAAAACTTTGTCACCCCAATTTACGCTGAAAGCTTAAATATTTCGATTTCCATCAAAATTCGATTTTTCATGAAGATATGAAATTTTGTAACTTTACTGCGTAAGCCAAAGAACATTGCGAATCCACATACCTTCACTGGATCTTGACAAACTCATGAAATTTTGTATCATAAAAAAAGTGTAAAACAAGACTAAGAAAGGGATTAAATTGAAAGAAAGTCAATGGAGTGAAAAAGAAAACGAACACCAATGCCATCTGACCAATATCAGACTGTTCTCCACCAGATCTTCAACCAGAAGAGGACCAATCGAACAATCACAAGACAAGGAAGCCAAAGCTCATCGCATTTTATGAGTCAATGCATAAGACGAGGCATTCCATCGAATCGACCCAAAAAAAGAAGGCCCTCCAATTAATAGCCAACCCAAGCCCGCTATCTTTTTCATCTGCGTAGTTAGTACAAAACCGTCGATGTGCGATGCCTTATTTCTGTGAGCCTTAGCGGAACGGCTCTCCGACCAAAACGACACCAAACGGCTCTGGCGGCACTTTCGGCGTCTTTTTTTCAAGTGCAAGAGTCTTCTATAGATCTTCCATTACGTAAAATTTACTAACTCTGCGTCTGTGCTTTTTAGAATGGTTTCTAAGGAGGCATCGGCGACCGGTTTTTCTGGCCGGGATCTTCCTACCGATTTAGAAGATATTTGGCGATTGGCTGAAACACGGCAATAGGTACATCTTCTAATGTAAGGCTACGCAGCCAAGAAAAGCTGATGATATATTTTTGCAACGATCGAAATGCTGGTGGTTATGACAATGAAGGAAGGGTAGTAACCAGAGGAGAAAAATTTTCAGCTGGTAACCGGCCCAGACGGCATTCCTTTCAAGATGGGGAGAACTTGGCCATTGATGAAAAAGATAATCCTGAATGCCTTACACGGCTCGTGAAACTCCCGGAAAGCCGTTTTCCGTCTTGACAGCCGCACACAGTGAAAGTACTTCTATGCGCTAAAGACATAACTTCAAAGCATCGGAAGGCTCAGCAGATCTTCCCAGATCCAATAAAAATATAGAAAAATGCCCTGTTAGTTTCATTTTTTTGGGCATCGAAAAATCACCCTTTTTGACGAACAAGGGGGGCTTTGACGTGCTGCATTTGACACCACTGGTATTCCTCTTGGCAGGCGCCGTAGATGCATCGCTGACATGTATTATTTATGACTTTCTGCGGGTGTCAAGCATCTCTAGAGGGTCTTGTGAATGTCACAAAAGGCATGATTGGCTGGTTCCTGTAAGTGTGTTTGATGGTTGCAGCCGTGCTTCGGCAATGGGTGAACTTATATAGTTGCAGATATGCTGCTCGATATGAGTATCTGTAGCCATGTCTAGAGAGAAAGAGGTCGACATTGTCGAATCAGCTCAGAACGATGCAAATCTGTCTAGCAAGTTGAGCGGTAAATATACCGACTCTGACGAGGAGCGCCAGAAAGAAGTCACCTTGAGGGAAGATGATATCGAAGAGAGCCCAGCTAGACAAAGGTTAGATGAAGATGCTGAGGTGATCAAAGACCGTGGTGTTTACCGTGTGGAATCGCTTAAGAAGGTCTTGTATAGCCACGAGAAGGGTCTCCAAATGAGAGTCGCTTTGGGTGTTTCTATTCTTCTCTGTGCCTGGGCAAGTTCTTTGGACTCATCGGTAACGAACAGTTTGAAGCCATGGGCCACTTCAGCTTTTAACCAGCACTCCATGGGTCTTGGTACTCTTGCTATTGCTGTGCAAATTATTGGATCTATTGCAAAGCCAGTGTGGGCCAGAATAGCCAACATTGTGTCTCGTCCAGCTACATACATGGTGTCTGTGATCTTCTACTCCCTTGGATATGTGATTGTTGCTTCCAGTAACACAATTTCAGCATACATTGTCGGTTCAGCTTTGGCATCTGCGGGAAGTGCTGGTATTACCTTCTTGAATAGAGTCATTGTGGCAGATATGACTTCTTTGAAGTGGAGAGCTCTTGCAACTTCGTCCTTGAGTACGCCTTATATTATCAATACCTGGTACGCCGGGTACATTGTGCTGGACTTGGGACCCACAAACTGGAGATGGGGCTATGGTATGTTCTGTATAATCATGCCAGTGGTTCTTTCTCCTGCCACCGTTATCATGACTGTGTTTGAAAGCAAGGCTCACAAGTACCTTGATAACGACCAGTCTACAGAGTATAAGGAAGAGATGGGGTTCCAGAAGAACTGGAAGAAACTCATTTGGAGAGTTATCATTGAGGTTGATGCACTCGGTTTGATTCTTTTAGGTTTCGCTTTCTCGTTACTTTTGCTACCCTTTTCACTTTACAAGAACGCTGATGATCAATGGAGAAACCCTAGTTTGATCGCCATGTTCGTGGTTGGCGGTGTCCTTTTGGCAGCCTTCTTTGCCTATGAGTTTATGCTTGCTCCATTCCCAATTCTTCCAAGAAGATCCTTGAACAGAACACTTGTGGCATCGATTGTGATTGATTTCTTCTACCAGCTTGCAGGTATGGTGCCTGCTATCTACTTTTCGTCCTTTGCTTGGATTGTAAAAGACTGGAACAACAGAGACTGGACGTACTTCAACAATACGAAAACCTTAACGCTTTGTGTTTTTGGCTTGGTCGCTGGTGTTTGTATGAGATTGAGTCACAGATACAAGATCTGGCAGTTCTTTGGTGTTACATTGGCTATAGTTGGATCAGGAATCATGATTGACGGCAGAACAGCCAGTGATAACACACTCAGAATGGTTTGGTCCCATATTCTTTCTGGTATAGCTGGAGGTTTCAACGTTAATGCTTCCAATGTTGCCTTGCAAGCCTCAGTGCCCCACAGAGATATGGCAGTCTCCATGTCGATCTTGTCGTTATCTTCTTCAATTGGTTCATCTGTCGGTTCTGCCATTTCCTCTGCTATATGGCAAGGTAAGATGGAAGCTGCCTTGAGGAAACACATGCCTGATAGTGTTACTGATAAACAAGTGAAGGCCTTCTTTTCTAATATCAGTACCCTTCGGAAGTACGAGTTTGATAGTGACATCAGACAGGCCGGTATCAGGGCTTACAGAGAAGTCAACTTCTACTTCTACCCAATTGCAGTTGGCTTACAGGGAATCCGTCTTCTTGCTGTTTGTTTCCAAAGTAACTTCTTCCTTGGCGACACTCAAAATGCTGTTGAAGATGAGGAAGGCATCCCAATCACCGTCGAGGAACAAAAGAAGAGAAAAGAGGAAAGGGAAACCGAAGGGAAGAAGAAAAAGAGTTGGAAGAAGATCTTGTTCAACATCGAGGATTAGCATCATTAATGGTCGTGTAATTAATATTTTCAGTTCAGTTGAGCTTGTAGCTGTCTGACAGAGACGATTCATCGAGTTTCTCTTCTCTTCTTATATCACGTATTTGCAAGCGTCTCATCACAATGGCCAAAATTATACTGGCGATTGAAGTGGCGATCATTGCCCACTTACCTTTGGTGAAATACGGCGCAGTGGAAGCACCGTAGAATAAAAGCAGCCACCAAGCATTCACGGCGTTGCTGAACATGTTCATGGACGCCAAAACAACTGCACGTTCTTCGAGGTCATTATAGCACACCACATTGGCCCATGAGAAGAAAACCGGTTGACCAGCATAGGAAAAGCCACTTAGATAATGGGCTACAAACACATATGTTGGCGATAATGGATGAGTGAGTAGTAAAATGGAGGATATAATCATGATCACACCAATAAGGATGGCAGCCCGATGATGGTGCTTAGCATTCGTAGCGTCAATGTACCAGCAGCACACAAAGTTTGCCAAAACACCAACAGCATATACGCCCATTGGAAAGTGGTTACGGTCAGCGACAGAATAGTCAAAATACTGAAGCCATAAAGCAAAGAGCGAATTGGTTGCATACGACTCGTTCTCTCCACCGAGGACCCAAAAGAAGGAGAAGAACCACCAATGCCATCTGCTCACCACACGCTTGAATATGGACCAGTCAAAGGTCGTCTTGGGCCGCTTTTTAAGCCTTGACCTGGCCAACATCCGTTCCTCCTCGCTAAAGTAAAACGCTTTACTGGTTTCTGGAGTGTCAGGGAAACAAAAGAAGCCGTAGACAGATATAGGTACTGTAATAAGGAAATCCACAATAAACAACCACCGCCAGCCCGCAAGACCAGCAACATCATCCATATTCTCATAAATAGCAGCTTGCATCGTCAGCGAAAAGATATTACCTATAAGACCAGCCGAAGTGAATACCGCAGTTCGCTTCCCAAGCTCTGTTTCCGTATACCACGATGCCAACAAGAGGTGACACCCACTAAACGTCAGCGCCTCCAACGTTGCCTGGAAGAACCGTATAGCACACAATGCCTTATAACTATGGACCCAAGCCATAGCAAACGTCAAAAAGCCCCAAGCCAACGCACAGAACGAGAGCCATATACGAGGCCTAACCTTTAGCAAAATCAAGTTATGTGGAATAAGCGCCACAATGTAACCCACACTAAAGCACGTATTGATGATATTAAGCTCATTGCCGTGCATCTCGAGGTCCTCCTTCATGCCACTAACATAAGCATTACTCAAGTTGAGTCTATCCAAGTAATTCACCCAGTATAGAAGACATGCAAAGGAAAGCACAAACCAGTCGATCTTCACAAGAAGCCGAGCCTCCACCGGGTTAGACGGCTTGACGCCCCATACGATTTCCCGGGTTTTCTTTAGCATTGGCCCGTTGCATGAGCTGGGGAGGTGGGAGGAGGAGGAGGAGGAGTAGGAGGAGTATGTAAGTGAAAAAAAAAGTAGTACGCGATTCGGTCCGAGGAAAGTGTGGGGAGGCAGCATGGAAGGCTCTGATGTTCCTGGAAAGTAGTTTTTATAAAAATGAAGAATGAATTGAAGAGGGCTTTTTGAAAGTGATTTTTTTGTTTTGGCCTTATGGGCTTTTTTTTGGGCGTGGTTGTGGCAGTAGTAGTTCGTTTAGTGGGGTTGGACCAAACTGGGTACTACTGAGCGCCCATAGTGGAAGAATACTTTACTATAGAAAGGTTAAAGTAATCCAGGGAATGAAAAGAATTGAGTTATAGAGTAAGTAAGGTTCTACTTGGTTTGCTTTGGGAAGACAAATGGTTGTGTTTGGGTGCTGGTTTAATGGCTGCAAAATGGCAGAGGTGCGTAGTCGTTTATCATCTCGTATTGGCCAATGGGGAGTGAAATGTTGATAAGAGAAAGAGGAACATTTGTAGTAGACTTAAAGACGAAGTGGGTTCGGTGCATTTACTTGGGCATCTTGATATCAACTCAAGATGTGAATGTCATATAGTCTACACTACCTATAAGGCATGAGAAGAACCGTATGATCTTCACCAATAGAGTACCAAAAAGAGGTTGCTCTTTATAGCACCATATACAATCTTTTGAAAGTCGTCTCCATAGCTATTTAAACCATTATAAAGAAGTGAAACTCGTAGTCTATGTATTCTGACTCCGATCAGCCCTCTTAGCCCCGGAACCTCTTAAACCGAGTCAAAAACACCAATCATCCATCCTACAACTGAACTAAAAAGCCAATTCATTTTTGTACTATAAAACTCCCCGTCTGTTTCTTTCCTATCCTAAAACCTATTTAGTTCTCTGGGCATCGTACTTCAACACAGCATTCAACATCACCTCTAATCCCTCGTGTACCTGTTCTGGAGTGCTATACTCCTCGGGATTGTGGGATACACCGTCTCTGGATGGAATGAAAATCATTGCTGTAGGACACTTGAGTGCCGTGAGTCCACTGTCGTGGCCAGCGCCACTGACAATGGGGAGAGTCTGGTCAGCACCGTAGAGTTCAGTGGCAGAGTCCTTGATGCATTTCTTGCATGTCTCGTCAAAGTGGACAGCTTTTTGGTGAAGAAGCTCCTTCAATTCAAACGATAACTTGACACCACTTTCCTTAGTAATTTCCTTGACGGCAGCCTGGAACTCGTCAAACATCTTGTTGAGTTTTGTATCGTCTGGGTTTCTCATATCGACAATGTATCTGACGTCTTCTGGAATCACATTCACGACTGCTGGAACCAACTCCATGATTCCAACACTGCAAAGCCCATCATGCTTGTGAGCAATTTCGTTACCTCTCACGACCATCTTGGAAGCGGCAAGAAGAGCATCCGATCTGCTTCTCAAAGGTGTAGTTCCCGTGTGTTGAGCTTTTCCTTTAACCTTAACCTCAAACCACCTAAGGGCCTGAATACCCTGAACAAGGCCAATTTTCTTATTGGTCTCCTCCAAAATAGGACCCTGCTCAATGTGGAGCTCAAAATGAGCAGCCAATGGGTTGGCCTCGAATGAACAGTCCACATCTCCCATATACTGGATCCTCTCCAACTCCTGTTTCACCGTCACAGGCTCAGCATCCGTGACACTCTTCAAATTATAGATATTCTCCAAAGTATGGGTTCCAGCCCATACAGAAGAAGACATCATGCTTACAGGGAATCTGGCACCTTCCTCGTTGGTCCAGTTCACCACACATACTGGGTAGTTAGGCACAAAGTTGTTCTCCTTGAACGTACGCAAAACCTCGAGGCCAGTCAAAACTCCCAAAACACCATCGTAACGGCCTCCAGTAGGCTGAGTATCCAAGTGAGAGCCAATGGCTGTAGGTAAGCCATCCTTCTTTCCTGGGTATATGGCGAAGATGTTGCCCAACTTGTCGATAACGATCTTGCAGCCGAGTTTTGATGTTTCTTCAACAAACCAGTCCCTTACCTTTTTATCCAAATCAGATAAAGCGAGTCTGCAAACACCGGTTTCTGTTTCCTGGGTGCCCCATCTGCCCTTTGCACCGAACTTGGCAGTCTCATGAATTGCAGCCAACAAGCGGCCTTCGTTGATGGCCAAACCAGAAGTAGCTTTGATAGAAGACTTGGTAGTAGTAGTAAGAGTCATATTTGGATGGCCCTGAAGACCCAGGAACCAAGGGTCTTATATAGACTTTTCAACCCCAGTTGCACCCGGGTTACCATATCGGGTAATCCATATCGCGATTACCGCTTGATAAGAGTCAGACCGGGACAACCCGGTCAGAAAATAAAGAGGAAACCCAGAAAGGCCTCAATCACAGATTTTGCTTAATGCTGTAGTGTCCAAAAGTAGGTCAAACGGTTCGTCCCCAGTGTAGATTTCCCAGAGCGCTTCCAAATAGTTGTATACGCGATTGATAAGGTGAGACCCAGAACGAGCCATAAGCTTCTCCAAAGTCTGAATAAAACGCTGCCTATCTTCGTTTTTTGTAGATGCACTGGCTGCAATAAAGCTAGACCAGATAGGAATCACCACATAGTCGTTGGACCCTTTGACTAGCCGTACAAGGGCGTCTATCAGTGGCTGCAAAACCAGGGCTCGAATACAAGGCTCAATCATCTTTTTGAGAAGAATAATCAGGGTGTGGAGTACAACCTTTGTTACGGTTAAAGTATCAAAGATTTGAACGGAAGCAGGCGCTTCGAGCGTTTCCAGCATGAAAAGACATGTTTCTGCAAGCTGGAGGAGTTCAATATGGAGATGCTTCTCGTACTCCAAGAGTGGAAGACTCAAACGACACAGCCAAGTAGCTTTGGCGGCAATTTGAAACGCTATAATCGATAATCGACTAAACTGGGGGTACTCGTCCTCCTCACAAAGGGTCAAGAAACGGGTATGGAAATCGAAGAATAGCACAAAAGGACTCGGTATAAGTTCTTCAATCTTCGTATGGTCACAGAACATTATCGTCAAACTATAATTAAACAAAAAGTTTTCAATCATAACCCGTTCAAGTGAGGTAGCCAAAGCATCGCTTCGCAAGATCCTACTGATGAACAACTCGTAAGCAGCGTTCAAATGCACCGCACATCGTGTAGCATTGCAGCCAGCCATGGGATCTCGTAGACTGAGTGTTTGCAAGACCTGGACTGCCAAAAAGAGCCACTCTTCACTTCCCAAAAACCCGTTTCTCATTGCCTTAATAAACAGCGAAAGCGCCGTCACGTACCTGCTTCGTGCCACAGGACGAAATGCCTGGTCGTCAAATGCAACCAACGATGCACCACATGCTATAGACATCTGCCGAACAAGATCCAGTTTTTCGGACACAGCATGAACCAAGCTTTGGGTAGGCACTCTGTGGTTAAAGTGTGGCTGAGCTAAAGTTGGAAGAAACCGCTGGGCAAATTGAACTAGGAATATGCTATCGATTTGTATGGGTAATGATGTTTCTGGTGAGCCATAGCGTACTAGCTGCTGAGGAGACTCAAGAACCGCCAGCGGCTCTACAGGGGTCTCCAAAACGTCATTTTCAACTTTTATAGGTTTTTCTACAGGCTCAGGCCATTTGCAATCGAGTTTCCTCCGGACGCAGTTCATGCACTGTTCCTTAGTTTCATCGCATTTGATCTTTCGGCGCTTGCAGTTGATGCAGCCTTTGAGAGACCGATTGTAAGATTTGAATGGTTTCCTCGAGACGATCTTTTGCTGCTTAAGCTGGAGCACGCCCTGATACTCCTTGTATCCCATGGTTAAGGAGAAAGTAGTAGGTGAGTGTTGATAGTGAGCTCGGGTTACCGTATCGGGCAGGTGATCAAGGCGGGTGACGATCGGGCTGGATATACCACATTGAAGCATATGAAAAGGAATTTAAGAGTAATTAGCGGTAGAGGTCTGTTTTAGGTAACCAGGGAGGGCTATAGAGAAGTGGAATTTTGTGTGGAGATGTGGAACTGGTGACATGGACGGGATGCTCCTTTCGTCGAGGGAACCAAGATAAGCAGTTGCGAGCGACTCGAGGGGAATATGGACCAATTGCGGGGCCACCATTGATTATTTATCTAGGAGAGCCCAGTGGGTGATCTAGTAAGGCTTGGAGAGTCCAGAGAATGTGTCAGATCTGTCAAAGGTGGAGTGTAGGGAAGGTAAGTTTTTCTTGGAGGTCAGTGGGATTTGGAACCCTTTTGGAAGGATATATAAAAAGTGTTGATTTAACAAGAGCAAGGTAAAACTCTGGCCTTATCAGTGCTTCACTCAATGGGCCATATCTACACCAAATAGAGGAAGCTCCATAGGGCCCATCCCAGCCTTCCTTTTCCTCTTACCATAACCCATTTCACCAAACTGAAACCTTCAAACCGCAATATTCAAATACTAAGTACTTCCACTTTCTTCTTTCCCACCTTGTGCTAACCTGATTTATAAGCTACAACTACATTACAGTACATACTTAATGGCTGCGAAAAACACAGGCTAGACCAAATAGGGGTCTGTCCAACCAGCACCTATCCACCAATTACGCCAAAAACGTGCTTTAGAAACCAAAACCTTCAATTACCGAATCACCTTATTACCCATTTGACCTTAAACCTTTTTCCTAGCCTCTTTCTATCACCATTTCATTACCTCCACTCCTTGTCCCTTCCTCCTCCTCCACCTCTTATCAGTGCGGCTATTGGATAATCCACCAGCCAGTACGCCAGCACTACTTACCCGGCAATTCCCCGCCCCTCCCTGGCACTATATAAGAACCAACATTTCCCACATTTTCATATCCCCTGGCCACCACTTTTTATCCTTTTTCTTCACCTCCACGTTCCACTGCCACTTCTTCGGTTACCTCGGCGCTATGCTCTCATTTACCGAGCCACAAAACTGCGGCTCAAGCAAGCGCGAAAATTAGATAACCACAGTAAACCTTCACTACTACAACTCTTCTCTTATCATGGAATTGGAGAAGGACTATGTGGCAACGAGGCCTCGGGCCAGCCCGGCTCGCCAATGGGCCAAGTTTGCATTTGCGTTTGTGGCATTGACCATTTGCCTTATCCAGTTTGACTTTAGGTTTTTCAGCGTGGACAAGATCCGGAACCCAGGGGATGTTATCTTGGGAGCGTTGGATTTGAACTTGGCACGGAACTGGTCGTTGACTTATGCGTCGGAGAAGCACTTGGCCGGTACGAACTACGGGCTTGTGGAGTTTACCAGAGGCAAGTTGGCTGAGTACGGTGCTAAGACTACCGTTGACGATTATGAGGTGCTCTTGAGTTACCCAGAAAGCCACGCTTTGAACTTGTTGGATAAGAAGGGCAGAGTCGAGTACGAGGCTCCTTTGAAGGAGGACGAGTTTGAGGAGGACTTTACTTCGGTTAATGATACGATTCCTACGTTTTTGGGCTTTGCCGCTAACGGTAATGTCACTGCTGAGTACGTTTACGTCAACTACGGAAGCGTCGAGGATTTCGCCTGGTTGAAGGAAAACGGCATTGACGTCAAGGGTAAAATCGCTGTTGCTCGTTATGGCGAGATTTACCGTGGCCTTAAGGTCAAGTTTGCCCAGGAACACGGCGCTGTGGGTGTTTTGATTTACACTGACCCAGCCGACGATGGCGAGGTTGTGCCTGCCAATGGCTACAAGCAGTACCCAGAAGGCCCAGCTAGAGCCGAAAGTTCCGTGCAAAGAGGAAGTGTTTTGTTCTTGGGAGGCACCGGTGCTTCTCCAGGTGACCCAACCACTCCTGGTTATGCTTCCAAGAAGGGCGCTGAAAGACAGGACCCTCACGCTAGCATCGGTAAGATTCCTGCTCTTCCAATTTCTTATAGAGAGGTGAAGCCTATCTTGGCTAAGCTTAACGGCCATGGTGTCAAGGCTCCAAAGTCATGGAAGGGTGGCTTGGACGAGTTTAAGTACACCACTGGTCCTAACCCAGATGCTTCTTTGAACTTGTACAGTAACCAGACCTTCAAGATTACTCCTATCTGGAACGTTTACGGTGAATTCGAGGGTGAGAACAGAAACGAAGCTATTTTGATTGGTAACCACCGTGACGCCTGGATTAAGGGTGGCGCTGGTGACCCTAACTCGGGTACTGCTGTTCTTCTTGAAATTGCCAGAGCTCTTGGTGCTCTTCAAGATGCTGGCTACAAGTTTAAGAGAAGTATCATTTTGCAAAACTGGGACGGTGAGGAATACGGTCTCATTGGTTCTACCGAGTACGGTGAATACGCCTCCAAGTTGTTGCAGAAGGATGTGGTTGCTTACTTGAATATTGATGTCGCTGTTCAGGGAAGAATCTTTTCTTTGAGCTCATCCCCAGTGTTGAACAAGGTCTTGAGAAAGGTTGCAAGATGGTTGCCTTACCCAGGTAAGGACTCTGGCTCCTTGTATGACCACTTCAAGAAGGAGTCTGGCGACAAGATCGTTAACTTGGGCTCTGGTTCCGACTACACTGTCTTCTTGGAGCACTTGGGTATTCCATCTGCTGATATTGGTTTCAGAAGCGGTAAGAACGACCCTATTTACCAGTACCACTCCAACTATGACTCGTTCTACTGGATGGAGAAGTACGGTGATAAGGGCTTCAAGTTCCACAACTTGGCTGCCAAGTACATTTCCCTTGTTTCATTGGAATTGTCCAAGCACAAGGTTATCGAGTTCTCCTTGAACGACTACGCCAAGGATTTGCTTACTTACTTCAAGGAGGTGAAGGAGACTGTCCCTAAGAAATGGTTGGACCAGGAAGTGCCACACCACTCCATGGCCGACTACATCGTCAGTGACTCCGAAAACAACCGTGCCGTGGATGAAGCTTCCCTGAACTACTATTCTAGCAACAACGTGTTTGCATTCACTGAACTTTTGGAACCTTACCAGTGCAGACACATGAGAACCATGTTGATGAGAGACTCTCTGCACCACAAGAAGGCCAGTTTTGGTGATATTTTGAAGCATACCGAGCACCAGTTGGTTAACTTGGAGAAGGATGCTTTGTTGTTTGACACCGAGAGTGCCAGTTTGCAAGAGCGTTTTGAGAACAGAGATCGCTTGCACTGGTGGCAGCGTATCAAGCTCCACTTCCAGATCAAGCACCAGAACAAGCTTATCCAGTACTTTGAGAGAAACTTCTTGTACGACAAGGGTCTTCACGAGAGATCCTGGTTTAAGCACATTGTGTTTGCTTCTGGACGTTTGACTGGTTACGCTGGTCAGACCTGGCCTGGTATCAGAGAAGCGATTGAAGATGAGGACTTTGAGAGAACCGTGCAATGGCTTGGTATTGCCGCCAGAGCAGCCAAGAGAACCAGCGGCGGATTAGCTCCTTAAATAGTTTTTCGTTAACTTTGAATAGGAGATGCCTGGTTTTTTGCAACCATATGTAGTGTGCTGCGAGTATCCGAATCGGGAAAACATATTACCATACGTCAATCCCACCAAACCGTCCTAATGCGGAAATAGGTAAACAAAAGAACAAAAGGTCTCGCTTAGAAGAAGCCATGACGCAGCACAATATATAATTCTGGGGGCTGCTCATTCTTCATTATCTTCAAATTTATCATCCATGTCTCTATCACCAGTCCTTGTGGTTCCAGCATTACTTCCTTTGGCATTTGCAGCCAACTTGGGAGGATTCGATTCACCCAGAGACTCTGGAAACAATAACGACGACAGTGGAGACACTGCTGAAACCGCTGGAAACACCCAGAACACTCAGAACACCAACGCCAACACAGCTCAGACAGCCACCCAGGGAACCAACACAGCAAACACCAACACTGCTAATACTGCAACTGCCAACACTGCAACAGCTAACACAGCAACTGCAAACACCAATACTGCCACAGCCAATACTGCAACAGCCAACACCAATACTGCCAACACGAACACAAACACCGCAACTGGCACCCAGACAGGCAAGACAATCGACACAAGACTCGAGACCACTGGAACGGCAGCAACACAGCAGACTCAGTCTCCTTCAGCAACTCTGTTGGAAACCACTGATGGCTCTGCAACATTCAACAAGTGGGGCTTCACTGGTTCTCAATCTCGTTGGGAGGCCCAAACTGAGACCCAGTCATCTGCTTCTGGATCAGAGTCTGAATCGAAATCCCACACCGCATCTATTCTGGGCAACAACACCTCTGGAGCTATGAGAATTGGAGGAGCCACCTCAGAAATCGGCTGGAAGGCAACTGCTTTTGTTGGTGCAATTGCCGCATTGACCATTGGTCTCCACTCCCTTTAAGAAATAGCATCATGAAATAAATATTAGGTTAGATAAAGCCACGGTTCATTTGGTCCATAATGGTTCTTTCGTACTTCTCGTGTAGTTCATTAAGACGAAGTAGAAGACCAGCACAGATACTTTTCACCTTCTCGTCAATAATTGACTCCCAGATGGTTGAAAGGAACGCTTGGATCTTGCTCAAATCATTCAGCATCTCTGTAATAAGGAAACTATCGTCAACCACGTCCATCACCAAGAGAGCGCCAGTGCAAAGACTTTCAACGACAGGAAGCTGTTCTGCGTCAAGCACAGGGATTATCAGAACCAAGAGCGCTAAGTATTCCCTGGACATTTCTAGAAGATCTGAGGCAGAAGGGTAAGCGGCGTGAAGAATCAACGAAAGGGTCTTAAGGTAGTGTGCAATAAGCACAGGAGTATAAGCACCAATGTTGATTCCTCCACTTTCCCACCATAGATTCACAAGAGGGAAAAAGAAGGTTCTTCCAACAGACTTGTTGAACTGATTGAGAGCGTCTTTTGGTATGAGCGGGCCAGAATGGTTTTCAGGCTTCTTCTTAAGTGACGCAGATACTCGGAGAATACGGCCGCCGGCGAGTTCATCCTTGGCTTCTTCGGAAGCATCGCCCATAAGCTGGTTTTGGATTTGTGCTTGAATAGCCAGGTTACCGTAATCTTCGATTTGTTTCCCTTCTGCTGCCAAGTATTGCTGGTGAAGACCCTCTGGAAGCATTTGCGATGGGAAGTTCTGGGCCTTGTGGCTCAGAGATACGGCTTCATCTTTGTATCCTCTCAATTCCCTTGCAGCAAGTGATAATGTAGAAAGAAGACAAACTCGCTGTTGAAGCGAATAGTCACCTGTGAGAAGTAATTGACAAAGATGAGTAGTGACTGGCGGATAACTAACGACGACAGCAATCATAGCATTGAGTTTTAATGTCTCAAATTCAGCGTCTTCAAAGAAATTTGTCATACCTGCCAATTTACTAAGAAGGTCTTCAGCATAAAATGCAACCTCATCACCGAAGCCCTTCTTTTGCCTTATTAGTGTTGGCGCAGACTTCAATGCAATTTGGATCATCTCGTATGCTTGTGGTGCTTTGGTATCGGTCAGAAGGTAATTAAGCACGTCACGAATATAAAGCGGCAGTTGAACTTTCTGCGCTGTGGACAAAGTAGGATCATCTTCTTCATCACTCATCTGTGCATCATCATTTGCAGTTTCGTTTCGTAGCGACAGCTTGAAAACCTGTTCAAGTTCATCAACATCTGGAGCTGGTGGCTCTATAGTAGGAGCATCGAGCTGCTCCCATGCCTGCTCCAACTCTAGCGTTGGAAGATGGGTAGCTATTTCAGGAAATGCAACGCCCAAAGCCGAGCTACCCATGTTGAATATACGATCATGATCAGCAAATTCACATACTTTATCGGCGAAATAAACCCCTAGACTTCGAACCCTGTCAGATACAGCCTGAAGCCTGGTTGTGATGGCATCAATAAATGGTTTCTGGCCAAGTAGATCCTGAAGAGTCTTCTGCGGCACCAAAGCACACAAACTGACAAGAAGATGGGTACGGAAGCCTTGTGTGACAATAGGCTCGCCCTTCATATGGATAGAATTACCCCAGACCTGTAGAGTCTTGTATACCAAAGAAACATAGTTTGCATCGTCAAGGCCAGCTCTAGCCAAGTACGCAGACAAGGTATTCAATGCATAGCTGGAGCGGCCAATTATCGATTCCATCATGACGCTATCCCACACTGCATGGTCGAAGCAGTAGTTTGTAAGCGTATATAGAGCAGGCACAAGGTCTGGTTTATCACCTCGAAGGTATGCGTTTTGCACGAACTGTAGGAACTTAAGAAGACTGCTTTTCCGCTCAAAACGTTTCATTTCCAGCACGCAACGACGCAAAAAGTCAATATTACCTGGCGAGAACATCGTATCGAAGAACTGGAAAGTGGTATCTTGATTCACGCCCTGTAGCGAATGAACAAGAGTATTGATAAGCTTAGCGTCACATTCGCCATGAACAGAAAGCAATTCATGACAAAGGAAAGCAGCATAGGCGCTCAGGTCTCGGCACACCGTAGGCACATATACGCCAGTAAGTCTATAGTCAGCCTCTCGAAGCACAGCATAGCATTTCCCCTTAAACAACAACCGATCCACTTCCTTCTGCTCAAGCTGTGGTCTCCCCACAAGCAAGTTCCGAAGCAAGCCCAGCAGAAGCACTTTTTCAAGTAGTCTAGTATGACAGTTCACCGCCAGAAGCACGTCCAACAGAAGATCAGCCTTCAGCCGAAGCAACATGTCTATCCTCGAAAGCAAGTTCCCAAGCCCCACCGTCGACCGAAACGCCGTCGCCACCATCTCCTGCGTAGGTGCCGTCAAGTGTCTATACACATCAGGAACAGTGTATTTAAGCAAAGTGATCACCACCTCCAACTGGTCCTTCTGCGATGGAGCGCCATTGTTATACGCCAGCAAAAGCAGTTCAAGCTGCTCGGCCAGCGGCTTCTCCCGTAGCCCCAGCACAATCTGGTCAATGGGAATGTCTGTGTCCATGGCAGAATAGTGGTTGGGTACTGAGAGAGGGCCCATATGGAGGTGAGCATCACCACTGCGAAAGACATAAGTACTACTACTAAGAAAACGTGGTTCTATGAGAGCAGTGCTCAAGAAACAGGCGCTTACCGTGCAGGCGGCGCTTCGGGAGACGCTTGACGCGTACTTTGCCACGACCAGCTTTAACTTTGTCAACCAGGGGTCGGTGGCTGCGTTGAAGCAGGCCATGGAGGCTGTTTACCTTAGGTCAAGGCCTTTGGTGAGTATTGACGTGGAGGCGTTTGAAAAGAGCCCGTCTAAGGTTACCGAGGTGGGGGTTGCCATTTACGATCCAGCACAGCAGCACTTGCTGATCCAGCCGACTATAAAGACGATGCACATCATCATCTTGGAGAATAAGCTGCTTTTGAACTCCCAGTTTGTGCCCAACAACAAGTACGCGTTTAATGGCGGCAGCTCGTATGAGATCTCGATGGAACAGCTGCGTGTGTTTCTTTCGGAGCTTTTTAACCATTACCTTGTGGATTGCTGTGGAAGTTTGGTGGGGCACAATGTGGATGGTGATATATCGTGGATTCGAGGCATGGGCGTGAATTTGAAGAAAACGACTGTCGTGGACACTCTGAAGATCTTTGGGTACTCTAGATCTAGGGGCGGCACGCTTCGTGGCATTCTTAGAACCCTAGGAATCCCACATGCCAATTTGCACAATGCTGCTAACGACGCCTACTACACGCTTCTAGCTTCGTTTGCGCTCTGTGATCCAGCACAACGGAAGCTGTTCAATCTAGATACCCATATGAAGCTCTGGCCGAATCGCCTTCCCAAGAAACAGCAGAATATCGATAAACGGAGGGAGAAGTTCCTGGACAGGGCATTGGTGAACCTGGTTGCGCCGTTATTTGAGGAGTTCATCACCGCAGCACTGGCGTATAACTCTGACGTACAACAGAGAAGTACGCCGTATGATAGAGTGGCCGAGGAGCTTGAGAAGAAGGCAGCAGCTGCTGCCAGGGAAGCTGAGAAGAATGGGAACTTAAGCGGCACAGCTAATGGTACCGCCAACGGCACCGCCAAAGGTTCTGCTTCAAAGAGCGATTCTTCTTCGAAGAGCGATTCTGAGTCTACCAAAAGCGATTCAAAGTGAGAGAGTCTTGGGATGAACGGCTGATAGCGCTTGGGTCTTCCTCAGTCTTCACTCTTTTGGCTCCACAAAGCCAAAGGAGGCGAAGATGGCACGTCCAGACCCATTGAGCCCATTTAATCCAATCATCAACAACTATTCGGCTTTCTCTCGCCATGAAATGAGACCTGATCATCTCCTTCCACCATCCACTGAACAATACCCAAAACACATTCCAACTTACAAAACTCCACTTACAAAAACCAACTAACGACTTCTAGACAAAACACATTTCATCTTCCGTTTGCCTATATAAACAATAGATCATCCCACGTTAAGGCGTGTAGCTTCAAGCCTCGCCTAAGCACCCTTTTCGCACCCAAACTGTAACTCCATCTCCAACTACCTACTTAATTATGGCTCCAAGGTACGTCCCATAAACTCCCCATTCCACCAATTCCAACTCTAACAATAGCTCCAAAACTGCCAGTACAGTGAAGACGGTCAAACGAACCGTGAAAAAAGCAGCCGCAAAGGCTGTGGAACCGACTTTTCAGTACCCTAGGGTAGACTGCAAGTTCAAGTTCGGTGCTCATGTTTCTGTGGCTGGAGGCGTTTCCAAGGCAGTGACCAATGCTATGAACATTGGAGCCAATTCGTTTGCTCTTTTCTTGAAAAACCCTAATCGTTGGGCTGCTCCTGATGTCAAGGAACTGGAGGTTGCTGAGTTCAAGAACCTCTGCGCCAAGTACGGCTACAACCCACGAACAGACGTGTTGCCACATGGATCGTACCTTATAAACATGGCTAATCCAGATGACGAGAAGTCAGAGAAGGCGTACTCGTCGTTTGTGGACGATTTGAAGAGATGTGAGCAGCTTGACATTGGGCTCTATAACTTCCATCCTGGCTCGAGCTTGGACGGTGACCATAAAGCTGCGTTGAAGAAACTAGCTCAGAATATTAATAGAGCCATTGCAGAGACGCTGTTTGTTAAGATTGTCATTGAGAACATGGCTGGACATGGTAATTTGATTGGGTCTAGTCTTCAGGACATTAGGGATGTCATTGACTTGGTGGAGGATAAGTCCAGAGTGGGTGTTTGTGTCGATACGTGTCATTCTTTTGCTGCTGGTTACGATATCAGCGACGAAGCCAAGTTTAAGGAGTTCTGGGAGTCGTACGATAAGATTATTGGGTTCGAGTTTTTGAGCGCTATACATTTGAACGACTCCAAGGCTCCGCTTGGCGCCAATAGAGACTTGCATCAGAAATTGGGCTACGGATTTTTGGGCCTTGAGGCTTTCAGGGTTATTGCCAACGAGCCAAAGATACAGGGTCTCCCTATTATCTTGGAGACCCCGGTGGGTAAAGACGATTCCGTGTATGGAGAGGAAATCAAGCTTTTGGAGTGGTTACAGGATAGAAAACCTACAGATGAGGAGTTTATAAAGAAGCTGGAGGAGCTCAATAAACTTGGGGCTAAGGAGAGAGCCGAACAGTTAAAGAAGTTTGAGGTTAAGACCGCTAAAAAGAAGAGAGCAGCTGACAAGGACATTTCTCTGCTTTTGAGTAAAAAGAAGCTCAAGAAGGAGGATAAGGTTGAGGAGACGACGGCCGTGGAGAGTGCTGATATCAAGGTTGAAGAGGTTAAGAAGGAGGAGAAGGAGTAAGGTAAAACATAGAGGGTTGGTTTTTGTTTGTTAGGTTACGTCAGAGACAGGTGAACGTTTTTTTTAACGGTTAGTAATGACAAATAGATAAGTGATCAAGGCATTCAATGTATATTTCAAGTACTTTTAGTGGTTCATGGTTTGTAGTTATTGGTGGAAATGGCTCGCAGGTATGCATAATTAGAGAAAAAGCATAATATCACAAAAAGTTGAAAACTACTTTTGATCTAAAAAAATCCAAAAAGTCGATAAAACTGACACAATAGGATTAAAACGAAGCTTTTTTAATAGATGGTTTTTCTCTTTCAGATATATACATGTATAGAGCTTTCCATTTAATTGAATTCAACAAAAAAAAAAAAAAAAAATTTGGTGTTTCAAGCCGTTGGAAATGCCAATACACTGTTTGAGCTACATATGCTTGTATTTGACAAGGTGACCCAAACCATGATGCCACTACACAAAAAGAACATAAATACGCCAAAATCAAGGCTAATAAACTACTGTAACAATTCGTGAAAAATAGAAGGAAAAGCCATTGAAAACAGGTTAGTATATATACCATCCGTTACCGTTATAGGACATCTTAAAGCATTCCAACAACCACCAATCAATCCACGCTCCACACCAATCAACACAAAACAAACACTCACCCAATCCACAAAACCCACTCCAAAAACCAAAAACCATCTACCTGCTAAAACACTGAAGTCCACCCCATCTCGTCAAGGCTTCTCTGGTTGCTTGGTTTCGCAGCCATAGCACTTGCACTGACAGTGGCCTACCAAACCACGCCAACGTCCTGAAAAAGCACCAAAAGAAACAGGAACCATAATAAACACCACATCAAAACAGTCACACCTTCAAATCATCACTCCCCACTCCCCAATCATCTGTTGTTTGACCAGATGACCAGAAATCGGGACTGGCGCCACGTGACTTGCATGCGTTCGAGGTAGGAAAACATCAAGAAAAAAAACCCTCTAACTACATAGTCCAAAAGTCTCCTTAAGATCTCCAGCTAATAAACAAGGCAATTGCGATGTTTGGACGGCCAAATTCGGGTTTCGGCGGCTTCAGCAGCACGGCCAACAACTCGTCTTCCCCATTCTCGTCGAACAACAACAACGCCACAACGTCTCCCTTTGGCCAAAGCTCAAACACTGGTGGTGCTTTTGGTTCAGGCACGGGCGGCGGAATGTTTGGCTCAAGCAACAACAACGCCAATACTGGCAATACATCTGCGTTTGGCGGTGGCAACACTTCTGCTTTTGGCAGCAACGCTAATAATACTACTGGAGGAGGTGCGTTTGGATCTTCTAATACTGGGTTTGGCTCTTCGGGCGGATCTGTGTTTGGAGGCGCCAACAACAACAACGCTACACAGAATAATGCTTCTCCTTTTGGAGGCAGCAGTAACACTGGCGGTGGTGCTTTTGGAAGCAGTAACACCGGTGGTGCTGGTGGTGGACTTTTCGGTAGCAGTGCCAACAAGCCGTTTGGCTCAAGCTTTGGTACGCCTCAAAACAACCCAGTTTCGCCATTTGGTGGAGCTGCTACGACGTCTGCTTTTGGAGGAGCCGGTGCTTCTAATGATAACAACGGTACTGCCGTGAAGCCCTTCACGCCTTTCCAGGAGAAGGATACATCTGGAACTAACCTTTACCAGAACGTTTCCAACATGCCTGAGTATAGTAACTTTTCTTTTGAAGAGTTGCGTCTAAAGGATTACGAGCAGGGCAGAAGATACGGCAATGCTGCTGGAGGTGCTGGTTTCGGTGCCACCAACCAACAGCAACAACTGGGAGGTTTCGGTTTCGGTGGTTCTGGCAACACTGGCTCTGCTTTTGGCGGTGGAAACTCTGCTTTCGGCGGTGGAAATACCGGCACTTCTGCGTTTGGACAGAGTAACACGGGTACTTCTGCGTTTGGCCAGAGCTCTGGTGGTTTTGGTCAGAACAACAACAATACCGGTGGAGGCATATTCGGTCAAAGTAACACTGCCAACAACAGTTCTCCATTTGGCGGTGCTAACACAGGAACGTCTGCCTTTGGTAGTGGAGGTGGCTCCGGCGCTTTTGGCGGTGGCTCATCTGCCTTCAACAAACCATCTGGTTTCGGCGGCGGTGGCTCTGCCTTTGGCCAAAACAATGCTAACAACACATCTGGTGGTTTCGGCTCCAGCAATAATAACCAATCTGCTTTTGGTGGTGGAAACACCGGCTCCGCTTTTGGAGCTAGCAATACCAACAACTCTCCATTTGGTGGTGGTAATACCGGTGGCTTAGGTGGCTCTGGCGGTTTCGGATCCAGTAATACCGGAGGTGGTCTTTTCGGTGCTAACAAGCCTGCTACAGGTGGATTTGGAAGCGGCGGTCTGGCTTTCGGTCAAAGCAACAACACAAACACTTCAGGAGGTGGTCTCTTTGGAAGTGGAGGTGGTTCTGCTTTTGGAAAGCCAGCTACTGGCGGTGGCGGTCTTTTTGGCTCCCAGAATAACCAGAACCAGAACCAGAGCTCTGGCTTTGGTCAATCAAACACCGGCGGAGGCGGCCTTTTTGGTCAGAACAACCAAGCTTCTGGTAACACCGGTGGTGGTCTCTTTGGTGGCGCCAATAACAATAATAACCAATCCAACAATACCGGCGGTGGCCTCTTTGGAGGTGCCAATAATCAAAGCTCGGGTGGTGGTCTTTTTGGCAGCAATAACCAGAACAACCAGAGCACAGGTGGTGGCCTCTTCGGTTCCAAGCCTGCGGGACAAACTGGTGGCGGTCTCTTTGGTGGCCAGAACAACGCTGGCTCCACAGGATTTGGTGCAAACCAGAATAACAATACTGCTGGTGGATTTGGTAATAAGCCAGCTCTTGGCGGTGCCGGTGGTGGTGGATTGTTCGGCTCCAGTAATAACGCCTCTACGGGTACTGGAGGTGGTCTTTTCGGCCTGAACAACAACACTCAGAACACTGGAACTGGCGGTGGCCTTTTCGGTGGCAGCAACAACAACACTGCTGGTGGTGCTGCTGGCGGCTCTAATACCTCTGGTGGTCTTTTCAACAAACCTGCTCTGACGTTCGGTGGACTGACTGGAGGTGGTTTGTTCGGTCTGAACAACAATGCTCAGCAAAACAACACCGCAAGTGGGTCGGGTGGTCTCTTCGGAGGCGGATCATTGCTTGGTGGCCAGCAACAGCAACAACAGAACCAGAACCAAAACCAGGGACAACAGAGTCTCGTGAACATTGGTACACAGAATCCATATGGCAACAACAGGTTGTTCCAAAGCATACAAGGCCCAGGCCAGAACGGCAATGGCCAACCGGAAGCGCCAATGGCTGTTGCTATTAACCCACCACCAAAGAAACGTCTCACATTGTTAGCAGCACACAAGGTGGCACCGTTATTTGCACCTGTCAAGAAGGTTTCTGTTGCATCCCCTAGATCAGATAGCGTTGTCACGGTTGACAGCGGCAGAGGCTCCAAGAAATCTGAATTGTTCAATGCCGATGTCGACGCTGCAATCATGTCGTCTGATATCTTTGCACCAAAGAACGACTACAAGAAGTTGGTGTTGAATGGTACCAAGAACTCATTGGTCAAGTACGATGAAAACAAGCCAAGGCCTCAACAGGTCTCCTTCACCGTCAATGGTGAACATAAGCAGATTGAAGACTCAGAAACAACTCAAGCAACGCTAGGACACGAAGAGGTTGACGAAGATGGCTACTACACGTTACCTGCATTGTCTGTGTTGAAGCAGAAGCCGCTTGGCGAGTTGAGAGCCGTGGAAAACTTCAGAGTAGGAAGGAAACACTACGGTGAGTTGAAGTTCCTCAAACCGGTGGACTTGTCGGCATTCAACTTGGATGAAATTTGCGGTAACTTAGTCACCTTCGGACCAAAGAACGTTGTGGTGTACCCAGACGACGATAAGCCCAAGGAAGGCGAGGGCTTCAACATCCCAGCGCAGGTGACGCTAGAAGGATGCTACCCAATCAACAAGAAGACCAAGTTGTCGATCTTGGATCCAAAGGACGAGATTGTCAAGAAGCATATTGAAAAGTTGAAGTCTCTTCCAGATATGACATTCAAGGACTACGAGCCCACCAGTGGAAACTGGACCTTCACATTCGAGCATGTCTAAGCATTACCAAAAAAAGAGTACGAAAAGCATCAATCCAGTTTATAGAAAATATATTTGTCTATATCTTTTGTGGGGTCCCACTGACACGTTCGGCAGGTAACGCCTACACCAACCGCGTTTTTAGACATCATCACCAGAACAGAACCAGTTACATATCATCAATGGGTGTTAAGGGTATGTCTGAAAAAGACCAAAAAAACAACCTATAAATACTAACAGCAGGTCTCAACCAGCTCGTGAAAGAGCACGCGCCTGGCGCTTTCAAAGAGTTCACCATGAAAACCCTCTTTGGCAGAAAAGTGGCCATCGACGCTTCCATGTGCCTTTACCAGTACCTTATTGCTGTTAGACAGCAGGATGGACAACAATTGACATCTGAGGATGGAGAGACTACGTCACATTTACTGGGAATGTTCTATAGAACCGTGAGAATGGTCGAAAACGGTATGAAGCCCATGTACGTGTTTGATGGAAAGCCTCCAGTGTTGAAGGGAGGTGAATTGGAGAAGAGAATGTTGAAGAAACAGGAAGCTTTGAGTAAGCTTGAAGAGATCAAGGAGACAGGTACGGTGGAAGAGCTTCTTAAGCACGAGAAGAGAACAGTGAGAGCGTCGAGACAACAGAACGAGGAGGCCCAGAAGCTCTTGGAGTTGATGGGTATTCCATATATGATTGCTCCCAGTGAAGCTGAAGCACAGTGTGCTGCTCTAGCGAAGGGCGGTAAGGTGTTTGCAGCAGCTTCGGAGGATATGGATACGTTATGTTACGAGCCTCCGTTCCTATTAAGACACTTGACCGTGGCAGAAGCTAGAAAGATGCCTGTGGATCAGATCGAGTACCTGGAGGTGCTCAAGGGCTTGGATATGGACAGATCGACGTTTGTGGATTTGTGTATTTTGCTTGGATGTGACTACTGTGAGACGATCAAGGGTGTTGGTCCAGTGACGGCGTTCAAGCTTATCAAGGAGCACGGCTCGTTGGAGAATATCGTCAAGTGGATTGAAGCCAACCCTGAAAAGACAAAATACAAGATTCCAGAAAACTGGCCTTGGCTGAGGCAAAGGAATTGTTCATGAACCCAGAAATCACCAAGACTGCCAGTGCAGACGAGGTGGATGTGAAGTGGGAGGAGCCTAATGTGGATGGACTTGTGGAGTTTATGGTCCAACAGAAGGGATTCAACGAGGATAGAATCCGTAGTGGAGCTGAAAAGCTCAAAAAGGCATTGAAAGGCGGTACCCAGGGCCGTCTTGACGGATTCTTCACTGTGGTGAAGCTGGCACCAGCCAAAAAAGAGCCGCCGATACCAAGGACAAGGGTAAGGGCAAGAAGAAGGCTAGACGTTAGAATTGGGGTTCCCAATGAGGGTTGCCAACTGTACAAATTGAACCTGATGAAACAAGCTGATATAATCCCCAGCGACGAGAAGTCGATGTGAGAGCACTTAAACCAATAAATAAGCTAATGAAAGGACAATTCTGAATCTGCCAATTCAATTTTGCTATCTCCTACGTTCTTCTGAATGCTTTCCTTACAAGAGTTTAGGCGGTTGCCGTCGTTGGGCAATGCATTTCAAACATTTGTATATTATAAAAGACCCTCTACCGCCTCTTTACTCCTTCGAGCTAGGCTTCTTTTTCTCGGCCTCTGCCTGCTTCTCGGCCTCGATCTCTTCAACGTACTTTGTGATCTCGTCTACAGACAACTCCTCAATCTTGCCGTGGGGCCTCAACACCGAGATCTCGATGTTCTTGGCTCCCGTCTGCACCACCTCCAACAACGACTTCACCGTCAACCTTATAGTCTGCTCGTCGGTCTGGTTCTCTTCATAATTCTTCTCCAAGAACTCCTTCACGGTCTTGGCAGATCTGCCAATGGCATGGGCCTTCCACGCATTGTACACTCCACTAGGTTCTGTCTGGTATAACTTAGGCGTGGTATCGTTGACGTCGAAGCCAGCAATCATCGTGGCGATACCAAACGGTCTGACACCACCAGACTGGGTGTACTTCTGCTGGACACCAGCAACGTATTTGGTCAAGTACTCGATGGAAACCGGGTCCTCCAAGTTCAAACGGTGGGACTGGGCCTCCACACGAGCCTTATCCACCAAAATACGAGCGTCAGCGTTCAATCCAGCGAATGTTAACATGACATGCCCGTCCACTTTACAGATCTTGGAAGGTGTGATTCTAGGGTCTTGTAGTTTCAAAGTCGTTCTCTTTTCACATCCCAAAACAACACACAGGGTGCCCTTGACACCCACTGCAGACATTCCTCGCTTCACAGCCTCGGAAGCATATTCAACCTCTGTTTTTGTTAGTAGATATTCAGTGATAAGTTAAGTGTTTGTCTAGACATACGGAAAACATGGCCGTCAGGGCTGGGGTTAGTATAAACTGGTTAAGCAATTGGGTCGAAGGCGATCAAACGTACGAGAAAATCGATAATGCACTGTCGTAGCCACTCATTGGGGAATAATACGCTACTGGTTATGGATGGTGTGGGAAGTGAGTGGCCATGAGTTTCGCCATTCAGATAGAGCGTACTGCAGGAAGGGCCTATCCAGGTAGAAGCAAAGGGGCACCAACCAGGAGGATCAGGGGGTTTATTGGAGACTAGAAGATACGTTTTAGAATGTGTAGGGGATTACGGTTTTGGTGGATTTCTTGGATTTACGATTGGAGACGTGGTGGGGGAGATGCTAGGGTGCTTGTACGGCTCGCTCACTGATACCACAACAAATCGACACAAGACAGTTGGAAGTGAAAAATAAGGTGTCCAGCAAATGCAGAGAAGCATTTTATATCGAATAGACCACTTTTAATCTACGTTCTAGAGCTTTAATACTGGGGTTTGTCCAAATTTCATCTGAAATCACGTGACTTTCCATGCTCTGCTGAGGTCTCCAAGAGCTCCACCAACGTAAACCTCCAAACCAACCCTCTCTTCTTCATTCGCCGTCCCTTCATCCTTCTAGATCCATGGCCAAAGCTGTAAAGCTACCGAGAGTCAGCAAAGACCACTACGCCCGTACATCGTACCTCTACCAAGCAGCAAATGCCCATCTCCAGAATGGAAACCCAGTGCTAGCTCGAGCCATGGCCCGAAACGTGGACCAGGTGGCCAAACGAACAGTTCTCAAGCTTCTGCCGCATCTAAAGAGAAGTATATGCAAAAAGTGCCATTCCCTTATGCTTCCAGGGCTTACTATGGCCATCTACATGGAAAACGAGCTGAAGAAGAACCTGCCCAAGGCAGACGTGCTAGTGCTAACGTGCAACCAGTGTTCCACGCCCAAACGGTTCCCAATTGGCAAGTGTAGAGACTACGAGTTATTCTGTGACAAACCTGACGTTAAACATGGATGATGTGTCTATATGAACTTGGGCTTGTTGTTGGCCTGGATATGTCTTCTGGGAGGCTGGACCCTGGCGCCAATAAACCCATACTTGAACCCGACTTCATGGGCAAAAATCTCGCCAAACCCAAGCATGATGCCGTTGATAAACGGTAATATCAAGTTGATGGCGCCCTTCTTGAATATACTCCAGATGTTGAAACTCACAACCGTCTGGCCATCTGAGTTATACGTGATTCCCGTCGCCTCAGCCTCTTCTTCTCGGCCTGCCTCGATGATGCTATGTGTCGTCGTGATGTCTTCGTTGCTGACGAGTTCGTCAGATGATAGTTGGGCACTGATGACTGTGACGTCGTTGGCCTCCTGGTCCTCAGTGACGTCGTTTGGACGCGAGGAAGGCAGTTGCTGGTATAAGGACATGTGAAAAGGGGGAAATTGGGAGGTTGGGAGTGGAAAAGGATGGGTTTATTCTGTTGTTTGGTGGGATGCTTAGGAGAAAGAAAGTGGTGATATACTGCCTGGTTAATTACTCAAATGCGCCCTTTGTGCACACTGGGTGCAAAATACTACAATTAAAGTAATCAATATAATATGCATTTCGTTTCTATCATCAAAACATGACAATTAGGCGTTCTTCTTAACACCCACAGACTTGCCGTCCTTCAATCTCTTTTCTGTCAAGGCGGCAATCACAGCAGCACCAACACCAGAACCATCTTCAGCTGGGACGATAATGACAGCGTCCTCCTGGTCCTCAGGCCAGCCGAAGATATCTCTCAAACCCTGGGCAGCTCTCTCCTTGAAGTATGGGTACTTCTCGTAAACGGAACCGTCAGCAGCGGCGTGGGCGGTCTTGTAGCCTCTCTTCTTGCAAACAGCAGCAATACCACACACAGACAATCTAGCAGATCTCTCTCCGAGCAACTCACACAATCTTCTGATAACCTTTCTTTCAGCGACAGTGGTCTTGATACCCAAGTTCTCCTGGAAGAGTTCCTGGACATCAGACAAGTTCTCAAATGGGTCCTCCTCAATACGAGCTGGGAAGGAAGTGTCCATGACGAAAGTCTCATGCAACTTGGACAAGTCCTGGCCTTCGAACATCAACTTCTTGTCCTCGGCCAACTCGAGCAAGATCAATCTCAAGATCTCTCCCAAGTAGTAACCAGAAATCATCTTCTCGAAAGACTGCTGACCAGGTCTTGGCGACTCCTTGTCGATAATGTTGTCGAACTTGGTTCTTGGCAAAACCTTGAGCTCGTTATCGAAAGAACCGTACTCACAGTTGATGGCCATTGGCATGTCAGGGGTGATGTCGTCCTCGAATCTACCCTCCAACTTTGGAATGTCACCAGCACGCTCGTAGTAGGCACCGTTACAACCAGTACCGAAAATACAACCAGCCTTGGTTTCAGCATCAGTGTACATGGAAGCAACCAAAGTACCGGTAGTATCGTTGATCAAGGCAACAACCTCAACAGGAAGACCACGCTTGCCAATAGCTTCTTGCAACATAGGCACAACGTTCTTGCCTTCAACGCCGTCAATGTCCCAACCCTTAGTCCATCTCTGCAAGAAGCCCTCGGTGATGTTATCCTGAGAAGCTGGGTAAGAGAAGGTGAAACCCAAAGGCAATGGCTTGTCCACGCCATCTGGGAAGAACTCCTCAATGAACTTGGACAAGGAATCGGCAATAAACGTCCACAACTCTTCAGAAGTGGCAGTTCTCATGTTCTTTGGCAATGGAAACTTCGACTGGGTGGTGTCGAACTTGTGGTTACCCAACAAGGAAACCAAGACAACTCTCAAGTTGGTTCCACCCAAGTCGATGGCCAAGTAGTTACCGGTTTCCTGACCGGTTGGGTAGTCAAGAACCCAACCTGGAATCATTGGAATGTTACCACCAGCCTTGGACAAACCCTTGGTAAGTTCAGAAACAAAGTGGTCGGAAATCTTGGATAAGGTTTCTCCGGAAACGGTGAAGAGATCTTCCATTCTGTGGATCTCATCGAGCAACTCCTGGGAGACACCGGTGAAGGTACCCTTTCTGTGCTGAGGTGGCTTTGGACCTAATCTGACCATATTGTAGTTTTTTTTTTTTAGCGTTTAGACTTTAAGATATCTGGAAACGAAGAGCAAGCGCCGGAAAATCTCACTGTCTTATATGCGATGAAAAACTCGGGTGCCTAAGGTTCGGAGTGAAATGCGGCGTGTGTATGCAGGACACACAAGGTGATGAAATGGAAAAAACGAAAAAAAAAAAAAAAAGGAAAGTTTTGCTGCAGAATTACTCGAACAACAAGAACTGAAAATTCGTAAAAAGTCATGGAAAGCGGTGGTTTTGGAAAGCAAAAGAAGAAGAAAAAGCAGAAATCGTAGTCCTCTCTCATTTTGATCTTTCCTGAACCCCAAACCCCCCAACTCCACCCCCACTTCTCCATTCTCTGAAATCCTCTCTCCCCCAGCACGTCAGGTGCTTGTAGATTCTGCCATTCCTAACTATCTCCCGCCTTTTCGGATGGCCTCACTCCGCGGCCAGTCGTGGGGTGCGTGTGGGGCCCCGCCTTAACTATTGGCTGGATATGGGCACTTTGAAAGAACGCATGGATCTAGATTGCTGCCGGGTGACGTTCATGGGTTGAACGGGTTGGTGATTCCTGGAAAACGATTGGACGACACGAAGGTGGTGCTGATGATGCTGGGCGAAGTTTTTCCGATTTAGCCGCGACGCTACTGTGATGCTGTCGGTATTTTTTTAGGGGAACTGGCAGCGAGTTGTTCCGAGGCTTGCTGAATGCACGAAGGAACCCAAGAAACCATAACAAACGGTGCAAACAAACACGGCACGATACAGATATGGTAACCCTCCCGAGAGTTTTTCCGGACACTATAGTATAAAGGTTTAAATCTGGGCCACCGGCCTGCCGGTGGCAGCCCAGCCCCTGGCCCCATCCAAACCCTAAACCTCTCACCTGAGCCCACTCACCATAAATCCTTAGTGGTGTCATCAAACTTGGCCATGCTTTTCGCCACAGCAGCCAAATTCTCCCTCACATCATCCACGTAGTCATTAAGCTCATCAAAATCCCTGGTTTCTTCACTGGTGTTCTCCCGTTCGTTGCCAAAGAAAAAATCATGCATTTTCTTCTGTTTTGCCTCATTATCCTTGCGAATAGCCTCTTCCTCCATCCGCTCTACGGGGCCTTGCTCGAGCTGTTCTTTCATTTCTTGCCGGCTCTTTTCGCTGAGTTCGTGGTGCCGGCCCATCACGTCCAAAAGTCGCTGTTGGGCCTCCTTCATTTGCACAAGCTTCTCACTGAAGTCCTCGCTTAGGAACGACCCTCGTTCTTGCACTTCGTGGGCCATTCTTTTCACATCGTCCAACACGTCTATCTGCGTCCAGAGCTTGTCCAGCATCGTCACACTTGCTCTGGCCGTGGAAAGCTGGTCTATGGTTCGAACGCTTTGGTTGTCGAGGTTCAGGTTGATATCGGTGGTGTTGGTCTCGCTTCGGTTGATGTTGCGGTACGGTTTTTGCCGCTGGGACGTGGCAAAAGACGCCATCAGCAGCACCGAATCGTGTACTCCATGACGAGACATTTTAGTTGGTGGTATCTATGAACAGACTTGGTCCTTACTGGCAATGTAGACTCTGGGGAAATCAAGGAGGTACGGGTGCACTGTACCCTCTAACTACTACTCTGCTTCTACTTCTTCATCTACACTTCCATAGTTATGGTACTGGGGCCTCGGGTATGGAAGAAACTCTTATATTTGGACCAGCCGTTTCCAGACAATTACACACCCGTGCTGTTTTTGGACCAGCTCAAGCGGAACACTACCGTGTCGAAGTACCTGTTTCGCAAGCTCTACAATGACTTTAGCTTGGTGGCCTTGTACGCTTCGCTCTTGTTGCTTGTGAATTTGAACTTTTCTGGGATATATTCTGGGTACTGGCAGGCGTATGTTTCGATGGCTTTCGGTACGACAATGGCTGGTGTGGGGCTAATGGCGCTTCCTACTATCCTCAACTCACCTGATGCTGGGGAGAATGTCAAGCTGAACACGGTGATTTTGTTGTTGCTATTGTTGCTTTCGCCGGTACTTCGGTCGTTGACGAAATCCACGTCGTCAGATTCTATCTGGGCGCTTTCTAGTGTGTTGACGTGTTTGAACGTGCTCTGTCATGATTATGCATTGGAAACGTCCCAAAGCTATAGGGCTGTGATATCTACGAATCTAAGCTTTACGAATGGGATTGTGTTGGCTTCACGTCTTCAGCTGTCCATGGACGCTTTTGTGTTTTTGGTGTTTTCAACAGAAGTGTGCATTTTGTTCCCCATGTTTGACCTTCGACTTCGTGAAAAACTGTACACGGCGCATAATACGGTGATGTTTTTCGTTTACGGGATAGTGGGTTCGGTGATTTATGTTATTCATGGTGCCTGGTTCTCGTTGGTGTACTTTCTGGGCGTTGTGTTTGTCCTGTTGTGTCTTCCATGGTACTTTATGTCTTTGCAACGGTACAAGAACGAGCTCCAGGGCCCGTGGGACACCGCCAAGCCGAAGATTAATACCACGAGTTGAGCCAGTGAGGCAGCCTTCAAAGATCAGACATTCAAAGGGTCTTGGGCGTCACATCTCATACATTTGCATGAAGCGGGCCTAATGACACCGCTTTACGAGAAGAAGCATAAACCCTTCTTAATTTCAAGTCCCGCCAAGCATCTGCCCACCACGAACTGTCCCCATATGTTTAATTTCACCATCTCTGCATTACCCCACAAGGCCTATCACTTGGATTTCGGTCAGCCGTTCGACGCTAAACAAGCAATGACATCACTTGAGTGGAAAATACGAGGCAGGGTATGGCATTGCATATTTTAGACCGGCGGCTCCTCATACTTCCGTCCACAGCCGTCCACAGCTGTCCACAACCGTTACATTCCATGTCCAGACAGTCAAAACATACCAAGTCATACAAACCACAAAAAGCATTTTCAGCATTTTCAGCATTCCCATAAACATCACAAAACATCATCAAATTGCCATATCATTCCTTCTTCGTCTTCCCCATCAATGGCAGGCCTAGACTATCACATTCCTACTTGGCTTACCGACCGACATTCACCGTCATCAACCGCCGTCTACCGCTCAAACTCCCATGACGTAATTGAATCATCACGACTCACCATCACCACGTTTTACCCACCGGCACAACCACTTTTTCAGGCCGATAGTCATTATCTGATCCACTGCGCCCTGTTCCTGGAACCGATTCGCAGGACCATACATGACGTCGCACGGCTGCAAACGGCCGAAGAGAAGAACCATAAAAGCGGCCAAAATCCTTTTATTTGTTGATTAACTTATTATTATTACTAAAGATGCCTCCAACTGAAGCCCCTCCTGCTTATACACCAATTTCGAAAAAAGCGTCCTCGGTTATTCCAGACGACCAGCTCTGGGCCCTTAGAGGGTACGATATAGTATATATCGTTGACGATAGCAGTCTGATGGCATGGACAGAGAAGAAACTGGGCATTGTGCCGTGGCCACATGCTCGTGATGCCTTGATGACGCTTTCCAATATTTGTGCTGACTGGGATGAAGATGGTCAGGATATATGGTTTCTCAATAAGAGAGCTCCAGTTTTGGGCGTTTCGCCAGAGCGGATCCAAGAAGAGTTTGATGGCCGTACGCCTTGTGGTGGTACTAACATGGGCAAGACGTTGTTGAATTTGGCCCAGAAGTACTTTGAAGACTATAAGCAAGGGTCGACCAAACCGGTGAATATATTGGCTATAACCGATGGCCAGTTTTCCGATGACGTTGCCAGCGTGGTTAGATGGATTGTCCAGCAATTGGAAACGCTCAATGCGCCGCCAAACCAAATGGGAATCCAGTTTGTTCAGATTGGTGCTGATCCAGCAGCCAAAAAGTGTCTCAAAATGCTCGACGACGATTTGGAAAAGAAAGGCCTTGCAAGAGATATCGTCGACACTGTCCCTTGGGACAACAAAAAGGTTGACGGTGCAAAATTCAGCGGAAAGTACTTGGCCAAGGTTGTGTGTGGAGCCATCAATAAGCGATTAGACGCTGACTCAGGCATGGCCCCAAAGAAGCGCTGGGTGAAACGTATTTTCAACAAGTCTTAGACAGATCCATATTTATGACGACACGAATAGCATGTATTATTTAAAATAAACGATAAAAAGGATATGGAATAGAAAGTAGAAGTAGAAGTAGAAGTTTGCAACCGCCAGGGTCGTGCGCGGCACACCACTTCACCAGTTGTTTTCAATCTAAGCTTCACGCATATACTCAACCCCAACCAACGCCATGGCCAATCCAGCCCCGACAGACCAGAATCCTACAGCCAATCAAAACAGTAGACCGGCTGCTAGGGGCCAACAGCAGTTTACCCAGGCCGACTTGAACCGAATCGTCATGGAGTACCTTAACAAGAAGGGTTTCCATAAGACCGAGGCCATGTTTCGTTTGGAAAGTTCCAATACGGCCACGCCGCTGACGGGATTGCCCAATACGTCCAGTTCGTCTTTTGCTGGTCCTACAGAGATTTCTCTGAGCTACCCAACTGGCGGCAAGCAGACCAAGGCTGATATTGAACTTAAGGAAATGAGAGAACGAGTGGCTCGTACTGAGCGTGAATTGCGTGATTACAAGGATAAAAGCACTTACGAGAGGAAGGAAGAGGAGCTTCGGCTCTTGAAAGAGGAGGAGGAGAAACAGAAACGTGAAAATGATCCAGACATTTACTATAGAGCGTATTCGATTCTCAGAGGCTGGGTGGAGACGTCTTTGGACTTGTATAAGCCTGAGTTGTCTCGGTTCTTGTACCCGCTTTTCATCCATTGCTACTTGGAGCTTGTGTCTAAGAATTTCATCAAACACGCCAAGATCTTTTATGATAAGTTTAAGGATGACCATATGATTCTCCATGGATTGGAGGTGAAGCAGCTTGCGGGAATCTCTTTGCCTGACCACTTGAAGGAGGACTCATTGGCCCAGGCTTACCGTACCAACAAATACAGAATCTTGGTTTCGAAGACCACCATGAACCTTTTACTATATTTTCTTCATGAGAATGAGGCCGTTGGAGGCGCCGTTTTGATCAGAATCATCAACCAGTACCTCAATCCTATAATATCTACAACTAGACCCGATAAGGTGACCCAGGAAGGTGAGGCTGACCCTGCTGAAGGTATCCCTGGCTATATCACCAGCACCAACGAAATCGAAAAGTTCAACGAACAACCTGTCCTGCTTGGTAAGCTACCGTTGGACGAAGACACACAGAAGGAAGTTGAGGCGGAATTAAAGGTCAAGGATGAGACTACCGACCCAGTGGATGGAAAAACGCTTGTAAAGGAGTTTGAAGAGCTTCAAGAACCAGACAAAGATTCTCCAGCAGCAGACTCCATTCCGCTACCTTTGAAAGATGCTTCTGACATCAAAAGAATGATTCTTTCAGTGGAAGACTCTCGCTCAAAGATCAAGTTGGGTGCTCTTCAAGCCAGTGCTCCATCTGTGTGTATGTACACATTCCACAACACCAATAACGACATGACGTGCCTTGAATTTAACGAAGACTCCAACACGGTCGCTGCAGGTTTCCAGGATAGTTTCATTAAATTGTGGAGTCTTGACGGCCGCCCACTTAAGTCTGTGTTCAAAAGAGATGCTAGCAATAATGACAACACCAGAAGACTCGTTGGCCACAGCGGACCAGTTTACGGTATGTCTTTCTCTCCAGACAACAAGTACTTAATTTCTTCTTCGGAGGACAAGACGGCTCGTCTTTGGTCGCTTGATACATACACCGCGTTGGTATCTTACAAAGGACATAACCAACCAGTTTGGGACGTGAAGTTTTCTCCGTTTGGCCATTACTTCGCTACCGCTTCACACGATCAAACGGCTCGTCTTTGGGCCACTGACCATATCTACCCATTGAGAATCTTTGCAGGCCATATTAATGATGTTGATTGCGTGGAGTTCCATCCAAACTCAAACTACGTCTTCACAGGATCTTCAGATAAGACCGCCCGTATGTGGGATGTGCAAACGGGCAATGCTGTTCGTATTTTCATGGGCCACACTGGAGCTGTGAACTGCATGGCCGTGTCGCCAGATGGTAGATGGGTTGCTACGGCAGGTGAAGACACGGTGATTAATATATGGGATGCCGGTTCGGGACGTCGTCTCAAGAGTATGAGAGGCCATGGTCGTTCGTCGATTTATTCATTGGCCTTCTCTCGTGATGGAGGGGTGCTTGTTAGTGGAGCTTCTGACAATACCGTTAGAGTGTGGGACGTTAAGAGAAACACTAATGATGCAGGCCCAACACCGGAACCAATGAATGGCGGTGAGAGCATAAACGGAAGCAGTGTGACATCATCGGCTGGCGCCGACAGTAAGAAGCCCGTTGAGAGGGTAAGCAGAAAGGAGATTGTTGCTACAAGCGACCACATGACAGCGTACTTCACGAAGAAGACGCCCGTGTACAAGGTTCATTTTTCGAGAAGGAACCTTTGTCTTGCTGGCGGATCTCTACAAATCTAAACAAAAAAAGAATCCACGACGACTCGGCAGGGCCAAGCTCTTGACCGTGATCAACAACGCGTATAGGGGAATGACAGGATATTCAAGCCACTAATATGACAGTCACAGGCACAGCATATTTGGCGGCTGTAGAAGGAACAGGAGGAGAGAAAAAGGGGAAGGCCTAAAAGCTGGCTGGTCGATACCAATCATAGCCTGATATCGAAAGATCGACAAAAATAGCAACATGCATACCAAGAACAGGCTTTTGGAGTTTAGTGGAAGTTGCTCCTTATGACGTTTGCCAGAGATCTCTGATGGCTATGTCGTTACTACACAAACACGGGGACACCACAGCCTCTCAGACCACACAAGGAAATGTGCACTTGCACCTCAATCAGGAACCCACATGGCCGTTTCAGCCGCCTGTTGTCTAGAAGGTGAGTTTTTATGCCGTTTTGGGTGTCGTTATTATGAAGTCCTTCTGTCAACCGTCGACTCACTTCCTGTCCACCAAGAGAGGCTTTAAAGCTATCATTCTCCAGGAACCACAGTAGTCCTGGAAGAACAAACCACCACGCCAAGGCAAGAAGGCGTAGTAGTGGCCCCACAAGATGTCTTGGAAATCAAGAAAATTAGACTAACTTTACGGACAAACCTTCCTTCGCTCGTCATTATTCGTTTTTGTGTTCCTGGGCCGCACAGCCAGGGTCCAGGCACAGTGCAGCAAGAGACAAGAAGTAACAAGGCGTAGCCCGACACGATTCACGGTTGGGTTTGCATTGACAGCAGGTAAGTTTTCAGGGGTGCAGCACCATTTTCCTGGAGGGTTAATGGAAGGGCAGTGTTGCTTTTGGGTACCTACATCGCGGTTTGTGGTGGAATGGCTGCAAAGCCTACGAGGTGTGCAAAACACCTCTATAGAAAGAAAGAGTGAACCTGGACATGGACCCACTGCCTCGATAGAGACCACAAAGAAACAGTGGCTATGAGGGCAGCCAGCATCTTGGCTTTTACTTCTTTTTTGTGTGTGGTTGGGAAAGGGAGACTTCGCCGAGTTGGAGATTGGGTATAAATACAGATGAGGTTGCAAGTCCAGTTGAAGTTTATCATCAAAACAGATCTCAATTCAATCTACTACAACGCCTAACGAACAATGCAATACTCCCAACTACTCGCTTTAGCTTCTATTGTCGCTGTCACCACTGCCATTTCCGGTGAAGGTGGTGCTGGTGGTGGCTCTTCTGGTGGAGACTCCTCGTCTGGTGGTTCTTCCGGTGGTTCTTCCGGTGGTTCTTCTGGTGGTTCCGGTGACTCCTCGTCTGGCGGTTCTTCTGGTGGCTCCTCTGGAGGTGACTCTTCTTCAGGTGGCTCTTCTGGTGGTTCTTCTGGAGGTGACTCTTCTTCAGGCGGTTCTTCCGGCGGTTTGGGCGGTTCCTCCGGTAACTCTGGCTCAGACTCTGGTTCTGGCGGTGCTGCTGCTAGTGGTGCTGCTGCCAGCGGTGCTGCTTCTCCATCTGGCAGCGGTTCTTCTGGATCTGGATCTGGTGGATCTGCTGCTTCTGGATCTTCTGACTCCTCAGGCTCTGGTGGATCTGCTGGCGGCTTGTTGGGCAGCTCTTCGGGCTCTGGCTCTTCCGGTTCTGGTTCTTCCGACTCTTCTGAGTCTGGATCCTCCGAGTCTGGCTCTGGCTCTTCTGACTCCCCAGCTTCTGCTTCTCCAAGCAATGGTGCTGGCGCCAAAACTGCTGGCGGTGCTGTTGCCGTTGCTGCCATTGTTGGCAACTTGTTGCTCTAAGTCTATACTTAAGGTGTACTGAATAAACTATGTATCAAGACTGACAGTAGAGAATGCTCCATTACTACCATGCACGGTGATGCTTGCCTCGCCTAAGCGGTATCCGGGGAGACATGCCGGGTCCTTATTCAGGGGAAGGAGGGGGGTTCATTGTGAAAAAAGCCAGGATTCCATAACGGTGGTAACATAGCAATACAACCGCATTGGCGAGAAGATCCAGAAGCTTATCATTACCCCTAATCTTGACGCCCAGAGACTCGCCAAGGCACAACGCCCTGACATCTCGAAGAAGGCAAAAGTATAAAAATGAAGCGTCAGCTGCTAAATATCCTTCTTCTTCTTCTTCCAGACCGCCCCGTTCCTTTTCTTCATTGTAGGCTTTTTCCCAACCTCTTTTTGCACCGCCCAGAAGACGCCTCCCTCCTTCCCCACATTTTTTTTTGTCGGCCTCTGCACGCGACCAATATTCAGTCACTGGCGCCAGGCGTAGATCTCCAAATGGCAGGGCTGACCATACCTTTGTGATACATAAAGTAGCGCTGGTGCTTCGTTCTATGAGGATCTGTTTTTGGTGAAATCCCTTCCCCCCTCTTTTTGCAACCTGTCTCGCAAAATGATCTGTCTTTGTGCATAGGAGCATGCCTAAAGAAGAAAGTAGTCCTGTCGCGCACTGCATATAGGCCAAACCCTCACCATGATCTTGCCTTTTCTGGCAATATGATGGATCCCACCTGCTCTGACGTTCGGCACAGATCGTCTGGGTTGCATATTTTCGTCACATTGCCTCTCCAGAAGAAAGAAAAAAAAAATTCTAAGGCGCAGACTTTCCCCTCCACGGATATAAATACCGACTGTGTTCCCTCTTTTTTTCAGAACCAACAAAAAAGTTCTTTTCCTTTTCCAAACATTATAATGAAGTTCTCCTCCGTCGCTAGCGTGGTTGCCCTTGCCGCTTCCGGTGCCAAAGCCGCCGCCAACTCTGAAGAAGTTGACTTTTTGACCAAGTTGGTTAGTGATTATGACGACAACAAGAAACAGTACCTTAACTTTGCTAAGACTGCCACAGACATGCCAAAGGACCTCACAAAGTTGGCCTTGGCTGTCAACACATACAAGGACGACTCATACACCACCCTTTTGGAGGACTCTGACATTGACGTTTCCTCCTTGATGAACTATGCTTCTGAGTTGCCATGGTACTCGAGACTTGAAAAGGGCGCCTCTGCCTCGGGCTCTGGCTCTTCTGGTTCTTCTGGAAGCACCAGCGCCGGTGGAGCTGGCTCTGCCCTTGTTGCCCCTGTTGGTGCTGCCCTCGGTGCCGTTGCCCTTGCCTTGATGTAAAATAACAGTATATACCCCACACTTTCACACACACAAACTCACACAAAGCCTTAATGCATTTTTATTAAGTATCGCTGGCCTCCTGGGCCTTGTAAGAAGCTGTCATGAATAAGAGAAGACTTTTGAGGTTCCATAGTAGGTTATCCACGCTCTCTGATGGCATGGTTAAGTGTATTTTACCATCGTGGTAAAGCTGCAAATAGAGATTTGAAGCTGCGCTCATTAGCGTGACCAAGTTTCGGTTAAGAAGATAAAGCCCTTGTTCGAACTTTAAGTTCTTGAGCTGCTTCCGGCCCGCACGGTCCGTGGTTTTCTCTGTATGTCTCACATCAAAGTATAAAGGGTAGATGACCTTGACAGATTTACTGTTCCCGCCAGAAGGTGCCAGAAGATGATCGACCAACGTGCTGCGGCTGCCAAAGTACTTCATTGTGTAGTTGAGCAGCACTCCAAGGATATCAGCAAGAATGAGCATCGTAGCCACTATGTATGAGAGCCCTGCGTTGACCTTATCTATTGTTGTAGGGAGTTCAGCATGCGAATACTCTTCTGACTCAGAATGTAGTTGTTTGGTTGGATTGTAACATACCTCGAGGAGGTCTTTTGTGGAGCTGGGGAATTCGGTTCCCAAGATAGAGAATTTCCCAGCGCCAGTCCGTGGTTCTATATGGAACGCCTCGGCTATAACCCCGCCAACGGCTTTCAAAGAGACAATGAGCTCGGGGTAAATGGCTGCACTGAGCGATTCATGAATAGGATCAATCTGTGAGGTTACATATTCGAGTTGGCCCTCACAGAGATCTTTAAACGGTGGGAAATGGTCTTCTAGCGCACGATTAAGGTTCCCAATCAACACTTTTCTTTCGTAGACTTTCGAACTGAGCGTATCGTTGTTGTTGCGCTGCTTGTTAATGTACCGATGCAAATTATGGATTCTGAACTTTAGGGCTCTGGAAACCTCAGGATCGTGCTGGGAAACCTTCCCCTTGATAGAATCCAAAACGCCATCGATCTGCTGTGAAAGCTTAATATTCAGCAACGTCAATTCCTTGATCCCCGTATCTAGGCTTGTCAAGTGCCGTATATCGTCCATAGTATACGACTGTTTAGGTACATTTCTACCTCTAGTCACAGAAGTCCTTCTATCCGACTGCATTACCCTCTTATCCCTAACGTTCTCAGGCAACGTATACTCCTTCTCGTCAAAACACCAAACAATGCTATTTTCTATCAAACTCTCGTCGTCTAACTCTCGGAACGGCTTGCGAAGCATCACCAACCTTCGTAGATCCACCACCGCTTCATAATACAAGATCCACGAGTCCTGCGTTTCCGTCTTATACCACAATTTTACCACCACATGGAAAAGCTGCAGTGGGAGACGTGGAAGAGTCACTTTCCCAAACGATAGTGTAGAAGTTGTGAATACCGTTTCGCTCACGTATAGAGGCTCCATTTGTGGAGTGTGCAACGAGTAAAAAACATGGCGTAGCTGGCCGTCCATATCTTCATGGACGAAATCATGGAAACCCACGAGGGTGAGTTCTTTTAGCAGGATCAGTAGAGTCATTGAGCCGTCATGGGTGTGTTGGTAGTGATGCGTGGAGAAGATGGAGAGATAAGCTTTGGCAGGTGGTTAAGTATGGGTGCACGGGTGTAGATATGGAGGTGGTCGTAGTACTTGGGTAGGGAATGGTTGCAGAGGCAGGGAGAGGATGAATTTAGAGTCAAATGAGGTGGGAGAAACAGGAAAAGGTGTTTATATACTGGTTTAGTGGATGGTGGTGCTGTTGAATGGGACTTATGGGCTCTATGGTGTATTCAGATATGCCTAGGTATTTCGGGAAGTAGTCTCGAATACTGAATTTTAAGGAAATATCCAAACTATTTGGACCTTCAGGAATATGCTGGATATCTTACTTTTCTCCTGACATGTCTGGCTCCCCGGATGTCTATGGGTCTCTGGAATGGTTGCAAAAGTGCGGTTGAAGCAATGAACGAACAGACCATCCAAACTGCCCCACAAGCTGACAAATACAATCAAACTAAACTAATGGAAATCATGGCACCCAAATATGCCAACCCAATCCTCCCTTTCTCTTATCGACGCTTGGATCTCTTGAAAAACCGTATATTTCGAACCATATCACGTGACTTTCCCCATATTCGTCCCCACTAAGCCTTCCATCAACCAAACCAAACCACGTCTTCCCTACTCCACGTTCCATGCTCTTATAATGCCCAACTTCGTCTTCAGTCTTGCTCATTTCTGCGAGATCCACGGACCTTCCATCGTCATATGCACCCAGCAAAGCCGGCTGGACCTGAGCAACGCCTCTTCATCCAAGCTCCAGTCGTGTGCTCTGTGTGAACTAATACTACCGAACGAAGCGGTAAACCTAGCCAGTTCGGTTAACGAAGACGAAAAGTATATATCTACGCGGTACCCGTCGTCACAGAGCGTTTATACAGCCTATGTCAAGCTCGTGATGAAACTGTTATCTGTGGAGACATCAGCAGATTCACTGAAACCAGTGTTCTTTGGAGATGTGGTGAATGGGTTCTGTATGAGCCGAGTGTTCAAAATTCAGGATGTGAATTCTAGAGGCGGTGAACGAAAGTATGCTCTTGTCATGGGCTGTGACGAGGAGCTGCACCTTCTACGAAACTGGGATGTGGTGAGTACTTATATGAGCGAGATCATTCTGTCTATACAACGGCAGGTGGAGAAGCATTTGGCTCACGAAGCTGAGCAGCTGAATAATGTGGATAACGAGAGGTACTTGAGGAGATCGAAAATTAGACCGAAATCGCTAGTGGAGTTGACCAACGACGCCCAGATCTTTGTGAGGTTCCATCTCTGGGCGATCGAGTTGTTGAGAGACGTTGTGAGTTGAAAGGAGCAGGAGAGGAAGAGGAGGAGAAGAGGTCTTTGGAGGGAAAGAGAGGAAGTTTTGGCGACGAGGATGCTGTTTAGGGCAGGAAAGAACGATTATGGTGGCCTAGGACCACCAAAAGCTGGTCAAAACAGCCAAAAGAGGTACCTGATGGATAATTCCAACGTTATTAACTTAGAAACGTCGTGATACTGCCACTGGAACATCTTACTGCTACGTCCTTTGGGTATTCTCTGACTGCCCATACCTCTATTACTTCTACCACCAACAGGAAAGAAAAGACTTCCAAAACAGCAAAAGTATATAATAGATTTCACATAGCAAGAAAGTCAAATAAAAATCACATTGTCTTCCACTTCTTCCTCCTACTTCTCATACTTAACTACTGCTGGTGCGCATAGCTGCAAAATCATCACCACATACTCCATGTTCTTCCTACGATCCGTCACGTTTGTAGCTAAACGGACATGGTGGAGGCTCTGGTCGCTTCTACTTGCCCTTTTCGGTAACTCTACTTCTCCAGAAGCCTCTGCTGCCTTGTTGGTGGTGATTTGCCTTATCAATACCTTCACTGGTGTGTCCAACATGGAATACCCAAAGGTTTACACGCCCATTGACATGAAACACTACTTGGCCAACCGTAGTCCATTAATTGAACAGTCTTTTATACCATGGCCGCTTTTGGGGGATTCTAATGTGTTTAGCAAGCAGTATAAGCAGCTCTCCATGGAATATGATCCAAGACTACTACCGGCACTTTGGATCAAGAGCATTGTTTCTTCGTTGGACGAGACTTCGTTTGATCTGGGCTTGAAATTGCCCTTTAGATGGGTATCTGCATTGGACTTACAACCAGGACTACGATATAAAGATATAGGATCAGTGGGAAGCTGTAGTGAGTTCCAAGAGGCATTGGGGATCAAGAAGTCAGAAGGTGTTTGTGAACAGGTGGCTCAGACGTCTCCAGATCTACCAAAATATAGCATTGTGGGTCCCACAGACGAGCCGCTTCTGGAATTTGCCAGACGGTACGTGGGAGCCAACTATTTATTGTACAATTTGCATTTACCCAGAAGGATTGTTCTTTTGGGAGTTGGACCAGGGGAGAACGATAGACTGCTGGTTGTGGTTCCAATTGATGGAGAGGATGAGGGGCCAGCTTTTGAAAAATCAGATTTGGAGGTTTTGGCTGGGCATGTCAAGGATAGTGATGTGAAATGGGTTCTGTTAAAGGAGCAGGCTTCACGATTGAAGAGTAGATGGAGCTGTTTGAATGTACCTCGTCTAGATGATGAAGATCCACAGTATGAATCGTTCAGGTTTGTCAAGAGAGCTTTGCCTGAGGAGCTAGATATAACAGAGTTCCAGAACCAGCCGTTGGTCTTTTCTGATGACCTTGACGGTCAATTGACACTGAACATTCAGTCAGTGAACGAAGAAGAGAAGTACTTTCATGAAGCAAGAATCCTTGGAAGCAGCAAAGGAAGTCACTATGACTGGCGGTTCTTTAAAAAGACCACCTACTCGCCATATGAACGAACAGCGGTTTTGCACAGACTCACGAAAGCATGGCTCAGGTTTGCAAATGACGCCGGCCTTAGAACATGGCTAGCTCATGGAACTCTTCTTGGATGGTACTGGAACGGGCTCAACATGCCATGGGACGACGATCTAGACGTGCAAATGTCCATGAAGAGTCTTCATTCTCTTGCACGAAACTATAACCAGTCTATCGTGGTTGACCTTAACGACGAAGAACCAACAGGCCATATGTACTTCGTTGACGTGAACCCCAATTTTTATAAGCGAGAGAAGGGCAACGGCGCTAATGTTATTGATGCTCGGTTCATTGACGTATCGTCTGGATTATATGTGGATATCACTGGGTTAGGTGTTTCTGATGACATTGAGAACGTCCAAAACTCTCCAGGAACCAGGCAAAACTCGCATCTTCACCGGATCTTCAATCCAGAATATGAAGAAGCGTCTAAACTGTTTAAAGATGCACCTGGGCTCCAAGAGTCAGTCGAACTCGAATTGAGGAATATGGAGATCGAGCAGTGGAACGCTGGCCGTTTATATAACTGCAAAGATGACCATTTCTTTCTTCACGAGGAGCTCAAGCCTGAAAAAGCGTGGTTCGAAGGCGTGGAGGCGTATGTTCCCACTGAGTATATGAAAATTCTCAAACGAGAGTACTCTCGAGGCACAAGAGCCAAGCAGCATAAAGGATGGCGGTTCTCCCAGGCTTTCGGGCTCTGGATTCCCATTTCCGAATGTGGCAAAGCGGCCCTAGGCTGTGACAAGGAAGAATGGATCCTTGAAGAGGAATACACCAGGCATATCCGTCAAACGCCTCGAAACCGGAACCCACCAACCGCTGGCCCCTCCAAAGTCGATCCATGGCTTATCCAGCACAACCAGCAGCTCCTAAAAATCACCAACTAGCCCCTAAAGATCATCAACTGACTCCCCAGGCTTCACAAGCGCATCTCTTCCTCCCTTACTCAAGTCAGTGCCCCATCGGCTCACCGGCCACATCAACAGCACCACTTTACCCACAACAAGCCCCAGACTGATCGCTCCAAACGTATTAGAGTCGATTGAGTGGAACGCATTATCTCCCTCCACCCACAAATGGTTTCTACCCACCCTCGTCGCCTTTTGTCTGGGGTACTCAGGTCTAGGGTTGATCAAGTCGCCCTGAACACCCACTATACGCTTTGTCATAAGCTTTTCAGGGTCCAACGGCAGTCTGAACATGACAATGTCGCCCCTTTTCAAGCCGCCCTTCTTCCGTAGCATGAACTTCCTCACTAGCACAACGTCTTTGGCAGTTGTTTCCGTTCCTGGATTGAACGTGGGCGTCATGGAACTTCCCGAGATCTGGCACGGCGAGTACCCATAATCCATAGCCGTATAAAGCACAGGGAACCACAGAAGTGTCACTAGCGCCGTCTTGATGGTCTGGCGCATTGGGGGGAGGCTAGATGTCACTTCTAAGTGTATGGTTACTTAAGAGGCTGCGAAATTTCCAACATCGCACTACTCACCTACCACCTTCTTTTCCTAACCAAGGTACCACCCAATTCAAACAACATGTCGGGATCGCTAGACCAGATGATGGTTGAGGACATTGCACGGAATTGCCCCGAGCAGTTTCTTGCGTTTCACAAGTGCATGTCCAAACCGCCCTCGGAGGCTGATTGCTTGTTGGAGCAAGAGAACTTGAGCAGATGCGTCAAGACCAAGGTGCCGCTTTTCCAGAAGATCCAGAATACCTGTGCTGGCAAGCTTCAGGGGTACGAGGCGTGCTTGCGTTTGAACGGCGGCGATCCGAAAAAGTGTCAGAGCGACCTTGACACGCTAAGAGCATGTGCACTGAGCGTTGCGGGCCAGTAGCATGTAATATTAATATACACCGGTTCGTTTTCATTTTTGGTATCTCTCCCTCTCTTTTATCTCCCTCTCCTCTGTCTTTCCTATTTCGCCAAGTACTTCTGGGGAACGTTGTGAATCTTCACTGGACTGGCAAAGTCCTTTGCTATCTTCCTGATGTCAGGATCGTTCCCGTGGGTGCCCTCGATCTCGTGGGCATGGTGCAAGAGCTCGTGCTCGATATCTTCCTTGTGCTTGATGTGGACGTCTGGGTCCTGGTTCTTGTGGTACTTGTTCCAGTGATGGTTCTCATATTCACTCTCAAAGTCCATATGGTGGCCTGGACCGTACCCAAAGTCTGGCAACTCGTCCTTGCGCTCCACAAACTTCTTCCACTCCTCCAAAGTGATGGTTCCATCGTTGTTGGAGTCCAAAAGCGCCATCACCACATTCTTAACTTGAGCCTTGGCTTCTGGCGACACTTTCTCTTCCTGGGCATGTTCCCCCATACCACTGCCATCGCCAACAACCTCGTCACGGGTCAATCCGTAAACATACAAAACGTCGTCAACCGTCCAGTAGCCTTTGTTCTCTAGATCGTGCATTTTGAAGAAACTCACTGCATCGAAACCGTCCATCTGGTGTTCTTCCTTCATGTGCCATTCTTGCCAGGTCATTCCTGGCGGTCTAACGGGGACTTCATGGCTGCCATGAGATCCATGAGCGAGAGCCACGCTTATTAGGAGAAATAATGAAGCAAACATGGCAGACACGGCGTTGGCCAGATCTACCGAGATGCTGCTTTTCAGTCGTTGATTCGAGCTGAGGTCACGTGAAACATAACAACCAACAGCAAGCTAATGGGATTTCAAGGGGACAAAATTTGGGGAAAACAAATGGAATCAAAGGATGAAACTACCTTCAAGTCTTTTGGATGGTTTCTATGTGTTTGTTTAGACGGGCGTAGAGGGATTGTCTTGGGGTGAGGTGTATCTGGATGGATGAAGAACCGGCGAACCGAAACACCTCCCAATTCCAGGTCAAATCAACTCCACAGAGCGAAAACCATAGATGAAACCAATTGTATTCTTTCTCCATATCTTGAGGTGCTGTTGGTGCTTTGAACAGCTGCCTTAGGCAACCACTTTTGGCTGCGAAACAGCCAGCCTTGCATCGACCAACAACAACCCTCCAAATTGAAGAACCACCTCAGCCAATAAAACCTCCTCTCTTTTCTCCATACATCCACCTTCTCAAGCCTCTAGAAGCCAGGGGAACCGTACATTCCCCAGATTTCAACTGGCCGCACGTGACTTTCTCCACGATTCAGCCACCCCAATAAATCCCAGTGCACGAGGTCTCTTACTCCATCAACACTTGATGGCCCAATCTACCAACCCCAATTTGCCTGTGAAAGCTGCTCACTCACGTGTGGGAAGAGAGCACCAGCGGTATAATCCAGAAAATGGCGCTCGCATGGTCGCAGGATGTATATGTCTTGAAGAGTCCAAAGAGAAGGTGATCATGATTCTGTCTTCTGCTCATAAGGGCCAATGGGTGTTTCCTAAAGGGGGGATTGAAATTGATGAAGGAGATGATTTTGTCATCACGGCAGCTCGTGAAACATGGGAAGAGGCTGGCTGTGAAGGACGTATTCTTAAGAAGTTGCCTGTTGTGTATGATACACGAGGAGCCAAAGCGCCAGTGTTGAAACAAGGAGAAGATTTTGATCCTCTTAAGGTGATACCGAAGCTGGAGTTCCATTTTTACGAGATGTTGGTGGAGCAACTTAGCCCGGAGTGGCCTGAGGCTGCCAAGAGAGAACGAAGGTGGTGCACGTATAGCGAAGCCAAACATGAGCTTCTCAAGGGGAAAAGGGCCGAGTTGGTCACAGCTCTTGACGCTTCGTGCATTGTCAAAGACAGCGAAGAGTTTTAAAGGTGCCCAAGAATGATTTTTCTGTTGATTATTTGAATAGACTGCCCATCATGTTGGCAAGCATGTTGCCGCCGCCAGAGGTGTTGCCCAACTTCAAGTTGAAGAACAAGCGGCCAAGATAGTCCATCGGGTTGATAAGACCTTGCTGGCTGATCAATGGCTTGTAGTTGGAGTATAACTTCATGAACTTATCGCCAGCGTCCGATTTGTCGAGAGTGATGGCCAACAACTGCAAGAAGTTCAAGAGCTTGGACAGCTCAAAGAAGAACAATTTCTGGCCTTCTTCCTGGAGTTCCTCGACGTTCTCCTTTTCAGCAGCAAGGTACCTTGCCAAAAAGAGATTAATCGCAGTATGGACGAACTTGACATTCTTCAAGTACGCATAGTTGACCACAGCTCTGCTCAAGTACAAGCCCGGGTCGCCGCCCAGAGTCTCGTACCATTTATACAAAAAGTCAATGTAAGCAGGCAAAGACTCGTAAGTGCCCAAAACAAGGTGCAATTCAGCCACCGTAAAGAACTTATGTTTCTCTTCTTCACTAGGCTGAGCAGCAGAAGCGTTAAGCAACTTAACGCCAAACACATGATGCAAATGGGAGTCGCCGAAAATCGACTTCACCTCTCCAAAGTTAATCGACCACTGTAGAGCACGTTTCGACAAGTCGCCCAACGAAGGGTCTGTATCTGGAAGTAACGACACCAACTCAATGATCTTTGTTCTATACTGTCTAGCATCGCCAGCGCCAGAGCATGGCGTGTTGCTCTCCTCATACACCAGAATCAAGTACACAATAAGATCACTGGCAGAAGCATACTCCTTGTTCTTAGCCAATATCGTCAGGCCCTGGTACAACAAGTCAATGGCACTGCTGTACTGCTTGGACTTGACGTATCTGTTTGTGATAGTTCTGAGGGTCTGATGGGCCTCGTAGAAGTCCTTATTATCGATTCTCAGCTGGAACCTGGCTATAGTTTTTTGTAGTTTATCAGACATGCTTTGTGGTGGAGTGGTAGTAGTGAGGTAGATTATTTATGAGATCCGCACAGGACGAGGTGGAGGGAGGAGAGGGAGAGGAAGAAGTGGTGGAAAAAGGTGAACAGAAGGGAGGAAACGGAGGGTATTTATACTTTGGGTTGGTGGAAAGAGGGGTTGATTTTTGGGAGTTTTTGGGTACGGGAAGGTGGTCTGGTTGGGAGAGTTGGGAGTTGGTGGAGGGTGCTAGTAGTGGATATGAAGGGTGGAAGTGGAGGAGGAAGAAGAGAGGGAGAGGAAAGAAATGGGGGTAGTTTATGTTTATTTTGGTGATTAAAAAAGTATATGAATTATCAGATTTGGGTTGGTTTGATTGGTTACTTCAAAAGATGGTACTTCCATTCACTGGTTCTATATGACCATTCACTGGTACCAGGTAACCATGTATCCCCAATATACCAATTATAAAAAAGACTAAATTAACTTCAGTTTCAAATCCAGCAAATTCTATCTTTTTTAATAACAGGATCAAGTATTTGGAATCCGGTTGTTAGTCGTGTGTCGTTATTCACCTACCTTTATTGGCCTCTATCTACTGAATCCACCACCTCAATTCCTACCCTAACCAACTATATTCCTTCTACAACTCTCTTTACTAAACTATCTAAATTTCCCTATAAACAACTTCCCTTCCTCTACACCCAGGCGTTCATTCTGTTCCTCATTTCAACCAAAAGACCCAGATCCTTCACCAGGGTAACAGGCTCCTTATTCTTTTTCTTCACCACAACCAGAACAGTACTGGTAATTCTGTTTTCAATCAAAATCGTCAATCTCTTCTTGGATTTTACTCGTTCCATCCACGAATAAGCATGTATGATTGAAGGATTGTTAAGAATAAGGTTACAGTCTCGAGAGAACTTAAGCGTACGTTCTCTGGACATAATGAACGAAAAGTCAATTCCAAGGATCTCTGCAACTCTTATACTCTTTTTGGTATTTTCCAAGATCATGAAGAATATGGCGCCGAGGTTCTTGTGCTTCCCTTGGAAGGCCAGGGCGTACTTGGACCATGTAGACGAAGAGAACTGTTTATCGTAGTCCTCGACGCCTCGAGGGTTTTTCCAGTTAGGCGAAATCAAGTTCCTAAATGGCGTATCGACTTTTGGTTTTGCAGACGAAACTCTAAACACTTCCAAGGCTGGAATCGCCAACTCTTCACCCATACCCTCCATTTCTTGTCTCATCTTCGCCACATGCTTCCTATCGAATTTCTTATGGTCATAAACGATCGTAAAAGAACGAAGTCTCTCCAAAGGAGCTAGTTTAACGAGGAAAGAAAGATCCCTAGCTTCCACGGTCAATGTGCTCAAACACTGGAAACCATCAAACGAAAGTGGTTGGTTCTTATAGTCATAAAGACGAAGATCGCGTGAAAGCAAGCGGCACAAGGGCTCGATATTATCCAACATTTCATAAGATTTAGACTGAGACAGTGGCTTGTCACGAACCACAAGTGGAATGGCTGAATAGAGAAAAGCGTTTCCTTGTTTGCGTAGAGTGGAACAAGTAAGTGAAAGGTTGACCACGGCTTCCAAGCCGCCTTCAAGGAAAGCGAAGAAGAGGATTCTGTCGATGATACTTTCAGGCAATTCTGTAAAAATCATTTGATGTTTTAAAGTAAGTAGTAAAAGTGGGTTTCTTGGGTTTGTGAAATGGCTGCGAAAAGCACCAACTGGTTAAGCATGCCCACCATGGAGGTCTCTTTGGTTGATTTTCAATCATAAATCCACTTAACCAAATCCTTTCTTCCATCTGGCTCCCTCGCATTTTCAAAACCTTCCTTTCTTCCACATCTTCAGCACCCCTTCTCTTCCCGGCGTATAATGCTTAAACTGTACACCAAACGTCCACCATTTCCACACCTCCCAACCTCAAAACAATCAAAAAACACCCCATTCCACTCCGAATCCTCCCAATTACCTAAAAACATATCCCCAAATCCAAATACACCCTCCACACCCTCCGTTGGACTTCTCTCTCTCGGAGTCAGCAAGTCGGACCTGCACACAGCACACCAAACCTGGAACCGCCGGGGCCAACCGTCTTTCAACCTTTAGATCCTACTACTCATCTATAAACCACCCACCAACAATGAGACAGTCTGTGGCCTTATTGAAGCACGTTCCTCTTATAAAGTTTGTTGGAGGTCCCCACGCCCACTGTATGTACAAATAGTCTTTTATCACGAAGCCTACTAACATTAGCTGCCCCATCTAGCAAACCTCAACCACATCCATGTGCTCCAGATGGAAGATTACCCAAAGAGGTGAGCGCCTCAAGCAGTGGTTCTGCTCCTCTTAAGCCTATTGAGCTTAAGGAAGGTGAGGTGCTTTTGAGATGTGAGTTGTCGAAGAGATTCAGGTACAAGCCTCCTAGTGCTGCTGAGGTTGACCAGGTCGACAGCGGTGGAGCCGAGCTTGTGTTTTAGGAGGAAGACTTCTTGAAATGTGAGTTTTGCGGTGGTCTGCTGCAAATGCATAGTGAATAAACGATAGATTCGGAGAGTCTGTAGGTGGGGCTGGGTGTGATTGGAGTGGAATTGGAGTGGAGTGGGAGGATGAGGAAGAAGGATATGCTGTTTTGGTGAAGGAATTGACGTTGGGTGATGAACTAATGGAAAATGTGGGAGGAAGTCGGTGGAAAAAGTAATTTTGTTTTGTTGACGTTGGAACGGTTGGCTGTTGGTAATTGGTCAAGGTTAGGTGGGAAGTGGAGGCCTTAGGAATGTCAGTTACCGGTTTCAATGATGAATTAAAAATGAATTGGATAATCAGGATGACGAAGAGTGGCCATTTGCTGTAATTCATCGTTAAAATGGTCATAGTTGGTTGAACTGGATACTGTTCAATGCCTGATGAACAATTGGTAACGAAGTCAATGACAAAGTCCATCTAATAACCATTCCAACATCTCCATCTGGACAGCTTCTGTTCGGTAATTGGGCCAATGAAAGCATACTTTTAAATCTCCAGTCACCAATAATGAACCATTAAGGGCTCTTTTGGCCAGTAGTATCCATGAAACACCTTTCTTCATTCTCTTGCTGCACTTTATCAATTCTTCCCTTTTTTTGGTTTCTGTAACTTTGCATTTCATTCAAAATCAAATCTTCAAATTTTTAAGAAAATATATATATAAAGAAAATAGATCTCTTTATTCACACAAATCATAGAAATACTCACCTTCTTATGGCATTTCGCAACCATTCTGGTTCCACACCCATATACCAAAAATCAGCCATACAAAGCCAACTTCTGAAAACCCCCACAAACAAACCAAAACAGCCCAAGAAACAAATAAATTACACCAAGCTTCAAAAAACCACCCTTTTGGGGTCCCATTAATGGAGGATTCGTGTTGGGGAGGTTGCCTGAGGTACGGGTGTGAACTGAAGATAATGCCTCGCCACCACTACATCTACAACGACAACCCACTCAATACTACTTCCCATCCACACATCATGAACCACGACCCTTTTGCATGGGGCAGACCACGTGATGACGTCTACGGCGCCTACAACCATGCCATTGCTGGCGCTAGCACAAAGGAAGCTTCGGAAATCCCAACTTCTCACACGCAACAACCTATAATCACCGGTACTTCTGTCTTGGGACTCAAGTTCAAGAACGGTGTGGCACTTGCTGCCGATAATATGGGCTCTTACGGGTCGCTTCTTAGATTCAGCAATCTTGAAAGGTTGATCAGAGTGGGCGAGGAGACCATTGTGGGTATTTCAGGTGACATTTCTGACTTGCAACATATTGAGCGTCTTTTGCACCAATTGGAGACTGACGAAGAGGTTTACGATAGTGACGGTGGCCACAAGTTGCGTGCTCCACATGTTCATGAATACTTGACCAGGCTCTTGTACAACAGAAGGCTGAAGATGGACCCCTTGTGGAACGCCATCATTGTTGCCGGCTTCAACGATGACAGAACACCATTTATGAGATACGTTGACCTTTTGGGTGTTGCGTACGGCGCCCTGGCTCTTGCCACCGGGTTTGGCTCTCACCTTGCTATTCCATTGTTGAGAAAGTTGGTGCCATACGACCTGGACTTTGAAAAGGTTGCTGAGGAAGACGCCCGTGAAGCTATAGTCAATTCCATGAGAGTGCTTTATTACAGAGATGCTCGTGCAGGCGACAAATTTTCGTTTGTGGTGTTGACGTTTGACGAAGGCAAGGTTGACGTGAAGTTTGAAAAGGGAGTCAAGGTGGACAACCAGAGCTGGAAGTTCGCCGAGAACATCATTGGCTACGGCAGCAAACAGCTATAGATGAATGAAACGATAAAGTGAAGGTACTGTAGGTGTAGACGGTGGATTGATGGACAGTGGGTAAATTTGGCTGATACGATAGCATAATGGCTTACAAGAACCAGAAGCCGAGTGGCAACAAACAATCCATCAGCAACGGCCCGAACTCCCAAGTAAACATCCCAACCCCGACTGCTGATCTATCTACACTTGTATGTTACATTTCTGGAGCGTCGCCCTTATCAAAATCCAATAACATCTATTCTAACAATAAAAAAACAAAGCCATAACGGCGATTTCCGATTCCAAGCACCCTTCTTCCCCCGAATCCTCTCCTGGACCTTCTCTTGGCTCTCTAGATCAACGAATCACATCATGACAATCACTGAGACTCACAATACGTTCCTTGCAGCTTCTGGTTACGAAGCACAGACAGACACGCAGGGCCAACACAATAGGCTCGGCAATGACCGAAGCATAGAAAAGATCCAAAGAACATAATATTATGGTCTTTTTTCCTTTGACATAAACGATGGCAGTGGTACGGCTGGCGTTTTGCAGCCATTAAACCCACACACCAACACCACCAGCCATTCCCCATAAAAACCTACCACCAAAAGCTTACCAGAAGAAAAGTACCATCCAGCAAGTCATTTCCAAAGATTAGCCACAAAATGGACCGATGATCAGAGCCTGCTTGGTTTGGATAAGTCGTATTTCCACCTTCTGCACAGTTCTCACCGCCAACAAGACACCAACAAACAACCCCAAGCTTCCAAATTCCATGCAAACGACGTTTCTAGAACCCTTCAAGCCGTCCAAAATCACAATCTACCTTTCCATCCCGCCAAACCAGCAACCCATCGAGTTTCCCCATTTTGCACCCAATAACCTCCATGTGAATACCACCCAATGCGATCGACACTGCAACTTCCCGGGGAGCAACGCCGATCAAGCAAAAGTCCAAGAAACCATAAAGGTCTAACGAGAACCGGCGCTATCCAACATGGAAAATCATCTTCATATTTTCTTCCATATCGCCAGTACAACAAGGCTGGTCTAAAACCACCGTCCTGCACACTGGCCTCTGTCACCTTGGCCTGTCAAGCTCGTCTATGTGGGTTACTACTTCCACCACACCACTGATGTCTTTCGATATCACCTTCTTGGGAGCTTCAGGAGGACCCATAGAGTCCAGCACGTGCTCCTTGTTGATAAAACCACACAATGTTGATTATAGTACCGTGCTGGCTGCCAACCTGCCGCTTTTGCAAGTGGATGCTGGTTCTGGTAGTTTACTGTTGGCTGAGCTTATAGCTGATAAGGAGAGCCCGTCTCGGTTGCTTCGGTTGTATGAAGATTCTGATGAGTTAGACGCTTATGTGGCGCTCCAGCCATGTTATCCTTTTGCTTCGGTCTCTGGCAATCCCTTCCATAGCCTGAAGAGGATCATGCTGTGCGTCCCCACAATTCTAGTTACACATCCCCATCTCGACCACATAGCGGCGTTGGTGCTTAACCTGGCGGAGGCTGACTTTGCAAAGAACAAAGCTACCGTGTATGCGTCGAAATTCACGGCGCAGACGCTTCAGGAGAATATCTTCAATGGGAAGATATGGCCTGATATGGTGTCTTTGGGCACCATTGGCATGTCTCGAGTGGAGCCAAAGGAGCCGTTTCTGACAAATAACGGGGCATATACTATCACAATGTTCGATCTTCAGCATGGCGTCACGAAAACAGACGAGGGAACGGTCCCTTACTTGTCTCTGGCGTACCTCATCCATCATATTTCATCAAACGCTAGGCTTTTGGTGTTTGGAGACTTTGAGGCTGATGCTGTGCTGGGAAAAGAGCTAAATCGCCAGATTTGGTTTAAAGTGGCGCCGTTTGTCGCTGACGGCTCGTTAAAAGCTATAGTGCTTGAATGCTCTATGGCCTCACAAGAACCTCCTGTTGAACTCTATGGCCATTTGATGCCTGAGCATCTAATAGGCGAACTAGAAGTGTTTCTGTCGTTCTGCTCATCGCCCCTAGACGGCTTCAATGTCATTGTAACGCATGTTAAAGATACCCCTGGTGGGCTGGATCCCCGAAGGTTGGTGTTGAAGGAGCTCCAAACGCTAGCAGCACAAAGCAAGCTAGGAGTCCGTTTTTCCATGGCTCTAAGCGGTCTTTCTCTCACAATATAGGGCCCTCAAAGGCCATTAGCATCAAATACATCCGGGTCAGCGTCTCACTGTCCCTTACGGTTCAGACTCTCCTTGGTAACGTTTTTATTCTTTGTACTTCTTCTACCCGTTTACTGGACCGTGTACAGCTCAGTAACAACATTCAGATGCAAAGTGAATGGCAACGAAGCCTCGTCCTCATCCACCGTGGTGACATCCAACACCTGCACTTGTCCAAAGGCAACATCTGCTTCCGTAACACCTTCTGTTCTGTGAATGTCGATACCCACCAGAATTGGGAACAATGCATCTTCGTCCACAGCTGGAATCGAGAACTCGAAAGTGCCCAGTGGGTCGCTAAGTGGGATCAGCGACAATTCAAACACAACGCCAGACTCGGTGTTCGTGTAGCTCACCAGCGCTCCCGATTCGTCTTTTAGTTGCACGTCGTCCAGATCTATAGGTACAATAATTTGCACATTATCAATGCTTTCTTGCGTTGGATGCGAGGAAATGTAGCTTTCTGGAATTTCGTATTCCAATGTCACATCGGCAACACCGTCGTTTACACCAACCCAAGCAGTCACCAAAAGTGGCACCAAATTGTCACCACTGTTATCAGATGCTCTCCAACGCAACACACCCAAGCTCTGATCGTTGCTTGGGAAAGACTTGGCCTTGTCCTTCAAGCCGATTACGCTCTGGCTATTGAACAATGCCCTGTCGACATTAGGATGTGTTTTGTACTGGAATGTCTGACCGGAGCCAGTTTTTAATAGGATCTTTGCCTTTGCAAGCAGTGGGTCGTTGATACGCAATTGCAAGTCACCCTTGACTTCAGAAGTAACAACAGAACCTTCACGAGAAATGTCTGCGGTAATCTTTTCAGAAACTGTGATTAAGATGCCCTCATTTTGTGGCTTTCCGCCCTGAGGAGCTGGCGAAGCAGTGGCAGAAGCAGCTTCTGAAGGAATAGCAGGAGAGGCAGTAGCAGCAACTCTAGAGGCAGCAGAAGCAGGAGTAGATTCCTTACCAGCAGGCTTCACAAGGTCAGAAACCAAAGAACCACCGGCAAACGGCGTGTTGGTGGTGAGCAATGGCTGGGAGTGAGGATCGTGCTGAGCAACCTTTCCAGCCTTCTTACCCAACTGCAAACCAGCACCACCAGCGGCACCGGCAGCACCCAATTTTCTCGACAACAAGTCGTTGGTGCCTCTGCCAGAGTCGGTTTCGACGTGAGCAGGCGAATCGTAAGATGGTGTATTGTTTGTAGGATATCCATAAGTGACATTATTAGCAGCAGCGGCAGCAGCGGCAGCAGACTGAGAGCCAAACATCGCCAGCTGTTGCTGTTCCATATTCTTACGAGCCAACTCCTTACGCTGGATCTCCTTGGCACGTCTTCTGCGCTCTTCAATGGCCTCCAACTCCTTGTTTCTCTCAATGATCTCCTGGATCTTCTCTTCGTGCGAGTCCATCTCCAAGTACGTCTGCACCTGTGACAAGGTGAGCTTCTCCTTGTAGCCCAAAGTAGCGATTTCATCAAAAGCAGATAAAATTTCAAAAGCGTTTTCAAGCAATTCCTTCTCGTCAATGCTTCTCACCACATTGGACACCACAGACACAAAAGGTGCAACGTGTCAATGTCTTGCAAAATGTTCAGCTGTTTGTTGGTCAATACAACAACGTAAAACTCTTCCAATGGCTGGTACACGTATCTGACGGATTCGTCTTCGACGGTGGTGTTTTGAGAATCGGACTGGGAAAGAAGGCCGGGGAAATTGGCCAAGAGGGCGGTGATTCTGTCTTTATCGATATGTCTAAACAGTCTGGAAAGGAGCGCTTTACCGCCATGGGTACATATACAAGCAGCCAAAACGACCATGATGAAGGGAGGATTGAAGGTAGCTTGGTTATGGTGATTTGGATATTTCAACTAGTGTTTTTTTGACACGCACCAAATCGCCGGCGTGCGGGGCTCAAAAGTATGTTAGTTTTCGCGGGTACCGGTTTGCGTCATACCCGCTGCTATGTATAGTCTATTTGCAGCCATTTATTCATTGGCTTGAACTGGAGTAGCTTCGATTTCGTCAATCACTTCGTTGGCTTGAAGCAAATCTGAACCACTCTGGTGCTCGTCGCTAGCACGCTGACTAGCCTTATTCTTTTCCTGCTTCAACTTCTCCATCTCTCGCTCAATCTCAGAAAGCAACACGTCGTAGCTGCAATTCTTTGATCTTACACGGGCCTCTCGAAGGTATCTCTCGGCTTCACGGTAAGTGCCCAAGTGGAGATGTACCACACCTAATCCATATGTTGCAATTGCCGCAGTCTGGTCCATGGAATCGTTTTTGAGTTCAGCCGGCATTTTCTTCCAAGCGGTGACGATCGTGTCGTATGTGGAAATGACTAGCGATTGCAAACGTTTAATCGATTCTAATATCACATCGTTGACTTGCTTCTCCTCATTGGTCATATACTTGGTAGCCTGAGATCGAAGCTGACGGATATCTTTCTTGGAAAGCTCGTCCTTGTCCAAAACGTCTGATCTTTCAATGACGTGTCTTTGATGAATGAGAAGCTCTCCTTCTCTCTTCTCCATCAACATGTAGAGCATAGAGGCCACATTACACTGTGAAAGCATAATCCTGTCCTGACTCATATTGGCCTGGATCATGTCCTCGGTCATTAACATTCTTGCCCAGAGTCCAGTTTCAATGTCGTTGAGCTGAATGGAAATCACAGCCAAGAGATCACACACGCCAAAGTACTCCTCCGCAAATGGAAAGAAAGCATCTGGATTACTTTCATTAAGGGTCTTACCCTGAAGTTCTTTGAACTCTTCCTTGCCTTCAGTAGCGGCAGCTATCAAATCACCGGCCATTTTCAGCTTTGCTTCATCATTTGCAATGATCAAATTGGTTATAAGGAATGCCTTGGCGAACCCTGGAGATCCATCCATGAATTGACACGCCTTCAAAGCTGTACGCAAACTTCTCTGAATCAAACGACCTCTATGAGCCTTATTCTTCACCTTCTTGGCAAGATCCGAGCCTGGTGGTGCTGTAAGCACAGAAACATAGTAGGTGTTGAGCTCAGTAAGAAGAAGACTAGCATCCTCGTTCATGCCCAAACGCTCATACATCTCGGCGATTTTAAGCTGGATACCCGTATACTCATCACTCAACGTATCCATATCCAAACTATCACACTCTTGAAGAGCCTCAATGTAGTACTTCAATGCTAGCGACCAATCGGCATTTCCCTTATTGGATTCAGCCCAAAGACCCTTTCTAAGGATCTTCGCCACCAGTTTAGGAAACGTATGCTTAGGCCAAAAGTAGTAGTATGCAAATGTGCTGACAGTAACAAATGCTATAGCAAAGTAAAGCAGCTTCTTAAACCTCGAAGGCTTGTACGCCTGTTGAATGTAAGGGTACTGGTTGTACAATCTGGACTGAGCCAAACGGAATTGTGGAGCACGAATGCTAAGCCTAGGCGCTATACCTGGCCTTAATTGCCTAGACTGGGCCTTTAGCGTTCTGGCAAGCATATAACAGTAATAGGATATGGATTGGTGGAGAGTGGGAAGATTGGTAGATAGTGTGAAAGTATGGGAGGTACGGGTGTAAGTACGGTTTGCAAGTGGACTACCTTGAAAGTGGCTGCGAAAAAAAAATAGAGTATGGGAGCAAGTAGGAAGAGGTAGGGTAGTTGGGGAAGGAGAGGCTTACAGTAAGGGATGTGGTAGATGTGGAGAGATTTGAGGATATTGATGTGTTTCAGATTTGGAACTCGTGTTTCACAATTTCCACTTTTTTTATGTGTTGACTGTGGTTTTTTGGTTGTAAGGTGGGTGGAATGGGTAGGTGAGGGAGGTGGCTAGTGGTGGACCAGAGGAAGGAGGGCTTTTTGAGTTGAAGAGATGGATGGAGGGATTTGGGGATTGGGATTGGGATCCTGGGGTTTTTGGAAATTTTTTTATTTTTGGGGAGGTGGAAACGGGAAGGTCATGGATCGGTGGTGGTCTGATGGCTTCTGGGTTGACTTTGTGCTGGTAGGAGATATCTGCTCTTTCTGGAGTGAAAATGGGATAATTTCCTTAGTTGGAAGTTTTTAGGTTTTTTGTTTCTTGTTTTGGAGTCCAGGAAGGAGGGATGATTGAATATAACCGTTGATTCACTGGGATAGCTCTAGGAGCAGAAGTATAATCACGAACAATCCTCATTTTGGGAAGATAAACTCATAGAAGTTATGAGTTGATAGAATATAGCTTAATAAGTTATTTGTTTTTGAATCAATTGAATCTTTGTGGGTTGAGAATTGATTAAAATGATAGAAATTGTGGTACAGATTATTATAGTCCTTTGATTTAATGCTAATCCCATTAACCTCCCAGAAAGCATTGAGTTCCCCAGTGAATTCCTCAGCAAGGGATACTCAATGATAAAAGCCAACTGCCCTCTAAATAGTCCAATTCTTGTTATTCATTGAAACAATTATGGGCAGTGAGGTGGACGATCCAACAATATCCTGGTTCTATCTGTTAAACCATTAATTGGGCATTTTTAGATTGACCCAGACAAACCGTTAATTGACACAATAACAACCCATACTTTCCCCTCAAACCAATTAAATCACAAACTGCCTTCATCATCCATATCCACCGTTCTCTGACGGTCTCGATCTTTCGAGTGCCAGTTTGGACTTCCACAAAGCACACTGATCGATTTGGTTACACTAACTCTTCATTTCTTCATATTTCTTTTTTTGTAAAATTTTTTTCTGCTTCCACAGCTACATATAACGTTCATTCTTTTCGTGTGGCTGTTCAAGCCACATGTACAACCTTCATTCTCATGTTGCATTACAAAAAGAGAGCTAGAAGCCTTGCAATGACATATCGAACTAAGCCACAAGAAACACATGTCTTCTAGAAGACCAATACATGGATTGAAAAAAATAAGGCAAGAAAAAGAAAGACCGAGGTCGCTTACGCTAGCCGGCTATGAAAAAGAACATTGAGCTCAACAAACCCTGAAAAAAAAGGAAAGAAAATAAATGGAGCGAACGTGAATTTCGTGATGCAGCCGAATGGTCAAGAATAAATACACCCATCCCCTAATCTAGAACATAACCAGGGATAAATACCAAAGCAGCATATGGACCGCGGTAAAGTTTGTAACCACCATAACCATTCCCCCTCTTTATTAAAAGATATCTCGAAACCAGGTTTGAGTCGATTGGGAAAGGTTTGGAGAATGTAGAACAATAAGCTGGCCACAGCGTATCAGTGAAAATACGAAAACAGCATAGAAAGCAGAGAAACCTTAAATTAAAAAGTGATCCAAGGATAGGGGAAAACCCTTGGGATTGAGGCATTTGATGGAGTAGCACAAGCCTAAAAGAACATTCCCGGGTGGGTGGATTGTGCAGAAACGTATTCGGCTAAAGTGCCAATCCCTTTCCGTATATGAAGAAACGGTCCGCATCATGAAAATGCAGCCTACGCCGACTAAGAACGAAAGATAGCGAGAAAAAGAAACATGGCACAAAAGCACTGGACGAAGACAATTGCACATCCTGTGGCCGTGATTTATCTATATCGGCGGCGGCAGAGAAGGATTGAAGATGGTTCGTAGCTACAGATGCCCATAGATGTAGAGATTTGCCAGGTAGATTAAAGAATGCTTCAAACAGAGCCCACCTCGAGAACCAAACCGTAGGCGAGATTGCTGAGAAAAGGGTGGGAGAACATAACCACAGCAGCAAAATGCATACTCGTATTGCAAAGGGAGACCGAGGGTAGAGGGAGTCACAGGAGCAAGAAATTGCGAGAAGCAACACTAGCGGACAATGCTAGCCGCCTCATAACCAGAATAGCCAAAGGCAGGGTCTGAAGATCAGAGGGCTCGCTTAGACCTTGCGTGACAAAGAAGATAGTATAGGCAAGGCTGGGAAGACATGGGTAGAAACAAAGAGGGCAAGGAGAAGCGAAGGACTTCTGAAAAAGTTTTCTTAGCAGGCCAAAGGGCGAAAAGTTTTGGTAACGTTACAATGCAAATGGTCCAGGCTACCAGTGAAAAAAAAAAAAAAAAATCACCACCCTGTAGACCGTAGCACAGAAGCCAGCACCACGTTGCAAACACAACCGCACGCGACCGGGGCACAGCACCAGCGCATGGTAGCTTTGTTGTTTTTTGACAATGGAAGAGGTATAGGTACCGTTTGGCAGTTGTAAGGAGGAGCTGCCTTGCGGTGGGCAGTGACCGCTATTGTTGGGCAGACAATGCTTGCCAGGTAGCGACGGTTTGCAACACGGTAGCAACGTTGCATACACAAGTCCGGAGGGAGGGAGGGAGGGAGGGAGAGAAGAAGTGGTGGGAGAGATTGTAGAGACGAAGGTCAATCAGCTAATCCAAATGTTGCAACCTGCTTAAAAACCACCGGTTCAAGTATCACCAAACCTGAAACCACTTATGAAACATGGCATGAAAGGCTGAAGCGCGGGTGGCTGAGACTTCTCTAGCAGCGTTCTCACGCAGGGCGCATCTGGACAAGGCCAAAATCACAGATAGAGTTTGAGAATGGGGAGAGGCAGAGCAAAGAGAAAGTAGTAGCGGTTGAAGGTGGAGGAAATGGGGCAAGCACGGGGCAAGCGGCGTGGGGGCAGCCCATCTTCTGAAACAGCTCGTTGTAACAGAAAGTAGGGATAAGTCCAACGTAAAACACCATGTTTCCAGAGTCACCAGCCTCGAACAAAATGTAACAGGCAAAAGCTCGTGCAGAGCGCAACAGTTACGAATGCAAAGGGACAATCCACACAAAGAGAGGAGGTACATTAGGGAAAGCAGCAGAAAGAAGAAGAAAAAAAAAAAAAAAGTAGCATAACCAGGGAAAAACAGCAAAAAAGCAAACTTTAGCCGAGGTGTCGCCGAAGAAGGAACATACGACGGAGAGAAGGATGTGGCAAAGAAAGCAGGCCCGTGGTGTAAATTGGGTAATGTAGATTGCTTATGTTCATGTCAAGTGGAGGGGTGTTCTCTAGGCAACCTCAGCTACAGCCACAAAGAAGGAAATGCTTCTGGCTTGGCTGCAAAAGAAAGAAAACAAGCGGAAAAAGTGGACAAAGCTATCAATCTTCGTTTACAAGAAGCCACCTGAGAGAAAGAAAACCCAACAAAGAGCCATTGAGGGAAACAAAGACGGAATAAAAGGTGAACAAAAAAGCATATGGCATTGGCCGCACCGGAAAAGGCCTGGTTTTTCCAGCGGAGTTGGAGGTGCTTCTGAATTATATGGGCGTTTGAATCGATGAATCTTTTTTTAATTCTTCTGTTTGTTTGTGTTACTGTCGAAGTGAGCCCTGGTCCTTTCCAGACCCTGCGGCAGCACACAAAAGTCACAATCAGATAAAGCGCCAGGCGTTACCCGCGGAAGACTGTTCGAGTTTCGAGGGCTCGAGGCGCTGCTGGAGGTGGTAAAGTTTGACCGGTTTTGAGAAGAGTCGTGGTTTTGATATGGCCGAGGTGGGTAATTCTCTGGTTTGTAGAATGGTTAGATGTGGGTTATTGGCGAGTCAGGAAGGAGAAGGGAGGAGAAGCGTGGTTGGGAGCAGCAGGCTTGGAATGAGGAGGAATGGACGATAAGAAATAGGAGGCAAACGGAGCCACAGCGGATTGGGGAGGAAGCGAAACGCCTGTTTGGGTCGATGAAACCTCGATTTTATTCGAGGCTGAAGAAATAGTCTATCAAGTACAATTGGGCGGCCAGGAGGGCAGAACCAAAGTCTAGGAATGTCTTGGGACATGGATTGTATGTGGATTGGTTATTCTGACTGCTTGGCGTAGGGCAAAACGGTGGTTTTTTGGGTTCCCCAAATGGAGGGCACCGATATAAACAACCACAAACCCAACCGATTGCCGCCAAAATTTGCATGTCAAGCCAATTCGCCTTCAAAATGACTAGGATGCCAAAATTGACCCGTTTTTCTTGACATCGTCGCCACAGTAATCCAACCTTCAACCGTCTATTTCCGTTTCGCAGCCAGAACAGATCGACCTTCAGCAGATCCACCTCCTCCCAAGCCACATACTGCCAATGAATATCTCAGATCTCAGATACCAAATCTTAAATGATACTCAGAAACAGAATCTATATCTTCAATTACTCCCAGCCAGCTTCATTACTTGGTCTATACTAAGGGCAGCCAGACCTGCGTAGAGCCTCCCATCGCTAAACCACCCCATCTTGAATCGTCAACCTTAAACCTACTCCAACATCAGTCTGTTTCAGTATCTGGTATGTCAAACATCATCAACGTGTTCAACCCGCCTCCTTCTAGGCCCCTTAGCGACGAAGAGTGCTTGCCGTGTACGGCCGTGCAGCTGGTGGCGTGTCTTGGTGGAGGAGGGTACTTTTTGCTGCTGCTTCCCTTCAAAGGGAAGAACGGCGTGGTGGACTTGAGAAAACACCCAGTTTGGTTTCAGCGTGGTGTTCGTGGAGTGGGCATTGGTCTTGTGGCTTTGGGAATGTACCGGTTCGGCGAGGTGGTGCAGATTTACAGTAAGAGGAAGTGGCTCTAAGGAAGAAAACGGGCTGAAGAAAACGTTAAACTCAGGGATCGGTGGGACACTGGATGTGGGACCTCTAAGGTTGATGCCTGGGGCTAATTAGGAGCCCAGCGCAGAAGACAGAATGGATCTGCCTGGGGAAGACTTTATCGATTGTAATTAAGGTTTGGAAGGTGACACGGGCTCAGCTCGAGGTAGTCTCTCGAGGGATGACGGCTGAAGGTGTTGAGTGTCGATGCTGTTTATGGTGGGACCCGAGTTGCTTGGAGGGTTCGTTCAAATAGTGATAATGGGACTTGTACATATGGACTGGGCTGGCCATATCTGTAGGGAGCAAGCACAATTGACAAGGCAGATACGCAAATGGACTTAAGAAAGAATAGGCTAAAAAGACTGGGGCTAGCATTGGCAGAGGGGGGATGCTTATAATATAAGGTTTAGCCAATATTCCGTTGGCGAATAAGATATGGGACATCTTTTGGGTCAGGCATTGCCGAGTCAATGGAACAAATTAGGATAAAGAAGGAGTGGGTATGCAGATGAAGTACGAGAATGATCGGAGGATCTTCAGATGTTGTTGTTCCAGATTATAGTTTTGATGAAGGGTTTTGGTGATATTTTTTTGAAAACACCCTAGAAGTACCCATGGCTACCAATTGCCAACAAATCAGGCTCCCCGAAAATCCATCCGTGACCCAAACAAGTGATTTTTTTTTTCTTCCTACTTAACAACGGCCACGGAATTGCTAGGACCAGAATTCCAACTTGGCAGACCTCCACCCATTCGCAGCTTGATATGGGAAGTTCTAACCGCCAGGCAACAAAGGAGAGAAAAAGCAGGCAATGCCGACCCAGATTACGAGGAGAGAGAGAGAGAGAGAGAGAGAGAGAGCAAATAATACTTGACAGAAGCAGAGGCAAAGCTGGACTTTGAACTAAAAGCTTCTTAAAAGCAACATCGCTTAAAGTTTGAAAAAACGAATTTCTGCTCAGAGAGTTAAATGAGACAAACAGAAAAAAAAAAAAAATCATACACAAAAAAGATCCCATGGAGACACCGAAAGACCCTGAATCACACTGACGCTTCTTGTACAGTGAAAGTCAGATTGAACGAACAAACCGAAAAGAAAAAGAGTCAAGTGTCAGTACCACATGAAAAAAAAAAAAAAAAACAGACTTTGGTGACTAAAGATGAAACATGGAAACAAAAAACGACGTCTAAAGGTAAAAAGTGATTTTGTGGCTAGACCAGCAGCAACAGCCCAATACGGGTTCGACAGGGTCCTCTCTCGCCTTGGAGAGAAATTCTAGCAACGGTACATTTTTCTTTCCTTCTTAGTTGTGTCTGCCACTGGTTAAGGGCAATTGGCCAAATGCAAGCAGACCTCCACATATGCACGAATCTGCGAGGGTGCATGAGCGCAGCATGTGGTTCGGCAGGGCCTCAGTGCTGCCGTGCACCACCGGGGGTAGAACAATAGAAGGTTGGTGGGGAGACCAAAGCACAGCTTAAGAAAGCGACAAAGTAATAGGATGCTCCCAGTAGACATGAGCATGTTAGTGTCACTTTCTTGGGGTACGTTGGCATGGGGCACCCCGGAACTCCAAAATGCGAACGCAGCGACCAAATCCGAGGGTTCTACCTGCACTCCCTGCATCACAGAATACATACAGACGCACAACCCACAGCTCACAGCTTACAGATATCGCAGTGCCGGCGGATAAGATGCTCTGTCTTTAAGTCGTTTTTTTTTTTTTTTTGATTTTTTTTTTTTTTCTTCTCCAAGTCTCTGTATCTCTGTATATCTCTGACCCATTTAAAGAAGCCGTCTCCCCCTGGCCCCAGCACCTTTTTTTGTTTTTGGTCCATCACGAATAACAGGGACCCGAATCCCGGGACACATATCCATATCCATTGAACCTCCAGCCAATTGACATAAACACGAAACAACAAAATCACAAAACCCTCAGATCAAGATAAGCACCAGAACCTTCACTTCCCCTCAACGCCCCATACCTCTTCCCTCCTTTTGAACTCATGGATCACTTCGCGGTGGAAACCCTAGACCACATGAAACAAGGCGTGTTTCAGGGCCAGGAGTACCAGCCCATCGACAAGTACTACGCCAACGACGGCTCCAACGCAACCCAACCTCAACCCACGCCCCATCCACAGCTCCAGCAGCACCACCAACTCCCCCAATCCGTCCCTTCTCACCAAAATATCCAAAACACCCTATCCATGGCTGCAGGCCCAGGCAACCCTCCCTCCAGCCTTCCTCTTCCGCCACACCTCCAGAACCCTCAGCCTGGCAGTCTAGCTGCCCCCAATGGGCCTGGCGCCCTTACTGGTCATGGCGGTCCTGGCGGTCCCGCTGGAGGTCCTGGAGGTCCTGGAGGCCCCGGAGGCCCTGGTTTCTTCCCTTCGTACCCTATGCAGATGCCCTTCTCTGGTAATGTCGACGACCCGCGCTGCGTTCCTCAAGACGCTATGTCACTGGTCAGAGACTTGCAAAACAACAGAATGAGAGGTCTATACGCCTACCCGAGTGGGTACGTGCCTCAGTTGAAGCAGCTGTTTAACGAGCCCAGTCTGAGTCACGCCAGCAGTCACAGTGCTGCGTCGTCGCTGCTGCCGGGAACTGGTGGTCAGCCTGGTGGACAGCCTTCTGGGTCATCGGGTTCTTTAGACTTTAGTCCGACAACCAGAACAAAGAAAGAGGATCATGGGCTTGTGCTGTTGATTCCGCCTCTTCACGTGCAAGAGAAGAACGCCAGGAAGGAGGATGTGGAAAATAGAGAGCATGCCATCACCACCAGATGCCTGAGGTGCAAGAAAGACTTTGTTCAGAGCTTTGTCAAGGGCAAAAACGGCAGCAAGGACCTGGAGCCCAAGATCTACAAGTTGTGCCATCACTGTAGGGATCTCCAGAGACAGAGATCTCGCCGCTGGCAGAAGAAAACAAAGGATAAACAGGGTGCTTGTCGGCGATGCGGAGGCACCATCTCGGAAGAGGAACAGAACTATGTGCTTTGCCCGCAGTGTAGGGAGAGTCTACGGCTACGAAAGGCCAATAGGGCTGCTCAGGGCAAGTGTGTGCACTGTCTGGGCCCGATAGGTGCTCTGATCATGGGCGACGGCACTGGCGACCGCCGGGCGCTGTCTGGGCTGTTTAAGGTGTGCCAGCGGTGCCGAGAGAATGATAAAATCAGGCGAACCAATCTTGAACGGATGGGTAACTGTAATCGTTGTGCCAAAGCGTTGGACCCGTCTCAGCAAGGTAAACATAAAGTGTGCACTTCGTGCCGTCAAAAGAAGAAGAAGGGAGCTTCATCGTTGTCGCCTTCTGAGCCTTCTAGCGATTCAAACACTTTATCGATGCCTGATTCTATGGGCGCCCCTCCTGTGAACTTTGTTCCCGCCGGCCAGGCTGCCATGATGGGACTGATGGGTCAAATGGGCCAGCAAATGGGCCAGAGCCTGATGAGCAACCCGTTGGGCCAGAGCCTGATGAGCCAGTACCCAATGAACCACATGAATCAGATGGGCCAGATGGGCCAGGACTACTATGCCCAGTTCAACCAACCAATGGTCCAACACTTGCCCCAGCCCATGGGCATGTCACAGAACCAGGACCAGCAGAATCTGCAACAGCTGCAATTCTCTGCCCGTGGCCGTCTTCAATAGACACGGCACGGTCTTAAGTTAGCATAATAGCGTGCCAGAACACTAATCCAAAAGAATAATGCAGCTTTGTCTGGCCAAGAGCGAGAATGTGATGGCCATTGTCGGAAAAGTGGACGTGAAGTCCGAATGGAAAAGGCTCAATGATCGTCCTATTCAACAGTTTAGCGATGGAATTGGTCGGACACGAGCCTGTTGTTTCGATGAGACTGGTGTGTTTAAGTTGCTGCCGTTTATTTATCGTTCTATCGCTTTAATGTAATGTAATCTAAGCATCAGCCAAGTATAGTAGAAACGTGGGCCCAAGTAAAGAAGTTGTAGGTAATTGAAATGACTATATTTGTTAGACTTTGTGCTGTTAGGTTCTTCTGTTAGTCAGACTGCTCATGTCTTCTTAGGCATACACCATTTATTTATATAGGAACCACAGCTAGACAAAAAGCCACCACTACTAGCCCCAATAGTAAAACCCCAAAGCGTCCACTTCACCTCTCCCTCTTCCAAATCACCTTCCTTCTTCCCTCTTCCCTCGTCCTTTACCCAACCCATATCCACCAGTCACATCCATCAACCCTGACCACCCTTTACCACTCTCCAACCTAACCTGAACCAATCAAATACCTCCCTGGGCAGCCACACCTGCCCTTCTTATCTCCCGAACCAACCCCACTCGCCCTGCTTCCCTCCAACCTCAACAAGCAATTGGAACCTGTAGCAACGCTAATCTTGCTGCTTTAAGATCTTGAGCAAGATATATCCCCAGACCAAACCCCCTCCAAAGAAAACATACCAAGCTGACACGGTAAATAAACAAACAAATTCAAACCCAATCTTTCCCGTTCCCAGCCACTTCCCATTCTCTATGTATCTTTGTCTGTTGATAAACCCTCAAAACGGGAATATGGCTTGCTTAGAGGCCATACCGCTTTGAAACGCAAGGACTAAATCGTTCAATGGCAGCTTGGCGAGATCAGCCCCCGGCCCGAAAAAGCAAAATCGTCGACTTTTTTGGTTTCCTTTACGCCTTTTCATGTTGGTGGCTGTCAACTGCTCCATTCAGTGTATGAAGTTGCAGCCATTAGAGAGGACCACCAACTCTCCACCAACCGCCTTCCTTCCCCCACCAAACAAAAAACCACCAACCTCTAACTTCCTCTTTTTCGTCTGAACCCACCTCTGCCCTCTCTTGGCCTCGAGGTTCCCCTCTCTTCGTATCTTCGTTGCTCCTACCAGTTGCTACTGAACTGCGCCAGAACAACCACCATCAAAAACCACCAAAACAGCCCAAAATCAGCCAGAAAAAAAAACCACCAGATTCCTCAACCCTCCCTGATTACAAATCTACCCTCCATTTCCTTCTCCCACCTCTCCCCGTCCCAGAACACCAAATCAACCCTCTGGTCCCAAGCGGCTCCCCTGCACTCCACCATCAACTTAAGACAACCCATAATCCTCTCACATTCTCGCCCAACCTCCCCCTTTACTTTCCACTTTTCCCCCAACCCATTGCCTGCCCAAACGCCGGCCCGTCCCCAGCGTTACCAGATTTACACTTTTTGCATTTCCCCCAGCCTTTCCTTTTTTTATATCTGCATTCGACTGGTGCTTCAGCCTGAGCTTTCTTGAAACATCATCCTTTTTTTTTTTTTTTTTTGCTTTTTTGCTATTTTTCACTTTTTGCATTGACCTGCTAAATGCAGCTGAATAACTCTTCCCAGACGTCGCTTTCGTCAAATAGGGATAAGGATCTCCCGCCGGTGCCGCCGCCTTTGAACGCTGCTGAAGCTGGCAACAGACCTACGGCGTTTGCTCTAGCTTCGCCTACAAGCCCGCATAGTGATGTATCTGCTGCTGAAATGTCACGGTTTCAGAACTTGAAGCTTCAGCTGAAGAAGAAGAAGGTCAGGCCAGCGCCGTTGTTGAATCTTGATAAGGCAAACAAGCCTGCTCAGCTGAACCTCATGAACTCGCTAAAAACGCTAGATATCCTGGACCAGCAGCCAGCAGACCCTGCAGCGATGAATAGAAAACGCCAGACCGTGATCAGCTCCATTCTGCCTACGAAATCCGTGTATACGCCTTCGCCTCGGGACCAGAAGTTGCCCATCTTGGGCTCGGCCTCGCCCGTGGCTACAACCTACGGCTCGTCTGGGTATAACCTTAAGGACGAGAACTTTGTGCATTTGAAAGACTTGGGGCTGGGTAACTCGGGCGTGGTGCTGAAAGTGCTACATGTCCCGCTGCAGAAGACCATGGCCCGTAAGATCATTCATATCGAGAGCAAACAGGATGTCCAAACGCAAATCATTCGTGAATTACGAATCATGCACGAGGTCAGGTCTCCATACATCATTGAGTTCTATGGGGCTTTTCTTCGGCCCAATAACTCTATCGTTCTTTGCATGGAATACTGTAACTGTGGAGCGCTAGATCGTATCCTTTCGTTATGTGACAATCGCCAATTCCCATTGCCTGTCCTTAAAAAAGCCCTGTTCCTGATCCTTTCGGGTCTCACATATTTATACAACACCCATAAGATCATTCATCGTGATATCAAGCCATCGAACGTATTGATGACGCATAAAGGCGAGTTCAAGCTTTGTGACTTTGGCGTCTCGCGTGAACTTACCAATTCTATTCTCATGGCCGACACTTTTGTGGGCACTTCCACTTACATGTCTCCAGAACGTATTCAGGGTCTCACATACGGCGTCAAGTCTGATATCTGGTCTATGGGCCTCATGCTCTATGAGCTTGCAACAGGAAAAAGCATATGGGTCGATGACGACGAGCTGGGCGACAAATCCAAGACGGCAGGTCCCGAAGGTATTTTGGATTTGCTCCAGCGCATTGTCAATGAAGACCCTCCATGTCTATCGAACAAAACCAACAGAGTCACTGGTGCACCATACGAAAAGGAATTGTGTACTTTCATCGAATCGTGTTTGGTGAAAGACGATTCCAAGAGAAAATCGCCTCAGGAACTTCTCGACGACGAACTGGGTTTCTTGAAAGGTGTTCCTGAAGGTCTCTACGACAAAGACGTCAAGGCATGGGCCAAGATTATCCGGAAACGGAACAAAGAGAAAAACGAGCAAGACGCAAACTAGGTCTTCTACTACATTCAAATTCATAAGTCATTCTATCCTTCCCAAGCATAACGACCATCATTGGTCGCTAGCAAATATAAACGCGTTCATTTTCTTGTGGCACGCCGGCCTATTAGTGTAGAAAACACGTCTTGTTCGGCATTTCTGCCTGATTAATCGATTAATGTCTGTTGTTGCATGGCACCTTGATAGCGAACATTCGCTTTCCTCTTCTGTGCAAAGCTTGTAGTCGTCATCACAATAAAGCCATGAAATGTGTGTCCTTGGCAGTCTTGGAGTGACAACCTCAGCTTCTTTCTTGAAACGAAGTTTCTTCTTCAGATCTTCATCGGCAGCAGTATTCGTATACAGATCCTCAGAACTAAGCGTTCCCATACTCATTGACCGTAAAGGTTTCTTGGATTTGGTGGAGGTATTGCTAAATGTCGATAACGTCTGTATAAGCTCCTCCATCAAGAACTTATCTTTGTAAGAGAGTTTCACTCTGTAGATAGTTTTATCCTCGGGGCCATTACCTTTGCATCTGCGTTGGTTCCAAAAAGTGCAATGCTATACCGCAGCTTTGTCGATTCAAGTTTCGTCTTCACACTCATGGCTAGAGCAGCATTGATGGCATCAGCACCAGGCGCAAACACGAGAACATGATGAAACTCGTTAGCATAATCGTTAAGCACCAACGCAGGGTTCTTACGAAGCCTTTCCATATCGACAAAAGTGACAAAAAGGTGTTCCAAGTCCAAATGGTTGATTACCAAAAGACAATCGTTTGCTTCCTTGGCAGCATCGTTCAAAATGACAAGAACCCGAGCATGCGGCTCCCGAGCCAACATCCCAAGCAAATGATCTTTGCAAAACGAATAAAACGGTAGCGATATGTCCGTCAAGAAGCAGCAGTCGTGGAGAGACACCAGCGAAGGTACCTTCACCAAAGACAGTTCTGGCGCAGCCACACGGATATAATCCTGTAAACCGCCGTCAATTGTCCGCCCATAAACCAACTCTCGTAGGCACGGAAACCGCCTATGTGTTTCGTAAGCGTCAAAGTCCAAGTGTAGAAGATGTAGGCAGTTCTTACACGGGTCGTCAGGGCACTGAATCCAGCAGGCCGAAACAGGAAACACAAATAGCTTATCGGAAGCGGAGAGCTCCGAATCTCTTAATTTCAACGGCAGCAGCGCCAACTTAGCCACTATTCTCGAGCCAGGCACCACTCCCTGGTCCACCAGCGCAAAGTCTCGAGTATAATCAACAGCAACGTGTCTGACGCGTAGTAGAGCGTCATTCCCAGACACCAGGAGCGAGTTCAAGTGGATCACCGACTCCCTGAGTTTCCCTGAACTTTGCAAGCACCTTCGAATCGGTAGCAGGTTCACCGTACTCGTCTTCCAGTACGGCGCATGCGTTGCCATGTCAGTAACCAACGACGAGTCAGACACCGTTAGCGTCATGGCGTTAACAAAAAAAAAAAAGGTCCAGGCAGGGAACGTTCCAGGATATATAAGCCAAAAAAAGGACCCAGAATCCAAAAGCAACCGTATTGTTGTCGATGGCCGTTGCACTAAAGCAGTAATTCATATTCGAGTACAGGAGACAGCATAGTGCGGCTGCTGGTGGATGAGGACAAAAAAAATAAAGGGCCTTAATAAACAGAGGCACTCGCTTAGACGGCCATTTCGGGTGTTTTCTCGAGGCGCAAGCGGCTTAGGAGAATGTCAAGTGGAGGAAGTTTGGCGGGAATGACCAAAACGGAAGGTGCTGGATTGACCTAAAAGATTAATTGACTTGGGTTTGGATTTGGCCTGGGGATGGAAATTTTCAGTGCTGACGCGTGGTGGGGTATTATTTTTTCAATGTTCTTTTTGGCGAACCGAGGGTGCCATTTTCATGGCTAATGCTGGAAGAGCAAATTTGCCAACGGCACCGAAGGATCGGATTCGAGACATGGCAATGCGGAAGCGCTAATACCAGGATACCTGGTGGATGGTGGTTGGTGGTTGGTGGTTGGCATGGCGGTGCGTGCAGGCCTGGAGGGTCTGAATAAACATTTAGCATTAGCATTTTGCAGCCACTCTCCTCCAATAACATTGCCAGATGTGGACGAACTGGTTGAAGGCAAATTCGTCTAGCCCATGTCGTTTGTTCGAAATTCGCTTTTTTCTTGTAGTTTCCTTGTTTCTTCGGTTTTCCCATGTTTTGTTTCAGCTTTGTGTCAGTCCGTAAACGCACTCACAAGCCATTATACCATGCGGCCTTTCTGAATCAGGAAAACCGTTGACGAGCTGTGTCCATTGGCCAGACTCCACCAAAAATACCCTAATTTCCAAGCCTTGTCCAGCCCGTGGTTATTGCCGACGCCACGGAACGGGACTGTCTTCCTACGTGCCCCCTTGGGCTCGCGTCATATCGTGCATCAATATATCCGAATATAAAACCTCTCCCCTGTTTGTATGTGTTTCCTTTTCCTCTCTACCTGTCCTGCTTTTTCTTCTTTCTTTCCTCCTCGTCTGCCAACGAAAGCCTCATGGCTTCCTCAATCATCCGGTCTTCGATCGACTGTAAGTACCGGTAGTTTTGGTTATTGTTATTGTTGTTGCTGCTATCGCTGCTGTTCTGATTCCTCGATGCGCTTCCGCCGCTGCCGTCGTCCACGATAAGATTCGATGCGTGAATGGCACTGGCTGTGGCAGCACGGCGGGCCAATTTGCTTTTGGCACTGGCCAATTTCTGTTCCCAGTCGGGCCGTATGTAGTCGGTGGTGACCACTCCAGCAGCGTCTGCGGGCACAGACGATCTTCTTTGTTTTGGCTTTGGTTTCGTAGGGCTGGCGGTACGCAGAATTGGCGCCGATGGTGATTTCGGTGGCGTGCCGGGTGTTTCTTCAGATGACAGAACCGCTTCGTCAGGTACATGTTCTTCTTCACCTTTGTAATATGCGGGAGAAGTGACACCGCCAATGCCGACGCTTAAGTCCTTTGGATGGTCGTACGTCACGCCAAAGTTGGGCATAGCGCAAAAGGGACAATTGGCGTATTCCGAGATGAGTGTATGGGGAAGTTCCGCTTTGTTCTCGTTGCTCATGTCGTCGTGTGGAGGATGTGGATCAAGACGCTTGATCTGGACGAAACATTCGCTGCAGATGGGCTGTCCACAACAGCGACTGACGTTTAAGTATGGCGGGAAGTAAAGAAACAGATCGGACACTCGGACGAGTGACGATAAAGCTTTAAAAGAAGCTCTTTGGAGGGAACGTTCTGGTCTGGCTGGCCCGACTGCTTTGCGTCCATAAACTCCACCTCGTGACGCTTCTGAAGATCCTTCAGGCTCGCCACAAGCTCTCTGACCTTCTTCTTTTGCTCTTGTCTGCGGAAATAATTCGCCAGAAGGTGGATCTTATGGTTATCTGCGTCGTCTGGCTCTTCCTCGTCTGAGTACGCCTGGTCAATAGCATGGAGAGGTAGCTGGGAAGCAATCGTAGTGACCTCCTCGTCCGTCCACGACGAATCAAAGTCCTGGAGTGGCGTAAAGAAAGGCGCTATTCGTCTATCCACTATAAGCCCGCGTACGATCTCTGTGTTATAGTCCAAGTTCAGCTTATAGATCCCGTGAGGCGCCAAAAACCCTCCGTCGACGTTCTCCTCGTACCTGATGATGAGATCCATTAGATGTGCTTCTTTGGTCCGTAATCTCTCTTCGGCCAGCCGCAGCAGCTTTCCATGGCTACCACTTGAGCCTGAACCGCTGTAAACCATGAATCCGGCATTTTCAAGAAGCGACAGTGTAGTGTGCCTTCTAGACGAACGGTTGTGACTGTTACTGTGGGAACCGCCAACTGACGAAGACCTGGATCTGGCTTCTTTGGTGGGGACGTTACCCATAGTGATATGATATGTTAGATGTGTGGAGTTGGATGTATGTGGGGAACCAACGGGTGGGTTGGCGGTGGATATGGGAAAGTATGCTTATATGCTGAAGCAGATGCAGTGGGAAGGTTATAAAAGGTACTGGGCACCTGAGGTTTGTAAGGTGATGTAGTAGAGGGAGAGTCGTTGCTGGCGTGGGGGTGAACTGAGCCGAGTCAGGTGAGCGCGCACGTGATGTACATTCAGTCCAACCTTGTGGGCGCCACCGGCGGCCTACGAGGTTGAAATTTGGATGGTACGTTAATCAAGACATTCTCTACTCAGTGATATCCCTAAATTGCCTTTGTTCTTCCATTTTGGGCCCCTCGATAGGGGTTGTGTGAGAGGCTGAGGAGCAGTGTATGCAGTCCAATCTCCAGACGAATACCGAGTATGTGCCGAGGAAGTCAACCTACTTCTACCAGATCGTAGGCGTTAGAGGAAAATCCGGATTTAAGGAACCTTCGTGGCTCAGTAAATGTACTTCTTCACTAAAGAAAGTCACTTTTGGCAACTTTTTCTCGAACTTCGGCGTTCTCGGCTTTACCACACTCGGAGCCCGGCAAAAACTACTACATGTCTCAGAAGTTGCGATTTCCGGGCATTCCCTGGTCTGAGACACTTTCTCTTGAATTCGGATAAATAGCCAAAGTTTCTCTTTATTGCTGTGGTGTTTTGTGTTATTTCAAGCAAAGAGTCCAAAAGTGTCGCACATTACTAGTGTAGGTAAGGGGAATGCTTTAAAGATAAGGTTTGGCCGGTTACGATACTTTTTGGTTTCGTAAAAGATGTTGATTTTTTGCTTGAAAAGAGGTGAATTTATTGGTATAAGTGGATTTCTTCTATTGCGCGTTTGAAGGTAATCTAGTGGTGGTTTAATGGTTGCGGAATGGGCAAATGGAAGAATAAGCTGTTCAGCGTCTGTTGATTAATTCCTGTGATAATTACGAGGCGGAACATCCATTTCGGTAGGGTGCTGGGGAACGAGGAGAACAAAAGGTTGGTAGTTGTATTACGAAAGGGGCAGCACCCAAAAATTTCGTACTACTACAGCATGTGCAATGAAGGTCGTTTCTCGTTATATACATCGTCTGAGACGCCGTCCAGACGAAAAGTACTATTATAGGGGAGACGCAGTGTCGTCTGAGTGTCTCTAGTGAAACCTGGCTCGTAGGCCAAATGCTATGGCGATGGCTGCAAATACAAGACACAACCAGATTAAGCCAATGACAAAACTCCAGAGTTTCTGCCAGTAGGTGTAGCATGCAAAGTACCGGCGGTTGACTGGGCCAAACGGTACTCTGGGTAAGTAGTTACGGTATCCTCCGAAATCGAAGTATCCAAATGCAAGCAAGAAGTAAATAGGCACTGCCACCAAACCCATGATCATTAAAAGGGCCCATTTAGCCCACGGCTGAGCAGTGTGTGCTTCGTCGTCTTGAAGGAAAGCAGCACTCTTTTCGATATCGTAGTTGTACAAGTCGCTTGAATCGTCTGCGTACATGTCATTATGGGCAGACCGTCTGCTTTCAGTATCGGTGACTCTGGACGACTGGGGCAGAGCGGGAGCTGAACCGTATGGTGTGCTTTGACCTTCTACGCCAAAGATCACAGAACGGTCGCTCATTGTTCCATGTTCGTTTTCAAGCACTCTGGTGGAAACAGTAGCAACACTGTGGTGAGGATGGTCGCTAGCACTTCCAGAAAACGGTCCATAATGGGCTGGTTCGACCTTTGAAGGCGAGAACACCGTTCTGGAATTGCGCTGAGAGTCTGGTGCCGAGTTGGAACTCAGACTGCCTTCACCAGGCACTGGAGGCACTTCTTGCTGGGGAGCACCGTTCTTAGCAAAGAGCGACCATCTGTTAGGCTGGTGTTCAGCGTCTTGGACAGTGTATAGCGTCACGGGAAGCCCTGAGGACGAGTCTATACCTGCTGTAAGGTTATTAATGCCTCGGGAGTCTCTAGATCTAGTACTGAAACTGACTCTGGAACCTCCACGGGAGTTCAGCGAACGACTAGAGCCACTGAACCTGCCTCTACCGCTGCTGCCACTATTACTGCCGCTATTACTGCCAACTTCAACGCTCCGTAGACGTCCTAGAAGCTCAGCACTGGACATGGACTGGTGGTATGAACTGGAGCCCTGGACACTAGCATGAGGGGTATTATAAGAAGCTGTAGTTTCCTGGGGACTGCCAAAAGTCGTTCCAGCGGCATTGGGTTCGGTATCGCCAGAACTAGCAGAAGCTCTGGTCTTATCTGGACTACCAGAGTTGTGACTAAAGTCTTCCATAAACACGAAATTCGACTCTCTGCGGTCTTCGTCTTCATAACCTGAAATAATCGAATATATAGTTTCTGCGTCTTGTGCTTCAGCTTTCGAATGGCCTGAAATACCAGAATGGTTAGACAGACCTGAGTCTGTGTCTGCAAACTCGTCCACACTGACAGCAGCTTGCGAAGACACCAACAGGTTCATGGAAGCTGTAAAAGGATGTATATCTGCCATTGCACGAGGAGGCCTTACCTGAGAAGCAGAACCAGTACGAGCCACCTGGGCTACACCAGTTCTTGTTCTGTCAGGACTGCCAAATAGGCTTTGTAGCGATCGTCTTTTACCATTTTTGCCCATTGCTCATGCCAGATGGAGGGAAGGTCTGTTTGTGGAGTATAAAAGGCCAAACTAAGTTTGACAGGTACCTTTAGTGAAAGGTTAATGGGAAGTAGTTCTGTAGAAGCCTAAAGGGACTAAGAACGGATGAACGAAAGACTCTGACAAGGTGTTGTCAGTGAAATAAAAATAAATGAACAAATATCAATGAATGGGTATCAAAGGGTATATGAGCCAGAAGTGGCTGGGAGGGTCTGAATGGAGAAACGAAAGGACGCCTAAAACAAGGCCTAAACGGGACAGTGAAAGAAAGTAGTTGGTAAGTGGTTTTTTTGCAAATCGCCAACAAGTACCACAATGAAATCTGTTATATGTAAATGCCCTGGGTTCCTCGCCGTTCCATGTTCAGAAACTCCAGCTTGTTTGGATGCATCGGTACCATGTTTATGTTGTTTCCTAATTAGGCCTATTACTTGCATGCACAGCGGGAGAGGCATGAAGGCTTGGGGCCCAAACGGGGCGTAAAAAAGCCGGGGAAAAAACTACATCGTATAAACGGGGCGGTCTAGAAAGTATATCTTTACTTTTTCGACCATTTTAAAGGTCTTTTGGTCGTTTCGTGGTGGACCCTTAGGGATCTCTTTGTTGATGGAAAGGGTGCACCTGCAGGACGCACGCTGGGTTGGTCCGCATTAGGCAAGATGACTTTCCAGCCAGCAGGAGCCCTTTTCGCAGCCATTTGCAGCCATGGCTGGGCGTCTCTCCCAATTCGTAAAGAGTAAATGTAAGAGATCGTAGATGTTGAGAGAGGATTTGAGAGGATTGAGAGAGTGTGAGAGGAAAAGTAAGAGATTTCATTGTTTAAAGAGATCGTAGAGATTAGGTAGTTTGATGGTTGCTGGTTGGTGGAAGTATGGAGAAAGCTTGAGGATGCTTTTTCTGAAGAAAGGAAAATACAGAAGTGTGAAATGGGCGGCTGGTTTGGCTTAAGCGAGGTCGCTTGGTCCACATGGAAGGTTTGGTTTTGTCTCAGTTTGACGTTTTCATGATTCAACCAGCTACCCTGTCTTTGTCCCTTCTGAGTGGTATGTACCATGGTTAAGCAAGTGAAAGTGGTTTAAAGCTTAAGACACTTTACTTATTTGCGCTGCCGGCTTCTGCCGAGTGGATTTGCCGGGTTTCGGTAAAAATTTGTAAACTTTATTTGCAAGATCTAAACTTTATAAGTGTCACAAAACTGGTTCTACAATGGCCATAAGTGTTTGTTAAACTTTTCACTTACCACACACAAAAAGCACGGTCCCGCCTAATTATGCCAGCAAATCTTGTTTATACTCTTCGGCATTTCGTTATCCAAAAAGGTCTTCTACTCTACAGACCAGTCCCATACGAGTTTGTTCATATGTAATCCAAAGAAAGTAATATTAAAGTACAGGTATCAAAACGAAAGCATAAGAATGTGCGCAAGAAGAATCAAAGAGATTTGTAAACCGTAAAGCGTGAATGGATCAAGAGCAACGACTAGCGCCACTCTTAGTAGTTCAACCGAAGCTTCTTGAATTCTCTCTTGTTGTAAGCTGTCTCACATGGGTCAGCGATAGAGGTGGCCTCGCCAGCAAGAGTCTTACTCTGCTTGTTGACAGTGGTGTAGACAGTGTCCACGTCGACCTTAGAGGCAGTAGTTGCTTTAGTGGTTGCGCTAGTGTCAATTGGGACAATGGTAGCAGAACCAATATAAGTGGTTGGAGCAGCTGCAGCAGACGAACGGGTGGTGGTGGTAGTAATAGCACCGCTGCTACCGTCACCACAACGACCAGACACAGCCTTAAGAACGTTCTGGCCGATAGTAGCCAAAGTGTCGGTGTTGAGAAGAGTCTTGAGCAATTCTGGGATAAGACCAGACTGGGTGACAGCCAGGACAAGGTCGCTAAGACCAATACCTGGAGATGGACCGTCCATGATTTCCTTGATCAAGTCAGCACCAAAGTCAATGAAAGCTGGGTCGGTAAGAACAGCAATAACGACAGAGGAAGCCAAACCAGAGTTGGCCAAACTCTCCAACAAGTTGTTGACAATGTCACCAACATCGAGGTCAAGAGCTCTCTTGTCCTGGAGCATGCTTGGTTGCATCAAGCCGTCCTTCTTCAAGAGCTCAATGGTCTGCTCGTGGGTAAGGATATCGTCCTCACCAACACCGAGAAGCTCACGCTTGCTGAAGATTCTGCCAAGAAGAGCTCTGATGACATCGGTAGCAATACCAATGACAGAAACGTAGACCTCACAGTCGCTGAGAGCGTCAGTAAGCACTCTGCTAAGCAAACCAGAGTCAACCAAAGCCTTAACCAAAGTGGTCAAGTTGATGCTGGCGTTTCTGATAACAAAGGTGATGGCATTGATGGCAATCTTTCTCAAGGTTGGCTGGGTGACAAAGAACTTCAACACGGTAGGAGCCAAGTTGGTGTCGTTGATGGCGCTCAACACCTCAGTGACAATCTTGTACTCTCTCTCGGACAACTCCAGGTCCATGTCTTGTCTCTTGACTCTCATTTCATCCAATTCTTTCAATTGCATCAAAGCACTCTCCAAGCTCTCTCTCTTGGCGAGAGCGTTACCGTGAGCGGCAACCTCCGAGGAACCCTCGTGGACCTGGGCTGGAGCGGCATTGACAACAGCAGTGGTAGCCAAAGTGGCAAGTAAAGCAGACTGGCTGAACTTCATAGCTTCTTAATGGAGACCTGAAAGGTGGAAAACGAATGTAGGTGGTGAAGAATTGACCGTTTCAAAGGGAACTTTTTTGGAATCGAAACGTAACCAAAAATGTATAAAGAGTTGCGGAATCCAACGCCTTGTCAGCCTTATATATCGAGAAGAGCATTTCAGCGTCCAGTAAGCGCTTTGTTTTGTCGTCAGGTTAGAGAATTACTGTAACAAGTTATAACGTGTTCCAGTGGTTGCAAAATCTTTTCCTATTTAGGAAATGACATTTGGAAAATCGCAGTCTATATGCAGTATGTTATGCAGGCCCGCCATTATATGGTCGCTGCAAATAGGTCTGAAGAGGGAATAGCCACAACTGCATTGGGAATGTGTCTTTCATGGGATGTCCCGTCACTTCCTCTAATGGATAAGAATTGGATCCAGCCATTATTTTGACTTTACCTCACGCATTGTGGAACCCGATACTACCTAAATCCTCGGCGGCACTGAGTTAGCTCCCGAGCCGGTTAATGTTTCTCGCTCGGTAGCTTCCAAGCTTCCGGCTCCAAGACTTGAAGACCTAATGAGTTAACTTGTTTACCTCTTTCTTGTTGCAGGAGAAAACGCTGTGTTAACGCTTATACCGCCTCCATTGTAACACTAAGTCGGTCCCTCAAGCCGGCCTTGCGCTATGGGAATGAAACGAGCGAGTATTTGGTCGGCTTAGCCGATCGTACAAGGTAGATTAGCGTCTGTCGAAGAAGCTCATAAGGGATGCCTGTTTCTTTGTTCCGTCTGATTTCTTCTTTGAGGAAGTTGGCTTTTTAGTGGCAGGGGCTGGTTTTTTGACTTCACGTTTAGGGGGCTCCTTCTTGGGCTCTGGTGCTTTCTTCGTCACAATATAACCATCTTCATCAACTGTAGTCTCAGGTTCCTGAGGTGCATCTTTGGCCGTATCCTGGGGCTCCGCAACCTGCGGCGTGGGCGATTTCGATGTAAGAGAACGCAACGAAGAATCCTGGGGTAGCAGGGGAGCAACGGTGGCTTTGGCCCCCTTTTCTTCCTCAGCCAGGGGATCGTGCTGTGCCGCTTCCTCAACCATAATGGGCTCCTCCTTTTCCTGAGCCGCCTCCTTCGCCGTGTCGTCATTATCAGAAAAGTCGCTTAGATCGTCTAAGAACAACGAATTGAGATCGGTAGTTTTCGTTGTGGGCGCCTTTCTCGCTGGCTCTTCATCCTCTGGATCCTCCGTGTCGTGGGACACAATGACTCTTTCCTTAGGCTGCTGCTTCTCTAATTTGCGGGATTTGTATTGGTAGCCAGAGCCCTGATCGGGCCTAGAGCGTTTATCAACAGTGCTACCACTCTTTTCTGCATCCTTCTGCTTCTTCTCATCCTTTCTTGAAACGTAGTTTGAAAGCAACGATGGCTGTGGTTTTTCTTTCCTAGACTGGTACTGTAACTTTGGCTTGCTTTCAGCCTGGGGAGGAGGAGCAGCTTCCTTCTTTGGTTCTGGCTTAGGCTTAGGCTTTGCTGGTTCAGCTCTAGGACGGAACCCTTCCTTGACCAGCGCCTTCTTAACAGGCCTTCCCCTAATCATGCCTTGCTCATAATAAACGTCTAGATTCTCCAAATCCACCGGACGTCTGAGCTCCTCTAATGCAATATCACTCGTACTGAACGAGAACTTATTCTGAGAAATGCTAAAAATATGCTTGGAATTGACCTTATCGAAAACCTCCGACATGACCCCATCGTCCACGTTATCCACCACCTTCACCACCGTTTTCAGTCCTTGAACTCCAGTCACCACATATAACGCGTTCAACTTCTCCTTGTTAGATGAGTAGTACGCATAAAGCACCTGCTTGGCCTGGGCAGTGTGTAGATTGAGATCACGTGAGACCGTGTTAAACGACACGCTATGGCTTTCTAGCTGCTCAGCGATGTATCTGACCTGGTCTGGTGTGATATCCATAGTCATATTTTCAGAGCTGGAGGGTTGAGTGATGGAGTGTGGTGAAGCGCGTTTGATGTGGTACGGTGTTGTGTGCAGGCCACTTTTTGCAACCACTAGAGAATACCATAAATGTCACATAGAGAAGGGAGAGGTGGGATAGTAATTTTAAAAAAAATTACATTGGTTTCGTTTGAAGAGGAAATTGGAATCTATCTGTGGTGGTTTTGCCATCCTGCACAGTCCAGAAGACCCTGCTTGCGTAAGTAGGACCCTTTTTGAACCGTCCAAGCATCTATACCATTTCCCCTCCATCTACGTTTTTTCTTATCAAAACATTCATTTCGCTAAGAAATTTGTGTATCATAAAAATAGCATTTTTCAGGAACTCCCCATATCACAATGGGCTGTCCAAATGGAGAAAACACAAACAGTGCGGTTCCTACAAAGGAAGGCAGCTTCCCACTCTCAGTAGCAACAAATTCTTTGCCTAAACATGCTATATTCTATAAATCACCTTTGCTTAAAGCTCGTCCTTGGTGCCCAAGAACTTTCTCTTTTCGGCCGCACGGGCCTCCAAGCTGCCGCCCAACTCGTTGTTGATCATGTCTTCAGTGACACCACCAGAAATGAGAGTGTTCCAGGACTTGAGCCTTTCGAACCCGTTTCTGGCGTACTGGTAGTCTGTGAATGCCTGGACGATTCTGTCTCTGCTAGTGGCAACGAACGGACCGTGCTGAACGACTGGCTGGTCCAATACCTGACCTCCCACAAGCACAAACTCGGCTTCTTTGGTGTTGGATTCAGGGTACTCAGCCAGAATGGTATCACCGTCAGCATTGAAAAACACATTGTCAAACTCCTTAGCCTGGGATCCATCGTGAAGCTTTAAAGTGCCTCCTTGCATCAAATACAAGAAGAAGTTGAAGTCTTTAGGCACTGCCTGGGTAAACAGCGAGCCTGGCTTCATCTTGTAATGGTAGTAGTTCACCGGCGTGTAGGCCAAATCCTTCTCCAGCTTGACGCCCAAGGATTCACCAGAAATCACTCTCACTGTAACCTTACCATCCTGGTCAGTCACCTCAGGCACCTCCCATTCCTTCAAGTCTCTATACCTAGGCTCGACTTCCTTAAGCTTCTCAGGCAAATCCACCCACAATTGCAATCCCACATTGGCAGAGCCGTCTGGATGAATAACAGGCATTTCTGAATGCACAGTACCCCTTCCAGCAGTCATAAACTGAAGATCGTTCTCTCTCAACACACCCTTGGATCCAGTAAAGTCTTCATGAGCAAATGCACCTTTCATCATCAAGGTAATGGTTTCCTGGCCCAAGTGAGGGTGTTCTGGGAACCCACCCTTGCCGTTCGAAGAGAAATGGTCAAACATCAAGAAGGGAGAAAAGTTCCTCATGTTCATGTTGCCAATGCTTCTTCTGACTCGAGCCCCCACACCTTCAGCTTGTTCGATAGCGGGTAATATAGTTTTGATTGTTCTTTGAGATGCCATGATAGTTGTAAAAAATGTAATGAGCCAAACGAAAAAGACGCTTTTCATTAATTTATACTCCAGGAAAGGCGGATTTTCGGTCACTTATAAACGTTGTGGTAGTCAGGTATTAGTAAATGCATCGAAGGGCTTTTGGTATGTGGGGAGTGCATATAGGCCGATATTTCATTACTAAAAAACTACCAACCTTATAGAATTTAGCAATTTTCATCAAATCAATGTGCTTATATGCAGGAGATAAGGCTGGCACATTTGCAACCAGTCTGGGGAACACCTATTAGTGATCAGGATTTGTCATATATGGACTACACATTTTTTGATAAATCATCTATTGGCGACATAGGCTCATTTCTTCATAATATCGTAATACTTGACATTCCCAGTGTCACCACTGTCCTGGAAGTTCTACTTCCTTCTGGCAAAAGTGTACACTGTAGGGAACACAACTTGCAAAGGCGTGTCGAGATCAACGCCTAACGCCTCGGCCAACTTATCAATAAGCTCATCTGCAGCGTCTGGCTTATCTGGATTGTCTCTCTTCCAATTGTGGTAGCCTGACCAACTCTTGGCTTGGCCTCTGAAGGTGTTCAACGAGATCTTTCTTTCAATGTACAAGGAAGTGTACTTGGGGCCGTCAGGGTTTTCATGTGGGTGGTAGTAGTGTCTGACAATATCAGTAAACTCAGATTCAGGCGGACTGATATGGGATAAGGTCGTTCTGAAGATATCGTGGCCTGGCTGGTCAAAGTACGGTCCAAAGAAACGTTCATACGAATCGCCATACTTCTTTTTAGACGAATCGTAAGAGTACTCCACCACAAGGTCAGTAGCTTTCTGGTTACCCACGAAAACAGGGTCAAAGTAGAACCAGTAAGCCAAAGTACCACCTGATTTAAGAATCCTGGCGCTTTCGGCAAAAAACTTTGGATGGTCAAACCAATGGCACGCCTCGGCCGCTGTAATCATATCCACAGACAGCGGAAGAATATCCTTAGGTGCTTCTTCAGCAGGCGTAGCATAGAACCTCACCTTATCTGAAAACTCCACCCGTGGGTCCTTATTACACTGGTCAATCATAGTCAGTGAAAAGTCAGTTCCCACGACCGATTCAAAGTAATTGAGCAACTTAAACGCCACAAATCCTGGTCCACAGCCCACGTCCAATGCTAGCTCGGTAGGGTTGCCCTTGGACTTATGGTACTCCATCAAAGTATCATAAAACAGATCAGGGTAAGTAGGCCTGGCGGCATTGTAGCCCTTAGCATCGAAGTCTTGGTTCTGGTAAGTAGTCATTGAGGAGTTGATATAGTGAAGATTTGATGGAAACTGGCTGCTATTTATACCAGAGCCACTCGGGAGTATGTGACTAATTGTGCCGTACACTTTTCAACCTGTCACAGCTGAGTGCGATTGCGTAGGAGCCGATGCAAGGGAGAAGAAGGGAATGGGTGATGGAAAAGGCTGGAGGTCATGAAGGGAGGGTTTGTTAGTGTACTTGGTGGGTCAAAGTAGGGAAATTGCTATTTTTAGGATTTTTTAGGGTCGTTTTTCGATTTTTCAGGAAGTGGTTTGTGTCAATTGGTTATTGTATAATTTTGGCACATATGCGGAAACGGTTGCAAAACGCGGTCCCCAGAAAGATAAGAATGGGAAGGGAAAGGAAGGTTAGGTGAAAAAAAAATGAAGTAAAGATGAATTTAAGATAAAGAGAGAGTATCTCAGTTTATAGAGAGTCGTTCATTTTATTAAAGAGTGGTTTGGTGATTTTTGGTGGTTTACTTAACATTTACTGGAACTTAAACTGGACTCTCAGTACTGAAAAATGGCTGGTTGGGGAGAACTAACACATGCACCAAAAAAGTATCAAATAACAGGAAATCAATGAATTGACATCCTAGCCGTGACCTTTGGTTGTTTACTTATGACCCTTTGGGTTCACCTCCGTCGGATATATCCAAGAACGGTATATCTCCAGGCCTGGCTGACCAGGGCCCGGTCAATATCGGGGCTCCCAAATGCCGATCCTGGAGAATTCGTCATGTAAGCGAAAGATACACAAAACCGATTCGAATGACATCCTACAAGGACTGGAAAAAGAAAAGTGATGGAATGAGCTTTACTATGTAGAACCAGCGATGGTTTATGGAGGCTGGTATTGAGGATCTAACGGTCGTCCGAGGATTGGTAGGTTGGTTGCTGGAGGGTCCAAGGGGTGTAGTGAGAGCTGGGAGGGGGCTATAATGGGCTTTTCAAGCTTGAATTGAATAGATAGTTGATGTGGATGTCTTTAAAGCTTGTTCTTGTTATCTAAATGATCTAGTTGGGCTGATACCCAGCGAGTTAAACTAAATGTGGGCTCACTGCTCCAGCAAACCTTCATCCAATCTCTAACTCTACAGCTTCCTTCATCCAATCTCTAACTCTACAGCTTGCTTACAATCTAATTCGACAATTTCTTATCAAGTTACGTACCTCATTATATGCTATTACAGTAGCGAAGAACCGGGAAGGGGATATTAATGGTTCTTTTGCATTACATGGTCTTTTTGGTTTCGCTGACGGGCGTGCCGACAGCAGTATTGGACTCCGACGAGCTGACGGAGTTTGTAGAAGCCATAGACGAAGACTTCTTCATCATAGCATCCTTCTTTTCTTGTCTGCGGGCCAAGAAGAGCCTGTACTTCTCCAAAGTAATTCTGTTCTGTTTGTCCTTGTATTCTTGCACAAACTGGTACTGGGTGTTGGAGATTTTATCCCAGATGGTAAAGAAAGGCTGGGAGAAGTTGTTGCGGAACCCCCAGTTTTGATGGTGAATGTCGTGGTAAATGGCGTTGTTGGGGAAAAGGAACTGGAAGGGGTCCCATGGGAGACGGTAGCCGCAGTGGTCGTCAACGGTCTTCATGGTAGCAAACACATAGACGAAGAGCGACTCACGAGGGGAGAGTTGGGTGATGATACCGGCGATACCAGTGCCGACGGTGTCTAGCAAAAAACCCTCCACTGGGTCGTTGTAAAGAGCACCGTACGCGTAAGGAACATAAAGACGGTGGTGTCTGGAGTGGAAACGACGGTACAAGGTTTTGTTCAAGTGCATGGTTCTATGGAGCCAGTACTGCCATGTATCGATGATGCAGAAGGCCACGCCCATACGAAGAACCGACCAGCCATAAGTGTAGGCAAACCAGAGCAACGAATCTGGAACCCAAGTAGGAGCCCAGTTGTGTTTGAGGTACCAAATCTGGTAAAGCTCGTGGCCTGTGGTTGGAGGAGGATCTATACGGTAAACAGCGTAAGCCACCACCAGCTGAATGATATGCTGAATAACAACATCATAAAGCACATCCTTCAAAGGCGCCTTATTCCTCAGCTCCTCCTCCTCGCTAGGATGTATACGGTACTTCTCAGCAAGCTCGTACACGTCGATGATATGGAAAAAGGTGGAGTAAGTCCAGTAGGCAATGACAGGAGCAAAGATGGCAAGGATGCCATCAGGAAGACCCGGAATAAGACTCAGTTTGGGCATCACCACGACCGGCGGAGGCAAAAGAGCATCCGCCACAGCAGCCGAAATGTTGGCAGGGGGCAGTAGCACGTCCATGGTGAAAAGGTTATAAAAAACAGAACAATAAGTGGTGTGTTTCTGAGAGATGGAGGGATGCGCAACGCTTATATAGTGGAAAGCGGGAAAAAAGAAAACAGCCGAGCAGCCCCCAGTGCAGACACCAAAAGGGGAGTGGAAAGGGGAGTGGAAAAAGGAGAACACGAAGCAGGTGAAGTTGACACGAGGCGGCGGAAAGCAAAATAAGCAGATGGGATGGAAGTGGACGGTTTGTTTTGCGTTACAGCTGGACGCAATTAGCACGTGAGGTGTGGTGGTGGTGGAAGGAAGAGGAGGGAAAGGAGGAAAAGGAGGGAAGGAAAGTCGTACCAGGAAAGAGAAAAAAATAAGAGAAGGAAAGCGTAAGCTGCTTTAATGGTTGCTTGGTTTACATAGTAAGTTAAGGTGTTGTAGGGTGTTGTAGGGTGTTCTTGTTGGTTTGGTGGTGAAAAATGAGGATTAGTAGAGTGAGAAGGGTCTGGCTGAGGGTCCAGTTCAGCCATTCCAGTAAACCATTCAAGTAAAGGGAGGACCATTATTTACGTTAATGGGCTAACACAACGTGGCCATTGTTTTGGATGGCACTAGAAATAGAAACAGCAACAGGCGTAGACTTGACGAGTCGGTCAATGGGTGATGGTTATCAGGTGCTGCCTGTCGATAGGGGTCCATGGCTGCAAACGGAATGGAGGGTGGGAGGAAGAAGAAAAGGAAAAGAAGGCTACATATTTTATGGAATAGAATGGTAGATGCCGTTTGACTGGATTTACTGGGGTAATTCTATAGCTCTTTTTCTCTCATTTTTGTTCATTACTGGTGCTTCTTTCTCCCTGGCTTGTCGTCTGGTGAGGCTGGGCGGCTGCGGCTGGTAACCCGAGGATACTAAATATAGTGCTGTGTTTTGTTGAACTTGTGGTTGGCAAACATGCTAAACGTTTGGGTTGACCTTCGGGATTCCTTGTTTCCGCTTGTTCTTGCTGTCACTTCTTTGTTAGGCGCCGATCCGGACGGGTTGCTCGTTGGATAAGGTTTCTAGTGCCTGAACTGCTGAATGGGCTAAGTTTTGGGATCAGTTTCGCTTCCCTTTCGCTTTGTCATATCCTTTTAGCCGAATTCGTTTTAGTTTGACGTTTTAGGAGTCCACCTGGGGCTGTGGCATCGAAGAGCTTGTGTTTTGTGATGCTTTAGATAATGGCTGCGAAATCAGAAAACGCAAATTATGGGAATACCGCTTCCGCCCATGTTTGCTCGGTGGGCGAATAGGGAAGGAGGATTTGATCTGGAGTTGCTTTGTGCCGTTTCATGGGGTTTTTGGAATTGGGAAAGCCGTTAACTGTCTGTTTCGGGATTTGCCTGGCGTTGCATTGTGGTACTTTTTTGGTGCACTTTAGGATCAGAGAAGGTTCCAAAGAAGCACTAAAGAAGGACTAAAGAAGGAAAGGTCGTAAATTTAAGGGCTGGCGATTTTAGCGGAGGGCATAAAAGGTAGGTACATATTGGTAAAGGTAGCAGAGGCTCTCGGTAGTACTACCAGTTGGTGATGTTCAGATGTATGGACTACAATGGGACAGTAATTACTACTGCAACGTTTGTTCAGGTACGGCTTTAAGAGCAACGTCTTTATTGGTACGGCTTTAAGGGTGACATGGTAGGGGTCTTGGACAGCAACTTGAAACGACTTGTCTGGCGCAAAGTGAATTGCTAACCAGCGCAACGTTTCAAGGGGTTCCGATAGGTGGATTAGAACCACAGAGTTGCTAACTGATATCGAATGAAGTGATAGTTTACTTTGTCAACTTGGATTAACCGACGGCGGAACGGGAATTAAGCGGGTTTGGGGAAAGTGGTTTTAAGCTTTTTAGTCTACAACTACCGAATCCCACAAGATCCAACAATGGTACAAATTTCGATGATCCCGAAGTATTGGATCTCGGAAAATGCGCTATGAACAAAGCCCCGTCCCATGTGCTCCCCAGAGTTGGATAAGTAGTGGTTATGGTCAGGTAGGGGATGAAAGAAATGTTGGGGAATTCAACTGTGGCGGCGGCAGTCGAGGAGCTTAGTAAGATTGGTGTAGTTGGATGTTGTAGCTTGTGAGATGTGAAGAAAGTGGAATTTGGATCAAAAGGGTTGAAGGTTTTGGAGAAGAAGGTGTCAAATTGGTTTTTGGGGGCTTCCCGGGTAGAATAAGTAGACCACTTTGGTTTAACTGACGTTGGCTCCATGGAAAATGGGCTAAAGAGTTGCTTTTACTAAAGTAGGATGTATTTACATACCAACTGCGAGGATTGGTGCTCAGTTGGACAAGAAAGGTTTACATATACTTTTATAAGTACACATTTCTACGTATATAGCCTAAAGGTTATGTTTATTGTGCTTATGGTGGTTGTCAACTGGCTCAACTGACCTGAGTTACAAGGTCTGCTTTACCGCTTGCTTTTTGAAAATCTGGACTTATCCAACAATAACAGACAGAAGCTGAAAAAGAGCAATTTTGGATCAATTAACTTAGATTACCAACTAAGTAGAAATTCCATTTAACTCTACATAAACCGAAATTCGGATGGATATGAGTACTGGAAAGAAGAGGCAACGTATTTCAAGGTATCCACTTTTTACTCAAAAACGATCTTCATAGAATTCACCAAGAAACTCCAAGAAACACTAATACATAATTAAAATACCAATTCAAATCACCCAGTCCCAAGTACCCATAACCCTTCTTCTTCAGCACTTTCCATATTTCGCAGCCATAAAAAGCGTCCACCAACTCGCCCAAAACTCGCCCAAAACTCCCCAAAAAAAGCCAAAATTTCGAAATCTAGTCCCTTTCCATACTTTCCCCAAGCTGCCAAAAACCCACCCAAAAATCTCCATCCACCCTCCGTCTACCTCCATCCCTCCCCCAACCACATAGTATCGTCGCCAACAGGTGTGCAGTACCAAATCACCAACTACACTTCTTCATGTCGAAATCGAAATACTCCGCCGACAGTATCTGGAAAAACACCTCAGAGAAGATCGTATGTATATTTTCCAACTCTCCTCGGCTCAATTACTAACTTTCCAGAACACTGAGCTTTTCACACTCACCTACGGTTCCGTGGTGGCCCAGCTCTGTAGAGACTTGAACAACAACTATGCTGAGGTGAATCGCCAGCTCGACAGAATGGGATACAACATTGGGCTTCGTCTTATTGAAGAGTTTTTGGCGAAAACTGGCGCCCAGAGATGCCTGCTGTTTAAGGAAACTGCTGAGATGATCAGCAAGGTTGGGTTTAAGATGTTCCTTAACATCACGCCTACAGTGGAGAACTTTGGCGCTGACGGGAAGAGCTTTTCGCTTGTGTTTACGGAGAACCCGCTTGCTGACTTTGTTGAGCTTCCAGTCACACTGGACCCAAAGATCCAGAAAGAGCTCTGGTACTCCCAGTTGTACTGTGGTGTGTTGAGAGGAGCATTGCAGATGGTCCAGCTAGACACGGACGTGTTTTTCGTCAGGGATGCGTTGAGAGGCGACGACAAGACGGAATTGAAGGTCAAGTTGAATAAGATTCTTAAGGATGAGGTTCCTGCTGGGGAGGACTAGGTGAGGACTAAGCGTAAGCTTAGTCCGTCCATCCTTCCCTGGCAGAAGCGCTAGTAAACTCACCGCCACCACCTCCAATCCTCCCAGGAGCCCAGGGGCGTCACCCTTGAAGGATTCGTACGCTGACGAATTTGAAGAAGGTTTACCCGGTTTAAGTTTGGCTCATCTTGCTTGATCGGCGTCCCGGACGTCAGTTGGGCGAAATGCTTCCATGCATGGAAAGCTGGTGACTCAGGCTCAACAAGGGCTACGATGATCCGGTGATGATGTTGTTAAGGCGAGGCAGATGGTTACTTGTCCGCTTCGTTCTCTTTAATGGCTTACCTACATTGGATTGCTGCATGGACACTCCAGACTCTGAAGCGATAACTTCCCACAACTTCCCCAGCCAACCGTACAACCCAGAAACAGAAACCAATGGGGTGATTCTGAGACATCTTGTCCTATACTATCAAACACTGGCAAGGAGTGGTTTAGCCTTTTTTGCGCGAGGATGAGCCCATGCTGTCCCGATGAATTTCCTTGGTACTTTAGGGGGCACGCCAAGACGCAATTGGATGCTACGAAATAACAAAAGACATTGTGCCATCGGCCCTCTCCAAGTCTTACCGAGGAAGAAGTAATTGCAACAATCTAAGTGGCTGCAAATGGCCTGCAGATATCGAAGCAAGGAAGAAGGTGAAACACAGGGCTCAAACAGAACACAAAAATAAGCCGGTCGGTACCGAGCGGCAGTACGAAGGCAAGAGAAGAAACAATTAAACTTTAACCACTACCATCTTTCACTACACTCTTTGTGACCATCCTTCTCCAGCCGATTTTTGTCCCGCAGGTAGCAAAGTTCCAAGACTTGCACGTGATCCCACAGTGTGATTTCCAACATACCATACCCCTCGATCTCCGATAAGATTCCCCCCACTTACTAGTACTATTCCAAAGCAAACAAAATCCGACTCAATGGGCAATCTGCAAATGGGTATCAACCCAATTGACGGCCTTCTCAATGACCCCGAGTACAACCAGCGCAGGAAGAAGAGGAGCCCTCGGGAGGTTGTGAGAGACATCTTGTTGATGCTCTCCTATGACCTAGTGATATGGTTTTTCAACATGGTCATCCATACGTTCTTCAGGGATATCCGTCTGAGAGGTACTTTCAACATCCCCAAGAAGGGGGCCATCATATTCGTCATTGCACCGCATCACAATCAGTTTGTGGATCCATTGGTGGTGATGTCAACAACGAGAGCCACGTCTGGACGGAGGATCTCTTTACTTACGGCGGCCAAGTCGTACCGAAGAGCATTTATTGGTCTGGCTGCTCGGTTGTGTAGCGCCATTCCTGTTGAAAGAGCTCAGGACTTGGTGAAGCCGGCACTGGGCCAGATTCGAATTGAAAATTTCGGTCCCGATGGCGACAACGTGGAAGTTATCGGGGAAGGAACAAAATTCACCAAGGAGGCTGAGGTCAAAGGGCTTTTAGGACTTCCAAATAGTTTGGGAAACGCCCAAATTGAAGAAATTATCTCGGATACAAGGATTGTGTTGAGGAAACCATTCAAGGTCAACTTCGAGAAACAGTCCGAAAGAGATGAGAAACTTATTGACAGGCTCACAAACGGTACAGACTATAAGACCGCTCCTCACGTTGACAACAACCAAGTTTTTGACAATGTTTTCAACCATCTTAACAGGGGTAAGGTTTTGGGTATCTTCCCAGAAGGAGGGCTGCATGACAGACCAGGGTTGCTTCCTTTGAAGCCTGGTGTGGGAATTATGGCATTAGGTGCGGTGTCCAAGTCTGAGGACCCTGACGCCCTGGTAAACATCATCCCAGTGGGACTCAATTACTTCCATCCACATAGGTTCAGATCTAGGGTCGTTGTGGAGTATGGAAAGCCAATACGTGTGACGAAAAAAGATGCTGTCAAGTATGAACAGAATTCAAGAGACGTGGTCAACAAGTTGATTGACTTGATTACGTTGAGACTTAAGGAAGTTACGGTCACTTGCGACGACTTTGACACTCTCATGGTGATCCAAGCAGCCAGAAGATTGTATACTTCGGTAAACCGAGAACACATTCCTTTGCCTTTGGTGGTTGAAATGAACCGTCGTTTGATGAAAGGTTACCAGAAGTATTCACACAGACCTGACGTGAAACATTTAAGGGATAACGTTTTCCAGTACAACAAGATGCTTATGGCAATGTCACTTCATGATCACCAAGTGGAAGACCTCACGAGCTCCAATCGTTGGGTTGTGTTTTACAGATTCGTTGTACGTGTTTCGACGGTGGCATTCTTCTTACTCCTTTCCTTGCCCGGTGTTTTCATGTTTGCACCGGTGTTCATTGTTTCCCGTCGTATCTCCAAGACCAAAGCAAAGGAGGCATTAGCTGGATCCGTGGTCAAAATCAAAGCAAACGATGTGATCAGTACATGGAAGATTCTTGTGGCATTGGGACTTGCACCGCTGCTTTATATCTTCTGGGCTGGTATTGCCTGCTGGTTATTAAGATCAGCCAGTGAAACCGTGAGGACACAAGTGCCACTTTTCCTACTTTTTATTGCAATGTACTTGTGGATGGTTCTCACAACATATGCGTCATTGAGAACAGGCGAGAGTTGTGTGGATTCCTACAAGTCCTTGAAGCCGCTCCTTTACTCAATGTTATCACACCATCTGGACGTGGTCCAGATCGAGGAACTTAAGAAGACGAGAAGAAAGTTAGCTCATGAGGTGATGGAGTTCTGCGAGAAGTATGGACCTCTGATCTTTGACGACTATGACAAGTTTTACCGTGAATACAACCGCATTGACGAGAACACCAGTGATCTTGGCGAAGTTCTTGACGAAGAAGAAGAGACAGAGCACGGTAAGGCTGACCACGAGTCTGTTCACTCCAAGAGCGACTCATACTGGCTCGATAACTTGAGTAACATTCCGATCTTTTCGTCAGTGGATGAAAAAGATACTACGACACTGGAAGAGGATTCTGTTTCTGAAGTAAGCGACGCCTCACATGAAAAAGATGAGGATGTCGAGGAAGCGTCCCGGGAAGTGGAAGAAGAGGAGGAAGAGGAGAGAAGAGAGAATGCCCGGTTGAGGCTTCGTAAGGCCATGAAAAACAAAGCAAACCAATGGTAGGTTCCCCACGGTGAATGGAAGTCTACCACATGGTGGCTTAAGGAAGTGACTTGGCGCAGGGTGCACATACACATAGTGGAGTGTTTGTAAAGCGTGAATGGCTTAAGGCGCCGGTATGTTCTAAGCCTACATTTGATGGAAAATCCCAGCGACCAGAAAAGTATAGTCCAAGGTGTGGTAGGATTGCCATGCATGAGCAAACAATGTTCCAAGAAGACTAAACAGGCCCAGTTGCATTGGGGGCTATGGTGAGACTCGGAAGTCTTGGCTGGAGACCGAGGGCACTGGAGAAGAGCGATGGAGCAATTCGTGGGGTTGGAGGCCGGCGGCAGCAAGATTGTGCATCACGCTGTTTATGGAAAAAGGTTGACCCTGCCTACGTTGCCTGCCTACGACGTGCTGTTTACGTTGGAGTTGCCTGGTTTGGTGAGGCTTCTGCATTACAGGGCTTCGTTCAGCCAGACCCCCTCCTACCCCAGGAAGCTGAAGAGAGAGAGATACCACACATAGCATTGAGCTAAAATATATTAGCCGCCATAACTCTACCGTTGTAGACCAGGCAGCCAGCGGGACAAGGTACCCGAGGAAAAAGGGAAAAACCACGTGAAGGTTAAATTGGGTGTTTTGCATGTTTTGCGGATTCCGCTTTAGAGCACGTACACACAGCTGGTACCTCCATTTGGAGCCATTGTACCCGAACCCAGCCGTTGCCTGAGGTGTCAGATGCTCCTCCAGATCTGAAGTTTAAACGAGGTCTTGGTAGGCCAGGCAGCCCAGGCCAGGCAACAGTTATGGGACCAGAAGTGAAAAGTTAGTGGACCGCGGATCACCAGATGAAAAAGTGAAAAACGTGAAAAACACGAAACCTCGAACCCCCAACTCAACCTCGAGTCCCGAATCCCTTGACAAAGTCAGTGTCCCCCGACAATGTGGCCCTCCAGACCGAACCCGTTTTGTGCCTTTGTGCCTAGGTTTCTTTTTTAGGGTCCTTTTGTGCCTCGTCTTTGTAGTTTTTCCCCTTGCGGTAAAAAGCTTGCCTAGCCCTGGGGGGCAGCGCGGCCAGAAAATGCTCGTTTTTAGACGCCGTCCAGAAGCCTCTTTGCAGCCCACTGGCGCCTTTTGGCCAGGCGAAGCACAGGCGGAAGAAAAAGACTGACGATAAAAGGGAGGTGGTTTCTTGTTTTGTTGTTTTGGAGCTGTTTTGGATATTTACGTTTTTTTTTTGTCATGAAGATTGGGTTCCTTTTTATGGCGTTGGCAGCCGCTACGCCTATTCCTGCTGATACTAAGCTTAGAGTGACAAAGTGCTCCATGTCTTCGACGAGGACGGATGTGGTGGAGGAGCCCCAGCACTGGGTGCCAAAAATCGTCCAGGCGGCGGATATCGACTTTTCTGGGCCGTAAATGGAAGGTTTGGTTGGATGGGGAGAAGTGGAGTGGCCTGGAGTGGTATGGTGAAGTTTAGTCTGTTGTGGTTGTTAAAGGTTTTGGTGATTTGATGGTACTGTGATTTGGTGGTTAAAGGATGGATATGCCTTGCTATGGGAAAGGACATCGATATGGGATCGTCTTGAAGGTGAAACAGGGCTTGGTTGTTGCTGGGGGACGGCGTTGGTGGTTGTTTCAAGTGTAAACAGTCATCTGATGTTTGGTCCTTTTGGGGTCATGAAGCTGTTCCGCTTTTCAGGAAGCGAATTTCAGGCAAGGGGAATGATTCAGACGCTTGGGAATTTCATTTGGTGCTCTGTTGATGCCTGGTTGGTGAAGTAAAACGACTTGCTGATGTTGGATACCAGGTTCGAAGTCCAGGTAAACGCCAAAGGCACAAACAGAACGTGCCTTACGGCCCTTTGCCTGGAAACTGGCGTCTGGGAGCTTTGCTTACCCTTGGAAGTCCATCTTATCTCGAGACCTTCGATGGTTGTTGATAATGACTTCTTCAGATTAGCTCTTCATCGAATCGATCAAGACCTGTCTTTCACTTCTTTACAATCCTGCCACTACAGAGACCCAAGGGAACATTATATATCTTCCTTTGGCCATTCCATCGATGGTCAGCCGACCCTGGGGTGTTAGGGAGCAATGGCTTCATCTGGAACACTTCGGGCACCACAGGAGGTGTTGACTTGAAGAGAATCTATTTAAGGAACAGAAGGAGGTGCTAAATTTAGGTGGGCCATTAACTGTCTGTCTTGAACTGTCAGTCTGACCATTGGTCATATTGAACACTTACCAGTCTATGGTATGACGGCCTTCTCCACGTCCTCCACGGTCCTTTGGAAACCCCAACTTTTGTTTTGACGTGGGTAATATCACCGCTTTAGTTTGGGCAGATCTTGTTGCAGATCGATTTAGAATGGGCGATCAGTTCCACGATCATCAAACCGGATTGGGAACGAGGTCAACAATCAAAGTTTTCCCCCCTTCCTATTCACTATGAGTATGATCCAGAAGCTTAATTGTGGATCCATTCACGCGTTTATGCTTTGCCCTGATCGTCTTGTTGGATGTCTTTACGAGACCAACCACAGCAATCCATGCTGTTATGACTACTACTTTTGACTATTTTTACTTGTGTTTCCATGATACCTGTTTGCAAGGTGGCCGGCCGCCTTGTGTTATGATTAATGATATATTTAAATAAACTTTTGGGATACTGCGTTGTAGGGTGGAAAGTTATGGCTTGAGGAGACGAGGAGACGGGCACTGCCTTCGTCATTGGCCGTCGTACGATAGAAAAGCAATGGGATTTGATAGTGTTGTTGGTCATAATTATGGTTTTTATGGCATAGAGTGGGGGAACTGCCAGGTAAGTGGAAGTTTATTTGACGAGTTTCCTGGTGAATGAGAGTCATTTTATGATAAGGTTCACACCGTCAGTTGTTCCACGGCTTGTCCCCCACCGCCCTACGGTCGTCATTGATAGTACCTACAAGAAGCAATGAAGAGTAAAAGAAAGAACGCAAACACTATGAGGATCTCCAATTGGAGACAAAGAACTGATCCCATAAAACTGAATACTTATCTCCCACTACTTCCCACGGAATAACTTTCACGGAATTCCCTGGTTCCTTTGTTTCCTCTTCACTGACTTCTTTGTTTACAACGATCCTCCCAGGCCCATATATCGTCAGATACAATTTGTCAGACCAATCCAGATAACCCACTTTCACATGAGCTGGTCGCCTGATAAGCTAAACGCCAATCCAGAGAAAGCAAAAGAAATGAAGACAACCCTTTAACTACCTTTTCCTTTCCCTTTCTTCTGTTTCCTCCACCTGGTCGATCCTGGGTCTTTTCTTTTTCTATTGTCCAACATTCTCTCGTTCTGCCAGTTCAGACACACATGGTGATGTCTCGTTTGCAGCCAAAAAGGTGAGAAGCGCAGCAAGCCAGAACAACCATCAATCCATTAAATCCACGAGAAGACCTCTCTTCCTTATTTTTTCCAACCTCTTACTTTCTCTCAACTGTCTCTTAATATTCCCATTTCTTCCCATATTTTTTCATTTCTCTTCCTCGTCTCGGTGCTACCTCGGTTAGTGGCAGCTCGTGACCGCTGACTCATGAAAGCACCACCATACAACCAAAAACCAACAAGCTCAACACACCCGTGGGAAAAAAAGAAGACACTCTAAAACTCAACAAATAAAGAGACATGTCTTCCCCTCTTCTTGCCCGCCTCTGGACTATAAATACTCGACGTTTTTCCCTTCCTTCCCTCTCTCTCTTTTTCTTGCTGGTGCCTGGCGCAACCTGGACCTGCCTCTTAGCAGCACTGTGCCCTCTCTGCCTCGTTATCGCTGATCCGCTATCGCCCGAGCCACAACTTCATCTTTGCCACTCTTCCTTACCACCTTGTCTTTCCACCACCACTGGAATTTTTCCTAAACACCACTTGCTCCTAAAACTACTAAACTTCACATTTCACCATGAAAATCACCTTCAGATTATCCACCGAGTTGTCGTACACTGTAACAGTGCCTGATAACTCCACCGTGGAGGACCTTGCTAACGCTGCCAAGGTGGGCTGCCCTCCAGAAACGTCGTTGCCTTCGGATTTTAAGCTCATTTATAATGGTTCTCGTTTGGCTCCGTTTTATAAGCCGCTAGAGACGTTTAACTTGGTTCCTTCGAACTCCCACAATACGGTCATTCTTATGAACGCTGCTGACGCTCCAGAAGCAACGCCGGCTCCGGCTAAAACACCTGCTACTTCTACAAAGAAGAAGTCCAAGAAGAACCGCTGCTCGTTCAGCTCATGCACTTCGGTTGCCCTTAGAATGGTGGGCGACTGTGGCCACTGCAACGGCAAGTTCTGCGCCAAACACCGTCTTTTGGAGGACCACTCTTGCACGGGCTTGCAGTATTGCAAGGACGATGCCCATGAGAGAAACGCCATGAAGCTTCAGAGCGAAAGCACTATTGCATCTAGAGTTTAGGTAGCCCTGAAGCTGCTACTATTGCTTTTAGACCGCTGTGCAAGCTTCTACCTGCCAGTGCCCCCAGGGCTATCACCCGCCACAGAATAATGCCTGGTTTTATACCTTTTGTACGATGAACACGTTTTAATGCCATACAGAGTGTAGAGAAGGCACCCTTCATTCTAATTTTAACTTCTACAAGCAGTAAACTAATCTTTACATTAAATTATCCAAGGTGTGATCCGATCGTAAACATACTAAGTATACAGAAGTCATAAAGTCAACTATGCGATGCAATCAATTATGCAACAAATTATGCAAAATGTCATCAAATTTACCGTTCGTGGCGTTGTTGGCCTTCACCAAAATCTCCTCCGCTTCCCTGTAGGCCTTTTCTTGCTCAGGACTATCGAGTTCATGGACGTTACCAAGGGAAATCATGGCTTCGGCGACATTGACCCAGGTTTCTGGCTCATCTGCATCCTGGGAGTCTTTCAAGTATTTCAATGCCGTGGAAAACAACTTCTGACTATCCCTCTGAGCGTCGTGTTTGCTGAGACCGTCAATGTCCAGCTTGTCCTTGGCGTAGTAGGCTAATGTAGTGTACACGTTGGAAGGCACTTCGGCCTCCATAAGGTAAGACTGACCAAGACGCTTGCACAACTCACGGCGCAAGATGGTCAACGGGTGGTCTTTGCTCTTTTTGTTTTCACCTGCAAGACGTTTATCCAAATTGTTCAAGAATATAATCAGGTGGTCTCTCCACCATCTGTTGTATTTGTCTGTGTTTTTGATAGAATGCAAGGGGTGGTTTTCGTCTAACCTGAGATCTTTATCTTCGTCTTCAGCATCGCTATCCTCTCCTTCAAGATGTTCCTGGCCAAAGTTGTCTACCACGTCGAGAAGGTCATCCAAAGCCTGTAGGAAGTCCAAGCTCTCGATGTTGTAGTAGTCGTACTGATTGAGCTGTCCGGTCAATTCTTCAGCCTTTTCCCATTGGCTTAGACACTCGTCAAGAAGCTGGGCGCCTGTCTGGGCCTTAGCAGCGACTCTACTTTCCGTGTCCAAACGAGAAATCACCGTCAAGGCGATCTTGTTAATCATAATCCGTGCCTTGGCGAAAAGAATGTCAATAGAATTAGGGAAAAGCTCTTCGCCCCGGCTGATCCGGTCCATGGCTTCAGTGAAGTAGGCCTCCACCTTATCCCTTTCTTCGGTATGGAAAAAGGCAAGATTCGACAAGGCCAACGCGTAGATGGAGTAAAAACGTCCAGTGATCTCCACGTTCTCCTCGTCACTCTCCAGCTTACTGTCCAGATGAGCCTTTCTCAAGATTCGGTCACACTCATGGATTATCCCATTAAGCACAAGCTCCTTCTTATCCTCGGAAACAAAGTACGTTCTCCACAACGCTGCCAACTGGCCCACGGCATCGTTAGCGTCGATCTCTGCGCCCAACTCCACAGTCAACTCATTGGGTCCATTTTCGTCCCCATTCCCATTGACATCTGTTTCCACTTCACTAGCCACAGCAACATCGCGAGGCTCTTGCGAGAGAGAGGACTCGTTTTCCACGGCGGCGGCGTCTGGTTTCTGCTTTTTCGCTTTGGCCGCCTTTCCCAAGCCAAGGGGTCTTTTAGGGGGCATGCTGGATGTGTTTGGAAGATAAGGGGGTTCTACAAACAAGGAAAAAGAAGCTGGTTGCAAAGAGTGTAGCGAAAAAATGAAGGCCTCATTCGCCTCATGTGGACTGCGAAGATGCAGCAGCTTTGGGCCTGCAGTGGGTCCACGACATCGCGACATTCCATCGCGCGACATTTTGGCAACAACCGCTGTGCTTTTGGGCCATCCACCGCCCCAGCATCCAGCGCCTCAAGGCGGTGGGTGGTGGGACCTTGGGGGTGGAGGCAGGCACCTGGAGCGTCGCCACAGGGCGGTGAAAGCGGTGGGGGTTGGTGAAAGTACCGTGGTGTACGGGTTTATTCAAAATAAAAGTTCGTTTTGCGTCTTCGTCTTGCAGATCATGCGTCGTGGTCGTTTGCAGCCGTTTCGCAGACGAAGCAGAAGGGTGGTTGTTTTTGACGAAGGAGTGTGAAATTGGTGATTCCAGTGGTATATTCGTTTTCAAGGGGCCGAGTTTCTTCGGAATCGTCTTTTTCTTTTCTCTTTTGGACCACTTGGGCCAATTTAGCTGTCCCTTTTGTCCAACACTCTATTTACGTCAGTTGGGTTGCGTCAGTGTTCTAGAAATGCTGAAAAAGCACAAGATGCAAAGTAGAGAATAAAAAAGACTACGAATAAGCAGCGAAACATTTGGAACGGCCCGGTCACGAAAAACGTAGGGGAATACCTTCAATTTTGAAGACTTGGCGGCCTATGGAGTACCGAATCACGTAGAGAAAGAGGTAATTGATGGAGTAGAAAATGGTGGGTTGCTTGTTTTGGAGTGTTTGAATTGGAAAGGTCTGGGACGTCCAGAGCAGACCAACTGCTCTTCTATTTCACCAAATCCAACCAACTTTGGTCATAAACTAAATAGAAAAAGAAACGACGATGGATGTTCCAAACGTGAAAACGTTGCATCAAAGGCGTCTATCCGCCTCGAAAAATAGAACAAACTTTCTTTCAAAAAGGGCGTGACGTCGTTGCAGACAGTGCACTTGTTCCAAATGACGAAAGCATGGGAAAGGGAGGATTTAGCCGGGTTGGGGCGCTTCTCTGCAAATGGCTTAGAACGGCGAAATGAGCCCGCCGCTAGCCACCACAAACTTCATGGGATTCCATACATCTGTGGCACGCTATGGGTGGTTTTGGAGACACGACTCATTTCAGGACACTTTTGTGTATCAAGGACCTTTCTTAGGCGTCCAGGATAGAGTTTATGTAGAGTTTGGGTGGTAGTAGAGGGAGGCCTAGAAGTCACCTAAAAGAACCAAAAAATGGCTCTTCGTGCTCCACTAGCCACGATCTCCTTAGACCATCTTCCAGTCTTCTTTGGCGGCCCCTGGACCATACGTTAACCGAGGAAATCTGGGTTTTTCTGTTCGAGGGCGGGCCCTCGCATCTCTTTTCCATGCAAAGAGGGCTAAAGCTGTCTTGTGTTTTATTTTTTTGTTCTTTCTTTTTCTTCTATGGACGGGGGGCTAATACGTCATGGACAAATGTCGTTCTGATTTTGCCTGGCTAGTTTTGTTCGTTTTGCAGCCATGGGTGAAGATACCGTTTATCTGCCCCGCCATTGTTGTTTGACGTTGCCCCACCTCGCCCCACTATGCTCTTACAAGTCCCACAGTGCCGCACGCAGAGAGCTTGTTTTGGTGCCATTGTTAGGAAAATCCCTGATGTACGAGCACGTGATACGTCACATGACTGATCACGTTTACAAAAACACATGTCATAAACCACGTGACTGATTACTATCGCTCACGTGCGTTTACTGCATCACGTGCATTCAGCTAATCAGAACGGCTGCAAAGGTATATATCCACTGAACATCACCAAGCCCGAAACTCCATCAAAAACTCATCTTATGACCCTTCTCGCATCGCTCAGCTGTGCTAACGAACGGCACGTGATCGTCGGTGGTCTTGCACCCGTCGCCGCCATCAGAGCCAAAGCTATCCTTGCAGCAGGCGCTTTCCCCATACTTATAGAGCAGGCTCCAAGCGATGAGCTTTCCAAAACACTCCAAGGACTCATAGAAGAGGGCAAAGTGACACATGTGAATGAAGAATATACCAAAAACCATCTTGTTAGCGTTGGACGTGAAGAAGTTGATAATGTCGTTGACAAGGTATTTGTCACTTTATCTCAGTCCCAGCAACTGCTTAAAGAACAGATTTCTGCTGACTGCAAACGTCTACGAATCCCAGTGAACGTTTCTGACTCGTCTGAGCTTTGTACTTTCACTTTGTTGTCTACGCATAGTGCAGGCGATTTCCAGTTTGGTGTTACTACTTCAGGTAAAGGTTGCAAATTGGCACTGAGGATTAAGAGAGAGCTTGTAGGAGCTCTTCCTAGTAATATTGCACAGATTTGCGATAGAGTTGGAGAGCTTCGAAAGCAGATCCAGGAGGATGACGCTTTGGAAGAAGTGGGTGGCCACGATGACGATGCTATCAACACATCCAAGCTTAATTCGTTGGTTAAAGAGTTTAATATGACCAGACTGCAACAGGCTACACAAAGATCACGCTGGCTTTCTCAGATCGTGGAGTACTACCCGCTTTCAAAACTAGCAGACGTTTCACTTGAAGACTTGAAGGAACAGTACAGACAAGATAAGGAAGAGAGCATCCAGAGAAAGAAACAAAAACTCGAAAAGAAGGGATCCCTTAGTCTCGTGGGTTCTGGACCAGGTTCTGTTTCCATGCTTACGCTTGGAGCACTCCAGGAAATCCATTCTGCCGACCTTGTTTTGGCAGATAAGCTTGTTCCTCAGCAGGTTCTTGATCTTATACCAAAAAAGAGCACCAAGCTCTTTATCGCCAGAAAGTTCCCTGGTAACGCTGAGCGTGCCCAGCAAGAACTCTTGGAAATAGGTCTTGATGCTCTTCAGAAGGGCGAAAAGGTTGTTCGTTTGAAGCAAGGTGATCCATATATCTTTGGCAGAGGCGGTGAAGAGTTTAATTTCTTTACCAGCCATGGGTTCCCTCCCGTGGTGCTTCCAGGCATCACTTCTGCCCTTGCAGCTCCAGTTTACTCGAACATTCCAGCTACTCACCGTGAAGTGGCAGACCAAGTATTGATTTGTACGGGCACAGGGCGGCGCGGGGCGTTGCCCAACTTGCCTGAGTTTGTGGAGTCTCGTACAACTGTTTTCCTTATGGCGTTGCACAGAATTGTTCAGCTTATTCCACATTTAATAGACGAAAAGGGCTGGAGACCGGATCTTCCCGTGGCCATTGTGGAGCGTGCTTCTTGTCCTGACCAGAGAGTGATCAGAACGACATTGGAAAAGGCAGCAGCTGCTGTTGAGGCTCTTGGATCGAGACCTCCAGGTTTATTTATTGCAGGCAATGCCTGTCATGTTTTGCAAAAGAAGGGCAATGAGGACTGGGTCGTGGAAGAAGGTACCCAGGAGCCCAAGTTGAGCGGGTTCTTACAACAATTGAGTCATCCAGTGGAGGGTGAACGAATTGGAGTTCCCGAGACAATTACTACTGACTTGAAGGTGCCTGTGGCAGCCAAGTAGTATTTACGTATACATAGTTAACTGCATATTTATTAATCCAGACACTGGTGAACAATGAGCTTCAGTAATCCAAAATACTGTTATTTGAATAGATAGCCCCCTGTGTTTTACTTTTATGGTTGAAAAGAGGGAAAATTAGCAAGAAAGGTGTCCAGTTGTGCTTACTCTGGAAGACAACCTCTACTGACTTGTGCAAACTACAAAAAGGAGGCTATGGCAGTACGGCTGGAAGACGTTGAGGAAACGGTATCGTTACAGAAGACCCTGATAAAACAGTAAAAGCATTTCGTTGGCTCGCCCTTTCTCAAAAGTGTTTCAACACTATTTCCCTATTATAAGCAAAACTACAGCACCAATTGACGTTTCACATTTGATTAAAGGCCTTAATTTTTATTCTCCTTTATTACATTCTGTCGTTGATATCTAAACTTTTACCCAATCCAGCCAGAACCCAACCCAGCCAGAATCCAGTCCTCGTGTCCACTTCTTCTGTGGATTTCACAACCAGCAAGTCCAATTCAACATCGAACCCCATGGAAGACCACCTCAGATATTCTTCTTCCAATAAACCAGACGTTCTTCCATGGAACTCCATGATCTCCAGAAATTATCTGGCCGGTATTTAGGATATCATTAGACCTACCGCTTTTGTATTCGCAGCCGTATACCTGCTTTATTCGAACCAACACCTCCATATACCCATCACCAGGAGGTCATTCATTCGATTTATCAATTGGAAAGTCCAATTGGAAGGCACGCTCTGGGGTATATAAGGTCGGCCTTTTTCCCTCTGTCTCGGTTTTCTTCTTCTTCTTCTTCTTTTCTCACCAACTAATTTCATCAAAATGTGTCTTACCAAGTGCTACAACATCTACAACTGCTACCTCCCATTGGACGTAACCGACGCTAGATTCCTGATCCACGATGGCCAGGTAACAAGCTCTCATGAAAACAGCGGTCTGGCTTACATGCCTTGGACCACAGCTGAGTTCAGAGAGTTCCTTAGTTACTTTGTCCACGCCAGAACCAACTGGCGCCTGAAGCTCGAGGCTCAGATTATCTATACTAAGAAAATCATGCTTCTTGCTGAAAAGTATGATGCCCCAGAGGCACACAATGCTGCAAAATTGCGGCTCCGTAGCGCTCATAAGCTTCTTAAGGGTATTACTCTTAAACAAACCAGTCCTCCCCCTTCAGAGGAGTCCAAGACAGCCATGAAGGAACAACTCAGCGGGTATTTTGCTAAGGCTGTTGCCGAGGCAAAGAAGGCTACGCTTGCTCGGGCCAACAAACGGAAGAGCAAGAGCCAAACGGCTCGCCAGAAGGCTTCTCCAGTCTTCTGGCCTACTGACTTCTACAAGTATAAGGAGAGCGTCAGTGAGAAGGATAGCCATAGTTACTTACCTTGTGACTTTTATAAGTATAAGGAAAGTATCAATGAGAAGGTGGTTCCTACTTATTTGCCTTGTGACTTCTACAAGTACATGGAGAGCATTAACGAGAAGGTTACTCCTTCCTACTTACCTTGTGACTTCTATAAGTACAAGGAGCTCTTGAACCAGCACGAGAAGGATTCCTTCTTGCCAGCTGACTTCCCCTTGTTCAGGGAAACCGTGAACAAGAAGACCTACCCTCAGTACTTACCTTGTGACTTTTATAAGTTCAAGGAGTACTTTAAAGAAACTGAAGGTGTTTCGTACTTACCTTCAGACTTCTATAAACTCAAAGAGTACTTTAGGGAAACTGAAGGTACTTCGTACTTACCTTGTGACTTCTACAAGTTCAAGGACTACTTTAAGGAATCCGAGGTTGCCTCCTTCTTACCTTTGGACTTCTATAAGTTCAAGGAGTACTTTAAGGAATCTCAGGATACCTTTTACTTACCTTGTGACTTCTACAAGTTCAAGGAGTACTTCAAGGAGCCTCTGGATATCTCCTACTTACCTTCCGACTTCCCCTTCTTTAGACATCTTCTTGTCGAGAAGTACCACAGGCAATACTTGCCTACTTGCTTCCCTCACTTCAAGGCAGCACAGTCTCTTCAGAAGACTTATCTCCCTGGTGACTTCCCCCACTTCTTTACCATCTGGACTCGTACAATCTACCCAGTTAGAAGAAAGGTCCTGGGTAGAAAGAGTACCAGAAAGACTAAGCCGGTTTCTAGAAGGAGTTCCATCATCCAGAGTCCAATCACTCCCTCTACAGCAACTGGGTTGACGTTGCGCCGGCCGCTCAGCCCTGAACCTCTTTATAAGGAGCCAATTCGGAAGGTTCCCAAGAAGGTATCCATTGCAAGCTTGAACCGCCACGTGAAGCATTCGGTTCGGGTCTTGCGTCCTCTCTGTCAACCATAGACAGCCATAAGTATGTAGCGAAGTATCTACATTATATATTCAATAAAGATTAAAATTTAATGAAAGGGATGAGTTGTATGATGAGGATTGAAGTTAAAAAAGACTGGTTTATAGTGGTTTTGGTGGTATTGGTTTTCTAGTATGGGATGTTTTGTGTACACTTCTAACTCTACTAGAAATGGCTCAAAATGAAAGATTTTGGTCTCATAGGAATGCTACACTTTTGAAGAAACCAGAAGACTTATAAATTGTCAAAAACCAAGAATTCCTGGAGAAATAAATGAAGCTTGGAGGAAGTAGGAAAGACATTGGTAGTGCATACAAGACACTGGGTTGCAGCTGGACCAATTTTATGTTGATAATATACGAATTATGACTCTTCATTTACTGAAAAACAGTCATTATCGTCAATTTCGTCCTAAAACTTATAAATAGACCATGTAAGTGATCTCAATTGCTATTTAAAGAGAACTCAAAGAAAAAATATCACAAAAACGATGAGCACATCTAAAGAGGATGAATTTCAAGAAAAGGGCATAAAGTCTAAGACTGACTCAAAGCCAAATTGTAAGAAAAGACATTCAGAGCTCTCAAATGACCCTGAACAAACAACTGACTCCCTTCGTGTGTTCAGAAATGCCATTGACTTCGCCAAAAGTTGCCTTAAGCGTAAACCACCAAAAGAAGTTACCATTCGCTTTGAAATACATGGCGAGCTCAGACGAAAAGTCGTTGGTCCAAGAGGGAAGACTATAAAAGGCATTGCAAGGGTCAATGGGGTTCAAATTTCTGTAGGAAGGGCCCAGTTTCCTTCTTGGCCCAATCTGTGGCCTCTTCTGCGGCCTAATCCAGAAAGATACGATTCGCCATATCCTGTTTTTGGTACTGATCCGTGGGGAGAGGTAAGTAGAGGAAGATTTGAAAGAGTGGCTGTTGTTTTGATTAGGGGTGATGTTGTTGCGTGTAAGAGGGCACAGAAAGAGATACTGGATGTTATGGATAAGTACATTGAGTCGATGAGAGTGGAGACAGTCGTATCTTGGAAGATATCTCATTGGGATACCGAAATAGAGAGACATCTACAGGAGAAGTTCCCTCAAGCAAAATTCGACATCAAAAAACTTAAGGATCGGGAGTATTCGTTGACTCTTACAGCCGAAAAGGCATGGTTTGAAGAACTATGGATGGAATTGAAGCGCTATATTAGTGGATTGGAGGGTAAGATGATAACTCGTCAAGTGAACGTTCCTCAGTATCTACGGTGTGCCGTTCCTGAGTTTGAAGAGAAGGGCTTGTTTGTCGGAACTGACCCAGACGATCCAAAAGACGTTTTATCCATTTTTTCAAACGATAAAGCTACAGTCACAAGGGCCAAAGCGCAAATAAAGGCGGCTCTTGCAGAATATCATGTGAAGACAATAAACTTAAAGGAATCTTGCTTTGGCTCAAACGCTCATGTATTGGCTGTGGTACTGTTCTTGGAGAGAGATAACAAGATAAGGAATATTGCAAGGTCCAGTGGAGTGGAGTATTCTAAACTGACTAAGGATGATACTTTTAGCATAATCGTGGTTGGAAAGGATAAGTCTGCTATTAGTCTTGCAACGGAACTGATAGAGAAGCTTATACTAAATATCCCTCCAGAATGCCTCATGTTCACTGACTATATTCGCTTAGGTGACATTCCAGAGGCCAAAAGACTTCTCCAGGCTGCAGCTAGAAAGAATAATGTTGAGTATGTTCAGTTACAAGGGAGATTTGCACTATTATGCCAATCAAATCAAGCCCCGGCTGATCCTCAGAAGCGTTTAGTGGAGGTAAAGAACTCACTTAGCTCTTTAACACCTGCCTCAGAGCCTTCAAAGGAAACATCATTGTATGCTCCTTCTTATGACCAACACCATCGGGATCTCGCGTCGCTTCTAAAAGAAGGACTCAATGAAGATGTACAGATATTCATCCATAGAGATAAGCATAAGGAACCCTCACCAAATGAACTTTACGTCTGTGGCTCAAAGACTGCCATCGAAAAGGTGAAAACTAATCTTCAGACAATACTCAAGGACATCCAGGCATTTGAAACTGAGGGTCCTTTTTAGGAAGTGGCAGGTGAAGATTCGGATCCACGACCAAGGAAGGGAGTACAGGGCTAGGCATTTGATCATTGACAGAGCTCAGGAAACTAAGTTGACTATCGAAGGCGTCAAGTATAACGTTGAATTGGCTGCTGAGAGATTGTTAGAGGAAGCAGAAAGCCTCTCCAATATGATGATTGAGAGGGTAACAATACCCTATGAATACATGTCCAGGGTTGCAGGGTTTGATTGTGAGAACCTAAAAGACTTATGTGAAAAGTTTGGAGTTCAGGTATCTCTCCCTCATTTTGAGCTGTACTTCCCAATTCCTAAGTCTAAGAATGAGATAGTTATTGAGGGTTCTTCACTGGTGATTGGGAAAGCCAAAGAAGCACTTATTGAGCTCTATGAAGCAGCAAAGAAGTGTGATGATAGGGTATCTCTTAAGGTCCTGATCGAGCTGTACGACGAAGTATACGAGCTAGTTGTTGAAGACATCGGTCTAGCAGTGGATTGTGTTTCCCACACGGAGAAGAAGATCGCCAATGAAGAAGGATATGGCATGTTCGAATTGGCTGGGACCAAAGAGAACCTCGAGCTTGTCCGCAGAAAGATTGAACGGATGATTTGAAGGGAAGCATGAGCGTTCAAGGAGAGGAGACGTTCCAAGTAATTGAGCAAAGTACCTTTTTTAATGTTTGAAACAACTGAGCTTCCTCAGATGGAGAGTTAAGTCAAAGATATCAAAGAACACTCATGGGCTATGATCGTGTTCTAAAGGTTCTTACTGATTTTGACCAATACCTCATACACTTAACTTATAAACCAATTCAAAGCAAAGAGAATGAAAAACAGGATTCCTGCTTCCTTCCTGACAGCCAAATCTTCTACTATCTATACTTCTACATGCTTCAGAGATAACCATATTTCGCAGCCATTGCAGTTGCAGCCAACCGTCAGCAACCACCAAAAACCAATATTTTAAAAGCCAATAAAGCTTCAAATCGTCTCAAGCAACCACCCCTGACTTCCTCTACGCCCTCCCCACCCTCCTCCAACCTCTTCCTCTTCCCACCCACTTTCCGTCTTGCCTTATATAGTGCGCGATTATCAACATCAACTAACTACTACCACCAAACCAGACATTCCCATCTTTTCCCCCACAATCCGATAGAAAACACATAGTATGCTTTTAGCTCGCTTGCCTAGAACCAGGGCATCCCTTAGAACCCCATTTTTCATCCGCAGCTTCACCCACAAAGCCAATTCAGATGTGGCTTTCGTTTTCGATATAGACGGTGTGCTCATGAGAGGCCATAAACCGATTCCACAGGCTCCAAAAGCGTTGAATTTGCTTAATGAGCGGAAGATTCCATATATACTTTTGACCAATGGCGGTGGCGTTTCTGAAAAAGCCCGTGTGGACTTCTTATCTGGCCAGTTGGGTGTTCCGTTATCACCACTTCAGATTGTTCAGAGTCATACGCCCATGAGGGTCTGGGCCCAAGCTGGTAAGTACAAGAGAGTGCTTGTTGTGGGTGGAAACGACGATAATGCTCGGTATGTTGCTGAGGAGTACGGGTACAAAGATGTGGTGGTGCCAATGGATATAGTGAAGCTGGACCCTTCGGTTTCGCCCCACCACAGGTACCTGGAGAAGCAATTGGCGACCATGGCGCGTGCTGTGGACTTGAGTAAGCCAATTGATGCTATTTTGGTGTTTAACGATCCAAGGGATATGGGTACAGACTTGCAGATTGTGATGGATGTGTTGAATTCGAAGCAGGGATTGATTGGAACTAAACGGGGCATTAACGAGTGGTCAGAGACGCCAGCGGTGCCTATTGCATTCAGTAATAACGATTTCGTATGGGCCAACGACTACGTTTTGCCCAGGTTTGGCCAGGGTGCGTTTAGAATGGTCGTGGAGCGTCTTTATGCTGAAATGAATGGTTTGCAAGGAACCCAAAACCTCCAACTGACCATTTTGGGTAAACCGTTCCCTGTACAACACGACTACGCCCACTGGGTGCTAATTGAGTGGAACAAGATCATCCATGGCCACGACAACCAAGGGTTTATTCCCGAGTTGGATGTCAAGCCAGAACACTCTCCATTCAAACAAATCTACATGGTGGGAGACAATCCGGCGTCAGACATTGCTGGAGCCAATGCCTGCGGATGGAGATCGATTTTGCTTAGAACAGGCGTTTTCAAAGACGAAGATTGGGCGGTCACCGAGCACAAGCCCAACGTTGGGGTTTTTGACAATGTTCTAGATTCAATTGAGCATGTCCTTGAACAGAAACAATAAAGAAAAAAACACAAATGATGGTGGAGGACCGCCCGTGGCTTACCCAAGGGCGGGCTCGGCGGCGTCAGGATAAACTAGGCAGATTTCGTCATTGTCCTTGAACCACAATTGAGGAAAGTCGAGCCGGATGGCCACTGCCCCGATCGATTGAAACGCAAACCCACCCAGGACAAAGATCAACTAAAACAATTAACTACAATCGAAAGTTGCGCGATCTAAAAGCTAATCACGCCGATAGCTAAGCTTATTGATAGTAGTACAATGACGTTTTGTGTGTCGCGTCGTGTAAAACGATCAACGTGGGATTTCTAAATGGTGATGACAATGGAGGAGGTGGGAGGAGCTTTGGGGAAATTTTGGGGGGAAGGAGGAGAAATTGGCGAGTTTAAGAGAGGTCCCCCTGATACACAATGCCACCACAGAAGATCTATTTGGCAAAGAGGTCATACGGGGTAATTAGGCAAAGAGTGATTGAAGAAAGAGCCTCCCATTGATGGTGATGTCTTTGTTGGGTCGAAATGTATGCATACGAGATCTGGAATACTCTCGAGTCCAGAAGAGCTTATGAAAAGGTGGGATGATTTTAAAAGCAAAGGAAAGTTTAAGCTGCTTTGCTATTTTAAGATAAAACATCAAGCATGCTAACGCCGTCCACCGTCGACGGCCCGCCCCGCCTTACGAATGTTAAATGTCATTCTCGTTTCACTCCAACTCGAAGATCTTCATTTTCTAGAAAACCCACAATCGACTGCACTCTCGATGCACAGGAGATCTTCAGGCGACTTGAAGAGACAGTCGTAAAAATATAACGGCACGCGAGGAGAAGACAATAAAAAGGAGATTCAGTTATTGCGTTTCTGATGCTTCTGATCACCCCACAATGACATAATTGCTTGGAGACAAAAAAAGGAGAAGGCAGGAAACTTCAAGAGGGTTCAATGTCGTATATTTTGCTCGTGGATTCTACGACGTAGCGAAAGTTCCAGGATCTGGCAGAAGACGAAGAAGTGGAAAAAAAGAGGTTATTGTTTAAGACGGTTTAAACTTGTTCTAATGAGAGCCTTCTAGATGTCTCTCTCCCCAAAGAGACCTTACGCACGGTCTCGAAAGAGAGGCTTTTCTTCAATGCAAGGCTTTTATTGGAGGAGACCAATAATATTCTGATGATTATGATGCTTATTTTTTTGCTTTTCTGGTTTATTTTTTTGGAGAGGTTTCCAGAATAATACAGCCGTGGGGTGGTTGTCTACTTATGTGCATTACACAGCTTATACTGTTTGCCGAAGAGCCGCCCTCCTTTGTCTTGTCAAGAAGCCATTTTTCCCTTTGTCTTGAACCTGTCTTATCCGGACGTCAAACCAACATCTTCACAAAAGGTTTGGGGGAACAGCTGCAAAACACCCAAAGTTAGTTTGGTTAATTGCGTGTGAAGCAGAAGCACCAATTTTTTTTTTTTTTTTTCGCTTCCGAATTCATCGATCTGATATCTCCGGCTTTGGTTCCTGGCCCTGGCAATAGTGGTTAGTTTCCTAGCGAGTTCCCCGAACATATTTTGCGTCTTTTGCTTTTGACAGCCGCCCGTTGGTTATAGCAATGTTTGGCGCTACCTGGCTCTGGATTTATTGCTGATCGTCACATACCATAAGTTTCCACGGCTATCTCAAACAATGACAATCAGCAATCGCCAACATCTACAATCACTTGATCTTTGAACGGCTCTAACTTTGCTTGTTAGATTTTTATTGTGGTTACGAGCTGATTTTGAAAGCAAAGGTTACATGGCAAACCCGGAGAAGTATCCACATTTAATGGAGATGTTTGCGCTGTGCATCCGAACCAGGCTCAACTAGGCTATTCTTCCGAACGCCCACGAGGGCCCCCCAAAAGCTGCCCTGTCGTTGTATCATGTTTTTCGAGTCCTTACATGAAAGATGTGCGTTTTTGGATCCGCTGATGTTGTAAGTGAGCATCGCATGTGATAAGATTTAGCCGATCGATGTTTCCGAAAAGGACATGAGTCAAGCGAGTCATCTGGCTCTGGGAACAACATCCACAGATTGCTCTCTTTGCTTTGTGGAAGGCAACGAAGCAAAAATTGCGCTCATTCCAGGGAACGAAAGTTTGAAGTTTAAAAAAAGAAGGGCAAAGTGGGTTTCATGGGGGATGTATGGGTTTTTTTCCCCGAATTGACCTAACAATGCTTTAGCTCAATGGAAGGCACATTAGCATGAATTGGCAAGTATGGAAGGACCTTTTTTGTGAAAAAACATGAAAGCAGAAAAAAAGCCACCTGCCCGTTTTGATCTCTACTTTCCATCGGCGTCTTGCATGGTCGCGCATAGAGGTGCGTATTTATACATATTACAATGCCGAAGGAGTGCTCTGTGTGCGCTGATCCCTGCATTACCGGATACATTATACAGCAAGGTGCGTCTCAGACCCCCCACGTCTACTTTGGAGCTCTTTCAAACGGCTACCACCTGGCCCACTTTCTGGACTTTCATCTTGATCTTGTTGTTTTGTCGGTCATTGTACCACCATTCCGACTTCCCCGTCCCCCCCTTTCCCCGGTGGCTGAAGAATGCGTGCTCGGGTAGAATTGCGCTTTTTCAGAGAACAAAACCAACGCCTACCTGCAACGCGGCAAGCTTTATCGTTGGCTGCGCATTGGCTCGGTCTTACACCGGTGTTCCGCACCTATCTTAAGTAACATTCGAATAAGGTTCGAAAAATTGGGGTGTTGGCGGTGCCTGATGGCCAAACGGCGGGGTGCACTGTGAAGTGGGACACTGGTTGGCTGGGAATGTCTTTTTTTGGGTCGAAACACGTCGCATATTGGTCATTTCGTGGTGGTTTAAAAGTACCCACTCTAGAAATCACCTCTTAGCGGCCTTTCCGATTAATCCAAACTCTCATGCCATTCACCGCTACACTCTTCGTGTAACCATTGCTTGGGGTTACGTCCACAGCGTCTTTGCGGTTTAAATCCATGCTTCTGCAAGAACAAACCGTCACTTTTTTATTCCCCATGATAACCCCGACCGCTGGATCTTTCTTCGTGCTGTTGCTTCTGTGTTCTGTGCTATTTACGCTGTCCTGCTTTGTCTTTTGTGCTCCCTGGGGCCTTACGCTAACCTTTTTGGCGGTCTTTGGCGGTACTTGGATTTTTTTTTTAAGTAGCCGTGCATTGCCCATCGTTAACGCAACACCGATGGAGATGGTAATCGCTGGCAAGGGATATGCATAGGAAAGTTTAACCCTGGGGCTTCTTCGGGTTAAACCCGTCCAGCAAAAGGGCAAACTCTGGTAAAGCTAAAGTGCTACAATTGAGGTTATCCTGATTGTTTATTGATTTTTGCCGTTCTATAAAACAGTCTTGGGTGATTAAAAGACTGGAGGGGGTCCTTTTTAAGGACATGGTGAATTGAAAATGAATAGATATTTTTTTTTCGTGGCGTCGTAACCAGGCCTAGCCTGATTCTTTAGTTTGGTAGTCTCCCTGGTCACCTGTAAACTGGGTAGTCGTGGTAAACAGGCGAGGCAGAGCTGGAAGACGTAGAAGATGGTGGAGACGCTAACGTGCTTTGTTGTTGTTGTTGTTGTTGTTGCTGCTGCTGCTGCTGGTACGGAAGAGGAGGAATCTCAATCACCTGGGCCTGCTTCAGGCGCTTCTTGGACTCGTCTAGCGCCTGCTTCTTCACCAGAATACGTCTACCGTTCTTTCCCTTGCACACCTTATTGTTAAGCACTTCTTCAGCAGCCCAGGCAGCGCCCTTTCTTCTGACAAGCTTAGCATGGAAGAGTCCACAGGCATTGCACAATGTACGCAAGCCATTAGGTCCTCTTCTCCATTCAGGCGTCTCGGTGGTTCCACATCTGTGGCACTTGTTCATAGGCTTGTTGATGATCTCTGGCACTCTGTATTCAGACTGTGGTTTGGTCTGTGGAGAGCTCACCATTGGGGGCAGTGGATAGTACACTGGCACGTAGTAGTGCAGCTGGTGGTACTGGACGTGTGGCTGGTGATGAGATGGGTGTCCGTACGAGTAGTAGGAAGATACTGGAGCAGCAGTGGGAGCAGCAGATGGAGGTGGAGTTGGCTGCAAATGCTCGTAGCTGCTGTGTTGCCTGTAGTAAGGCCTTGGAGGCTGCTGGGTCATAACAGGCAGCAAGTTCTGGGGCAGAATGGCCAACGTCGGTCTGGAGATCATGTTGTGAAGGGGATCAGACGAAGGAGCTGAATGGCTGGTTAATTCTGAGATGGAAGGTAATTTTACCTTTGAGGCTGTAGCTGCGGGCATAATGATTGTGGAGTATTGGGAGGGTATTTGGAAATTAGGTGGAATTGACGGAATAGGTGGGGGCAGGACGAGGTATATATATAATTTTGACAGATTTAGAGACGAGGTGTTTAAGGTTTGATTAGCCGAGATAAAAATTCATGAACGTGAAAAATCAATGCACCAGACGAGCTGCGGGATGGGTAGTCTGTGCAGTAATATGTGGTGCATGGAAAGCTGCTTCCTGTAATGCGCGCTGCAACGCATCTCAAGAGTTGCACTTTGCAGGGGGGCGACAAGGACATGCGGCGCCGCGACGCCTTATAAACTATATGCAGGCCAGACTCCCCCAGTGCCCGCTGCACCTCCCAGCTGTATATGTAGTACCCACTTACGAGCCGTTCAATCAGCCGGTGCCCAACACCCTCTGGTGGAAGGTTGAAGGTAATTGGCGTGGGTAGAGACCTTTTGGTCGCTCAGAATGCCCATAGGCGTCTTCTCCGGATCCAGATCTCCCGGTCAGCTTTTTTCCGCTCCAAAAATACCGCTTTTGGCGCTTCCTCCGCTGTGATCGTCCAAACCTCCCATTGAAACGATCTAACCAGCAACTTCCCGCCCCTCAATCGACCCAAAGTCGCCTGTGCTAGCCTAAACTTCAAAAAACAGGAATATCTCCGAAATCCGCTGACGTTTTGAGGCCCTGACAAGCGGAGGGAGATCCCTTTTGCGTTTAAACCAAGTCCACGCCTCGTGGGGGCGTTTCATAACCACAGCAATTGTTTATGGTTTCTAATTAATTAGCAAAAAAAATTGGATGTTGGTTTCTTGCGGCTTTCAGATACCTTAAGTGTCTTAAGACCTCTTGAAGACGGTATCTCACAATACCAAAGACTCATTTTATTCCCTACCCCTAATAACCTTTTCATCTAAAAACAGCCAGATCTTAGGCACACGAATAATGTAAAATCTCCCAATAATGAGATCTCTTGCAAGTATATCTTCTTTTGCAACAAGCTAGTTTTCGTCTTTGTGAACGGAAATCACATCATCTTACTTCTTTTAGAATCTCTCGATTGTTTGGCTCCAACAACCAATAAACCTTTCCAAAATCCCCCAATCATATGATAAGCATTTTGAAGATTTGCAACACTTTGTTGGGATCTTTCCTTGTTACTGATATGCACTTTGGCTAGCATTCAGCTAATAAGGTGACGCCCCTTCGGTTCCCGATGTCCCCGCATAGATTAGCTTTCTAAATGCCGTCAGACATACCTTGGCGAGGTGGAAGATCGACCCGGGTTGGGTAAGCCGTGCTTATAATGTCGATCTCTATACGGTTTTGGCTGGGTCACGTGACACGGCACGTGAATTCCACAAACACTCCCCTCCTCTTAAACCTCCCCAAATCTCCCCCACCCAGCTTCTTTCCGGAAATATTACGCGAGCAGAGATTCCCTTGGCTCGTCGTGCCACTCCCCTGGACCGCCTGCTTGGCCTGTTTAGCCTTCGGGGCGTCAGAAAGTCTCTTTTGCATGGTGCTTTAAGTTGCATGGAAAAAAAAATCAGACGATTTTCTGGAAACCTACTCTGTTTCTGGAAGTCACAGGATATACCTGGAATGGAAATAATAACGTGGATTATAACGAAAGCAGAACTTATCTCATGAGATTGCACATGTACATTGACATTTACGAATAGTGGACTTTGAAAGAAACCAACAATAAGAGAATATATAAAACGGTGTGAATTTCAGATCCAGCTTAACCTTTAGTTTGTTTTAGCCTGAAATTTCATTTTCCTGAAAGACCATTGTGGGTTTTACGGGAAAGTGGCTTTGGGAAAGTTTAAAGTGAATAAAGCATATAAAAGCTTGAAAGAGATGTAATGTAACTCGGGAGTTTCAGAAGTGAAGATAATTCCGGTCAGATAACCAGAACACAAGAAAAAAAAAAATCCCCAGTTGTGCCATAAGACGTGACATTCCCTGATATCCCGCCAAATGGCATTCCTTAGGTACTCCACTTGAAAGACCCCTACAATTTAAACTTTAGGCGCTCTGGAGCCCCAATCTCCGTTTCTTTAGTGTACCCACGTCTCCTCCTACCTTCTTTGTTTGGTTCCAAGCACCGTTTGGCTTAAAATTCGAACAATACATGGAGAAGCCCGTCTGGGTGCTTGGGGTACCACGAAAAGGTTAAATAAAACCTTCATTCATAACCACGCTGCATCTGTACCATAAAACGTGGGTGTTTGCAAGTGGTATACCGTCATTTTCCAACCACCACGTCCGGCTTTCCTGTGCTTTCTCCTTGAACGCTCCAGTCTATTCATCCCAAGACACACAATGTAATCCTGGGTCATTCAGCTCGAGAATGCAGCTCACCATCGTCACCACTCGTTTGTTGTTCTTTTCTTTTTCCAAACAATACCGTATACTCCCTTCGCCGCAAACAACCAGATCCTTTCCGAGGCAACCACCATTATTCCATCACCACCCTTACTTTCCTCTCTTTTTTTTGCAACATCAGCGCACATGAACGCCTTCAACGGTGCAGCGCAAGCAACATATGGTTGATTTGTGTCTAAGCCAGGGCTCTAGGCGCCTGTGGTTATGTCACCATGTGAAGCTAGGAAAATGCAACTACGGCACCGTTTGTTCGTTTTCATTGAACACCTTCTGCGTCTTTTTGGGCGCAGATGGATCTGGGAAAGGCACAAAGACGGGAAGAGGCCCTGGGCCCTGATTATCTTATGGCAAATATACTTTTGAGTTCTTCAAGTGCTTTTTTTTTTTGCGCTTTTGAAGGCCTTTCATTTTTTGTGGCATGTCCACTTTCGTACACAAAAAGTTGTTAAGCCTTTTGTGAAGAATAGACATTCTTTCTCGTATCTACCAGTCAACAAACGGGTTTTTTCATGTTTGAGACAATACCTATTATACTGTCATTGATGAAAGAAGAGGGTTAGTATTATCTCGAGGTACTATGTATGTGGCACGGCTTATGTGCAGTAGATCTCAGGGTCTAATCTGGGCATAGTATCGGGTTTGTTGCTGGGGGAGGAAATATACGGCGTGCATGGCCTGTGGAATTATGAGATCTAGGACTTAACAGATGTTTGGAAAGGTTTGTGTTATCTCCATGGGAGGTTTTACAAGGATTATTGGGTTTTTGGAAGGGGCAGAAATTATTAGTGCCGCATATCCAACAATGCGATCGACACTAAGGGTATTGTTCTTTGTAATGTAAGGTCGATCTGACTACTTAGCTAAAAGCAGTGGGACAGTCTAGCAAGCTCCCAGGACTTAAGGCCCACCGTTTGATATGTCCGGTAAGACGTTGCAGCGCCTGTTTCCTTACAAGATGTAGCTGTGAAGGTTAGGTAGGTGCGTCTTAACCCTGGGACCCCCACTCACATTCGGCGCGATCATGCTTGGTACATGCATCGAATGCCCCATGCATGCACATATACGTGCATGGTTTCTGCTACTAAATGCACAACCCTGACTAGAAATTTACCCTTATGGTTTAGGCGATCTCGCTTAAGCGCTAGCGCTTTGCCGAATTAGGAAGACCCATTCTCAACCCGCGTTCTGATTTCTAGAAGCACGCACAAAAACTGGCAACTGTGGCGTGCACTGAGAAATCGAATTATTCCGATGCGCTTACAGGGACACATCGCTATATACTCACCACCAGCAAAAAAGAACACCTTCCAAATGATCCTCTACCTAACCCTACAGTTGCGAGCCTTTTACCGCTAGTGCCACTCCATCGCCGTCCAGCCGTCCAGCCGTGTGGCAGCAAAAAAAAAAAAAAAAAAGAAAACGCACAAATACGGTCGTCAACTGTCTACCCTTCAATAACCCTCTTCACTTAAACTCATGTAGGGGAACAAGAACACTAAAACTTTGGTCGATCCCGCCAAAAAGTCTATTACTCTTTTGTGATACCCTTCCAAAGACGATCTTTGTAATTGCAGAAGCCCACAGACCCGCAGGGCCCGCCCTTACAAAGTAGGCTGTAGCTTACCCACATTTAGCCGCTTGTGCTTCGATGAAGTGGAAACCCTTAGGACAAAAACCGAAGGAAAAGGCCCTTGTTTTGTGACCTTCTGCCCGCTGTGCGTTACCGTTTCTGGATGGGGTCTTTTCATCGGGTTTGCCGCAGGAGAAACGCCAACGAAAGATCCTTCGTTCGTCTTCGCCTTTATTTACCAAAAATACCAACCCCCCAAAACCCAAACCCAAACTTTCTATATACTTCCCGTTTCTGGCATTCCGGAAAGTTCAACCTTAATTTTGTGCCCTCTCCGTTTGAACCTTTTGCCTTAGCCTTTACCTTCCTTGGCGACCTCTATGGAAGCTTTCATGCCCAATGCTGTAGTCCACCACTAAAAGTCCTGCGATGTCAGTGCCTTTTGTCTTTTCTTGGGGCGTCCCGCCAGTGACACAGCGCACGATGCGTTTGTGTTCAGATTCAGTAGAAAATCGTAAACCTTTCTTATTTTGAGAAAGCTACTTTTACGAAAAACGGAGAGAAGTGTACACTTTCCAGGCTTAGAAATACCCAGCTTGCTGCTCCTCTATATATCTGGAGGCAAACGAACGCCTCTCTGTATCTGGACTTCCACCGTTTATCCCAGTCTGGCCAGCCGCTGTCGTCTACGGTTTCACTTATTTTGACTTACATGTTTCACTCCACTTTGATCTCTCTTCCTCTTCTCCCCCACCCTCTTCTCCATCTTTGCCTAGAAAACCGAAAATGCCTCAGAAGCTGAGCGGCTCAAGACAAATCGCTCATGGCGATAGGACACAGAGCATGCATGCATATTCTAAGACACAGTTTGTGGTCTTTTTTTATACTAAAGTGTTTAGAGATCTTTTTATGCCCACAAAGGCGTCTTTGGAGAGTGCAGTGTGCGTCTGTGGTCTTGAATTAAAGCAGTTCTGGGTTTGAAAGGTTGGAAGCCAGGAACCCGGGAACCCTAGCGGCTTAGGCAGCACAGACGTAGGAAAAGCGGTATTTCCGTTTATTCCGTGGCCTGACAAGGACGTTTGACGTTATTATCTGGTGATATTTAGATTATTATTCTGCAAATCCTTTGAGCTACTGATCTTTATACATTTTCTTTATTCTCGGCTCTCTTAACCCATTTAACCACTCTCCATTTGCCTAAGGTAGGAATTCCATTCTCATCTTCGCTCAGCGGCTAACAATGTATATTTTGCATTTGTGGGAGTTTTGTAACCATCAAACCGAGGTGCCAGAGAAGAGATCTTCGCTGAACAGCCCCAAAACCACTTTGTGCTTGGCGGATTCTTCACCGTTTGCCGTTTCCAGGGTGAGACTTGCTTCAGTTATACCGTTTCTGTGGCAAGTCTTGGACTTCCAAGGTTACACAAGTCTCCAGCAAGCTTCTTAATGCGCTTACGTGGGTAACACAAGTGGGAATCGTAAATACCGCTAGAAACGGATACAAAAGGACCAACAAAAAGTACCACAAAACTGGTTAGCGCAATATTTATAACCAGGAGAGCTTGAATTTCAGGAAAAGATGTGCTTCGTCTTGTCCAGCATAAAAAAAAGGTAGCAATGCTTATTGTTGATATTCACCATATTAGGGTTTTACGAGCAGCAAACCTTTTTCAGGGCAAGGGGCACTGCCATGTTTTTTCTTCTAGACTTAATCCACGTTGCTTGGTGGCCCCCTTCCAAGGATCTTACTTGATGCAGAAATCTGGTTTAGACGATGGATCGAGGCGTAGGTGGCTTGGGCCTGAATATACCACGAACGGGGTTGCGGAGGAAGGAGTAAGGAAGGAGGCAGGGACGTAGGCAGGGATGTAAGCAAACCAGCAAGGGGATGTAGAAGGGAAGGTAGGAGCGGGATGGTGAAGTAAGGGCGTTTTGTGGTTGTTTTGGTGGAGATTGTTTGGGAAGACGTGGTTCTCGGGAGTCCGTAGTAGGTGGATTGGGGTTTCCTGGGTAAGGGATGGCTAGGCTGGAATTTGCTTAGCATGGGGTTATGGATGAATAGGGAGAGTGAATTCGGTAAGTCAATTAGCGACTAAAGTAGTAAGGGAGATTGTTTCTTTCCTTTAGCTTATACTTACTGAAAGGGCACTTCACGACATTGCATCCCATTGAAAACCACTACTGGAAAACAATCCTAGGAACCTTGCACTCGGGATCTTTCTGACTTGAATTCCTATAACATCTAAACCAAAACTGAATCCTGGTATGGAAAATATCGATGTTAGCCTTAGACCGATTGATCCTACTGGCTGCGAAATGCCACTGTGGAAGGTTGTCCCACCATTTCCCACCAGAAAGTGGAAAAAAAAGAAAAAGGTTAGCAGAACATCTTCTAAAGCATTTCTGATTCTTTGGGTCTTTTTAAAGACAATTTTTTCAAACTTTTTTCGGTTATTCGTTACCCTTTCTTAAGTCAGCGTTCGCAGCCAGAGGTATCCATATACTCGCAACCAATCAAAGAAATATAGCATGTGAACAGTAAAGGCGATCTTTCTTGTCGCTTACTTCTATTACGCTATTCCCCAAGATTACCAAAAATCAGAATTACAACTTTTACTAACTTCTAACCTTCTCGGTGCTCTTCCCAGCGCTCAATGAGCACACAGCCTGCCACAAAAGGCAAAGACAAGAATTCACTTCAAAACACTCAAATTCCAGCCAACTACACCTCAATTAACCCTAACCAACTCTATATCAGTCTCCCTTGTTGATTTGGCTGGCGTTGGAAACCCTCCAATGGGCCGGTTTGTGCACGTGACCCAGCCGCCAGTTTCTCACCCATCGATTTCGTGCGTTTTCCGTTTGCCAACCTTCGAAAGCTTGTGAACCTCCAAACAAACTATAACATACATAATGGGTGCTGCTCAAGCTTACGAGTTTCCTCCAATCCGTATGTACATGCCTTCCCATCTTTTTTTCAACTTTCTACTAACATTCAGCCTCCCAGAAGGAGTTGGACGAACATGACGTTCCTTTCTTGAACAGAGACAAATGTGCCGCCAAATGGATCGAATATAACAAGTGTCTTAGTAAAGGCACCTCTTTCTGCAGCAGCACCAAGGACGCTTTTTACGAGTGCCAGTACGTTGCGTTGCAGGAGAGACTTGGGAAGCATTAGATAGCATTGAATAAAGATGGACAAGAAGCGAGCCTCTTGCGTCCATAATTGACAGAAGATAATGAACTAGTAAGAAGAGGGGGTGAAGAGTTTGGATGAGGTCGGGATTGACGTTAATGGGTGTTTTGGTTGGGTTTTTGGGGTTTCTGAGGTGGAAGGGTGATGCCCATGTTTTGTACCACTCAGACGTCCTGGAGACTTCAAATTCACACAAGACGTACATTGATTATTCACGTACCCACCATCCAATTTTCAACGTCATACCGCCTCCCCTTGTTCCGTAGCTTGGTCTCTTGTAATCTCTGGCTGGGGTCTTGATAGAGGCCTGCATATAGCACCTCACCTTCATCAACATTTTCAAACACACTAATCCCCATTGGACGAGAACATCATTCAACTATTCTACATAAAATGGCCCTCACAGAATTCCCTCCTCTCCGTATGTAACCTTGAAAGCCCCCAAATCACATATTTCATACTAACAACCAGTTTCTGAGGATGATATGCAGAAATACAGAGTGCCCTTGAAGTGGAGAGACAGATGTGCTGCCTACTTCGCTCTTTACCAGACGTGTCTCTTCAGACAGAGTGCCAACGGCTCTGTGGACTGTCACCACGACAAGCACGTGTGGGAGGAGTGTGAAGTCTTGGACTTGAACAGAAGAAAGACGGAATTGAAGGAAGTCAAGGAGAAGTTGAAGGCTGAGAACGCCGCCGCTTAAAAGTGACCGATAGAAATGTTAAAAAGGGGGAAGCCCAGGCTGATCCTTTGTTTAAACCGGTCGCCGTTGCCGGGATTCATCTATGTAATTGCATCAGCTGTGTACCAATAGACAGTTAAGACGAGAGACGGGCAGACAAGCAGAGAGAAAGACTGGATGGGAGGAAGAGCAGGTCAGAACGGGAAGAGTTCTGTTTAGAGATTGTGTTTGTTTTGCTGTTTGGCTTTGTAGAGTGTAGGTGATCAGGTTTGGGAAAGTGAAGGTGGAAGTTATGGAAAGGGCATGAACAGTAAACCCATAGGATGTCAGTATAAAACCAAAGTACAGCTATGGTAAGGAACTAGCAAACTGAAGAGGATAATATCCTACTGGTCAAAGGAACAGGAAGACAGTTCGTTGTACTAGTAGTCCATGGACTGACGGATTCACCATGATCTCCATCTGGTCTACCACTCAATAAACTGGCAAAATGCTGAAAAGGCAAAGTCCACGAAGCTCCTAAAGCTTCGTCTTCTTCGTCTTCTTCAACTTCCCACACTTCAACTACCATACATCCATCAGAGTAAGAGATTTCGGACACCGGCGCCTTGTGGCGGCTTGAAACGGCCGACACAGCACGGCGCCAGCGTCCATGTGATTTTACCTCCGCTGTCCACACTATGATATCAATGGCGGAAAGTGATACCAAGCTCTAGCATTTTTCGGAGAAGAAATAAATTACTATCAATGAAGAAAAAGAATTTGATGCGAAGGGTTTTTGGTTTATATAGCGATGGGGTGTGAGGTCACGTGTGTGATTTTTCACCAGGGCTAAAGGCAGCTGGTTTTTCAGTTTGTATGGAGGGAAGAGTGGAGAGGAAGGGAAAGGGAAGGAATTGTGATGGTTTGGAAGGGCTGGTTACGTTATGGAAAGTTTGGGAGTCGTTGGTGGGAAGTGTTGGGTGTAGTGGTTGAAGTGGACTGTTGAGAAGACAGAGACGAGCCAAATGCATATTTTATATTAGAAGAGTTGTTTCAATGAATTGGAAGAAGTCTTAGTATGATAAGTTTTGTTTTTTTCTGGATTTTATGTTGCTATGATTTATGTTGTTTCGTAAGTTAGGGGTGTTTTGTAACAACTGGCGCACTCCATAGAATACTTATTAACCTGTGGAAGAGACGTCCAGTAAAATATATAAAACCCCAGTAAATAAACAAAACAAGTGTTTCATTCAAATCAAATGACCTCGTGAATTTACAAATTTATATTATTTTACTATAATTATGGGCGGCCCACTGGAAGTCTGACCACTTACTGGTTCCATTAATGGCTGCGAAAAACCATCCGAAGACGGCACCCCAGTTATTGAATCCCCAAGAACAAGGGAACCAAGGGAAACAACATTTAAGGAAAGACAGTAGCCTTATCTTCAATCGAGTAATATGACGACTGCCATTTTTTGAGATCGCTGTAGAAAACAGCCTCTTAGACACCCATAGCATATGGACATTCAAATGACACAAAACCACCCATTCCAATTTCCTAATGACCTTCAAACTAGCCCAGTTTCCTAGCCATACCACTTTAGACCAAACCCAAACCAGTAACCCAACCAAAATTTTCTCTCCTTTCCCAAAACTGCCATTCCCTGACCTCCCTTCCTCTGCCTCCCTCTGCTCCCTCGGCCGCCACACCCAGCTTGAACCTCGCACGACCGCGCCGAAACCTCCCCAGCCCCCCGCAATCTATCTCACAGTAACCGACAGCTAACCTTATCTAACTACATCATGGCCAAAGATAAATTGCTGGTTGCATCCACTACACCTGTCGATCTCGACGACGATACGAAGCCTGGTAAGGACACGTCCAAGGAAACTTCCAAGGATTCAGCCAAGGACGAGGTGGACGAAGAAGAAGACAAGGAGTCCGAAGTGAAGGAGGAAAGTGAGTCTAAGAAGGAGGAGGAAGTAAAGAAGACTGAGGAATCAAAGGACACCAAGAAGGACGAAGAGGAGAAGGAAGAGGAAGAGTCTAAATCGAAATCTTCTGCTGCTGATGCTACTGAGGATGTGCCTCCTCCTCCAGCTCGTCCTGTTTCTCCATTGTCTAGAGTCAGAAAGGACCTTCAAGATGCTTTTCCTGATATTGAAGAAAAGTACATTCAGGCTGTTCTTATCGCTTCCCAGGGCCAGCCAGACCCAGCTTTCAGTGCTCTTCTTTACCTTCTGGACCCATCGTACGTGCCAGACGTGAACGCCTCGGCTCCACCTCCAGTGCCTCCAAAACAGGAATTGACTGACGATGAGCTCTTGGCTAGGAAATTGCAGAAGGAGTTTGAAAGAGAAGACAGAAGACGTCGTGCTCACCTGCGTAAGAAGAATGCTCCACCTCCAGGCGACGAGTCTCCAGATGAGATTGACCAGTTGAAGGAATCCTTCACTCAGGGCTTCGAGGAGGCCAAATCTACTATCAATGGCTGGGTTCTGGGCCTTTCAAAGAAGTTCTCGCAGGAGAACAACAAAAACGACGGCCAGAAACGTAACCAGAGCCCTAAGCTCTTTGGTGCGTTGGGAGGTCTGTCATTCAACCAGAACCAGCGTGCTAAGCGTTTTGACGAGGACCCCGAGATCTTGTCGCTGGATTTCAACAACCAGGTGAACCTTCAAGATGATACGCCACCTCTGTTGCCTAAGAGAGAGCAGAAGAGAGAACAGAAGGGTGAACAGAAGGAAGAACACAAGTGGCAGCCACTCAACTCTGACGTACCAGTGGCCCTGGACTCGTTCCTTGTCACTGACCTGGAGGATGAAGATCCATCTATTGCCGGCACGCCAGCAACTGGTGCTAAGAAGTAGCTTTTTAATCTACAATGCGTAACTGGAGAAGCTATTTATAAAAGGCCAAACGTGGAGTCCACGCTGGGTCTATAACGTGAATAATATACACAGGACATAACAATGGCGGCGGAGGGAAGAAGAAACTTAGATGATCTTTAATTTGGGAACATCTTCAACCCTTTGAACACTTTTTCGTAATCGTTCGTACAGTCATGAGATAGGGAAGCATTTTGCAAGCCTTTATGGTATTTCCCCCAATTAACAGTAGGAGCAGACACTATGCGGTGCTGCTGGGGCAAACTGGCTGAGGAAGCTTTGCTGTTGAGTTTGCCCTCCTGGGCCTCCTGGGCTTGGGCAGGTTCAGGCCCGGCCTGGCGGGTGGAACTGGAACTGGAACTGGTATTGGGGGTGGAGTCGTTGCAGATGAGACGCACGTAAAAGTCGACCAAGGCCAGCTTGGATTCGTACTTGGCGGCTTTTCTAAGCTCGGAGAGCTCGGCCAAGTCATCTTCGATCTTAGATTTCGTCACCGCCAACATATCGGCCGTGGCGCCCAACGCCACGTAGTCCGGGTTGCTGTCTAGATGCTGGGGCTTGGATTCCGTGCTGGATTCATCGTGGTGATGCTGCTCTGAGTCGGAAACATAGTCATCCTCTTTGGGAGTCAAGAGAGGCAGATTTTCATAATGCTCGTTGCGAGAGAGCTCAAACGACACCGATTTCTGTCTGTGATGCTTCTGCGGAGGCAGCGACAGAGCCGTAGGGGACAGTGGCGAAGGCAGTCTTTCTTGTACCGGGTGGTGGAAGTACTCCTTTCCTTGTTTGGCCTTCTTGTGTCTGTTGGTGATGTCCTCCAACTCCAACTTCCGTTTGGGGTATATCTCGGAAAGACTAGCAGCCATATTCAGCAAAGGGATGTAAAAAGCAGTGGGGATTGGGAAAGGAGGGAAGCTACTTGGAAAGCAGCTTTTTAGGTATGGAAATTAGGTGAATTGGAACAATCTGGCGGGAGGCAAAATATAGGGATTAAAACAGGCTGGCAAGCCGAGGGGACAACCTAGATTGTAAATGTTACAACGGTCAGGTGACTTCCCAGGGGTATATAAACAGGCGGAAATTCCTAGGATTCGTGGCCTGAAGTGCCTTTTTGGTGGCCTTTTATAGGGGAGGGATTTGGGGGAGAATTAGGTGGCGTCGACGGGAAAAGACGACAGATGGAGGGTGGAAAAAAGTAGGCTGGGGCCGGAGAGCAAGGAGGGAAAAAATATACGCCCAGGGAAAAGAAAAAATGCGCTCAGGAGGCACGGGTTTCTTGGGCCGTTGGGGTTATTAAAAATTTAGAGGCGACATAAAAAAGGGGGTTGAGAGTTTTTTTTGGGGAAACTAAAGAAGGGGAAGAAATCCTGGTGTACGGGTTTCCCCATCCACCAATTTCAATCGTCTTAAAAAAATCAATGGTCCATTTTTTACCGTCCCTTTCGTCTTACTTTTCCTTCTGGCTGCAAAAACATTCTCGGTTCAGAGCCGCGCGAGAAACAATTTTTACTGCGTGGTGTACGGGTGTGAGGTCGTTGCTGCCTGACAAACAAAAAAAAAAAGAAGAATAACGAAACTGCGAATTCAGCGATTTCGGACTTGTCGAGTTGGAAAAGGGGAATAGGAGAAAAAGGGAGAAGTTTTTTAAAAGGGTTGGAATTGGGAAAGGCGGTCACGTGAGTCGATAAACCAAAAATCAGAAAGACCTCTTTCAATCCAAGAAGTTTCTTGGATGACTACTTTTCTTTCTTCCTTCCCCTCATGCTTTTTTCTCCTTTTCTTCTTTCTCTGTTTCTGCCAGCCGTTGAACTGGTGGTGCTGTTTTTGGCGGTGGCACCCCTCGCGTCGTGGTGCACGGGTTCTTCCATCCACCATAGCCAGTACTTCTTTGGATGAAGATAAACGTGTAAGTGTTTTTTAGTATTTTGGGCAGTTTCTTTATTTTTCGTTTTTGGTCAGTTCAGGCTATTCCTCTTTTCCTCTTCATTCTTTGCTTCCCTTCCAGAACTGGAAATCTCCACCGTAGTCTAACTTCTGGCTGCACTGAGAGCTATATGAGGTTGCTAAAGCTTAATTGCAAAAGGTTGGTTTTGGAGGTTTGGAATCGACGTTGATGGCGATCGAAGACCGGGCTTCAACCTTCCACGATCAGATTTTCGGTGGTTCAGCCGTCACTTAGCGGCGATCAGCCGCTAGAGAATGGTATAAATGGGCTTATATGGAAGTACGGCTGCTTAAAAGCCCTTCGAAAATTCACTTCCATTTGATCGTCGATTATCCGAGGAACCTACCAGAAATGGAAGGTTCACATAGACTTTGGGAGTCTCCCAGGCTCAAAACACCACGTAGACCTACCTATACCTAACTGTTGATCCGCCAGCTACAAAGAACCCCCATTTTCGGCATACCTAAAAGTATCAGGCTGATTCGTTGGAGGCGTGACCGCCTGAGGCTTCGAATTCGATACTCGGGACCAGATCGATCTAGCCGAATCACAAAACAGCCAGAAACTGCGCTTAAACTTAGAGTACCCCAGGAACCAGGCCCTGGCATCAGTCACCGCTGCGTTAGTGATGGTTACAAATGCTTGCTCAGGCATAGGCTGGAAAGTGAAGAGAAAGGTTAACAAGTCTGGAAGAGTAATAAGGTTTTTTGGAAAGGTATATGGTTCAGTATTCAACCTAAAGATACCTTGCAACTACCTAACTTGGCAACGCCTCCAGCCCGACCCCACGAGGAACGTCCAACCGTCAAAAACCAATAAGTAATAAAAATAATAAAAAATAAAAAACAAAAACTCTTTGGTCACTGTGCGTTCACAAGCGCTAAGGGCGTTATATCGTGCCCTGCTGCAATGCACCCGGGTCCAGTTGCCGCCGTAGTCCACCACACGGCTCGCCGAAGATGCTTCATTATATTTCAAACAAAGCGATCACCTTACCTTAAACAACGTTATCGGAACCCAGTCCCCGAGTAACCAGAAACCCTTGTCCATTGGCTTCCCGGGTCTGGCCGGGCGGCCTCTGAGCCCTGCATGGATCCCACTTGTATAGCATTAGCGAGATGTCAAGATGCACCGTTTATCGGTGACGTAGAGGGACAGAAAAATAAAAAAAAGTATATCCTCACCCCCCAATTCCATCCCCACCTCATCCCCATTTCTACAAAAATAAGTCGAAATTCCGCCCTCCCAACGCCAGCCTCCACCGCCCAGAGATCTCACACTATGTCGATGTACAAAGCACCCTCGTCTGTGCAGCGTCTATTATAGTAGCACTGGGACGATTGGTATCGCGCCAATGAAAACGCAGAATATCATCGATTGATAAGACGAGCTCATCACTTCCGAGGGCTGGTCCGCCCATACACTCACCGCTATAAGCAGCGTCTGGGTTCCCCTGGAGAAGCCCTCGGCAATACCCTCGGAACAGACACTTAGCAGGGAGAGCAGCAGCAGCACCAGCAGCGTTTCTTGCAGTGCATCGCCAGGTAATTTAGCAGGCGCCAATTTATTTGTTGCCAGGAACCGGGAAGTTCTCGCCGATCAAGAATATATCACACGCCCGGGGAAGGGAAAGGGTTCCTTTATAGCAACAAATACATCCAGAAAACACCTTTCTTCCATAGTATATTTTTGTTTTTTGCTTCATGTCAGAAGAGTCCCACGCCAAACTGCTATGGCTGATGTACAAAAACGCCAAAAACCTTCTTCCTTATCGAACCAGAATGGAAAACTTAACTTGGAGAATGATGCACACGCTTGGAACAAAGCTGTCCATGTCTGATATCACTGGTCTATTATCGTCACCGCTCCTCAACCAGCCTGGCTTATCTGACCTGGACCTGCCTTTGCTTCTGAAGGTCGACCCGGGACACGACGAGTTTGATTATGTCGCCCATATCAGGCAAATAGGCCAGGACTATGAAAACAGCTCCATGAACGGTTCTCCCAATCGTTCGTCCAGAACAAACCCTTCTGGCCCTCTGTCGTCTTCAGGAAAGGCTGGCTCCATTTCCTCTGAGGCGTCTAGAAAACGCCCAGCGCCGTTTCTGCCTATGGTGCAACCAGCAGCGCCTCATCTGAACCTTTCGGCGGCCTTGAAGAACCCCCAGGCGCCTCAGGCGCCCCAAGCTGCTCCAAAGCATATTCAAGAACCAGACTTCGGTTTAGATCCTTTGGATTTGGGCACAGATAACGGGTTTTCGTTCTCCCTAGACCCGCTAGCGTTTGAAGGTCCTAACGATACGTTTCGCCAGACATACACAAACGGGCTTTCCCAGCTGATGGGTGCTTTTGAAAAGATCCCCTCCAGAAACCACCATAAAGCCTCGCTCGACAGTTCCCAGGCTACGTTGACCGAAGCCAGAGGCTACGCATCCAGTGCTCCCAGACCCATCAACATCTCGAGCCTGGCTCGTCTGTTTGAACCACCCAGCAAACGCCAAACGCCTCTGCTGCTGTTTGACCCAGCGTATGCCCAAATGCCAGGGTCCATTCCAGGCTCGGTTTCTGGATCCATTTCTGGCTCCTTTTCCCACCATTCCGTGGGCCCTTCTTCGTTCATGACAAACAGCTTCGCTCGCCAGGATAACTCTTTGGTTAGCGTAGCAGAATACTTTGGCAACGATTCCCACTGGAACAGTCCGTACGACCTCGACGAAGGCCTGGGCCTGGGCTCTGTGCCTGGTCTGGTAGCTTATGTTGCAGCAGATACGCCAAATGCACAGCCTATAAGCCGTTCTGGACTGACGGTTCTTTCGATGCACGATCACCCTCCAAGCTCATATACGGATAAAGAGACGTTTGGACGTCCTCAGCTCTCGGCGACGCCGTCGTACCTGAACTCATGGAACGACAGTTTCTTTGACGATGCACCTATGACAGGGTCTGCAGCTACTTCGGTGTCCAGACCAGCCATGCCCGCAAGAAACAGTTTCCAAGGGGTCCAGCGTCCTTCTTCTATAAAAAGAAAGGACAGCCGGCCACGCAAGGATTCCATTAAGGAGTCGTCAGAGCAAAGAACCGCACGGGCACTTTCCACTCCTGGCAACAATAACCTCCAGAATGGCCGTGTGGAATGCACAAACTGTCATACCAGAACCACGCCACTTTGGAGAAGAAATCCAGAAGGCGAGCCGTTATGTAATGCCTGTGGGTTGTTTTTAAAGCTTCACGGCACGGTTCGTCCACTTAGTCTCAAGACAGATGTGATCAAGAAGAGAGCCAGGACAGATAAGTCTAAGAAAGGTGAAACCAAGAAGAACGGAGACCTGAAGAAGGACAACAAAAAAGCAAGCGACAAGAAGAACGAGAAGAAAAACGACGGAGACGATTCTAACCCTACCCCATACGATAAAGAACTTAAAAAAAGTCAAGGCGGCAGTGCCAAAGCTAAAGCCAAAGACCCCAAGCGGAAACCGGTCCTGACACCTCCCCATACAACCGCCCTAAAACAAAACACTCCATCCCAGCCGTCGTTGCTTTCGCCGCAAAGAGGCAGAAGCAGCAGCTCCAGCTCGCCTGTTCTGTGGACTCAGCGGTCGCAAGTGTCTGACTTTAATTCTGTGATCAAGGAAGAAGAGCTTCCAGCGATAGACGAAAAGAACGCTTTTGAGCGGCAAGAGGAAGACGGCAAATGGGACTGGCTCAGCATGACTTTGTAATATATATAGAGAGAGGAAGTTCAGTTCTGCCATGGACCGCTTCGACGAGATAGACGAATAGACCGCCAGCCTGGTAAAGGCTGGCTGACAAAAAATAAATTAAAAAAATTAATAATATCAATCACCACACCGTAATCCTTCCAGCTCAATAGGTTCTGTCCTCGTTGATCAGGGTACCCTGGAATAGAAAGCCATAAATAGACTTTAGCATTTTTAGAACTGGACGATTCACGAGCCTTTCCAGTTCGTTGCAAATCGTTGTCAGGCCCCATTCCAGGCTTACAAAGCAACCAATAACGACCTCCAAAGCAACCAGACTGTCCAACCACCCCACCAGCACATTCTACGCCCAAACCAGCCGCCAATCCACGAAAAAAATCCAATGGCACCACCGCCCCAGACCACCATTTAAGGTTCGTCTTCCGATTGTGCCTCTGTAGAGACTTTTTAGTGAAGAATGGTGGATGTCGATCTCCTCTTTATAACTCAAAAAGCCTAAAGCTTATTTGGACCCACCAGAAGCAACACCAGAAGCAACATAATCCGGGCTCAGAAGTGCAAGCAAAGAAACCACTGAAAAAACGTCGAAAGCCCCTTTTCTTTTTCCTTTTCTAGCCTTCCCTCCACGTTAATCCCTCCACCTGATGATCAACACTTATTATGCCTTACGCTCTGGCCCACCATACATACCCTCCTTAAGTAGTATGCTTATCGCGAAGTGTAACTTTTCAAAACCACCTTACTTCTTATAAAGAACAAGAATATGCCCCAGCCAAAAGTGTCCATTTCGTACTGTGCCAGGTGTAAATGGCAAAACAGAGCTGTTTGGTATTTACAGGAGATTCTCCAGACCTTCAGTGACCCAGAGAAGAATCTAATCCCTGAAGTGGCTGTTTGCCCAAGTTACGACAACCCAGGGCTCTTTGAAATCTCTGTTACCAAGGATAACCAGGAGCAGATTGTGTATAAGAGGAAGATGAAGAAGAGTGACGTGGACCAGTCGGCTGAGTATTATTATGATGGGTTTCCAGATTCAAAGTTGTTGAAGGTGCTTCTTAGAAACGCTCTTTTCCCTGAAGCTGGACTAGGACACGCCGAGGGCCAGCCTACGGGGCCAGGGTTGATGCTTACGTGTGAAAAGTGTAAGGACGAGGAGTAGAGGTGATAGAATGAGAGGTTTATGGGTATAGGAGGGGGTTCTAGGTGGCAGTACAGCCAATGGGGAGGACGGATTTCGTTAAAGGTGGCCTATTAAGTGTGTTTAGAACATGTGTGATGCTGTTTGGCCATGGGCTGGCTCATGTGAGACGTAGCTTACAATGAACGGCCGTTTTACCCAACAAGAAGTACCCGCAGCCCTTAGACTGGGAAGGGCATTTATGGGAATGTATCAACAAAAACACCGTCTGTGGAGCTGCAAGGAGTCGTCTGGCACTTCAACAGCTAATGCTTATTCCAGTACATCTTGTATACGCCAGACCAGGGCGAAAACTTAACCCTGGAGTTCTGAAACAAGACACACAACAACAACACCCCTTGAGCTATTCAGCGCCAACCAGTTCCACAAATTCCATTACCATCGGCAATTTTGCAATTCTTTTTCTAGTCCTCGTTGAATATGCGTATTTCGTCCTCGTCAATATCATCCCACCCTTTCTCAGCCACAGCATACGGCAACGACGACCCCAAGTCTCCAAAGGCACCCAGCGTCTTTGGAAAGCCTAGCATCTGCTGGTACTGACGCACAACATAAGTTGCCGAAACGGTCTTTCTGTTGAGACTGCCTGATTGGCCATTGGAAAGATCCTCCTCCAGTTCTAACGACGACAGCGTTCCACTACGGCCTGTGCCGCTAGTGCTATTGCTGGTGCTTTCACTGGTGTTGCCGTTACCGTTACCATTGCCGTCAACAACTCCATTACTGCTTCCATTGACACTCACATCACCGTTGCCGCTGATTTGGTTGTGACGGTTGATCTGCTTGGCAATCTGCTTCCATTTATGCTTCTCGCCCGCTGGAAGAAGCTGCTTGAGGAGCTCCACATCCTGCTCAAGGAACCTTGTCTTGTGAGACTCGTCTTGCGATTGGCGAGAGTGTATTACCAGTGGTTGCATCTGCAGATACTGATCCTGGGTTCGAAGCTCAGCCTCTGGAACAGGTAAGTTGTTCTGCGGAAGAACCAGAGACTGGCGATGCTGAAGGGGAGTGTGGTGCTGAAGGGGCGCCTGTGGATGATGATGGTGATGATGTGGATGGGAATGCTGTGGGTGGAGTGGATGTTGATGTTGATGTTGATGCTGGTGATGATGTTGTGGTTGTGGTTGCAGATATTGCGTGTGTGGTTGTGGATGCTGAAGATGCTGCTCTTGTGGTAACTGTGGTTGCAGTAGCGACAGTCGTTGTTGATGCTGCTGTTGCTGTTGCTGCTGCTGATGATTATTCATTAAGTTCTGAGGAACATGCCCCACATGGACGTTATGACCAGGATTCTGGGCAACACCAGCGATGGAATTTCTGCTTTGTGGTGTTGGTGAGAACTGAGTGGATTGCTGGCCCACATCGCCATATTGCCCGTACGGCGTCGAATTGACCACTATAGGTACGCCTAGAGGTGGAGGCGGGGCCGAGGAATAGTTGATGGAGTTATTCTTTGGTTGTTGGGCTCGAGGCGGCGCCAAAGGCTGGTTCAGAGCTTGTGTTTGTTCGTCGTACTCGATTGCAGGCTCCTTGAAGCCTCCGGCTGGCGTCAAAGTCGCCGAAGCCAGGAACATCTTCGAGTACGAGTCAGACGGCTGCCCCAGAGGGAAATCCTGATTCATTGAAGCTGCAATAGTGGAAGAATGTTTCGTGGAACCACAAGATTTGAGATTTTCGGCGCGATCAGCGATGGTCCGATCTTCACCACTGGAAAACTAACAAGTTTTTGATATAAAGGGGATTTTTCTTTCTGACGTTGAAGAAAAAGGAATATACCTCGTGCCAGTCACTGCAAATGCAACTCGGCTATCTGGTGATGTTATGGGGTAAAAGAGGGTAATCCACAAAGGGGTACACGGAATATATCGACAAACGCTAGGGTGTGACAAAAGTACAAATCAAAAGGAAGGATCCTGAATTACAAAGGTGTCATATATACAACAGAAAGCTCAAAGGACAAAAAAGGCTTGTTGTACTTTCTGTTTTCGTTGAAGGCCAGAACCCACCCAAATATCTTGCCCAGCCTGGGCTTCCCAGATAATTTTTGAAGATGGCACTCTTGCCTGTTTCACGTTGGGTGCAACAGGTGAAACACGCGCCGCAGCAAAAGTGTGTGCCAGTGGCATACCTGGATTTAGACCGATTGGATTTTCAGGCTTTTTTGGGCGACAGCTTAGGGCTCGACTTTCCACGCTTAAGGTTTAGATCCCGCCTTCCACGATAAACTAAAGCTATTGTTTCCCCTGGGCTTCTCTGCCTTGGGTTTCTCGGGTTTGTCGCCTAATTCTCTCTTTTATGCATGGAGCCTTTTCGCATGCCAGACATGCGTGGGGGTGTTTGTTCTCACCGGTTCCTTGTTTTGGCTAACCACTTGAGCCTGGAGCGATCTTCTGAGTTGCCAATAAAACAAAAACAGACAAAAACAGAGCTCTGGACGATGATCACTTCTTGTTGTTTTCTTTTATTTTTTTATTTCCTTCCGTTTTCATCGTGGCTTGCCTTGCTTTCGCTCTCCGCCACTTTGCAGGCTCACCTGAAATTGGTGTTTCCCTTTGAGGCAACTCCTGACCTTTCCTTTGCAGATGAGGCCATCTAATCATCGGTGTAAGCGTCGGAATCCGACGATGCTGGCGCTGACTCTGGCTCGGATTCAGACCCACTCAACTCTTCAATCTGGTAGCTCTGCGGCGTTTTTCTTCTTCTTGGTGGTGAGCTTTCCCCAACAATCATCAAGTCGTCGAGCTCGTCGTTCAACGTTTCTTTTTGCTTTTTACGTTGGGGCACAACCACCTCTGGTGTAGAAGCTGCCCGTGTGGACTTGCCCGAAGAAGCTTCTTCTTCATCGTCATCATCACTTTCAATGGTACGGGATACTCTTTCGATGATCTCCTCGTCAGAACTATCACCAAACATCAGACTCTTCTTCTGAGCGGCCGCCTTTTCCTTCTTGGCTGGCTTGCTTGCCTTCGGCTTACTGAAAAAGTTAAGAAGATTATCCTCTGGGTACTCCTTGGGCAGCTCCTTAGCCTGGGCCTTCGTAAATGGAAGCTGACCTTGCGTTTTCTTGTTCTTGCCTTCACGAACACCTTCACTGGCCTCCTCCTTCACAGGTTTGGGCGTGCTCAGTTTGGGCGTGCTTTGTTTGGGTGCAGCAGTTTTCTTGGTCTTCTTCTTTGGTGCTCCGTAATCATCATCTTCATCCTTGACTGCCCTGCGTCTTCTCTTCGTGGCTTTGTTACCCTTGCCAGCAATCAAGCTGTTTCTTTCCTTTTCGTCGTCGTCTAAGAACTTCTCCCACGCAGTGACAAACACCGCAAGATCTTCATTCCACAAGTCCTTGGCGCTCTTGCCTAACAAGATGTTAAGCTCGGTTTCCTTTTCATCTCTTTGCTTCAACAATTTCTCATATCTCTCTCTAGTCAAGGACCAAAGCGACATACCAAGCAAATAGTCATATTGTGTGTAGATGTTCTCAGGCTTGTGTTCACTTTCATCTTCCTCTTCCAAGTCGTTGATACCTCTGGAGTTCAAAAGACTGACGTCACCAACCTCTTCTTCTTCTTCCTGCAATGCTTCTTCAGCCTCCACAAACAAGTCGTTGTGCTCCTGAACGCTTACTCGCTTACCTTGCTTGTCGAACTTAGCAAAATCAAGCTCCATCAAACGCTCCACCAAAAGACTTCTCTTCTTGTTAGAAACGGTCAACTCTTTGTCAATGATCAATTTGATGAATCTAGCCTGTTCACTTAATCTAACCAATTGATTCAGCAAATCCTCGGACAAGTTGTCTTTACGCTTCTGGTAGTATTCCAAACGGACAAAGTAGAAGTCCCTCAAGATCTCACTAGCTGACTCGTACTTCTTGATACGCCCAGCAGGATCAAAGGCCACCATATTACCTGTCGAAACCGTGGAGATCAACTTGAACCTTTCAAGTAAACCAATATTATAGGACTTTTCCATTTCAGCAGGGGTCAACTTGATGACGAAACGAATGCTTGCAGCATGCTGTTCTTCCATATCCTTGATCCACGGTTTGTCTGAATTCACACCATCCAATAAGAATTCTTTGACGTTGTTTGTCCAAGACTTGATAGGAATTTCGGTGATCTCCAAAGTCTTGTCGTCAATCTGTTCAATACGACCAGAAAGTTTGAACTTACCCTCACCGATCTTTTCCACTTCACCTTCCCATCCTTTGTACCATGGAAGCATCTCCTTGATATCCTCGCCATTCATGAGCCTTTTAATGTTGGCCACGATGTCAAGCGGGTTGAAAGAAGGTATATTGGTAGACCAACCAGTACCAATACCGTCAGCTCCATTCACCAACACCATTGGAAGGACAGGCAAGTACCATTCGGGCTCCACAGTTTGGGCATCATCTTGGACATAAGTGTACAATGGATCATCTAATGGGTTAAAGATTTTTCTGGTGATATCATTCAACTCCGTGAAAATGTATCTGGCGGCAGAGAAATCCTTACCACCAGCAGCTCTGGTACCGAAACCACCATTAGGCTTAAGTAAGTTCAAGTTGTTCGATCCAATGAAGTTCTGGGCCAAACCGATAATAGTTTGGACCAATGACTGATCACCATGATGATATCCTGTCTTGTCACTGATGTAACCTGCCAAGTTCACAACCTTCATTTCATTTTTCAAGTTTCTCTTGAAACAACCAAACATCACCTTACGCTGACCTGGCTTGAAACCATCCAACACAGAAGGAATAGATCTGATGTTGTCAGCCATGGAGAAAAGAATCAATTCTCTGTTGATAAAATCACTGATAGGAATGACAGATAAGTCCGAATCAAGATATGTGCCGGGCTGGAATCCTTGCAACCACTCCTTACGGTCATCTGCCTTTTTCTTAGAGAAAGCCAAATCAATTAAGGTAGAATCATCATCTTGAAGAGAGTGGAAATACTTCAAGTGCTTATCCAACTTGGAAAAGTATTCTCTAGCTTCGGTTGTCGTAGAGGTACCCAAACCCTTGTAGTACTTATGCGTCCAACGACAGTTCTTTCCCTCTGTTTCCCTCCATTGCTCGAATTCAGGCATCGAGTAAAAGGGAATCTTTGTGTCACCGCCTCTTCCTCTGCTCTTGATGGAGACCTTGACAATGGGAGTGATGAATTCGAGAAGGAACTCATCAATATTAAGTAAACCAGGGAAACTTGTCTCGAAAAAGTTGATAAGCAAACCTTTAATATGGGATCCATCGTGATCCTGATCGGTCATAATCATGACGTGACCGTATCTCAAATCCTTGATGTTATCGCGGTTGTAAACCTTTCTGTGTTGCAAACCAATAATCTGCTTGAGGGCTGTAATTTCTGCATTCTTTGCAATCATCTCAGTTGAAGCATCTCTAACATTCAACAACTTACCACGAAGCGGGAAACAACCATAGTAATCTCTGCCAACGACAGAGAAACCAGCGACAGCTAAGGATTTGGCAGAGTCACCCTCGGTCAAGATAAGAGTACACTTGTATCCTTCTTTAGTACCGGCCTTGTTAGCATCAACAAGCTTAGCTTGACCTTTAATACGGGTTCTTCTTTTACCGTCATCCTTCTGCAAAGCTTTGCCCTCATTAGCATCCACAATACTCTGGATGGTTTCAATGATGCTGGTCTTGGAAAGCTTCTTAATAAACTGGTCACTAATGACAATCTTATCCTTAGCCTTGGTAGCAAACTCGGATGGTCTGGTTGTGAGTTGTTCCTTGGTCTGGGATGTGAATGCAGGGTTTTCGATCAAACAGTTGACGAAGATGAACATATTACTTTTGATCTGTTGTGGCTTGATCATGGCCTTTTTACCCTTTTTACCCTTGTTAAGCTCATCCATGAGCTTGGTGATGATTTGGTCAGAAACGTACTTAACGTGGGTACCACCTGCTGTAGTGGCAATGGAATTGACGAAACTGACCTGGTTGAAGTTACCATCACTCACAGCAAAGGCCAATTCCCATCTGTCGTTGATAACCTCATGAACAATGGTGGTACGGTTGCTTGCCTCTGTATCTATGGCAACGTCAGGAGACCTCTCCTGGATAGCCTTGACGTACATCTCGACGTAGTTTTTGAAGTTTCGAATGTTAAGCTTCTTTTCGTTCAAGAAAACATTACAATCCTTGACAGTACCACACAAATCATAGACACGTCTGCGGAGCACAGAAAGAATATCGCTGTCTAGGGAGTCCATATTGAACTTGGACAAGTCTGGCTTGAATGTGACTTTCGTGTACTCTTTCTTATTCTTTGCCTTTGTGATTCTGGGCTTGGAAACCTTGGACATGTTGGAATTCCACGTTTGCTCGTAAACAAGCTTCGTGTTCTGGTCAGCGGTCTCCACGGTAAACTCAGTAGAAAAGATATTACAAAGCTTAGCACCAAACCCGTTTCTACCACCAACAACCTTCTTCTGGTCATCATCATAGTTAGACGACGTAAGCAAGTTTCCAAAAATCATCTCGGGAATATACATGTTCTCCTTGTTATGGATCTCCACAGGGATACCCTTACCGTCGTTCATGACAGATATCTTATTATTCTCCGGATCGATGTCCACCTTGATATTCTTCATCTTCGGATCACGGATCTTGTTATCGGCAGCATTCACCAATATCTCATCAAAGATCTTATAAAGACCAGGGACAAACGTCACCTTGGAAAACTTCATGGACTCGGTCTCCGCATCAAAGTGCCAGATCTCCACGTCGTTCTTCTCCACAGACCCAATATACGTGTCTGGACGCTTCAAAATATGCTCAAGCTGCGACAACTTCTGGTACTGGGCCGAAGCGCCGCCCAGCCCGTTGGATCCATTGGAAGTAGGGGCAGTGGAGGTATTGGTGGAGGAGGAGGAGTCCAGAAGAGGCGTTCTGGAAGCCTTTGATTTTTTTTTCGGCTGCACAACCTCAATCTCCGAAAACGATTCGTCTGAAAAGTTGCCGTCGTCGTCGTCAGAATAGTCAGACATGGTATGTGTATTTAAGCGTGAAGTGGTTGTGAAGAGTTGATGTTTTCCTAGTAAACAAGACGCGATCGCGCACGGGACACGGCTGGAACACAGAGCAAACGGTGATCTTGCAAGGGCACGAGCCACTTTGTACATGGACTGGTGGGGCGGAGGAAGCTGATTGGTCCGGATGAAGGGAACACGAAGTGGTTGTTTGGAGGTTTTTGGATGGGAGTTTGGGGTTTGGAGTTTGAGGTTGGTGGTGCTTCTGGGATGCAAATAGTGTAAATACTTGTAAATCGCGAACTGGCTGCAACAAGTTGTTGGTACTGAAAATTAAAACATATAAAAAATGATACATTTATTTGGCTTCATTTTACCACTCGGTAAACCGTTCTGGGAAAGGAGTGTCAGGCCGACCAAGAGCGGGCCGTAGAAACCCTGTATTGTCAATTTCTCGATTAGCACCGAAGAGTGGCTCTTCTTTCTTCTCCACCAATACAGCGTAGGACGGGGGGACGACTCCAAGCTCAGTAACATCAATGGGATCTCTTGAAACTTGAACAGGGACATGTACCCCGATGGTAGCTTTCAACTCAGCACCCACTAACCAAAGCTCAACACGTAAAACCATGTTCAAATAGTCGTCATTCGACTGATAAGTTTCTCCAAACCACGGAACCGTGAAGTCGTATAACTCAGAAGGTATTTCCATAAAGAATTCTTTACAATTTTCTGAAGCTTTGAAATTCCATCCTTCGACCTTTGCCTCGTGAAAACCATGCTTCTTCGTCAGTTCCCACACCTTTTCCTCTTTCTTCTTTGAACAAGCAAACAAAGCGATTCTTGTACTACTGATGAGGAACATTTTCGTATAGAGCTCTGGCAAATTATCCCAATTGAAAGGAAACAGGAGTCTGAGTTTTAGAAAATCAGCAATCTTCATACTTGGATGGACAACAGCACCGGACACAGGTAGCGGAAGATGGAACAGAGGCTCAATGATCAGACTAAGTTGGATCACCTTCCTATCATTCTCAAAGGAAGTATCCAAGGGGCATAGCTTTTCTTGGTTCGCAAAGCTGTATGATTGAGAAAGCCCACCAGACATATTCCAAAGAGGCAATGGAATTGAACAGACACTGTATCGATTCTCATATTTGATGACTGGCATTGCCCAGAAATGGTCTCTGCTTTCATCTGTTTTTCCTGTTGTTTTAAACAAGGCATAATGCATTGTAGAAGATGCGTCATCTTTGTGCTTTTTTGGTCTAATCTGCTGAAGATGTGTAGGGGTCCGGCGAATCACTTTACTTTCCAAACACTCTAGAAGAGTGGTGGTGAAGCAAAAATCCTGCCCATGTATCACAGCCGTTTGGACACGCTCAAGGGGAACGTAAGGCCAGTCTAGTAAGTTAGAAACGCTTCCAACATGCCTTTTCAAATCAAACAGCGCTGCTCGATGTACATTTTGATAGGAATACCTTTCTGGAAAAAAGTGATGTGGACTAAGTGTCATTCCTTGAAGAAGGGACTGCAAGTCCTCCTGGCTTGCTCTAGCAATATTCACATCGACAAGAGTTTCTATTGATTGTTTCAGATCACCTGTTTCAAATCCTTGAAGATCAACAATAAGCTTTATTGCATAGTTCCTAGCCATCCGTTCTGAATAAAAGGTAGGTTCACAATCAGGAAGACAACAATTGTACAATGTCTTGGAAATCGGAAAAGGCATCGAATCGCCTATCTTCTCACAACAACTTATTGTCAGCAACGTTTTGACGAGAAGACTTTTAGTAGTCTCAAGCGAATCGATGGAGCTTGACGGGGATACTGGGGCGCTAGTGCTGGTGAGCTCCAAAAGTTGAACTGTCACACAAGAAACAGTCAATGGTGAGGGTGCCTTGGTATTGTAGACAGTAGAACGTATTTCAAACTCAAGAATCTCTGAGATGTTCATACCCGGAATGACAGTATGGGCAAGTGGACTCTGTGTAAACCAATGTGGTGAGACATATCTCGAGCACAAGCTCACAAACCCGTTACCGTTCTTGCCAATCCCACTTACCTTGCATCGGTCACTAAGAATCGCTGGTGTATCCAAAGTGCCACTCAAGCTTGCACTGGAGTCCCGAAACTCAAAACGTTTTCCTCTATAACGAGCAACAAGACAGCCAAGAGGAATATCGAGAAGGCCAGGAGTTGGAGAAAAACGAGTCAACAGCTTGGGGCAAATAATAGCATGTTCTAAACTAAATTCAGGCGCAACAACATCTTCAAACTGCTCATTTGCACAAGTCACAGTTTGAAGGTCTGTTGGACTTTTTTGAAAGGCTAGTTGGACTTCAGTGATTGCCAAGATGGTCTCCGTAAGGTGACAGAGTCTAGTGATATGAGACGCGTACAGCAACGGATTCTCCAGAAGTTTCTGAAAAACCAGAGCGGCAACCTTTGAGAGGGCAAACAGGCTCCTGGCGAACTCTTCAAACACGTAAATGGTTTCAAAACGGTTTTGGTTCATCTTTCTGGCGTGTTGTAGAGAAGAGAAAAGAAGAAATTTGATGGAGTATGGCCAAGCTGTTTCCACCAGTGACAGGAAAGGCCAGGTGTGAACTTTCGAGTTGCCTATTTCTTCCTAACACACGCTCTTCCAGGAAATGTGACGAAGGTAAGCTAAGGGCAAATGTTCAAATTCGGAAACAAATAGCTGTTACCTCTTTCAGGTTTAGTCCGTGTGATTGAAAAGTAATGCTTCCAGGCTTCTGGGCATTATGTCTTCCGGGTGCCAGTTTAGTCTCGGTCATACTCTTGGCCCAGTTACGAACTTGGAGTTGCCTCAAGCCACATTTGCCATTGGAGTTGCCTAAGCCCATCGTTTTATTGTTCCCTTTCAGAGCAAAGTCCAGGCGATCCTGACCCTAGCTGATGCAGATATGAGTGAAGCTTTATGTTCTTAAGATACCCATTAACTGTCATTGAGGATCAGTCTCTGAGATAGATTACCAAAGCACCTTGTGATTAGTGGAACTAGTCAAAAACAGTCGCCAGCGGGTAGCACCGTAGCCGACCCTACTTGCATCAAATGTAAATAAAGCAGGTACCTTTCCCATTCTCGAGTCATTGGCAAGTCAGTAACATACTGCCCTGCAAGAGTCCTTCTCACTTCACGTCAACACTTCACAATTCACAGCGAAGAGACTTAATTCGCCTGAAGATATCGCTCCCAAAGTGGAAAATCATCGTCACGATTCCTTCTGGTGCTCCAAAGCCTTAATCTTTGTCCCACATACCGACGTACGGCGGGTATCGTACGCCTCAGTGCATTTCACTCTTCTTTCAACGGTATTTCATGCAAGGGCCCTATTCCATAGACACAAAGCCAATAATCGTTTGAAATCCTTTTGTTTGGATTGTCTGCGTCGTCCCAGTATGTCACCAGCATGAGTTCATGAACCGAGATGACAGTATATGAACTTTCCTCCCCGCCGCCGAGTCATCAACCTGCCAAATATCGATCATATACTTAACTTATGATTTGAAATCTTATACCTCGAGTTTTTCTCGGTAGTTGTCGTTTGTTGTCTTCAGTAGACGCGTCACATCAGGGTCCCAGAGTGAACAGCTTTTGGTCTCGTTACAATTGAGCTGGACATGCCTTAAACTGCAATTGACTTGATAGACACGGTACCTCTAAGATATATATACATATTTGGGCTGAATCCTTTGGCCTTGGTTCTTTCTGATTCCATGCGTCTTGGTGCTCGTTGCCCGTGAGTATAAATATGCCCCTCCTTGTCCCAAGTGAAACTCGCCCCTACTAACCACTTTTTTCTTCTTTTTTTTAAAGTCTAGCATTATGTCCCCAACAAAAGAGAAACCCATTGAGGCTGTCATGGACGAGAGCATTGGGACCTTTGTCTCAGTATCTCCTCCCGTAAGTGATATCACCCAAGCCAAAGTGCCTACCCAGACCACTTCAGGAAGTGAGAGTCAACATGAGGGAGGTAGCCAAGGTCAGTTGGATGAATTGGAGAAGCCCCATTCACCAGGAGTGGAAGAGGATCATCCGCAACCGGTTTGCGTTGACCGCAGAGTTTGCCTCAAGTCATTTAGAATTAAGGATATGAAGGATCTGCTTATCAGGATGGGGTTTTCCAAAGAGGTTGCTGAGAATAGTATTCAAGCTGCTGCAGAACTCGAACAGATGGCTGATGCAATCATGTCCTGGTTGAGCGCGTCAAAGCATTACTCCGAGGCTCGTTTATGCATGATTGACGATAAGCTTCAAGGCCACCTGGTAGATGCGAAAAACTTGATCTCCTTTGTTAAGAAAGCAAATGATTATCATCACTTCTTTTGCTACTTTAGTGAAGTTCTTCGTGAGTTAGCGGAAGATCCACTGAGGATTTTGCTGAAAGAGAAGTTCGTCAAAGATTTCGAAGTTGACGTCGCTGAATGGAGACCACTTCTTTCCACCGTAGAAGCGCTGTCGGTTGATGAGATAGAAGAGGATCCACCGAGTATTGGGCTTCCGTACCTGTTGAGCAGTTTGTTTTCTGTATCTCATCTTATTAAATTGAAATTCACCCAGGAGGATGCAGAAAATACGGCGGAGGCGGCTAAGAAACTCGATAAAAGGATTGATTTGGTGATCGACTGGTTGGCCGCCACAGGGCATTATTCCGAAAGTCGTTTGAACGAGATTAAATCAGCCCTTCAAACAACATGCGTTCATCCAGAAGACTTTTTGCGGCTCTATACTACAACAAAGGTGTATTATAACTATTTTTACGGGATAAAAAATCGAGTCAGACTTGCAAAAGATCCTCTGAGAATTTTGCAGAACGAGAATTTCGTCAGAGATTTCAAAGTTGACGTCGCAGTATGGAGACCACTTCTTTGTATCACAAGGGAGGAATCATCAAGTGAAGAAGAAGAATCTTCTTGTGAGCCAGTTGCGGGAATTGAGCTGAAATCGTTAGGGAACAACAAATCTCTAGCAATACCAGGTTCCTTGTGGGACAGCCCTGATTCCTTTTGGAAAGTGAGCGAAAGATTCCTGACGTTTCGCTTGGTTCAAGAAGGCATGTCCAAAGAGGATGCCATCAGAAGCCATAAAGCTGCCCTTGAACTCGATAGATTGCTCGAGCAGATAGATGAGGCTTTAGTAACGAACTACAGATTGTCAACTTTTCAGAGAAGCAGGATCATGGGTGAACTTGAACTGTATCCAATTTATGCCCGTGATTTAATGTCACTTGTTAAAAAGGTAAGACAGTATAAACCCCTTCTCTTCCACGACTATAAAATGGGTGACCTAAGATTTGATCTTTCTTCGATATTGGAGAAGAAGCACTTTGTTGAAGATTTTGAAGTTGACGTCAAAGGATGGAAACCACTTCTCGACAATATCAGCATGAACATCTGCATAGTCTCGGGCATTTTAGCCACTTTCCTTACAGTTAGCGTTTACTCTCTCTCTAAGAAGATTGGTGCAGCAATTCTGGATGAGGAAGCATGCATGAATCTCTTTCCGGTTTTTGGCAGCGCTTTGCTGGAAGTGCTCAGTCCAATTGGTCACTGGCTTTCTGATGATAATGGCAAGGGCTGGAAAGGTCGATTTTACCATATTTTGCTTGCGTATTATTTTACGTTTACCGCCTTAAGATTCGTTTTCACACGCTGCCCAGCTGTCGCATTTCGGTTATCTGAGTATCCTGTGAGAGCGAAGAACAAACTCGTTTCATGGAGAGCTTGTGATGTCTGCCAGCATGACGACTCGTTCCTTAATTGGGAGAAAGTGAATGGTACATTTGGTATATTTTCGGATATCTTGTACTTCGCCAACGAGGTGTGGGCATTTATTTTCTTGTTACCTTTCTGTATACCCAAGCTTAGAGGTGATCCCCTCCCCACCCTTCGGTATCAGAAAGGCAGAGGTCGAACCACCACATGACCAAGAACTGGGCGTGATAGCAAACAAAAGTCCCAAACCGGAATCCCATTCAAGTTGGCATTTGATCTCTGTCTACATTAATAGTGGTGGACAAGTTATACCGCTTCCAATTATTGTTTTCCTCATGATTTTCCTTTGAGAAACGAAGAAGCAGCCAAATACAGCTAAATCATCTAGTCTGCAAGAGAGGTCGCAATATTGGTGGTACTCTACGCCGAAAATTATTCGTGATGGCTCTTTGTTTCAAATTGTTAAAGAAGTCCAAATGTTCTTGAAATTGAAGAGTGAGGAAGTCCCATTGCCAAACTTAATATTCCCCTTTGGCGTCTAATGTCTTTTAAAGGTTCTTTTTTTCCTATAGATGTATAGTTTTTGTCCTTTAATAGATTCGTGTTTTCAACCGCCGCCTTGTTACTACACCCAATTCCACACGCAATATTCACGGTTCACCTTTATGTATTAACATAAATAGTCTATTTCAATTCCTTCAAGGTCTCCTTGATGGCAGCAAGCAAACGGTCAACGTGGCCCTCGTAAATAGAGAAGCCCATGTGGCCAACACGGAAGTACTTGCCGACCAACTCCTTGTGAATGCCGCCAGCGACAACGAAACCCTTTGAAGCCAACTTGCCCAAGAAATCTGGACCATTGACACCTTCAGGGAAGTAAGCAGCGGTAAGACCGTGTGCAGCAACGTCACGGTTGACAGGAACAAGCTTGATGCCCAAAGCCTCGAGCTCGTTCTTGAAGTTGGTCGAGGCTTCCTCGTGCTTGGAGATGGTAGAGTCCACACCTCTGCCGACAATTTCGTCCAAGGAAACCTTAAGAGCGGTGATGGTCTGAATGGCAGGAGTGGCAAAGTAAGCAGCGCTTCCACTCTCGTAAGCCTTCATGATTGGAGTCCATTTCTTGAGAGAAGCAAAGAAAGCAGCAGGCTTCTCCTTGTTAACAGCCTTTTGAACAGCTCTTGAGGAAGCAAAGAAGACCAGCAAACCAGCTGGGGTGCCGAGAGCTTTCTGGGAAGCAGTCAAGGCGAAATCAATGCCCCACTTGTCGAATTCAATGGTCTCCAGGCCAATGGAGCACACACCATCAACGACAATCAAAGTCTCTGGAGAGACCTTCTTGACGATTTCGGAGATCTTGGCCACGTCAGAGACAACAGCGGTGGAAGTGTCAACGTGGGTGATGGTAACGGCGGTGTACTTCTCCTTCTTCAATTGTTGCTCAATCTGGTCAAATGGAAGCACATCGCCCACAGGGGCAGTGACCACATCAACCTGGGCATCGTAGACCTTCAAGGCCTCGGCAAAGTTGTCGGAAAAGAAACCAGTCAGGAGAACAAGCACCTTGTCGCCCTTTTCAATCAAGTTGGCACCAGCAACGTCCCAACCCAAAGTACCGGAACCGGCAACAACGTAACCCTGAGCGTCTGAGTCAGTAGACTTAAACACCTTACGCAAGTTCTGCAAAACCGACTGGAAGGTCTTGACAAACTCTGGAGAAGTGTGGGCCTGGGAAGGAGTGGCCATGGCGCCCAAGACAGAGTCGGAAAACTCAATGGGGCCTGGGATCAAGGTGAGCTTGTGGTCTGGTTGCTTGTAGTTGGTAGCCATTCTGGAAAACGTAAAGAAGCTTCTGCGTAACTGTGATGATAATTGACGAAATACAGCCGTGGAAGGTGTTAGCATCTGGAGAAAAGAGTGGTTCTTGCTGGTAGATATAGTCTGGGGCCGGCGCGCCGGGGTGCAGGCGGAATTCTGGGGGAGGTTCGAGAAGGGTCCACTGATTGGAAGGTTGCGGGATGTAGCTTACAAAAAAAAGGCCGATTTGGGGTCAATTCCTTGTGCTGAGTACGGTGGTGCCGGTATTTTTGGCGTACTATGTATGGGCGTGGAGATACTTGGGTACTGTTGGGTGTGCGTGGGGACCGGTATACCGGTGGGCCGGTTTCAGAGTCAGCGTGGGGCAGTCTCACCGGCAAGACCGTTAGAGCGGAATTGGCAGACAGAGGATGGAGGATGGAGGGAGGGAGGGGTTAAAGGAAGGTAGTTGGTGAAGAGAGAGGGCCAGAGAGAAATAGGGTGGAAGAGTTAGAAGAGTTAGGTGAAAGAGTGAAAGGGAAGAGCTGGGATGGTGGACCGAGGTTGGCTGCGAAAAATAGGCTGGAGCAAGTCTTCACAAGCACAGAAGCAAGAAGGGCAGATTTTTAAGGTGGAGCAGGGTATACAGAGGGGAAAGCGATTGTGCTAATGCAAGATCGATGAGATTGACGTATGGTTTGGGATGGGCCCCGTTTCGAGGCAGGTGGGGCAGTGGACTGATGGTGGGGCCAATGGTGGTGGAGTGGTGGAGGGAGGGAGTGGTGGAGGGAGAAGGTAGGTATGGGATGTAAAGGGAAAGGGGAAGAGGTGTGGGTTATGGGGTTTTGTATGGGCTGGGTTTCTAGAAGGTTTTGGGTGGATCAGTGGGGAAGGGGAGAATGAGGGAGTGGATGGTAGAACTGTGGTGGCTGTTGGTGGGTCTGTAGTGGTTACTGGAGATGTAGAGGTGAAGACATGAAAGGTGTATTATTTAAAAGGTTGGAAGGTTTAGAGTAGTCAAGTTGGAGTGGACTACCTTGTAGAAGTTTGCCTTAGGCGGGTGGTCTAAGGGCTGGGTGACGGTGGTTCATGACTGCCAGGGTTCGTAAGGTAACTAGTAGTGGTTGTAGGCAGTGAAGGTATGGTGAGGCAAGGGGAGCATAAAGTGGGGGGGGGGGGGGGGGGGGAGGCATATTGGTATATGATTTTGGTTTGATATTCAATTTCTTGGAAGTTAAAGATTTTTATCATCTCTTTCCCTTTGGATAGTTGTCCCCTGGTTGTGGGATCAGTAGACTTGGGGCAAATCGACATAATGGCTGCGAAATACAGAAACTGCTGAAAGTGGAATGGAACGTCAACGATATGAAGGAAAAACAGGCCTTGTTTTTGGTTATTCGTTTCAATGGATACGATGAAGCCTGTTATATCACAATTTAGCGGTAGAAAGGTATTTTTGTGTGGAGCTGCCTTGGTCTTCTGATACAACCGTTGGACTCTTACAGCACTACACTTGCAAACCATTTCTGACGAGTTTAGGCCGTAGATAGTATCTGTAATTATAGGAATCCCATAGAATCGATCGTATTTTAATAAGGTTGTTCTGAAGATGTTCGTTTTATCTAGTTTCATGGAAGTATTAGGAACCACTAGGAGACCTCAAATTGGATGAAGAGGGCACCATTAAGCCAAACTCAACAAATAAATAAATCTTATAGCCCCAAGCAATCTTCAGTATACCCTACTTTCCCTCTCGTGTCACCCTGTCCTCCTACATAGCCATTGAATTGCCATACTACCCACTCACCACTTCCATTTCGCAGCCATTCAAGCCCACCAGTCACCACCCCAACTGAACATCCCAAACCCCAAAATCAAGGCTTCCTCAAAGGCATCCGAAGTAGCTTTCCATCCTAACTTCCCCAAATAACCACCTTCTACTTCATCTTCTCACTTCCACCTCTTCAACTTTTCATCACCTCCACCTTATCAATCCATCGCGCCTAGGCTAACGCGAACTACATGATCTCCAAACACTTCTCTCTACGAGGACACAAGGCGGCAATTGCAGGGTTCTGTAAAGCTTCCAATGGCTTAGTATCTGCAGATAGAGACGGCTGGGTTGTGGTATGGAACTTGGAAACCAAAAGACCACTGGGGTTCTGGAAAGCTCATGATGGGCAGATCATCACTGTTATCAACACAGAGCTAGGCTTGTTGACTCAGGGCAGAGACTCGGCAATACGGATATGGAATATGGAGGGGCTTGCGGTGGAAACGGATTTGGCGCTTTTGGGGCGTGAAGGGTTACCGAAACCGAAGTTTGATGAGGTTCCTGTGAACTCGTTGAACTTCTGTAATGTTGATTATACTGGTGGTCTTTTGGCGACGGTGGCCACTACGGATTCTGAAAAGTTTGATATTTATGAACTTTCGGCTCCGGGTAAGCCGTTTTCGTTGAATCGTGTGGTTCAGGGCTTCTCTGTGGGGAATGGTCTGGTGGATGAGACGAAGCGTGATGGAGAAGGTATCATCATGAAGCTACGGTTTGTGGGCTCTTCGTTATTGTTCGTGGGTTACGAATCAGGCACGGTTAAGGGGTTCAAAATTCATGATCAGAGCAGTATCAGGTCGTCGGCTTCGGAACTGCTTGTTCTCAATAAGGATCTTAAGCTAACAGAAGTGTTTTCGTATTCAGGACATGCTCCCCAGCCTGTTCTTTCGTTGGAGTTTGATACGGAAGAGCAGAAACTATATACGGGCTCGGCGTCCAAGAAGCTTATCGTTGTTTCCGTTGAGGGACTTCTTTCAGACGGTACATCCAAGGGAAAGACACCGCCACTAACAAAGTCTGCGCCGGTCAAACAAGGAGGACTTGGTCTGTTACTCGGCAGACCTAAGATTGAACTACTAGAGGACGATTCAGAACCTGTGGAATGTCATATCTCCACATATAACCTTCGACATTCTGGAATCCTGAGTATTCAGATCAATGACTACATTCATATAGTCTTTTGGGATGGAGTACTCAAGACGTACACGAAGGATATTGTGGAAGTTGGTCGTTCTGAGCGAGGCGTTGAACGAATCAAAGTGGAATCTGACCAGTCTGAAGTTGCAAAACCAACCACAAAAGCTCTTTGCGGGTACTTGTATGAGTTTGACAAGCTGCCGCAACAGCATACCTCACGAAAAGAGCTTCTTCGGCTTCGAAGACTAAAGTATTCCTCATTACTATTTATTGGGTATGGCGATAATCTCATTAGCGCTTACAGTATAGACGACAAAAGTTAATAGTATAATATCGCATAACGAAGGGGTATCTATTTGCAAAAGAAAGAAACGAATGTATGGATGCTCAGGTTAAGCCCTGGCAGGCTCGGAGCTGATCTTTCTCAGAGGTTTTCTCTCGTTGTTGAAACCAGCGCTGTTGAAGTTACTGCTGCCGCCGTAGAACAGCCTTCTCTTGTTTTTGTTAGACGTTGGCTGGGAATTGTTTTCACCGAGGAAGACCTGTGAATTTCTGTTGCCTCTGCTGCCTGACCGGCTATGGGAGTTATTGCCTGAAGAACTCGTGTTACGGTTACCGCCAGCCAGGTTGAAGCGTTGCCTAGGAAGAGGGCTCGAGTTTTCGAGGTCTGGGGATTCTAATCTCATCAGGTTCCTCTTGTTGCTGTTGCTATTGTTGTTTCTTCTTCTTCTCAGAGACGTATTACGTTGTCCTGAAGAACGGTTAGCACTCTCGATATCCAACTCGCTGAAGGTGGTGTTCAAATTTTCACTAGCGTTCAGCAAAATGCCCTCTATGTCAACATCAACCTGCTCACGCTCCTTTAATTTATCTTTCAAGTCGGGATGCTTCTCAACAAGCGATGTGACCACTTGCATGTTCTCCAGCAAGATCTCCTTTGATTCCTCGCCATGAGCTTTGGCAGCCTTGGCCAACGAAACCAAAAGCTGCAAAATGGCCTTATTCTTATTAACATTAATGTTATCCATGGACTTACGTTTCGACATGAGACTCTCGAGCAAGGCATCGTAATCCTTGTCGTTGTTATCCAACTTGGCGGACAAATCGTCGATTGTCTTTGCCAGTTCTTTCTTGTAGTTGTCAAACATGCGGTAAATTCCATCCACTTCCTGCTGGTAATGACGCTTATACTCGTTCTGAGATGCAATCAAGGCGTCGTACGCTATCTTTAAGCGCTCGTGCTCTGCCGTAGACAACGACAGCGACTCTTGCAAATTGTCACATCTGATCTTCAAGTTCTTATTGGAAAGCTTCAAGTTCTCGTTGGAAGAATGCACATCGTTAAACTCTTCCTCCAAGTCAGTGATTCGGCGCTCCTTTCTCTTCAACAAGGCTCCCACCATATCATTCTCATGCTTAGCATTGGCGAGCTGGTCCACAAACGACTCGTTCTTCTTCGTCAAAAGCTCATTCTTCTTCTTAAACGACTGGTTGGAAAACCGAAGCTCCTCCACCTCGTTCTTCAACTCGTCTATCTCTGTCTGGAGCCTCTCAATGACTCTGGAGGTCGACTTTTTCTGGGGACTTTCCATGGTTCAGCTTTCTAGAAAATCGCTTCAGTTCGGCTCTAGTTGCTCAACAGAGTGAAAAGATGCGGGTAGAGTACTAGCGGATGGTTCCTAAGTTGCCAGGTACTTAAGGTTATTGAAGAGCAGCTGTTGTTTACTTTTCGCAGCCGAGGCAGCCTCAACATGACACCCGTGCACCACCCATACTCAACGGTCTTCCGACTGCCTGGAGATTCCCTATGCATAGAGGCTGAGAGTCCAAGAAGAATGTTGGTTTGTTTGGGGAATGGGATGAGGATTTGGGGGAAATGGACGTTGGATGTGTTTTGTGGGAATATGGAGGTTTATGGATTTTCTTTTTTTTTTTTTTTTTTTTTGTTTTGCTTGTTCTGATGTCTGGTCGTATAAACCGCAGGTGATGTCAATGTAAATGGAGCTCTTTAGGGTTTAGTGTTTGCCCGTTTTCTGTTGATATAGAGTTTAAGGAGGATGCTGATTGCTCCGGGGTAGATTGAAGGGCATTTCGGGAGAAAGGGGTGGGAACGTTTATTCTAAAGGGTGGTTAATTCCTACGGCTCAATGGCTGGCTTCTGATTGGCAGTCGTATTCCTGATTCCATTAATGACGAAATGAGGGGGTTCATTTCAACTTTTCACCAATGAAGGTAAGCTAGAGAAGTACTGTTCTTGGAGATTGAAGGATTACAAGCTTACTTATATTTTCATCAGAATGATAAGTCCCGGAATATTTCGACTTCACTTGGCTGTTTCAAAAGCCCTATGAAGAGGATATAATCTCCTCGAGGCCTGTAAACCAGGGTAATTGAAAATAGACGCTGTTGTCTGCTGGACCAAATGTTGAACCTCTCGCTGTGCTTCACTCAAGCCTCTGCTCGAGTCCTAATACAATCATATCAAATGGTATGCTTTATAGTACCTATCTCCGTTTTTGGGGAATTGATTTCTGGGATAATGACGATAATAGTACCGACTTTCGGTATGTTTATGTCTCAAATCGATGCATTTTCCTCATTTTTGAGCCAAACCGGCGGAAATTTGCATATTTTGGCTCTGCAGAAAGCTGAATTTGTTAATTTGCTATTGATACCAACCCTTAAAATATCAAAAATCAATGGTTCAACCAATCCAAAGTTCTGTTAAAGTCCGTTTACATAACGGATATGTCATGGATATGACGAGCTACAACCAGAGTCACGACGTTAGCAATGAGAGTCACAACCAGAGTCACGACACGAGTCATAATACATCACTAGAAGCACGAGATCTAACTTTACGAGACGGTCTAACTTTACGAGACGCTTCCCATGCATTGCCGAACTCGGATACGAACGACTACCTGAAACGAGCTATCACTGATTTACGAGCTACCACTGAAACAGGTTTACGAGCTGCCACTGAAACAGGTATGTGCATTTACGAACTGCCACTGAAACAGGAATACGAGACGCTGGCTCGGGCTATAAATAAGGCGCTTACACCCAAGTTGTCAAGGGGCTAGCGGTTACTTAGCTTAGTTGAATATATAAAGTATTGCCTAAGACTTCACTGAATCGCCCACAAGAGATCCCCTATACGAACCATAACAGGATATTCACTGGGCGTGTGGCGTAGTTGGTAGCGCGTTCGCTTAGCATGCGAAAGGTCTCCGGTTCGAATCCGGACTCGTCCATTTTTTTGCATTTACCCATTAATTCCTTTACTTTTTCATTTTATTACTATTCTGCCAGCAGATCAGACCCTTCTATCCATGATTTCCTTATTCTCCAACCCATCAAGGCGCATCCTCATGGAATTGAACTTTTTCTCCACATCCACCCAGAACTCGTTCTCTCTCTCCATCAACGCCATGTACTTCTCAAAAACAATACTATTCTTCACCACCATCATATGGTACGCCTTCATGATCTTCTCAATGGCGTCTTCTCTTGCCTTAACCAGCGCCAAATCAACTTTGTCCACTGCTTCAGCGGAAATCGCCGGTATATCAAGCGTCAGAAGCTCAGCCAAGTTAGCATAAGCTTCACGAATAGCAGGGAACTTTGCCAAAAGCAACTCCTGCTTCTCTGTCTCTGAAACGTCAACATTACGGTTTTTGATTTCAGGAATGTGTTTCTTTGGATCTCTGACAGTTTCAATGATCCTCTCTAATGTCTGGAGTTCTGCATTAGACCTATAAAGAGACTCCACTTTACCCTGTAAATTTGATACCTGGGCAGCTAGCGAGAGCCCTGATTGGTCCCTTTGTCCAGTTTGAAGCTCAAGCCTAGCAAGCCTGCCTGAGAGGTCTTGGTAGGTGGAAGTGTCCATGGTGGTGTGTTTCTGGAAGTGGTACGAAGATCAGAGTTATATATGGTGCGAAGCTACTCCACAATAGCTTGGGTGCAACAATGATACTACGGCGATAGGACATAACGCTTGGAGTGACGAAACGGATTCAATGCATGCAAATGTAGACCTTGTGAGTTGGTCAATGGGTGTATAAACTTTTTGTTTTTTGTGTGGCTTGTGATTGGCCTGGAGTGGTCTTGTCGAGGGACTACTCCTCCTCGCTGCTGCTGAAATCTTCAGTCTTGCTGCCACCGTAGAGTTCTCTTAAACTCATGGGTTTCCCATTGGGCTGGGAACCTGGACCGTTTCTGCCAATAGGTTTCTTGGAAGGCTCTGGCTCGTCGGTCATGTTAATCACAATCTTTTGGGAGCCTCTACCGTCATCGTCGTCTTCATCGTCCTCGTCGCTCTCTGAAAAAGTGTTACCGAACGTATTGGGCAGACTTTCCGAAGGCGTAGACTCCAATACTTCTTGGAGCTGGTCCTCGAGGTCCTTAAAATCGTCATCCATGTCCACATCGCCAGACTCCTTCTTCGCCTTTTTGCTCTGTCTAGCAGCCTTGGGTTTCTTTCTCTCCTGTTCCTGGCGCTTAGGCTCACTCTGCTTAGCTGGAGCCTTCACCTCCTTAAGTGCACTGCCAGCCATGAGGTCAGGCTGCTCGGCATCGCTCTCTAAATCTTCAAAGTCCTCCATGTTGATGATATCTTTTGACTCTGGAGTCGCTGCCGGAGGCCGCTTGGCCGCCCGTTTCTTCGGTTCGCTTTTAGCAACAGCCTGCTGCTGCTGAGGACTCTTCTTCTTTGGCTGCTGTGGACGTGCCAGAGCTTTATCTTGCAGCTTTCGAAGCGCTGGTGTCTCTTTCTTAACCTTGGGAATGTGAATGCCGTCCTCTGGCGCCTTCTGCCACTCAACTATAGCGTCTCTCCACTTTTCAGCATTCCTGCTCTTGCTCATCCGAATCGTATTGGCAAGCTGTTGTAGCAGCACCTTAACAGTGCCGTTCTCTGATGCTGGAGGCTGGAAAGCCAAGTAGTACGAATCAGGCCCTGGGCCTGGTCCATTGGCTCCAGAAGGACGCTGTCTTTGCTGGATCCCTTCAAAGATCACCGAAGGCGCCTTGCCAGTCTTGTGAAGCTTCAGGCTCAGCTGAGCCTCTAGCACGCACGTCTGGTCGTCTCTATAGAGCTTCAAAGGGGAGGTCTGGCTCATGGAGTCAGGAACAAAGCCATATCGAAGCGCCAAAGGCCCATTCGAGGAAGAGCCCGCTGCCAGGTCAGGCGAGTCGCCAGCGTATGCTAAGACCAGCAAGTCTATATCGTACTCACCGTCAGGAATGTGCATTGGTGAAAATAAGCGGTGCTTTCTGTGTGTGTGGAAAAAGAAGGTAGGTGCTCAGCAGGTAACTTAGCGAAAAGGTGCTACAGTATGGTGAGGCTGAAGCCCAGTACAGCAGCTACGGATCGCGAGCCCAAAAGAGTAAGTGGAGCCACTCCGAGACAGCCAGAGAGCCAAGGGTCACGTGGAGGTTATAGAAGGGAAAGAATTAAATGAGAATAACAGAACGTGGTATATTGGGAAGTTGGGAAGTATGAAGGGGCACTTCGAAGGGCACTTGGTGGTGGAAGGTGGAAGGTGAGGTGGGGGAACACAAAGGTGGGGGAAATATACAGTTGGGTGAGAATGAGGGAGGAAGAAAGAGGAGGGAAGGTGGAAGGAAGAGGAAATGGATGGGTATTTATAGGGAAGGTGGAAAATAAATGTTGGGTAAAATGGGAAGGTGGGCTTTTTTTGTTGAGTTTTCGGTAAAAAGAATATGGAGAGTAGGTGGTGGTGGGTTGGCGTGTTTTGTGGAACAGTGCCTTAGTGGACCTGAGTCTGGCGAGCCTGGTGAGTGAGTGGCTGCTAAAAATGGCAGTTGACGAGATGGCAGTGGACAGGGAACGAGAAGAAGTGGAATGAGGGAAAGGGAGAGAATGGGTGGGTAGTTTAATTTACATTGAGTGTTTCTTGATTTTCTTATTTTTCATGGTTTTCTTTTTTTATGTATTTCTTCATTCTCTGGGTGCTCTGGTTGTACTGTGTTGCTGGGTGGAGGTGAGCTGAAGGCACCAAAAGAGACGGTGTTCATGTGAATAGGTGAAGGTGAGTTGTGGTGTTACTTGGACATAGGTAGGCTGCTTTGGGATGTTGATTTGAAATATTTTAATGTTACTTGAAGGTTTGGGTGGTGTTGGTTTGGGGTTTGACTGGGTATATATGGTTGCAGGTACACATCTCTTCTGTCCACCTAACTATTCAGCCAAGCTGTTTGTAAGAGTGGAAAGGAAGACTAAGACATATTTGATTGTCTTGAAGCACACAGGTACATTTGTGAACTTTATAATACCAGTTTGCTATGTAGTCATCTTGTAGCTTGGTGTGTCCAGTTTGCAGCCATTACAGAGCTCTAGCCATGGAAGGACACTTCAGGAAGTAATCCACTGATCCTCCCCTTCGAAAAACAACAAAAAATATCTTTCGTATACTTGAAGAGAAATTTAAACTATCATCAAAATTAATCCCTTTTAATAAACGTAGTTCTACTTCTTCAACTATTTCTCCATTCACTGAAGAAATGGCTGCGAAACATGAATTTTGCAAACTACAATCCACCATCAACCACCAAAACGCCGTAAAAGCCAAAAAAAAGCATTTGTATCTTATTACCTACAATCAGTAAACCATTTAACTTTCCTTTCCTGCTTGAATTCATCACCTACGTCCATTTTGGTGCCTAGCAACTATACCATCACTCACTCTCCACTCAACCACACTCCAACAACACAACCACCAAACAAACCCACCTCTATCCACCTCCTTCCATCAAACCAACCCAAACCTCCACCAACCCATCCCTCCACCTTCAAAAAACACCCAGGGATCATCGTGGAGATCGTCATTTCCAATTCCTTCACGTGACCACACTGCTTGTTGACATCTCCATCGATTTGGGTCTCGTTTTGATCAAGCTCAGGTTGCCATGGAACCAGGCAAAGAAGTATCTGTTTTCCATCCAAAGGTGCTCCTTTTGTCTGCTGGAGCCACCGCAACCATCTTTCTTTCATTCAAATTCTATGCCCGCTACATTCGACGCGTACGAAGCTACCTTGATTTCAGCCATGATATGCTTGATGGTCAGCGCCGATTGTATGGAAAAGTGACCAGAGTTGGTGATGGTGATAACTTTAGGTTCTTTCATACACCTGGTGGTGTTTTTACAGGCTGGGGTTGGCTACGAGAGATCCCCACCAAGCCTCTGGAGTTGAAGGATGAGACATTGATGATTCGTCTCTGTGGAGTAGATGCTCCAGAGAATGCCCATTTTGGCAAACCAGCACAGCCATACTCCAAGGAGGCTCTTGCGTGGCTTAAGGGGTACTTGCTTGACCGCTATGTGACCATCACGCCCTACTCCATTGACCAATACAAGCGTGTTGTTGCACGGGCCCAAGTATGGAAACTCACAGGGAAGAAAGATGTCAGTGCCGAAATGCTTCGTCATGGGCTAGGCTTGGTGTATGAAGGCAAGTATGGAGCAGAATTTGGCGACAACGAATCGTGGTATAGAAAACTAGAGGCCAAAGCCAAAAGAAAGAAGAAAGGGTTGTGGTCTTTGGGTAAGAAGCTTGTAACTCCTGGCGAGTTCAAAAGAAGCTAATCCTCATCATCGTGCATTTTATAATTTTTCTTTGCCCAGTCATTTGAGCAAAGCCGACACCTCTTCACTCAACTCGTTAGCGTGTTCCGTGGTGTCAGCTTCAGCATATACTCGAACAGCATCCTCAGTTCCAGAGGCTCTCACAAACGATCTGCCGTCTGTGTACTTAGACACAATACTATCAATTTTATCTTGCATTCCAGCAGGCTCAACCAAAGTTCTTTCGGCATTTGTAGTCTTGAAAACAGTACGGTCTGGCACCACAACCTTGACTAACTTGTTAGGCAAATCTTTGTACTCGTTATCCCATTGCTCTGGAGACAACTTTAAGTAGTGAAGGATTACCAACACAGTCAACAAGTCTGAGATGGCGTCTCCCACAGTCTGGTTAATCAACTTGGTAAACTGCTGAAGGACCTTCAAAGCCTCGGCTTCTTCAGGAGAGGAAGATTCGTGAGAGAAGATCTTCTTCTCAGCTTCCTTGGAAAAGATCACGGTTCCGTGACCATTGGCCTCAAAGTAAACACCAATGTCGTACTTTTCTGCTTCATGGTGCAAGTGCTTCACACCAGTTGGCGTACAACGGACTGGCAACTTCAAGACATCACTAACATACTTAGTAGCAGAGCCATTGGCGTAAGCGGTCTGGATCACGGCAATGTCCAACTTGAGCTTAGAGGTGTCGATCTTGCTCAACAATCTTTGCAAGAACAAGGCAATCAAGGTAGCAATCTTATCACCGTCCAACAACTTGAAAGTGCCATCTTCAGTCTGGTAGTAATGGATCAATCTGTCGGCATCACCATCGAAAGAACCATACAACTTACCTGCCTGGGGCGTAACGTTCTTTGGAAGATGCTGGTTGGTCTTGACATAGTCGGCACCACAGTCGTAATTAAGCAAGTCTGGCTTCTCGTAGTCGCTGTTAACCAAAGAATAGCTGATTTCATCCTTCAAGTACTTCTCAAAGAGATCCTTGACCTTTGGTGCACCTACACCGTTAGCCGAGTCGACAGTGATATCCACCTTCTCACCACCACCAAGCTTAAAGATTTCCTTGAATGAATCAGCCAACTTCTGGTAGTAGCCCTGTTCCAGGGTTTTACCAAATTCAGGGTCATTGGTCGTACGTGTAACGTAGTGCAATTGTGGAGTGGTGAACAAGCCAAAGTCAGTAAACGACGAAGCAGGAATCGACTCCACACCAGCAATTGTGGCATCAGACAACCTAGGCGAAGACTCACGAGAGTCTCTAGCAATGACAACCTTGGCAGGAACAGAAAGGTCAATACCCAATTCCTTCACAAGCTTCTCCACGGTGTTTGCCAACTCCAGGTGACTAGCATTGGCCAAATCAGTAGCATACTTCTCCCAAGTAGGCTCCAACATGCTGCCCAAAGGATCCACAACCTTCACACCGTTATCCTGAGGAGGATTGTGAGAAGCAGTAATCATCACTCCCACAGCCTGGCCCTTCAAGTACTTGGACCTCAACAGGGCCAATATTCCAGCGGTGTAATTAACATAGTCCAACAATTCAGCCTTCATTCTGAAGCCGGCGGTACCGTAGGAATAAGTAACGCCCTCAGGCTTTGGGCATTTGCTGATACGTTCGAAAATCAAGTCTTTAATCATTTTTGAAAGAAAGAATGGTGGTTTCTTGACAGCACTTTCAGCAAATGATCTCATGAGCCCTTGTTTGTGTACTGCATGCAATTAGATGCCAAAAGGGTATTCTTAGTGCTTCATGCACCTTCATGTAGCGCCCAACATAGATGAGAGTTGCATTTTGGTGAAAATACAACATCAGGCTGAAGGAATGAAGAAACCTGGGAAGTTTGCAAACTCGTCTTTTCATAAGGAAGGTCGTCCTGCCAACGTTGAAGCTGAGCGGCCGCGGAAACCTGTGACGCCCAGAGATGAGTTTTTCACTGAGCTCGTCAAAACGGGCCGTCCCAATTGGAAAAAGGCTCCATCGGCAGTGAAACAGAGATACAATGGTATCTTTTTGATTCTTTTCTCGATTCCAATCATGACGCTTTCAGGTTGGGAGCTTTATCGCCGTATGGAGGGTAAGTCCACCAAGAAGGTCCAGGAAGGTGAGATCATCCACGGCAAGGAAGTGAGGAAGTTTGACGAGGCAGAAAAATGGCAAAAAGAGAAGGACAGTATCTTATATAAGATATTTGGTCGTGATTTCTTCTTGGATGGTTTCACCAGCAAAACCATGAAGCCTGAGCTGAACAAGGAGAACGAAAAGTAACCTATTTCCACGCTTTCCTGACCGGTTTCACCGGCTGCACTAGATGACTTTCATCAAAACGGGAGCCAATCGAAGATCCAGGTCTATCAGGAGATGTTGAACGAAGGCTCAAGCGATCGAGCGACGGTTCAATCTCATCTATGCCACCAGCATCATACGCAAGATTCGGCGTGGTTTGACCTGCCAACGAAAGCTTATCTGCTCGCATAGTAAGCAGCGACGCCCTAGATCGTTCATGTGGCGTCAATTCACCAGCAAGCAGAGACCCTGCCGAAGATAATCTCCTTCCAGCCACTCGCTTTTTGGGTAATGTGAACAGCGGCGGGCTCCTCAAGAGCATCGGCGACATATTAGGCGTCTTGAAGAGGGAATTTGTTGCTGTACCATTCTGCTGCTTGCTTTGGGGCCTTCTCTCGGGCGATAAAAACACCGGATGAGTAGGGCTTATGCTTGGAATCCGAGAACCTTTAGATGGGAGTTTCTTAATAACAGGTAATCTTAAATGGATATAGTTAGAAACTATCACAGGAATGTTGGAAGGAGGAGGTGGGATCGCCTGATTCAACTCTTGAAGCTTTTGGGAATAATTAAGTGTAACACCCGCCCCTGGACGTAATTCAGGCGTCTTTGGGTGCACAAGGGTTTCAGTACTATCATCATGCGATGCCCTAGTATCCTCTTCTTTTGGAGACAGTTGGAGACCAAGAAGGGCCATTTGTAGCCTTGTGCTTCGAAGCTGGCTGGGTTCCACATTTAAGTCGACAAATCTGTCTGCCTTATAAGCACTGATGGGGACATTAGGGGAAGGATTAACATCAAGTCGTAAGTCGAAGCCGTTATTAGGAGAATTAATGGAGGTGCTTCGTTTATGGTCGGACAACGCCAGCGGTGTCCGTCTTTGAATCATCTTGACAGGTTTGAGGCCGTCTTCACCAATTTCTGGAGTTCCTTCACGAGGAGTTCCAGGGGATTTAGTCATAAATATCGAGCCATCTAGTAGCTCATTCACTTTCTTCCATCGAGTAAGGATTTCCGTTTTGAACTTCTCTTTTATGCTTTCATCGTCGCCAATATGTTCGATTACTGCCTTATGGAGCAATGTATTAGCGTTTGAGCATAGCTTGAACGACGTTCCAAACTCGTCAGTCACTTCCAGGATACCTTTACCCTGGTTTTCATTTAGTTGTTGCGTCATTTGGTCAAGCCGTGCCAGCATTCGATCTATAAGAAACACACACAAGAGGCGCCAGCGCAGAACAATTGCAGAGTCTCGAAGTTTACTAAAATCTGAAAGGACCCGTTTCCATGCTTTCCGTAGCGAGTCGTAGTCGTTGTTCACATCAGCTATTGCAGATGGGAAAACAATACCACAAGTCTGATTAAACTCACCAATTCGGTGTTCTAGAAACTTAATGGATATGCTGATTGGTTTAAACCTGTTTTCAAACTTTTCAAAGTTTTCAAAGAAGGCCTTCTCATCGTCTGAAAAGGCCATTATGCAAGGTGTATTAATGCTGTTTTCGGAGATCGAGCCTGTGAGCTTAACCTGAGCGATAACTTTCTCCATGGTAAGATCACCCGGAAGGTCCAGAGATAAATGGATATGAACAAGCGATTCGTACAATTCAGCACACGTTGCCACTTCACGGTGGATCTCGCTGATATTGTCAAACCTGATTTCGTGATACTGTGCAGCTATAGATACCGCTGTTTGGGCTTGCAAGATAGCCTGTTTAGCCTTTGCTGACCGATCGCTTGTATGTTTCAAAACACTCAGAAGCTCCTGAGGCTCGAACACCCCCGGAACAGCCATCGCCAGAGCCATAAACAGCTCTATCAGCGACACTTCTTTCAGCAAAGTAGTGACAAGGACTCGTTCCTCTTGGTACCAGCTAAGAGGCTCATCCTCGACCTTTGTCAACAAATCCACCACCTGATGAAGGTACTGTCCAACATCAGACAATATCGTCACCAATTGGGACTTTTCGTAGTTCAGTAGCCCCTGTTCCTGATGTAAAGAGTCCAGTAGATCGCTTCCTAGTAGCGTGGGAAAGTCGAAGTGGCGCTTGGCCCACGGTAGCGCTTGAGAAGAAGACATTGAGTAATGAAGAATTCTCTAGAGCTAGAGCCATGTGGTAGCAGGATGGAAAATGGAAAAGGACGTGAAGTCTGGAGATCTCATAAGGTTGGACCAGGGCTTTGTTTATGGATCTTGATACACTGCGTATGCAGGTCTGTCAGAAAACGGTGAAGCAGGGCCCCATTCAAGGTCACTGTTTTGGATGAGAATGTGAAGGTGAAGGGTTGGAAGAGATTGGAGGGTGTACAGAAAGGTATTGGTGGTCCTTTGGAAGTGGAGTCTTGGGGTTGGCGTGGAAAAGATGGAGGTGGAGCGCTCATGGTGATGATCTGATAAGACAGACCAGTAGTGGGGGTATAATAAGGGAAGAAGAGTAAATATGAGTAAGCAGCCATACATTGTCACTTTTTTAGAACTTGAATATTCATATTTGACTTCTTAGAGTATCAAGTTTCCAGCTTTTTGGCTCTAGTTGTCCCAGTATATACCCTTGCGAAAAGTGTAGGGCATTTTGCAGCCATTTTGTCTCAAACCTACTACAATCCAAAAACCATCCAGCTTCTTTCCATTGGTATCCATAAACCTCCCAGGATGCACCGCTACGCTTCTAAAACCCTTAAACGAAAGCGAGGCTTTTATTTCAAAAAGAGCTACCACCGTCAGTGCTCTTCTTTGTTGGATGTCTCACATTCAGGTTGCAACCAGTTACCTACACCGAAATCACCAGAAAGTGAAGATTCGACAGATTTTCTGTTATTTAATGACTTTGCAGCTTATACGTCGTTTGTGGTGGAGTCGCCTAACTATGACGTTCTTCCAGACGACGAATGTCGACTCTTGCATACTTCATCTACTATATCCACAGTGAACGAAGGTACTCCTGTTCTTCTCAATAAGGAAAGGGAATTGGAGCCGTTTCCAGTTTTGATGGAGAAGCCGTTGGTGACTTTCCAGCCAAAGCTAAGAATTACTACGGCAGATCGGTGGCACTTGAGAGAACTTGAACGGTTATACTATTCAAAGAACGTATGGAAGTACCATCGACTTCGCTCAGTGGGATTCGACTGGAAAAGACTAAGGGCTAGAATTAGAGACTACGTGAAGAGTACGAGGCAAACTCAGGAAGTTGTGTTCCCTACAAAACGTATTAAAGCGGTTCATGTTGACTGTTTCTGGCTGTTAGAGAACTCATCCGAGGATGAAAGTATAACCGGTACGCCTATTATCATGCCAAAGGTAAGAACAAAGTCGAAGAAGCAGGAGAGCAGGAATAGTGGGAAGGAACTGAATGTTTCGTTAGAACGGTATGACATTCTTGACTTGATCCAGGATATGCCTTCCTTAAGCACCAAACCGCTCCTTAACGTCAAAGCAAACGTACTTCTGCCACTGACTTACCAGACACTGGCTTCCTGGAACTTGGTAAGACCCAATTCAAACACATGGAGTGAGTCTTCCTACATTCTGGATAAGTCTTTTCCTGATGCTGTTTCAGGACTTGTTTTGGAAGACAGGTATGGGAAGTTGATTCGGGACATCTTAGAGGGCAAGAGTAAGGAGGTAAAACTGGAGTCTGAAGATAAACTAATTTCAAAGAAAGCTTACCTTGATCTTGGGAACGCCATTGAATTAGGACGCAAGGCGAGTAAGGTGGTAAAGGACATGCAAGATTCCTTCCAAAAACAAATCCCATTTGGCATTTCTTCAGCAATTTATGATCAACACTTGGGAGTAGAAGTATCCAGCTTGAAGCACTACTGGTCATGGATCCTTCCAGGAAGTGAATCATCTGCCAATCTCAAAACCAATGTACGTCTTGGCACCCTGGGCCATATCCAAGTCCACATTTCCATGGAAGGGCAAGCAGGCACAAAAACAGAAGAAGACCCTCAGAAATCACGTCAATCCAGTTTATCTACTCTGAACGAGGCCTTTCCTCATCCCAAGAGGCTGACTTGGGCAGATAAGCTTTGTTCTGTGGCAGATGAGCTTTTGCAGACAGCACAGGAGATCTTGGAAGATAAAGGGGAGGACCATGACGAAGAAGAGGAAGAAAATGATTCTACCAGTGATTTAATAGAGCTTTGAAGGGTCCATATGGAGTGGCTGCAAAATCCACTTATGGCTGCGAAACCAGTAGAACAGGCACAGTCGGAGTAAGAGGAGAGGTGATGATGTGGTACTAAATAAGGAGCAGAAAATTGAACAACCCAAAGTTAATTAGATAAGTAAACAGCCTAGAAATTAAATTTTCAGTGTGTAACCATATAATGGCTGATAGTTCCTGGTGAGCCTTCAGTATGTATGGTACTCTCTAAAACAGGTCCTATCGTTTCACACCCCAACCAGAAAACACCCAAAAAAAGCCCCGATTTAGATACCACAGCCAAATACCATTCCTCTAATTCGCTTTCAAACTCTCTTTCACTCCCGTTGGCTGTTGAACGACCCTTCCTTCTCCATACCCTATAATCCGGAGGTACGGGTGCAGATGCACTACAGATACAGATATCTGCGATGAGATGGGATCAACTTTCCACCTTCGCCAGAACCACAAAACCATGCCTAAAGCGGCTAAGAAAAAGTTCTCTTCGGCTCCTGACCCTACTGGAAAGACGATGGCTGCAGACAAGGCCATGAACTCCGTGTTCAAGTTCAACACGAACCTTGGCCAGCATATCCTTAAGAACCCACTTGTTGCCCAGGGCATCGTTGATAAAGCCCAGATTAAACCTAGTGATATTGTGTTGGAAGTTGGTCCTGGTACTGGTAACTTGACGGTGAGGATCTTGGAGAAGGCACGTAAGGTTATTGCTTCGGAAATGGATCCTAGAATGGCGGCTGAACTTACCAAGAGAGTGGCTGGTACTCCTAACCAGAAGAAGCTAGAAATCATCTTGGGTGACTTTATCAAGGCGGAACTTCCGTACTTCGACGTTTGCATTTCGAACACGCCGTACCAGATTTCGTCCCCCTTGGTGTTTAAGCTTCTTAACCAGCCTAACCCTCCTAGGGTATCTATTCTTATGTTCCAGCGTGAATTCGCTTTACGTCTTTTAGCTCGTCCTGGCGACGCTTTGTACTGTCGTCTTTCGGCAAACGTGCAAATGTGGGCTAACGTGACACATATCATGAAGGTTGGTAAGAATAACTTTAGACCTCCTCCTCAGGTTGAGTCTTCTGTGGTGAGAATTGAGATTAAGCAGCCTAGACCAAATATCGACTTTAACGAATGGGACGGTTTGCTCCGAATTGTGTTCGTGAGAAAGAATAAAACCATTGCTGCTGGTTTCAAGTCCAGTAACGTCATTGAGATCTTGGAGAAGAACTATAAGACGCTTTTGGCGACCCAGAACGCTGACGACTCCATGATGATTGACTCAAAGACCGACTTGACTGGTGTAGTCAAGGAAAAGATCGAAACTGTTTTGAAAGAAACTGGTTTTGCCGAAAAGAGAGCAGCCAAGCTAGACCAGACCGACTTCCTTAAGCTCCTATACGCTTTCCACCAGGTCGGTATCCATTTTGCATAATTCCTCTGTACCATATTCTAGAATAAATTTACTATAGCTTCTATTAATCTATCGTCTCTTGCCGCCCTTCAGAGTATCTTTCTCAATGACCTCACCGACACCACCAAGCTCTTCCAACTGGTCCTCGGCAATTCTAACTTGTTCTCTTCTCTCCCAGAATCTGTCTTCGCAAAGATCAAACGCAGCCTTCTTCAAGTACTTACCTCTGGCATCTCTGTTACTAGAGATAGACCATTCAAGGAACTGAGCACCAGTACGGATATAGAAGGCCCGTAGGTTCTCAAATGGCTTGGGGTGGGGAAGCCATGGACGTTGATCAGGGAACTCTTCCTCCTCTTCCTCTTCTTCTTCCTCTTCCTCCTCTTCCTCTTCAGGCTCCTCTTCTTCATTCTCTGCTTCCTTTTCGTCTTCATCTTCCTCATCGTCTTCATCATCATCATCTTCTTCATCGTCAGAGCCAGCATACTGTTTCTCTAGCTCACTATGATCTTCCCAGTATACCTTCACACCATCAAGCTTGTTCAAATCAATGGAGTACATGGAGTCCAAGTTAAACTCCTGGTCGCCTCTTTCAAAAATACCACCAAAAATGTACAACGAATCGTCGGCCACACATGTGGTAGCATTGAAACGTGGATGAGGAAGCTGGTTGACAATGGGGAACTCCACCTTATCGTTCTCCAACTCCTCTCTTTCTTCTTGTTGCTTCAACTTCTCAATCTGAGAAACTTCATCCTTTTCTTCATCATCATCGTTCAAGTTTGCCTTGGCCAAAATGGAGTTCAAAATATCTTCCAAATCCTCATCTCTATTGGCCTTCTCCTTGACTGCCTCCTGCTTCTTCTTCTTTCTAGGCTTCAACGTCATGTTGTACCATCTATTGATCTCCACCTGGTACGATTGCAAGGTGTTATAAAACTGAGACTCAATCTTCTCCTCGCTCTCGTCATAGTCATAGACACCACCAAACATGATACCACGGTTCTTGTGGAACACCATTGAGCAGCCTACTCTTGGAGAAGGAGTGAAACCTTGTTTTCTTCTTCTTTCAAACCTAATACCCTTAGGATCAGCCTTCATCTTCACCAACCACGAATCTGTAAGCACCTTACCCTTCTGCACGCCCTTCTTGCCCTTGACTTTACAGTAACCACCGTAAATCACAGCACCTTCTGGATGGGGCACCATAGAGTGACCAGAACGAGCATCTGGGATAGGATGAGCTGGAGGAAACTCAGCCTGCGTCCATTTATGAGTGGTGATATCAAAAAGCCACATATCGTGAAGATAAGTTGTCAGAACACCCAAATCTCTAAACCCACCATGCAAAATAATGTAGTGTTTCCAAACCGACATTCTATGGCCCGATCTCGCCGAAGGGCCCTTCTTCTGGTCGAGTTTCTCCCACTCCTTCGTCTCAGCATCCAAAACCCAAGTATCACCATAATGGTAGAAGGTAGACTGTTTAGGAGACGAAAACTCACCACCAAACATCACCACAATGCCCGACGGATGGGCACACATCGCATGCGACGATCTGGGCAACGGCGAGTTCTTCGACGAGTACTTCCTCCACGTATTGTTATCAATCGTATAAGTGTAAAGCTCATTATAGAACCTAGCCATACCTCCCTCATTGGACTCACCGCCAAAAAGGATCAATTCCCTCTTTCCCTGTAAAGGACTGGCCACCATGGCCGGATTGAGTCTTTTACCAGGCCTATCAACGACATCCACCTTCACAGCAAGAAGCTCTTCTTGTTCTTTGGCGTACTGCTCCAAGATGGCATCGATGTCCTGGTCTTCCTCTTCTTCTTCGCCAGACTTCTTTGCCTGCTTTTTCTGTTTCAGCTCTGCCTTTTGGTTATTCTTCTTTTGCTTTTCAGCGGCACGGGCTTTTTTATCTTCCTTGGACTTTTTATCCTTTTTGGCCATTCTGTGAGTTTAGTAGGAACTGGTGGTTTTGGCGATGTCCATATCCAAATTTCGCACCTCCATTTCGCAGCCATTGAAGAAGAGAAGAGATGAAAGGAAGGCCCTAAAGGTCATAAATAGATATTTTTTTTCTTGTAATGAAGACTGTAAAGCCTCAAAATAACCCTTTGCTTTCAATTCCCTTATTATAGAAAACCCACTTCTACTCATCTACATCACTTTGCTGCTGTTATACTCATCATTTCTATCCCATGGGATCCCTATTGTACATTTCTAAACCGAAATCGTCTTCCAGACATTCAAACCGTCTCCACCGGTCGAAACCAAACAGCCTGGAATCTGCGAGTGCCATCTGACATCCTTGACGTGTCTTTGCCAGTGGACAAACAACAATTGTGGTGGAATGTCGTGCAACTCTTGTGCTTCTTTTCTTTGCTGGGAGATTTCTTCATCATCAGCTTCCACAGCCAAATCCCATAAGGTCACGGTGTTGTCTTCAGACGAAACAGCAATGATCGACTCGTCTAATGGGTTGAAGGAAATCGAGGTCACTGGGGCCTTGTGGAAGTCGTAGTGAGCAACTGGAGAAGGCTTGTCCTTACCGTTGAAGTTACGCAAATCCCAAACACCCCAGGTGCCGTCGTCGTGACCAGATGCTAGCAAATGCGAGATTTTCGTGCTCCATGAAATCACATTAACGTCGGTGTTGGACGCTTCCACGGAAATCACTGGCTTGTGCTTCTTGGATCTCGTATCCCAGATTCTCACATACCCGTCACAGCCACCAGTAGCGAAAACTGTGCTTTCGTTGGTGGACCACTGGATATCCTCAATGGAAGATTGAGATGCAAAGAATGGGGTTTTGTCGGTGACCCAGCTGGAGGTGGTTCTGTTGGTCAAGTGGATTCTACCCAGACAGTCACCCAGCAAAAGAGCACCGGTGTTTATAAGCGGAGACCAGTCCAAACCGTAGCCTTCGACGTTACCGTGGGCACGAATAGTGTGAATGGGTCTTTTGGCGCCCTTTGGAATCATGTAGCCAGGAGTATCAAACGCCTTATATTGCGACAGCAAGTCGTAGATCAGGACTTCACCGTTCTCTTGCAGAGCAGCCGTCAAGTACTCACCGGTCTGAGCAGCGTGTGGGGACACTCTGAGTCTATTGGTTGTGCTTTTGAGAGGAACAGTCTCTGAGATCATCACTGGGTCAGACTCCTCTTCGTCCTCGTCATCTTCATCCTCATCTTCAGGATCGTCCTTTACAAGGGTCTTCGCCAAAGACAGCAATTTCATAGTAATCAATTCGTTATCCTTAGCCTTCAGAGCCTGTGTAGCAGTTGCAAGGTACAACGAGGCAGGGTAAGTTCTTCTCTCGTTACCCAAAGAGTCAGGCAAAATGTCGATGGTCAAACATGGCCAAGGCATGTTCACGTTATGCAACATTTCGTAGACAGTAGGATCAGCTTCAAGCACTTCGTCTGGGCCAAGTGGCTTGGACCTGTGAGGTAAATAGATCTCTGGTTGCTGGTCCTGGCCCTCGTTCTGGGGTTGGTCTTGTTTGTCCAACTCCTCAATCTTTCTTGTTTCAGTCACATCTTCCATGCCATCTTCACCTTCAGAGTCAAGTTCAATAATCTCACCATCACTCTCAAAGTCATCTCCATAAGGATCTTCGTACTCTCCCATATCTATATCTTTTTCGGCGTCTGCGGCACCAGTGGCTGGAGGCACTTCTCCAAGAGCCAGCTTAGCGGCACCGCCAATTGAGACATCCACTTCGTCCTCGGCAGCTCTTTTAGGCATGTTTGGTGAAAAGCGTGAATACACTGGAAGTAAGAAAGATTCGATGCCTGCGATGAGGCCTGAAAAAACCGACCCAGGGTCACGTGCAAATATCACCAACTCCACACTTTTCCACCCCCGTCCCAAAATTATCCTTTTTTGATAGCAGAATTGAAATGAACATTGGAATTTAAACTTGACCTCTTCTCCATGGCATCTACTTCACTCCCTGTGCAGAGATACGTATCTTGCTCTCCATATTTTGCACCCATTCTATAAACGCGACATCAACAAGCCCATATACCCCAATCCACTACTTATGGAGAGAAAAGCGTTTCTAGACCAGGAGCCGCCTCCAGGCTACGTCGCTGGTGTGGGAAGAGGCGCCACCGGTTTCACTACAAGTGCCGATACCGGGCCGGTCCGGTTTGAGTCGAACTTTGGTACGGAAGGTGGACTACTAGATAGCTCTGAACATGGAGTGCTTTCGCTGAAGAAGCGTACAGATGAAGACGATGAAGCTGATGAGATCTATGAAGCTATAGAAAAGAGACTTGAAGGCCGCCGGAAACGGAAGGACAAGGAAGACGAGGATGAGTTGGACGTGGTGAAGATTGAGACTGGAACTGGCACTATCACTTCTGAGTTCCTGCTGCTCAAGTCCCAATTGGCACTGGTTTCGGCTCAGGAATGGGCTAGTCTTCCTGATGTTGGTGACTTGACTCGAAGAAATAAGCGCCAGAGGCTTCTAGAGCAACAGCTGCAGAGAACCTATGCTGCCCCAGATATGCTTATATCAGGTAGCGGAAGCGGGTTCAGGAACGACAATAAACAAGAAGAAGCGTCCAATGAAAATACAGAGTCTTTGATTGAGGAATTGGAGGCTGACGCTGCCCAAAGAGTGGATATCGAGAGAAGCAGAAAGATATTGGCCTCTCTACGGAAGACTGAACCCAACAAGGCAGACCTGTGGATCGCGTCTGCTCGTCTTGAGGAGCAAGCAAAGAACTTTGATCAGGCAAAGAAACTTATAGTGGAAGGGTGCAATCGAGTTCCTCATTCTGCGGAGGTATGGCTAGAAAGTATCAAGATCCATCGCAAGTCGAGTGAAAGCACGAAGTTGTGCAAGTTCATTATAAACGAGGCACTTCGACTCAATTCTGAATCTGAAGAGCTTTGGTTTCAGGCCGTGGACCTTGAGAACCCAGCTGATACTATTTCTCGACGGAAGATTCTCATGAAGGCCTTGGAGTTTCTACCGTCGAACCCTAAATTATGGAAGAGCCTTGTGGAGCTTGAATCTGACGATGAAGATGTTAAACGCATACTTCTGAAAGCAACACAGTTGTGTCCAGATGACTGGGAGCTATGGCTTGGGCTACTTCGATTGTCTAGCTACGCTGATAGTAAGAAGGTGCTTAATTCTGCCAGGAAGCAATTGCCCAAGAATCCACATGTCTGGGTCACGGCGCTTAAGCTAGAGGAACGTGAAAATGATAAAGTAGGTGAAGAAAAGCTTTCTAAAATGCTCTCCAAGGGTTTTCAAGAGCTAGAGAAGCATGACTTCTCCCACGATAACGATTTTTGGTTGGAAGAGGCAGCCAAATCTGAAGATGAAGGTTTCCCAAGCACGGCAAAAGTCATTGTGGAAAACACATACTCTCTTATTCCTCAAGACGACAGCAGAATCACAGAGTTGTTCAAGATTGCAGACAAACTCGCCAAAGCGTCAGCCTCTAAATGTGCCATCCACGCTTATGACCTTCTTACCAAAGAGTATCCGAACAACATCAGTTGCTGGACACGATTGTTCAGATCGCTTAAAGAAGGTAACTTTGCAAAACCCAAGCAGTTCTACCTGTTTTATGAGAAAGCAACTCATGCGAATTCAACCGTTGAGGTTCTTCATTTGATGTACGCCAAATACGCCTGGGTTGACTGCTCTGATATACCTAAAGCCAGAGACATCCTTGAAAGGGCAGCCTTGGAGTTCCCAAGGAGTGAAAAGGTCCATTTGGCAAGATTCAAGTTCGAAGTCCAAACTTCCTCCTACAAAAGCGCATTTGATTATGCCAAAGGTACTTTGGATAAAGCACCAGACTTGTCCCCAAAGCTTTGGTACAAATACATTCATTTACTAAGGTTCTGTCAGTTCAAAAAATTGGACTTCACACAGAACGTATCTATACTTGGGACATGCGATGAAGCATTATCTAACTTTCCTGAAAACCCAAAGCTCTATCTACAAAAAGCACAGGTTCTCGAAGACGCTGAAGAGTTGCGCCCAGCTCGTGAAGTTTTATCTATTGGATCTCGGAAATGTACCACGTCTGTTCACATTTGGATCAATCTTGCGAAGGTAGATACCAAGATGGGTGCGCTGTCACGGGCCAGGTCACTTTTAGATACGGCAATTCTTGAAAACCCGAAAAGTCCTCTATTATGGTCCGCCAAAATCCAGCTCGAGTTGGAACAAAAGGACATCATAACGGCTAGACAACTTATTAATCGTGCTCGTCAACAGTTCCCGTCGTCGCCAGAGATATGGCTTCATCATTTGACCATGATACCTAAAATGTCTCATAGGAAGAATGCTTTTCTCGATGCCCTTAAGCAAACCAGTAACGCATCTGAAATTTTATTGGGAATCGGTGTTTTCTTCTGGATTGACGGACAATTTGCAAAAGCAAAAGCGTGGTTCGATAGAGCACTCAATGCTGACAAGTTGAATGGTGATGCTTGGGGTTGGGCATACTGTTTTTTGGAAAAGCAAGGCAATGAAGCCGACAGGAAAAAGCTTATCGGTGAATTATCTCAGCATTTTGAACTGATCAACAAGGGCGACAAATGGACCCAGACAGTCAAAGATCCTCGAAATTTGGACAAGCGACCTGGAGAAATTCTCCAACTTGTTTCAACTGCCTTGCTTAGTACTTCCGTGGCTAAGTAATACATTAATGCATATCCGCTCATTGAGCAGTAACACTTTTGTTTTGGTAGAGCCGAAGATTCAAGGCACTTAAGAAGCACGGTATCAGATCCTTTTCGTTGACCCATTGGGTGACTAATTCGGAACAAAGGTTTCTGAAATCATATGTTCCATGTGCCTTAAGGTCCTTCGTATGAACGTCCAACGTCAAATAGCAGGCCTCGGATTCTTTTCCATTCCTCGAATGGAATTTCGAGAAGAGCTTCATTTTCGAGCACAAGTCATTAGGATTCATTGGACTGGGGACAAATTCAATCGAATAACCAAAGAACTTGGAAACCAATGACATGATCTTTTTACTCTTGTCGGCGTAGACGCTAGTTAATCGACTGATCTTCTTATTGAGTTGATCAATCTTGGTTTGAAGATTCTCCTTGTCATTCTCTTGTCTGGCAAAGATGGCTCTGGGGACGGTTGAAACATCATTGTTGTTCACATACTTGGTAATCAAAGCTTCGTTTTCCTGGCGAAGAAGGTCAAGAGTCTCCTGCTTCACGAGCTGATCCTTGTTGAATGGATTCCTTCTGAGTTCTAGAATATGTGTTGTGTGCTGTGTAGCATTATCGTAAGCGTCTAGCTTATTCTTGAGAATGGCGACCTCATCTCGGAGACCTTTGATCTTAGACAAAAGTTCAATGTTTTCATTTCGGAGAGTCTTGGTGTTGAAGACATGGGTATCATCCTCAAGTATTCTTGGTCTTTTCGTCGGAGCCAAAGGCAAGGCAGTGGTGCCGTTCTTCTGTTGACGTAAGTTCTCGATTTCATGCTTGTAGTCGTCAACCAACTTTTCCAAGCTAGACAAGTATTGGTTCGTTGCCTTGCTCTTGGAAGAGTCTTGATCGCCTGAGCCAGACAAAGCGGCATCTCCTTGCTGCTTGCGTAACAATGCCGCATCAAGCTCCTTGACAGACTTTCTGAGGAACTCAATCTCTCGAGTATTAAGAACCTTGGTCTTTTGAAGCTCTTTGAGGTCGTTCTGGGATTTTTGAAGCTCGATTTTTAATCTTTGGTTTTCAGGTTCGAGCTCTTGCTCTAGTTTGGCTATAAGCTGTTCTCCCGATTGGGTAAGTTCGGTGATAGATACTTGGGCCTGATTAAGTTTATCGTAAAGTACCAAGTTTTTGTTCTGAAGGGCTCTGTAGTCCTGTAGAAGGGTTGAAACTTTAGAATCCTGACTTTCTTGATCCTCGCTATCTGCTCCCTCGACATTTTGGGCAAGAAAACCAAAATATTCATCAAACTTCGCCTTGATTTCAAGACGTCCGATCTCCAGCTGAGCTGCTTTACGTTCAGCACTCTCCAATTGTTCGGCCTTCTTCGACAATGACGCACATTTTTGTTTCAAAAGCTCAACGCTCGTTTTATGCTGAAGTAGTTGGTCGACCTTGGACTGGAGCTGGCTATTGGTCAGCTGAAGAGCCGTATACCTCAATCGTAGGTCCTCTGCGGTCTTAATAGCAGATCCATTCTCAGACTGGCTCTTTGCGAGCTTAAGTCTTTCTAAAATATCATCATTCAATTGAGACAAACGCTGAATCTCCTTCTCAAGCACCTTTACCTGGTCTCTATACTGATCGTTGGCGGAAAGCTCTCGATTGAGGTCTGCTCTTAGGTGCTCACACTTTGCAGAAACACTATTATACAGCCTTTCAAGGCGGTCGAGCTGCTGTTTCAACGACCTATTCTCCTTCTTCAATGCCGAAGACTCTGCAACTGTGTCTGACGAAGTCTTGCCAGCAATATCCTTCTGGTTCTGCAACTTGCTCTGCAACTCTTTCCGCTGATTAAACACATAGTCGAAATTGCTCTGGAGAGCCGCCAACTCTTCGTTCTTTCTGGCAAGAAGGTCCTCGTACCGTTTCTTCAGAGAGTCGTTACTCTGCTCAAGCAAGCGTTTTTCCGTCCGAAGGGTGGAGTTTTCATATTCCAACTTGGAAACCCGTTCCTGTAAGTCTCTTCTATTATCAGACGACCTGAGCTCCACAAATGGAGACAGGCTGCGTTGGGACATGGCAGTGAGGCTTGATGGTGGAGGTGATGTTTTGGTTGAAATACTATGTATATGTCGCGCACACTGTAGAGCTCATAGTTAAGAAGAAACAACCCCAGATACTCAGCAATATGCGTTATGCCAGGGCATAGAAAACAAGAAAAAAACAATTGGTGTTACTAGTGGATGCTCAGAGAGCACCTAAATGTCTGGATTGAGGCTATTCGGGTTGGAATGCTGGAATGGCTGGGAGGCTACAGATCTCTAGCTGAAACTCCTTGGATGAGTATGTACATTGGGGATTTTTGGTTCCTTGCTCTGGTCGTGGCTTGAGGCTATTGGGAAGCTGAGGTTGTTGTCTAACTATACTTCAAATAATACCTGATGGCAACTGATCGTGTTGAACACGAGGCTTGTTCAGTATACTTGTCAAAGTTATAGGTTCACTTAGAGTGAATTCGAGACATCTGAGTTCAAATGCACCGTGGAAGCAGCACGTAAAGCACGTGGGCCGAGGTCAAATTGTTAGGGAGAAGCAATGTGTTCAAGGTATGTGTCTTGCTGTATCTAGAAGGCTTCAGGACATTCCTTAAGGGTATACAATATTGCTTAATGGGCCATAGTGCCCTGTGCGAGTGCTGCTACCCAGGCAATGGCCACTACACTCTAGAACAAGCTTTAGCTGATGGTTACCTTTCAAGTTAGCTTGGCGGTCATCTCAAAGTTCCAACGCTAGATGTTATCAGACCGAGAATGATCGATTCCGACCTATGGGCGCTTGTCTAATTTTTGATTTTATTCAATGAGAGTGTCCCGTGGTGGCTCTTACTTGTTTAGTCGAAATGAGGCTTCAATGCATGAAATTGCTTCGTTTTCAGCGCTATACTTTCCTTATTCACGATCTTGCAATTTGGTGACCTTCCTGTGGTGGCAACCACAGAAATAGCAACTTTAAGACGCCAGCTCGATTTTACTTCATTCAAAGAACACTCAAATCTTTATATAAAATGGGAACTCGCCATAGTCGTCGTTATATTCTTCAAAGCGATGATAATAGGAAATTTCGCTTTTCGTGGGATACATTGTTGGAAGCGGGAGTATTAAAAGAGAGTTATTTGGGCCATAACACTCTAGCTTATTCAGCTAGAAATGGAACAAAGTCGGTCACAGAGGTTCTCTTGAACCACAAGCCACCTCCCATTCAACACTATACGGTACGTGATCTCAAGGGCTTGCACAATGCAGATGACTCGAAGCCAGAATACCAATATTTTCCTGTCCAAGGATTCAATCTCGTGTACATGGTAATACCAGAATGCTACATCCAACTTAGGGATAATCATTATACCCCGGAAAGAAAGCGGCCATTTGCTGGCTGTATGTTCTATTCCGCGCTTAGTAAGGTCCTGGTGCAAGTCGCCTGGTCTGGCTTTCACCTCGAACGTGATAAGCTAAGAAGTAAAGAAAGCAGACATAAAAGCGATGATGACTGGAACCTTCAATCAAATTTCCAAGATTTAGGTTGGTTTCAAACCAAGGGTCGTGATAGGATAGTTCTACCAGGGATGAAACTTTCGGAATTTGTTATATTAAAGTTGCTCCTGAGCGAAAAATTACCACCGAAGTTGGTATTGACGAACGTAAAAATCGATCTTTATCAATGCTTGACTACCCACAATAGGAGTGACCGTCCTGACGTTGACAGATTTAGGGTCCACACGATCCATAACGGCATATATGAGGAGTTATTACATTTTGAGACGCCAGCCAGTGCAAAAGATTATGGTGGCATACTAAGCACACCCGAAGCGCTCGTTAACTGTTCCTTACCTCGAGTGCCTCCCACCTATACTTCAGGCTCGTGCACAAGAACGTATTCCTTGAGGATTTCCCTTGACGTTCAGGAGGCTTCGAGGAGAAGAAAATTGACCACAATGCTTGATTTTGAAGTTGCGGTAGAGTTTTGTGATGAGGCCGAACCGATGCAGTGTCCGCCGTCTTATTCATTTGAAAGCCCAACTGAATTGGTGTCAGAAGAAACAGATGTCTCTTGGAGGTCGGTCTGCTTATTACTGGGAATAAAACTTCTTCCAATAAGAGGTTATATAATTGGCACAATAGTCTATGATGAAATGTGCAAAAGCTTGTATGACCCTCAAGAGGTTTTTGATCGTGTTTTGAAGAGGCCTTTTCTACGTGATTGCCATCTCGTTTGGGAGGGCTTTGAGGTAATATCGTTGGTAACAGATGATACAGTCGTCACAATCACAACCATTATGTGGGATATACTGCCGTTTGCGTGGAATCATTGTTATATCGATATCGTATCGAAATTTAAGGCCATTGTGATGCGAGATAGTTTGAACCAGCTTCCATCGGTATGCTTACGTGATGATATTGTAATAGTACCAAGGATTGTTGGACCTGGAGATGCTGTGATATCTACGGAACCGCGTCATGACTGTTTAACAGCGGGGTTGTTTTTGTTGCGGAAATCGAAGCTATACCGTGTTACTGATGAATTCTACCGCCTTTATTCTGAACGTCACTTGCACCTAGATACCGTGTTTCCTACTTCCGAGTGTCGCGAAACTCGTTTTGAACAGTATAGGCTTGATATACGCTTTATCGAGCCCACTAGTTTCCTCCAGAATAAAGGAGAATTTTATATCACTCCAGGGATGCCTATCTCAAGTTTTATGGAGCTTAGCATTGTCATCAATCATATTTGGGCAGCGATGGAAGAAGTCAGTATTATCCTGTTAGAAACATGGATAGAAGACCACTATACAATTTATTACAAGGACTCACTCGTTGCATCTGACACATCAACAGCGACGTATAGCGTTGATATCATCAAAGGGAATTACTTGTTACATGATCAGGAGAATAGTAAGTATTGTTTTGCGATCTACCCCATTCCTTGCGATCTTTTGGGCTCCAGGATTCCCCAGTTAGAGCATTCATTCTTTTCAGAGAATCTTGACAGGCACTACAATTTGAGTTTTCGAATCGAGCTAATTCGTAACGGCAAAAGAGAAATCCTTCATGCTTCCCATGCGATTTTGGTTGCCCTCGATGAACGTGACTATTTGGGCCTCACGTCAAAAGGGAGGTCTATTTCGCCTTCATGGAGATTTTAGTCTTAATCAGCTTTGTTTACAACGATCCAAGAGGCGCCTATTTTGACAAAACACCAGCAGACATACCAGCAGACATGCCTCCTTCCATCGATTTTACTAAACACGGCTGTGTGGGTGCAAACAAGAACAAAGCTTTTATGTATTTTACTCCATATGGACCTGTGGAGTCGAATGCTATTTGAGATCAGGAGCTGTATTTGACATCATCACCTGTGGTACCACTCTGTGGTATAACTGCCAACGGCGTTTAAAGCCCTGATGAGGTACCCAATAGACAAAGTTGAGAACTGAATGACGAAGAACGAAAGGAAAAACAAGACAAGCTCTTCCGTTGCAGTCCTTGATGATGGTCTTGGAAGGTTCCAATAGTAGCGTACACCACTGGTAGCGACTGCAGTTACCAAGACCACTACAATGGCCCACTAAAACTCCTGCGCTCCGTCAGTCGAAGTAAACTGGTCATTGCCGAGTCTAATTGATCTGCTCCTTGAATACTGGCACATTCAGACCTTGAGATGGAGCGTTTGAAATTCGTGATGCGATTAAAGACATCAACTCTTGATTTACAACTAGTAATCGCTGCAAGTATACTCTCATTCACAACCTAGAGGAGCTCCTTGGTGTTCAATGCTTCATATTGGACTCGGTAACGAATAAGTAAGGATGGCTGTACAGATGGCGAGTAGTACAAGGCTTAAAAAGCCGTGCCATTCAGGCTGTTCCTCCTCTTTTATTATAAGAAGCAGTGATATGATGTTGTCAAACGACCTCTTGACTTTCCAGAACCCTTTCCAACGTCCCCGTGACGTGTCTAGTGTTCCGATAACTAGAAGCAAATCTTCTTCGTAATTCTGTTCCGTGATGTTTTCTGTCAAGGAAAGCATATCGCTGAATTCAAGCAAGAATTGATCGTAGTGGGAAGTGTTATGGTAGTGCTGCGCAGTATCCATGGAATCTCTGAAGTCGTCGATAAGCTTTTGGGGCACATGAGCTTTCTTCAACACTTCCTCAAACTTCAGAATACATTTCCCCATAGCGGCTTGCTCGTTTTCCCACGGTGAGGGTTGGATTCTTCTCAATTGACCTTCAGCCCGCTCAATGCTTCTTGTCATCTCTGTTTTGCCGTTCCATGGCTGTTCTCGAAGAAACCCGACAAACTCTTTAAGTCGATCCGCTGCTAGGTTACGGCGATCATCTGGAATAAATTCATAGGATGTGATATCCCGATTGATCTTTTGAATCTCCTCGACCAATATTTCGGTGACTTGAAGGTCGTTTTTATCCTCCATATTCTGAAAGGCATCTTCTATACTCTCAATGCACCTTGGGGTGACTTCCATCGCAATTAAATGGTCCTTGAACCCCTTGACCGTTAAAAAGCTATCGATTTGACCTTCCTGGAGTCCCCTTTCTCTTCCGTAATTTCCCCTTCTGTCTTCTAAGTTTTGAAAATGATCAAGGAGTATTTCAAAATTTGCAGTCAATATGTCACAATTGGGATCTATGACTTCTTGAATGGACTTGATCCATGGGAAAGCGAACAAAGCCCGGTAATCCATGGGCTCTGCAACCTCTGTGAGGCTATCATTGGCTTCGCTTAGGAAATTGCAAAGCGTCTCTAAGTCGGGGCTTCCAGCGTCAGGCTTGTGACTTATCAAATAATGACAGATATTAGAGACCACAGTATGGGGGGCATTCTTGGACAAGAGGATGTTCTCGAAACTTTTAACATGGCCCATATATCTATAGGTATAAGGATGGGCACTCATCGTGGAAGATTTGGGCTTTTCTTAACTTGTGGTATCAAGGTGGGACTTTGTAATTTGCAACCAAAGGGTACTTCGCGAGTATAACGAAATAACGCCAGCTGAAGCATTGAGAGACGTTTAATGGCTTCTGGGACCTGTCTTAGTAGCCCGCTTACTCGGACCACACTATCTATTATGAACGACAGAATGCTTAGCTCGAATAGTTGCAAGAAATGGCTGCAAAAATGCGTTAAAGCTGTACGAACATTAGATGCTAGGTTGTCGCTAGACGAAAGCTACATCGCTATGCTCAGTAAAGGTTGCCAACCTAGTCTTTCTCTATGAATGGTGATAGAATCTTAATCTCGTGGCCTGGTTGGCGGAGCTGTGGTGGTGGTGGTCGCTCGCCTACCTTAACTTATCAGGTCTGACGAAACTACCCCTGGACCCAATTGAGTCTCCAGAACATCATTTGGTAATCAATTGAGTGATTATATCTTTCTGTATGTTTGGTAGAATCTTTGACCCTTTTGCAAATGATAGGTTTAAGGCATGCCACACTCTAGAACGGTTCCACGGATAGCTGGCCTTTACTCTCATACCAAGTCTCCAGAGTGCCTAAAGCTAACATATAATACTGTGGTAATACAAAGAGCTTCAAGTAACTCATAAAATGACGGATGCCCCGCGGAAATTCCAGAACAGCTTGTCGAGCCTCACTGGGAAGGTCAAGTTAAGGAAATGGTTCCACGAGTTGAATGAAAAGGGTTTATATTACCAAACACTAGGAAACTTACTTATGACTAGCTACTAACTCAAAACATACAATTGGACGTGAAGCAATCGACTCGTGGTTATCATGTCTACCTCACGCTTCTTGATGTGTAGTAATATCTGCAGTAACATAAACATCACCAGATCAAAAGAGATGGTGGATTCCATGACTAGAGAAAATGGCAAGTATAAAGTATAATGAAACAGAGACTCTTCGTAATTATATCCTAATGAAACTAAAATCTAGTCTTTTTGGGGAATGTAGAGGCACTAGGGCTGTAGTTAGATAGAGGTTCCAGCTCAAGCGTAATCGCACATAGAGAGCTTTCACATTTAGCTTCAATAAGAAAATTTGCCAAAGTCCATTACTAGGCGTCTTATCATCCCTGGATGATGCCATTCTGGAAATGCTTCAGCCGAAGGTCTCAGTTTCCAGACTCTTTCCTCATACCAACCAATGTGCAAAAACGTCTATTGAAAAGGCACCTGAACTATCCACCACAACCATGCTGTCCATAGTATTCAGAAAAACGTCCCCAAATAAACCTTCCCCTTATTTGTTCTGTCCACTTCATCTGACCTTCTGGAGGTGCTTAACCGGGGTGGCTGCGAATCTGGTGGTGCCACAATACTTCCAATCGCCAGCGCACAATCTGTCTTTTTGGTAAAACTGGACAAATCATCAACTGAATAAGTGCCGGCTGATTCACTTTGATCCCGAAAAATCACACCTTACCTTGGAAACATCCACAGTGAATGGTAGCCCACACAGAGGGCCACACCAAGAGCCTTACTTACACCCGTGCACCACGACTTCAATATGAAACCGATCCAAGATTCTGAACCCTCTCACATAACCATGTCTAAAGTGTATGTAATTCCCCCACCACAAACATCGTCTTTTCCAAAACTAACACACAGTCCCAGAAACTTCAAGCTCCTAGAGGAGTTGGAGAAAGGTGAAAAGGGTTTGGGTGCCCAGTCCATCTCGTACGGTTTGACCAACCAGGACGATATCACCATGACCCACTGGAACGGTACCATCTTGGGTCCTCCTCACTCCACGCACGAAAACAGAATCTATTCCTTGAGCATTGTCTGTGGCGACAATTACCCAGACCAGCCCCCGGATGTGACGTTTGTTTCGAAGATCAACCTTCCCTGTGTCAATGCGGAGGGAAAGATCATAGCGGCAGAGTTTGACACTTTGAAGAACTGGAAGCGTTCGTACACTATGGAGACCATTCTTTTAGAGTTGCGTAAGGCCATGGCTCTGGCTAACAACAAGAAGCTCCCTCAGCCGGCCGAGGGCTCCACCTACTGAGTCCGCATAATCATTTTCTATAGTAATGTCATTATCGTATCAAGAATCGTGCTATTTTTTTGGGGGTTTGCAACGCAGCTACTCTCCGTATTCTTGTAGCCATTTGTACGTTTCCTTCTCTGCAGCTAGAAACTTTTCAATATCTGGTCCGTACTTCTTACCTCGACTATCGTTGGTTTTGGCGTCTGTGATTTCGATATTTACCCATCTTTCTAGGTGCTGCTTCTTTCCATTCACCGTTCTTACTTCAGGTATTAGGCACCGCTGGAAGACTCGTTTGAATGGTACGCATATATACTCCAACCCTTCATTGAGGATCTTGTATGTGCATTCGTTCTGGGTGAGCAGTTTTAAATGGCATTGGTACTTTTCTGGATTGCTTAGCTGCTCTGCAAATTGGTGCTGTACATCTGCCCGGGTGAAAACAGGTACTGGCGGTGACATCCTGATTAGATATGTGTAAGTAGATGGATTGATCCATATAGAGAGTATAGCTGGTGCACGGGTGTATTTCCACCTCCAGTTCCCTACAACTGATACTACAACCCTATGGTGTTAGTTGGCGGTGATGTAAGGATTCCAGTGGCTCCTTGATTTCATATCTACACAGATGTTGTTGTAACTTGAAAGCCAGATTGAACTATACGGGTGGCGGCGTCAATCTATAGACCGTGAAGAAGCAGTAACTCGACCAATTTAATCAGTCTTGTTCCTGGCAGCCTTCTTCAAGGCTCTGGTACGAATGCTCTTGTGCATTCCGAAGTTCAACTTGTTGGCGAGACTCGAGTAGACACCAACAGTGTTCTCAATACCAAAGTGCATCAAAGCGTGGGTCCAGAATGGAGTAGAAGTAGCAAATCTCTCCTGAGCACCGCCACGACGACCAACACTGCCCAAAGCAGACTTGACAAAGGCTTTTGGATTTGGAATGGTTGCACTAGCTCTTCTGATCTTGGACATGGCAGAGGTCACCAAGTAAGACACAACAAGCTCAACATCGACACCCTGAGGCTTCAATTCACCAGCCAAAGCAGCAGACCACTGTTGCAAGAAAGCCTTGGAGCCAGAGTAGGTAGCCAAGTAAGGAGTAGGCAACAAACCACCGAAAGAACCCATGGTAAGGATAAGACCCCTGGAGGACTTGTCAGCAACAGTGTTGGTGATGATTGGAGCAACAATTTGGGTGATCTTCAAAGTGACGGTATTGTTCAAGGTAATGATATCGACCAATTCCTTCTCTTCAGTTTCCAAGAATGGCACTGGGATCGAGTGGGACTGACCAACATTGTTAATCAAAACAGTGACTGGCAAGCCGGAAAGAGTTTCACGGAGAGCCTCGTAGTTCTTTGGAGCATCAGTCGAAGCGTCAAAGGCCACGAACTTAGCCTCAACGCGGTACTTGTTGGTGATCTCATCAGCAAGAGTCTGCAACTTACTGGCAGTTCTAGAAACCAACACAACATTGAGGCCCTTAGCAGCAAGCTGGAGAGAGTATTCCTTACCAATTCCATCAGAAGCACCAGTAATAACAGCCCATTTGCCCTTTTTGGCACCGTACTTACCAAAGTCAGTAGCTGGGAACACGAAAATGTCAGCTAACAAAGCACCAAGAGACAACGTCAAGTTGGTGATTTTATAGATACCCGTGAAAAGAGCAGCAAACAAAAAGGCCTGGAGGACCCTGGAGTCCGAGGCAGACTCGATGAATTCCTGAATTGACATGGTGGATAAATCAGGAGAAGTTGGGATAGTGGTAGTTACTTTTCAGTAGTTGCGCGCTCCAGACCCATCCTTGGCAGCCGAGAAAGCCAGCGGCTATGGGAGACGAATTGTACATAATGGGGCGAAAAAAGCATATAGTACAATGTCACAATCGACGTGTTTGTCGAGAAGAGGCTGCTTTGAAAATATGGGTGTGCTGTTGATTTGGGTTAGTAGCACTTGTAGACCCAGTAATATGTTGGTTAGCGCGAGCAGAGCCCAACATCGTGTGGAGGAAGTTGAAAATTAGAAGACACAGATGAATGAAGTAAACATGATAGCATTGGTCTGGCTTACAAGAAGGTAAACTCGTCGAGCTTCTCTGAGGTCAACTCCACGTTCAACGCATCCCTCTTGGCATACACATCTAGAAGATCCATATGCGCCTTGAGCTTGTGTCTCTGGGCTTGCAACTGTCCAAGCGATCTGTTCACGTTGGCAAGCTCCTGGTGACGAGCTTCGAGCCGCAGAGCCACTTTGCTATCACGGATATGTAGGATGGAAATCCAAGGGTCTGTGTAGCTTGGGGTTGCCGCTGATGGGGAGGAAACAGGGCCTGGATCACGAGAAGGTGCTGGTCCTGAAGACGATGCTCCAGAAAACGAACTAGGCGTATGTCTGGGAGAAGAGTTATCGTGCTTGGGCGTACCGATCGATTTGCTGCGGCTGGGTTCTTTCACGAACTCGTTTCGTCTGTCTGGTCTGTCACCTCTGTAATCCAGGAACTGGCCATCCCTGCTATCTCTGTGATCCCTGAAGTCTCTGTTATCTCTGACGTCTCGACTATCTCTACCATCTCTGTCCCTATTATCACGGTACTCCCTGGATGGAGGCTTCTCGTACCTAGAATCTCTGCCATAGCTGGGCTCTCTATCTCTGTAGTCTCTCTCCTTATAGTCATTCTGGTACTCGTCTCTGTTTCTGTACTCTCTGTACTCTCTGGGGTCTCTATCCCTAGGATCTAGCTCCCTAGGATCCCTATCTCTTGGATCTCTATCCCTGGGGTCTCTTTCACCGTAGTCCCTTCTGAAATCTCTAGCTCTTCCCAGAGAGTATCCACGGCCTCTGCCTCTATAATAGGATCCTCTGTAGTGGTCTCTGTTGCCACGGTAACCGCCTCGGCTATGGCCTCTGGAGGAATCATACCGTCTGTCTGGATACCTGTTATCACTGTAGTTGTATCCGCTCATGGTGGTCTTCTCTTGTTCTTGGTAGTATCTAGAAGAGAGTGTTGATAATGATGTGGTGCACTGGTGTATGTAGGGTAGTACTACAACAGAACCCCCACCAAGTCCCAGGATATACAAGGTTTTGGGTAAAAAAAATGGTTTATTGTAAACTAGCTTGCTAAGTGTTGCTATCTTTCTTTTTTTAGTCGTTTTCGAGGTATGGTGTTCGAAAGTGATGTACCATCATATATTCATGGTACCAGTAAATGGCTGCGAAAAGATGGTAATAATAAAAAACACGAATAAATTGCACTAAACTACTTGGAAGTTCTAAAAAGAAAACTTTGTTTTCCTTTTCGTTGCCTCCTCAGTACATTCAAAAAACTGCCACGTTGGCCCACCACTTTTACTATAATCAGCGTTGCATAAGCTTATCTAAATACCAAGAGTGCCTCTCACAGTCTTGAAACGGTACGTCTTGTACTGTTCAACGTAGTTGGGGTTGTTGATTTCCACGTTACCGCCAACTTCCGAAACAATGTCTTCGTTACCGCAAACAAGAAGCATGGCGTTCGAACGGTCGCCCGGATACTCCTCCACAAGCTTTCCATCCACCAAAAGACCCAGCAAGTTCTTACCAGTAGCTCTGCCCATGGAAATAGCCCAGCCAGCGGTCTTGATAACAGGGAACTCCACCATATCTCCCACGCTGAAGATATTATCAACCAGCTCCTTGGTTTCTGGATGGTGAAGCTGGAAGTAGCTGTTGGTGAAGATATTGTTCTTGGGGGAGATGTACTTCAGAAGCTCTTCGTCTAGAAGAGTCGTGTTGTTCTTGAATGAGTTGCACCAGTAGGTAAAGTCTGCTTCGATGATATCGCCATTGGTAAGTTCCAAGTTATGGTTGTCCAACTCACGCTTCACACGCAAGCCAGTCATGACTTTCACATCAGCACGTTCGAGGGATTCTCTTACTGCCTTCTTAAACTCATCTGTGAGCTGTTCAGGAGGGAAAGTTGGGTGAGGATGAATCAACATGACCTCTTTATCTTGATGCTTGGTCTTGATATCACCGGCAATCTCAATGCCCACAGCTCCAGCACCCACCACGGCGATCTTATTGCATTTCTTCACCTGGGAATTGAAATCCTTCATTTCCTTAAGGTAGTTTTCAGCATTAAGTGCATCTGGAGACGTTGGCCAGGTTCTGTTTCTGCCGGCAGCCAAAACACAGTAGTCGAACTTGATCTTATCAGTTCCACCAGTACCGTTATTAAGCTGATATTCAGCCACGTTCTTGCTCAACTTGGTGATGCTTCCTTGAACGTACGTGAGTTCAATATCTTCATTAGCCTCAGGGTCAATCTTCTGTCCTGCCAGCTTCAACACGTACTCATCGTCAGACACCAAACGGTCAAACTGGAAAGCCAGGTACTGTTCAATTGGCACGTACTGAGTTGTAGCGAACGTTGGGTCCACAATGGCACGTGGCACACCAAGAACATTAAGGAATCCAGCCTTTGGCTCCACGAGCGTTACTGAAACTCTTGACTTTGGTTTATTTTCCTTCAACAGTGCTTTCAAAGACACGATGGAAGCCATACCTCCAAAGGAACCACCAACCACCAACACGTTAGTGGTAAGCGCAGCCACAGACTTGGAAACAGAAGCGAGCTTGGTCATTTCTTAGAATAATAAATTAAAGATAATACTGAAAACAACGGGGGCATTCTTCTGCTTTATATAGACGGATCAGTAATTTGGGTGCAAACGTATTCGGTGAGAGCAGGGCTTCTGTGCGGCTCCTACCACATAGACTTAACCGACGCCATAGAAGAGAAAAAGGAATAAAAAATATATCGTTGTGACCGTGAAGGTATGGGGAGTACAAATAAGGCCTTGGCGAAGTCGTAGCATTCCTTCAAAAGTCATTCTTACTGGCCCCTCCACTCCTCGCTTCGTCCCTGTCAAAGGCCAGATGCAATAGATAAGTGGAGGCGTGAAAATTCTGCTTGGCAAATGTATACGGACAATGAAGTACGAACGGAACGGGAGACACGGAGAAGAACCGTGGAGCCGTACGGACTGAACGGCGTCTCGGGCCCGAGCTCGGTCTTCCCCCCAGGCACAGTCTAATTGAAACTGAAGGACATTTACGAGGGCAGTTCATTTAAGGGTTCTGGGTTTTGTAGTGAAAGTCTTCATGGGCCATTTCGTGTGCGCACCTCTGATGGAATAGATAATCTGGATCAAGATCTACGATCGATGAAAGCAAGCCGTTTTGCTCAAAAAGGGTAGATAGTTTCTGAAAGTCTTTAGGTATCGGCTCGGGCCGTGGACAATGTAACGGCCCCTTCGTTCGTGCCGAGTTGGCGTTTATACTTTCGAGGGTATATGCTCGGTCTAAATACTATATGGGGAAACAATACCCGCCATGCGTCCGAGAACCCTTTTTTTTCGTGATTTTTTTTTCTTCGTGGTTTTTGGCACTGTCTTGTTGGAGTTCCACCTCCTTCGGTGTTAAAGGTAATCGGCTCGGAACCGCCGAGAGGAAGCTATGTTGCATTTGTTGTACAGACAGTGTGACCGGTAGAAGTGGGTGGTTGCTGCCGGTGAGCCTTTCCATATATAAAGGGCTGGTGGGCTGATGGAGATCTGTGGGCGCCTGCTTGGCCAGGACAATAGGATTGGAGTTACATAAAGTGGGTGGCTTGTTTGGTGGGGCTATATGGACCATCTGGTGGTACGATGTATGGTTTCTTGGGTGTCAATGGTTACAGTTTGTGTCTACTCCCAATACTTTAGAAGCTGGCTAAGACGAACGCGATATGCTTTATGGCTCTACTTCAGAGCAGAATCCGTCTAGTTAGGTTACTTTTGAATGGCAAGCTTGAAGCATTGTGTCTCAGTTGGCCTGACTAAGACCTGCTTCACTATATTCACTTGTTCACTCTTAGTAGTTCATACCTGACTCGCGTCGAATGGCCTAAAACAAGTAACCTCACCTAAACTACGCCACTACTCCTCCACACCAAACCCCCAGACACTGCCTTAACATCACTTCCCACACCACCAAAGACCTACATTTTGTGGCTGCAAAAGCCCATGCGCCGAAGTTAGTGTACTGCACACAACAACGCCGTATGGAAACCGTTACTGTAATTACCTTTCCTAATCGGGACGCTCTAATAACATTACTCTAAAATGCCATGCTAGCTCTTTTCTTTATTCTCAAGTTACCACAAAGATTGTTCTACTTGACTCATCTTGGCCACACCTCCAATGGCGTCCCTAGACCATCCATTATTGCCACTAGACAAGGGCACCATATTTGACGATTACTCTGGTGATGCGTCTCTGTTCGAGTGCATTTCCATAGAATCACCTTCTTCACTGGCCCCTTCCATTTTTGATGAGCTCGTCTTTACAGATAAATTGGACTTGAATAAGTTCCTTGACGACATGGCATCTTTTCATGATTGCATCAACTTTACATTCCACAGCATGGCCAAAAGGCTAGATACACTAGAGTCTTATAGACTTCGGCATAAAAAGCTACTAGAAACTTCACTAGATAAAAGCGATGCAATGATTACTCGGTTGGGTTCAATGAAAGCGGAATTGGCTGAATACGAAGCGTTCTTTAAACCCGTTGAAGAAGAAACAGAACCACTAATAGAGGTCAAAGAGTACCCCAAGAGAACTCCCATCTATTCGTCAGAATATATCGATAACTACGTCAACCAAAGAATGGCCAGCATGTCTGAGCCTATATTAATTTCCTACAGAACGATTGTTGTTGCAATTATTGCAATGCTACTATACGTGGTCTGTATCCGTGACCGAAAGTGAATGAAATGAAAGGCAGGAATAATGAGTGACTGTTGATGGTGGAGTGGTGTGTTCACCCCATGTTCACAGAGCGAGGGTAGCTGTCGTAGGCTTCGTCATTGTCTTCTTGGAAGTATGGGTGTACTAATGCTCTTTTGGCACTGATTCTGTTGCTGGGGTCATAGTTCAACATTTGTTCGAGCAAGTCTACACCGTCACGATCCAAGGTAGGAATATGTGGGCCCAAATCACTGCGCTCCCACTTTGGCCATGTGAGCTTGAAATCAGGCAAGTATGTGACGTCGGGCCAGACTTCTTCGTTTGGAGTACCCAAGATTCTGAAAATACGGAAGATCTCGTCGATTTCAGAATCTCCAGGGAAAAGAGGTTTTCTGTTGCACATTTCAGCGAAAATACATCCCACAGACCACATATCCACGCCAGTAGAGTACTGTTTACCGCCCAAAAGAATCTCAGGCGCTCTATACCAAAGAGTAACAACCTCGTGGGTGTAAGCACGCAAAGGCACGCCAAAAGCACGGGCCAAGCCAAAATCGGCAAGCTTCAAGTTACCATCCTTGTCGATAAGCAAGTTCTGGGGCTTCAAGTCTCTGTGCAAAACACGGTGGGAATGACAATGCTTAATACCCTTGATCAACTGGTGCATGAACCTCTTCACCATAGAAGGTTCCAAACCGGCGCCCTGTGGAATCAGCTCCATGTATTTCTTCAAATCCAAGTCCAAAAACTCAAACACCAAGTACAACTTATGTGAATCGGAGTGAATAATGTCGTATAAACGAACGATATTGTCGTCTCTCATTTCTTTAAGCAACGAAATTTCTCTAATAGCCGTCGAAGGCACGCCCTCGTCCTCAGACTCCAAACGGATCTTCTTCAAGGCCACCACTCGGTTGTTGTGCCTCGTGTCCAACGCCTTATAGACAACACCATATGTTCCTGGAAGGTTAGCAAAGATTTGATGGAAAACGACGCCAAATGGCAACCCCTAATTAATATACATACCCTCGCCAATCTTCTCCTGGCGCTGGAAATCAGAAAGCTCCACCATGCCCTTGTATAATGTATGAGGAAGAAAGTAGTACTACCGCGTCTATTCGCGTAACAGATCGAGTATGTTGGAGGGAGGTTGACGGGAGGCACGGGTGTGCCATAAACACCCATCAAAGGGGCCAAAAAGAGGCTTAAATTTGGTTCTTTTTGATTAAATGGAATAATATCGGTTCCCTGATTGTATTTGCCTGGCTTGGGTGCCTCCTTTTGGTCTGAGCGTGCCTGGATCATGACCGTTTAGGCGTATCAAGGTAGTACTGGGTTTCGCAGCCATTAGGGCTTAAAGCTTAAAAGCGTCAATGTATAAATAGCAGGCAAGTGGGGCAATTATCAGATCGGTATTATACAGCTGTTACTACATCTACAGTGTGTTGAAAAGTAGGTACCGGGCCTCCTGGCCATCGCTATTTGATATTAATGCTGGGTCCTAACTGCATGCATAAGGGGGATATTAAAACAATGTAGACCTTTTTTTTCTTCTTCTTCTGTCATGGTATTCGCCAAAGTAGCTTATTCCTGTTTGCCATTAAGCACCGATGCCTGGAGCTGGCCGTCTCCAGCAGCGCAGACCTTGATCTCGCGGCCCCATTCACTATTAAGAATCTGTTTGCCATTGATACGACGGTTGGGGATTGGATCTAAGATCGAGTAGATCACATTACGACAACGGGCACGCTTCAACGCCTCAATAGGCTCATATCCTGTGGCGTCCTTCCGCTTGGTCAAGTACTCTTGGAAAAACTCGTCTTTCTTGGGATCTGCCAACTTCCATAACTGGCGACCGGTTCTCATGGCCATATAGATGACACCACAAGCCCAGATATCAACGCAACGAGGGTCAAAATGCTCCTGGGTGAACTCTTCAGGAGCAATGTATGGACTCGAGCCGCAGATACCTTCACTGAGCTGGATCTCTTCTTCCCAGGCCATCTTGAAGCACTCACCGTTACCGAAATCAGTAATCTTCAAAACACCTTGCTGGGTCAAAAGCAAGTTTTCTGGTTTCAAATCTCGGTGGGCAACACCCAAATCATGCATGTAGTTGACACCTCGTATGAGCTGTTTAAAGAAACAGTCAGCTTCAGCGTATTCAAGCTTACCAGCAGCGATAATCAAGGTGTACAAGTCACCACCAGAGCAGAATTCCATGACTTCACAGTAATCGCCCTTGGCGTCTTTAAGCAAATCAAGTGTATCAATGATATTGAGATGTTTCAAGGAGGAGGAAATGCAAAATTCCGAAGTCAAACGACGAGAGTACTTCTTTTCTGATTCGTTTGGACGTCTCTTAAACTCCTTAACAGCGTACAAAACCTCATCGGAACTCGTAGCGGAAGCCTCAACCTTCTTGTGGGCTACACGAACAACACCAAAGGAGCCTTTACCAATGACTTCCTGGCATCTGCCGTACTTCTCGACAAAAGAACGACAGTCCTGCTGGCTCATCGGGTCTAGAAGCTCACCGTGCACCTGGTACGGAGATGTGTTGTTTTTCACCTGGTTGACCAAACCAGCAAAAAGAGTGGGAGGTTTTTCAGGGTCTTTAGGCTTGTTTTCTGCATCTTTTTGAACTGGCGAGAGGATATTTGGCACGGCCAGCTTGGCTTCGTCTCGAAGTTTCTTAGCACCCAAAAGATCCTTAAGCATATTGCTAAGTTTCTCCTGGCGCTTAGTAGCACGCAAGTTGTGCTCGTGGAAACCATCTTCAAGTATCTTAAACCGCTGTTTGGGAGGAGCTGTAGCGGCACTAGGCAAATGAGTCTGGGAGCCCGTAGGAGACAAGTTTCCCAGCAGACGCAGGGTGCTCTGCGGCGTTTTCCGTTTGGCACTCAGAGATCTGGAAACTGACGTCAGCTTAGATCCCGAAGCACCAGGAGCAGTAAGCGTAGCACCCGCCGGGCCCAGGCCAGAAGATTTTCGCTGCTGAGCAGCCGAATGTGAGTTTGCCGACAGCGGGCGTGAAGTGGGAGGAGATTTCTGTGGGAAGCTATCCTGAAGAGCCAGCATTAGCGGTTGTGGATGGACCAAATGGTCATACTGAACGCCCGCAAGCGCTCCGTTATCAGGTCCCGCCAGAGCAGCGATTTTCGGCAGCCCTTGCTGTGAAAGCAACCGTTTGTCAGCAGGCAAAGGATACAAGACATCATCACCATCTTCAGGGATCAGTGGAGAAGCAAGCTTTGCATCAGAAGCACCATTCTTTGCAGACTCACGAGGCACCGGCGACTGTGGAGCCGACAGCTGAGGCAGAAGCAGCCATTTTTCTCTATCAGGAGTTTTCACCTGAGGAGGATGTTTCTCCTTATCCTTGTCTTTTTCATGGAGCGACGGAAGGTGCAATGACGAAGACAGCACGCCAAAGAGTCTGCCCAACTTTGACATTTTGGACTTTTCCCCCATTTTTAAATTGTTCTTGTTCTTGTTATAAAATTATATGAGGACTGGCCTCCAGCCTTCAGAGAGACCGTTTTGGAATGTGGAATGAAGCAGGTGAGAGTGAGAGGAGGAAGAAAAAAAAAAAAAAAAATAGCTAAAACAAACGCACAAAAGATAAACAGTTAAATGGCAACAGGAAGGACAGGAAGGACAGGTGAGGCGCAAAAAAAAAAAAAAAAAAAAGAGGCAGCAAAAGAGGAAAAGCGTGAGGGCAGGCAGAAGGCAGGAAGAAGGCTCTGCGAAAGCAGGGCCGCCGTGCAGAGGTGATGGAGTACATGTATTTCCATGGGCAGAGGTCGTAGAAGGATATAAATTACATGGTTGTGATCAGCCAGTCCCGGCGGTTACGACGGTGTAATTTATATTTTTCTAGCTCCACTGGTTGTGAAAATGAATGGACCCTTTCCTCCTGCTCTTCGCAGCCAGGCTATGACAGATTCACTCACGCTTCCAAGTTTTCTCACTATTTGTCACTGTTTGTCACTGTTTCTGGTTTACCGGCGCGGGTGCGAAAAAGGGACAAAACAGAAAGTATGACGAGGTAGAAGGAGGGAAGGAAGAAAAAGAAGCTTCCGATCCGAAACGGTTTGCCACTGAAGTTTTGTTTTTTGCTATTCTTCTTTTTTTATCTTGGGTCTTTCTTTTTCAGGAGGTGGCGTTTTGGCTACAATGGCTGCGAAAAAAGCATGAGCTGAATGACACAGAGGGGGACACAGAGGGGACTGAGAATGGGTGGGCCATGAAAGTTTCATGGAGGTTTGGTATGGTTGCTGAATCAGAGGAGGTCCTGAATTTACTGACGTCGTAAAGAAATAATATTTGTAGGGGTGGTGTTTGATTGGCTGGCGCCGTATGAGTGCCTCTTTGCGGCATACGCAAATTCCGTTCCGGCGTTGCCAGAGCAGAGGTTGGAGGCTGGCACTGGCAGCAGAGGGTGCAAAGTTTGCAGCCATGTCCATTTGATGAAGTGGGTCCAGAAAGGGTAAACTATTGCACTTTGAAATCTTCTGGAAACGTCTTTATGGTTCTGGCCTGCTGTGTTTGTTTCTGGCAGTACCTGGTAGTTCTGGCTGCTACTGCCTGTTCTGGTTGTCCTTCATGGACTGGTCTACTCCCGCTAGTAGCCGGAAGCCGTAGGACCTTCATGGACTCGCCCTTCAGCATAACAGTTTCATGTCTACCGCTTCCACCTACCTAATCCAGCCTCTGCCTTCTCTCCTATGTACCTCTGTTTACTTCCATCGGTCGGTTTCACTGCTTCGAGGCAGAAAAGGTTATTCTGCCTCAGAGGCTGTGTCATAGCCTCCTAACCAGCTGCTTGACATCATCGCTTATTTGACTACAGCCGTGCCAACGTGGCATGGCCAGGTTATAGACCTCATGGGCTTATTCTCTTCGGCTGTCTGTTTTGGACTTTGTGTGATGTTCCACAGCGTTTGTCAGTTGAAGTTTAGGCAGATCGGGAATCGGAAGTCGGGAAATGTGTAGTGAATGTGGACAAATAGAGTTTCGTAAGAGGGTTTTTTACGGCTGGCGGGTGGCCAGTAAGAGGTTGACGTTGTTTGCCGTGGATATACTGGACGTAGGACTGGTTGGTTAGGGCTATGCTAGGCTGGTTGCTTCGGGCTTACCGGTAGATGGCTGTTTGTTCTATCCGGCTCAGCCTGGTCGAGAGAAGGATCTGAAGGTTTCTAGAATTGGGGCTTCTTTGTTTTGGAATTCTGGAAAGTCTAATTCAGATCAAGGACTTGGCACATTCTGCTTGACAAAGCCTGGATGAATGACACTAACACTTGGCTGGGGTAGGAGGCTTGTGAAGTGGGTTTGATAAGGATCACTGTATTGAGACAAGGGTGACTATTGGTGTTGTGGTGAAAGAAATGGCATTAAGTGTTTAGTTGGGTGCAAAATATGCCATGATGGAGTAATCATGGACCAAGATGCTCTGAAACGCTAATTGCAATGAAAGAACATAAAGGTTACCGTCAGTGAAGGCTCCAAGGCCACTCTACGGCTTTCATTCACCTTGAAAAGCATATAGAAGGGACGTCAACTCTGAAACTACTGAATCTTCAGTAACAACCTTCCAATAGCCCAACTACAACACCAAACCTTCAAACCCCTGTCACCTCCTCCATTCACTCCATCCCCCACTTCCTCCATTTACTCCATCCCCCACTTCCTCCATTTACTCCATTCCTCACATCCTACAAATCCCCAGTCCTATTCTAAAATGCATTAATATCTTATATGGGCCGCCCTGGCTCCATTCTCATCTACTCGGCAACGATAAAGTCCTTAAACTCACCGTACGCCTTCTCCAAGTCGTCGTTCACCACAACCTTGTCGTGAGCACCGGTTTCAGCGTACTCCATCTCGGCAGCAGCAGCTTCGATTCTCTTAGCAATAGAATCGTCAGTCTCAGTACCTCTGCCAGTCAATCTCTCCTTCAAAATGTCTATAGAAGGCGGACTCAAGAACAAGTAACGAGCATCAAGAGACAGCTGCTTGACAGCCTTGACGCCTTGCATATCAATGTCTAAAATACAGATCTTGTTCTGTTGAGCCACGTCGTCCACGGCCTTGATGGAAGTACCGTAGTAGTTGCCAGAGAACTGGGCCCACTCGATGAACTTCTTCTCGTCGATCATCTTCTTGAAATCGTCAACCGTGGTGAAATGGTAATCCACACCATTTTTTTCACCAGCTCTTGGTGTTCTAGTAGTGTTGGAAACAGAAAAGCCAAACTTGTCTGGGAACTCAGCCAACAACTTCTTCAAAAGAGTGGACTTACCGGTACCGGAAGGACCAGAGATAACGACGGGTCTAGGCATATTTTTAAGGGTTTAATGAACGGTTCGGTTGGTATTTACCAGTTGACGATGGTGTATGTACTTTTTTTTTTCCACTTCAACGCGCACCGTGTAAAAATACACGCTAAAGGGAGGCTGTAGGGGGAGGGAGAGAGGATGATCTGGTGGTTTCCAGTTAGGAGAAGGTGAAGTAGACGTGTTTTCTGGTAACTGTGTTTTCTTTGAATTCTTCTGTACTTTAAAAACTGGCTTTCTTTATTATTTCTAAAGTTACATGGACTGGTGATGGAGGCCAGAAATGGCTGCGAAAAAGGGTACATGGACGGCTGGAGACGACAGGGTACGTCAGATGGGGCACTAAGAGTCTTCCATTTGTTATTTTGCTGGTTTTGTTGGTTGTTATAGTTGGCTTTGCTTGGAAAGTCATTCTTTGAGTTTTATTTCTTTGGTTATTTGGGGACCTTAGAGGTTTGATAGGACTCATCTGGTGTCTCTAAGGAACAGTATATACTGTGGGAGAGGATGTAATTGGTTTCCATAGGTGATGTATACTTGTAGTGAAGGTTCCTTCTAGTCGAATACTCTTCTTATTTCCAAGTCTTTGGATGGTCTTCTTGATTAAGAAAAAGTATGTCAAACTGTACTGACCTTTCTGCCAAGCGTACACTCAATGTACGTTCAAGACGTGTGTTCATAGGAAGTAGAATCACCATGATAATTTGAATAGTTGATGGTTTTCCTCCCAGTGTCTTTCCATTTAGTTAAAACGAGACGACTGAGAGTCTCTTTTACATTTTAGAATTATTGACTCTTCTTCCGCCTCGTTGACTTCACTGGACTCTCCATTGGTTGAGGCATCACCTGAGCTAGTTGAGCCAGAGCACACAATTTTGCCCTTTTTTCTGGAAGAAGAAGCATTAAAACGAACACTTATAAGGTCTAGAGCCACTTTAGACCCTCCCAGCTTAAAAAATTACATAAACTTCGGGAAGTTCCGTACTCCTTATATTCACTGTATTTCCATTATGTACGCATTGTATCATTTCGCAGCCATTTTGCTAACCTACTCCGACTTTCCAGAACACTACACACCAACAAATACTTCTTCATGAAAGTAATTCTTTTTCAAAAAGTAATTGAAAAGCTCCTTCTAACAACACCCCTTTCTCCTTTTGGCCTTCCTTATATACCCGTTTTCCACCAATCCTTCCTTCTCTCCCTTTCAACCACATACTCCCATTCGCAGGACCACCACTTCCCTCTTCAGCCCACTAACCCCTAACCCCATTCTCCTGAATCCAAAATTCCCAAACCCTCTATCTCTTCCCTTCCCTCCTGGTCCTGCCTTGTCTGCCCGTAAAAGTGACCCCAGATCATGGTCGTGCACAAACCATACCATCACCAACTAAATCAATCTCTGTGGCCCATAGTGAATTTCTTCAGATTACACCATGGATGGAGTGAAACAGGCGCTTGGCGCCATGTACTCAGGAGCAAGCCAGGAAGACAAGAAAAGGGCTGCTTCCCACTTGGAAGAGTTCCAGAAATCCTCAGAGGCCTGGCAGGTTTCCCATGACTTGTTACTGGATCCCAATGAGCCTTTGGAGTATAAGATGTTTGCCTCACAGACCCTCAAGGCAAAGTCCATGTATGATTTATCACAGGTTCCTCAGGAGCTGTTGCATCAACTTAAGGGCTCTGTTCTACAGCTCTTGGCGATTTACTCCAACGAAAGTGATCGTCTAATCAGGACTCAGTTGTGTCTTACATTAGCCCACTTGTCCCTTCAGTATTTGGAATGGCAAGGCGCTATGAACGAGATTTCCACGTTTTTATCGTCCAAGCCTGAATACATGCCAGCTTTGCTTGAGTTTTTCAAGGTTTTGCCCGAGGAGTTGTCTGAAACAAACAAGTCAGCATTGACAGATGAAGAGTTCAACTCGAGATCCGCTGATCTCATCACTCATAACGTGGAGAATGTTTTGCTTTTCCTTAAAAACGTCATTGAACAAAAGACTGCTCCTTCTACCATTGTGTTGGACTGTCTTAACTCATGGATCAAGGAGTGTCCTGTTGAGAGCATTTGCCAGGTGGACTTATTCGTGCATTTAATTTTCGAGTCCATTACCCAAGAAGCTACTTTTGAAAAGGCCGTGGAGTGTCTTTGCTCTATTTTACGTGAAACAAGAGATATCCATAACTTCTCCTTGGTGGATGCCTTATACGGCCAGATCCTTAAGATTCATGAGTTCTATTCTGCCCATCCTGATAGATTGGACGACCCAGAGGTCGTCGACGGGCTCACCAAGCTTTATGTCGAAGCTGGAGAACTGTGGCATGTCTTGATTGCTAAGCATGCTGCTCATTTCAAGCCATTGGCCCAAATCTTGCTCAACTGCTGTAAATACGATGAAGATTTGGACGTGGTGAAGTATACTTTTAATTTCTGGTACGAACTCAAGCAGATGATCACTCTTCCCAAGTTCGAAGCTGCCAGGGCAGAGTTTGTGGATATCTACTTGCTGTTGATTGAGGTGATTATCAAGCACCTCGCATACCCAGTGGGAACAAACGAGAATGACCTTTTCGAAGGTGATAAGGAGCAAGAAGATAAGTTTAAGGAATTTAGGTACGAGATGGGAGATGTCTTGAAGGATTGCTGTGCCGTGGTTGGTCCTCAAAAGGCACTCAGTATCCCATTCCAGCACCTCCAGTCACTTTTATCCCAGTCCAATACTCCTTGGCAGCATTTGGAAGCTTCCCTTTTCAGCATGAGGGTCATGGCCAGAGAAGTTTCTACCAAGGAGAAGACCATTTTACCTGCTATTATGGAAATGCTTGTCCAATTACCAGAACATCCAAAGTTGAGATATGCTGCTACGTTGGTGTTGGGCAGGTACTCTGTCTGGACAGCGAAGAACCCTGAAGCTCTTGAGCCGCAGCTTAACTATATCACTAAAGGGTTCCAGGGTGATCTAGTCAGTCGGTTGAACCCCGTTGATAAGGATGACATTTACAACGCTACATGCCAAGCGTTGATGTTCTTCTGTGAGGACTGTGCATCTTCACTTGTCAACTACTTGGAGCAGCTTTACATGCTCTACCAGCAAGTGCATACTGAGCTTAAACCTAAAGCTCTTTACGATTTGATGACGGGTTTGGCTCATGTTATTAAGAAGATGCCAGTTGAGGACCAGTATAAGACATCCCAAATGTTCTTGGAACCTACCATCAATAGAGTGAAGCACCTTGCTACCCAAGGGTCTGCTCAAGACGCAAACGTCACCAATGCATTACACGATGAAGCTGAGCTTCTTAGCATCTACTTGAGGGTTTTACGAGCACTGAACTTTGAAGTCAAAGAGTACCCTATTGCCAACTTTTTTATTGATTCTATCTGGCCAGTTGTTGAAGCTGTCCTTGAGAAATTCAACATGTCGCTTCATGTGAGTGAAAGTTTCATCAAGGTGATCAAGAGTGCCGTGCACAGCTGCAGCATATACATTTCACCTATCTTGCCACAAATTGCCCAGGCAATTCACAATGGGTTCCGTGCTACCACATACGGATGCTACTTGTATGTTACGGCTTCATTGCTTCGAGAATTTAGCGACGACACTGTCAGTCCTGAAATCCATTCTGCTGTATATGGTCTTGGTTTAGAGCAGAGTTCATCTTTCTTTGAGTTGCTCAAAGAGAAGCCTGATTCGATCAGAGAAATGCCCGATGTGATTGAAGATTTCTTCAACATGTCCACCGAATTACTCATGTTCTACCCTAACAAGACCATCAGCAACGAGCAGCTCATGAAGTCGATTCTTCATGCTGGTATTCTCACGCTCACCACATGTGAAGAATACAACCCACTCATTGCATGTGTGCATTTCTTCATTGACTACGTTTCGTGGGGATCACCATACCCACCGATTTCATTCTTTGACGACGACCCTCAGCATATCCAACAAGCCGTGAAGCAGTTTTTGGTTTCATCCAACCACGGCGAGCAGCTCATTAAGGTTGTGCTCCAAGGCCTCATTTTCAAATTCTACAACGATGTCGACGCTAACGATCTTGTGATTAAGATCTTGACAGTTTCTCCCAACACAGAACAAGCCATTGGCTGGCTCCAAAACGCAGCCAGCAGTCTCCCGAACGTGAGCGGCAAGGAGATCGAGAAATTGATCGGATCAATCAACGTGGCTCTTCCTAACAAGGACAATCGAAGAGTCAGAATGGCTGTGAAAGACTTTGTTAGCTGGTACTCACGCAAGAATGTGAATCTGAGAAGCACCTTTTAGGCGGTGCAGCCAGCATAGTGATTCCAGGGGAAATCAAGCACCAGACAGACAGAGAAGAAAAAAAGGGGCAAGCATGGCTTGGCACCAATGTGGCTCCAAACGACTGGCTTTGACACCTGTTTTGGCAGCCGTTTGAGGCACTAGCTTAGCGCCTGCATGGGTACCCAGAGATGTGTTGCATTGTTTTTCCCCAAGAAGGTTGTTTATAGGTTGACAGAAATGGGACTAAGTGAGAACAATGGGCAGTCCCCAGGCTTCACCAGGGCTGGAAGACAAGCCATGAGGCTTTCAACTGCCAGCTTCGCTGGCGCTGGCTGAACCACTGAACCACTAAGGTTGTTCAAACCCCCAAACACGCTCTTGCCAAACACTTCCACAAACTCAGTAAAGGCAGGTGGATGTCTATATTGGGCAGGCGGTTTTTGGCAGATGCATGGTTTGCAAGCGAGGAAGCCAAAACATGAAAAAATAGCACGCACGAGCATATGACAGGCCGTGCACACGAATACACAGAGCGGTGTGTAACCCTCAGCACCAACAGAACCCACCAAACAGTAACAGCAAATGGTAAAAAAACGCCAGAAAATGCCAGAAAAAGGAAGGCCCGTCCAGGCCTGCCCTGTCGTTGCCCTTCTTCAAAAAAAGAAAGGAAAATGGCAGAAATCACCCTTCCCACTTTACTTGCTCTTTGCGCGGCTGCTTTTTGCATCCACTGAGGCTTCCAGCCCCAGCAGAGGCTTCCCAGGAGAGGCTTTTCCATGTTTCAACAAAAAATGGACGAAAGCCTCCTGGTAAGTTTCCTCCTGGCCCGATGTTGCCAAAAATAACTCTCCACCAGCAAACACAAGGCAGGTCTACCTTTTGTGCTTTAGTCTGCCTTGGATTGCTGGAAACAGCAGATCCCAGATACCAGAGAAAGCTGGAGCCGTTGCTTTTTTCGTGCTTTTGTCCTGCTTAGTGGGAAAACATCTGGTCTCTGATTGGCCAGCAACCTGTTTAGTGGGATTCCTTGCATCCACCACTTTCCACCTCTTCTTGTCATTGCCAGGCGGCGGGCGCCCATGGCCTAAACTGGGAGGGCACTTGCCGGATTGGGGTGGGTGTACAGCAGACAGAAGGCATTGGCGTGCATGGATGGGCGTCAAAAACTGTGGTCTATGCATAATCATGGGTGCAAAAAACACAGCAAAAAAAGAAAACAAAAGATAAAGAAAATTTTTGTCTCTCGCCAGAAAGTCTATATAAGGAGAAGATTTTCCCTAGTTTTTTTAAACTTTTTTTTTCTTCTCTATCCAAATCACAACTACTTTCGCTATGCAATTCTCCACCGTCGCTACCTTCGCTGCCGCTGCCGCCGCCGTCTCTGCTCACGCTAACGTTACCTACGTTACTGACCTTTCTTCTACCTTGGTCACCATCACCGACTGTGGTCCAGAGGTCACTGACTGCCCAGCCAAGCACCACCCATCCACCGTTGCCAACGTTTCCACCTACGAGGGTGCTGCTAACAAGCAGTTCGCCGCTGGTGCCGTTGCCTTGGCTGCTGGTGCTTTGTTGGCTTTGTAAATGGTCTAGCCTTAACAGAAAAACTATTGGTTAATTTTTAAATTCGTCTTAGACTTTTACGCATAGCCGCGGGCTTCACTTCTTACTCGGTGTATATTATATGATTAATACAGTGTATTATATTATGTTTGTTGTAGAAGAACCCAAGAACCTTAGGCAAGAACCTTAGGCAAGAACCTTAGGCGCTAGCCTGAGGTTCTGTTATTGCTTATCTTCAGTTATTGAAGTTTTAAAGGTTGTCTAATTTTCAGAGATACCCTGAGGTGATAGCGTTTCTCTTGGAAAGCCTAAAGCTACTTTACTCAAAAGCCCAGTTTGAGCCTTCGCTTCAAACTCTGCCTTGGCTTGTTTACTATTTGCTTGTCTTGCCCAGCAACGGCTTGAGCACGGTTTCTTGGTATCGCTTTCTATCCAGCCAAGAGATCTCAATGCATTAGTTGCCTTCAATTGAAAAAGAGAGGAATTACCTTCTTCCAGTTGTTGACCAAACCATCCCCAGCCAGCCATTTCTCCACCCCTCCCCAGCAACCCCTTAAACTACATTCTCTATTTTCTTTCTTCCCATTCTAAAACCGTTCCTGAGGCTTTTCTACCCTTCTATTGGCTGACCAGAGGCTTGTCGCAACAGCTTCCCATTGTGCTTCGAGCTCACTCATACACTTGCCTTGTCAAAATGCATCGATTGTTCTGGATTGAGCAACTCTTCGGCCCAATCTAAATCTTTCTCTTTCTTTGTTTGTCCCTTCGGAATTTTAGTACCGTTAGATCTTCGACCTTGCATTTTGTGTCACCTTGGATTTCACTTCCAGCAGCAAACTACCTCATCTGGGATATCCAATCTTTGTGTCAAGTCTAATGGTCATCTTGTCGGGACGATCGGGGCTTAGCGCCTTTTGATTAGTCAAAAATGCCGCTCACTGGCTGCAACTTGCTTCTACAAGGAAAAGTCCGAAATATACTAAAAATTCAATACATACTAGGTTGGGCCCTAAGCAGCAGCAGTGGCCGTAGGAGCAACGACAGTACTAACTGTAGCACCCTCAGCGTAAGCATTCATGCCAGGCCCGCCAATGTAGTCAAATGGGTTCAAGACACCTGAACGAATCAACTCTGGGATAAGCTCAATGATAAGCTGAATAAGCCCAGAACGAGTCTCCTGGTCAGTAAGCGAAAACTTAATCACGTCAAGAGCCAAGCCAGAGTCCTTGAGTGCTTCAAAGACGTCAGTGTATGGAATCACATCAGCTTCAATCAACTCAATAGTGATCTTAGCAACACCAGATCTCACCTGCTCGTCAACCAAAGATTGTCTGATAACGCTGTTGATCAAGCCAGAACGCTTAAGAAGAACAAAAATCTGCACCATGGCATCATCGATAAGTCCTCTCTCCTCAAGGTTAAAGTCGTCAAACTCTCTGGCAACAAGCTGGTTCTCAGTGGTGTTGCCAAACTTCTTGTCAACGATATCCTGAACAATATCCTTCTTGGTGTCGACGAGATCACCAGCCTTGGCCTTACCAAGGTCAACAGCATCGGCAATCTTCTGCTTGATAAGCTCCAAAAGGTGGGCAGCGATTTCCTTCATCTTCATCAACGAATGAACCTTGAGCTTCTCAAAGATCTCATGGGCAATTCTCTTCGAGTCCTCAAGAGAAGCTTCAGCCTTGGCCTTCATTTCAGCCTTCTTCTTATCCATAAACTCTTTACCCTTTTCAGCAGCTTGCTTCTTAGCAGCGTCAGTAACCGCCTTTAAGATTTCTTTGGAAGCCTCGTTGGACTGTTGGTCTTCATTGGCTCTAGCAACGAGGAATGAAGAATCTTCAGTAGAAAGAGCAGAGACGCTGGTGGCTGCCATCAAGGCAATACAAACATTGAAGAGCTTCATTATATGCTGATTTCGTGGTATATGATGACGAACTAAATGCTGGGAAAATCCCAGTCTTTTTATACCTTTTCTTCACGGCGTTTTTCAGATTCAGCTTGTACGAGGCAACATCTCATACGAGTTGCTTTGGCCCTTATCTTTCTTCTCATACGCTGAAATATTCTCTTGGGGAACCATGACGCCGTATAGCTTCCTCTCTTAATTGCATTAAAATCTTCAAGCAGGGAATGTTGAAGGGTGAACTGATCTCCAATTGCCGCTTCCTCTAGCTTGAAATCGCTGTCCAAATTGGTAAGAACGGGCGGCTTCCACTTGCGAAGCATTAACGAGTTGAGCACCACACTGACCGAGCTGAACGCCATAGCAGCTGCAGCTGCCCCTGGAGGAAGCATCAAATTTAAGGGAAGAAAACATCCCATGGCGAACGGCAACATGACAAAATTATAGATCGTGGCGAAAACAAAATTAAGCTTGATTTTGCGGAATGTCGCTTCGGATACCTTTAAGGCAGTTATAACACCAGCCAAATCATTAACCTTCGAGTTTTTCAGACCCATCAACACGATCTCGGCTGAGTCTATAGCAATATCAGTTCCACTGCTGATGGCCATTCCGACGTCTGCCTGGACTAATGCTGGAGCATCATTGATACCATCACCAACGAATGCGATCGAGATGTTCTTTGGCCCTCCAAACTTTTCTCTCAAACCAACAACCACCTTGTCCTTTTCCAATGGGGAAACTTCACTGAAAATGTTACCCTTTGGCACACCCAACTGCGCACCGATCCTTTCGGCAACTTCTTTGCTATCTCCAGTAACTATGGCAACTTGAATATTTTCCACATCTCTGAGGTAATCGATGACCTCGCGAGCACCCTCTTTGATCGTATCCACGAGTTCAATAAACCCGCTATACTTACCATTTATGACAACATGTGCGCAGGTTGAGATCGTGTCCTTGAGGTCATTTTCCAAAATATCTGCAAGTTGTTCTCTCACATCTGGGAAATCACGCACAATTAACCGCTTGTTGCCAATCACGACGTCATAGGTTGTGTTGTCGAGATTCACCTTGGCCCTCACGCCCAAACCGGTCAAAACCTCAAAGCCTTGGATCGTAGAGCTGAAAGTATCCTCTTCGAATGTGAGTCCTAATTTCTGTTTGGCTCCAGCTACAATAGCTTTACCAGTAGGATGCTCCGAGTTCTTCTCCACAGATCCAACCAAGGTCCACCATTGTCTTGGAGTGATGTTAACGTCGTCAGTGAGTGGTTTGGAATTGGCAATAGTCATTTCGCCTGATGTCAAAGTACCTGTTTTATCAAAGAGGATAACATTGACACCACAGGCCTTCTCCAAGATATCACCACCCTTGATGAGTGCACCACGAGAGGCTCCAACACCAGTACCAACCATGACAGCTGTAGGTGCAGCGAGACCCAAAGCACATGGACATGCCACAACAATGACAGAAATGGCTAATTTCAAACAGACAAAGTACTTACCATTCTCCTCCTTGGCGAATGCCTTGGGAAGTTTATCATCATGAAGGGAAGAACAAAGAATGAACCACAAGGAGTAAGTGATTGCTGCAAGAATCAAAACAGCGGCAACGAAACGAGCAGCAATATAGTCAGCAAACCTTTGAACAGGTGCTTTACTAACCTGAGACTCCTTAACAATATCAATAATCTGGTGCAACTGAGAATTCTTGCCTGCTCTAGTGACTCTCATATGGAGCAAATGAGGTCCGTTAATAGTGCCTCCAACGACAATGTCACCTCTCTTCTTGACAACAGGCATAGATTCACCGGTAATGATGGACTCGTCGACTTCAGACGATCCGTGAACAACCACACCATCAGCGGGGATCTTACCGCCAGCGGTCACCACAGCAATATCATTGGTCTGTAATAAATCAATCCCAATTTCACGAGTGCTAAGGTCGGCAAGTCCCTCGTCCTGCTTCTCATTACCATCCTTCTGCAAAAGATGCTGGTAGGCTGTGGGATCGGTGACGATCGAGCAGGTGGTTGGTGTAAGCGAAACAAGTTTCGAAAGTGCCGTTGACGTAGCACCTTTAGCCTTGTTCTCCATCCATTTACCGAATGAGATAAAGGAAATGAGCATGGCAATTGTTTCAAACAAGACTTTTGGTGGCTTTTCGGTTTGGCCTGTCCAGACACTCAAAATGATGGAATACACAGAAAATGTATAGGACATCAGAGTAGACATGCAAACCAAAACATCCATATTAGCGTTTTTACCTTTCCGGCGGATACAACCAGCCATTTTCTTGAAGAATGGTGCGCCCAATGTGAACAAGATGACCGACGTGAGTGTCAATTCAATAACAGAAATCACATAAAGACCATTGAACACCATAAGTTTACGCCATAAGGATATGTTTTGTGTGAAATTAAGCACAATGACGGGAAGACCAAGCACAAGCGACCAGAAGAAAGTGGAACGCCAATAGCTGATCTCTTTAGACCTCGATAAAAGCTTCAACTCTGTGTTAAGCGACTGGTCGACAGAATTAAGGATAACGAACTGGAGGCGATCATCGATATTATTAAGGGCATCCACAAGAGCACGAACGCCGAGGACATTACCCGTGTATGTCACCCGAAGTTCGTCTATAAGGTGTTCAGGACCGCCAGTATCGTTTTCATGGTCCACGCTAGACTCTTCCACCTGGCCTTTAAAGATGAATTGGAAGCTTGTCACTCCAGCCAAGCTGTTAAGAACAGCTTCAACGTTATACTGAAGCGAAGCGGTATCGGTAGACTCGTCAATGCCGTATATCTGCAAAATGGCATGCTCTTCAATATTCTCTTCCTCCTCGCCAATAAGCGAAGTGGACGTTGCCACAGCATCAAACCCACAATCTTCAATGGCCGTTTTCAACTGTTCAGCAGTGACAGCAGAAGAGTGTGTCACCACCGCAGAATCAGTCACATTCGACACCGACGCAGACACCACATCCGGTAGACTCTCAAGCGCCTCTGTGATCAGCGCCAGGCAAGCGCCACATGTCATTCCCGTGACTGTAAACGTCGTATTAAGCAAGTTCCCAGCGCCAGCAGAAGCACCAGTGCCTGAAGACTCCAAAGTAGCATCGAAGCCACAATCCTCAATAGCCCCTAGCAACTCCTCCACGCCCACGCCAGGCGAATGTTTCACCGAAGCAGTATTCGTAAGCAACGAGACCGAAGCCGATTCCACGCCTTTCACGCCCTCCAACGCTTCCGTAACGCTCAGAGAGCATGCCCCACAAGTCATACCAGCAACACTGATCTTGGTAGTACTTGCCGATTTCGACGACGGCAGAGCCACCGCCACCAGCGACGCCACCAGAGCGTCAAATCCACAATCTTCAATCGCCAGCACCAATTTTCCACCATCCACATCTTCACCATGAACAACCTTGGCTTCATTTGTAAGTAGCGAAACAGAGACACTCTGAACACCCAGGATGGCCTCCAACGCGTCAGTGACAGAGCCTGAACAAGCCGCACACGTCATTCCACCCACATTTAAGCGAGACTCCATTTTACTTAGTTAGTAGTAGCAGAAGAAGTGGTTGAAGTTTTTTATAGGGCCGACTTGGGAACCCATTTAATAAGCCATAGATGGCAGAAGATAGTGTGTGCGATGGGAGGCGTATGCAGTACCAGGCCAATTCCAGGGCGTCTTCAATTACCGACTCGGCCGGTCTCGGCTTGGCTGGAGAAAAAAAGGGGGTGATTTTTCAAAAGCAAAGAAGGAAAGGGTATAGGAAGATGATTGGTTCGCCAGAATGTTCTTTTCCTTGCCATTTGCTCTCTCCCTGCTGCATTTGTTGCACCACCTTTGTGACGCTCAGCTGTAATTCTCCTCGGCTGCTGCATGAATGTGTCTCTTTATGTATAGCCAATTGACGCATTGCAGACACAGCAGAAGGGATTGGTTGGAAGTGAAAATCTGGAAAATTTGAAGAATCTGTGATTTTCCAATTTCCTTTGCCATCCCTTCCTGGTCTATAAACTTGGTTTGGGTTCTGGAGAAGCAGTGGATGGACCACTGAACGTTCAGGCTGGGGGCTCTGGGGCTTTGACTTACTCATAACCAGCCTGACAGAATGCTGATGCAGTGAAAATCAACAACAATGTGATGGGTAGGCCGAAGATGGGAGTTTTTCATTGGCATGTGGAGATTGACGTAGACGACGTTTTTGACAGGTCCCGGTTTTTACACCACATGCTCTGCCTCTGATTTGTGACCGACCTTCTTCTTTTTATGCTTGGGAGCTGTGCCGTGGTACTTATGTGAAAGCTGCTTGAAAGCTTGCTTTTGGTCAAGCTCGTTGCCTTGTTCGTCTTTGTATCGAAGCTGCACATCTGGGTTGTATGTGGAAAGTCTATCTTGTGGCTTGCGGGAAGCGTAACGATCTTTGGGTAGCTCCACAAGTCCTTTGGAAACTAAACGTTCGTTTAAGATTCTGTCGAATGTAGCGTCTTGCTCTTCTTTGGAAAGTCTTGTGTAAGATTGGTCCAGGGCGAGTTCTTGCTTCACTGTTCTCTCTTCAATGGAGATGGATATCCGTAGAAGTTCGGCTTCCTTGACTCTCTGTTCTTGCTGCTTACGTGCTTCTTTCTGCTTGATCAGCTCCGAATCAACCATATTGTTCCCACGAAGGTAACTGAGCGTTGCTGCCATACTACCAAATTTAGGTGTTGATGAGCTGGTTGATTCTTTTTGGTCAACCTCATCAGGTTTCGTCTCCTCCAGCTTCTCTTCTGCCGGTTCCCCATCAGCTGCCTCAACAGCATCCTCCTTCTCTTCTTCAGAGGCCAGCGCCTTCTCTTCTTTCTCTTCCTTCTGCCCAATGGAGTTCAAAAACTCTGAAGTATCGTCAAAAACAATACCACCAGTCTTTTCTCTCATATCAATCCTTTGATGCAGCTGTATTTCTTGTGCTAGTTGTTCTGGGGTAAGAAGCTTTCGTTTCTTCTGCTGTTTTTCACGGTTCTTCGCTAGCACTTGCTGAATACCGTCGTCTCCATCTTCTTCCTCGTCAAACTTGAGACTTTCAGTAACCATCGGCTGGTGAACTTCAAGTTCCTCGTCATTAGCAAGTTCTCGTTTCTTCGACAGTCTCTTACTCTTCTTAGACTTCTTCTTGAACTTGGCAGCAGCTGGCTTAGGCTCATCTAGATCATCAAACAACGCAGCTGCTTTTGTAGTTCCCGACTTAGGCACCTCCTCAACCTTCTTTGTCTGGTCTAAAAGGATAGTTGAGCCAGAAACCTGGGCAAACTCGGCCGGTTCCTCTTCTTCATCCTCCTCAAACCGTATACCAAACTTCAAAGTTGCCAATTTCCGTTTCTCCGCTTCTTCATGTCGTAGCTTTTCACTCTTTGAGAGCTTCTCATTAACAATCCGTTCATTATCCTCTTCATTCAACACATTCTGGTCTTCTAGGGTGAATATATCACCTTCTTGCACTTCAGCCAAAGCCTGAGCACTATGTCCAACCGATAAGCCATTCACCGAGGCATCCTCTTCAGCAGCAACAGCCTCCTCCCTCTTCTCTTTCTTTGCCTTTCCAACCTTATCTAGCCAGTCTGAGCCAGCATCATTATAGAATAGCTTCCCTGATGTATCCACTGAATACTCTTTCAGGGTAGGTTTTGAGGGTTCCTTGACTTTCTTAACATCTTCTTTAACCTCCTTGGATGTCTCCTCAACAACAATTGGACGGAGACCTAGAGATGCTCGGAGCTTATTGGTTTCTTCTATGGAGAGCTCTTGTTTGGAAGACAGGGCTGGTTTTCCAAGCAGAGGCGGTTTTTCAACGGGTAAAAGCGGGAGACCGATCTGGGCTCGAAGTTTATTGGTTTCCTCCACGGAAAGTTCTATTTCGTCGGACATGAGTGGTTTTTGGTGGAGGTGTTTTATGTAATGCTTTACCCCAGTATACTCGCAAGGCCATCTCTTGATAAGTGCGTATATATGCAGGACATTTTGAATAATCAGGTCGATAGAAGTATGAAGACGACCAATTCTGAGTATAGAGGCAGTTACTGAAAGGTGATAGATTCAGGAAGGATACGTTTAGTTACAAAAGTCAAGGACCAAGAAGATTGAAGCATGTAGGGATTGAGATGGCTCATAAGCATAGGGTAACACAAGATACTTATACATGAGGTTTACAGGCAGATTTTTAGAGTAAAGCACCATACATACTATTTCTACTACATTGAAAGCTTCACCACATGGATTTGACCCTGTTAGCTTCCTTTCTGAACATTTTTTATTTTGGCTAATGCACGTGATTTATGGCACGTGATCAGCTTACTTCTTCAAATATCGCTGTATTTAGTCTAAGAAATTCCATGAACGACTCCTTCGCTCTCTAAAGGTCGCGTCTTAGAGCCCCAGCTAGTCTTTGTTGCCCTCTTCACAATAACCACCTGAATACATACTCCATCTGGTGAGACACGGTAGGTCTTGTGTGCACTCCCACACATCAACCCTCCTGCATAATCAGCTCCCACTGTTTACAAACATCACCAACACATTCCTCCATCAATTCAACGTCCAGGGCATGAAAATTCTGTTCAATGAAGTGATCGGGACTCTGGCGACAGATCCTCAGCACGTGGCCTTTTCTGGGCTGAAATTGGCGTACGTGGCAAGTGGTGGAGTCATTGTCTGTGAAGTGGATGCAAAATCACGTACTTTGAGTAAACAACGGTTATTTGTGGCGAATTCTGGCGTTTCTGAAGCTCAAAATGATGATTACGTTAGTAGAGCTTTCCTGGGTTCAGATCGTGGCGATGGACACGACAAAAGAGACAATTTCGATATACCTCTAGAAAGCACATATACTTATGGGAAGGAACGTATTGAGGCAGATAGGAAGAAGGCTGGAGGGGAAAAGGGCGATTCGTCACCTTCAAAGCTTAAGGATCGCGTGAGGGCTATTTCTTGTGTGGCTCTTTCGCCAAATGGAAGAGTATTGGCAGTTGGTGAGTCTGGCTACCAGCCTCGTATTCTACTATACTCATTGGCTAGTAATGCTTCTGGGCTGCCGTTTGCTGTGATTCACGAACACACATTTGGCGTGAAACATATTGCTTTTCTGCCTGATTCAAGACACTTTGCATCGCTAGGCCAGCTTTCAGATGGGTTTCTACATATATGGAAGTATTCGGCTACTTCAGTTGCACTTAAAGCTGGAAATAAGTGTTCTTCCATTGTGAATCTGATCTTTTGGCACCTGTCGTCATCGATAGTTACTGCTGGGTTACGGTTCTTGAAGGTATGGAGCTTTGAAGCGCAAGAGCTGAACAGAACTGTGGTACTTAAAGGACGTAATGTTGTTCTACGAGAGAATCTCGAAGTTGACTTCACGGAAGCGGTTTCTTTGTCTAGTGACGAAGTACTCCTTTCTGGTTGTCACCAAGCACTCTACGTGCTTTCACTTTCTGGTCTCAGTCTTGTCCCAGTCGAAGTACCTGACTCTCCACCAGCCATTTACGGTTTGGAATCAGATGCTACTACAGAGAAGATTTGTTACTTTGACGGCCACGAACCGAAACTTGTGGGATTTGATCAGCTCAAACGTACAGCCAATAAGCTGGCTCCCTCTTCACCTTCAAAGATAGCTCTGATGTTTTCATCTTTATCTTTAAAGTCTTCACCTCCAGATCATCCCGTGGTGAAGTCCCATTTATCATTTAAGGATGGGGAGTCATTCATTCTGTACCTCACAAACAAGAAAGAGATTTGTGTTTACGATACTGATTCTGGATCCCACGCTACCCTTGTCGCTGCACCAGTTACTCGTGCTGGTGGTATGAAGCAGGCTTCAAACGGCGACTTGTTGGTATACTCTAAGTGTGGAAATCTCAGAGCAGTGGAGGACGGCAGTATCAGACAATTAGCTTCTGTTAGGCTACCACAAACTGACCAACTAGAGAACGAACTCAATACTGTTGATTATGATGGCACTTACGCTTACTTTGGTGACAGATATGGGCAGTTATCTGTTGTGGATTGTGAGAGTGGTGATGAGGTCTTACAACTCAAAGCACATTCTTCATCGATTAATGATCTTATCCGCTTCCATGTGGATTCCTTGGAGCTTCTCTGTACTACCTCAAGAGACAGGACAGTGCAGCTCTTTTATAAGACAGAGGATAAGTGGGAGCTTCTACAGACAATCGCTAACCACACAGGGAATCTCTTATTTGCCAAGGTTTATGAAGAGAGTCTTTATGTTTGTTCAGCTGATCGCTCCATCTCTATTTACGGATTCAGAGAATCCAGAGATAACGAAACACCTCTTGAAGTGATCCAGAAACGAGTCCTCACTTTAAAGCACTCTCCTACAGCAATGGCGATTCTCGACAAGGAACTTCACGTTGCAACGAACGATAAATCAGTACATGTGTATGATGCCAGTACTGCTGACTTCAAGTACACTGTAAAGGTTACTAACGAAAACGGCGACTCTCTCTGCGTTGAGAATTTTGCTTCCTTTGATAGGGCCATTGCAGTATCTTCAAACGACAGGTCTATCCGTTTGTTTACCCCGAACTATGCCAAACAACTAGCTGTTTCTTGGGGCCATTCAGATACAATACTTAACATGGTGGGAAAGGGTCTGTCGTTGTATTCCATTGGCTTAGATGGATCCCTTTTCATCTGGAACATCACAGATGGTGCTGAATCAAACCATTCAAGTTTCAAAGAAGAGGACTCGGATCTGAGTATACCTGAACCAGACAACCTGCCTCTTTTCGCTAAAGTCACCCGAAAGATTCTTCCTGTGGCATCTGCGAGTTCCAAACCGCTAGCGAGTCAAAGTACGCCAAAGATTGATAGAGAAAGTTCACCTCCAAAGCGTGCACTGGTTATCCTTGATCCCAGTTCGCCTTCGCCAGCTCCGACTGCTACTCCAAGACTCACCAACGCAACTCTTAAGCGTATGGAAGCCAGAAAACAAAGTTCACCGCTGCCAAGTAGAAGTTCTCCTCCAAAGAATATTTCTCCATCACGAACCCAGTCTCCATCCAGAACTACAAGCAGACTGAGCGGTCCTTTCCGTTCACTGACTCTGCCTACAAAACAACCTTCATTTGATTCAATCACCAACCCACAACCTAGATTGGCGCCACAGAGCGGTTCTGATTCGATGGATAGAGCAACTGCTTATATATCTATTATCAAGTCACACGCCCAGAAAGGTCTTTTTACTACGGACGAGAAAACCAGGTTGGTGGGTCAGTTAAATGACTTGGTTAATGTCTTGGGTGGATCTTCCAGCTCTACAAGCCAAGAGGCGCTACTTGAGAAGTTCAGCGAACAACTCGTTGAGATCGTACAGAAAAAGCTTGATAAGTAAGAATATGCTGTTGTTTTATTCGTATGCTTATTGGAACATTGCATCATCTAGGTCGTCATCCATGTCGTCTTCATAGTCTTCGACATCCCCTGCGAGGTCTTCATTATCGCTGAATTCAATGCCGCTGCCGTCGCTATCCAGTGACGATTCATCATCTTCTTCAAGGTCGTTGGATTCCTGCCTCGTGACCTTTTCTTCCTGGACTGGTCCCTCCTGCTCATCCTCATCATCATCTTCATCCTCGTTATCTTCATAAGGAACGACAATTGCATCTTCATCCACATCCTGACTTTCTGATCCGTAAAGTCTAAATGAGGTGAGTTTCATTCTGCATCTTGGGCATCCCTCTGCTTCCTCGCTACCGTTTTCAATAGCATTAAAACGAGCAGCCAAACACACATAGCAATAGATATGACCACAATTCGTAATGCAGGCGTTCGTCACGTATGTAGATGCAGCCTTGATACCACTGGCTTGAGCAAACTCTATGCAAATAGCACATTGGGACCTTGGAAGCTTTGAATACTTCGTTTCCACTGGTTTATCGGTAACGAGAGGAGCAGCATTCTTGTTCTTGCCCAACGGAATGATCTTGCTGAGCATTCGGCTCCATTTTCTGAGCTGGAGTAAAGGAAGCGTGAATACCAAGAACTCAGTCATGACGTTCCATACCAACTGGCGGTTCTGGAACTCGAAGTTGACGTTATCACCGTTGAACTTCAACAAGTCTGCCACCACCGGCGTAAGCGAAATACCCAACACCCTATGAATCAAAGTAGGAAACCTTCCCTGGACCAAAAACAACACAAAGTTAGCCAAGTTTAGAAGTTTCACGCCGTCGTTGATCTTTCCGAGAATGAGTGACTTGTGCTTGATAAAAAACGCCTTGGCCTTTTCAATGATGGTTTCTCTCGACAGACGGACCTGTTCGTCGACAGAATAAAGGTACGACTCAAACTTCTTGAATAAGAAATCACCAATGATTACTGCAAGAAGTAGGTAGCGTGCATGGCTACCAATGATTTTTCCTGTTCTTGAGTTCGTAAGTTTCAAGTTCTGAAGCTTGAGACCATAAGACGAGCCCGACTTCAACGTGGTAAGCTTGAAAATAAGAAGATTCAACCCCAACGACCAGATCTCGGGATTCTGGCTATATGACCAAGGTTTGTTACTATGTAGCGCAAAAACATCAGAGAGCTGCTGCTTGAGTAAACTGAAAAGCTCATTATCTAGAATGTATGCGTCAAGCTGAGACACTCGGGGCGCCGGATAAAGGATTTTGCTGATGAAAGACATGTGATGATTAGATAAATCAAAACAGATTAGGTTATGGAGTAAATCATCAAGACTTCTCCACATTTAGTGGCTGCCTCGGTTCGCAGGACCCCACACTCTGCAGTACCGGCTGTTCAAGCAAGGCCATGATTTTTGCAACCAACTCTCCAATCAAAACGGAGGATTCTTTGGCGGTGACGGTGGCAAGGGTTGGTTTTATAGACTCGGTTGTGGTTAAACCGCCGTGTTTGGTTGAGTTCAAAACGATGTGGTGGAGGATTCTGAGGAGTGATAACTTCACCACTGGGTTTCTATTATAGACGGTGAGTTTGGTAAGAATCTGGGAAACGATGGAATCACGCGTCATCAAAAGAAGGACCTGGTTACTGGAACTGACGAGTTGGAGATAGTTGTTGAGTGCAGCTTCAAGGTTGGATACTTGGGCAAGCATGAATCCACTTAAAAGACACTCGCGAGCATGAGGCTCATCCAACCACTTGAAGTTTAGTTCTTGGGAAGACCAGTGGAGAATGGAGTCCATGGCGTTGGAGTGCCAGTATGGGTCTAACAAGAGATTGAGGTAGACATTGACGATATTGAACCGGATAAGCATCTGGCGCACGTAGTTCTCGCAGTAGACAAACTCACATAATATAGGCAACACGAACTGGCGGAAAGGAAGGTTGATTTTTGAAAGCTCTTTGAAGATTGGGATCGCTCCTAGCTTCACGAGTTCGAGTTCCTTGTTGTGGTTCAAGTAGCAACAGTTGTATATGGATGGACAGACGATGTTGAGCACCTCTTTATAGTGAGCACTGTAAGCTGGATGCTCATGCAAAATGGAAACGAAGAACTCCAAGATATCTGCTGAATGTAATAAACGAAGGAGCTCTGAAATGCAACTTATGGAACGGAAAAACTTTAAGATCACCATCTGGCGTTGGAGGTTTAACGAAGGGTACACCTTGATGAGAAGCTTGACCAAATCTGTGCTGACGATATTGATTCTGACCCTTGGTTCGGCCTGGCCAAAGTACTTGAGAACATCGAGGATTTTGTCAATTGTCAAGTCGACGTATTCTTCAGGGACGAGGTTTTCAGGCAGTTTCGTGTACTTGGTGAGTCTGTTGAGAAGAACAACAAACCAGAACACAACACCGTACTTGGATAGAATTCGGCACATATCTGATTTAAAACGAGTAATTCCTTTAGAAAGGATTTCGTGAATGCAATGGATGGAAACGAGAGGGAAGTCTGGAGCCTGGTCGAAATCTTCTTCCAAGAACCGTGAAAGGATTCGGAGTCCTCCTGATGAAACAAACATGGTCAAAGCACGGTCTGACTTGCGGATGATTTTAATGAACCTGACAACTTGGAGTCTTGGTTGAAGACCATATGAGAGCTTGGAAAACTGGGTCATCATGGGTATACCTCCCAAGAGGGCAAAGTTCTCGAGCTGGGCCAGATTATTCTCAAAGGTATAGTTTAATGTAGCGAGAACATGGTACCAGAGTCGACTCAGATCATGCATTTCTGGAGCGTTCTCAAGAAGCTCTAGGAGAGTTAAAATGCCGTGGTTCCGTATAAGTGTCTCATGCAGAATGTTATACTTCTTGACAAGCTGGAGCATGCGGCCGGTGATTTTGAGAAGCGACTTGGTGGTTTCCTCATGCCCAAAGTGGCAATTATCAACACGCGATATGAGTTTCAGACAAAGAAGCTCCATCTTACTTTGTACTTCAAGTTCGTTTGTATCGAAGTTATCCACTAGAAGCTCCAAGAACGGATCACTCTCTTCAGACGGATCTTTCTCGTTATCTTCATCATCCTTGGCGTGTAACTTCAAGCTCAAGGAGCCGTTGGTGGAAGATTTGAGGAAGTCAACTTCATCATCGCCTTCTTTAAACTTACTAAGAAGTTCGTTCCTCGTGTATCTCTCCTTTAATGGACTTGTGACAATGGCAGATGCCTTTGAAGGCGTAGATGCCTCTAGATCTTCACGTTTCGAAACCTCATTTGACAGACGTGAGCCAAGGTCCCATTTTGTACCGCTAACCAGGTCTGTATCACACATCCAACGATGGCGTAGAAGGTTTTTAGAAGAAACTCTTAGGGTAGGCTGCTTCTGAAAGCACTCCAAAAGGAAATCTTTCGCTAGTGGTGTAAGACCAGAAGGAAGAGGTGGATGGTCATCAGTACCAATCGCATGCAAAGTGGCCATAGGATTCAACTCGTGGTATGGCGGGTTCGTAGTGAAGAGCTCAATTATAGTCGCTCCAAGAGACCAGACGTCGGAAGCTGTACAGATACCTTCACCACCTAAAACAGTTTCAGGAGCCATCCAATTAGGTGTTCCCACCACGGTATTATGCAGCGTTGCAACCTTTGTAGCCACACCGAAATCAGCTAGTTTGACTTCGCCAGACTCAGTCAAAAGAACATTGGCTGCTTTAACATCTCGATGCACCACACCTTGCTCGTGGAGGTACCCGAGACCATGAAGAATGGGTTTAACGTACAGAACAAGCTGGGGTTCCAGAAACCCGTGGCCTAGCCTTTTATATAGTTGTCGTAAAGACCCGCCAGCGCAGTATTCCAAGAAGACATTAAGCGAATTCAGAGTCTTCACGAACCCATGGTACTTGACGATATTCTCGTGTTTCAAGATCTTCAAGAGGTCGATTTCGCCCATCAAAGCTCGAAGATCGTGATCCTTCTCCAACGGAATCTGCTTGATCGCCACTATCTGGTTCGTTCGAAGGTTTCTTCCTCTGTATACATCAGCATGGGCACCTCTACCGACCTTTTCGTAGAACTTAAAGTTATCCAAAGCGTTACTTGTTCGTAGACCTGGCGTTTTGCCGACCCGCTGAGCCGGTGTAAGCGAAAGCTTTACAGATGTCTTACGGCCATGCTTTTGAAACGGTTCCTGGACATCTTCTAATGGAGTCTGGGGTAACTTTGCACCAAAGAATGCAGATTCACTATTAGGTGTTTCAGGAATCAGCGCCATACCCTTTGAAGGCGATGTTCTTTCAAACGGACTAACTTCCACCGACGGAAGGTTCTTCAAAAACGGTGATCTCTGTTCATCCTTCAGCAGCCCAGTACCCTTCGTTTTCAGCTCCCCATGGCCCAGAAACCGCCCAAGACGCGATCCCGACGAATCGCTATGTCTTGAATTACCGCCCTGAGAGCTCCCACTTAAAGAGCTGCCCTGGCTGGCGGTCTTTGGCGACCACTGGCTCACCTGGAGCTGGGCCAAGTCGTTCCCGAAATCGTTAGCAAAGTCGTCGGCCGCGTCTGGTTCTCTGAACCGCAGAAGAAGCGATGCTTTGGAGGACGCCATCGTGGCATTTCAGTGAGGCGAAGGAAGTTGGAGGTGGTGTTTTGGTGATGCTCTTCGTGAGTAGACGTTACTGTTTACGTTAAACGCGCGTTTAGTATGGGGAAGCGATGATCTGGGGAGGGCCACCGATTGATGGAAAAAATAAAGGGGAGAGGGTTTTGGTTGACTTGGGGTGGAGATGTGACTGGAAAAAGGGCCTTGTCTTTGCGTTTTCGTTCAAAGTTGGAGGTTGTGGTGGATGAGTTGGAAGTATGGGTGGTGGAGAAATGGCTGCGAAAAGTACCTTAACTATGGAACCAAGCGAAGAGGCAGTGAAGAATTGGTACTACCATTGGTTTACGTTTAGGATAGTTTTGGAGCTATTTAGAGGTATTATTGGGTTTGTGAAAGGTATGGATGTGTTCTCTGGGCTTTGTTTACTTGTGGATGTTAGTGCTTCCGGTGGTACTACGGTTAGCTATGCTTAGTAGACAATCCAGGTGGGACCAGCTCCTTTAGTATAACATGTACTGAAGAAGAAAAAAGTAGTTTCTTTTGTTCTTTACGTTCTTAATGTTCATTTTGTATTAAGAGAAGGTCCTTTTCAGACATATTACAGCCAATGTTGGTGGTACATGGACAGATATAGGGTATTGTATGACGACTAACCAACCACAAGTAACGACAAAAGAACCAAATGGTATTCAGGTATTTTTTTTTTTTCATTTACATATTTATCATCTTCACTGAATTTAGTTGACCTGCCATATTCCTTCCTTTCTCTTCTACTTATTGCCTTGTTATACTCATCCACCATCTTTAGCTACTTCCTTGTCAAAGAGCACGGCTGTAGCAGGTTATGACCATTCTATCCTACCAATTTACACCAGCAGCCATACAAGGCTTACTACTCCTGCCCATCGCATAAAACACCAAGTTAAACCCTTCGTTCCAGGCCTCTTCTCCTCCCCTTGATGACCCCATGGCCACACTTATCTCCCAACGTCATCCCTTCCTGGTCATCTCGCTTAGCCGTACCCTGGAGGTTCCTCAGATCCCAGATACCCTCAAATCAGCTCTCCACAATATTTACAAACCTACATGTCCATATAGTTTGGAGACTTCCATACCTGTTCCAAGCCACCTGCGTCTACTCTTCCTCCCCCATACTTCCTGAACAGGTTAGAAATCCCCGTGGAGTCAAGTATTAACCGTTTTGTGTATTTAAGATCCTCAGCCTTTAAAGTATCACAAAACCATACCTTAGCAATAAGGCCTAGGCGAGCATGTGACAACTGTGGCATCAGCCTAATAACATCCACCTACACAACCTTAAGTATCTTTATATTCTGTTTCTATATAAATTCTCCATGTATCCATCTCAAACGGATACTTCTCCCAATAAATAAGCTATGGAATCGCCGTCCACGCTTTAAACGAGGTGGTCTATAAACCTCACCAAACCTCAAACGTATATGTATTCCAGGAAACGCCCTGGTCCTCTGTGAACTCTAATTCTGTATAATTTTTTGAATGCCAAATCCCGTGGTTTCTAGCCACATGTCTCTTTGGTATGCTGACGCCACTGTATGGACCAATACGTCCCTGGGCGTGTTGAAAATTCTGGGCATCTCCCAGGCGTCGCCTGATAAGGAGACCCACGTAATGGGCCAGGATACTTTCCTGGATGACAAAGGGATGCTCTATGAAGCCTGGCTTCATCTTAGGATGAGCAGAAGTCGCTAGGTGCCCGGAAGCCCTGGTGGCCCAGGCCTTCCTCTATCAGCCTAAGAGCCTCATCACTTGCATCACCACAAACAACACCACCGCTGCAAGAACAAAAAACACCATAAAGTAAGCAAACCCGTCTGCCAACTCTCTCTGCCACGAAAACTTCATCTTCACCAAAATGCTATCGTCCTGGCCAATAAACGCCAGAATGGGATGTCTAAACAGCAGAGGACGTAGGCTCCTACCACTGGGTAGCTGTAAATGGTCAATATCCGAGTAATGCAATGGCGAGTCCAGCGCCCTTTGAGAACATATCTTGAACAACGAAGAAAGCACAGCTTCCACGGTATCGTCTGGCGAAACCACAAACAGGTACTTCTTATCACCAGAGGAAAGCATAGATGTGCTAATAATAAAAAGCACCGTAACGTTTTCGTCTAGATGCACCAACGGCATCAGAGGCCTCCACTGGCCCGACATGGCAAAGTCAAAAAAGGGAAAAAAATCTATATTGTCAAAAAATTCCTCTTCTTTTTTCCTTCCTGAGGATCCTGGGCCTTATAAACCTTTGCGCTTTGGCTGGCGTACCTTGGAAAAAGCAGAAAAAAAAAATTATCAGCTTTAGCCCTGCAGCTTCATGCAGAAAGGTTTTTCCGCCTGGGGCTGTGGCAAGAGACGACCAGCGAAGGTAGGTTGGATTTTCATAGACAAAAAGAGGCACAGCCGTGCGTCGATCCTCGAGGATTTTCTGGATCTTTCCCTTTTATGGAGGTTAAGTGGCTTGGGATTGTTTCGTGGAAGGAGGCGGGGGCGGATTGACAGATATGGAGCTGCGGCTGAGTGATTTTGTGCGTCTTTTGACGCCCATTGTTGGTGAGTAGATGGGATAAATATAATTCACGCAAATAACGTGCGTGGTGAGAAATCCCCAGTTTTTCGGTTCTCTCGTTTAGGCGGATTGTATGGTGGGCCGATGGGAGTTTGGTGATTTTCGCTTCCGAGCTACGAGCGCAAACTGGGTTTTTTCCTACAACTGTGGGCTGGGAAGTATGCCACAATGCCGCTGGGTGGCAGTGATATTGCGCCCACATGTTACGATTCACAGCGGGTGACAGGCCATTTGAAGGAGGGATGAGAATCAGTGAATGGTTTGTGTTTGGTGGTTCCTCCCTCCCTCGCTTAGCCCCCGCCTTCCTCGTATATCCTATAGAATCGTTTATTTCCGATTTGCCTGCAGCACACTTGGTCTCTTGTGTGTGCTTTCCATATGTGCTTCCGTTTATCTTATGATGCGTTTCTAGTTGCTGCTGTCGGGAAGAGTCACCGGCTCGTCGGTCTCCTTGGAGTCCTTTTCCAATGCCTCTTTGTTCCAGCTGAGCATGCTCTCGTCACCGGGCTTACGCGGCCTGGCAACGTTTAACACGAGCACCGCTAGTCCCACGAGCATGCACACGCCGCCTCCAGCGATCCACGAGAAACCTAAAAAGTAGTTCTTTCCGCCAAGCACCGACCGTTGCGAGATGAAGATTTTCTTCTTACCTTCGTACGGCAACACTGGGAAATGTAACCCAATGTCGATTTCGTAGATCCCTTCCGGGAGCGCATCATCGTCGTTACGCATGTAAAGCTTGTTGAAGTTCTGGAGCGCCGACGTGAACATCCAGTTTTGAAGGTCTTCCCATTTTGAAATATCTGGCACGTTGGTCTCGTTGTATCCGTTGGGGAACATCTTGTACCAGTTTGGTGGTGGGGCGATCTCGTTATAGTCGTAGCTTGTTTTCTTGAAACGACCGTCGTTTGTGGCCCACGAAATGCCGTCCCTAGAGAACTCATAGTTATCAGATGTCCCGTTGACGCCAGTCAATGTCGACAGGAACGTATCGTTGAAGATGGAGTTTGCTACAAGACCACAAGGGTAGTACTTCTTACCCTCGGCGTTATTCGAAAGCGGCTCACAGTTTTCACCCACACCATCCTTGATAGCACCCAAAGAGGCAGCTCTGCCCTGGATTTGGTCTTCACTGAAGGACTTTGCATAACGTCTATGGTTTTGAGCAAAATGCTCCAATCTGTAGAAAAAATAAAGCGGGCTGTTGAGATCGTGGGGTACGTTAAACTGGATCTTACACACCCTTCTCTCGTCTTCAAACGGCTGGCTCTCGTCGGTATCCAACTTCCACTGGGCCTGTTGTACCAGAGCCCCATCCAAATGGTACGTAGTATATTCATCAGGAATAGGCAGCCACGAGCCCGACACCGCCAAGTTCTCACACTGAGTATAATCAATCGTGAAATCCTCGATCCGATGCGACGCCAACCACATGGCCACGCCAAGCGGTATAAGAAAGATCCCCAAGCCTATAAGGATCGGGATGAGCCATTTAGCCGTGATAACCGGGTTCACCGCTCTAAGCCGCTGTTGCTGGAAAGCGTTATCATTAGGCTTCCTCGACTTCTGCTTGATCTCCACAAACGAATAATCCTCGTCCAAATCAGACTCGGTCTCGATATCCTCCCTTGTTTCGTCCTGGTTCGTTTCGTTATATTCATTGTTGGCAGGCTTATCAAACCGGGACTCGTCGGCTTTATGCTCGTCAGCAAACGGCGAGCCCAGCAGCAGCGAGCCGTGGGGTAATTCAGGAGCCGTGACGTCGACGCCAGACGCTTTGGCACTGCTCATTTATGGAAGAGATGAAAGAGTTGATGATTTAGAAACACCTTCACGGTGGGATCTGAGGGCCTCATTACCGCGTGTGCAGGCGGAGCCGGAACTTCCACGGGCCGGTCAAACAGAGGCAGAGGGGGTGATAAGGGAGGTAGATTTGGTGAAATCACGAAGAAAAGAGGTTTTTTAAACTATGGGGTTTGTGTTTTTTGGGCTTTTTTTGGTTTGGTAAGCCTGGAGGAAACAGGGAACGTGGGTGTTTGACTTTAGTACTGGCGCAGGAGCGGTTAATGGTCGGTTCTAAATGGAAATAGCCGCTAGGAATGTGATTATTGGGTTCTGGAGGAGGTGGTGGGGGAGAGTGAGAAGGTTTTGGGGAGGTTAAAAAAGCTGGTTTTTTATGGATTTTACTTGGATTATTGAAGGTTCAGTGGTGGTTGGCTGTGTTCCTGGCACTCTCGGCTTTTCCGGTTTCTCTCCGGCGCCCCTGGTTGGAAAGTGGCCAGGACAGAAAGGTGAATTCTATGTGACAAATGATATGGAGCTTCTGCTTTTTTGCATTTTTTTAACGGCAATAAGGCCCGGGTGGTTGGTTCCAAGCGTGTTTAGTGGCTGCGAAATCCGATTAATCGGAGAAATGTATGGTTCCAGGGCACGTCAGGGGAAGAGAAGTTGGTGGGCGATCTTTAATAGTGGAGGATTTAGGCGGTGGTTGGTAGACGGCTGGAATGGCTGTTTGGGAATTTATGGTTGTTTGTGGTGTGGTTAGACAGAGATGGAAGGTAATAGGAGAAGTGAGAGGAAGACTGAGATATGCCAGTCTGTTGATGTCAAAGGTAATTCCATCTCGCGTATTTAGACTCCTAGAGGTTGTTTTGGCTATCTTTTACCTGTTTAGTTGTCTTTCACTTGGATCCACTGGTCTGTTTACCCCAGGATAGGCCCTCTTCCCTTATATATGACTACTTTCGACCAACCCTTGCCAAATCAGCCTTGGGTTGCCCCTGGAAAATAACGTATACCAGGAACGCCACTTTGAGACACCTTTTTGACCACAAACATTATTCTAGTGGTGATTTTTCTGTGGTGTGGGTTAAATTCATGGCTTTCTACCAAAATTGACTTTAGAGTTTGAAATACATAAACGAGCGAATAACCGTGAACTTCTAGAAAATGGAAGTAGAATGTTCTTGAGATGGGATGTTTCGATGTGGTTTTACCAATAGATTGAAAACTGGTCTGGAGAATGAAAAAGAGGGTTATTTAATGGAAATGGCTTGACAGTATGGAGAGTGGGTCTACCAGTGAAGATGTACCACAAATGGTATAACTATGTTGGGTAATGGTCAAAAAAGAGGTCCAAAAACCGTGAATTTAGAGAAAAGAGGCCAAAAGAAGCAAAAGTTTACACTATCCTACCTTCTTGAGAATCACGTTCTTGTCCTTAACAGCTGTTCCTTCTCCAGTCTGACTCTTCCACCACTAAAGACATATACACCCCATCAAAAGCCACCACTTCCGTCAAAAACCACAAAACCCCAAACCAACACGAAATCTACCCTCACTCTAAACCCTCTCAGCCTCCTTCCAATCTTCTTCTAACTCCCTTGACCGCCTCCCTCCACTTCCAGTTCCTCCCATAGTTAACCCAGAATGGCTGCGAAATCGGTCTTCTCCCACCGCCAACCATCCCCCACCAAAGCACCCCCACTTCTTCAAAAGCAAAAAAAAAAAACACTTGTCATATAAAGAAAAGCATCCTGAGATACTCCAAAACCAATTTCACCCCAAAATCTCCACTCCCTCTGGAAATCACAGTCAATGCCTTCTGTCTCAGCTTGGGAAGCAGAGGTCCTATCTGCAGTGCAAAGTGTCCAACCACCAGCCCAACTTCAAGAAATCACCCAAAAAAAGACAAACCCCAGTTAAAGAAGACCAAAATCTTACAACCACTTACTTTAAATAACCTGGAGGTCCCTGGTTGGGTCCGTATTGATGGGACCCACTGGAACCAAATGGGAACCCACCTGCAGTACGATACAAAATTTTTAGCGGTTGCTTCATTTTTCACCAACTACACCTCTCCAGAGTAAAACCCATCTTTCTTTCCCAATGGACGGCGCAGAAAAAAACATCGAAATCTGGAAGATCAAGAAGTTGATCAAATCCCTCGAGTTGGCCCGTGGTAACGGTACCTCGATGATCTCGTTGATCATCCCTCCAGGCAGTCAGATTTCGTTAACCCAGAAGAAGTTGACAGAAGAATACGGTACTGCCTCCAACATCAAGTCCCGTGTGAACAGATTGTCTGTCTTGTCTGCCATCACATCGACCCAGCAGAAATTGAAGTTGTACACGCATTGTCCGAAGAACGGTCTTGTGCTTTACTGTGGTGATGTCATTACTGATGAGGGCAAGGAAAAGAAGTTGAACATTGACTTTGAGCCTTTCAAGCCTATCAACACGTCTTTGTACTTGTGTGACAACAAGTTCCACGTGGAGGCGCTTTCTGAGTTGCTTCAGGATGACGATAGATTTGGTTTTATTGTTATGGATGGTAATGGTGCTCTTTTCGGTGCTGTCAGCGGTAACAACCGTGAAGTTTTGCATAAGTTCACTGTGGACTTGCCCAAGAAGCACGGTAGAGGTGGTCAGTCTGCTATGCGTTTCTCTCGTTTGAGAGAGGAAAAGAGACACAACTATGTTAGAAAAGTTGCCGAGGTTGCAGTGCAAAACTTTATTGAAAACGATAAGGTTAACTGTAAGGGTTTGATTTTGGCAGGTTCTGCTGATTTCAAGAACGAATTGTCCAAGTCTGATTTGTTCGATACCAGATTGCAGGCTCGTGTTTTGAAGATTGTGGATGTTTCTTATGGTGGTGAAAACGGTTTCAACCAGGCCATTGAACTTTCTGCCGAGACTTTGGCCAACGTCAAGTTCGTCCAGGAAAAGAAGCTTTTGAACACTTATTTCGAGGAGATTTCTCTTGACACCGGTAAGTTCTGTTACGGTATTGAGGACACTTTGAAGGCTTTGGATGCTGGTGCTTGTGAGACCGTCATTGTCTACGAGAACTTGAACATCGTCAGATACACATTGAAGGACTCTGAGGACAACGAGGTTGTTGTCAACGTCAACCCTGAATTGGCTGACAAGTCTTACATGATCGACAAGGCCACTGGCGCTGAGATGGAAACCGTCAAAGAAGAGATGTTCTTGGAATGGTTGGCTGAAAACTACAAGAGCTTCGGTGCCACCCTTGAGTTCGTCACTGACCGTTCTTCTGAGGGTGCCCAGTTCGTGCAAGGTTTCGGTGGTGTTGGTGCTCTTTTGAGATACAAGCTTAACTTTGAGCAGTTGGTTGACGAGTCCGACGAGGACGAGTACTATGACAGTGATGAGGACTTCATTTAAAACGGTAGTGGTTAGACTATAGTGTTGCCGTTCCAAAACTTATGGAATGCTATGTCTGTGTATTTTAGAATGCAATTCGGAAACGATCATGTCCTGTAGAATATCTATATATGCTAAATCCCATTTATTTCTGCTTCTTCTTACCCTTCTTTGGGCCTTTAAGTTCGTCCAAGGCCTTGACTGCAGCTCTACCTAAAACAGTCTCTGACGTCTTTCCAGAAACGATCTGGTGAGCCAAGTTCTCAAGACCACTTGTAAGGTAAGATCTTCTGTGGTTCTTCCTGAGTGGAATCGATAAGAGCTCTCTGAGCTTGGCTTTTTCAATCTTGCTTTCTTCGTTTGTAAGCTTTTTACCTTCGTTTCTCTTTTTCTGCTTCTTGATAACGTCATCTTCAAAATCCTCAATACCGTCAAGATCTTCAATTCCCAAGTCCTCAGCAGCCTGCTGAACCCAAGAGTTCTCTTTCCTGGTAGCAGTAGATGCAATAGAAGAGTCAGCCAACTTGGAGGCAATACGGACTCTCTCTCGAAGCTGAGTAACAAGATCATAGTCAATATCTAACATCTTGAGATCACCTTTTCCAGAAACCTTAGACAGCTTCTCAGCACTTGCAGCAACAAGGTTTCTCAACTTCTTAAATGGACCAGATGCTTCTTGTGGAGAGCAGAACATCACCGAAACACCTTCCTGGCCTGCTCTGGCTGTTCTACCAGAACGATGAATATACACATCTGCTGACCTGGGCAAATGGTAATGTGCCACATGGTCAATGTGAGGAATATCCAAACCTCTGGCAGCCACATCTGATGCAATAAGAACGGATGTCTTGTTCTTTTCTGTAGATGCCTTGAAACGTTCAAGAGCACGCAATCTTTGTTTCTGGACCATAGACGAGTGGATGGAGAAAGCTGGGATCTGGAGACTCTCCAAGAAGGGTACAAGTCTCTTGACAGAGTCAACAGCATTGGCAAACACCAAGGTAGAGCCTGGGTACATGAGCAAGAAGTAGTACAAGAACAAGTCTCTTTCTGAAGCACCACACTCCACAAGTGCTTCAGTAACCTGACCAGAAACAATCTCCTTAGGGTTAGCGTCACAAAGCGAAGGCTTTGGGTCCTTGAAACGAAGCTTCTTGGATAAAAGTTCCAAGATTTCGGTGTTTCCAATAAGACCACCATTGTATGCCTTTTTGTTTTCCTTTGGCTTACCCTTCTTGTCTAGTTTACCAAAGAGATCCTTGGAGAAAGTGGCAGAAAACACCAACGTCTGCCATTTGTAACCATACTTGGAGTCTCTGTTCTTAATAAAAAGCTCAAGAATCTTCTCAAACTCTTCAAAGTGGCCATCCTGCAACAATCTGTCAGCTTCATCAAGAACAACAGTTTCAGTGGCACCTAATCTGGCAGCCAAGTCGTTGTTCTTCTCTATAAGTTCAAGAAGACGACCTGGAGTAGCCACAATGATACTTGGACCGTATTCCAACAAACGCTCTTGTTTCTGGATAGAAAGACCACCAGTGATAGAAACAATGCCGTGCTGTGGAAGTGGAGCATACTTGGAGATCTTATTCAAATGGTCCACGACCTGGTGGGCCAATTCTCTGGTTGGAGCGAAAATCACACCGGAAGGTGGAGGAATGACCTTATTTGCTCTGCTTTCCTTGATCTCGTCCAACTTCTGGATATGTCTTTCAAGAATGGGAAGACCATACGCAAGCGTCTTACCGGAACCAGTAGTAGCCTTACCAATGACATCTTTACCAGTTAAGGCCAAAGGAATAGCCAGTTTCTGGATAGCAGTAGGAGTCTTAAACCCAAGCAGCTGGAGACCGTTTAGAAGGTACGGGCTGAGCTCGATCTTGTCCCACTGTGGCAAATCAATATTATCGTCTGGAAGGGGAATATCCAAACCAGCAAAAGCATTAGCAGAAAGACCACTTTCATCTGTATCTTCCTTCTGTTCAGTCTTAGTCTCTTTCTTATTCTTCTTGTTCTTCTTATCTTTTTTGTCGTTCTTAGTGTTCTCCTTCTTCCCGCCATCCTTATCATCCGATTCCTTGGCCTCCTCCTTCTTCTTAGCGTCCTCCTTCTTCTTGGCTTCCTTCTTCTGCTTCTTCTTCTTAGGACCATCATCAAATCCCAAGAACTCATCGTCACTGTTCTCCAAGTCACTCTCGTGAGTAATAAACTCTGGCTTACCGTTAACCATCTTCACATCCACACCTTCGAGCTCTTCGATTCCAAATAAACCACCATAATCTTCCATGTGGTCTGGGATATCTACTGCTTTCCATTGGAGTGCATCTGCCTTGATGATCTTGTTGGTTCTGGCCTGTCTTTGCTTCAAAGTGGGAGTTTTTCTTTTGAGCAGCGGTTTGGAACCGCCGTTTCCACGAGGAGGCATTGTTTTAAGGGTTATATGTGGATTTGGGTGGAATATATGGATGTTGGTTATGGGTGGTAATTGGAAAAGTAGGGCATCGAGATGAGCGGCGGGTGACTTTGATCACGTGATCACTTTCAAACCCCCATAACTCCCCAATTTCCCAGCCAAACTCAATGTTAACGTAATTTTGCTATTCAGGCGTAGCAGGTTGATCAATTTAACTAGCTTCCTCTTGTTGTCCACCTTCTGGTGCCTTTCAACCACATCATCACTCACCTACCACTACACAGACCCGCATCTCCATAGTTAACAACCACTCCATGCTAAAACGACCCAGAACCATCAGTGCCTCGGCAGATAAGCAAAGAAAACCAAAGCTCAAGCCGCAGAAGGCTCGAAAGATTATCCGCCGTTTCCATGTTTTACAAAAGAACAAAGCTGCCCTTCTAAAACTCCTCGACCTCGATGAATCAAACTACATAAACAGACTTGGAAAGACGTACACCGAGCAGTTTGAACAGTTCAAGCTTGGAAAGAAACCTGAACTCTTCAAGTTTGATAGTGCAATGCCAAGGGAAAGTCTTGGACAAATGGTGGCCAGAATCGATAAGGAAGTAGAGCTTCGTGGAGGACTCCATATCTACCAAATGGCATCTACAGTGGGCCAGGCGTCTGAAAGAGGAGGAGATTCATCTAAGAAGCTTGTGGAATGGTATAGGGAGCTCGGAAGAAGTGCTGGAAGAAGTTTGGAGATTGGATGTCTTAGTCCTAATAACAGTATCTCTACTAGTGGGTTGTTTGGAGAGGTTACAAGGATAGACTTGAACTCACAGGACCTGAAGATTCTCCAGCAGGACTTTATGGAGCGGCCATTGCCTGAGAGTGATAGGGAGAGGTTTAATGTGATTTCGTGTTCGTTGGTGTTGAACTTTGTGCCTTCTGCTGAACAAAGAGGCCAGATGCTACGAAGAATGACCCAGTTTCTTCTTCTGCCGGTGGAAGGAAACCCGCTGAGCGTGTTTATGGTGTTGCCGTTGCCGTGTGTTTCGAATTCACGGTATATGAGTCGAGAATTGTTTTTGGATATTATGGAAAGAGTTGGGTTTAGCCAGGTGAAGTACCATGAAGCGAATAAGGTGGCATATTGGCTCTTTGACTGGTCTGGAAAACGGAAGGTTGTTGCTAAGAAGGAGAAGAAACGGGAGATTCTTTCGGGGTCAACGAGGAACAATTTCTATGTTGCTCTTTGATACATGGGATGGAAATTGATGGATGATTGGAGGAGGTGGCATTCCAGTGAATTTCATATTAATGGTGACTCTAACATTCTGATCCATGGTCAATTGCTACTCCTTCGAGTCTCCAGACCAGCAATGGCCACTTAGGTTGTCTGACTCAGTTCCACGTGGAAATTTCAATACCAATACCAACCGCCTACCTTCATCCCCGCTTTATGTGGTACCCATGGATCTACTGAAGGCCATCTGATGTCAATTTCATCTACCACACCCTGCATTCTTCTTTGCCAGGACCATCTGACTTGTGAAACTACCAACTAGCCTTGTATGACTGGACCTTCCAAACAAAGCATACCCATTCACACAACAGTCATTATCACAAAGATCGCTCTTCCCCACATAATATCTGGCGACTTGACGTGCTTCTAGAGATACATGAGAAGAGCTTCTGCTGATAATATTTCTAGAAGGAACCCGAGGATTGGCTAAAATGGCTCTTAGCGCCGTTCCTATTTCCCAGAGTACCCGGGCTCCCCACATAATTCCAGGGCAGAACCGCAAGGTCAGGCCATGAAAAGAAGAAAAGTTCTTATTTTCCCGTTTATTATTTCCAAATTAAGCAACACATAATCACCACTGTCCTGCGAGGAACGATCACGGATCTCTGGATGAAATTAAAGAGAAATGAGAGATGGGAGATGGATGAAAGGAAGACCCAATTGGCCAATGAAACGTGCCTGAACTCTCTTACAATACCCAAGAGGTAACAATGAAGAGGTCTCAGAATACAATCATAACTTACCACTTTTAAGAGTCTGCTGATGTTTATGCGTCTAAGCGAAGGGTTTTTTGCATTTGGTGGACCCTGGAGGGCTGGACATTTAGAGTTGGAAAAGAAACGGGCCGTGCTGAAACGACGCAAGGCGAATTCTCGTCATTCCTTTTTTTTTTTTTTACTACTTTCTTGTTCTTCAATCTCAGGTACCTGAAATTCAACGTCTGGTGATGTCTGCAAATCTCTGGCAGGTCCCCATGGAGACATGCAGGTTTTTCTCGGAAAAACTATTTTGGGAAAAGGCAGCCGGTTGCGCCACTTAACTGCAACAAGCATAGCTAAAATTACCATTTGTCGGATCGTCCACTACGGCAAAAGCAAGTCGACCGTGGCCAATATGGCTATTTGAATCGGCGGAGTTGGCGACTCGGCATTGTGTGCACGAGAGCGGCTCAATGTGACAGGATATGGTTTGTTCCGATTGTTCCGCACTCTAGGGAATCCATGAATTGCAACGTCGTTCGAGGAGCGGTTAGGTTTCATTTTTGGGGTCTTGCTCGGGGCCAATGACGTTTGCTCCATGATCCTTGATTCCCCACACGTTCTGGGAGATCTAAACGGCACTAGTAGAGCAAAGATTTGGCATTGGTGGGCAGATTCTGCTCTGCTGCGTCTCATCTGCACCAATTTGAGTTGAAAATGATCCGCACAACCTACGGACTCTTCATTGGGTTTTTCCGACGGGTGCACGCCATACTATTTGCTTGCCGACACTCAGCTGGTCGTCTACCCGGGAGAAAACGCCTTGTTTTGGTGGTTTGGACTCGTTGGCAGACGCAGCGAAGGCACTTGGTTTGTTTACCCTTGCAGCATGTTCTTCATCTGTCAGGGCCCTAGGACATGATCAATTCTTGGCTTTCATGATGCTCGGGTCCAAACCTCAGTCACGGCTGGCTGGGCAGGCTGGCATTCCTCCCCCAAATCTCCAGGCAAATTTTTCCGGGGCATCTCCGGAGAAACCTGGAGCGAATTGGGGACTCGCGTCATGCACGTATACTGCTTTACTGCCGCCCGCATGATTCTCGCCCCAACTCGCCCTGTGTGGATCTGCAAATCACCCACTCAAGCTGGTAAAAGGCCTGCATGACCTGGGAATCCTAGACGTTCTTCATGCATAAACTCAGGTGTGGTGGGCTGCATGCGTCTCCCATTGTTGAAGGACAATTGCAACATGAAATGGTTCGTACATTTGCAAAAAAAAAAAAAAAAAAAAAAAAAAAATTAGCAGCTGTTCTAGGGTCCACAGAAAAGTATATAAATGTGGGCCAATCCGACCACCTTCTATTTTTTTTGTTTCCCTTCATCAACAACTTACGATAATGTCTCGTGACGAAAACATCTCCTCGGGTGTTCAAACACCCACCAACGATTCCCTCTTGGATAAGTCTATCCAGGAACAGAAAAACGATGACTCCTTGGATGACCTTCCAGAGTTGCCAAAGAAGTCTGCTTCCGAATACATTGTGGTTGCAACTTTATGTTTCTTGGTCGCTTTTGGTGGTTTTGTCTTTGGTTTCGATACCGGTACCATTTCCGGTTTTGTCAATATGGATGACTTCAAAGAAAGGTTTGGTCAGCTTAACGGTTCTGGCGAGTACTACTTGAGTGATGTGAGAACAGGTTTGATGGTTTCCATCTTCAATGTCGGTTGCGCCATTGGTGGTATTTTTATTTGCAGAGTCGGTGACGTTTACGGTAGAAGAATTGGTATTATGTTTGCCATGGTTATCTACATTGTGGGTATTGTGATCCAGATTGCTTCCCAGGATGCCTGGTACCAGTACTTTATTGGTAGACTCATTACTGGTTTGGCTGTCGGTACCGTTTCTGTCATTTGTCCACTTTTCATTTCCGAAGTGTCTCCAAAGCAAATTAGAGGTACTTTGGTCTGCTGCTTCCAGTTGTGTATCACCTTGGGTATCTTCTTGGGTTACTGCACCACTTACGGCACCAAAACTTACGATGACTCCAGACAATGGAGAATCCCATTGGGTTTGTGTTTTGCCTGGGCCATCATGTTGGTGGTCGGTATGGTTTCCATGCCTGAGTCTCCAAGATACTTGGTTGAGAAGGCCAGAATCGAAGACGCCAAAACCTCCATCGCCAGATCCAACAAGGTTTCTGTTGAAGACCCTGCTGTGTACACTGAAATCCAGCTTATCCAGGCTGGTATTGACCGTGAGAAGCTCGCTGGTAACGCTTCTTGGATGGAATTGATCACCGGTAAGCCAAAGATCTTCAGAAGAGTCATCATGGGTATTATGCTTCAATCTTTGCAACAGTTGACCGGTGACAACTATTTCTTCTACTACGGTACCACCATCTTCAAGGCTGTCGGATTGCTGGACTCTTTCCAAACCTCCATCATTTTGGGTGTGGTGAACTTTGCATCCACCTTCTTGAACATTTACCTCATTGAGCGTTTGGGTAGAAGAGTGTGTCTCTTGGCTGGTTCCGCCAGTATGTTTGTGTGTTTCGTGATTTACTCCGTCTTGGGTTCTGTCAACTTGTACATTGACGGTTACGACAACACCGAAGAGAACACCAGAAAGCCAACCGGTAACGCCATGATCTTCATCACCTGCTTGTACATCTTTTCGTTTGCTTCCACTTGGGCAGGTGGTTGTTACTGCATCATCTCTGAGACTTACCCATTGAGAATCAGAGCCAAGGCCATGTCTGTGGCCACTGCTGCCAACTGGATGTGGGGATTCTTAATTTCCTTCTTCACTCCGTTCATCACATCCGCCATTCACTTCTATTATGGTTTTGTTTTCACCGGCTGCTTGTTGTTCTCCTTCTTCTACGTGTACTTCTTTGTCTATGAGACAAAGGGTCTTTCCTTGGAAGAAGTTGACGAGATGTACGCCTCCGGTGTTTCTGCCTGGAAGTCTGCCGACTGGGTTCCTCCATCGACCGCCCACATGGCCCACGCCACAGGCTACGCTGCCGACGAAAAGCCAGTCGACGAGCAAGTTTAAAATATAATTGACGATTTAACGACGAATCAGGATCAGGACCTTATAGAATTTGTCCAAAGCATAGATAGCACAATAACAACGCAAAGAATTAATGAGGTACTAGATGTATTTGGGAAGAGCATGATTGATGAGAAATCAAGTCTACGACTTTTGCTTATGATATATACATATCCGTATAATACCAGGAATATGGTGATACTTGTGCGTATACGAATGGAGTAACCAAATTTTGACCAGGCCACCAGAAATCGTGGGGAATGGAAACGGACGATTTTGGGAGAGTCTGGACTTTTCGTAGGAAACAGAAAGTTTACGTTTAAAAGAAATAGGGAAATTAGAACCACGCTAAAGATGCTTTAATTGTTGTAGCTGCCTTAACTATAAAAACCGTGATGGTGTTTCACCTGAAGAAAGTGCAACTTTCACAGAAACCGTAGTACTTTCCAGGAAATGGTCCGACGGTCATTCTGAGCCCATTTTACACGGCCTGGCAACAAAAACAAACATTTCGTATGGTCAGACTGGTATTTTGGATAACCCCATGTTCTGGGAAAGTGACTTGGAACGATTTACCAGACGCTTGGCTTCTGGTGAGGTTGCAGAAATTACAAGACAGTTGTAGAGGCATTTTTCGGGAACATAAGCGTAATAGGACAAAATATGGTTTTAACCGAGGTATTTTGGCAGTATGTCTCAGTCAGCGCCTGGCAAAAAAAGAAAAAAAGAAATTCATGATCTGCAAAGCCACGAGATGGATGGGCTATCCATGCGTGACTTTCCTATTATTATACGGCAAATGTGCACGCTTGCGCTATTGTTGCAATGGGAAGACCGCCCAATGGAGTAATTTGGTCTGGCCCGCCTGCACACAGAGCCCCATTACGACCCGTATACGCTCTTGTGGAACGTCGCCAGCTGCCGCTCTAATGCACCATCGCATGATTCTTCCGGGGCACATTGACCTAAACTTTCTTATTTTGCACCCACCACCATACAAAATAATGTGTCACCTTCACCTTGTACATGCCCAGTTTTTCCGTCTGCTGAGCCCACAGTCAGCCGTGGCAAGTCCAGCTCGAGCCTGGCCTCTTTCTGGCCAACTCATCCATCGATTGTGGCATTATAAATATCTGGCTTTCTGCCTCCTATTCTCCTTTTTTTTTTTATCATTATCAATCACATCACTTCAATCACTTTCAAGTTCATTTACACTTTTACAAAAAAAAAAAATCCAAAAAAGCTTTAACTTTGCCTAATGTCTCAAACTAACTTGGAGCAAACCCACTCGGGCGCTCCCACTAACATTACCAACCCCAACGACAACATCTTGTTGGACAAGGAAATCGACAAGGATGTTACCATTGACCCTCCTAAGGAGGTGAACACCAGATCAGGAAAGGAGTACATTGCCATGTCTATTTTCTGTTTCTTGGTTGCCTTTGGTGGTTTCGTGTTTGGTTTCGATACCGGTACCATTTCTGGTTTCGTTGCTATGGATGACTTTAAGGAGAGATTTGGTCAGCTTAACGGTTCTGGTGAATACTACCTTTCTAACTCGAGAACAGGTTTGATGGTTTCTATTTTCAATGTCGGTTGCTGTATCGGTGGTATCTTTATTGGCAGAATCGGTGACATGTGGGGTAGAAGAATCGGTATCATGGTTGCCATGGCTATTTACGTTGTTGGTATTGCCATTCAGATTTCTTCCGATGACAAGTGGTACCAGTTCTTTATTGGTCGTATGGTTACTGGTCTTGCTGTCGGTACTGTTTCTGTCGTTGCTCCAGTGTTCATTTCCGAAGTTGCTCCTAAACAAGTCAGAGGTACCTTGGTCTGCTGCTACCAGCTTTGTATCACTTTGGGTATCTTTATCGGTTACTGTTGCACTTACGGTACTAAGACGTACGACGATGCCAAGTGTTGGAGAATCCCATTGGGTCTTTGCTTTGTCTGGGCTGCTTTGTTGGTTGCCGGTATGGTGAACATGCCTGAATCCCCAAGATTCTTGATGAGCAAACAGCGTGTTGACGATGCCAGAAGATCCATTGCCAGATCTAACAAGGTTGACATTAACGATGATGTTGTTGAGGCTGAAATCAGAACTATCCAGGCTGGTCTTGACAAGGAGGCTCTTGCTGGTAACGCTGACTGGATGGAGTTGATTAACGGTAAGCCAAAGATTCTCAGAAGAGTGTTGGTTGGTGTCATGACTGCCATTTTGCAGCAACTTTCTGGTATCAACTATTTCTTCTACTATGGTACTACCATTTTCAAGGCTGTCGGTATGGATGACTCTTTCAAGACTTCGATTATTCTTGGTGCTGTCAACTTTGTTTCCACTTTCGCTAACATTTGGGCCATTGAGAGTTTGGGTAGAAGAAAGACCCTTTTGATTGGTTCCGTTTGCATGACCATCTGTTTGATTATCTACTCGGCTCTTGGTTCCGCCCACTTGTACATTGACGGTTTCGACAACACTCCAGAAAACACCAGAAAGCCAACTGGTAACGCTATGATTTTCATTACCTGTTTGAACATTTTCTTCTTTGCCTCGACCTGGGCAGGTGGTGTCTACTGTATCCTTTCCGAAACTTACCCATTGAGAATTCGTTCCAAGGCCATGTCTGTTGCTACTGGTGCTAACTGGATGTTTGGTTTCTTGATTGCCTTCTTCACTCCATTCATCACTTCGGCCATCCACTTCAACTACGGTTTCGTGTTTGCCGGTTCCATGTTGTTCTCGGTGTTCTTCATTTACTTCTTCCTTTGTGAGACCAAGGGTCTTTCCTTGGAAGAGGTTGACGAAATGTATGCATCTGGCTTGAAGGCCTGGAAGACCAGCGATTTCGTCCCACAAGCTGAGAAGAACGAAGAGGTTTAAAAGAACCTTTCCATTTGCTGATACCTTCACGGCAGCACATTACATGTTTGCTTTTCCATTTTCCATCTTTTTTTTTACGTCTTACGCCGCCAGGGCATTTAATTTCGCTAATTTGATCAATGACTGATGTTTAAAAATAGAATATGTTGTTTTAATGTTGCTTGTAGTTGTAGTTGGCTAACCAGTCATTCCTGGGGTACATATATCGTGGTTTCTAGTCTGCTAATCTGAACTATCTCCGTGCACATGGAGTGGTTTAGGCATGGTGGGGAAGATAAACGGAAGATTATAAAAAATCAACAAATATTTAAAGTTGTGGGAAGTTTTTCAATTTCCCCATGTTTTAGCCAGAAACGAGTGATTTGTACAAATAGTGTGAACACAAAAAGCATCCCAAAAATCCACCAAACCGAACCACCCGAAAGTAACCAAACAAATAAATCAAGCTATTTATGATAATCAAAACTATCTCTTTTCTATAATTCACCTTCTTTGACTTCTTATGTCTTTTGCAGCCACAGCCGTACATGCCAGGAACCAAACACCAAAACATCCAAAAAAAACCCGAAAAAAACCACAAAACACAAAAAATGACACATCAAAAGCCGCTAACGCAGAATTCCCTGAATTCCCAGAAAACAAACTACCTCCTCCAATAACCTTCCCGTTTCCTTGGAATCCACCAAAAAGACTTATATCTGCGCGATCGGTAATCACCCAAGAATGGGCCGATCTCGCGTTCACTGTGGCTGAAAAATTAGCGAGAGAAGAAGAAGAAGAGAAGAAGAAGAGAAGAGGAAGGTAAAGGGTGAAGAAGAAGAATGGAAAGGGGTTTCTTTGGATCATCAAAAACCGACCAAACTATGCAGCTTTCACTTCTAAAGAGACTCTTTTTACACTCTCACTGACTCCCAAACTACTGCCTATTTTTCACTCACACCACTCTCCAGACATCCTCAATTGCACCACCAAAACCACTTCAAACCTCTTCCTACCCTTAAGTAACCGTATAATCGTCTACAAGTGGCCTCGGCGCCGAGTCCGGACACGCGTCTTCCACGTCCACGGTTCCTCCAAAAGTCGCCTGACAAGCGAAAACCGGTACCACGTCGAATCCTTCACTCAACGGTATTTCACATTTTTCACAGCCCTCCCATTGTCGCCAGCCAGACATCTTAACTACATCTTTCATAGATCTTACACGATCTCTCTAAACCTCACCACATCACCTTAATCCACCTTATCTCCATCTTTCTTCGCCTAACCATTCTGTAAAAGGAAGGGCCAGACGAGGCTGGTTGCTAAGCGCATATATTCGGGAAGAGTACGGTTTTTGGAAATGTCGCGGTGTGGAGCGCTCGCGGGTGTTTACGGGAAGAACCATGGAGGGGTACGAGAGCCTTAGCGGGGGAGGGAAAGGGTATTTGGGTGCAGCGCGGGGTGAGAAAGTGAAAAATATTATGATATATGGCGAGGGTATCAACGCTCGGGCTCACGTGCATCCGCTCATCCGAGGCACCCTTTTTAACTCCAGGCAACGAAGAAGGAGTTGAATTGGAGGGAGATTTGTAGTGGCAGGTAATTGAAGAAGGCGCCACGTCCCTGACGGTCCATGGCGCATGGGTGGTCCCGTTTTCCCCCGCTTCTGGGCACGTCTGACTCTTGAGTCACCGTCCCGAAAATTTTCTCCGATCGGCTTTCGCACAACTATATAAGCTGCTGCAAATGCCACATATTCTCCATATCACCAAAAAAATCACCTAAAATGCTCCGTTCGTCGAGATCCTTTTCTGTATGTGCCAGATTGGCAAAGTGGAACGAAATCCCCTTGGCTCCCCCAGACAAGATCTTGGGTATCAGTGAAGCCTTTGCTAAGGACACAAACTCCAAGAAGATCAACTTGGGTGTTGGTGCCTACAGAGACGGCAAGGGTAAGCCAATTGTGTTCCCATCGGTCAGAAAGGCTGAAACCGTCCTTTTGGAAAACGAAACCAACAAGGAATACACTGGTATCATTGGCTCCAAGACGTACCAGGACGCTGTCAAGAACTTTATCTTCAACAACAGCAACAAGGACACCAACGGTGCTCAATTGATCAAGGACGGCCGTATAGTCACTGCCCAGACCATTTCTGGTACTGGTTCTCTTCGTGTGATTGCCGATTTCCTCCACAGATTTTACTCTTCTGACAATATCATTGTGCCAAAGCCAACCTGGGCTAACCACGTTGCTGTTTTCACTGACGCTGGCATGAAGACTGAATTCTACGCCTACTACGACAAGGAGAACAACGGTTTGGACTTTGCCAACTTGAAGCAGTCTGTTTCCAACGCTCCAGAGGAGTCTGTGATCTTGTTGCACGCTTGCTGCCACAACCCTACCGGTATGGACTTGACTCCAGAGGAATGGGAAGAGGTTTTGGAGATTGTCCAGAAGAAGAAGCTTTTCCCTCTTGTCGACATGGCCTACCAGGGTTTCGCTTCTGGTAACACCTACGAGGACATTGGCTTGATCAGAAGATTGAACGAGTTGGTTGTTGAAGGTAAGATCCCAACCTACGCCTTGTGCCAGTCTTTTGCCAAGAACATGGGCTTGTACGGTGAGAGAACCGGTTCCATCTCGATCATCACCGAGTCTGCCGAGTCCCTGAAGGCCATTGAGTCCCAGCTCAAGAAGTTGATCAGACCAATCTACTCCAGCCCTCCAATCCACGGTTCCAGAATCGTCGAGACCATCTTCTCCAACCAGGACTTGTACAACGAGTGGTTGAAGGACTTGGACCAGGTTGTGGGCCGTTTGAACGTCATCAGAGACAAGTTGTACCAGAAGTTGGACAAGTCCAACTACAACTGGGACCACTTGTTGAAGCAGAGAGGTATGTTCATCTACACTGGTTTGAGCGCTGAGCAGGTGATTGAGTTGAGAGAGAAGTACTCTGTCTACGCTACCGAGGACGGACGTTTCTCCATCTCCGGTGTCAACGAGGATAACGTTGACTACTTGGCCGACGCCATCAACCAGGTTATCAAGAAATAAGCGGTCACTGGATGCCGTGATAATACTGTTCATAGTAATGAGTGAAGACGAAGGTGGATGTGTAGATGTTTAGAGAGCAGAAGCCGATGCAATGCTGATACAGGGGCTTTCTGGGGCCGGAGACTGGGCCAGCAAGTCCGAAAAAGAAATCTTTTTAGTTCTATGATTATACGTTTATGAGAGGATAGTTGTATGGGATACCTGAAACGCATTGAAGAATATGAAACACGCGGAGGAATATGAAACATGTGGACAAAAGAGAACTAGGAAATGGCTGAATCTGAAACAGGGAATACTTTAGGGCTTTAGAAAACCCGAAGACTGTCAATTCCCAGAATTCCCAGCTTATACCACTTTGTCACCCAATGATGCTTCATTTGCAGCCATTTAAGAGCATACAATGCGTCTCACCTGACTGACACAAATTTACGAACCCAGTGTCCCAAAAACCAACAAAATCTGGAAAAAAAACAACCTCCCAAGACCACCCTCCTTTTACGTAAAATCTCTACTTTCTTAAACCATTAAGAACAAAGTCAGGGGCTCTTTTCCCCCTGAAACGCATCCTCCCTCAAGTGGGTGCCCCGCGTGGGGTCAGCCCTTGCAGGTACCCACCAAGTGCCCCACTAAGGAATATAAATAGGACCACAATTCCCACTTTTTTTTCCACCCCCTTTTTCCACCAACCCCTCACAAGGAAACCCATCTTCTTCAATTAGCTTTTAAAAACCTTTCTCCCCACGAGAACCCTCCCTGCATTTTTTGCTTTCTCCCTGACACGCCAGTCGCGCCCGACTTATTTCATATATCAACAAATCGCAGAAACTTTTCAGTTGCTACAACACACCAAACATGTCTACTGTTGTTAAAACGACACCTTTCCCCGACCAGAAACCAGGTACTTCTGGCCTCAGAAAGAAAGTGACGGTTTTCGAACGTCCTCATTACACGGAGAACTTCATCCAGGCCATTCTTGAGGCCATTCCAGAAGGCGCCCAGGATGCTACTTTGGTAGTTGGAGGTGATGGCAGATACTATAACGACCATGTTATTCAGCTTATTATTGAGATTGCCGCTGCCAATGGCGTCAAGAAGTTGATTGTGGGCCAGAACGGTTTGCTTTCGACCCCTGCCACTTCCCACGTTATCAGAATCAGGAAGGCTACTGGCGGTATCATTTTGACCGCTTCTCACAACCCAGGTGGCCCAGATAAGGATATGGGTATCAAGTACAACTTGTCGAACGGTGGTCCAGCTCCAGAGTCTGTCACCGACAAGATTTTCGAGATTTCCAAGTCTCTCACGGAATACAAGACGTACAAGCTTGATAAGGTCGACATTTCCAAGGTCGGATCCGCCAATATTGGCCCAATTGAGGTCGAAATCATTGACCCAACCGCCGACTACGTTGCTTTCATGAAGGAGATCTTTGACTTCCCTACCATCAAGAACTTCATCCACACTGCACGCGACTCCCAGGACTTCAGAGTGCTCTTTGACGCGTTGAACGGTATCACTGGTCCTTACGGTTACAAGATCTTCGTGGAGGAATTGGGCTTGCCAGAGTCTTCTGTTCAGAACTTCGTTCCAAAGCCAGACTTTGGCGGTTTGCACCCAGACCCTAACTTGACTTATGCTGAAACTTTGGTCAAGAAGGTTGACGCTGAGAACATTGCCTTTGGTGCTGCTTCTGATGGTGACGGTGACAGAAACATGATCTACGGAGCTGGCGCTTTCGTCTCCCCAGGTGACTCTGTGGCCATCATTGCTGAATACGCTAACGCCATTCCTTACTTCAAGAACCAGGGCGTCTACGGTTTGGCTCGTTCCATGCCAACTTCTGGTGCCTTGGACTTGGTCGCCAAAGACAAGAACTTGAACGTCTACGAGGTGCCTACCGGCTGGAAGTTCTTCTGTAACTTGTTTGACGCCAAGAAGTTGTCTATCTGTGGTGAGGAAAGTTTCGGTACTGGCTCCAACCATATCAGAGAAAAGGACGGTTTGTGGGCCATCTGTGCCTGGTTGAACGTGTTGGCTGACTTCAACCAGAAGTTCCCTGACGAGAAGACCAGCATCAAGGCTGTCCAAGAGAAGTTCTGGCAAAAGTACGGCAGAACCTTCTTCACCAGATACGACTACGAGGAAGTTTCCAGCACGGGCGCTGCCAAGTTGGTTGAGCTTCTCGCCTCCATCGTTGAAAAGAACCAGGAAGGTGCCGAGTTGGCTTCTGGCTACACTGTCAAGCAAGCTGAAAACTTCTCCTACACTGACTTGGACGGTTCCATCGCCAAGAACCAGGGTTTGTTCATCAAGTTCACCAACGGCTTGCGTTTCATCGTTCGTTTGTCTGGTACTGGCTCTTCCGGTGCTACTGTCAGATTGTACTTGGAGAAGCACTCTGCTGACCCATCTACATACAACCAGCCAGTGGACGACTTCTTCTCCAAGGACATTGCCTTCATCTTGGACTTGTTGAAGTTCAAGGAGTTCTTGGGCAAGGACCAGCCAGACGTCAAGACCTAATTGCATTTTAGTTTCATTGGCGAGATATTTGTCATTAAGTAATTATACAGACCAACCTATAAAATAATAATAAAAAAGGAGTCAGTTGTCGTCGTTGTCGTCGTCGTCATCATCAGTAAAAGGCAAGCACATAAAAGAAAAAGAACCCTAGAGTTCTGGTTTTGCTTTCTTTTCCTCGACACCAGCAGCGTCTCCCAGTTGAGCAGCAGCATTCTGGCTTTGCAACGCAATAACCTCATCCAATCTTCTTCTCATTGAAGTCTCTCTCAACCTGGCAGCCTGTTCCATGGCTTCCAACTCCATAATACGAGTTCTGTACAAATCGTTGACGAGCTCCAACTCTGAGATTCTGGTTTTCAATAACGTGTTTTCGTAAGCGGCACCTTCAGCTGATCCAGCAACACTGGAGTTGTGGCTGTGGTTATTGCTGTTATTGTTATTGTTGTTGTTATTGTTCTTTTCGTCATCACCGTTGCCTGAACCTTGCTGAGACGGTTGTTGCTGCTGCTGGCTAGGTTGTTCGGCATTGGAACCAGTGTTTCCAGATTCTCCAGATTGCTGTTTGCTTTCTTGAGGAGGCTGGTTGGACTGGCTCTCTCCAGACGAGTTAGAAACGATCTTAGCGTGTTCAAGGCTCAACCCATTCTGTTCTTCAGTCTTCACTGGGTGAAGGTTCTGGATAGATGGCAATGGACCAGAGCTTGGAACAGAACTAGGGGTAGTAACTGGACCGTTAGCTGGCGTCATCAGACCTCTGGAAACAGTCTGGTGGAGAGGAGGCAACGATGGTTTTGGAAGAACCAGGTGGGAGTCTCTCTTTGGCGAATCCAAGTGGAATTGTGGACCAAACGATGGCGAAGCAATAACGTTAGATGAAGCGCCAGTGGACGTTCCCGACGAAGGAGTGATGCCAGGCAAAATCCTTGATTCTTGTTTAAGAGCAGACGAAGGTGTTTTGGCAGACTGACCCATAAGCGACACACCATTCATATTCTCATGCCCTGGACCTTTAAACGTAGCAGAAGGACCAAGCACATTCAGCATATTCTCCAAAGCGCCAGCAGCCTGAGCAGCCGAAAGCGAACCCTTAGGCGAAGCAGCGCCCGTAGACGAAACCGAACGAGCATTCAGAAGCGTCGTGCTAAGCATAAGAGGCGACGTGATTCTTTGCAAGCCAGGCGCAAACTGCGTTGGCGTCGAAGAAGGATAATGCAACAGCTGCACCTGCGACGACAAACCCGAGAGATGGTGCAAATGGTGAGGCAAAGGACCATGGTTGGAAGGTCCTCTTGGATGGGAGAGAGGCAGGGGAACAGCAGTAGAAGAGGTAGGCATTCCAGCAAGAGCAGGCAAGTGGTGGATCTGAGGACCTGGAGGGCCCTGTGGGTGTCCCTGAGGGTGACCCTGGGGAGGACCCTGAAGGTGTTGATGTTGGTGCTGGTGCTGAAGATGATGTTGATGTGGAAGCGGGTGCTGGTGCTGAGGTTGGGGCTGATGTGGCTGTGGCTGTGGAGGCTGGTGTTGCGGCTGAACAGCAAAGTCTGGAGGAGGCGACCGTTTCCTATTCTGTCTTGGAGACTTCTTACCACTAGGCAACGTAGGAACCAGCGAAGACAGTGCTGCTGAAGACAGTCCAGACAGAGGAGGCCTCGAGTCCTTCAGCTTCAATTCCGGCGTATGGGCGCTATTCTTCTTGGAGAAATTGGGCTGCTTGATGCGGTTTCTCAGCTTAATCGTGTCTGTCTTCAAGCTGATTGGCCTGGGTCTTCCATGGAGCTTCAAGAAGAGACCACACGCATTACACAAGACCTGGCCAGTCTCGTCACGGCGCCATAGCGGGGTCGTTTGCGTCTTGCAGTTGCGGCAAACGGGCGACGAGATGTTCAGTTTCGTCGTGGTGGTGCCGTTATTGATCTGTGTAGTTGTTTTGGCGTTTGGATGAACAGGGTTTGGGTTCACCACGTGAGGCAATCTCTGGATTTCACTCATGGCTGGCAAGCGAGGGTACAGCGTAAGATGAAGAATTTTGGATACTGGAGGAGGATCGGAGGAATGGTGGAGGAGGGCCCTTGGTTTGGAGGTTTTAGGGTCTTATCTGACTAAGGTAGGCGATTCACCTGATACCGACTGAAAGAGGTCAGAAAAACACGGGGGGAAAACGCAGCTAGGGTAAACAGAGGGCGGAGATTTCAAAAATCGGGTCGAACAAGGTGGAAATGTTCGAGGGGCGTTGGAAACTCGGCAGCAATTAATGCGTGGTGGGCTGGTGGGAAAGAAGGTAGTGTTTGGAAGTTTTTTTTTTTTTTTTTTTTTTTTTTTGTGTGTCTTATGTGTAGCCTGAAAAAAATTCCATCCATCAGATAAGCCAAGCGCGACATTTTTATCTCGGCTGAGACAGGCCAAAAGGAGGGGCCACAAAAAAGATAGTCGACATGATTTGAGTATAGATCACGTGCTCAATCTCCCCACAACCTGGCCATATAAAAACCATCAACTTTTAATCACTTTTTGGTGCGTTTAATTGGCCTCTGTGTACTGAGGTAAGCGCGACATTGTCGTGGGATAAGATAAACTTGGTTTGCTTAAGTAAGCAAGATAAGGCGATTAGCGCGACATGTTCCCTAAACAACAGGGATGCGAGAGGATTTGAGCAATACACGACCAGCCATAACCACCAAATCCAAGCGAATTGCACTATTCTGGGGTATCAATACGAAGCGCTTGGTCTCTCGCAATCCGTACAAGCACATATTGACAGCTTATCAGTGGCTCAAGGAGCGGGTATCAAAGGGGAATCTAAAAATGTCGCGATGTCGCAGCGCGTCACGTGACGCGCTCCCTCGTCCGAGTAGAGAAAAAAACAACGAAGGAAGAAAAATCTTTTCTTACCCGTTCGAGGATTTCCCGAACTTTTCCCTTTCTTACTGGTGAAAAATCCTGTCTGAAATCGCCGTACACCGAAAAGTCGAGACCGACGCATTTCAACATGAAAAGTTTAAAAAGCTCCAATTCAAGGAAATAGCGGTAAAAAAAGAGAGGAATTGAAAAGTTGCCTGATTTGGCTTTTCCTGGAGTTTTTTCACTTCTTCTCTGTTTTAGACTTTTCACTATGGCAATTTCAATTGAAGGCTGATGGTTCTGATAAGCGAAGCACAAAAACGCCCAGTGAAAAATTTGAAAAATTTGAAAAAAAAAAAAAAAAAAAAAATGCAAAAAAGTGCCCCATGCGGCACCAAACGGTTGCAAAACCGTTTTGATCAAAAAAACGGTTACATTTTGTGTCCCTTTTAGAAGCTCTGCATTCTCTTAATATTCGGACACAATCCGAATCGACAATCGCCGTTGAAGAAGCCAGAATGAAGGAAGGAATTGGCGAACCTTGGTGGTATCTCCTTTCGTTATCGATAGTCGAGATCTGATCTGGCGATGGAGCAGCCAGACATTACCAGACTTAAGGGGAGCATTAACTCTCCGAGAAGTAACCGTAGAACGTCTTGTTGAGCAGTTTTATTGACGTATCGAGCCATGCGTAAGCGAATGCCACTTGGAAAAGCAGACGCAATGGTTTCGGCACCATGGAAGCTTCCAAACCCGGAACGGAGATGGATTGGGGGGTTGGTATTCGATGTAGGCATTTGGTGTAGGCATTTTGTGTCGACAGGAGAAGCTGATTGTCTGGTGGTGGTGTTTGTCAATGGATCAAGTAAACCATGAAGCATTTGGTTACCTAAGACTCCTTTGCTTCTTCTTTAGTCTTGTTTCCCCTTCTGGCCTTTGTCAATTGGGCAACGTACTCTTCCATATGCTCTGCCCCTTCCATGACATACGGTTCATGGCCATGTTCACGATCGTCCTTGTTGGTAGTAAGACTAGCTCCAGTATAAATCTTCAAATCAGAGACTGGTATGTCAAAGGGTAGATCGTGTGATCCAAATGCGTAGAATCCCTTGGAAGCACTTGCCAGAGCTCTCTTAACGTCTCTGAAGCTTAAGTTTCCATGCAATGAGAATAAGACATACTTGGACAGCACCAAAGGCGAGGAAGCAAGTTGAATCAAAGGCCATCCAAATTCAAACCCAGAGCCTGAATCGTTTGGCTGACTACCCTTCTTTATATCCTTTTCCTCGAGAATTTCCTCGATAAGCACCTTGACGTATGGGGATGTCACCACGATCGAGATATCTTTTTGGCGATACCCTAGCAAACGCATGAACTGGTAAAGGGAAACGATATAAGTACCTTCTTCGACGTTGACCTGTTTGGAGCTAGCCGGCACTTTTATCAACTGACAAACGTCTCCTAAGCCAGGGTTATATGGTTCCCCAGAGTACTCTGTAGAGAGCTTGGAAACGTTGGCTATTTCTGGTCTAATAGACAGCAAACTAAGTTTAGCCAGCGCTTCCAATGAAAGCAAAGATTGGTCTCCCAAAAGCGATACTCGCTTGGTCTTTGCAGAAATCACAGCCTCAGTGATTATACCAGCAAACGAGATAACGTTATCGAAGTCATTTCCCACAAGATGAAGAGACTCAGGCGAGCAAATAACAAAAGGAAACGAGGTACAAAGAGCTTGCAATGCTTCTTCAGGATGGGTGTTAATGTTGGCTTTGTCAAGGGGAAGCAACCGCTGGATCTGTGCAAAGATACTTTTGATTGCACTATAATGCAGCACAACACTGTCCAAAGCATCTTTCAACGGTATTTCTGCATCGAACTGAAATTGAGCAAAAGGGTACTTTGAAACGGAAGCTAACGTTTTCTTCAACGTTTTAAGGTACTCTTCCCAACGTGGCTTGACATGCGATTCGTAGAACATGAAGGCGTGCCTCAAGGAAGAGCCAAAGTCGTATTCGTGCAAACCCAATGCAGATGCAATTCTTTCGACTTCATGAAGCAAGTGATCTGCAAGCATCCTGGTTTGTTTTATATCACCACACTTGAATGTCAATGAGTTAAGGTTCTTCTCTACTGGGAACCTTTCAACGTGAGTTTTGGTTGGCAAGATAACCAAAGAGCGTTCCAGAGCCTTCAGGGAAAGCAGAATTGTCTCGAGGAAGCCATTGACAAGCGTTGCTTCACCGCAGTGAGGGCCAGTTTCGATATACGACACTCGTGAAGTAAGTATCTCACGAAGCGCTTTCAACTGGTCGTCTGTTAGTCCCTCATTAGAAATTTCCTCATCCTCAAGCGTAGGCGAGAATTGCTCGGTGGGTTTGGCAACTTGAACGTTTCCAGTCTCTCCCTTCTTTGCCAATTCCTCTATGTTACCATTGACTTCATCCACATTAACTTCTAAATTTAACTTCTTCAAAGATTCAGGCTCTCCATTTCCAATTGAACCAATCAATGATGCTATGGTCTTATCTGGAAGAGTGAACAACCCATTGTACTGATGGTCCTGTTCTAAAAGCTGAACATTAACAGTCTTGGGACCAACGCCAGTCACCTTTACAAGCCTTGCTTTGCTAAGTCCATACTGGCAGAGTCTGGAGCAGTGTTCAAACTTCACAGGCTTATCCATCTGGACTATCACCACAAAGTCACCTTTAAGTATATCTTTTCTGTTGGCTTTCAAGTTAAGCTGAACGTTCAGACCTTTAGATTCTGTCTTTTCAACCTCAGAATGGTACTTGCTTTGGCCCTGGATTCCTTGTTTGTTGATATCCAACCGACCAAGACACAGAAGGAGATGGCGGTTGAGAGATGCAAACGATTCGTACTTCCACAGCAGTACAGACTCTTTTACACCAAAGAACGAAGGAACTGAAAGCGAAAGCGTAGGCTGGATATTGAAAAGGTCAAAAAGCTCCGTCTCTGTGATGTACCGTTTTTCGTCTAGTTGCGGTATGCTGTTGTGAATAACCACATTTGCAAGAAACTCAGTATCTGTAGAATCTCCCAGGTACCCCACCGTCTCTGCTATGTCCTGAAGAGTTTCCAATTCCAAATCAGTAAGCTTTTCATGGACATCTGATGGATTCAAGGCGTAAGGCAGGATACAGAAAGCAAGAAAATCAACCCCAAGTTCCTTTGCCTTCCGTTGAAGCAGAGAAAACGTCTTTAGTTCAACCTTCCCCTGTTGCTTTCTAACAAGCTGGGCGAGTTGGGGATCATCGCAACTGCTAAACACAGATAGAAAGCATCTTCCTTCCACAGTATCAGTAATAGAGGTAACGCCAGCCTCCTTGGCCACGCCCAAAAAGTATACCAACGCAGCCGCCGTCTTAGCATTATTTAAAGACACAACACCATCCAAAAATAGCTCACTATACTTATCTAGAACACCCTTTAACCATCTATCGTAGAGTTCATGTTCAAGCAAGAGCTCAGCGTCGTAACGAACAACACATCCCAAAAACAAGTAAGTCAAGTATTCAAAGTTGACGTTTTGATCTTCTAAAGTAGACTTGAGTGTTGTTTGGAGCACTCTCTGGAGCAACTCATTCACCTTACTCTTGTCTTCCTTCAACACTGTCCATGAATCCAGCGAACCACGCATCACCAGACCGTAAAACACAACCGCAAGAATCAATTCAATGTGACTATTTGTAACATCAGCATGGAAGTACTTCCAAAGCACATTCTCCAAGTATGAAGCCTCTATAAGGTTATCGAGGTCAGTATGTGATGAGACCTTGCTGTAGACGTTTGTGACCAAGGAGGGCTGGAATTTTTTGGGTGGACGTTGTATGAGAGGGGTGAGGACCTCAGGAAGGGGTTTGGGTGGCTTTGGGGGCATTTTAAGGCGATTGGGTGGAAAATGATGGAGGTCTTATGATACTACTGATGGAGTTTGTTGATAGTACTGTATGTACATGCGAAGAGACCGAAGAGGTGGAAGTAGGGGAAGAGTAAGGCAAGAGAGGAGGATAATATTTTTATTTAAATGGTCGATATGTGAATGGGATGTGATGGGTATGCTGATTATGCTGTCGTTTGATGTCAATGTTGCGTTTTGGGAAAATGAGTTATGTCTTTTCGCAGCCATTATGTATGGAGCAATGCCATGAGTTACATGGTTCCTTCTCACCAAAAGGAATTGCCTTTCCTCCTTAAATGTTTGCCCAATCAGGTAACTCTGTCTTCACGTCAAACTTCGTGTCTCCATTGTGTACCACGTGGTACGCATGTAAATAGATTTCTTCATTGACGGGATCTGAGAAGAGCAGTCTGTAGCATTCAGGACACTCCCCTAGCTTGATTAGATCGTCGTTGGCTTTCCGTAGCGGCTTGAGCTTTGCCAAATCTTCCTCCAAAGAAGGATTTTCTTCCATGAGAGCGTCCAAATCAAGAAACTTCTCTCCAGTGGCTCTGAGCTTTTCATCTGCCTTCTTATACATTTCAAGCTCTAGCTTGTTTTTGAACTGCCCCGCTATGATAGCTGGATCTGGATTATAGAGGTAATCGTTGACAATTGGGTACCCCAAGTTCCTCAAGTGGATCCGAATCTGGTGCATTTTTCCTGTAATAGCCTTACACTTGACAATACTCTCATTCAATGTCTCTGAGTACCGAAGAAGCTCGAACCCTGTGAGCGACATGGGCACTTCACTTTTATTCCGTATCTTTATGTATCCGCTAAAGCTCACTGAAAACACTGGCTGCTCGTGAATAAATGGCGTAGCAGGAAACTTACCTTTGACTCTTGCCAAGTACCATTTCATAGTGTTCTGCTTATCGTTAAATATAGCCTGAAACTTCTTAACGACCTCGATATTTTTCGCCAAAACAAGAAGCCCTGATGTAGCTTTATCCAACCGATGACACGGCGAAAGCTTAGTATACCCTTGTTCAACTTCTAGTACTCTTGTAAGACTATTAAGTCTATATGATCCACTAGGATGAGTAGGCATCCCCAGCGGTTTAGAAACCACCAACAACTCTTCATTTTCCATAACCACCGGAACTGGCCCTTTATATAGAATAGGAGGCTCGTGAATATGCTGTAAATTGTGCATTCTATCGTGGTTTCGAAAGAGATGCGTTCTGGTATCTTCAGGCAGAAGCTTATTCCCATTTTCTGTCAAGTTCCAATCTGAAGATACAAAAATCCTACCACTCTGAATTCCCTGGTCAACAACCCTTGGATCCTGGCCAAGTTCGCCAGTTAGAACCTGTGCAGCCGTCTTGTTATGCCATCTTGTCTTCACGGTAGTGGTGAAATCGTGGTAGTACGGTTTCACGCGGCGTAGGCCATTTTCGATGAGGTAAGCGGGTCTGGATGTCATATACCCATGGACGGAAAGAGAGATGAGTGGGTTTTGAGGGGGTTTTAAGCGTGGAATGGGATGGTAATTGGGGTAAGTGGTTGATGGAGAAGCTCATTGGAATGGAGAGCCATATGTTGCACCCGTACACCAGACAAGGTCAGTGGAAGGATAGATTTTCAGCAATCCCGATCTTGTAAGAAGCAGTGTATGAAAGGAAATATTATGTGGATGTAGAAGTTTAGACTCCCTTTCTTTTCTAGCTTTTAGCTGTTAAATGGGTGCATTGTATGGGGTATGTCCTATGTAATGTGAGACACAGTACATAGTCTAAGAGGTACCATTTATTAGCATCAGTTTTCTCATTATACATATGATAATAACTTTATAAACGTCTGGGCACCCCAATTCCGCCACCAACTTTACCAATCTTCCTCTTGTGGCCCATTTACTTCAGATAATTGGTGTTGAAATTTGTTCACGTGCCGGATCACGTGCCCAAACATGTCGTGCTCACACCTACAAAATTTTCCAGGAGAAGCTCCAACATCTCCATAACCAACTCCACAACCCACCACATGTTCCGTTCTGCTATCCGTTTCCTTGGGACCCTGGCTCCAAGGCTACAACAGGCGCCCAAGCTCCAGCCATACATGGCCGCCAAGCAGTTCATCCCCGATGACGCTGGTAGATCGAAGAAGAGAGCTCTAAGGAGAAGAGAGGCCCGTTTGAAGAGTCAGATCATCAGAGACGTCAATAACTTGAAGAAACAGAAGATCAAGTTTGCTCCTTTCGAAGTGGATCCCGTTCTTGGCGCCAAAGATGTGCCATTTATCAACAGATTGAATAAGGAGCTCAAGGACCCAAGTAACTTGGCCCAGGGTTTCCAGAGAGAAGAGGTGGAGAAGTTGCTTTATGGTGCACAGAAAGCTGCCACTGAAACCAACTTGGCTGGCGATATGTTCCCTGAGTCTGTGGTTGCCAGAGAGGAGAAGAAGAGACAAGCAGTGTTGACCATTTTGAGTTTGAAGAACACCAACTCTCAGGACAAGAAGAAGATGGCCGTGGAGTTTGCACGTAAAGAGTTTGAGAGATTCGAAGGCGATTCTGGCTCTCCAGAAGTCCAGGCTGCTATCATGACCGCAAAGATCCACCATAGCTTTGACCATCTCAGAGCGAACAAGAAAGACCACCCTATGGCTCAGGCCGTTCGTCACCTTGTCAGCCAAAGACAAAGAATACTAAAGTACTTGAAGCGTGTCAACCCAGAGAGATACTACCACACGCTTGCCAAGTTGGGCTTGACAGACGATGTGATCACCAGAGAGTTCAGTATGGGCCGCCAGTACTTCGAGGACTACCAGGTCTGGGGCGACAGAGAGATTGTCAAGAAGTCTGAGAAGACGAAGATGAAGAAACAGAGGTTTGTTGACTTGGAGAAGAGAGTTGCTGACTACAACAAGTTGGCCAGAAAGAACTACGAGATTCTTTACGGACAACAGTCCTAAGCATGTACATAGACATAGCATAATGTAACAGATACGTTAAATCGTTAGTCATTTTCGTAATTTACCTGAGCACGTCGTCGATCAATTTATCGTAGTTCTGATCAAACTCAGCTTTCTTGATTTCGTCCACTCCACTTGCAACCGCCTCGATTTGCAGTAGTAGGTCGTCTTTCACCGTAGCACCTTCATCCACAAGCCCCACGATCTCCTCGTGAAGCTGTTTGTTATCTAGAAGCAACTGGTCGTAGATCAATTGTAGTTTAGTGACAGTTTCAGCCTTGGATGCTCCAACCCTAGCATCTATAAGTTGTTGTGGAGTGAGTTTTTCAATAAACAACGGTTCCTCAGTCCCCAGATCACGTCTAGCCTGGGCTGCTTGTATGATCTCGTCGAGCTCGTCCAACTTCCGTTCAATATCGTTCTGTTCAAAAATATACTGAAACTGCTTTTCCAGTGTCAGTTGGAAGTACTGCAAGATCTGTTTCCTAGCAGTCTCCAAGGCGCTCTTCCCACCTTTCATTTCACTAATCACAGGGAAACACTTTTCGATGGTTTCTGGCTGGAGCAGCTTTTTCACTGTTTGTTCCACTGCCTTTTCAGTGACCCTTCGTAGCTTGTTGAACCTGATTTTCTCATATGACATGGTGGAAATGGCAGGGTCTGTTGTAGTTGGTGTTTGTTGATGTTTGTTTACCCTGCGCGAAAAGTAGTGAGTAGTAAGGCCAGGTGAGGAACTAAGGGGTCCATGCAAAAGGCTTCCATCTGGATAAAAAAAGAGATTTGGTGGCTGATATAGGTAAATAGAGGGCTCTTGGATTATGTGGATGGTTAAAATATGGGAATTTCTTAGTGGATTGGTGTTTTGGCGTGGGTGCAAAATGCACTGGTGAGAGCTGGTAGAGGCAGTGGAGGGTAACCACGGGGAGCAACGAAACATAGGGAAGGACTTAAATAGGCTTTGAATAATGTACTTATGCTACATTGGATCATGTGGACTTGTTAGTTTCTTGATGTTATGGTTGAAAATGGAAAAGTAAGTGGGTGGATTTAGTACTTAGTTAAGGTGATAGAGTATGGAGACATATACAACTTATACTCTTGTTGGTAGGTCACTTCAACGATGTAAAGCTCCACCAACTCATTTCTTGAGAGGCTCCCTTCAAGCATGAATCAACTTTTTCATATAGCTGGTGTTCCTTTGATTCCAATACTGGTCTCCTTAGTGAGCGACTGTTTTACATGGTACTACCAGACACTATACCTAGTGCCACCTGTTTCATATTTTCAACACTTCTACGAGCTTCGCATCCTTGAACTTACTTTTACACTCTCTTATTAAGCTTATTGTGCAAACGACGACCAGAAGTCCCTCCAATTAGGCAATGTCCAACCCAATACACCTGAAAAGTAGTTACGTAGCTAGTGGTTAAGGCGTATCTATAAGTGACATATTTGCTACTGCTCACGTTCTGCTGATTGCCTTTCATGGTAGAGGGACTATGGTTCTATTGATTGTTTTTGAAGAAATCTCTACTGGTAGCATTAAAGGTTAACTGTCGCTGTAGTGAAGGACTGGCCCCGAAGCTACATAGGTACTGTGTGTTTTATAAAACACATAAATCGTTCTCAAGGTCCTTAATAGTCATAATTGGTCCTTAGATGGAACTGTTTAGTGTAATCTAGGTTGTGATGTCACTTTCAGTGGATATGGTGAGTCCACTGAGTGTAGAAAGAACCTGAACGCTGTCTTCACAAAGAAGCTCCTTTGTGGAAGTTGACCTCACTTAGTTTCTTTCCTTTCAACTTGGAAGTAAATGACAGTACATTTCTGATCTGAAGACAACAACGTAAACTTATACGGAATGAAAGCCCTATTTTGCAACCATTAAATGGAAGCATGTACTGTCCCACCATTCACCAACACACTCATGAAAACTAAAAACAAGAATAACCAGCCTTTCCACCCCCACATAAATTATACGATTCACGCCAAATCAGAATATTTTTCTTCCCTCAATACTTAAACATTCCCACTTTCCAACTTCTCATGGTTATACTACATTGTATGCGAATAGTATAAACACTGTAGGAACCCCATACAAAGTCGCCACCAGCCCTAATAAATTGAAAATACCGACATTGCCATAAACCCGACGCCAAATCAATCCAACCTAATCCCTCAATACCCTTTTCTAGACCTCTAGTGTCAATTTACTTGCACCTTCTTGGGACCCACCCAAAGCCTCCTGCATGCACCTCTATCAGCTCCTCGATAAGTCACCTACCTACCACTTCCTTTTACCCCATACTCCCCCATTTACACTAATGCTGGATCCACGTTCTCTCGTCGCCCAGGCGGAAAAGCTAGCCAAGCCACAGTCTGGCTTTATGTCGTTTTTTTCTGGCGGCAACTCTTACCGTTTGGAAGAGGCCACTGACTTTCGTGTTCAGGCTGCCAACTCATACAGATTGAAGAAGGACTTTTCCAGTGCTGGTCTGCAGTTCTTGAAGGCAGCTGAGCTTCAGAAACAGCTTGATAACCAGAATGACGTGGCTAATCATCTTGTGGAGGCTTACAAGTGTTTCAAGCTGGTTTCTCCTACAGACGCTATTGATGCGTTGAAACAAGCGATCCATATCTTTTTGACGCAGAATGGTCAATTCAGAAGAGCTGCTAATTTTCAAATGGACTTGGCGGAGTTGTATGAGTCGATAGATGATGTGAATAATGCTTCGGAAAGTTACGAGAAGGCAGGTGACTATTTTTCCACCGATCACGCTCCTTCTCTTTCAAACAAGGCTTTCTTGAAGTGTGCTGACTTGAACGCTCTTCTGGGTAACTACTTGAAGGCTCGTGAACACTACGATACTGTGATTAAGAACTCTTTGGGCAACCAGTTGACCAAGTGGAACTTGAAGGACTACTTCTTGAAGAACATCTTGTGCACATTGTGCGCTGACGATATCGTGGAGGCCCAGAAAAGATCAGAAAACTATGCCGAAGAAGAGCCTAGCTGGCCATCTACTAGAGAATACAAGTTGGTCGAGGACATTTTGGCCGCCATTGAGCTGGGCGACCTCCAGTCCTTCTCCGACAAGGTATACGAGTTCGACCAGTTCACCAAGTTGGACAAGTTGAAGACACAGTTATTATTAAAGATCAAGAACTCCGTGGTGGACCAGGATGACGAAGATTTGACTTAAGGCTTTTTACATAGACCAGTCTCTAATGCAGTTTATTCTATTTATTTGTTGACATTGAATGTGTTTTACACTGGCTTGCCGCCAAGGAACTCGCTCCATCTCTGGACTTCCTCTGGGATCGTCACCGCCGATGGGATGGTGTCGAATTTCGTCTTGTCGCCTATCTTGGCCTTCAAGCACTCAGCAAACAACAACGATGTGTTTGGTTCGTTGAACAATGGAATGGCGAAATCAATGGCGTTTCTTCTCATCACATAGTCCTGGTCCAACAAGTTCTCAGCTCTAGCACGGGCCAAGTTGAACACAGCACTGATCTTCTTGTCGCCAAAGATTTCTCTCAATGCTCTCTTGTCTGTCTTTGGGAAGTCAATCACTTCCACAGGCTCTGAAACGTACTGAGCCAAGTACTGGGCAACTTCGTCAGAAGCAGAGTAGAAGTTGTAGCCCAAGCCAGAGACCGTCTCGGCAACCTTACCCAATTTGTCGTTGGTTAAATCACCTCCAAACAAAATACCGGTACCTGGGAATGGAACATGGAAGTTCATGGTGGACTGAATGGAAGTCCAGTAAGCTTCAAGCAAGTTGTGGCCGAAACAAGCGATTTCACCAGTAGAGGCCATTTCAACACCCAAGAATGGGTCAGCACCAGCCAATCTGGTAAATGAAAACTGTGGAACCTTGGTAGCAACTCTGTCGTACTTCTGGGCCATCAAGTCCACTGGAGCAGGAACGTTTTCACTAAGAAGAGCCTTGGCAGCGACTTCAATGAAGTTTGTACCCAAAACCTTGGAAACAAATGGGAAAGATCTGGAAGCACGAATGTTACATTCGATAACCTTCAAGTGGGAGTCGTCGTCGTTAAGCTTTCCGTCCTTGGTGTCGTAGATAACTTGCATGTTGAAAGGACCAGTGATCTTCCATGCTTCGGCAACCTTATCAGCGATAGTCTTAAGACGCTGCAAAATAACTGGAGACAAGCTCTGTGGAGGCAACACAAGCGTAGCATCACCAGAATGGACACCAGCGTTCTCAACGTGCTCAGAAACAGCGTGAACCAAAACCTTACCGTCATGAGCAACACCATCGATATCGATTTCCTGAGCGCCTTGGACGAACTTGGAAATAACAACTGGGTGGTCTCTAGAAACCTTAGAAGCGTTGCTCAACTTAGCATCCAACTCATTCTTAGAGTTGATAACAGACATGGCAGCACCAGACAAAACGTAAGATGGTCTAACAAGAACTGGGTAGCCGACTTCATCAGCAAAACGTTCAGCTTCCTCAATAGAGGTCAATTCCTTCCACTGAGGCTGGTCAACGCCAATAGAGTCCAAGATCTGGGAGAACTTGTGTCTGTCTTCAGCCTTGTCGATATCTTCAGGGTTAGTACCCAAAACGTTACAGCCCTGCTTTTGCAAAGTCAAGGCAATGTTCTGAGGCAACTGGCCACCAACACTGACAACAACGCCCTGGGCAGTCTCCAATTCGTAAATATCCAAAACACGCTCCAAGGAAAGCTCCTCAAAGTAAAGTCTGTCGACCTCATCGAAATCAGTGGAAACGGTTTCTGGGTTATAGTTGATCATGACAGTCTTGTGGCCCAGCTCTCTCAAGGCTCTGGCAGTAGCAACAGCACACCAGTCGAACTCCACAGAAGAACCAATTCTGTAAACACCAGATCCCAAGACCAAAGTACCGTTATCCTTGAAGTCAATATCGTTCGAAGTAGCGTTATAGGTAGTGTACAAGTAGTTGGTGTTAGCAGGGAACTCAGCAGCCAAGGTGTCAATTTTCTTGACGTATGGAGTAATTCCAAACAGCTTTCTGACGCCTCTGACTTCGAGTTCAGTAGCATTCACACACAAGGAAATTTGCTTATCAGAGAAACCCAACTTCTTAGCTCTTTGCATCAAGTCATGGTTCACACGGCCCAAGTCGCCCACAGACTCCAATTCACGGTACATTCTGACAATGTTCATGATCTTATACAAAAACCATTTATCAATCTTTGTAAGATCGTGCACCCGGTCAACGGTATAGTCTTCGTGAAGCAAAGCCTGGCCCACAGCCAACCATCTTCTATCAGTAGGGTTAGCCAAAGCGTCGTCCAAGTTCTCAAAGTGGTCGCCCTGCAAGCCAATGTAAGAAGGATCGATTTGTCTAATAGCTTTCTGGAAAGACTCTTCAAAGTTACGACCAATGGCCATGACTTCACCCACAGACTTCATGGCAGAACCAATATCTCTCTTGACGTGCTGGAATTTAGACAAGTCCCAACGAGGGATCTTGGTGACAATGTAATCCAAAGAAGGCTCGAAGTTGGCGGTAGTGGTCTTGGTGACAGGGTTTGGCAATTCAGGCAAAGTGTGGCCCAAGGCGATCTTAGCAGCAGTGTATGCCAATGGGTAACCAGTAGCCTTGGAAGCCAAAGCAGAAGAACGAGACAAACGAGCATTGACTTCAATGACTCTATAGTCTAATCCATCTGGCTGCAAAGCGTACTGAACGTTACATTCACCAACAACACCCAAGTGACGAATAATCTTAATAGCAGCAGATCTCAACATATGGTACTCAGTATCGGAAAGCGTCTGGGATGGAGCAACGACAATGGAGTCACCAGTGTGGATACCCAATGGGTCAAAGTTCTCCATGTTACACACGGTAATACAGTTACCTTCTCTGTCTCTAACAACCTCGTATTCAACTTCCTTCCAGCCCTTCAAAGACTTCTCCACAAGAATCTGTGGAGCCAAAGACAAGGATCTGGAGGAAAGGTCACGAAGCTCTTGTTCGTTGGCAGCAAAACCAGAGCCCAAACCACCCAAGGAGTAAGCGGAACGCACAATGATAGGGTACCCAATGCTTTTGGCAGCATCCAAAGCATCATCAACAGATTCAACAGCGATAGATTCAGCAATTGGGATATCAATCTCCTTCAAGGCCAGAGCAAAAAGGTCACGGTCTTCAGAAGTCTCAAGCGTCTTAATTGGCGTACCCAAGACCTTGACGCCGTAACGTTCAAACACACCCATCTTATCCAATTGCACACCAACGTTAAGACCAGTCTGACCACCAAACGTCAACAAAATACCGTCAGGTTGTTCACGTTCGATGATGTATGTAATATATTCAGCAGTAACAGGAAGATAATATATTTCGTCAGCCAAAGCGTGGGATGTCTGGTTAGTAGCGATATTAGGGTTGATCAAGATAGACTTCTTATTGGCTTCCTTCAACGCCTTGATGGCCTGGGAACCCGAGTAGTCAAACTCACCAGCCTGACCAATGGACAAACCTCCAGATCCAATCACCAAAACCTTGCTCACATCGACCAATTGCGGTTTGAACTGAGGTAACGTTTTCAAGAACTCTCCACCATGATAGATAGGCTGCGCATCGTTATAGAACCTAGGAGTAACGCTGAAAGCACGGCTAGGAAGGCTGAGACGAGGCAGCATTGCAAGCCGGTGCATGCTGCGGTGCCATATGGAAATACCACGGAACATTGATGTAGGTAAAGAAAGTGTAAGTGGTATAGATTGGAAAAAAAAAATGGACTGAAAAAAGAGATGGCCGAAAAGGGAAATGACTCAGCGCTAGCCGCGATCCGAAATCAGTAAACCGTTACCCGGACACTTCCCCAGTGTCGTTGGTCCACGGCAGTGATTGAACGAAGGGTCAAGTATGTTAAGGTTTTGGTGGTTCAGTTGAAATATAGGGTAGCTAGATATTGTAATTGATGAGTTTTGGGGGTTTGGCTGGCGTGGTGGGGAGTTAGCTGGTTATCAGTCGCACACGGAATTTGCACCCAATCAGATGAGGACTCGTTGGGTATAGGTGGTTCGATAAGGGAAATAAGGGTGGTTTTGCGTGGTTGAAAGGGTGAATTGGGGATAAATTGAGTTTCTGATTTCAGGGACAGTTTTTTTTGGTGTAATTGTTTGGAAAGTGTGTGGTTGTTCTTTGGGTTGTTTCAAGGTGTGAGAGTAAGAACATAGAGCATATGAAGAGGTAAGTTAATAGACAAGAGTCTGATACGGGAGCAAACCTTGAAGGTGATTTATCAGTTATTGGCTTACTTAGTTCCAATGGGAGGAGCCTGTTGGTTGTCTGTGAAAGTTGCTGGATACATCCTCTGGTTCTCTGCTTCACTATTGGCCAGTACAAACACCAGCTACGGCTGCTGAAAGATACAGATAGAGTTGTTTGGAAATAGTTTCTTTTCCAAGATTTTCTACTATATTGCGGAATTTCCAATCTTTTCAGTTTCGTTATGGTACACTTTCTTCGTTCAAGTAACCACTCATGTCTATGTGATACTCTACGTTCTACAGGTAGCTGTAATGTCCAGTAACCTTCCCACCATGGGCACCAAGAACCACTAAATTCTATTCGATCCGAATAAATGGCTTCATGGAAGCAATAAATTGACATCTTGGAAACCCTTCAATTTCTTCTTTTGCTTTCAAGATTGCAACTACACTGTAGTTCTCTCCAGCCATCTCCTCGTAGTCTCATACACTGAGGCACTGAACCTCCACCATAAACCACAATTATACCCTAAAAGTGCCAATTGTCAAGGTATAACAGATTTAGAAGAGTTCAAGCAAGCTTCCCGAATTTATAGGTCCTCCACATTATACTCTGGATACAAAGCTGTCCTCTACCACTTCCACGTACTGATCACAACTTCCCATACTTAACAGCCATCTCTTTGCTACAGCCTGCCCAACCTCACGAAGCTACCTCATAACCGAAAACTCGCCAAACTCAACTATTATTAAAAACTCGATCAAATATTCCAATTATTACCTTCCCTTCATCTTCTTTTCCCACCTCCCTCCACACTTCCCCCACCACCATTTGGCTGCGAAATCCACTGCTCTTCATAACTCACATTGAAATGCGCACTGGTTAAACATAATGTACTAACTTCACCAAACACCTCCACTTCCACCCACCACTTCAATGAACAAACTAAATATCGTTCGAACTCAAACACCAACGATATCTCGATCTCCTTCACCTGCTCGGTCCCTACTATCGCCGTTCAGAAACCCTGAAGACTCGTTGGCGAGGGAATCTGACGTTACGGTTTCTACCAATGTCACATCGTACGCTGAGTATAAAGGGTTTTTTATATATGTGCTTTCCATGGTGGCATTGCTAGTGTACATGGGATGGTTGCTTCTACCTGAAGAGGCTCTTAATTACTTGGGGGTGTATTATTATCCAGATAAGTACTGGGCCCAGGCGGTGCCAGCTTACCTGCTTATGCTCATGCTATATGTTTATATCTACTTGGCATTGTATAACACAGAGGTGAAGACGCTACCGTTGGACGATCCCAGATTGTTTACAGACGAGAACGCTGTGTTTCCAGAAGACCCTCTCGACTACATCCACAAGGCACCAAGCGGCGTCCGTGATCTACCGGCGCCATTGGTATCCGAGATTCTATACTCCTAATTTTTCCTATATAAATAAAAATCTATGCGTTTGCAGCTGCTTTAGCGGTATGACTTGAGAACAAGCTGCGTGTCAGAGCTGGCAAGCGATAAAACTTGCTCCCAGTTTGGACCCGTGAGGTCTCTGTAGCCGATCAAGAACTGGTGGAATCTGTGCATAAGCTTTTCGCTGCCGTTGAGGTAGTTGGCAATGACATCGAGGAAAACAGCCAAGTTCTTGCGTCCTTGCTGGTTGCTCAATCCACCGAATCCTTTATCTGGGTTCTGAAGGATGATCTCGATGATTCCCAAGATTCCAGACTCTTTCTCATCATTCTCGAGAACGTACATCATATGCTTACACCACGAGTAGATGAACTCAGGCAAACGTGGCCCGAGCACTTCTGGTCCCACGAAACCAAATCTTCCAAGACAAATGGCAGCATTCTCAAGCACACTTTGCTGGACATCTGGCGAGTTAAGGAGAGTAATTAAAAGATCCGAAATGTTCCAAACCTGTGGATGCACAGTCTCCTTTGGCAAAGTGATGGCCATCTCTCCACAAGCCCAGATAGCATTGCTTGTGACTGGATACTTCACGTATGAGTAGTCAGTAAGCTCGTTACCAATCATCAAAATGATTCTGTAGAAGTTTGGAAGGATGACTTCGTTAGCGTGAATAGCCAAATCTCCCAAAAGAGCATATGTCAGCTGGCGGACATCGTCATCGTGGTCTTCAAGACACAACTGCACAATTTCCATCAAATCAGCACCGTGCTGCTTCATCAAGTCAACAGAGTGGCCCTTGAAACCTTGAACAAGACCGTCAATCAAATCAAGAGAAGTGACAATAAAGTCCTTCTCTGGAGCTTCGATTTCTGGATGTGTATGGACCTCCTGGTTCATCTGAACAGCGTTGCTCAAAATCTTAACAGCACGTTCGTAAACTGGAACGGCGTAAGGAGCAAAGGCCTCACCCATAGTGGCAGCAACAGCGGCCATACATTCAAGCAAAGGCCACAAGTCGGAATCTGTGTCGTTCAAGGCTTGCCAGTGTTGCAAAAGAGGAGGCAACAAGGTCGACACGTAGTCAGGGTGAGAGTTGAAAACATCTTGGCCAATCTTGTCAACGAAAGTCAGGATACAATCGTACAAGACAACCATGTTCTTTCTTTGGTAGGTCTGGAGACACTTGGCAAAGTGTTCTAACAATGGTCTCACGTAATAAGAAATGAGAGACACGTCAGTAGTCTCGATGAAGATAGACAAAGCAGAACAAGCAGCTTCTTGGACGATCTTCTTTGCATCAAGAGCACACAGCACAATTGATTCAAATGTAGGCTGGAAGTAGTTGGCATAGTGACCACCTTCATGAGCTTCATCGGCAACCCATTGAGCAAAGCGAGACACGGTCCAACAAGAGATCTGACGGACTCTAGTTTCCAGATCCTTCAAACGGTCAACCAAGAATGGCACAAGGGTAGGTAGCTTATCATTAGCAAGCTCAACACAACTGGTAGAGATAGCACCGAACGCCAAAATAGCTGCTTCACGAACAGGCCATTCGGTGGAGACAATCTTCTCCTGAAGAATAGGTAAAGTCACCTGGATAACTTCCTGAGGGTACTCAAGCGAAAGAGCGTCAAGAGTAGCAGCAGAACAACGACGCAAGTTCCAAGCATCGAGCTCATCATCTGAATCCTCATCGTCATCATCTGAATCACTCAAAGCCTCATTAACATAGCTTCCATCGGAATCTTGCACGCGCTCATCCTCATATGTAGTTGGTTCGTAAGCCTTAGACTCCTTCTTCGAAGAAGAAGCATTCTTACGACTAACAGTGTGTTCCTTAGCCTTGGCAGCGTTTGGACGAATATCGTCCTGCTTATCAGCAACATTAGCGTTATCCTTCTCGTCAGCAATCTGAATTAAAAACACCTCTTCTTCCAGGTACACCATTTTGTCAAGAAGCACAGGCAACACCTTCTGAAGCTTAGGACGGAACTTCTCCTTGTGACCCTTTGCAGGAGATTCAGCAAGCGCCAACAAAAACTCACAGGCCTCCATGGCAACTTCCTCTTCCTCGTCTTGCATCGAATGAAGACCATATTCCACCACACCATCCATATGAGGCACCAACTTATCTGGTCTATTCTCCATAATCAGCAAAAACGCCGTGCACACGTTCTTACGAACAGCAGTATTAGGGTCAGACGCCAACAGGAAAAGCACCTGCAAGAAATCATCGATAAGCACAAGGAACAGCTGGGTCTTAAGTGGAATAAACAGGTTCAAGCACCCAAGCGCCTTGGCCTTTGTAGAACTCGAAGCTTCAGGCTGAGCAGCAATCTTAATAAACTTAGGCACCATATAGTTCAACGGTCTCTCCCCATTGAACTCCTTATTCAAAGAGTAGGCACTATCTTCACAAATCTTGCTAAGAGCACCCATAGCAGCCTCCTTGGTCAATTGGGCCACCTCGGGCGCCTCCACCAACTGCAACAAGTGATTCAACGACTGGGGCCATTTTTCAAGGCCATACAGCGAGAAAAGCGACGTAATGACCGTGCCTGTGATGTTTCTAGCCATAGTATCGTCCAGCAAAAGACCATTCATGATCTGGTCCAATACATAAGGACGGTCTTTTCTGGGTTCTTTCAAAACAGCGTTCTTCAAATTAAGTCCAGCTGCAGCTTTTACGTCTGAGCCAGCGTCACTTCTGATCAAAAGATCCACAAGGTAGTTTTCAAACTCGGCTTGTTCCCTTGCCTGATTCAACGCATCCACAGCCTGAGACCTCTCATCCTTATTAGAGGACAATGTGGCCTTGAAGATGTTTCTGAGATGCTCTAGAGCACCTGGATCGGCAGCCCACATGGTGTGTTTATATGTATTAGATGGGAAGAAGGGAGTAGGTTATTGGTGATGTTCTTTTTTGGTGCGCAGAGGTGAAATATGAGATGGAGGTTCCTAGAAGGGTAAGGTAATGATGGTTGTAGAGGGGCTTTGGAAAATAGAAAGATTATAGATGGAAGAATTCTACGATTACAATTTGCTTTGCATTTGTTTGTTTCGTCTTTTTATGCTTCGTTCTGTTGGCGTCGGTCGCTCATGCTGTGGAGGTGGAATTGTCTACCGCGCTGGTCCTGACTCTCTTCCTTATAACATATGTTCTAATTCAGCTAGCTTTTCAGAAAGCTCGTCTAGTTTGCCGAGAATGGGACTGTCGTCGTTGAATGATCTGGGCTTTTTCTTGTCGAAGAAAGGAGGTGCTGAAGAGACTCGTTTGGGTGACAGGGAAACGTTGTTGAGAGAGTTGGTGCTGGTGAGCGGTGTCACATTCTCTTCTCTTGAACAATCCAGGTCAAATGCATCGTCTTCTTCATCTGGAACCGCCTTTTCGTCCTCTTCGTCGCCGTAGCTGCTGTAGAAATCAAACGTGTTGTCTCCCTCTTCGTCGCTGGTCATTTGATCTTGGATGTCCATGGTGACCTGTGAAAGACGGTCCATTATGAGCGAACGCCGAAGCGTGGGGTTATTATTGTTATTGGTGCTGTTGTTGTCATCATCATGATTGTGGAAGTGGCCAATGGGTGGAGTGTCTGGGGAGAAGGACCCAATGGAGCTTGTATCATAAGTAGGAGGCTGGAACTCGGTCAAATCCTCTGTTTTCTTTGGCTTTCGTATGCTCTTGTTGATTTGAAGGGGCATTTCTGCTGGGTACAAGTCACTAAGCACTTCGGATTGTTGTTCTTCGTCGTTGTTTTCATCGGTTGGCTTCTGGTGGAGGTCCTCGTGGCTGAAACTATAATACAGATCGGCGAAATCAACCATTTCGGAATCGGACGCCTCACCTTCCAACATCAAAGAACCGAGGTTTCGAAAGTGACGGACTTGTTAGACTGGCGCAAGCTGCCGCTCTTCTTAAGGATGGAACCGGTCCTTCCCAAGGTAAACGGCTGTTCTTGCTCGCTCACTACAGACGTAGCAGAGCGTTGTATGCTATCGGTAGAGCCTTCGTGAAGCGACTCAATGGATTCTTTTGCCTGGAGAGGCTCCTCTGGAGCTTCTTCCGCCTCCAACGGAAGCGTATCTCTGCTGGTCTTCTCCAACTCTTCATTCTTGAAGCAATTAAGACGAGCCAAGCGTTCACCGTACGTTTCCAAGCACTCAGCAGGCACGAACCCGATTTTCCCATCCTCTTCATCTGAATAAACAGGGAAAAGCTCCTGGCGCTTCAAGCCAAGGTCCAAGCGTTCCTTTTTCGTCATTTTCTTTATGAGCCACCAGTAATTATCCAGATCGTTCACCAAGTACACCGGCTCGTCCCTAGAAAGCGTGCAATGCAGTGGATCAGGCCCCAGGAAGTCGTAGAGCCCATATAGCTTATCTGGATCCATTTCCCTTGGCGGCAGCCTAGGAGGCAGAGGCGGTAGTAGCATATCGTCGTCGTCGTCTTCGTCCACTTCCACGCCGTCGTCGTCGTCTCCAAAATCGTCGTAGTCGTCGTAATCGTCGTGTTCCTCTAGACTGCGATCTAGACTGTCAAACGACCCGTTAAAAAGCGCCTCGTCTACGTCCTTCGCCACGTCGTCCTTCTCTATCGTCTGCGCCGCCGTGCTAGGCGAATACTCCCGTGCAAACTGTGTAACGTGCCGTTGCTGGCGGTCTGCAAACACCAGATCAGCGTCAAAGTCACTATCGTTGTTTTTGATATACAGAAGCACGCTCAGCTGGATACTCTGTCTTGCAAGTCCCGAAACGTTATGGTCCACGATAACCAGCGACGTGTGTGACTGGTGAGTCTGGTCAGACGCCTCCAGCCCTAGCGATAGCTTCCGTTCCAAGTCGTGAAGAAGCCTGTTTGTTGACTCCAAAGTCGGCCTTTCGTCAGCCATAGTGGGAAGATTTTAAAACGTGTAATTGGCAGATCGGATCGGTGATCAGGGCCAATAAGGAGGTTTGGCAGTCACCTTTATTGGGAGATATCACAGGAAGGTGCTGAAGATGGGATACTTTTTTTTTTGTTTGGGTTTGATCGATCTCACCTCGGAATGCACATTCGCGGGGGCCCTTCAGAAAAAATAGCCGTACCGTGGATGGATAGCCATTGGGGGATCCAGAGGGGTAGAGAGAATTTGAAAATTGCGTTGGAATGGGGGAGACCCGGGGAGTACAGCTGTGTTTTTAGATTTTATTTTGGACAACTATTCGTAGAGATAACTGGGCCTTCTGAATGCTCTGGTCCCTCCTGGCCTGGAGAAATGGCTGCGAAAAACCGACCGCGATCAGCCAAGGCTAAACAGGGGTCCCATGGATTCAGTTAGGGCTGTCAGAAAAGAAGTAGGTCAGACAGGGGAGAGGAATTTGGAAATAGCAGTCGTTTATTCGAGATGTCTCTTTATTTTATTCCTTTTTGAGTGGTTTCTGAGAGAGTTAGAGAGACTAGAGAGGTTTCTGGACAATGACGTTTAGACGATGGAATAAAAAAGGCTTTTGAGGTACAGTGCATTTGGAGAAGATAGACGAGGAAGGAGAAGAAGGAGAAGAAGGAGAGGAAGAAGAAGGCGTTCGATCGGCTGGAGGATCGTGGCTTGGACGTTCTTTGGTTTACGAAGGGGTGTCTTTTTTGCTGGTTATGTTGATTTGTTGATTTGCTGGGAATGGAGGACTCTTACTGGTTCTGGTGGTTCTGGTGGGTTCTGGTGAGTAGGGCTCAAAACGGAGGGCCTAACAAGACCCATATGAATTTGGAAAAAGGCTGGGAGTGGATTTTGCAGAAGTAGGGATTTGGTTTTATATAGATTTGTATTGATTAGGGTCCTTTGGTGCCTGTTTCGTGGGGATCATTGGGTCCCTGGTAACTGTATGTGCATGGGTTGGACCACATGATGGACGTGTTTTCCCCGGACTTTCAGTAGATGTAAACAAAAAGTGGTGTCATATGGTACTTCTGGACTGAAACTACGTGTTTTACTGACTCTGACGGTTGTTTTTCTTCTTTGGACGCTTTTGGCGGTGGCTGCAAATGTTGACGCTTAACGGCCCGCCGTGCCTGAAGAGTCACGACACAAAGAACAGTATTGATACGGATTTCCGAAACCATTGAAAAGACGAAGGTATCGTCTTTGAGGCAATGAATGCCTAGTAGTCGTGCCCAGTTGCTTGTTTAGCCTGTTTGTGTGGATACCTCATCATCTCTCCATCCTACATCTCTTTCTTCCCGATGTGTATTATACTATTCGTTATATCCAACCGTTAAATTCTTTTCATTCGTTTTCCTATGCGACGTAAGCGGCGGCTTCAGCCTGGCGTTCGCCTTCTGCCGTCGATTGCTGCTGTGTATGCATTGCCTCGTAAAGCTTCAACTTCTTTCTAATCTTCTTCATCTGCCACTTCACCGGGATCAATGGCAATCTTCCGTGCTTCTCCTCGTACAACTTGGCTCTGAGCCATAACGAAACGAGGATCCAGTATGCCAAGTATGACGAAACACTGCCGTACGTAGCGGTGTTGGTCCATCCAACCAACGCATTGGCAACCATCCACCAGCCATCCGTAAGACCATTGCAGCAGTTGACATGCCAGATGGCCGTGCTGATATCGTATGAGCCAGGACCACTACCGGTTTCACTGACATCAAGACCTCCGCAGAGTCTGACGTACCTCTCCAACTCCAAGAACCACACGCCTCGGCTCATAAGACCGGCACTGACAACGTACAAGAAGCATGTAGAGCAGATCAAGAAGTATTGAAGCGAAAGCTTGTTGCCTCCTCTGTACAAGGTGTAACCGACAGCAGCACCACAAGCAACACCAGCCAACACTGCAAGTGGAAGCGACGACAATGGCTGAGACATACCAATACCGCCAACAAACACAACAGCCTCAAGACCTTCTCTAAGCGTCGTGACAAATGGCAAGATGGCCAAGTAGTATTTACTGGTAAACCCATCCTTCTCTTCCTTCTTCACTGGAGCATTGTTATTGCCCAAAAGTGCATCGGAGTCCTCGGAAGAGCCCACACCGGCACCGGCAAAGTCATCCATTTCAGTCATGTCACTGTTATCAAGCATATTTGGCTGCTGAGTAGCGTATGCATCGCCAAGCTTGACCCACCACTTGACCTTCATGAACTTATTGATTCTAAGCAACCCAATGCCCATCACCGTGATAAGCACACTGGAAAGAAGCGAAAAGATACCCTCCCAGAGTCTCTCCGTGTACGACCAAAGATCCTTCTCCACAAAGTAGAACAATGTGATAAAGACAATGCCAATGACAAGACACACAAGTAAACCACAGATAGCACCGAGCCAAACCTGAAGCCGAAGGCCCTTATTGACCAGCTTTATATGAGCAACCTTGGCTCTCCTTTCGGCAAGCGCCTCCTCGGAATCCTCTCCATTCTCTTCCTCCTCCACTGGTTGAGGGTTGTTCTTATTGATGAACGAGAGAAGTACCGAGATGATGATGGCCGTTTCTAGGGTTTCTCTAAGGATGATGAAGAAGATCTGGATCGAGAAAATCTGGTTGAGATCCTTCATCTTGGAGGTGTTTTTTAAAGGAACGTAAGTGGAACGTGTGCTGGCCAGTTGATAAAGGATCAGTGTTCTCCGGGGAACCTCGTGTTAAATGGCTTTTTTTTTTCGCACTTACCTGAAAAAGGCCTGATGAGACTGGCTATTTTTTTTTCCTTTTTCCTTGGCTTACCGCGAGGAATGTACAACCACTAAGAATGCATTGGTTGCAAATTGGCTGCAAATTCTCCAAAGTCAACCCCCTACGTTTACTGAATCTTCTTGTGGATCACATGGAGATGTTCGTAACGAATAACAATCAACTTGATGAGTTGCTCCAAATCGCCTTCTTCAACGGCCCTGAAAAACCCTGCAAATGCTCCTCGTTGTTCTTTTTCCTTATCGCTGTAGCAGACTCCATTCTTGACTGGTGCTTCGTACATGAAGTGGCGTTTTACCATGTCTCCACCGTATTCTATATCGTCGTCGGTGGCAGCAAGGTCTTTTTCAACACGTAGGAGTTTGTAGTTGGTGACCTTGAACTTGGCGTAGATGTGGACCTTCTTGAGCATCTTGTACCATGGGTAGTCTTCAGTGAGGAGGTTTTCCACGTCGTGGTTGTAGGCGTCGAAGATAAGGGATTGGGCGCCGGCGTCCTTGATGAGCTTGCCAAATTGGGTTAACACATCTGCAAGGGTGACTTCTTCATCGGCATTGCTCCAGTACCCTGGACTGAACACTGTAGCGGACTTCCTGTTGTCCAAGATATCTTTGAGAATGGCTGACTTTTCCAAGAGGTACGTATCGATCTTTTCTGTCTTCCATTCTTCGAGCTGCTTGCTCATTTGCTCTTTAAAGAGATCAAAACGCTTCTGGGCTAAGTCGAGATAAGGCTCAAGACGGTAGTCCACAACCTCCCTCTCTTCAAGCGATAACACCAAGAGACCAAGAAATCTGACAAGCAGGCCATGAAGGTCAAGGTTAGGATCGATATCTTGCAACCAGCTATAGGAATAATGGTCCAGCTCAGGCACATAAGTGGACTCATTATGCTGAGAGCTTTCAGAAAACTTGAAATTAATCACTGGAGTGTCACCCTTGAACTGAAAAACGCCAGCATCCTTGGAAGTAAAAACATCACCAAGTACGTTATTGATATTTGCTCCGCTCTCCTTGCGCCAGTAATGATACAATGAAGTTTCGTTATCATCGTCATCCTCGTCACTTGGAGTATCTTCCACAGATGGCTTCACAACACGCTTATAAGAAGTGGAATTCTTCGAAACAGGAACAATCTCAGCAACTTGCTTGATGATGTGATTAAGCAATGGACTCAGGTCTACCGAGAAATGACTGCCGGTGACCACGTCCTCATCTAGGTTGATATAAGCAAGCAAGGGCATATTTTCTGGGAACACTTCAGCATCTTGTAAAGCTGCTCTGGCGCCTAATTGACCACTTCTTGAAGCATCCCAAGAAACAAATCTGATGGTACGTAAAGGCTTCCAGCCAAGGTTTCGAAGCCTCTTGAATGCTCTCATCACCTCAAGCATGATAGCATGTCCACTGCTGGGATTAAGCGAGGTAAGGGAGTCTCTAGAAGCACCAATAATGATTTCTCCATCGTTCATTACACCTTTAATAGAGCCAATGACGACTTTAGCAGACTGAGCGTAGCCGCCAGCTTCCGACGTCACCTTCAACCTAAGCAGATGTGACAACGGAGAGAATCTCCACTGAGAAAAGTTCCCCGTGCCAGGGCCCAATGCTTCAAGAATTGGCGAGATAGCTTTATAACTGGCTGGCACACGCATCTGGACATCGGGGATATCCGCTGGTTTATAGTTTCTCAGCACGGTCAGTTTAAAGTCATCAGAACCAATCACAACCGCAGCTAAGCAGCCCTGAAACAAAGCATAATCCACACGATCCGTAACAGAGAAATCGCGAGACTCCAGGCTTGCAATCAAGGCAATCTTATCAGCCACAGCAATGCCATTCAGCTCTAGCAAAGCGTAATCTTTCGGCGTTCCGCCGTGAACGTACACGAAGTCGCCAGTAACCGACCCCACAGAGCTAAATGGAAAGAAGGCTGGGGTGGTTTTGTGTTTGAAGCGCCAAGAGTCTGTCACCTCGGCTAAGTCGGCTGAGTAGAGAATTCGATGGGACTCCGAATCAAAGAGCTCTATCTTCGACAGTTTCGGCAACCGTAACAGCTGGGGCAATTCGTACTCATGAGACAGCGTAGAAAAGCCCAACCGGTAGAACTTCTGCTCAACAAAAGACGCCAATTCTGGGTACTTCCCATCTGCCAACACCACGCCCTTCTGGCTATGAATACTGGTGAAATTCCGAAGCCACTCGCCAATATGCTCTTCATTCGTCACGCCAGTATCGTCGGGCCGGCCGATCTTCAACTGGGCCAAAAAGATCCGTTTAAGGTCGGTCTGGGTAAGGTGCAAGTCGTGCCAGCGTCTGAAGTCCCTATTAAGCGACGTCCTGGGCAAAAACGAAAGCTGGAGCACGATAAACGCTAGCAACCCGAAAATACAAAACCACCAGAACCTCTTTCGTAGAAACTGTTTCTGTTTAGCTTTAAACGAAGGGCTAGGCTTGATGGACTCTTCCCCCACGGTAGTATCTGGCGAGGAACCCTCGTTTTCCAACCTCCCCAGAGGCTCCTCCCCGTATCTCTGCAACGAACTGGACTCCAAAAGCGGACTCTGTTCAGACATTCTAAAGTAACACTAGTAACGAACAAAACCAAAGATGATGTCAATGTGGGATATATATATAAGGATGCGGCGCGCCTTCACGTTGCATGCTGGCACAGGCAGAGGAAAAGACGATAAAGGGAAAGGGGCGCATGGACTAAGAAAAGAGAGAAGAAGCACAAAAAGGTGGTTAAGAAAACGGTAAGGTTTTTGGGGTTAAACGAGGCTGTGGAAGGGAAAGGAAGAAAAAAGGGGGTTTTCAGGAACCGAGGACGTTCAGGGGGTGGTTGTGTGGAGACGGTTTTTTGCCAGTGATTGGTGGATTCTGGATGGGTTTTTGGCGTTTCTCGGTAATGCGTCATTTCGGCAGGATGAGCGTTTGCAGCCGGTAGACAGGGAGAGGGAGAGGGATGAAGAGGATAGTGGATTGGGAGAGGATGGAAGGAAAAGTGGAAAGTGGAGAGTGTTGTTTGATGGTTACAGTGTTGTGTTTTTTTTTTTGGTTTTTTTTTTCTGGCTTTTCCGTCTATTTTCGTTTCCTTACTTCCCTGGTTCATTTTCTTTGGCTGCAAATCACTGGTCTATACGAGCAGCAAGGGCAATTACACTAGGTTTGGCTACGGCTCGTGTGACTGGGATTGGCGTTGCTGGCGTGGAACAAAAGACAATCAGGGACTAAAAAGTTGGTGTCGGTTCCTCTACGTGAGCAGAACAATGGTGGGACCGACGGGACCGTGGATCGACGGTTCGGGAAGGTCCAAGTCGGTGGAGAGGCAGTGGAGGGAGGGGAGGCAATGGAGGGAGCGTGAATTGGGGGCATAGTGGAAAGAGAGGGATTAAAGGGGAGTACTGGGAGCTTTAGGGGTCTATTTTATGTTCTGGTTCAGGGTAAAATAGGTTGTAGGTGGTGTGGTAGTATGAGTATTGGTATGTTGTGTGGAAGAGGAGGTGGGTTGTAGAGGCTAGTCAGTCCTGGTCGGATAAGATGCAAAATGCTTTCTATTTGCTGTTTCTGCTAATTTTATGTTGTTTATGATGTCTGGGCTCGGACAGTAGTGTCTACTTTGAGATAGACACCTGTTGGTACCACTGACTGTTCAGTACCATTGAAACCAGCCTATTGAACACGTCTACGCTTCGCCTGGAATAAGAGCCAGCTGTCATTCTCCAGCCTTTCATGCTTTAGAAAACAACAACTTGGAGCCATTCAGGAAGGTCGGACGCCTGGGGAACCCCAATACTCGTGACTCTTCTTCCTAGTCCACCTTCCCTATTCGGTCAGTTATCAACGCTCCTAAACCACCCAACATAATCTACTCCAACGGAGCGTTAGAAATCAACGAGTCCGTTAATCTACTCAATATACGCTGTAAGGCTCAAAACTTGGCTTTCCAGCGATTCTTTACCACTACATAGACGTAACCAGTAGCACCTCTTCCGGACCTTCACCGTCCACCAATTCCCACCCCAGCCACCCAATTTCTGGCCCTCCACTTGCCCTACTCCGCCTTTCAATCGCCTTCTATGTCCCCACGGCTCCCAAGGCTCTACGCTGCGCTTGCCGTTTGCAGCCATTCGAAAGTCTCACTTTTGGTACAAATACAACCGTTCCCCTAAATTTATTTCCTCTTCTTTTCCAACAACTATCTTCAAAATGCTTTACTATTCTTCCTGGGAAATCGGCTCATACAACAACTTTCCAACCATGCAAAACGCAGTAATGGAATCACCACGTTCCCATCCTACCAAACTTCCCTCTGTCCAAGAGATGTTACAGAGAATCCAAGACTATGACCTGGGCAACACTAGTCTGTTGAATATTTTACCACCAATCCAACTGTATTCACCGGCCTCCATCAACCTGTCCCTTTCACAATCATCATACTCAACCACCAGCACCACCACCGCCAACCTGACCCTTTCAAAGTTATCCAATTCTACTACTGCCACTCCACCAGCAGAGCACCTGGCAACTCCAAAACTAACCGAAGTCACTAGCATGCCTAAGCCAAGAGCAGCCTTGCCAACGCCTACCCCCAGTCCGTTGTCCAAGAAGCCTATCGTGGCTTCTGTCTCGCCTAAGCTCAGCAAGCCACAAAAGTATACCAAGAAGTCTCTTCTTTCGTCTCCCCAGAAGGAAAAGACAATTGTCAAGAGTACTGTGGCCAAGAGAAGAGGCAGAAAGAAGAAGCCAGAGGCTTACTGCCACCAGTGTGGCCTGACTTCTACTCCCGAATGGAGAAGAGGCCCTTCGGGTTCCAGGTCGTTGTGTAACGCCTGTGGTCTTTTTTATATGAAGTTGCAACGCAAGTTCAGTGACGACCAAGCCAAGACTATCTTTATTTATAAGAAGAAGACAGACACTGTGGTTGACAGGGTGCTTCCAAACACCATTGAGTTGACCAGAATGTGTACAACCGTCCAGCAGAGCAACTGGCAATGACAGATATATACTAGTACTAGTGGATATGTATATCAGCTCTATATAAATAAAAGACGCATATTGAAAGTGAAAGTAGCTGTAGGTATTAAGTAGTTATAGGTGACGTGTTGTTTAGAAGAGACCACGAGCAGCTATGGAACGAGGGTCGACCTGGTTGTCTTTCCATAAACGAACAACATCATTGAGACCTTTGAAGGCAGATGAACTGAACTCTTCGTTTTCCATTAAATCTCTCTTGAATGGAATAGGTCCGGCCTTTTCAAGTAACGCTCCAATGGCATGTTGCATGATAGTACTGACCATGGTGGATTCAGTGATGTTTCTGGTAGTTTCACCAATCTTACCGCCCCCGATTGAGCTGAATAACGTTCTAACAAGCTGACGGTACTGGACATCAGCACCTGGGTAAAGAACGTTGGTGGAACGGACGGTTCTTTTGCATCCTTCCACTGGCTTTTCTCCATTGAACATCTTGTCTATCCAGACCAAAGCAGCGCCACTGCCTTCAGCCCACTCTAAAATATGGCCTGTAGTGTTGGAAACAGCAAACTCAAGACTATCGATTCCCCACTTGCAGTAGTTGGTGTATGCCCTCTGGGCTCCAGAAAAGGGTACAATCTCGTCTTCAGTGCCGTGGAACACGAAGAGTGGGATCTCAGGACGAGGCCCATCTTCGTAAAGAGCAGCGGTGTTGTTGTTGACAATCTCTTTAACCAAAGGAATCTGGAAGAACTCCCATCCGCTCTTGGACCATGGCTTCTTGCCAGTAAAGAATTCCAAGAACATGTAGTCGACAATCGACGTCAAAAGACACTTCTCCTTGGCATCCTCAAAAGCCTTGACCTTATCTTTTCTGAGCTCTTCATCGAGAATGTCCTGGACTTCAGGGTACTCGTTAAGCATACCATTGATAGCGTTAGGAATAAATCCACCAAAGATCGTACCATCAGTAATCTCAGCAGTGAGTGTGATGTTGGTAACCCAGCCGCCCAAAGCAGCACCAACCAAGCTTTTCTTAAGCTCTGGAGCGTATTTGGGTTGAAGAGCAGCAGCCCAGCCAGAAGCAATAGTACCTCCAGAGTACCCCCAGAACACAGATTTGGCGTCTGGATCAATACCCGTAATATCTTCAGACTTCAAAGCCGCTCTTAAAGAGTTGATCGTAGCCTGACCAGACTGAATGCCAGCAGTAAATGCACCCTTGAACCCCTCGTAATCAGGAACCACCAAGTACCAGCCCTTGGCAAGAGCCGTCTGCATCAAGATCATCTCCACCTGAAGAACAACCGTGCTCATTGGAGCATTAAACAAGAACGAATAAGACGGACTGCAATCATTCGTAGAAGAATCCTGAGCTGGCTGGTACGAAACAACCTTCTTGGGATCAGCGTTATATGGTTCCAAGACAGTCGTAACTATAGCATTTGGATTACCATGAGAATCCTCCGACCTCACAAGTAGCTGCCATGCATTCTTGACGTCCACGGGAAAGTAAACAGATCTGATCATGCCAGGAGCCGGACGGAAGTTTATTATATCACCATTCTTATACAGTGTAAGGTTAGCAGGAGCCGAGTAGAAGTCGTCTTCTGAAGGTGCCACTGGCCTAACAAACTGTGCAGCCACTGCAGCCACCCAAACCAACAAAGAAACAAATAACATCTATAGTACCCTTCATCAAATCCCTGGAACCCTCCCAGTCTTATATCTTCACCAGATCTGCTGTACTTGCCCAAACAAGCAAGTGCTAGTGCCGTGCTTCTGGAGTTGCCACCGCCACCCATGGATCGGCCACATGAAACAGGTTTCCGAAGTCCCCCAAAGCATCATTTCTATCACTGAAACTCGCTTATCCAGTTATACTACCAGAACTAGTATATTTTGCAACCATTCCTGCGCCAGATACGAGCCTGTCCTGCACGCCAGCCCAGGGCACTTCGGTAGATGTTGCCATAAACCTCCAGTCAAAGCGTCTTCATTGTCTCAAATCAAGCCCAATTTCACCTCCAGCGTCATGTCAACCTTAAATCATGTTCAGAGGACTTTTTGGGGTACGAAAAACGCATTCTGTGCACCTATTGCAGCCTCTTTCCCTGTTAGGTAAAAAGACATGCAGCATTCAGGACAGAGAATGCCTCGAGGTCTGAAAGAGGATATAAACGGTGGGTGGGTTTCATGGATTGGATCGTTCAGTGCATCAGGAGGCAACGGCAGGGGTGGAACAGAGAAATGGCTAAAAGGGAGCCGAGGGTTTTTGTGCCATTGTGGAGAACCGAGGTGCGTTGACCTCACCTGGATTCCCCGGAGGGGGATTCAGGTGAAGAGTGAAGAGTAAATAGTGAAGAAGAACAGCTTATTGTTGTTTGGAGTGGCTTTTGGAGCCACGGTGAATGGAGAAAATATGTGTTTTTTACTCTCCTTCTTAAAAGACATTTCACTGGACGTTCATCTGTAGATGCAGATAAGCAGGCATAAGTTACACAGTCCGATGGTTTCCAGATATCTGCAGCCTTGGGGACTTTTATTGGTGGAAAACGGTTCAAATGTGTTCTAATTGTCCTGAAGTTACTGAACCACCTCTTTTTGACCACCCAGATTGTCCCTTTCCGTTGGTGACTCCCTCTGGGGAAACCAATAATGCCTTGTATTACTGACTCTGACGCACATGGCCAGGGCTCCTCTTCCTCCACCAATACCCACTCAAAATTGGCCAAAGTTAGACGACTCTGAAGGCATTTCTTTCCTGAATAACATGATTGTAACTAATACTAACTTTAATCAATCTTGTATGGTATCCTCCCCTTTCTACCTGCCCTCCACCACTTCATCTTTCGCAGCCGATTCTGTGCCCTTATCGTCCAAAGCTAATTTTCCTGCATATAGCCCGCCCACTATCAAGACGCCGTGGAAAAGTCCCTTCCAACTCCAGACCCTGTGAACATCCACATCGATGGGCCGTTGAAGTGCTTATTTATTCTTATTCTTTGTTGCTTTTGCCCTGCACTTTCTTCGCTGCCTTTGCATAATTTCTTTTTTTGACATTTTTCACTTTTTTCATTCTTCTTTTCAGCATCCACAGTTAATCATCCAATGTCCACGCCAGACCAGAGCCACTATGAACTTGGTCGTTCTTATGTGCTGGTGAACCACAGAGCGTTCCTTTCGGCTCATTCGCCGGTGGTTTTGTCTGGAGACGAGGTTCATAGACAAACTGCCGACTTGGCGTCTATAGGTGTGGTGGGAGATGACCAGGACGATGGGGAAGTGTTTCTGGACGAGTACGTTTCTGAACATCAACCTATTCCTATTGAGGGAGGTTCTCATAGCTTGAAGGAGCCGATTTGGGAAAGTGAAGATAGGTCGAGTGGCCATGTTTCAGGTGACCTGGCTCATGGTGATGTCGATAGCACTACTCCATTGGCTGATAAGCAGAAGAAGTTTTATGTGGATAACGATTCGCCTGGTGAAACTGGGCCTGTTTATGCATCTATGGGGCCTGACGCTAATTGGGCTGGACGCCTCGAACAAGGACCTTTGGATGGTGGTTCTCTAAGAAATAAGACTCCGTTGCGGAAACACTTGCTACGGCCCGTTCAGTACCTTCCAGCGGTGTTCTTGGGCGTGCTTTTGAACGTTTTGGATGGCCTTTCTTACGGTATGATCATGTTTCCTATTGGTGAAGCGTTGTTTGCCGATATGGCGCCTGCTGGACTTTCGATGTTCTATATTTCGACCATTGTATCCCAGTTGGTTTATTCCCTCGGTGGATCAGCCTTTAAAGCTGGTATTGGCTCAGAAATGATTGAAGTCACGCCGTTTTTTCATGCCATGGCGTTTTCTATCCAGGCAGATATGAAGAGCAGCTCCCCTGACATAGGCCACGATGCTATCATTGCAACTACATTCGTATCGTTTGCTGTTTCTGCTGTCGTCACTGGTGTCGTCTTTTTCTTGCTTGGAAAACTTCGTCTTGGCCTGCTTGTGGGTTTCTTTCCTAGACACATCTTGGTTGGCTGTATTGGTGGTGTGGGTTATTTCCTTATCGTCACCGGTATCGAAGTGTCTTCAAGAATAGAGGGCGGTATTCGCTACAATTGGGAGACGGCAACTTTGCTTTTTGGCAATTACATCACCCTCATGCAGTGGTTGCTTCCCGTGGCTCTTACTGTCATTCTTATATTCCTCCACAAACGCATCCACCATTCGCTTCTTGTTCCAGTATTCTTTATTGTTGTGTTTGTTTTATTCCATATTGTCGTGGCCGCCGTTACCAGGTGGGATCTCGACAAGGCCAGAAAGTACGGATGGGTTTTTCCAGCTGTTGTTAATCATGACCCTTGGTACGCCCATTATCTGTACTTGAGGCCTTCACTTATTGACTGGATGGCCATTACCAAACAGTTCCCCAAGATGTTGGCGCTTACCTTTTTTGGTATTTTGCATGTTCCTATTAATGTGCCAGCGCTTGCGGTGACCGTTGGCATGGACCAATTTGACGTTGATCGTGAATTGGTTGCCCATGGATTCTCCAATGCCATCTCTGGGCTTATTGGCTCTGTTCAGAACTATCTTGTATATACCAACTCAGTTCTTTTCATTAGAGCTGGTGCAGATGACAGACTTGCTGGAATTCTTTTGGCGGTGGCTACTGCTTGTGTGATGATGGTTGGTCCTGTTGTTATTGGCTACATTCCTGTTTGCGTGGTTGGCTCTCTTATTTTCCTTTTGGGCTATGAGCTTTTGAAGGAAGCCATTTATGATACATGGGGACGTCTTCGCAAGATCGAATACACCACCATTATCATTATTGTGGTTGTCATGGGTGCCTGGGACTTTGTTTCTGGTATTTTGGTGGGTATCTTGCTTGCCTGTTTGCTTTTTGTCATTGAAGCTGCCAGAAGACCGGTTGTGAGGGGTATTTATACCGGTGTTGTGGCTCGTTCTACTGTTTTAAGACACCCAAAGCAGCAGGAGTTCTTGAAAGATGTGGGAAACCAGATTTGCGTTGTGAAACTTCAAGGAACGTTGTTCTTTGGATCCATTGGAGGAGTTGAGAAGACCATCAGAGCTAGGTTTGAAAACGGCAAGTTCAGCTTGAATCCAATCAAATTTCTCATCATCGATATGAATGGTGTTGATTCTATTGATTTCTCTGCTGCTGAAGGTTTCAGAAGAATTCTTAATTTGACCCGAGAGTTCCAGACTCAGCTTATCATTTCATCGGTTGAAGAAAATGACGATAGCGTTATTGCTTTGAGAGATGCTGGCCTTTGGGATAAGCTCAAGTCGTCGTCTCTGACTCTCCAAGTGCAAATGTTTAGCAGTTTGAACTACGCTCTTGAATGGTGTGAGAACTCGTTCTTGAAGACATACACTAATCTTCAAGGTGTTGCCCTGAATGCATCCCAAAGGATGTCCTTGAGAGGCGTTCCCTCTTCGAACAATCCAGACAAACGTCATCACAGTATGAGCAAGCTGGTTATGCAAAACTACCCCCTCAACTTTGGAACTCCAAGGACAAAGCAAATTTACCAAGCAGCTACAAGAACCGCCAATGACGAGCAAAAGATCCAAAGCAGGTACTATACATCATCAGACTCTTCATTCAAGAAACAGCCATTGCCGCTTATCATGATCACATTTGGTGAGCTTTCGCCCAAGGATGAGAAGTTCTGGTCGAAGTTGGCACCATTCTTTACAAAAGAGTCAATTCCAGCCGATATGTGCTTTTACGATACCAACTGCAAACGTCCATCGTTCTTCCTTCTTGAGTCTGGTCTTGTAAGGCAGATTTGCAAGTTTGAAAGTGATGACAGAGAATTGCATTCTAGCATTTTACCCAACACGGCATTTGGCGATCTACTTGAACTCAGTCAGTACAGACAAGTGACTTACACTACGGTTGTGGAGACAGTTGCCTGGCGGTTGAGTGAAAAGAAGATCAAAGAGTTGGTCAAGACCAACGAAGGACAAATCGTGTACAGCGAGCTCTTACACGTACAAACGAAGCTTTCGAAGGAGAGATTTGACTCCTTGACGGCTAATCTCGTGCTTTCAGCGTAAAAAACTACCATTCATCAGAGCATTATTGAGCAACAAATTTATTACTAATCTAGGCATTTCGTCGTTTCTAGCGTAGATAAACTAGGCACAGTTAGTTTGGTGGGAACTCCACAGAAGCAGTCAAGCAAGTGATAAGCACATCTTCCTTGCTGTAAGCACGAGCCACCACGAGGTACTTTCCTGGAGGAACCTCTTCTGGGATAGCCACCAGCTTGGAGATGGTCTGGGCGCCCTTCTTGATAGGACACTCCAAGTCCACGTTATGAACCTCATCACACAAATCATAAGTCTGGTGAATCAAACGGATGAAGCCGTACCTGACGTCCACTTCAACATAGGCGCCATCAGTGACCGCCTGTTTCAACACACCTTCAGCAACAAAAGTCAAGTTCTGGCCCTTCGCTGGAGGATTAGGGTCAATCACCACCTTTTGCAAGTCCAACAATTGCGGAGTCTGAGCGTCACACTGGATAATAGGACTGTTTCCTGGAATAGGTCTCTCGTCATCGTTGGAAGGGAAAGTGTGGATTATCTTTGGGCCATCTACGACCGAAGGCACATTTGAACCGAAAATGTTGTTGAGGGAAGGAATCAAGGAGAGGGCCTCGGCAGATGCGGCCAATCCCAACACAGCTAAACGACCGAATGCTACCATTGGGAAAAAGGAATATGGAGTTGTAGAGGAGGGAAAAGGCAACCTTTAAGTAGTAGCGCCGTAGCCACGGGAGTGCAGGTAAGCCCCCCTTATCCTGATAAGAAGACCTGATAGAAGTAATAAAAAAAAAAAAAAAAGGGGTGGTTCTTAGTTAAAGAAGGTTAGCTTCACTGCAATAGTTTGTCAATTTACTTACTTTACTGATGGCTGGGTGGGGTGGGACAATGTGTTCAGCCGCTTGCCGAGATCGCGATTACTATGGTTGCAAAACACGGAATGTAGGTCCATGTGCCCCGAGGCAAGAAGAAGGCAGGAAAAGGGAGATGTGTAGTTTTAGAGGATTCAGGTGAGTTGTGTTGGTAAGGTTTGAGTGTTGGTTTTAGTTTTGGAAGTGGTTGGTAGGTGGAACGTGGGGAAAGATATTGTAAGGCTGAGAGGTGTGGGACATGTTAGGTCCACCCTACCTTACTGGTAGGAAGACCGGTTTAGGCTGACTCCCAGCCTGTTGTTATAGTTTTGGGATTCAGCCAGCCACCTTTAGCCAGCAATTTCCTAGTCCTGGACGACTATTTATACTCGTCCAGTTTCCCTACTTTTCATAGCTCTTCATTCAACTCTTTATTATGTCTACACACAATAAACAATCTTATGCGCAACCTAACAGGACATGGGAATGGAAAAAGCCAATCTGGTCAATTGAGTCAATTGAGGATCTAAGATGGTGTGATTAGAGTATTTTGGAAATGTAGTTTTTTTTCTGCTTCCTCTAAGTCCTTACAATGACTCGGTTGGCGCCTTGGTTGGCTGTGCCTCAGAGGTAAAGTCTGGCGGTTAAAGCTTCCTACTGGCGTGTGACGGTTAACCGTCGCTTAATTTGGGAGGAAGCTGGCTGAGTTGGGTCGTTTATGGTGTGTTTGGTCTTGAAAGTTGGGGAGAATAGGAATTGTGTATAGGGTTTCCTTGGGATGGGAGTGAGAGGGTACGATGAAGGTTTGAAGGAATTATGAATACCATTTCTACCTTCTCTAGATGGTAATCATACAATCCGGAGTTCTGGAAGTAAAATGCAAGAATTGACATTGTTAGTTTCAGTTGGAATATCACAGCGAAGCTCCAGTTGACTCATGTATCTCTTTGAAGGAACACCAGTAGCATATGCTCTACCAACAAACTTAACCCATAAATCTTCACCTACATTTTAGTATTATATTCCTAAATTTCTCTTCACCACTGATGTATATCTTGGTACACTTGTTATCTATCTAACTATCACTTGAAGGCGACTTACTGGTCCGAGTGGACTCAGTAACCTTCTGATAATCGTGTAGTAGTAATATATGACCAATTAGAATAATCCATAGGGGAAACAATCAATGTTTTTACTATCACTAATTAATGGCCATATCCAATTAATACTTTGTTACTTACTCATTATACTGGCTGTCCATCTAGTATTGGTAAAACACCACATAACTCAGTTCCATGCCAGCCATCCAATTTGGTATCACAAAGCGGCTTTTCAAATAGTCCATTATAAGAATTATCGTTTTCTCTTCCCTCTTTTTTTTTATATATTTTTTCATTAATATTATATATTTCAGTATATTTCATTAATCCCATCACTTCCTCATTCCATTTATGTTTCACAATTTGGCTGCGAAAAACTCATACACTTGGAAAACGAGAACCACTGAAAACATACAAACAAGATATGCCAAATACAATTCATAAAAAATGATCTTCCTTACAATCCAAGTCTTTTTATCCTTCAACTCCCTCCCGCTAAAGCCTCTTACCCCCCTCCAACTCACCAAAATCTCCATTTACCACTTCCTCCATTCTTCCTCCTCTTTCCTCTAACAGTCCTTATCAGTACCAATTGAACCCACCACCAATCCACCCAAAACCTTCAAAAACCCCAAAAAATACATTAAGTCACCTCAAACTGCCCATCCATAAACATCCCCTGCCCATTGACCCTACACCTCCTCTCCAACCACTCCTCACTACTCCCTCTATACCCCCACGGTCTAAATAATATTTGGCCTCGCTAAGGGACCCCTTGCAGCCAACTATAAAAGGCCCGACTTTTCCCCGATTCTTTACTTTCTATCATTTTTACTTTTCCTCCATTACACTCTTCTTTAATGAACATCGTTCAGAATACAGAGGGCCTAGGGGCTGCTTGGCTTATGGCTACGGTGGGCCAGAGAAATAAGAAACTATCTAAGAAAGATATCACCAGTGTTTCTATCCCTCAGGCGTGTCGGCTGGTGGAAAAACAGCTTCTGCTAAGGTTGGCTTCGAATCTTATGTATGGGCTTACGTTGATTCACAGACAACAAGTGCACTATGTGTTTGAAGATATCACTACTGTCCACCTGAAACTTACTAGACCGTTGCATTTTGAATTCCACGGGGAGGAGAAAACGGTTCAGACTAGACAGAGGAAACACGTCCCTCTTCCTGATAGTGATGCCTTTACTATGCGTGACTTTGCCTGTGACGATTGGTTTCCGGAGAGAATGGCGTTCAGAGACCTAGACGAGTGCCTAGAGAACTACATGTCTCATGCCCAGAGGGCCGATGCTCTAGATAAGCTGTTGGACGAGATCTTGGAGAAGACCATGGCTACAATTAGAGCTAACGAAACTACGTTTGGCGAGCCAGGGTTTGAGTTTGACGTGAATGGCGGTATCAACTCACAACTTCCCGTCTTAGACGAGATAAACTTCGATGAAGATTTTGCTTTAGAACCGGTTGCTGACGAAATCTCCAAGTCCCTTCGAGACCATACCTCCAGAGATCCACATTTTTCCACTACGCTGAATCCGCTTAGATCCACTTTAGACCACCGGACTACAAGACAAAAGAGAAAACACGTTAAAGTTGACCCTGTTAATACCCATTCAGCATATTCCTTTTGTTACCCATTGTACTTGCGTGAGTTTGAAACAGAGCACTGTCCGCTGACCATACCCAAACGCAAGAAGTACCTGCTTTGGGATGCCGTTTCTGAACTCAGCTACACTAGTCCTGCCATGCTTAACTATGCTCGTCAATTGCTTTTACAGCCGCCGAGTGGCACTATTCCCCGGTCTCGGCTTCCTCTGGCCTTCCGGAGAGCAAGAGATGATGAGGTGGAAGTTGGGCGTAACATCCAAGTTCTGGCAGACGCCATAGAGTTTGCAAGAAGAAGAGCGCTGATGCTAGATTTCGAAGAGGAGGGGGCGTTTGACACTTTTGACCTCGACGAAATCGAATTAGGGCTGGAAGATGCATCTTTTCAGTTCCCGCTGTCGCAATTGGAAAGCCAAGGATCTGTGGGCCGCAATCTTCATAAATTAGCACTTAAGCTTCTCGGCTACATCCAAAAACGGTCACTCCAATATGGAATCTTTTGTGACTACGAGGGCAACGAAACTTCATCTCAGCAATATAGAAAAATAAGTTTCATGGAGCTTTTCCCAGTGCAGCCGCTCGGCGAGTCGGACATGCCGGTTACCAGGAAACTTGCAGCCAAGTCGTTTGGCACGGTATTAGAATTGGCGACCAAGAAAGCCATCTACGTGCTCCAAGGCGAGGAACCAACAGCAGAAGCTGCTATTATCGTTCACTCGTACGAGGACCGGCAATATCATAACGTGCTCGATAATATAACATAATTACGGTAAACTAATTAGGTGTTGGCGCAAAGCATGGCGCCTTTGTTTTTCGGAATGAAAGGCGCATGAAGAAGCAACCCATCACACGTTTGTTTAAAAAGTAGAAAAACATCGATTCAGAATTAAAAATGACGATGGGAGTAGGGGAGTAAGGTCAGTATGGTGGGATACTTTAAGCGGCAACGGCACCGTTGTTGGTGTCGTCGTGCTTGGCGAACTCCTCTTCAGCCTCGTACAATTCGGTCTCCTCTGGCTCCTCAGCGTCCTCACCCTGGTGCAAAGACAAGGTTGGCTTGACGGCAGCAGCGTCGAGAGTCCAAGAAGCAAGAGCATTCTCAGCGTCAACAATGATCTGCTTAGAAGCTTCGTAACCGTCGTAAGCTGGTCTGGTCTCACCTGGGGTGACAGCAGACTCGTCCAACAACTCCAACAAAGCCTTACCGTATCCGGCTATGAGGGCGTACTTCTCAGCCAACTCTCTGGTGGCGTCGAACTGGTAGTTGAAGGCAGCCTTCAACTTCTCTCTGGTAATGTTGGACAACTGAGCCTCAGCAACCAAGGACTCGGCCTCAGCTCTAACCAACTCTTGTTCCAAAACAGAGATCTTTGGAGATTGTGGGTCCTTGTACTTCAAGTGAGCAATCTCGTCGGTGATCTTCTGCTTTCTGTCTCTGGATGGCTGGACAGAAGACTCAATGTTTCTGATGGTCTTCAAAGTGATTCTGTACTGGTCGTACTTGTCAATGAACTGGTCCTCCAATTCACCAATCTCGTAGATCAAAACACCCAACTTGTCGGTAACGTCAGAAACGTCCTCGTCGTTCTCCTCACCCCAGAGGGACAACTGCTTGGCGGTTTCACGACGCTCTCTGGCAGTCAATTCGACAGCTCTCATGACGTTCTTCTCCATCTTGATGAACTGAGCCAACTTTCTGGACATTTCTGGACCAGTGGCACCAGCCAAGTTCTTTCTGAAGGTGGAAGTAATACCGCCCTTACCAAAGAACTTGGACTTGGTGGAAGATGTAGGAGGAGGTGGGGACTGCAATTGAGCAGCGGTTGGGGCCTTTTGGGATCTCAAGGAGTATGTTCTGTGCATCGCTAGGGATAAAATACGGTTGACTAGGAAATCTCCAAAAAAAGGCCTCCCGCTGGGGGCTGGCTCCTTTTATACCACAAGGGAGGAGGTTGCGTCGAAGGTCAATCGGTGTGCACACGGCGCATGCAACCCACGCAAGATAACTTGCTATTTATGCGCAGTTTGCGTCCACAATTCGGCCTAATTGGGAAGCAAGAAAGCAAACTGGTGTTGGAATAGCAACCATAGCCAATGAAAACCACCGTGGGGATAAAGAACCACGGGAGTTAATTTGGGGGATTACAGAACCGAAAAATTAACCAGTTTCTGCCGATCACCAAACCAAGCTTCAATTTCCACCACCTTCTTTATCCTGGTGAAAATCTTCATAGAAAAACCCGTAAACCTTAAAAAAACAATACCCCAATGGCTCCTTCCTGCCCCAAATTCTTCCGCCATGACCTGGCACTAAACACGCCAGGCCAATTTTTTTTTTCCCTGTTTTCTTTGCTTGGCCTGTCTTTGATTGCCGCAGGCTCCGAGCGTCAAATGGGTCAGACACCGCACCGGTGCCGGTAAAACAACATGCTACTGGCTCCATTCTGCAGGACAAAGCCTTCCCTTCCCTCACATTCTTTTTTTAATTGGACTTCTCTTCCCAGTAACCTGACGTCATATGACGGAAGGGCAGTTTGAATTTTTCATAATTCCTTCCCATCATTCTTCCTTTAGGCCCTTTGACATCATCGCCGAACGGCTGCTGCAAAAGTACCACAACGGCATGATGTGTTGTGAGCGGTGCGGTTAAATTCTCACTTTGTTTTTTGCTTTGTAGCTCTAACTTTCCATCGCAAGGTAAGGTCATCTCGATGCTCATCACGAACCCGGCCCGGCAATTCCGGGGGTATACTTGCTGGAAGCAAGTAGTTGTTAATTTTTTTGGTCTAGCAAACGTCATAGTTGTGAATCTCCATTGTTACCATCGTCTTGACAACCACGAAGGGGGGTCACTTTCTTTGCCCATTTCTGCTGCCTCTTTTTTTTTTTTTTTTTTTTGTCCTTCAATTTGGCATGGTCATTCGGCAAAAGCTTGATGACAAGGTACTGCACACAACACGGCGCCTGCTTTTCATGGAACATCCATTCCAAAAAAGATCCGCGCGCGGCTTTGCTAAGGTTTAGCCACCTACCCTTGTCGTCCTGCAGACTATTCCTTCTTCTGTTTCTTTGCAGTTGACTCGTTTCCAAGACCGCTGTGGCTCGTGGACCCACCTTCAATTGGACGTTTCTTGTTGACGCCAAGGGGTTCCAAAATACGATAATAGTCTGCTTCCAACGACTCGTATGCAGTTTGCAATTTATCAAGACGCGTAGGTTCGTCAAGTCCACTGAGTGCTTCCTTGTTCTTTTCAAAAAGTCTGCGTTTGATGAAAAGTCTGACTGCTTTTTTGGACGGCTTCACGTCGCTGTACTTCAATTGGTACAAAAAGAGCATTTCAAGTAAACGCAGAAGTTGACGTTTTTCAAGTTTCTGCAGTTCCTTAAACTTCTTGATCCATGCATCGTCAACCTGGTCCAAAGTCAAGTTTCCAAACTCCTGGTCGTTCAAAAGACGACTGAAATCAACACGGTCTCTCAAATCGTCAAAGCTTTCGTTGGGGTCTTCCACCACAATCTCCACCACGCGCTCATCTTCCAACCAGAGCTTATACAACCTCTCGTAGAGCTCTCCACCAAGCGATTGGCCTTGAAGACTTGGCAAAATAATAAACTGGGAAATCTTCTTTCTGATTTTTTCCACGCCACTGTCGAAGTCAGCCAGGCCAGGGTAAACCCAGTAGTTGTACGCGGTTGCAAAACCAACCACTTCTGGGAGCTTAGCGTCGGTAGTGTTGTAAATCACGTAAAGGTCCCACAAAGGATCCTTAAAGTCAATGTAAGTGCCTGCTTCGATAAATAAAAGCACCAAAATCTGAAGTCTCTTGTGCAATTCAACGCCATTTTCAGAACCCAAGTCGAGCTTGAAAATTCCATATGTCTGGTCGCCCTTGACAAAGTCTGAGCCAATCTTGGTGCCTGGAATTTCAAACCCCTTCTGCTCCTCTTCAATAGCGTCTCTCCACTTGGCCTCATCCTTATAAACCGTCGATTCAGGCAACAACTCAAGTAACTTGGTCTTTGGATCGATCTCAATGTCAGGAAGCTTATTCTCAAACTTCACGTTCAAAAACGGCAAAAACGTAACCGAATCAAAGCACAAAAAGATCCGAAGCCCCTGGTACCCGAAAATCGTCTCGGCATCACCGAAAATAGGATACGTGAAGAGTGGACTAAAGTTATGAGCTTGGCCTTTAGTATCGGTGATAAAAATCGATAATGCCTCGTTCAGCGACGCTGTCCATTGTTCAGGCTGAAGAGAAGCCACCGCCATACTCATTTGGTCCGACATTTTCTATAACTGTAGATGGTGTTTCAGTGGTGGTGGTAGGTAGTTGATGTTTTCAAACACGCTAAATGGCACTTAGACGCGCACGACTCTGGAGACATTTTGGGTGCAAAATGTGGATGTCTGGGGACCCATAGGGAGGGAAGAATTGTTGGTGAAATAAATTTGGGGGAGTAAAGAAGGGTAGAATTGGAGTAGTTCGGGGATTATGGTTTTTTATAGGGGAAGGCAGTGGTGGTGGTTCTGTGGGTCGATGCTGGTGGAGTCAGTTAGCATAGTGAGCAGTGGAAGTGGTACTTAGGGGAAGGTTTCGACGTGAAAAAATTGCCATGGATAAAAAAAAGTGATTTAAAGTGAGCGTTTGGGTTCGGCTTGATTACTAGTTGGTTGGATGTTTCCTTGTTTTGGTGCTTAGTGTGGTGGTATATGGATATGTGGACTACTGAGCCCTATACGCCAAGACCAAGGACTACTTTCTTCGAAGGCCTGAAAGAATATCCTAAGGTTTGAACAAGGCTTCCTTGGGGTCCATATAGAATGAATCATCGGATTTTGGAGAAGCTTCATGGGTTTGTGGCTACAAGAGTGGTGTCTCAGTAAGTACTGGTTGAGGACAGAAGACATACCAGTTGAACCTACTTTATTTTGGATAAAAGCATTTATCTATCTTGTCAAGCTAATTCAAACTACCACTTACTCGTTCAACAGGAGTAGTAGCCATCTATACCTAATACTAGAGATAACCTACTCCCAAACCAGTCCTTCTTATCTCCATTCCACCTCCAACTACACCTCTTTCTTTCATTTCTTTCATTATCTAGTTTTTTATTCTTTTCCTATAATACACGTTCCATGATAAATATCTTACTCAATGACAACCACAAGGTCACCGGCGTCAACCATATCACCGTTCTTGTGCATTATCTTAACGACCTTGCCTCCTCTGGTAGCCAAAACCATCATTTCTGTCTTCATGGCTTCGACCACAATAAGAGCCTGGCCTTTCTTGACCTGATCGCCAACGGCAACTAGCGATTTCCAGAACCGGCCCGAGTACTCTGAATGGACCATTTCTGCGTTCTCGTCAAACTTATCCTCTTCGCTCAATTGAGGACCACCTTTACCAGATTCAAGCTCAGCGTTAGAAACCTGGATCAATCTGCTGAACTCTTCCATCTTCTCCCCGCCTTGAGTCTTGTGGAAAGCGTCAATGGAGTCAGTGTTCTCCTGGATCCATCTTAAGTACTGTTCATGGTCGAACACAGAGTCAATGATCTCCACTGGGAACTTACCAGCAGACATTTCCTCTGTCAAACTATCAATCTCTTCTTCAGAAACAGGGTAAAACTCAACCTGGTCAAAAGGGTTCAACAACCATGGTTTAGCGGAATGTGCTCCAAGAGTCAACTTATCCCAAATAGGAACAGTCCTTCCAACTAACTGGTATCCGCCTGGAGAGTCCATGGTGTAGATACACATGTAAGAACCACCAATACCCACACATCCGTTTGGAGTATGAGTTCTGGATGGGTTATATTTGGTACCCAACAACCTGTGCCTTGGATCTAAAGGAACAGCACATGGAGCTCCCAAGAAGACATCACCAAGTCCCAAAACCATGTATCTGGCAGTGTACAACATATCCCTGACTGAAGACCTTTCGATGCCGTTGATGTTGGCAATGAAGTCAACGTTGTTAGGTAACCAAGGTGCTTCAGATCTGATAGTCTCTGAGTATCTCTTGACAGCATCCAACGTCTTCTTATCCTCGAAAGCCATAGGCAACTTGATCACTCTAGAAGGAACCTTCCATTTGTTAGTGAACACAATCTCCTTTTCAAGCGAAAGCAACGTTCTGACCAAATCGTTCTGGCTGATTATTTCACTGTACTCAATCAAAACAGACCTAACACCTCTGGACATTTCAACAATTCCCTTGACGCCAAGTTCACCGACCATTTCAATCAACTTATGGATTCTGTAGGCCAAATTGAAGTCCATGTTGTTCTCACCATACTCCACCAAAATGTACCTATCACCAGCTTGACGGTAGACGATCTTAGGGCACGAGCTGTTAGCTGGAATGCAAGCCAACACTGGGTCTTCAGGGCCAGAAAGCTGTTTATTGGTGAACGAAGGAACTTCTCCTTGCAAAGTCTCCACAACCTTATCCTGAGCCTTCTTCAATTCCTTAGCAGTATCGTAAGAAAGAGGGACAAACTTAATCAGGTCGCCTGGCTTGACTTGACCAATCTTCCACATTTCAGCTTCTGCAACCACAGCTTCACAAACGAAACCACCAAGAGATGGACCGTCACAGGTTAAAATCACCGGCTCGTCACCAGTAAAGTTAATAGCACCAAGTGAATAAACATAGTCATGGGCGTTGGATGGGTGCAAACCAGCCTCTCCACCGTCTTTTCTAGCCCACTTAGGTTTTGGTCCAATAAGTCTGACACCGAATCTGTTGGAGTTGTAGTGGACCTTCCATTCACTAAAAAAGAATTCCTGGACAGCTTCCTGGGTAAAGAAGTCAGGAGAGCCGTGTGGACCACAAGTGACACCCACAGTCCATGGAGTATCCTTATCAAATTTATAAGAAGGCACCAAAGACTTTGGAATATCAGTAGGAGCACTAGCTGGCATAGGCAAAGAGCAGCTAGGCAACTCAGGCTGGCCCAAGAACAAAACATCACCAAGGCGTAAAGTACGACCGTTATAGCCACCCAAGTTGCCCAAAGCAAACGTAGAACGGGAGCCTAAGTACTCGTTGACGTCAATACCACCACGAATAGCCAAGTAAGCTCTGCAGCCAGCATTCAATTTGCCAATACCCAAAATATCACCTTTCATAAGTTCCAAAGGTTTCCATTGGTCCACTGGTTGCTTGTTAACAGTAACCTCAACATCACCACCAGTAACTGCAACAATAGCACTATGGTGGAATAAAATACGAGGACCACTAAGCGTCATTTCCAAGCCAGGAGCAGCAGCATCGTTACCAACAGCACGATTAGCCATACGGAAAGCGTACTCGTCCATGCATCCAGAAGGAGGAACACCGATGTGCCAGTAACCCTTTCTACCAGGAAAGTCTTGAACTGTAGTGTAAGCACCTGGAGCAAGGATTTCAAGAGCTGTTGGACAGTAGTCGTAGGAATCAAGTACTTTAGTTGCAACCTTAGCAGTTTCAAACATCTGGGAGTTGGCAATGGAACGTAAGTAGTCGATGTTGGTGATACACCCAGAAACAGATGTCTCGTTCAAAGCCCAACGCAACTTCTGCAATGCTTCATCTCTGTCTTCACCGTGAACAATAATCTTTGCCAAGGTAGGATCGTATTCTCCAGAAACAACAGTACCCTTTTGCACCCAACCGTCAATACGAGCAAACGAAGGAAACTTTACTTCGGTTAATTGACCTGGAGAAGGCATGAACCCTTTAACTGGATTCTCAGCGTAGAGTCTGGCTTCCATGGAAGCACCCTTGACTTCAATACGCTGAGAGAAGTCTGGTGGAGTATCAGCAGCAATCAACAACATCCACTCGACCAAATCCAAACCAGTAACCATTTCTGTGATTGGGTGCTCCACCTGTAAACGGGCATTGACTTCCAAGAAATAAAACTCGTCTCTCTTTTCGTCATAAATGTATTCAACAGTACCAGCACACTTATAGTTCAAAAGAGAGCCCAAGGACTCGGCTGCTTTTCTCATACGCTGTCTAGTAGCTTCAGGTAAGTTTGGAGCAGGCGTTTCTTCAATAATCTTCTGGTTTCTTCTTTGTAAAGAACAGTCTCTTTCGCCAATGGCAAGTGCTTTACCATAACCATCACCCATCATCTGAATCTCCACATGTCTAGCGTTCTCCACAAACCTTTCAAGGAAAACACCAGAGTCGCCAAAATACGACTTTCCTTGATGCTGCACAGTCTGGAACACTCTTTCAATATCCTCTTCAGAGTCAACCTTTTGTAATCCGATACCACCACCGCCTGCGGTAGACTTCACCATCACAGGGTACTCCAATTGGGCTGCAACAGCACGAGCTTCTTTGGCATCAGTAACCAAACCAGAACCTGGAACCAATGGAACACCAGCTTTCTGGGCAATTTCTCTGGCTGAGTGTTTAAGACCAAGCTTTCTGATAGCGTCTCCAGAAGGTCCAACAAAGACAATACCTTCTTTACCACATCTATCAGCAAACTCAGCATTTTCAGACAAGAAACCGTAGCCTGGAATGATAGCTTCGGCACCGCTTTCTTTAGCAGCAGCAAAGATCTTGTCCATATGAATATAAGTCTCAGCAGCAGAAACACCATGGAGAGGAATGGCCTGGTCTGCCATAACCACATGTTCAGCGTACTTATCTGGGTCAGAGTAAACGGCAATAGCTTTGATTTTCATGCGTTTTAATGTCTTCATAATTCTGACGGCAATTTCTCCTCTGTTGGCAACAAGCACAGACCTGAATGGTCTTTGGGTCTTCTTGGCCTCAGCGTCCAAATGGGTATGGTAGTTCTTCCAGCCACCAAACTCTGTAATGTCTGTAGTGCCCTGAGCTAAGTAACCAGACTCTTCACAAATGAAAGATTTGATCCATTCGCCAGATGCTAGCTCCACAGATCCAATGCCCAATGGTTCAGGCACAAATGCAATAAACTGGCCAAACGTCTCAGCGGGAACTTCGTAAACCTCAATGGCAATCTTCTTACCCTTCTTAGAAACTCTTCTTAATCCAGGTTTGGCAACTGGTCCTGTTTTAGGCAATGCATAGAGTTTGTATGATTCAGAAGTGGTGGTCAGTTCAACAAAGGAAGCCTTGACTTTCTGTAACTGCCAATGCAATTGGAACCCTTTCAAATGGGCTCCCACAACGGCCAATTTAATAGTGTTCTTTAAAACCTTGCTGGGGAGTTCACAACGGTGATGAAGCAAGTCATGAACAGTGGCAGTCTTTTCTTGTTTCTCTTTAAGGCAACCGTAGAATCTAGGAACCTCAGTGGAGTACACTTTCATATACCTAGCGGCAAAGTCCAAAAGAGCATAGTCGTTGAATTTCTGGGAAAGGAATGTAACGCCAAAAGGCACACCGTCGCTGGTTCTGAAACCTGCTGGCACAGAAAGGGCACTCAAGTCAGCAAGGTTGACAAAGTTAGTGTATGTACCTTGGCAGGAATTGATTTTGATAGGCTCTGCCTGAACGTCAGCAATCTTCGGCGTCAATGGAGCTGTAGGAACAACAACCACATCTAATTCTTCGAAAATAGGTGTAATCTTCTGTACCACAGCTTGTCTTTTATACTCGTACTCAAAAGCAGTACTGGCAGAAACATGCTCACCGCCTTTAATAATAGCAGTAACAGTAGGATCCAAATCCTTCTCTGGAGGGTTGGTAGCAAGAAAGTCTTTTGTAGCCCAGTACCTTTCAGCAACCCAGGCACCCTCGTATAAGTATTTAGCTAAGTCAAGCAACGGCTGGATATCGACTGGCGACAAAGCAGAACCAGCCTTTTCCAAAGTAGAAACAGCCTTTCCGTAAAGCTTAGGGTTCTCTTCTTCACCACACCAGACCAATTTCGTAGGCACCCCGACCTTTGGAGCAGCGCCAAATGTCAACCTAGGGTTCTGTGGCATAGGTCTAGAGTAAGCATCCTTCAATGGATCTTCCTGGGCCAAGATATTGAACGCAAGCTGTGCGTCTTGCAAGTTCATGGCAAACACAGAAACACAGTCCAAAGACTTACATGCTGGGACAACACCATGAGCTGAGAAAACACCTTTGGTAGGTTTCAACCCAACCAAGTTGTTCAATGCAGCTGGTACACGGCCAGAACCAGCAGTATCTGTGCCCAAAGCAATAGGAACAATACCTCTGGCAACAACTGAAGCAGATCCAGCAGAAGAGCCTCCAGAAACGTACTCCTTATTGAAAGTATTAGGAGTAATGCCATATGGAGAACGCGTACCCACAAGACCGGTAGCAAACTGGTCCAAGTTAGTCTTACCAATAACTATAGCACCAGCACTACGCAAAAGCTGCACCGTAGTAGCATCTTCTTTTGGTTGGTAAGCAAACGACGGGCATGCAGCAGTAGTAGGTAAAAGCTTTGTATCGATATTATCCTTAACAGCCACAGGCACACCATACAACGGAAGAAGGTGTTTCTTTGAATGAGACTGAAGGAAGCTCCACTGGTGGTCTAAATCAGCTTCAGAAACCAACGAGATCCAAGCGGGATCTTCAGGAGCGGCGGATTGGGATTTCAAAAGTTCATGCAAAGTTCGAAGCGAATCATCAGGCGTAGCAGCGAAATGGAAATTTTTCCACTCTTCAACGGTCCAGCCGAACATAATCAAAATTGAAGTGAAGGAAATTGAAAACCACAAAAACCTCGGGCACCTGTGCTTATATAAGGCGATGAGCCAAGGAGGACCCGATTCCGAGCCCAAATAGGCATTTCATCGGGATTTGGGGCCTGGCAGTATGGTAAGGCTTTTTTTCCAAGCAGCCCGGAGAAACTGTGCAGCGATAAAGCAGTTGGCTGGTGGTATATGCAGTCTATCAGCAGTGGGACAGAAAACGCCAAACGCTTGAGATGAAAAAATATATACAAAAATAATACCCAAGCGAGAGTTAGATATGCCACGCCGGCGCGGCCCGAAACAACTTTTTTTGAAAGATACAGCTTGGATAAGGGAGATTACAAAAAATCAGGTGTTTTAAGAACCCCCAAGGCAAAATACGTGGTTGCCTCTGCCTTCCTATCTAAACCACCAGAACCTATGTTATCAGAGGGGAAACCGAGAAAAAGTGTCGCTTGGTATTTTCTCGCCTGGTAAACTCTCGCTTGTTTGGTCGACGATTAGCATCCGGATAAGACAGGCGCATGGGCGGGACCCGATTAGCTCCGGTTGCAGATAGTGCTAAGAAACGAAAATTCACACCTGTCTTATCCGGATCTGGCTTCTCATACGGCCTCGATAAGACGCTGTCAAGGCACGTGATTCTGCCTGGTCTGAAAATTCGCCGTTTCTGCCATCCCATGGCACTGGCAGAATATGTAATTCCGTGAATTCTAATTCTTGGTTTTTGAAACCCTTCTACTGGCTATTTCTGACTCCGTATTATTGTATAACTATTTTACTTCTTTTCGTCGAGCTCCTCGTCAATGTTATGTGGAGTAATGTATCCTCCATCTCCATTGACACCATCGAAGGAAGTGATTCTGGCTAATTCGGCAGAAACTTGACTTCTGACGGCGTGCATCTGCTCGGGGTTGTCGTTTTGCCATTGCCTCAATTTCCATGTTCTGCCGGTCATGTCCCAGTAAATGCCTCTCAATGTGTAGAATATACCGTAGCGGCCTTCCCAAAGTGGACCAATGATAACCACGAATCCAGTGATAAACGTCCAGATGAAAAGCACAACAATCCACCCGGTGAAAAACTCCCGGCTGAAAATGTACCCGGATCCGTACATGGGCATGGGCCATAAGATGATCAATGACAAGGCTAAAAAGACACAGATGCATGCGGCTTTCTTGAATGCCTTGTTGAGTCTCTTGGACTCTTCAGCGTAATCGTCGGCTTTCATAAGAGCAATTTCATGAGCAGCAATGGTGATTTGGGATTTCACTGGGTGGACATCGTCAGACATGCTTTCGGCGTCAGCGTGCGTTGGACCTTCGGCTTCTATAAGCTCGTCGGTTTCATCCACACGAGAAATAAGCTTCAAAAGGTTCCAGTCGAAGTTCTGGGGCTTGAAAATGAGCGTAAGGGTAGGAATGATAATCAATGGCGATAACAAGGCCACCACGTTACCGGTCAACATGGGATCATCCTCGAAAGTAGTGTATCTGTCGATTTTGCCATACTTGGATTTAGTGCAAACCAACCAGGACATGATAGCCAAACTGGTAGCAATTGGTGGAGTGAATGTAGCAGCAGCCCAGTTCTGACGCTTGGAGAAAAGCGTCAATGTAGAAGGAAGCACAGCTCCACCAATGATAATACCCATCAACTCATACAAGTAACCCATAGCAATACCAGCATAGTACAAGCCAATAGAAAACCCAGCCATGACATATGCAAACACGATAACTGAGCCGTGAGACATGAGCATCAACTTTTTACCAGATGCCTTAGGGTTGATGTATCCACGGTAGAAATCGTAAGTGAAAATGGTCGACACAGCAATAAGCTCAGAAGACATGGAAGAAGTCACAGCCAAGAAAGTCAACAAAATCGACATAACAGCACCAGATTTACCCAAAAGAGCAGTGGCAGCATTAGGCAAAACCAACCCAGCAGTGACTTCATCAGTGGTCATTGTGTGAGGGTAAGAAGGCCAGTGAGGTGTACCTTCCAATGCAAGGGCAGTAAGACCCATAGTAGTTGCAGTGAACATTGGGATAGCAAACCAAACCAAACCGCCCATAACGTATCCAGGCATGGTAGCAGCAGGGTCAGATGCAAAAGCCTTGTTGAAGTAACCATTGTCCAAGAAAACAGTACCAAAGTTACCAACAAGATTGATAACAAAGAAAATACCACCTGAACGAGACTGGATGGTCAAGTAAGAACCTTCAGCGTTACCCTCTCTTGGTTTAGTGAAAGCGAGCTCGGTGATCTTTTCCCAAACAACGCCAGGAGATCCCAACTTGTCAGAAACAGCAAAAGCGTTGAATGCAAAAACCAACAAAATCACCAACACGGCAACAGTATGAGCATAATCCGTAAGCAAAGTAGCCTTAAGACCACCAAACATGGTATAAATCACCACACCCAATGGTAAAAGCAAACAGCCAGCAACAACGTTCATGCCCGTCAAATCGTTCATCACAGCAGACCCACCAGTGAGCAACATGGCTGTGACAAGCACATTTGTAGCAAAACCCCAGAAAGAAAGGACACCGTGAGTCCACTTACCATAACGAGCCTTGACGATTTCCAAGTATGTGTGAGCACCAGGAGCCCGCTCCTTGCCCTTAATAGCTAAACAGGAAAATAAAATAATTTGAACCGTGGCACCACAGGCGTAGAACATGGCACCACCAACACCATTGTTATAGACTTGAGTAGTAGATGTTAAAAGCGTGGCTGCCCAAGTCCAAGACGAAACCACAGCAGCAGAAAGAAGAAATGGCTTGACGGATCTACCAGCAGTAGCGAATTCTTCAGCAGTCATAATTTCCTTGTTATAACGCTTAAGACAGTAGGTGGTGGCCACCATACCAGCGGAGAACACGAAGCCTAGGCCAACCACAACGGCATAACCAGCACCCTCAGGAAGAGGAACATATTGAGCAGCAGAAGACATTGATGTTTCCAGAGACTTTTATGTTCTATAATGTTGTAGCCTTGGATGGTCTGTCTCTTTATACTTTTTTTGCAGCCGTGTGCTATCAGTAGCATCCTGCACAAACTGAGACTTGATAACGGTTGCCATATTTGCTTCTAACCTGCCCTGAGGCGTTTATAGAAACATGCAGTTTGCTTTTCGCTTACCTGTTTGTAACTCGCCCCAAACCATAAGAAACATGCCTTGAAGTCGATGCAAAGGGATGAAGTTGCGTCTGATTTGGTTGGCGTCCAATCAATGTGCCGTGCTGTATAAACCCGTGTGTATGCAGTCTTATCGAAGTCCTCCAGAGATAAGAGCAGCACCAAGGCTAAATGCCAAAATTTTTCATTTTTGCGGCCCGTCGGCGAACCTTCATTTGCCGTAGATTCTCTATTACGGGGTGCATGAGGCAACTGTGACTAAAATGGGACCCTTTGGTCTCAAAGCCGTAAGTCAGCAAGGGAGGTTATTTCAGTTACGAAAACTTCAAGCCTGCTAAATCCTCAAGAAGTAGACTGTTATCAGCGGGGGAATCTGTAGCTGGAGTGGACTGCTGGGGCGATACTTCGCCGAATTCATAGTTATCTTTCAAGTTCACCAACAATTGGCCCACTTCTTCGTCATACTGGGTTTTGAGATTAGATGTTATCTGTTTTTGCTCAGTCAAGCAATCTTCTTTGGCTTGGCTTCTCAATTCTTGCTCACTCTTGAGTAGCAGGCAAAGCTTCTCATCGAACTTGTTAACAAAGTAGAACGTGCCTGAAATGTGCTTATCAAAAACGACCAATTGTTCTTCAATACATCTATCCATTTCTTCCATGCAAACACCGTGGGCCCATCCAAAATGGTCTGCAATTTCGGTTATGGTGCAGCCATGAAACACATGATAGTGCTGCTTTAGGTAATGGTCCTCGTCTCCTTCATACTCCAGCTTGAATTTCTCATATGAAAATAAGTTCTCCTGTTTTATAAGAAATTCCAAAATAGTCCAGTGTAGGTCTTTTTGCAGCTGCAGTTGTCTCTGGGTGATAACAACGAGACCCAGTCGGCTATAAGTTTTGAGCTTTATCGGGAGGTTGAGGGTCTCGAACATCCCTGTGCACTTTGTAAAATCGGCTGTAGTTATAAGCTCTGTCCCGAAACCTTGTGTGTAAAGCCGATAGCGGTTGTAAGATGCGAATGTGTCCTGGACTGTTATCATGGACGTGGTTTTTGTGAGTTCAGTGTTTAGAAGGTATTCACAAATATGTCTTGCGAGCTCTTCCATGTAAAATGATGATGATTTGTTGGCGGGGATTGGTGGGATGGTTGATATACCGACGTTGTGGGTCTTAAAGTTGTTTTCCTTCTTCACCAACGATCCAAAACTTGATCCTATTTTTATAAGATCCTGGGCTTTGAACATAAATTGCTCCAAATCCTCAAGAGACAGGGAAAGAACCATTTCGTTCCTCTTCCGCTGTTGCTCGCCAAGTTGTTGCAAACTATGAATACCTCCGCCTTTAAGCCTTGTCTCAGTGTTTGCAGAGGATTGGTTGACCTTCGTGGCAGCATCACTAATCCCACCCCGCTGCTCCAACGACTCCCATTTAATTTTATCTATCGCTTGGACGGCGTTTTCCAAGAATCCTGTCTCGCCGCCCTTTCTAAAACTCACCTTAATGTAAGGTTTCTGGTTGGTATACTCCTCGGGCTCTTCTAAAGTGAGCCCCAAGGGGTTTTGGTACAATGGAGAGTCTGGTCTCTCATGAAGAGCAATCTGCTTAGCCAAAACCGACGCCCGGGGTTTAAGTTCTGTGCCACACATTTCACAGTTTCTCATACTTGGATGATTAATAAACGTGCAACGAGGACACTCGTTCTTCTTCAGGTCAGGTTTCGGATCCAGCGCAGGCTCCTTCTTCATAGCGTCCTCTATAACCTTCCGTAACGCTTCTCTCGAAGGAGCAATGCCACACGAAACACACTTCGGTAGGTCGTTCCGATCCACATTGAAGTTTGTAGCGATATGATTATTAAACGAACATATCATGCATGTCCACACAGCACTCGAAACCTCTCTTAGCAGCGCAGTAGACGAATTTGAACTCGATTCCAAGCCTGAAACGCCAGCTGTACCACCACCGTTCGTCTGGTCGCCCTTAAGGTAAACCTTCACCTTAGGCGACGACCTCAAGAACCGTTCCACCAACTCGGCACACAGCACGTCTTGCAAGTTCAACCCTATAGCTTTCTTTCCCCCAGCATCCACATACATGATTCGTTTATTGGTCAAGTACACTCTTCCATTCTGGTGACCGTTGATCTTCAGCTTTCCCTGGTACATCCCCACGCCATCTTTCACATACAAGCTGTGCTCGTTATCTAGAAACACCGGTCGACTGGCCTTGTTTATTGGAACAGCATGCCATATGTTTAGTCGAGACATGAGGCAATTGGCGGTGGTTTGATGAAGAGTGGTTGCTTTAGTGAGTTGAGGCTCGTTAGGTTCTTTAGTATGCGCGCTGATATATAAGATATGGAACATGAATATGGAATATGGGCGGGATGGGGAGGTGTGGATCTGGGGATATGCAATTAGAAGACGCTGGTTGGCAATGGAGGTGGATTTGTATGGTTTTTCTGATCGTTGTTTTCTTCTTTTTATATATACTTTTATGTTTATGGTTCATGACTTTTGGTGGAATGGACTGGTATTGTGGATTGGCTGCGAAAGATGGAGACTACTGTGAATACACGAGTCAGTTCACGGGAGATATGGATAGTATATAGAGTAATTTTTGATGGAGCTTTTCCTAAGTAGCAATCTCTCTATTTCATTAAATGTTGCTCAAAGCTAAAGTTTTCGGAAACTTTCGTTGTCTGGTCGTTGCTTGGTGGCATGTTGACGTTGGTATGGTACTTGGTGCAATGGAAGGTGCTTCACCAGTCAACTGAATACTCGGTGAATCTAAATGAAAAATACTATTTTGAATTCCTCGGCATTGGTTTAGCAATTTTAGTATAACTTCTTGATCTTATGAGTTGTTACGTTACATTGGTAGTGTACTCCTTCACGTACTACTACACCTCCAGTGATGCTACTAACTTCCATCATGGGCAGCCAAAGACGGACACCACTTCAAAACGACAATCGAAAGTTTGGATTATAGTTTACAGCTAGCTGGAAATAACCACATACTAACAAGAATTATTTAAGACCACTCAGTGCACATTTACCTTACCCATGGCTGTCTGAGACAGTGTATACTCTCTACTACCATCCACCAACCACCAACCATCAACACCAGAAACCATCCCAATTTAGGCAACTACCAGAGTTTCATAGGATACAACCGAAAGTGTCAATCTCAACTAATCCAATTCCCTGGGACCACCACTGCTTACCAACTAACATGTCCCTTCTTGGTCCCCACATTTGCACCCAAAACGCTCACCAACCTACCAACCTTCCAGTACCCAATGAACAACAACCAACGCCAATAGCAAAAACCACAATTGCACAATTAGTACACTCGCCCCTTTTAGGCCTACTTTATACTAATCTCCATTTTTCCCAACCTTCTCTCCTTATAAGCCCCACTGGTCCCTTATCCTCTCTGCCCTGCCTCTACTGCGGGACCAATTCACCGTCTCCAGCCAAACCAGCCAAACTTCCACCACCCTGCCAATTCCAACCCCCAGCTTAAACCAACAAAATAAACAAATCAATTTCTACCGTCCAATCTACACCAACCAAAAACTCCAAACACCAACCCTCCCCTTCTTCCCTTCCCATCCATCACCTGTAGCAACTGTAGACGGGCTTTTTCGCAGCCATATTCTTTCCACTGTCAACTCCTATCTGTCCACCAACCACCGATCTGTTCACCAGTGTTTCTTCTCCACTGCCATCTATACCCAGTGAAAGACCGGTAATTGCACCGCCCCAGCCCATTACACCACAACTACCAACGTCAGTCGTCTTTTTCACTCAGTGGGCCACAGATCAAAACAGCCTCCAGTATGGCTTTTCTTCTTAAACGAAACCCAAAGACGCCAGCTGACCTCGTACGGGCGCTAAACGAGCTCATTGGGAAATGGGACTTCAACGTCGACTCAAAGAAGTACCAGGACGACTGCTCTAGGTACTTGAAACAGATCAAGGTGATTCTTCATGGCGACGAAGAACAAGACCCCCAGCCTGACCAGATCCTGGCATTGGCCCAGGAAGTCCACGCTACGGATTTGCTAGGCCATTTGATTCATAACTTACGGAAACTAGACTTTGATCTGCGTAAAGACGTGTTGATCTTGTTTCTGACGCTTTTGCGACGGCAGATCGCCAACGAGAGCCCTACGGCCTCGTATTTGCTCCATCATAGCGAAATCTTGGTGAAACTCATGAAGGGCCCGGAGTATCCTGACGTGGCGCTTGTGTGTGGGCAGATTTTGCGTGATTGCATCAAGTTTGAGCTGATCAATCGGTTTGTGCTTTACCATCCGTTGTTCTGGCGGTTTTTCAAGTATGTCCAGCAGCCGCTCTTTGAAGTGGCTACAGACGTGTTTGTCACGCTCAACGCTTTGCTTACAGTACATAAGAAGCTTGTGGCTGAGTTTCTTCTGGCAAACTGTGCTCAGTTTATTGAACATATCAACGAGCTCATCAAGCTGGATAACTACGTGACGAAAAGGCAGTCTGTACGTTTATTACGTGAGCTTGTGCAGCAGAAACTGAACCAGCAGTTCTTGATGAGCTACTTTGACGACGCCAAAAGTCTTAAGATTGTGATGATCCTTTTAAGTGATAAGCTGAAAAACGTGCAAGTGGAGGGGTTCCACATCTTCAAGTTCTTTGTTGCAAAGCCCAAGAAGTCTCCTAAGATCATCGACATATTGGCGAAGAACAAAGACAACTTCCAGCATTTCTTCGATAACTTTGACGTCAACAACACCGCTCCAGGCCTGGTTGAAGAGCGTGACTACATCTTACAAGAGATCCAAAAACTAGAAGCGCCACACTAGATCGGCGCCGATTAGATATATATAGTAAATTGAGGGTATTCGGGTAACTTTGGGGTTTAATCTAACCCACCACTCTAGACCAGTTCTCGAACTCCTCCTCTCCGTATTGGATCTTTCTGAGCCATTCAGCAACCTGGATAGTCAACTCACCAGCGTCGCCAGCAGCCAATGGCACGGAAATGTCCTCACCCTTCCAGCCAATGGTCTTGATTGGCGAAACAACGGCAGCGGTTCCGGAACCGAAAGCCTCCACCAACTCACCATTGGCAGCTCTGTCTTTGACTTCCTGGATGGTGAACTTTCTCTCAGAGACAGTCCACTGGTCCTGGGGCAATCTGGCTTTAGCCAAAGCCAACACAGAGTCTCTGGTGACACCCTCCAAGATGGTACCGTCCAAAGGAGCAGTGGCCAACTCGTTCTTGCCGGTCTTTGGGTCCTTGAACACGAAGAACACGTTCATGGTACCGACCTCGGTGATGTAGTTCTCTTCACCGAACAACCACAAGTTCTGCTGGTATCCTCTGTTAGCAGCCTCCAACTGTGGCTTCACGCATGGGGCGTAGTTGGCACCCAACTTCTTGTCACCAACACCACCTGGCCAGGCTCTGACGGCGTAGTCGGTGGCCTCCAAAGAGACTGGCTTGAAGCCAGTGGAGTAGTAAGGACCAACTGGCGATGCAATAACGTACAAAAGCGCTCTGTCTGGGACAGCAACGCCAAGGGTAGCAGAAGTACCAATGATGGTTGGTCTCAAGTACAAGGAGTAGCCCTTACCCTTTGGAACAAAGTCCTGGTCGAGTTCCACGAACTTGCTGACCAACTTGACGAACTCCTCGCCGTCGAAAGTAGGCAAGACGATTCTCTCAGCACTCTTGTTCAATCTCTTCATGTTCATGTCTGGTCTGAACATTCTGATCTTGTTGGACTCGTCTCTGTAAGCCTTCAAGCCTTCAAAGGCCTCGAAACCGTAGTGGAAAACGATTGTGGATGGGTCAAAGGAGAAGTTATGGTAAGGGTTGATTTCTGGAGTGCCCCAGCCCTTCTCGGCGGTCCATTCGACCTCCAAAATATGGTCAGTGAAGGTTTTACCAAACACCAACTGGTCGTTTGGAAGCTTCTCTTTAGGAGAAGAAGTCTTTGTGATTTTCAAAGCAGAAGCGTCTAAAGGAGCCTGAGTCATTGTGGCGGTGGAATATGAAAAAAACCTTGGTCTAAATAAGTTAGGTCTAAATAAGTTAGTTGGAAGTCTAAACAGAGCCAAGCGGGACGATAGGCTCATGGAAGGAGAGTGGTGGTTGGAAGAGTAATTTTTCGCTGGGCTGAAAAACAAAAAAAAAAAAAATTGGTAGGCAACCAACATCCCGACGACGTCACCATCCTCTCAATTGCAAAAGTCCCCCCCTTACTGTAAATCCCAATTCGTCGACATACCTTTACTGAAAGTGAGACTTGATTTGACTTTTTTTCGTTCCTTTCAATGTGTGGAGACTCGGTTCCTTTATACTTCCCAATGCCACTTTTCACCCCGCCGTGAGCGGCCGGCCCATATTCAGTCAGAGGGTTGAGTCAGACTCGCCGCGAACAGCCGAAAGGGCTCTGCGGCTTGACAGTAGTTGAAAGAAAAGGGCCTTTTGGATGGATAAATGGAGGAACGAAAAGGAATGGGTTTGAATTGGTCGGCCAAATATGGAAAGGATATTGGGGGATATTAAAAGGATGTTTGGGAATTGGGCAGATGGAATGGCTGCGCTTGTATAGAAGCAGGTAGGCCTGGACCGGTACCGGAAGGGTATAGGCTGGAGGAAGTGGCTCGAAGTGACAGATTCACTAATTGACTTTCTGTCAACCGAAGATTGGTTGGTTCATGTGGATTGAAAATTCAACTGCTTCCTTAATACCCACGGGTATTTCCTGTTTCTTTGTCTTCTTGGTTCCAGGCTTTTCTGCTATTTAGTGACTCATTTGCAGCCATTCTCTGCTGAAAGGCTTATCCACATCCCTAGTAAACTCTTAAATTTTCAATGTAGCTTCCCTGAACATACATTCTTCCGTCCTTCGATATCTTCACCAATTCGGCATTCTGAACCGTCTTTCGGGACGTCCATACCGTTCTGTACCGCCCCACGTTGACTCCATTGGCTCGGATCACTCTGAGCACTTCAGACTTCCTCGAAACCCACGTATCTGGACGAGCTTTCTTGATGTAATCCTTCGTGATGAGCGTATTGGTGGAATCGATATCTCCAAGCGTAAGCACTTCCATCTTTAACCGCCCTGAAAGTCTTGGTATCACCACATCATTTGGAGACAACCTCGACTTGGCCTCTGCCTCGGTAACTATATACATTTCATTCTCTTCGGGTTTGACAGGACCGTCAAAAACACAATCTGTTTCTTTGGTTGTAGGTGCACGAGCACATTGAAGGAAGAGCTTCTCGTCCTTGTCCTTTGGTGCAAACGCTGTGTATGTATGGTAAAATGCTGGAGTAAGCTCAATATAGTGGTTGGGCACCTCTTTAAGGTGCTTTGCTAAATGGCTTGGTCTGACCAATGTGTTCTGGTACTTTGCCTCGGGCTGGAAAAGGTTCTTCCATGTATAATATCCCGATTGCATGAACGAAAGTTCGTGAGTCTTGAGCTGTCTTGGTTTTGCTTCACATTGGTCAAATGCTTCAAGAGCAGGCTGGAATCCTTTGACTCCCAACCGCTCCCAGTCTATGTCGGTGACGTTTCTATCATTTGGTGTATCTCTAAAGTTGTCCACCAACTTTCTATCCGAATTGGCAAGTTTCAGCCATAAGGTTTGAATAAATGAACGCTTGTATGACGACGTTTTTGCAGATTTAGCATGCTGGCGAAGGTTCTGTAGCCTCTCTTCGAACTGCTTTGCAGAATGGACACCATACTTGGAAGTGTACCATAAAGGATGTGCTTCAGTAGAAAAGACCCAGTTCTTTCTGGACATAAATGGCTTATGCAAAAACACCTCATCAGCTTCGTCAAAAAGCAAATACAAGTACTTGAGCAGCTCGCCCATAACAAAAGTCTCCATTCTGTTCTGAAGCTTGCCTGTCTTGACATCCTGGTAACCAGCCAATCCGCAAACAGCCATAAATCTTGTTTCAAAAACAGAAAGAATACGAAGACCAATCTGCAAGTACATAGGGTCCTTGGTGGCCCTGAATAAATAGTATGTGGACTCGATGAACTCTGGACGTAATGGGTACCATTCGAGGTTGATAGCGTTGGCAAGCTTCTCCTCTTCCAGATCTAGTCTCGAAGCAGGACTCAAGAAAGACCATCTTTCAGGTACGGCATCAAAGTAGTCCCACATTTTCATATAAATAAGGTGGCTCAGTATAGCATCTGTAAGTCTACCAGATAGAACCTGAAGACCAGCCCAAAAAGCACCTAGAGAGTCAATCCACGTAGACACAATCTCTCCACTTCCAGTGTTAACATTGGCAAAGATTGTTGGATCGTGGATACCGTTGCTCTGAGCCAGGTGTGATAAAAGCGCCATGTAAGCTCTACTGAACACCAGCCACAAGCTCTTATCGTTGAATATAATGGATCCCTTAACAGCGTACTCGTAGAAAGAGTCGACCAGCGCTCCCACGCCTGTAATTGAGTCGATCCATTCGGATTTCACCGGATCGATGGTCATAGATAAGAGGCCTAGCACGGACCGAGAGTGCCAGATCTTCCAGAACGAAATACTCGTCAACTTCTCGAATTGCATGTCGCCAGTAAGTTTCAGAAGAAGTGCAAACTCCACATACGGCGTGGTCACTCCAGAAGTGCAAGTCACATCGTTCAAGTGCAGAGGCACAGCTTCAAGGCCCTTGGCAAGGTTGACCCTTGGAAACGGCAAGTTCGTTTCTGACTGGTAAGCTGGAATCAAGCGAATTCCCAAATCATACGCTAGAAGAAGCAAAAAGCCATCATACTCTTCACAAATCCTTCTAATCTCGTCATACTTCTCCTCCATAGGCCACGGCACGTCTGTAAGCATCAAATGGGCCGAAAGAAGCCCACCAAGCCACCGAATCAGCGCCTCAAACACCTGAACAATCGTATCCTGCTCAAAAAGCGTCGCCTGGTTTTCATGCAAATACGCCAATGCCTTCTCGAGCTGGCTCCAGTCCTCCATCACGAAAAGCAGGTCTAGGTTGTCTATCACAGTCAGCGACACATTCGCCAAAGCGTCGTTCCTCATATTCAGTGGATTCGCATAGTCAGGCCCGTACGGTTCACACGTAAGCGGTCTCACCTCGTCTGCTGGGAACCCAAACGCCATGTACGAGTCCCAGGCATGCTGGAAAAGTGATCTGGTATGAGCCTTGAGCTCACGAAGGTGATCTGGCGTGAACGCAGCGTGCTGGTCGTATCGAAGTGCCAATGTGGGCGGTAGAAGCACCGCTAGTACGGCATACTGTAGTAGAGAAAGCATAAGGATGTGGTGTTGGGGCTGGAGTTGGAGCAAGTGGTGTAGAGCGTTGGTGATGGTGGAGTGCACAAGAGGGTACTTGGCTGGAGAAGGTGGGATGGGATGGGAAAGGATGGGAAGTGGGTATTTTGGGAGGATGTTTGGGGAATGGATTGTTTGGAGGTGTTAGATTTGGTTTAGTCTTTTTCTGGGTTGTTTTGGTGGGTTGGGTGTGGTTTGGCGGTGGACTGTGGAGGTGTGGTCTTGTGAGCAGTAGCTGTATTGGTAGATGCTGTGGAGGGACAAGAAAGGTAGTGAAACTTGGAGAAAATTGTAAAGCAAGAGGTTTTAGATCGTTTAGTTTGATATGAAGTGTTTATTGGTTAGTGATTTGTTTGTCTACTTAAGGAGTATAAGTGTAGTAGCTTGAGTACTACAGTCTAGGAAACACAGGCAACCTAGAAACTTAAAGCTACACCAATTACCCTTTTACATATAATCTCTTAGTTCTTCTTCTTACTTTTTTCTCTACCCCTCCCTAAAATGAATAAATCGTATGAAGTATATGCAAGGTATTTAATTATTAATTGATATTACTTCTTCTTCTGTCTGCTGCCCTTGGGGATTCTGGAGAGCCAGTAGAACCCAATGGTCAACACAAAGTCAAACACAATAAAGCCAATAAACACACCGATATCTCTCCATCTGGTGTGGTAATCGGCGTTGATGGATTTCAAGAACGGACCGGTATCCTTCATTGTACAGAAAACACATCTAGGTCCGTTATCCTCGATTTGAGTTAAGTACCCACCTGCTTTGGCCATATATGGAGCCATGTACTGGTTACACAGCATGCCTTGAGGAGGTGCAAAATGGAGAAGCTCGGAGTCTGAACACTCGACAGTCGAATGGGCCAAACCAACTGAAAGCACCACCGAAACCAAGTACGTAAATGGATTGAAACGGTACATGAAAAGCCAGAACTGGGGCATTTTATCTTTTGGAACCAACACACCACAGAAGTTCAAACATGCTGTGAATAAGAAGATGGAAAGGTTAGCTGCGTTCTCTGCCAACTCAATAAACGAAATACACAACTGTGCCATGGAGGATGTGTAAATGTAGAAAAGCACAATGGTAAACCACATGGTAGCTCCACGCAGATTCACGGTATCTGTTTCAGTGGCATTATGGTAAAGGCCAATCGGATAGTACCAACAGAAAAAGGCAGCAGTTCCACAGATAACGTTCCATGGAATCTCTCCAGTGATCTGGGCACAGATAAATGCAAACCATGAGAAGGTCTTGGAAGGTCTTTCACGAGCTTCGTATAAGGATCTCTGGGCGACAAAGTGTGGAAGGTATTGATGGGAAAGGGTAATGAAAACAAGGAAGAACATGAACACCGAGAACATCTGGTTTTGAAGACCCTGAAGGGTTTTATCAGCGTTGAAGAATGCAAAACCATTGAACAAAGCAGTCGAAACAGCCAACACAGCCTTGGATAAAGTATACGAAGGCGTTCTCCAACACTGTTCAAAGACTCTCTTGGTTACCAAAAGGTACTGCAACAAGTAACCAGCAGCATAAGACTTTTGTCTATCTGGATCGTCATCTTTAGGTAACTTGACAAGTTCCTTCTCCATAGTATCAAGTTCCTCTTGCACTTTAGCATATTCGTCAGACTTAAGCCAAACATCATAGTAGTCCTGGTCAGCGTGACTACCTGGAGCAGCGCCAATGACTTCCAACATCCATTCGACTGGGTTGGCATGTGGGGACATTTAGCTGCACCGTACTTCTCAAAGTAGTCAATAAGCGTTTGACAGCTGTGGCCTAAATCTCCAAAATACACAGTCTGGCCACCTTTCTGTAAGAACAAAAGACGGTCAAATTCTTTCATCAAAATAGCTGAAGGCTGGTGAATGGTACACAAAATGGCCTGGCCATGGTCAGCCAACTTTCTGATCAATTTACAAATCGACCAGGCAGTTTCAGAATCCAAACCAGAAGTTGGCTCGTCCAAAAACAAAAGTAATTGTGGTTTGGCAACAAGCTCAACACCAATAGTAAGTCTCTTTCTTTGCTCAACATTAAGTCCTTCGCCAGGAACACCAACAACAGCATCTGCATACCTCTCCATCTCCAAAAGCAGAATAATATAGTCAACATAATCGTCCTTTTCAGCTTTAGAAACTGAAGATGGTTGTCTCAAATAAGCTGCAAACTTAAGGGCTTCTCTGACTGTGGAAGTCTGTAAATGCAAATCTTGCTGCTGGACGTAACCAATAGATCTTTGGAATGAAGAGTCCAAGGCTTTACCATTCACCATTCTCACACCGTCGGTGATAATACCAGATGTCAAACGATCAGAAAGAGTGTTAAGCAAAGTTGTCTTACCAGCACCAGACGCACCCATAAGTGCCGTAACCTGGCCTGGCTTCACCCAACCATCCACATTATTCAAAATAACTCTTTGCTCAGTTTTGATCTTCACCTCGTACTTAAGATTACGCCAGTGAAGGATCTCATTGGAAACTGGAAGCTTAGCATCACTCAGGGTTTGGGAATTTTCAGAATCACGAGCATCGTAGAAGTTATCTTCGGCCTTCATTCTCTCACTCTCACCGGTCTCGATATCCTTCCTTCTCTTTCTTTCTTGTTTTAAAGCTTTATGCTGGAACACCAAGATCTCTCCATTCTGCATTGCACCCTTGTTATACTCAACCAAAGTGATATAAACACAAAGGAAGAACAAAGTGTACGCCACGAGAATACCCCAGTTTCTCCATTTATGACTGTTGTAGTACTCGAAAGAAAGTCCAATGTATGCATCTCCATTGACGGTAGGGCTACCTGGAACGGCTCCCACAACTCCACAAACCACATTAGGCCCAACTTCAGGGTAACTTCCTCCTCTTGGAACCATAGAGGCACAAGGGAAGTTTCTGTCGTGGAACTCGTTTGTGATCAAACTTTCAAAAGCATAGGCAACTGGGTCAATGTAGTTGATCCAACGACACCATCCATGCATACTATTAGGTGGAATGACAAAACCAGTAAACACAATTAAGGTGAAAAGCAAAAGGGATGCAGGTGTCATGGCTTGTTGCAAGGAAGTGGTAGCTGAACCGATACTTCTGAAAATATGGGACATGGCCAAAGTACAAGTAAAGTTGATAAGCCAGTAGAAGAAGAAATGGCCAGCGCTTTGTCTCAATTGAACCACAAAGTAAAGAATCAAGTTGAAGCCAATGGAGGTAATGATTTTAGGTGGAAGTTCGGTAATGATAGACGCTAGAGCATCTGCAGCTGGACGGTAAAGGGCAAACTTCTTGTGTTTCTCAACCACCGGTCTGGCCTCGTATAAGGAGAAGACCTCTAAAAGGGAGCAAAAAGCATTAAACAACACTGCAAAGAAAAGCACAGCCGTACGTGAATAGAACGATTCGGTGTTGAACTGAAGGTTCTTGAAAATCGTCGCAATAAGCACAGAAACGATGATGTTACACACCACATTGGAAACAGTAACAGATGGATCACCCCGAAGACGAAGCATATTTCGTTGCATAATGTATCTGACTTGCATGTCGAAGGAAACAGTATAAGAAGACTTGGCTCTTGTTCTGGAAGTCTGAGTAGCCAAGTGGTGTTCCTTGAACCGTTTAGCTCTAGCATTGATATCTTCTGAGACAAGGTATTCGTCAATCTCTTCCACGAGAGCAGCACGTTCTGGAGAATTCTGCCATATATCGTAAAACTCCTTTGGTGTTCTAGGAACCTTATCTTCGAATCCGTATTGTGGCTCTCTCTGACTAGGATTCGTCAAGGACGTCAAGAAGTCAGCGGTAGTTTGCCTTTGCGGGCAGTGCCAGCCCATTCTAACAAAGTATTCTTTAGCATATGAAGTGCTTCCAAAGAAGATCTGGTAGCCTTCGTAAAGCAACACAACCTTATCAAACAAATCATAAGTATCTTGAGAACACTGGTAAATAGCCACAAGCGGTGTGGCATTGCAAATCGTAGCAGATGTCTTTAAAGCTCTAATAAACTCCAACGCCGTAGCCGAATCAAGACCTCTAGTAGAATTATCCCAACACTGTAAACTGGCCTGGGAAAGGTAAACTTCAGCGATAGACACTCTCTTACGCTCACCTCCAGAAACACCTCTAACGAAATCGTTACCGACCTTGTGTTCTTAGTATGAGAAAGACCGTACGTCGCCATAGCCACATCAGCCATATGCCTGGAGTAGTCCTCACGAGAAATACCCGCTGGACGGTTCTTTGGGGTTCGAAGTTTGGCTGCAAACTGTAACGTATCACCCACTAACATATGTGGAAAATGACTCTCGACTTCAGCACAATACACCACATCGCCACGAAAGTGGTGAGATATATCGTGAGGAGTAAACCCGTCGTACAGAATGGTGGAGTTCTTATCCACATTCACACCGTGTGTTTGAGTAGCCAACGTCTTGAGAAACGTAGAACAACCAGCGCCTGGACGGCCCAAGACGACTGTAAGCTCACCAGGCTTAATCAACCCGTCCATCGGCTTCAAAATGTCAAACCTGATTGCATCCCTATACGCTTTGTTGTGGCCCTTGATCCACTGCATTGTAGTCTTATAAATGACATTAGCAAACGTTGCCTGGTAATCTGAATCTGTAGAGTGTCCAAACACACTCAAGTTCTTATACGCCACGCCCAACAGAGCTGATTTAAAGTAGTCATCGTCCAGATCCACCAACTTTCGTAAATTTTTCACCCAGAAGCGCAGATCAAACTTCTCTGAGTTAGGATCAAGCCTAGCGTCAGCTGAAGTGACCGGATTCTCTCCGTGAACCTGAGACTCATGGCTCATAAACCGATACAAGGCATTTTCAGCCGTTTCTGAAGACAGCGCTTGGCCTTCACTATGCTGCTGGATATCCCTAGCAATGTCCTTGATTTCAGCCTCCACCGCAGGCGTAAACCCTTGGTAAGTGCTCAGCGACCGAGAAGACATAACAAAGATAAAATGAAGAACAGAGTAGTATTTAGATAAGATCTGCGGGCTATATACGGGGCGATGGCCCGAGGAACGCTGGGATGCCTGGAGACCGCCCAAAGGGGTCAGGGCATGGACATCATCTGAGGTTTTTCGCAGCCAAAGTGGAAAAGTAGGGTGGTTCCGCCGCATGCCACCTGAAATTGGCCCCAGCTGGTTTTTTTAACTGGGGTTTTTGGATGGTAGAGGAAAGCCGTTGGCTTTTTGGATTATTATGGAATGTCCTTTTTTATTGTCACTGTGTGAGCTTCAAGTTGGGTGCAAATTGTGGGTTCCGCGGGACGCCAGTTGAGTAAAGCTACAGATCGACAGACTTTAGGAATAGCCGAGGATGTAGAAACGTAGAAGCAAGAAGGTTTGGCTAGCCAGGGCAAAAGCAGTCAGAAAGGAGCCATTTACGTATAGAAATCGCTTCTTGGAGTTAACGAACCGAGGAGGGCTATGCTAAGGTGGTCCTCGGTAGGTTAGTGTATGGAGCCAGTGAGGGAAGGATAAGGTATGGCAAGTGTAGGAAAAGATGGAAGAGTGGTGTTATGTTTATTATTGTTACATGGCTTTGTTGGTTGGGCTGGTCGTACGAGATTGGGTTTGCTTTTGGGGTCAGTTTGGAGTTTTAAGGGTCCTTGGGTGGAGGGTTGGTGGATGTGGAGGGTGGTGGTTGCAGTGGTTGTACTGTTACTGGTGGTCAGCGAAGGTGAGTATGTATTTTGGGTATTTAGTTGGTAGACTTCTGTGTGGTTTCGAAATTTGGTTATATGATGTGAATTAGCTGTGCTGGGTTTGTTTTGGTACTTTTTGTAAGGTTGGTGAACTTTTGGTGGTGGTTGTAGAGTATTGGTTGGGCTGGTACTGTTGTGGTACTGTAAGTGAGACAGTAGAGGATGTAGAGGGTATCAACAAATGGCCATGTAGAATAGTTTTTTACTTTTGTTTTATGTTAATCTTCTTCTATGGAATGGCCTGATGAGGAAAAATTGATCATTTAATAAAAAAGTATTTGTCATGCTTGGTAAGTTTGTGGTTGTTCTGGGTATCAACAGAGTCAAGGTTAGTTACAGTACAAGGAACCAAAGAAGTCAGTTTCAGGCGTACTTATTGGAAAACACCGCTGAATAAATTAGAATCTTCAATTTTTGCTACAAATGAAGATAATTTTGGATTTTTCTAACTATTTTCCTTTATTGTGTGCCTTTTTGTATGGGCCTAGATTCACCTAGTTTATGGTTATACTGTGGATTTCGCAGCCATTACACAAAAGTAGTGAGAAAAGTTGGTTTGAGAGAAAGTATGTAAATACTATAGATCAAATTGACAATAAAAAAATCAAAGCAAAAAATAGAACTTTTCGACTAAACAGCCACCGAGCTATCGGGGGGTGCTTTTAGAATTCAAATATCTTCGTTTTTGGTGGATTTGGTGGATTTGGCAGAGGGTTGATTAAGTAAGGGGAAATCATCATGCCCTGGACTCCACTACCTTCTCGTTTCATTATTCCAGAAAAGCACAGCTTCTCCAATCTTACCTCCCCTACAACAACGAATTCCTAACTTGATTGTTTATTCGACCGCTTGGGGCCGATTCGAGCGTGGCTCGCTATATATTACACTCTGGCAGAACCAGAATTGAATGCAGATGGTGGGCCTGCGCTAGACAGACCTTTAGTTTCATGACAACAAGTGCCATTTTCTTTGCTTAACGGTATGGAGCATCGGCGTCAATACAGTACTGCAACTCCTGCTCCCACTTGTCACCGTTGGCCAACAACTTCTCCTTGTTGTACAACAACTCCTCACGAGTAGCGGTGGAGTACTCCACGTTAGGACTCTCCACAATGGCATCAACAGGACAAGACTCCTGGCAGTAGCCACAGTAAATGCACTTGGTCATGTCGATATCGTACTTGTAGGTTCTTCTAGACCCATCGACTCTCTCCTCAGCCTCAATAGTAATGGCCTGAGCTGGGCAGATGGCCTCACACAACTTACAAGCAATGCATCTCTCCTCACCGGATGGGTATCTTCTCAAAGCGTGTTCGCCTCTGAAACGAGGAGAAATAGGTCCCTTCTCGTATGGGTAGTAGATGGTGTATGGCGAACGGAAGAACATCTCCATACAAATGTACATGCCTCGAGCAATCTCGTTCAAGAAAAAGAACTTGGTAGCCTTGGAAAGTGCCGATTCGCTCAGCTCCTCCCACGTCTTTGGTCTAGGTTGTCTGAATCCTTTAGGCCACACAGACTGAGTAGACCCACCGGTGGTCAAGTACTCTGGAGAGGCAGCAACGGCTGGTTTGGCGAGCCTGGCAGAGGTGGCAAGGCCACGTAACGTTGTTCTGGAAGCCAACGAGAGCATTTGTGTGGAAGTAGTGGGAAGAATTGTGGAGTATAAGAGAGAGGTTGATTTTGGTGATAGAAGAGATTTTTCTATTGAGCGTAACAGGAAAATGGGTTGCGGTGATTGGCCGCGACATGCGGTCAGTGTGCGCGACATTCTGGGGCCCACTCCCGCGACATGCCAGGGAGAGGGAGGAAAGGTGGTACTAAAGAGAGGTGGAAGAGATGGGGTGAAGGGAGGTCCGGATATAAGGGGAAGGAATGGGAGTTAGGAGTTAAGAGGGAGTGGTTTTTCGTTGTGGGTTTGTGGATTTGTTGGAGAGTGGTTGGTTGATGGATGGTTGATGGATGGTGGTGGATGGCTGCGAAAAGACACAGATTGGTTGGAGGGAAGAAGTACGTGAAGTGGCCAATAAAGGTGGAGGTATTTGTTAAGGTGTGGAGGAAATTAAGAGGGAACTAAGAGGAGGAAGTTATTATGGGGAAAAAAAAAAGAAATGGGGAGGGAAGGTCTGGTTTCGTGGAATATTCATGCTCGCTTTCGGAGTTCGGAATGGAGTCATGATGGGGAGAGTGGGAGTAGATGAAAGGGCAGGATCGGTAGTTTGTTGTAGATAAGCCAATAATGACTTTCAAGATAATTTATGAACGTTTATTCAACGTTTTTGGTATTTTTGGATGGAAACGTTGGTGGACTTTTGGTGTTGTTTGGGCTGGTAGATGTATCTGTGAGACATACATAAAGACGTCATCCGTTGGCAAATGCCTGAGTTGATTTGTATGTCTTACCAGGACAAGGGAAAGTGATGGATTCAGGAAGTAGATCCAGTCTATGGTGTGATATATAGAAGGTTGATGCAGTTTATGGTTTGATCTAGGGAAACTAGGAAGGTTGAGTTGGTCAACGACACATTACCAGACAGAGAACTAGACCCTTTCTAGAACCGTAAAACATACTTAGTGAGCTATATTAAGGACTAAGAAACAATCGACAGATAACCTACCATCATTTCAGTGTCAATGCAGTGAAGCTTGTGCCTTCATGACGGTTGCTTGATATATGGATCAAGCTTTAGCTATAATAAGCAAAGACTTGAAGGTGAATGCCAATAGAAGAGTTTCGTTCAAACTTCAACAAAAATAGCCTGATATTTCCATTTCTTGTTAGATAGAGGTACCTACCATCCAGAATTCATTTTATCAGTGGATTGACACAAGGCAGTCATTTCAACAAATTGGACCAAGGAAAACGTGTTAAACAAAGTTCAAAGACAGAAAAGTAACAGCTGTTCCAGAGACGAGACGAGAGACACGTTTGAGAAAGGAAGATCTTTCGTGTGTTATATCCGTTCCATGTCTTGTAGATCTAGAAGATCCAACGAGGCTACCCGCTTGACGAGAGACAAAGCCAATAAGAAGAGCAATCGGCATATCTTCAACCAATTAGCTCTTTATACGTTAGAAGAAGGTAAATTCTGTTGATGGTATAACTCACTTTGATGCCTCTCCATAGTTAACAGTTAACGGTAGACAGAGTCACCAGTAGTACCAACTTCCCACCATTTCCCCTGCCACCTCTCCATACCTACCTTCCGCCAACGTCGCTCCATCGCCTCCCTCTTTCCATTCCTAAGCCTTGCTGCCAATCCAATCCTCCTCCTCGTCAAAAACGATCGTAAAATGAACAGCCACCTATTGTCTCCCAATACCATGTAAATGCAACCACCTCCAGTACAACGTCACCAACCTCTCATTTCTCCAACCACTCCCTCCAAAACCAAAACAACACCACTGGGCCCCCAATCACCCCTATTCACCATAAAGCGCATCTGTTCGTGCGTTTTGTCCTACACTGCTGTGATTGGAGCATCTCGGTTAATCAGCCCCTTTCAGCGCCTCATCAGATGGATCAGATAACCGTCGGATGGCGATCAAAAGAAGGCTGGTTTACAAGAAAACGAATAATAAAAAAAAAAAAAAAATAAATAAAAACAAACCAACCCAATCTGCCATTCTCGTTTGGCTGCAAAATCAGATGCACCTCTCCATCCACCACCAGATCCACCAACCTCCAAAAATTCACTCCTTCAAACTTCACCAACCTTAACTTTCATCCACCCACTAAGCACCTTCGCCGTTTTTTTCAAGCCTTTATGGCCTGTGATTGTGGTGTGGTTCCGAGCTCGGCCTGGCTTTGACGTTGACAGAATATGTCAAGCAAAGCCTCGAGGCACTAAAGAAAAAAAGAACCAAAAGACGAAAAACGGATATTTTGGAATTACCAAAATATCAAAAACCCTTACATCTCATACCTTAAACTACCTCCCCCTCTGCTTTCTCATCCTGGGTTTCCCTGACTAACCACCTCTTCTTTCACCTGCACTGCACGATTTGTCAGGCTACTACCATACAATTAGTAATGGACTCACACTGTAACAAAATCCTGCATATAAGCACTTTTCTTCTTTTTTCTCGCAAATTGTCATATGGGCCCGCACTATATCTACAACTTCTTTCCCCAGATTGCAAAAAGTCACCAGAATCTACCACATATCTTTAGCTTGATTCTGTTATGCCTCTTGTACAACCACAAGCGGGAAAACCCGAACACCACAATCACCATGCTCATAACCACAACCACCATCACGATGAAGCTTTTCGCAACATGCCTATAGTTTCGCCGGCCCCCACTCCATCTGAGCCGATAACCTCGTCTCCCCAGAGTCCGCCGGTGGTGAGTGAAGAAGAAAGAAGGAAGTTGCCTATTCATGATAAGTTGCCGGTGGTTCGGTGTATTGCACGTGCCAGGATTCCTACGGTCCAGGGCCCAGAGATCTTTCTACATTTGTATGAGAACGACGTGGATAACAAGGAGCATTTGGCTATAGTGTTTGGCGAGGATATTCGGTCCAAGACGCTTTTCAAGCGGAGACAGGGCGAGTCCCAGCAGGATAGAATGACCCGTGGTGCTTATGTCGGTAAGTTGTTTCCTGGTAGAGATACGGCTGATATGGATACGAGGTCAGGACAGGAATTGCATTTTGACGACGCTGGCGAGTTGATTCGGGAGCCAGAAACGACGTTTGATGGCCAGGTGATGGCTAGAATTCATTCGGAGTGTTATACTGGCGAAACGGCCTGGTCGGCTAGATGTGATTGTGGAGAACAGTTCAACGAGGCCGGAAGGCTATTGGGTGAGAATGGACACGGATGTATTGTATATTTGAGACAAGAAGGCCGTGGTATTGGTCTTGGTGAGAAGTTGAAGGCCTACAATCTTCAAGATTTGGGTGCAGACACCGTTCAGGCCAATTTGCTCTTAAGACACCCTGCTGACGGTAGACTGTTCCTGTTGGCCACGGCCATTCTCGTGGACTTGAACTTGGTGGAAATCAAGCTTTTAACGAACAATCCAGACAAGATCATTGCCGTGGAAGGTATGAACCGTGATGTGAGGGTTGCAGAGAGAATCCCAATGGTTCCATTGGCATGGAGATCCAAGGAGGGAATCAAGTCCAAGGAGATTGAGGGATACCTCAGCGCAAAGATTGAAAGAATGGGCCATTTGCTTGAGAAGCCTATTAGGATTTAAGACGATGGAGAAGCGACCAGTGTTAGGGCTGGATACGTTAGATCCTCAGCGGAAGCTGAACTATATCACGATTGTACGAGCACAAAAAGCTTTGGGACGGGTTATAACAACACAGGAAAAGTATTTAAACGGCTTGATGCCTTCATTTCTAATATTGGGGCCTGTTCTGAGCATACGACGCTATATATTTCACGACCGACCAAGATAGCAGTAACAGGGGTGTTGCTGTTGAACCACAAAATTGCATTTACGATAAGAACGTTAGATTTGGCAAGCAGTAGATAATAAGGGCCTTTCAAGGCTTTATAGGATGTATAAAATTGACCAATGGAGTATGGCCAGTGTAGGTGGAGTAGGTAGGAAATGAGTGGGTATGGGGAGTAGTAAGAGAGTAAGAGAATGTGAAGAACATGGTATGAAGGTTACAAATCACTGGAAACTAACATTTTGATGGTAACTTCACTGTACCATAGATCTTAGAGGAGGTCAATAGGATCTACCAAAGCTCTTCAACTGACAGAGACAGAAGCACGCTAGACAAAGCAAAGTAGCTCAAATCCCCAACTCAGATCCCCAAAAGTCAATTTCACCAAATCTAAACCTTTAGCATCTTTTCACACCTCCCACTGCCATGTTCCCACTGCCTGGTTATATGCTTCCACTGTCCTACAACTGTGGCTCACCTCCCCTTACTAACTACTCCAGTTCTCCATCTTTCTTCTCCAACCCTTCTTTCCACCTCCTTCCCACCTTCATTCCACCTCCTCCATATCGTAAACATTTCCCAACCTGGCCAAAATCCATCCAAAAACTGTGGATGCTTAAAAAATATTCTTCCCCAGACGCACAATGGCTGTCAAGTATACCTAAGCGATAACCCGTTGCACGTCAAGCCAGAGAAGACCGAAAAATCCCAAAAAAGCCTGGAAAAGTGTGGTGCACAACGCATCTCTTTACTGTGGAAAAGGAATCTGCTTTCTATACACTTTCCTTGTTTGGGGCATCTTTTTCCGTCGTGGCTGCAAAACACCTTTTACCGCTGGGGTATATAAGCACGAGCAATTCCGCATCTTTTATCACAAAACCACTTTTTTTTCCAATGTCGTCTACAAAAGTATTGATTTCTGGTGCTTCAGGGTTCATTGCTGTTCACACTGTTCAGCAACTCATAAGGAATGGATACACGGTGGTGGGATCCGTTAGAAGCCTGGAAAAGGGTGAATACGTCAAGAAGGCTTCTGGCAAGCCAGACAAGTTCAGCTACGAGATCGTGGAGGATATCGCCAAGGAAGGTGCTTTTGACGAGTTTGTTAAGAAGCATTCGGACGCTACGGTGTTTTTACATACGGCTTCGCCCTTCCATTACAAGGTGACTGATGTCGAGACAGACTTGCTCAAACCAGCTATCCACGGCACCAAGAACGCTTTGCTGTCGATTGCCAAGTATGGCACAAATATCAAGAGGGTGGTGGTGACGTCGTCCAACGCTGCAATTGCATCTAGAGACCAGGATCTGGATCCTAAGAACGTGTTTGATGAGACTTCCTGGAACAACATTACCTGGGAGAAGGCTTTGGAGAGTCCTGCTTTTGGGTACAGTGGGTCCAAGGCGTTTGCAGAAAGAGCAGCGTGGGATTTCGTCAAGGAACAGAACCCAGGGTTTGTTCTTTCCACTGTGAACCCGGTACTTGTGTTTGGACCACAACCAACCAACGACTTCAACACAGATAAGTTGAACACATCGTCAGAAGTTATCAATGTGATCTTGAAAAGCAGCCTGCCTGACGACAAGGTCGCTCCATACAATTCCAGTGCCGTGGACGTCCGTGACGTTGCCAAAGCACACCTTGTGGCATTCGAGAAGGACGAAGCCAAGAACCAGAGATTGTTCTTGACCAGCGACGCCTTCACCCAGCAAACGATCTTGGACGTTTTACATGAAAAGTTCCCCAAACAGACCGAAAAAGTGCCAGTAGGAACTCCAGGAACCGACAAGGACGAGTTCGACCAAAAGGCTACCAAGAACAACGACAAAACCAGAAAGATCTTAGGTTTCGAGTTGATTTCTGTACGCCAGTCGATCGCCGACAGTGCCCAGCAGCTCCTTCAAGTCGAAGGTAAGCTTTAGATATAGAGAATAGATTAGATAGAAGCTTATTAAGCACCAGCCACGGGACATGTACCATGGCTATCAGTGCATAACCACTATGTCACTGAAACCAGTCAAACCATGTGACTCGAGGCAATCTGGAGCCCGCATGACATGCCAAAAAAGAAGATCTAGACGTCAAATCAACGCACCCCTTGATATGGGCAGATGTGTCTTGTTAGTGGTTGCAAAAAAGCTCGGGCCACACTTTTGTGTCATGTTAGCGACCCGGAGTTCCCTGGGCAAGAAACCTTGGACGGTTACAATGAACAAGTGAGACAACAATGAAGTCCTGTAAATTGGAATATGGCTTGGAGAAGAAGTTGTTGGGCCAGAGTTGTGGATGTTTGAATGTGGGAGGTTGGATGATTTGAGGGTAAGCTTTTTCGGCAATAAACAACCCAAGAGTCATCCAAAAGTCATCCAAAGTGCCTACTTCACTTCCTCTTCCTCAACTTAATCCCACCAAAGCCTTTCGAGCCGTCCATGTAACATTTTTCAGTTTATCAGTGTCCAAGGCTCAAAACACTGGACCCTAACAATGCAACAAGAAAAGGCATTCTGTTTACACCCAGCAACCGTGACTCAGCTGGCAGGGCCCCCTATAAGAGCAGTAGGTTAACTTTGATTTGTTTAATAAATAAAAAGTATCTTTTTGGTCTCCGAAGAAGCCGGAATATCCACACGACACAGAGTTAGGCGTAGATCTGAAGCGCATTGTGTTAGTCCAGAAGGGTCCATGTAAAACGGTCAAAAATGGGAATTTCGAGAATTTAAAAGCACCACAAGAATGCCCTAGCCCTGGAGATTCCAACCATGCAATCCACCTTTTTCTACGACGTCTCCATCCACCACAACCTCTCCATCTTCATTTGGCTGCAAACTGAAGCGCCGTTTTTTTTTTTTTTTTTTTTTTTTTTTTATTTTTTTTTCTCACCGCCGCTTTTGGTCCCCCACAATGCGCCTGCACTAAAATCCTTGTCGATTTTCACCTCTCGTTCTCTACTACCACTTTCTTTTCTTCACAAAACCAGCCCAGCCCGGTTTTTCCAACGCTTTTCGATTTTTTATTTTTTACTATTTCCAAGATTACGTAACATTATCCCCCACGCCTGTCCCCCACGGCTCCCCCACTTTTTTTTCCTGCTCCCCCCAACTGCCCTTTTCCCATCACTTGAAGTCGTCAAATGTCAGACACTCCCAGGCCTGACTCCTCCTCGGCGGCTCCGGCCATGGCCCCTTCGTCGAGTTATTCGCCAGTGTCGTCGTTTGCCACGCCGGGCTCTTCTTCGTCCAAGAGGAAACGTGTCACCAGAGCGTGTGACTGTTGCCGCCATAAAAAGGTCAAGTGTGACGGGAAACAGCCGTGTATCCACTGTACGGTGTATTCGTACAATTGTACGTATGACCAGCCGAATGTCAGGAATAAGAAGGCTCCGCCTCCAATGCCGCTGGATCCACAGCTGAACCCGCTTCTCAAGCTGCTTCTGATGAATAGGGCTGCTTCATCTACGCTGAACTCGGTTCCGAACCTCCACCTTTGCCAGGGCTTGGTGCAGCTTTTATTTCCTAAATTGAATATCAACTTGATGGATGACCTGCGGCTGCCGTTCGATTTACCTAAACTACAACGTATCGTGGGGTACCTCCAGCAGAAGAATCCGTCTAGTATCAATGTGAGGGAGATTTCTGATCTTTACTTGGAGGCTGGCACGCCGAACGCTTCGCCAATTAACCAGCTAGATCCGTACGTCAGCACGACGGCGCTGAATGAAGATTCCCTCGGCGCAGAGATCAAAATCATCTTGCCTCCGAAAGAAGTGGCTCTTCAGCTTATCTTCACTACATGGTCAAAAGCTTGTGTTTTGTTCAGATTCTACCACAGACCATCTTTGCTTGAAGAGGTGGACTTGCTTTATAGCATGGATCCGCTTTACTATACCAACAGACAGCAGAAGTTCTTGCCGTTCATGTACTCCATCTTGGCCTGTGGGTCATTGTTTTCCAGACTGCTGTATACGAACTCGCTGTCTGACCATTCGCTTGAAGATGACGGGTTCCAGTATTTCCTCGAGGCTCGGAAACTTATCGATATTACCAACGTTGGAGACATCCCTTCCATTCAGACCATTGTCATGATGATCATATATTTGCAGTGCTCCGCTCGTCTTTCTACATGCTACTCATACATTGGTATTGCCTTGAGAAGTGCATTGAAGGAAGGTCTCCACAGGAACTTGTCCATTTTCCAGTCCTCCAAGCGTAAGCTAGATCCGATCGAGGTTGATACGAGGAAACGTTTATTCTACACGATCTACAAGATGGATATCTATATCAATTCCCTTCTAGGGCTTTCGCAATCTATTAGTGAAGATGAATACGACCAGAACTTCCCTGTTGAACTCGACGACGAGTTCATTACTCGTGACAGCTACTTATTCGACAAACAACAAGGAAGGCTCTCTTCGTCTGGCTGTGCCAACCATCACACTAAGCTCACCATTATCCTTTCGCATATTGTGAAGGAACTATATCCAATCAAAATCAAGTCTAAGCTGCCAGAGAGGGTGGTTTCAGACAAAATGCATGATAAGGTTACTGAACTCGAGTTTGAATTGAAACAATGGCTAGATAACCTTCCTCCAGAACTTAAGCCAACCGATCCTAATGACCCAGAAAGCAGCAAGAAGATTCCAGACCGTTTCTTGCTTGCCAATTACTACCTCCATTTATCCTTCTTGAACTGTCAGAACAACTTGTACAGACCATTTATCCATTATATCAGCAATGGATACCAGGCAACGAATTCCGACCCAAGATCGCTTATCAGAGGCCGTAACTGTATCAAGGTTGCCCGTATGGTTGTCAAGCTTGCAAATAAGATGATCAACCAGAATCTTTTGGTTGGTACTTACTGGTTCTCCATGTACACTATCTTCTTTTCCATCGCGTGCTTGATTTATTACTTCCATTTTGCCAACTACAACAACCAGCACAAGAATAACCGTGGTATGAATTATGCTGGTGTTTTGTTTGATGATGATTTGAACATCGAGATGATCAAGGAGGACATTGAAATTGGTAGAAAGGTGTTGGATACTTTAAAGAACATGTCCAATGCGTCGCTCAGAATCTACAACATCTTGAATAACTTGTTTGAGCAGTTGAACAGAAGAACCGCGGACACTTCAATGAAGACAAACTTCAGAAACAGCGCATCTATCGAGGCTAATGATGATACTGTCCAGCTCACGCTTCGTAATTTCGATGACATCAACGATTTCCGTGAAGGTCGGACACTGGAAGCACCAGTGCTGGAGGAATTTGGTCTCATTGATCTGACTAAAGATACCATGACCAACCAGTATACTGAGCTCTTTGACAGAAGTGCACAAATTGCGGCCGAACAAGAGAAAGCAGCAGCAGCTGAGCAGGACCAGTTGCAGAACACAAGCGTACCGCAGAATTATCAAAACCAAGCACCAAAGCAAGAGGAGGATGACGGTATTAATCCTTACAACCAGGCCAGTCAAGCCAATCAACCGAATCAAACCACCCCAGGGAAGCCCGAGAATTACGAGAACAACTATGTTCCTGGTGTCATGGACTCGTTGGATACCCAGATTTTTGGCAGAATCCTCCCTCCATACATGCTTGAAGGAAACAAAAAGCAGGCTGCTGCTTCCCAGGGCATGAACCAGATGGATATGGATTTCAATGCCGAAGACAAGCCAGAAGAAATGATGAACAACTTGGGCTTGGACGAGCTTGAAAACATGCCTTTTGCCAACACTTTCGACAACCTCGACCCATACAACCTTAATTACTAATTTTATTTATTATCTGATGTGTTACGTGATTGACTGTGAATAGAGAGAAAAAGTTACTTGAATTTGCAACCACAAGGTGGTGTGCATACAAGCCACCGCCTACTAAGTAGTATCTTGAAAATTATACCCTACCAAGAATCACCTCAGCATGCTTTCTTCCAAAATAGCCACCAACGGCTTGATAAAGTCATTCAGGCAAGCTCTTCCCCTCCTGCTTATACTGAGCAGGTCATTCACTCAAAACCACTCGCTTCTACAAGACAGGCCCAAGAAACCATTCAAAAACGCCTTAAACAAGGACCGTCAGGGCCTGAACTTCAACAATAAAGGCTTCAACAACAGAAGGTACAATAACGACAGAAACGCCAACGACAGGTACCCTCAACAAGATAGAACCAGCATTTACACCGACAGACTCACAGATCATAAAGGCAGAACGAGGTTTGTGAAGTTCACCTTTGAAACAGCCAGTGATCAAGGGAAACTCGCCATCAAGGACCTTATTAAGGAAGTCCAGAAAGTCAATCCTACTTATGAGGTTCAGTTCCGTGACGATGTCACCAAGGAGCTGTTTAGGAGTAACCTTAGTGAGATCGTTAACCAGCTTGACTTTGCTGAAGATGGACTCACTGTATCTTTTCCAAGACAAGAAAGCGGTAAGGTCTCTTTGCCTATTATAAAGAAAGTGAGCATCAAGGATATGCTTAAGAAGTATTCGGATAAGCTTGCAGCCCAGAAGGAGAAGGAGCTTTTGGAACTGGGAAGTACTGCTGCTAGGAAAGCCGCTCAGCATAAGTTGCAAGTTGAAAGGAAGAAGCTGGCAATTAAGGTTGTTCCTATTTCGTGGTCGATCAGCGACCTGGACTTGAGAAACCAGAAGTTCCTTAATATTCAGAAAAGAGTGGAGAAGCAGGATAAGTTCTTTGTCTATATTGGTGACAAGAGCTCATTGTCTGCGTCCAGGAAGTTGAATGAAAAGGAACAGCTTTTGGGCCTGTTGACAAATGGCGATACTCTCAGGAGGACCGCCGAGGATAGTTTGGAAATTGAGTTGCTCAAGCGTGAAAAGTTGGTCGATAAGGTTAGACAATTGCTTGTTGAGCTCGGTTGTCCATTTGAAGAGACTGGAAGTGTTGATGCAAGAGCTGCTTTTGACTGTACACCAAGGAAGACAGCCGAACCTAAGGGTGCTAAAACAGCTGTCGATTCATCTGGTGAGTTGTCTGAGAAAGAATTGAAGAAACAAAGACGTTTGGAGAAGGCTAAGGCTAAGGAAGAGGAAAAAGCAAAGGCGCTGGTACCCAAAGATGACCTTGACTCACTTTATCTGTTCAAGCTTGACGATTAGAATAGAATCTTGTATATATTATGAAGACATGAAACGCATTAAACACTGCCGTAGCCACGATACTCGTTACGGGAAACGGCATCGCCATTATTTTGTCGTTGCTGGCGGATCCGGTCCGCACGCAACTTCTTCACCTTGTACCCGTATTCGTGGCCAACAATTAGCTCATCAACAATAGGGTAGTTGATCAACTTTTTCACCTCGGTCTGGTCAAGATTGTAGTTGTTGACCACAGAGCATGCAGCCTGGTAGTATTGCTCATCTTCATCGATATACTCGTTATCATACATGATGCCTGGGTTGAGCTTTTTGAGGGTTTCAGAAAGCGGCTCGGCAAATTCGTCCTCTAAATAGGAAGGATTGGTCTTCACAGAATGGGCGTCTGAAAGGAGAGGCGACGATGGCGGGCTCACTTTAGGAGAGTGTGGGTAAAGAGCCCTTGTGGAAGTCCCGGTGGAGACCAAAGAAGGGGCATAAATAGACTGGGAACGTCCCAGCTGTTGTTGATAAATATGGTTGGAGATTGCGTTGATCTCAGATGTGCTTCGTATGCTTGCCTGTCCTGCCAGAGGTGAAGCTTGCAAGTTCTGCAGCGGAAGCCAGTGCTTTTGCTTTCCGTCTGGCTGGTATCGGAGACCTTGGTTAATACGACCCATACGGGATTTCAGGGAAGGATGTGCTATGAGGGCCTCTACCGAGTCGAACTGCTTGTAGTCCTTGTAGTAGTCGCCGTAGAAAGTAAGGGCAAAGTCAATCACCAAGTCCTTGATGCCGAACATATCCCTAAGGGCGTAGTAGAATTGCAATCTACCCGTAGGCATTCGAGAGATCGTGAATGGCCTATAGGAGAAGGAGAACCAATGGCCCCAGGCGAAAGCAATAAGCTCAACGCAAAGCAAGGCATTCTGGATGGATACACCGATGTTGGGGGCGCCGTTTTCGTCCTGCGAACTGTTGCCTGGCAACACGCCCATGATGTTAAGAATAGCCAAGATCACACCCTGCCAGTAAGAAGCGAAAATGATAAGCTTGACGCAAAGAAACTTACCCATTGGGTTAAATGGTTTGAGGTCCACCCAAAGGATCTTCCAGAAAATAGCTAGGCAGTACAACGACAAAGACACGGAGAAGTTATACACAATGGTAAACCACAAGTACAACGAGCCCACGCTCATATCGTTAACGTCGTACCAGCCCAAAAGCTCCAGGAACAACACCCCAAAGCAAATGATCGGCTTAAGCCACACATACTGTAGAATGCCACGCTTTATCGCCAAAAAAGTCTGAGGATCCGAAATGTCTAGCGGCGGGAGCACCCATTTCAAGAACCCCGGGTGGGCCACCGGCGGGCGTCCACTGCTCATAATGATAATGCTCTTGGCTCCCCCAAGCATATCAGTAAGCAACGAGAAGAACGTATAAATGACAAACGCCTCGTAGATTTCACGAATTGGCTCAATCACAAACTTGTTAAACACCGACGTCGGGTCTCGAAGCATTGAGTAGCACAGAATAGCGAAAAGCGGCACGATCAACTGGATTCTGATCATCAACCGCTGCTGGAACGGTTTTCGATAGTTTAGAAGATGCAAAAGGATGCTGAAGAAAATAATCACCGTGGACGTAAGCGCACACCAGCCACACACGGTCTGGATCCAGTGTGGGAGTGCCACGGGACGGCTGGACATGGGCGGTGGAAGTGTAGTTGGATGGGTAAGTTTAAAGGTAAAGGTAAATAGAGACGATGACTGGGGTTGTGTACACCCGTACACCAGATAAGGTCAGTAGATAGAGCCCGTCAGTGATTTCGAGGAAAATGGAGGGTTTGGGGGGTTTAAGGGGTGTTTTGGGTGCTAGAGAAGCAGGGGGTTCCAGTGGTGGTGTTGATTTTAATTTTGGATGTCTTTTGGTGGAGATAGGTACAGTGTTTACAGTTTGGCTAATGGTTGCAAAATACTGCGAATAGTGTGAATATGGAACAAACGTTGGTAGCAAAGATAAGGTGAGTATAATTGCGGCCGATAAATTGGCCAGTTCTTGTTAGGAAGATTCATCATGAACAAAGAAGCACACATCTTCCATAAGTCTCCATTGCTCCATCTGTCGGTGAGTAAAAGGTTGAAATGCCCCAGTTAAGGCAACTAATTGGTGCAAGCTGTAGTGCAGTTGAAGTACAGTTAGGTAGTTCCTGTGAAGTAGCGAAGGCGTTATGAATGCCCCAGCTCAATGGCGAAGAAGAAGAAGAAGAAGAAGAAGAAGAAGAAGAAGCAGAAATGGATAGGAGTACGAGTCAAGAACGTGAGGAAAGCTACATATTTTGCTCCTCCTTCACAGTCCCCGTCTTCTGGATTGCTAGTGATAGTTATCTCAGGTTGAAGAACCATTGCATTGCATTTTTTATCTCATCTTGTATTGGCCTAATATGTACCATCTTGTATTGGCCTAATATGTATATGTCCTAGAGCCTTAGCTTAGGTAGACTTGTCTGGGTTCCTGAGTTGCTGAGAAGAAGTAGAAGACTGGTACTCTCCAGAAGGATTCATGCTTTTAACTGCCGCCAATTGTACTCATATTAATCTCATTTGAAGTAATTCGAAGTAGAGTAACTAGTTTGGTAAGCGGGAAGTATACTCGCGAACTATAAAAATGGCTGCAAAAAAGCGAAACCCCCCTTTTTGATACCTCACTCCCTTTCTTCAATAAAATCCAAAAGAAAAGCTTTGAACATGGCAGACGACGGAATCGTCGATGATTATGTTTGGGCAGTTGACCGCCTCGAGAATATCCTCGTTCAGCGCTGTTACCAACCTGATTCAGCGAGGAAACTCTCTAGGCTACTTAAAGATGACCCCCTGCCGGGAAATAGAGCCGAGATAATACGAGAAATTGATTTAGTCCTTTTGCGTCTTCATGAAAAGTCCATTAATGATTCTAAAGCACTTCTGACGTTCAGAAGTAACATCGATGCAACATATGAATCCAACTCGCCTTCCAAGAATGAGATTCTTGATATTTTGGAGCTCCTTACATATGTTGCAAACATCAGGAACCCGACCTTAACTCCTCCAGCCAGGAATCGACAACCCGACGACCCTCCTGATATAGGAACTCGTCTTAACGGAGACTTGAGAGTTGTCAAATACTTATATTCACAGGACAAAGAAAAGCTAAAAAGCGTTCTCTTGGGTGCCAGAATCGAAACGGTAATCGTGGACCATTTGCTTCTTAAAATGGATCAAATGATCGCTTCCAGTGGAACTTCGGGCGGAATACCTTTCATCTACGTCTTACTGAGTGTGAGACACAGGCTAGGGCAGATACCCAGCCTAAATCTGTTCAGAGGGAGAGTGCAGACTTCCAATCTGCTTCTGAAACTAGCAGTATGCCTGAAGAAGCTTGAATTGGTTAGATACCAACGCTTTAATTCGGCGATACAACAAATCCAAGAGTTGTTGGACCCCGAGCGCTTTCTTCAGGTCACTTTAGAAGTACAGAACCAGACCCATTACATCTGGCAGACTTTGACAAGAAAAGTAGGCTTCAACGGCGACGCAAATTCCCTTGGTGGATTGATCACAGCTGCGGCAATGGATTATTCGAACGCTGAACATGAGATGTTTATCGAGGCGGTAAACAGGCTTTACGATGATATCCATACAAGCCTGACGACAAAAGAGTTTGACAAAGAATTTACAATTGCATTAGCGCGGTTCTCTGGTAGTATTGCGGGGATGACAAACATTCCGGGACACAGAGATTTAGTGCAAGCGACCAACAACTCTCTTACACGTCTTTTGATCAAACAAGAAAAAGAAGTGGTTTGGCTAAAGTACGTTCGGTTACTGGAGGATGGAATCTACCTTGCTGCAACTATATGCTGGTGGTATTGTGGATGCAAAACAAAAGATCTCGACTATGCTTGTTGGTTTCAATTCTTTATTGGATCCTTTGCTGTGAGCGTCTTATACTCAGTTAGTTTGACTGAAACGATAGCTTATGTCAAAAGAAGATCTTCTCAATATTGGCACCCGGAGAGGTTTTATCGGTCGGCTCTTGACGAGGTGATTCCCCCTGATTTCGATGAGGAACGAGAGGCTTTGAACGGAGCTTTGAACCTTACGGGTTTGGTGGAGATAACGATGAAGATTCTTAAAAAATGGTCTGTCCCGGACAAGCTAGTCGAAGCACATCGCATGAACTTGGCCCAGTTTAATTTTCAAGCGACTCCACTACAGCGAGAAGTTATGCAGATGCATATCGATCAGTTTTGTAGGGGCGCCATAGACTGCCGGAACAGAGCGTTTTTACTTAATCAAATAGTCATTTTCAATGACCAACTCGACCTGCCTGAACGCCCGGAATTTGTCAGAGAATCACTAACGGTGAAAGCTCTGTCAGATGCGATGATCTTGCTGCTTCCACGGAAACAGCATATAAGATCTCGGAAGGGAAGATTATTTTTTTCCAATCCAAACTTCCTCGTTATGGCTGTCATGATATTGGCATTGTTTATTGTGATACCAGTCTTCTTCACTTTAATTGATCCTGCGAGTGCCTCCAAAAGTACAGTCGATACCCACAATTCTACACAAACGAGCATCACCGATGTCATTGGACAAACCAGCATCACCGATATCACTGGTCAAACCAATAGTACTGGTATTGTGAATCAAACTAATAGTACATCAGACCAAGGGATTGCTTTCAAGGAGAAGCTATCAATTATGTTGATGGGAGCATCCGCTGGGCGGACGGCGAAGCGACTTATCAATCTCCCTTGTTTCCAGGCTGGCCTCGGTAAGTTACTCCGATTGACGGACAGCTAAACCGCTATCAGACCCACCAGAGCAATAGGTAATCTTCGCCTGGATCTTCACGAATGAGGTTATGAAACCAGCAGTCACGCTCTCTGTGAAAGGTGTGGTTTGGGAACTAATTACTTTGCTGTACTGGGATAGTCGGAAAGTAAGCAAACAAGTGTTTCAGTTAGAGCATCACAGCCCTTGAATAGATTCAAAGTGTCCAGCACTGCCAAATATCGGCTCTCTGCGTTTCCAGATATGATCCAGGTTTATATATGAAGTATATTGAAAAGAAAAAGAAATCAAGTGTGATATCCAATGGCTAAAAAGAATTAGTCCGAACGAACAGAGACCGTAGAAATTTCCATAAAGTGCTGATAGCGGACTATTAAACTTGATGCTTGTAGGCTTCCTCATGGAACATAAGGAGGCGGCCTATCAATTGGTCGCCAGGAATATTCGTCAACGGCAATCATAATCGGTTGAGAGCAAGACGCTTTATATTCATTTCCACAAAGCTCCATATCCAGAGTGAAGCACAACTCATAGTGTCTATCAAAAAGATCTGAAAATGACGTTGGCTCCAATTGCGGGATACGACACCGATAAAGGGAACCAGGAACTCTACAAAGCCTTTCAAAGAGACACATTTCAAGATCAACAACAACTTCCTCTGCGGTATGAGCAAGCTCATGTAACCTGACCATAGTCTTGGACACAGCCAGGTGACTAGGTGAGTAGAAGGTAAGTTTCTCCTTAAGAAACACGTGGAACAGTTTAATGATCAAATGGCGATCAGTAAAAACCATCTGTCCCCAAAATATGATATCCACATGTAAGACGTCAGAAACTTTCATACCTGGAGTCACATAAAACTCTTCAACGTTCAGAAAGAACCTATCCAGGCCAAAAAAACGAACTTTCAACTTCAATGTACTAGTGATATACTTCTGTTTAAGGTACAGAAAATACTTTTCAGGTTTAAGTTCACGAATCGACAGTGAAGTAGCATTTAGATCATCGACTTTACGATGGTCCATATAACGTTCATGGAATGGTCTATAGAACTCGTCTGTCACAGGGAAAAGCTTCCCTCCAGACAGAAAGAACAATCCAGCCGTCAACCGGTCCTTTCGGTGAGGCATAGATACAACTTTATCTGTTGGGCCAACAATCCTGGGCACGATCGTTAAATAGTCTCTTTGTGATAAGATGAATGATTCTTTAAGGAACATTTCGCCAGTAATCGATTCGAAGCTCTCCATAAGAGCACCCAAATAATGTGAAGGGCTTCCTTGGTACCGTATAGTAATTGTGGTGATGGTGACAATCTGTTCATCAGTTGGAATGGCGATTATTTCATAGTTTTCATGACGATAGGTTACATTCAATGTGTCCAATGCATAATAAAGAGCATCTCTTGGCTCGAATAGAGTCTTGCTAAAAGCCAAAAAACATTTTGGGGCCACATATTTGGATTCTAGCCCACAATCACAAGCGATTCTCTGACAGCCCTTTGCACGCCTGAATGATCTCAGTGTAGCCATAAACGTATCCTCGTGTGTTCGGTATTTCCATATCAAGGGTCTTGGACGCAGAGGATCTTGAAACTCGGATGCCAATGAAGCAACCTGGACTTCTAGAAATGTCTGCAAATCGCTGCTTTCACCTGCAATTGACACAATTACTCGAACTTTAAACATATAAGTTCTTGTTAGTGAGCCCCATGACTGAGTAGGGCCCAACACTGGCAAGACAGGCGAATATGCATCGTAGAAACCACACGTAAAACAGTCACTTCCAACGTACTTGAGTTTCTGAAGCATCGGTGTAGAGCGCTTTACTTCATGGAAATTTTCATAGAAGTCGGGACGACCACTAGAAGTATGGTGTGTAAGCACTTCCAAGAGGCACACATGGACGAAATCTATGCGTACGTCGGGTGCCGTCAAATCGTGCTTCAGGAATAAGCGTAGACCGAGAAAACTTGAGTATGACATTCCGGGATAGACTATTCTATCTTGAGGTTTCTGATAACACCAACGAGGGTCTTTAAAAATCGCCTGAAGCGACACGCCAGGATTAGCGGGCTTCTTTTTCGTGTGTTTTGATATAACCTCTGGATTATAACGCTTGATATGGAACCCAGTTCGCCAAAACTTCAGCCCATAGCTTAATGCGCAACCACCCATAGCGTCGGATTTGCTCACAATGTATTTAAGAGTCAATTTTTCGTCCGGAGGATCCATAATGTTTCTCAAAGTCATCAATTCAATAGGTTTTTCAATGGGCGGAGGTTTGTTTTTCAAGCTGACTTCTGTTGCCATAAAGTAATCCAGACCATCAACTATGGTTCTCGTCGTATGTCCCGAATAGTCTTTCTTCCTGAACCCTGCCTCCTGATAATCTTCCCAACCAAAGCAGGGCACTGGGGAAGTTGAGTAGGCTCCTTTCTGAAGGACGTATTGGCGACATGCCTCGTCTTCCATTTTTGATTCTAGTTCAACCGACTTGGATTGTGGTGCTGTGAAGTTGTGACAAACTGAGGAGTCATACGTCACTATTCTTGCCATTATTGTCTTGTAGACGTATCGAAAAGATAAAAGGAAGGTATAAGGAGTGAGTGAGCGATCCATAAATTCTGGCTTCTTCCCTTCCACGTGTTGATATCTTGGAGTTTCTCTTCTAGGAGTGATATGGATGTGGGATCAACACCTTCAATACTACAAGAGTAACTGAATGGTTGTCGTGGGGTATCCACTTTCTTCAAGTCTTCGTAATGTAACGTCTATTCTAGACAACAGAATAAATATCACCGGGGGATCCGGTAGGTCTCGACTGTTTTGGAGATGGCTGGATCTAAGCCACGCCATTCTCTTTCATTTTCTTTGCCCTCTGGCGTTCTTGATTAATCTTCTCCAACTCCTGCTCTGTGATCAAATGATGTTTATGGTTGGAAGATTTAAAGAGTTTCTCAACACGCTTTGTGGCTTTCTTCCCGGCAAAAGCTTCTGGGTCATGGATTTGGCTACCGAAGCGATGGTGATCTTGTTCTTGGTTGATGCCATCACTCTGTGAACTGTCTATCACAGGTGTAGCTGAGCCACTAGAAACAGGCGACTGCAACTGAGAACCTGGTGACGATGCTGCTTCTGGGGACATAGGTATATCTAGATTTTGTTGCTGTGGGGAGCCATTCGATGCGTCGGGGGCATCCTGGAAGGAATCCAGAGGGTTTTGCTGTATAGGCTCAGGCTCATCCACTTCCGCATAGTAACAATGGCGAATAGAATGGTAGAATGAATCTTCAAGGACATCACCTATTAGGAATCTTTTTGAACAATCTATGGTGAGCATTCCTTGAATGAGAGGGCGGGAGGCCTTGGGAAGAAGACGGAGAAGTCTCTCGGCACCGTATTTAGGCCCCTTGGCATCTTCTTCTTGCATTTCCTGCTCAGTGACTGGCTCGTCCATATTGTTAAGACATGCAAAGGACCTGAATGACGGATCACTCGATCTAGGAAGTTTCCATGGGAAACGCTTGAGGATCATGCAACAGAAGATGATGGCAATTGACCATACATCGGCCAAACGGGCATCATAAGTGGAATTGGTTTCAAACACCTCAGGAGCCAAGTATGGATCTGAGCCCACAATGCCCTTTGCTTTAAGAATCTTTGGCTGGCCAGAAGCGTCAGCCTTACTGTCTTTTCTGTACTGGAAAGCCGAGCCAAAGTCAATGAGTTTAAGCACACCGTCCCCGTTAACCACACAGTTATCCAACTTCAAGTCTCTATGGGCAATTCCAGCCCCATGCAAATGAGCCACACCGTTGATGATCTGCTTAAAGTAGCAGCACACCTCTTCTTCCTTCATCAAGCCGGACATGACCAAGTTGAAAAAATCGTACGGACAGTACTCCATGACAATGAGGAATTCGTTCTTTTCACGGATCAATTCCATGGTATGAATAAGGTTCTGGTGTTTTAGGTAATCGCCAATGAGGAATTCGTTCTTCACCTTGGTTTGGTAATCGTGGTCCGTTTCATTCTTCAATTTCGCCCTAAACTTCTTCACCGCAAAGATCTCCTTTTCGTTATTATGAGCCGTGACCAAATTGACCAGCCCACTGGCGCCCGTACCGATAAGCTTACCGATATCGTACTTCTTAGCCAAGTCCAGCGTCAGCGAAAGCGGCAATTCCGGTGGTTTCTTGACATCCTTCTCCTGAGCACCGTCCAAATGCTCGGGTCTAAGGATCTTAAAGAACCTCTTCAACGAAAGATGGCTATGGTGATGCTTATCGTGTCTCCGGCGGTGTTTCTCCTTCCTGCTGCTCAGCATCAGCGACTCCTCGGTATCGCTAGCCGCCGGCGATTGACCAGCCAGCGACGCCTGGCCTTTCCCCAGCGAAGCACTTGTCGACGGCGTAAGCGACAGTTTCAGGTTTCTTCTTCTAAGAAAGAACCTGTGATTCAGTTCCAGCAGGGGGCTCAGCGAGTGGCCGAGCTTATTAAGCAGCAGCAGCGACGAGTTCTTGAAGATATCCTTAAGCGACCTGTGCTTTTTTTCAGACATTTCTTTACTTCAAAAAAATACAAAAACAGGAGTATTCACGGAAAACTGAAAGCTTGCTGTTTGAAAGGCTCGTGAGTTTCCATCCCACTCGGCAGGCGCGGCTCTTATATAGTAAGGGCAGAAAAAAAAAATATAGGAAAAAAAGGAAAGAGGGAAAGAGCCGAGGGGAGTTAAAGGGGGTTTAAGAATTTTTATTATTTTATTTTGATAAAGAGAGGGCAAAGGCGGGGAAGCTCAGGGGTATATAAAGAGAAGCAAATTCCCACTTTTTGTTCCCAGAAGTTGATGGTTTTTCTGGATGGTGTGTGGGGTTTGGCGGCCCACGGTTTGACAGGTTTTTAGAGGCGCCGGTTAAGCAACGATGGCTGCGAAAAAAAAAAAAAAAAGAAAGCCGACGGGAGTAACAAAACCAGAATCACAGCCAGTGGGCGGTCCCGAAATGGTAAAACGGAAAGAAATGGGTTCCGAAGGTTAGCGGATTTGGCTGGTTTTGCCTTGCAGTTTATGGCTTTGGAACTTGCTCGAAGTGTCCTCTGACTGGTGGGTTGATTGTCGGATCGGCTATTGGTCGCAGTGGGCCGAGGAGTGTCAAGTGGAAGAAGAAGAGTGGCAGAAGACAGGTAACGGTGGGAAAATCATGCAATTGGCCTTGGGGTGACTTTTTTGGGGATTCAGTGATATTTAATTTGTTCCGTTATCTTTGTTTGTTGATAGACGGAGTGTTGTATTGCCGCCTCGGCTACAGTTGCTGAAAAATCCATGTTTTCAATACTCACGTCAGAAACTCCCCTTATTGCTGGAATGGCGTGTGTGGCGGCGGCCTGCCTGGTCAGATCGGGACGTTTAGCATTCACGGCTTTGTGTTCGTTTGGGCGTGGATTGGGTGTCTTAGGAGGATTGCTGTTTTAAGGTTTTTCGCAGCCATTCCAGCGTTATGTGGGTTAACTGAAAAGTATAATTGTATGAGACATACACTTGGCGTGGCTTGGATCGGAATTGTATAGGACCCTGGGAAGCCTCCAGGCTGCTGGCAGGCTATCCCTGGGCTTGGCTTGGGGTATATAACTAGGGAAGTTGGCCAGTTTTGGTGATTTTGCGAGGTGGACCCCAGTCCATACTACAATGGCTCCAGTGCTATTGTCTCCTCGAGATCCAACACAATGGCTGTTCAAAGCGCAATACCCCAAGCATCGTGACTGATCAAGGGATCAGGATCATCCATCTGCCTGTAAGGCTATCCATAATCAAAGGTGTTTATTCAACTAAATTCAATGCAAACGGGTCTTGTGGACCCGCTCGGCTTGCGGCACTAGAAATTAATCAATCTCTGGCTCTCCTCGTCGCTGCTGCTGTATCTCTTCTTGCGCTGACTGCTCATGCTGCCATGGTCCGGGCTCGACTCCTCCTCGCTGTCGCTGATGTCTTCTATAATGGTCTTGTGGACTCCTTGCACGTTCACCACAGATTCGACAATGCCGCCGGTTCGGTACGATCTTGATTCCAGGAACTCCATCAGGATCGGGTCTGAGTGACCCACGCCGTCTTCGTCAGAATTGCCGCCAGAATTGGAGTTGGAGCCTCTACGCGAGCTGCTTCTCGAGACAGATCCAGAGAAGGAGCCGGTTCTAGATGTCTTTCTGGAGAATGAGCGAGACGACTTCTTGGAAACACCTTCAGTCTTCTTGTCGTTCTTGGCATCCTTGGCTCTGTCTCTTTCACCCGCAATGTCAGAAATATCCGTTTCAACCTCGTTTCCTCTACTCGATTTTCCTTCGTGGTTCGGTAGGCTGGTGTTGGAAGTGCTATTGGCAGTAGTGTGTCCGTTGCTGTTGTGGTAGTGGTTTTCACCGTGGCTTCCGCGGTCGTCGTCGTGGTCGTCAGTCTTATCGTCCTTTTTATCGTCCTTAAAGGCTGCGTTGTCGTTGCTTAATCTTTGGCGTGCTTCCTGCAAAGCGGCTTCTTCACTGGTAAAGATTGGTTCATAGCCACCCTTAGCTCCAGGATGAGACCGGTTAGGGCCAGGAACAGAACCCTTTCCAACAGAAGTTGGCTGGGATCCAGGCACCTCACTTTGCTGAAGAGGTCTCTTAATAGTAACATACGATTTCGAAGTTTCCAATGGGTTCAGAGCACGGTTCATAGGTGCAAGCATGGGCGATTGCAAAGCACGGCCCTCAGCGCTAGCACGAATCACATTAGGAGATGTGGTGATAGGGTTGGCCTTGATGATGGTATTTTGACCAGGACCAGAGCCGACAGAGTTACGCTTATTACTGTCGTTAGTCTGATACAAGTTGTGCAAGTAAGACGTCAAATGGCGACGCGACAAAGGACCGGGGTTGGTTCTTTTGATGTTCTTGTTGATGTCAATGTACACATCGGATTCGTCGACGATTTCTTCACCGATCAATTCTTCAATAACATCTTCCAAAGTGAGCACACCCAAGGCACCGGTTGGTTCGCCGGGAGTTTCACTTACAACAATCATATGCGATTTACCTTCTTGGAAATAGTTCAAAATGTTCAAACAAGAGGTGTCGGAGGCGGTTTCCGGTAAAGTAGCTAGCGGGAACAGCGCCACAGGCAAGGCATCTTCAGGGTCATAGCTGATCAACACACGAACAAGAAGCATACCAATGAAATTAGAAGGTTCATTCGGGAGATGGATGGGAATACGAGAGAAACCAGCGTTGAAGATCTCCTCCACAGTCGCCTCGTCCAAAATCGAATCCGAAGACATGGTATAAACGCAATCCATCGGCGTCATAATGTCAGCCACAGTCTTTTCCTTCAAGTCCAAGACAGCACTAATAATGGTGACTTCGTCCTGGTTCAAACGCTCCACGCCCATGGTCTTATGAAGAGTGACCAAAGTCTTGAGGCCCGACTTTTTATATACGGTGCCGTGGTCCTCACCGAGAATATGGTCCAAGAGCAACGAACATGGGTATGCAACAGGGTACATGACATACATCAAAACAAGCACAAATGGAGCAAAAACAGCACCAACTTGAAGACCGTACCTGACACAGATGGATTGAGGAATGATTTCACCGAAAATCACAATGGAGGCAGTGGACGTGACCACGGCTGGCCAGCCACCGCCCAAGCACCTATCCAACACAATTGGCAACGTTTCGTTGGTGATAACGTTCAGAAGCAACAACGTGACAAGCACCCAGTGCTTGCCCCTGCCAATCAAACGCAACACCTTCCTGGCGTGCTTTCTTTCCAGTGGATCACCAGAAGTAGCGATCACCTTAAGGTAAACCTCGTCCTGGCCCATAAGCCCCAAAGTCAAGCCGGCAAAAACACCACCGGCCAAAACCAAAAACACAGAAGTAAACAAGTTAGCGTAGAACTCTTCAGTAGTCATTTTGGGACCAGCCTTGACGTCAATGTCCCTAACAGTAGGAATTGGGAAACCATGCACCAACCGAGCTAGGGAAGTGATGAGCACGGCCGGGCGGGTCCAGGCGGCGCTGGACGGACGAGGATGTCGAATTTTAGTCATTTTCAAAGGTGGAAAAGTAGTTGTAAGTGGTGTTTCAAGTAGAAGTAGTGGTTGCTTTTGCTTTCAAAGAGATAGGGATTTTTGTTCGCACCGCAATTAGCTCAGGCAGGAAGAGGAAGAGGTGTCAAGGGAAGGCAAGATAACCGACAAGGGGTGGGAAAAGATGAAAAAAGGGGGTGATTAAAAAGTGGGAATCGTTCTGTATTTATAGTTCCTTGAACGATTGAGGGGTATTTCTGGGGTAGATGTGTTTCTGTGGGAGAAGTTTCTGGACCTTCGCTTGGTGATGGATACCCACGTTTGCTGCGCCAAGGCGGTGAGGCAGTGATGGTGGAATTGGCCACACAGTGGAGAGGCGCTGATGAAGAGGGAGACAACGGAATACGGAATAAGTAATGTTTTCTCTTTAGGTTTTTGAGAGAGGTTGGAATAAGAGAGGGTTGGGAGACAAGAGTTGTGTGATTGGTGGATGCATTGCGCTGGTTAAGCCTGTGACACGGCCCGCGAGGGCCAGTGTCGAGGGTCAGCAATATCAGTAAATTAGATATGAAAGAAGGGTGATTTGGAGACTACTGATGATTTTAAATTAGTATGTAATTCCCACTTCTCTTCTTCATATGTTATCGGATCCGAAGATGTCGACTTTCCCGGCTGGCGTTGTTCGGCTATTGCAGACGATCTGGATAAGCACTATGGGTTAAATACAAAGCACGAGGAAACGGTCCACGGTTGGGCAAGAAAGAAGGTTTGATGGTGGATCGTGGAAGTTTAATTAAGGGTCTTTTTTGGTGGTGATGTAATGAAGAGGCTTATCGGTTGGGATCGGTGCAGATAGGAACGTTCTAATGGTATGTAGATGTTAGGCAAGGGAAGACTTTTAGAGTATACCGAAAGACACCGATGTCAAGTGCAACAAATGGAGGGTAATGGGTCTGTTTATTCTTCTTCGTTTGTCCCTGGGACATCCTGGCATCGTGTGACTGAAACCGTTGTTATCGGGTTATGAGACCTGTCAAAGCAACGTCAACACAATCTTGTATATCCAGGGCATAGGAGCTTATTTTAGCCATTTAGCGACTCAGACCAGTACCAGTAATTTCTCAAATTCATCCGCTATCCTCCAAGAGTCCATTCGTAGATCTCGGAATACTCAAACGTAGTCCGATATCACCAAACGTTCCATGGACCCTTCTTTTCCAGAACACCCTCCTACGTCACTACGCTTTATCTAATAAAACAATGTCTATTGTACAAATGCTAAACGATGGATAAACTATGATAATCGTGGCAACATAAAGAAATGAAAGAACAGAAAAGCTTAGGACGCGTTGAAGAACCAAACAAACGGCTTTTTCCAGAACGGAGCAGCCTCCAACTTCTGCTTGAGCTCTTCCCTATCCAAAGCCATCTGCTCCTTGTCGTAAATCGTTCTACCGGTATCGATGTCGATGTCCTCAATCTTATGCCACCACTTGGTCCAGCTACCGGCAAAGATCTTGTGGCCAAAGAAACAGGTCAAGAGGAAAGGCACACCGGCGTAGTTCTGGAAGAAGTTGGCAACGTCGGGCTTGTCGGTAGGGAAAAGGGCGACCCAGAACTGACCAATCAAAATCAAAGCATTGACGATCACCGAAAGCCATGAACCCCATTCACCAGTGTATGAGACATAACCCAAAGTGTCCAATGGGATCTTGTGGTATCTAAGACAAGCTCTCCATCTCAAGTGACAGATACAAAGAGCAGGCCAGATGAACACAATGGACAAGGCGACAATGGACATCAACCAGTCGAAAACGGTAGCTTGTTTTTCGTATTCGGCAATAAAGCCAAAGAGACTTGCCAAAATACCCACCAACCAGGCTCTCAATGGTCTGCCGGCTCTGTCGGTGTAGTCAAACCATTTTGGAGCCAAACCTTGCTGGGCCAAAGAACGCAACAATCTGGAAGAAGAGTACATGGCAGCCGTGGCCACCGAAGTGACCGAGTTAAGAATGACAGCGTTAATAATGTGAGGAACAACCTTGACATTGTGGAGATCAGCGGCAAGAACATATGGGGAAGCGTCGTTGGCACTTTCAGTGTTGGTACCCATAAGTCTATCCGAAGTATAAGGCACCAAAAGACCCACCATGACCAACGAACCAATGTAGAAGAAAATGATACGGAAAAACACCAATCTGATGGCGGTTGGCAAGGCGGTTCTTGGGTTCTTCACCTCAGAAACAGAAAGAGCCAAGAACTCAGTACCACCCATGGAAAACGAGGCAGTAGAGAAACAAGTCACCAAACCTTTAAAGTTGGTAATGGCACCTGGATCTCTCCAGTACTTACCTCCAATAAAACCAGAATCGGAAGCACCCAAGTCGATACAAATACCCATAATGACGAAACCAGTCAACATAAGAAGCTTAATGGTGTTCATGACAAATTCAGCCTCGCCGTAACCTTTCACACCGAAAAGATTAATGAAGCAAACAAGCACAAAGAAAATGGCCACGAAAATGTCCGGATTGAGCTCACTGTTCCAGAATTTAACCGTCAAAGCAGCGGTAACCAATTCAAGCGAAATGGTGGTGATCCACTGGAACCAGTAGTTCCAGCCAAGAGCAAATGCCATAGATGGGTCCAAGAATTTCTGGTACCACTCGTTAAACCCACCTTGTAAGTTAGAGTATGCAACGGTCAATTCACCGACCGAGTTCATGGTACAAATAGCCATTATACCAACAATAATGTATGCAATTAAAAGGGAAAGCGGACCACCCAGCTTCAACTTGGTGGCCGAGCCAACCAAGAGACCCGTACCAAGACCCGAACTAAGAGCAATCACACACAAGTGGGACAATCTCAAGTTCTTATCATCAAGGGTTCTATTTTCGGTATCTCTTTTGAAGGAATCGATAAAACTACCCACATACCCTCTATCGCTTTCTTCATCGGAAGAGTATGGTTTTATTTCGGATATTATGGGCTCGATATAATCCGAGTTCTTATGAAACTCTTGCTTTTCTTCGTCTTTGTTCATATTGAAGAAGAATGTGGTTGTTCAATGGAAGGCAAGAAAATTTGCAGTGGCCTTGGCGATGTCAAACTCTGTTGAAGATGGAAGGTGACGTGCCCGAAGGAAGGAAAGGAAAAAAAAAAAAAAAGAAAAGTTGGCAGCAAAACAAATATAAGAAATTTCCAAGTGATGGATAAGCGAGAGGTTTTATGTATTAAGATGGAGGGGGGCACAAAAAAAAAAAAAAAAAAAGGACGCGGGCGGAGAAACCACCCACCGATGATTTGTTATCGATAAAAGGGATCATTCATGTATAGGTATTCTTTTATCTATGGGCGTTTTTTTGCGTGTTCATTCCTTTTCCCTTTTTTTTTTTTTTTTGTGGTCTGCTTGGAAAAAAAAAACGCCGTATGTATGAAGACGCAGCTCTAGTGGGCTTCTGCACCGTGACGTCTCTACATGCAGTACCTACATGAACGAAGAAGGTCTTCGATTGCACCTTTCTTTTGCCCAAACTTAACTCGGGCAGTTCGGCGCGAGCGGGCAATGGTCACTCTGGAAAAACCCTGCTTAGTTATGGAAAAAAGAGTGTCATCCGGAAAAACTATTAACTTTAAAAAAACCCATATCCAAGTGGCTTTCGCCACTTGCTAAAAGAAAGTTCCCTTTGTGAAACCCCCGCAGCCATCCGGTGATGTACCCCCGATTTCACTCAAAGTTGGCTTTGCGCTAGTTTTAGAAGGAGGCAAGAGTGGAGCAAGAACAGGGAACCAAGTGAAACCGCAAAAAAAAAAAAAAAAAAAAAAGAGATACAAAAATAAAAAAAAGAGCGTTCAAAAAGGCAAAACAAGCCTCGGATTGAACAGGTTATGCATCGCCACTTATTCTGTTTGGAAGTGATGCGCCCGACGAAAACGACTTTTCAAGAAAGTGGAACGAAAGGAAGGGAAGCAAAAAAACTGGGTTAGGAAAGTTTTAAAGATTCGTAAATACTGCCTCGAAAAATCGTAACCTCTACTTTCTTTGTCCAGCTTCTCGGAAACTACAAACTCGTATAGGTTGCTCTTTCCAGAAGGAATCGCGCTAAGACAAGGTTGTAGCAAACGCCGTAACGGAACAGTCGTCATAAAACATCACCCAATCGTGGAATCCTGGAGATACCCTTTTGCAGGTGCTTCTCCCCCACAAAGCTTTGAGACTTAAAAACCTGGAGATTCTGCTTTGGGAAGGTGTTTCGGATGTCCGCTGAGGAATACTTTGTGGTTTGTCCCTTAAACCGTCCTCGGTCTTGGCTGGGTAGATTATTACACAAACCTGGTGAAGCTTCAGAATTTGGCAGTTGCCGTCGGCTGTAGAAAGTTGCCGCTAAGATGAGTAGTTGTTTTTGCCGTCCAGAGGGTTGACTATCAGTCATAGAGGCTTTTTGCAACCGCAGCAATGGTTTCGAACCTTTGGGGGTATGCGAAGAATGCGTTAGATTTGGGTTTGTAAGGTGGAGAAGTATAGGGGTTCCTATTGTTTGGGGTGGTGTAAGCGAGCTGTCAAAGATGGACGGTTGGCGTCGGTGGTGGGGTAGCCCCCAGGGTTAGTGGAAATGTAATTGCGGTTGGGAAGGGATACGAAGGATTGGGAAGGGTTTGGAGGACGTGGGGGAGGGGAGGTTGGCGTTGAAGGAGGGGTGGTTGAGGGATGGAGAGTTGGACTGGTGGAATTGGTGGGAGAGTGGGTTTGTTATTTTACTAACAGTAGCCAATTGGCGAATAGTTTGTTTCAGTGCTGATTGGTAGGGCAAACGTGGTTTTGTGGTTTTTATTGTATGGCAATCGTTTTTTTTTTTTTTCATTCTGGGCATTCTTGGGACGTGTTGAATGGTTTATGGTGGAATGTTCGGTGATGTAATCGTTTCTTTTGGCAATGGATTATCCGAAGCGAAGCCGAGTATGGTGGTGTGGGGATGAAGTTCAGCTATGGCTTTGGACCATCTATAACAGTCTTGATAGTTACTTTTTTTTTTTTTTTTTGATCGATTTCCTGTTAGTCGGACGACAAAAGGGACTTCTCCCTCTTGACTACTATACAGCTAACTAATCAATACCATATAGCAAATCCACAAACGATATACTACAAGGCGCCGAGTGATCTGACTGCAGAAGGCGACCATCATACGAAAGGAAAACTCCTCCATCGGAAAGTCTCTGGGGCAGCTTATGGTGTGAGTGTAAATTCTGATGTCCTCGTCCCATTGGCGCCACCACGGCCATAAAACGATTTAGTTGGTGGCGGCCATAAAACGATTTAATTCTCGATTTGTGGAACAGTGGAGCAGTATATCTCCTCTCTATGGCATAGTCAGTCCAATAGCATAAGTTCTTTTTACCGTCCTGAAAAAACGATTCAATTTCTTTAAACTTTCGAATGAAGTGTCCACTGGAGCCAACATCTCCTCTGGACTCATCGGTCTAGGATATTCAAGTTTGTTCCAGAGAAAGAGCTAGTTGGATATTTTGAAGTCTGGGATTCTACTGGACTCGGCTACGCCAATCAGATGGCGTTAATGTGGTCATGATATATGGATGTATTGAACTACTCTCTATGGTGATGATAAATGGATGTATTGAACTACTCTTCGAAGTGTCTTAAATGTGATCCTCGTCTAAGTAATGACATTATCTGTTTCTGATCAACATAGAGGCGAACAAATGGTACTTACTTTTTCAGTCTTGTCAAAACCTTAGTGATGAACTTCCCTGATTAACGACCACCAGTAACTGTAACCCTGATAATCTGGTGATGTAAACCATGAAAGTATTTAACATAAGAGGCCTTGTCCTCCTAAAACATTTCGTGAAAATCTATCTTAAAGCAACCCCCGTTCCCCCAAACCAATCCCTCCTCCCATTGGACACCACTCTGAATCACCCACTGCCCTCTCCAACCCTCTTCGCTTCTCTCGACCAACCAAGCCCACGCTTCATCTATCCCCACACCTACGCAGCAAACCACACGACACTCAATCGTTCCTGCTTAAACACTTCCTTTCCCATTCCTTCCCTTTCCCTCTTTTTTTTCTATTTTGTGTTATTCACCCCATGTGGATACCTTGGCAGAGCATCCCTTGTATCGGCTGCTAAACAGGCCGAGCGCGACATCACCAGTAGGTACCTCAGGCCACCGAGCCACCAAGACCACCAAAATTTGACAGTACACTCTTCCAAGCTAAACAAACACTTTGGCCAATTTCCATCAAATTCCCTTAACTCTATCTCCCAGTAACTGACCATCTGATACATCCATCCGTCTCCTGGGTACCACCTCCTGCATATACGGCACTGAAAAAAATAGGCTTACCAAATCTCCAGCTCCATTGGTTTAAATCTTCCAAATCACTACTCTTTCATCCAAACTCCCCATTCGCATGGTCCAGTTTATCAAGGCTTCCAATTCCTATGATTTCGACTTCTCCACAGCTTCCTTCGCGTACATGAACAAGTACCCGAACCCGTTTGCAAAGCATGTTCGAAGCACAGACACCCTAGAACAGTATGTGGACGAAAATGGCATGTTACGAACCACCAAGCTCGTGGTGAAGACGGGGCTGTTGCCGCTATTTATCAAGCCGTTTTTGGGCTCGTCGCTTGACTCGTGGATCGTGGAGAAGCTGATCATTGACCCTAGGCTGGGGACCATGAAGGCGTACTGTGCCAACGTGGACCACCGTAAGTTTATCAAGGTGGAGGAGTATTTGCATTACCAGAGCGAGGGAGCTCGTACGCATATATCGAGCAAAGTAAAGTTTTCGAGTAACTTTGCAGCGATGAAGGAGAGAATCGAGGTGTGGAGCCATAACCGGTTCCAGAAGAACATGAGTAACTCGCAGGAGGGTTTGAAGTATGTGATGAACAAGTTCAAGGAGAAGATGCGTCAAGAACTGTGGGCGAAGATTTGAGTTTTCCAGAAGGAAGTATAGGTGAAGTATTGGATAGGGTATTGCCTCGGGAGGTGGTACCCTGGAAGGTTGAGGCCAGGCTGTTGTATATACTGGTTCCAGCCGAGATTGATTATGTACGTAGGTGGCGTTTGTATTGTTAATGAGGAACGAATCGAAAGGGTTGTAGAGAAGAAACAGTTGGAAAGTGATATCGATGGTATGTTGTAAGGTGAGTATGGACACTGAGTGAGATATCTGTTAGAAATGTACTATCGCTAATCTACTAGTAGTATTACAGGACGCTGATAGTAAGTTAGAAGACGAATCCTCTTGTTAATTGACGGCATAGGTTAGTATTGTTCTAAGGCAGCTACAAGTGTCACTATTTGAGCAAACTACGTATCTAACGGAAACTTATGGATTGTACCAATCCTCTCGATTTTATCCTCTTTCCTGGACCTAAAAGTCCCTCTTTACTCTACCAGTGTCTCTTCTTGACTGAAAAGACGAATCCTCATCGACTTACGCCCATTCCAATCAACACCAAACCCTAAAGCTTAATTCCAAATTCACCCATCGCTCTTCCCAATCCCTCCAGTCCCAAACGGCCACCAACTCAATTTTATTGTCCCACCTAGACCGATCGGCTTGTTCATAAGGCGTTTTGAACGTTCCACCATCACCTGATTCCGATACCCGGTCTTCCCAGTGTTGTTGCATTCAAAACCAACTCATTAGAAAAAGTCGAAAATCATAAAAAAGCCTTTGAGTTTATAGTTTTGAAACCTGCCAAATCTAGTAGTTTTAACTCTCCTTGTCATACTCTATACTTCTCCAGGCATACCAGTACCACAAGTCCAGTAACCACATCAACACAAGCCCAAAAATACACAAATCCCAAAACCTCCTTACTACACTTTCCAACCACCAATTCCATAAAACCACCCTCTGCCTCTCCTGACTCCATTTAACAGCTCTTCGGTTGCCGAGGTTTCGCAGCCAAAACCAGCAAACAGCCACCAGTAGTACTCCAGCCAACCAGTGATATACCCATACATTCCCAGAAAAAAAGGTACCATTATAATCACCAAACCTTCAGTAACCCCCTCTATCACTTTCTCCCTTTTTTTCCCAAAAGCCTGCAATTTCCCTAACTCTATCCACCAACCCTTTCCTACATCTGCCTTATCGTGCCTTATCGCACACTCCTCCACACATACTACTCTTCTTCCATAACCACCAACCCCTGCTGGCCCGAAAAACACTATAAATACAGCACGAATTCCCACTTTTTCAAACCATGTCTGGCGAAAAAAGTGACCATCCGCTGGCCCTGGCAGCAGCACACCCGCCTTGTGTCAGACGTGGCCTGGTGCTTTCCCAAACCATGATCGAGGATGAAACACCGTCCATCTACGAAAGCCACAGTTTTTTCCCAGACACGTCGTCGTACACGATTATCTCGTTGAAGCAGGGCCAGGGGTTTATATTTAACCAGGACTTGTTTGCCACGCCGTACCAGCAGCTGAGGGCGTTGGCCAATGAACGCAAGATCCGTGCTTTCAGTATGTCTCAGGCACGCAAGAACAGCAGTCCAAAGGGCAAGGCCAAGGAGAGCCAGAGAAGAAACACGTCGTATGAGCTTCGACCCCAGTTTCGGGGCCGAGCCTCGGGAAAGTACGATTCTGCCATAGAGGACGATTCCATGGACGTGGATATGGATTCAGATAAGGAGGAGCCCGAGCCGGGGCTGCCGGAAGAGCTGGACGAGCTGGATCTCGATCTGGTCATTGTGGATGAGTATGATGACGAGGATGAAGATGAGGAGGAGGGATACATGGCTGGGTATAGCAAAGTGAAGGTGGCCGACATTGTGGTGGATCCGAACGATACGAGTTACCTTCCGACAGAGGAGGATTTGCATGTCCAGGTGGACGATCCGGGGATACAGGGATGAGGTGATTTGTGGAAAGATGGGGGTCGGATGGTTGGAGTGGTGAGAGGACGGGCTCTTTTGCTTTCCCGTGGTGGATTAAGAGGTAGAGATGGTGAAGGAATGCTGGAATGGGTAGGAACAGGGCGTTGTGAAGGCTCAACGATGCCTGTGGAGTCATTAAGGGAGCATTGAGGATATTAAACTGGATATGTTTCTTGTGGAGGCTGTTCAGTGGGCCTAATCTGGGTACTCTGGACTCTGGTTGACATGGGTTGCCGTATCGTCATGAGATCTACCTTGCTAGGGTATTCTGGCAAAACTTTCCTGAATAGCTGGCATACCCAAAATGACTTACAAGATAACAGCTGCTCTGTTTTATTCGACCTGAAGTGCCAATGGAACGCTTCCACATAGTGAAGAGTTCACCAGGAAGGTCCCTATCCGAGGAAGAAGTACCATGTTTTCGGGAACACTGAAAGCCACGCTTCCTTCATCAACTGAATGAACTTCTGCCACAATTATACCAGCCCGTATAGCTTTTTATCCACCTACTACAAATCGAGCCGAACCTGGAACCTACCTTCAGCCTACCACCACCTGCAACACCACCGGCCCCAGCCCCAAATCCAAACAACACCTCCATAACCTTCAACCCAAACTGCAACCCAACTTCCAAGCCAACATTCCACCCAACAATGTACCTTTTTTCCAACCCTCATACCCAAGACTCTGTGAGTCGTGAACAGCCAGCGATAGAACTTGCCCCGTTCCCCCCAATTTCATTTCCACCAACAACCTCTACAACAACGGGACCCCGAAAGACCCACAAAGTAAGTATTACCATTTAATTTATAGTCATTTCCAGTAAATCAGCGCCCCTCCTCTCTTCCTCCTACTATAAGTAGTGCGCACATCGCACCTCAAGTGTAACCACATTATCACCAACTACTACTCATCATGGCTAACGTTGCAGAGCAATTCGAACAGCTCTCGTTGGACTTCAGCAAGTCCCAAAACCAGCTTCAGGAACTAGCCGGTGCCCGTTCCCAGCTTGAAACGCAACTCCAAGAGAACAAGATCGTTCTTGAAGAATTCAACGTTTTGGACGACGACTCCAAGATATACAAGATGACAGGCCCAGTGCTAATGCCACAGGATTTCGGTGAAGCCAAACTCAACGTGAGCAAAAGAATCGAGTTCATTGAAGGAGAAATCAAGCGAGTTGAAGAAAAAATCGAGGCCCAGCAGCAGCTGATGGAAGACACCAGAGGCAAGCTTCTACAGGCAAAAACGCAAATGGGAGGATTGAATTAACCGCGTGCAAGCTGGGAGCGGATGAGGTTGAATAAGGAGATGGCGTTGAAGAAAGACCACTGCTCGACGGCGTTGTATGAGTCGCCCATGAACCGAACCGCCAGCACGTTGCGATCAACAAACAGACGAGTGGATGCAAAGTCGGGGCTCAGGTCCAGGAGCATGTAGAGCTCCAGCTTGACGTATATAGACAGAAGAAGAAGACGCTTGGCGTACCAGGCGGAGTCGTTAGACATGTCGCCAGCGTAGTAGGCAATGTCGTCGCTAAGAGCATGGAGCTCGGCAAGCGAAGCGTTCCAATTGTAGGGAAGCACCAACTGGGAGAGGCCCAGGCCCAACTGGCTCACCACGGGCTCGTTATAGGAAAGACGTTCTTTCAAGAGGTAGGCGGCTCTATCGAATTCATCAGGGATAGCATGGAACTTCAGCTCAGGATCAAGCACATGCTCGTAGAGCTTCTGTCTCTGGTGTTTCAACCAAAAGAGGGTAAGTTGAAGCTCAGGCAGCTCGTTCAGTGGGTTAGCAGCAATGACGCTTTGCAAGGAGTCAGCGTAGCCCAAATCTCTCACGGCATCGTCAATACACTGTTTATGGAACCCATACTTGGGAAGGTAGTCCAACGCTTTCGTAAGAAGAATCAGTTCTGGCGCTTTCTGGTTGATAAGGATGTTTGGGTGTGAAGCCAGATGGTACAAGCGGGACGAAACGCCCACGAAACGGGAACGGAGAGCCAGGCGAAACATGGTACCGGTGGAAAGAAAGTGTTGATGGTGTATATACATCTAGTGAGGTGATTTTGTATATTGGGCGCGAGACGACTGGCAGTGGAAGGTGGATAAAGGGTGGACGGGTGGATGGAAGGAAGTTATTGATGTGAGTGTTGAGAGTTGGTCAGAGGGTTCAAGAAGTCTGCTTTTTGGGGATTTGGGGAAGTGGAGGGAGAGAATTGGGAGGTTTATATGGCTTCTCATGTGCTTAGTATGGAGAAGAGAGAGACCAAGAAGGCCCATGTAAAAGCTTCACTACCGAGAAATTTACATACACCAGTGGATTACCCATATTAGGAGGCTTTCTTTTATTGAACAATTTGGCTTCTTTTTATTTTTTTTATTACCTAAACCCACCTCTTTATTCCCTGCTTTCTCTGGGTATACGAGAAATGGCTGCAAAATGCGAACTGCACTGGATTTAGCCGCTCTCGGCTTTCCAGACGAACCGTTGAAGAATCACGCCATATGGTGAATAGTGGATGTTTGCTATTGGGTTGTTTTTAAGGTTGTGGGGTGCCGTGGAGGCCGTTGGTGGTTGGTTGGTGGCAGGTTTGGGTTGGTTAGGGGCAGTTATTGGTGGTTCAGTGGGCACTGAAGGAAGTGATTAAATGGAGGCACCACAAGAGGTAGTTTAATTGAATTTGGTTCTAAAAAAGACCTAGAAGGTCCTTTGTAAAACGTTTTTTGACTCTTGGAAGTTAGTGGGTATTCTGTTGAAACTGGTTTGTGGATTGTTCATTAGTCTAGATGTATTTACTGGACGTACCATATCTCTGGCTTAGACCTGAGGGCCCAGAAGAATTCTGATCAGTAGCAAATATGGTGTTCAATCGACTTGGTCTTTCTCCTTAATTTTCTGATGCTTCACTCTCTGGGTTTCAAACTGTAATTGCATCTTACTGGCACTTTACTTTGTCCCGTTAAGGCTGGTCAGAGACAACTAAACCTCCCACATTTCTTCAAAGGTGTATTCTATTAACTCCATAAAAATTCCGTAACTATCTGAAAAATATTAAAAAACACTGAGCCTGTTAAATGGGCTTTCTGAGCTCGGAAAGGGTCACCGTACCAGATGTTAAGGCAGTGGACTATCCATGATTCTGGAGAGCCACCTGAAGTCCAACCTTACCTTAAAACAAAGAAAAACGGCTTAAATAAAGCATTTACATCTTTGGTCAAATAGAGGAATAATCAAAAGTTATCCACATTTCAGGAGTACGTGCTTATCTTCCCACAGCAGTACTTGTCTCCCCAACCATCCACATCTCCAACCAACACCACCCATCAAACAACAATATACTACAGAAAAGAAAGAAAAGAGAACTTCAACTCTCCCATTAAACCACCTCTCAAACTCAAGGCATTCTTAATATCATCTCCTACACGCTCTCTATTATATTACATTTATTCATCCACCTTCGCCTTCTCACTCTCTCACCATTCAAGTAAGACCACCAACCACCCACCAATTCCCACCCAAACTTCCAATCTCCTCCAAATTCCCTCCAAATCCCATAACTCCAGTCCAAAGTATCCTCTTTAACCTTAAATCATTTCACCTTCATACCCTTTTCCATTGGACACCATCCCCATCTCCTCCCATTTTGCACCCATTCCTGGGCCTTTGCCTCCACGATTCGCACAGTATCAACTACCACCCTTTTCCACCAAATGCTAGTATGTCCTAATTCAATGCCTCATCCTCCCTCTATTCCATACTAACTATAGTTTAAATCGTGGGCTGAAGCGCCAAACCCTCGCCATACGTTCGACGATGAACCTGATTCGCCGCCGTTGGTGCCTCAAGTGGAGACTTCATTGAGCACATCAAGTCTTCCAGAGACCATCGTGGTTGTACCTAAAAACATAGGTATTGTGATTGAAACGATTCCTGAAAAGAACATAGTGGGCCATATTGCCGTGGAGTACCCACAATTGAGTGAAATAGTGCCTACGGAGGAGTACGACGAAGACTCCCAGCTTTACTCGGCTGTGAACCTTGAGGCGCTACAAAGACGGTTCAAGGCTGAAAAGATTCCTATTTATGCATTTGGCAAGTCAGGCACGGGCTTTGCCATTGTGGTTCCACACTTCATGAACCCAATTGCTGAAAATAAGGTGGCTAGCGAGATCGCTAAGCTTGGGACGACCATTACATCGTGGATAGCATTGGCGCCTTCGCCGCTCAATAACGGCACGTCCGTGTGTAAATTGGACATTTCGCTGTCCACAGATGCATCTTTTGAAGGCGTTCCCAAGATCAAGCCGCCTCATTATATAACAGGCATAGTGGCGGCTGTCACTTCTCGGTTGTTCCAGAATCGCCAGCTAGGCAGTGCTTCTGTGTTGGTGCTTAACGCTGAGGGCCACCTGGGTTTCGAAAAAGTCGACGCTGATCTGGTCATGGACGCTGCTGAGCTTGTAGGTCGCTACCTCGTCGGTAAACAGAACAAGGCGTCTTACCTCAAACTGCTTAGCGCCCATGTCCGCAAGATCAACTCGGGTCTTACGCTGGGAATGTATTTATAAGTATGAAGAAATGGGTCATGTCATGAATGTTCTATGCCATAAGCCGTAGCGGCTCATCTAGGTTTAGTGTATCAGTCTAGGGATCTGGGCCTGCCAGGTTACGACTGGGAGTTTCTCATGGACAAGAAACAGTTCCAGAGCACTGAAATGGATGACGAAAACGGAACCTGGAGCAGCCGAGGGACCATCAAAAAGTTAATGAACTGCACTGGAAACCACACCGAGTAGTTGATCATGAGTGTTTTCAAGTACACTTTACGTAGCTTTCCCGTAGCATCGTCCCAGGTGCCGTTATCAAGAACCATAGTACCGTAAACAAAGAAACAGAAAAGCGAAATGGGCGAATAAACAAACTGGTCACTAAGTACCTTCCGTATCACCTCCACAACCTTCGGATCTTTAGAATAAATCTGCAAAAACTTATACCAGAAGCACTGGCACACGCCCATAATGAAGCCCCAGCACATGAACCCAGCTAGCCTGCTGAACTGGAAGAATGTAAGCTGTGGCAGAGCCAAAAACGCCGGTGTAATTCCCGTCTGAGAAACGTCAGCATCCGTAGAGTCCAAGTACTGAAGAAACTCATTCACATGTTCATCGTGCATCAGCTCAGTATCGGTAACATCGCCATCCTCTTCCGGGCGAGTATTTGCCTCTAGATCAGAATAAGACAACGGCTCCTCGTTATTCACCACCACTGCAAACCGTCTTGCCAGCGAACTATAACTAAGAAGCGACTGGGCCAACGTCTCTGAAATTCCATAAAGCACCAAGTTCGTCACTATAATCGTCACCAAGGAACTCTTCATGTATAAGTCGTTATACTTGGTAGTAAGTTTAAGCAAAAACGAGCCCAAAACAAGGATTATCGCAAAGTTCAACACAGGCACATTGTGTATTCGAGGAGCATTGACCACACGAGTGAAGAGCGACAACTCAGGCGGAGAAAGCGTCACCATGGCAGGAAGAAGGAAGTAGTTGGTGGTTGATAAGTGATAAGTAGCGGTGCAGGAAAGGCCTTCTGTGGGGGCCACCAAGGAAGGTTCAGGGACGGTAGTGGTTGGGAAAAAGGTGGTTTAAATGTTTGACTTGGGCTTTTAGAGGGATTTGTTTGGTTTTGAGCTGTTTGTTTTTGGGGTTTGTGGGAATTGGCGGAGTGTGGTGGTTAAAGAGTGGAACCCTGGATGGCTGCGAAATGTGGATTACTGGGGTCAGTGGTGGATTCAGTGGAACAGCTCATTTTGGGCAATAAAGTTGTTTTTGAGTTTTAAATGGGTTTATTAAAAGTGTATTTAGTGGCTTTGGGCCATTTGGTTGCTTTGGGGTGGATTGGTGGAGACTGATTTTGGCCAGTGGAGGCATATATGGAACCAGTATTGAGTGGTGTCTAGAAGAGTACTATAAGTGACACATGAAGTATAATTGCGACTGTTTTTGACTTTTCAACTCTATATAGGGGAAATTTTGCCTCAACTGGTAATGAATGAAAGAGTTCTTTTGTCGTTTGTTGTAGATGGTGGATGCTTGGTGGTGATGTTCCGTGCGGAATGAATAGATGGTACCAACTGGCCACTCAAAATACAATTATGTTTGATTGATATGTAATTTGTTGACTAACGTGTTCTAATAGTTGCGTTTCGTTTGGTTTGTTTTGTTTCTTCTTTCTCTGAAATCCGGTTATCATTGGTAGACCTACTATATACGCTCTACCTGTGAACTTTCTATCGAATGGCTACTAAAAATTATATTATCATCAAAATGACTTCTGGACGTTTATTAAATAATTAAATGGCCTTGAAATTAGTTTTGGGTAAGATAAACAGAACACTATCTTGGCTTAACCCGCTAGTCTTGTCTATTGGTCTCACTCAATATACTCCACCATCATCACCATCGAAGATAAACGAACACGTAGCCCCAACTCGAACACTAATAAGCAACTCTGTTTTCTGTTTTCGAACTATTCCTTGGTCTGTATGACCACCTACAATCGTCTTTAATTTATTCTTTTATTCTTATTTATTCTTATTTATTTTTCTTTAGATATACGGAAGGTTCTTAACCTCCATGGTCGTTTCAAACGACAGAGACGGGTTGCACCCTTCTCATAAAACGCCCGAGATGTGGATTCAAACTGACCAAAGTTGGCCTATTTTCCTTCAAGCGAAGAGGTTCAGGGTGAACAGGTTTAGGATTGAACATCTGGTGTGCCTTCATCCGAACAGCAGCAGAAAGAGTGTTCAACCTCTGTCTCTTAGAGCATTTCCTAGAAACCATTTTGTTCGACTTTTTGAAACCATTTCTGGTTTGCTTCCTTTTACCTGAGAACTCGTCACGGACCCAAGTATCGTAGAAGTGAGGGAAGTCGCCTGGAAGGTAGGTTTCTTGGGGTGAATGCAAGGCCTTGTAATGAACAAAGCTGCTAGGCAAGAAATGCCTGAGGATTCTTCTAACAGACAAGTGTCTGAAGAAGAGGAAGGCGCCTGGTAAGTATGAGGTACCTTCAGGTTCCTTGAAGTACTCCTTGAACTTGAAGAAGTCGCAAGGCATGAAAAGAGGAATGGTCTTCTTGTTCATGGTTTTCCTGAACAAGGGGAAGTCAGCAGGCAAGAAGGTGTTTTTTTTCTGTTTAGGGAGCTTCCTGAAGTTATGGAAATCACCAGGCAAGAAGGTTGGGTCGTTCTTCTCGTTGGTGATCTCTTTGTACTTGTAGAAGTCAGAAGGCCAGTAGATACTGGAAGGTTCCTTGGGGGAAGAAGCCTTCATTTTTCTCTGGATAGCCTTCATTTGAGCCTTTTTCTTTGCTTCAGCAACAGCTTTAGCGAAATTGGCACTAAGAGTCTCCTTCATTGCCTGTTTAGATTCCTCAGACTGAGGAACCGTCTTTTGTTTAAGAGAAGTGCCCTTAAGGACCTTATAGGCCCTACGAAGCTGCAGCTTAGCCAAGTTATAAGCATCCTCAGCTTCATAAATTTTAGTAATGGCCATAATCTTCTTAGTATACATTACCTGGGCTTCGAGCTTCAGGTGCCAGTTGGTTCTGGCATGAACAAAGCAGTTGAGAAACTCTCTGAATTCACCTGGGCCCCAAGGCAAATAAGCCAGGCCGGTGTCTTCATGAAAGCTTTTTATCTGACCGTCGTGGATCAGGATACGGGCGTCGGTGACGTCCAATGGAAGACAAATGTTGTAGATGTTGTAGCACTTAGTAAGACACATTTTGGTTGATTGAGTAGGTTGGTAAAGAAAAAGAAGAAGAAAAGGAAAACCAAGACAGAGGGCAAAACGACGAATATATATACCCCAGAGCGTGCCTTCAAGGAAAAGTCTGTGTGGTTTTGGGAAAGTATAGGTTTGTGGAGAAATGGCTGCGAAAAGAGTAAGTACACCGATATAGGTACAAATACAGCAGGTCCAATAATATGTGTTTAGCTTGGATAGAGGAACATATATTTTGCATGACTATGGGAAATTAAATGGGGAAAGTTTGGGGTTGTTTGGTAGTAGGAGTTGCCCTGGGAGGTGGTTTGAATGGTTGTAGTGGTCATTCAGACTGTCTATGGAGTGTCAGCCAGAGCTATGTGGCCACGTAAGAGGTACTTAGTGGTAGGTAGTATATTGAGCTGCTTTGGGGCGAAGAATTGTCGGGTAACTGTTGGTTCTGTTTGGTAGTGGCCTGTAGGTTGGAAGTGTTGATGTAGTACTACTACAAGAGAGAGAGGCTTCCATAATTGATGTGAAAAGCGACTGAAAAGACCATTTTTGTTGAAGAAGATCTAGTTTAATTCTATAATATAGTCACGTTCTAATTAACCGTTGTAGTTTAGTCTGCCTTAGTCGTGCTAGTCGTACAGATATTATAGGACTAAATCAGTAGTGACCGTTGGAACAACGTTAATTAGAGATCAAAATCTATTCAGATTGGAATGTAAAACCAGATTTGGAGCTTCAAATAGCATAATTGAAAGAAGAGGCTCAATTGGAATGTAATTGATAGAGGTACTTGTAGCTATTCAGAATTCAGGCCAAGAACTGAGCATTTCCACCTTTCCCCACCATCTTTCCCCAAAAGTCCATGTTGCCTTCAATAAAGCCAACCCGCCAATTTTTGAAATCGTACATTTCACTAATTTCCATAATTCCTGGCATTTCCATGTTTTTCACATTTGAACAAATACTGTCTCTTTTGAGAAACACTGTAAAAGACACCCTAATCCATCTTACCACACACTTTCCAAAAACAACTCAAAAGAGAGATTCCAATTCAAAAAAGCCACTCAAGAGTCACCAAACCTTCCATTACCACGAAATTCCCCACAAAAGGCAATTTTTCACCCTACCCATCTCTTCATAGGCCTTTCCCCAATGGCTGCGAAATGCCCAAATTGAACCCTCCCCAACACCACCACCAGTGCACCACCCACCAGTCCAAAGGACCAACTAACCGAAAACCACCAGAAACCAAATCATCTTCAAATACCATAAATATTATTAGAACCGTCTTGAATTCTTCCATTTACTTGACTCCAGCCGCACGTGACCGGTCGACGCACGCACCCAATCAAATCGTGAGAAAATCAATACTCATAATCAACCCTCCATCAACCCTCCTTCAACAAACAGGAACGTAACCGCCCATGTCTTACAACAAAGCTTACGAGCCTGTCAGAGGCGACGTCCCGCAGTCAGACTACGAAGTCATTGACTCCGATCCTTACTACGCCAGAGTCATTTCCTACTTCAGACCTTCCGACATCGCGGCTTGGGGTGCTTCTACAGCTGCTTTCCCTCTTGGTCTTGCAGCCTGGGAAAGATTGGAACCGGTTGCTGGTGCATTCAAGAAGCCAGGTAAGGTTCCAGCGCCAGCTTTGAGAGCTGCCACTTTGATGGGCTTTTTCGGTGGCTTCTACCTTGCGTACATTAGATCCAGCAGAAGGTTCTTGGGCTGGTCTGAAAACGCCAGAGAGGTCAAGAAGGATAGATACGAAATCAAGAAGTTGTTGTCTGAGGAGAAATTGCCATACCACCAGAACGAGTCTGTGTTGGACGACAGAATGAAGGATATTGCCAACAGAAACTCCCAGTACTCTTTCACTGCATTGTTTATTCTCCCCTGGTTCAACATGGCCTACCACCCATACCACGGTGTTGACATTAAGAAGTACTACGAGACCAGAGAGGGCGAGGAGAGCTGGGGTTTCAACTTGAAGCCTTACGAGGAGATTGCTGCAAAGTACACCAAGACCGTGGAGTAAACGGCGTGGCGGGAGACAGAGGTTTTGGCCTTTTTTTTTTCTAAGGTTCAACGGCCTCTGCCAATAGATTAATTTCAGAAAACCAGTGGTTTCAGGGCGTTCTGGACCACCAAGATTGGTGCCGCTTTTTCATCGTTGACGGCCCGATATGTCACATACACACGAGCATGGCTCGCAAATAACGACGTTGCATTGAATTGCCTGTAGCAAGGATGGGCCAGGAGGGATTTAGGAGGTGTTTGGGAACCAGTGATGATGGAGAGAGTGGAAGAGGCCGCACAGAGCCTCTTTAGCTGTTCCATCGCCATTACTAAGTAACCCACCTCAAACCCCAACCTTCCTTCCCCCATTTTCAGTAGAAACAACATCTAAACCCTTTCTCCCCACCGACTTTTCACCTCTTCATCTTCTTCGTCTGAAGGTTCGACCTGCATACAATACCTTGTTTGTTTACCCCAAGATCACCAGAATCTCAATCTTCACCAAATACTCCATTCATCAAACCTCCCCAATGGCTGACGAAGAAGACTATTCCAGCTTGCCTGTGGAAGATAAGATCGTCCATAAAGTCTGGAAAGTAAGACAAGACGGGTACACCGCGCTTAACGACCAATTTACCAAATCCAGAAGCCCTGAAGACCCATGCTTCTCCATGTTCAGCCAGAAGCCTGAACTTGTTAAGCTGGTCGTGACGGATTCTAACGTTGTGGCTCAGGAAGGAGGCCTTCAAGCTTTATGTCTGTTTCTTGAATACGGTGGAACTTCAGCGAACGCTACGAAATTGAAGAATGCTGGTCTTATAACCAGTCTATGTGAGAAGGGTCTTTCTTCTTCCAGAGCAGGAACCAAAACAAAGACTGTGGAGGCAATTCTATGGTTGGTGGAGCTCTTGAATAGTGGCGACTCGGTGGTGGAGCTGATTGTGCCTTTTTTCGATAATAGGCTTCCAAAACTTGTGGCTGCATCTGTGAATGCTGTGTACTTTATAATTGAGCAGTTTGGATGTCAAGTTGCATCTCCAAAACCCGTTATTCCCAAATTGGCTAAGTTGTTTTCTCATGCCGACAAGAATGTTCGGGCACAAGCTACAAATCTTACCGTGGAGATCTATAAATGGATGGGCCAGGGCCTTACACTGGTGTTAATGGATAGCTTGCGTCCTGTGCAGCAGAAGGACCTTCAAGCTGATTTTGAAAAGGTTGCTGGTGATAAACCAGAGCAAAAGAGACTCACAAGGAAACAGAAGGAGGAGTTGGCTGTGCAGCAGGAGACTAATGATAATGAGGATGTGGATATGGATGCCGATACTGTTCAAGAAACGAATGGCGTTGCTGCAGAGGAGTTTGACCCTTTCCTGATGTTAGAGCCTGTAGAGGTGCTTCTGAAACTACCGTCGGATTTGCATACGCAAATGGCTTCTTCCAAGTGGAAGGACCGTAAAGAGGCGCTTGATGAAGTACATGCTGTGCTCTCCAAGGCTCCAAAACTTGCCCAAGATGATTACACTGACCTTGTTAGAATATTTGCCAAGTGCATGAAGGATGCCAATATCCAGGTTGTGCAATTGGCTGCAAATGCAGTGGAGTTCTTGTCTAAGGGCCTTAAGGAAGGTTTCCACAAGTACCAGCACTTAGTTGTTGGGCCAATGATTGAAAGGAGCAAGGAGAAGAAACCATCTGTGGCAGATGCCTTGGCAAATGCGCTAGATGCCATTTACGAATCTTCTTCATTGAATGATGTGCTTGATGAAATTATTAATGGAATGAAGCATAAAACGCCGCAGGTCAAGATCTCCTCAACGGATTATCTACGTCGCTGCTTGGCCAACACAACTGTTCCACCCAAACGCTCACAAATTGATGCTATTATGGAATCAGGAGTGAAACTTTTAAGTGACTCTCAGGAGCCTATCAGACAAGCTGCTACGGATATGATTGGTACATTAATGAAAATAACTGGCGAAAGAGAACTTTTGGGCCTTTTAGAAAAGATTGACGAGAATAGGCTAGCGAAAGTCAGAGCCGCTCACGATAAAGCTCAAGTGAAATGCACAGCCAGTGCTGCTCCACTGCCTCAACGCAAAGCACCACTGCAACCTAGTCGAACCGTTCCAGCATCATCGGCAAGCAAGATTTCCTCGGTTCCTCTGCTTCGCAAGCCACCTACTTCTTCTCAGGCGATTCCATCAAAGCGTGGAGCGACTTCTCCTGCCAAGAAGGCCGAAACTTCCAAACTTCCCTCTTCTGTGAGAAGTCTAACTGGGAGACTGTTGGTGTCTCCATCTACGAAACCGGCCACTACTGCGCCCGAACCAGTTTCTAAAGGACCATCTATCAGCGCCCAGGAACTCCAAGAACTCGAAAGTCTCAGAAAAGAAAAGCAAGAGCTTCCTGCTCAGAACAGACGTCTTAGTGACTCACAGTCGCAATGGGAGATCGAAAAGCAGCAATGCTATGATCAGATCAGGCAGCTACAGACGCAATTGGAGAACCTTCAAGATGAAAGTGCTACCAAACGTCAAGAGTTGATCGATAAAGACGCAGAAATCCTCCATTGGAAGAACGAGTCCGGAAACTACAAACTCAAGATTCTCAGTATGGAGCAGGTGATCCAGATGTTGAAGCTTAATCCTTCTGCCAATACGGATACGCTAATCGAAGAGAGAAGGTCAGATCCACCACAGCCATTGTTCTCCCCAACCAGGACAGTGGATCTTCAAGCTGAAGAGCCCCGGGGAGCCAACAACGAGCTCAGTTCAAGAGTTGATCGTTTATCGATTGAAGGCTCACATGCCTCCACGAACCATTCGCCAGAGACGCAAAGAAGTAACTACGCCAGTCCTTCCAGACCTGAAACGTACCGCCGTACAAGCAACTACAGCACGACAAGCTCCAAAGAAAACGTATCTGAGGACGATAATTGGAAAAAGGCCGCCGAAGTGACAGCACAGTTGAAGGCCAGAATCGAAAAGATGAAGCAGAGAAACCGTCTTTCTTTGAACCGGCCGTGAGAAACACCACCTCCCCACATCCAAGCAAAAAAAGTATGATAGAACGAATCTGAAGGACCAAAACAAACCTCTTAAATAATTCACCTTCCCATTTCCTCCACCTTCCCTTCATTCGGTCTCTTCGTCCCTGGTGAGTAATATGTAGGTCCAGCACCAAAAGTATATCGATCTCGGTCTGGAAAAAAACGAGTAACTCAGTTGACAACCAATTGAAGAACCCCAACTGCCCCAGCAAAAGAAGGGTCCCAAAAAGCCAATTGAACATTCCATCCCACCATGTCCTCCAAGTTAAAAATTTTGGTCCCCGTGAAAAGGGTCATCGATTTCGCCATCAAGCCCAGAATCAACAAAGCCGGTACCGGCGTTGAAAAGAAGGGTGTCAAGTTCAGCATCAACCCTTTCTGTGACATTGCATTGGAAGAGTCTCTTAAGCTCAGAGAAGCCAACAAAGGGTTGGTTGAGAAGATCCACGCTGTTTCCATTGGTCCTACCAAGGCCCAGGATATTTTGAGAACGGCGCTTGCCAAAGGTGCTGATACCACGACGTTAGTGGATGTTGGCGAAGAGGAAGTGGAGCCATTGAACGTTGCTAAGATCTTACATAAGGTTGTGGAGAAGGAGGGCCTGAATTTGGTCATTTTGGGTAAACAGTCGATCGACGACGATGCCAACCAGACGGGTCAGATTTTGGCTGGTTTGTTGAACTGGCCGCAGGCCACGAACGCTTCGAAGGTGGAGGTTTCTGGAGAAGAGGTCAGTGTGACGAGAGAAGTGGACGGCGGTGCCGATACGCTCAAGGCCAAGTTGCCTATGATCATCACTACAGACTTGAGATTGAACGAGCCACGGTATGCGTCGTTGCCCAACATCATGAAGGCCAAGAAGAAGCCATTGGAGAAGTTGAAGGCCAGCGATTTGGGCGTGGAGATTGCTAACCGTTTGGAGACGTTGAAGGTGGAGGAGCCACCAGCACGTGCTCCAGGTGTGAAGGTGGAAAACGTGGACGAGTTGGTCGCCAAGCTCAAAGAGGCCAAGGCCATTTAGGTTTCAAAATGATAGATAATCAAAGGTAGATATATGGAGGCTTGTAGCGTGGGAGAACGAACGGATGGAGAGGTTAGGCAGATAAAAGGACCAAGTATGTTGGTTTCGAGGGTGGGCGAAGAAAAGGGATAAGTGATTGGCACCTTCAACTGCCGCCTTGGTCATTTCGAGTAGTTGCTGCTTGACGAACGGTTCTTGTAGGATGACATGGGGTGGTGATGGCTGTAGAGTACTCTGGAGGGTAGTAACTAGCATAATAGGAGCTCTAAGGGTATTTATACCACAGATTATACAATTTGGTGATAGTAACTGCCCGAATTAATGTTGGAAAATACAAGTAAAGTGGTAAGCTTACACATACTTCATGTCTGGTTGCAAGAACAGTCTCTGTGTCCATGGAGTCTAATAGTTCCATCCAGAAACCACCACAAACGTAAATCACCCTATTTGAGATTGAAAATGATCTATTTAAAGCTCAGGAAAAACATATATTCCCTTTATTGGGAGGTTACTCCTTCACTTGGTCCTTTTAGAATGGGTGCAAATTACCATACCCAGCGTAAGCGCCATACTCAAGTGACAGATAAAACCCCCCAACCAAAACCACGAATTCACAAGAGACCCCAAAAAGAAAAACATCAGCTGTTTTTGGTTGAATCTGTGGATATTAAACAATCCATAAAAATTTGAAAACCACCAGCCAATCACCATCTGTACCTCTTCTCTCCTTCCCTCCACTACCCTCCACCAACCACTGTTATCACCAAACAAACAACTTTTCTTCCATCTTCTTCCACCTCGGCGTCTTCCCCTCACTTGACCACCTCCTTCCGCCAAAAACTATATAAATACCCCTGGATCCCCCAACTTTCCCATTTCCCACACTTTTCCACTTCCTCCTCCTCCCCATATATTCCACCCTCTGCGCGGAATTTCCCCACAAAAAGTACCTACCACTCCATGAGTATCCAAGTAGCCAAGTACATTGACCTGATCTTAGCGACAAAGGGACATCCCAAACCGCTCATTATTGGCATCAGCGGGCCACAGGGCTCGGGAAAGTCTTACATGGTTTCCCACCTCCTAGATCACTATCAGCAGACACATCCTGGTTTGGTGGTGGCCGGGTTCCTGGTTGACGACTTCTACCTTTCCCGGGCTAAACAGCTGGAAGTGACGGAGGCAGCAAAGAGAGAAGGTAATTCTGTTCTTCAGGGCCGAGGATTGCCTGGAACGCATGATGTGCCGCTTCTAGAAGAGGTGTTCAGGAAACTCAAGAACCAACAGCCTGTTTCTATTCCAAAGTACGATAAAAGTGCTTTCAGTGGGGCTGGAGATAGGGAGCCAGAGGATAAGTGGCAGAAGTTTGATAAACCTGTTGATTTGGTGATCATGGAAGGCTGGTTTAATGGGTACAGGGCAATGGAGGATGGTATGTTCTCCACGGCTTACTTTGGCAATTGGCCTACGAGTATTGTCCAGAAACACAAGCTTTATCATCTTCAGGAGGTCAACAAACAGCTTGCCAAGTTTCATCCTGTTTGGGACGCTTTTGACTATTTTGTGTTTATCGATACAGACTCTACAGATAGTGTTTATGACTGGCGCCAGGAACAGGAGGATGATTTGATTGCCAGGACTGGCTCAGGAATGACAAATGGCCAGGTGAAGGCGTTTGTGGATAGGTACATGCCCATGTACGTGTTGTACTATTGGAGGTTGTGTCGTGGGGGAACGCTTACGAGAGGTAAGAACCTTCGAGTGAAAATTAACAAGAAGAGGGAAGTTCTTGGAATCGAGGTAGTCTAGGTGGGGTTACTTTGCTTGGTGTTGGTAGTGAATTAGGCAGAAACACCTGGTTGTTGGAGAGAAGCAGTGATAATTGAGCAAATGGTTTACAAGACAGGCTCTATGTATCCCATACAGTAGGACCCTAATAGTCTCCACCTTATATATCCCTACAATGGCATCCTACACGGCCAATCGTTCATTCGTGCATTGCTCTATTTCTGGTAGTCCTCAGGGTAGAAGATCAAGCGCTCCACGCCCAGCTCGGTCAAAATGACCATTCTCACCACACCGCCCGACGAGCCGTCCCACTTGATGGCCTCGCCCAATGCCGTTTTTATAAACTGTACACATTCGTCCTTTTCCATTTCTGGCTTCCAGTTCTCGTCACACCATCCGTAGATGAACGTCGACCCTGAACCGGCAATGGCGTACTGTTGCTCGTGGATGGAACCACCAATTGGAATCGAGAAAACCTTACCCTTGTTCTTCTTATCGTAGCCAGCACAGATGATTCCCGCCGTCAAGGCGTCCTTGTTGTTGTAACAGATCTCCTGGAAAACACTGGCAGCCACCTTGGTCGAAGGCTTCTCTCCTGGCGGCAATTGCGACGAGTACACCTGTAAATGGTACTTGACAATATCTGCCACCGCCTGGGTATCAGCAGCAGAGCCTGAACGACAACAGTAGATGGTATCGTGGATCTGGGTCAACTTATCGGACACTCTATTGGCAATATAAGTACCTGTAGTAGTTCTGGAATCGGCACCGAGAATAACACCGTCTTTAAACGTGACCGCCATAATCGACGTACCGAGGTTCACCTCGCCTTTCTTTAAATGGTTGATATCCACAGACACTCCGTTCATGATGTAAGTTGTGTTTGTTGATGAGAGTGGGACTTTTAAGTAAGTGGCGACTTTCAACTTTGGCTTGATGTTTCGCGCGCAGTCTTGGTTTGGCCTGGGGAAGACGCCAGACGAGGGAAGAAAAGGGCAGGGGAATTGAAGGGTATTTATAGTTCGGGGGATGGAAGAGGGGAAGTGGCGACGGAATAAACGTTATTCCGTTGAGAGGGCTCTCTAGGCTTTCTTTTTTGTTAAGTGGGTGGACGTTGTCTTTGTGTGGTGCTGTTTGTATGGGCGTTGGTTAGAGGCAGTCTTTTGCAACCACAGAGCATGTGAGGGGGCAAGAGGAGGTAGGGAGGGAGGGAGAAGTAATTGGTGGGGGTTATTGGAAGCTTCTTAATAAAGCTGTTATGGGGTTTGAAGTTTAGTGGGTTCGGTTGGGTTGGATTGGCTGTTGGTGTGTCGTGGTGGGTTACTTGGGTATTGAGAAATGGATGTAGTATATGGACATTTTGGCTTGAAGGTAGAGAAAAGTCAATGTTGCTTTGGATTGGCGATATTTTGGATGATTGAGCTGAAATAATAGCTTTACAATGTACAATCAATCGATGTCAGAGAATCTTAAGTGCTTGAAAATTACAAGTCAACCTTGCTGATGACTACTAAGATCCAAGAGAGAACTGCGAAAGGAAGCTGTTTATGCTGAAAAGGCTGACCCCTCTACTATCTTGAACAATTTTGAAACATTATATTTGTCTCCATACCAGTTCATCTACTTTCATTGACTTCACGGTAACATGTACTTACCATCAGCAATAAGCTATACACCAAGCAGCTAGAGTGAAACAGGCATATTGATTTATATTTCACTTTAATGTGCCTCTCTAACGCTTTGTCAGCCCTTTTGGTAGGAAAATTGATGTTGGTTTGTTAATTGACCGGTTCGACTGGTACTACTCAATACTGGTTCTTTGTGTAACTGTAACAATGTTGACCTGGCGAAACGACCAGAATAGCTACGTACTTAGTGGAATTTTACTCATTGAGCCCATTCACTTACAAGTAAAGTACACTGAATCCTCTTTAATTGAACTCTTCATCTTCTTCACAATAAACCAACCAAGAAACCAACCATGGTGTAGCATCTCCCTGTAGATCAACAACTTCCACCGAAAACCCACGACCCAACGCTTGTCCCAAACGACATACCTACAATAACCGCCCATTCACAGCATACTGCCGAGAGGCGTAATCTACCTTCGTCTACATCAAGAAACGAGTATGGCTTAGAGAAGACAATACTGGGCCTAGTCAGGCCAGCAACCATGCATCTACGGTTACGAGGACATTGCAAGTCTGCGTTGATACAAAGTGATCTCGGAATCTTCTCTTTAATCCCGAAAAGCACCCCATAGAACCCCTTCCATAGATGAGGCTGCTTTTGACATTTTTCTTGAAACTTCGATGTCTTTACCTTTTTGGACTTATACCCGATGATTAGTGAGACTCATGCAGCTGATGTACAGCAACCGCATAAAAGCTGCAGGCGAAGAGCAATGCGGTTATAGAGAAATTGTGGATTTGCAGGCGATTCCAAGAAATAAACAGCATGGGCTTACTAAGTGTGGCACGGTAACGTCATTCCCGTGCATGGTAAAGCTTAAACCAGTTGAAACAGGCCACTGGAAACGGAAATGATGCCGCTTTGGTGATTACAAATCTTGCTGCAAACCGGAAAAGCTCCACAGTGCGGATAAACGATTAATCCGGACTAGTATATAAAGCTGTGGATTTCTCCAGGAACGTCAATTCTCATCTACATTTCATTTTCATAAACATACACAATGGTCGCTCCTGTCACTGCCAAAGCTTTAAAAGATACCAAGCTCTTTGAGCCAATCAAGGTTGGAAAGAACGAGTTCTCCAACAGAGTCGTCTTTGCTCCATCCACCAGATTCAGAGCTTTGGAGGACAACACTCCCTCTGATCTTCAATTGGACTACTACGATGCCAGAACTAGCTTTCCAGGCACTTTGATTATTACGGAAGGTACCGTTCCAACTACCAAGACCGGTACTTACCCCAACGTTCCAGCCATCACCACCGATGCTCACGTCAAGGCCTGGAAGAAGATCAACGATAAGATCCACGAGAACAAGTCCTTCTCCAGTATTCAGCTCTGGGGTTTGGGCCGTGTGGCTGACCCTGCGCAGAACAAAAAGGAAGGCCAGAAGTTTAAAGGTGCTTCTGCCATCTACAACGATGAAGAAACCGAAAAGGCTGCCAAGGAGGCTGGTAATGAATTGGAGGCTTACACAACCGAGGAGGTTGACGACTTGATTGAAGAGTACGTCAAGACTGGCCAGAGAGCCGTTGAAGCTGGCTTTGACTATGTTGAGCTTCATGGCGCTCACGGTTACCTCATTAACCAGTTCTTCGAGGCTTCTTCTAACCAGAGAACCGACAAGTACGGTGGTTCCATTGAAAACAGAGCCCGTTTTGCTTTATCGCTTGTGGACCGTCTTTCTGAAGCCATTGGCGCTGAAAAATTGGCCATCAGAATCTCTCCATGGGCTAAGTTCTTGGGCATGAAGAGTGAAGAAGATAAGGAAGCTCACCCAGTGGCTACTTACTCGTACTTCTTGGGTCAATTGCAACAGAGAGCTGACGCAGGTAAAGAGCTTGCGTATGTTTCCATTGTGGAGCCAAGAGTCGCTGGTAACTTGGATGTTAACGCTGAAGACGTTGTTGGTGATAACCTGTTTGTCAAGCTTATCTGGAAGGGTACTCTCTTGAGAGCAGGTAACTACACTTACGACGCACCAGACTTCAAGCAGCTTTTAGACGATCTTTCTGACGGTCGTACTTTGGTTGGTTTCTCTAGATACTTCATTTCCAATCCAGACTTAGTGCAAAGACTCCATGACGGTAAGGAATTGACTCCTTACGACAGATCCTCCTTCTACCGTTACGACAACTGGGGTTACAACACGTACCCAACCAGCGAAGGCAAGGAGAAGTTCGACGAGGAGGCTGAGAAGGCTCATAAGCCTGCTCCAATCAAGGCATAAGCGTATATAAAGCTTAATTATAGAGTGAAACGATTGCAATGTAGAGCTAAGGGGAGGATACAACAAGAGCATATATTATATCTTCTAGTATGTATAAAGCAAGTGAAAATGGGAACTCCAAGATGGGACATGGCCGCTGTTTAAGTAGGGAAACTTCAAGACCTTAGCTGCAATTGAATGCATCTTTCGACAGCCAAAGGCGTTTCTTTACGTTTCTTTCATCATTTCTAGCCGGCAGAAAGGAATGTTTCACTTGTTGTATCTGGTAAATATGAAAATCGCTCATGACCAGTCTGGAGGGCTTCAGAAGTCAGAAAAGTGTATATGGCAGAGACTTCTGAGCACTTTCTGGAAAGCCAAGAAAGTGTCTCTCTTTCTTTTTTCTTTTTCTTCGTTTGTTCTATCATTCCAAAGCAGAATGTTCCCTCACATAATTCGTAACTTCCATACATAACGCATTTTGCAACCATTAAACACATCCATGTCCATACTATAAACGTCAAAGTAGACCTCCATAAAAAGACAAAAAAACAACCACCTTCAACTTCCCACCCAACCCCACTTTCCCAAATTTGTACCCCTATTTTTCCCAAATCAGCCTATCTTCCCTTTCCGGCTCGGCTCACCTCCTCAATAGTCCAAAATGCCGAGACGCTGTTCCAGAAAAAACAAGTCTCAACACATCACACAAAACTCATTCCTCGTACTACCTGGCTTCTTCTGCTATCCATCATGCTTTTCAACGTATGCTTTGCTTTCTGGGTCTGTCTTGTTCACGCTATAAGCATTCCAGTGACCTTCAGTGCCAGTGAGCTCCAGCACGTCCAGGGAGACCCCAAGGCTACACACCGAGTTGCGTTTGCTATAACACGAAACGGACAGTATATGGGGGAATTGGCGTTTGCTCTTTTTGGCGACACGACGCCCAAGACGGTGGAGAACTTTGTTGCCTTGACCAACATGTCCAAGGGGTACGGTTATGAGTTGGTTACGTTCCATCGGATCATCAAGGACTTTATGATCCAGGGTGGAGACTTTGAAAATGGCGACGGGACTGGTGGCCATTCCATCTATGGGAAACGGTTCCCAGACGAGTCCTTCGAGGTCCACCACAATAAGCGTGGTCGTCTCCTGATGGCTAATCTGGGGAAGGATACCAACGGGGCCCAGTTCTTTATTACCACCAAGCAAGACTGCCTGTGGCTTGACGGGAAACACGTTGTTTTTGGCCAGTTGGTTGGCGGGTTTGAGCTTTTGGAGATGATGGAGAATACTCCAACTGATGCTAAGAATAAGCCTAACGATAAATGGGTTATCATGAAGGGCATGGGCGTGCCTGTGGACTACCTGATCCAAAGACCATATGACGAATTGAAACAGGAGGCTGACCTTGAAGCTGCCGCTTTGCGTGGAGAAACGACGTTGATCAATGACCAGGTGAGGGAGGCTGATATTGCTGGCGAAACGGATCCTATGGGAGGGTACATCTTCATGGGTGGGTTCTGCTTGATTGTGTTGATCTTGTGGCGTCTTAACCAGCTGGCGAAGAGATGCAAGAACCATAACTTCTAGGTGGATGGACGGTTTGCTGATTTCGAGCAGCCCGAGATGACTAAGATGTGGTTTCACGGCCTACAGACAAAGAAACCACTTGGAATACTAAAACCTAGACGAACACTACGTCAACACCCACGCAAAAAAACTTTGGATATTTCAGTTCAGAGGGAAGTGACTTGCAGCGTCGCTTTCCATTCTTTCAACGACACACATTCTATCAAAACGACCAGTTTTTCAATTTAATTTTTTAACGAACACGAATTCACTCACTCCATTTAATCAAAAGTTTAATTAAAATAATATATAATTCCTTTTCACGTCTTGCTTGTTGTAGGCTTCTTACATGGTGTTTCGCAGCCAATATCATCTCACATCACCAACTCAACTACTCCATCAAAACACTCCAAACTGGCATTCCACGAGGAAACCCAGACACCGCAGCATTCCTAAGCCCTTTATTGTTCCGAAGCACCCAAATTCCGTTGAAAAACAAGCTTTATTCCGTCGCCTGCCCACACATACACCAACCATGGAACTACCGATAGTGCAAGTGAAGAACCTCCCTTATGATGCTTCAACAGCTCTGTTCTTTGAGTTGTTTGGCAAGTACGGCACCGTGAACCAACTAAGGATATCGGATGGGTCGGCACCAGCAGGTACGTGCTTTATAGTGTACACCAATATGGATGATGCTTCAAAGGCAGCTAAGGAGCTTAGTGGCATCAATTTCCAAAATAGATACCTCGTGCTGGGTCTATATCATGTTGATAAAAACGTGGGAGAGGCTGTGTCGTTGGAACAGCGTAAACAGGCATTGGAGGAGTTGAAGAAGCAGCATAACATTGAGTAAGCGATGAAGCTGAAGTGACAGAATGACAGCTACAGTGGATGCTTATATCTATTTTTGATTGCAGGGACGCATGGCGCCGCTTAGTGACTTATATAACTCAAGATATGATGATGTTGACGAGATTATCTCGTTGAAAGGTCCAAGAGACCCAACACGTAGTATGCGGTCAAACCAGTGAACACCATGGCAGCAATACGGCCAACCTTGGCCCAGTAGGCCTTAGGAGCGTATCTGTACTTCACGTACCCTGTGAGCTGGCCCAAGTCGTCGTACAAGTTCTTGTACGTTGCCGTGACCTTAACGTGGCCCAGGGAGAAATCGAGGTAGCTTCTTTCATCGGAAACTGTCACATCACCAGCAAGAATAGGCGACGAGAAGTTAACGAACTCAGCGCCCTCAGGCAAGTACAACTGCAACTTGACATTGTCATAGTAGATATCCTTAAGGGTGTTCAAAAGAGGAATGGCAGCCACATAAGTGTCTGGTTCGTCCTTAACCTTATGCACAAAGTTTTCGAGTCTGTTGGTCCAGCCGACGGTGAAGTTATAGTTCCAGCCGCCCATGAGAGGGTAACGAGGAACCACGATCAAGTGGTCGTTCTTGATTTGGTGAGTGGACACCATACCGACCTTGTCTGTGACGTAGTAGTTGTCGTAAGGCATCTTCTCTTCAATTGGGAACTCCAACTGGGCAAGAGCAAAGTGCTTACGCAAGATCTCGTAACGACCCTTCATCCAGTCAACTCTGGAGAAACCGTCCTTCAATTCAGCACCGTTGTTGGTGAGTTCATAGTATTCCTCGCTCTGGAGCACGTCCACGTCAGAAGCAGGGAACCAGACACTTCTCTCAAGGTTGATGACACGCTGGATTGGCATGTTGTGGTCGTACAAGAAGCCCATAGGCACGATAGTGAACGGCTTGATATGGCCAGTCACTGGTCCATAAACCAAGAGATTATCTTCGACCTTACCCTTCAACTCAGGCACATCTTCCGTTGGCTTGATGTCAAGCAATTGCAAGTCCATTTCCTGGCCCTTGGTGATACCAGTGAAGGCCAAAGAGTACTCTTCCGTTGGGTAGCCAGAAAGTGGGAACTTGTTCATCTTGACCAACAACTTCTGCTTATCGTCCAAGTTAATCTTCTCTGGGAATGGGTGCAAAGTGTTGGAGTACGTGTATCTGACCTTAAACTCGATGGAGCTGCCTGGAGCCACAGGGATAGGTAACCTGAACAAATACACGCCATTCTCGATCTCAAAAGGCTGGATTTCTTGTTTACGCTCAGTAAGCGTGGCGCCGAGGAAAGAGACCTCTGGGATAGCGTTGAAACCATCATTGACTGTGAAAACATACGTTTCCAATGGGTTTTCGCCGATGTTCTTGGCTTCAATAAGCGCCCATTCTTTCACGTACGACTTGGTGAGATCGACGTTTCTGTAGTACTTGGAGTTTTCCCATGAAGTCTCTGCAAACGGATTGAGAGCAAGGGACAACGATGCAAAGAACGTCGTCACGACAATGGGGAGCCAAAGCATTCTTGAAGGTGGAAGTGGGTAGTTTCTGGTGATAATTTTGACACTTGGTGTTTGGTATGGGTATATGCAGGTTGGTCTGGGTGGTTGAGCCAAAGAGACGGGAAATGGCAGCCGGGGTGGGAGGTTTTGAGATGTTAAGTAAATGGGGGATAATATGGGAAGGGAAGGTTTGGGTAGAACTTTTAAATCTTTTGAATTAAGGTTGTGTGGCGTGGGGACTCGAGGTAGTTGGTTGCAACACGCGTGCGCCCCATAGTTAAGGACGAGGGAGTGGAGGGTACTGGGAATGGGGCAATTGAAGGGGTGGTTTTGGGATGCCGGAGATAAGAGGGGTTGGGAGAGGCAGGATGTAGTGGGTTTGAGCGAGGTATAGTAAGGTTTCTCGGAGATAAGGGAAATAAGGGGTGGACTGTCAGTGAGGGTTCAATCGTTGGTGGTGATGTCAGAGGAATCCCAATGGCAGCGCCAAAGACGGCTGACTGGAGACACAGAACGTGGAGGTAAGTTTGCAAGAGCGATGGTGCTGCTAATTCTACTTAGAAAAGATTGGATGCCATTAGGTGCTGTGGTTGGTACTTACTATATGAATCCAGGTGAATCTAGACAGTCAAGTGCATCCATTCTGTTTGAATACTTCTACTACTTTCAAAGCAAGCTGCCTTGTATTGACCACTAAGGGAGCCCTAAAATTTACATGTCTTACCTAAGGAGTACATCAAACCATCTGATTTAACTTTCTTGAAACTTAGGACTGTTAACGAGCTCAATCGACTTTATCCACTCGTTACACCCCCAAACTCCCAAACTCCTAGCATTCAGAACATCGCAGATCTTTAAATACATTGATTAGACCCCACGGACTTATCGATACACTTCCTTTTCATTCCCCTGGCCATAATTGCCCAACTCACCCTCGTTTTTGCAGCCATTTCACCTCCACCAACCACTCACCCACCACCAAACCAGCAATTCCCAAAACACTCAATTGCCATTGAATCTTCATTTTATCGAACTATTATTCCTTTTATGCCCATTTTTCCATATTTATAGTGGTCCTGGTCCTTCCCCTCACCTCGCTCCTGACGAGTATATAAAGAGGCGGTTGCCCGCTGTTTTCTCCCTCAAACCACCTACTTTTTCTTCTTGGCCACCTACGCCTGCCATTCAATTCTCTTGAGTTCTTTTCCACCATAACATTTGTTATTCTTTTAACTGCCTGGGAAATGACGCCTTGCTGATTCCAGGCGCTGCTGGTTCTTTCAGCTTTGCTGGAGCACTGGCGGTGGAAACCCATGAAGGGCTTCTCCAATGTATGGGATTTCTCTGGTGATAAATGGTGGCTTGTGGCCTGGGGAAGGTTTGTGGATGCATTTGGGGATCTCTAGCTGGTTGTTTGCTTTGCAATTGACCTGGCAATGTGTAAGTTTCCATGGCCTTCTATGTCTACTTTTCTGTTGTTTTCTTATATTTTGATGTTCTGAATGTTTTACAGGTTAGGGACTACCGGATAACGCCTGATCAACGTTGTCTGGTGGGTCCATGCTGGCGATGCTGGTGTGGAATGGTTTTTGGGGCTTGTTGGCGCCACATGCTCTGGGTCCACTCCTGAGCTCCACTGGCTGACCCAGCGCCTGGAAATAGAACTACTCTTCAGAGCTCTGGAACTTACACGTGTTTCTTTTATATTGTTATTCTTTGGAATCTTGCCACCGGTTCACATCCTGACTTGTGGTTTCGTGCAAGGAAGGGGTTACGACTGTCACGATTCATTAGGTGGATCTGCCTCGGGCTTCTGGCTCGGGAAGACCCTACGGGCCCCTGTTTCAGAGCCAGTAGGGTAAAGTCTCTTTTGGTCTTGAAACAGCCAGAGAAACTGTGCAGCCAGTTTCTGCTCCTTTTGGAGCACCTCACGCTGGAGTTATCATGCTAGCGTGGGATAAGTTGCAAATGATTAGTTTGGTGGCTGGAGCTTGCAGTCGGCTTCCTCTTTGTTTGTGGATTACTTGAATGTTAGGGTAGACTCCACCGGTTACCCTTTCTGGGGAGCTTCATAAAGTTTCCTAGCAATTGACTTGATTTAAAGTGGGAAGCACTTTGCCTTGGTTCATTATGGTGATACTAAGCGAGGTGTGGAACACGCGTACCCTCGGAGAAGCCTGACCAGCTTTTCTGTTTGAGCTGTTCCCCGAAAGTTACGATAAGAAGACCGGAAGTCAGTTTTGGCCCCGGAATTCAGAAGTGACTTCCGGGCGAACCCAAGGCCGGATTGCATTGTGTCTGTCCTCGGTAATGCTGAGCACAATGCACCTTCTTTTAGGGGTAATGCAACCAATCCCCCAAGATTCCAAAGAAATAAAACTCCGACCTGGTTGATTGGGCTGGAGTTTTTTTCTGCCAAGTCCATTGATTTGGCTTTTTTTTTTTTTCTTTCTTTTTTTTTTTATACTACAATATACGGAAAGTATTTGGCCTGGGTATGCCATGGCGACGTGCGTGATGCGCAGTAGATCCCAGCATTTCCCCGGATTGAGCACGTACTCTCCTTCTACGAAACCATGTCTTCCATTGATTCCATGGCCTCAGTATCCTGTTGGAAGTGGACTGTATTGATCTTGTATCCCCTTTCTGGGTTGTATTTAGTGGTTCGTGCCCTCTTCGAGTAAGGTTGTTATCTATGCAAGTAGTGTACAATATGCTGTCAGACATACATAATCGCTCGTAAACCCTACATTATCAAAACCTTATTGGCAGAATGTCCATGTTTTTTCAACACTTCCTTGAAAGTGATGGAATGAGAGTGAATTGGCACATGTTTTGTTGAAGATGACGGCGGTGTGTTGGAGTTGCCAGTTCTGTACGCCATGAGCACCTCTTTCGAAAAGTACTCCTTCCACCACAGTCAATGAGGTATGGAACATGTCAGAACCGTGAAGTTAACCGACCATTTGATTGATACCTCTCAACCCTTGATAGAGTTGGTATCTCTTTGTAGACAGAACTCACCGTGAAACATGTGACTTGGTGTTCGAGGGTTCTAGCGTGGCTTGTTCCAGTTCCAATCCGTCTCAACGACCTGGCTGATTGAATCAACGGGCCGTTCCAGACCACCGTTCCTCTGGTACCCTTAAAAAACATAGAAGATACATTGCCACAGTAAACACTCCCGTATGAACAACCCCTGTAGAACATGACAAGTGTTCTCTGACCGCCTTGAGAAAGGTAAGTATATCCTCTCCAACCCAATTGCCATCTTCCATCTCCCCAAAATGCCGAACTCAATGTGACACGTCTCTGGATCCCAGGACCTATAAATCCCAATACGGTAATCGTTCTGATTTCCAGCCTTGCCTAAGGCAGGTTCAGCGCACCCTTAAGCACGACTTACCCTAATTTGCAGCCATTCTCACAGCCCATTATTGGACTTTCCTCCAACCACCAACTCTGGCCAAATGCCCCATTTCTGGCCCAAAATTCAACTATAAATCAACGTGTTCCCCTAGACTTTTCGTTTTCTCTTCAACCACTTTCAAAAAACTAAAAACGATCAATATCAAAAAAATCAACAATGCATCGCTTAAATTTCATCAACCGCTCTTACGTCTTTGCACCTGCTGCAAGCGCCTTAAAAGATTTCTCTTTTGCCAGTGCTCCAACTCAACATCCCAACCTTGGAGCACCTCTAACCAAACAGTTTTCCAGTACCTCTCGTCTTGTAGGTACTTTCTTCGCCAACCAAAGCAAGTTGCGTCTCAATGGAAGCCCCAGGTCTACTTTCTCTGGACATGTTTCAAAGCCAGACACCAAGTCTGGATACCAGCAGTCCAGAAAATGTTTTGACCAGATTGGCGTTTTCCAGAGTTGCAAGCTGTTTGTCAAGGTGTTCAAGCCTTTTGACGAGGAAGTCACCGAAGTAATGGAAACCCCAGCCTTGAACGCTGGCTCCATTATTAAACTTGGTCTTGCCAACCAAAAACCGGCAATTGTATCTCTCGAGCCGCTTAGAGCTTTGTTCAAGCCCTCGACCTTTTTGCAGCACCCATCCAATCAGCTGCCGACTAACGAATCTGCTTCAACTGCGTCAGTAGTTGAAGCTGATGCCCCAGTAACTGAACCTGAGGTTCCAACTGAACCTGATGTTCCATCTGAGCCAGAAGTTCCAACTGAACATGAACTTCAAGTAGCTGAACCTGAAGCGCCAGCCATTGATGAATGGCAAGTGGTCAAACCCAGAAAGACCAAAAAGGCTTTTGTTCCAAAACCTATCCAAGGCGAAAGCATCCCTCTGGCTCTCTTGCTGATGACAAAGCAAGTGAATCCACCAGCCAAGAAGCTAAACCTTGAAGACTTCAAGACCAATCTCCAAAGTCTCTCTAACATCAAAAAGTACAATATCTTTGAGAATTTGGAGGTTGAAGAGGTTCCTGAGCCAGTGAAGGCTCCCCAGCCACTTCATATTGAACCTTCTCCACCGAAACTTCTTCGTGAGTTCAAGCTTCGTGAGTTCAAGTGTAGAAGAGCTACTTCTGATCACGAAGTGGAGGCTGCTCCTCCAAAGTTGGTTCGTGAGTTTAAGCTTCGTGAATTCAAGCTTAAACCTCGTAGCGACAAGACCGATTCTTGATTGCCGTATCAGAGATATAAAGAAGTAAAAAATAGAAATAAAGAAAAAAGAAAAGAATCAGTAGCGGGTATTCTATAAAACAATCTATCAACTTCTAGACGACGATTTTTGGGTGGATCGCCATTAGTAGACATCGGCTTCCTGTTCGACAGACACAAACTCAACATCCACATCCTGGTCTCTGATTAGATTAGTGAGTTCCGTCTCGAGATCTGAAATGTCAGAGTCGGCATCTGCGTCGGTGCTTTCGTCGTCAATCAAAAAGGTATCGTCACTTTCATCAGTGAGGTCTTCAAATTCGTAAAGCGTTTCCGTGGCGACAACTTCAATTGGCTTCTCAACAGTAGCCTTTTCGTTCTTCTTTTTATCTTTCTTGGACTTCTCAGCCTCGTACTTGACCAATTCCTCACTATAGTTCCATAATTCCTTGAACTCACGGCTGATCAATGCGGTCGATCCAGCAGCAGCCAAAGTGAATGGAACAATGTAAAGCAACGCCGGCTGACCGTGTTCGAATATGTACAAAACACTGATTGTCACAACCAAGGAGGAAGCGTAAGCAATTATCACGGCAGTGAAGTATTTAGGTACACCGATGGAGCGAAGTTTGTGAAATGCCAACTGGTTCTTCTTATAGTACAAGTGGTAATCGAATCTGAGGCACAATGCAGCAAAAATTCCTGGAACAACAATATCTCCAAGACCAAGCAACGAAGATGGAGTAGCTACTTGCTTGTACAGCAAGCTGTTCATCTCCAGGAACAGGTAGAGTGCATCAGGAACACGAGGAAACACGATTTTGACGGGAATGTCGATACCTGTGGCCACAGAAAGCATCAAGGTAGACTTGAAGACAAAGTAAATGTCATACAAGAACAAGGCACTAAGAAGAACAGCAGCCACCTTCACATTACCAACTTTCATGAACGAAATTCCATTAAGAGCCATGAAAGATGCAACCAAGTTGTTGATGATCCAGTTGGTAGGCAAGTTGTAGTCAGCCCATAATTGTGGGTTGTGGAAGACGTAAACAGTCAGGAAAAGCGCTGAATAAATGACAATGTACACCAATCTGTTATCATAGACGAGCGCAGATGTTTGGTCTCTCGTTTTGAGTTTAGGAAGACGAACCACATGGGCCTTATTCTTTTCCCACATAAAGTTTTCAAACCTTTCAAGCTGCTCCTTCGATAAGTCCATTGCCTTGGCGTCGATTCGGGTGTAAGCTCCTAAAACCAAGTCAGACTCGTCAGAGAATGTCACTCTCGATCTCTTGATGAAGTAGCCCAGGTTATGCTTCAATCCAAGCCAGTAACCTACATTTCTTGCAACAACGGAAGTGAAGAGGAAAAGCAGCAGCACAGCCGAGATAAACAGCACGAAAGTCATGTAATAGTTGATCAACACGATCTTCGATACGTCATACTTTCTAATCAAGTAGTCCAAGCCAAACAAAACACCAGCAGACACCACAGGCATGAGCAATGCTGTCTTGTAGCCAAAAGTCTCGACATTGCCATCTTTAGCAGATTCAGCGTCCTTCAAGAGTAAATTGCTTCCGTCACGGTCACTTGGATCCCAAAGAGGCGACTCCTTATCGTCGTTTGGATCAAGAGCTGTCTTGGGCTGTTGAACTGTAGCATAAGCGCCAATCACCACCATAGAAATGGCTGAAACCGCCAATATCGTGAAAGCAGTAAACTCCTCGGAGACTCCCGTAGCATAAAGGTAATGAGGAATCGCCACAGCGGCCTTATCAAGCACTGGAAGCTCCGCAAACGTAGAGTTTTCGTTTAAAGGCATATTTTGTAGGAGAGTGTAAACAGGAAGAATGGACTGGTTAAGCAAGGAATGAGTGGTAAGGGGAAGTGGACAGTGAAGGGAGGGTAGGAGATTTGGAGGTTTGGGGATTGGTGAGTTCGTGAGTTGGTGGGTTGGTGGAGATGTAGTTGGTGGGTTTTCAGTGTAGTTGAGAAAGTGAGGGTCGATGTTTGATAAGCGGTTGTACCGATTTGGCGTAATTTTGGGGGAGACAGTTCAACGGGGAACTAAAGGCGACGGAATAACAGGATAAGTCTTTAGAGTTTTTAGAGAGAGATGGAAATTCCGTTGGCCCATTGTTTGCGTTTTAAATTCTTGAGAGGATTTGGTTGGGCTGGGATGTTCTGTGGATAGTTGGGTATTTAAGGTTTACTGAGGAACGCCAAAACAGTGCAATATTGTGGGAACAGAGAAAAATGGGGAAGTGAAGAGGAATGTGAACGTGGAGTTTGAAGAACTAGGTGTTGACTCCTTCGATGATATTCCCTTTGACTCGGATTTGGACGTGTTTCGACAAGTACCAAGTGGCTGCTGCTTCTTCATGCTTAAACTGTCCATTCTTCACTTTCCACGACCCAAAACACCTCTAAAAAACTCAATGGCTTTGGATCACATTTATTAGGAACGTCCACATCATTACCAGTTAACCGCTTCTTCCCATTGGCTGGTTCGCTGATTGTTGCTACTCACTACTATAGTTGCCTGAACACACTTCCGTATTATCCCCAACAATGGTCCACTGAACCATTCAAAACATCATAGTCCAAAACCCACTACTTCCTTCCACCACCAACTACCCATCTTAACCACCTCCAGCCTCCATTTACCTTCCCTTCTCCTTGACGTCACTGGCATCTTCTTCTTCGTCTTCACGCGGTTGCAAAATATGCAAGAGTTCCAATAAGTCAGCAACTACTCAACTGAAAGATGAAACCGTCACTCATTATGGCTGAAAAGGCAAAAGCCGTGGCGCTCAAGTCCACGAAACTCTTCCAAGAAATCCAAGTTGGTGCCGTTACGCTATCTCAAAGAGCTGTGTTTGCTCCTTCTACTCGGTTCAGAGCTCTTCCTGACCATACGCCTTCCGACCTCCAGCTTGAGTATTATGACCTGAGATCGAAGTTCCCAGGTACGTTGCTTATCACTGAAGGTACTTTGCCAAGTTTGAGTACTGGTGTTGACGCCAGAGTGCCTGGTATCTTTTCAGATAAGCAGATCAGAGAATGGAGGAAGATCACTGATAAGGTCCACGATAACGGTTCGTTTATTGCTGTTCAGCTTTGGGGATTGGGCCGTGGAGCTGACCCAGTGCAGAGCAAAAAGGAAGGAGTCCAGCTTCGTGGTGCCTCTGCTATTTACCATAGTGAAGAGCAAGAACTGGCTGCAAAGAAGGCAGATAACGAATTGGAGGCTTTTACTACCGAGGAAGTTGAAGATGTCATTGAGGACTTTGTCCAGGCTGCTAAGAACGCCATGGAAGCTGGTTTTGACTTGATTGAGCTTCATGGGGCTACGGGCTACCTTATCAACCAGTTCTTTGAATCCTCTTCAAATAAGCGTACCGATAAGTACGGCGGTTCTATTGAAAACCGGGCTCGGTTTGCGTTGGAGCTTATTGATCGTATTGGGGAAGCCATTGGGCCAGATAGAGTGGCCATTAGGATCTCTCCTTGGCTTAAGTATACGGGTATGAAGGCTGAAGAGGATGATATCCATCCAATTGCTACTTTTGGCTACTTCCTTGGTCAGTTGCAGAAACGTGCTGATGCTGGTAAACAGATTGCTTATGTTTCGCTTATAGAGCCTAGGATTCCTGGAATGCTGAGCAATGAAGACGATTTTGGCAGTAATGCTTTTGCTAAGTCTGTTTGGAAAGGCGTGCTTATCAGAAGTGGAAACTATACTTACGATGTTCCAGAGTTTAAGCAAGTTTTGGAAGATATCGATGACGATCGTACGTTGGTGGGTTTCTCCAGGTACTTCCTTTCGAACCCAGATTTGATCTATAAGCTTCGTGATGGCGGTGAGTTGAACCACTATGATAGAAAGACTTTCTACACTTCCACCAACTGGGGATACAATACTTGGAACCTTCGTGGAGAAGAAAAAGAGTTTGACATGAAGGCCGAGAAGGCCAGAAGACCTGCTCCCATTGAGTAAGCCATTAATGTTAAAGGCGGTTATTATTAGACTCGATCATAGACAAAATAGACAATTGCTAGATTCAGATTTGGTAGAAGATCTATGAATGTAGGCAGTGAGTTTAAGTAAAGGCTATGGAACCTCTGTAGGTCTTGGTTTCTGTTAAATTAGCTGTGTTGATAAGCTTCTTTGACAAGTAAATGGACTAACAAATGACATACCCCATGCTCTGACGACAAAGCAAACAACATCTGAAAACATGAAAGTGAATGCTTTTCAGATACAGACCAACTCTATACATCTAAAGAGGGGATTGGGGCTGTTCCCATGCTCAAACGCTTCACGGCTGTTTCAACGGTACCTGAGACAGCCAAGACACATATCTGAAACACACACAAAAGTATAAAGTTTGACGGGTTTTCAGAAAAGAAGAAGAGGTATTAACGTTTTTAGAATCTGAGAAATCCTTGGTTAGCAACTTGAAGGACATTAAAAGACATTTGTTCCAAATCAAGACAGCTTAGAAGCTTCTTCGTTATCATAGGATCACCACTACCTACTAAGAAACCATTGATTCTTTTCAAAGAAGGTTTAGACTCAAAGAATCAATTAAGAGACGTTCAAAAGCTTCCAAAAACCTTTTAGCACATCCACCAACTTAAATCACGTCCAAACTACCCATAAGCACTTCCCTTGCTACCCTCCATCCACCAATCAACAAGCCCCAGTCAATCCACCAGTCCACATCCAAAAACACCCAAAAAAGCTGCCACATCGACACTTCCCTATTTAAACCCTCCAAATCCAGCACCACTTTTTCCCACCCAATACATGCCCATCCCTGGCCAATCGTCCTTGTCGGTGCTCTGGGAACCCGATTTCGCAGCCATTGCACTTCCCCAGCCATCCCCCACCAAACAACCAAAAACACATAAACAAAAACCCCAAACCAAATACCTAGCCATCCTCGTTTCCCAGAAATGTCCCAAATGCCCCAAAATCCTCTACTTCCCAGCATACATCCCATTTCTCCAAACCATCCCAGCCAGAATCGACGTCTTTCCTGCATACCCTCCTCCACTCTATTGCTCGCCACAAATACATCAACGATCCAAACACCAACTTCTTCCTCCAATGTCGCTTCAGGATCTCATCCCGGTGGTCAACAAACTCCAGGATATCGTCACCTCCACGCAGTTGGCCGATATCGACTTGCCTGTTTTGGCGGTCGTCGGTTCCCAGTCGTGCGGCAAGCTGTCTGTATTGGAGAACATCGTGGGAAAGGACTTTCTCCCTAGGGGCACAGGAATCGTCACCAGAAGGCCATTGGTGTTGCAGTTGATTCACGTGAACCCGGATGATGCTATAGTGCACGAGTACTCGCCGCTGGACTTGGCTCAGCAAGGGGCTTCTTCGTCTGAGGTGAGTTTGGAGGAGCACTTGAGGAGGAACACCCGTAACGGGTCTGGGTCTGCGGAGACGTCGAACGGGTCGGTTAATGGACCTCCTACCGAGTGGGGTGAGTTTTTGCATATCCCAAATAAAAGGTTCTATAGCTTCGCTGATATCCGGAAGGAGATTGAGCTGGAGACCTTGAGGATCGCCGGCCAGAATAAGGGCATCTCGCGTTTGCCCATCAACCTTAAGGTTTACTCGACCAAGGTACTTAACTTGACCTTGGTGGACTTGCCGGGCCTTACCAAGATCCCTATTGGCGACCAGCCCACCGACATTGAAAAGCAGACCCGTTCGTTGATCTTAGAATACATCCAGAGGCCTAACAGTATCATTTTGGCTGTTTCTCCTGCTAACGTCGACTTGGTCAACTCTGAATCGCTTAAGTTGGCCCGTCAGGTCGATCCGACCGGTAAGAGAACTGTTGGTGTCTTGTCCAAGCTCGACTTGATGGACCAGGGCACTAACGCTTTGGATATCTTGAAGGGTAACGTGTATCCGCTCAAGTTGGGCTTTATCGGTGTGGTGAACCGTTCTCAGCAGGATATTCAAGATAACAAGCTGCTAGACGACTCGTTGCAGTCTGAGCAACAGTTCTTTGCTAACCACCCGGCCTACCGTTCGTTTGCAAGCAAATGCGGCACTCGCTACTTATCTTTGACCTTGAACAAGATCTTAATGAACCACATCAGAGAGCGTTTGCCTGATATCAAGGCTAAGTTGAACACCTTGATGGGTCAGACAGAGCAGGAATTGGCTTCTTACGGTGACTATCCATCCTTGGTTGACTCTAAGGAAGGCCGTGCTGCTTTGCTTCTCAACTTGATGACCAAATTCGCTAACAGTGTTGTCAACTCTGTTGAAGGTACCTCTTTTGACGATGTCTCCATCAAGGAATTGTGCGGCGGTGCCCGTATTTATTACATCTACAATGAGGTCTTCGGCTCTCTGTTGGCAGAAATCAACCCGACCCAGAACTTGTCGGTCAAGGACATTAGAACAGCTATTAGGAACTCTCTGGGGCCTCGTCCTTCGTTGTTCGTTCCCGAGTTGGCTTTTGACTTGCTCGTGAAGCCCCAGATTAAGCTCTTAGAAGATCCCTCCCGCAGATGTGTGGAGCTCGTTTATGAAGAATTGATGAAGATTGTGCATCTGATATGCAATGCTGGCAGCAACGTCGACATGACCAGATACCCCAAGTTGCAGGCCAAGCTTATGGAGACGGTGAGTGATTTGTTGCGTGAGAGATTAGGCCCTACCATCAAGTACGTTGAGTCTATGATTGAGATCCAGCAGGCCTACATTAACACCAACCACCCTAACTTTGTTGGTGCTGCCAAGGCTATGGCTATCGTCGTTGAGGAAAGACGCAGACAGCGTGAACAAGAACTGAGATCTCGTATGAGAATCGCCACGCTGAAGATCTTGAACAAGCAGAAGGAATCTGATGACTCGGATGAAACCGAGGCGGAGCTTCCTAACGGCGACGTCGAACCCAAAGATCTCGACATTGACCAAGTGGATGACGAAGTCAAGCCACCAGTCGTTCACAAGCATAAAAGAAGTGACTCTGTGAAGACACTGAAGACTCACAAGTCGGATATCACGAACCACGGCCACGAGTCTTACTTCAACTACTTCTTTGGCAAGGACCCTATCATGCATCAACAACACTTGCAAGCGCAAGCCCAATTGAACCCTACACCGTTCAAGTTCCCCCTGCCTCAGGAACCTACTTTGCAATTCAACAACAACTTCATCAACAACGGCGGTAACGTTCACGCCGATATGAATAGTCTCAGCCTCGAAGAATCGTCGCACAAGTCCCATCCTTCTGAAACCGAAAACGGCCATGTTCAGCATCTCGAGCACGGTGAAGAGGATAACCTCAATGAACTCAACGAGCGCGAGCAGCTAGAATGTGAGTTGATCAGAAGGTTGATCGTGTCGTACTTTGGCATTGTCAGAGAGATTGTCCAGGACCAGGTGCCCAAGTCGATCATGTGCCTTTTGGTGAACTACATCAAGACCAATATTCAGAACAGACTCGTGGTGAAGTTGTACAACGAAAAGTACTTTGACGAGTTGCTCCAGGAGGACGAGTCCATCCAGATGGAGAGAGAGAAGTGCATTAACTTGTTGAAGACTTACAGAGAGGCATCGAAGATCATTAGTGATGTTGTTTAATGGTCTTTGACGTTTGATTTTTATCATCGCCGTGTATATATTTAAGCTTTTTGCAGGTGCGGACGGCTTGTCACGTAGAGACAGAGACTATCCACGATGCTGTTGTTGAGCAAGGCCAGCTTGTTCAACTTGTATGAAAGCATCTTCTTATCGTCTATAACATTCTCTTCCTCGTGTATCTCCTCCTCGTCTCGTTCAAGAAACGTGAACTTCAATTCCTTCGTTAGAAGAGCCGTTCTGGCCGAGTCCCTAGCTGAAACGTCCACTTTCCGGTCCTCAAGAAACGCCATATCCTCCACGTCCCGTAGGTACCCTAACTTATACCGTAGCGTTGCCACATAGCCCAAAGAAGCCACAACCTTGCACTTCCATCTAGTGCCTATATCTCTAGCCAAGCGATCAGATCCATGGACAAACTTCGAAGGAAACAACTCCCGCAAAGGTTCATGAAAAAGAATCTTCTCTAGTTCCTCCTTAATGTCCATCACAAGGTTGGTGATATCGTTATTAGACAATCTTAGCAGGTTGATGGAGGAGAGTTTAATGATGGACCTGTCATTGATGGCCACTGTTCCGTTCAGTAAGATCCGTTTGCGGTCAATAAACACCCGAGCCGGAATTGCACATCCGGGCGCCACCTTAATGTATGTGGTTGTGCCAGGCATCGGCGAAAAGGATGAGTAGGTGGTTGGTGATGCTTAACTATGAGAGTTGATAATGGTTGCGAAATGCGAATCGCCTGGGGAGTCCAAGAAAGGGTCCACTGGAGGAGGGTTGTAGAGGCGTGGTAAAAGAAGATAAAGAAGGATTTGACTCTTAAAGGGTTTTGGGAAAAGAGGGGATTTCTTTCTGGTTACTTTTTTTCTGTTTGACAGTTTATGGGTTTTGGTGGTTGGTGTGTTATTAGTGCTTATAATGCTACAGGAGAGTGAGCAGGCAGTCACAGTAATCAGTATAGGTAACATAAAAGAAGCAAAGAAATTAAAAATCAGAGATTTGAAAACTATTTCGTTTTCATCAGTGAACATGATTATTAACATCCTTGATAAAGCCCCTTTGATTTGGACGAATCAACTTGTCAAGAACCGACTGGAGCCGTGAACAGGCAGCACTCGAAACAACTTTTAGTGAAGCATTAGAAAGCAGGATAGGCCGTTGATTGGAGACAAGGTCCGAGGCCTTGGCGCCACTCTTCGGAATAAGGCTTGCTTGGCTCTGGTGGTATTGGTATGTCTTCCTTAGAGTCTCATGGACTGAGAATGGGTAGTTTAACACTAACTCAATTGGTCATACTGAATATAGTACCAGTAGTTGTAATCTTTACTTTATTCTTTATTTGTACAATTAGTTTATTAGTATTAACGGTATTGTGCTTCCTCTAGTACTGCTTTGAGTGAACCACGTACCACTAGATCTATGGACTAGAGGACATGCCTTCCATCAAGTCTTTAAATCTTCATCTTCTCTTTTCTAATTCAGTAACTCAATAGACCCACTTTGAGCTCAATATCGCCCGCTATAGCTTCTGGGTCGATATAAAGCTTATAATCTTCACACAAGCTATCCAACAGAACTTTAATTCAAACTCTAAGTATCCTTCCCTCTTTTCCAACCTCTCCTACAAGTCAACCCACCTTCATCGTCATATCTCATTACACATATACGGTCATAATCAGATGCACCGCTACAAACGGTACACAAAATAGGGACTCTTGTCTCCCATGCTAACAAGCTCCTGAGGATCAACGTCGTCGTACTTTCCAGCAGCAAGATCTGCTCTCTTTTTCTTATTGCTGATCAAGTACCCAGATAAGGCAATTAAAGAAGCAATAATACCCATACACGCAAACCCAAGCTCCAACGAATGGCCAAGCGTAAAGTGTGGTCTATCTTGGTCTCTGTAGAAGTTGGAAGCAAAAGCACCTGCAAAGTTTCCAAGCCCAATTTGCACAGCCATGCCAATAGCTCTTTTATACGTACCAGCCAAGTTGTTTGCAAGCCAAATGACAGTCATAGGGAACCCAGCAGCTCCAATTGCCAAGACATACATTCCACCATAAATGGACTTGGGCTGGGTAACTGGAGAGAAAGCCAAACACACAATGAACCCTATAGCCACACAGAGCAAGCTCGTTATCATGAACGGTGATCTGTAGCCTACTCTGTCAGAACACCATGCCATCAAAACACAAATAATGGCACCACAAATGAATGGAGGTGCAGACATAAGCTGTGCTTGAGTTGAAGTGTAACCCAAGCTGTAAATGACTGTGGGTGCAAATAAAGCAATTCCATAAAGCGGTACAAGGATACCCCAGCAGATGAAAAGCTGAACCCACACTTGCCAGTCCTTGAACGCTGCCCACATGTACAGACGGCTTCCCAGGTTATCTTCGCCTACTGACTTCTCCAAGGCAACCTCTCCACCAAGCATCTTCTGGTTTTCTGCATTGGAGGAGTACTTCACTCTGTGAACAACATAACGACGTTCTTTGGGCGTAAGGAACGTACTATCCTGAGGGTACTGAGGAAAGCAGAGGTACGAGAACAAGCCCACCACAAACGTAAGCAAACCTTCAATGATAAAGATCCATCTCCAGCCTTCGTAGCCTCCCACGCCGTCCATTTGAGAAATGGCAGCAGCCAAAAGCCCAGAAAACGCTCCAGCGACAGAAGCAGCACTAAAGAAGATAGCCTGTCTCACAAGAATCTCTGACTTCTTGTAGTACATAGACAAGATATACGAAATGCCAGGGAAGAGAGGGGCTTCAAAAATCCCCAAAAGCGCTCGGGTCGCCAAGAGCTGGTCGTAGTTTCTAACCGTGCCCATAAGTGTCATCACAATGGACCAGATCACCATCGTCGTGGGGATAAATAACCTTGGCTTCGTGCGGTGCAAGATCATGTTGGAAGGGATTTCCATGGTGGAGTAGAAGATGAAGAAGATTGTCAAGCACATATTGTACTGGGTTCCTTGCAACCTCAAGTCTTCTGCAAGGCCTTCGATTTTGGCGTTGGCAATGTTACCTCTGTCCAAGAAACTGAGCAAGTAAAGGATCGTGAAAAGAGGAAGAAGCCTAAGGTCCATTTTCCAAAGCAACTTTTTATCGTCAATGTCAGAAAAGTCTTCTGCTTCTGAATCGCTTATAGCTTCAACATTAGCCACAATGTGTTGTTTCTTATCAGCATCGTCAATCCAGTCCTGGGATGGTGTCTCCTCGACGGACGGTTCCTCGTCCACGCTCAATGCTCGAGTATCTCTCACAGACATGGTTAAATATTGATCTAAGAAGGGAAATGTCTACCGTTTTATACTCCCCTTTGCTACTCATGGACTTAACTTTTAGATAAGGCCGATCGCTGAGGAGTGGAATGTCCAAGCTCAAGAAGCCAAGAACAGACAAAACTCGAAGTCCCAAAGAACCTCCCCTCCAATCCCATCAACCGTCAGTTCTGCCCTCCCTTCCATCTTCCAATGTGGTGATCACGAAAGGCTTATGGCTGCGAAAAACCAGAATCTACAAAACAATGGCGTGGGGTTGCTTTCTTCTCCTTCACATATTCGGTGGAACCCAGAAGTGCATTGTTCTCGAAAGATGTGGGTTTGAGATAAGCAAGGGGTTTTGCTAGATGGGTTTTTTGGGTTGTCGTGGTTGGTTGACTGGGGGAGTTATGAGACATGCTCGTGTAATTGCCATTACCATAGCACCATTGGATGTTGCAAATTCCAGCAACGGACTTATACAAACCCAGTTGGCCAGCAATCTCCGTAGTGACTTTCGGTGGGGAAGAGAGCCAAGAAACAGTCCCTGTTTTGACATTGTAGATAGAAAAATGAGCCATATTTGAGGAGTAGGTGGAGACGATCATATTATACAAAAATAGCCGAACAACCAGGCACCCACAGAAGGGCTTTGGTTGGGCCAGGAAAGGTAGTTTTCTTGATGGTTTACGAATGCCGCTAAGGCAGCTAGTGGACTCCCCGCTGTGGGATATCCTGGCTTCGTTTTCGTCTAGATAGTGGAGGTTGGGCGGAGTGGAAACTCCGAATGACTTGTCCTGGAGGTTCTGGTGGCCCTGGCACGGCTGGCCATGATTTGCCAGGTACGTTCTGGGAAGGTGATATGACATGCTTGTAGTTGCTAGATGACCTAGAATGGCCTATCAAGACTCCTCAACAACTTGTGTTCTTCAATCAAAGTTGTCTCCAATTGGTATAAACTCCTGGTTCAGCCGTACCTTACCAACCTCTCCTTCGTTCAATCACTCTGGCCTTAAGCGGGGGTGGATTTAGGAACCTGTTAAGTCCCAAAACCGGCTCTAATACTCCCCTCCCCAGGTAATGATCTCTTGAAACAATGAATAGTAACGAATCTACCAAGGTTTCTAGCTGTGGGAGAACCGCGTGGGTTAGCCATGTCGCCTGGATTGGCAGTTTAAGCTTCCGTAGTGAGGAAAGATACTTCTACATGCGGCTGAATGATGAAGGTACTACTTGTGGGGATTCAGCTCTCGAAGCGTGGTAGCCCTGGACTGATCAATTGGGTGATAGCTAGGTGAAGAGGGGACCATCATCGTTCGTTGTCGATTGTCTTGTTTAACTTGAGTATACTTCAGCCTAACCTTATCTCCCAATTGTCCTTATCTTTGCAATTGTCGTAGTTGATTGTCTCGTAAACTAGCTCAACTTTGGCTAATCTTAGGCAGACGAGAGTGTATTGCCCGCCAATGGTTAGATTGTAGCTTGTAGGATATTTTGGGAGTCCATATCTTGTTTGTCTCGTAAAGGTTAATTCGTGACAGCCAAAGCTTGGCTCGAAGTCAAGGGCCTAAAGCTTTTGAGTTAATCTGATTTCCAACCGTTATACCCGCTTTATGAGCTTTGGTGCTTCTCAGAGCTGCTATGGTCGGAGTATCGGTGTTTCGGCGGGTTTTTTGCTTTAGATACGGTCTGGAAAGGCAGAACTACTGGTGAATGTATTTGAGAACGTTTTGTCAACATTTTGGCCATTTTCGATTGCATTGACAGGCTTGATTTAAAAACAAGGTACGAAGTCATCAACATAACTAGCGCAAGTGGTTTAGTGGTAAAATCCAACGTTGCCATCGTTGGGCCCCCGGTTCGATTCCGGGCTTGCGCAGTGATCTTTCTTTTTTGGCATTCCTAGAAGGGCCAAGTCTTCTTTTTGGGGTTCTAGTGGATATTTGTGGGCATTTGTGGTTGGTAGCTCAGTCTTCTTGTGGTTTGTTCTTGTATTGGTAAAGGGTCCATATCCTCGAACAAAAATACCCAAAGGAAGTAATTTGGAACGTTCTAGCTTAATCAGGACTAACATCCACCTTCCAAATTACTATTGGTTTGTTTGGTACAGAATTAGGCTAGCTTGTTTGTATCCTTGTAGTCTTCATTTCTACCTTAGTTAATGGAAGTATGGCGGAAATCCATGATCTCCTTACAACAAAGTTGTGAAATTGAGTTACCTTAAGCTCCTCAAGAGTACCATAGCGACCAATAACAATTTAGAGACTCCTGAAATGCGTACAGCCTTCAAAGGCTCCTTCTGCTGTCTTTTCTAAGACCCTGAAGCATAGTATCAAATACCTGTCTTCCCAATACGCCCAATTCCTTTCATACCCGTAAACTTATTTCTTTTCTATTGATAAAAAATGATATGAACTAGATTTTCAATCCAGACCACTCTTCTGCTTCTGAGTGCTTCATACTACATGCCACAGCCAGAAGGTGCCACACACAAAACATTAAAAGCCCATACGACCCAAATTCCTCTTCTATTTCATACCTCCAGCTGCATCCTCGTCAAAATCTTAACCGAATAATACTCCACCAAAACCAGAAATAATACCAATATAAGCCTATTAGCAGTCCTCTATCTACCAGTAGCCAACCCATACCTTCCCACCCTTAACAGTCCCATCCAATACTTTCCACCAAAAATCTTTCCACCTCAAGTCACTTCACTCCTTCTCCAAACCCCTCCTAAACCCTCTTCCATCTCACAATGGCCTTCTCGTCTTCCATTATTACCTGTCCCAGCCAGCCTTATATACTTTCGCACAGAAGCACTGACCAGTACCAGTATACCCCCAGTAAACACCCAAAAAACGTCCAAAAAAAACCCCAAAAAAATACCTCAATCCCACCCTTCCCCTTCCCTCTTTATACCCCCTGCCTCCCAACTGCCCTCACCAAATCCCTCCAGTCAATCCACACTTCACCTCTCCCACCTCTTTGGCTGCAAATCCTTCGCGCCTCGATAACGTGGGCTCTCCCTGTTTGCCTGCAGTACCCGCAGTCTCCCCCACCATAGATAACATAACCATCACGGACCCTGACTCAACCACTACTTGTTATTTCTTGCACGCTGCGTCACAGAAACCACCGTTTTTTCCTTCACTTATTCAATTGTGCACCATGACGCTGTTGGCGAAAGTGTATGTTGTTGATTTGGCCGCGTTCTCCTGCCGTTTTGGGAACCCGCCCCTTTGCCTCTTATCAGTACTAACAGTATAGACCAACTAACCCTAAGCGTGGACACCGTCTCGGGACGTTCCTGGCCACGTGGAACAAGATCAAGGCGGCGACGTTTGAATCTTCGGAAAGTGCCGAAAATGGCGCTTCCGCTGACTCTGCCAAGGGCAAAACGCCTGACCAGAATGGGTCTCTGGCTACGAATGACGCCAATGGGCTGTCAGAGAAGAGTGAAACCAAAAAGCCTTCAAAGATAGTCGAGTTTGGACCTCGGGGCGAAATGTGTGTTTATTACCCGGACCAGGGCCTCTTGGAGCTCTGGGATTGGGTATCCCCAGAGGGACTGACGTACCGTGGCGACTCGCTCAATTTGGTGAGATCTCTTCAATTGGATGGGCGTAAATATAATGCATTGAAGGTGGGAGAGTTCTTTGGCCAATCTGTCATTGTCTCGACTTGCCTGAAGTATCTATTTTTGCACCATCAGGTTGGTAAGGAATGCTCACGCCGCTATATTGAGCTTCCAGCGTGTTTCGAGGGCCCCTACTCCATTAAGCTATCGCTGAAATTCATCACTGTCGCCTCTTCGAAAGGTTACGTTGCCTTGTTTAAAGTCGCCCCAGATTTAAAGTTTGCCACTTTCCAGCTGCATAGTCTCCACCAGAATATCACTAGACCAATCGCTTCCAGAGATGGCATCACTATCGAAGAAGAATTCGTGGTTTTGAAAACTTCTGTCTGTGACAAAACACCTATTTATGATATTCAGGGCTCTTGGCTCGCCTACTGTCCCACCAAGTGTGAGATGGACCACCAGAAACACCTACTCCATTCCAACAGCAACTCAACGAAGAAGAAAAATTCCCATCAGAAGTGTCTGTTCACGGAATTGAAGCTCCCACCTCTGGGTCCTCTCCTCATGCGTGTCGTTTCCTCCATATCAGGCTCGGCCTTGGATAAGCTTTATGCCCTTTCGGAGTCTGGCTCAAAGACGTTCCGTGAATACTGGCTGAAGCCTAAGGGATCAAAGGGTAACTTCATGGACAAGGATGTCTCCTTGCATTCTATTAGCACAAACATTAGCCAGGCGCTCTATTCTACCGCTAATAAGATCAAGAATCTGGCTCTCGACTCTGGCGAACATAAATACATCCGCATCATCAACCTTGACAGCAGCCAAATTATTGCCACTTTCAAACCACCCGCTGGCGTTTCCAACCTTTCGCTTAGTCCTTACGACCTCCAACTCGTCCAAGCAAGTCATAAAGGTGACAACTTCTATCTCTGGGACTTATACAGATTACCAAACGAAGCATCTCTCGTGGGTAAGTTTAGTCGTGGAAATACTAGTGCCACTGTCAGGGAAATCTTTTGGTTTGTCAACACTGAAGAACAGGGCTCCGCTAATGGAACGAATTCTGGCTTCGGTTGCATTTCTAAGAAGAAGGGTTCGCTTCACTGGTACAATATCAACTATTTATCTTGTGGCAATGACGCCAATAACTACCCTAATAAACTTGGCGGCCTGCTGGGAAGAAAAGGCTTGTCAAACGATCAATTCCTAGATTCGTGGGTGTTGCCGTCTATTGGAGCTGTCAGTTTCGTCAAGTTGCCCAAGGTTTCCAATCTACCATCTAGTTCAGACGACACTACAAACGACGATAAGAAACTATTGAAAATGGATCAACTAGCATTCATCGATAAGCGAGACCATATAAGGCTTGTTTCACCTTTAAACGGAAAGCATACCTTCAAGTATGTTCTTCCCAAAGAGGGGGGACCTCCTACTTTCAGCTCATCCAGCAAGGAGGGTACAAATTATCTTCTGTACCTTCTTCCATTGCCTCGCGCCTCTCAAGTGATCCTGGAGGATAATGATTCAGAGACGCCCTTGGCGCAGACAGAGATCGAAACTTGCAACCAGTACTTGAGTATCATCAATGATAAGCGGTTTGAGCTTGCAACCTACGAATTGGATGAAGAGGCTGATGTCTTTGACTACTTAGCGGACTTTGGGCTGGATATCCCCACCAAACGAGTTGATTTCAGGGGCAATGTCGACGAACAGCTGCCACTCGTTAGCGGTGAGTTGCTGCCTGATCTCGACAACGGTTTGGTGATCAACCCAGAAACTTCCGCCGAGGAATCATAGATCATGGCCATTCTGATGCAAAGTTATAATATTATTATACATTTCCTGAAGAGTGTTCCGATTGAGTTTGCTGTCTTAGAAGAACATTCTGACCAATTCCAAGACTGCTCCACCGCAGATCAAGAAAGCCAAGACGAAAATCCATGTTTTGGAAACAGGGAACTCGGTCTTCTTTTGTGTGTCTCTTGGTTTACCCTGCTTGTTGACATTCTTCTTTGCAAACTTGGCGTTAGCTTGCCTTTGCTTTGGGGTTTGAAGAGGCTGGTAGGTTAGAATTTTGTTGACGAAATCAAGCACTTGCTTTTTCACATACCATTGGAAAGTTGGCGTTGTTGATCTAACTGGACACGTTAGTATGCGAGTTGAAAGACGTATCATGGAGACTGACGATCCATGCAGGAAATTTTCGTCAAAAGGCTCACCAACATACAGATAATGACTTGAGGTGGAGAAAGACTTGAGACTCGTCACTAAGTGAAGAGTTTTTGGATCGTGCACTACCTTTTGGTACTCTGATTGTTTTTTACATACGTTAGAAGCATAAAGAAATAAGTATCTCACTTCCAGAGCTGGTCTTTGGGAGGGGGAGGGTCAACTGAGTGGTGTAGTATTTTTCACGCGATTGTGGGGAGGTGGAGTTCTGTTTATCTCTAGTTCAGGCTACAGAATTACTGAAACCCAAAATCTGATACTTTTGAGGAGAGAAGGTCATAAAGAAGATAATTCTTGGGAGTTTGGGTATTTCTTCGAGAAATATTGTCGGTGGAAAAAAAATAGCGCAGCCAGGTTTCGATCCTGGGACATCAGGGTTATGAGCCCTGCGCGCTTCCACTGCGCCACTGCGCTCTTCGAGCAGGGAAAATACAACACTGGTTGAATATATAGTTTAAATTTAAAGTGCTATGCAGGTTAAATTATATGCAGGCTTACGTTGTTTTGCAACCAGAGTTCAAGACAACCACTAACCAACCTTAATTTTTGTCTTTAGAACGTTTAGGAAAGTAGTATATCATCCCCTTTCTCCTTGGTGTCCTTCTAGAGTCCATATAAACCAAAAACCCCAAAGGTGCGGCCAAATGGGGTGAACAGCTTTGGTGTGTAGCTTTCCAGGCCAGGGCTCAACTAAAGGAGTAGATATGTCTCTGAAGATTCGATCCTTGAGACAAACCTTATTCAGTCAAGTTTGCTTTTCGGCCAATGAATGTCGTAATCTCGCCATATCTGCCGCATTCCCTTTCCATGAAGTACGGTAGAAGCAGAAAGATATACCACTGCAAAGAAGCCCTTGTTCGATTTGAAGAAGTTAAATTTCGATTTAAACTCGTCAACATTCCAGCCAGAGACAGTGGTCATGGATTCGTCATCGGCCTTCGTCCTTCTTTATCGATTTTGCAGCCATTCAAATGACACCCAGAGGCAAGTATTAGGCATCGTTTCAAAACGCCAATAAGGGAAATTCTTAGAGTCTGGACTGATTAAACCTTCCTCGATTAAACATTAAACATGACACTCGCTCTCCTATTCCCTAAACTGAGCACGCCATGACGTGACAGATACATGTTTCAGCACATAACACAAGCATCCTGCCACATATACCACCAAAACACCCTAGTAATCTTCTGAAACTTTTGTAAACCCAATCACATGTAAAGCTTTCAAATCGATGAAGAATATAAAGACTTCCAGAAAGTGCATTCTGAGTAGTTCCCACTTCCACTTGACTCCCTCACCTTAGACAATCACCACTCACTCACTAACCAACAACCCACACCGAACAAAACCTCCAAAACCTCCCAAAACCTTCCAAAATCTCTTTCTTCCAATAAATCCCCCTCCTTTTCTCCCTCCCTCCATTTGTCCAAAATCCCAAAAAAAAAAAGCACCTTCACTAAACAACCACCTCCCACCCACCTTTCCACCTCCATCCCAGGGCACATAGTCTCCCAAATCCACCACCAAACCCACCACTTTCCATAAAAGAACCGTCACTCTCCAAAATCTCCAACTTCCTCAAAACCTTCCCTTGGCCAACTCGACGGCCCCATTTTTCCTTAAACTTTCCTGTCGTAAAATATTCTCTACATTCCCTTTTCCCTGCCCCACCTGTCACTTCTTTTTCTCTGTGTCGTAAATTTCCCCCGTATATAAATGACCTGCTTTTTGTCCTGCGAAATCGCACCTTTAACGGTTTTTCACGCTTTGGACTTCTTTATCCTGCTTTACACTCTGCGCAGGACATTTTTTCAGCCTACCCTTGAAGCCAAGTCAAACCCACCTTTCCAAGGAAACCAATCTTTATTCGGTTTTTTTCTGAGTTTCTTCTAATGAACACGCCGTGGTGTCATCTCCCTATAGACGTGCAGTGTCGGGTGTTCGATTACCTTTCGTTGGATGAAATCGCCGTTGTTCTACCGTTATTTCCGCATGAGCTAGACCTAGTCAAGAATGCTTTGCACCATAGGGTTGGCAAACGACATATGGTGGTGACAAACCGCCAGTGGCTGCCGATGCTGCTTGAGCTGTATACGCCTGAGTTTTTTTCTCGGGCCGATTTCGAGTACGTGGAGCCCCAATGCGTGGTACGCTTGTTGAATACTGTGGGGACAGATAAGCTCGTTACGGTACTGTTTGTGATCTGGCACCTGTTTGACGTGAGCGACCTTTTGCTGCTATTGGAGGAGCTTCCCGAGGGGCCGAGGTATAATATTGAGCTTGAGTTTGAGCCCAATGTGCCTCATGTGTATGATTTGTCGATGGTGGTGAATGAACTACATAAGGCTTTGGGTCTGGGACTCAGGGCTTTGGCTGTGAAGAACTTTGGTGGCGATTTGCAGCTCGATATGCACAAATTGGAAGCTTTGGAGGCACTTCTGCTTATCAATACCAACGTTACTTTCACTACGTTGTTTGATAAGAGCGTTAATCTTCGTACATTCACTTTGCATCCTAATTGCGATGGTTTTGCCCGCAACCACCCGGCTGAATTGGGCCAGCTGCTTCCTTTGAACGTGGAAAAGCTTCGTTTGGGCCAGTGCGTTGTGGTGGACTCTTCTCTTGGTTATAAGTTGCCTAAGAACGTCACTGACTTGTCGTTATTCATTGTCAGAGACTCTACGATGAAGTACTTGCCCACGATGATTGAAAGCAGTCTGTGTTTCCGTACATCGTTTGTCTACCAGTCTGGTTTGGCCGAGTGCTCCATTCATGCCAACTATACTCACATTCTGTGGCTCTTGGAGAAGGAGAAGCATCTCAAAACAGTGGCTCTTACAAGCATAAAGAACGATAGTGGTGTGTGGGATTTGCTGAAGTACGAGCTGCTACACAGTATAAAGATATCCAAGAGTAACTTGCAGCTGATTGATTTACCGCCCCATGTCTTGCATTTGGACCTTTCTGGTAACAATATGACCGATATTGTCGAGACAGTGTTAATGAAGGTTCCACCAAAGTTACTCAGCTTGGACGTTTCGGGGAATCTTCCCAACTGGACCCCATATCAGCATGTTCAGTTTCCTGAACACCTCGTTGAGCTCGGCCTAGCGAACTGTAACATTGGCAACCAGATTGACATTTTCCAATTTCCAGCATCCTTGGAGAAACTAGACCTTGAGTCGAACAGTATAGAGCAGCTTGAATACGCCAACTTTCCCAATTTCACAAAACCACTCGAACTAAGGTTGGCACGCAATGTGATCAGAGACTTGCAAAGGATGAGATTTCCCAAGAACACTACAAAGCTTATGTTATGCGAGAATAGCATCAATGGTCCCGTTGATTTCTCCCTGGATATGTTTGGAGAGCCTACACAGATTGAATGGCTACTGCTCAGCAACACCAAAATCGAATCCCTTGCTGATATACGGTTACCTCATACGTTACGTATTCTTGAAATGGATCGTTGCCGGGTGCGGAACCTTGAGAATGTGCTTTTCCCAGCATCTTTACAAGAGATCAATCTCACAGGTAGTAAGATCCAGAACATCAACAACGTCACTTTTGAGGAAGACTCTCGTCTTGTTCACATCAACTTGACACACAATCGTATCGACGCAGACAATCTTCGAAGATTGAGGCTCCCCTCGGGAACAAAGCTGCTTTACCTCGGCTGGAACCGAATCGAAAGCATCCCCAAGGACTACCTCTTACAGTTTACCGATCTTCGAAGCTTCAGCGTGCCATCCAACAGGCTCAGACGAGTGGCTCTCCAAGTGCCTGCCAGCACAAGAATGTTGGACTTTTCAAAGAACAGAATAAAGGATATAAAGTTACAGTTTCCCAAAGGTTCATTCACTAGGCTTGGGGCGATCAACTTGCTGCGTAACATGTTGACCCACATTGATCCAGGCATGCTTGGCCACGGCAACGGGTCTTACCATCAAAATCTCATTGAAATTGATGTTTCAGAAAACAGGTTCAGAGACGGGTTCAACCTTGGACTGTTCCCCAGTCTGCTTTCTTGTGTCTTCCTAAATGGGCTGGGACTCATGGACGGATACGGCTACGACATTGGCGCCAACATATTGGGCCACAGCTACTGTATGGGCAAAAGAATCGAAACGTGATAAGATGTTGATCATGTTAATAGTCCCGAAGCGGCACGGCTTCCGAAGAAGGCCCTCCAGGGTGGAGATGATCTTGGTTTATATTCCAACAGCGAAAGTGTTCTCCTGTGCCAGTTTAAACTGGTGGTAACCGAATACCTCCAGGGCGCACGAGAAGGCATACGCGTTGGGTCTACAAGCTATATGTTGCAAACGACGTATATTGTTTGTTGATGTGAAAAGTTGGGGAGCTTGAAAATTTCATCAAGTATAGGCAGTGGTGAGCGGCGGGTAACCTCGAGCTGTGTTTGTATGTAGGTGCAAAGCTTTAGCCCTGAGGTACAAGACGAGAAGAGGAGGAAGAAAGGGTATATGGTCAATTGGGACGGTAAGGCTGTTTTGAGGATTTAGGGCGTTTAGAGGAATGAATGTATGTATTTCTAGGATTTTCGGTTTTTCTCGTAGGTTCATTTTATGCAATGTACGTCCATTCATGTTTTTCGCAGCCAAAAGGTATTGCCAGTAAAAGATGTGAAACATTGGGTAGAATCCAAAGAAAGTAGAAAAATATTTCATAGAAAAATGGTCTATATTTCAAATAGTTTTAAAACAGAACGAACGTTTATAGAGAGCATTGAAATGGCCAGTGCATTGGTGAGGCCACTTCCCTGTGGCTTACAAGGAAGTCAGACAGAGGAATATGCGTGCTGAAAAGATAAGGAGCAGGGTTCGAGATAGACAAGTGCAATGCTAGACTTAACCTGCCTTACTTGTGAGAGAACGGCTTTGAGGCTCCCCTGAGATGTTCTTGCCTTTGGAATTAAGCCAACCACTTTCAGTTAGTCCCGTCTTTATAGCTCTTCATGTCTTTTTTATATTGTCGACACTTTGAACTATCTACTACGCAACATAACAGATAAATGGTGAATAGGAACCACTAGGATATATTCAACAACATGAAATAAGAGTTTCAAACATGCATTGGAAATAGGCTACCGCTAATGTTAGTTATGGCGCTTTGGAGACGTATACACTGGAATGGCTGCAAACGAAGAGATACCCCAAGTTGAGGAACCAAGGAGCCTCAAAAGCAGTAACAATTTACGTTTTGAATTTCTGGGCTTCTAACTGCACAGTATTGTTTCTGCTCTTATCACTTGGTGTGATTTTCATACCGAGGGATACTAGAGTCACTGGAGAGAGACCTACTGGGCCAGCCCCAGCCAACCCAGTGCTGCTCTTCAAGAGATACTCATACAAATTAAAAAAGCTACTATGAGAAATCAAAAGGTTTCAAAAACATATAAAAAGCCAAATCCCACCTTTCTATTACTTTTCAACCCAAAGGTGCCATTTCTTTTGTTTGGGCGGATTTGCAACCATTTTTTGAGCCGCCAAAAGAGCCTCTTTTTTTCGCAGCGACGCATCGCAGAGGTTGCGATTTCTCCCGAGCGTTTCTTGTCAAGGGCCAAAGTTGGGAGAAATTGCAGACGCCAGTGGCAAAAACAAGAGCAGGAAGAATTAAATTGGGAGAAATTGTGGAAATCTCGTGGTTTAAGAAAATAAATTTAGAACTCTCTCAAACTTATTTTAAAGTTTCTTCTTTTAAGATTCGATTTTTTGACTTCTTTTTTTTTTTTTTGGCCCAAAATGGCCCGAGGATCTCGGGTGCAAAATTTGAGACTTTTCGTCTTTGTGTTGTTTTACCTACCGAGGCGCCGCCTACCCGTGGGCCAATGAAACAACAGGCTTAAGTAAAATATTAAGATTCTTCTTTGCCCCTAACCTTTGAGACCACTCAATCTAATTGGAGGCCAATCTTTGGGAACCCAGGAGGTTGGGTGGGCTGGCTATGGATGAAAAACCGTTGGAGTGCACGTGACCTGTACCACGTGCAAGGCCAACAAACACGACCCAGTTTTTTTCTAAACGCTATTTCCCAAATCCAACACATTGAATCTCTATTGTGATCCTGCAGACTGCCCGCAAAGAACAAGGGCCCCATATATACTCCGGCGCCGAAGCGAGCTTTTTCAAAAGACTAGTTTTTTGCAACCGTTTCTTCACCTCCTTTCCTCCAATGAAAGCTGAAATTGAACAAGAGCTCTCTCACGTCCTTTTGACAGAGCTTCTCGCTTACCAGTTTGCCTCGCCTGTGCGCTGGATCGAGACCCAGGATGTCTTCTTGAAAGACCATAATACTGAAAGAGTTGTGGAAATTGGTCCCTCTCCTACCTTGGCTGGAATGGCCTCCAGAACTATCAAGGCTAAATACGAATCCTACGATGCTGCTCTTTCTTTGCAACGTCAGGTCTTGTGTTACGCTAAGGACCCTAAGGAGATTTACTATACCCCTGACCCACCAGCTGAGGTTGAGGAGCCAAAGGCTGAGGCTTCTGAGACCCCTGCTCCAGCTGCTGCCGCCGCTGCTGCTCCAGTGGCCGCTGCTCCAGTGGCCGCTCCAGCTCCTTCTGGCCCTGTTGAGTCCATTCCAGATGAGCCAGTGAAGGCCTCGCTTCTTCTCCATGTTTTGGTTGCACAGAAACTTAAGAAACCGCTTGACGCTGTGCCTATGAGCAAGCCAATTAAAGATCTTGTTAACGGTAAATCCACAGTTCAGAATGAAATTTTGGGTGATTTGGGTAAAGAGTTCGGTTCCACCCCAGATAAGCCTGAAGACACTCCCTTGGAGGAGTTGGCAGAACAGTTCCAGGACACCTTCTCTGGTGCTTTGGGTAAGACCTCCACATCGCTTATTGGCCGTTTGATGAGTTCCAAGATGCCTGGTGGTTTCTCTATCACTGCTGCCAGAAAGTACTTGGAGTCCCGCTACGGCTTGGGCGCTGGCAGACAAGACTCTGTGCTTTTAATGTGTTTGGTCAACGAACCTGCTGCTCGTTTGAGTGCTGATAACGAGGCCAAGGAATTCTTGGACCAGGTTGCTCAGAAATACGCTACTCGTGCCAGTATTTCTCTTTCTTCTGGCTCCTCTGGTGGCTCTGGTGCTGCTGCTGGCGGTGCTGTTATTGACAGTGCTGCTTTGGACGCCATGTCTGCTGAGAACAAGACTTTGGCTAAACAACAACTCGAAGTTTTGGCTCGTTACTTGCAAGTCGACTTGAACAAGGGTGCCAAGTCATTTATTAAAGAAAAGGAAGCCGGTATCCTTTTACAGAAGGAGCTCGACCTTTGGGAGGCCGAACATGGCGAATACTACGCCAAGGGTATCCAGCCAATCTTCTCCAACTTGAAGGCTAGAACCTACGACTCCTACTGGAACTGGGCAAGACAGGATGTGTTGCTGATGTGGTTTGACATTATCTTCGGCAAATTGACTTCTGTTGACAGAGAGACCATCAGCCAATGTATCCAGATCATGAACAGAGCTTCTACTACCTTGATCAAGTTCATGCAATACCACATTGACCACACTCCAGAGTACAAGGGTGAGACCTACCAGCTTGCTAAGAAGCTTGGTCAGCAATTGGTTGACAACTGTAAGCAGGTTTTGGATGTTGACCCAGTCTACAAGGACGTTTCCAGAATCACTGGTCCTAAGACTACCGTCGATGCCAAGGGTAAGATCGTCTACAATGAGGTGAACAAGGAATCTGTTCGTAAGTTCGAGCAGTACGTCTACGAGATGGCCCAGGGCGGTAAGTTGACCAAGAGAGATGCTCAACCAACCATTCAGGAAGACTTGGCTCGTGTCTACAAGGCCATGACCAAGCAGGCTTCTGTGTCTAAGACCACCAAGCTTGAGCTCGAGAAGTTGTACAAGCAATTGACTGATTTCATGGACCAGTCTCAGGAGATTGAGACCGCTCAGGTGACCAAGGATGCTTTGAGTAGCCGTCGTTCTGGCACTGAAAGCCCTACTGATGAAGATGAGACTGCTTCCAGCGATGACGAGATTGCATCTTTGCCAGACAAGACTTCTATCTTGCAGCCAGTCTCTTCCACCATCCCACCACAGACCATTCCATTCTTGCACTTGCAGAGAAAGACCAAGCAAGGCTGGGAGTACGACCCTAAATTGTCTTCCATGTACTTGGACGGTTTGGAGAGCGGTGCCGTCAACGGGTTGTCTTTCAAGGACAGATACGTCTTGGTTACTGGTGCTGGTGCTGGCTCTATTGGTGCTGAGATCTTGCAAGGTTTGATTTCTGGTGGTGCCAAGGTTGTGGTCACTACTTCCAGATTCTCCAAGAAGGTTACCGAATACTACCAGGCTATGTACTCCAGGTACGGTGCTTCTGGCTCCACCTTGATTGTTGTTCCTTTCAACCAAGGTTCCAAGCAGGATGTCGACGCTCTTGTTGACTACATCTACGATCCTAAGAACGGTTTGGGCTGGGATTTGGACGCCATCATTCCATTCGCTGCTATTCCAGAGAACGGTAACGGCTTGGACAACATCGACTCCAAGTCTGAGTTGGCCCACAGAATCATGTTGACCAACTTGTTGCGTCTTTTGGGTGCCGTCAAGGCCAAGAAAACCACCGACACTCGTCCAGCCCAGGTTGTGTTGCCATTGTCTCCAAACCACGGTACTTTCGGTTTCGACGGTCTCTACTCCGAGTCCAAGATCTCCTTGGAGACCTTGTTCAATAGATGGTACTCTGAAGACTGGGCTACCAAGCTCACCATCTGTGGTGCCATTATTGGTTGGACCAGAGGAACTGGTCTTATGAGCGCCAACAACATCATTGCCGAGGGTATTGAGAAGATGGGTGTCAGAACTTTCTCCCAGAAGGAGATGGCTTTCAACATCTTGGGTTTGTTGACTCCTAAGGTCGTTAACTTGTGTCAGGAACAGCCTGTCATGGCTGACTTGAACGGTGGTTTGCAGTTCATTGACAACTTGAAGGAGTTCACCTCTAAGTTGAGAACTGACTTGGTCGAGAACGCTGATGTCCGCAGAGCAGTTTCTATTGAGCAGGCTATTGAGCAGAAGGTTGTTCACGGTGATGCTGTTGATGCCAACTACTCCAAGGTTACTGTCCAGCCTCGTGCCAACATGACCTTCAGCTTCCCAGATATGAAGAGCCACGAGGAGATCAAGCAGGTCGCTCCTGAGTTGGAAGGTATGTTGGACTTGGAGCTGTTGATTGTGGTTACTGGTTTCGCTGAAGTCGGTCCATGGGGTAACTCCAGAACCCGTTGGGAGATGGAGGCTCATGGTGAATTCTCTTTGGAAGGTTGTATTGAGATGGCCTGGATCATGGGCTTGATCAAATACCACAATGGTCCTCTTAAGGGTAAGCCCTACGCTGGTTGGGTTGACGCTAAGTCTCAGCAGCCTGTTGATGACAAGGACGTCAAGTCTAAGTACGAGGAGCAGATCCTTGAACACTCTGGTATCCGTCTCATTGAGCCTGAGTTGTTCTCTGGTTACGATCCTGAGAAGAAGCAGATGATCCAGGAGATTGTTGTCCAGCACGACTTGGAGCCATTCGAGGCTTCTAAGGAAACCGCTGAACAGTACAAGCATCTGCATGGCGACAAGTGTGAGATCTTCGAGATCGAGGACTCTGGTGAGTACACCGTCAAGATCTTGTCTGGTGCTACCTTGTACGTTCCTAAGGCTCTCAGATTCGATCGTTTGGTTGCTGGTCAGATTCCTACCGGTTGGGATGCCAGAAACTACGGTATTCCTGAGGACACTATCTCCCAGGTCGACCCTATTACCTTGTACGTGCTTGTTTCTACTGTTGAGGCTCTTTTGTCTGCTGGTATTACCGACCCATACGAGTTCTACAAGTATGTGCACGTTTCTGAAGTTGGTAACTGTTCTGGTTCTGGTATGGGTGGTGTCTCTGCTCTTAGAGGCATGTTCAAGGAGCGTTTCATTGACACTCCAGTGCAAAACGATATCTTGCAAGAGTCTTTCATCAACACCATGTCTGCTTGGGTTAACATGTTGTTGCTCTCTTCTTCTGGTCCTATCAAGACTCCTGTCGGTGCCTGTGCTACCGCTGTTGAGTCCGTCGACACTGGTATCGAGACTATCCAGTCTGGTAAGGCCAAGGTTTGTATCGTCGGTGGTTACGATGACTTCCAGGAGGAAGGTTCTTATGAGTTCGCCAACATGAACGCTACTTCCAACGCTGTTGACGAGTTTGCACACGGCAGAACTCCTTCCGAGATGTCTAGACCAGCTACCACCACCAGAAACGGTTTCATGGAAGCCCAGGGTTCTGGTATCCAGGTTATTATGACTGCCGACTTGGCTATCAAGATGGGTGTTCCTATCTACGCTGTCTTGGCCATGACTGCTACTGCCACTGATAAGATTGGTCGTTCTGTTCCTGCTCCAGGTAAGGGTATTTTGACCACTGCCAGAGAGCACCACGGTTCCTTGAAGTACCCACTGGCCATGATGAACATCAAGTACAGAAACAGACAGTTGAAGCAGAGATTGTCCCAGATTGCATCTTGGGAAGAGTCTGAGATTGACTTCTTGGGCGACGAGGCTGAATTGGCCAGAGAAGAGTTTGGTTCTGACTTCTCCATCGACGACTTCACCAGAGAGAGAGCCGAGGAGATCCGCAGAGAAGCTAGCAGACAAGTTGCTGACGCTAAGAAGCAATGGGGTAACAACTTCTACAAGGCTGACCCTAGAATTGCTCCATTGAGAGGAGCCTTGGCCACTTTCGGTTTGACCATTGACGACTTGGGTGTTGCTTCCTTCCACGGTACTTCCACCAAGGCCAACGACAAGAATGAGAGTGCTACTATCAACGAGATGATGAGACACTTGGGCAGAGCTGAAGGTAACCCAGTGTTTGGTGTTTTCCAGAAGTACTTGACTGGTCACCCTAAGGGTGCTGCTGGTGCCTGGATGTTGAACGGTGCTATCCAGATCTTGAACTCTGGTATTGTTCCAGGTAACAGAAACGCTGACAATGTTGATAAGTTGTTGGAAGACTACGAGTACGTCTTGTACCCACTGAGATCCATCCAGACTGACGGTATCAAGGCTGTCTCTGTCACTTCTTTCGGTTTCGGTCAGAAGGGTGCCCAGGCCATTGTTGTCCACCCAGACTACTTGTACGCCGTGTTGGACAAGAACACCTACAACGACTACGCTTCCAGAGTCACTGCCAGAAACAAGAGAGCCTACCGTTACATGCACAATGCCATCACCAGAAACTCCATGTTCAAGGCTAAGGATAAGGCTCCATACGGTGACGACTTGGAGCAGCCAGTCTACTTGGACCCATTGGCTAGAGTTGAGGAAAGCAAGACTGGTCTTGTCTTCTCTAAGAAGAGCATTCAGGCTGAGAAGGCTTACGTTTCTGCCAACTCTGAATCTACTGCCAAAGCATTGGCCTCTTTGAACAACGGCGCCAAGGGTGTTGGTGTGGATGTCGAGTTGCTTTCTGAGTTGAACTTGGAGAATGATACTTTCGTCGAGAGAAACTTCACCGAGCTGGAGATTGCCTACGCTAATAAGGCTTCCAACCCACAAGCTACCTTCACCGGTACTTGGTCTGCCAAGGAGGCCGTTTTCAAGGCTTTGGGTACCAAGTCCCAGGGAGCTGGTGCTGCTTTGAAGGACATTGAGATTGTCAGAGACTCCAACGGTGCTCCTAAGGTTGTTTTGTCTGGAGAAGCCAAGAAGGCTGCCTCTGCTGCTGGTGTCAAGAACGTCAACGTCTCGATCTCCCACGACGATTTCCAGGCCACCGCTGTCGCCTTGAGTGAATTTTAAGTGAAACATATATATGGTTTAAGATATATTAATGGTTAGTGAAGAAGAGGTGTAGTAACTAAGTGATGGAAGAGTCCTTTCGCCTCGAATTATGAAGTAGCAGTCAATTGGCTAAGCACGAAAAGTCCACGTCCTTTTTAGACCAATCAATTCACTTGGTTCTTGGGAACCACTGTACCACCCAATGCCCAGTCACCTCTACTGAATAATGGCTGCGAAAGAGCCAGTAGGAGTCAAACAACCACCATCAAAATCCCCAAAAAACGACAATTTTTCTTTATTGAAAATGTCAATCACTAAGTGATTCCCAAAATGTTTCAACTCCCCCTTCAAAAACCTAAAAATCCCAAACGTAGCCTCAACCCACCACGTCCTTAAGTATGGGAATTTTCCAGATCTACAGTACTAACTGAAAAATCTACACCACCAGTAATTCCACGCTCCTTCATCAAAACACACCCCAACTTTAAGTCATCTCCTTCTAAGGCCCCTCAAAACTCAGCCACCACCAGACAAAACCGAAAATTCCAAAAAAATACACTAAACCAAATAAGCAGCCCAGCGGTGGTTGGTTCTTGGTAGAGGGGCCCTGTCTGCAGTCCACCAAGTCCACTTTCGCTAAGAAAAAAAAAAAAGACCCCAGAGTGCGGGACAAATACAGAAAAAAAGCTGTAATCTAAAAAGGACAAATCGGCCTTATATCGGAATCCACAAGTCACCAGTACCAAACGCTGGAAAGTTGGAAATACATAAGCTGAAATAGCGGAAAAAACGGGAAACCCGATTGAGTGAACCGAATTTTTCAGATTCTCATATAACAGGGCTTTTTCTAAGTGATCTGTTTAGACTGAAGTTTGGGTCTTGAAACTGCTTAAAATGAGTGAAAGTGAACAACCGAAGGTGCTGGACGAGACGTCCAGGGCTGACGTGGAGAAGGTGGATCAGGAGAACCAGACTGCTGTTGAGGGTGAAGTTTCGCCTAAATCTGATCCAATTGAGGACAATACTACTAAAGAGGACGCTGTTGAGGAGCCCAAGGAGACGGAGCCTGAAGTTGCCGAAGAAGCTGCTGATCAGGCCGCTGAAGAGACTTCTGGTGAAGCCAAAGAAGAAGAGGCTGAAGCTGAGCCTGCTGACTCGAACCCTGCCGAGGACGTTGCCCAGGAAGGTGAATCCTCAGATCAACCCCAGGAACCTGAAAAAGTGGAGGAGGGTACCTCTGCTGAGGGCCAGGAAGAAGACAATGCTGAAGGTGATGCAGAGACTTCTCAGGAGAACGGCTTTGCTCACGATAAGCCATTGCCTGAGATTAATATCGCTGGCAGCTCTACCGATAACGCTGCTGAAACAGACGCTCCAAAGGAGGCCGAACTACCCGCCAAAAAGTACTTTAACGCCACCGTTGACAATATTCACATCTTCAACAAGACCTTTGAGCAGATTCTAGGCAGCAAAGAAGCCAAGAAGAACGACCAGTTGAAAAATGCTACCCAAAAGGCCATCGATTCATTGAACAACCTGTCCTCCAGAGACCCTCACGTTATGTACGAAGCTTTAAAGATGGCCTGTGAATTGGGTAGCCATGATTTGAAGAGAAACGCCGTGGACTTGTTTGCTAAGTTGTTCGACTACGCCCTGTTTGAAGATGAAAGCGATAGAGTGAAGCTCACGGATGACTCTGTTGATGTCATTTCTGCATGTTTCGAAGGTGAGGGCACCGACCCTGAAGTCGAATTGCAAGTCGTCAGAGCATTGATGCACAGTATCCTACTAATGCCTACCCACGGCGCGTCTCTCTTGAAGGCGGTTAGACAGATCTACAATGTCTTTATCTTTTCGCTTACTCCTAGAAACCAGGCTGTTGCCCAGGGTATTTTGACTCAAGTTATCGGCGCCATTTTCCAAAGAGTTCAAGAATCTTTGGCTAATAAGTCTAGGATGTCTAAGTCCAGCAGTAATTTCAACCTCAAGCTGGATGACAGCCAGCAGGAAGAATCTGAACCTAAAGAGAAGCTCACTTTGGCTGCTTTGGAAAACAACTCCAGCTTGGACCTGGAGCGTGTGAACGAAGCTAACTTGGCTTCTGAGAACGACGAGGACTTGGCCGTCAAGGACGCTTTCTTGATCTTCAGAGCCATGTGCAAGCTCTCTATCAAAGACCTTGATACCGATAATGTGGATATGAAGTCTCATTCTGTCCGTTCAAAGCTTCTTTCTTTGCACATTATCCATACCATCTTGAAGGAGAACATTGACATTTTCTTGAGCAAGGATGTGGTCATTCTTTCATCCAACTCCGATGACAGGACTCGCTTAATTGATGCGGTGCGTTCGTACTTGTGCCAGGCCTTAATTAAGAATGCTGCTTCGCCACTTGCTCCAATCTTCGAGTTGTCTCTCGAGATTTACTGGCTCTTGATCTCTAACTTGAGATCTGACTTCAAGATGGAGATTCCTGTTTTCTGGGAGCAAATTTACATGCCTGTTGCCGAAATGAAGACATCGACGCCTCATCAAAAGCGTTACTTGTTGTCAATTATCGAACGTCTATGCAGCGATTCTCGTTGTCTCATAGAATTCTACCTCAATTACGACTGTGACAGTGAGCAGCCTAATATTTGTGAGAAGATCGTTGACTTGTTGACTAAGTTATCCTTATCTCGTGTTGAAGTTACCTCAACTCAAAAAGCTGCTTACCGTGAGAATGGCCGCAGGGGAATTTCCTTGTACGATATTAGCAAGATTGCTAACTTGACCAGCTCGACTATTTCATCCAAGCCTCCTGAGCCAGATATCTACAACAGCTTCCCGCTTGAGTATGCTATGAAGATGTCTTCCATCAACTGCACCGTTGCATTTTTGAGATCTCTTTATTCTTGGGCCCAAAAGAGTATCAGCTCAACCTCCAAGCTTAATGGCTTTGGTTCCAGAACGAGTCTCAACGCAGGCAGGTCCTCCAACGGTGAGTCGCCCAACTCAAGTCAAATTACTTCAAGAAATGCTTCTTTTGTTGCGCCTACGAGTGGATCTGAACCACCTGAAGGTTCCGACGATCCGGAGCAGTTCCAGAATCTGAAGCAGAGAAAGAAAGCTTTCTTGGAGGGGATCAAACAATTCAACCAGAGACCTAAGAAGGGTGTCAAGGCATTGATTGAAAATGGCTTTATCAAGTCCGATGACCCAGAAGATATTGCTGTGTTCTTGCTTAGTACGGAGAACTTGAACAAGGCTGCCATTGGTGAATTCCTTGGTGAAGGTGATGAAAAGAATGTTGCTATCATGCATGCCTTCGTGGATCAAATGAACTTCAATAACACTGGTTTCGTTGATGCTATGCGTACCTTCTTGCAGGCCTTCAGATTGCCTGGCGAAGCTCAAAAGATTGATAGATTCATGTTGAAGTTCGCCGAACGTTACGTTCTCGGCAACCCAGGTATCTTTAGTAACGCCGACACCGCTTATGTTCTTGCTTACTCCGTTGTTATGTTGAACACGGATCAGCATTCTCCTCAGATCAAGAATAGAATGACTGTCGATGGTTTCGTTACCAACAATAGTGGTATTGATGACGGTAAGGACTTGCCAAGGGAACTTCTTGAAAAGATTTACTACGAGATTCAACTGAACGAGATCAAGTTGCAGTCGGAGCAGCATGCTGCTCTTCTTGCTGGTGATGCTTCAGTCACCCCGGCTGCATCTGTTGGATTCTTTGGAGGTAGAGATCTTACTAGGGAAGCCTACTTGCATGCATCCAAGGAAATGTCGACGAAGACAGAGAAGCTCGTCAAGAGCTTGGGTAAGAAGATGAAGTCTGACGATGCCCTGGGATCCGTGTTCCACGCTGCTTCCCACGTTATTCATGTTAGAACCATTTTTGAGACGTTGTGGATGTCCATCTTAGCCGGTTTGACTCCTCCATTCAAGGAGTACGACGAAGAGGATGTTACTAATGTTTGTCTTGAAGGTATCAAGCTCTCTATCAAGATTGCATGCATGTTCGATATCCCTTACGCAAAGAAGTCTTACATCAGCGCCTTGGTTCAGTTCCAGAGTTTGACTAATATGGAAAACATCAAGCCTAAGAATATTGCTGCAGTTCACATCATGTTGGATATTGCAATCAGCGAGGGAGACCATTTAAAGTCTGCATGGATTCAAGTGCTTACCTCCATTTCTCAGCTCGAACGTTTGCAATTGATCGCGCAGGGTGTTGATCAGGACTCCATTCCTGACGTCTCGGCTGCCAAGATGGTCAACAGAAATTCTATTGATAGCACTGCTTCTTCAGGATTCTTCAGTCTGTTCACTCCGTCTCAGTCTGCGTCTATGAAGTTCCATAACCAACATTTGTCCCCTCAGGCTGCTCAACTTTTGTCAAGAACTCAATTAAGTGTTGCTATGGACAAGGTGTTCACTAACAGTGCTGAGTTGTCAGGTGAAGGTATCAAGGACTTCATCGAAGCATTGAGTAAGGTCGTCTCCGAGGAGATTGAGTCTTCTGGACTGTCCACTAACCCTAGAATGTTCTCACTCCAGAAGGTTGTGGATATCTGTTACTACAATATGAGCAGAATCCGTTTGGAATGGTCTCAATTGTGGGCTATAATGGGAGAAGTTTTCAATGTCGTTGGTTGCAATGCCAACATTAATGTTTCGTTCTTTGCATTGGACTCCCTCAGACAGTTGTCATCCAGATTTATGAACATTGAGGAATTGGCTCAGTTTAAGTTCCAGAAGGAGTTCTTGAAACCTTTTGAGCATATCATCGTCCACAACCCATCCTACGATGTGAAAGATATGGTTGTCGAGTGTATGAACAATTTGATCTTGGCAAATGCTCCTCAAATCAGATCTGGTTGGAAGACCATCTTCAAGGTTCTCACCGCTGCTGCTCGTGAGAAGAAGGATGGCTTGGTAACCAAGGCATACAAGCTTGCGTTCACTATCAACAAGGAGCACAGCGAGGAGGTTCGTCGTCAAGATTCATTCCCAGACAAGGTCGAATGTTTCACCCAGTTTGCTAAGAATGAGAAATTCCAAAAGGTTGGTCTCCTTTCCCTTGAGGTGTTGCTGAAGATGATTGTGAAGGTGGCTAATCTTACTGCCGAACAAGAAAAGAACGGCAAGGTCGTTATTGGTGGCTCCGAGAATGCTGATACCTTGCGTAAACTCTGGTTCCCTGTCTTGTTTGGTTTCTTTGACATTATCATGACAGGTGAAGAGCTCGAAGTTCGTTCGAGAGCATTGACTCATTTCTTCGACGTTCTTCTGAAGTATGGTGCAAACTTTAAGGAGGACTTCTGGAACGACATTTGCCACAAGCTCTTGTTCCCTATCTTTGGTGTGTTGGCCAACCCTTGGAAGTTGAATTACCAGGAAGACGGAAGCTTGTCTGAGAGGGATAGAATCTCATTCTGGGTCTCTACAACTTTGATTCAAGCCCTCAACAGCATGGTGTCGCTTTTCACTCAGTACTTTGACGATCTTACTCCAATGTTGAAGGATTTCTTGGATCTCCTCATCAATTGTATCTGTCAAGAGAACGACACCATTGCAAGAACTGGTAAATCATGCTTGCAAGACTTTTTGATTAAGAATGCGGGTAGACTTAGTGAACAGCAATGGGATTTGATCGCTGATGCTTTCGAGTCTTTGTTCGACCTCACTACTGCTAACGAGTTATTCACCTTGGATCCAGCCAAGAAGCAAGGTGCAGAGGATGATGGTATTGATGTCCCTCTTGATCTCAATGATTCTTCCAGACAATCCCATGAAGTCGCTTCCCCTGTCAAGGATGAGGCCGAAGAAAGGTTGCAAAGATCCAAGGATAAGTCCTCTATTGTCATCAAGTGTGTCCTTCAGTTGTTGATGATCGAGACCTTGCTGGAGCTCTCTGTTGAAGAAGCTTTCTACGATAGTATTTCCCACCACCACTTGATGAAGCTCGCTCACTTGTTAGAATCAAGTTACAACTTTGCAAGAACTTTCAATGACGATTACGACTTGAGACTCAGATTGTGGAATGCCGGTGTGATCGAAAGACTTCCAAACTTGCTCAAACAGGAGAGCATGTCATCTGCTGTTTTCTTGAACATCATGTTCAGACTCTACTGTGACAACAACAAGGTTAGTGGAGAGGTCAAGGAAACAATCCTCAAGTCTGTTGTACCTCTTTCCAACGACATTGTGGACAGATTTGGCCAGCTCGACGAGTCTAACCAGCAAAAGAGTATTTCTACGTGGAAGCCTGTTGCCATAGAGATCCTTAGAGGATATGTCGAACTTGATGACGCAGACTTCTCTAAGCATTCTCCTTCCATGTACAAGTTGTTGTTGAAGTTGTTCGATAGAGGCATGTCGCAAGAGTTGAGAAAGGCCATTCAAATGTTCTTTTCCAGAGTGGGTGATACATTCCTCACAAATGAAGAGGCCTAATGTGGTATGGTTGCAAAAAAAAAGAGAGACTAGACATGGTTCCTGCTGCATGCAAGAATGGGGCCTCATATGTCGGTCACGCGTCACGTGAGCGAATCTCAAATTGTTGGTGTGGTTTGCGTTAAGGTGGTGAGACTGGGGAAATTTCGCAGCAATTTGTTTCAAGTCAAACGGGTCCACAATGAGAGAAAGGCCAAGCATGACGTCGCAGGGACATAGTGGCGGAAAAAAAAAACAAAATTTAGAGGAGTTTAAAAAAAAATGAATAACTCGTGACTTTAGAGCTAATCCCGATCGGCTAATTTGTACTTTTATAACAGGATTCATCTGAGTAGAATGGTCTGCTTTGGTGGCTGACAGTGTGTGGATGTACGGGTGTTTTTGTTGGAAGTTCGCTCTGACGGTTTTTTTCTTCTATGAAAAATTTTCTTTGGGACTTCCTACTCCTTGCTCCAACTCCGAACGCTGTCGAATTACGACAACTATGTCTTTTGAAAACAAGGTATGTTTGAACAAACCATAGATTTCCGCCCATAGCACCAACCTGGTACCCTCAATTCGTCGGAAGACACATTCCCACATTGGGCAGTCGAAAGCAAAGTTGGCCGAAAGGCACCACCAACGTCAACACAGAAAGCTCAATTTCTCATTGTCAATTATCCACAGATTGTCCACCCAGTACAATTGAAAAGATTTCAGTTTCCCCAGCTTGTCGTTGCTGTTTAGGCCAACTTGCGATACCCCAGAAAAGTCCGTGTCAGGCCATAATCCAATGCAGATCACAACCCCAGCAAGTACTAACCGACCAGAACTTGTACGCTTTATTGGGTAACGATGTGGAGGATGAGCTGGCGCTCCCACCACAGGCCCCAAGAGAGATTGTGAAGAACACCACTTCTTCTAAGAAGAGTGACGTTCCTCCACCAAAGGCCGACCCTACCAGAGCCAAGAAGAACAAGAAGGGCCCAACTGGTAACGAGGCTGCTCTCAAAAACAAGACCAACAACAAGGACGTTGCTCCTCCATCCAACACTGCTTCCTCCAAGGAGAAGAAGCCATTTGACCGTCACTCCAGAACCGGCAAGACCGACTCTAAGAAGAAGTTCAAGCAGGGCTGGGGTTCTAACGACAAGAGAGAGTTGGACGACGAGACCAACGCTACCGGTGATGCTTTGGCTGACTTGGAGCAGGAGGGCGCCGAGAAGGGCGAGCCAGCTCCACCAGCTGCCAAGTCTTTGCAGGACTACTTGAACGAGTTGCAGCTCGCTGAGAACAACTTGGACGGTAAGAGAACCGTCAGATCCGCTAACCAGGGTGCCGAGGCTAAGTGGGCCGAAGGTGAGGCTGTTGAGAAGCACACTGAGGACTACTTCAAGGCCACTGCTGCTAGAAAGCAGAAGCAGAAGGCTACCAAGGAGAAGAAGTTCTTGGACTTCAACGCTGTCTTCGCTGACGAGGCTCCAAGACCTCAGAACGACTCTTCCAGAGGCGGCTTCAAGGGCTCCAGAGGCCCAAAGCCAGCCAGAGGTGGTAAGGGCGGTAACAACGCCAACACCAACAACAAGAAGGCCCAGCCACCTGCTGTGAACGACAAGAACTTCCCATCTTTGAAGTAAGCGTTGTTCACGAGTTCTTGATTTCAAGCGGACCCCGTTACGCCAGTATGAGCAATACACGAACCATCAGCATACTAATTGTAGAGGCCTCTTCAAATCTCTAAATTTCCATATCTACAGTGCACATCTGACCCCCTTATCCGGATCCGGATAAGAGAGGTGTCTACTTCCAGTTATGTCTCCCACTCGGTCACACCGTGGGGCCTGGTGGTCTGTCATTCACTGGTTCTTTTGGAAAAAAGCCCGTGCTTGTATGCAGTACCAGATTATTCCTCGAGGCAAGTGACTCAGGAGCGATTGCAAAATCGCAAAACAGGGTACCTCTCAGGGTCCATGAAAGTGTGGACTTCCCAGGAAAGACCAAATAAAGAGAGTAGAGAGATACTTATTGGTTATTTATGTCACGTGTTGTTTTAAATCGCCCAATCACATCCTTCCTCTTCTTATCCTCTCTTCGTCCAAAGCTTTCCGTGGCGGGGCACCACATTTCCTCACCAGTAACCAAAGCCAAAAACAAAAAAAACACAACAATTTTCCTGTCACGGTGCGAAAAAAAAGAATGCGACCCGCCTTTTTCGGGTGCGCTCCCTCCCCCCATATAAATATAATGTGTATTATCGAGCATAAAAAAAGAGAGTGTCTCACGAAAAATTACATATGGGATTTTTCAGTTGCTTAAATACCATTTCCTTTCCCGTGCCACAATTTTATTGAACTGCAAGAAATTGAATTAAAACATAGAAAAACCCAACGAACGAAAGGCTATTTGCTTTGTTTTGCCCGTGAAATTTTCCACTCTTTTACCGTTTGAACTGTCACCTTTTTCCCCCTCCCCCACACGCTTATCATGAACACGGAATCTGGGGTCCAGGAGACGTCCACCCACGAACAAACACAGAAACAGCAGGTGATGCTGCTGCCTCCACAAGGCAAACAGAATGGCAGTGCCGCTGCTGCTTCTGCTGCTGCCGCCGTGAAACACGTTACTAAGCTCTCCACGTCCTCGCCCGAGGCTATCAAGGTGGCCTCGGAAATCACTCCTACTCGGCTTGCCAATCTTTTGATCAAGAAGGGACCGTTGCCAATCAGGCTTATCACGTCCCAGTTGGCTGTGGAAGTGCCAGGGTTTGACCTCTTGTCGCTTTCCAAGCAGCGTCGTCTTATCATGGCTGCTATGGAGGCAGGTGACTCAGAAAACAATGTTGTATTTGAGAAAATCGGCTGGGGCCAGTGGGCTGTTAGAAGAAAAGACTCCGATTACATTGTCACTGAAGGGAGTAACACCGATGATAAAGCACGTATCAGTGTTCACGAGCTTAAAGAGAAGGCCAAGCTTGGCTGGTCTAAGAAAGAGCCCAAGAAAGAGCTGGCACTCAGTTCTCGTCGTGACTCCATCTCCAACGGCAAGCATAACCTCCACAACGTTAGTGTTCCTGGCGAAGCGCTAGACGGCGGTTCTGGCGAACCGGTGGATTCCGAATCGGACGACGAGGACGAGGCAACGCCTTTTTCGGATGAAGAAGAACTCAATAAGCTCAGAATGGCTCGTTTCGGAACCGCCGAGGTCGATGACAATGCTATCGCCGAGGATTCAGATGAAGACGATATGGATACCGCTGAAGATGGTCTTTTCCAGTTTGACCATGACGATAGCAGAAACGAACGCAGGTGGAAGAAACTGCCTCCTGTTCTGTTTGCCAACCGCGTCCCTTTGAAGGTGCTGCCACCTCCACATCTTCTGGGCTCTCGCCGGAAGCTGTCGCTGTCGGCTGGCGCCAACTCGGTTACGAAAAGTGCCCACATGGGTTACTCGAACCGTCATCAATTGTTCAGCAGACTGAGACTCAACTCGATCGAAAACTTAGACAACTACATCGTATCTTCGGGTCGTGGGCTGCTGATTTCTGTATCATCACCCCCTCCTCCTTCAGGTTCCGTCCTTTCGGTGTCTCCAATTGGCTCCTGGTCGGCCTCTACGAATCATTTACACCCAGGCACGTTTAACGTGTCTGCAGAAAATTTCGGCAACACTATTGGTGGTAGAAGAAAGTCAAGTTTCAACGAGTCTAGCATCCGTTCTACGTTGCTGTCGTCACTCCCTAAAAATACAGCTAATGGTGCTAACGGCACGAAAACTACGAAGCAAGAAGCTTCAGATACCGACGAAGAAGACTGGGCCACCATTGGTGCTGAGTCTTTGCGGAAACACAGTGCTGGTTCGCTGACGACGCCGGGCAAAGAAGACAGCTTGAGAAGCGAGGAAAAGCGGGCTGCTCGTGCTTTGGTCGACTTGATGTCGATATAGTGTCTGGCCTTTGGCTGATGCTTATTTTTATTTTCAGATGGCTAACTAGTTAATCTGTTGCAAAATGGTAACTTAATTCTCTTCTCCATTACCTGGCTCTCTTTGGTCCAAAAGATTGTCTCAGCTCGTCGCCGTTACTCAAGGGCAGGTCTCTTGCGGTGGCACCGATAGTATAGAAATACATAAACCTCAAAGGTATAATTGTTTGTTCTGTAACTACGAAGCCAAAGAATACTACGATGCTACACTATGGCTGGGATCTAGGGAACTACCCCATCCACCAACTATTCAATAACAGCGTTGCCTCCGCATAAAAAAAACCAAAATGACCGAATTGCGCTTTACCAATTCGAACAGTACATGTCATTTGGCGTTTGGAATGTTCCAAACAGGCCCCGCCTGGTCATGGTATGTTTAAGTGGAGGAGCAACTGAGGGATGATCCCTGGCGATTCTTTGCAACCGTTGAGACTGATCTGATTGTATGGTTCCAGAAAAGTACAGAAAATACCGTGTTTCGTGGAATCGCCAGAAGAATGTTCTTTCATTGTTTTGGGGCCTACCAGCTAACAATACCAACCACCAACACAACACTTACCCTAAACAAATCCACTCAAGTCAGTTAAGCACCTCTTCCTAAGTAGAACGAAGTCAAAGTTTAATCATAGAAATAGAACATAAGACAAGAAAGCTTATTCTACAGATTCCAATGCTCCAGAAGAGCGTCACCACTGGAACCACTAGTCCCCACACCAACTCTCCCTAAACACGTCAAGCAAAGCAGAGTTTCTCCAAAAGCCTTCTCCGCCCTTTGAAACGTCACATTTCACTTACTTTGTCAAATTCTCCTCGTTCTATCTTATCATCCTTTTTGTGTTTCGAGCGACTCCTTCCAGGCCAACCGTGCTTTTCGCAGCCATCCCTTGCATTTGGCAGCGAGCGATTTGCAATACTTCCCAGCCCCAGCAAATTCGTGAAAAAAATGTGAATTTTTGGAATTCAGAAAAACAACATACTCAGAGACGTCCCGCTTCCAAAAATTTCCAGAAACCCATCATTTTCCCAATTTATCTCCCTCTTGGTTGTCCCCTTTTCGGCTCGACCGTTGGCGACGCGTGTATTTCACCCAATTAGGAATACTTATGGCGCGGCACCGAAAAAAAAGCCATACCCATCTAACCAGCCCTGAACTTCCATCACCACGTTCTTTACCTAAAAACCCCTAAAACTCCCCCAAAAAACAATTCCCAATTGATAGTTATATTTCGCCATGTCTGCGACCACGGTTCTTCCCACCGTGCAAATAAACGTCAACTATACTGAGCTCAAGCAGCTGATTCGTGACTTTTTCACTCACTTCAAGTCTTCTTCAGATGTCGATCTCGACGTGGAGCCTGAATTGCAAGAGCTGGGTATCAAATACTTGGACTTGTTGCAGAAAGTCGCCAACAGAGACATCTCAACCATCAGTATCGACTTGGACGACATCAAGCTGTACCAGGAAGTGCTGTTCTTCTCGTCCCAGTCTCAGGCTGGCCAGATGAACTTGGTCAACCAGATCCAAAAGAACACCTACCACTTTGTCGAGCTTTTCTCCCAGGTCATCGACTCGTTGATGCCAGAGCCAACCAAGGATATTTCCTACAAGGATGACGTGTTGGATGTGATTTTGCACCAGCGTAAGTTGAGAAACTTGAGGGTGGCCCAGGAAAACACCGACGAGCTCAATTCCTTGAACGCTGGCCTTTCCCAGCAATCCAACACAGACTGGCAGAGTTCTGATGACCGTGACAATAATTTGTTGCTGCAAAACATGTTCCCTGCCAAGTTAACCAGAAGATACCACTTGTACTTCAAGCCCTTGACTGGAAGAACAAAGGCTTTGGCTGTCAGAGACGTCAAAGGTAGCCATGTTGGTAAGATGATCACTGTCAGAGGCATTGTCACCAGAGTCTCCGATGTTAAGCCATCGGTTCTCGTGAACGCCTACACTTGTGACAAGTGTGGTTATGAAATCTTTCAAGAAGTCAACTCGAAGGTTTTCCAGCCCTTGAGAGATTGCACTTCGGATGTGTGTAAGGGTGACAACCAGAAGGGCCAGTTATTTATGCTGACGCGGGCGTCCAAGTTCCTGTCTTTCCAGGAGGTCAAGGTCCAGGAGATGGCTTCCCAGGTGCCTGTCGGTCACATTCCAAGAACTCTTACCATTCATGTCAATGGTGACTTGGTCAGACTGATGAATCCTGGTGACATTGTCGACGTTGCTGGTATCTTCATGCCTTCGCCATATACTGGTTTCCGTGCTCTCAAGGCTGGTCTCTTGACTGAGACGTACTTGGAAGCCCAGTTCGTCCAGCAGCACAAGAAGCAATACGAATCGCTTGACATAACTCCCGAAATCAGAGAAGAAATGATGGCTTTGAACCGTGAGGGTAACGGTACGATTTACAGACGTTTGGCCCAGTCCATCGCTCCTGAGATCTATGGTCACTTGGATGTGAAGAAGATTCTTCTTTTACTTCTCTGTGGTGGTGTTACCAAAGAAATTGGCGATGGTATGAGAATCCGTGGTGACATTAACGTCTGTCTTATGGGTGATCCCGGTGTGGCCAAGTCTCAATTGCTTAAGGCAATCAATAAGATCGCCCCAAGATCCGTCTACACTACTGGTCGTGGTTCTTCTGGTGTTGGTTTGACCGCTGCAGTCATGAGAGACCCTGTCACTGACGAAATGGTCCTTGAAGGCGGTGCCTTGGTTCTTGCAGACAACGGTATCTGTTGTATTGATGAGTTCGATAAAATGGAAGAGGGTGACAGAACAGCAATTCACGAAGTCATGGAACAGCAGACCATCTCCATTTCCAAGGCTGGTATCAACACCACCTTGAACGCCCGTACATCCATTTTGGCTGCTGCTAACCCCTTGTATGGTCGTTACAACCCTCGTTTGTCCCCACACGAAAATATCAACTTGCCAGCTGCTCTCTTGTCTCGTTTTGATATTATGTTCTTGATCTTGGACCAGGCGTCTGAAGACAATGACGAACAACTTGCAGAGCACGTCACATATGTCCACAGAGAGGGCAAGCAGCCTGAAATGGACTTCACGCCATTGGAGCCCAAGACCATCAGACAGTACATTTCTGTCGCCAGATCATACCGTCCTGTGGTGCCTAAGGAAGTTGGTGACCATGTTGTGCAGCTGTACATCCGCATGAGAAAAGAAGCACAGAGAAATGAAGGTTCTGTTAAGAAGTTTGCCCATATCACGCCTAGAACGTTATTGGGTATTTTGCGTATCTCCCAAGCGCTTGCAAGAATCCGTTTTGACAATGTTGTGAGACCTACAGATGTTGACGAAGCTCTCAGACTTCTACTGGTGTCGAAGTCCTCGATGGACTCAAACGACGACATTGAGAGAGACGATGTCATGACAAGAGTCAACAACAGCATTCGTAGATTCTTTGCAGAGGAAGAACAAGAAGGTAAGGCCACCGTCAACATGGCCGAGTTGTACCAGAGATTGGCTGGTATGGGATTCACACAAGAGCAGATCGACCTGTGTATCAACGAGTACGTCCACCTTAATTTGTTCCAGGTGGTCGATGACGGTGAGTCCTTGTTGATCGTTAACGATTAAGGGAAAATGGGATGCCAATGACGCGGCTGGAGCAAAATGCGCACCGTTAACAAAAGCAGATAAGGAGTAACTAACCCACACTTTTGCTTCCATATACATGTATTTTACTTTGAACTAATTGAAAATAATCAGGAATGGACCGTGTAGCTGAAGAATCGAGGAGACGTGGCGATTCTGTGCCAGAGCTGGAGAGCATCAAGACATCTAGAGATGTTCCCCAGAATGTGGATCAACATAAACTGGCAACCCACGGGGTCGAAAGAGACATCACTGATATCCCATCTCCACCAAGTCCTGTTATCACATCAGCAATATTTGAGAACAGATCCAAGAAGAGCATAACTACATCAAATCAGCATGTTTCGAGAAGAGGTTCAGCTAGAGATATTCAGCCTCCAACCAGCCGAAACCCAGGTGCAAGCAATTTAGATCAGGTAACGCCAATTCAAGAACCACCCATTCAGCCTGATAAGGAGAAATCAAAATCTACTAGTAGGCTTCGACCTTGGGTGTTGGAGAATAAAGGTTCGGTTGCGAGAGACCATATGGCCAATGAAAGGACGTTCTTGGCCTGGATACGAAGTGCATTCATGACATTAACTTTAGGAATTGCTTTTGTTCAGATGTACTCGATTTCTTCTCGAGCAACCTCTGCTCTTGTTGAAGATGCTGGCGAACAGATAAAGCGTCGTTTGAAAGATGAAAATGCTGGACTTGACGTATTGGCGAAGCCATTGTCCATCATATGTGCTATTCTTGCAGCTTTTATGGTTCTTACTGGCTATTGGCGGTACTTGAGAGTGCAACATGCATTGACAAATAACCAGTTCCCAGCTACTCGTGCATTGGCGCTCACAGCAGTGTTACTTGCCATGGTAGTCTTGGCTCTTGTCATTGGACTCATTATCAAGACAGGACCATAAAGAAGAAGTTGTGAAGTCTTTGAGACGTCTTTCACTGCCGCCTTGACAAGATATTCGTCGAAACTGGTTTGAAAAGTTGGAACTACACTCGTCTAGGGCCAGCTGGTACTGTTCCGCCCCAGGTTCATCAATTTCGCAGCCAAATGGTATCTTTCCACGCTAATCCCAGACTCGCCCAACAAAGCCCAAAGTCATTCACACCGCATTGCATGATCTTAAACTCGGGCTCTTTGCTAATTCATCTATTTATTTCACTTGCAATTTCTTTTAAACCACCCTCCTCTGACATCCTCTGGAACGTGTTCGTGAAAAGTAGAATGTATGGATGCGCGTTGACAGCGAAAAACACCAAGCAACAAAACAGCACCTAGTTACTGCCTTTGAGTGGGAAACAACCAAATAACATCAATTATGTCTGACTACGCGTCTCTTACAGTGGCTCAATTGAAGGATCAGCTTAAAGCCAAGGGTTTGGCCTTGGACGGTAAGAAGGCTGACTTGGTCCAGCGTCTTGAAGAGCTGGATTCTGGAGCAGCCCAGCCAGCCGCTCAACCTGAGGAACCAGTGGCCGAACCAGCTGCTGAAGAGCCAGCAAAGGAGGAGGTAACTGCTCCAGAAACTACCGAGCCAACTACTGGTGAAAACGGCGCTAAGCCTGAGGAGCAGGCCGAGGAAAGTAAGCCAAAGGAATTAACCCCAGAGGACAGAAAGAAGTTGGCCGTGGACCTTCTCACGAAGAAGATTCAGAGAGCCGAGAAATTCGGTGATGAACAGCTGGCACAGGCGGCCCGTAAGGACTTGGCTCGTGTGGAGAAGTTTGGTGTTGATCCAGGTACAGCATTGGCCAAAGAAATCGGATTGGTCGACAAGAAGGTGCACACCGGCTTGGGCAACTTCAAAAGAAAGGGCAATTTCAGAAGAAACAAGCACAAGGGTAAGAAGGGTAAGGTGGGTAAATAAGTGAAGAAGCTTCGGCACTTCCGACAGACCCAGCTACACCCGCCTTTCCTCATTCAACCCAGGGATTGAATTTCCGCCTTGTTCTATAGACATTGTTAAAGAAAAATGTACGAGTAATGTATCGAAGACAAGAGTCACGGGAGATGTCGGCTACAGAAGATTAACGATCGCTCTGTACGTCGTGCTTTCCAATTTGCACAAATTAGAGAATGTCACGTTAGCGGTATACCATTTTAGTACATTAATTAGGTGATAGTTCGGCGACCGAACATTTAATATCCGAGATATTAGGCCGATAGCTTACTGACCAATTCATGTTAAGCCATGATATAGATGTGGAGTTGCAAGTTTGCTCATAGAAGCAACGTATGAAATGCACTGGTGAAAGAAAACCACAATGCGGGACTGGTCATCGAATCTTATCACAATACTTGATCGTACTATATCACCGTTTCATAATTTCTTTTCGAACTTTTGTGTGATCAATCTATGGAAGAATGCACCAATACCTACTTAGGCGCCACAGTGGTTGCAAATTCGCAGCCACAACTTCACCATAATCTATTACATCTCCATATAAGAGCTTAATTTTCAGATATGGTAACGGCTTTGTAGATATCTTTAACCTCTATTACTCAACATGGCTCCAGCTTTCAAGGTTTTCTTTTCTGAGCTTGACAACGATAAGCACTACGAAGAGCTTAAGGAGAGAATCCAAGCCGGTAAGATCAGCGACTCTAAGGAAGTCGAGACTGAGCGTGATAGTCTTCTTTACCCAGAGTACTTGGTCGCTGCTTCTCCAGCTGAATCTAACAAGTACAACAACCAGAAGAACGTTGATGGAGCCAAGAACGATAAGGGCCACTTAGGTGACCCGGAGTTCAAAACCTTGTTCAACAAGCCTCACAAGAAGTTCGACTTGTCTCCTAACTTGGGAACTGAGATCGAAGGTATTCAACTCAGTGAGCTTGACGACCAGGGAAAGAACGACTTGGCTCTTTTCCTTGAAACCAGAGGTCTTGCCATCTTCAGAGACCAGGACTTCCGTGACAAGGGACCAGAGTTTGCAGTTAACTTCGGTAAGTACTTTGGTCCTTTGCACATTCACCCAGTGGCCTACTCTACTGAAAACCACCCAGAGCTTTTCGTTACTTTCCGTAAGGCTGGTGGACCTGCCAGATACGATGAGGCCTTCAAGTACACCACTGGCTCGTACGCATGGCACTCGGATGTCTCTTTCGAGGAGTACCCATCTTCCTTCTCCTTCTTTGTGGCTTTGGAAGCTCCAGAGTCTGGTGGTGACACTCTTTTCCTTGATGGAAGAGAAGCTTACAGACGTTTGTCTCCACAGATGCAGAAGTTCCTTGAAGGTCTTACTGCTATCCATTCCAACTACGGTCAGAACAGATTTGCTGCTCTTCGTGGCCAGGTTGCCAGAATTAAGGCAGACTACTTTACTGAACATCCTTTGGTGAGAACTCACCCTGTTACTGGAGAGAAGAGTTTGTTCTTCTCCAGAATCTTCATCCAGAAGATCAAGGGTTTGAAGGCTTCTGAGTCTGATGCTATTCTCAACTTCCTCGAAGACCATGTTACCAACAACCCAGAGTTCCAGGTTAGAGCTGCTCACAAGGGTACTGACTCTCGTTCTGTGATTCTTTGGGATAACAGAATTTTGATGCACTCTCACTGTAACGATTTCTTGCAGCACCACACTTCTGCCAGACATCACTTCAGAATTACATGTATTGGAGAGAAGCCATACTTGGACAATGCTGAGGAAAATGGTGAAGACGAGAGACCAAAGGCTTACTAAAGCAATAGGACATCTAACTGGCTTTAGAATGTGATAGCAATTGTGATAGGAGATAGTATAGGTAAGAAAAATTTGGTTTTATGAAAGTATGATGTAACCTGGCAGAATATGCCACAAACCACGGCTGAAAATTGGATAACGTGGAGAAATAATGCACTTACTGAAGAATATTCACGCCAATACAGCCACAGAAGTATTCCAGTCTTTCAAATTAAATCAGAGAAAAAGACTCCATCTTTTCCGATCAAAAGTGACCAAAATCACCTGAAATCGCCAGATTGTGTATAAATGGCGTACAGCTGGACCATCCATTTCTCGAGGTTTGCTCTACCGAAAGTATCACAAAACAGAACCCCATAAGGGTTCATTGAAAAAAAAATGCTATTTTCAATAAGAAAATTCCCCTAATAACTGAAGATTCCCTCGGCAAGATTAATCTTCTCCCAAAAATAAATAATTTCCACCCTTTTCTCTGCTTTCTTATGGTCTATGCCATTCGCTTATGCCTGATAAAACCTAAGCCGAGCCGTTTTGCACCCAAAGCAAATCCCGCCTACATAATTCCACCCAAGTTCGCGCCAATTCTTCATTTTATCAACTACACCATGACTTCTGAACTCTACTATGAGGCCCTCCCTCCTCAATTGAAACCCAAGCATTACGATGTTTCTGTGTACGATTTGAACTTGGACAACGACACCTACAAGGGTGAAGTTGTGATCGACTTGGACATTGTGGAGGAGACAGACGAGTTGCACTTACACTACAGGGACTTGGAGATTGGCGACATCAAGGCTTCGGTCGGTGAAAAGACCATTGAGGCCTCGGTGGCTTCTCAGGACCAGAAGGGTGAGTTTTTCGTGATCAAGTTTGCGGAGAAGGTCGCTCCAGAGTCTGCTACGGTCCAGGTCTCTGTGAGTTTCACCGGTACCATCCAGACCAACATGGCTGGTATGTATAAGTCTTCTTATAAGGAAGGCGGTGCTACCAAGTACATGATTCTGACCCAGTTTGAGGCTACGGACGCTCGTAGAGCCTTCCCATGTATGGACGAGCCAGCCTTGAAGGCTACGTTCGTGGTCCATATCACTTCTGATAACAACTATACCGTTTTGGGAAACACCCCAGTGGAAAAGGTTCAGGAGAAGGGTGACCAGAAGATCACTTCGTTCCAGAAAACACCTGTCATGTCGACTTATCTTTTGGCTTGGGCTTTGGGTGAATTCGAGTTCATTGAAGGTTTCACCGACGAGACCTACTACAACGACAAACCTTTGCCTGTGAGAATTTATACTACCAAGGGATACACTAAGGATGCAGAGCTTGCTCTTTCCTTGGCTCCAAAGATTGTGGACTACTTTTCCAAGATCTTCGAGATCAAATACCCATTGCCAAAGTTGGACCTTTTGGCTGTCCACGCTTTCTCTCACAATGCCATGGAGAACTGGGGTCTTATCACTTATAGATCCACTGCTCTTTTGTACAACCCAAAGACCTCTGATCCAGAGTACAAGCAAAAGGTGGCCTACGTTGTTGCTCACGAAATCGCACATCAATGGTTCGGTAACTTGGTGACTATGCAATGGTGGGATGAGCTTTGGCTCAATGAGGGTTTTGCTACTTGGGTCGGTTACGCTGCTGTTGACTACTTGTTCCCTGAATGGGACATCTTCAGTGCATTCGTTTCTACCTCGTTGCAAACCGCTCTTAAATTGGATGGCTTGAGAAACTCTCATCCTATCAAGGTGCCTGTGAAGAACGCCTTGCAAATCGATCAACTTTTCGACCAGATCTCTTATTTGAAGGGTGCATCCACCATTCTTATGCTTTCTGCCTACTTGGGTACTGGCACTTTCCTCAAGGGTGTGGCTCACTACTTGAACGCTAACAAATATGGTAATGCCACTTCGCTAGCTCTCTGGAAGAGTCTTTCAGAGACATCCGGCCAGCCCGTTGATAAAATGATGGAGTCATGGATCACTAAGATCGGTTTCCCTATTATCAACGTCTCCCAAGAGAACGGAAACCTTGTGCTTAAACAGTCTAGATTCTTGAATGGTGGTGATGTCAAGCCAGAGGATGATGAAACCATCTGGTGGGTTCCACTCAACGCTTACGGTGACAATGTTGAACAGTTGGGTAAGGATTTTATTGACCAAAAGGAAGATGTTATTGAGGGCTTCAAGGTAGATGGATTCTTCAAGCTCAACCAGGATTCGCAAACCGTTGTAAGAGTTGACTACTCAAAGGAAATTCTTCTGTCCCATATCTTGCCATACTTTGATAAGCTTTCCTCAAAAGACAAGGTCGGTGTAATTGCTGATGTTGCTTCCATTGCTATCTCAGGAAATGAGCACACTAACACGATAACATTTTTGGAACTTGTTAAGTCTATCGTACTCGATAACGATAAGATTGGTGAGTCTTATGTTGCTTGGTTGGAGCTTTGTTCTCGTTTGTCAACCGTGAAGACTACTTTTAGCGGTGAAGATGAGGAACTTGGCAACAAGGTTACACATTTCATTCGCCAGGTCTACTCCAAGTTGGCCATCAAATTGCTCAGCGAGGAGGTGGATGCCAATGATGTTCTCAAGACTAAGCTCAAAGCTCACATCTTGAACAGTGCTGCTACATACCAAGTTCCAGAGGTGAAACAGCTAGCTCACTCTTACTTTGGAAGCTGGAAACAGTCTAAAACTATCGACCCTGCTTTGAGATACTTCACATTTTCTTCTGTCCTTGCGTCGCAGGATGTTACTGAAGACGACGTTAAGGTTGTGTTGGATGAGGTTATCAATCCTTCTGCTTTGGATTCCAGAGAGGTTGCCTTGAGTGCCTTGGGTAACATTTCTAGCAAGGGCCTTGCAAAGAAGATTATCGAGACCATCATCGACATTAATATTGTCCCCGTTATGGATGCACACTTCTTGGCTGGTAACCTCTCCAAGAACACCGTGGTGAGAGATCTCTTGTGGGAGTTCATCAAGGAGAACTACTCTACGCTACACAAGTTGATGTCCACCAACATGGTTGTGTTAGACAGATTTATCAGATTCACATTGGGTAACTACCAGCTGGAAAGCATGGCCGAAGACGTTGAAGCTTTCTTCAAGGACAAGGATGTCAACGGATTCGAAAGATCCTTGTCTCAGGTGTTGGACTACATCAGAATCAATGCTGCCTGGTTCAAGAGAGACCATGCCCTCGTGAAGGAATGGTTGACTACCAACAATTTTTAAGTAGACGCATTAGTACGAGCAGTCCACTCATAACACTTTCATTTTATCTACGCTTTATCATTTCCGTTGAATCATGTAGTGATTACTGAATCTATATAAAACGATTTTTTGTACTGTTGACCACCTTAAGCGTCAAGCTTGTGGTCGTGAGTGGAGGCGTACCTACCAGATGGGTCAGCGTGACAACCCCATTCAGCCTTTGGAACCCATCTCATGACAGTAGTACCAGCGGCCTTGGAGCCATGGAAGACTTCGTCAAACTTGCAACGGTACCAGTAAGCCTCCTTGGTGGTTGGAACATCTTCTCCCCATTCAGGCTTAGGGTTGGCGAGCTGTTCGTCAGTGACAGCGGCCTCAGCAGCGTCCTTCAAACCGTCGATCCAAGAGTAACCAACACCGTCAGAGAACTGTTCCTTCTGTCTCCACAAGATCTCGTCTGGCAAGTATGGCTTAACGTCTGGCTCGTCAGTGGTGTCGAAGGCCTTTCTCAAGGCGTACTTCTCGATCTTGCCCTGCTTAGGGTCGATCAACTTGTCTTCTGGGTTAATGTTCATGCACACTTCCAAGAACTGCTTGTCCAAGAAAGGAACTCTGGCTTCAAGACCCCAAGCCATGGTGGACTTGTTAGCTCTGAGACAGTCAGCGTAGTGCAAGTTCTTGACACGCTTGACACACTCCTCGTGGAACTCCTTAGCAGATGGAGCGTTGGCAAAGTACAAGTAACCACCAAAGATCTCATCAGAACCCTCACCAGAAAGAACCATCTTGACACCCTGAGCCTTGATCTTTCTAGACAAAAGGTACATAGGAGTAGAAGCACGGATGGTGGTGACATCGTAGGTCTCCAAGTGGTAGATGACATCGTTCAAGGAGTCCAAACCTTCCTCCAAAGTGAAGGTGTGAGAGTGGTGGATGGTACCAATGAAGTGAGCGACCTTCTCAGCAGCAATCAAGTCTGGAGCACCGGGAAGACCGATGGCGAAAGAATGCAAACGGGTGAAACCAAGAGAGTGCAAAGAACCGTTGGCGTCCACACCAGAAAGCTCCTTGTTGGCATCGATACCGTCGTGGGAAAGAGAGGAGGCAGCCTTCTCAGCCTCTCTAGCAGCAATGGAAGCGATCAAAGAGGAGTCAAGACCACCAGACAACAAGACACCGTAAGGAACCTCAGCCATAAGTCTCTTTCTGACAGCCAACTCCAAGCTCTCTCTGACTTCCTTGAAGTCAACACGCTTCTCTGGAACCTTAGAGCTGTCCCACCACGAAGGAGTGAAGTAGCGGGTGATTTGGTCGGTGTTGGAGTCGTAAACATGGCCCGGAGGGAAAGCAGTGATCTCGTCACACTCGTCAACCAAACACTTCAACTCAGAAGCGAAGTAACGAGTCTGAGGAGTCTTGGAAGACTTACCCATGTACAAAGTGGTGATACCAATAGGGTCTCTGGCAGCCAAGATTCTGTCGTCTTGCTTGTCGTACAAGACCCAAGCGAACATACCGTCCAAGTGCTTTGGGGCATCGATGTCATATTTCTGAACAGCTGGGATGATAGGCTCACAGTCAGAGTGGGACTTGTATGGGTAGTCAGGGAACTGTTCTCTCAACTGGATGTGGTTGTAGATTTCACCGTTGACAGCCAAGGAGTAACGGCCGTCCTTGGAAACGATAGGCTGGGCGCCGGAATCCAAACCGACAATGGCCAATCTTTCGTGACACAAGATGGTGTTGTTGGAGATGACATTTCCAGACCAGTCAGGACCTCTGTGTCTGATTTTTTTCGTGTTCTTGAGGGCGATGCCCTTGAACTGTTCAACTTCTGGTTGTCTGTAGGCAGCGTAAATACCACACATGAAGCTGTTTTGTTGTGTTTGTTGGGGGTAAGTAGAAGATTCTGACTTTACTTTTTATGTGAATTTTTCAATGAATCATCGTAGTTCCGAGGGCAGATGAGAGTTTGTGCACGTGACCATCCGATGCGACTGCTGCTAAATTCTCACCTTAAGTATGCCCTCGCCTGTGCGATCCCGGGCCGTTGATCTTAAATGTTACCCTCGGAACTCACTTATGACTCAGCTAGAAGCACTGGAAGTTTTAGCTATTTTCGGACTCGGCTTTCCGATATGTGACCTGAAGCTTTATAGATAGATCCTCGGGCTTTTTATTATCAATCTCTAACGGTCACCAGCTGTACATGATGAACGCCATTGGCAGAATATTCTTGACGTATGCGAAGTCACAGCAAAAAGCAATACACGTTCTGGAGGGGCCAGTACAAGCAGGAAACATGTTTACTGGAAAGAAGGGAACAAACCAGCAATGAGTTATAGGAATGTTTGAAACCCGAAGAGTTTACAGCTGGAAGATTGAATCTCATGAGAGAGTGTCCTACTTGAAGATTGTCAGTGAAACGTTGTGGTGAATGAAGCTTAGTCTTGTAATTGCTGACTCAACTGAAGATGCTATGTTTACTGGCTATTGATTTGTTCATACATAGTTGGTGATGGAGATTGGAAATTCCGGCTTTCTTTTGGTGTTCAGTCGTTTCTTTTTCCGAACCATGTTCCATTAGAAGTGCGTAGTAGGTTACATTGGGATAGAAGCAGCCAATGGTGATCCAAAGTAGTCGCTAGGTAAAGATGCTAGGGATTATCATTCTTCTTAATCGTAGTGGAGTTATGGATAGCGAGAGTAATTGTTTTTTTATAAAAGTTTCTTAGCATGTTAAGTTGACATAATTCTTTACAGGAGTAATTTCCATAACTTTCTCGTGGTTTTCGCAGCCATTCTCACTATCACATATTTACCATGAATGATATAAATTACAAGGTGAATGAATCGAGATAAAAAAAAGATTGTAAAAGCACTCTCTTTCCAAACCTCGACACGTTATTTTAAATGCCCCTTCTTCAAAATATTTGCTATTACCCATTGAAAGGAAGACGTTCTGGGCCGGTTAACCCTCATCTTGCTTTCACCTCCACAGAACACCAAAGCAACAAAAGTAAACAAAAGGTAAACATTTCGCCCCTTGGGCCTTCTCCTCTCTCACAGAAGTTCAAATTCACCTTCTATGGAGTTGCTTGCTCTTAAATATGGCCCTTCATGACACTGTGGGACCGGTAGTCTGATTCTCGCACGACCAGTGGCGCACAGTATTATCTCGACTGGCGTTAACTATATCATAAGTTACCATCAAATCCAAACCAACACATCCACTTATAATGGCTCTTTCAAAACTTGCAGGAGAATTGTACCAATTGTATGATCATGATAAATATGCCGAGTGCCAGCGCCTCCTTCCTGCTCTCAAGGTCGAATTGATCAAGCACAACTTGCTTGTTCCAGTGCCTTCCAACTCCCAACTGACAGATCAAATCAACGACTTGAAGATTTCTGAGAGAATCTTGGAAATTGGTGCATTGCTGTCGTTGTTGACTCACGACTATGCTGGCTTTGAGAACTTCTTTGCTTCCTTGCGTCCATTCTACACATCTACGAAGTTGCATGGCAAGTCCGAAACAAACACGGATGCGACCAAGATTATTGCCTTGTACTTGTTATACTTGCTTTCACAAGGTCTTATAAGTAAATTCCACGTCGAGTTGGAAACTATCTACAACAGCCCCTCCTTTAACGTCGAGAAAGACAAGTACTTGAATTATCCAATCGATTTGGAGAGAAACTTGATGGAGGGCAACTACATTAAGATTTGGAAGTTATTGCAAAACGAAGGTTCATTGCCTAGTAAGGAGTTCCATCTTTTCACACAGACGTTGATCAACACCTTGAGATTCGAGATTGCTAAGTCGATCGAAAAAACCAACGATTCCATTCCAGTTTCTAACTGCAGAACCTTGTTATACTTCCCACAAGAGCAGTCAGACAAGGCATTCGAAGAAGCATTGAAGGAGGATCTCGAAGTTGAGGACTGGATCTTCAAGGATGGTGTGATCTACTTCAACACCAAAAAGTCCCAGGGTGCATTCACCGCCGACAACTCATCCATCATCAGCAATGTATTGGACTACGCTGAGCAAATCGAGTCTATCGTTTAATGAGGTTTATTCTAAAGAATTAAAGAAACCCTTATATGCTTCGTCAAGTTCGTCTAAGAATTGGTCTGTTTCATCCTGTGCCAACTCCTGGTTCTCTTCCAAGTTGTTGAGCTTGATGAGCCAGCCAACGAGCTTTGATTTTCCAGGAAAGTCGATAGGCTTCGAACTGTCGTTCTCTTTCAGCACCAAGTCATTCAAGCTGACTACCAAGTCACTCAAGAGCGGGTGAAGTTGTGACTTTGTCTTGTAATTAAGCTTCAATGCATCCATTAGAGTGATAAAACTACCTGTAGCTTCTGCCACAAGTCTTGCCAGCGCCAGCGCCGATGCCAGTCCCGGTGGTTGGGTTGTAGATTCATCCTTTGCCTCTGAAGTGCTCTCAACGACCGTGTGGAAATGCTGAATGGTTGCTGGGACACCCGATGTGAGTCTTTCTATTGCTAGCGGTACATGGAGTCTGAATTTCTCTTGCATTAAGGGTAAAAGGTTATCATGGGTGTCCTCTATTCCTGGCAAGATCTCAGCGAGTACGGATTTGTGTGTAGGGGTCTTACCAAAGCCCTTGAGGAGCATCTGGTACTGATTAATCATCCGCATCACTGTAGATGTGTACTTTTCTTTATCGGTGATGTAGTCCTTCAAGAAGGAGTTCTCGATCATTTCCAACACCGTTGCTATGGAGAAGATCTCACAGAGAGACTCATAGACAGCCTTATGCACCGTCGTGGGTAGCAAAGTAGCTCTTGAGAACTCTTGATGAAAGTTGACATTGGGATTATCAGCCGGCGTGTATGATGTGGTCGCTGTAGGGGCGTAAGCAGGAAGACCAGACATGGTGGTAGTGATTCTCGAACGAGTGGACAGTGCAGGAATATCACCGTAGGACGGTGGAATGGGGATAACCAAAGGCAGACTATCCTAAATTATTACTCGATACACGTGACCATCAGATGGCCGTAACGGTCCAAGGAATAGCCAAGTGCTTCCCAATCTGTCCTATTGACTTTGTATAGTACAGGGGCAGGGCGAAACCGTTGAAGCATCATGTGCACCTCCTCGTCTTTGAACGTAGAGGCTGCTTGATTCACTGTATCTCTGCCAAAAAGGTCCCTCGCAACTAAACATTCTCCTTTTATCCAGCTAAGCAAGTATTCGCTGCTGGCTCGGTCATATGGTGACACCGTTAACGGTAGGTGCACAATTGTATCTTTGCCATGGCTGATCTTCACTTTGACGATGACTTCATAACGAATGGAAAAGAGTCTGCCCAAAGTTGTGAATCCCTGTGTGTGCGTTACAGGAACACCTTCTGTAATTTTGGAGAGATTCCTGTTCTTGTTGAAGGTTGCGCTTGAGAACTTTACTGTCAATTGATCCCTGTACGGTTCGGTCGCATCAGAAACAGCAAAATGGCGTAGGAAATCATTATCAAACGGAAAGGGAAACTCGAAGATATGTGTGGTTCCGTCAGCAGTTATAGGTTTGTCACATTCGTCAGTCTCGCTGCGCAACTTTATCTCTCTTTTTGAAGGAAGACCAGAGTCGAATCCTTGCATATATTCTTTCAATTGCATCGTAACCAGCTTAAGCCGAAGATTTCGTTTTCTCTTATTGTGCAAGGGGTTGCCGCCAATCTTGACTCGCAAGTGGAAAGGGTCCAGTGGGCCTAATGAACTGATAGGCAATTCAAGATCGACTAGAACTTGGTTATCGGAGGACGGACGCTGCTCAATGATAGGTTCGTTGAATTGGCGATATAAAGGAAGGGTATCGTATAACTTTATAGGGATAGCAAACTTCTCTTCGAACGAGAATTCCGTATGTGCCGAGGTACCACCTGTAAAGCGAACACACAAGTAATGAACGGTAGAGGCATTCCACGAAGGGAAATAGCCACTGGATGTGAGTTGTTTCGGTAACGGTAAAAGGATGGGAATGTCTAGAGCCAATAGTTTCTGGTAGAATTGGCCCATTGGTGGAGCGTAGACCATCGGGTCCTTGCATAATCTATAGATTTTTGTAGGTTCACTAGACCCTAGCTTCGATGAAACAACCGCACGTTGTTCTGTACGGAGTTCAATACCCACCAGTCGGCAAGTAAACAGGATAGATCTCGAGCATCTGATCTCTATAGTGGTTTCTATCCTCGGCTGGTGTGGTTAGTGAAAATCATGAAAAAATGGGAATTTGGTACATACTATGGAGTGGGGAACGCCTGGAGCGCCTTTCACAATGCTCCTACCGTCTGTCCGTAGTCCAATATGAACGGGACATTCAACTTTCGGAGGAGCCATGGTCTTCAATAGATTCAGGTATGTGGAAGATACCCTGGGGTACAGGTTATAGTTGAACGTGACTTGTCACGTGTATTTTTTACTTCTACAAGAATTTATACGGTATTTATGAGGGCATTAAAGCATAATTTTGTGGCATAATAAGTTAAAGTTTTGCGTTAGACAGACGTGTCTGGTATGGGATTAGTGTTTGGGTACCGCATGTGTATGGGTGGGGCATGAAAAGTAGGCTCGTGCGATGCGTCGGTTAAGAGCACCTCGAAGCTCACAAGATATAAGGAACGATGGCATACTTGACATCGTAATTGTCAAATTTCTCTTTATAGTAAGCCTTTGTTCCCAAAGCAGAAACGCTAAGGTTCGTTATGACAAAGATCCAGCTGCCAAGGAAGTTCCAGTCAGGTACAGTATATGGTTGCTGAACAAGCAGGAGCAATAGGATTGTAAGGTAAAGGAATATTTCATCGAAGTAGTGGGCACAAGACACGAGCTTGAAAAAGTTAAACGTAGGCACCGAGTACTTGACCAACGAGGCCAAGTGCTTGTGGTTAAGGAATTGGTCAATGGAAAACGCCAAGAAGATAACCACGAGCACGGGGTACTGCCAGCTCCACTGGATGTGTTCCCTGTTATCAAGCAAGCCCAAGAAACAGTTGGAAGAGATACCAAGGTAGTAAAGAAGGCCAACCAAATAATGGGTGAAATGCATTTTCAGCTTAGAGCTCCATTCGGTCAATGTATAACTTTCCACTGCTCTTCTAGTAGCCTGCAACGTCAAGAGAGCCCAAATGACAGTATTCTTCGTCACAGGAAGGTTTTGCAGCCAGATATAGTAGACCTGAGACCACTGAAGGACCAGGTAAAACACGTAATAATGAGCAAACCAAGACTTGGGCACCCGAAGACTCAGAAACCATTCAATTGCCTTTTCAAAAGGCGTATCCAGGCCAACTTGTTTCTGCTGTGCGGTTTTACCATACTTGAGTAAGGTATTGAACTGGGGGAAAATATAAAACACGATGATATTTGCCGACACCGCAACAAAAACCGCCGAAATGACTAGTCGAGGGTCCCAGCCGTATGTATAGTTTTTCCAATCATCAATTACCATACTGAATGAGTCTAGATGTTATCCAGTGGTAGTTGAGGTAAAGTGGCGCACTGTGGAATTGGGCGGCGCGGAGTGTATTAAAACCGACTAAATCCAGGCGAAGAGGACCAAGCGTAAGCGAAAACTTCTTAATCTATAAGCACAAAACACTAGGAAACATCGCTGGGCTAAGAATATAATGCAGCACGATCCAGCCGAGTTCGAGGCTGTGAACGAAACCGCTGCTTCAATTTTTTTTCGGAAACCTGATCCAAATAAGCCTGATTCCGCTTCTGATAAGGACCTGGAAGAGCATAGAAATACGCTGGAACATCCACTTCCACTTGACAACAACAATATGGGTGCTGGAACTTCGTCTGCTAGTAGACCAGATGTTCCTGAAGATGTACTTTACGAGAATGCTTCGGCGGAGTCGGACTCCCAAGACTCTGATGATTGGGATAAGGACTGGCTTTCTCATGTGAATAGCTTGTCTATCTGGGCGTCGCCCTTGAGCCGGATCTCTTTTGTCTTGTTCTTGGTTGGTATTGCTATTACCGTGTCCCAGGCCTCGCTGGAGGTGATCAACTACAAGCTAGCATGTCAGGTGCTCATCAAGAATAGACTTGCCTCTCCTGTTGAGCAGCAATGTGATCCTGTTCAAACCCAGGAAATCGTCTCCACTTTTCTCATGTGGGATTTGGTTATTTATTCAGTGGTCTCCTTGATTACATGTACAAAGGTCAGTGCTCTTTCTGATATCTATGGGCGGAAACCTTTCCTTACGGCTTTCGTCGTTCTAACCAGTGTCAACTCATTTATCAAGTACTTCCTTGTTTCAACCACAAACGGATATCCTATGGTTGCAATGTGGTGCTCTACAGTCATTGGTGCTACTTCAGGAGGCCTGGTAGCCTTGGTTGCTCTTTTCAAGGCTTACATCACAGATATCTCTCGTCCTTTGGATAGAGTTAGTGCTATGAGTTGCACTGTGGTGGCTTTCTCTTTGGGTCAGATTGTGGGCCCTCTGTTGTCCTCCTTCGTTTTGTCTTATTCCAATCAAAACGAGAACGCTGCTATTCCTAAGGTACCCCATGTTTCCAGTGATTCTCCTGACCAAACCAATATGGTTCCTCGCGTGGAACTTATACCCATGAAGATTTCTTTGCTTGTACTCACAATTGCACTGGTATTTTGCATATTCCTCTTGCCAGAGCTGAGATCTCACAAGTCGAGATTGAAGTCAAGGTCCGCGTCAATGATTCTGTTGCAGGCCAACAGAACAACATTGCCATCTGTTTGGTCCAGAGTTTTGCATTTCTTGAAAGACTATGTCAAGCCACTTCGTCTTCTTATCTATCCATCTGAGCTCAAGACAGAGGAGAATGCTCACAGGTTCTGGCGTGTCAGAGTATGCGTCTTTTGTCTCTCGAACGTGGAAATTCTTCTGGGTGTCATTATGCTTCTGGTGATGCTCATAGAGTTACAATATTGCATCTACAAGTACAAATGGGACTCAGTCACCATTTCAAACTTCACTATCGTGAAATCGCTTCTCAGTATCGTCGGAATGGGTGTCATCGTGCCCATTCTTTACAAATACGTATTTCCTCGTTCCAAGATATTCACTCCAAGATCAGATACTTTTGATGCTGCAGACTCCTTGGTGATGATCGTTGGTTTGTTTCTCATGGTTGTTGCACAGTTTGGTGCATCGTTAGCACCCAACGGTTCCATATACATTCTTTTTGCAATTACGAATTCGTTAAGTACGTGTTTTGGTCCCGTATCTGCCGCTGCTCCTGTGAAGTTTTTCCCTTCATCGAAGGTCGGTGAATACTACGGTGCTACGGCGTTGGCGCTGGGCCTTCTCAACCTCTTCACGCCGATGGTCAGTACTTCTTTGTACAAGTACGGTATAAGGGAAGGTTTCCCTGGAATGCCTTTTGTTTTAACTTCGTTGCTTGCGTTGGTGTCCTTTATTTCTACAGTTATTGCAAAGTGGAGTATCCATGAAACTCGTGGTTCTCTCTCTTTGGGTTAACCAATTACTTCTTGCGTGAAGAATTATAGATTAAATTCAATAAACAGGAAACAAAAGACTACAGGATGCTAGATTAATCTTTCATATGCAACGTTTCTATTATACAATCTCTATTATCATGCCCTCATCAACTTATCTTCCAAAGTACTTGATCTCGATGGGTCTCATCAAGTTGAACCCAACAAATGCAAAACCGGCTCCCAACTCGAAGCCAATGTCACCACCTCTCTCACCGATCTGTCTACCGATGACACCACTGTACCATTGCTGGTTCATTCCAAGAACAACACCAGCGACACCACAACAGAAACCAAAGACACCAGCCAAACCGACAGGGTAGGCACGCTTGTCCATGTAGTTCTCGTAGTCATAAGCAGACCAACGGCCTCTGTTCCAGATAAGATGCTGGGAAAGACACATGGACTCATAGATGGCCAAGTAGTAACCGATCAAATTCATAAAGTTTTCCATAACGGACTCGAAATGGTAGTAAGCAGGAATACAAATAGCCAAAGTAACAAAGTTGGCACAGACGGTCCAAACAACACGAGGAACCTTCTTCAAGTACGAAGAAAAGGCCTGGGCACTCATGGCAACAGAGTACATGTTTGGAATGTTGTTAGCAACGGTAGAAAGGGCCAAGACAACACACAAGAACTGACCGAAGCCGTGAAGAGAGTCCTTCACGAGAATGGCGTAAACAAGACCACCAACAGCCTTCTCTTGGTAGAGGTCAGCCCACTCGTCATTTCTCAAGGTAGCAGTAGCACAAGCAGCACCCAAAATCAAGGTGAAGATCAAGGGCAACAAAAGACCGGCCAAGATACCAAAGAAAATACGGAACGAGTTGGCGTTACGAGGCTGGTAGACAGTGTAGTCAGATGCATAGGTAGTCCAGCCACTGGCGTAACCGAAAACGGTACCACCGAAAGACAAGACATTACCGGCAGTGGTTTCACCACCTTTGGTCTCACCCCAAGTGAAAGTCTGAGCCATGGCCATACGGCAGATGATGGCAATGAAAATAGCCAAGTTTGGAATCCACGACCACTTCTCGTACATGTGAATGACATGATAACCGAAGAAAGTGACCAAGATAGTGCAGATGACCAAAATCAAACAGCCAGCCCAAGGCGGGAGTGCTCCGTCATTGACAATGTTAAGCAACTGAGCAGAGGCCATAATGTTCACAGCACCCCAACCAACACAAGCGATCATGTTAATGAAAGCGAAAATTCTCATACCGTAGTTACCTAAAAGGTATTTCGAAACAACCATCTGACGGAGACCCAAACGGCATCCGAAGATGGAGAAGTATGCCACTGGCGAGGCACCCAAGAGAGCGAAGAAGACAATCACCATAATACACTGGAACAATGAAAGCTTGAACACAGTGATACCAAGGGCACCCAAGGAGAAAGTGGCAATGACCAAATTGGCAGACAACCACATAGAAGCAGCGTTCCAAATGGAAGCGTCAGTCTTTTCATCGTCAAGCACAAGATCAACACCTTTCGTCTCGGCATTAAGCTTAGCAGCCCATCTGTCGAAGATGTTGACGGAAGCCTCGGAGGTCTCAGCGTGTCCAGACTCCTCCAACGACTTTTCAAAAGAGTCAGCTGAACTCTTCTTTCTAAAGCATTGCCCAAGGCTCTTTCCTGGTCGGACATTGATGCGATGAGATATGACTAGGAAGCAATTGCAAAAAAGCAGGCAATTTTCAGACCTTCAAAGGCGAGATTGTCTTGAGGAAACAAAAAAAATGTCTTAGGACAAATCCAGAAATGCTTGAGTCTTATAAAAGACGGAATGCTGCACTTGCAAAGTTTTTCAATGCTGATAAGAATCCGCGTAAGTTGCAAAAATTTCTTTTTCTTATTTGCCCTCTGGCTCACCTTTTTTTTTTTTCTTCGCCTAATACTAAGGATCTCATTGCCTTGCCCAGACGCAGGTACTGCACTCATACGCTCCCTCTAACAAAGAAACCTTACCATTGGAACAAGTAAGCATCTCGCTTTTTTCACCTAAAATGCACGTCTGCTTACTTGTGTGAGAACCCGCCCTGTCCCATTGGGACGTTCTTATCTACTTATCTTTAAGAAATGAGATAGCACGAGAAACAAAGTTACCCCACTCGTTTCGGAACATCCCGGGTCTCTCAAACCTTTTTATAAAAATCGTTTTAAATCATCAACACCTGGGCTTTTTGGATCTCCCGCGGAGCCCCCTCGGGTCGGTAATTATCGTCGGCGACGCTTGTACTGTATTGCGGCCACGGCAATTGGCAGGTCCAGATAGACAAGGATGGTGAGATAAGAAGAACGGGAGGTGGGAATTTCGAACAAAGGGGGAGAATATAAAGTGCTTGTGATAGTGAAGAGTAAGGGATGATTTTTGGGTTTTTGTAGGGATGGGAAGACCTTTTTTCCTAATACTACTTGTCTTTTAGTCTTCTCGGTGAAACGCCCTGCGGCGCCGCTCAACAGGCAGAAACGGTTTTTTCATGACCTGACGCTAGGCAAGTGACAGGAAGAGTCAGACCGTAATTACATCTTTTTATTGGCTTGACTGCGGCGAGGCTGTTGACGTTGATTGTTGGATAGAGTGGTAGAGAGTGGAAGAACTGGGGTTTGGTTTATACTGGTGGGATGTGGACATTCTGAAAAATTTCTCAACGGTGAGCCAATCAAAGTATGTTTAACCTTCACGATTTGCCTGGAAATCCCATCAAAGTATGTTTTACCGAGGCTCTCTATGGCCAGTCTTCGTTTAGATCCAAAACCTTGGTCTCTGCTGTTTGGCTTTCCAGTTGACATGTACTCAATTTGCTTGGGCCTTCCGTAACTTGGTTTTGTGGCTAGCCAAGCCCTTCCCTTACGCCTCACTTACGGTGACGCTGTCGTGAGTAATGTGCTCTGTAGAGGATGACGAAGACTCATGCATTGGGCAACGGCCTCTGTTCCGCCAGCCAAGGCATATGGCTGAATTGGGAAATTGTAGTCGTAGTTGGTTATTGATGGGTTTAGTTAGCAGGTATCTTTGTATGGTAGAGGCTTGGTAGGTGATAAGAGACTACTGGCAGAGAAGGAATGGTTCTTTTAGGGCATTTTGGAATCCAGGATTCCCAAAGTCAAGGGAAACACTGACTGCCGCTTCTGTACTCAAAAAGCATTCAAAACCGTATTCTTGTGGCTGCTTTGCTATACAAAGTGGTATGTTGATGTTGGTGCTACTCGCATTGGCGTTACCTACTCACCAGAGAACCTTCTCAGTTTGGATGCCACAGAGCACAAACAACTACAAGAAGCAGGGGAAGTCATGTAAAGGAAGCTCGCCAATTATTCGAAGTGATCTGTAACCCACCGCCAGACGAACCTCTCTCAAGCACCGTCACAAGCAGCGTGCTACCACTATCGTCACTACCTCTAAATTTATCTTTTTTCTTTTTTTATATTTTTTTTTTTTATATATCAACCTGAAACTATAAGCTATGGCGTCATCGTGGACATCATCGTCGCCGACAGACAGTCACTGTGATAAATATCAGGCTTGGTTCAGCGGCATGAGCTGAAGAGGCTCCCCAACCTCTGTCTTCCTGCTGCCTTCCCTCACCAGAAGCACACCTCCAACAACCGAACATCAACAGCGACGACATCGAAGCCATCGATAGCCCCCAGTAGTCAACAGAAGCAACAACATTGATAAGGCACCAAGGGCATATGAGGCTCCCCAACCTCTGCACTAGTGACTTACCGCAGTCGCCTTTCCTTATCAACACCGAGGACCAACGACAACAGCGTTAGAAGGCATCCCCTTGCCGATAGAAGTATCAACAGACGACCAGCAACAAGAGTTGAAAGGTTCTCCCCAACTCTTACTCTAGTATACCGATCGCTGCCGGCACCTTTCTCAGCAGGTAGAAACCACAACGGAAACGTCAAACACGCCGTAATAAGTAGCATAGAAGCGACAGCCGTCAGTAGGCGACAACGAAAGGGCTCCCCAACCCCATCGCTCTCGTGTGTTCCCATGACAACAGCGGCTCCGTTCTAGATAGCAAATGAAAGCGTCAGTTGGTACTCCATCACCGATAAGAGCAACACCAGTCAATAAGCACTAAGGGCGAGAGGCTCCCCAACCTCCACCCCAACGTAAATGCAACTGGCGCCACCCCTTCTCGGCGACAAAGCCCAACGACGACAGTATCAACGTCGCCCATGATATCCAGTCCTCAGTAAAGGCATCGACAGCCGACAGGCAAGCGGACTCAAGAGGCTCCCCAACCTCTGCCCTGCTAGTACCCATCATCGTCTCAACCCCTATTCAAAAACCAAAAACCAACGACAACGTCGATAGTGTCAAGATCATCGAAGATACCCAGCCATCAATGGAAGCGGCAGCGTCGACCAGGCACGAAGAGCTCGAGAGGTTCCCCAACCTCTACTCTCTAATGTACCCAACCATCACAGCTACTCCTTCTCAATAACCAAGTACCAACGACGATATCATCATCTTCCAAGCTTCGAAAGCTTAAACATCTTACTCTGATCCTCCAAGTTGTTCAGAGCGGCCTTCTTGGCGGCCTTCTTAGCGCTTCTCTTCTCACGGTTCTTCAGAGGCTTCACCTTAGGCACCTTGCGGGTCCTTGTAGTCTTGACCGACGTCGAGCTCCCCAACTCAACGGGATCGGATTCAGGAGAGACCAATGTAGTCTTAGCTGCTTTCGGCAGCTGTTCTGGAGTTGTCTCGGCGGTGCTAGCCTCCTGTTGTTTGTCCGTGATAGTGTTTCCAGTGTCAGAACTGGAGTCGTCCTTGTCGCCCAATTGAGCGACAACAATCTCTTTAACTTCTTCTTTGACATCGCCATCCTTGTCGGCAACGGTGTCGGCAATGTTTTGCTCCTTGGTCTTATCGTCAGTGACCTTGGTGCACTTGTTCTTGTCGTCAGATACAACCTTCTCACAGACCGGCAAATCCTCATCCTTCGTCGTGGCGGCCGGCGTCGTCGTCAACTCCTCCTCCTGATCTTGTTTCTTCTTTCCCCACTTAGCTTCCTCGAAGCGCTGGTTATAAAACTCTACTATGGCGTCGTAGTTTGCTAGCCATTCGTTCCTCTCACTGTAGTTGTCATAGAGCTTATGCCAGTATATCTGCTGAGCGATGTCTCTGGCTCTGAAGTCACTGCAACCGTGGACGGCGGTCGTCCAGAAGTAGTCGAACTCGCCGGGGGCCCAATTGATAGGGACAAGTAGTCCGTTGTGGGTGAAAAGCCATCCGTGCTTCAGCCATTGAGACTGGAGAACATCGCTCGTGAAGACGCAGCCCTGGGAGTACCAGAACGGGTCAGGCGTGTAGCTCATTGTGATAGGTTAGTAGGGCGACTTCTTGAAGCTGTTACTGTTGTGGTTCTTGAAGAATAGAAGAAGGTTGACTGCTGTAAGTAGACCAAACAGGTGTTGGTCGAATAAAACGAAACTGTAAAACGCTGTGTTCTTCCTAATCTGATGCAGATAGAAGAGTATTGAGGGCTTGTTGTTGTTGACTGAATGTGATTTACTTTTGAGAACTTGGTAAATCACTTGTTGAAGTTTAAGAAGAAGAAGAAGTGGTAGAGAAAGAAAATGGGAATTTGGGAGAAAGCTCGCTTTTATACCTATTTGTGTCAGCGCTGGGAAGCCAGGCTGCGAACCGAACCCTCAGCCAGAGCTACCTGGCGCCTAACAACTCATACAAAAGACGCCTTCATTGAAGGAGCCCTGATTGAATAGCTACGCTCTTCTCAGAAAAGAATGGGCGTTTGTTTTACCTAAATATCCCAAGCTTAAGGCTCAGAGAAATGGCTGCAAAATCTCAAATGCACCCCAGATCCTTCACTCATATGCGCATAGTTAAGAAGGAGAACAGCATCCGTAGAATTTTAAGGGGCTATGGGGAGATTTTAGCAAGTTTGATGTCCTTGTAAGTAATTAGGGGAATCAGTTAACTTCTATGTCTCTTTAAACTCTCTCTTTGGCCTCTGAGAGAGAGAACCAGGGAGGGTTGGTCTCCCCTGAGGCGCCTACTTGGAAAGCTTATCCTGGTAGGTACAGCCTACTCGGTCTAATGAAGCCTTTTGATGCTTTAATAGATGAAATGGTTTTTGTTCAGTAATCAGGAGCTCCTTCTTGTTCAAAATTCATGTGGTAAGTGACCAGAAGAGGTTCAAAAGCTTTCACACGTGGTACGTAATGGAACTACTAGGGTTGATGAAGCCGTTAAGCAGTCTCGGATAGGTATCTCTCTTCTTACCTCTCATCCTACATCAAGAGAGTTTTTTCGTCGCTTACAGCAACGGTGGTCCATGAAGGCCTTCTATAACTAGTATAACATTAAGGACTTTTATCTTTGCACATACGTATTACAGCACGCCCGGTTGATATTGCTAATGCATGCGGGCCACGGAGTGGCTAATGCCCTGGCTTTTATACTCTAAAGTTGCTCCACCGGTGGATTAATGCCAGGGCGCCAGGAGGCACAATTAGAACAACCTCATTACTTGGTACCAAAGTGAATACCCAACACCAACGCCAAAATAATCACAATAATAAGAAGAATGATGAAACACCACCACTTCTTCTTTCTCATAGCCTTGGCTGAGAACACAGCCTTCTGAGTGTGGCCCACACCCTGCTCAATGTCGTGCTGGGCGGTATCGACCTGCTCTTCGATTTGCTGGATAGGCTGGTCTTGCTCAATAACAAGCTCCTCCATGTCGTGGAAAAGCTGGGTCAATTCAGCCATGGTCTTCTCCAACTTAAGCAACTCACGATGACGAACTTGCACCTCGTTAAGCACAGTACGTGCCTCACCTCTACGGTTAGATTGCATCAAAGCCTGCTGGAAGATCTGTTGGTTAGGCGTACCGTCTTCAACGGCAGCTTCAACTTCCTCAGCAGTAGCATTAGGGTTGATAATCTGGTACTGTCTGGCCAGCTGAGCCTTGGTCTGCTCTCTGTTGTTGGATTCAGTCAAACGGTATCTCTGGATGTACTCCAAGAACTTGTTTCTAGCGGCCTCAGCCTGGTCAATCTTCTGTGGGTTTCTCAGTTGTGCTGCCTGGGTCTGAACGTTCTTGATTCTCAGTTTCAACTCGGATTGCAAGCTCAGCGCTTCCAGAACCAACGCGTCAACCTGTTTGGACGAGTATTCAGTGTCTTCGTCGTTCAAATCCAATTCCTGAATGTAGTTTCTCTGCTTGTTCGAAATCAAGTCCACCAAGTTGGAGTAGTTGTCTAGCTGGGTGTGAATATCTTGGATCTCGTTCATGAAGGCCACGAAGTCGTCTTCACCGGCACTTCCGCCAGCGCTGTATTTCATGCTGGTCATTTCGTACAGGCTGGCATTATGCCCGCCGTTGTAGTACGGATTACTCATTATTAATTATGGACGTGGAGAAAAAAAAGTGGTGTTTCTGGAGGCCCGATTATTTGCAGTGGTACGAGCGACCTTAATGTATGTTTGATTTTTTTTTTCCCTCCTCTTGCCTGCCAGGTATGGCTATGTTAGGTTCCTGCAGAAAATTCGCGTATTACTGGCGCATTTTGGCGTCAAGCTTAGCTGCCAATTCTCCAAGGGGGGCCTCAACCAAAGCCTAAACGGTGCATTCTTGACAGAAGAAGGGCTAATATGAAGTTTTCTTTGGTTCTTATTTTGTTTAAAAAGGGGAAATTTCCACTTCCAATATTGACGTTGCCTTGTTCACTGGACAGTTGCAAAATTCACGTGACTCGATGCCAAAGCGTGGATTGTACCGCCCCGATTGTCGAAGCATGCACTTGAAGAAACGAGAGTTAAAGAATGCAGGGTGGACCAGACGAAGAGCCGAGCCGGCGACGTTTCAGCGTGACAAAGAAATCTAAGGCAAGCGTCTTACATTGTTCTGAGAACTACTTATTGATCTTTGAGAGCCTTCTTTGACTTCTCTTGTCTTTCTCTCTTTCGCCTCAACACCGCCTTGACGTGACGTGGTAAGCATTTTTTTTCGCAGCCGTTCAGATGCCCTCGAGCCGGGGCGCCGCCCAAAAGCACGTAATTAACGAATACTAAAAATGGCAAGGCGGCAAATGTGTTTTCTCTTTTTGTCCTCTATGAAAAGCTTCTGTCGCCCGTATTTATAAACAAGGCGAAGCTCGCTTTTATCTTTGTGACTCGTGGGGGACTCTGGTCTTCTCACATCTTGCAGATTGAAGCAGTATAGGAACTCCATTGATGACCAGGCGCTTTGCAAGGCGATGTTTATGTCGAGGAGGAAATGTAGGAGTGGCTGACGAGGCTAAGAAGGCAGCACAAGACGTTTGTTGGCTGAAAAAAGTCGGCGTGGTTTATGGAAAGTGGTGGGTCTATGGGGGTAGATAGTATTTGGTCTCCATGGATGATGTAGGAGCGATCTGATGTTCTGGAAGAGGAAGCAAGTGGAGAGGAATAAGATGTTTTCATTTGGACCAGAGAACATCTAGTTCTACTTTCTTTGGAAAATAAAGCTAGCTTCCCGGGTCTGAACGTTAACCCACTTCTGCATCTAAGACTGCTAAATGGCTGCAAACTTCCACTTGAAGCCAGAACACTTACACATTAGAGTATATTTCGGTTCTCTCGAAATACCCTGAACCAGTCTTTCTCTGTTTGAGACGATTCAAATATCTCATTTGTCAGACCTTGCCGCTTTCTATAGCTGACATCATGGTCCCTCTATCTACTCTTCCTTATCGGTGCGCACAGCTCAGATCTACTACATCTGACAAGATCAACATTCGTTATTCTACGCCACCAACTGCCATGGACTCCCAGGAATTCATTCCTCTGAAACATCAAGCAGCTGGGCATGACGGATGCATGACCTCGGGTTCTGTTTTTGCAAAACTCACGTCCCAGCAAGAGATAGACTTCTACGAACAGACAACTGCTCCAGAAGAAGAGTTACCCCAGGGTGCCCACTTGAGCCATTGGATGCCCACATACATGGGAACACTAAGTGAAGGTGTAATTGCTGCTGATAATGAAACCGTCACGACATTGGTTGCAGACGATATCAAGGATATCGAGGAGGTGAAGAAGAAGACGCCGAAAACCGACAGGAAGTACATCGTCTTGGAGAACTTGTACCATGGATTCACTCATCCCTCTATTCTTGATATCAAGCTTGGTAAGATCTTGGTGGATGAGACGGCCACTGATGAAAAGAGAGAACGATTGGCTGCCGTAAGCGCATCCACCACCAGTGGGCCATTGCACTTCCGTATTTGCGGAATGAAGCTATTTAAGGCCAGTGACAAGCCACTTCCAGAGGTCTTTCCCAAAATGCAAGACACAATTCTGGAAGATCATGATAGCATACAATTCGACAAGTTCTACGGGCGCTCGTTGGATACAGACAACGTCGAGAAAGGCATTGCCCAGTTTTTTGCATTTGTAGTTGATCCTAAACAAAGGAGACTTCTACTTACCAGATTCCACCAGCGTCTCCAGCTTCTTTATAATTGTCTACTAGATTCAGAAGTGAGAGTTATTTCGGGTTCTCTCTTCTTTCTTTTCGAGAACGACCCTAAACGTTGGGCAGAGGCATTGGAGGATGAGGAAACGTATTATGCATTGGACCCTTTGGTTCAGGAGTTGGAAGATGAAGAAAGCGACTCAGAAGATGAGCTGGTGGGTAACATTCCGCTCAGTAGTCTTCATGTCATAGACTTTGCTCATGCAAAGCATACACCCGGAGAAGGACCTGATGAGAATATCATTGTAGGCGTCGAAAACCTAATTGACGTATTCGAAAAGCTCCTAATAGCTTGTAAATAATTTTATTACCTAGTTTACAAACATCACCTGACCCTTATTTACAACAACTTGGTGATCTTACCAATGGCAATCGTGACACCCTGATCTCTCAAAGTGAATCTACCCAATTGTTGGTAGTCATTGTAGGTCTCAGCACAGACAGGCTCTGGGGTCTCCAAGACGGCAATAACCTTCATACCCTTCTTGGCAAATGCTGGTGGCTTCTTGGACTTTCTATTAGTACCCTTCTCCAATTTATGCTTCAATTCGACGAAACGAACTTCCTCCACGGCAGTATGCAAGTGCATGACACAAGAGAAACCGTTGGACAAAATCGACTTCAACTCAACAAGGGCAACTTGGGCTTCGAACTTTGTGACAGTTCTGACTGGGTTCTTTGGAGATGTCAACACATAACCTGGAGCGACGTCTTCTTCTTCGACACCCTTGATCTTCATACGAATTTGCTCACCACAAATAGCAGTGTCAACCTCTTGTTCAGTTTCATTAAAGATACTGGAGACTTCGACACTGGTTCTGTTAGGCATCATCAACAAACTGGCATTCTTCTTGACGTGACCAGACTCAACCTTACCTTCAACAACACAACCCATGTCCTTCATCTTAGCAGCAATTGGCAACATGAATGGAGCGTTCACGAAACGGTTGACAGTCTTCATGTTATCCAAAAACTCCAAAAGAGATGGGCCCTCGTACCATGGACAGTCCTTGGAGTCAACTCTGTCTTTAAGACCAGCACCGGTATAACCAGAGACTGGCATGAAGAGAATATCATCCTTCAGGTAGCCGATACCCTTAAGGAACTGAGCCACCTTTGTGGTACAGTCCTTGTATCTGTCTTCAGACCAGCCGACAGTAGGGTCGTCCATCTTGTTGACAACGACGACGATCTTGTTCACACCCTGAGTCTTGGCCAAAAGAGCGTGCTCTCTTGTCTGACCACCCTTTTCGAAACCAGTTTCGTACTCACCTTTTCTGGCGGAAATGACGAGAATACCGACATCGGCCTGAGAGGCACCACCAATCATCTCAGAAACGTACATCTTGTGGCCTGGAGCATCCAAGATAGTGTATCTTCTCTTGTCGGTCTCGAAGTATGCCTTACCGACCTCGATAGTCTTACCATCGGATCTCTCTTCCTTGTTGGTATCCATAACCCAAGAAAGGTACCAGCCCTGTCTGCCGGCATCCTTGGCTTCTCTTTCGTACTTGTCAACGGTTCTCTTGTCCACAGCACCGGTCAAGAAAAGAATGTTACCACCCATGGTACTCTTACCAGCATCGACGTGACCCATGAAGATGATAGAAAGATGGTCTTTACCACCGAACATATCGTTGATAACCTCCTCGTCGACCTCGTCCTCTTGTTGTCTGATGACATTCTCGGCAGAAGGCACTGGTGTAGATTCCTTTGTGGCAGCTGGAGTAGCAGTTTTAGAAGCAGTCTTAGAAGCAGCGGCAGATGGAGCGGCAGAAGACTTGGTAGAAGCAGACTGAGGGGTTGGAGCAGCTGGGGATGGGGTGGCCTCCTTCTTTGGCTCTTCCTTTTCCTTTGGCTCGGGCTTGGATTCCTCCTTCTTCTCCTCCTTCTTTTCTTCCTTCTTCTCTTCCTTGTTCTCCACGGCAGCAGCCTTGGTGTTGTTCACCAACTTGACAGAAGAGCTGGTAGCCAACTTCAAGGTTCTCTTAGGCTTAGCAGCTGGAGTAGCAGATGCCTGTTGCTTTTTCTGGAAGTCAGCCAATGACATGCCCTGCTGCTGAGGCTGTTGCTGTTGTTGCTGTTGCTGGTAATCGCCGTATCCCTGGTACTGGTTCTGGTACTGGTTGTAGCCTTGGTTGTAGCCACTGTAGCTGTTATTATAGTTGTTTTGGTACTGGTTGTAGCCCTGGTTGTAGTTGTTGTAGCCACCACGACCACTGCTGTATCCGCCACGGCCACTGTTGTTACCATAGTTTTGATATTGGTTGTACTGGTTGTACTGGCCGTAACCGCCTTGTCCTTGGCCCTGGGCCTGGTACTGGTTGTAGCCACCCTGAGGCACGAAGGATTGCGAGCTAGGGTTGAAGCCCTGTTGGCTATTTTCATCCAAGCTCTGCTTACTGAAATCCTGGCTCAATTTGTCCTGGTTGTACTGGTCCGACATTGCAAAGCTGGGTTGGCGATGGAGGTTGACTTTTTTTCTGATTTTTTACTACCTTGCGCTCTTGAGGGCACGTGAGCCCAGGCCCATAAAGAGAAGTACATGTTATGGGACCCATAAAAAGATAATTTTAAAGGATTTATACTTGATTTGATTGAAGCTGCTGCCATTCAAGCTTTTTCTGGTTGTGTAAAGTTCGACTGGATCTTTTGATGGCATCAACTCGGACTTTCGTTCAAGGCCGAAACGGTTGCGAAAAAGTCTAACCTGGGCTCTCAGTGTGAATCGAAGGACAACCTCTTGTGGCAGCACCGTTTCTTAATTATAAACATTAGAGCATGGTTCATATTGTTGTTATTTAAATTCCATCATCTCGCAATCATCTACCATGCTAGCACACCTAATAGCGGCCTTTGGAGCTCTTCTACTCCTGAATCACTACCCCTCTTGCAACTTCCTGCACCAGTCTGCCTTTACCACGTCCTGTTTTGGTCACATTCTTGTGCCCTATGGTCAGATTTTATTAAGGCATTGTGGATCACTGGAAAAGTTTCACGGTGAGCTTCTTTGTATGTAAACCAAGCATGTGTATGTAAGTTATGTTTGAGAGAGGTTGTACATGTAAGATAGCTGATATTTCCATCTGTATTGTTACTGGCGTGATTAATAAAATGGGAGCTTCAAGTACTGGAAGTTTCAACAATACATATTTTGTATTTATCCTCTATAGGCGTTATTTGGCCAAAACGCTATGAATCTGTCAGTAGGTGGTGTTACCGTTTTGACTGCGAAAAACATAGTTTTCTCATACAATCCACCACAAAGACTCGATTATGGATTAAAAAGACTTTTAATCAAATTAAATGATAGCTTTCATCTTGGGACATTCCTTAGTATCGACTTTTCGAAAATGGAAGGGTAAGAAAACGGAAGAAAGTGTTATGGTCACGTGATCCAATTTCACATATACCTCTTTATTCCACCAAATCCTTCTTTTTAAGTCAATAGAAGCCTTTGGAATATCCTCCACTAGTTTCCATTCTATATTCTACCCTCTAAACACCCTGTTGCTCTCTAATACGTCGAATATACTGGGACATCTTTGTGTCACTGGATGACTGTATGCCGTAGTAAGCCTCACAATCACCCCCTCCGATCCCCAGATAACGAAACAGCCTCACCACAGTCATATAAGTCAAGCAAGGTACCACATCCATAATGCCCATTTTCGGTGAGAAACCTCATACGTCTATAACGGTGAAAATCAATCAGCTCTCGAAGCCTGATAGGAATGCGGATTTGGAAGATGACTCAATTGAGCTCTATTTATCCGATTTGATTCTGCTCATAAAGCTCCAGCCTGGCCCTGGACCTTCAGAAGCAGCAAGAGCTATCCGCAAAAACATCAAGTATGGCTCTTCTGTGAAGACTCAATTGAATGCTTTGCACTTGCTTGAACTTCTTGTACTCAATTCTGGTCTGAAAATTGGGTCCGTGTTGGCCTCTGACGAAAAGTTGCTTGATGTTTTGAAAGGAATTCTTACTGGCTCTGGCTCTACTGGTACTGGCTCGAAATACGATAAGTCTGTGCAAAGCAAGACAAGAAGTCTTGCAATTGGCTGGAAGCTGGAGCTCGATGGTTTGGACGGTTACAAGTATATGGCCAACTTGTGGAAAGTCGCTGGTGTCAGGAGACGTGCACTGGATTCAAGGAGCGGTGGCCACCTGCGTGGTCATAGAAGAACGACGAGTGCTTTTGGTGATGAAAACGCCTTAGAAGAGCCTGAAGATCTTATAGATAGAGATGATGAAGCTAGAGATAGGGCCAGATCTCCAAGATCCCCTAGAATCGCTCGCTCGCCTCCTAGACCTGCCAAGAAGTCTCCTCCACCTCGTCCTGTTCTGGCTTCTCCATACACCAATCCAAGAGCTCAAGAAAGTAAACCTCAGAAGAAGAAGGATAAGTCCAAGAAAAAGAAGAAGAGATCCAGACATGGTATCGTTTACGCAGATGAACAGTTTAGAATCCCGCAAATCAATTACAAAATTGAAGCACCTAAGATCAGAACGGTGCTTTCAGACTGCCAGACTCATACTACTGCTTTGAACAATGCCCTTATTCATCTTCCTGCTGGCACTGACCCCTTAGATGATGCGAAATCGTCTAAGGAGTTTGAGAAATGTAGAAAGGTGAGGAGAAAGGTTCTTCAATATTTGCAATTTGTTGGCGCTGGTGAGGAGTCGTCAAAGACAAAGGAGACTCTTCAGATGGAAGAAGAATTTTTAGGTTCGTTGATTATGGCCAACGAACAGCTTGTCAATACGTTCACACAATTTGACAAAGCCTCGGGTTTCACACCTGAAAATCCGGGTCCACATCATTATGACGCTGCTAGCGATAGTGACAGTGATGAGAGCTACTATGATAGCGACACCGATGAAGACGAGCTTGAAGAAGAAGGTGTGGAGGATTCCATAGAACAAAGGCTTGCTTCAGCTAATATCCTGGAGGGATCGTCATCGAGGCTTCAAGAAGCAGTGAGAAGATCACCTCCAGTACCACAGAAGCCAGTTGCCAAAGAGAAGGAAAAGGACGCAGCTCCAGAACACCAATCTCTCAAAAGAGTTGCAACAGATGCTACAGGTCAATCTGTCGGTAGTGAGGACCCGTTTGGAGATAGCCATGAGCTCTCCAGTAATTACTAAAGTAGGTTAGCTGCAAGAGAACATGTCTCTGTGGTTCAATTGATATAGACAGACTTGATCACTAGAAACCTTAATGCACAGCCAATAATATCCTTGAAACCAAACGTTACATTTCTCATTTCTTACACAAAACGAATATGCCTCATGGTAGTAGTATCCAACCACACTCGCACTTTTTCCCTAGTATGGCCATTCGCATCATATCTGGGGTATGCAAATCTAAAGATCAACACATTCTCAATTTTCCATTACTTAATAAAAGAGCTTCCCCTGAGTTGAACAACCCGTACTACTCGATATGCCCAATGATTTTAGGCCTCGATTTAATAACCCGGTTCCTCTACCTGCAGTTGATGACTTTCGCTTATCCACAGTTCTTCAGAAGCATGTGCCCGAGGAGAACGAAGCAGTGAAAAAGGCATTGCTCAACGTGACAGAGCGCCATCAGAACGACCTCAAACAAGAAATCAGGCGTCTGTTGACTGTAGAGCAAAAAATCCAATACTTGAACATAGATGTAGCCAAAAGGGCACATCTCCTACGAAGAAAGGTCGCGAGTCGAAGAAGACGACTAGACAAGGCGCTAGAAGGTCTACAAAGTGATCGTGACGGGTCCTTGCACGCTGATATAAATGACATAATGACGCTGGCCGTGCTGGTCAGTGCTCACGTTCAAGGTCTAGCACATCGTGCACTAGAGTATGAGAGATCTAGAAATGGTCCACTTTCGGGACCTGATCCTCGTAAGTACCCGAGGTTGGCGTCATTCTTTGGTACTGGAACTGAATCGGTCGATATGGATTCGACTGGAAGCGAGGTGGTTGATGGCTATATGGATGAGAGCGAGTCTCGTCTTCGAGACAATGGCAGCCAGGAGTTTTCCTATTCTGATGACCATCTCGACAGTGCATCAAATGGATTCCAAACATCTTACGGTGGAGCAAATTATTCAGCAAGCAGAACTTTCGAAGACCCGGAGTCTGGCCATTTAAGTCCCGATGACAACGAACTCTCTGCTTCCTCGTCTGAGGACGAATCAGAGCACAGTCTACCGCACTCCCCTAACAACGGAACTACCGAACAAGCAATTAAAGAAGCCTCGCCAGAGATGACAGCTGAGATGATGGAACAAATCATGGATTTGAATATCTCAAAGTATAGACTGCAACGACAGCGCAAGTATGAAGAGCTTGACCTTTTCGCTCCCAAACTCACCGACAAGCAGCAGCCACCTACATCCAAAAAGAAGTCCAATCCGTTGCGATTGCTATATTCATCGCTGGCATTGGCCAACAGCGATATGTTAAAAGCAAGCACTGTGGAAGAAGAATCACTCAAGTCTCCGTTTGTGAACTCCAAATCCGTAGCCACCGTGCTGCCAACGCCACAAACATCGCTTCATAAGAAATTACGAATCAGGGTGCAGCCTTTACGTTACAACAAGCAAGACGATTCTTGTCAATGTCATGATGCTGAGGCGGAGGAGGAATATAATGACGACCTTGACGCTTCTCCGGCCAAAGTAGCGCTTACGAAGACCTTGAACGACTTACTGAACTCTTCTATTGGTGACTATGATAATAATAAGCTAGTGGAAGAGATGTGGAGCTCTTCTGGAATCCAAACAGAAACTGAGGAAGAGGTATACAGTAGTTCGGATGATGAAGATGAGCAGTATCTCTCGGTGGAAAATACTCTTGACGAGACGACAAACACCTACCAGTCGTTCCAGAAAGATCTTGCTAAGTTGAGGAAGAAGAAAAACCAACGAGGCCAATTTGAAATTCCTTCGCGAGAGTTCTCTCCTTCTCCGAAACATCAGCCGTCTCATCGTACGCTTAAACCTAAAGGCTCGATTCTTAAGATTAGCAACGGAGCTAGAAGAAAGATGAAGTCAACCTCATTTCTGAGAAGTGACTCTGGAAACTGCATCACCCTGGTCAACGGGCTGCCACTCAAAGCAAGCTCACCTCTCCCAGAGAGTGCTGCTCATACACCCTACAGGGCTAGTCCACGTGCATCGTTTGTCAATGAAGTATCAGCCCTTGGCATGATCCTTGGAAATGAACCACCACGTAATGATGAATCAGGGGAGGTGGAGAACAACGACGTGAGTATCGAGGATGACGGCTCGCTCGATAATATTAGCTCCAAATCTGACAGTAAGGGAGACGGCGATTATAAAAGTATTGGGAAATTACGAAGTTTATTAGTATAATGCAAATTGGGACCGAGTCATCAAGATGACTGGCGGATAATATGGAATGCTAGAAAAGCCACACGTAGAAACACCAAAGGAAGAATATTGAGAAGAACGCTAGCCACATCTTCCACGATATTCCAGCCCGCTGGCTCATGACGACCATCTTATTGTATGTATTCTTCAAGGTGACCTTACCCTTTTCGAAATTGTTGGTGATTTCATCGTTGAGCTTCATCGACGTGTTAATTTGTCCGCCCATCTTGACACCAAGGTTCTTTAGAGCTGCCACTTTCTGTGACATTGAGTTCACTTCATCATCATTCTGGCTTTCAAGCGACAGCAAGAATGACTCGTTGTGCTTAGCTGAAACAGACTCTGGTTTGTCGTATGGCGAACTGATTCGTTGTGGAGTAGATGTTCTCAGTCTTCCCGGCGACGGCGTATCGAAGAGCTGATTTCTTAATTCACGCAGGTGCGCTGCAGTTGAGTACCGTGAGCTCATAAACGCTTTATAAAAGGTTCAACCGTTAGACCAGTAGTTGAAACCGTTCTGTTGTGCTGGAAAGTGACAGTCGCGCATTGCGTGCAGTGGGGTTGGAGGACACGGCAGTAGAAGCGATGAAGTGGTACAAAAAACGTAGAGAGCAATATAAGGCACTTTTAAAAGAATTTCTCTTTGATTTGCTGGTTTAGAGGGTTTGAAAAATATATATTGAGGAAAGAAGCATACTTGATGTCCTATGGGTTTGGTGCCAGAAACGATGATGGCTCCCAAACTTACTATCTCTTCCTTCCAGTTTTCTCAGTGACGAATTATTTATATAGCTGCGTATGTCAAAGAAGCTTTTCAGCAAATACGCTTGGTTTTTGGGACTTTTCCAACAAAGAAGGTACTCATTATGTAAAGCCAATGAGAACAAGAAATGGTTGCAAATGCGACCGCGGAGTATGAGATCTAGGTAGTTGATAAGATGAAGATATACCGAAATAGCGAGTGTAATGAAACGAAGATATACCGAAATAGCAAAGGTAATGAAACCAGCTTTATCTCTCAAATAATATCTACTTACTCTTAAATATATCTTACCTTTGAACTATTCTAATCAAGTAGTGAAGAGACTACATCCTGAACCGCTCTAAGGACTCTAGCAGTAACCCTACTAACCTCCCTAAACGAGCCAGTTTCAATTTTAAGTTTCTGTTCTGATTTCGACGAGTCCCTTTTATAAAGATTTTCCCTCTACTTTTGTCAATATCTCAGTGAAAGCTAGAAGAGGTGCCCTCAATAGTGCTTTTCGCAGCCATTTCGGATGTCCCACAAAAGTCCAAAGCGCCATATGGAGCCAACGACCGCCTCCTTGAGTTTATTTGAATTGTGGAATTTTCTTCATTTCAAATTCGTCGGCTCTTTTCTTTCTTTCCCTTCCTTCTTTAATTACCCTTAGCTTTTTTTTGTTACCCAGGCGCTTTTCTTCTCTTCCTTCGCATTACGCTGCTTATCTGATCGCGCTTACCAATCCATCTCTCTGATACCATCACACCATCTTCTTCAGCATGGAACAACAAGAACCGCCCAGGTCGTTGGCCTCGGTGAAACATATAATGCTTATTCTTTCAGGAAAAGGCGGGGTGGGCAAATCTTCTGTCACTACACAAATAGCACTAGCGTTGGCCCTCAAGGGTAAGAACGTTGGCGTGCTTGACATCGATCTTACAGGACCTTCCTTACCACGCATGTTTGGTGTTGAAAAAAGACAAGTTCACCAGTCTCGGTCTGGATGGGTGCCTGTTTCTGTCAATAGCAAAACTGGCGAGTCAGGATCGCTCTCGTTGATGTCACTAGGCTTTCTTTTGAAGCAGAGAGGTGACTCAGTGGTATGGAGAGGTCCAAAGAAAACGGCAATGATCCGTCAGTTTTTGAAAGATGTTGTCTGGCCTGATTTGGATTACCTCCTTATAGATACACCTCCAGGTACTTCAGATGAACATATTGCTATCGCAGAAGAACTACGGTGGGCCCAGCCTGTTGATGGGGCGGTCATCGTCACGACCCCACAACAGGTCGCTACTGCTGATGTTCGAAAAGAGATAAATTTCTGCAAAAAGGTAAAATTCGGTATTATTGGAGTTGTGGAGAATATGAGCGGTTTCATTTGCCCTTACTGTGCCGAGTGTACCAATATCTTCCTGAGTGGTGGTGGACAGCAGCTTTGCGAGTCCTTACAGATAGATTTCTTGGGTTCAGTACCCATAGACCCCACCTTTGTGGAAATGATAGAGAATCAGGATACATCAGAGGCAGAAAAGTCTGATAAGAAGCTCTTGCAGATGTATAAAACTGCAAATTTGTTCTCTGTGATGGACGGCATCGTGGACCAGATTTTGAGCAAAAACTTGCCTTCAAGAGTTTGAAACGACTACATGATTATAGATGATGCAAATAGGATGATTGTGCCGCCTGGAAGAGGCTGGCATACTAATGTACATTACTCAACTCCGTTGGCCTTTTTCCATACGGCGATCTTCTTCTTCAACTGACCTTCTGACAAGAACAAAGGATTAAGTTTCTTATCCCACTTCATCTTACCATAGTCGTCGCCATATTTTTCGTAGAGTTCTTCTAGGAAGCCTTCCTCCTCTTCCTTAGGCTTAGCAGCCCTTGGTTTGGCAGCATTCTTCTCAGTGTACTCCACAAGTTCATCGATGACAGTGTGCTCTGGCTCCTTATCAGCAACAATTGTAGGCTTCATGGTACCATAAATGACTTGGACGACTTCATTAGTCTCAGGGTCACGAATCAAACGGGCCTCTCCCTCTGGAATCTTCAGAGGGTCTGTCTCCACGGCAACATCCTCGGGTGCAATGTGGCCGTTCTTCTCCTTTTCATCCCTCTCTTTTCTGAACTCAGTAACAGTTGTGTATGAATTTTCTTGCCCACCGTTATATTTGCCCAAACGAGACGTAAGCCCTAGTTTTTCGTAGTTTTGTTTAAGGGTAAGCTTCTTGTCCCACCTGGCTGCGAGAACAGGATGATGTGCAATTTTTGGCGCTCTTTGTTTATCCTTCGTGCGCTTTGTATTTTTGGTCACCGACGAGCGGGCCATCTTTCTTTTCCTGACAGAAACCATGGTCTATAAGTAAAAGTTGCTTCAGTATAGAAGCACCACTCTGGATATCTTTTCAGATGAGCCCGCGATGCCCCAGATGGTGTACGGGTCTGTTTTCCTCCCCGATAAGGCAGGCATTGATCTCCGACTTACTTGTGTCTTCAAATTTACCAATCCGTGACGACATAAGGCTCTTCAGACTCATCATAGCCGTATCCTAAGTTGTCTTGGTCAACTTCCCTCAATTTTTGGGTTTCTCCATTGTGCCGACCACGACCACCCCTTCCTCTTCCACGGCCACGGCCACGGCCACGAGAGCCTCTTCCTCGACCCTAGACCCTCTTCCACGGCCTCCAGATGTATTTCTAGGTCCTCGATTTTCAGGGTTTTCACTCTTCGTATGCCTGATGCTTACCTTGGTGCGCCTGTGCTTCAATGTCTTCTGATTAAGTTCGGTGACTGCTTTTTCCACGCTAGACTTGTCCTTAAATGCCACGAATGCATAGCCAGTGGCGATGCCAGAGTTGTCAACAATTATGGAAACCTTATCAATAGGACCTGCAGTGCTGCAAAAGTCTTCGATTTCCTGGGGTGAAATCATGTAGTCCAAGTTGCCCAAGTAGATCGAACGATCGTTCAAGTCAGGATTCTCCTCCGATCCGGGAGTTGGGTTTTGGCCTTCACCAGAAACAGGTGATAAATCTGTGATGTCTCTTTCAATATCACCGTTCTCTGCCATTTTTTGTCTTCAAGAACTGGTGTTCGCTGGTGTTGTGGACCACTTGTGGAGGTCTCGGTGGTGGTTTCCGGTATATAATGGTCCTTTGTGTAACTACAAACTACTGTCTCGATAACGCGGGTGGCTTTCCTAGTTCAGTAGTGTCCAAGAACTACAATTTTTTCCGTGGTATAATCCTATTCGTCCCGTACTTATGCTTCCACAAATGCTCTGTAAGTCGTGAATGGCTCGTCAGTAGACAGAGATTCCAATTCCACCGCCGTTTCTGGTGCCACAAAGTAGACATATCCTCTTTCAACCTTCTGAGCTTCTTCGCCCTGCACTCTGATAGATCCATTACCGTTGGTAGCGATCACAACGGATGGTCCATGGAAGCCGTCAAACTGTTGTTTCTGGCCAGCCTTCTTGTCGAAAATCGTTTGCAAAACAGCGAATTCAGCGATTGGTGGATCATACAACACGGACTTGACAGCATCTCCTCTTGAACGTTCGAATGGTAACAATGGCATTTTTTGTTTCTCGACCGATTCGTATGAATAAGTTAACATGTCCACCAAATTCTTGACGTCCTTGAATTTAGGTGTAAATCCAGCTCTAACAACATTATCACTGGCTGCCATACATTCAATGATATCTCCTGAAATGTAGGCATGTGGGTCCTTGGCTTGCAAAAACATGGCTTCGCCGGCATTGAGCCAGACATGGTTCAACAACAAACAGCCGCAAAACAATCCGATGTCTTTAGGAAACTGCTTGTTCAATCTGAGAATCAAATTGGCCAAATTAGGAGCCAACTGATCGAAAACAGCTGGCTCTGACTGGGCCTTTTCAACCAAAGAAGTGGCTTTCTCTTCAATAGTCTTATCGTCTGTGTTCATCAATGCACCGAAAACCTTCTGAAGTAGCTTTCTGTTGTGCTTGTCCTCTTCGGAGCCAACCTGAGCATCTGGTTTGATGTTCTCGGAGAACTCCTTGGTTATGTCGGCGCCTACAATCTCGTAGAACTCAGAAACAGCCTTCAATGTAGCTGCAATTTGCTCCAAGGGCTTGAAACCGCAGAAACCCTCGAAATCAGTAACGGCGATGGCCATCTCCGGCTTGTGGTTGTCATCTGGATAGTTCTTTGGATCGCTGGCGTGGAGCTGCTTAGCCAAAGTCTTGTCTGGATGAGCCTGGATCGATAAGACTTTTTCGATCGACAAGACCTTAAACAAGAATGGCAACTCTTTGTCAGAGCCAAACTTCTCAATCACAGAGGGATGCAAGTATGCCTTGGCGTCCGAGGAGACGACATCTCTCAAAACCTGACCAGAGAGCTTCTCGTCATCAACAACTTTTGAAGGCACAGAAGGATGAGTTCCCATCCAAAGCTCGGCGTATGGCTTTGACTCATCGATCTTGGTCTGTGGGTTGGATTTGGCAGCGAACTGAGCCACGGCTGAAGAAGAGCCGATTTTGCCCCAGTCGTAGTTCTGGAAGCCGCAGTCGATTCTGAAAAGCTTAGACATATTTTAGAAAATAACGGAAAGGTATAAATGTGATATTTGGTTCTCGCTGGGAATGCCAAAGAGTTGGTGAAACGCGAGACTGAAAATGTAGTACGGAGTATTTTTCCTGGTGCTGGCGCTGGTTCTACGCCGTGCCCGCATGCACTACTGACGGATTCAGACAGCCTATGGCGTCGGAGTTCACTGTCATAAAATTCCGTCTTTTATTGTAAGGAACAAACTTACGAGGGTTTATTGTTTGGATTCTCAAGCTATTGGAATAGAAGCCTTTTTCATTTTAATATAAGGCTGGGACTTCTGGACAACGTAGAATGGAGGGACCATCAGACAGGCAAGGAGAAACGCGATATTCGCTTGCCATATTGCGTCTAAGCAAACTTCTTTTCAGAAGTTTTGTACTGTATTTCTTTAATTTAATCTGGCTCTTGAGAAACTCGGGACACGAGAAACGTGGTGGCTGCAAACTGAAGGTACTGCAGGCAGTTACTCAAAACATCAACACGATCTGGGCCAATGCATCCCTATGCAATCTACTTGGGTCGAAACGGCATCCGGCAACCGTATTTCGAGAAATGCTACGCTCAATGGGACAAAACACATCTCCATTGGTGAGAACTGTACCATATCATCGGGTGTTGTGATTTCAGGCGACGTTCCCACCGCCACCCCAGGCCAGTCTTCCATTCTTTTGGGGAGATACTGTTTTCTTGATGAGGGCTGCTACATAAGTCCTGCCGAGACAAGACAGCCTGGTGTTTTCAGTGAGATACATATTGGTAATTATACAGTCATAGGAAAAATGACAAAGGTGATGCTGGCTCAAGTAGGGAACAGAGTCAGTGTAGGAAACGACTGCATTCTCGGGGAACATAGCATAATCAACGACTGCTGTGTAATATCTGATGGCACAATTGTTCCACCGAAGACCGTTATCCCACCCTATAGTTCAGTTTCTGGAGTTCCTGGGCCGTCATACTTGGTCGAACGAATAAGCCCTGGCTATCGAAAGCTTCTTGAGCAAGATGCAAGGTTGAGACACGTTAAAGGTTAACTTAGTCGTGCTTTGGTGCGATATTCCCGATGATGCCTCTTCCTCTCAGACCAAGTCTTCCTTTCTTGATAAATCTTATCGCGAATTTGTAGAATACAAATAAACCGATCAAGAAGAAGACTACTCCGATAGGACCATGTTGATAGATCGAATCGAACGCTCTGAGCCAGCTGGTAAAGGGGCTTGCAGCGAGCTTCGGAGAAAATCCACTAGCTTTGATGTCCTTTGTCAAAAGGGGGTCTAAAAGATGCAACAAGACTGGGCGCAACTTTGAAGGTTCTATAGTAAGTTTTTCGCCTGTCAATGTCTTGTCCCAGTAATATTTCGTGTTCTTGGTGACAACGATCGTGTCTCCTGGTTTGTATCCCTCGCCATCAATATCCCAGCCGACCAGTTTTGCAAAATTAGGGTACTCTTTCAAATTCACGTAAGTGAAAAGAGCGTCATTGTGATCGAACAAATGTGGAACACTTTTTCTCATAGCAGCGATAACCTCCAAAGAATCGGCACCCTTTTGCTTGAGCTGGTTGATCGTCTCCCACTTGGCACCCCTCTCATCTGAGAGCTGCTTAAAATAATATTCCTTCTTCAAAAAGATGTACTCGTGGGCAACCAAAGACATGCTGTATAATGTATCTTTGAGTTCGTCTTCCTTCTCGCCATCCACAAATGTAACAACGACCTTGTCATCTAATTTATCTTTGGTGTTGAAGTACCATTCAAGCATATCTGGGGTAAGTTCGTGAAAGAACGGATACATATTTTTAACTACCCATTCCTCGATTTTCTCCGGGTTTCTCATGTCCTCAGGCGCATAGTTTTGAAATACTGCGGGCACCATGGAATGTTCTTTAAACATGTAAAGTGTAGGCTTGTTCGTTAAAGTTGTCGCAACATGAAGTGGGCGGTTGTATTTTACATCCTCGAGGTCCTTGTCAGTCCGCACAAAATCAACCAATCCCTTAGATTGATATTCTAATGTCTCTTCAAATTTTACTGACGCCGAGCCATACAAACGCATGTTGAAAGGCAGGTTTGTTACCATCTCGAGTAGATGAGGTAAAATGTCTTTATCTTCCTTTGTGATCTTGCTCTTATCAAAAGCAAAAACGAGGCCCACCTGTGGGTCCAAAGGAAAATTTAAATCGAAAGGTTTCTCTGGCTTCTCGGTTTTGAAAAGATCCAAATCTTCGAAGTGGCTGGCAGTGGCTATTTCATACTGAGAGTTTAATGCCAATTGTAGAACCCATTTTTTCATCTTCGCTACATCCATTCCCTGGTTATAATCGAACCTGATAATTCCGACATGCTTTGGCAAAAACATCGCAAATTTAGGCGACTGACGTAAGTCTGAGCTCAACTCTGGATGGCCGAGCTTCTCGCATAAAGTAGGGTTGGACTTGCAATTCAAGTGGCCAGTTTTTGTTGAACTGATAACCAAGTTGGACAATCTATCCCAATCGCTCTTGACTTTCAAGCAATCCATACATGTTCTCGAAAATTTGCCAGTCTCCCACTCCTCATCAGTTGAGGAAAACATTCCTATGAACCAGGGTTCTTTCATTTCTCCGGCTACGATGTTCAACGTAGTATCAGTATCCAATAGTTCAGAGGAAGACGGCATCGAGAGTGAACCATCACCGTATTCTGCCACAGCTTTTTTCATAAACTTCTTGAAGTTCTCGGGGGTCTGTTTAAGAGCGCGAGGGAATGAATCAACAAGCTTTGACTTTCCTGTCTTCTCACCACGTTCGTCGAACTCTGGGACATATATTCTCAAGTTTGGCCAGTATGGCACTACTTCACGTTCACAAAGATCACCACTTTCAACGCAGTTCACTTGCCTCATATGGATACCTGTTGTTTGTTGACCATCGTAAGTTTCCCTAAATGTCTGTTCCCACTTTGGTGCTAAAGCATTGCAATGATGACAATATGGGGAAAAAAACTCAACAAAGCTCATATGCCCCGAAGTAAATTCGTCGAATGTCTCAATTGTAAGAGGTTCTGGCATCTTGATCTCGGCTGTTGCGTCGTTTTCAACTTCTCCGCTGACTTCCTTGTTTTCGATTTTCCCGGACTCAGAATTCTCTTCTGCTGGTGGCGGCTTTATAGCTGCCGGGGTAGCGATAGCAAAAGATAGTAGTGAAGCATATGCTAGGAGAGAGAGCCTCATTTGACTCAGGCAACTTTCGGGGTTAAAGTGGTAGTAACTGTTATCAAGACGCTCCAGTAGAGTACAGCTTTGTCACGTGACTTTTGAACAAATAAGGCTATGGGCTTGCCACTGAAAGCAGAAACAATAAATGGACCTCGGCGCTTTGTATTTAAAGCAAGCTTTTATGGAATTTGGTAAGAAATAAGTAAACTTCTGCGCTTGTACAGCTGTCTACGTGTCCTGGGGAAACAACCCTGACAATGATTTATGAGCATTTTTCGCAGCCGACTAGACCGCCCTAATAAGCCCTGACGAGATACCCACTTATTCCTCATAGTCAAAGCTGTTCCTTTTCTTAAGAATACAGAAATGAAATTATGACCACCTTACCGGAACCTGTTCTCTGTTGCATTATTTGCATAAGTTTTGAACAAATATTGCTCAGTTTACTTGAATATTCCAGTCCCTCAGTACATTCGCCTCCACTTTTTTCGCAGCCAACCCCATCTGGTGGTCTGAAGCCCAAGCTTTTCTTTCAGGTTGTGATTCTTTTGCAGATTTTAAAAAATGGCTTTTTGCTTTCTACACATACTTTCAGAACCCCACTTAGCTTTCCGGTATTCACAGCTGTGCCAGCATGTTAACGCTTAACTATGCAACGGTCCAGACATCCACCTTTCTTCCTACACAGAAAGTGTTCCGCACCGCAACCAGGTTATCTTCCTTAGCCTTCGATTACTAACTCAGCTACATCTCTTTATAACCACTGAATACATTTCTACAATGGCAGACTCAATGCAAATCGACCTGCCAGTCATCGACGAGAGTTTGTACTCGAGACAACTCTATGTCTTGGGCAAGGAAGCTATGCTCAAGATGCAGAATGCTAACGTATTAATCATCGGTCTCAGAGGCCTCGGCGTGGAAATTGCAAAGAACGTCGCTCTTGCCGGCGTCAAGTCATTGGCACTCTACGACCCAAAGCCAGTTGAAATTCAGGATTTATCTTCTCAGTTCTTTTTATCTGAGGACGACATTGGTAAGCCTATTGCTGACGTCACCGCTTCCAAAGTTCTGGAGTTGAATCTGTATGTGCCAATCTCCGTGGCTTCGGATCTTTCAGAATCTACTTTACTCAAATACAAGTGTGTGGTTACTACAAACTTGTCATTGGAAGACCAAGTGAAGATCAATGAAATCACACACAAAAATGACATTGGTTTCATCGCCGCTGACACTAGAGGTCTTTTTGGTCAATTGTTCGTCGATTTGGGCGAAGCCTTCCCTGTCATTGATCAAAACGGCGAGGAGCCTTTGACTGGAATAGTGTCTGACATTGAATCTGATGGTTCGGTTACTATGTTGGATGATAATAGACACGGCTTGCAGGACGGTGACTACGTCAAATTCGCCGAAGTCGAGGGAATGCCAAAGCTCAATGATGGCTCCCCTCATAAGGTAGAGGTCCTCGGCCCGTATGCTTTTAAGATTAAGATTGATCCATCATACGGGTCTTACGTTAAGGGTGGGTTGTATACCCAGGTCAAGATGCCTACTAAGCTTCAGTTCAAGTCCCTCAAAGATCAATTGGCCGATCCTGAATATGTATTCTCGGACTTTGCTAAATTTGATCGCCCTCCACAGCTCCACTTGGGCTTCCAAGCTCTTCACGCCTTCCAGACAAGACACCAAGGTAAATTGCCACGTCCCTATCATGAGGAGGATTCTAATGAGTTTTTGAGATACGTCGAAGAATTGAATGCTCAGAATCCTTCCATCTTGGGTGATGCGGAGATTAACAAGAAACTCTTGCAGCAATTGGCTTTCCAGGCTACTGGTGATGTTCCAGGCATCTCCGCTTTCTTTGGAGGGTTGATCGCACAAGAAGTGTTGAAATGTTGCTCCTCTAAATTTGGTCCAGTAAAGCAGTATCTCTACTTTGATTCTTTGGAATCCTTGCCCAAGGATGAGGATTATCCAAGGAATGTGGAGACTACCAAGCCCGTTGGCTCGAGATATGATGGTCAAATTGCTGTGTTCGGTGCAGACTTCCAGAAAGCAATCTCTAACTTGAAAGTCTTCTTGGTTGGCGCAGGTGCTATTGGCTGTGAAATGTTGAAGAACTGGGCCATGATGGGTTTAGGTTCAGGTCCAGATGGTAGTATCATAGTAACGGATATGGATTCCATCGAAAAGTCTAACTTGAATAGACAGTTTTTGTTCAGACCAAAAGATGTTGGCGGTAACAAGTCTGAGATCGCCGCTAGAGCCGTTCAGGCCATGAACCCTCACCTCAAGGGTAAGATTGAGTCCAAGTTGGATAAGGTTGGTGCTGACACCGAGCACATTTTTGATGATGCTTTTTGGGGAAAATTGGATCTTGTTACGAATGCTTTAGATAATGTGGATGCTAGAACGTACGTCGATCGTCGTTGTATCTTCTACAAAAAGCCATTGTTAGAGTCTGGTACTCTTGGTACAAAGGGTAACACTCAGGTTGTTATCCCTAACTTGACAGAGTCTTACTCCAGTTCTCAGGATCCTCCTGAAAAGTCCATTCCATTATGTACGTTGAGATCCTTCCCAAACAAGATTGACCATACAATTGCATGGGCCAAGTCTTTGTTCCAAGATTACTTCGCTGACTCCCCCGAGACTGTGAACTTGTACTTGAGTCAACCTAATTATGTGGAGCAAACTTTGAAGCAGAATCCAGACATAAAGGGTACTTTGACAAACATCGCTCAACTTTTGAACAACAGAGCTTTTTCCTTTGAAGACTGTATCGAATGGGCAAGACTTCAATTCGAATACAAGTTCAACCATGAGATCAAGCAGTTGTTGTATAACTTCCCCGAGGACGCGAAGACTTCCAATGGCGCACCCTTCTGGTCTGGTCCCAAGAGAGCCCCTAAGCCCTTGACTTTCGATATTGACAACCCTGATCACCTTAGCTTCATTGTTGGAGGTGCAAACTTATTGGCTTTTATCTACGGTTTGAAGGAGCAGAATCCTGGTGTGGAGGACTATAAGCGTGTGTTAGATAATGTGCAAGTCCCTGAATTCATCCCAAAAACAGGTGTCAAGATTGCTGCTAATGATCAAGAAGCTGAGGAGCAGGCTAGGCAGCTTTCTGGCTCTCTCGATGAAGAGGAGATTCAAAAGATCGCTGCTACATTGCCTGAGCCCTCCAAATTCGCAGGCTACAGATTATCGCCAATTGAGTTCGAAAAAGATGACGATACTAATCATCACATTGAATTCATTGCTGCTGCTTCCAACTGTAGAGCGTTGAATTATGGTATCGAGACAGCTGATGCTTCGAAGACCAAGTTCATTGCTGGAAAGATTATTCCTGCCATTGCCACTACCACCGCTTTGGTTACTGGTCTCGTCTGTCTTGAGTTATACAAGGTGGTGGCTAAACAGGATGATATTGAACAGTACAAGAATGGATTTGTGAACCTTGCGCTTCCGTTCTTTGGATTCTCTGAGCCTGTGAAGTCCCCTAAGGGTAAGTACAACGGAAAAGAATTTGATCAAATCTGGGACAGGTTCGAACTCCATGGAGATATCACATTGAAGGAGTTGCTCGCCCATTTCGAAGAGAAAGAAGGCTTAGAGATCTCCATGTTGTCCTATGGTGTCACTCTCTTGTACGCATCATTCTTCCCACCTAAGAAGGTCAATGAAAGATTGGGTATGAAGTTCACTGAATTGATCAAGACTGTTAGCAAGAAGGACTTGCCACCTCATGCTAAGAGCCTTATCCTTGAAGTTTGTTGCGATGACAAGGAAGGAGAGGATGTGGAGGTACCTTACATCAACTTGAAGTTATGAGCAAATCGATTTAGATACTAAATACACGATTCCTGGATTACATAACATTTGTCGTAAGTCTTTTGAACTCGCCACTTTCCTGGCTGAGCGAGGTGAAGGTGCCGTCTTGCACTATTTCACCGTTCTTTAAGACAAGAAGCCTTGGCAAGTTGGCCATCACATTTACATCGTGTGTGATCGAGATTAAAGTCATCTCAGGATAAGCTTTTGGTAGTCCAAGCGTTATTAGATTTGTAATGATATCAACATTCTCCTGATCTAAGTTTGAAGTGCTTTCATCAAATACAATTAGCTTGGGCTCACGAATCAAAGCTCTGGCAATGCATAGACGTTGGAGCTGGCCCGAAGAAACGCTCCGATCGTCCAAGACGGTATCAAGTCCTTGTTGCAATGAAGCTACCAATGTCCATATATTGCAAAGTTTGAGACATTCAATGACAAAGGATTTATCCAAAAAGGAATTGTCTATCCCATAAGTTAGGTTTTCCCAAATAGAACCTTCAAAAAACTTTGGACTTTGAGGAACAACGACAACATTTTTCCTATACCACAAAGGGTCCAAGTCTTTGATGGGCTTTCCATTAAATCGGATGCAGCCTTTGTCACAATCCCTCAATCGGCCAATTAACAGTGCAGTGGTAGATTTGCCGCTACCAGAAGCACCCACGATTCCGACCACTTCTCCTGTCTTTATGCTAAATGACAAATCCCTCAAGACCTTCTTTGATGAACATTGTTCACCATTGTACGAGAAGTCAATGTTTTTAAAGCTGATGATTTCCTCTCCGTATTGGGCCATTCTCCAAGACTTTTTATCTCCAGATGTCTCTATTGGCAGTGGATTAAGAGTGAGAATCCTTGCAAAGAGGGTGCCAGCTCTTTGTCCTCTTGCAATTTCGGGAAGTGATCCCATCAAAGTTGATGCAGACGCCATAGTAAACGTGAGAAGTGTAAGCACTTGAAGCATCAGCTCGTAGGAATACTCAAACCGTGCAACAAGGTACAATCCATAATAAAGAATTGTTCCTGTTGCTATGCTAGTGCACATTTCCAGTAAGGCAAATCCAAGTCCAGTAAAACAAGCACGAAGCTTAGCAACAGCAAAGAGCTCAATAAGCTTTTCTTTCAAGTCTCCCTCGAAATCGTTTTCGAGTCCAAATGCCTTGACCGTTTTAACTCCCAGCACAGCGTTGTGATTGAACTTTTCAACTTCACCAACCATATCTTTGTATTTCGTTTCAAATCGCAGAAGGATCATACCGTATGATATAGTCACCAACAAAATCAAAGGAACAAACGATGTTCCAACCAAAGCTAGCTTCCACCCCGATACAATAGACCAAATCAAACCCAAAAGTGTCAATGCTATGAGTGAGAGCACCGCTGACAAGAATTCGGAAACCAAATTACGTAAATCTCTAGAATCGTTCATCAACAATGCCACTAGCTCTGCTGGTTTCAGATACTTTTTCGAAAAGAAAGACATATCTTGATCATTGATTACGGCCAACGCCTTCTTTCTGAGCTCCACGACCCATTGCTCTGAGGAGTAGGCAAGCAAAAAATGTGAAGTGAAATAAATTAAACCATCAGCGACGATAAGACCAATAACAAGGGCTGACCAAAAGACTGCCCCTTTCTCCTTGGGAGGAAGCTGTGTGGACTGATCAACAATGTTAGAAAGTAGCTTTGAGAAACAGAATGACAAAACAGGAGTAATAACGCCACTAATCAAGGATAAGATGAGCCCCACGACAATTCCTAGTTTGTTCTGAATAGTGTAATAGCAGTGCTTGAGAATCGAAAGGACGCCAAGAACCTGTAATTCACTGCTATCGTGCATGGCCTCTAAGTCTCTTTTAGAAGAAGAATTGAAGTGGGTTCCGTCAGAAAATATCGAATCAGTGGCCTCAAACTCATCCTTGGTTTCCGTCAAAAAACCAATTTCCTCGTCTTCCCCTAAACTCTCCACTGGCTTTGTATGTTGCGTAAAACTTTCTATTCTGCCAGACTCGAGTCTGAGAACATAGTCATCGTTCTCAACATCCAGAAGATCATGAGAGATGACCAAAGTCATTCGCTTCTTTCTCCAAGATCTGATCTTCCGGTAAAGAGTCTTTCTAGTGTTGTGATCCACGGCACTAAGCGCCTCGTCTAGAATGAGAATAGGACTGTCTTTTAAGTATGCTCTTGCAAGTCCTATTCTTTGCATTTGACCTCCTGAAAGAGCAGTCGACATTTTCAGATGAATTCCATTTTTCAATGAGTCGACAAAGGGGCCAAGCTCAGCAAATTTGCAAGCGTTGATGACCTCGCTCTCGGTGATCTCTTTGTGGCCGAGCGCTAGATTCTCATAAAGCAGTTTTTCAAAAACAAGAGCATTCAGCTCAACCAAAGTAGTGAATCTAGAGACTTGCGAGCTTGTTAAATTGTTCATGTTGTGGTTATCCACTATTATCTCTCCCGAAGTAGGGTTGTAAAACTTCATTAAGAGGGAGGCAAGAGTTGACTTACCGCAGCCTGATCGCCCTAAAACAAACGTAAGCCTATCAGTATCAATATCAAAAGTCACATTTTGGAGACTAGGTCTTTTTGCGTCTCGGTAGAGAAAACCCACGTCTCTGAATTGTAACGTCTTTCCATATATTATGGGCTCGAAGTCTTTTTCGACATAGCTTTCTTCCTCCAGGCTACATTCATCGTACTCTAAAAATCTCGCAATCATTGAGGCAGCTGCTTGTCCCTTGTTAAGAAGAGCTAGCACGGATGCCACGGTCGAGACATGGGTGCCTAAAATGAGGCAAGAGCTAAATGCTGTAAAAACTTGTCCAATCCTAAGCTTCCCAGCCAGTACCATGTACGCACCAAACCAAAATCCCTGAACAAACACCATAAATGATAATGCCCGCAATATCAGTTGGTTAGCACTGATAGAAATGGACATCCTTGTGAAAGCTTTTGCTGATAAGTCCACCATCCGATTGAAGTTCACCAGATCTTTAAATTTCCCATTTAATAGACGAACAAGATTTCCCGATACAAAAGACCAATCCAATACTTTTGAAGCCTTTGCACTAAAGCAGTTCTCCTTGTTTGCATACTTGAAAGTCAACTTTCCAAATATTATACTTGAGATTGCCATTATGGGCGCTGATGCCATGATCACCAACGTAAGAGACCAAGACGAAATCATGGCAGAAATAAGTAACAAAATGATTGATGAGGTTCCTTGTACCAATAATGCAATATTTTCTGACATTGCGTCTCGGATTTCTTCGATACAACGGTTTACTTGTGCCATTGAACCCATTAGGTTCTCTTTTCTTTCGTACCATTCGAGTTTTTGTCTCATAAGGTTTGAAAAAAGCCTCGATCTTGCTCGATCCTGTTGCCTTTCTCCGAGAATAAGCCAAATATGTATACTTAGCCATGTAACCAACATCCTTACAACTCCCACCACCATTATGAGGCCACATAAGAGTCTAATGTCTGAAATGAAGTCGCCAAAACCTTTATAACCGCCGGTTATGTATTTTGAAAGTTTGTCAAATGCTTTACCATAGATATGTGTTTGAATTGGCGAGCCGACAGATGCAACCACCATGGTGATGAACCCTGAAATAAAGTATGGAATATCTCTTTTGGTTGCAAACATGAAAAGGCTAGCTTTCGTCTGACCCATAGAAACTGTACCATCGTTATGCATCGACATGTTTTGAACTTTTGTAATATCATACTTGAGAGAAATATTCGACTCATTTTATACTTATAGACAGAAATTGGGGACAAAATTTTTTGGTTTCATCTGTTTACCCTTTTGGTCCTTGCAATGGGAGTGCGATTAAGATCCAAGCTTTGGCTGGGTGCGGCGCACATCTCTAAAATATGCAAGTCATTTAAACCTAAGGATTACGAAGATCTGATATATACAAATATTATTTTTCGGTATGTTGTCTAGTAGATTGGGAATAACACGGTCAGGTACTCCATATCGTCTTTACTGCCATTTGTTTTCTCGTTTTCTTTTCTCATTCTGGCAGCTTCTCTGTTTTTTCTTGCCCTGGCGACCGCTTCGATGCCACTTCCCCCGCCGAATTTCACTAACCCTCTGAAGAATAGATCTAGCTTCTCAAAATCATCCTCATTATCTGTAAGGTCAACAGTGGCTCGGAATGGGAGCTGAATCATGATAGCTCTGAAATCAAAGAGCGATTTCGAGAGCCAATAATTTTCCAGCTCCGCAACCACCAAGTTCTGGTCGTAGCAAGGATCCGATTTAAGCTTTAAGAAGAACATAAGCTTCAAAGTCTGCTCCACAAGCCGTTTGATCATTGGATGTTTTCTCGGTAAGTGCAAAAGTCCAGGTGATGTGAAAACCCTAAGGTTCAATACCAAAAAGTGAGATCTCTGGGTCACGTCACAATAGGAATAGTATTTTATGTGGCTGGGATCATCTGTGTCCTTAGCGTATGCACTGCTGGGCAAGAATATCTTTCGTGATAAGTCGTCGAAATCAGGATGAGCAGGATGATCGCGAGGAATGAGGAATTGGTCTTCTGGTGTCAAATTTGGTATTATTTGCTGTCGTGAGACACGTTGAAGCAGCGCAAGGACCTCACAAACCTCTTCAGGACTTGCCTGTTTCAGCCCACTCTCATTCATTCCCGCAATAACATCTAGAAGCTTGAACAAGCACAGTGAACATTCACTGGTGAGAGTCAGAAAAAGATTAAAGCCGGAATGAGTTGTTGAAGCAGGTATGAGGACACCAAGCTTTCGTAATATATGCTGGTGAACGAAGCCATCATGTCCTTCTAAGTGTGGGTCGTCGACTAGAAGGTGAATGTCTCGTATACTGCTCCTAGTTATCTGTGAATTCAGCATTCCCAACTTCGAAATAAAGTCAAACAAAAGAATAGGAGTTTGGCAATTGTGATACCCGGGGAATCTGGTTTGTTAATTTCGCTTGTTGTTTGACTAACTTGTATTTGATTAAGAGCGATCTTGCCTTGTTGAGATGTGAAATCCAAGAAACTGGAACCGAATTCGCATCTACGAGGCTCATATCACTGAAAAGGGTGGTAAGTATAAGAACAGTTAATATGAGGCCCTCGATATGTCGAAGTGAATCTTCGTTATTTTTTAAATCTGTGAAAGCTTGGACCAAAAGCTTCATGCAAATTGCAGTTGACCTCTTCTGGTTTCTATCATGCTTTGGATTCTTTGTGATCGTGAAAAGACATGAAGCACCCAATGCTATCAAGGCATAAACCAAGTATTTGAACATTAACAGATATTCAAGGAGAACGTGCATGATCTCGTTATCTTTGGTGGTAGGAGCAAATGGGTATATGAACAAGAAAAGCTCCTTACAAGAAACAGCCCTGAAGTATTCTAACTCATCAGAGGAAAGCTTATACGTTTCATTCACACGTTCGACAAGTTCCTCATTGGTTGGGTCTTTATTCTGTTCGTGAAACAAAGGCTCGCGCATTTGGCCATTTATTGAGCCCCAGAATTTACGTCCATCGGGGTCTCGATCAACATCAGTACCATAACGAAGATAGTCCTGAAGTTCTGCTTCGTTGAAGAAGTGATTCTCGTTAGACGATTCGTTAAGAATTATGTCGGAGTGGAACGGCTTCAAATGAGATCCATCGGGAGTACTCTGGGCTGAGAATTGCAGAAGACTATCGCCACCTAACACGTCAAAAGATGCCAAGCCATGCACTAAGGTATTTGCATCATCGAGGACGTTTTCGAAGAGAAGCATATCCAATTGAGCATCATCTTGGACGACATCTGGCAATCTAATCATTGGAGGCAAAGGAGACTCTACCAAATGCGTAGTATTGAGGTTGTTATTGGTCGTGTTGATCTGGGGTAGAGGAGATAATCCTCCCGAGTATGGATTTGATGGGTGTCCGCCTTGCGATACACTGAGCCCTTTGTAACCATTTCGGCCATCATTGGTATGGCTTAAAGCTGAATTAGCAGATAATGATGGGGCAGGTGTAGGCATACCACCTGTATTAGCATGGAGAGATACATTCGGATCCAATTCATGCGGATGTAGTAGGTTAAGGTCAGGCGGCTGGTTTGTATGATTGTGATGCAATGGCTCTTGCTCCAGCGGAACTGTCGGTAGTGGATCTTTCTTAATGTCTCTTGCACGGCGGGGTTTGTTTCCGTGATTTGGAGTAGGGTAAACGCATGGAAACTTGACTCTCTGGCAATTTCCACATGTGGGGTGCACTTCGTCACACTTGATTTTGCGTCGTTTACACTCGATGCACCCAGCACGAGAATAACGCCTCTTCACAATCACTTTTCTCAGCTCTGAACTCATGTGAGATGAGCACTAACGTGGGATGGAGCTTTAAATAAAAGGTGGAAAGGTGGGAAGATATGTTTGAACGTAATAGGCGATTCGAACCGGTTACCATGCCGAGATCTGGCACGTGACTACAGAACAATGGAATAAACCCGATTCTTCAGCAAAAGCTGTGGGGGTTGTCAAGAAATTTTCTTCTATCGGTTTGACCATCAGGGAAGCCGGTCCTTCAGTGCTCTTAATACTTGCAGTGACGGAATTACAGAAACATGTTGAGTGGCATCCGCACCTTGATGTATAGGAATACAAGAAGGCCTACCTGCGACTCACCAGTCCAGACATCGCCTGATCATAATTTGATATGAGAATTGCCAATCTTTCGATGCATAATTAAAGCCAGCTACTCAGTTCTACTTCTTATGATACAACATTAACTATATACTCGTGTCTCTATATCAAGCATTTATCTCCTCAGTTTCGCCATGAGTGGAGAGTAACCCATGCTGTCATTCAAGAGCTCAAGCTCGTGTTGCGATAGATACTTTGGAGTCTCTTTCTGAAGTTCTGAGTTAAGGCGCCTTAATTCATCTATCTCACGTTCTGCATCATGTAGCTTCTCCTCTAAAAGCTTTACTTTTTTTAGATTGTCTAGCTTATTGTAACTCACTCCGCCCCGAAAACCGCCTAATAACACATTTGTGGCGATAAAGCTCCCGAAAATTAAGACATTGCATAGGAACACCAGCTTCCAGCTGATTGGCTTAAGGAATTCGTTGATGATTTCCCCAAATGTCTGTGCCGTCACCAATGATTTCCCAATTTTTTCAGGGTCTTTGTTCATGCATTTGTCCCATTCTAAGCAGGGTAGTTCTAAAGCCGGAGGTCGCTTGTCGGCTGTGCATTTGTTCCTGTAAAACTCTTTCGAGCATAGCGTTATTTCCCGCAAGGCATCTGTAGTTGCAAGCTCCATCCTGTGCTTTGTATCGGCTCTGATGGTGGATATGAATATGTATATGATGTAAAAAATCACCAACGCAAGAAAAACATTAAATAGTAGTTGGAGATACATCAGTAAAATGTAAGGAGTTGTATAGTCGTTTAAAAACCCAGTCCCAGGAGTATTCCGTTGCCTATCGAGATGGTCCCCCTCTGGCTCCATTCTGTACATGCGTTCTCCATTATCTTCTTCGTAACGCATTACCTCTTTTGTTGGGGAAAATATGACCTTTCCAAATCTCGGTGGGGTCTTCTGAGGTGGATGAGCTCCCGGTAACGGCGTTGAAGATGAGTTCACGGGTTCCGTAAAAGTTCGGGACGGACTGTTCTTCAATATGGAAGGTAGGCGTCTTCTAGCTTCAGTACCTCCCTTTGAAACCCCATTGGGCCAAAGTTGTTTGCTGTCGAATCGAAGAAGATCCTGGTCGAGTGTCGATTCAGCGTCAGGTAGAATATCATCAACCTTAGCCGGTTTAGCCTGAGGAGTGGCATACTGAGTCTCCTCGTTGGCGTCACCAAAGGGAGCCCGAAATCTATTTGACATCGTGTGAGCTTCTGTCTGGCGAATCGCTAGTTTCAATAACGTGCAATTGGTTTGGTTTCGCTTTGTTGTGTCTACCTTGATGCGCCGCGCGATGGCACTTATGGGATCCGGAGAAAGCGTTGGGTTAACGGTTGGGCGAGCCAAGGTTTTTGAGACATATGCAAGTTGGAAAGAACATAAATTATTCCGCTTCTGTCATATTATTCTTTTCGTTTAGTAAGCATTACTAAAGCTTTCGAACACGTTTCGGAGTTATCTAGAAGCAAGTGGGCTGTAGCGCTATCGCTTTCAACTACTCGGATGCTTGGTCAATTAGATGCGCCCACGTTGGTAGAAGTAAGGCGAGGGAATTGATAGAGCAAATCCGTGAAACGCATTAAGACTTCAGTCTTAAAGCTTTAGGTAGATTCGTTTAGGCACGTTGTATAGAGCAATGCTGTAATTTTTTCCAACCCCAAAGATAGGGGGATTTTGCAGCCACGATAAGTACTTCCGTGAAGCACGAATGAATTACTGAAATTTCGTTCAGCCTAAGGTACTGCTATTATTCCTATGTGTCGTAAAAGTTTGATCTATTTGCTTATAGCCAGGTGTTTACTAGCCAGGGCTTTGACGAAGGTGGTACACTCGCGTTGACACGCCTAGAATCCAAGAACATAAACTAGGTATCGTAGGATGGCAAATTTTTTATACAATGATCAATGTGTGATCTTCTTAAACCGAAGGTTTTCGTGGCTTAAAATATTTGTAAAAAAGATGTGATCCCTATTTTTCTACTGTTATCTAACTTTTGTAGATATTTGCTGATCTTGCTCATTCACCAAAAAATCGCGAACATTGACTACTTTCCTGTTCTTCTAATGTCCCTCAAAGATCGGCTCCAAGCATACAAATATGAAGACGAGGAGAAAATCGAAACCAGTGCTACCCGGGTAACAAAGGCCAAGAAAAAGAAGAGTAGTGAAGTGAAAAGCAAAGAGTCCCCGGTTCCTCTACTTGATCTCCCACCATCAATAGCACCAGGAATAACGGTGGTATTCGTGGGGTTCAACCCTGGGGTGGAATCTTCAAAGCAGCAACACCACTACGCACACTTCACTAATCTTTTTTGGAAGCTTTTTAATGCTTCTGATCTACTACGAAAAGTGTTGGCTCGTCGTGGAATTTCCATCAAGGATCATCATTTGCTCGGAGAGCTATATAATAACGATCAAGATCTATGTACAGCAGCTGCCCGTCATGATAATGACTTGTTAGAGTTCGGTATTGGCTTCACAGATCTTGTACTTCGATGTACGAAAACCGCCCAGGAGCTCAGCAAGGCAGAGAAAGTAGCCAATGTTCCAAGGTTGATGCTGGAGTTCAGCCAATGCACTGCACCTTTCGTGGTGTTCATTGGCAAGGGAATTTGGGAGATAGTGGTGCAGTATCTCATCCCCGGCTATAAGCTAACCAAAAGCAACTTTAAATGGGGTAAACAGGAACTGTCAACTGCGTTGATTCAAACCTTTCACAAGCATTGCACACATTTACCTTCCATATATGTGTTCCCCAACACTTCCGGATTAGTAGCTCTGATGAAGTTTCCGGAAAAGCTTGCTTTATGGGATGATCTTGTAGCAGATATTTGAGACTTACTTCCAAACTCTGTCAAAAACTTGGTCCAAATCATACTCGAACTTGACTTGCAGCTCTTCATTCACGTTCTCACCTAACTGACCAAAGTTCTTGGTAAACAATTGATCAACAACATAACGAATGGCGTTGCATTGCTTTTGACTGTAGCATTCATTGTACCTGAGTCTTTGAAAGGCTCGTTCTTGTAGCTCATTGCATTTAGCTCCTCTTTTTATCTCAGCCGAGCAGTTATCAACGCCGAAAAACAGCCAACCTTCATAGCACTTTAGCACAGCAGCCTGAAGCTCGGCGCAGTTTATAGCAGATGACTTTTGAGCCAGAAACTCTCTCTTGAATTCGTCAAACTCGAAAGAGTATTGGGTATTCTGTCTGTCTAGCACATTAGCCACCTTTTCATCCTTTGAGTCCTTTTCTAACTTATGGGCTGTCGGACTGACTTCTTTGTAAAACTCTTGTAAATTTTCGGGAAGCTCGTCTGTAACGTCTTTATTAGACTTTTGGGATCCAAACGGCCACATGTATGGTACTATATTTCTGAAAAAAGCACTATTGAGCGTGCTATGTACGGGAGGATGAGTTGGTGCACAGGTGCAGCATAGATCAGGCAGATTTCCAAACTCAGATTTTGCAGCCATCAATAGCTAAATCAGCTTCTGTCCAAAGTACCTTCGAAAAGTCGTCCAACTTCAACATCTATTATGTTGAGGGAAATATCCGCAGCCTTGTTTGCTAGGTCCCTTTGACGTGCCAATTCGTCCCGCAATGGACGTAGCTTGCTTACTATAGTAAGCCTCAATCGATTTGCTATTGGAAAAAGACGGACAAGCTGAGTTCTATCAAATTTCAGACCATCTTTACTGGATACACCATCTATAAGAAGGGAAACTCTGACATCAACCTTTTGAAAGAAAGTGAAGAGCTCAAAGAGGAATAGATCTCTATTTCTATCGCCACCATCAGTATCAAAAGCGTACCACTCAATCCAATCTTCCAAGTCACCAAGGATTTTAATGAAATATTCTTCTTGACCAAATAAGCTGTACTCAGGAGAGATCAGTACCCAGAGAACATCAAGTATCTGTGCCACATCTTGAAGCAATTGCTGCAAGTGGTACTCTTTCCTAGTTTCAGCTTGGTTTTTGACGAATTTTCTCTGTACTTGCAAGAGTTCATGGTCCAAATATGCTATAAGCTTGCTCTGCTGACCACTACTGACGCTGGGATGGGCATTCTTCTGTAATTTTAGAATTTCAGCCCCAATAGCATCTTCAAATGGCAATGTCCACAGGGAAACCTCCACATTAACTTGGTCATCGCCATTATGGTTTTCTTCCTTGACCGTACTGGGTGGGTGAATACTTATATCATCATCATCCAAATCGTCCTCTAGACCAGGATTGAGATCTAGGTCATCAGCGGCCAACTGTGAATGCGGCAAGTCTCTGACTTCTTGATTCGGCCCGGGGTGAAGCGGCGTGGGTGGTGCACTCATTATCTCACTTGTCAAATCCTCTGCTAACACAGTTGACCCACCGCTATGGAGTACACTGATGCGATGCATCTGCAGGAAATACTGATAAGGTTTACTTACTAGAAGGGTACATCATGGGGTCAAAATTGTCCAGAGAACCTCAAAAGTCTGCAAAGCATAGTAATTTACAAAACAAAGAAATTGGAGTCTATAAAACAACTATGCTTTGAATTTTGTTGTTGTTGATGTGGTGCTACATTTGCAGCTAAAGAATCGAGAATAATTAGAGAGCGGCCAAGAGCATCCAGGATAAGGAGCTCATCGTCATGCGATGGCCACGACAAGAATGTTGTTTGCACTTAACGGTTGCAACTTTCTTGCTCAAGGCTCTTCAAATGAGTCTGGACGCTGAAATGATTCGGAGCCACGTGATGCTACATGGCAGCAAGTGACATTTCAGACAAGATGACAGCAAGATATGTAGGGAAAGTACAAAAAAAAAAAAAAAGAAAAAAAAAAAAAAAAGCATTTGAAGGAACAGAAAGAATAAGTGTACTGGCCGAGTCTTGTAGCCACACTACGTAAGGGAAGCATAGTGTGGTGAGTCGCACTAGCATCAGGCGCTGCGTCGTCTGAGGCAACTGATTGCTCATGGAAAGGGGGGAGAAGAGAAAGGTAAACAGAAGCAAAAAAAATAAAAGAGAACAATTGAAACGCTACAGTATGAGAGACAAAAAGCCGCAGAAGGAAAGTTGAAAAACATTGCAACTCGTTTTCCTCAAGCACACTTTTCTCTTCATCACAGAGTCCTTTCTTCGGCAGCCGTTGTGCGATACGAAGCTGTGGATGGCTGCTTTTGCAACTGCGATATGTCCGAAGTGACACTCCGCGCACCGGACGAGAGGTAACGATGAAGCACTTTCTACCATAGAGGCCTAGAAAAAAAAAAAAAAAAAAGACGGGCCACTAGCGATAAGGCAACGTGACTTGACATATCGCGATCCTTTATTCTCTCTCGCCAGTCTTTCCACCACCTGCCCTATAAATCTACTTGCTGCCGTTTTATTTCCCTTTCGGCCTCTTTTTTATCTTGATACTCATTATCAGGTCTTTCTGCATAGCCAACGATGCCTGTTACCCAGCATATCCCCAAGCCAGGCTCAGAGTCCAAGGAGCCTAAGAAGCCCCATCGCCAAATCATCCGTCTCAAGCCCGTTGATTACAAGCCTGAGAGACCTCGTCATCATGCTGATGCTACTGGCCAGCGCCTGAATCGTTGTGACGAGCCCCTGAGCCACGCAAGTCCCATCGCTATCGATACCCCCCAGATTCGCCGAACTCGGTCCCGTTCCTCAGGGTCTGGTTACAAGCATGTAGACAAGCATGCCGAGTTCTTCATGAATGATCCCGCGGTACATAAAGATATTCCTAAGCTTCAGAACCAGTATCTTCGGCCGAACGCCAAGTTTGTGGGTGAGCAGCAGAGCGGCGCTTACAGATATGACATCAAAGTCGAACTCAAGAGTGTGGACTTGGTGAGCTCTATTGTAACAGGATTCTTTCAAATCTCCGGCCTCACAGATGAACATCCACTCATTACTACTTGCTTTAAGGGGGAAATCATCAACAATCCGCTAAACAGCACCAGGTGGCAGAACCACCCCAAGGACCATCAAATGAAGGAATATGCCTTCATAACTGAAGATAGAAATTGGGGATCTTTCCCCCAGAATGATATTGATCATTGGAGGACACTCACTCGAGCTTCTAGTAGCATGTCTGAGGAGCATCTCCTATCGAAATTGCGCAGTATTCATGCCGGCGACCTGGATAATCAGTACATCTACATGCGCTGGAAGGAGGAGTTTTTGTTGCCTGATCTGAGGATCAAGCAATTGAAAAATGCTTCCTTTGAAGGCTTTTATTACGTCGTGCTCAACATTGGCAGCGGCGCCGATGTCAGTTCTGGCGATTGCTTCTCATCTCGCATAATCCCTGGCACTATCAGCGGCTTGTATTACCATACCCAGAATGATAAGTTTCAACTGCTTTCGTTGCGCTATGTTGAAGATCGGGAGTTTTCCTACAGCTTCGACTTTGCGTAAGTTGGAAAGGCATGAACCTTTCGCGGCGATAGTAGCCGTTTAACGATGTGACGATTTAATTCTGGGAACTTGATTTGGATAGATGCAACTGTTGAAGTCTATTTATAAGCGTTTTATACAAGAAAAATGCAAGGATAATTACATGTTGAAGAACTGAAGGGCCTCCCAAAATCTTGAAATCTCTCACTTAATCTTTCTTTTCAGCTCTCTTGGCGTAGATAGCAGCAGTGTAAGGCTCTTCAAAGAGCAAAGCGATCTTGTACATGACGTAGACGAAGGCTGTAACCACTAAGCCGGTTGGTTTGCCATACCATAAGGCTGTTCCCAAGAAGCACAAGGTAGATCCATTGTACATAGGGTTATCGTTAACATTGAAGGGGAAAGATGTAACCCTTTCATCCATCAAGATACCAAAATAGTCGCCCAAGTAGGTACCTGTGATGCCCAATGCCCACATTGACAGCAAAACGAGGACATTGCCGAAGGCAAACGTGCCAATTGCGAGTGCTTTCACGAGATCGGATTCAACGAAGGGCTCGAAAGTAGGTTGAGCCAAAAGCGCTTGATTGTAGACATGATCACGGAAAATACCCAACGAGAATATAGTGAAGGCTAGTAAGTAGCAGCCATTGCGTGCGCCACCGGCAGCCTTAGTTAGGAAATGTGTTCTGTGTTCAAGTCTGGCAACCACATTCCAAAAGATGGGATTGAAAGCAATACAACCAATTGCAAGCTTAAGTTGGGATGTAACATCGATATAGTCACCGAAATTGGTGTAAAGTTCAGTCAACTGCAATTTGTCCATGGTAGTAAGGGGAGGAATGCACGACTGGGAAAACGATCTCATTCGAGCTTGGATATATAGAGAGAACAGCAGCATGTGAAACCGAGCCAGTCCACGTGACACTTGATGGTTGTCTTATCTTTCTACTCCTTTCCTCCTTCTTTGCGTTTTGGTGTTCAACAGCAATAAGCATATTGTTTTAAAAGAAAGTGAGAACAAAATGATATACCAAGTACATTTACAAAATGGTGGTTGCTCACAAAGTAAGTCGGATATGTTTCCTTTTTTTTTTTTTTTTTATTTTTTTATTTTTTTTGGGCCAACGGCTGCGAAACTGTCTACCTTGGTCTGGCTGCAACGTGAAGTAAGTGGATTGAAAGCGATGGAGTGTCACCTAGATGCATTCTTTAATATCGACTATTATCATGTATAAAATCTTACATCTCATGATTCTGGTCCCAGAAACCAGTGACTCACATTATCTCCCTCGACCGGCAATAACTGCCATAAGATATGGTTTAGTCGTCTCGTTCTGCGAATCAAGTTCGACCGTTGCTTGATAAAGCACAAAACCCTACCTTCTGCAACTCCTCCTAAATCATTAGCTTCAAGGCTTCAAGATTGGTCAAAGTGTTTATATACTGACACGTGACCTCCTTATACAGTTTCATCCACTTGGTCGAAATTCCTGTTACTACTACAAGACGACATGAGACATAGAGTAACATTCATTCATTCATTACCTCCAGATGAAAAAATAGCCAGCTCTCTCAATGAGACTTACGTACGTCTCAAAGATGGGCCCGAGGTTGCTCGCGAGGATAGATATACATTTCCTGCTCCAGAATATAAGAACGTTAAGTCGCTCCGTATCCATGTTAACAAAGGGTACGAAGACTCTCACGTCACCTCCCCATTTTCTTATCAATATCAGGTCGGACTGCATTTCTATGTAAAGCCAGTGGTGATTAGTTCTCTAGCAGAAAGAGAGGAATTTTACAGTAACAGTGGCAGATTGATCAAGGACTACTTCGGAGTGGAGCCAGAGAGTCAAACATGGATTCCTTCACTCAGCGCTTTGTACTTTCACGTGCAAGAGCCATTAGAAATGTCTTTCAAGAATGTTGCCGATGAATTGTCCGCTCTTGACAACGATTGGTCTTGCTTGGACTATCATTCCAGCGACGGTACCTCTGCTTTGAAACTATTCTACCCTGTAAGTCAGCGTCGATTTGTTGATGTCAGTAATACGTCAGAATTCACTGAAGTCGGAATATTTGCTATTGATAAGCAATCTTCCAGGGATGATTTGGTACTTTCAGGCGCCAGAATCGTCATGAACGACAACGAAGATCTGGATTTGGTCCAAAGAACACTCTTCCATGTCAAACCAAGGCATAGGTCGATCGATCCGATGGAATTGTCATATAAGCCCAATGGGTTACATCCAGTCATTACGTTCGGCGATGCACCGGAGTATCCTGTGGACGAGGATATCAAGAATTGTATCCTTTATTCTTATTATACTCTTGAAAAGTCAATATTTCTTGATCCTTACCAAGTTCCATCGGGCTTCAACATATTAGCAAACTACGGCACAAAGGATTTGGAATTACCAGAGTATGCAATAAAACAATGGGGAAATGAAATATTAGTGGAGCACAAGGACCTTGGCGTATTTCCCTTCGACCTTACTTTGCATTCCCGCTACCAATTGCCTAGCAATGCAATTTCGAAGCGCACAGTCCTCGATAAGCCCGTCGTATTCTACGCATGCGAGGGCATGGTCGATCCATACTTATTAAACAATTCACCATTTGACAACAAGAGGGCACCAGGTGGAAGTTTCGAAAAATTTTTCACCGATGATACAATATTTTATCATGCTCTGAAGCATGGCTACTTTGATGTTGATATCCCTAACGCAGCTTTAAATACTACGACTGCTAAACTGCTTACCCTCTTTGCTCTCCTCTTCGGGGTAACTATTATTTTCTACAAGCTTTTCAGAAGAACAATTTTACAAAGAACTACCGGAACCAAGAAGAACGAATAATTAAGTGAATAAATAACCGCGTGTTACCTTCTATTTTACTATCATATAACCCCCCTACGTCACATCCAATCCGCTCCTATTTACAACTCATCTTTTCTTCCAGACTTTCCTACTGGAATTACTCTGTATTCGATGAACAAATCACCATATTCGTTTTCATCTTGAAAGTGAGGCATACCATGTCCTTTCACGACCTCTACTTCTCCATCAATGACAGGCACATTCTTACCTCTTTTAATCGTTACGGCTTCACCGTCAAATAAAGCAATCTCTCGACTCCAGCCACCAACGTTTGCTTCTTTACTGGTGAGAAGCTCTGTTCTGTAGAGGTGATCCTTAATCCGGCGGAAGCCCCAGTTTTCTGTGTGAACATCTCTAAACTGGAGATTCATGTTGCCTGGGACGAAGTCTGGATTTTGATCGCCCTCACCTTCTAGGACATGGCGGTAGTTACGCGGAGTACCTGGACTTATGTACACATTGTAATGTCTTGAAGTACGCTCCGTGCCCTGGCCCTGACATTTGGCACATGGTTTCGCTATCGTCTGACCCTTACCACCACACTGGTCACATTGCGACTGGAACTGCTGGATAATGGGGCCCATTTGCCTTCTCATCATAACCACACCGGACCCCTGACACTTTGTACAAGTATGCTTTTTGCCATCTGCGGACCTGCTTCCTTTGCATTTACCACAAATGTTGTTCATTTCGACGTCAAACTCTAAGTCTCTACCCAAAAAGGCATCCTTTAAAGGCATATTCACGTTCACTTGGGTATCAGGACCTCTCTGTACTCTTCTTTGATGTCCGTGGCCTCCACCAAAGCCACCTTGTTGGCCTTGAAAGAACTGGTTGAAGATATCGCCAAAATCGAACGCAGACCCGCCAGCTCCCCCAAACCCTCCTCCACCATTAGCATCACCAAACTGGTCGTAATTTTGTTTTTTCTGTGGATCGTTGAGGATATCATAAGCCTCTCCTATTTCGATAAATTTATCGTGTGCCTCGGGGGACAGATTTTTGTCTGGATGGTACTGTTTCGACAATTGTCTATATGCGCTCTTGATGGTCTTCTCATCAGCATCTTTGGAGACACCCAAGATAGCATATGGATCTATGGCTGCCACGAGAGCTAGACAAAACAATATGAGTGACAGGAAGATCATATCATATGCTGAGTGGAGATATGTAGCTGTCTGCAAATTGGCTGTTTGAAATATCTTACACGTATATAGCCACATTAAGCGCACTCGAGAAAATTCTAGATCACGTGAAAATATTGTGACATTTGACTTAGTCCCACTAGCTTCCTCAATGGGAAGTGTAAGTAAGCCAAAAGAGGCCAACGCGACCAAATTTCTCGAGCTACTCTTTCTTTTTATGGCCCGTAAGAATGTAGAAAACGGCATAGCCATTAAGATTGTTGAAGTCGAGCCACTACGAATGGGACGAAGAGATCTTTCGCTAGACAGAGCAAACTCCAAGATCAACTTCTCGTCCAGTCAACCTTATAGAAAGCCAGAATACTCATATTTCGTACAATTAAATAAAAAAAAAAAAGTTAAGAATGATTTCGCCCAGGATCGAACTGGGGACGTTCTGCGTGTTAAGCAGATGCCATAACCAACTAGACCACGAAACCTTTCTTGTTGTGAAACATATTTTACACTAAACCTGATACTGTAGTTTAGTGGTCTTAATAGTATTTCAATTGTATTTTAGCTTTTTCATTAAAAACATCAATGTTTACAATGCAGTTAAAATGTGAAGCTTTAAACTCAAAAATTGAACGAGATAGCGAATATATCACGCGAGGCAGTCAGATTTATTAAGCAAACTTTAGAGATTATGATCTGTATGAAAATTTTGTTGCTTTTAATCTTATTAAAACCATCTTTAAGGCCGTGTGTAAACCTTGATTTCTTTCCATTAGTGCCAAAGAAAACTACATCCTGCACAACACAATATCAACTCACTCTAGTATCTGTAGCGTCTGAAGAACCAGCTTTTACCATTTCCATGCTGGAAGTCATCAGCATAGCGGCCTCACAAGCTCTGAGCCATCTTTGCACCCAGCTATATAATGTTCAAGAGTCGTATATTCCGTATCTGAAAACAGCAAGCCCCACTCACCAGAATGATGTCTTTCTAGAGCCATCGAGATCTAACGGGAGGGTGAACTACTATCCAAGAGCTCTAAGCGTTGAGTTTTCGGGTGGTTACGGATACTTGGGGAAGTATGCATTTCAGGAACCTGCGCCAGACTTGACAGCTTTCGGAGATGTAGAAATAGATCAAAGGCCTCGAATCGAGAAGAACGAGTACCAACAGCATCTAGATGCTGGCCAACCGACCGATTCCCTGATGCTTAATGTGAATAATACTAAGTACTGGTCGGACTATAACAAGCTTGTCTATAAACCTAGTTCGCTTTTGACTTTACTGGAGTATAACCACCCAGATGGCACTCACAAACATTTTAACAGATTGAAGTTCGATCTTTTCAATATCGGCACCGAAGAGTACAAGAAATATGGGGATGAAATCGATGAGAGCTTTAGAAAGCTACTAGAATCTCTGGATAACATTCAAGGTGTCAGCGTGTTCACTGGACTTGATGATGCTTGGGCCGGCTTTTCGAACGAAATGTTGATTCAGCTAAGGGATGAATACTTCAACAACGGGGTAAGCAGCAAATACAATATATGGTGCTACGGTATTACTTCTGGTACTTTCACAAAGCAAAGGACTTTGACAAGAATAAAATCACTAGTCGAATTATCGAAGAACAGCTCACTCTTTTTCCCGCTTGGTCTCGATACTTCACTGGATCTTCTTCTGGATGACTTTGTTGCCTCAAGTGAATGGCATAGACAAGCTGCACATGCTTACTTTGTGAATTCAATTTGGTGCAGCAATAATCAGTTCGAGAAAAGAAGCACTATGGCGGAGTATGAAGCAAACCTCTTGCGTGGTGCTGATAAGCGGAATATTGTGAACGAGATTGCGGTACACGAAAAAAAGCTGAATCTGGCAACGACCATTATTGATGATCCCAGAATGATAGAAGCCGTCATGAAAGGTGAAATCTCAACCTCACAAAAACCGAGAAGTCTCGATTTGAGCTTTAATCCCAACCCCTTGAATGCAAAGCCATTTTTTACACAATATATTATTCCCGAGGATCAGTCTCTAGTGGATGAACTTCAGGGAAGGATAAGTATAAACCGCGACATCAACAAAATAGTTGATAGTGATTCATTTCCTAAAATTTTTGAATCCTCATCCTTGTACACTCAGTTTGGCCAATCTACAGGGCTTAAAGACTTGTTTAAGCAATACCGTCAGATCATACACCACGCTCGTGCTCATAAAGATTTAGAATTGATCGGAGACAAGCAGGAGCTAATAGAGGATATCTCATGTGTTGTTGATGAGTATACACAGGGATATGACCTGGAAGAAGAATCTGAATAGAATTGGGATGTTCATAGAAGTATTTGAAGTTTCTTAAAAGTTTTATATCTAAGCAACGGTCTTCTCAACCAAGAAGATACCGTAGTCATCCTTCAAGGCCTTCATGATAGGTTCATTAATGTCCCCTGTCATTGGAGCCAACAAACCCTTCTTAGACAAAGTACCGTCGAAGATCTGCTGGACAGCAATAGCACAAGGCACGCCAACCAATTTTGCCATCGAAGAGTAACCCTTAGGGTCACCGTAATCCACTAAGGTGGAAGTTCTGGTCTCCTGGGTACCATCAGCCCATTCGATACCAAATTTATGTTGCAAGCAAACCATGTCTCTCTCACCCTCTTCATACTGGCACAACTCCTCCAAGGTAGCACACAAGGTATCCAATGCATTCTTCCTTGGGGTGGTCTGCTTGTCAGACAAGAGACCCAACCATTTGAAGCCCGAAATAATTCTTTCCTTGTCCTCTTCGCTCTTGAAGTTGGTCAATTCGGAAATTTTAGCAATAATATCTTGTTCAGAAGAAGAAGAAGAACCAATCAATTGAGCCAAAGCCTCTTTCCATGGCTGTGCCTTTTGGAAAGCTGGAAGTTCGGCTTCCTTCAAGAAACCCAAGTCGACGAGAACCTTGATGAACTCAGGGAAGCCTTGGTATCTCAAAGTACCTCTAATGACAGTCTCGGCCTCTGGAATACTGTACAATTCCTTGTAAGTGGTGGAGTCTCTGTTTGGGTAACAAACAAAAGCAAAACCAGGGTAGATAAAGTAAGGCTTGGCGGTGGCCATCAAGTCCTCAGACTTAACATCCACGACCTGGCCATCCTGCCAGTACTTAGCAAAGTTAGATAAAGCCAACAAAACACCACGGGAAGACCAGGAGAATTTGTAGCCTAATGGGTTACCAGAAGCCTCTGGGGCAGGCAAACCACCGCAGTAAGACAAAAAGGATTTGATCTTACCACCAGCCTTGTGAACCTCCTCCATAGTCTTCACAGCATACAAGTGATCAATACCGGGATCCAAACCAATCTCGTTCATGACGGTAATACCGGCCTCACGAATCTGGGGTTCCAATTCCTTCAATTTGGGGTTGATGTATGAAGTGGTTACCACATGCTTCTTGTGGGCAATAGCAGCCTTCACAACCAAGTGATGGTAGATGTATGGAATCAAGGAAATCACTAAATCAAACTTGGAAACGGCGTCAGACAAAGCCTTTTCATCATTGACGTCCAAAGAGATAGCATTTGCAACAGAACCAGCCAATTGCTGAGCCTTCTCCAAAGTTCTGCAAGCAACAGTAACCTCAATGTTCTTGTCAGCAGAAAGAATGTCAACAGTTGGCTTAGCAACAAAGCCTGAGCCCAAAAGAAGTACTTGTTTAACCATGATTAATGAAAAATAAAGGTGTTGAGAAAGTGAAAAATTGGATCTTTTTCGAGGTTAATTTTTACTACGTCAGTACTATGCAATCACCCTGCATGAACTTTCGTTATCTCTCCCCGCGGTACGGCATCCGCCCCATGAGTCATAATGTAGCTCAATGATTCATATACGTCGCTCCATTCACTTATGAGGTAAACAACTGATGTTTGCAAGAGTTGAATAAAGAATCAAAAACTTTAGTTGAACCTTATTTCAATGGTAAATTTTTGTAAATATAAGTCAATGCGGGTAAAATTGAGTTGCCATGGCGATTGTTAACTTCTGCGAGGACCTGATGAAGAGCAATGTTCGTATTGCCCAAGGTTGTGGCAGTTGCACAAAAATAGGATAAAAAAAAAATGCTTTACATTCATTACATAAGTAAGGTCCTCTTGCGTTTACCTCAAGAGGACATACCGGCTAACTAGCTCATGGACGTTGAGATGCATAACTCACAACAAACATAAGAACGATGAGAGGGCGATTGAGGGATAACAGATGGCTTGATAGCGTGAATTTAAGTATCCCGTAAGCAAGGGAAGGTAAAAGGTTGGTGAACATTCACGCTTAGAATTGATTGTCCGAATCACGAAACACGCAGTTTACTTAATGAGCATCACTTCAGTTCCATCCATTGATCCTTGCATCTATCCTGACTTCCAAATGTTTGCCAGATAGTGTTTCACGAACGCAATTGGATCACTAATCTTGCCATCTTTTGGAACCTCAAGAGTAGAAGCAAACGACTTGATTGGTAAGACCAAGACGTCGCTGACGAGCTTAGGTTTCTCCAAGGCATGGAAGTCCTTCCATGACACAGACTGATAAATCGACAGTTTCACGTAATCATTAAGGTATTCAAGGATAGTATCAGTCCAAAGGCCACTACCTGTCCACTTAGATATCGCTAAGGATTTTTGATTAGACAGTCCTTCCAAGGCAAGTTGTTCACCTTCCTTGAGGGTTCTTCTCAATCCCAAAGTGTTTTCGGTAATAGATGCGATGATCTCACGGAATATAGGGTGTCCGGGCTTACACTGAATGACGAAGTTGCCAAACTCCAATCTGCGTACCGTATCCAGCCTCCAATCTGCCAGATTTGAATCTGATCCGACTGCAATAATCAACCCGAGCTCTGTTGGTGAGACATTTTCGGGAATCCAATTAGGAACAGGTTGCAAAGGCACGGTATCAACATCGGCATAAACACCGCCTTTGGCAAAAAGTATCAAATACTTGAAAAAGTCCATTTTTAATATAACCTCTGGCATCAGTTTGTATGCTTCTACAACTTCCGGAGCGTGCTGGTATAAATGTTTGACAGTAGCGAAGGTAGTATCATCATTAAATAGTTCGTGAACAAATCCGGGATTCTTCACAGCCCACTGTGCCTGCCCCTCTCTATATTGTGCGTCAAACCTGTCGTCATTAAGGCCATGTTTCCAAGTTTGCCAGACATACGCAGGAAATTTTGTCTTCGGGTCGTATGGAGTCATGAATGCCAACTTTTCCCGAAGAGAGAACTTTTCGGGCGGGCTTCTCATGAGTTTGATCTGTTCAATAAGAAATTCGTTTTGCTTCTCCAAGTTCTTTAATCTTTCTTCATGTTTCAGATACAATTGCAGTTGCATCTTTTCAAGCTTCTTAAAGAATTCATCCTGTTTTTTGCTGTTTTCGTTTGATATAAGTGACAGCATTCCAGCTAGATTATCGATGTTTGAAAGTCGGAGGTTTTTCAGTCTTGATACCGAGAACTTTGTCACCACAATTATTACGACGAATAATGCCAATGCAGCAACCGCTAATCGTCTACGGTTTGTCATTCTTGATTTCATTCTTCCGTTTTAGAGGTGAGCTCAGAATGAAGACCTTGACTGAGTTGTTCTAAGCTATTTTGGTGAAGATCAAGCGCGCAGGCCGAAAAAAATAACAAGGTTGACTAGCTATTGAAGACGGAGCGAATCAAAAAAAAAAAAAATAACAAAAGAGCATAAAAACAATTTAATCTGCTCTTAATATCTTTTTCATTGAGAAATCTTACCAATCCTGAGCCCCAATGGAACGCGTCAGTTAGTTTGCTAACAAGCGCCCAGATAGTATAGCACCGGCGTATATATCGAGAAAGCCACCTGATTCAAAATGATGACACCCTTCTTACAGTTCGACACATATGGCGACAAACATTTTGAAGAACTTATGGAGTTCTTCTTTTCACACGGGGACAGGGTATTTGTGGACAGCCACCGATATGGTAAGTAGGTGCACTTTCATTTTGCGGTTGCTTAAGATAGCGCTATCTTAGTAAGTTATTTAGCTAGCATACGTTCTTCGACCAATAATATTATATTATTGATCGAATAGTACAGAGTGAACCTTTACCTGATGGGCTTTACGAAAGGTAATTACACATGACAAATTGCACGTGATCAACTCTCTTAAGAAGCGCTGTGGGAATCTCTTATGAATAGCCAACGATGACAAAGCTTTATGGAGGCGCTATCAAATGTGACTTGCCTGAGGTTGCAGTAGATGTTTCGGATTTCAGAGAAGTACCAGATACACAAGAAGTCTTCATACTCGAAAGGCCGAATGGCCTTGATCGTTCTTTGATAATCGACTTATTGGAGATGGTCAAAGCAAACAGTTTACCCGAGATTATATCAATTCACTTGGAGGATATCTTAGAAGAGCCCCCGAAATATATAGCTCCTTTAGTGAGTTCGAAGACGTCTCATGATTTTGATGCACATTACTTTCTAATTAAGCCTATGTCAAACAAGCAAGAGACTACAGAGGTAAAGCTTTTTATGCTATTATGTTTAGTGCGATTAGACAAAGTCGATACCGACGTCATTTTTACATTCAATGTTCCGTTGAAAAGCGACGAGGTGACGGCAGAGCTATTCCAAACGTGCGTGACAGGGGCCAACGATGGAAGCTCCGACTTGGGCCATTGCTTTCAGCAGATTAAACATTGGGCATCTACATTTGAAGTTCAAGACTGGGGATTATTCAAGTAAATTATTAAGATACTTAATACTGCGAGGCATAAGACAATGTGAGACCCATCATTATTATTTCCTTCGGTAAAAGTCTGACGATGTATTTGAGGGGTTGGTGCGTGAAACAGTTGGCTTAGAAGCATACATCAACTGTCTCACTACGAGGGAGCAAATTATGGAGACGGAGATAGTTTGACCCGTGAGATAGTAGTATACCCTTTCACTTAGTGACAAAAGCCATGAAGGCACGACAAACATTGCCCAATACATAAAACCAGCCACCACGCTAAAAACGATGGTGTTGAAAATTATTGTTTCATTCGCTGTCAATACATGGATGGGTGTGTAATTTCTGTATGTGTTGTAAGCCTTAAAGAGGATATTGTTAGTTATTGCAGCCTTGTATTTCATCTTCTTGAGGTGAGTGTCAACCTAAGACCTTATTAACTATATCAGCTAAATATTCGACTAGTTGCTCTTAACTTGGCGAACATCTAACATTTTATTTAAAAGTCTATGGGAAATTGCAACAGGGTCTTTCTCGGGTATTACGGAAAGCAAAGTAGTATATTAGAGCGCACAGGAATATGTAAGGCGCATGCAGCCTAGGAATAACACCTTGATAACAAAAACGGCATGTCGGAAGTTTAAGAGACAATAAGAGCTAAAGAGAGAGTACACACATCGGCTGCAGAATCCACCCTATCCACAGATCGTTTTATTCCTAAAAGTGTATACCCACTTTAGTGGTATCCCCACAGCTACGGGATAATTCTCTTCCCCCGAGTCGGCACTAAACTTACAACTAGGTAGATGATGTCTCATAAATATTACCGAGCCTCCAGAAGATGGGCTACTACTGATATTATTTGCGATCAAACTTTTAAGGGTAGAACCTGTATTCTTCTCAAGGAAAAGTCTGGTCAAAACGATAATCATTCAACATTTCGTGGATATCTTTCTGGGTTAGGGCCATACCACGAGTTGTAGATACACTATGCCGTTTGTCTCAATTATCTTATAATGTGGCTAGTAAAATGTACCTCATGAACTGATCCATCGATAATGAACGACAATTGTTTAATAAGCATTAACAAAATGAAGAGAAAACAAGAGAATTATAAAATATGAAGAGGAGGGGCGAAGGGAGCAAGATAACTACAAGTGCTATTGTTTGTTTTGCATATACAGGAAGGTATATCAGGTTGTACCGACCGGCGGTGGTCTTGATTAGAATTAAGGCAAACCTCAGTCGGTGCAAGCTTGAATTTGGAGGGGATACAAGAACAGTCCAAAAAAAAAAAAAAAAGAAAAAAAAACAAAAAAACCAGCATCTTTAACGTTTATTTGAACTATACCTGTGTAGGACCTGCATGTGTACCACACACCAAGATCTCTTTCGACATAGAGCCCAAAGAGTGGTTTTAAATAGTAAATAGGTTCCCCAAGACAATGCTAATGAGTAAGTACTAGCACGAAAACATGTTATGCTTAATTCATAGGTAGATAGAGCTTATGACAAGCTAAACCTTTCGTTGCCGCCACTTACCTTGCACATAGGGAAAGATAGTCACCTGCTATGACTCACGTGATTTACTGTCTCGAAACTTCAAACAACGAAGCTATATCGCTATCAAAATAACCTTCATCTCACACTCATGTCCTTAGAAAAAAAGATACTCAATTTCTTGAAGGGTCCCAGGAAGGGGGAGACATTTGAATTAAAGGCTGGGCTTGTATCACAATATAAACATGAAAGAAAGGATGCCATACAACGCGTAATTCAGGCCATGACAGTGGGAAAGGATGTATCATCGCTCTTTCCCGATGTCTTAAAGAATATCGCTACTTATGACTTGGAACAGAAGAAGCTTGTTTATCTATATATGATGAACTACGCTAAGACTCATCCAGAACTTTGTATTCTAGCTGTGAACACGTTTGTTCAGGACACCGAGGACACCAATCCACTAGTTAGAGCATTAGCAATAAGAACAATGGGCTGCATTCGTGTGGACAAGATGGTTGACTATATGGAAATTCCTTTAAGAAGAACTTTACTGGACGACAATCCTTACGTCCGCAAGACGGCTGCCATTTGTGTCGCTAAGTTGTTTGATCTTAATTCTGAGATGTGCGTTGAGTTCGGCTTTTTAGATGATTTGAAGCAACTTCTTACTGACCCTAATCCTATGGTGGTAGCCAATGCCTTGAGTGCGTTGTACGAAATCAGAGATATGAACCGAGACCCTAACTTAGAAGTCTTAGTGGTCGATCATCAGCTCATAAAAACTTTGATGGCTTGTTTGAATGAATGCACCGAATGGGGTAGAATCACAATTCTCGGATGTTTGGCGGATTACTCCACAGGAGACTCAGAGGAGGCCCTTCATATTATTGAAAGATGTATTCCTCAATTGCAACACGTGAATCCTTCTGTGGTTCTTTCTTCAATCAAGGTGGTTATTCATCATCTTGACTGTTTGCCTAACCAGGCTACAAAGTCTAGCTTTTTGCGTAAGCTTTCAGCTCCGTTGGTTTCCTTAGTGTCTCTGTCGATACCAGAAGCACAATACGTTGGCTTGAAAAACATCAGAATCATCTTAGAGAAATACCCAGAAGTGCTAACCAAAGAAGTTAGAGTATTTTTCATAAAGTACTCTGATCCCTTATATTTGAAGCTTGAAAAACTTGAAATTGTGATTAGGTTGGCGACTGAGTCAAATAGTGCTCTTCTTTTGAGTGAGCTCAAAGAATATGCCATGGAAATCGAAGCTGCACTTGTGTCGAAGTCGATTCAGGCCATCGGCGCAGTGGCAATCAAGCTTTCATCGAGCGTTATACAGGCTGCTAATCTATTAATTTCCTTGATGGAGCAAAGAGGTGGCGAATTGGTCATCAATGAAGCAGTTGGAGTATTGACTCAAATATTAAGACGTTATCCAGGCAAAAATGATTTGATTACCTTGATTGTACCAGTCATCTCAAATCACATCGAGGAACTCACTGATTCTCAGGCATTAGCAGGCTATGTATGGTTACTTGGAGAGTATCCGAAGTATTTTACAGGCCTCAAGGAAAAATTACAAAGTCTAGTTGATGACTTTCTCGAGCATGAGTCGCTTCTCCAGCTAAACATATTGACTTCAGTCGTCAAAATTAATTTAGTTCTTCCGTCGGCGGGCTGCTCGCATCTTTTGCAAGCAGTTTTGGAGAAAGCCACCAAAGACTGTGAAAATGCAGACGTCAGGGATAAAGCCTACATCTATTGGAGACTTTTGTCGACTTCTTCTAGCGGAGCCCAGCTGAAGATAATTGCATCGAAGCTTCCACCAATCAAAACAACAATATCATCATTTAACCCTGTTGTCTTAGATGTCTTGATAAATGAATTATCAACACTTTCTTCGGTTTATCATAAGCCGGCATCCACATTCATCGACCCAAATGCTTACATAGGAGTTGACTCGAATAGCAACCCCAAAAAGCTGTCTAGAAAGTCTGATTTGGCAGACTTAACAACAAGAGCCAAGGAAGAAATTGTTAACAATGCCCGTAACGAGAATTTACTCGACTTGGATGACGATGATCAGACTGCTCCTTCAAATGCTGGAACGACTCCTTCCTTGCTAGATGAACTCAATGATTTGTTTGCCGTGCCAACCAGTGACAGTCACACAACGAACTCTGTTGACACGAGAGCAAAGAATTCAACGAATGATATTTTGAGTCTTTTTGGTAATGCAGCACCGCAACAAGAGATCGCTAGCGACTTCGGTCAATTGAACATGGGCTCGGAAGCAACTAATGGAAAGGATTCAGCTTCCAAAAGAAGCAATATAAGCGACGACTTGTTGGACCTTTTTTAATCAATAAATTGGCGAGCAGTGGCTCACGGCCTGAGATTCTCAATTTAAATATATATCAGGATTGACTTATTGCTCATTCAAAAGCGATCTAAGGGTTTCTAAGATCTCATCCCTATCTATATACCTGTCCTTTGAGGCGCCAATTATATCGTGCGATAATATAATGGAGTCAGTTGTCGTCAGGGCTGCCATCTCCTTTATACGGTTTTTAACATTTAGCACTGTCTCGTCTATCAGGCGAATGTCGTTTCGTTTACCCTCAATTTGCCTTTTCAAAAGCATTATCAAGCTTTCACGTGTCTGATGAGGACGGTAAGTGTTAAGTAAGTGATTCATGTTAATGAGAATTAATTTCAAGTCTTCTATCTTTCCATAAAACTTTGCAGGTTCTTTGGATACTGAGCCTACAAGTTCCAAGAAATTCAATAGTAGCGAGTCTAAAAGCTTATGGAGCTCAAGAATCTTCGTTCTTGATGTGATTTTCTCGTCCTCATCATTGTACAACTGCCTCCATCCCAGATCCTGTAACGAAGGTAGTTTGTTCGCCAAGGCCCACACACTGCCATAGCCGCGATATTGCTCACCAGTCGGAATAGGTGGAGGCTGATGAAATTTTAGATCCCCTGGAGGCACATCTCCATCATCATCATTCAGTGATTTCCACAGTTCGAAACGTTTCGCATTCCCGTCTGAGAAGAACTTGTAGTATGGTGGAGGCAGAGGGTATAATGACGAAATGAGATCTTCTGACATGAGTTACGATCGAAAGGAATACCAATTGAACTCGAGATATGAACACAGATAAAATAAAGGCTAGCAATGTCGTGAGATGCCCTGCTTTGCTTCGCTCAAAGTTCTCGTTTATCAGTTGTATGTACTTTGATGTTCCCACGAACCCTTGAGCACTTATATACAGTAGATAACCATTAAACATCAACCGTAATCCTGGATCACCTTAGCCTTCTTTCCGACAAAACTAAGATTATAATAGATATTACTATGAACGAAGACGACAGGATCGATGTCGATAGCCAACCACTAGCTGTTGAATCCGGCGGGTCCGGTGGTTTAGGTGAAGATGCTAATCAGTCCGCCGCCCATGAGCACAATCATGAGCATCACCACAGTCATAGCCACAACAGTCAGCTTGAGAGAGATGGGGAAACAAAGAAAAAGCAAAGGTTTGAGGTTAAGAAATGGACTGCTGTTGCGTTCTGGTCGTGGGACATCGTTGTGGAGACATGTGCTATTTGTCGTAACCACCTAATGGAACCATGTATTGAATGCCAACCGAATAGCATAAACAATTCCGCTGACAACTGCATTGCAGCTTGGGGAGTTTGCAATCACGCTTTTCATATGCATTGCATTCAAAGATGGCTTAAGCTGAGAGCAGTCTGTCCGTTAGACAACAAGGACTGGACCTATCAGAAGTTCGGCTCGTGATTATTAATGTTATAAATAAAATATATCCTTTTGATTTGGCATATTATGCCGGCAAGTACCTAGAAGATCGTATAAAAGAGCCTAATATTACCACGTTTGTACAGCTCTGACCAAGCTTGGCCATAGATGCTTTCATTCTTTCACTTTCGATACTCCCCTCTGCTTCAACAAAGAAGACATATTGCCATTGGCTGTTGCGTAAAGGGCGTGATGTTATGGATGTCAAATTAATGTTATGATATCTGAAAGAGTCTAAGGCGGACATCAAACCACCGGGATCATTATGATTCAAGGCAAACATGATGGACGTAAGCAGTGAGGGATAATGACGAGGCTCAAATGCTGTTTCTTTGTTATCATGCTTAATGTCTTTGAGACCCATTACAAGAAATCTAGTAGTATTCTCAGGTACATCTTCTATCTCGGCTTTAAGAATACGTAAATTCTTTAGTTGAGCGCTCATTTTGGAGCTGATACAGGCACTCGTATTGGTGTTATCCTCAGTGACCAACTGTGCTGCTTCAGCTGTGGAGTTGGTATCGATTCTTGTGCAATTCACAAATTCTTTCATCAGCTTGGTAACTTGACCCCAAACTTGTGGATGGGAGTATATTTTCTTTATATCAGCCGGATCTGTGGCATTGGAAAGCAAATAATGATGGATTGACACGAACTGTTCCCCAACAACTTTGAAGTTCGGTTTCGGATGTCCAGCACTGCCTATAAACCAATCTCTTAAAAGGTCGTAAGTGAAAACAACCTGTCCATTTGTTGAATTTTCGAACGGAACAACAGCAAAGTCGACATCTCCCGCGTTTAGAACATCAAAACAGGTATCTATTGTCGTCTGGGGATATATCAACAAGTCTTGTATGTCGCCGAATTGTTGAATTACAGCCTGAAATTAGTGAAAAGCTTTACTTATGCTTCCTGAACAACATACCTCATGAGTGTAAGTACCTTCAGGCCCCAAGAATGCAACTTTCATGAGCGCTGTGGTCTTGTTGTTAGCCGCTGGCGTGAAATTCGCAAGTTATACAGAGAGACGTGTAAAGCTCATAAAACAGTCGGTTCGCTTCACCACACCAAGTCCAGAATAGCACTAGCCATTCGAAACCAGGTTTAATCAAGTAAACCGTCTACTATGAACTCAAAGCCGTTGCCTAAAAGATCAGCGAAAGAAGCAAGTGCCTGCCGACGCGTATCACAACAGCCCTGAGTCTCCTTCCTACAGTGAATCATTGGTGGCTCTGTATTCATAGCTGAGCTCGATAACGCATTCACATGAGACCAGGGGTTAACAATATAAGCCTTATTTCGAACTATAAAAGTTTCCCTGTAAAAAGTTTTTGTAGATAGTGTATTAATAATAACCGATGACCATTTAAGCATCCTCATTGATCAAACCACGCTCAGAGACATAGATACCGTCCAAGAACTTACGGATATCCTTGTTTCTAACTCTGCAAATCTGGTTGATGTCAGCAGCGTTCTGAGAAACGGCCTCCAAAGAGTTACCAGAGATGATCAACTCATCCTTTTGGGTAGTGGACTGCTCCATAGTGACACCGTCAAAGATCTTGACATGTCTGACCTTTTTCTCACCCAAAAAGTTTCTGATCTCCACATACTTCTGGCCATCAATCTCAACAACGTTAACATTGATTGGGAAATGCGCATAGACGTATCTCATCTTGTACTTGTAACCCTTGGTAACACCGGTGACCAAGTTGGCAATCAAGGACTTAACAGTTCTCAAAGCAGCAACATGCTTTCTGTCACCGTGAAGAACAATGATTTTGATGGCCTTGTCAGACAACTTCTCAAATGTGACATCGATATGCTTCAAGTCCTTGGTCAATTCACCTCTTGGGCCAGTAACCTTGATGGTTCTAGCGTTGATGTTAACAGTAACTCCTTCTGGGATTTCCAAGATCTGGTCTGACTGAATGAACTTCATGCTTAACGGTTGATGAGATAGTCAGGGTAGAGCTGAAAAAAAAAATTCTTTTGAACACCAGTGAGAAGTGATTGAATATGCAGGCCACCAAATCAGGATGCAGTTCATGACTCGGTTTACGCGCAACCAGGGTTTGAGGGCTACAAATGTGACGGCTTTTCCATCGCGACTGGCATCCAATACTTAGCGCCCCACACCACTTGAACCTATCGAAGGGGAACCTATACAATAGTGATACATTGTAAGACAGGGCTACTTTCTTATTTGCAGTGAAAAATATCCTACATGAGCAGTAGTTCAAGATATGACTCTGCTTCTCCAGTGATATTCCGGTCAATGTTATCATAAATTATGACATGAGTTAGTCGAAGTTTGAATAGTGTTGGAGTCGTGTATGCTTATACTCTGGCACTTTTCGAATGACTATCTGTCCAAATTGAATTCAATATGTAATGAGTATCATTCGATGCCAGTATTTGAGTAATAGTACCTTTCCGACTCTAAGCTTAAAGCCCTATCGGGATCCAGGGCCAGCTTCACGAATACTTGTACTTAAATTTGGTGTATTTACTTCAGTAGGATTACTCGCTTTGTTCCTCCAAAGTCTTGAATTCGTAGTACGGAGTCTCCTTGGCGAACTCAATTCCATTCTCGAGTAATCTGGTGAATGCTTTGGAAAAGTCGGCAAAGAACAAATCTTGATCACCAGCATAAAGCTTGACATACTTAAGAAATTTGCTGTCCTCTTTCAAGACCATATCCGTAGGCAACATCATGAAAGACTCTGTCTCGTCATCCTGATATTGTCTTTTACCATCCCAATCACGAATGTGCCACTTCTGCAATAATCTCACGAAAAAGTCATTGGTGAACATGTTTGGGGAAGGTCCCCATGGGCCGTCATAACCTGATCTGTATGTATGGCACTTTCCTAAGGCATGAGCACCAATCAAAGCAACCATCTCTCTGTCGTCGAATCCCAAACGATTGAAGATCTTCCTCACATATGCACCCAGCTCTTGCGAGGCGTCAGGTAAATTACCATTCTCTGGAATCTTCTCTTTCTCGGCCTTTGTACAATCAACTCTTCCGGGCCTCCATCTGATTTTTGGTCCGCCTGCCTCCTGCACTGCAACGACACCACCAAGGGTCCATAAATCACCTCTACTAATCCACGGAAACTGGTAGTGAAATTCATTGAGGAAGTCTCTTCCCGAATCCAAACCTGCGTTTTCCGGATCCACGGATTCGGGCGCATAGATCATAGATCCACTGTAAGAACCGCCAGTATTCTTCTTTTTGTCATAAGTTCCCGAACTGTGCCATGCCAAGCGACACAACAAACCATATCTCCCGGCTCCATCATCAGCATCATCTTCGTCCTGAACCTTTTGAGCAATTGCATTGTACACTTCCTGAAAGTCTTTCTCAGTCTTGTCGTTGAATACCTTGGCCATTTGGGCGGGAGTGGCTGCAGCGAAAAACTTTAAACTGTTACCCCTTCCTGGAGGTTTGTCATCATTGTTTCTGTTAGAGCCACGGATGCTATTCTCATAGAAGTAGGTTGCACCTGCTGAACCGGCAACGAGAGTTGCAGCACCAGCCAAAACGCTGAATAACCTACTTCTGGAGTTTGTAGTAGTACGGATCGCAATAGTAGTCATCTTATTAAAATTACAATGAACTCTTTGCAAATTCGTGTTTTTGAAAGACGTTTTCACCTCGATGGGAAATCGTTTGCTTTAAATAGTGTGAGTTGGGTAACTTACCCTTCCGTACACGACGATTATAGTCGGGTATAACTTAATACGGCACAATTGCTGGCCCCTCCTCTACAATGTGACCCAAGGAATTTGTCAGATCCCGGGCGCTAGGCTAGGCAAAGCTAGGCTAGGCTAGTATGGCTTAGTCAAATACGTAAATAATGCGGAGACAGACTTAGGACAAAAGGAATTCTACCCAAGCTCGTTCATCTGCATCAGTATAAAGTTAAATGCGGGGGGAGCTAAAAATATTAGTCCATCCGCCAGTTCACTTAACTCCATTCTTTTAAAATTTCCGATAGCTGAAGAAAGACTTACAGCTTTGCCTACATTCTTATAAATTAACCCGAGGACTGTTGACAAGAACCCATCCAGTGGCCTGACCCTGTCAGATGGAAATCCAGTGCATTGTGTGATATGAAGGAATTTGTCAGCGCGAATCTGGTCAAAATCATTGGCTACACGATGTAGAATGCGTCTGCGGCAAGCACAGTTACAGGCTCGAAAAGACAAGGATACACGTTTTCTATTTACTATACCGCCTACTTGTCTCAAAGACTGTTAACGTAATCGTTGAGTTCGTCGGCATCTTCATAGACCCACGATCCTTCCTCATTATAGGTTTTCGCATTGACACACATAAGTTTCAACTCATCCAAGAATGCATCAAAGCTATCGTACCTATCCTGCGAGATGTGTTTCCGGATTTGGCTAATGGCAGTAGGCCTTTTGATCACCTTATAGTAGTCGGCGTAGATCTTCTTTGAGGGGAGCTTGAGAAATATTTCCGCAAGCCGGTGGCCATCTCTCTTTGACTCCATGCTCTGAATATGGTCAAGCACCTCGGTACATTTAGTCCGCAATCCATCATCACCATTCAGTACCTGCTCCTTATCAAGAGGACTTGTGCTATCACGACGTGCACGTTTCCTCAGCTCTTCTCTATCAGAATCATCTTCAGAATCATCTGAGACGTCACCATCGACGTCGCCCATGCCTTCTCCTGTGGCTTTTCTCTTCCGCCTAGCTCGTTTTTCTTCTTTGCGACGTATAGCATCCTCGACAGTGTCATTGTCATCGTCCATTGCCATGAGCCACTGCTCTTCGGTAAGACCATCATCATATTTTACCTTCTTCTTTTCTCGCATACGAGAGAGTTCCTTAGTCTCTCTTTCAAAATGATGAGAGATATCCTCCTTGAACACTTCAGGAAGTTCATCCTTCGCGATAAGTCTGTTACTGTAACCGCCTTGGCGAGAGTCGACTTTTTCTTTCACCATACGATCGGTGTCCATTTGGGTGAAGAGGATCTTTTCTTCCTCACTTCGAGCCAATATATCGTTCAACTCGTCATCATCCAATGAATCATTTTCTTCGTTCTCCTTGTCGCCTTGTTCAGCATCAAGTAAACGTTTCAAGAATTCCTCTTGCTCTTCCGCAGTAGACTTGTTGTCGAACTTACCAGCTTGGATGACTTTGCCATCAATATCTAATTTTTGATGAGCCCTTTCTAAAATAACTTCTTCAATCGAGTCATTGGATATTAAACGGAGAATTCTAACTTCATTTTTTTGTCCTATTCTGTGAGCCCTGTCTTGGGCCTGCAAATCTTGATGTGGATTCCAATCAGTGTCAAAAATGATGACAGTATCGGCGCTTTGTAAGTTTAGACCCAAGCCTCCCGCTCTGGTCGATAATAAGAAGCAGAAGTAGTCGGATTCAGGTTGATTAAAAGCTTTCAACATATCTTGCCTATCCTCGGCTTTAGTAGCGCCGTCCAATCTCAAATAGCGCATTTCTTTAAGCCGTAAAAAATCCTCAAAAATATTCATGACAGAGGTCATTTGGAAGAATATCAAGACCTTGTGACCCGTTGCCTTAAATTTGGGTAAGACTCTATCCAAGAGCTCAAACTTACCCGATGTCCTCCAGAGAAGTTCATTCGTGAGACGGGTGGAATTCAACACGTCTTCCACTTCTTCGAACACGAAAGGATGATTACAGATCTTCCTCAACTGCATGATCTTGTTGTTTAAGCCTTTGATACCCAGTTTATTATTGGTACCTGTTGTCTGCGATCCAACAAAAAGCGCGTTATGCTTCAACATCTGCTGGTATAGAATGTGTTGCAAACCGGATAAGTTGCATTTGAGGACCTTTTCAACCTTATCCGGGAGGTCCTTCTCCACGTCTTTCTTCAATCTTCTCAACAAAAATGGTCTCAAAACTTTATGCAATCTTCTGATCACCAACAAGCTCTCTTCTTCAGTCAACTCAATCTTCTCCTGGGATCCAGTGTTAGCAAACGGTGTGTTGAACCATTCATCAAAAGATTTGACCGAGTTGAAAATCTTCGGAAGAACAAAATTAAGCAACGCCCACAATTCTGGCAAGTTGTTCTGCAAAGGTGTGCCTGTGAGAATTAGCCTATTCTTCGTCCTGTAGTATTGCTTCAAAGTGACCGACAATTTAGAGTTGGCATTCTTCATCCTGTGACCCTCATCGATAATCATATGTGAATAGTTGAAACGGGACAACATTGGCCTTTCTTTGATAATGTACTCGTATGTTGTGAGCATGACCTGGAAGTTGCCCATTCTGATATCAAACAGTAATTCTTTACGCTGCTGTGGCGACCCTTTAAACACGATCACTTTGACGGATGGTGCCCATTTTTCAAACTCAACCGTCCAGTTTGTGATTGTTGATAACGGGACAATAACCAAAAATTTATCTTCGCCCTTCTTCTCGATTAGATAGGTTATAAGTGAAATGGATTGGATCGTTTTTCCGAGTCCCATCTCGTCTGCTAGAATACCATTCAACTTATTGTTGTACAAAGAAACCATCCATTGAAGGCCTTTGATCTGATATTCCTTCAATTCTCCACCAACAAGAATAGAAGGCTGTGTTTTCACTTCCTCTTTAATTCTATGCGCAACTTGGTAGTAGTCAATCTTCTCCCTTAATTCATCAACAGTGTCTTCTGTTTCCTCTTCTACCTCGTCTTGTTCTGCTTGCTGAACCTTCACTGCTTTTGCTAAAGAGTCCAAAAAGCTATTGGTTTGTTTCAACAAATGAGTAATTCTATGATCTTTGGTTTGGTCCAAAAGCTTAATATAGGCTTCTTCATCGTTAGCTTTCAAGGCCTGCAAACGCTGTTTCGCAGTCTTCTCCATCTTCTTCGATTCTTCCTTTTCCGTTGTGTTATGGAAATTATGAATGAACCTTGCTAAAGTAGCCTTCTTGCCAATGCGATTGAGCTTTGCTTCGTTCGAGAGTCTAGTATTTTCCAAGATTCGATTGATTTTATCAACCTGAAGTTTATGTTTCTTCGCGTCGGCTTCTAATTTGAACTTATTCTCAAGTTGCAGAGCCAAAAGCTCTGGATTAGGCTGTTCGATCTTTTCTCGGATGTAAAAACCCCGTCTTCCCTGTAAGACCAACGCATTATTCTTGAGGGCAGGAAAGTCATAGTGAGCGGTTAAAGAGAGCTTGCGGAAGATCGCATTTTTCAACCTCTTTTGAATGGCTATTACCAGAAGAGCCTTCAACTCTATTAAGGCACGGACTTTCAATCTGTCGAGACTATGGTTTTCTCCGGCATGACTGAATGACCCCAAGTTCGCTGGAAGTTGCTCCAAGTCATATGCTCGGTTCGCAATCTTATGGCCGACAAGCTGATCCTTGTAGTAGCTTCCGACAGGGCTAGACTGAGGATCAGAAGTAGGCTCAGTAAGGCCAAGCTCTTCCAACATCAGGCCGAAATCTCCACGGAGGCGACGACAGCCGTTGGAACAAAAATATTTCTCAAAAACATCGCGAGAAATATTGCCCAAATTGAATCCATCGCTTGGTATTTTTTCGGCTTCAGTTGTTAATGAAGATTGGAGGGCCTCCGGTAAATCTAAATTCTTCAGGAGTATTTGAAGACTTGCGATTTGCTTCGAAAACAAATCGGTATCCAAGCTATTTTCCGCCACGAGCCCCTCAAATGAGTGAAGAAGATCTTTTATTAGTACGTCTTCTTGGTCGAGAAACTCTTCGTGGTTGATGCTCACCTTTTGTAAGCAAATTTCGAGTGCTCTCAATTCTTGATCATATGGGTCAATGAAGGCCTTCTGTTCGCTGTCATCACCAAACGTATGTTGGTGTTGTTCGGCTATCTTTTGGTAAGCTTCATGCTTGTCCAAGGCATCACGAGAGAACTGAAGTAACTGCTGGTAGCGACTTAAGACATCATTCAACTCTTGAGTCGTGGTTGGCGTTTTAATGCTCTTAAAGGAACTAGCGACGGGATATGCGCTATTATTTTCATCATGAAAAACTCCATTGGAAGTCGTGCTACCTTTCTTGTCAAACAATGTGTCACTCATAATCGAAGACGCAATTATGACAAACTCAGAGTACTTGAATAGGCCAAATGGAATGAAGATATGTGAATATCCACTTATGTACCCGTATAAAGCTAGATTAAGATATCTATCACGTTAAGTGCGTATATCTGAGCGGGTGGAAAGCTGTGAGAGTTTTTTTTGTTTGTAATTGTATTTTGTTGTCAACTGAAGGTATATATGCAGGAGTGTGCTTGTCCACGCCTTTACCTTCGTCATGCTGAGCTAGGCCCCATTTTCACTATTTCTCGATTGTGAGATTCAAATTGCCAACCATATCTGGTCTACGTGCTAATTATCCCAATATGTCAGCGACTGGCTAGTTGCCGAATGTGGCACCCACTAAGGTACCACGAGAGCCAGTACACAGGGTTCAGCCATTTGGAAATGATGTGTGGGTCAAAAAGGATTGATGTCGTGACGAAAGGAATATTGTATCATACTAAGAAGGCGGCAAGTTTCCTATTTTTGTTTTGTATTTTATACTATATAGTTATTGTAATCTATGATACTGGCTTCCTATAATGAGGCCGACACGCGAGCCAAGGTGCCCTGTGAACTGTTATCGTTTCATCACAGTGTTGCTATATGAAATGGATCTTCTGCTAAATCCAAATAGCTTACCTGCCAAATAGTCATGGCGCAAGATCTTACTGTAAAATGTTTTCATAATTTGGGGACTTTCTTATTCTAGACGTGCACGTGATTGCCTGACAAAGTGGTGAGTGAAATGATTCTTTTCAGTTTGGAACTGCCTTTCCTACAAGATGTTTTCAAGGATAGGAATGATCCGCTCTAATATTCATGCTAGTCAAGTCTTTGCTAGATTGCCAAGATCATCTATGAGATGCCTGTGGAGATCCAACTCGAGTGCAATTCAGAAGCTGATGAACTGGGTTGATTTCTTCACTTTGAGGACACAAAACAAGCGGTTAAATACTGCTGCATCTGTCTTTACGGCTGGCTTGGCAGGTTGGGGCACCTTAGAGTACTTGGGCAATATTGAGATTGACGTTGAAAAGCCCATTTTGGGGATTGATCCAATTATGATTATGGGAGGAGCTGTCGTGCTTGGTGGTGGTCTCGGGTACCTCATGGGACCCTTCTTAGGAACTCCGATATTCAACCTATTCCGGCGCTCTGCTTTGCCCGAATTCAAAGCCAAAGAAGAGCAATTCTTGAGGAGAATCAAACATTACAGGGTCGACCCGTCTTCCCAGTCCTTTTCGAATCCAGTCCCAGATTACTACGGTGAAAGGATAAACTCCTTAAAAGCGTACAAACAGTGGTTAAGAGACTGCAATGCTTATCGAAGAAAAGCTAAGGAGTTCGTTTGATCAATGAAATGTACATAAGTGTTATCGCAATCCCTACTCTGTTTAGAACTTTTCTCTCATTTGCACATATCATACATGGTTTACTGTAGAAATCTCTTCCAATCATTAATACAGTGGACACATTTAGTAAAAGAAGCAGAGTTCTTGTATATCTAAGGTATCTCATTATCTCTTATTGAGGCCGTGTATGTGCCGTTCGTTCGGGTTGACATTTCAATCTTTGGGTAACGGACACATCGCAGGCAAACTCGCATATACTTTTGCTGTCAACAAGGGTGCTTGATAAAAACTTCGCGATTGGACACTTTACAGGCGTTGGTTCATCTTTTCTTGAACCTCGACGACCTTGACGACCTTGACTCTGATCTCCTCGATTGTACCGCCCAAACTTTGGAGAGGTGCCGTAGTCCGAGGTCCCGTATACGCTTCTCTCAAAGCCTATGCACCTGCATATATTGCCATATAATTCCGCCTCATGAGTTAGAGTAGCAGAAGAAGTCCATTCTGGTAACGATTATACAGCCCACAGCGGCCGCGGTTCAATTGCTTTGATGTTGTGAATTGTTGGGGCTGAAAAACGGAACCTTTTGTCGTTCAAATTCACAATTATCATCCAAGGTCCTGTATATATATACTTAATATGTGTAGGGTTGCATCCGTACATCCTTAGAAAACTCCGGGGCGACCAATCAGCGATGTCGATATTGTGAAATTCAAACAATTCTACCTCAACGATTAATTGCCAGAATATGGTACAATCGTGTGTCTTATGTTTTTTGACAGGTCAGATAAGTTTTCGGGTTCGCTTTACGTTTTAGTATTGCATTCCTTTAGACGAACCCGGAGAGTTCGGAACATGCACATTGAAACTGACGGGGCAGGACTCGGAGTCCAGCGCATCCAGTCCCTTTATATAGAGCGCTCATTCTTTTCCACTACTAGCAAAAACTACCCAATACCCTCAAGGGTTTTTCCATCCCATACCTTCATCACTGCCCCACCCCAACTTCGAAATTTAGCTGTCTGCCATGCTAACCGCTTTCAGACATTTAAATCGTACAAAGGGCACTTATGTCCATGCTTTAAAAGCTCAGGCTCATATTCATTTGAGAAAAACTGCTCGTGCTTCAGGCGCTACTGCTATCGGGTTCTCCCGTAGCTTAGCAACTGACACATTTGCACTTTCAAATAACTCCAATTATATTGAGGAGATGTATGAGGCCTGGCGCCAGGATCCTAAGTCGGTGCATGTTTCCTGGGACGCTTACTTTAAAAACTTGGATTCCGGAGTTGCTCCTTCAGCTGCTTTTTCGGCACCCCCAACTTTGATCCCTACCCCAGCAGGTGGTGCTGGGGTCGGTTTTAATCCTGGAGCGGGTGGCCATAGTGAAGATGTCGTCACCCATTTGAAGGTTCAATTGTTGGTACGTGCCTACCAGGTGCGTGGCCACCAAAAGGCGAAGATCGATCCTTTGGGTATTTCTTATGGGGATCAGCCTGATTTACCTAAGGAATTGACATTGGAACATTATGGATTCACTGAGAATGATATGGACAAGTCAATCACTCTTGGACCTGGTATCTTACCCCGTTTTGTTGAGAACGGGAAGAAGTCATTGACCTTAAGAGAAATCATCGATGCTTGCGAGCGTTTGTACTGTTCATCGTATGGTGTTGAGTACATTCACATCCCTTCGAAGGAGCAATGTGACTGGTTGAGAGAAAGGATTGAGATTCCCCAACCTTTTAAGTATTCTTCGGATGAGAAGAGACAGATCTTAGATCGTTTGATTTGGTCCTGCTCATTTGAGTCGTTCTTGGCCACCAAGTTTCCTAACGACAAAAGGTTCGGGCTTGAGGGTGCGGAAGCTGTGGTTCCTGGTATGAAAGCGATGATCGATACATCTGTTGAGCATGGTATAGAAGATATTGTTATTGGTATGCCTCACAGAGGTAGATTGAACATGCTTTCCAACGTTGTGCGTAAGCCTAACGAATCTATCTTTTTTGAGTTCACGGGTTCCAAGGAGTTTGACGAGGGTTCCGGAGACGTTAAGTACCATTTGGGTATGAATTACAAGAGACCAACAACATCAGGTAAGCACGTGAACTTATCGCTTGTTGCTAATCCGTCGCACTTGGAGGCTGAAGATGGTGTTGTTTTAGGTAAGACAAGAGCAATTCAGGAATACAAGACTGATACTGGCGAATTTAAGAAAGCTATGGGTGTGTTGTTGCATGGTGATGCCGCATTCTCTGGCCAAGGTGTCGTTTACGAAACTATGGGGTTTGCTAATTTGCCTGCCTATTCTACTGGTGGTACAATCCATATTATCATCAACAACCAGATTGGCTTCACCACTGATCCTCGCTTTGCTAGGTCTACCCTCTATCCATCCGACATCGCGAAATCGATTAACGCTCCAATTTTCCATGTTAATGCCGATGATATCGAAGCTCTCACTTTTGTGTTCAATTTGGCCGCAGACTGGAGAGCCACTTTTCATTCTGATGTTATCATCGATGTTGTGGGTTACAGAAAGCACGGACACAATGAAACCGATCAGCCATCTTTTACCCAGCCATTGATGTACAAGAAAATTGCAGAGAAGAGATCAGTGCTTGACTATTACGTTGACAAATTGATTTCTGAGGGAACTTTCACCAAGGAAGACATTGATGAGCATAGAAAGTGGGTGTGGAATCTTTTAGATGAGTCCTTTGGCAAGTCAAAGGAGTATCAGCCAACTTCAAGAGAGTGGTTGACAACTCCCTGGGAAGATTTCAAGTCTCCCAAGGAGTTGGCTACTGAAATTTTGCCACATCTCCCAACCGCTGTTGATGCAGAGACTTTGAAGAACATCGGCAGGCACATTTCCGAAACGCCCAAGGGTTTCGAGGTTCACAGGAATTTGAAGCGTATTCTCAACACCAGAAAGAAGACAGTTGAATCTGGTGAAGGGATTGACTGGGCTACCGGGGAGGCTTTGGCTTTCGGATCGCTCTGTTTAGAAGGCTACCATGTTAGAGTTTCTGGACAGGACGTGGAAAGAGGTACATTTTCCCAACGTCACGCTGTTTTGCATGATCAAGAGTCTGAGAAAGTGCACACTCCACTTAACACCTTATCTGAGGAACAAGGTCCGTTTGTGATCTCAAATTCATCTTTGTCTGAGTACGGTGTAATGAGTTTTGAGTATGGTTATTCTCTCTTTTCCCCAGATGCTTTGGTTCAATGGGAAGCACAGTTTGGAGACTTTGCAAACACTGCACAGGTGGTTGTCGATCAGTTTATCTCTGGCGCTGAGTCTAAGTGGAAGCAAAGGTCGGGTCTAGTTTTGTCTTTGCCACACGGTTACGATGGTCAAGGTCCTGAGCATTCTTCAGGTAGAATCGAGAGATATTTGCAAATGTGCAACGAAGACCAGCGATTCTTTCCTTCGGAAGAGAAACTTGAAAGGCAGCACCAAGATAGCAATATGCAAGTCGCCTATCCTACAACGCCCGCCAATTTGTTCCACTTATTGAGACGCCAAATGCATAGACAATTCAGAAAGCCATTGGTTTTGTTCTTTTCTAAGCAATTGTTGAGACACCCATTGGCGAAGTCGGAATTAAAGGAGTTCACGGGTGACTCCCACTTCGAATGGATTATCGATGATAGAGAGCTAGGCAAAAGCATTCATGAAAGGGATGGCATCGAGCGTATCGTACTTTGTTCAGGTCAAGTCTACACTGCCTTGCACAAGAAACGTGCTTCTATTGAAGACAAGGCCACTGCGATCATCAAACTTGAACAATTGCATCCCTTCCCATTTGCTCAATTGCGTGACACTTTGAACAAGTATCCAAATATCAAAGACATAGTGTACTGTCAGGAGGAACCCTTGAACATGGGTTCCTATTCTTATGTCGCCCCAAGGATGGTTACCACCTTGGAAAACACTGATAAATATTCTGGTTTGGTATTGCGCTATGCAGGCAGAGACCCCTCTGCCTCCGTTGCTGCGGGCTCGAAGGCAATGCACAACGCCGAGGAAGAAGCATTCCTTAAAGAAACTTTCCAGGAAGCTTAGTAATTGAAAGAAGCTAGAGAATAAATTTTAACTGTGTTCTTGATGTTGTTTTTGTTTTTGTTTTTTCGTTTTTGTTTTTTTTTTTTTTACGGATTCCTAAGAAAAGCCCCCTCTGGTGTAGGTTGTAATCTGTAAGACGTATGCAAGATTCAACTGTTTGGTGCGTCAGTTTATATCAACATTACAGATTATACTTCTCCTGTGGAGCCCCTAGATGTCAACCTACTTATGGTATAGAGATCAAAAAAGACTAGATCTTGGCGGAGTTTCTCGCTATACTATTGATTTCACCACTGGTGACCTGGCATTGACTGAAATTTATCTTCGGCTTAAGAATTTAGAGAAGACCCCTTTACGAGCTATTCATCTCCTTAACGGCCCGTTCATTTTATACAGCCACGTTATACCTTATAACTACAACCATAAACATCGCTTTCGTCCGGAAGATTCTCGATTAAATGCGGAAGTGGTATTCAAGAATGCCATCAAACCTGGGCAGACATTTAACGTGAAACTAAGCCTAAACCACAACAGTTTGAAAAAGACACAAAGTGATGGTAGTAAGACTTATTCATGGAATGCGATATAGTTTCTCAAATTGTCCTCAGCAGAAAGGCCTCTATTTTATACGACTTGATGATTGGAGATGATATGTTGAATATGCGAAAGTTAAATCGTTCAATGATTACATCGTTAGCCAAAGGTGATTTTGCGACAACACACGATGAAAAAGAGCTGGAAGGAAATAGCCAAGTAGAGAACCTCGGATCATCAAGAAAGCCTGGACTCCACGTGAAGGTCAAACTGGTCGATGATCTTTGGACGCTTGACCCAAACGATCCAAATTTGCCTATTCATCTTATTGTCGTCACACATGGAATCTTCTCAAACCTTACAGCAGATATGCTTTATTTGAAAGAGCAATTAGCTTCTTTGGACGACAATTTAGTCGTTACTGGTTACCGTGGGAACGCAGGACGCACAGAAAAAGGCATACATAAGCTTGGTGTGGGTGTTTCCTTTTTTGTCACTGATGTGATAGATCAGTTGGAAAAAAAAGGTCTTAAAATAGCTAAGATAAGCTTCGTTGCGCATTCGTTAGGTGGGCCAGTTCAGCTCTATGCGTTAAAGCATGTATTACTGGTCAAGGGTCAAGACTATTTTTCCAAGAAGGGCATCCTGCTACAACATTTTGTTTGCATTGCGAGTCCAATGCTTGGTGTACTTAGCGAGATGAGCCTTTGGATCTCGTGGTTTCTCGATCTAGGCACCTTGGGCAAGACTGGTAGAGACTTGACACTACTGAAGAAGCTTCCGCTGTTTAGAAACGAGAATTCGAATTCTAAGAAGAATAATTTTAAACCTATCTTAGAAACATTACCGGACGAGCCTATTCAATCACTTCTTCGTCTGTTCAAACTGCGCACCGTTTACGCCAATGCTTACAACGACGGAATTGTTCCCCTTCGAACAAGTTCACTTTTGTACTTAGACTGGGGTGCAATGGGGGATGTTTCGGATCTCAGAGATCATCCGGAACATCTTAGAGATCACTCCCTCAGGGAAAGTACGAGCCACGTAAGTACGGAGACAAACGCTCTGGGCCACGACGTAAGCGCAGTTCCATACGAAAGGAAGGGTGTTGTCCTCAACAACAAAGCTTTCAAAGACTATAGTGAAAGTCGCACGCCCTTTGGCGACGAGGATTTGGGACAAGCTAGTGACACTAGCTCAGCCCTGCCGTTGGATATGCTTTATCGAAAACGAATATCGAAAAAGGCTAAGTGGTACTCCAGAATTTCTGCGAAGGGAACGGATTCGTCACTCACTGATGACACTGACGGATATCTGCGTTGTGAGGACGACGAATCTGTTGAGTACAATATTCCACCCAAGGCCTCCGCTGTGGAGTCTGCATTGAACACTTTGATTTGTCCTGTCCCTTCACGAAGGTTCATAACATCTCCCCAAGAAAGGACACCAGTAATCTTTCATGATCGTTTCTATCACTTCAGTAACATTCCCCGTGGGTCTTCATCGAATGTTGGAACTTTTAAAAGATTATTTAGATCTAAGGAATGGAAATTGGAGAAACAAGTCAGAATAGCACGCAAATATCATTCTGATGGTCTAAATTGGAGGAAGGTGTTGGTATACTTGCCTCCTGATGCTCATAACAACATTGTTGTAAGGCGAAGATTCGCTAACGGTTACGGCTGGGGCGTTGTTGACCACATAAGAGACCAAATCTTTGAAGAGCCAAAATTAGCTCCAAAGATCTAAAAGTGAAGCGCATGAACTACATTAGACACGATTATTCGCCACACGATAAAGACCAAAATATGTATCATTTGTATTACTATTTGCTTATTCGAGCTTGGCTTTAGAGTACTTCTCTCTCAAGTAACTAAAGATGTTTGTGAAACGAAATTTTCTGATGAGTACTTTCTCAACGAGGAATCTCGGGCACCAACATAACAAGTATCCCAAAAATGATGCCATTTTTCCTCTGTAAATGTTTAACTTACCGTTAATGGTTGCAGACTCAAAGTCATTGGCTACCTTATAAGCGTAGGTAGAAGGATCCATGGGGTTGTTTCTTACTGCCATTGCCCTTCTTTCCTCTAAAGATTGTTCAATTCCAGGTACGTTATAGATCGAGGACAGTGGCAACGGTCTATCATCTTGTATGGCCGTCTTGACACCTCCGGTAACAATGTTTATTACCTTTACATCAAATGGTTTCATTTCGAGTCTGAGAACAGCGGCATATTGGTGAATAGCGCTTTTAGTGGACGAGTAGATCGAGGAGAATGGAAATGGAATCAAACCACTTACTGAGCCAGTAAATCCAACCACACCTTTGGCATTAATCAACAACGGTGCAAGCTCCCTTGTTAAGCGGACGGGACCAAATACGTTAACTTCAAAGCACTGCTTAAATTGCTCGTCTGTGACATCAAGCGCTGGGAAGGTACATGATTGACCAGCGTTATTGAAGAGCACATCCAAAAAACCCCCAGTCTCTCTAACAAGAAGTTCTTTCCCTTCAAGCACGCTCTTCAAGTCTGACACATCCATCCTGAAAATAGTTACTCCCTTCTTCTCAAGCTCCAACATGGGCTCAAGCCGACGTGCACAAGCAAACGTTCTGTATCCTCTGCTTTGGAATTCAAGTGCAGTAGAGAATCCGATACCTGACAGAGCTCCTGTTATTAATGCTGTTTTCTGGCGGCTCATATTGTTCAATTGATATGGTAAAAAGAAAAAAAAAAAAAAAACAGAAGTGCTCCTGCGAGTCTTGATTATATAACTTGTGAACCCCGCACTCTCAGCCTTTATCTCCGGTGTGTATGTATTTTCAATCAACATCGACCTAAAAGAAAGGACTAGTGACGGAAAAATGCTTGCCACAGTTACATCCTTAAATTTCATCATTCTTGTGACATACCTTGTTCCTCATGCTGTTTCACTTGAACGTTTCCGGATCATGATCCTAAGGCTTGCATAAAAAAAAAAGAAAAACTAGGATATGCATGTATTAGAATTGAAACTAGGAATAATGTGAAGGCCGCTTTCTGATGCCCTGTAAGTTCATCGGTTGATCTCTTGTAGGATTTTGCTCATATCGAAATAATGCATGAATTTGACGGGCTTCGCCTCGTCCGCTCGATTTACATGGAGAACAGGAACATCGTAGCAGTACTTATCAAAAGCATCTGAGTTTTCTGGCTTCGATATATCAATAATTTCCAATTTAAGAGCCTTGTTATTCGCCTTCTTTATCACATTGTCTAGAACACCCTTTGCATTCTTGCAGAGTTGGCAACCATCTTTGGTATAAAATGTTAATGCCAAACTGCCTAAACGCGCATGGCTAGAAATAAAGCGTTTTAAAGTCTGAACAGACGCCATAACGCTGTGGTATCTCAGCAAAGTAAGTTCGATGTCTTTCCAAATTTTTAGTCTCTTGTCACGTGCCCTGCTGTATCGCTTGCGCTGTTGGAATTGTTGGCAGCCACCCAATGAAGAACATGATACTTTTCCAGTTCTTCATAGCTGTTGTTGCGGCGTCCCAAGTTTTACAAGGAGATGACAAGAATTTCGACGATTTGGTTTTGAAGTCGAATAAAACCACGCTAGTGGACTTTTACGCCGACTGGTGCAGGCACTGCAAGAATTTGATGCCTACTATTAGTGGTATAGCTGACCAGTTCGCCGAGATTGAAGAAATCCAAATTATGAAAGTCAATGGTGACAAGAACGGCAAGAAGCTAAGTAAAAGATACAAAATTCAGGGGTATCCAACCTTATTACTTTTTTCACCCAATCACACTGATCCGATCACATATGAAGGTATCAGAGACCAAACTTCCATAAGTAACTTCATTCACCTAGTATCTGGGCATCATGCAAGGCAAGATTCACTTTATGGCTACGAAAAAGATGAGCAGAGCGTTTTAAAAGTACTTGATGGAAATTTGGGAGACTACGAGACTAGGGGAAAAACTACGTTTGCATTGGTACAGTTGAAAAACGATTATTCGTCAGCCTTACTGATCGCATGGAACAATGTTGCCGAATACTCTTCTCCACACAAGTCTAACAGAAAATTTATTGAACTTCAACTATCCGACACTAAAAAGTTTTTATCTGATTTTGCAGTCAAGGATCTACCTGCCGTTGTTGTTCTCGATGGTATCAGCGGAACGAAGCTTATTCATGATGTGGGGATCAAAGCGGACTATCTCTCTTCACTTGTCAACGGATATCAAGATCGAAAAGTAAATGGAGAGATTGTACCTGACAGAAGTGCTGGAAGAATCCTATCCTATGATAGAAGAATTAGATTCACGGATTCTAAGCATGGACAAAATTTACTTGATGATATCGCTGCCGCCATCGAAGAAAAGACCTCTTTGACTAGCGAAAATGGTGCGGCTGATGACCTCAGAATGCACCTCTTTTATCAGAAGATGGTAAAGAAAATACTACTGGGGAAGGAAAGCTGGTTGAAGGACGAAGCAGTGCGTTTGGAGGCAATGACTGGAAACAACAAAGGTCTGATAAACGAGAAGGATCTTTTGTTCGCCAGAAAAAGAACCAATGTGCTAAAAGCTACTATTGCGGGACGAAGAATATGATTAGCTAAGAAATTGCCTAGTGGCACTGCAACTACCAGTCAATGGGCTTAAACTTCTGCACCTGTCTGACTTTTTCCGGCCAAACTTTACCGTCATTTATGATGCACTCGTTGATGATAGGAACGACGTTGTTTGGCTTACATCGTGCTAGCCATATATTTCTCCCCGTCTTTTTGATATAGATAATTACGTTGGCGGCATATTTATGGCCTCCGATATGGTTCACGTATGAAACGAGAACACCGCCATTCCTCTCATCACCAAAATCTCTGTAAAGACCAAGATCCCTCAAATGTAAATCCATCTCCTTTTTCATGATCGGGGCGGTTACGCCGCATTTCTTATCTCTTGTCCTATGGGAGCATAGAAAAATGTACGCTGAATTTATATCCGCTTCCACTACGACATCCAGGAAAAGAATATTTAACGTTGCTGGGAGTTCCTCGAGCTGCTTATCTCTATATTCCACAAGTTTTGGGACGATTGAATCCAAGACTTGTGCTGCTTGTTCAGCTTTCAAATTCTTCACCCAAACGAAGAATGGCAATAATAGTATGTCACCTTTTTTTGCATCCATATAGTCGTTATCTGATTCGAGTTTGAGAGACGAAAGAGAACTGACAGTTACCTTAACCTTGCTCAGGTCACCCAATACAACTGAAGTGTTACTTGCCCATCTATCAATGTTCTGAGCAAGTGGCCCTGATCCGCTTATAGCATCATGTGGCCAGTCAGCCTTATTTGTCGGGATAACGATGTGTAGTCCATAAGGCTTGGTAGTCCCCCATAAGTCTTCTCCCGAAGCTTCCGCTAAATTAATCGATGATGGAAATTTTGAAGTGCAAGAGTCACAAACTTGATCGCAGTCCGATGCCTTGAAGCCAAGACTTTCTAATTCATTCGTATGATCGGCTTGTTTCTTGTAAAAGTCGAAAAATCCCATTATGGAATGATAAGAAAAGAAAGAAATAAATAAATAAGGAAGAAAGGAAGTAAAGCTTTGATGAGAACAAAAAGAACGCCACTATCCTTATTGTGGCCTCGCTACTGTGCGGCGCCTCGCGGTGCCCAATACTAGAACAGAATTTATTGCGAATTTATCAGGGTTACGTAGCAAGTGCAATGAGAGCGCTCATGAGCTATCAAAGGAGCAGTTCAACTCCATCATAGTGTTCGACACACACATAAATTCGCTTGATTGGCTTTGTATAGTAAGTTTTTGTATGGAGGAAGAACTACTTTCAAAAGCCTCTGTAAACTTGCTTATGACTGGATTGAAAGTCCTTTCACGTCGTTCAACGTAGAACTCTATCTCATTAGTCCCCTTTGCAAAGAGTTGCACAATCTCTCCGTGTTCTGATTCACAAGAAATCGTATCCGCACTGCTATGAAGCTTACCTAAAGTAATCTTAGTCGTCAATTCTAAGGTATGAATGATAACATTTGGTGATATGCCGAAAGAGAGGAAAGCTGACATTGCACGGCTATTTCCTATCAGCAAGCTTACCGAACCACCCTCTCCTTTTGTTTCTTCGTGGCAGCTCGAAACGGGGTAGAGATGTTCGTTGTCCACGTTGATGCTTGCAAAGATTTTGAACTCCACCATGGGGATATTACTATCCGGCGAGGGGTATATTTGTTCTCGGATTTTATCTAACATGCCATGCATGATAGGGCGTTCTTTGGTGTCGTAATCGTCCAAAGAGTCTGTCATTGTCAAGTAAGTATCTGTGGACTTTAGGTAAAATACAGTATCGAAACCCAATGGCCCTCCTTTGTTAGCATGAAAGTCCTCTATTTCTTCTAACAGTGCTACCTCAAATAACAGGATGCTTTGAATAGTAGAATCAGTCACTACTGGGGCGGATGCCACCAGCTCCAAGAGGAGGATGAAGACTAATATGTATCCAAGTTTCATCATCGAAGCAACCTGTTGTAATAATGTGAGGTGCTGAGCGTATGCTGAGGCTGAATAGGTCAAGCTCGTAGGTCTTTTAGGTTGTGGAAACATTTTTATCGCTCGTTATCAGGTGGGATTTCATTCCATCTTTATGCGGAGTCAAAGTCCGTAGGACTTGCTTCTTCGTCCAAAGAGAAATGGATGACTTTAAAATTCGCCATCCAAAGATGGAAACTCCAACTCAAGATGGGTTCATTTCTTCGAAGAGATAACCTAACTAGTACTTCCCTGTATCTTTATTTCCTTCTTCCTTTCTCGTCGATCTGGTCTTTCTTAGGAAACCTTATGACTCAAGCAAATATTTTGTATCTCCGAACTCTTAGCACAGTGTCCGTAGTACGGTCTAACCTATTGCATGTGGTGCAGTACTGTGAGGGTAATTGTATCACTAAAAATCGTGAAAGTTAGAAATGCTCGGCACCGTACAAAAAACACAAAATCGCAGTCTTATTTGTAAACTGCTGGAGCCACGTTAGCAAAAACTAGAAAACCACGCGCATAAATTCAAGTGAACATTGATTTTAATCAAACATATCTCTCTTGATCTGAGGTTATCAAAAGGCTTGTCGTGCTGAATTTACATAAGTCTCTTGTTGCCCTCGTTGCATGAGCTGAAGGAATGATTCTGCTCGGAACTGTCCCGGCTGTCGACGTTCATTCTTCAAACAATACCTCCCACGCTAAAGCTTCCAAGTCTCGAAAAGAAAAGTTTAAGGAGAATCCTTTGACACCCACTTCCAGATCACTACGTGGTGGCCCTTCTGACAACTCAGAAGCGGCCAGCGGGGAGACGGTGCCTAGCTCCATTGCTGATGATACACCTCCCCAGGCAGCCTCATTTCATACCCTCACAAACAAATCTTTCAAAGATGACGGCAGGCTTACTTTAGAGGACCCTGTTACTTGTGAAGGACCAGAGAGAGAGTCTCATCTTCTCAAAGATGATATCCAGGACCCCAAGGCTGTGCTAATACATGTTGTAGGGCCTTCAGCAAACTCAGGGAAGGATAATGGCCATGATTGCTCGGAGAATATTGATGCTTCGAAGAGCATTCTGTGTAATTCTAGAAATCCACCCTTAAGGAGGCATACTTCTCCACCGCCCCCTGTTGAAACCCCTAAAGTTGGTCTGGCGGATATTCCTTTGGGCTCTTACTCTTTATCAAACAACCTAGATCAACGAGCTTCGACTGGGCGTGCCTCTTTACCCACATTTACAAGAGCAAGCTCTACTGCGGACATCCCAAAGCTTCGAATGAGCCCCAGAAAAGATTCTTTTAATGACGAGATTTCCAGAATGAGAAATTCCATTATCGTTAAAAGAAATCTCAAAAAACAACAGCGCCTAGATACATTTGAAGATGAAAATGTCTTTGTCGGTAATCGAATCAGCGAAGGGCACGAAAATTTTGTGACCGCCTACAATATGCTTACTGGTATTCGTGTCGCTGTTTCTCGCTGTTCTGGAATGATGAAACGAATAGATGATGGTGATTTTAAAAGCACAAAGAAGTTAACATTTAACATGGATGGGAATGAACTTACTCCATCTTCGAAATATGATTTTAAATTCAAAGATTATTGTCCTGAAGTCTTTCGTGACCTCAGAACTCTCTTTGGCATTGATCCCGCCGATTACCTAATTTCCATAACGGGAAAATACATCCTCTCTGAACTAGGTTCACCCGGAAAGAGTGGTTCTTTTTTTTACTATTCAAGAGACTTTCGCTTCATTATCAAAACAATCCACCATTCAGAACACAAACAATTACGACGAATACTTAAGGATTATTATTCTCATGTCAAGAGCAATCCAAATACTCTCATATCCCAATTCTACGGTCTACATCGTCTAAAAGTAAGAGGAGGGATAAAAAAGGTCCACTTCATAGTGATGAATAATCTCTTTCCTCCTCATAGAGATATCCACCACAAATATGACTTGAAAGGTTCAACGTGGGGTAGATACACAAGCTTTCCTCCTGTCGAACAAGAAAAATCTGACATGTCCCATATCACACTTAAAGATCTTAATTGGCTTGAACGGAAGGAGATAATCAGCTTTGGCCCCAAGAAACGCAAGATATTTCTTGGGCAGCTCGAGGCTGATGTTGAATTTCTTAAACGGATTAATGCGATGGATTACTCATTACTTTTGGGTGTTCACGATGTTCAAAAAGGTAATTCTAGCACAATAACTAATCTTTCAGTTTTTGATCCAATCTCCAATAATAAGAATGATTTGATCAAGACTAATCCCAGGGACATCAACAGGGAGGCTGACTTACCTGCGGGAAATTTTCCGGGCAGATCGAAGTATATCTTTTACGGTCACGATGGTGGTATACGCGGCACAAATGAAGATAATGAACCATTACGAATAATCTATTATTTGGGCATTATTGATTGCTTGACTGACTACTCGATCAAGAAGCGGCTTGAGACCATGTGGAGATCAATCGGCCACAATCGAAGCACTATTTCTGCGGTTCCAGCAAAAGAATACGGCGATCGTTTTTTTCGATTCATCCGAACCAGCATCTCGACTAAACAAAAACAAGCATAGGATGTAAGAATGAATGGAGTAGTTTATGTTTGTGCGCGGATTCAATGTAGACATGAACTCTAATGTCGCGCAATATCTAGTTCCATACTACCATGTTGACCAGCACAAGATTAACGTTGGGACGAGAAATTCGTCGATTTATGCATGTTAGGCTGGTACCTCATGAAGTATCTTCAACCAGCTTAACCCCTAATGGTTGTAACGGTGAATCACAGCTCCACGTTGAAAGATTGCCGAGTATCAAAACAAGTGACAGCATCCTGTTGAACGCCGTGGGAAATCCTCCGACCATGGTTTCGGTTACGATACCTCCCTCACTTTCAGTATTCGTCAAGAGAAATGCCTTACTAATGATACAGGGCTCTGCTCGCCATATCAACTCTAGGTTGAGGCTCCTCAATCCGATTAAGACGGCATTGCTCGAAGGAAGAGTTCAGACCTATGAAGAACTCGTCTCTGCCGAACCAACGTCTTTATTGGTCTCTTCTCTGGTGAATTCAAGATCAATGATACTGTTTAAATGTCTATCACCCAAATCCATTGCTCCTTTGGAATTGACTGGGTCCAATGATTGGGCTGTTCTTCAAAAGGATGCTCTTCAAATTTATGGAGGTCCTTCGCTCGTTGTTGCAAAACATAAAGTACCAAAGCTTATCTCCAGAGGTTTTGCCAAAAGGCTTGGGCAAGTGAAAAGAGGTCGTACGGGGTTGGCATCGCTAGCAACACGAGGCTTCACTTTTATCGGTGGCCGAGGGGTAGCCGCTTTGGCAGGAAGTGGACTGGTTTTTGTTATAACCGTCAGAGAAAATGAAGATGTGTTAATAAACAAAAACAATCTCCTTGCCCTCTCTGTCAATGGACCTCACGATCTACAAAACTGCGTTGTGGAAGCTCAAGTCCCGGGAGAAACCGACAATAAAAATCCCGTTCCCCGAGAGCCACTCAGGGCTATCCATTCATTAGATGATTTTCTCAAAAGTTTCAGCATTGTTGTCACAAGGGTCTACGAGGCATGGTATTGGTTTTCCAGCACTGTCAAACTTTATTTGTGGGGCCGTAATAATTTCATTAGAATTGTGGGCCCACGTACTGTCTTACTTCAATCGGAAGCGCCGAGAGCTCATTTTGTGTTTGGTAGTGGGAACAACATTGCTTCTGAAAAATTTCTTGAAACAACGAGAGAAAAGTCACCGCTGGACTTTCTCCATGTTGTTAGCTGCGCACAAGACAAGCCATCTATCAAAAGCACATCGTCGTTCGTTACTGCCCCTAAAGGGACAACTCAAACATGACACATAAATATTAACTATTAATCTTAATAAACATTATTTTCTCTCTCGTTATATTGATATCAGCGGCTAGAACTTTCGGTGCTACTACCCTCAGTACTGACTGGTGTAGAACTCTCCTTGGCAGAAAACGGACGGGGGTCAAGGTGAACGGTGTCTTCACCTTGCGTGTATAGTTCGATCTGCTTGGGATTGGGAAGCGGGAATTTTCGGTCCAATCTTGAAGAAATTGCTGGTAACTTGAACCTCCTTCGCTTATTACGATTTCTCTTCCTCCTCTTGGATTCACTTGACTCGGTATTTGAGGACAGCTCTGCTGCGGCTGCCGCGGCACCAATATTAGTGAATTTGGAGCCTTCCCGTTCCAGTGGACTCATTTGAGCAAGCTCGAGATCGTGTTTCTTCATGTTAGCGGTACTGAGCTTTTGAACTGGAAGATACTTGAGATGGGGGGGGTGTGATGTTTCCACCGGAGTAGGAGACTTGCTCTCCTCTGAATCCTTCATATCATTTTCGGGTATTGCACTTGGCTTATGCTTAAAAGTATTCTTCCCAGCTCCACTTGAATCGTCAGATCCAGAGCCATCATCAGTGTTCTTCCCGCTGCCACTTTCGATAGAGCTTGACACGCCTGAACTTTTTTCATCCAATGAAGCACCTACCGAAGTGGAAGCAGTCTGTGACTTCGACTTAAGCGAAAGATCAGTGGAAGATCCAGATGTTTCGGAGTTGTTGAACGCGTTAAGCTCGTTCTCAAGCTTGGGCAACTTGGAGCCACCGAGTATGGACTGCAGCTGGTGGCACTGATCCGGACCTACGTTCAGGTTTAAGGCCAGTGCTTCTTGACGGGATGATTTGTCCTCCGGCGTTAAATCTGTACTCTTGAGGAATCCTGTCTTCTCCGGTGATGTGGGAAACGACTGCGGATGTATGAGTCGATAAGGGAGTGACTGATGACTGTGAATATATGGGGGCGTTGCGGCAACTCGCATTTTGGTCCGGTCGGGGATACCACTTCCCGCCTTCCTCCCTCAGCGTTGCATATTCCTTAGAAGTCTTTCCGTCGTCTATCTTCTCCGGGACCATGGGTAAGTCATGCGCACCGGTGTTTTCGGGGTTCGCTGAGTATTTCGAAAGAACACGGTTTACTGCCACAAACAAATCGGACCACTCAAAGACTTTAAGACCCTTTTCAATATTGCGAGGACGGGGATTTTCCATCGACATCAATGACGAAAAGAGCCTGCGGCTTTCATTTGACGACTTTGTGACAGTGTAGGGTTTGAGAAATTGTAAATTACGGCGCACTCGGCTTTTCTCTTCAATGGAAAAATGCTCTCCGACAAGGTATTCTAAAACAAGTATAACGTCGACTGAGGTGACAACACAAAGTCCTTTCTCTTTCCAGCTGACACATGAGATCACTAATGAGCTATCGTTTGGGGAATAGGAAAAGGGAGAAACAGGTTCAGCCAGAATTCTGAAAGTTGCGTAAGATTCACGTTGGACTATGAGACGGACTAATCTCCTTTCTTCATCCTGTTCTTCCTTACACCAATTCAGTTGCATATTGCTCACCTCATTACCAACATCAAGCTGAATCGGGGTATTGACAACATCAAGATGCTGGCGGATAAATTCTGAGGGAAGAGTGCTTGTCCTGATCAAGTTGGGATGCGAGAGTTTCGGCAATTTCGTAGAGGATTCCATATTCCTTTGTCTGAGCTGTCGTCTTTTATGTTCTGGGGGATCGATAACCGAAATGTACAAACTCGAAGTATCGAAGTAAATTATGGGAGAAGCTGACTGAGCGACTAGTGCTTTATTATATGTCTCAGGAGGTGAAGCAAGAATATTGAAAGCAAAGTTCCAATATGTCTCAGTTTGCTCAGGCTAGGGCATGCGCCTTATTTATGAAGTGTGGCAAGTGTGAGGTAACCAGCCCCTTATAATTGCTTGCGGCTAGTAAAAAATTTTCCTCTTGCTTCGCCACAAGATGTGGCGGGCCGCTTTTAATACGTCATTCCTTTATATACTTACATTGCTATCGCACAGACTCTTGTTTTAACGAGCATCGCTGCATGGCGTCTTGTCTCACTGGCCGCGAATTCTTCAATCTTCGACGGTATTCCATAATTTGTGTTCTAGATTTCGAATGTACCCTGTGGTATTAAGTCTTAATACGTTAACAAGTCAACAACGACATTGATGACACTGACAAGAACTTCGATGCACACTAATACGATCACGATAAACTCAAGATTTTCTTCTTGAGAATGACCTAACTGTTCTTTCAACATCTGTAGCAAGTCTGATATCACTTCTAATCGTTGTTCAAGTAGTTCAACTCTTTGGTTAATCTCCAAGTAGCCCCTGGCGGCTTGATAAATAGGTTCAAGATGTGGTTCAGCCCACATGAGCTCAGGTGAATCCAATACAGAGCCGTGAAGATTAATGTTGATGCGGAGAATAAAGAGCTCTCCGATGGATTTCATTATTTCGTCCCTGGTCATTTCCACTTTTCCTGTATGAGCGATTTGTTGTGGGATGTCTTGGGTGTCTTCGATAGTATTATCAACTAGTTCCTCGAACAATGATATTTTTACGGACTGTGCCAAGGCGTGGGAAATAGAAAGTTTTAGCATGTAATTAGCATCGTCCCGGAGTGTAATGAAGTCATTGTAAATACGCGGTTGGTAAGAAGTGGTTATGTAGTAATTGAACTCCTCAACCTGGACATCTTCCGACGATAACTTTTCACTCTCAAACTTAGCTAAATCTTCCAAGAATGTGATTTCCTCTTTTCGCGTGTAACACCACATGATAACAACACCATATTCGAATATGAAAATGTCATTGCGCTTACCAAACTCTATCTCGCCCCCATCATCTGCCAAACGGATCATTTTTTTCCCTTCCTCGTCAGAATCATTTCTCCAGTCCTTGTACGTAAAAGGAGTATATAAACATTCATCGAAGAGCTTAGGCATGGTGTTATGAATCCGCTTCCTATCCTTAAGCCATCTAAGCAAGTCTTTCATCCTGTAAGACCCTGCTGTACAGTAAGCTGTGACTCGAGGCAATAGATCCCGGTGCAGCTTACCGAGTATCTCAGCATCTTTGCGGGCCGGTTTATCTGTTATACGAGTTACCTGAGAATAAACCCCGCCACTTTGTGCGTGTGTCCCTTTGCGCTTATCTAGATCATCGAAGGATATCCCTTCGGTCTCTAAACTGGGAGGATCCTCTGGTAGCAATTTGAGCTTCTGACTAGTACGGCTTAGTCTTTGGAGGCCTAGCTTGGAGTTGTTTCCCATCTTGCCGGGTGATTTATGGCCATGTGTACCTTGTGATGTACTTCTTCTATCGCCTCTGCTTATCTCATCCGTGTCACCCCGAATCAACGGTGTCTGCTCGGAATTGTTTGACATACTCCTTATGATTATGCTTCACGTCCTTTGAAGGGTTATTCCAGGTGTACGGGGTTAGTATAAACCTGTATAAAGGGTGATTCTGATAAGTGCACTGAGACTATGCCTCTTCAAAAATATTCTTCTGAAAAGAAACAAGAATAACAGATGTATTCGAAGTTCTTTGCTCTTCTTCAATAAAAAAATTGTGCAGATATAAATGGTGCATTTCATGAACTACTTTTCCTCCGTAATTTATTGGTCGGATTATGGTGTCGTTCGACATCCAGAATTTGCAATACTCATAATGTCTATCTCCTGCAAGACTCATTAGAATTTGTGTTACTAATGTTTTCAGCTTTGTCTTCTCCTCTGGGGAGATTGTGAGCTACACGACAACCAATCCAGGCATATGATTTTCTTATAAATGTACATATTTTAATGGAGAAATGCTTTTTTTTTTTGTCTTTTTTTGGTTTCTCCGTTTAGCATATTGTTGGTGATGACTGTTAATTCGCGGAAGTCGGAGTATTTGTCGCAAGTCATCCAAAATGTTTGTAAATTGATCCCCAACAAAAATCACAAATGTGCAATGTACTTCACGAAGTTATGGTGACAGTAACAAAACACATAAAAACTAGAACACAAGTAAAGATGAAAAAATCTTTCTATTTTTTTTTTAAAAAAAAATGAAAAGGGAAGAAAGTAACAGTATATGAAGGAATAGCACTTAGGGATGGCACCAGCGGAGGAAGATCTGTACTGAAAATGTGCTGTATCGCTCTCCAAACTCATCGAAAATTTTCATATAAGAATAACATGAATTTGAAGAAAAGATGGAAAAAAAAAAAAAATCCGTGCTGAATTGAAGTGTCTTCTCTTCTACCCTTCAGAGTTTAAACAATTCGCCTCCATGGCACGTGACTTATCAATGCGATGAGCTGCCTCATGTAAGTGTCGTCTCGAAACACTTCTTACACTATCACGTTCCGAAAAATGGGTAAGCTGCACAGCTTTAAGTCGTTTAGAGAACGTGTAAATGATCTAAAGATAAATCCATATACGAAACTCGAAATACGAAGTTACGATCATGCCACAAATTCTTTCTTCCTTTCTTCCTTGAATCACTGGAAAGAGATTAACATTAGCGGGAATTTCGTTTCTTGTATCGATCAGGTGGAACCTATCAGTCAGTCCCTCCCTCAGGTAATCCACCACAAAGATAAAATTTTTTGCATTCTCGAGCAGCACATTTCGAAGCATGACATCCATTCACTTCAACCTTTGTTGGAAATGTTAACTCAGTTCATACATGATTTGGGACCAGATTTCCTTCCTTTCTACAAAAGGTTCGTCAAAATAGTGATAGAAGTCTGTGGTTCAGTGACACCAAATCATTCACAGAGTATGAAGAACAGTGCATTTATACTAGAATGGTGTTTCAACTCATTGGCATTTGCGTTTAGATACCTATCCCTGGAGCTTACAGGCGATCTATGGACTACGTTTGAGTCATTCGAAACCTTATTCAAGGAACGAAAGAAAGCTTACATTGGGCGATTTTGCGCAGAAGCTATGTCTTACTTGATCAGAAAACTGCCTCAAGAAAGTTTCTCGGCTTTTGTTGACACATTCTTTAATTATATGGCCGAATCTGATTTTCACGAGGAGTTTCTTGACAGTATGGTGAGCCTTTTCGCCGAGGCAATGAAATTAGCCAAGGAAAACGTACATTCAAAGTCAATGATGATTTTAAAGACTTTAATTGCTAAACTTATTCCTGGGCATAGATCGAATCCCACCTATTTGCAGGTGGTCGCCAAAGTAATAATGGATTTACTTCACCACGCTTCGCGTCCCAATGGCTGCGACCTCAGTCAAAGGATGTTTTCAGAATTTCATTCCCGTATACTTATAGCCAATTCGGTCGAGACGCTTCATCATTTGCTTTTCCTTGTTCTGGCGATTGTATTTGTCGACAATGGAGGAAAATTGCGCTGGGAAAGCGACTCAGTTACATTTCTTAAAGCAGTCGGAGACTTTTATTCTGCTGTTACGAAGTCCCAGAAACTGGAAACTGAAGCTCAGCTCCTCTTGTCCCTATTACTTAACTTGGTCGTCAGGAATCTGGATGTTACAATCGGAGCTGCCCTTTTGAAACATTTATGGGATGTGATAGCTAATGACACGGAGGTCTTAAGAGTAAGTATATTGGAGTTGTTGGGAGATTTGCCAAACGAAAAGTACCAGGCTTTAGGTATCGGGCGTCTTTTGCAGCAAACAATCAATGGGTTAGACCTGACAGCTGGCTTACAACGCCTTTCACTATTAATACTTAGAGAAGCTGGCTGCCATAATGGACAACTAAACCTGTTATCTATCCCTAGCTCGCTAATGAATCAGTTGCTAATCGGCGTGATCGAAGATGCAAATGATCCAAGAAAAGAGTTAACAGACGTGGCATGGAGATGCGAAATATTCAAGCTTGGTACAGTGTCTAATGGTTATGATCACACAAAAGCCTTTGAAGCTGCTGTCGCGGTCTATCTGCGGTGGAATGACGAAAGCGCTGCTGATTTATTAGGATGCCTCATCAACATGTTCATCAAAACCTGCAGTTCTTTTTCTAACCACGATGATGGAAAAAGTTTTTCAGACATTGTCCGACAAACGATCAGGTTTTGTGGCCGTTCAGTCACATACGTAAATTCGTTGCATTCTTTCTTATGCTACGCATCCGAAAAAGCACCTGACATCGCTCAAGATATACGTACTACGTGCGTCGAGAATCTTTCGTCCCCTCAAAGGTCTCTTCGCCTTGCTAGCGTTATCGTACTCCGTGAAGCACTCCCGAATGATGATGCAATATTACAGCAGATTACTGTCATCGATCAGGTTCCGTTGCATGTCGGAAATGCCTATGATGTGAAAATGAGGATCAAGAGTCTTTTTAAATCCTTCTCCGAAATGAAGCACTCCCTTTCCTCAAGACAAGTTATGTCGCACTACGCGATTGGTCTCTTGTGTAACAAATTTCAGCCATGTTGGGAAGCTGTTTTTGACGCTTTACGATGTTCGCTGGATAAGGCATTAGATAGCTATGTCAGCTCCCTTCTTTTTCAGATGGCTTTCCGCCCATTGAAGACACATGAATTTGCTTTCGAAGGGGACGAGAATGTTAAGGAAGACTGTGTTGCTCATCTACTTACGAGACAGGACTGTATTTTCAAGACTTACTCGAAACGAGTGGCTAACTCAGTCCCCTCTTCCAGAAAGCAGCTAATGACCTGGGTCAAGGATGCATGGATGACTGAACAGGAAAAGGTTGCAGTTGATGCTCAAATGAGGTCAAGAATGGTGCGCTGCCTAGAAGAAGTTCCTCGTTTGGTGGAGGGAAATGGCACTTTAGTACTTGATCTTATTTTTGAAGTATTCTCAGAGAAACACCAGGGATGGAGAGTTGATGATAAGATTGCGATTTTGAAATTGGTTAGTCTGACCAAATCAGCTAAGAACAGCGATGGGGAGGCAAGGTTAATGCTTCTTCTCTACAGTATTTTGTCCTCGGGCCTTCCTAAACTTCAGGAAGCAGCTTTGAAAGCTATCCTTTCACTCGATTCTTCTTGCGTCCGCTACCGTGATAATCTATCGAATTTACTTGATGATAAGCTTTTTAAGGACGAGATCTTGAACTTGTTGGGGGAGAATTCCGAAAATCGGATACCAGATGAAGATCAGGACTCAATAATTCCACTCATACTTCATATTCTTTTCGGAAAGGTACAAACTACGAGCCGCAAAAGCCAAAAATCTAGCACCAAGTTTACAGTCGCTACGGTACTCCCTAACTTGGAAACACGTTTCATCCAAGCCTTTTTGTCACATATGAGCGGCAGGATCCCGTGGAAAAAGTTCTATGAGGACGATAGTCACTTTGATGCGTATTTCAACAACATCAAAGTGATGTCGGGCTACATCCACATGCTTACTGAGGTTTACGACTCCCTAGGATATAAGTATGGGGATATTTTGGGCCAGACATTAAGGCCACTCGTTTTCGTCCTTGTTTCTATCCAAGCTCTTGTCGAAAAACACAGTGAAGATTCGACAAGCAATCTCAAATACTTAAGACAGTCGGCATTTAAATGCCTTTCTACGTTTGATAAGCTTGTCAGCAACGACTTTGAATGGGGAGAAGTGCTTGACATTCTTTTTCGTTTTGTCCTACATCCACGGATGAAAAACTTCGCTGTTGAAAATACGGAACAAACATCTTCCTTGTTAGAATTCATTTTGAACCGTGTGAACTGCTCTGGTTTCGTGGGATTTTACGGACTAGATGACTGGCTCCCGCTAAGGTCAGTCCTCACTCTATTTGAAAGTGAGCATTGCAAGGAAGATGTTCTGGTGAATCTATTGGATTTCTTCATCACTGCGTTTACGAGAAGATGCGATGCCGACCTGCAGTATTATCAGTTTCTTGCATTGATTGTTGATGGCTTGCTTAGCTCACTTCCTCGCTATTTACAAGGGTCGAAAAGTCGGGAAATTTTGTCCAGATGTGCAACCCTATTGCTTCTCATGGTAGAGGGCCAGTATTTGAATAGGGAGAGCGATAAACGTCTTTTTGTTGCTGCCTCATGTTCTGCTTTACAAAAGTCTTCCTACTTCATCCGTCTGGAAGATAAGGTGAGTATCTTGATTTCATTATCGCTGATGGTCGAGACTTTTGAACTCGATTATGATGTTTTCAACGACCTCATCCGATCTTGCGCAAGGACACTTAGATTTTCGAAAGAGAAAAATATGCGCAGGGGTGTTTCTAATCTATTGGATGCGATAGCTTTAAAAGAAAAGGCTTTGAAAGTGAGCTCTTCGATCATTCGTCTTCTTAATGCTAACATGTCCCAAAACTCAGAATCTTTTGATTTCGATAAAGTCCTCGATGGGTTTGAATGTCTTAGCGAAAGTTATTTCGAGTCTTGCTCAGTTGATGTATGGCTGTTGACAGTTTCAAATTGTTTATTTTTTATGGATAATGAAGAGGAGAATATTTTGCGGTTGAGCGCATGTTCTGCCATCAAGAACCTCGTCACTTATGTCTCTAGAGCACTGGCACAGCATATTGTGGCTGCCTTTGGTGGATGTTTCGACGATTTGATTAATCCTGCCATTCGCCATGGCTTAGCGAACCCTAACGATGAAGTTAGAAATGGCTACATTGAGCTTTTAGGATTTATGGTACTGTTCAATCAGTTATTACCAAAATTGAGTGATTTGCAGACGTTGCTATCAAACGAAGAGTCTGAAAATTTTTTTTTGAATGTGCAACATCTTCAGGTAACAAGTCGTCAGCGGGCTATTCGTGGCCTTATAGAGAAGAGGAGTGTTTTGTCTGCTTCCTCCGTGGAGAATTATCTCGTTCCAATACTTGAGAATTACATTTTCTGTAAGGAGGAGAAGTTTCGCAATCTTTCAGACGATTCTCAAAAGGCTTTTGGGGCATTATCTTGCGTGCTAACTTGGAATGCTTACAAGCGCTATGTCAAGAAGTATATTTCCATGTGCTCAACCAAAACTGAACTGACAAGGGATGCTGTGAAAGTAACTGTACAATTGATTCAAAACTTATATTCGCATTACAGTTCCGCGTCACAGGTTGAAAAAAGATTACTATCTGGCTCACCCGAACTGTCAACAGTGGTCAGTGAGTACATTATTAGCAGTGTTGTGCATCCGATAAAAAAGATTCTTGCTTTTCGAGACGATTCTACTATTATTACGAGACTTCCATTGCTCGAAGCGTGTGTCTCGGCCTTGCTTATTACGCTGGAGACTGTTATCCTGGGTGAGCTTCCAGGTGTTCTTATAAACACTTGCCAAGTCCTTCGTTCGAAATCCCAGGAGTTAAGGGATGGTTCTAGAAAGGCGCTTTGTAAAGCCTCTGAACATTTAGGTCCCAAATTTTTGAAATATATCATAAGGGAGCTCCAAGCAGCACTTTCACGAGGTTCTCAAATTCATGTGCTTAGCTATACTCTCAATGCCATCCTAAAGGAGGTGAGCCCGTCAGCGGAAATTGGTGATTTTGACGATAGTTCGACAAGTATAGTGGGTATCATTATGGAGGATATCTTTGGGGCGGCTGGCAAGGATAAGGATGCTGAAGGATATCATAGTAAAATGAAGGAAGTGAAGGCCAAGAAAAGCTTCGAAACAATTGAACTTCTTTGTTCCAAGTTGAGCTTGAATGAATTTGATTGTATTCTCGGCCCAATTAAATCGCTTCTTAAGCAGTCCTTACCGATGAAGACTGAAAAAGCGCTTGACGAATTTCTCCGAAGAGTATGCCAGGGTATACTAATCAATGAAAAGGCCACGACAACAGAGGTTTTGGTGCTATGTTATGGGATTCATAAATCCTCGCTTTTGGATTCTGAAGAAAGAAGTGTCTCGAGGGTTTTCAAGAAGGAAGACGCTCATTTTTTGGTCGATCTCAAAACAAGAACGGAAACGGTCAATGTTGACCGAGCGCAATATACTTACCATTTGCAGAGAATTGCTTTCGACATATTGAAGGCTGTTTTGGGAAGGAACCCACAACTCCTTACAGTGGAAAATACTGATGGATTCATACCATTGATGGCTGAAAGTTTGAAATCATCGCATGAGCCATTGCTTGGAGCGCTATTGAGAGTCGCCATATTAATTGTGAAACTAAATTACGAAGCTGACCGTGACGACTTTTTTGAATGCATGGTTAATAAGGCCATCGAAAATGTTCTAGAAAGCCCTTCTACGAGGTCGGAACTATGTCAGCTATCATTAAAGTACATCGCCATGGCTTTAAGACAAGGTAAGGGCAGGAGTTGTACTGATGATGCCGTGCGTGCACTTATAGTAAAACTAACACCGGACCTTGAGGATCCCGAGCAGCAAAGTTTGGCATTCAACTTCATGAGGGCAGTGATTTCTAAGCGGATATATCTCGCAGAAGTTTACGATGTTATGGACAAAGTTCTACGCATAATGGTGGTGAACCATTTCCAAGAAATTAGAGATATTGCACGAGGATTGTACTTCAAATTCATGCTTCTGTATGATCAAGGCGAGAAACGGTTGGAAATGGCCTTCAAATTCATGGTCGATAATTTGACCTATCCTACGGCAAGTGGCCGACAATCAGTGATGGAGCTTATTCATTCGATCTTATTGCGATCCTCTGTAACTGTTGTTGACAAAACTGCTTCCAGCTTCTTTATTGGTTTAGCGAACGTCGCAGTCTCAGATGACCTGGGCAAATGTCGAGAGATGTCGATAGCGTTGATTAAGGAACTTTTCGACAAAGCTAGTTTGTCTAAAGTAAGAGTTTTTGAGAGACTTATCGAGACCTGGCTAGCGAACTCCACCAAGGGGATTTTGCGCAGATGTGGTCTCATTACTTACAAAGCTTATCTTACTCATTTTGGGGTAGGTAATAATAAGAGACTCGATCTATCAGCATCTGAATTGACGAGGACTTACCTTTTGTCGTCTCAATTGAGCAGCAATGAAAGTGGTGAATGGGAGGATGTTTATTTGGCCCTTGAACTTCTGCGCCAAGTATTTACCTGCGTTGGCAGACCACCATGGAATGATTCTAGCGAGTTTTGGGAGGCAGTATCAGAATGCTTACTTTTTCCCCATACTTGGGTTCGTTTACTTAGCTCGAGACTCGTCAAGATCTATATCATGCTGGTTAAAAGCGAGAAGAGATCGAATACTGAACTATTGCAGAACATTGCGTACCGTTCATTGAGGCAACTTGCCGCCTCAGGTATGACGGAAGCTTTGAGCGAAACGGCGGTCGAGAACATCGAGACTATATTCACCTACTTCATGGATTACAACGTTTCTTACATTGCTCATGAGAGCCATGTTCGGGAGGTTCCAGGCATCACTTACAATTTAGCCGAGGATATGGTATTATCTCGAAGCGTCTCATTGCTTCGGAAATGCCTTTCACCACAATTTGATCCTATCAATAGAAAGGCCGCAATGACATTAGTTGCCCGAATCACTAGCCTTTTATCTGGCGAGAGGCTTCACCAATTCACACAGCAAGTCATTACTTCGCTAACAGGTGCTCAAGATTCACTGTTAGAGGGTGATCTCATGTTTGAAGAATACTCAAAATATTTCTTTCAGACCGCTGAAGAGAAGCTTGGAACAGGACCATACAGTAAAATGGTATCAGTTGCCAGAGCTGAAGTTTCCGTAAGAAGAGCGAAACGAAGAGCTGATAAAGCCCAGCTCATGATAGACAACCCCCAAAAAGCTTCTGAAAGAAAGAGCAAAAAACATGCTAGGTCCAGAGAAAAACGGAAAGATAATAAGGACGCAAATGGCTACTACAAAGCTAAGAAGAGAAGAGTGGTATAAATTCCTTATAGCATATATGTATATACTCTCATGCTTATCTACTGTAGCGTCTGATGCACAAGATCGCTTTGGTGAACGGATTGATGCAGTGAAGCCCCCCTTGGAGAGGCGATCGATGTTCCACCTCTTTCACTATTTCCGTATCTATCGTCAAAGGCTCCACGCATATGAGCCTCAAACCCTCGACCGAACTTATCTTGTTCTTCAGTAGATAGACTATTCCATTTCTTTTTCATTGCCTCATGGCCGACGAGTCCGCCACTTGGCCAAAATTAGCTCGTTCCATATGAACGAAATAGTCGAAAGGACTATGGAATGGAAGAGCATTCCCGCTATCACTAGTCCTGTTAGCTGTTTCGCCATCACTTTCCAAAACCTGGTTGAAAAGAGTAGGCTTACACGGTCCATAAGCTTCTGGGTGTTTCAAGAAAGCTCGGTCCTGAAGCCTTTCTAGAAGAGCCGAATACTGCAATCTGGATCTTCTAATTGAAGTCCTTGTTCTAGATAAAGCGAGAAGTGACACTTCATTACATTCCTCTACCTCTTGAATCCTTCTTTTCAATTCGTTACATTTTTGTTTAATCTTTTGTTCAGGATATTAGTACCAATACTTTTCACTATAAGCAGACAACATACCTTCGCTTTCAGGGGCAGCCTCCTTGACGTTAACCATTCTTGACAGTGAACAAGGATGCATCTGTGGGAATCTCACAGTCCGTCAAAAGTCAAGTCACGTGCGAACCTGAGTCTATCACATCATGGAAATGTCGTTCCAACGGAAACGCGATATGAGCACACTTATCGCGAGCCTCGCTGTGAATTAGCTAGTCACTTACTTCACTGAGACTAATGATGTCGTAGCTGCTCAGCGACTCATTCAGCAAGTCCTCGTCTGAAAGAACGAGATTTGCTTCATCAGGTTCGATACCCAGTCCTACTGGAGACCAACGCTGACTAAGCTTGTAGGGACCCAGTTTACCATGGAAGGAAGAAGCAGCTAAGCGAATATAGAAGGTTTCAGGTGGATTGAGCGAGGACAATTCAAGTCTAAATGCCGCACTTTTGGATGGGAGAAGGTAAAAAGGTGTATGGGTTAAAGTAGTTTCCATAACGGTACCATTCGGATCCATGAGACTCATCGATAGCATTGTGAAAGATAGTGGTGCCACTGCACAATTAGCAAGTTCAAGAATCAAGCCCGTCTTTGTTAGTTGTGTCATCCTGCAACCCAAGTTTGTCATAAGGAGCCTGGGCAGGTCTTCATCTTCCTTCAAGCCTAAGAACCCATCCCACACCTCTATATGCTGCTCACCAATACAATCAACCTGTAGTCCTCTTTTATCACCAATAGAAACCTGTTGGTAGTCCTGGTGAAATACATCCATCAAATGGTACTTTTGGTGATCCCCCGTCTCACATTTTTCTTCAAAACAACTTGTACACAAATCATAATCATTACAAACCGTGCATTTGTAGCCTCTTCCTTGAATTTCCTGGAACTGGCCAGCCTGGTTGCATCCATCGCAAGCAGATACTCTTTGTCTCATGGGTTCGTGGCTTTGCAGTAAAGTTTTTGAGGTTCTCATGTTTGGCACAATCCGTCTCCCTGTGGCCATTGGTTCAATTTGATAAGGAACGTCGCTCTGATAACTGTTTCTCTCGGTTATTCTGACATCTTCGATCATCAGATTCAATTCATCAACTGATGCTTTTTCCCGAAGCTTAACGTAAAGGAGAAGGTGGCTTTTAACCTTCAAGCTCTGTCTCATTTCCCTAAAATCTTGTAAGGTTTCAAGTGAGACAATCCCCTTTTTCTTCTTCGACCTCCTTGAAAAAGATTGAACGGGGAAATCATGTTTTGATCCACTCAAAGAATACAAACTTCGAACAAATTGAACCATGGTGCTTTTCGTTCTGATATTGAGTACTGTACACCTTGGTACCTTAAATACATCCGGCGCTTGTTTTTGGAACAAGAATATCTCAATTTCTACGGTGTCATGATCTGCTGGAATTGGAGGCATTCTTCACTGATATTAAATTCTGGAGTGCCCCTGAAAGACGGGGAAATATATATGTGGGTCTGCATATTAATTTTTATCTCTTATCATATCATTGACATTCGACCTTGCGAAGGCTTCAACAAACCAAAGTAAGCCCCTTCAACCGATGACGGCAGGGAAAGATGGAAGATCCATGACCCATTTACTATAACTGTCTTTCCTTTCTCCAGTCCTCAATCTGTCTATCGAAGAAAGATCCTGTTAGTCCCGTATCACTATCTCCAACGTAACAGAATCGACAGTTGATTCTTAGCACATCTTGATTACGTAGTTCGTCATCAAAAAGAAGAATATCACCATCTTTAAGTGCCGCTTGAAGGCCAAGCTCCTGAACTGCTCTCTTCACGTGGTGAATCTTCGAGCCTTGGCCCCATTGTAAAGAATCAAAGAATCCTATCATAGGTTTCCCGTCTATTTCATATAAGTTCAATAACTTCATTGCAATATCTGGTCTGGCAGTACGACTCGCTGCAATGATTTTGACGCCTTGCTGCTTGAGTTTCTTTATTGAACTCTCTACCCCATCATATAACTGCAAATAATAACCAACCGCATCGATCACGCAATTACCGCTATCCAGCCTTACCGGGAGCCTAATGTGCGTATCACACCAACATGGCCATAATGTGTAGTCTAGATCAAATACCACAGCTTTAGGAAACATGGGGAAGGCAAACTTTCGAACAGGCGATCATGTATCACATGACTTAAACCTTGGTGGAAGAATGGACTTCTGCAGATAACGAGACCTGTATGACTGACCATCTTGAAATGAAATCAAGCTCGCTAGCGGCGTCGCGTAGCGGCAATACCGTCATCAAAAAAACAGGAAGGGTATCATGCCATCATAAAAAATTCTTTGCAAGAGTAGGGGAAAGAGGCTCTAGTGATACAACCATAAAACGCCTAACGATGCCCAGATCCAAAATTGTTGATGCTTTGAGGAGTGACACATTCTATAACTAACATAAATAGCAGTAGATAACATTATCCAGGAGTAAAATTATCAACATCCAAACCAAACGGACATTCTTTGTAGCCACAGATTCGAATCACAAAACTTTACATCATCTAGGATTGCATTTTTTCTCTTCCTAAGAACGATCAACTTCTGTAATACATAAATGAAAGTTAACGTACCTACTACGATATTACGAAATGTATTCATTTCACAGTTGAACTGGCAACAAGGCTGACACATGCTGAGTGACAAAATCGAAGTATTGTACCGACCAAAAGAGGTTCCAATGTGATTTGCCCAAAATGTTCTCGAGAACAACGGGAGCTTGTCTTCCTTCTATCTAACTTCTGACCGTTGAAAGAGTTTGCTGTACGGCATTGGTAGAGAATTCTTCTAATCGCACTCAATAAAATTGAATGCGGAAAAAAACAAACTACAAAACTCTCTATGGGACCGTTTTATTGGACCACCTACAACAAATATATCGAAAAGCGTATGGAGTAATACGTACCGGTCGTTGACACACTGTGGTAGCATAGGCAAATTATACAAAGCAACTTGTAAAGCCACAAATTCAACGGCAAACTTATAATTGTGTTTATTTCCTCGTTAACTAATTGTTGTAAAACAGCTTAATCACACCGAATCATTAAGCGGTCCTGAAGCCCCCTAGATCGAGTAGTAAAACCATAAAGAGAAATGCAAAGTCGATTCTGGCATCGACCATGAACAAACTATGATGACTTGTACTATGCTGCGGATTCGGTTGAGTTGGATTCCTTGTATTAATCTATCCCGTTCTCCAGCAGGAAGCTCACTGCAATACTATTAGGATCGGACCATCTCTGAAACAAAGATCAATGGATTATATCAAAGAGAAGTAGGTAGCTTGGATTAGTATCCGTACATCAAAATATGACGTTATCAATTAGGATTGGCTAAGTAAATATGGGCTTCATTTCGAAACCCGATTGATGTGGTCATATAAAGTTCTGTATCAAAGCTTTCTTTCGTCATAGATGTATAACTGAATCATGTTCGTTGGTTAATTATATTTTCATCGTAATGCGGGGCTGGAAATCATAAATAGATACCCAAATCAGGGCAAACGTAACAACTGAATAGTTAATTTTAGTGTTTATATCTATTCTTGGGTTTGGATTTTGAATTACCGATCAGTATTTGGTAGGTTTGGCCATAAAATGGCTGCACATCATGGGAATCGGCGATTCACGCGTTTGACGTTTTATACTACAATGTTGTTCTTATTGTTTGTTCGGTTACTTGATCGTCGACACCCGATACTTATAGGATTTTCATTGTTACCATGAGCGCTTAATGAGATCTTTCCGTTCAATTTAGAGATTTTGTTATTTTTCTTAACTTACCCAACATCAATTTCATGCTACATGTCGTTGACTATGTGCCTGTATAATTTTTTTGAACTCTGGTAGACGTTCTTTAATGCCCTTGGAAATGGCGAGAGTAAACCTGCCGTTCTTCATTGGTCCGCAATAAACGCACTACATATGTTCCAAGATGTGAATTACATTTTAAAGGCCCCTAAAGGGAATAAGAGAAATATACCTAAACACCTTGAAAGAGTACCAAGAAACTAAAAAACTAAGATTGAATATTCTGATTTTTTGGTGTCTTAGATTGTCAGTTTCTCAGTTTCTTGTTGTCATGTTTCTGTGTGCTATATCGCTTAGTTTTTTAGTTTTTCAATTTTTTTTTTCTAGTATTATGTAACCTTTGACCTGAATTACTATATGAATGACTTTTTATCAACTTTTGTCTTTATGGACATCATTTTAGCAGGTTTTTACTTATTTCATCTTGAATCGTCTGGTAAATTGTTACATAAAATTTGCAGATAACTCAAAATGTCTTCTTGGAAATTTATAGTGCGTTTAGTGACGCCCTTCTCGACTGTGTTTCAGCCGATTCAAAGTTTATGAAAGTTAAACAAGCTACATTTTTATCGATAAATATTACACTTTCTAATATAGTATCTAACTAATGAAGCCATTAGCTTTGAAAGCTTCAACGGCTGTCTCACAGGTAGTACCTGCATCCTCGGTGGGTCCATCCGAGATTGAATATTGGTATCCAGTGTCTGAACCAGTCGATTTAATGATATATGTGTTAGATTCACCCACCGATGAAATAATGGAATCGAAGTTTTCACTCGTTGTTAAGATCACAGCAGAGCCTGCTCGGACCAATTCGTGTACCAAAAAGTTATCGTTGAATTTGGAAGGTAACTTTGTCACTCTTCTTGCACCCGAATGCTCGTTCAAAGCTGACTGCAAAGCCGAGCTGAGCACATCTCCCGACTCCTCTCCTCCCGATGAAGTATCAATAACCACAGCAAACCCCTGACGAGAACGTGGTGGGTTCGTATCACGCAAAATCTTTACCACTTCAGGGTATGAAAACCATTCAGGTATTTCGGTTCCATCACGTAAGCGCTGCCTTAATTCAGTACCGGAGATGTTGGCGGTCCTTACTTTGGTAGTATCGATAGTATCTATAGGAGCGTATCTGTCTTCTTCTGGAAGATAAGTAACCATTCTGAACGGCACAATTTTTATTTTACCACTCAATTCATCACTTAAGCTTGCCAAAGTTCCTGCGCATCATACGGACCATAAAAATCGACCCCCTTTGAATTCTTTCCAGGACCAGCGTGATCTCTCCCGACTATAAATGATCAACACCGTAGTTCATACGGATAAGCGCATGCCATAACGCTTCTCTGTCTCCTCCCATTCTCATTGCCAAGGGTAACAAGGAAAGGGTGGCTAACCCTGCAGGATACTTCTTCAAAATCTGCTGATAGACTTTGACTCTAGTATGGTGATCAATATCTCCCGGCTTTGTCATACCTACGACAGGATGGATCAAAATATGAGAGCCTTCTCCGAGATCCTTCGCGGCTCTGACAGTGAGCTCTCTATGAGCGCGATGCATTGGATTACGGGTTTGAAAAGCAACTATCTTCTGGTCACTCCAACCCAATTCCTCAAACTCCTTTCTTAATTCCAAAGGCGTCTTTCTAATTTCGGTGTAATCATAGTGCCTTGGGTATGATAAGCCTTGAATAGAGCCACCAATATAATATTCGCCCGCGACTGTGTAAAGGTAATTAACGGCTGGATGCTCCGGGTCCCCTCTGAATACCAATTTGGCTTCGCGTTCCTTGTCCGGCTTGTAGATCGATTCAATGGACAAAATTGCAAGGAGTCTTTTATCCCTTGGGTCCTGTAAAGCGATTTTATCGCCTATTGAAAATTGTTGAGACTTTTCCTTAGAGACATCAAGTGTGATGGGCATGGGCCACAACAAGCCTTCACCGTTGTCATTACGGACGCTCGAAAATCTCATCTTTTCGACAACTGAGTTATAATCCTCCTCGTTTAAAAAACCAGTTAAAGGGGAGAACCCGCCATTAAGGATTAACTCTAAATCACAGAGTTGGCGATCCGTCAATGTAAGGATAGAGAAAGTACCATTCAAAGCGGAACTAATAAGCTCCTCCCTGACAGCATCGTCGCGTACAACAAGATCCTGGAGCTGACCTCCATGTGGCTTTGGGATTGGCATTGGATTCTTCTTGTGTTGTTGAGATATTTTCAGGCATTAGGTGCACTTTATATCGTCTTCATGAGCCTAAGTTTAGATCGTACAATCTCACGTGACATGATGAAGTAAGTATTGAGGGACACTTGTCATACCAAAGGTGTGGGCCATAAAAAGCATTGAATGCCTTGGTTCCTGGTGGAAGAATTTTCTTGGTTGAATAGTGTGGTGGTGTGGCTCCCATCTACATTCTTTTTAATGGGCTACCAGCTCCATGGTTATCAGAGTCATTGTATATCGCTGACTTGAAGTAATGGGAATTTTAGGTTACTAGCAATGTCTTCTTCTAAACTCTGGGTAATTGTTTTATCTACTTTATGATGCGGGATCCAAATTGACAATGCACATGTGATATCACTACGTTACTCCATAATTGGCGGAACAGTTCGAAGTGTCAGCAGAGGCTCGTGAAAGATATAACTTATTTTTTGGCTAGGTTTCTGGCGCATTACTAATCCTTCTTCTTTTCCGAACACCACCCAAATATGTAGGGTGCCCCACTTGCCCCACGATAAGTGGGGGAGGGGTTGTGCGAAAAGAGCTCGCAACCTGAAGTTGGGAACAACGCATTGAGTAATACTGTCGACTTCAAGTTTTATATGTAATGAAGAAAGGGAAACTATGGCAACGTAATACTACGTCACTTGCTTAACTCAAAGAAAATTTTAATGTCGAGCACGCGGTAAAGTTGGGGTGTGAGTTCATGAAACCTCTATGATCACCAACCAGCATATCACGTGCCAAATTTAGCAGTTGCTCCAATTGAATGCTGCCAATGATGTTATTGACTTAGCCGGGAATTACCCGATGGTGGACAAAGTACGAAGGTAAAACCATTGCATGTTATCTTAATGAACATTGTACGCCTTGGGCTTGCTCAACTATGCTGACGAAGAAAGTCATGCTGAAAAAGTCTAAGAAACAAAAAAAAAAGAGAGAGAGAGGAAAAAAAAAAAAAAAAAAAAAAAAAAAGGCTCTGGATCCTGCCTGCGTAATATAAATGCACGAGGTCCGCCCCCATTCTTAGGTTCTGTTACTCTTTTTTTTTCACTTTAATAGACAACACTCCTATCTATTAAAACACATTGAACTTCATCGACTGCTCCACTTTATTGAGAATGTCTGCCCCAACGTATGTATCCATTGCTCCTTTGATTGCCCCTTTTTGACGGCCTTTGCCTAGGTAGCAAGTGTCTCACTCCTGAGCTAGTCTTTCCGCAAGTCCGCATTCTCGGCTTTCAACATAAGATTGCCCAACATTGGCTTTCTCGCGACTACGATCCATTGAAAAAATATATATATACCAAAAAAAAGAACCTGAAAAAATCATAGTTTCTCGGTACTTGCGCTTAATAACTAGGTCTGATTCAGTCAACATGGGTGTCCAAGAGAGAATTTCCACTGTCAATTCACATCTTACTAACAGTGCCAGTGGTGATATTGGTTTGATTGGTTTGGCCGTCATGGGCCAGAACTTGATCTTGAATGCTGCTGACCATGGTTTTACTGTTGTTGCTTACAACAGAACGGTGTCCAAGGTGGATGAGTTTTTGGACAATGAAGCGAAGGGTAAGTCGATAATCGGCGCCCATTCTATTGAAGAGCTTTGTGCGAATTTGAAGCGTCCTAGAAGAATTGTGCTCTTGGTAAAAGCTGGTAAGCCCGTTGATGCTTTTATCGAACAATTGTTGCCTCATTTGGAAAAGGGCGATATCATTATCGACGGTGGTAACTCTCACTTTCCAGACTCAAACCGTCGTTTCGAAGAATTGAAACAACAGGGCATTCTCTTTGTTGGCTCTGGTGTCTCCGGTGGCGAGGAAGGTGCCCGCCATGGTCCATCCTTGATGCCTGGTGGTCATCCAGACGCGTGGCCTCACATCAAGGACATCTTTCAATCTATTGCTGCGAAATCCGACGGTGAGCCTTGCTGTGACTGGGTTGGTGATGGTGGTGCTGGCCATTACGTGAAGATGGTCCACAATGGTATTGAATATGGTGATATGCAATTAATTTGTGAAGCTTATGATCTCTTGAAAAGGGTCGGAAAGTTCACTAACAAGGAGATTGGTGAAGTTTTTGCCAAATGGAATAAGGGAGTCTTGGACTCGTTTTTGATTGAAATCACCAGAGATATTATGCAGTTTGATGACCCAACTGATGGCAAACCTGTCGTTGAAAAAATCTTGGATACTGCGGGCCAGAAAGGCACTGGTAAGTGGACCGCAATTAATGCATTGGACTTGGGTATGCCCGTTACTTTAATTGGCGAGGCTGTGTTCGCTAGATGTTTGTCCGCTCTTAAAGATGAGAGAGTTAGAGCCGCAGACGTTTTGGAAGGGCCTTCGGTGGAAGGTGAATCCCCCATCACCGACAAAGAGAAGTTCGTTGATGACTTGGAGCAGGCTTTGTATGCTTCGAAAATTATTTCATACGCTCAGGGTTTCATGTTGATCAGAGAGGCTGCCAAAGAGTATAACTGGAAATTGAATAACCCAGCGATTGCCTTGATGTGGAGAGGCGGATGTATCATTAGGTCCGTCTTTTTAGGTGAGATTACTTCTGCCTACAGAGAGAACCCTGATTTGGAGAACTTATTGTTCCATCCTTTCTTCCAAAAAGCTGTCACTAAAGCCCAGCTGGGATGGAGATCGACTGTTGCTAAGGCTGTCGAATATGGTGTGCCAGTGCCTGCTTTTACCACGGCCTTATCGTTCTACGATGGTTACAGATCTGCGAAGCTCCCTGCTAACTTATTGCAGGCTCAAAGAGACTATTTTGGTGCTCATACGTTCCAAGTCTTGCCCGGTGAGGACAACGACTTCTTGAAGAAGGACCAATGGGTACATGTCAACTGGACAGGCAGGGGTGGAAACATCTCTGCATCGACTTATGATGCTTAAAGCTTGCTTTTCTACATTAGCGAAGAATATTAAGAATTCATTCAGAATACGTAGTGACTATTCAACGACGGTCGGATCTCTCGATTCCCATTCGAGGATCAAGTCATCCTGTGGAAAAATGGTAGCAAACACTCTGATCTTTTCGGACAACGGGGTCACAGTGTGCTTGATGTTACTGTTCATGATGAATTTCCCCAACATTCCAGTGAACATCATAAGGACATAGACCTTACCAAGACAAACATGGGGACCAGTGCCAAATACCAACCAGCTTCTCTTGTCCATGTCACCAGTAGGATTTTCCCATCTCTCAGGAATGAATGAATCAGGTTCAGGATATACCTCCGGGTCATGAAGAGCAGGATATAAAGTTGGTACGATCATCGATCCCTTCGGGGCGGTGTACTCCAGTGTCACAGGAAAACTTTGTTTGACAACATAAGGTACCATTAGTACCGGGGGCCTATAGCGCAAAGACTCTTTGACGACCGCGTTAGTGTATTTCATCTTATTGATCATCTCCAAGGTGAGCGGCCTCAGCGGATCATTTTCCCTCACTAACAATTGCTCCTCTCTGATCTTTTTGGCGATATCAGGGCGGTCGGCTACAATCTGGAATAGCCAACATGCGAGAGACGATGACGCGTCTTGCGAAGCAAAAAGAAAAGTGAAAATCACCTCCGAAATTTCTTTGTTAGAGAAATCACGAACAAGAAGCTTTGATTCGGGGTCTTCCTTATGGTTCTCTCTTGCTTGCTTCATGAGGTAGATCCATTCATCCATGACACATCCAGGCTTACCATCGTTCTCATTGATGTGTTTCTTGGCCAGCTCTGCACAACTCTCAAAAATTTTCATAGTATCGTCTGCAATTTTTTTACCATACCAAGTCTTTGTGTAAGGAATAATTATTGGAAAGTTAACAAGTTCCAAGGCCGCAGTGATCTTAAAGTAGTTGTCCGCAATCAAGGCGATCTGTTCCTCAGTGATATAGTCACCACAGAAGGTACGTAATGACAAAGCGCAAAGCAATTCTCGGAATTCAGGGAAAAACTTCCGAGGGCCATCGTAACCGATAAATTTATCGAGATAAAGGTCCATGTATTTCTCAAGCACCGGTATGTATATCTCAAGAGCCTTTTGTGAGAAGAGGCCATTCAAAGATCTTCTGTAGTCGACATGTTCCTTACCATCCAAAAAGACCCAGTTCGTGGGCCTCAAGATTTTGATGGCCACGTCAACAACACAAGGTTTAACATACTTAGGGGAGCTCAAGATCTTTCTTGCCAAATCTCTTGAAGACGCAATAACAACGAACTTATGGAAAATAGACACACAAGATAAAGGGCCTGAATTCCATTTATCCATGTACTCCTCGAATTTAGGATCCAAACTCTCTAGGAATGGTCCAATAATCGGCCATACTTTGAAACGGGGACCGGCAATGGTGCCCTTTTTCAACAAGTACAGCACTTGATCGTAAACGATAGCACCAAGGACAATCGTGATGAATATCTGCCACCATGACGTAGCGGCCCAAGTGCTTAAGAGTCTCGACATTGCTGCCTTTGTCGGACCATCAGCCTCAAAGGTTGTAATAGTCTGAGTGCTATTGGCGAAGGACATAATTACTTGCAAATATCGACCAGAAATTACAAGGTGGGGGCCGCACTGTCTTTATACGAAGAGCGCACATATCCGGCCCTTTTTTTTTTTTTTTTAAACTCAACCATGCAAACTTCTCGCGCTAGCTACGAGCTAAACGAGAAGTGCCAATTGCAAATAGGGTGATCGTGAGCAAGTTTTTTTTTTTTTTTTTGTTGAATTCAATTAAATGGATTGAGAACGCATTTCTACCGTCGGTACTTAACAGAGACCCGAATACTCTCTTTATTATAAGTTTTTTTTTTTTTTTTCTTTGCCTTGTTTCTTGATAAATTTTGTAAAATTTGAAACAACCATGTATTTTTTGGTTTTAAAAATTCCTCTTATCTTAATCGCATTTTGTTTAACTTTCGACGAAGTACAAGTTTTTTTCGAATAAGCGATGAAGAATAATGGTTAAATTATGTAACCGATTGAGCTGATACCACCAGCTTTCCTTTTTTTTTTTTTTTTTTTTTTTTTTTTTCTTTCATTTTAAGCAGTTTTCCCCTGAGCCTTTCTAAAGTATGTTGCACCTACGAGATCCTTTTACTTTTTATTTGTTGAAGTTAGGGTTTGTTTGGCACGGCCACTTGCACCTAATTGGGCGATCATGTCACGTGGGCAGCTGTGGTTCTATCCTTACCTCATCGCGATGACCATCTATGAAAACTACACGATGGATAAAAGGAAGGAATGGAATCTTACCGAGTACCTGGGAACACAGAAGAGAAGGAAGATAAATACCGAAGAAAATGAGAAGGAATCCAGCAAAAACAACACCTCCGAAGGTAGTGGCGAAATTGAAGACTTGTACGAGAACAGACAAGGGAAGAAAGTCGCCCCGTTAATATATGAGGGATTGCCCATTAAATTAGGTGCCGTGGTGAAGCGGGTGTCCAGGAGTATGGACGAAAAAGATCAAAATTCTTCAAGTAGCTCAGCGTTAGAAACGATTCCTGAACTGCGGAATAAATGCTCTGAAGAAACAAACCTTGATCCTCGACAAAAACTTTTGGCCTTCAAGGAGAACATTGCTAAACATGCAACACAACTACAGGAAAATCCCGAAGAGAACAGATCATCTCTATCTATTCTATGCCAGTACGCGGATTCCGGTGAAAATGCGCAAAGTTTACTTGCCATCGCAGCTCTTTTGCCAGTCTTCAAATCATTGGCACCATCTTATAGAATACGACCACTTAGCGATGCAGAAAAGAGGGAGAAGGTGAGCCGAGAAGTGGCCAACCTAAGAGATTTTGAGGAAAATTTCCTTCGAAATTATCGCTCGTTTTTGACCCGACTTGGCATTTTAGCAAAGGGTTCGCCTGGAACCGAGTCTTCGAGAATGGGTCCACTACTTGCTGCTACATCCATAACTGCAGTGTGCGAATTATGTATGTCTTCATTAAGACATTTCAATTTTAACACTGATCTTTTCTCAATTCCAATTCGTCTTCTCGGCCGCAAGCCGAAAGACAGCGAGACATTGCGTCAGTATACTCAATGTATTCGGACTATCGAAACTCTCTTGCGGGAAGACGGTCACCAGGGCGCCATATCTTTGGAAATTGTTCGGATATTATGTTCAAAGATTAGGAAATCCAGATTTAGAGTTGATGAGTCAGTCCTCAATATTTTCCTTAGTATTGCTGTCTTAGACAATGCGAACCCTTTCTTGAATCGCAAGAGTCAAAATGCAGAGCAAAGGCAATCAAGGAAGCAACGAATTCACCTCTCAAAGAAAGAAAAAAAGGCGAGGAAAGATGCAAAAGAAATCGAGGAAGAAATGAGAAAGGCGGAACAAGCAGTGACAGCGAAAGAACGCGAGAATTTCCAGGGACAAATACTTCGAGACGTATTTAAAATCTATCTCGAGATTCTTAGAAGTAGCTTGCTTGATTCAAATGATTCCCGCCATTTAGTGGCATCCGTCCTTGAAGGATTGTCGAAATTTGGGCCCATGGCGAATCTTGATCTTGTTGGTGATTTTCTTGAAGTTCTTAAAGAACTCATGAAAATGATAGTGTCAGAACATGCTTTGGGCCGCCACTCACTGTCATCTACAAAGGGGATTTACCATCCTGATGATGTACGTAAACTACTTTTATGTGTGGCAACATCATTCGCGCTCATTTCCAATCATACGGAAAGTGGTAAGCTACCATTTTCAGTCGATTTGTCTCAGTTTGTGGAAACATTATACGTGATACTCACAGATGTCAGCTTAGACGCTGATTTGGAGCTCTCGCACAGGTCCCTCCGGCTCAACGACCCGCTAGGCGAAGAGGTGGCCGAAGATAGGCCGGCCGTCAATGTGTCAACGAGGGCAGAGCTTTTAATCAAGTGCCTTGATTTTGTTTTCTTTCGCTCCAAGAATGGCTCAAAAGAAAGAGTAATGTTATTCTTGAAGCGCATATATATGATGTCGCTCCACACTCCAGAGAAAACGACCAATGCTAGCTTAAAGTTTGTCAGTAAACTCATGCACAGGTACGGCGATTTCCTAAGCACTCTATGGTCATCAGAAGAGAAGGTCGTCGAAGACAGTATTTACTACATGGGATTCGAGCATGAATTTGCTGACGTTAACATGGAAAATTCTAGTGTAAATGGGGCTGTTTTATGGGAGAATGTTCTTCTCGAGAGCCATTATTGTCAATCACATCGGGAGCTGTCAAGGTCCTTGTCAAAACTTAGCAAATAAATGTATAAATGTATAAATGTATATTTGATATCGTACGTTAAAACTGAAAGAATAGATTTGACCAATGCCATTCATACAAGTTCCAACTTTTTGTATACATCACCTTTAGGAGTGGTCACGTCGGAGGACACAACACCCTTTCCTGAACTTTCATTAGCTTTTAACTGTTGGTACATCAATCTTGCCTTTTCTCTCTCCTTGAAGCCATGCAAGCATTCAAAATAGTCATCGAAAACCGGTGTGCATTCTTTTTTAGTAGCAGTATCTGAAGAGGTATAGCAGGAAACGAGCGTTTGGAATTCGTAAAAGCATCTCCTTGTCCCTCCGGATCTTGAATAAGGCTGCATGTTGGAGATGAGGAAGTAATAATTGGTATTAAACTCGCAAGATTGGTCAGCGGTTTTGGTGGTCACACTACCAATAGAATTTCCTCTTATTTAATGAAAGCGAGCATTTCCTTAATACAATTTCTAACCTTGTAATAAGTTGGTCCAACCTGACCTTCTATAGTTAGATCTGCCACGTCATTTTCTCCAGCGTATGATACGTCCAATTTTCTGATCGCGATAGTATCTTCAACTACTAGCGTACCTTCGCCTTTGAACTCAGCGTCAAAACCTAAAGCCTTGAGTCTCTTTTTCAATTCAGGCATCCTGACAACTCCGACAGCCAACTTAGAGTTATATTCATCCACGTAAGATGACTTTTCAGATAATTCTGGGCTCCTATCAGACGCCTTCACTTCTCTAATGCATATTTGGGTGTTAGAATCAGTGAGAGTATTATGGGCACTTGTGTCCAATTCCTTTGTAACCAATCCGACCATACCCATTATATGCGTAATGTCGTACCTCTGATCAATACGGCGCCATTTCAAGGTCGACCAGAGTTTGTCATCAAGGCTCGTTTCGAAATCAATACCTCTGGCGCCCCGACCGCTTTTGCTTAGCTCAATCGACAAGTTAGGCCTTGCGACACTCACTTTCATGTCTGAGACTAAACGATGTGACTTCCTTGAGAATATAGTTGACAGTTTTAATGAACGTTCAGTTGACACAGTGAAGAGCGAAGAATCAGGAGTTTCCACTTGCTGATGAGCGTTAGCCAAAATATTCGATCCACTTAGCTTGTCGTCCTGATTCTCGTGAAAGCTAGAGTCTGGTAAGATAATAAGTTGAGATGGCTTGATCGAAGAAATGACGAGGTTCATGGATCTCACATCAGCATAGCCCGAAAAATCGATAAAGGCTAGGCCACATCTCAATGTGACCCATGAGCGTCGTTGGACTGTTGTTCTCTTCACAGGGAGGAAGGCTGCATCAAGGTATCTTTTAAGAATGTCGTTGTTCAACACTTGTTGCGGAGTTAGCTTATTATCAGTGGATAGTCTGTCCTTGTCCTGTTTGTTCTTTTCTTTTCGAGCATCCATATGTCCCCAGGTTTTACCACCACCTTCTTCAAACTTCCTTTTGCTTTCCGAAATAAGTTTCGCATTGGCGTTTTGTTCATCTTCCCGTTGATAACTTTTCACATCTATTACTTCTCCATAGTCATCACATTTTCTTCTCTTAACACCTAAGCCTGGAAACATAGCTTGCCTAGGACGAAACTTGCCCAAAACCCGAAAATCAACTGGTTTTTTGGAATTCAACTTTTCAATAACGAAATCAGTGATGTAATTTTCATCAATGGCAAATGCTGGACGAGCATGCAGCAGCAATGACGCATTGGCTGCACTTTGTAACCCCAGTAAGCTTGGATCAGAACTAGATACCTTCTCGACTTCAGGTAACGCACTATTTTCAGCTACCTGAAGAGACGAAGAGACTGGCTGGGACTGACGCTGTTCGTGTGCATGGTTGGAGGAGACAAGACCAACGTCGATAGTTCTTTCGCTTAGTTCCTCCTCAACGACGTCATCATCCACATCATGGTCGTCATCATCTGATTCATCAGATTGTAGGTCAGCGTGAAGTAAATTAAGAGCTCTCTTGGATTTCATGCTTTCTAGAGTTCTTTGATGCCTACGCTCAGATACATTCGCCTGGTAAGAATGAAGTTCGGCACCTTTCAAAGGGGTTTCATCAACAAAAATATTAGGAGGAATACTTTTCTGTAAAGGGACAGGAACACCATCGTCAACCTTACCATTCTTCTCCTTCACGAGCTTGAACCATTCGTTGTAAAGCTGGGCGGCGAGTGAACGAGATGATGATAGATTGCTTCGCTCAGTTAAAATGATTGTCGTTTTCTCGTCCAGGCAAAGCAAGGAAAGAGCTTTAGATGACAAGTCACCCCCCTGAATTTCCATTCCGGAGGCGAAGACAATCTTGGGGCCTGGAAACAGAGCCAACTCAGACGGATCAATGAGAAGGTCTACTTTAGAGGGGTCAAATGACAGGTTTGTAAAGCTTTTTTCATCACCCAGCATTCCTTCAATTTCTTTTGTTATATTGGATGCCATCCAATCCGATAGACCCGATGCATAGTTGAGGACCTTCGTCCCGGAATAGGACATGAAATAAACAGGAATAGCGGCACCTTGTATAGCAGCCAAGTGATGATCAATGAGATGAAGCGCTTCTAGAAATCTGCCCGAAATATTTACTGGAAGAAGAACTGCTCCGCCATTGGCTAATGTTGCGTCCACGAGATTTAGTAGTTCTTCAGCCCTTCTCTTGTGAGATAAAGTTGAACCCATTTGGGAACCTGTAATGAACGCAGTGGGTCTACTTAAGGATGGGTGTGCATTTCCAGTAGACGTTGAGAGAAACTGGGCACCGTTTAAAAAAGAATCTCGCGATTGATTCCACCCCGGTGCGTATACGATTCTCTCATTTCTCTTAACGATCAACCAGAACGATCCACCTAAAGAATGCCCCGCATTAAATGCCGATAAGACGACACGGTTGTCCAAAACACTAACGTTTTGCGAGTATTTTATCAGAATGATTCGATCGAAATAATCATCAATATCACTAACTTCGAGCAGTGCATGGACAACAGGTCCTAATGCACCCTTTGATCTGTAGAACTCGACACTAGAAACTCTACCCAACTGACTCACAGCAACTGTAGAATAAACTGGGATGCTTGCCATCAAACTATAGAATCTTGAGCATAATAAAGCGTATCCTCCAATATACTCTGGGGTGGAATGCGACAAGAGTATTAAATCCGTCTTGCTTAAACACGATTCAATGAAATCCACGTCCGCAAGATTTTCACCATCCCAGCTAGGATCAGCTAGAATTTGAACATCATTGTCAAATGTTAACCTCGATGCCTTGAAACCCCCGGTCTCTGGGGTACACACGAGGCAAAAATCAAACATTTGATGTCAAATGTTCCTCACTAAAATGCAGATTGACTGATGTCCAATATACAAGGTCGTGTATTACTCACTAATTACGATCAAAGTTTATGCTCTGCCTGGTGTGATAGCTAAGGAGAGTCTCTGCTTGCGTTAAGCCAGGAAGTCCTTGTCTCGTGGAATACCGATCTAAAGAATTTCTAGCACCGGTATGATATTCTCCTGTCCTCATCATTTCCAGTCGAATCTGCGGCAAGTCAATCGGTTTACTCATCAACTTCTGATTGAACTTCGCCTGTTCACTAACTGTATCTCTTCTCGACCTTAATGTATTGCGTCTCGATCTGGATATAGTACCCTTTCGGATACTTCTGAAAGCCCTGGAAACTTTGTTCTCCTCATTTGGCGAATCACAAGTCTCCCTTTCATCAGAATCAACGGCGTTCTTAATCTTCTCCAATAGCTCAGTATCCCCTTCATTCAAACGCTGAAGGATACGCTGCTTCTCCACATCTTGAAGGTTAGTGGGATCATAATCAACAGGATAGTTTTGATAAGCCCCATCCCGCATACGCTCACGGATGATGTCAACATCTTTAGGATTGAAATGCCTCATCAAAAAGTCGTATGTGAATCTCGGCCAAACACAAATCACTGTTGCCACGAAATAGCAACACCAAAAAGCTAAGGTACCCAATAGCTGTGGTGCAGCTTTATAGAATTCTCCGACCCAAGCTCTGGCTGACCAAACACCGACCCAAAAGAAAACTACTAGGGTGGAGAGCGCGTAAATAAGTAGCGATAACCAATCCCAGCGATACTGTTGGAGAAGAACGTAAATATTGCAGCCAGTCACCGCAATACAACAGCAAAGGACACCCATCCAAAATCTGTGGTCTATGGGCAACCCTTCATGATTCTGGAAAGACACATAGTATAATAGGTATGGGAAGAAAAAAGCAATCACAGATTGATAAAGCCCATCCAACATGTACCAAATGAATTTGTATTGGGACCAATCCAAACTCAAGATACCAGTCCTGTAGAGCTGTGGTACAATAAGTGCCACAGCGCCACTAACATCTTGATCAAAAATGCCAAGGAAAATAACAGGTAAAGATGTAAAGGCCAAGTTGTAAAACATCAAAAATGTGTACTCGTAGAGATATGATCCGTCAAAATCATTAAAAATTCCGAACCAAAAACAAGTAAATGTGAAGACGACATTCTTGTAAAAAAAGCATGGGATCATTTCGGCTAGCTTCTTATATGACCAATGGCCATGTACTAGAAGAAGTCTAGCGAGGAAGCGAAATTGACCGATTGCATAGTCAGCAGACATAACTGCTTGTCTTCCCTCCTCACCTGCAATCCCAACGCCAACGTTGGCGGCTTGAATCATAGCAACATCGTTCGCTCCATCACCAATTGCTAAAGTCATCGCTTGGAGATTGTCTTTGACGACGCTCACAACTTGAGCTTTTTGGGCGGGCGAAACACGGCAGCAAATGACAGACTTGCAGTATTTTCCTAGGAGAACAAACTTCTTCCGTAAACTGTGATCTTCGTTCGTATCGCTGAAAACCAATGAGAGAGCCCCTCCATCCACAATGAGAGCCGTATTTGCTTCAGGCATCGAAACATCATTCTTAGCTTGCAGCAAAGCATTGTCTAGATCAGATTGATTCTGAATTTGTAAACCGGAGACTTCCTCCAAGTATTCAGATATCAAATTAGTGACGTGGGTCGCGTCATGTGGGTTCTTCTCATCTGGACGAACAACAAGAAGCTTCATATCATTACCAAGCAAGTTGCAGGAGAATCCAATATTAATCGCCGTTTCAATCCTGTCTCCTGTCAACACCCATAGCCTTATACCTGCTTCCCCAAGGATAGATATTGAGTCTGGAACACCTTCCTGTAAGCGGTCTTCGATCGCAGTCCCACCTAACAACTCTAGATCGCACTCTAACTCATCATTGAGCGCGTCAATAGCATCGTCTCTGTCGTCATCAATAGAGGCCGATGCCTCCTTGTATTTACGGAACCAAACAGCAAAGAAGTCGTCATCTAAAATTCTTTGGGCGATACAAAGCGTCCGGAGACCCTCCTTTGCAAAATCCTCTAGATGAAGCGCTGTTTTCTTTAAGACTTCATCAGTTGTACCCTCCTGCGATAGGCGTTGGTAAATTACGCTGTCAGCGCCTTTGGTTATCAATAATATCTGACCGTTGTCATCACGAACGATGCACGACATGCGCTTTCTGGCCGAGGTAAATCCAATTATGTGAAGCACTTCAAACCTTCTTGACTCACCGTATACTTCTAGCTCTATGCTATTCCGATTTCTCAGTTTGAAAACAAACCCAAGATCCCTGGCCACAGAAACTAGGGCTGCTTCATCAGGTGACTCTGCTTTGAACTCGTTGAGATTTTCGTCTTCAACATCAGGCTCAGTCACGACTGTGTGACATACAGCCAAAGCTAGCATGAACTTCTCATTAGCATCTCTTGTTGCCGAATTGAGAGTATCTGGCAAAATGGTGTCTTCGACATATTCATTAGACACGAAAGTCAAAGCAGACTCCCGAAACTGTCCATTCGTGACGTAGGTTTCCAAATTTGAAATCATTTCGGAACGATCCTTCTCGATAGCCTTCTTCCACCGCTCTGACTCCGCTAATATATCAACACCACGACGCTTGTCCATACCTTGTTTTGCCTCCGTATAAGCGAGACCATAAGACTTTCCGTTTATGGTACACTTTCGAAATTCCATAACATTCTGGGTTAAAGTGCCAGTCTTATCACTGAAGATGTAGGCAATTTGGCCCAAGTCGTCAGATATATTCCACGACTGTGGCACGCAAGGAAAATCCAATTTCGGATAATACATTTTGATGTCTGAGTGTATGAAAAATGCCTGTGCGGTTTTGATAATCTCAATTGAGATGTAAAGCGAAATTGGAACCAAAGACTGATAGATGATCAATGCCACGAAGAAGGAGAGTACACCATTGCCAGCTGAGGTCGGTGAATAAGGTTCAAACTCGAAATACCGCCTTGACTCATTTTCACGATTGTAAAAAAGACCGTTTATCAACCCCGAAACAAAACACAAAACAAATAAGACCAGGAAATTGATGAGTACAGAAAAATTCAACTCATCTGATATCTTAGATTTTTTCACGGGCGTGTTACCACTATTCATATCAATCTTGGTCTCACAGCCCGTATAGACGACCAAACCGATTACCCACTTCGTATTACGTAAAGCGCAGCCTCGTAGCAAAACGTTATCATATGTGATAGACTCCCTTTCATCGGCGTTGATTAATTGACCGTTTTCATCGAAGTTCTCATAATGAACAGTACCACGAAATGAATACAATTGAGCATTTGGGGGGTCACACTCAATCCAGAACTTCGTGTTTCCAAGATCCGTCGAATGCTTCAAGTGGCCCAAACCACCGCTTTTCAAACACGTTTTGGTCTTTAAATTGGTCTCTCCATCTAGGTTCTTTGTTTCAACATAGCAGATACCATCTTCGTCAGAGGTTGATATAATTACCATATCAGCTGGGACGCCTTCATTTGCGCGGACTCTTATGAAGTCACCAACATTCACATCTTTCCACCTTCTATTCTTGAACGAAGTGGCAGCATTTGAAGGATTCAATGCTCTCATCTTCTGCAATTCTGGGTTAAGAAGACAATCAGCAGAGGGCTTCGTCGGAGCACGCATCTTGCCCAGCTGATGGGATTTTCGAGGGTGCCTCGAACTTGACGAAAACCGTGGAAGTTCCGATGCAAACGAATACTCTGAATGGACAGTTGAGATCCTGTGCAACTCGTTATTTCGAACTTGAGCAACATATTCTTCGTATTCCTTTTTCTTATTCTTGCTGGCGAAGATTTTTATGGAAAGCTTCTTCAAGAACTTATAGGTCTTCACCGTGGCCTTTGTGCAACGCTTCTTGAACTGTCTCCAAGGGCCAACATCATCGGTAGTGACGTTCTTGTTTTGAAGTCCGTTTAATAAATGTATTGGTGAGTTATTGAGTTCAGCGTCACTTACAACTCTGCGAAAATCCTCGAAGCCATCCTTTATGGCGGTTATGCAAACGATAACAATTAAGGGGACAGCTGCTAAACCCGGACTTTCAACTCCAAAAACCTGAAAAGCTCCAAGGATAACCAATATTAAAAAATATATGTTGGCTATATTCTCAAATTGATAGAGCAAATTCTTGGGTAGGAAAGAAAGGGGTGTATACTTCGTGGACCTGATCTTGTTGCGAGGCATTGAAATCAACGGTTTGTGGGTATCTGGATGTAAAAGCTCTGGCGGTAAATCAGTATTAACATAGACCTTCCGGGGTATCTTCGAATAGATCTCTTGTAAAAACCTGGGCCTTGACGCTAATCCACGATTATAGAAAAATCTTTGGAGTTTCTCTTTGAAAGAAGGTGCAACAGCAGTCTCCAAATCATGTACAGAACATCTTTCTTTCCGAACTCTACCTGGATTTAGGTCTGGCTGCTCATGCTTCTGTTCTTCTGGTACCGCATCCGAAGATGTGTTTGATCCGGATGTGGTCATCTCTAGCCGGGGGGTAATAAAATTCTATTTTAACTTGAAGAATGGTCTGCTTTCGAGGCTTCCCGTTTGCTAGGGTAGCAGTTACTGACGAGGATGAAACTAAAGGCTAAGGAGATGAATAAGCAAAAAAAGGGAAAAAAAAAACTATAAGTTTTGCTAAGTAGCACGCACTTGTGTTTCGGCAAGATTGCCTGCTCGGCGGCCGGAGACACCTATTTTCCGCACCCCTGCACCCGTGGCTACCGAAATGTCCAGAACTGCAAACCTGCCTGTAATATAGAAGGGCGCCTGTCAAATAGTCCATTTCGAATATAAATCTAGAAAGAGACTAAATAGCAAATTTCAATTAGAAACAAAGAGATAGTTTATTTATGATGCCTTTGAATTTACCACCGCCCCCACACGGCAGAATGGTCGATGTAATTTCAGATCTCATACACTGCACATAAACCAAATGCGACAACGTCGACAAATTTTCACGTCGAATTATCACGACGACACAATTTTCTTCTCTACGCTTAAGGAAGGAACCAATTATCTCTTAAACAACACACCCAAGATGTCCGTCGAAGAAATTCCTCAAGGTGCCGAAGTAAGCATCATCTCCAAGAATGAGAAGAAAGCTAGAGAAACTATCAAAAAATTCAACTTGAAGCAAATAAAGGGAATTTCCAGAGTGACCTTCAAGCAAAAGGGTAACTTGATTTATGCCATCGATGAGCCAGATGTTTATAAATCAGCTGCAGGAACTTATGTTGTGTTTGGAGAAGCCAAGGTTGATGATATGAACCAACGTATCGCTGATGCTCAAGCTCAACAGCAGGCTGCCGCAGATTCAGCAGCCACTGAAGGCGAGGGCAAGGATGACGTCACGACTGATAAGTCACCTGAGGCTATTACTGCTGATCTTGAGAAAGCTTCTTTAAACAGTGCCAAGCCTGACGAAGTTGATGAAAATGATCTCAACGAAGAAGGTTTGGAGTCCTCCGATATCGATATTATCGTGGAGCAAACACACGTCTCCAGGGCACGTGCTATTGCCGCTTTGAGGAAGCATAAGAATGATATGGTGAACGCCATTATGGAATTATCTTAGTTATATAGTTATTAAGGTTTCCTAAACAAATTTCCTCACTCTGTACTTATCAATTCCCCCCTACCTTTTCTACTCTCGTTCTTCTCGATGTGAACAACTTAGCTAATGAGCTTTGATCCGTCGCTGGATGCCAGATGCTGGCTAAAATGGTCGGCTGCCTTGCGGCCATTGAGACATCCACATCGTCTACAAATGAAGACGATGTTGGAGGGGTCATCACATCCAGGAGGAGCAAGGCCATTATGAACAAAACATTTTTCGCAGATTAGAGCATATCTAGCTTCAACACTTTCGTTGTGATCAGAGCCAATAATATAGTCTAAGAGCCGATCCTGTAGTGTTCTTTGGGATTTCTCCAGAATTCTCAGGCCTATGTCACTAGGAAGAGGATCTTTTTTCTTGGTGGACGCTTGTTGAGGAAGTTTGCGAGTATCATGTCTAGATGTTGATGTTGATGCATGGCCTCCTTTTTCATTTCCTGGAACATCCTTGGTTTGATACTTTCTAATGATTTCCCCCGCTGCGTCATAATTGGTCTTTTTCTTGAGGTCATCTAGCTTTCCACGCCTGGTCTTGAGGAGACCACGAAGTATATGCTCTCGCCTTTTTATAATGATGTCAAATAGAAGATTGGAAATGTATATGACGCCATATGTGACTATTGGGCCTGCAATTGTTGCGATAATCTGGAACCTGGATGTTTCAGTTAAGAAGGCGACTACTATATTCCTGTCGTGCCTTTGGTTCTTCAATGATATAATCCCGTAAAATAGCCATGCAAGGTATACGAAAACACAGTAGGAGATGATTGTTCGGGAGAGAGATCGCTTTCTTCTTTTGAGGGCTTCTAGTTGATTTTGTATTCTTTGTATCTGATCGCTCAAAATAGACAACTCTTTCTCGAATGAATCAACATCAAGCTCTTTCGATGCAAGGAAACTGAATAGCTTCATGCTAGGGTTAGATTTAGCCAGTGCTGGAATTGCTCTTGATCAACCAAGATTGCGTAGTGTTGGATATCTCCATTATATGCACTCCCTTGACAGGGAAATATATCCTCAAACCTTAATTAACCCCTGAAGTGGTATAGTCTCATTCATGAGTTACCCCTCTATTGTCGGGGTATATAATCTGGGTCTTTTGCAATTCCTGATATTATAACTATATACTACTTTTCTTCATCTCTGCTCAGAATATATTTTCACCACCTTTAGTAATGACTTTATATAAGTCCTTGTCTGCAGGAAAGGGAATTACTGTTCATCTTTATAAAGACGGGACAACGAGCCCATATGAGGTTATCTTTAAACTCCCATTTATTTTGAAAGACCATACACAATATGTTTACTGGTATCAAATCTTTATTCAGCAGATAAGAGAGGTTTATGGTGATCCTACCGCAACATATATTAATACTTACTTTCATAAGAAAGAGGATGCTAGGGGAAGTATTTCAGATCTCCAACCTCCAGAACGGAGACCCGTGAATGGTTATGCTGAGCATATTGCTCAACGTGTGAAAATGTTTGGCATTGATCAATCAATATTGCTGGGTATTAAAGTATCGAGTCAAAGTCTTGACACTTTGTGTAATTTACATGAGACAATGACGAAGTATACACCAAGGCAATTTAAGGATTTAATTCATGAGGTTGCACAAGTTTTCGTGCTGTTCGGAGCGTATAATGAGCTTGATTTTATGGATGTGTACCGTATGTGCGTTGCACACTCCTTCTCTGGGAAAGAACTCTTTTACCTTTTGGCCTTGGGTAATCCAGATAATGATGATGAGTTAATCATAAAGAGTCTCTTTCGGTCCATGAATGTGGATAACTATGATTTCAGAGAAAAGCTTTTCAAACTGTGTGGAGAATCTGCCTGCCCTACTAATGAATTGGTGCTTGCATATGAAGGTCAAAATCCTAGCAAGAGGGAGAAAGTTACGGCTTTGAGAAAGGATTTGAATTCGGCTACGAGCTTTATTCCTTCCACTGTTAACCTGCTGGTAAATCTTGTGAGAACATGCACGCACTGTAGTAAGCAAGGTCATACTGAAGACCGTTGTTTCTTAAAGCATCCTGAGTTGCGAACTGAAGCGAATAAGAGAAAGAAGAAGGCTCATTGGACAGAAATTAAAAATAAGAAGCGAGCTAAAGCAAAGAAGGACAAGAGCCAACAAGAAAAGCCTAAGGGAGAAGAAACTGCTAAGTCATTTCTAGTTAGTCCTCATCTGTCTAAATCTAGTGGTCTGAAAATGTGTTTCATTTGGGATTCGGGAAGTCCGATACATTTTGTGAGTGATTTGACCCTTTTGAGTGGTTATGTTAAATGTCCGAAGTTCTTTGGTGACTATGGCACACACCATTATTTAGCCCCTGGTTATGGCCGGGTTACTGGGAGAACTATTTCTGGTAAAGTAATCACGATGGCGAACGTCTATTACATACCTGATGCCTCTGCTAATGTTATTTCGGCTTATCATGATTTCGGATTATCTGTTTCGAAATATAGACTGGATTTGTTCGATAGTGATGGAGTCAAAATTGGTGAGGGTCGCAGTCCTGGTCATTATATGATCGATTTGGATTGCAAGGTTCATGACAATCCCGGAGTGACGCTTTCTCACTCGGAGATCAAGGCAGCGCATGATGACATGAAAATTAATCTAGTCAATGTGTATGCATTAAGGTCCGTGAGGTGGGAGACAAAAGCAACTTATGCAGAAAAGGATATGGAACATCACATTCGTGCTGGACATCCTACATATCAACAATATCTCGAACTTCAGAAGAAATTTTCTTTTCTTCCTAATATTGATAAGGACATCAGAGAACACTGTGATGCATGTCAACAGGGTACCATGGTCAACTTTCGTAAAGATCGTGAATCAGAAACCATTGCTACCCATCCTTTGGAGTACTTGCATGCGGACATTTGTGGTCCTATATCACCAGCTGGTTTTGATGGTCTGAAGTTTTGTTTAGTGGTTGTCGATAAGTTTACGAGGATGTATTATTGCTCGCCCATGACTCGTAAGGAAGACACACTTGGCAATTTTTATGCTATACTTAAGAGGTTAGTTGATGAATTCCCCGGTGAGAAATTCAGGCAAGTTCGTGTTGACAACGGTGGAGAGTTTCGTTCTAAAATGTATTCGAGAGGACACAAAGATATTTTCGATCATTTTAACATCTCCTTGAAATTTACCACACCTTATAGTTCACATCAAAATGGTCTCGCTGAACGAGCCATTCGTGCTATTCTGACGAAAGCTAGAGTTCTTTTACTTCAGAGTGGTTTACCGTTAACATTCTGGCCTGAAGCGTTTAAGACTGCTGTTTTCACCTTGAATAACAGCCCGAAATCCCAGAATCATTGGATTATTCCTATGTCATATTTATCCCCAAGAAAATATGAACGTTTTGAACTATGGGAAGCATCTCCTTTCGGTTGTTTAGGTTACTTTAAAAAGTACAAGGTGAATGCTGGTAAGAAGGTTGATCCTCGTGGGGGTAAGTGTATTTCGCTAGGCCCTGCTTTAAATCGCAAAGCCACGAGAGTTATAGTCCTTGATAATGATAAACTTACTGAGCAAATTGTTGAAACTCATCAGGTTAAATTTATACTGAAGAAGTTTCCATTCTTGGGTGTCCATTGGACTGTTGATCATGATTCTATGAAGAGTCATATTATGAGTGAGAGTCATCCGAACCATTTCTGCGGAGATCCTGAGGAAGAGGATGATTCAATGCTAAGTCCAGATTATGTTCCAGTTGACCAAACTGATGGAAGTGTTGTGTCTAATCAGCAAGAAAAGTCCACTGAACCGCATGGTGGTTTTACCTCCTTAAATAAGACAAGTGAGGAGGATGTTTCCAACATGAGTGATAAGGATTCCGGAGACAGGCTGGAAAATGAATTGTCACATTCGGTTTTGAATAACGGTGCACTGCACCCGCAAAGCGAACGAAGTGGGACTGTTGAGCTGCCTAGAGCAGTTCCTGAACAGGATAATATTAACCGACGGGCTACTGAGGATGAAAGTCAACATAGTCCTCGTATGCTGAGTCGTCTTGCTGGGAAGCATAAACTTAACTATCGTCAGTTATCAGGCAAAAGAGACAACAGAGTTCATTCTTTGAGAGGGGGAGATATTATGATCTTGTCAGTCACTCCTGGAGATGATTACGTTTCCAAATCACTCGCTCTGTTTGTTGAAGCTTTTGAGAGGAACAATGTTACAAGAATTATGTTTACTAAAGTTCGCTTTGAACCAGAAACCTATAAGGAAGCTATCTCATGCGATGAAGCTGATAAGTGGAAAACTGCTATAGATTCTGAACTTGATTCATTGAGAGAGAAAGAAACATTTGAGGAAACGACTTTACCTTCAGGTCGTAAGCCGATTGAGTATAAGTGGATATTTACCATTAAAGACGGTGGTAGATATAAAGCTAGGTTGGTCGCGAAAGGCTTCTCACAAGTGCCAGGTAAGGATTATCAAGAAACTTATTCACCAGTTGCTAAGTATGATACTATTAAATTGTCTATTGCTTTGGCAGCTAATCTTGGTATGACTATTCATCAGATTGATGTTAAAACGGCATTCCTCAATGGTCCCCTAGGTCTTGATCTTTATCTCACTGTACCCGAAGGTCTACAGACAAGTCAGAATAAGGGCAAAGTCTTAAGGCTTAAACGCGCATTATATGGACTTAAGCAAGCTCCCTTGGTCTGGAATTTGGAAGTGTCCAAGACATTAAGGTCTATTGGACTTGTTCCTTGTGTCCGGGAACCCTGTCTTTATTATTTGTATGAGAGTGGTGTTTTGCTCTTAGTGGCTCTTTATGTGGATGATATGTTGATAATGAGTTCTGATATTAAACTTATTGAAAAGGTTAAGCAAGGTTTGTCTATGGCATATGAGATTAAGGACCTTGGTCCAGCGAAGAAGTTCTTGGGAATGAATGTTAGTCAGTCTGATTCAGTGATTACATTATCCTTGGAGGATTACATTTCTAAGCTTATTAGTTTGCATTTGGATCAGTCTTCTCAACCGTGTGAAACACCTTATTATTCAGAGTGGTCAGACTTGTTATGTCCTTTAGTGACTGATGAACTTTATCCCAATCCCACTAAGTTTCGAGAGATAATCGGGAAATTACTATTTGCCTGTACGACTGTGAGGTATGATATTTCCTTCATAACAATTGCGTTAGCGAGATACTCAAGTAAGCCAGCCATGAAGCATTATAAGGCATGCATGCGAATATTACGGTATCTCAAAGGAACGTCAGATTTTGCAATTCGTTACAGAAAAGTCAGCAAGCCAAAACGTTACGTTGATATCAAAAGTTATAGCGATGCAGACTGGGCTAACTGCAAAGAGACATTTAAGTCTGTGTCAGGTAACATATTTTTCATTGAGGAATCTCCTGTTATTTGGAAGTCTAAGAAGCAAACTTCAGTTGCTCTTTCTTCATTAGAGGCAGAATATTATGCATTATGTGAATGTGTTAGAAGTGCTAACTGGTTAAAGTTTCTACTTACTGAATTACGTCTTTGGAATCTACAGCGGTGGATTATCACATATGTGGACAACCAGGGTTGTAAGGATGTTTGTGACCAAGAGCATTTTACTTCTGATCGTACTAAGCATTTTAAGATTCGTCTTAGTTATATTAATGATGAAGTTAAGAAGGCAAATGTGAAGGTATTGAAAGTTCATACAAAGAACAATTTTGCTGACCTCATGACTAAAGGCTTGAAGCAAACTGATTTTAAAAGACTAAGGAATACTCAAGAAGAACTGATACTATAGATTGAGGTCTTCGTCTAAGAGGGGGTGTTGGATATCTCCATTATATGCACTCCCTTGACAGGGAAATATATCCTCAAACCTTAATTAACCCCTGAAGTGGTATAGTCTCATTCATGAGTTACCCCTCTATTGTCGGGGTATATAATCTGGGTCTTTTGCAATTCCTGATATTATAACTATATACTACTTTTCTTCATCTCTGCTCAGAATATATTTTCACCACCTTTAGTAATGACTTTATATAAGTCCTTGTCTGCAGGAAAGGGAATTACTGTTCACGTAGGGTAAAGCACGTGATATAAATCACACGATTGATAGCCAGAAGGCCTTGGACTTGGTTGGTACAGTTTAGGGGTGTAAGAACAGCTAAATAGACCATAAACGTGCCTGTTATTTCAACACGTCTTACGTTTTGACTGTATATGACCAAAATCTGTTTGTTGTAATTCCCGAGCATTATAAACGTTTCGCGCCTCACATTGTGCAAATGAGAATATACTATATCAACATTTTATCTCCATTCGGTGAAGCTTGCATCGCTATCCGTATTAAAAGAACTCTACGGCCATAGTTATCAGCTCGTTCAACTTAATAAACCGAGAACAATCAAAGGGAAAGATGACTTATCGTGTTGGTGATGTTCTGGTTTCCTTGGATGAAGATTTGACACCAGAAACTGTATCACTCCTCAGTGCCCATCCATATCTTTTTCGAGTATGTCTCAACTCCCAAGTTAAGTGCTGGCTTACTAATGCCAAAAGAGCCGTTCATTTGTTCTGTGATGTAATCGTGATTTATGCCACACTACTACATAAAATTCCACATTACGACGATATCACCACTATGGCGGAAAGAAATAAAGGGACTTTGGCTCGGCTTGAGTTTGACTTCAACATGATATTTGGTGGTACTATGGAGGGGTCTCATTCTGGCTGGGAACGTCTCGTATACGAGGAGACGGTGAAACCTGCTGCTATTCTTATAACGAGGTCTTTCTACGAAGGTATGGAGGAACTAAGCAAGTGCTGTACATGTGTAGAAATTTTCTTTCTGCAGTTTGACAATCTCAAGAAGCTTCTAGTTCCGTGTCTCATGATGAATGCACGTATGGTTCTACGACTGATTAGAAAAACAACTTTCCTTCTCGAACTCAGCACTGTGGTTGACGATACAGCTTCAATTGCCTTGCATCCAAATGAAATCAGGGAAGAGTTGATCAAAATAGAGCATATTACTGATGGTATCAGACGGGAACTGTGCGCTTTAAGAACGGTGTTTTCCTCTCTAGACTCCTCTTTGCAATGCTACACTGAGGTGCTACTAGGCAAGCTGATTCTAAAACGACAGGTGGCGGACCTGGAGTGTGTGATCGTAAGGCGAAGGGATTTATGTTACCAAGCAGCCGAGCATGTGTTAAGTATTCCTCTCAATGGGGAACATCAGAAGTCGTTCTCTGTTATGAACACCAAAAAGCACTTGATCTATCTTGTTTCACTCATGTTTGCGATCATTCTCGTTATCCTATATAGGATTTATAAGATTATCCTAGGATGAAGTATTGATAGATAAAGATTCAAAATCACCGCTGTCTGATCTCTGGTACAGCACAACGCTCGTCGGACATGTGCACGTGATCGCATAGCGTATACTACTCCTCTACACATTCTTTGGACCGAAATACAAACATTGCAACAATAACGCTTCGAAATCTTCTTTGTCGGGATAGTACGGTATCATCAAAAGCCAATCAATCACCATTCTGTCGGTGTCGTCCCTAAATTAATACGATCAAGGTATTTTAAGTTTCACGGTGGTCAGCTATCTTGCAGAATAACGACTTTCATTGACTTCTCCTTTCCATCCCGACCACTTGTTGCAAGTCACTACAATCAACCTAACAGAGATGAATTCAAATCCTGACCAAATATATTCTGCGACTTATTCCAACGTGCCTGTTTTTGAGTTCGTCACTTCTGAGGGTCCTATAATGCGGCGTAAGTCTGATGGATGGATAAACGCCACGCACATTCTCAAGATTGCTAAGTTTCCTAAGGCCAAACGGACAAGAATCTTGGAGAAAGACGTCCAGACCGGTGTTCATGAAAAGGTTCAAGGTGGGTACGGTAAGTATCAGGGCACATATGTTCCATTAGAACTGGGCGCCGGAATCGCACGTATGTTCGGGTTTATGAAGTATTAGAGCCCATTTTTAAGTTCAGCTACGTCGAAGGGAAGTCGGAAACCCCGCCACCGGCTCCCAAGCATAATCACGCTTCTGCTTCCAATATTGCGCGCAGGCAGCCGTCTATCAAGACTTTGAACGATTCGAATTCTGAAAATGGTCAACGGAAAAAGATCAAAATGGAAGAGCAACATGGATCAGAGTCCCTCAAAAAACGGGGCCGACCCAAAAGAGTACCACTTGAAAGGAAGGCTAGACCCGGACTAGAACCTAGTCAGACTGTCCCTATAACCCATGCCGAGGACCAAGTATGGGAACTTTCTCATCCAAGCAAGATTCTACTTCATCTCATGCAAACATTTCATTTCCTTCTTTGACACGCCAAGAGACTGAGAAAGACGTTCTTCAAATTATGGCCAGTAATCTTAGTGTCAGAAACGATGACTTGGAACTGGATACAAGTGCCGACGAAATCCCACTTAAGTCACGAGGAAGCCGAGACTCAAACACCAAAGATGACGACGATGATTTTATGTCTGGTAGGGAACTTTTTGGTATTCAAGAGTCTTTTGCGGGTCGTGACTCCTTTGAAAAGATAATTGAGATGCATAAAAGGAATAGGTACCACTCTCACTTATCATCAGCCCGCTCTTTGTCAAATAATGGGCTAACATGACTACTGGACTCATGCATTATCACAACTCTCAAAATCATTTTGACGATCCAAGCAACCGCCTAGGCACCAATAGAGATGATTACTTCTCGGCGCTTCTTGATTATTTCTTGCATGACGACCATGGGTCACTTCAAACGGAGTCAAGAAGAACGTACTCTCTCCCTCAACCGATTCTCAATCCGCCTGAACCGTTGAGCAGCATTAATATCAATCAAAGGGTCGACAATGATGGTAATTCAATACTACATTGGGTGTGCGCTATGGCCAATCTCCCAGTTTTTCAGTTTTTAACCTCAAAATTTAGCGGAATCATGAATTTAGGTAACAAAAACTATCTGGGCGAGAATCCATTGATGTTCATGATCAAATTCAATAACAGCTATCAACAGAGAAATTTTAATGACTTTCTACAACCCCTTGCAGATTTGATTTTTACTGCTGATGATCGAGGTCAAACCGTTTTGCATCACATTGCGAATTTATGCAAGCCAGCTAGTTTGGAGTCGAGAGATCTTGATTTGAGGAGGTCGAAAGAAAGGTATGCATCGTATTATCTTGAAAGCATTTTAAGTCAAGCACTGCGGGATGATCATTACAGTCTAAACGAGGGCAATTCTACGACAAGATTTGCTGATCTTCTAAACCACCAGGACCAAGAACGCAATACTCCATTGCATCTATTTGCCTACCATTTGAACAAGAAATGTATCAAGACTTTGATTAAATTCCACAGGGTCCTTAACCTAGAATTGCGAAACGCAGTCGGCCATTCCGTTGAAGATTACCTTGCTTCGAACAACTACGTGCTTCGGATTGAAAATGACGGAAGCGAGGACCTTGAGGTGGCATCTCATTCTTTAAATCAACTGAGTGTGGCTCAAACATCAGTTATAGGACAGTCGCAGACAATGGAAACTCAAGTACAGAATACTAAGCTGGCAATCTGCCTTCAGAATACGATGTCCAATTCTATCACTGAAAGGTTAAGCGAATTAGCATATGCAATAGATAGAGAATTGGGCGAAAAGGATAAGAAGCTTTTACTGCTATGCAAATGTCTTCGGAAGGTAAGTTATGAGAAATATTTATCTCAGAAAGCCAGTCTAGGGGTCTTCAAGCTTGATTACCTCATCGAGGATATGGAGAAAGACTTCGATGCTGGTGAATATCGCACGAACAAGGCCGATGGGGGCTCGTTACTGGTCGATACATCAAGAGACATCATAATCCAGGAAGAAATATCCAGGCTTCTGAATGACATGTCTTTTCAATCTTTGGTCGTGAACGAAGAGCTTCAAATGGCCTGGGAACGGTACAGATTTGCCAGGGAAAAGATTTTAGAGCAACAATTAACTGGCCTCGTCGATGCTATTTCAGTTCGAAGCGAAGAATGCCACGCCGAGGCACGGCAGCTTGCCATCAGTCTTCAACGTGAGATCAGGAAAAGGAAAAACTTGTCTGGCCAGGTCTATTCGCTTGATGGTACGACTCCGATTATCGGTCAGTACGCAGATGAATTTAAAGAGAATGAAAAGTCGGGTTCGTCTTCTTTGAGCTGCCCTGCCAATCTGCACGGAGTTATATCAACTATATCTCAACTGGACAAATTGTACAAGTATTGCAAGCTTATAGCTCTAAGCTGCGGAATGTCCTTTTCCGAAGTTGAGCTGTCTATCGATCTTATAGAACAGTCACTTTTGAGAGGTAAACAATAGTGACAAAAGACACCTCTGAGAGGCAAACAATAGTGGCAGAAGACGCTTCTGAGGTGAAAACAAAGTTCAAAATTGCCATTAAAGGATCACATTGTTAGTGAATTCTATTCGTGGACGATAATTAAACGATAATTGAACTTTGCCAACGGGTCAGGACTGCTTGATTTCGCTTTACAATATTCGGTATCAGATTGAGCTATGACGTCCCCGATAGAGACATTCTTGGGACGTTGTGTGCACCATTTGCTGGACACGAACCTCTCGATTTTGTATTTTATTCCGATGCTTGGGTACCGACTATTCGATGCAGAACATTCGAGTACATGTTTCTTGTATATCTCTACCAAGTGCGCAATTTGTAGTTGTATTATACTAGAATCTCCATCGCAACCGTGCTTTTCTGGAGGTGCAACTGCTTTTGTCTATAGTGTATTTCACGAGCGACCAGTCGCAGATTATCAGACCTTAATTTAAATGCAGTATTGGGCATGTTGATTAACACTAAAGTAGTCACTGCTCCTGGCGTACTCGCAAGATGGCTGCTATGAAAAATAGTATAATACCAATCACGGATATTCCACAAGAGATTAAATCTCTTCCAGAAGAATACCAGAGCCGCATTATATCACTGCAGAATCTACTTAAAGGCTACGTCACATCCTTCAGCGAGTATCAAGAGGTAGAAAAGGTGGTTGCTTGCGATCTAGAAGGCTTGATATCGACTCTCAACGATATCATTGGCATGATTAGCTCCTATAAAATTGTCTTTCAAGATATCAAAAGGAGGTTGTTATTAATGAATGATCTCTATAAAGAATTTATCAGTCTTGAGACTTACCAGTATCAACTTCTTAGCTCTAGCTTCCATCAGAGCTACCTCAGATTGAAATTCAAAGAGTCTTTGGATGAATTGCAGGCGCTGACTATGCTGACATGTCGCCAGGGAGCTCTGATACCTACAAACAAAGTCAACAGCTTTCTCGATGAGTTCACTACTTCACGAAGAAAGTATCACTTGAAGCAAGAGAAATATAATAGATGGACGGAGGAAAGGGTGTCCGGCTTTGTATAGCTCATTTGTGTCATTCGCAAGGTGAACAAGACTTTGCATATGTTTTTTTTTTTTTTTTTTTTTTTTTTTTTTTTTTGGTTTTCATTTGGCAGACACACCTATGCTTGCAGAATTCCAAATGAATTTAGAAACTCCAGGGAGTAATGAAGAGTCAAGGGGTATATAGATGTGCTATTAGTGGCTCTACATGAGCTGAATTATTTATGTCCCTTGGTAAGCTGGTTTTGCCTTATGAATTCCATAAATAAAACCTATGAGTCCAGTTGAAGTAGAAACGATCTGCGAGTTTCCTCAATGTAAATTGTGGTACGTCGGCCTCCTGTTGCCGAGCACGTCAAACTCCGAAAAACCCGCGCCCTCCCTATAAACTTGCGCACTTCCTACTTGCTGAACCTTGTTTTCTTTCGACCTCAGGAGATATAGAGAAGCCGAAATGCTTAGAACCAAACTCTTCACAGGAGTACTGTCGTTGGCAGCACTGAGAACAGCAACGAATCGTGCTTTTGGCTCTTCTGCCCGGCGTTTGAACAAACCTCCTCCTCCTGCTCCTGGTATCCTCAAGTCGACGTTTAAAACTGTTGGCTATGGCTCGCTTGCGGTAGCATTATGTTCAATTGGCTACATTAGTTTCAAGGTTTGGCGTGAATCATATCCTAAACAGCAAGAGAAGCAGGCACCCACTTTTCCAGACGGTATGAAAAGGAAGACATTGGTTATTTTGGGTTCTGGATGGGGTTCCATTTCACTTTTGAAAAAGTTGGATACCACATTGTATAACGTGGTGGTCGTGTCTCCTCGTAATTACTTTCTCTTCACTCCATTGTTGCCTTCGTGCCCGACGGGCACTGTGGAAGTGAGATCGATCATTGAACCTGTGAGAGCAATCACGAGAAGATGCCCTGGCGAGGTTATTTACTTGGAAGCGGAGGCCACTGATATCGATCCTGCTAATCATCGTATCACGATCAAGCAGCTGACTACTGTCCATTCAGGTCATTCTGGTAAAGATTCAAGTTCTGCAAAACCATCCTTATCAGAGGATATTGTTACCTCCTTGAATTATGATTATTTGGTTGTTGGAGTAGGAGCTCAGCCGTCGACTTTTGGTCTTCCCGGGGTTGCAGAACATTCAACTTTCTTGAAGGAAGTGAGTGACTCCATGAAAATTAGGAGAAGATTGATGGATGTCATCGAAGCTGCTAACATTTTGCCAAAGGATGATCCTGAAAGGAAACGGTTATGTCACATTGTTGTTTGTGGTGGTGGCCCTACTGGAGTTGAAGTTGCTGGTGAGTTACAAGATTACATTGACCAGGACTTGAAGTCGTGGATGCCCGAAATTGCTTCAGATCTCAAGATTACTCTTGTTGAAGCAATGCCTAACGTGTTAAGCATGTTCAACAAAAAGTTGGTAGAGTATACCAGTCAGGTGATGCAAGATACCAATATCAACTTACTATGCAGTCATTACGTCAAGAAAGTCACGGACAAAACGGTGTATGCTGTTAGTAAAGAGGATCCTAGTGAGCTCAGCGAAATTCCTTACGGCATGTTGATATGGGCTACGGGTAATGCCAAACGTCCGATTATTACTAACTTGTCATCGAAGATCGAGGAGCAGAAGAATGCAAAGAAGGGACTTTTGATCGACGAAAGGTTGCTCGTTGATGGTACTGATAATATTTGGGCACTAGGCGATTGTACTTTCACTAAGTATGCTCCCACCGCACAAGTAGCTTTCCAGGAAGGCATTTTTTTGGCAGAGCATTTCCACCGTTTACATGAGATCGAATCATTGAAGTACAAGGTCAACAATTCCAAGCCCGAAGATCGCGTCGAACGATACAGGAAGAAGTTAACGAGAGTTCAAAGCAATTTGCCAGTATTTGAATACAATTACCAGGGCTCTTTGGCTTACATCGGGTCTGAGAGAGCTGTCGCTGATTTGGTCTGGGGTGACTGGTCAAATGTTAGTACGGGTGGCCCATTTACATTTTTGTTGTGGAGATCTGCTTATATTTACATGTGTCTCTCTGTCAAGAATCAGATTTTGGTCTGTTTCGACTGGTTAAAGGTTGCCTGGTTCGGGCGTGACATCTCGAAGGAATGATCACTGATATGGCAACTATTGTGTTTGAGCCTGTCATAGATAAATCGAATTATTTTTGTTTCACTACAGTAGATATCATTGCTATATTGCATGCGCATCCTGAAGTATCCTGTTGACACAGTAGTGGAAGCTTTACACCACATGCATCACGTTTTTGCGATGCCCAAAACATACAAGAAATAATGACAAAGTGACTAAAACAAGATGATCATAAACTATACAGTAAAGAGAATCTTCAACTATTTTAGTTGTCAACCTGTCGTTATCAACTGAGACTGTGTCACCCCCCCACGTGTAATAATCCAAATATGTACTTTGACGTGGCCCTGCAGTACGCACATCGTTTTTCTCACAACAATTATCATCCGTTTTCTTTTTTTCAAGTCCTTATTGATTATGTGCCATACAGGTGACTTTGACATCTTCACCACTCAAGCCTATCCAGATTACCCCCGAGATCATCCAACCAATAGTCTTGTACTGCAATGAATATTGTCCAATAGTATGATACTTTGAACAGCTTCCGGAATGAAATTTGCAAAAGTTTTCCAACAAACACTAATCGAGGAGGACATTCCCGATGACTGGATAGAGGCAGCTATCCAATACAAAGTACTAAAGAAATGTATCGCGAGAGTAGTTAGAGAGCTCGAATTTCTAGGATTATCACAGTATGACCTCAAATTATTGCTTCAAAATGAGGGCAACAATGAAATGATAGAGCTCAATGGCGATCAGACTCTTGCGAATAATCCTATAGTTGCCAAGTATCTGTTATCTAGATCAAGGGAATCGAATGAAGTAATCCCTTTTCTTAAGATAACAATAAACAACGAAAGCGAAGAGTATTCAGACGATGGAATGAATGAGCTAGTGCGCTTAATTCGTTCCAAAGTAAAACGAGCCATTGACCTGGACGTCGAGCACCGTCGCTTCATGGAGGTCAAACAAGAAGGTGACAGCTTAGTTTTGTTACCAACAACATCAAATGGTACGGATGGATTGATGACAGTAAAAGACAACGAGTTCGTGGTTATGTTGAAATCGGATATGGAGTTTTTTGGAATGCTCAATGCCGAACTAGAAACCCTAGATAATGTTCGGCAAGAGGAACAGGCTCAGCTTCTCCAAGAGATTGATGCAATTGCCAGTCAAGTTACACTGCTAACAACAAGAACTTCAGATCTATATCATTGGCGAGAGCTATTTAAAGTATACCTCGATTCTGAGATTTTCTTTCGCTATAACGAGACCGCCCTTAAGCAGCTGGAGCGAGGGGCAGATCAAGTCAAGAAAAACCTTGAGATCTTCATGACGAATGTTACCATTGGTAAAATTCTCGAAAAAATGGCGAGAAAAAAATCTGTCAACGCATTTTATCAGTTTGTGGCAGTCAATGAACGTCTCTTAAAAGTTTTACAATTTCAATCAATCAATACCACAGCCCTTCGGAAGATTTTGAAGAAGTTCGATAAGCGGACTTCACTCAACATTTCTTCGAAATTTCCTGCGCTTATCTCCAAATACCACATTTTTATGTCTGGATCATCGTTGGCGCAAGAGATATGCTACGTGATGCAAAACAACTTATTAACTGTCGTGCCTCAATTAGATGATTACTCATGCCCAATTTGTATTGGCATCGCTTTCAAGCCTATTCGGTTATCGTGTGGACATTTGTTTTGTGTACGTTGCCTAGTTAAGATGAAGCAAAGAGGTAATACTGATTGTCCCATGTGTCGTTTATCAAAAGCTATAGCTTTGGCTGACTCGTCTAATTTGGACACAAGCGCTATGAATGTTATAAAGAAATCTTTCCCAAGAGAAGTAAAGGAAAAAGTCAGAGAAGCTGATAAAGAACGGTACAAAGAAATGACGGGTGGGGCAAAGGGCTGCGTCATCACTTGAGCTTTGGCCTAGTAAAGATGCAACATGATTCGTACACCGGGTTTCGAATCACACTCTCGCATGAAGTGGCACTTAGAGTCGGCAGCATGAGGAGTACGCATAATGATCTTGATGATGGTATAGATAAATATTGAAAACGAAATGCTTAAATACATGAGACGCTCTTTATATTCTTCTAAATGCTGCTTCTCCTTAAGCGCGATCTGCGAGGAAAAAAAGATACTCAAAAATGTTAGTACGCTCTCATGTATCTCATGTCTCCAAATTTGAATAAAGAAGAGAAATATGATAGACAGCTACGATTGTGGGCGAAGGATGGTCAATCTCGGCTTGAAAAATGTCACGTATGCCTTTTGAACGCCACCCCCACCGGAGCAGAGGCACTCAAGAATCTTGTGCTTCCGGGAATTGGTGCCTTCACTATTGTCGACGAGAGAACTATAACAAAAAACGATTTAAGTGGAAATTTCTTTCTCGAGGACAAAGACATTGGGATGAGCTTTGCAGAGAGAACTGCCAAGTCGCTCTTGGAGTTGAACCCTAGTGTTGAATGCCACAGCGTCCGAATGAGCGCTCAGGATTGCTTAACGACACCTGATTTTTTCGAAAGTTTTGACATGGTATTAGTTAGCGACTACTTACCACTTCCTGATCTCTTGGTTTTGAAGGAAAGATTGTGGTTGAAAAATATACCATTGCTACATGTAAGTACATGTGGGTTTTACGGCTCCTTACAAATATTTTGCAACGAAACAACTATAGTTGAAACTCACGACCCATCGCAGACATATGATCTACGAATTGACAAGCCTTGGCCTGCTTTGCAAGAATATGCTGATTCGTTCAATTTGGAAGCTCTAGACGATACTGAGCATGCTCATGTCCCATATATCATCATCTTCATCAAGGCCTTAGAATCCTGGAAAGATAATCACGGAGGCTGTATCCCGAGAAATTATGATGAAAAGAGGGCTTTTAAAGTAGAGTACATTGAAAGGCTCGCGAGAGACATTCGCCTTGAAGCAAATTTTGGTGAAGCAACGCAGCAAGTTCATCGCGCCCTCCAAGTGACGACGGTCCCCACATACTTGAAGCTTCTCTCTCAAGACCCGAGAGTTTGCGATCATAGTATAAGCGAAGAAACTCCATTATTTTGGATATTCATTAAAGCTTTAAGCAGTTTCGTGGAGCTGCATGGAGCCCTACCCCTACCTGGAACTTTACCTGATATGGTTTCGAATACTTCAAACTATGTAAAGCTTCAAGAAATATATCGAAGAAAGGCTCTTGAGGACCAGGAAGAATTTGCCTCTATACTTCGGCGCATCTTCGCCACTTTTGGCAAGAAGGACGAAGTTCCCACAGACCTGGTTGCGGCATTTTGCAAGAATTCAGCAAACCTATATTATGCCAAGGGGACTAGGGACACATTTTCAAATCAGTTGAGGGACAAGATGATTAGTTGCAGTGCGCCTGTTAATACTTTGGCCATTCATTATGGGATTCATGCTTTACATTCATGGATATATCGGGGTTCTCAAGGCGATTTCGCCGAGTTTTTGGACTCCTTCTTTCGTACTCTGGGATTATCAAGTATGAATATGGTCTCCACAAGTTGCAAAGAGGTGCTTCAAGAGGTGTTTCAGCATCAGACCAGAGGCTTTCACAGCACCTGCAGTTTTATGGGTGGCATTGTAAGTCAAGAGATCTTGAAAATTGCTACAGCACAATATATTCCACTTGATAACCTTTTCGTATTTGACGGTATTCATAGCGCGAGCGAAAAATGGAAAGTATGAGGAAGGTTCACAATCCTTCGAAAACTCCTTGAACACCTGTAGACAGCTTTTGTTTCTTATTTTGTCGAACGATGTCTTTCCAATCAACCGTAACATCTTCTTCATCAGATGACTCTTCCAATAGCCTTTTCTCAGCTTCCTCACGCTTTTTCTGTAGCCGTTGTTTCCTGTCCGATTTCGCTTCTTTGGTTTCTGTTCTTGATGACCAAGCCTCGTTCTTTTTGGCTAACCGCTTTCGCTTTTTGGCCTCATCAATTTTTTTCTCTTTTTCGGCTTCGAGATTCATTTGCCTAGCTTTCTCTTTAGTGGCATCGGCATACGCATAGTTATCCATATCGATTGGACTCTCTGTAAGCCAGCCATCTTCAGGCATTGCGTCGTCAGGAATAAACCTTGTTTCAGGCATTTTTGGAAGCCTTAGTAAGCCATACATGGACGCAACACCTAAGTAGTCAAGGGACTGTAGCCTAAATATCGACTTCGCTAAATGCTTTGAATAACTCCTCACGAACGCAACATAAGCCTTCACAGCTGTTTCATGCCGCAATCTGTCAGCAAGCATAAATTGTCTAACTTTATTATAAAAGGCTTCATGAAAAGCAGAATCTGCTTCGACTACTAGCTCTTTCATAAGAACACCTTTAACTTCCATAAAATCGATATAGTTGATCTCGTTACAATCGTCATTTAGGAGGACAATCGCATTCCCTGCTTTGTTAGCTCTACCAGTCCTTCCAGCTCGATGCAAAAATACATCAGGGTCGTTCGGTGGATCGACCTGAACCACAAGATCCACATCAGCCACGTCAATACCTCTTGCCGCAACATCAGTAGTCATTAATACATGTTTCAGTACATCTGCATCGCCATCAGTAAAAGCTTTAAGCGTTCGGAGGCGTGCGGTAGTTGATAATTGACCATATAATGAGTAAAACTTGATGGGATCAGTTGGATCTGTCTCAAGGAGCAGCAATAGTTCATAAAAGTGTTTCACAGATATGCATGTAGGAAAGTAAACAATCGCCTTTTTGAAATTGTATTCCTGGATGAGCTTGATAAACGTCGTAAGCTTTTGATCTGGTTTCACAACTAAATATTTGATTGTAAGTGCAGAGGGGGCCACAGCCAAAGACAGTTTAGATTGCACTGCCACTTTGACCGGGTTCGACATACCTGTCTTGAAAATACGATCACCGGAGGCTGACAATGTAGCAGAGAATAGACCAGTTCTTCTTTGCTTTGGAAGCTGCCGTAAGATCGATAATACTTCGGCCTCGAAAGAGCTGTCTAGCAATCTATCAGCTTCATCAAGGACTGCAATCTCAACCAGACTTGTAACTACCTTAGGATGCGACATGAAATCTAAGAGTCTTCCGGGAGTACCAACAACTATGTGTGTTTTGCCAGTTAAGAAAAGGTCCACGTCTTCTCTTACATTTCCAAGTGAGCCCACAACGAGCTGCGTATTAATGGCGGGCAACTCTTGAGGGAGGAAAGCAAGAACCTGGTCTAAGACTGCCTTGATTTGATGGGCTAGCTCTCTTGTAGGGGAGATGATAACGCCAATCATGCAACCCTTTCTTAACCGAGTAGGCTCAACATCGCTAGAAGGCAAGCCATATAATATTCTTGATACGTGATGTAAGACCGGGATGATAAAAGCTAAAGTTTTACCAGATCCCGTAACCGATTGAACGACAACATCCTTGTTGCCACTAAAAAGCGGTATTGTTGAAGCTTGTACGGGTGTCATGCATGGCAAGCCTAAGGAAGTAATGGCTTCCCCCAACCAAGGATGAAGCTCATCCTTTAAGTTCTCCCATTCAAGCGACATATCGAGCTGTAAATATACTTGGAACTAGAACGGAATGATCGGATTCCTGGTCGTTTCCTATATTTTATCTCGGCATCCTCTTATTTTTTTTTTCTTCTCTCGCGTGTGCGATGCGCATCGACAGAGAATGGGGTTGAAATTGGAAGTTCCATGTATGTTGAGAAATTGGAGAGCAATGTCTAGATCGAGTAAATCTCTTACGACAAGTACCTCAGTTGATTATGGTGCCTGGTCAAGGGATGACCTAATTAAGCGAATTAGAAAGCTTGAGGGCAGGGAAAGCCACAAAGGGGATCTAAGGACTTCGAATACAACCACGAAAAGAAAACTATTCGATCCCTCAAAGTTTAATACTAGGTTCATAGCCCTTAAGTTCGCCTACATGGGCTGGAATTTCAATGGACTTAGTTTTCAATACGAGCCGACACCTTTGCCCACCGTCGAAGAAGTGATACTCAAGGCATTAGAGAAAGCAAAGCTAGTGACTGGTAGTGACCCCACGCTTTGTAATTTGAGCAGATGTGGCCGGACCGATAAAGGAGTGAGTGCATTAAGCCAAGTAATTTCTTTAAACGTACGCTCGAATTTGAGCGATCTCGAACAAGCTAACAGGCTGAACGATGATCGAGAGCTTCCATACATCGCCATCCTTAACGCTCTTCTTCCACCGGATATTCGGATCACTGGAGTATGCCTTAGACCACCGCAAGGGTTCGATGCAAGATTTAGCTGTCTCTACAGACATTACAAATACATATTCGTTGGTGAAGGTTTAGATATTAATGCCATGGCGCAAGCAGCTGGATACTTTGAAGGGGAGCATGATTTTAGGAACTTCTGCAAGATCGATGGATCGAAGCAAATCACAAATTACCGGCGTGTTATACACTCCTCCAAGATTTTACCTTTAAAGGATGGTCTTTTTGCTTTCGATCTTCAGGGCTCAGCCTTTCTCTGGCATCAAGTGCGCTGTATGGTCGCCATACTTTTCCTTGTTGGCCAGAAGCACGAGAAACCATGCATAGTGCATGATTTGATGGATATCGAAAAATATCCGAGCCGACCATTGTATGACATGGCCCATGATATTCCGCTAGTGCTCTATGATTGTGTGTTTCCAGAGATGGAGTGGCTTTCACAGGCATCACACTTCGGTACACAACAAGAGCGGAAAGCGGAAAAGGAGTTTAAAAAGTTCAAGGGATTTGTACAAAGCTATCAAGTAAAGTCCCAATTGGTTGCGATGATGGGCGAAGCTTTCATAACAAGAGACGGGCCGGAGTCTCAAGAGTTCACAAATCTTGGTGATGGTGTTGGTAGGGCTTTCAAGACGTATACACCCATAAACCAAAGACCTTTAGGTGAGAGCGCCGAGCAGCACAATGCGAAGTTTCTCGAAAAGAAAAAAAGAAAGATTCTGAATTCGACCGTTACTTAGAAATCCACGAGGGTTCCCAGAACAGCAGTCCGTCCGCACTCTGTTCGTCTATCCATAAGAATCCATCCAGTATCATTTCTTCAATTACGGTGCTCAGACGTATTTTGTCCCATCCGTAATTGTCTCTGAGGAGCCTATAGGTGACGAAGCCACCCATGAAATCACACAATTCGTACACCTTTCGATGATCTGAGGATATATTACCTTTGCCCAAAGGTGTGAAATGTCGTATCCACTTCTTTCTATTGATTACGAGAAGTTCAAACCCTTCACCTAATCCTTTAAGTAAACCGAGTGCCCTGGTGACATCTTCATCGGAAAATTGGAGAGGGACGTTGCTCGCTTCTCGGATACGCGAACATAGTTCTTTCATAGAAATTAATCCCCCATTGATATCCCTAGTTTGCTGACATGTCTCCACAACCTTGATAGCCAAAGCACCATAAAAGTCGTCATTCTTTCTTAGGCGGTGTTCCAGGATAAGTAGTAATTCCAAAGGATCTATACCAATCAGCAGACAAATCTCAATGAACTTTATTCGGAATTCAGGGTTGCTTCGGATTTCATCGCCTTGCTCGAAAGCTAGATTCACTATAACAGATTGAAAAACGGAAAGCTGAGCAGAAAGCTCATCCGAATGCTTCTGATTGAGAATTTGTCCAAGTCTAGAGAAGGCATCACGGTCAGGAGTTACGCGAGTCATAGGAGGTTGATATGCGGGTGTCAACACGATCGAAAGTATGGTTGATAAACATGCGCACCCATCATATGCACGATAATGAAACCGGTAACCGGCTCGATTGGATGGTGAAATATTCACCAGATACATGGGGTCGGTAATGTGAAAATGAAAGAAGCCTAATCGCTACATTTTCTTCACTCCCTTGCCACAGTTTTGGTGTCAAGTATAGCCATAATACATAATGCAAATTGGGGAATCAGAGTTCTACAAATGACGTAACCAATTGGCTTTGGAAATGACTCTTAACTTCAAGCACACTTTCACTTGCTTTTGCCAGAAAACTTTCCGTCGATATTAGCACAGTATGGGTTCTGATGATCATGGCTCTTGCGTGTGTGCTTTTTTTGGAAGCACCAAATTACCGAATCCTCGGCCAGACACGCCCCGCACATGAAGCGACCTATCTGAACGCTGAAGTTCGCTATTATATATAGGATCCTACATACTAACTGCACTATAAGAATCGAATTTGGGCCGTTGACAGGTAACAAGTTTTCTTTTTAGGATTTTTCAGTCTCGAAAATTGATGTCTGATGAGCTTGGATAAGAATATCAACCTCCTGGAGATGGAGAAACTGCCACGTGAGATACGAGTGAAAATACCTGGGGGAGTAACAGGAACATTAGCAATTCCACATGCTGCTGACCTTGAGGGCGACGCGAAGTATCAATTTGCCTCGCCAACGAACCGTATTGCTCTTCTTTTACATGGCCAAGGTGGTCATCGTGACTACTGTTACCAGAAATTGGTAGCTCATCGCTTGGCTGCGGAATTGGGGATGTATTCGTTTAGAATTGACTTTAGAGGTTGTGGAGACTCGGACGACTACGAGGATCAGACTCTAGGAAGAACACTTGAGCTGGATACCATTGACATACAGAATTCTGTCTCCTACGTACTTGATGGCTCCAAGAATGAACTTGGTATTGATTTCGAACTTGCTGCCCTTATAGCTCATTCGAGAGGAAGCGTGGCTATGTTTCTTTGGGCAATGGAACAGGATAAACTTTCGATTACGGAACCGGAGAAAGCTGTTATAGTCCCAAATTTGATCAATATGTCGGCTCGTTTTGACTCTAAGACAGTATATGACAGGTATCCTACTGAAGATAACACGTGGGAATACTTATTGCAAACTGGTCTTCGTTATGGAAAGTGGGAAAAATACAGGATTCCCAAGAACGAGATCGATGAATTGTCAAAACCTGATTTGACCAAGTTGAGAAATCTTTCTCTAAAGTGGTCTGTCTTGAGTGTATACGGGATGGAAGATGACATCATTCCAAAAATTGACAGTGCGGGCTACGCCAACCATCTCAATCGCGGACCGTACTCTCATGAACTTCAATTAATTCCTGGTGCGGACCACAATTTCTATGGTGTCGAGCCGTTGGAAGACCCTGACGATGCCGACTTGATCAATCCTTATAATCTCCCACTTAACAAGAATAAGTTGGTAAATTATAATTATCTAGCGGCGGCTTACATTTTGAGGTACCTTCAACCTGAGGCAGAGCTGACACGGTTCTTGCACTTGAGCAACTGGATAAGCAAAGTATCTAGATGGAAACTCATAGACGGAATAAGCAACTTTCGAGATATCGGGGGCTGGGAAGTGGCTAAGCCTCGGTTTGGGCGCTCTGATAATCTGGTGAAATACTCAGTACGCCCGAGCTTTATTTTCCGAAGCGCCAACACCAATTCGGTGACAGAAAAGGGTATGCAAGGGCTCAAGGATTTGAATATTAAAGTGATTTATGACCTTCGCTCAAACCAGGAATGCAAAAAAGATGGCTTCCCAGAGAACTTGGACCGCATCAATGTTGAACGTGTATTCAACCCAGTCTTTGCGAACGAAGATGCTTCACCGCAAGCTTTGGCTCTCAAGACTGCTAATTTACTTACACATTGGGACACCTATGTTCACCTATACGATAACATGCTTGATGAGGGTTATCGGGCTTTTCAAAAAATGTTTCAGCACATTCGTGATTATCCCGACGCTCCGTTCGTCTTTCATTGTACGGCTGGAAAAGACAGAACTGGGATTTTCTCTATGTTAGTTTTAAGATTCGTGGGTGTCGATAAGCATACAATTGCGAGAGAGTACGATCTAACTACCCATGGGTTAAAACCTGATCATCCTAAAATAACAAAAGCATTTGAGGATGGTTTGGAAAGGTTTAGATCTAAAATGAATTTGAGTGATCTTGAACAGATGGTAGCACATGGTCGGAAGGGGTGGTCTTTAGAAGTTGATGGCTTGCAAAACCTTTTGAGCTCCCGTTATGAGGCCATGCTCGCAACGATTGACTTACTTGATGAAAAATATGGGGGAGTCGTCAATTATATGAAAGGATATCTTGGCTTCACTGATCAAGAGTTGCAGACTATTTTTGATAATTTGGTTACCACTGAGCCTCAAGATGCCTCAAGCAAGACAAACATAGATGCGAAGTTCTGATACCATTAGTTCTCGATGATTCTTGTGAAATTGTTTCTAGTTACATGATGGGAAGTGGCCTTTCATCAAATATAAGCTTTTTGTAAACTATGTCGATGAGCTTCACTGGCTGCGACAGATTCATCTCTGAATTAGACGGCACTACTAAAACACCGACAGGCTTAGGAAGATTCTCGATCTTTCCGAGTAGGCGCTGCGACTTCCCTATGAATAACGTGGCCCTCAGCAGGTTGTCTCTATCGAGAATGAGTTTTCCAAACTTAATCGCTTTGTAGATCTCGTCAACAGTGACTTTAGTGCTGTTGACCATACTGGAATCCGAGGAGGGCTCAAAAGGAAGACTTAGTTCACCCTGGATATCCAAGAGAAAAAGTCCGACAGAGGAAGACACCACGCAAGACCCATCAGCATGAAAAGAGTCTTTGGAGGCTTGAATTGCCTTCCTTCCAAGTGCATAATCTATATGTGTTGATGGCATTAACGAGACTCAGTTGTTGAGATCGCGTTGCGCGGATGGTGAGGTCTGTTCTGTTTTGCACATTTTGATGTATGCAGCATTGCCTTCATTTTTCTGTTTATGGTGTCTTTTACTTCATATCACCAAGGATAGTGGTCAATGGCCCAAGAACCAAAATTAACACGACCGGTACATATGGCCTTTAATAAATCTACTGCCAAGGTTTCTCTTAAGGTTGATAAATGTACGACCAAAGGCTGTTCAATTTTCGGCTTTGCACTTACTACTGAGCGGTACAAAAGGCATTTCTCTTGGTATTACGCATGACATGGTCACGAAAAAAAATTCTTCGAATGAAAGCGGTAGGTCGTAGCTATGTAGTGACAAGGTGCTATCTATTCAGAAAACCACCATAGGAAGAATGCCGACGGCGGCATACGCTTAAATGAGACCAAAAGATCGCTTTATGATACAATGTGTCTTATGATAGAAGGAAACGGAAACTTGCCATTTATGGCCAGGTTTCAAAATTTGCTCCAATGTTTTGATGTTCTAAGAAACTCTTCCCTGAACCTCGTAAAATTCCTCTCTATAGCGCCAAATGCTGCATATAGACTGCCACCAACTGCCATATTTGGATATATGACTTTCTCGCCGCACGCACTTATGAGGCCCTTTCTAAACTAGGAAGTTTTCCGTGAGGGATGCCACAATAGGCAAGTATGAATGAAGTGAACACAAAGGAATCGACACCAATTTAAATATGAAGATTCGCCTGAGCATCTGATTTACTCAAGCTCCTTTCTTCCTCATTTCGGTTTTTCTAATTGTTGTCTTGTCGCACAAGCGAACATATACCTCCCCCCCCCCCCCCCCGCAAATCACTATACCCATTTACAATGGTTGTTCAGTCCACGACAAACTACAATTACACGGCAGCCACCAAAGGGCTCATGCAATTTTTGCGGTACAACAATAACTACCCAGCTGAAGGAACTGGTATCCAACAATTGGCTAGTCAAGGCCACAATCTCCTTGGTAGTGAGCTTCCTCTAGAGTTCCTTCGCTACCAAGTTGGGTATCAGATCAACTTAATAGGTAGCTACCCCACTGACGAGGATGTTGTACCAAGCGCTATTTTTGTTGCAGCATTTGCCATATTATTGGTGTTGCACTTGATCATTTTCGTGATCAATTGTTCTAGACATCATTATTTCTGGGTCTCGCTTGGTTGGGTATTCTACTGTATCCTCCGGTGCCTTGGTTTTGGATTGAGAATTCCATTTGGGCAGGATGTCACTCGTGTCCCCACAGGAATCGCTAGTGAAGTGCTTTTAATTCTTCCTTCTATCGTGTTGGTCTCGTTCAACTTGATTTTAGCGCAACGTATTTTCACCTGGCGACACCCCGTTGGTGGCTCCAGAAAGTTGTTCTGGGGTTTCATGATAACGTTGTATGTGTTTGTCATTGGGATCATAGGAATGACTATTGCTTGTGCTGCCATTCCTTATGTGCACTTTCTTTCAGAAGGGGTATATGCCTCCTACTTGAAGGTGGTGCAAGCCTCAGCAGTCTTGATTTTAGCGTACTCTTTAACATCGATTTCTTTGATTGGGCTTGCCTATTTTTTCAAACCAACTAGGAAAGATGAAAACTTATACACTTATCAACCCTGGTGGATTGAATCATTTAGCCCATTCTATTTCGTCAAAAAGGGTGCAGTGTATGAGGCGGAGGAGACGTTTATGAAACGTAACCACAATCATAGGCATGCTATTCGTGTCATAGCTGCCACTCATCACCACTACAATATGGTGGAAGGCCTTACGAACCAAAGAGGTGATTTGACACATAATTACTCGTTGGGACTAATTGCCATCACCACCCTTTTCATTTTTGTTAGTGCGTTATGCCGCCTCATTGTGTGCTTTCAAAACCGGTACACGCGTGATCAGAGTCCACTTTGCGATCCCGTGGCAATGTATATTTTGTGGGGTGCCATGGAGGTTATAATCAACATCCTTTATATCATAGGAAGAGTTGATTTGCGTTTCTACCGTCCAGACATCTTGCCTGCCAAGGTTCGCGCTATTATTACTGCGCAACAGTCTATCGAGCAGAGTGATGCTAGTAGCGAGTTTGAGCAGTACTCCTCGGAAGACGAGGTTTCCGATAGCGAATCTAGTGAAGGCTTCGATTTGACCCCCGGGACAAAGAAGGAGGGCTTCGTGAAGGATGCCAAGGCCCTTGAGTCAGACGACGACGAGGATTTCCACTTTTAGTACCCCAGGAAGAAGTTGAAAGAAAAGAGGCGATTGACCACACGTGTGAATTCGTCTCATTAATACTTTAGTTATTTACTTTTTATGTATAATAAGGCTGGCTCGGTAGGTTAGCCAGTTAATGGTTGCATAGTTATACAATCTTCAATTCATTGCACATAGACATGGGTTTACGCTCATGCACCTGCGCCTTTGCCTATCTTTACCACATCAGGCAATAATATTTGTGCGTGAGCTTCTCTCAATGTACCCCATATCATGAAACAAAGATCTGTACTAGTTAGCCTTGAAACATTTTCCCCGAATGCCAAAATTGGGCAATGTTGTCGACAAACTGCATCTTCATAACTAAATCAATGTGAGGGGACGTAGGATGAGGAGACCATGGCCCCCGTATATATTGCCAGGCGACTGTCACTTTTTATCGGGTTAAGTTGATAATTAGACCTGGCTTTGGTAAGTTTCACTACTCTGGCACTGTTTGAACTTGCTTGCTTGTTTTTATTTCACATAAGTGATACTTCACTTGTGGAAACTCCGTCAGAATAAGGCTATTGTTTAAATCATCATCTTTCACAAGCGCCATGGAACACGATGATTCGGCCACAGGTGGCCTCATGAAATTTTTATTGGCAACTGCTAACGGTGGAGCTCCGGGAACGGGAATCAAACAAATTATTGATATTGGTACGAATCTTTTGGGTGACGAGTTACCTGACGAGCTTGTTAAATACAACGTTGATACTCAGAATGTTTTGATGGGCGGATACCCAACAGAATGGGACGTGGCACCTTCGATAGCTTTCTCAGTCATATTCTTTGTATTTTTGATTCTCCATACATCAATTTTCCTTATCAATTTTTTTCGGGGTCACTATTTTTGGGTTTCAATAGGATTTATTGTCTATTGTTTGATGAAGATTCCGGCATTTGCCATGAGAGCGTACTGGGCAAAAAATATCACAGAAATCAATATTGGATTAACCGCATCAGTGCTTCAGATTGTTCCAGCATATTTGATTGTTTCACTCAACTTGATATTAACCCAGCGCTTGTTTACATGGCGTCACCCTGTTGGTGGTTCTAGATGGCTTTTTTGGAGTATCATGTTGGGTATGTATGCAATGGTATTCGTCTTTATCGCTGTCATTATCACAGCATCGTTGGTTCCATACCTTTACTTCATCAGTTACAGAACTTATGAGCAATGGGCGCAAGTTAACCAAGCAGCTGGAGTGATCGTTGTCCTCTATGTGATGACTTCGGTTTCTTTACTTGCCTTATCCTATTTATTCCCTCCCACAAAGAAAGATGAAAACCTCTACACATACCAGCCTTGGTGGATTAAATCTTTCAGTCCGTTTTACTTCGTTGAAAAAGGAGCTGCGCAAAGAGCCGAATTGACATTTATGAGACGTAATCATAATCATCGGCATGCTATCCGAGTTATCGCAGCTACACATCATCATTTCAACATGGTTGAAGGAATGACAAATGAAAGAGGCAGTTTGACTCATAATGTATCCATGTTTATCATCACTGCAACAACTGCATTGATTTTAGTTGGTGCGATCTTGAGGTGCATTGTCTTATTCCAATTCAAATGGAAGAGATATGAGGATACGATAGCCGAGCCCCTCTTGGGTTTCATCACTTGGGGGTTGTTTGAATCATTTGTGAATATAATCTACATTGTTGGTAGAGTGGACTTGAGACTTTACAGGCCTGACATTTTGCCTCCTCAGGTCCGGGCGATTATTACCGCCGAACAAAGTTTCTACCCATCCGAGTCTGAGGAGGACGACGAGGATGACATCTATACCAGGTCAAGTCACGAGTCAGATATATCAGCGGTATCAAAGGGCTATTCCTCAGATCTGCCGCTATCATACGATAAAGTGGAGCCGCCGTACCCAACTGACGATGTTGAAGATGATAGAAAGACAACAGATAGCCTGTCGTTCCAATTTCCCCTGGAGCGACCAGAAAAAGACAAAAAACGTGACTTGAAGCACGTTGAACAAGCTGAGGATGATGAGTCCATGTTTCACTTCTAAAATGAATAAATTTATAATATATCCCTATTCTGTCGCTTACCTTTTTGGGACTAATGATTCACATGAAAGCCAAACGCTTTCCTTATTAGGCATAGTAGCATCTTGTCTATGCAGGGCGTGACATTTCGTCAAAACCTTGTTCTGAACTTTTTCTTTCTTCCTAACGGTTTTAAGCAGGTACCAAGCGCGGATTCTGATATCAATACCACACATATGGATACGAGCCCCTACCATATTAACAGAATCGATCAAGTTTGCTTTAAAGAGTTTAACGGTTCCTGTTGATAGTGTAAGCCCATCTTTTATTCTAGCATTGTGCCTAGCATCATTTATACAAAGAGCATTGTTTCCAGCTTCGCATTTCTTGTAGATACCTTATATCCGTCTTGCGTTTGCCTCCAAACTAATTTCCGAAGTAATGCTTTATATATAAATTATTGGGAGTTGCCAGTCCTTCTGCTTCTTGTGGTTATTCTTTAGAACACTATCTCGTCTGTGATAAAAGGTTGAGCTATACGTCAGTATGTCTTCACGAGGAATTGCGACAGATCCTTCAGACTTCTCGAAGATGACTATGGTGGAGGGTGTCTTCACCACATTTCGGTACTTCCTAGACCATCCGGCTAGTGGAACCGGTATCATGTACCTTATTACGTACACAAGAAACATTATAGGACAGGAGATATCTCCTCAGCTATTGAATTTTGCAATCGCAGCTCAGAACAACTTGTTTGGCGGATATCCTAAAGAGCGAGATATAGTTCCCAGTGCCATAATGGTTGGCTTCTTTTCTATTCTTGCTGTTGCTCATGTCACAATTTTTACAATTAATTTCACCAGGGGCCATTATTTCTGGATATCGCTAGTATGGTGTTTTAATTGCATTTTACGTCTCCTTGGTTTTGCTCTCAGAATAGTGTGGGTAAAGGACGTTCCCGCTGTACCATCAGCTTTAACAAGCGAGCTTTTCCTAATTCTTCCGTCGATAATCATTGTCACCTTCAACTTAATTCTAGCCCAAAGAATATTCACGTGGAGACATCCAGTAGGTGGTTCAAGAAAACTTTTCTGGGGTTACATGCTTACTCTTTATGGGGTGGTCCTAATTGTTATCGCAATTACTATACCTGCAGCATTCGTTCAGTTTATACATTTCTTAGGAAAACCCGCATACGAGCTGTGGAAACAAATCAATATGGTGTCATCGATCTTGATTATTTTATACTCACTTACTTCGATCGCCTTACTTGGGCTTGCATATTTCTTTCAACCCACTAGAAAAGACGAGAGATTGTATACATATCAGCCATGGTGGATTGAGTCCTTTAGTCCTTTTTACTTCGTTCGAAAGAATGCTGCTCAGGAAGCGGAGGAAACTTTCATGAAAAGAAATTCCAATCATAGGCATGCTATACGTGTTATTGCAGCCACCCATCATCATTATAACATGGTTGAGGGTTTAACCAACCAAAGAGGAGAGCTTAAGCACAATGTGTCTTTGGTAATTGTTTCAATTTCTACCATTTTGATTTTCATTGGTGCAGTTTTGAGAAGCATAACTGTCTTTCAGAACAATACCAACTACAACAGTAGCTGGGTTTGCGACTATCGGTTGTTGGTTGTCGTGTATGGTGGATTCGAAACGCTCATAAATCTTTTATACCTCATTGGCAGAGTGGATCTTAGATTCTACCGCCCAGATAGACTTCCTGCAAAGGTGAGAGCAATCATAACTGCGGAACAGAGCTTCTTCAATACTCCCAACATTTCAGACTCTGAAGAAGAGGACGAATTATCAGATGATTCTGGTGATCTTTCAAATAGTAGTTTGGAATCCGAAAGAAAATCATATGATATCAATGAGACTGCAGTTCCTTCAGACTCAGAGAAACACCGTTCTACGAAGCTGGATACCATGGAGGAAGGGTTTGAGTTTTTTAAGTCGGACACATCAAGTACAGCATCCGAATTCCACTTTTGAAAATAGCCTAATACATTACTATAAAACACACAACCTCTTAATCATCGGATTGCAAGGATTTCCTCATTACCGCTCGGCACGAAACAGCCCCGTCTGAACTTTAGCTTGAGTATCTCTATAATTTGTTTCTTGCACTTTAGAATGCTCTTACGTTACTTGTTTCCCATGAGCAGAATCTTCAATACTAAACAAACAGTAAACCCACTAACGATATACCCACAAGGCGCTGAGTGATCTGACTGCAGAACGCGACCATCGTACGAGAGGAACACTCCTCTATCGGACAGTCTGAGCAGCTTATGGTGTTGGTGTGAACTCTGATGATTGTTTCATTGGCACCACCACGGCCATGAAACGATTTAGTTCTCGATTTGTAGGATACTGGAGCAATATATCTCCTCTCTGCGGTTGGATATGTACCTGCGTTAAATATCGATTTATGCAAGATAAAAGTACTGCATATGCAGTATTCTGCATACAAAAAGCCTATTTTATTCTTAGTAGAAAGTTTTGTTTTTTCAACGAAAGGCCTGCGTGGCGTAATGGTTAGCGCATTTGACTTCTAATCAAAAGATTCCGGGTTCGAGTCCCGGCGTGGGTTTTCTTGTTTTTATTCTTTTTCTATTTATTCTTCATTTTATTAAATTTATTTTGATTCATTCACTTTCTAACTTTATCTCTGTTTATGAATGTACCAAATTGCAATGAAAGGAACAGAAAAATTCAGTATCACAGAGTCGAAGCTTAAATTTATTCGGCCCGTCAACGGACAGTCATTGGTCACAGAAATGCCGTTCAGTATATGCCTTTGTGCCAGAGGACCTTCTGTTTTACCCCACAATGGCAGTCTCAATACAAAATGTCAACATATTTAGGCAACGTATCGTCAAGGACAGGTCCCGTATTAAATACTGTTTCGGTAAGTTGTCGCATAGGTCATGACAGAGTTGCCCTGAGGTAAGTCCAAACAAAGCGAGGCCATCCACTGTGCAAGGAAACTAAACCAACAACTAGATAAAGCACTTCCACTGGAAATATCCTGCTATATTCAGAATCGATACTATGCTTTTTCTTCAGTTTACAGCACTTTTTATGGCCGTTTTAGCAGCTAACATGAAGGGGATCCAAAATGGTGGAAGCGTTGAAAGTATCCCTATGTCTAACAAGAATTGCTCGACGAAATCATTCTTGAATATTGAGCCTGTCCGGTCCTCAGCCGAGAAGCTCGATAATTCTGTCTTTGCAGCAGCGGTTGAGAGCGACATCTATCAAAGTACTTCTCAAGTTCGACAATGGCGAGTGGCTGACTGTGATAACTTCAGCCGCCAACAAATGTCTATGGTACTAAAATATTATCCTTTTGTTCAAGTTGTCTGTGAAGAACAAGGGCTGCTTTTGTATCCTTCTGTTCTCGACCAAACACCCACAGGTCCTCAAGCCAAAGGTGGCGGTCTGTTGTTCCAGTCTTGGACGACCACATACCACTTCAAGGAGTTTAAGATAGAGATTGAAGGTCGAGAGACGAGCTTGACGTTACCTTTGGCACACTGTATCACTTTTAGTGACGAAGCAGGACCCGCCACTACCGAAGTGCGTCTCACAATCTCAGCATTCTTTAAAGGTGGTGCCGGCCTTTCTGGGGGTGTACCCATTCCTTTCTTCGGTATAGAATCCGGATTTGGTACTTCTGTCGGTACAACAGGTTCAGTTTACATCAATCATGCTTGCAACAGGAAGACAGCCTCGGTAAGACCTTTCATCTCTTTGAAGAAGTACGAACTGACCATAAGGACGCGGGAGTGGAAAGTGAAGCCTAATAGGAGGCAGTTCATAGTAAGGCAAGATTGGGAAGAAAACGAACTTACTGTCTTAAGTCGAAGAGCACCGGTATTGTCTTGCGTTAGCGAGCTTTACGTTCCTGATGTATGCGGGTGGCCGTCTGCTCCGTTGGAGATTTCGGCCATTCAATAACTAGCTTCGGACAAATAAACACGCACATACTGCCACTCACAGTCACAAATGCCCAAAAGGGTGTAATCATTTATTCCATTTCATTTATTTTCAACATTCAATACAAGCGTTAAATGTAGAGAGTAGTTCTTTGTATTTGGTGCTCGGTATGGGTGTGAAATGCTTCCTTGCTCAAAACTATCAATCGATTGAAATTAACTCCTGTAGTCTATTTTCGACATTTTATGGTCCGTGAACTCGTAAGCACGATGGGGGAAGTATTAAGAAAGTATGCGCGCATGCTGAATTTTGATTGAGAAAAAGTGACCAACTACTGAATTTTCACTGCAGCAAGACCCGTCAGACCAAGGGATCATGGACTTTGAATTGGAACCGACTTTGGAGTCGATCGTACATCAAGATACTTTAAAATGGGTATTTGTCGGTGGTAAAGGTGGTGTAGGTAAAACTACCACTTCGTCATCTATCGCTGTCCAGTTGGCCTTGGCTTACCCCAGTGAACAATTCCTACTTATCTCAACTGATCCAGCTCACAACTTGTCTGATGCTTTCTGTCAAAAATTTGGCAAGGATGCCAGGAAAGTTGAAGGATTGTCAAATCTTTCATGTATGGAGATTGATCCGGAGGCGGCCATGAGCGATTTACAAAATCAGGCTCAACAGTACAATAATGACCCTAACGATCCTTTGAAAAGTATGATGAAGGATATGACAGGATCTATTCCGGGCATAGATGAAGCATTATCCTTTATGGAGGTTCTAAAGCATATTAAAAATCAAAAGGTTGCCACCGACAAAGACGATGGTGACATGATCTCTTATAAGACTATCATCTTCGATACAGCACCTACAGGCCATACATTGAGATTTTTGCAGCTTCCTGCTACACTCGAAAAGTTGTTGTCGAAGTTCAAGGACTTATCTGGCAAATTGGGCCCCATGTTAAATATGCTAGGCGGGGGCGCTGGCCAACAACAGGATATTTTCGAGAAATTGAATGAAGTACAAAAGAATGTCAGTGAAGTTAACGAGCAATTCACCAATCCTGATTTGACAACATTTGTGTGTGTCTGTATCTCGGAATTTTTGTCGCTTTATGAGACCGAGCGTATGATTCAGGAGTTGATGAGCTACAACATGGATGTTAATTCTATAGTTGTGAACCAATTACTCTTTGCCGAGGAAGATGACTGCAGGAGGTGCCAATCACGTTGGAAAATGCAGAAGAAGTACTTAGATCAAATGGGCGAATTGTATGAGGATTATCACTTGGTGAAAATGCCTTTGCTCGGTACAGAAATTAGAGGCGTTGAGAACTTGAAGAAGTTTTCCAAGTTCTTGTTGAAGCCATATGATCCAAAAGTGGATAATGGTCTCGTCTTTGAGCTAGAAGAAACCAAATAGGAAAGAAACACGCTAGGTTATTGTCTTTAGAAATTGTCTTGTACGTAAGAAAAGTCACGTGCATTCCGTAGTTTTTCAAACGCAGCACGAAGCCGGCTAAGAGCTGTCCTCTTCTCATTAGTCCAGCCATGGCTAGAGGCAACCAGCGTGATTTGGCTAGAGCCAAGAACCTCAAGAAGCAGCAAGAGCATTCAAAGAGTCAAAAGAAAGAAGGTGACCCTAAAAAGAGAATGGAGAGCGACGCCGAAAAGATGAGAAAAAAACAAGCCGAAGGTATGTGCCCTGACTATGTGGTTCTTGACAATCTGTACTAACTATTAAGCCGACGCTAGAAAAGCTGCTGAGTTGGAGAAGGGAAAAAAGTAGAGCTTCAAAACAAGTAGAGCTGCCCTATCAATGAAGAACCCCGGCAATTAAGACACTAACGGTATCCGCAAACGCTTTGTAGTAATAAAGTTACGATTCGTAGATCTGTGTAATTAAACAATGGTTCCGCTCCTCCTAAACGGTCATTCTTTTTTTCTTTTTTTCCTCACTTTACTTTATTGAGCGTGTTTTTGCACTTGAAATGGCCTGATCAGGGGTCTATATAAGGCTCAATAGGTATCCGCACTCGGTCGCCTTCTACACCACTCGATTGAATAGTTGCAACAAGCGAGATGTTGATCAAAGAATCTTATCATGATGTCAAGACTCTGGATGGAACCACAATGCGTATTTTTGTGTTCCATCCAGTAATTCCCAATTTTCCCAGAGCTAAATTTCCAGGTGTCATTGTCTACTCTGAAATTTACCAGGTCACTGGTCCCGTAGCTAGATTCGCTAAGGACATTGCAGGTCAAGGCTTCATAGCTATCGCTCCATCCATCTACCACAATTTCGAATCCCATGAGGCGTTGGCTTATGACAATGAAGGCACTGATAAGGGCAATCTGTATAAGATCGAGAAAGAGCTTTCTCTGTACGATGAGGACAACAGGTTGGCCATTGAGTACTTAGAACTGCTTCCTACCTTCAATGGTAAAATCGGTGCTACAGGAATGTGCTTGGGAGGCCATTTGGCTTTCAGGGCCGCCTTGGACCCAAGAGTGAGTGCATCTTTCTGCTTCTTCGCCACGGACATTCACATCCATGCCTTGGGTAAAGGTAAGAATGATGACTCCTTGAAGAGATCGAAGGAGATCAAGGGCGAGTTGGTGATGGTTTTTGGAGACAAGGACAATCATGTACCTTTAGAAGGCAGAGACTTGATTAGGCTGACCTTGCGTAGAAACCCTACCCAACTTACCTTTATTGAGATCAATGAAGCTCAGCATGCTTTTGTTAGGGACGAGAATTCCAAAGACCGTTACGATGCCGCCGTAACAGGGTTGTGCTTCCAATGGTTACTCGAGTTATTCAATAGAAGGTTGAAATTGGACTACGGAGAGCACGATGGCAAGGATGTTGTGATCGAGGATGTCTGCTAAACGTGCGTTCTAGCCACTGACTTATATATGGTATATGAAAGGAAAAAAAAAAGTCTGGGTTGCGTAGGCATTCTTCAAATTATTGAAAGCAGCGACTGGAGAAGCCATTCTTTCGATTGAGGTCACGAGTCACGGCCCCTGACAAACATTCTTCTACTTTATTATATCTTCTTTCAACATGGTGGTGCAACGAGGTAGATAGATTGTGTGCGATGTCGATACATTTTTGCTTCAGTTAATATGAGTTATGCACTACCGCGTACTGAAAAAGTTTTTTGATCACAGTTAACTAATCATCTTAATTAATTGAATAATCCAGCAATGAGACCTATAAAGTTGATGGGACATGAGCGTTCATTGACTCAGGTCAAGTTCAATAGAGAAGGTGATCTTCTCTTTTCTGTTGCAAAGGACTCGTCGGCCTCCATTTGGTATCTGTCCAATGGTGAAAGACTAGGAACTTTGGAAGGCCATCAAGGTACGATATGGTCCATCGATGTCGACTCCAAGACATTCTTGTGTGCTACTGGAAGTGCTGATCTTACCATCAGATTATGGAAGGCCGAGACAGGTGAGTGTGTTTACAAGTGGGAGACTTCGTCCCCTGTAAGAAGAGTGGCTTTCTCTCCTGACAACTCGAAGCTCTTAGCAGTTACAGACAAAGTCATGGGCAGTAAGGGTGCTATCTCTGTTTACGATGTAAATTATGATGACATTCTGAACCAACCTACTGAGCCAAGTCTTGTTATCAACACCAGAGAAGATGCGACCAAGGTCACCGTTGCTGGTTGGTCAGCAGAGGGCCAATATATCATCGCTGGGCATGAGGATGGATTCGTCAGCAAGTATGACGGGAAGACGGGAGAGTTTCTCCAAACTGTCAAGGTACATGGTGTACATAACGAGGAAAAGATCGTTTCCATTACCGACATCCAGTTTGCTCCAGAAGACAGACTGTACTTCATCACTGCATCGAAAGACAAGAACGCCGCCTTGGTAGACGTTGACAGTTTTGAACTCATGAAAGTTTACAAGGCTGACGCTCCTATGAACACTGCTGCTATTACACCCAAGAAGAATTTCGTTATTTTGGGCGGTGGTCAGGAAGCCAGAAATGTGACCACTACCGCAGAGAGTCAAGGTAAGTTCGAGGCCAGATTCTACCACAAAATATTCACAGAAGAAATTGGTAGAGTAAAGGGTCACTTCGGTCCCTTGAACACTGTCGCTGTTCATCCTGATGGTGTTGGCTATGTCTCGGGAGGAGAGGATGGTTTTATCAGAGTTCACTACTACGATAAGCTGTACTTTGATTTCGAATTTGACGCTGAGAGAACCGAACGTGTCATGGCCCAGTCTCAGGCAAAGGCCCAGGAAGCATAAACCTTTCCTCATTGTTAACGGCATATCATCATCTGTATAGTATACTTTATAGTTCTCATTATAATGTCATGGTCACTGGAACTGAAATTATCTCATCAAATTCGTTATGTAAATGGCATATCTAAGAAGATATAAGCCCTATGGTACAGAGAAGCTTGTGGTTTCTTAAAAGTTACCACTTTTCAATGAAAGTAAATTGTGCACACATTGCGACTCATGGGCGGCCTTCGCTGACGGGGCCAGTATGATGTTGGTATCCACTTGACCCAAAGGTTTACGAGTGGTCGATTTGCCTGTAGGGACATTCGTAGCTGCCAAAAATGTAGGGGTGTTAGCGCTTCCAGCAGAAGAAGGAGCCAACTTGAATGTCATGACCTGGTTAGAAGCAGCAGGGGCAGAGCGAACAAATTCAGGTTGCTTCTTGTTCGTCAAATTCAAAACCAAGTTTCCATTCTCTTTCGAAGGTTTTTCGTCTTCAGCAGCAAGCATTCTTGAAAGTAATGGAGCTTTAGCAGCCTTCTCTTTTTTTCCTGGTACCTTCTGTGCTAATGTTGGGGTGGAATATGACCTTATTGGTGACAGTTGATCCATTACCCTGTTAACAAACTCTTGCGAGTGAGACTTGGTCAAGACAGGCTTTATAGGTGTGCTTTCTACAATCGGTGTAGGAGCAGGGTCAGTCACAGGAGCAGATGCAAGAACAGAAGAGTCAGGTGTTGGTGGCAATTCAGTAATCTCTCTGTCAGCACACTTAAGACGGCGAAGAGACTGTCTCTTGTTTTGGAACCATATCTTCACGGCTTTTTCGGTCATGTTAACACGTTTCGATATATCAATGCGTCTCGATTTGTTTGGGGTGGATCCTAAGTCAAACTCCAGATTCAAAATAGCCAATTCGTGGGGCGATGTTCTTCTCCTCTTACGGCGTGCCAAAGAGGCATTGTCTATAGATGGCTCCTGCGAAGGATATGTAGCAGGAGAATGGCTGATGAATGCGAAATCTTTGGTAGGAGATATGGTTGATGATGCTTTCCTTTTAGTAGCAGGTTTGACCATAGAATCATTGATGCTGCTGTTCATAGATGTGTCTGCATCATAATCCACGGAAGTATTGGCAGCTGAAGTATTAACTGGAGTAGAGTTTGCAGCACTTGTATCCAAGGGTGTAAGGAAGGGCTGTTGTGTTTTGGTGTTGCTGTAAGTCTGGTAGGTTGGAGCGCTTGTTGAAACTGCTGTCTCAGACACTGATCTTGGAGGGAGAATGAAGCGAGGGGTTGAAGGTGTCAATGAATTGATCGAGGGCAATTTAGGCCTCTCTTGTTGAACAAGGAGCGACAGTAATGGAGGAAGCGAGAAAGAGCCTTGCTTAGTGAGAGCATCTATTGAAGGCAAGGAGGGTTTCTTTGGAGTTTCAACTTTCATGGCTAACGAGTGTGGATAAGGAACGACAGAAAAATGGTTGGAGAAAAGAAATCCTTTGGAGAAGGCAGGATGTATTTAAAGGCGACCGTGAATAAACAAGCATAAGCCAAACAACAAAATTTAAAGTCGTGTTTTATGATCTTGCCTGATCCACCATAAATTGCAGGCACCGATGCAAGTAATTTGGTTATTTGTTTACCTTTTGGAAGCGCGCCTGAGCGATTATTCAGGCGCATAACACCGTTCTGGAGTGTCGATGGGCCTGTGCGTGCGAAAATGAACCGTGTATTTTCATCAAGCGTGAACAATCCCGACCAGTCAAGAATTTGAGGACTAACGGTCCTGAGATGACAAGACGTTATTTCTAAACACTTATAAAATGTTGTTTAATTAACTTGACGGACAATATGTCTATTTCATTCGCTTGACAATAAAATGAATCCTCCGGGGCCTTAAAGTTTCGATTACTTGTCATCCTTCGCATTTCTGTTCGGCAGGAGTTTGTTTACCCCAAGCATGCCATTAACGTGCGTGGAACGCACGATATATTCTCGCGTTTATGTGAAATACATTTCCTAATTTGTTCGAGCCGCTGAGGAAGGAAGGGATCAGCTGGCAAATTGGCGTTATACGTGGGCTGTATAGCCTCGGTAAATGCAGCCATGTGCCAGTTAATGTAGTGGTGAAGGAGGGATGACGGATGGCTATAGGATGTAGTTGATCAAATCAGTTTTTTACTACCAGTATAGACTCGCTTAGAGATGACGTAGGAGAGTATCTTGTTTGTCTGAGCCCATTAGCGCAATGATGGTTCACAAAATATGAATTTGTAAAGAAGCATTTCGCATTTTGCAACCATTTTGACGTTCATAATGGAAATATAATGAACACTGCGCAAAGTTCAGAACATAAAACTTTCTCTAGTCAAAAAATAAAGAGCCAACAAAAATAGAAAAAAATAAGATAAAGCTGAACTGTATGTTTGACAGAAAACTTAAGTGGCCATTTAAAGATTGAAATAAGAATATGATCATTGGATTTGATCATTGCTTATCAAAAAACGCTATACCTTGGGAACAGACATCGAACCCGCTATATACACGAAATAGAAATGCCATCTATTTAAAAGATCAATGTATCTACTTGTATTTTTCTTCTTCATTAAATTTAAGTCACACCAGGAAATACCTTCAATTTATAATTGACGGTTTATGATGTTGCAAAGCAAAAAAAAAAAAAAAAAAAAAAAAAAAAAAATAAAAGTTGTTATAGTCCATACTATGACGTCATACATCTTCCGGACTTTCACTTGAGATGACATGATAAATGGAACCTCCGGGGATTCCCACTGAATACCATTTCAGTTTCAAGGTTTTCAGGAAACGTAACGCTTCAAAAATGCCACGTCAAAGGTTCACACCAGGGACATCCTTCGGAAAGGTCAGTTCTTCCAATTGGAAACACTGATCGACATAATTGCAACAGTAGAAAGAAAGAATCATAGGCCCAAAGTATAAGCCACGGAAGATGCTTATTCTCTTCTTACAGTAACTAGTGGATTACCCAGGGACAGCTAGCTTGCCTCCACATGTTGTCGGGAATTGGTGTCGGTCTCCTCAATGCTTCAGAAGGCCATAAAATGGCACCAAAACCCACAAATCGACGAGGATAATGCCCGACTAAACAAATACTTAAAGTTTTTATACTTCGACAATTCCCTGCTTCGCTTTTGCAAGATGACACTTGCAATAATCCATAGCAAGTTCACACACGTGACATCCTGCCAAGTGAATCCCGGCTGCAACCAAATCTCATCCCGAAAACCGGCAACTTGGTTTGATTGCAATGGTTTTGGCTCAAGAAAAGACGAAGCGCCTGGTATGGTCTCTAGTGTCCCTATTGTTCCTTGTGACTGTGTTCGTCTCATTCGCTGTCTTAAGTGAACGATTCCCCACATTGTTGCTGTCATCTCGTGTCTCTCCGGTGGAGTACACTCAATTGAAACTTTCAGCAGAAGAGAAAGACGATTTAAAAAGGCTAGGATTAACACCAAAAAATCCAGTTGAAGTAAAAAATCCATTGACAGGGGAAAAAAGAACCATTCATGGCCGATTCCTCCATTTGACCGACTTCCATCCCGACCCATACTACAAACCTGGCCTGTCCATCGAAGATAAATGCCATGGTGGTAAAGGCGAAGCAAGTAAGTATGGTGATGCCATTTTGGGCTGTGACGCTCCATTAGATCTTGTTTTTGACACCATTGATTGGGTTGAGAGCAACTTGAAGGATAAAATCGACTTCATTGTATGGACTGGTGACAACGTTCGTCATGACAATGACAGGGAATATCCTAGATTTGAGACAGACATATTTGAGTCAAACGAAAAAATCTCAAGGATAATGTATGAAAAATTCGATATATTGCCTATTCCCTCACTTGGCAATAACGATGTTTATCCTCATAATTTATTTGCCGAAGGACCTACCCTACAAACTAGAGAATTTTACAAGATTTGGAGACCCTATGTTCCTCAGCCTCAACTTCATTTATTCAACAAAGGAGCTTACTTTTTCCAAGAGGTCATTCCCGGTCAATTGGCAGTGCTTTCTATAAATACCTTGTACTTATACAAGTCTAACCCACTTGTGGATAGCTGCGACAAAAAGAAAGACCCTGGCTATAAGATTTTCAAATGGTTAGGTTATGTTTTGAAGGAAATGAGAAGAAGGAACATGAAGGTGTGGCTCACTGGCCATGTCCCCCCAACACCAAAGAACTATGACATCTCATGCCTTCGTAAATACATTATGTGGGCCCATGAATACAGAGATGTGATTATTGGGGGCTTGTATGGTCATATGAACATTGATCATTTTGTACCCTTGGACTCGAAGATGGCATACGAATCATTTGAGTCTAAATTCAAGGAAATAATGAGACAAGACGATTTCAAAACATTCGAAGAAGATGACGAGGGAGAAGATGTAACACTCGAAAAGTTGTACGAGGCATTCAATTCTTCTATCCAACACGATTCAATTAAAGAAGCCCCAGGAGTTTTTGATTTCTCCAAGGATATCCATGTGGAAGCTGGTGTTCCCAAGGGCAAGGTTGACTACATGAATACGTTTAGAGAAACTATGTATGCTGACATTAAGCGTTCCAAGAAATGCGGAAAGCTCTCAGAAAGGTATTCTGTCGCTCATGTGTCTGCAAGTGTTGTACCGACGTTCAACCCCGGATTAAGAGTTTGGGAGTACAACATTACCGACTTACACAACATCAAAATGAATGATTTTGGTACCTGGGACTCCTTCTTTTCAAGCGTCGATTATTTGCTTGAGAAGGATGACGGGGCAGATTACCACGACTCTTTCGCAACATTTAACGACAAGGTCGACGCCTTCAAGAAAGACAAGACCATCCCACCAAAAATGCCAAAAGACCTTCCTTTGGGACCTGCTTATGATAAGCAGCTCTTTACTCCAGAGCGTTATGTTCAATACTTCCTTGACTTAGAGGGCATCAACGAAGGCAAGAAAAAGTTCGAATATGAACTCGAGTATAGCACTGATAACGATGCTTATAACATGAAAGATCTTACTGTCAATGAATGGCTTCATCTAGGCAGAAGACTAGGAGCTCCGGTGAGACAGAAACGCAAAGGTGCAGACGAAAAAGAAGTAAATAGTCCTAAACTGGGGAAGAAACTAGACGCGCTCTGGAAGCAATTTCTCAAGCATACTTTCATTGATTCAAACTACGAGAATCTTGGGTATGGATTTGAATGAAATCCGGTAACTTGAGGAAGTATACGATTGCCAATAAATGTATTTCACGACGCACTGAAATCAAGACCATCATTGAAGTCAAAATGCTGGTCCTCCAATTGCTGCTCTATGAGCTCCGTCCATGGCCCAACAAAATCAAGACCAACGTCTCGATTATTCATTATCCATTCCATAAGCTCACTGTCGGCCAAGTAATTTAGACCGGTACTGCTAGTCTGGGCATCTGTAGTGGAGCCGGCCAGCCCCGTAGGATTGGCCTGGTGAGTATCAGTAATGGCCAGCACTAGAGCCGCGTTTTGTGAATAGCTCTGGGGCTGCAGGCTTTCGGTTTGAGAAGTCGGCACTTGGTTGTCTTTGTTCAATTCGGTCTTTTCCTTTGGGTTCTCCAGCGAATTACTCAATTCGTATTCGTCATCTGCAGTCAGCTGCTTGAGCTTGGATCTCATTTCGGAACATAGATACATCAAGACATTTGAATACCTCGTACAAAGATGAAGCTCGTCAGGCGAACAGTCTCTTAAAGTGATTGCAGCTTTCTGGATACTTTGGACGATAGTGTGAACAGAAATTAAAGAAAGCGAAAGAATCGTAGCGTCAAGATTGTCACTGCTTACTCCATTTACTTCGTCGCCACTTGTGGATGATTTATGAGCTGTGATAGTCAAGTAACACTTAACAATAAAGGCAACGGCACGAACAAGCCTTGTCACCCAACGTACTGGCATGAATCTTAGCATCTTTATCTTGTGAACCCTATGAGCCATGTGTAATATCTCGTTAGCAGCTCCAAAAGCTTGCTCGATGTATTTTGCACTTTTGGAAATTTCATCTAGCTTCAAATTGACCTTTCCAGGAGCAGGACGCGATTCCTTCGGAGTCGGGCTCAATGCAAGTGAAAAGATGTATAGCTTGGCATAGTTATACTCGAAAACAAATGATTCAGCTTGAATGTAGGTGGCAAGTTTTGCAGCAGTTTGATCGTCACATGCGCTAGGGTCATCAATGTTATATTTCCGGAGCCATTTGTTGGATGGAGGTAGCATTAAATGCTTGTACTTTCTTGCCCAATTGTTTACCATTGGACTGATAATATTGAGGATTGCTAAGTTCTGGCGTTGATTTAAGGACCCAAGTGGGGCTTTATACCCATACAAGGACTCGTGGCTTAACGACATAATCTGGAGTAGCTCAATCTGCGCCTTTTGGGGCTCCGTAAATGAAAGGAAATTTTCAGCAGAAATTTTCTTCTGTTCGTCTTCCGTCATGTTGAGGACTTTGTATTCATTGTCTTCTCGAATCTCCATATCATTTTCAGATATTGGCTCATGGTCTAGCTCGACATCAGCGAGAGATGCTCCCAACATACTTCTCCGACTCATGTTCATCACACTATTCATTTCCGCCACATGCGTAGCGAGGAATGTTTTTGAACTCACTTCCATAAATCCAGTGTCTTGAGCAAGACGTACCGCGGAACCAATGAGCATCCAAGCCATTCTATAGGATCGACGCATGGCTCCTAGACCAGCAGGCTCGTCTGATGTTGCAGCAGCCACTGAAGACGCATATGACAAAGGGTTCGACGACATTGCTGTTTCACGAGGATCATCGGCCCTGTTAGCATAGTCTGACCACCTCCAATGTATCGCTCGAGGGTTCCATTCAGTGAATAGCAAAAAGGCAAAAACCGTTCCTATAGAACGAGTACTTGCTTCAGCCCAGACGGTTTGAGAGATGAGCCGTTGCACATAGAGCCACAACCTGTCATGGACGTCAATATTTTTAGGAGTGCCGTCAGCAGTAGTGCCATTCAATGAGTGGTATCTCGATGATATTGTAAGAATAGCACAGAGAAGTATAGGATAACCAGCAAGAATGGAGGGCAGATGCAAAAATTTCGGAATATGAGGATAAAAGGGATGCATTGTGGTGAAAAACATCTTGATCAAATATTGTGCTTCAGAAGCCGTAAGTATACCATCTTCTCCAATGTAAACAATTGAATTGAGATCCAGCGTGCCCCGTGGCCGGACATCAGCTTCCGATTCCGCTGGTGGCATCGTGAAGCGATGTGACTGATCTTCAGGTCGACTAAAGTACGAAGGCCACTGAGCAGCACCCACGTTAGCAGACGCAGATGGAGGGTTCGAAGTCGGGAGGGAAGTTGAACTAGAACGAGCAGGATTAGAAGTTGTGCCATTATCATTTGCTCCCGACCTTCCTGAATTTGATGTCGTCGACGATTTACGCTGGAAAGGAGCCAGCGGCTGTGGTAAACCGGAAGGATCCTTCGGCAGCAGCAGAGAATCAGGGATAGATGATTCAACCGTCCTTGAGAGCTGCGATCTCTCGCTCAGAACTGGAAACTGAGAAGTTTCCTGAATTTGGTTATACATACTTCTCCCATCAATCTTATCTCTCTCATCTGCCGAAGCAATCTTACCCGCTGCATTGGCCAAAAACACAAGAGCTCCCTCCATGGTAGAAAAATGTTTTGGGTTATCAGGTTCAGTCTTAACTGTGCCAGATGAGGAACCCGAGGTATGGCCGGCTATTGCCGGAGTCCCAGGACCAGATGGCAGCGACAGCTTCGGCGACGAACGTCCTCCATGTGTGTCAGAATTTATACTGGTGGACTGCCCTGCTCGTAGTCTCTCCACCGTACGCTTTTTCGAGTCCACAAATACACAATCACGCCGTTCTCTTTCACATCTAGCGCATTTACTGTTTGGCAGCAGAAGGTCGCCCAAGTCACATTTAACCTTCCTCACACGACAGTTGAGACAAGCAACGTATGTCCTCTTGAACTTCTTAGTCGGCGGAGCACCCCCACTATCTTGGAAAGTTGTCATAATGCAAGATAAGCGGGAAGAAATTTCGCTGGGTGATGCTTGTCTCGGTTAATATCTCGGAGTATCAGAGGTTGATAATGAGTGCAGGAAAAACTAATTTGCCGAAGAGGTAGACGGAATTTCTAACCATTCTTATCACCATGTTGGTAAATCAAGATGTTAAAGCGCTTGACATAACAGGCTAGCTGTATTATTAGTTTTGCATCTTATTCATTCATTATTAAACTTTGTAAGTTGTCGATGCTTCCCGGTAGTCTACACAATTCGAGATGGGGAAACAACGAAGTTCAATCCTTACGGATAATTAGAGCAACCTGTAACCAATAAGATAGAGAGAAGAAGAGACGGCAACAGAATTGATGTATGATGTGTTCAAGGTTTATGGCGATATTATTAGAGAGCTGGCGAAATCCGTGCGCTACAAATTTGGCACTCGGTCAGCCAGTTCAACTTGAACTCCTACTTACATGATAGATAAGCAACAATGATCACGAAACCCATGCTTGCAAAATAAGAAAAGCAAACAATTGATCTTCAGACTTCCTTAGAGTTTCAACTACTTTCACTCCACAATGGTTGTATTGTTCATCCAATCGTTTTCGACCTTTGTTCCTTCTCTACCAACAAGCTAGCGGTAAAAAAAAATGTACACAAAAAGACATCGAAGGTGCTTTGCTTCATGGAGTAAAAGACTTACAAAGCTGTGTCACTTGACAAGTTAAACCTACGGATGAACTCCTTATGTTTCACAACGTATAGCTCGACCATAGTTCGATCACAATCTGCCTCACTTAAGCTGAGAAAGACTCTAGCAAACCTTTAACCAAGACATAACACTTAGTGGGTGACGGATAAATTCATCATGTGGTTTATCACTGCCTCCAGATGCGGCTACAGTTACTGTGGGTAATAGGTATGTAGAGAAGGTTATCAGCCGAAGTATATACAGGAACGGTTGCAAAATACCAGGCCCCTATAAAAGAACGTGTTTGTGATTTTGGTCTCATTTTTTCTTTCTCCCTCTTTTCTTCTTCACCATCTCGTTGAAATCATTCTGGAGTTCTTGATATAGGTTCTCGCCGTTATAGTATCACGAATTTCATCACCAGACAACAGAGTAATTGTCCAGTATCTTTCAACACAACCACAAGCGCATCCTTACGCCAAACCCCAGTCACTTAAATCATGGGGTTCAATTTCATTAAAATCATCCCCTCGAGCCTCGAGAAGACCAACCCTCTGGCCTCCATGCAAATGAAGGTCATCGACATCACGAGCGGTGGTTCTGCCGCCAAAGCCTTCGGTTTGAACGTACCGATCAACGCTGAATCATCCCAGTCATGTGGTTCCCCACAGGGCGCCACTTTCAAAGCGTTGCAATTTGTCAATGGAAACAGTGGGGCATCGTTTAAACCTCGCTCCTTTGTCTTGAAGCCTATCGACAACACCACGAAGGCTTTCGAGTTTAAACAAGGCAACCTCAACGCTACGTTTAACCTCAAGTCGTTCAAATTGAAGAAAATGAGCGACGGCTCCCTCCAGTGGAAGCCTTCCTCCGAGGAATCGGGGGCTGCCTCGTCAGAAGAGCTCCATAATGCTCTTTCTACTGGCAACGTTGTTGCCCATCCAGACCTTCGTTCACTGGAAGTCTACGCACTGGTCGGTTGTCGCCCTGTTCCACAATGGGCTGCCGACATCCCTGATATTCACAAGAATATCCCTGATGCAGAGCATCAGACCCTTTTCCAGGCGCTTCGCTTTGCCCAACAGGTCAAGCGGAGTCCTGCTCTTGCTGAACTCGTGAAGGAAGTTGCCTTTACAGAGTTTTTGAATGGCGTCGCCCCCAGCTCAAAAAGCTTGAAAGCTGACAGCGACTTTGCCGCTTCCCCCAGGGAGTTTTTTTCGTCGTACTTCGCCGAATTGTCCGCCGAATACGTTTCTGGGTCGGTGCCAGCTGGTTCTGGCGTTCCCGCTTTCAGACCCCGTACTGCCCTGGTGCACACTTTCGTCCTGCCTGCCTCTGCCGCCGGTGAGCTGGATGACTGTGCTGACAAGCCCAAACTTGGCAAGGGCCAACGCTTTTCTCTTGCATTGAATCGCCTCTCTTCACGTTGGCGTTGTCGTGCTAAGCTCTTCAGGGAGCAATGGCGCGAGGATAGAACCCACAGAGAAGCCGAAAGAGAGGCTAAGAGAAAGATAAAGGTAGAGAGACGCACGCTCGTCTTATTGGAGAAACAGCAGCAATTGGCTCACTTGAGGTCTTGTCGTCAGGAAGCTGCTCATCAAAAGGCCCAGGAGGAATATGACCTGGAACAGGCAGCCATTCAGAGAGACATCGATGCCAAGCTGGCTGCTCAGAGAAGGAAGTTAGAGAACTTGGAGCACCAAGTTCACCTTGCTAAAGCCAACAGGAAGGTTGCCGCTGCCCTTAAGCGGTCTCTGACTGTCGGTGGTAAGACCAAGCCTACGGGTACTACTAACATTGACAAGGCTGCCAAGCCCGAGAAGGTCTCTCCCCAGATCTCCTCAAAGTCCTCCCAGAACACAAGTATCTTTGGTCCTCAAAAGAGCCTGTCGACAACCGGAACTAGCCCTGATGTCCCTTCGGAATCCTCTCACCGTCTCAACAAGTCTGCACCCGTTCCACATGCCCCCTTGATGTTGGTAAATGGTTGCCTCAATCACAGAGAGATAGAAGAGAACCCGTGGAACATCGGCGTCGGCGCCGAAGTACGCAGCATGCTCGGTAAAGAGAGACCTGTTCTCGGACTCTTGTCTGTGCCCAAGCAGAAGTCTGCCGCCCAAATGTCAAAGACCCCCAAGACTGGTACGATCGCTCCCGGTATGAGTTCTTCAAAGTGCACGTTGAAGAGCTTGTCGCTGGCGAAGTCGCTGTCCAAGTCTTTCAAAGTTGGCGACGCACCTTTGGCCCCTACCCTTCCATCTGAGCCCTTGTTCGCTGCCGGTACCCCGGAAGATTCCACCACGGTTCTCCTTAAGCCTGGTCAAAAGTCTCCCGCTGCCGCTCAGCCATCCGCTCCAGTGCCTCCTAAGAGAGTGAAGACACCATTCTGGAAGACAGAGAAGTACATTAACTTCCGCAAGGCATTTAAGAAGGGTGAATTCATGCCCTCCACCGACGAAGTCCTTGCAGGTTTGTCCAAGCTCCGCCCTCTCTCGGCTAGTTCGAAGAGTTAACTCCTCGATTCTCAGAATTGAGTCTTTCGATGTTGGTAATTTATGATATAAATTTGTACACTGTAGTTCTCTTTTCTCCGTGGCTCAATGTTTTTTGAAATGACCTCATAGTTTCTGTCATTAAGGCAGCGCAAAGTAGACTAACGGGCAGTGAGACGTTCGATCATGACCCGTGTATCCTACAAGCCTATTGTCTTGATATTCATTCTTAATATAGATGTTTCCCTAATAGGATCAAAGTTCCAAAGTTACTTTTTCAGCAACTGCAATTTCTTCACCAGTTCTTCCAAACCCTTCAATTTCGCTTGCATCTCCTCCAAATCCTGGTTCAACCTGTTTCTCTCGGTGACAATATTAGTCTCCCATTGTCTAAACCGCTGTTCCTCTGCTTTAACCTGTTCCGTAAAGAACTTCTTCAATGCATCTTCCTCTTCCTTAAACTTAGGGTTGTGCAAACGACGAGGCTTCTTGATAGACGCACTGCCATTCTCGCCCTTCCCCTCTTCGTTTAAGCTGCTCAACTTCAACGAGCGGAAGGTTTCAAAATGAATCTCTTGCGTGGATAATATCAAGTCCAACATATTAGTTCTCAACAATAAGGAACGCAATTTCTTGAAATCGCAATGTCTGTCGTTCTCTACCTCCACGACACCCCATGGATACTTTCTGCCTCTGACAAAATTGCCAGGACTAACCTCAACCTCCTCCTCCGATCCAATAATGGCGAAAGGCATAGCCTCAATGAGCTGCTTAGAGTGCTCTGCACTGGCTGGGTCATCCACATCCATTGGAGGGGTGTATATGTTGATATCCTGAGCCTCAATTACATCTCTTATTCTAGTCTTGAAAGTTTCCAACTCAGATGGGGCTAAGGTATCAGCTTTTGAAATGACAGGGATCAAGTTGACTCGCGTGGACAAGCGCTTCATAATCTCAATGTCCAATGGCTTTAAGGAATGACCAGTTGGGCGGATAAAGTACAAACACGCGTGAACTCTTAAGTCCTTCTTCTCAATACGATGAGGCTGTTTTTCCTGCTTGACATATGTCTCATGTTGGTCGTCGATGAAGTCGATGATTGGGGTCCACGAGTCCAAGTTGTTAACGTTATTACCGAATCCCGGGGTATCGATAATGTTCAAACGAATCTTGAAATTCTTCTCCTCCAAAATAGCACGCACAATGTTGATATCAACGGTTTGGTGAGCGCTGGTGAATTTGTTGTGTCTTTCATTGGGATCGTCATGGTCCTTCAAGGCAGTCTGGAAAAGGGTGTTCACGAAAGTCGTCTTACCCAAACCGGACTCACCAGCCACCATAAGCGTAAAGGTAGCGCCCTGATTAGACACGATCTTGTACCTTTGGTCGGGTAAATTGGAAATTCCCACGGGCTCAGCTACAGGCATTTTGTGGTGAAGCGGAGATTTGTTTGTAGTTTTTGACAACACTGTTTTTCCACTTTTTGTTGATGCACTCCCACGCGTCGCCTGTACACACTCGAGACGAGGGCTGACATATCAAGGGGGCAGTGAACCAGGTGAAAATAGAGGTGGCAGAACAGGTTTCTCCTGTTCTTGTTGCTTGAAATCAATTCAATATATTTTATTACTACTCCTAATAATTGGAAAGTAAATCTGAAAAAATCCAACGCATATTGTGATGCTCGTTCACGCCTCGATTAAGATGCTAATAATAAATTATATATCCCACGCTTGTTCCAGGAAAAGAGCTTCCACTTATCAAATAAGGACTTTTTGCAGTATAGACCAGACAATATAGAATGGAGCTGACTTCTTTTTAGATTTCTTAAGGGAAGGCGCCCTTTAAGTCTCTTATTCACAAATTTTTGCAGCCAACGAAACTAGCCGGCCAAGCATGGCAACGCATTGACACCGATCAAGCCACCCAGCTTAGAACTGACCGATCATTCTAAACCAGAGAATAGCATACCTAGGTGGTGATTTTTTTTCTGTTTAAGGAAAACCAGTCATCTATAATTGTGCTTGTTAATGGTGTTGAAAGAGTGACTGATAAAAGCATATTGGCACATGTTAGATCTTTCATTCAAAGTCTTTTAGCGAATGTAGATCAAAGCTAGTAGATATCAACAATCACTACTACTAACAAGACGCCGCTTTTCGGATAAGGTAGCGTCCTAGTTTAGTTTGCCAACGTAGGATACGATTCTGGTATAAGATTACAAACATCAAAACATTTTTTTTTTTGCTTCATTTATTATTTTAGCATTGGCTCATATTCACAATCCCCATAATAGCTCATTTCTCATTCATTCAAGATATCCGCCTGCTCTCAAACTCGTGAAGCACGTGGGGGAACGGAGGACAAAGTATAAGTTACAAAGATAGAGAATTGAACAAGAACAGGAAAGGAGAATGGTTAAAAAAACTTTGCGGAAATTGGGGTTGATCTTCATGCCTCGTTACAACGAGCTCTCTACTCTTCTTCAGCCTTAGTCTCTGCTGGCTGCTGTTCCTGTTCCTCTGGCTGTGCTGGAGCTTCAGACAAGTCGGTCCACAAAGTCAAGTTGTCTCTCAACAACTGCATGATCAAAGTGGAGTCCTTGTATGAGTCTTCAGAAAGAGTTTCCAAGTCGGCGACGGCATCGTCGAAAGCCTGCTTGGCCAAATGGCAAGCTCTGTCTGGAGAGTTCAAGATCTCGTAGTAAAAGACGGAGAAGTTCAATGCTAAGCCCAATCTGATTGGATGAGTTGGGGGCAACTCAGTGACGGCAACATCAGAAGCGGACTTGTAGGATTCCAAGGACAAATCAGCGGCATCCTTTCTCTTCTCAGAGATGGCGAACTCAGCCAAGTAACGGTGGTAGTCACCCTTCATCTTGTAGTAGAAGACCTTGGACTCACCGGTCTGGGCGGAAGAGATCAAGTGATCGGACAAAACGGACAAAATGTCCTCACAGATCTTAGTCAATTCAGCCTCAATCTTGGAGCGGTAGTCTCTGATCAAAGAAACCTGCTGCTCGTTGCCCTTAACTTCTTCTTTCTGCTCGATGGAGGAAACAATTCTCCAAGAAGCACGGCGGGCACCAATGACGTTCTTGTAGGCGACAGACAAAAGGTTACGCTCCTCAACGGACAATTCCTGACCGGAAGAGGCGACAGCCTTCATGTTTTCAACCATCTCCTCGTAACGTTCGGCCTGTTCAGCCAATTTAGCGAGGTAGACGGAGTCTTCACGGGAGGCGGGCATTTTCAAGGATCAATATTCTAAGGGAGGAGTTAGTAACGAGTTTCCGGACAGACAATCGGCAGAAACGGGGCGTAATGATATTCCAAAGGAAAGGGAATGAACTAGTACAGTAGTGAGCTGATAGGGAGATTGATCAATGGATTGGGGGTGAATTGGGTAGGTTGGTAGGTTTGTTGACAATGAAGAAACAGGTCACCAGAAAAAAATCGACGTGAGAGGTGCGGGCGCTGGTCGTGTCTGGGTGGTGCGGTGTCGGGTGTACGGTTTTTTCCCTCCGTCGTGCGCCTTGTTGCGTGAATTCAACAGCACTGTTCCACACTGAGGAATGCGCCCAGATGGACCTCCGGCGAGCGTCACGGCGAGAGCGCCGCAGAACCTTGGCGAAGGGGTGTCACATATACTGTACCAATGTAGACCGATTTTAGGGCGGACTAAAAAAATAAAATAAAAAAAAAGCGGAGTGGGGGCGCTCGACAATTTTGACCGCCCTTTCTCTTTATTCTTTCTGGCAGGTTAGCGCGAACAAAACAACCGAAAAAGCCAATGCTCAGCCAAGTTAGGCGACGGTAAGCAACAAAGGCGGCCGCCGGTGAACACTTAGCATAAGAGCTTCTTTGGTTTCACAGCTGTTTGCTTTGCACAGCACCCTGTTTCAGAACTCTGTTTTTTGGTAGGTGACATTTGTTGCTTCCTCGGTACTTGCTGACCCGCGTACGTAACATGATGGTTTGGTGCGATATGATGGAGGCCCTTTCACTGTTCAGCAGCCACTGGCGACCTAGTAGACCGGTATTCGCTGATTCTTAGACATTTACTGCCTAACTCTGTTTTCTTCTCACTTGCCAATGCATCTGGTTTCTTACCGCGTTCAGGTCGTCGTTTTGGTGGCGTCGATCACTCACTCGCCTCCGTCAACGTCCGACGTGATACGATAACCAGACTTCAATTCGTTCGTTGAAGGAACATCCGTAGACGAGACTTAATCGTCAGAAAGATATTCCCTCATAAATTTCATCAATTCGACGATTAAGATCACCATAAAGGCTCTCTATACGGCTCGTAATACCAAACGGCAACATGAAGCCATTCGGCGATCACAAGCCATTTGAAAAGCCCAAGAACATTCAGGAGCTGCTCTTTTCACACTAGTCTTTCATTTGCCGTTTCTGACACTTACAATCGATACGTACTCTGTAAAAGTGGAATAAAGAAGGGATCAATTAGTGAGAGTTTGGAAGGTGTTTCTTTTTTCCCACGATTTTTTCCTGTCTTTTGTGAAGGAGGGACAAGGAGCAAAGTGAGGCTAAAAATCTAACTTTGATAGGCGGTAGACCCACAGGCGAGGCGCTCAATCGACACCACAAAACGACTTTTAGAGGGTGCGCCAAATGAAACATTAGAGACAGTTCTGAGATATAAAGCCTTGACGCCATCGATCCTTTGGTCCCCCAGCCAATCAAAAGTTAGCACTTTCTTCTTTGGCTCGTTCATTTCAAGGTCCTGGTTCGAAGCTCCTTAAATTGCCAGTGCGACATTTTTGTTACTCGCGACATTTAGACTTGCTGGCTTGGTCAACTGACTCGGGACCTGCCACCGGAAGGATGAATCTCGAAGAAATATTCTATTTTCGCAAGCCTGTAAATCGATTTTTCTATGGGACGCTTTTATGATTTGGAGCCGAAGATTACGGTAGAAGTCACATTGAAGCCTCGTTCATTGGCTCGTTAAACCTCGCGTATTTTATCAGGATTCCTGTGATCCTGAAATGTGTCTATGTGTATGTGTATGCTTTGACACTCCTGTGTTTCCGCCGGTAGAATTTCTTAATTAGTGCTATTGTTAACCCTATTTGTCTCACTGTACAATCCTTACATGCCATTATGGTTTAGGTGACGGTATAGATTCGACCCTTCTAGGCTTTTCGCAGCCATTTTGGTGTCCCTCTGTGAGTAACAGCCAATCTAAGCCTAATGTGGCAACTGGAAAGTCTTGAAGTAAGGAGAAGAAAAACAGAATATCAAAGCCGACGTGACGAGAACGCATCCTGTCTTTGGGATCAACTAATGGGCACGCAGATTTGCGAGTCTTAGTACATGGCTAATATTTTATTCTATAGTACACTCTAGTCCAACTGCATGGTCTCCTCCAAATGCAAAACTTCCTTGTTCAACTCGTAAGGCTGGATCTCCTTCACCTTGATACCGAATCTGCTATCTTGCATCAACTGGCTCAATGCCTCCACCGTAGGCTGAATGGCACCACCAACCTGGAATTGGGAGTGAACCCAAGACGGCGTGAAAGCTCTGTTACCACCGGTCAAACGCACAACATTATTGCCAGAAGTATTGTTCAAGACGATGGTAGTAGATTCTCTAGCCACAGCATCGGCGTAAGAACCGAACTTCAACAAAGACTTCAACTTAATAGCACTGACACCCAAAGCTGGCAACGGTACTTCCCTACCAGGCAAGGTCAATTTCGTCGCATCAATACCGTGTCTACCGGTCTTGTTATCAGTAGAAAGGATCTTCAGCAAAGGAATGCTTTTCACCCTTTGCACAGGCTTTCCTCTTGCTAAGTATCTGTTCGACAATTCACTGAGACCCAATCTGTGGGTCTTCATTTCCTTCTTGATCTCTTCCAATTGCTTGACAGCATTACCAGACTCATGGTCAATAGGGAATGACTCACAAGTGTGGGTTAGCTTGAAAGGGTAGACTGAGAAGGTGTTATCCACGGTATTGAGCAATTTTCTAGCAGATCTCAACTTTAATTGATGTGTAACTGCAAAATCACGAATGAAAATTGTTTGTTTAGCTAATTCATTTTTGAGATCATCCGCATCCTCCAATGTGATCACACCCTTCTCAAGCTCTCTGACAGAGACCAACTTCAAATCGATGTTGTATACTTCGCCAGCCTCAATCACAAACTCGTCGGTTGGAATAGCCAGCGAAACTTGCGTCGTATGAGATGCATCTTTGCTGTTATCGTGCACAATCAACAGGGAGTCGTTAGTAGACTTCTTCAAAAGTCTAGCTTCTTGGTCGCTTTCGCTCCAAACAACACCCTTGAAATCCCTTTCAGCAACAATACCTTCAGCTTGACCAGCCAAAAATCTTCTAACTCTTCTCACCTTCGAACCAGGTACAACAACACAGCCAAAACTTTCGGCTATGCTGTCGACGAGTTCTCTGATGTGAGCACCGGTGATCACTGAAGTACCGTTCATACCTGGAACAGCAGAAAGTTTCTCAGGAGACAAAGCAAGGCCAAGAAGAGCCACTGTGGCCTCGGTAGCGATATAAGTAGAAACAAGAGCATCGGCCTTAGGACCCAAAAGAGGACCCTCTGGTTTCAACTGGTCCTGGACCATCACTCCTGGAGGATAGATAACCACAGTGTGAGATACCAAAGCAGTGTAACCATCGATATGAGCACCAGTAGAGATAGTGACAGCGTCACCAGCCAGGAAGGTGTAGTGCTGCTTGGTGTCTAGCTCAGGGGAAACATTAGAAACATATTCGTTCACATCAATAGTCACTGGATGAGCCAAACCCTTCTCTCTAACCTTGTCCAGGTTGGTATAAGATTTGGCAAGCAACTTTTGGGTCATGGAATCACCAAGGACACAGAGCTCTTGCAATGAGTACGGCCTCTCAGTCTTACCTAAATGATAAGAGTCGTTGATGAGCTGGATCAAGTACTTGAGGGTAGTCTGGGCAATGTGGCCAGCAGTTCTGTACTTGTCCAAGATTGTGTCTGAAAGGACATTCCTCTCACTGAGAAGGATATTAGCATCGTCCTGGTGAACAGCCAACTGCATTGTGGTGTAGTATTCAGTTGATGGGTTGTAGCTCTAAATTGTAACTTTTTTAGTGCGATGAGATGCCCTACATTTTTCGCACCCAAGGGACCAAGCTAAGCTGGACCAACGATTGATCTGACCCGATATTATGTAAAGAGAATAAAAATAAGAAAGTAAAGCGGTCGTTACGAAATGAAAACAATTATGTTTTTTTTTTTTAATACTTCTTCTTCAAAGCACCACCTATCCTCCTCTCTTACCTGCTGGTATACCTCATGCATCAATTTCCGCAGCCAGACTATGCCCAATGCAAACCGACTACACAGGTCCCGATGGGCGAACTTCAGTTTAAACTTAAAGCACGCTTGGAAGCCACCTTGGAAAGAAACTTCGGAGTCATTAAAAAATTGAAAAAAAGGAAGGATTCGCCATTAAATTATCAAAAAATTTCGACAACTGCAGGACTCGAACCTGCGCGGGCAAAGCCCAAAAGATTTCTAATCTTTCTCCTTAACCACTCGGACAAGTTGCCTTGATACGAAAAAGATAAAAATCCAGTATAACATAATAGCTAAAATATTCAACTGTATTTTTTGATATGTTTGGTCCATCAAAAATATTTTTCAGCATTAAAGAACTTGTTCGGTGGTGCTCAATTTTAGAAAAAAGAAAATTTGCCGTAAGGCGTCCTCTTAATACACAGTTAACAAAAAAAAAAAATTTGAATTTTTTTTTTTTTTTTTGATAGATAACATTGATTTAGGAAAACTATTTAGCTATAAACATAAACAGAAAAAACCCTCCTCAAGTTCCCAATTACACCTTGTGACGTTCGCTCCCCAGAAGCGATATCCAGGGGTAAAAAAATTTGAAGTTAACAAAAAAAAAAAATTGACGGAGTTATCGCCAGAAATATGAGATATCATAACCTTTTCTGCAAAATATTTATAATAAGTTAGCATTGTCTGGCCATTATCAAGTGTAATAACACCAATATATCATTAATGGTTATTTATTATGTTTATTAATGTAGACTTAGCCTTCTGTGGCAGCCCGTGAATCCAGCAAAGAAAAAAAAAAAGGTAAAAAAACAATTCATTTGCTGAAAAAGATGAACTAAATCAGATATCGAGCTTTCTGCTTAATAATAGTAATCGTGCTCAGGATCCAGTAAGCTTCTATTTGCTAGGTAATGAGACAAAAGTCGAAATATTATCCTGAGTGGCCATCAGAGGAAAGTTAAGATCTGGAGCTTCACAGTAGCATTAGATTGTCGGACTAATGTGCTGAGAAGTTTATTTTACAATAAGGCAGGAATGAAACTTTAGGTATTAAGGGAACAAGTAGAGATGGAAGGGCCGTGAGGTCCAAATCCTGATATAACTGATAGTAGGAGTTCCCTTTGACCAAGATAGTTATACTATACATGCAAAGTTATGGATATTGTGACTTACCGTTTTAAACGTCGGACATAATCCTTTTGCAAAAACACTAGCCCTATTATTTGAATGATAGAATAGCTCCCGTAGAAGAGCATTATGCAAGGAGTTGGATGAGGCATTAGAATAGACCACAACCTTCAATTCTTAACTTACCCATCTGATGAATTCGTCGAGTTTGTCTTTGTTTTGTAAGACCACCGTTGCTGCACGACTTTGAGCATTCTTCTTAGACACATCTGACGCCACACTCAATACATGCTCTTTCACCATCAATTGAGCCTTATATCCATCTTCATCTTTTGTGATATCATAGGATGGCACAAGACCGACTTGTTTACCGAAATATGCATAAAGCTCATTCTTAGCGAACTTATTCGGTTGAGTTTCGGCCGTAGCAATCAAGGGGAAGCCAGATGAGTCGAACGATCTATTCTCAAAGCGAACTGCCGTAGTAGAACGCTCACTTTCGGCCCTTTTTCTCGAAAACTTTTCGATAACTTGCTTATTTCCCAACGCAGCCTTTGCGGCTCGAAGCCCAGCATCACGGAAATTAGGCGCCTCTCCTTCCCCTATGACCTCATCATCCATCATGCAATGAACTTTGAATGCAGCGTTGCTATTGTCGTTGTTTCCAGCAGCAACATAACGAGGATGCGAAGAAGCAGACCCAATCAAGGCGTAAAGTTCTGCCTTTGCATTCCGATCGACAGGCAGTTCTTGCTCGAGTTCTTTGCCCATTTTATTTATCATCTTGTTCATAAGAGATGCAAGCCACGCCTCCACTTCTGATAGATCATATCCACGTTCCATCGATAATGCTCCAATATAGGCTTCGAAAATATCAGCATAGACTTTCTGACTGCCTATGCGAAGCTGGTCTTCGTCAATAATACAACGCAACTTACGATGAAAATCGTACGCCTGGGAGAATTCAGCCAACGTTTTGTTACTAACAAGAGTAGATCTCATTCGAGAGAGTTGGCCTTCTTTGGCGTATGGAAACCTCTCGTACAAGATTCTCGTCACGATAGTATTAAGGACCGAGTCACCTAAAAACTCGAGCCTTTCGTTATGCCGACCAATGATTTCCTTGTCGTCTAGGTACGTCTTGTTTGCGGACATTGACTTGTGCTGAAAAACTCGAGCCTTAAGCGTTGGACTTCGAATCTCTGGTAATGGTACAAGCTTCCCTGAGTCTGTCGTGGATTCCTCGACCGGAGGGGCCTCTTTGGGAAGTTCAGCCTCTGAAACCATGCTATTCTCTTTCTTCAGTACATCAATTTCCTCCTTGAGTATCTGATCAAAAATCGGTAAGTTTTGACTATTGTATTTACTCTTGAGGGCAGCCGCCATAAGAACAAGCTTATTAGACTTCAATTGCCCTTGCGTGAAGTCGTCTGAGTTCGCGCCTCTAGCCAATGAATCTAATTCTGCTATCGTAGGCGCCACTTCCAATATTTGTTTGATATTTTTTTGGAGCATTCTACCGCTATGCTCTAGCTTGCTTATTTCAGTATAGCCGAACGATGCTTCTGATGTAGATTTGGACGTTGACGAGTGCTTCCCTTTCTTCCTGGGAGGTTCATCCAGGGCTGCATCAACCAAGGTCCCTAAGAAGTCTTTTAGGCTCTTAGTAGACATCAATGCAAATATATAAAGACGGTCGAACTCCTAGCTGTGGAAGTCTTTTTCCTTGTGGCTCTTTGTTGGAGGAATGCAACTGCTATGATCTCAATGTCTGGGATGAGCATCGATAGTACTATGGTCGCCTGCACTACATTGGGGAAATACACGTGACTACTTCGGAACTACTTCACTTATGCTTTCAAAATTCAGAAAAAAAAGTTCTTTAAGTTCCAGTGTTAGCGAACGTGAAGCTTATCCGTTGTTATTCTTCATTCTTAAGCAGAATTCGTATCATGTTTGATGTATAGGATACTCGAAGTGATCACCTATCATTATATATTTTCGCATTGGGTGCAAAATTCAATGAAATAGGCAGAAGTATAAACCATGGTTGACTATGTATCATTAACTTATAAAGTTATACAAAAAATCTAAAGGAGGCTTACCTCAAGAACTTAATAAAGAAAAACGTTATCGAATATATAGATATATAAAGAAAGGAAAGAGAACCGAGGGGATGCTACTACAGTTCAAATCTAATCAGTCGAGTCCAAGCCATCACTGTTGATGGTTTAAAAAAAGAACAAAAAAAAAAAAAAATAAAAAAAAAAACGATATCTTGCCGAGTATTTTAAAGGCACGGATGGAGCGGAGATACTGTAAAGGTATAAATTACGAAGTAGTAGGGTGGTTCTCTTCAGCACCTCCACCATCTGTAGACAGTCGTGCGTGAACAGAAAAGAGCGTGCTGAAAATCTATCTACTCTTTTCAACGCAAAGCTGCTCCCTCAAATATACCATCAGCTGCATTATGAGGCTTTCTTCCCTTTCTTTCATTGGAGGCCTTCGTCTGGCTCTTCCTAGACTTGCAACGCCTGCGCTGTTTCAACTCCCCATTGCATACAGAGGCTTATCCACATCCTCTAAACTTCTTCAAGTCCAAAATGAAGTTCAAAACGATCCAGATGCCGCTTTCCTCCAAAGGAAAACCACCAAGCATCCTCTTTCAAGAAAAACTTTCTTGATGGACTACTATAAATATTTGAACGATAACAACCAAATCGTGCTTTACTTGCATCACAATAACTTGGTGAAGAATGACACTATTAAAGTCAGATCCGAGTTGAAAAAGTTGGGCGTCAGCATGACGTACTTGAGAAATGCCATTTACAAGGTTTACCTTCGGTCTGCGGAAGAAGAAGATCCTGCTTTGCACAAGAACACCTTGAAAAACAAGAAGGTCGAGCATCCATTGGCCCCTCTTTTGAATGGTCCCAGTGCTATCATCACAATCAAGGAATGTGACCCTCCACTTGTTGAAAAAGTCGTAAAGCTCTTGAAGTCTCAGAACGAGAAGCTTTTCCTACTTGGTGCCAGAATTGAAGGAAACGTCTACAACGTCACAGACGTGGATCAGTTCAAACAGTTACCATCGAAGGAGCAGTTGCAGGGCCAGTTGGCCGGTGTCTTGACCGTTTTGGGTGGTGCTGGTCTTGTGAGAACATTGGAGTCTGCTGGAACCCATTTGTACTTAACTGTGGAACAGAGAAGAAAGGATCTTGATCCAGAGGAGCAAAAGGATGAAGAAAAGAAGGAATAATTTTCTTGCAATGTATATAGCCTAACGCAAGATGAAGGAGATGGACATGTAGATTGTTTGACCTTAAAAGCAGGCGCTGCAGCTATGCCAGAAGAATCAAGTATAACCGTAGTCGTGAAGTCACCAAGTCAAGTAGGCATTATTGGAAATATGCAATGTGCGTATCATTTGTATGTGGTAAACGATTATCTTGGGACAGGCTGATGGAGCGTATTTTGCAACCAATCGTGCGATATGCTTAACAGAAATAAACCGTGAAAAGATTACTAAAGATTGCCTAGAAATTCTGCTTGTATTTATTTCGTTATCATACTTTTTTTTTTTAAAAAAAATAATCTCTATAGAAGTATAGAGCCTGCCTTGCGTCACCAACCCATACTACACTGTGATGCTCATCAGAGCCAGGTGCCGGAAATTTGAAAAAGCTATACTACTCCTACTTATCAAACACCAATATGTCTGCTACAGGCGAACCCTCCGAAAAGGAGAAAAATGCCTTGATACGAGAGCAACAAGAAGCTGAATCGAAAAAGAGAGCATACAGAGAAAAGAAGCAAGAGATAAGGGACATGGCTAAGCAGAACACAAGCCAGGTTAAGTTCGACACTCAAAACCAGCTGCCAGACTACGATGTAGCTGAGATGCCCAGAAAAAGATTCTACAGACAAAGAGCTCACTCTAATCCATTTTCAGATCATAGTTTGGAGTATCCACTGGATCCTGACTCTATGGACTGGGGTAAGTTTTACCCTCATTTCTACGATAATCAAACACAGAAGATGTCCAAGAATGTGGAGATTGCTGACATTGGCTGTGGATACGGTGGTCTTCTTATTACGTTGGCCAAAGAATTTCCAGAAGTCTTGAGTTTGGGTATGGAGATCAGAGTACAGGTGACACAATATGTTGAAGACCGTATCATAGCGTTGAGAGAGAATCACCAGGCAACTAATGAATACCAAAACTGTGCAGTTTTACGTGGAAATGCTATGAAATTTATCCCTAACTTTTTCCACAAGGGTCAGTTGCTGAAGATGTTTTTCTGCTTTCCAGATCCACACTTCAAACAGAGAAAGCACAAGGCCAGAATCATCACGAATACCCTTCTTACTGAGTATGCTTATGTATTGAAGGAGGGAGGCATTGTATATACAATCACGGACGTTAAAGACTTGCATGAATGGATGGTAAAGCACTTAGAAGAGCACCCGATGTTCGAGAGAAAGTCCAAGGAATGGGAAGAACAAGACAAGTGCGCTCAGTTAATGTGGAATTCGACCGAGGAGGGTCAAAAGGTTACGAGGAACCAAGGCGACAAGTTCATCGCATGCTTTGAGAGATTGCCTACACCAGACGACTGTGACTAATTCGATACCCGTGCTAATGCATTCGTATACGACAATAAAATCAGCAATTGCATCCGTCCAGATCAGTGGGACCTGCCAGCGCAAATCATAAATAAACAAATGAGGATAACAATTGCAATGACACGTACATAAAGAAAATTAGTAGGCGGAATAGGAAGCACGCTTACAAAGCCTGCTTAACGCCAGATGGAAGGACCTCAGGGTCCTCAGCGACAACACCACCAGATGGAGCGGAAGATGGAACCGATGGGAAAGAAGAGCCAGTAGCGTGACCAGAAGCAGCGGAACCAGCGCCCTCAAGAGGCTTCTCCACAGCGACTGGCTCGGAGCCAGCACCAGCGTGGTAAGAAGTGTCATCAGAGGAGCCAACAGTGGAACCAGCAGTTCTGGTTGGGAACTTGGACTGGATAAAGTCACCAACTGGGCCAGTCTTCTTAGCCAAGGTGTCCAAGTGAGGAGCAACAGACTTGTGGGCTTGGTCGGTCAATTCAGAGGACTTCTGCTTCAAAAGCTTGGAGTAGTGAGCCACAGCAGCATCAATCTCATCCTTGTTCTGGACGTACAAGTATGGCAAGGAGAAGGCCAAGACAACGGAAACAATGGCAAGGGTGTACAAGGAGAAGAAGGAGGTAACGGTGTACAAAATGTAAGACACACCGGCAGCCTTCAAGGTCAACTCGATATCTTGAGCGTAGATAATACGCTGGATCTTGGACTCGAAAGAAGTAGCAAATCTGCCGACAGCTGGCAACACAGACTCATTGAGGACCTTGGAGTAAGAAGGAACATGGGCAGTGTACTTGGTGACAAAACCCTGGCCGGTAACCAACTTACCAATGTACTCGGCAGCAGCAGACACCAAAAGGGAAAGGTAGGCAACGTAGAAAACGTAGTTGATGACATTGACCTTGAGAAGGACAAGGCCTAGCACGATACCACCAAAGACCTTTCCAGTGGCAACGGGGTCTTTCCAGGTAAGCAAAGCGCAAAGGCCACCAGAACCTGAAGAAGTGTGGCCGTGAGCGCCATGGGAGCCGTGGACACCGGTAGAAGGCTGGGTAGCTTCAGGGACAACGCTGGGAGCAGCTTGGGCGTTGGTAGAGGCGCCGTTGAAGTCAAAGGACTCTTGGGGAACAGACATGGTTTAAACAGACAAGAAGAAAGAAAGGTGGAAAACGAGGGAGAAAAAGCGCAGCAGCCGAGGCAGCGAAATGGAAGCAAGGGGACAGGACGCAAGCGAGACAGGAAATGAGACAGACAAGGGCAACTGGGGGCAATTCTGCAAGAAGGAAAAAAAGGGAGCGGCAAAAAAGGGAAACAAATAATAATAATATTTTGTTATGAACGATTCTTCTAAATAAATCTCGAAAAATCGTTTCATCTTGGACTTTTTCCACTGCCATATCTACAAGTGTTCTCTGGCAATTGCAGTTGCAAATCTCCAAAATGGTGGCTCTTCGCATCCTCGCAGCATGGCAGTTTTGCAGGTTCGCAAATTGTCTGATGGTGGTGTCACAAGACAGTGAGTTTGCTGGCGCGGCGTCAACACAGCGGTTATCTGGTTGCTTGCTGAGGCTGCGGGAACGAAGAAGCAAGGGAAAGAAGAGATGAGAGAGAAGAAAGCACGAAGGGGTTTTTTGCGATGACACAACGGCGAGGAAGGGGGAAGAAGGCTGGAGAAAAGCAGGAGGAAAGTGGCACTGGAAGGGATGGGGGGTTCGAGGGGCTTTAACTGGCTGAGGGTTACTGTATGAAACATGGCCTGGCAGGTGGGTGGAGGATGGAGGGTGAAGGGTGTTGAATAAGGTGGTGGAGGCAGCGTGGTTGCCTGGGACGATAGACGTATAAATGGGACACGGGAATGGATTATTGACAGTTTATAGACTCTACATTTTTGTTTGTTTAAATGGATCTGTTACCTATTGTTAATACCTTAAGGTAGATGGCTGCGAAATGGCTGCAAAATGGTGGCGCTAGGTAACGGCTGCAAGATCATACGGTACATCACCAGACTATAGCGAACAAAGGTGGCAAAAGTAGGGCTCTCTTTAACACGTGTGAGTTGAAAGCTATTGTTTGTATTTCTCCCTTCTAGCTCGATGTTCAACACTGCCTGGAGAAGATGAAGTCGGTCTAGCGGCATACCCTTACCCTCATTCTCTCCACATGTATACCTAACTGTACTCCGTTACACGTCCTTCAACATTCTTGCGTAATCTAAACTTTAAACATGAATGCTTTAAAATGTCTCCTGCCAGGATACTAGTTCTGGATTATAATTTTAGATTGTACGTGGCCTCATTTTGGGCAAGACACCGTTCTGTGGCGATCACCGCCGCTCCATATTCCCTCTCAATCTCTACCCACAGTGCCCCGCTATATCCAATGGCCATTTGTTCATACCAATCTGAAGTGGCTGATAAGAAAAGTATAGAAAGGATCTCCATAGCTTCTTCATGCTCTGCTTTAGAGAGAATAGGCCCACATGTTTGTAGCCTGCCAATGTACTTGGATAGCATATGGCGTAGTCGAGACAAACTTTGAATATATGTTTTGGAGTTTTGTATCTGCCATTGACATTTTTCAATATAACGCTTGTATCCGTAGTCGAACAGATGCCCACCAAGAAAATCGTACCACCAGTGAGAGAAGAGTAGGTGCTCCTCACAGAATCTGCTTACTATTTTGTGCTGAGCAGCCACTGTCTCTTCAAGTCGACGAAAATCTGTTTCTGGCCCTCTCTCGTTTACCGAAACCATTCTCTGAGTTTCAGGTACCTCTTTTATCCACTGGAAGCGGCCTAAACCGGCAAGCGGATCTTTTATATTTCTGAAAGAGTTCTCTTTCTTCTTTGACAAGTCTTTGCCTGCTTTGGTAGCGGTGATACGTACGTCACATGCGCTATTCAAAGGTACATCCCAGGGATTGTTACTTATTATCTCTTCATCTTTAGGTTTCGAAGGATTCACGATTTGAGAAAATTTCACCATAGCCAACCCGGCCTCATACTTCTCCACGGCTTCTTTGCCTCTCTTATTAGAATGAGCAGCTCTTGCCAATTCAAAGATGCCTCGTCCGAAACTTTCAATAACCATGGCAAAGACTTGCTCAAGATGGGAAAGGGTGCTTTCTTGGGTTCCTTCTTTAACTCTTCTGCTTATTCGACTCACAGCTCCGATAATGTCCTCATTGCTAAGTACCACTCTATTGAGAGTTCCACATACTTTCATCTGGTCTGCTTCCCTTGCAGCTTTCTGTCTCGTAACTTCGAAAAGGAACTGATCCACTTTTTTAATGAAAACAGATATATCATAGGGTAACTTCGGATAAGAACAAGGGGCATCGCATGGATGGCTCTCCTTAAGAGAGGCTTCCTCTAAGTATCGAACACTTTTAGCTTGGGCCTCGCAAAAGTCATTGGCGACTTGATAAAAAGGAACATTCATTATAGACTAAGAAGATGGGTATTACAGTTTGCATTTCTGAAGTATGCTTTTTCTTTATATATTTAGCGTTGCAGTGTTGTTTCAGGTTTCTCTTCTGTGACATTTCGCAGCCATTATCGAACTTCCAGATCTCGTACACTACTTTGGCTGCGAAATCACTCCATCACACCTTTACCAATATATTCGCAGATCACCTTAAACTTATCATCTGCATCACTTAGTTGTTGATTGAAAATATCACTTTCTTCCTTGATTTGAAGTTGTCTTTCGCGAGCGGCCTCCAGGGAACTCAAATCGTTGACACAGAGAGGACACTTGGGATCGTTATCTCCATTCTCCGAAGACTCTGGGATGTAGATGTTTTCGTTCAAACAGCGTTGATGGTAAGCGTGTCTGCATTTGAAGTAAATAACGGGGAACTCAAGATGTAATTCACAACCGTTGCATTTGGAATTGTTAGCGACCATAGGGTTGGTAGTGAGTTCCGTAAGGGCGAGACTATTCTTGGTAGACTCGTGCTCATAAGATTGGATAAGCTTCTCGTTGTTGTTGATGTGTTTGTTAGTCTGTTCAAAGTGGTCGATCAAGTAGTCCCTTACCATTCCCACAGTCGCATTTGGATTACTGCTGAGCGTTTTGACGATTTCCAAAGGCGAAAGAAGGCGATGCTGCTTGATCTTATCTAGCAAAAAATGAAAATCTTTAGTTGAAAGGTCTTCAATTTTTCCCTGAGACGTGCCCAAAAACTTAAGCAAAAGTCTGTATAGGTTAGGCTTCTGCTCACCGTATTTACGTACAGCATCAAGGCATCCATGGACATCCCCGGCCATTTGACATGATCTGAATATCGATTCTTCAAAGTTCTCACTAGACTCGTTTATGACAGCCACACCTTCGTCAAAGTCATACATATGTGACACCAATAAAGCCTTCGTTTTGTCGATGAGATCAGCGTTTGTCTTCAATAAGTCCTTGGCTTTCTCCTTCCATTCTGCAGCATCCTCCGGATCTTTGGTCACCATTGAAAGGTAGACCTCAAACAATGTTACGAGCAAGTCCCGCTTGTCACTCACATTGCCTTGATACTTATCAAATGTCTGGAGACAGGCCTCAAGAAAGACCACAAATTCACGCTCATGGCCCACAAAACAATGAAAAACTAAACTTGGCCTGGGCGGCAAGTAAGTGGGCTCAGTCATCTCTTCGTCATTAAGTTCACTATGCTTGTCTGAAGATCCCGAAAGGTAGCTCAAGAATGCACCATAAGACGAAATTGTCGGATCAGAATTCTGCTCTTCTACCGCAGCTTTTTCCTGGGGACCGTTCTCAAAGAAATCTTGCCTCTTCTCCGGTTTAAATTGCCCTGTGAAAACATTGATCAATAACTCAGTAGTTTCCATGGGCTTGTACCTAAGAAGCGCTTCCAGAAAGTCGATAAGAATACGGAGCAACTCGTCCACAGGAAGCGACCTTATGTATGAGATACACTTGTCGTACTGCCCCAACTCATTAAGTTGTATGTCAACAATAGTATGCGGCCTGTTGAGCTTCAATAGGAGTTGTGTAACCTGCTGATAATACCCACATTCCTTGAAGAGGTTGATAAATAGCGGATAGTTCAATGCATCGTAGTCAAGTCTTGCTTTTTTGTCCTTCTTGGAATCGTTCTCGGTGTCGATTTCTTCAATGAAGTTGTCAATTTCAGTTGGCATTCTAAGTTTGCAGTAGCAACAAACCAATAAAGTGACATGGTCGCTATCGGCTAGGCCCAACCGATGCAATTCCGCCAAAAACTTTGTCATGTTCTGAACGTTAGAGACCTGCTTGAAGCCCATAATAACATTGATGATGAAGTCATCCATGTTGTCATCATCAGCATCGATTTGTCTGTTCGTCTCCTTGCTGAATAGCAGGAGGCAATGGATGTATTTGTCAATGGCTCCATCGTAGTCTCCTTTACCGTATAGGTGATCGCCATATAATCTATAGATTCTTAAGATGGTCGGATCATCGAGATTGTTCTGATTAGCCAAGTTAAGCGCAATACTGAATAACTCCCTCTGTAAGATGGTCTCTAATTGTTGATTAATGGGCTTTTCATGAAGCTTGTACAATACACCATCCGTGGAAAGTAAGAGCACATTATTGTCGTTGTTAGATGCAAAGACGTGTGAAATGGTCAGATTAGGAATGGTCAAACTGAAAGATATATGCATATTCTTGAGATCCAAGAGAAGCAAACGCGTTAACGTTTTAGTAGATGACGAAATTGATTTATCTTCGACCGTCTCCTCAATTGGGCACACTATCAATAGGTAATCTTTGAAGAGACGTAGAATCTTCTTCTTAGGAACATTGAAATTTATCACACTGGACCTGCTCACATGATTGAAATACTTCAAGTCTTCAGTGCTTGCTGTAATCAATTTCAGAGACCTGTATTCTATATCTGAACAGTCCAAATCGACCCCTTGGTTTTTTGAAAGCACACGGTGGGGCTTGCCTTGGTTTCTGCCAGTGGTGAGTACTGTAAGGACGCGTGATATCGTCGTCACGTAGACGATCTCCTCAAATCTGTTAAAATGAATTCCTGTGATAGGATCAACGCTTTCATAGATAACCCTCTGCTTTGCTCCTCGATCCCGAAGCATGTCACCTCGAACAAGTATGACTTTTCCATTGGTATATCCCAATGCAATGCAAGTCAATGAGTCGTTAAAGGCGAAGCAAGAAACTGGGTAGGAATTATCACCTTCATTGACCAGAACTTGCGTGATGAATTTGTGCTTCATTATATCATCGTCATTGACTGTACTGGGACTCAATTGGGTGATCTTGTTGAGGTCCCATACCTTGATTATGGCAGGACGTCCTTGGGCTTCTGCCAAAGTGACTAACAAGTTCAGATGGAGCAAAGGCTTCATAAAAGTTATGCGATAGTCCAAGTCATAGCCACAAAACAGACGAACCAGCTGCAACAGCAGTTTATCCAAAAGTCGTATGTAAGCATTTTGATAAGCGAACACGATATAGGACAGCGAAGATGTAATCGAAGACAAGGAAGGATCAGAAAAGAGCGGAAACTCCAGCTGGTAGTTCGGATCTCGTATAGGAAGAAAGTCAAATAGCTGGAATTGACGCCATGTCGACGGTAGGGACATGGCTTTTGGTGGAAGTGTAGGAGTACTGTAATTCTGGTTTAAGCGATATGTCGCACCCACACACCAAAAGTATGTGTTTTAGCATTGGGTGAGTTCTACTTAGGCTGGAAAAAAAGGATATATTTAATGGTAGAATTTGTTGAATTAAGGCCCCTTGGTGCTGTTTACTTCTGATATGGGTTCAATTATTTCTGTTCTGTTTGGCGACCTCACTTGAGAGGAAATACGCACAATGAACTTCTTGCGCAAGCTTCAAATAGAGGTACCTGGTCTATAGTACTCCGATGGGTATTGATTTACATTCACATAAATTAAATATTAATGGAGCCATGCTTTATGGAAGAGATAGCAGTTTACTCAAGTTGGAATCCAGTACGCATTCTTTGAAAGAAAGTCATTACTTGAACTTTTGTATGATAAAGCAGTAAGATTAAACGAATGGACGCTTATGCGGAGAGTCAGAAAGAGTAACTATGATTAATTTTCAGTCCTGAAGACTTTTCAAAGATTCCAGTCCCTCTAACTGTCCTGAGAGCATCATTAAGTAATGGCTGCGAAAACTACCTCTAGGACCCATATGAGACCCCAGTCTCCACCTTTGTAATGTAACAGCTGGTTCGCCTTATTAGATTCTTCTGGTCATCTAAATCAAGTAGAATCTCCAACAAATCAAACTTTTTCTCCTTATATTCTGATCTTCACAGTGGTCTTGGTAGGCGTGGTACTCCACATCCGTGCACCCACACAAACCGTGCTCTTCTCAATCCCATCGCAGATTTTTCTCTGCACTCCACCGTCAATTCTTCAAACTTCAAGTCCAAACTACTATAGAAGCAATGCTCCCAAGATTGAGCGATCTGTTTTCGCTCGTAGAACTACCTAGAATTGCTGATGTTCCCGTGGATCAACGTGTTGTGCTTCCACACAGCCAGAAGAGCCTCACTTACCAGGAGACTGACTTCATCCACCTAGGCATGTCTAAGCTGTTGATCTCCAGTTATGTATTGAAACCCACACCCAAGCTTGTTTGGTCTTTTCCTTTATCGTCCAGCACTATTGTGGATGGCATGGATGTGAAAGATAACCTTTATGCTGTCGGTTTAAGTGAACGCAGAAAGCATTTGGTAAAGCTCGTGAAGAGATATGGAAACGATGAGTCCAGTACCGCTGATTACCCTGTTCCACAAGCAGCAGTGGGCGTCATGTTCGGAACAGGCTCTTCTATCTATGTTTTTTCGCAAAGCGGCGCTTTGGAGCATCTTGAATATCAAGAGTCAAAAGTTGAAGGTGAGGAATCTAAGCAGATTTCCTTAACCAAAGCATCCTTGTTGAGCAGCTTGCCAGCCCTTCCAAGATCATCTGAACATAAAGTCATCTATCATACATTTATAACGGAACATGCCTTCCAACACAAGAGTTCTCTCTTGTTCTACATCACTCGTCTGGACAAACTGGACTCCTATACATGCAGATTGGTTGGACTAGATGAAGCCAAAACTTTCGAAATTTACAGCATTACTTATGAAAGACCTGGCCTTGATACTTGCCTTTTTACCTATGCAGACGGTGTGTTGTATACCTTTGATAAGACCACCAAGCTGGTATCATCTGCATCTCTCATGAAGCCACAAAATCCTATCAAGACCGTCTCTTTGGCACCACTCTTCACCAAGGGTAAGAATGATTATGGTTTTTATGCTCCTGCTTCTGACAGACTTTTAATATCATCACTGTCAAAGCTCTTCTTGGTTAACTTCAAGTTTGAGTCTTTGCTCGATCAGTTTGAGCACGATCCACAGGTCAAGTTGCATTTCAACTTTGCATTACCTACCAAGGGTAACTCTACATCTTCCAGTTCTACTTATGCGTTATATTTGGGATTCAACGAGAAGAGAAAAACAAGCAAGCTCAATTATATTCAGGTTGAAGTTGGAAAGAACACATTGAGAGAATCTTTGGGCAAGTCCATTTCCTCTTTAGATAAGAGCAAGCAGGCTTTGAAATCTTATCCAGCTCTTCTGTCCACAAGTTTGCCAAATGCTAGTAAGAGAGGAAATAAGGAGTTGGATGACTTTCTCGAGTCGTTGACAAAGAAGAATGATAACACAGATGCTTTCAACGAAGCGATCATCAAGTTTTTCAAGGGCGAAGAATATAAGGACAGGAAAACGTATTCTCATTCGATCAACGACAAAATCATAGACGCTCTTTACTTGGAGAGAATTCTTGCACTTATATTCAAGGTCGACGAAAAAGAAAGCACTGTTCAGATTCAAAACGAATCGTTTATTCCAGAGGCTGCCGTGGCTTATCTCTTGAGTCATCCACTCTACCCAACAGAGTATGCAAACGGTCTCCTTTTACTCTTCAGTCAACTCAACGAGCCAGAATTACTTAAGACTGCCATTGAAAAATGTCCAGCACTCTCAATTGATGACCTCACAAATGAGCTTAACAATTTGACCGAGTTGGCTGATGAGCTTGACAAAGACTCGAGCAATGAAAGCCTGGCCCAATTGATCCTTATGTTTTTGGGTGCCACGATTGATAGACTCGTCAATAACTTTTCCCTTCCACAGATCACCAAGAAATTGCAAGAAATTTTGACTGCAGAGTACGATGGCTACAGCAAAAAATTGGAGCGCATGCTTGGAGTCTTCATCAACATAAATACCACTCAGTCCTGGGATTTAGTTCAAGCCGTTATCGACGCTGGTGGACTTTTTAACTGGTCTATTCCAGTCATAGAGAAGTTGGGTCTGGTTATCGATTCAAAGGTCGAGGCTCTTGGAGCCAACAGTTACAACTTGACGCTCACAAACCAGGCATTGCAAGCAGACAATAATAAGAAGCAAAACAAGAAGAAGTCCACAAGCAAGGCTTCTGTTGTTGATAACATCCACGAGATTGGTACTCAGAAGGAGGAGTTGGATGCTCTTTTGACCATGAGCAATGGAACAACGAACCAGAAGTTGCGTGTGGATGAGGGTATCGAGTTGGCTAAGCGGATCCCAGCTTACTCAAGAGAGAAGTTGGTGTTGTAATGATAATCATGCATATATAGACAAGAGACAGTGCTTGAGTGTCACGCTTAGGCGTTTAGTATAGGTATAAAGAAAGCACGTCACAACTAGAAAATGATCAATTTTCTTTTCTTGAAAGTTTACCTGGTAAAACAGTGCATTTGATAGTTTTGTGTCGACGAAACCTGGTTAGGTAATGCCAGTAAACTTAAATTTCCTGCATACGTCCGTATAGCTTATAAATTTCCAGCCATTGGCATCTAAGACAAACCTCATCACCAAAGTTACATGTCAAAATCAGCCTTACAGGTATACCGTAACGCCCTCAGGGCTACGCGGACGGCGTTCAACGGAGATGCCAAAATCCTTATGGCATCTAGAATGAAAATCCGTGAAGGTTTCAACCAGAACAAGAACCTCACAGACAAGGAAGAGATCAACAAGGCCATCAACGACTTGGACGAGGTTGCCAAGTTTCTTGTGAAAAATATTGTTCAAGCTGAACAACAAGAGAATGATCGCTACCATCTCAAGTTCCATAAGGACACGGAGTTGGGTGACAACGCTACTATCAAGCAGAACAATCGTGCTAACATGGGATCTCTTGCTGGAGCCAAGGTCAGAAGATGCAGCGATAACAAATAGACAAACCTGTAAATAGAAGGTAAAAAATGGGTGACAGGGTCACGGATGAAATTTAAGGTGTAGGCGGTGATGTGGTGATGTGTCAGAGGTACATGCGAGTAAGGGAACGTCAAAGACGGCAATTATTGGGCAGCCAACGATATCAAGTTCTGCAGGGATTTGGAAAGAGCACGTAGTGACTAGCGTCATAGTGGTCATCAGTTTGGCTTTTGTCTGTAGTGTCGTAAGGTCCAAATGTCCACATACATAGTCCAGAGAGAGCCATTTCCATGTCAAACACAGAAGCAAGTTTGGCCCTCTCTTTACAGCCTTTGGAATAGCAATACATCGTTGGGAAGCATCCACCTGATGATAAAATTGCTCCGAAATAGGGCCTCCAAGCAGTATGTGGTATGACTCTTCCAGTGGCTGCGAAATATGCGAACCATCTACAACCAGTGAAACCGCCACTCAAGCTCATCTCCGTCTAAACTCTTCAATTACCACTCGTTCTTTTGCATCAACATGTCTTCCAGAGAAGTCAAGATATCCAAAGCATTGCTGTACCTTCTTCGGCACGGCGCAGTCAAGGAAAAGCTCCCCATTGACAGTCGAGGATTCATAGAACTCAAGACGATACTTAACCATCCACGCATCAAAACTCACAAGGCCACAGAGGAGGAGATCGAGCAGGTTGTGGTAAACAATGATAAGAAGCGCTTCTCCATTGAGACTCGTAAGGACGGTAAGAAGTACATTTGTGCCAACCAAGGCCACTCTCTTAATCTTGTCACAGAGGAGAACTTGATCCAGCTAGCCTGGGAAGAGATGCCTAAGAAAGTTTACCACGGAACATTTACCGATAAGTATGAAGCTATTAAATCCAGCGGTGGTCTTTCAAAAATGCTGAGAAATCATATTCACTTCACGTCGGATGCTGAGTGGAGTAAGCTGGGGATTCGTAAGACTTGCAATGTTTTGATATACTTAGATTTAGACAAGTGCAAGGAACAAGGGCTCACGTTTTTCCGGTCAGCCAATGGGGTTATCCTTACTAAAGGCAATGCCAAAGGCATGATCCCATTGGAATGCTTCCAAGAAGTGCAAACTTTAAAGAAGCAGGGGGCCCAACAGAGTTAGTGTTAGAGATAACGTTAGAGAACGGTTCCACAAGGTGCATAGAGAATGAGAAGATCAGAGGTATACTATCAATGATTTGATCTGACTAGAAGGGAAGTGTGGAGTGAGAAAGGCACTGACCAAGGCATTGAAGGTGTGGCTGAAGACGCTGGGTCTTCTGCCCGTTGCTAATGGGAGTGCCATGACTAAAGCTGATCGTAAAATCACAATGACGCTATTAATATCCAAAGGTTACCACCAGAGCAAAGGTTAATTGTCGGTGCCTTACTGGCCGATTCGTGACTGCCTTGGATGGATTAGAAGAGGAGGTGGTATAGGGCGATATTGGATGTTGGGGTAAGAGGTCAAGAGGGGAAAATCAAAAGCCAGAGAAAACCAGTAGGTGAGTTAAGCAATAGAGTTGATGTAAACTGATCTGCTGATCTGCCCGGTTTGCCTTTGGATGCAATAAAACCCAAACATGAGTCAACCATATCACAGGGTCTTGTAAGAGTCTCTTGGCAAGTAGAATCTCGCCAGGGCACGGAATCGGAATCGGAACCGGCTGGACAGGACACTCCGAGGCAGAAAACGACTCTCGCCAAGGGTACCTGCCGCGGTGGGACCTCCTCCTCCTCAGTTGCTGGGAAGGAAAGGGGGAAGGCTGGCCAGACAAGGCCCGGCCCAGACTGGGGCACAGACGACAACCTCGAAGGTCTCGAAACGCAAAATAAAGAAAAAAAGAAAAGAAAACGCCCAAAGATAAGCCATGGAAGAAGAGATATTATCGTGAGGTGGTTAAGCAGGTCGAGACAAGTCGAGACACTAGACGAGATGGAGGAAAAGGAAAGAATGAGACAAGTTACGAAGAGACCTGGAAGAAAAAAGAAAAGAGGTATAGATAAGGAAAAGGCTAAATCGCAGAAGAAAAGAAAATAAAAAAAAAAAAGGGTGGTAAACAAAAAGGAGTAAGAATAGCCCCAGGCCAGGCTGGTTCCTCATTTGCTTTTATCCCCCTCCAGTCCAGCCGTTTTCCCCTGGCTCAGATGCCTATGCCTAAGGTTGCGTTGCTAATGGTACTTTTTGGGTGCTCCCCCCAGTGGCCCAGTGGGGCTGGAGCTGCTTCTGGGGCTCTTTTCGTGCATCTGTCCAGGCAGGTTTTTCCATAGTCATTTCACTCATTTCACCATTTGCAGCCTTTTCCAGGCTTTTTTTCGCTGCACTTTCTGCACTTTCTGCACTTTGGTCCCGCGCGCGCCGGCAGGGCCCAGACCAAAAGTTCGCAGCCAGGGCGAAGAGGATAAAAAAAAAAAAAAAAAAAATAATTAACAAGAAGAAGACCAAAACGGCCCACCAAAAAGGACCTTTAATTGCCCCAGCCGGCCAAAGCAAACAAGAAGAAAAAAAAATAAAGGCACAGGTGCCACCGCCGGGGCTGACTCCTTATGAAAACGCCGTTTTTTGCTTCTTCCTTTTTATTTCCCTTCCTCTTGTGTCTAGGTAGTTTGCGGTTTCTCTTCGCCCCGGAATAACCGGTGGGCCCAGGCGCACACAAAAGCCAGTCTGGGCCGCCTCGCTCGCGGGTCTAGAATGGCAGCGGGGGCAACCGAAAGCATCGAAGATCGTATAAAGGCAGCGACTTTCTGGCTTTTTTTATATTTGTAGAGGTTGATTTTATATTTAATGAGCCCAGGCTGTCATCTTTTGAACTTTTAGATCCCCAATTTGCACACTTTTTTTTTATTGTCTGCGCCAGTATCTTTTTTATACCATCCAGCAGCTTTCATTGGCATTTTATCATATCAGCATTAGCGGTAATCTTGGGTCCCTTCCATTCACCACTTTGACCCCGATTGTCCATACCAATTCCCCCCAATTTTATCCCATACCCAGTGTTTAATAGAGCTGGGCATTGAATTTTAAAGAGACAAGTTTCATCTGTCTTTTTTTTTTTTTTTTTTACACCGAGTTTTATACGTGTTTCATCTTGACTCGGTTCCATATTACCTTCTGAGACTAGAAGGACTGAATTTTCAAAGACACTTTTTCAAACCTGCCACCACCAGCAAACCCCATTCTGCTTTCTAGCAGCTGCCATTCATTAAACCCTCCATTCACCATTTTTCCTCCAACTTCACTTTCCCCTCCTACCATGAATAACGTTAAACTTCGAACGCATACACTGCCGCAGTGCTCGTCCCATTCAGATACTAGGATTTGCCAATGGTACTGCTGTGACTGCGGTAAAGCTTATGGAACTCTACGAACAGAATCCTCAGGTGAAAACAAGCCCAACGAGGTTTTTGGCTACTTTGAAAACCATCCTGTGATTGTGGAGCCGGCCTCCCGATTCACTTGTCAGCGCTGTCGCCATATGATGTGTCCGTACTGTTTGAAGTTGCGTTATTCTGACTTGTCGCCGCGGACGTAACCATGGCTGTGACGTTACAGCCATTATAGAAGACATTCGATGGTGAAGAGCAAGTAAGACTCTGGGAGCAGCACGCTGCCTGACTAGCACACTTGAGGCTACATGAATTATCATAGAAGACATTCTCCATAGAAGGAGCATAACTCATTGAAATATTGATGGGTACCAGTAAGACTGGCAGGCTGGCCCCGTCAATCACGAAACCTTACGACTGTATTTTTAATATCATACTTAGGAAGACGAAGAATGTAGAGAACAGTGTAGAGACACGGCTTCAAAAAAAGAAAGACTAAGCATCCCAAAAGTGGAAATGACATGAAATTTTGACATGTCATCAAACCCTTGGTTGTGCCACCAGATTATCCGAACGGAATAAGGAATAAAAGTTAAAAAAGGAAGTACCAAAAGTCGAGTCACCAGGAAAAATATCCAACCTTTTTGTCCATCTCTGATCATTCACGGGCAGTTTAACCAGCCTGACCGGCCAAGGACCCCTCTAGTATTTTTCACCTCTTCTTTTAACACGGCTGGCACAATCAGAGGGGTTCAGGTTATTCTATGCCCCGCTGGAAGATGGAAGCCACCGTGATAAAGCCCCCAGAAAAGGGGGAAACGTGATGGGAGAAAAAAGGGAAGACATTTATTTTTTGATAAAAAAGCCGTAAGTTCACTCATTTTATCGTCAAATTAAGGACCACTTTGCTACCAAATCTGTTCTTCCTTTGTTTTTTGAGATGCCCCCTTCACGATGGTCCCTCGTTTGCAGCCATTATGGGCCTTGCATCTTCCACGCAGCGCGGCGGCAGGAAATGAGATATTGCAGCCATTTTTTTTTTTTTCAAGGTTAAGCCAGAATGACCCAACACGGATAGCCCTAAGGACATTCGAAACCAGGTAAATTCCCCAAAATCCCCATCTTTTTCACTTTCTTTTCACATTGCACTAAACGTGATTTTTAACCTCCACTTCCTTGCTTCCTTTTCTTCACCATTCTTCTTGTGCTTTCGTTCCCTCGCTTACTCTTCACATGTACCGCGCTGGGACCCTCATTCACCCGGCCGCCCTGGCCGCGGTGGGTCAAACAGATTTGCAACCAAAACAGACCTTCCAAATGGTAGACAGCTTACACGAACACGGTGGAAATAACAAATTCCAAATCCATGTTAACCCCAGAAAATCCCTTGTTTCTCTTCCAAAAATCCGCCTTTGTTTTTGTGGCTACTCCCTATTCTTTCCTTCTTTCCCTCTCTTGGGCAGGCCAGTTTTTTTACCCCATTTGGGTGGGCTCCATGTGAGAGATCCAACGACCCCCGCTCTCTCTGCAGGCCGGGTGCTCTGGCACCTTCATCGTTAAAAACTGGGGAACATCCCATTCTCTTTCTTCTGCCCCATCAGCCTCCCCTGTCTTTTTGCCTGAAATACCCATTCCCAAATGCGTATCGTCCCTCAACATAAGCACCAGAAGCTTATTCTCCAGTGCTACCCGCCTGGTAAGTTGGCAGACAAGAAGCCCAATCCATCTGAGCTCAGTTACCTTCTTTACTATGCGCTGACCCGAAGAATCAAGTTGGTCAAGGTGGTGGACTTCCTCGCCGCAAAGACCAAACGTGACGTTAAGGGTAATAAATCCGGGAACTTGCAAGTCACCTTGGGTATTATTTCAGCATTAATCGAGAAATGTGCCGATAACTTGAATGCTTTTGCAACCCAGGTGGTGTCTATCTTGTCAACAATCCTCCTGGTGAAGGAATTGCCCCTTTGTAAACTGCTTGTATCTACCTACGGTGTGTTGTGTTCTAAGCTCGATGGTGGTCTTTTCTCTGGTGATAAGCTGTTTGTTGAAAGCTTCACCAGGTTTACCGAACTGTTTATCAAGACCGGTGTGACCCAGCTGAGCAGCTCCACTACCAACAAATCCGAATGGCGTCTTGTTTCGCTTTCCACTGCTAAGCACGTCTTCAACTGTTTGGGATTCAACGTTCGCTTGCTGAAGAAGTTTATTTCCTCCTGCGTTCCATTGTTAGCCCAGACAGTGCTTGCCAACGCTACCCAGAGTAATTTATTGACCCGTTTGAACAGTAACTTGAACGTCGAGGGCGACGAGAAGTTCCACAGTTTGAATAGGGTTGTCACTGCCAGAACTGCTGCTCAGGCTAAGGAAATTGAGGAGCATTTCGAGAGTGACTCCGTGTCGGACCTGGACCTTAACGAGGAGGCCTTGGCCGCCTTGAAGGGTCTTTTCAACACCTCTCTTTCTACTCAAATCTCAGAGGCTACTAATGAAGTTGTCGAATTCAACTTTGCTAACGCTGCTGAAACTGAGGTTGACAATTGGGGTACCACGTTCTTGGAGATGTGTGCTTCCTGGATCCCTGTGCAATTGCGTTTCATCGCCTTGCTGACTCTCTTGACCCGTTTGAGTTCAGCTTCCGAGAAAACCGATGCTAACTCTAAGAACTATGGAATGTTGGTTCACACTGCTAAGTCCTTGCTTGGCCTTGTGTCGTCCAACTTCAACATGATTGGTCTTTCCATTTCCGATGTCATTCAGCAATTCCTTACTTTGCAAACCAACTTGCATCTTCTGTTGGCTGATTACTTGTCCGTGGACCAGGTCAGGGAGTTGAGCAAGATCTACACCCAATGTGTTTGCAACCTTTCCAGTCACATCTACTACTTCGACCAAGTTCAAGACTCCATTGAAGGCATCTTGATGCAAGTCGATTCCGTCATGCTCCATGCCGATACCCACAAGACCAGCCGTGTTCACGACTTGGTCATCGTGCTTCTCGACAACATCTCTAAGGTGATGAACTTGTTGATTCGCAAGTCCAGCTCGATTACCAGAAACGAGGCAACCTTGGAGAACTGGGATTTGGGTTTGCAGTTATTGACCGTCGAAAAGAGCTACGAAGAGTATGCTCTGGAAGCCTCTGCTGAGCAGAAGGCTGACCTCGAAGCCAAGTTCTTGCAGGTCTTCCACGAGTTTTTGGAAATTGAGTTCCTCAAGACTGGCGGTAAGTCTTCTCCAAGAAAGGCGTCTCCTAAGATTGTTTACTCGGATGCCTCTCAAGCAGAGGGCCCTGAACGTTTCTTGGTGCCTGACTACAATGAGTACATCAGCCACTCTCAGAACTTCCTCAGCAACATCCTTGTTCACACTAATGAGTACCTCGCATCACCAAGCAGTCCTTCTGTTTCCAAGTTGCTTTTGAAGACATTGCAAACATTGCTTTCTGTCACTGGAATCAACTTCGTGCATAACTTCATTCCTGTCTTCCTGTACTGGCAACTTCTTGATGGCAATGGATCTGCGATCGAAGTAGAGAAGGACAAGTTTGCTTACCTGTTGTTGAAGTCCCTGGTGGAAGTCCTCAATGAGAAGTATGCTGACTTGTTAGAGACCGATATCACTACCCTGAGCTTGTGGGAGGCCATCACTCATGACATTTCTGACAGAAGAGCTGCCTTGTCTGGAGCCGCTGGTACCTTCAAAACCAGAGTTACTCAGGATAAGATTTACGAGTTCTTCGCCACAACTTCATTGAATAACTACATCAACCCACAAAAGCTGGTGCTGCTTGATGTTAGCAAGATTCACTATGACCATGAAGCGCGTGCCAATGCCAAGGCAGCTACTGCTGACAACAATTCCGACCACTTTCAAGATGCTCGTGATAAAACTGCTCAGCCTAATGGTAATGGCCAGGGATACGGCCTTGGTAACGCTAATGATATCTCCTCCATCCATTCTGGCCTCGCTAGTGGTCCAGCCAAGTCCAACGGCAACGCCGCCAATGGTGACGCTCTGATTACACAGGATACACTTAACTCGAACAACCTGTTTAACCTACAGCATACCAACAACTACAGATACTCTTTGCTTCCGAAGGTATCTGACCTAAAGAACACTGTCAATGGCCAAACTCCAGACGACAGATTCCTGTTCCACCAAAACAGCACCCCTAGATCCGTGCTTCAAAAGCACACCCCCTCTACCGATATGAGAACCATTCTCAAATCGCTTTCAAGCGAGGAAGACAAAGACATTGTCGTGTAATCAAAATTGTTAGATTAGGACTTTATGCTACTCTGTATAATACCTGGGCGAGAGAATAGCCAAATAAAAAATTTAAAAAAAAAGCGTTTCTAGCTGTCTACATTGTAATAGTAATTGTTCATGAGCGTCATATTATCTACTCGTCGTCGTCACCAAGCGCCTCGAAGGCGTTGAAAGTATTAGTCTGTTTGTCGGCAATGGTGTCTCTGGGGTCCACGGCCTTGGACGAACCCAAGTTTTTGTTATTTGGCTTGACCTTGACAGCAGCATCACCACCACGCAAGGACTCTCTGAATTTATCTCTGTCGTCGTAAGCATCTTCGCCGAAGGACTTCTTAGGCTTGGTGTAAGTGGCCCATCCATCTTCATCAACCACCTCAGCGGCCTTCTTACGCAAGTTAGGCTTGGCCTGACCGGACCTCAGCAATCTTCTTCTGTTCAAGTGGTTGTATGATCTTTCATTGCCTCTTTCGTCAATGTAAGTGTCTCCGTTGGTCTGTCTGGCTCTCTTTTCATTAGCAAAGTGTTCACGAACCAGCTCCACCAAATCATTGAATGCCTCCAAAATCTCTGGCTTTGGCGTGTAAGCGAGTTCCTTAGCTTCGAGCAACTGATCTTCTGAGTACTTGGCCATTTTGAAGTTGTAGTTCTTTAGTGAGCTTTCTGTTGTGGAGAAAATTTTTGTCGCGCTGTGTAGGACCCAGTCATCCTTGGGGGTAAACAGAGATAGTAAGGAGCACTATGAAAGGGAGAAAAAAGAGAAGAAAAAGAGATCAAAACTGTTTTAAAGTATTACTTAGATATCCCCCGACTTGTTTGGCGATTAAAGGCTGAATTTCTGCCGAAGGTATCACCTTTCCTGAATATTGTCGACAAGTAGATGTAGGGATCCCCTCCAACGGTTTTCTAGACTCGTGTGAGCGAGGGGAGGTTACTCTAACGGGGAATTGGTAGAGGAAGTTCGTGTTATGGGGGACAATTTGGGTGAATTGAGGTGTAGAGAATTTCTAGGACATCGTTTTGTTCACTCTTTGTTTGAGAGTTTACGTTTGGTGTTTAAAGTATACAAAATGGCTGCGAAATGTAGCTATCTAGATGTATTGTAAACTATGGCATTTCAACACATTCATTAAAAAAACTATTTTCTCTTCTTTTACAAGGCATAAATCAGAGGTAGCCAAGAAGGGAGCTATTGGCTTCCAACTGGCCTTTTCACCTCTCGTAGGTCAGTGGTATAGGCATAAGATTCTTTAAAGTTTCTGCGTTACTAGTCAAAGGTACTATTTAAAAGAGTAGGTCAACAAGAGTATGTTGGATTCTTTTGGCTGAGCATCTTTGGATTCAGCTGAAGAGTTTGATGGCTTATTTCTGTTCTACTCTGGACTCATTCCCTTAAGGTTACATCCTTCCCCTATGTGGCATCTTTGCTTCAAACCTTCTCCAATTCAGCTCTACAATTGGCTTCAATGCTATTACCCCTATTCCAAAACTTCTACTGACGCTCGCTATTCTTTCCTCTTTCATGAAATATCGAAGCCAGCCAACAACTCCGCTTCCAATCGCAAAACCTTCCACAATTCCAAATTCCTTAAAGCTTTATGAATTCCATGAAAAGGCAAAGGTTCCATTCAAATTACTTTTTTTTTTTTTTTTTTGGCTGGATGCCGCTTCGGCATTTTGGGTTGCGTGTTCGTCTTCCTCTTGTACTTTCTCTTTATCAACGTTTTTCTCAGCACAGCCCAAATGGGCACCTCCTTAGATTTAGACTTGCCTCTTTTCAACGGTCCTGGACGGTGCTACGGCTTTCCCCAGGGTTCCTTCCAGAACACTCCACGGCTTCCCGAAAAGCATAAATAGAGGGCCTTCCTCCCACTTTTCTCTTCCTTTTCAACCACTTTCACACAGCCAAAAATGACTAGATATCCATTAGCTTTCCGCCTTTCCACCACCGCTCCAGCCACTGCCACTAAAGGCGCCAAAGCTCAACGTAAACGAGACCGTTTTACTCAAAGTATTTTTAGGAGATTCCACAGAGTCTCTAATAAAGTTGGATCCTGGTTCCATAAATCAGAGTCCAAAGTAACCTTTGCAGGTTCTTCCAGTAGTTTGGAACTTGCTGAAAAGCATGCCACTGCTCAATTGGTCAAGCTGCCAACAGAGCAAACTGCTTTGCTGTTGATGAAGCAGATGGAGAAGATGTACCTTTCCCCAGGTTCAGACTTTTCTGAAACTTCTACATTAGCATCTACACCTAAAGAGCTCCTCAAGGAGAAGACTAACCTTCCAGTTTTGGTCTCTAAGTGCCTTTGTGAGTCCCCTAACAAGGGATACGCTTACTTTGCTAGACAAGCCCGACAAACCGCCAAAATGAGCCAGAAGCTTCTCACTTGGGAGGAGCCCCAGGTTGACGAGTGGCAGGTTGTCAAGTCTAGACGCCAAAACAGGAAGGTTGAAGCTTCGCCCTCGCCAGCTCCTGTTGTCATCCCAAGTACTCTCAAGAAGATGACAAAGCAGCAGAAGATCAAACTTGGCAAGTCCAAGGAACCAATCTTCGACACCAGCAAACACAAGAAGGTGAACATCTACGATTGCCTTCTGGATTAGGTGGACCGCCAATAATGTCCACAAACAAAAACAAAAACAAGAACAACAAAAAAAAAAAACTAGAAAACAGAAAAAAGTAAAAAAAGCTAGAAAACATAAAAAAGTAAAAAAACTCGAAAATAAAAAAATAAAAAAAAAGAATCTTATAATAGGGCATCGTAGTACCATAATAACTGTAGGCTTTCCACGGAGTCATTCGCCAAGTGTATATATGTAAAATTGAAGCCATTGAGGCAAATAAAACTACAACTGGCTCTATATCAAAGGATTCAAGCGTCAAGCTTCATGAAGACACAGGCAATTATCAACACTTTGATATAGAGTGTCTACTATAAGTTGCCAGTTCTTTGTCTCTGACTGAAATAACATATACTCCAAGCTACCTGCGAAGGTTGGACAAGATCGAGAAACATGACAATCTACCAAGTTACACAATGGGGTTGCTTATATCAATAATTGCACGTACTCGATCTCTCACTAGATTCAAGAAAGCGTTTGCAGCCATTGATCCAACGCACACAAATATTCCAATTACACGAAAAAACTCCAACAACAAGAAAAAACCATCAACATAACATATGATATCTTTCATTTTACTTTAAAATTCTCCAAATATTTCACTCTTGTATCTCGATCTCGATGCTTATCACCCTGTGGTACATCCCAGGCGTATATGCGCATCTCATCACCTGCATTTTCCACAACCTCATCACCACCACTACCTCTTCCATGCCCCTTGCAAAGTCACTTAATAAGGTCTCCAAGAAGATCGCAGGCTCTTCGGCTACTCTTCATGCTAAGGGTAGAAAGTTCAAGCAACTTGGCAGAGCCACTGAAAGAGACGCTAAGATCAAGGCGAAGAAGCAGAGACATATGGAGCAGAAGAACCATGAGTTACTCTTCTACTTGCACATTCAAGAAAGCATCCAGGACAATCCAGCTGAGACGTTTGCGCTTCATGAAATCAGAGAGATTGTCAGCCAGTGGGTTGCCCGAGATGACGAGGAGCTTGCTGAGATAGACAACAACAGAAGACCAGGCAGACCACTTACAAGTAAGCAGCAGCTACTTAAGGAGAAGAGAAAGCATGATGAGCATATTTTTGAGACTGGCTTGCGTACTCCCGACTTGAGGGATAAGGACACTGTTACCTACGTGAAGAACTGGAACGGTAATGCTGGTGCTAGTACATCATGGAAGTTCACTATAGTCACCAAGGAACCAAGAGAAGGAGACGAAGAGATGTCGTAACTTCAAATAAACAATTTCTAAACACTGGGTTAGACCCTACTTTCAGCGGCTCCAGAACAATCTCTGCCAGAGAGTTGTTTTTCCGGCTGGCTCCTCCTTCGTTTGGTTGTGCTTCTTTTCGAACTCTTCGACATCACTACTTTCCATCACGCCGATGTTCTCGGATGGCGGGAAAGCCAATTCTGGAGCGTTGCCTTTTTCAACATCGTCCAACCATACATGAAGACCCAACATGACGACGAAAACCATTCCTGTAGTGGTGAAAAGCGTACGGAGTACTCTCCAGAGTTTGTAACGCTTAGTAGTCAATGGCCTGCTTGCAACAACCAAGCGGTCCTTGTCACCTCCGCCGATGACTTTCCAATTCTTCTTCTGAAGCTTGTTGATGCGCTTGGAAACCTTGCTAAGGACATCTGGTGAGATCTTCTCCAACACAGTAACCATATCTTCGGGAACATGCTTACCACCAAGAGGGTTCTCTTGCGAATAGATGACATCGCCGTTTGAAGTCAAAATGAGATACTCGGATGGCACGGCCCTGGTGTTTTGCATGGGGTTGAAGAAGTTTTTAGACTCCAATGTACGGTTGCTCTTGCACTTACTCTTGCTCCATTCGTAAGCCTTTTCAGCACGGAATTGATTCTCTTCTTTGTATTCTTTGGCCTGTTTTGCGGTCTTCAAGAAGTCTTCCAATGATTTTTTGTCCAAAGAGCTAGATGACTTGTCGAAGTGAGGCTTCTTATTGTAGGCCTCTCTTATCTTCTGGGCTGTCAATGAGTTAATGGCAGCATATTCCTCAGGGTTTTCTTTCTTCAAATTGGATTCTTCTTGACTCATTGCAGACGACAAAGCATCTTGAATAGATGCTTCAACTTTCAGATCTTCCAAGCCAACGTCCGCAGAAGTTGTGTTATCATTCAAAAGAGCCAAGATTTCATTGGCATCGTTATACTTGAATGGTTGTTTTGGCTTCTTTGGGTCAGCCTTTTCAAGGAAGTCAGACATGACAAACTTATTCTTTGTAGCTTCTGTGCTAGTTATCTTGCTCTTGAGGTTTTCGAAGACCTTGCTACTGATCAAAACCGTATCCAAAGCAAACGTCAGATTGCCATTATGTTTCAAGAGCATTTTAATGTTTCTCTGAAGCTTACCAAGAGTTAACTTTCTGGCTGGATCCTCCTCAACATTGATCATGCTGTCCAATTGTTTGTGTACCTGATAAGCAGTGTTATCAGCAAAATTAGAGCCAAGAGCTGCCTTCAACTGCTCAAGTTCCTCAGCATACTCTTCCAACAAGACGTCATCAGGAATCTGTCTATACGGAGTTTGCTCTTCGACAGTAGTTGGCTTGGCAGCGGATTTTGACTTCTTGATTACATTGGCTTCAAAGTTGTCAAACACCTTCTGCGAATAGATGAGAGTATCCAAGATGGCAGTATTGCCACCGTTCCACGCCAAAAGCTTCTTGAGCTTAGCATGAAGCTTAATGAAAGATACCAAATTATCGGTATTGATCTTCAGAGCCAGATTCGAATCCTTGTTGTTGTAAACTTCTTTAGTTCTCTTTTCCATGAGGTTGATGATTTCCTCGGCAGAGGCGTCTTTATAAGGCTTTTGAAGTTCTTCCCTGAACAAGGAAAGCTGGTCAACAAAATCATGTAAACCTAACTTTTCAGGAATCTGAACATAAGGGCCAGGTCCATAAAGAGAGCTTTCAACAGGCTTGACTTCCTGTTGCTGAGCTTTCTTCTGAGCAAGTTTTGCCTCAAGCTTCTCTAATGCAGATTGGGAATTGATAACGGCATCTAAGATCTCAGTATTGCCGCTATTGATGGAAAAAAGTCTCTTTAAGCGGCCACCCATCTTCATGAAAACAGCCCAGTTTCCCTTTGACATTCTTGAGGAAGGGTTCAGATTTTCAAGGCCCTTGGAGAATTCGGTACACCTGCGATCAACGAGACGAACGATTTCGTCAGGGGTGCACTGCTTAAATGGCTTCTTGAGTTCATCATTCTTCAAAATTTCAAGCTCATTGACAAAACTGTGAATCTTGAGCTCCTCCGGAATCTGCTGATAGCCCTTCTGAGTTGTCTGTGGGCTCACTGGAGCAGCTGAGGCATCCGTAAGCTCATCCAAGAAGACAGTTCTGCCATTGTTAGGTTCGAGGTTTGCTGCTAAAAGTTCGTTCAATTGTCCATAAGATCCGGCATTCTTTAATGTCACAGCAGAACCAGCAGAGCTTTCGTTACGTGAAGTTGCATGAGCAATAGCAGTGTTCACGTACTTCAAAAGGTTACGGAAACTTATGTCTCCATACTTAAAGTTTCTCAAGTCTTGTTTCTTGAAAGCAGTGAGTTCCGCCTTGAAATCACTAAGGCACTTCCCTTGAATTTGCATGACATCAGCACTAACACATTGTGGAACAGCCTTCTTCAATCTAGCAATTTCGCCCTTGAGGTCAAAAACGTTTAAAGCGGCAGCAGGATATGAAGTACCTGTAAGAAGCGTATGGCGCTCCAAGGCAGTAATCCATTGTGGTTCCTGCAAGAGCTTGTCGAACACACTAAAGCCAGAAACGGCGTAACGAGAGAAAGTCACCAATGCTTCGTGAACCTTGGCGGCATCCTCCAAAACCAATGGGCTGGATGACTCAGCGAGTTTGTCGATAGCCTCAGTCAACAGTTCCAATGAGCAAGATGCAAACAGAGCAAATTGAGGTGCCACGGCCCTAATGATATGGAAGTTGGAAGTGATACCCAAGAGAGTCGAAAGAGAAAACTCGTAGTTCTCGAAGAAGTTCTCCAGCACCAAGTAGGTAGTGATAGGGTTCAGATTGTGTGTAACAACAGCTTGCTCGAATTTCGGATCCTTAAACGCGTCAATTGAGAGAACGCCCCCGCAAACCAAAGGCAAATAGGTTTCAATAAAGCTCTCCAAGAGACGCTTCCCTTCTGCGTTATAAACATTCTTCTCCGTCTCTGCTGATACGGCTGCGAAAGTATAGTCAGCCTCGCGAAGACCAACGTTTGCAAACACAGCATTCAAGATATTCCTGCTGGAGTTGTTGACCAAATCATTGAGCTTCTCAACTTCAGCTGATTCGTAGCGGACAACTTCCTGAACGTCAGCACTCTTAGGGTTCTTCACAATGGCCAATAAAGCCTTTGGAGGCACGTTCTTTTCAGAAAGCGTAAGTAAGATACGCTTCAAATGCTTATAGCGTGAGACATAGATCAAAACTCTGAAGAAATCAGCGTCGTAGTTGTGAGCTGCTCCGTTCACTTCTAAGAATCTGGAAAACTCCGTGACTAAGACACTGATCTTATCCACGATAGGCTGGACGGACTTGAGAGTATTGAAGTCATATTCCTTAGTCAAGACACTCAATTCGGGCAAAAAGTTACCAATTCCATTGCTCAATAATTCCACCTTCAAGGAGTCCTTAGGAGTGCTCTTCAAAAGAGAATGCACGCTTGACGTTAAACTCCGTGATGTCGGAGGAGCGTCAGAAAGCAATGTCAAAAAATGGTCTACCATTTCATCCAAAGTTTTGAGGTTAGCACCAGCGGCAAGCTCAAGATGACCTTTTCTGTACAACCCCCTGAAAATGTATAGCACATTCGATACCTCCACAGAAGTGAGTCTGGAGATATCAGGAATTGTATTCGAATAGGATAGACGAATAAATGCATCAAGAAGCTCCAACTCCCTCAGAAATCGAGCTACAAACTCCATAGTCGCTGGAGAACCGCCCTTCACGTCAGAATTGGCGTTTCTCTCGCGGAGGACCCGTTCCACAACGTGAGGATCGTATTTGCCATTGAGAGGGGCATTTTCGTCCAACACAGTGAGAAAAGGTGGAACATGGGGGTTTTCTGGAGCCGACTTTCTTCTCAAAGTAATCAAATCGATCTCATAGTCATCGTTGCCGTTGGAGAAAGTTGCAAAGCCGTGGTTCGGAGATGCTGAGAGATAAGACCCTGCAGAACGTCTTGCTGACGCGCCGGCTTTGGCGGAGGCAAAAAGAAGAGGCGTGTAGTCACGCGTATGTAAGAGCCTTAAAGTGGAGGCTCGAAGGGAATGCTTTAGCATACTCTAGATCCGTAAGGAGGAAACTGTGGATGGGGTAGGTTATCGGGATAAGGAGGGAGGCAGGCGCGATAAGGGTCAAATCGGCACGTGCTGGATCATGTGAGTAAATGTTCACCTGACCTATCACGTGCGCGGAATGTACGGGTCTTGGTTTCTCGCGAGAAATCCTCGGAGGTTATACCCCGAGGTCAGGCGAGCAATAGCGTGCGTTCGGACAATGCGTGGACGATCGCGTGATATGGTAAAAGCGCAAATCGGTGACCCAAGCACACAGAAGAACAGAGCCTGGCTGCAGTACAGAAGTATTATGGACCACAGCAGATCATGTCTCGCTAATGCTGCCAAGAGGCTGACTCTGACTGCTTGAAGGAGGCGAGCAGGGCAAAAAAATTAGTCGAGCAGTCAAGAGCAAAAATTGAACCCTGCTTCATGTAAGGGCTATGAGGTATATTGCCGTGCTCAGCACCACCTTAAGCTGCCGTGCTGATAATCTCGATAGATGAGATGGAAACTGCAGCCGGGGATATGTACGGCTCCTGACTCGGCCTCGTGTTAATTAAAGCAGTCCGAAACACTTCACGACAAAGGCCCATCAAAAAAGCTTCAACCTGCCATATGTTGGGTGCAAAAAACACCAACCACCAAAACACAAACTTTATTTTCTACAACTGCCTGGCCGATGCGTTTGGGCGGTCCCATCGCCTTCTCGTCTCGCCCTGAACCTTCCAAGCCTCTTGCACAAGAATAGAAGAAAAAAAGTGTCCACCCACGCTGCCACTAATGCCCACGCAGCAGCCTCTTCATGACACTGCACCTCTCATAACCGGAAAAAAAAAGGCTTGAAAGGCGGTGGGATGCCTCTTTTAGTTGCTATTAAATTTACGGTATCGTAAATATTTGCCACTGTTTTATTATCCTCTTTGTTGTTGTTTTTGCCGTTGGAATAGTTACTGCTTTGTTTACGGAAGCTTAAAAGTTGACTTGAAGGTAACTTCCTCTCTTATTTCTTTTTTTGCAGTTTTCCTCGGGTTCTTCTGCCACCTCTCGTATCCGGAACCCATCACGCCGCAAGATCCATCGATCCACACACTGCTAATTAGCCTGAGGTGCCGCCCAATCGCCCAGCTCCGAACGCACCAAAAAGCATCTTTCTGTAGTGACATGATTTGCAGTCGGTCGGTCGGTCGCTTCTCGGTACTTTTGGAGAAGGAAGGAAGGAGTCAGGAAAGTCCAGCCAAACCCGTGCACCCTGCCGTTTTCTTTCATTATTCTAGCCGGCCGTTTCAAACCGTTTACAAAAAAAAAATTATCACATTGTGTTAGCCTCCATCACATTCCATCTGTCCATACTCTCGGTCTCCAAACGGACCCTGGACTTCCTTGTTTCCATTCTTCAAAGCCTCTTCTCCTCTTGCCCTGAAGTGGGTCTTTCAGCTTCTATGCATTGCGCGTGCGTGGAAATGAAAAATTTCTTTTTCCTGACGCCGTTTTTTTTTTTTTTTTTTCCTGCTGGCCACGCTCTTCGGTGCAGTACTCGCGTCACTCTCAAAAGTCCCATATCAACCCCAGCTCTTACCCTTTTGTCCCTTACGTACTACTTCCAATTTCTCCCAATAGAGGGATTAAAGAAAGTTACCGTTAACTATGGACAAGGCTCAAGCGTCACCACGACTGCCTCCCAACCTGCCCCAACACCTGCCTCGTGCCTGTGGGGTCATCAGCCCGTCCCCAACTTCCTCATCACAACTGCCTCCTTTGTCTCCCACTGCCACTCCTTCTCCCAGTATCCGTCCTACAAACTTGGACGAATTGCTCGACGACTGTTTCCAGATCTCCATAGGCCAGCAACATTTGATTTGTCAGTCTCGCTTGAAGTATGCCACGAGCTTCGACAAGTATTTGACCTCGCTACATTGCCATGAAAACTTGGCTTTTTTGATGGAAATCTTCAAGTACGAGTACTTTTACGATAAAATCTTCCCAGAAAACATTCTCCAAGCCCGCACTCGTTTGGGCCTGGCTCTCAACTCCACAGCCACTTCATCCAGTGTCCTCAACTCAAGCCTACCGTCTGCTATCGATTTGCTTCCGTTTCCCACGAAAGATATGCGTAGGAAAAGCAGAAGAAGCTCTCGTGGAGACTCGCGAAGCCGTGCATCGCTGGTTCTGGAATCTCCTTCCGAGCCAAACGTCTTTGACTTCGGCTTTGAAGAGAACTTTGCTCACGAAAACGTCTGGGACAAGCTCAAGGACCAGCACGTCGATAGCAGCGATCTGGAGCTTGAGCTGGACTCAGACTCGGAAGTTGACAACAATGCTCTTTTACTAGATCAGTGGGCCTACATCATGGCAACCTTTGTATATGAGGATTCGCCACAACAGCTTAATTTGGCCAACGCTACAGTTAAAGAGCTTCTCGACAAGGATGCTCAGGACACCATTCATAAGCCTGCCGTCTTAATTGACGCCAAGCAGGAGATTATCCAGCTTCTTCGCGAGAATGTTTACGGCTCCTTCCTTTCACAGCATAAGTCCAGGTCGGACTCTAGAACCACTTCCGCTGCAGGCTCTGCTTCGGTCTCCCGTGCTCATAGCAGACCTCAGAGTCCTCCTTCAGAAGATGCTAGTTTTGTTTGTTCCGCATCGAATTGCTGCCAGCTTTCTGGAACCAGGTTATTTTCTGCTGGATCCCTGGCTGCTGTTTCGTTGTCTCATACCCCAGTTAACACCCCAGGACCAAAAGGAAATCTGAAATGCCACTCTCCATCTCCACTCCATCATCCTTTGGCTTTGAAGAAGACAATTCTGCCAGGAAGTCCCTTGGTGGAACCACGGAATTCGGTTTCCGACCTTCATCACGAAGTCGTTTCGCCTGTCCCCGTGGTTAAAAGAAAAACCCCCAAGTTCTTCCCACACATCGGCAGCAGTACTCCTTCGGACTCCAGTGGCTCGGATTTCTCCCTTTCCAGCATCATCTCGCATTTCAAGTCCACTGACCCTGGTACTCCTAAAAATTCACGCAGCATCACCACCTCGCATCCGCAAACACCGTCAGCACTTTCTTCCGGCCTCACACTGCCTGTTTTAAGTGAGTCTGACCATTTGCGGCCATCGTCAACCCTGGAAGGCGCCGCTCCTAGCCTGAGTCACTCCCACCGATTGGGTAAACTCTGGAGACGCCGCAAGTAAGCATACCATGGTTGTCTGACCCGCCAGTTTTATACAATCTGACTGGTAGCATCATCAGCATAATAATTTTTTGATTTTACAAGTTAAACCTACCTTGTTACATGTTTTATTACACTTACTCGTTCACACAGATCGTGTGCAATGGCCATTTATAGACTAATAAGAAGTATTCTTTCGTGATTTGTAGCTTAAGTTAATCTACGTTCATAAAAGCTTACCTTTTGGAGCCACTATATAGAGTATACCTCCAAAGGTGTTCAACCCTGGTAGCACTACTTAGCCCTAACGTCATCCATCCAGCCAGCTTAAAAAACCACCGAAAACCACTTCTTCAACAGAACGAGCCAACTAACCACCCCAACTTTCTCTCCAAAACACACCCAGTATATCCAACCTCCTCTGGTACCACTACTCTCCTACATGCCCCACGCAGCCATGGTTTGCAGCCACAAAACAGCCACAGCTGAGTATGGAACCCATCCACCAGCAAACCCAGCAACACGAAAAGGTTAAGAGCATTTAACAAGTGTCCACTCGACAAACACGTTACACTTTCTAGCCAAAAAATAGAAATTCCCAAACCTAAACTTACCCCAGCCAATTCCTTCCCTCGTCTTTCCCTAACACTACTTGACTGCTCGCTCACACACTTTCTCGCATAACCTCTATTGTTCCAAATGACCAATACCGCCAGTGGTCCAAACAGGGCAACCCCAAACTGCCCAAACCACCTCGAACTTCCCTAAAACACACATTTTCTCTTCCACTTCCCACGCTCAACCTCTCCCCTCTTGCCTATACCTTCCCTTTCCCTCTCTTCGCTTGCAGCCAGCAATGAGACATACAGATGCGCACAGTTGCTATCTTATCTATATAGCCAGTGGAAAAAGACTATTTCTCCACATATCCACCTCCAACTTCTTTTACCATGTCAGATGACGAAGACGCCCCAGGCTCGCCTGCTGCTGACGACTTGTCGTATGGACCGCTCTCAGTGATTGGGCTGGCCCGTAAGCTGGTCAGTTTGGCTGAGAGGACAGCCCAGCTTCGACGCCGTAACCAGATGGTTGTGGCCAAGGTCCAGGAGACAAAGCGCCGCCAGCAGGCACTAGAAGCGATATCATCAGCACAGATGCTTTTGCTGATGACCAAGGCCAGCGAACGCCGCCTGCGACACTTGGAGCTGGTCAGAGAGAAGGCTAGGATACTGCGCCTGTTCCTTGATAAGCGGTACCTGGAGACGACCGAAACCGAGGCGTTGGCCTTGTGGCCAGCTGCCGAAGAGGAGCTTGATTCGTCTGTTTCGGAGCCTGAATTCCGAGTTATAGCGAGAGCTGTTAGACGGTACCGGTTGCGCAAGGCCTTTAAGAGCAGACAATGCCGCTTATACTTTGATAAGATTCTTCGGCACGAAATCTCCTTTTCCGAAGCTGTGCTTCTTCTTAGGTCTCCAGCCATTGGCTGTATTGAGAATCTCCTCCACGCCTTGGGTTTACCTGATCTGGGCGACGATAGCTATAAATGGTTCCTTTACTCCATTGCCTTGATCGGAGACTTCCATGACTCATTGAACAATAGCTTCGAGTTGCACCCAGGCTTCAATGTCAACCTCAAGAAAGCACTGGCAATATCCGTCCATTTACCGATATTGCTCTACCATTTGTCTGTTCGTATGTTCTTTATGCTCAGACTGTTTTCTGACAGAGACATCAACCCGTGGTCAATACGGCGCCTACACTTTGCCCGCTACTGGCGCTTCTACCACTTTTTGTTCTCGATATACCGTGAGAACCACAAATACGCTCTTAAAGAAATTGCCGATGAGGCTTTCTCCATTGCCAGCACACAACATCGCATTTTGGAGGCTTATGATCTCTTGAAGTCTGGAGATGGCTCCGAGGAGAGAATACGGTTGTTTAAGCGCTCCAGAGCAAATTTAGAAGCTCTCAAGACGCACCATGAACTCCCGTGGGCACTGATGGGCGTATCATCAGAGAAGTTTTGTGAGGATTTACGCAGTGTGGCTGCTTATTGTAAAGCTCTCAGAGAGAGTTCTGGCAGTGAGCTTTTGTATGATGATGCATTCGCCAGCGACCCTCATGTGCCTTGCGACGAGCCACAGACTATCCAGTTCGGCCCTGACGCTTTCACTGTGCCCCAATGACCTCCATTGGCAACTGGCGTAATCAGTGGTTGTCAAAATATAGAAAGAGCTCACGTCTCTGCAGAATTTGAGCACTCCAGTAAGCATCAAGACTGGATTTGTTACTTGCGATAATTGTATTGGGACAATCGATTCACTTGATGTGAAGAATTTCTTTTCTGAAGTTGAAGAACATACAATCAAGGAGACGGGTAATAACCTCAAGCAAAAGGCGGAGGGACTAGTGGCAAGACTCAAGGGATTGTTTTGTTTCTATTTCGAGTTGTGCAAGCATATCGGTAAGGGAAGTGAGTTACATCATGCTGAGGTGAACTACCTTGAATTGAGTGCATCATACGAGCTGAAGGTCGAGAACGAGTCAATTAGGCTGGCGCAAAACTATGTGAGACTCCTCTTACTACTTGTGCTCCAACTAGTGGAGATTGCCAACATGAGTAATCCTGATGCTTCACAGCTTGTAAGTGAAGTTGATGTCCCTTCAGAAGAGTTCCTAATCCGCTCAGATATGATGATTGAAGATATGTTCATCGCTGCACAAACTACTTGGGCAACACTTTGTGCTTTCCCAACTTCACAAGAGTTTTTCGTCTTTGAGAATGTGATGCAGTTAGTTTCTAATGATTCCCTCAGACCAAGCTTGGGCAATGATTTCCCTCATCTTCGTTACACGGATTTCTACCATTTCTTGTATGAATATGGTAGCCAGTTATCCCACTGCTTCGACCCATTCCTGGTTGTGGCTGCAAAGGAGAGAGGACTCGTTATCGATGGCAGTTCCAGAAATGCCACTGCGAAGAGATACTTCCGCGATGCCTTTGTTCGCTTCTTCTTTTCTGACTTGAGAAGCACCAGCGACGAGAAAGTGTCGTCTCTTCAAGACTGCCAGCTTCTCTTTCATTTCGAAGATGAGGTCTTAAGACTCGTCACGGCTTCAAAGAGCCTTATCTTGTCGCTGACCCTTTCCACAGCATTGAACCTTTCACAAGGCGCTGCAAACGAACTTCATGGGTACCTCGATGGCTATAATGGACTGACAGGACTTGAGGTGCCCCATGCCATGAGTGATTTCCAAATTAACTACATTTCCAACCAGCTTCACAAGCTTGACGAAGGCGAAACAAACATCATAGAAATCTTTGCTGGGAAGATACGAACAGCAATGCTTGACGAAGCGAACACAGAGCCCCTCCTTCGCAAGAACATCAGACACTTCACAAGCGACTTGTTGAATCTCCAGAATCAGATTGACGCTTTCATTGATTTGTTTTACGAACTTTACTATCCAGTCTTGAATTGGATTCATGTTGACTTGGGACTCCCAAAGTAAACACTCTCAGCAACGTCTGGAACGTTGCTAGCTTAATTTCATTTCAATATTATGTTGTACTACGAGAAATACGTTTGGCCAAATTAGTAGAATATTAGCCCTTGATTGAGAAATTTTTAGGCGATGATAAGAGATCTGAGGGATTTTTACCTCTTATCTTCTCATGATTTTGTCATATTCTGTTATGGGCATTCTCTCTGGTAATCAGCTACTGCTTTGGAAAATGAATCGGCAGCTGCGTTCCGAACTTCTCACCAATCTCTTCTATTTTTTTCATTTTTTTTTTTCTTCCTTTTTCGTTTTGCAACCATTGACTCATCCACACTTGCGTGCATAAAAGTAGCCATGAACTGATCTCACACCGCGCTTAGCGCCCTAGTTACTTTTATTGGTCAAAGGATGGAAAATTTATCTCTAATGCTAGTAATCCTGGCATAACACCCGTACACCACCCTACCGCTGCTAGGTAGGCATTTCTTCACCATTACCTTTTTCTCTTTTTTTCTTCCCAACCTTCCATTTATATATATTCAATGTTACTTCTTCGGCAGCCGGTTTTGGCTAGAAGGTCTGCCCATGTGGCCAAAGCGCTAGTGTCGCTGGGATTCCCCAAGCCCCGCTTGTCAAGCTATCCTTCACTTTCCAGCGTTCCTCAGTACAGATACTTCTCTGAGTCGCCCAAGTCTGAGTCAACCAGATCCACGGTTATCCAGTTGTTGAATAATATTGGTTCCAAGAGGGAAGTCGAGCAGTACTTGAAGTATTTCACTTCGGTTTCGTCCCAGCAGTTCGCTGTCATCAAGGTTGGAGGTGCTATCATCACCCAGCAGCTTCCTGAATTGGCGCTGTGTTTGGCATTCTTGTACCATGTTGGTTTGTTTCCGATTGTGTTGCACGGTACTGGTCCTCAGATTAACGAGCTTTTGGAGTTTGAAGGTGTTGAGCCTGAGTACATTGACGGTATTCGTGTTACCAACCCAAAGACTATGGAGATTGTTAGAAAGTGTTTCTTGGAACAGAACTTGAGACTTGTTACTGCTTTAGAGGAGATGGGCGTCCATGCTCGTCCAATTACTACTGGTGTGTTTGGTGCTGATTACTTGGAGAAGGACAAGTACCAGTTGGTCGGTAAGATCAACTCGGTCAACAAGTCCCCAGTTGAAGCTGCCATTGATTCTGGATACTTGCCTATTTTGACTTCCTTGGCTGAAACCCCATCTGGCCAATTGTTGAATGTTAACGCTGATGTTGCTGCTTCTGAATTGGCTAGACAGTTTGAACCATTAAAGATTGTCTACTTGAACGAGAAGGGCGGTCTTGTCCACGGTCAGACAGGCGAGAAGATCAGTGCCATTAACTTGGATGAGGAATACGACGATTTGATGAAACAGCCATGGGTCAAGTACGGTACCAAGTTGAAGCTTAAGGAGATTCATGACTTGTTGGAGCACTTGCCTAGATCTTCCTCTGTTGCTATTATTGACGTTCACGACTTGCAAAAGGAGTTGTTCACTGACTCTGGTGCTGGTACTTTGATTAGAAGAGGTTACAAGTTGATCAACAGAAACTCGTTGAGCGAGTTCTCCAACCCAGACTTGTTGCGTCAAGCCCTTTTGAGAGACCCACTGGTGAAGTCTGGTAAGATTTCCGTTGCCTCCTACTTGAAGCACTTGGAGAACGTTCCTTTCAGATCTTATGGCGATGGACCTTTGGAGGTTTTGGCTATTGTCACTGAACAACCTTCTGCTGATGGTAATGTGATTCCTAAGTTGGATAAGTTCTTGTCTTCTAGAACTGGCTGGCTCAACAATGTCACCGACAACATCTTCAACGCCATGAGAAAGGACTACAAGTCTTTGTACTGGGTCGTCAACGAGAACGATCCAAACTTGTCTTGGTACTTCTCCAAGTCTGACGGTTCCTTTGCTAAGAACGGTGAACTCTTGTTCTGGTACGGTCTCGACACTGACCAAGCCGGTGAGCTCATCAGACAATTTGATGCCCACAGAGTTGGTGCTGCCATCTCTACCGAAACCGACTCTGTTTTCTCCACATCCGTCAAGACTCAAAAGAGATCTCTCCACACAAGCACAAGAAGAAGAAGCCCTAACTCTACTAGCAACCCTAACCCACCAAGAACTGAACCAACCAACACAAAGAGAGGCAAGGTCGCCCTTATTGGTGCCAGAGGTTACGTTGGCCAGAACTTGATTTCCCTCATTGACAAGCACCCACACTTGGACTTGGCCCTCGTCTCGTCCAGAGAATTGAACGGCCAGAAACTCGCCGGTTATAACAAAGCCAACATCGTTTACTCCAACTTACAAACCGAAGACATTTTGGAATTGGAGAAGAACAAGGAAATTGACGTTTGGGTCATGGCTCTTCCTAATGGTGTTTGTAAACCATTCGTTGAAGCATTGGAGTCTGTTGAGGGCTCTACTTCCAAAATCATTGACTTGTCTGCTGACTACCGTTTCGACACTACTGGCGAATGGGTTTACGGTTTGCCTGAATTGATCGACAGAAGCTTGATTGCCAATGCCAGAAAGATCTCCAACCCAGGCTGTTACGCTACCGCTGCACAAGTTGCCATTAGCCCGTTGGTGAAGTATACCGCAGGAACCCCAACCGTTTTTGGTGTTTCTGGTTACTCTGGTGCTGGTACCAAGCCATCCAAGAAGAACGATGTCAACTACCTCGCCGACAACTTGGTGCCTTACTCATTGACTGACCACATCCACGAGAAGGAGGTCAGCAAGCAGCTTGGTCTTGATATTGCTTTCATTCCACATGTGGCTCAATGGTTCCAGGGTATCTCTGCCACTGTTTCCATTCCAATTGAACCTAAGTCTTTGACTGCTAGAGACATCAGACAGATCTACCAGGAGCGTTTCGAAGGTGAACAACTTATTGACGTCACTGGCGAGGCTCCAGTTGTGAAGGATATTAGTGGTCAACATGGCGTTGTTGTCGGTGGTTTCGCTGTCAACTCTGCCGAGAACAGAGTTGTTATTGTTGCCACTATCGACAACTTGCTCAAGGGTGCAGCCACCCAGTGCTTGCAGAACATTAACTTAACCATGGGTTACGGTGAGTACGACGGTATTCCAACCCGTGCTGTATAGACATGAAGTGAACTAATACACGAAAGGTAGAAAACCTTGTGGATAAGTAAGTAAACAACTCTACGATGCTTGTTTTCTCCAGTAACTGGTCTTTTGATTTCGCTGTATTATACAAAGACAAGTGGTAAATAATTCAGCAACTGTTCGTCTTCTTTATAGTCCAGTTGACGCAATAGCCAACATCAGAAGCTAATCATTAATACCTAATCCTTTCTTCCCCATGTAGGCCTAGTGTTTGTGGTTGGCCCGTTCATCATCTTTTCACGCAACCGTTGACCCGCAGCGGTGCTTCTTGCAGTTGAGGCTCCTGCTGATGTGCTTCTTGCTGGAGCACCTGGACTGCCCTGACTTCCAGCAGAAGCTCTCAGCCTCTGGTACATATCTTGCAACTTGGAGCTAGATCTTCTAGTGTATGCCGGTCTATCTTCAGCAGGCGGTGACTGTGACTGCTGCAGCCATTGGCCTCCCAGGCTTGGACGGCTGGAAGCTTGTTCTTGAGGACTATAGCTTTGTGAGTTGTAACTAGCTCTAACTGGCTGGTACTTCAGTTGCAGGTAATCTGGCTGGCCGTAACGTTGTTGGCCGTAAGGAGATGCTGAGGAATTTGAGCTTTTCACACCTAGCCATTCTGGATAGCCTTGGCCCTGGGAGTCAAAGAACTTGACGAAAGCATTATGGATAAGTGTATCATCCTCAGTAGAACCGTCCTTTTCCAGATGCAGCGAAATGGACATGTTTGAGAACTTCGAGTTGATCTTCGAAATGAATGACTTGCCGGGAGCGGCATTGGGCTGGTACTGGCTCATGGCGGCAGGACGTATGTTTTGGGGTAGAGTTGGTTTACTTGGAGTTTCCTAATGCCAGGGCCTGAGGCAGTGTGGTGTCCGGGTTTGGATCCCAGGCCCCAGATAGTAAGGTAGACCAGGGACCAACAAGGGGCAATAGAAATGGCATTATAGAGATTTAAGGTAAAACCGGATGATTTTTTAGTTATGGTTGATGTCATCATTAAATCATTCTTACCTTGGCTGCCTGTTTTGTCTTCGTGAGGTAGCAGTATTATCGAGCTAAATTCCTCGTCAAGACAAGATCGTAATTAGGACGTACTCTGAATACTTACATATTACATTCATGGGAGAAGCTTCAAAGGAGGTCATAATAACTCAGAGTTTATTGCATTTGGTTTAAATTCATGAAGCTTTACTGCAAATGACCACAGCAGTACACTAGAGGGGTCATTTTGCAGCCATCTGCCATCGCCCTTTGAATTGAAACAGGAGTTCAAAAAGCGGTTTCTAAGCTTTATTATTTCAAGACACTTAAGTAAATTGAGAATACCTCGACCAAACAACAAGTTCACCTTTGCTTCTGCTTCTTCGTTGTGAGACATGTCTCATCGCCGTGACATAGCCAACGATGCCAGTAAGGCTAACTATAGAATATTATAGCTAACAAAAACAGACAGATCTTCAACTTATTTTCTAGGTAAAAGAAAAGAAAAGAAAAGAAGGATTAGAAAGATAGTCTTTTCCCTTAAAGCTATTCATCTTGACGGTATCCTAACATGCATAAGCGAGGTACCTCGATGCGCCATAGTATGTCACTTCTCCAGAAGAAGAACGCCAAAAAGCAAAACAACAAAGAACAGGAATATTTCCTTAACACATGAAGAATACTTCTTCATATCCCTTTACTTTTTTTATTGCTTTTTCACCGTTTCGGTGTTCCACTGTCGTAACGGTTTCCTGGGAGTGCGTACATCGAGAAGCTCATCTTGATGCTGTGAAAAACTCAACCCTAGGAATAATAGAAGGCAAACCCAAGCATGCTCCTTATTCAACGAAGTATTGGAGCCTCCCTCAGGGCAGTGTCTCTTTGCCTACGGCAAGGGCATTTTCGGTTTCCACAAAAGCTTTCAACCGTTATAAGCAAATCGAGAGTGCTCATAGATCTCCAGAGCTTTTGGCCCTTAATAAGGAGGACATCACCATCGATACTCTCAGCCAAGTGAAAGCTTTCGAGCCCAAGATTGTCAAGGCTTTCAAGAAGCTTGGCTATGAGCTGTTCACGCCCGTTCAGGCTCGTTCGATCGTGCCTATGATGACCGAAGAGAACGGTGTGGTCTGCAGAGCCAAGACAGGTACTGGTAAGACCATGGCATTTGTGATTCCTACGCTTCAGACTACTTTGGACTACTCTTTTGAAAACAAGGGTGGCCGTGGAAAGGTCCACACCTTGGTTATTGCTCCAACCAGAGATTTGGCTATGCAGATTAAGGCAGAGTACCATAAGCTCTTGGATAATGAAAGAGGCTTGAGGACCAGAGTGCAGCTTTGTATTGGTGGTACTAGTGATAGAATCATCAGCGCTCCAGGTATTGTTATTGCAACTCCTGGTCGTTTGGAGGCCAACTTGAGAAACCCATCGTTTGCTTCCCTTTTCTCTGACTTGAAGTACAGAGTCTACGATGAGGCTGACCGTTTGTTGGATCAAGGTTTCGAAGAGAGTTTGATGAACATTGACGATATGCTTAGAGACGCCAGAGAAGGTGGTCTCCATAAAGCCACCAAGATGAGATCCGTTCTTTTCTCTGCAACTGTTGATGAGAGAGTCGACCTGTTCGCCAAAGCTACCATGGGTGAGGACTACCGTTACATCAACTGTGTGTCTAAGGATGAGCAAGAGGCTCACGAGAACATCAACCAGACTTTGATCAAAACCAAGAACAACTACGAGTCCCACGTTGCTGCTTTTGCTGATATGTTCCGTAACTTGAAGGAGAAGCCAGGCTACAAGGCTATCATGTTCGTTCCCACCGTCAGTGGAACTGACTTCTTGTACAACATCTTGCGTGGCGGTGCTAGCGCTGGATTTGTTGACAGACGTACTCTCAGAAACCTGAGCTTGTTGAAACTCCACGGTAAGCTTTCTCAAGGTAGAAGAAACAAGTCAACTGAGGAGTTCAGAAACTGCAAGAGCGGTATTTTGATTTGTACAGATGTTGCTGCCAGAGGAATGGACTTCAAGAATGTTACTGATGTTATCCAGATTTGCCCAAGTTCTGAGATTGCTGACTACGTCCACAAGGTTGGTAGAACAGCCAGAGCTGGTACATCCGGTAACGCTACGCTTTACTTATCCGAGTATGAACTTCCATACGCTCAAGCTTTGCGCCACTCAAGAGGTATTAATTTCTCCACTGAGGTGGACTACGAAAATATGACTGAGGACGTTGCTTTATTCGAAAAGATCAACCTTTATGAGGCAGACATTGAGGATTATGTTAAGAGTTACCTCGGTTTCGCCCGTGGTGCCTGTGCTCCATACAACTTGAACAAGCAAGCAATGGTCTCCAATGTGGCTAACTTGTACAGATCATTCTTGCAGGATCCCGCTGCTAAGATCCATATGTCCTCAAAGACCTTCTTGCAAATGGGTCTCAGGGATCCTAGAGGCGAATTCTTTGACATTCCAGGTGGTATTCCTAACCAAAGAAGTGACTCTAGAGGTAGCAAGGGCGGCTTCCGTGGTGGTTATGGCAGAAACCAAAGAACCGACAGACATAGATCTGACAGACATGGATCTGACGGGTACAGATCAGGCGGTCAGAAATATGGTGGTTACAAATCTGATAGATACAGCGACCGTTTCGACAGTCGTCGTAACGACAGAAACTCGAAGAGAACCTTCGACTCAAGATATTAGACTGGGCATATGCCTTTATCATGTACATAGGTTAATTAGGACATTTGCGGATGACTGAACGCTTTCTTAGATGGAACCTTAAACGCTCTTTTCTTCCGAGGCCACAGCTTTCGCTTGGTATACCTGGGCCTGGATTGTTCTTCCCCTAGTTCAAACTCTCTGATGATTATGACATAGACGAGAAGAACTAATATTAGCAAAGTGTCAACTATGATAATTTTTCTTTGAAAGCTTAGATCCGATGCTAAGGCCGAGTTTCGGCGTGATAAGTCACCAAGAACGTTTCGAAGCGCCTGCTCTTGTCTCTCCAAGAGGGTGTTTGATTGTTGATGAGTGAGCTCGAACGAACTCTGGAGATGATGCACTTGTGCGTTGACCGTATGATTGAATTTCAGAAGCAAATTGTTTAGCTTGAGAGCGTGTCTCTTTTCAAGATTTGCAAATGCATCAGAAAGTAGCTTGCTTTGTTCTTCAATGTAGAGAAGAGAGAGCGTAGCGTTGGACTCAAGAAGTGAAAGCCTCTTGACAATGTTCTTGAAAATCGACTCCTGAGTCGTTTTTGCTGTTGATGTAGATTCCATCACCGTAGATGATGTGTTGACGGGCACATCACAGAACTCTCCGGTGCCGTTATTTATGTCTTTCAAGAATTCATTAAGTGCAAGGTACGGTGAAAGCGCTTTGCATCCTTCATCATCGTCAGTGTACTCAAAGAGTACATTCACAGGAGTTACCTCAGGCTGAGAGACCGGCTCCAGCGCCTTGGGGTTATCCTTCTTGACTTCTTCCATCATTGTGGTGCCATGCACTCTGACCACGGAGATTGGACAATAAAACTCGTCACCATAATGGCTCAATATATCAATCTTCAAGTAACGAGCCCATATGAGAGGGTTTTCGATGTCAAAAACCTGAATGTCTCGGATATTGTGTGCTTCGATCTCACCTAATGTCTGCCAACTAGTAGAAGGAAACTGGTCGGACACCGAGAAACGAACCCTCCGGAACATGGAACTGAAGAGCTCAAAATTTGCCATGACAATTGAACTAACGAGAATGTCCTGACATAGTTCAATCACCACAAACTTGTTTGGAGTTGCACATTTGTTGAGGAGGTAAGAGTCTTTCACTTCACTTAATATAGCAGAAGCTCCCTTGGCATCACTATTAGTCTTGACTACCGTAGCAGCACAATCTCCTGATGCATAGTTAAACTTATCTTTATAAGTTTTTCCTGGGTCTTCCATTACATCAACATCGAGGAGTTCCAGAGACGCAATACCGTCTTTAAGTGTCTCTAACGCGTTTCCCACGCTCAGCGTTGTAGATGACGATTGCACTTGTGAGGATTCTGAGCCACGTTCCTTGGCTTCCTGTTCCTTCTGCTTCTTCCATTCCTCGAAAGAAAGGAAATGGCAATCATCTGAGTAGTTCCCATTCACTTGATCCTCTATATCAATGCCAGGAATCTCTATGCTTGCCTCTGCATTGTTCGTCTGGTTAAGCAGTATCGAAGAAGATGCAATAGATGACGCGATTGAGGGGGTTTGAGAAAGTGAAGTTGAAGTTTGCACTGATTCAGGCTTCTTCTCCACAGCACAGGCTGCCAGAGCCCATAGTAGCCACACCCAGTACATCCCACTAAACTGATAAAAATGACTTGGTTCTAATGTTTATTAGTTGAGGAGCCAAAAGAGTCTATAAAACTGACAGATATGCAGTCAGGCCACGGAATGCTTGCACTTTCTTAGTATGGATGTAGAAGTAGTAGTTTACTTAGTGGGTGCGAAATATCATCGCAGAATCCATCAATACTACAACACCATGATTAAAACGTTTAAGTTGGACTCACGTGCAGAGACCTCGTCTCTAAAGCTTCCCAAAGAGCTCTTTTCTTATTCAAGAGATATTGATGGCGAATGGCAGACCGATGACGCCAAGGCCAAGGAGGAGGCTCTTCCATACTACTATTTCCCAGACTCATATGTCGACAGAAACTTTAACCTTGGCGATGGAATCAACAAGTTTAAGAAGATTCCAGAGGCTGAGAACGTTGCTGCATTCCCACCTTTGCTTCAGGCAATCAAACAGCACGAACAGCAGACGGGGAAGAAGACGAAGGTCGATATCATCACGTATAGAGGCATCATGACGAAGCTTTTGACGCTTCCGTACGATACTAAATCGCCCATGCAATTGTACGTGATTGGCTATGATGGACAACTTTTTATCAAGTCGGATACGGATCTTGAGATAAAACAGAGGGAAGAAGAAACTGAAAGATTGAGACAGTCTGACCCTGAAAAGTTGAAATATAACGAGACTTGTGAATACAGCGGCTACAAGTTCGAGGCTCTCACTACCTTACCTAAGCCATGGGCTCAATGTACTCGTGGAACTATCGAGAAACGCGGTAAGAAGGCTGTCAACAACTATGAGCAGTATATCAGTGTCGTTAGATCAGGTATCGGCAAGGTCAAGACGTTATTGGCTGGTGAAGTCGATTGCGTGTGGGACTATCTCCCGAACGAAGAAGAGGGCTCCAAGAATGAAACCGTCAAGCATTATGTGGAGTTAAAGACATCTGCTTTAGTGGACCTGCCGCATAAAGCAGTTAATTTTGAACGGAAACTCTTCAAGACTTGGGCACAATGCTTCTTGCTTGGAATTCCAAAGATTATTTATGGATTCCGTGATCAGAAACATATCTTGAAAAATGTCGAGGTTTACAGTACTGAGGAGATCCCATTATTGATCAAGAATAGTGAATACCCTCGTGGCACCGTCCAGAGGTTCCACTGTGTCGACGCACTCAAGTGGTACGGTGCCGTCTTAGAATGGCTTACCCAAAGCATCGATGCTAATGATGAGCTGAAGGCATACAAGATTATTTACGATTCTGGGTCGAGGACATTCTCATTGAATGAATGTATGGGAGATGAAAACAAGAGATTGAGAAACGGCGAGATCTTGACAGATGATTTCAAAGCATGGAGAGAGCTGTTGAGGTAAACAAGGCTAGATGATATGTTTATGAGGATATAGAAGGCCTAAGGTTGCAACAACCTGAAGGTTATGAAATGCAAAATTAATGAAGGCGAAGGAGAGACAAACGACTCTTCGCCTAGATAGAGAAATGATCGACAGCGTAGAGGGACATAACTGCACCTGGTTGTATACAATTGGAGAAACCGTTACTGAGAAAGCACAAAGAGCCATCCACTCCACTTCAAAAGCTGAATCTTGGCACTTGTGTTGCTAGATGACTTGCTCTTCTGCATCAAGGGTCCATAACGGTTAAATTAGCCAGACGCCTATTTGACGCTTATTCGGTTCTGTGTTGCCGATTTCATCACTAACGCAGATGAGCAAACCTTAAACTGGAGGCGCCTCGAAAAACAAGCACAGACTTACAAATTACACCAATATTTGCCAGCAAGGCCGAGGCCTCAACTCAGACAACCCAGCAGCTGTCTGGACGGAGTCCGCTCACCAATGTTTCAGTAGTTGCATAACCGCATGACTACTTCGGGCTCCCACATATACCCGATTACGTCAAACGAGCTTTTGGGAGCTGTCAAAAGCCAACTCCGAAGATGACGTGACGAACGCCGTTGCCATAAAAATTCTAGACGTGATGCGTTCAACTCAGCAATCCATGGGTTGCTCCAAACCATCGTCATCAGGCATAGTACATTTTTCGCAGCCATATACATTAGTGAGACATGGAAGTCTGGAAAGCCCACAAAGAAGAAAAGCGAGTCAAAGCGTAAGCCACTCACTCAAACCATCTAAAGCCTTCCAAACCCAAAGCATGACTTTTTTTCGTGTGGAGACGTGGCAATGCAGAAAGGCGATCCACTGATTTCCCAATGTGCTTTTTCCTGTTACTAAACGTTTGCTGGGAAGCAAGAAAAAGGCGCATCCAGACATATTGTTTTCGCAACCACACTTGCAAGAAACAGCAGCCGACTAAAGTTACTGTTTTGCGTGAATGTTGGCTGATTTCCGTTGCAAGAGGCCTTTATGAAGAGAATCTCTGGAATTGAAACCGTGAATGTTGGTGGTTTCGCCAAGGTTCCAGCTCCTTATCGTCCCAGTACTTTGCAACAACCAATGATATACAGCCTATTTGATGGAATCAAGGCTCAGTAGAAATGCTCTAAAACATAGTAGAAAGGTTAATTGACAGTGTTCCAATACCTTGCTCAAACGCCAATCGACCAACCCACCTTATCCATGTAACCTTATCAATCTACCAATAACATTTACACTTTTGCAATGGCACAGCCAATTTTTCAACCTACTGCAAACCCTCTCCCACATTCCAGCAATGTACCAACATATCCAACAATTCACCACCAAACCCACAAATTCCCTATCGTGGTTCCGTTCCTTCTTCTCCTGTCCCTTGCACAATCAGCTACAGCCCCATTGGACAATCGAAAGCTTCCTTGAACAACCTTCCCAATAAGACGACCCCGAGCCTATCTTCAATTGTATTTTTCACTCCCCGTCCTTGAGGGGAGCGGACATATCGCAACCACAGGGGCAAAGCCAAATCAAGCCTAGGTTGACGTGCCGCGGCTTCTACCGAGACAGCAAAGTCCAGGGTTAAGTCCACAATTAGAGGTGCTGTGGAAATTCTGATAAAACCGTTCGAATCAGCGGCATCGGTTTCGGCATGACTTTCCCATAACTTTATTACTTTTGTCTACCAATCCACTTCTGGCCCTCACACTTCTTTTGGCAACCACATGTCTTACCAAAATAAACGCCCCCATTGGCTGGTGCGCGCTTACTAACCTACCCCAGTCTGGCTTGGGCCGTGGTCCATTGCTGACGAGGAGCTGGTGGCGGGCCCCTGCAGGACGCACATATCCCACGGCTGCTCCCGCAATATTTCCCTTTCCCCCCCATGTCTTAGGGTCCATGGTATATAAGACAAGGGATTCCCCCCAATTGCGGTTTTCATATTGCTAACCATCTTTTTTGCAAGTACTAATAAAAATGGCCCCTACCTTCACCAACTCCAACGGTTGTCCAATCCCTGAGCCTTTCGCCACCCAAAGGGTCGGTCAGCACGGTCCTTTGCTTTTGCAAGACTTTAACCTTATCGATTCTCTTGCCCACTTCGACAGAGAGAGAATTCCTGAGAGAGTTGTCCACGCCAAGGGTTCCGGTGCTTACGGTACCTTTGAGGTGACCGATGACATCACCGACATCTGTTCTTCCAAGTTGTTTGACACTATTGGTAAGAAGACCAGAACTTTCACCAGATTCTCCACCGTCGGTGGTGAGTCCGGTTCTCCTGATGCTGCCAGAGACCCAAGAGGTTTCTCCACCAAGTTCTACACTGAGGAGGGTAACTTGGACTGGGTTTACAACAACACCCCAGTTTTCTTCATCAGAGACCCATCTAAGTTCCCTCACTTTATCCACACCCAGAAGAGAAACCCAGAGACTCACTTGAAGGATGCCAACATGTTCTGGGACTACTTGTGCAGCAACCCTGAGTCTATCCACCAGGTTGTCATTTTGTTCTCTGACCGTGGTACCCCAGCCTCTTACAGAGAGATGAACGGTTACTCTGGTCACACCTACAAGTGGTCTACCAAGAACGGTGACTGGAAATACGTCCAGGTCCACTTGATCTCTGACCAAGGTAACAAGGGTTTGACTAACGAGGAGGCTGGTGCCATGTCTGGTTCCAACCCAGACCACGCCCAGGAGGACTTGTTCAAGAACATTGCCAAGGGTAACTTCCCATCTTGGACTTGTTACATCCAGACCATGACCGCTGAGCAGGCCAAGAAGGCTCCATTCTCTGTCTTTGACTTGACCAAGGTCTGGCCACACAAGGACTACCCAATGAGAAGATTCGGTAAGTTGACCTTGAACGAGAACCCAAAGAACTACTTCGCTGAGGTTGAGCAGGCTGCTTTCTCTCCTTCCCACTCTGTTCCATACCAGGAGCCATCTGCTGACCCAGTCTTGCAGTCGAGATTGTTCTCTTACCCAGACACCCACAGACACAGATTGGGTGTTAACTACACTCAGATCCCAGTCAACTGTCCTGTCACTGGCGCTGTCTACAACCCACACATGAGAGATGGTTCTATGAATGTCAACGGTAACTTGGGCTCCAAGCCAAACTACCTTGCTACTTCTGAGCCACTTCAGTTCCGTGAATTCAGCCAACAGCAGGACCAGGAGGTGTGGACCGGTGCCGCATGCCCATTCCACTGGAAGGCTACTGACGGTGAGTACGCTCAGGCCAGCGCTTTGTACAATGTCTTGGCTAGATACCCTAACCAGCAAAAGAACTTGGCCCACAACGTCTCCGTGCACGTCTCTGCTGCTGACCCACCAATCCAGGACCGTGTCTTCGAGATGTTCTCTAAGGTCCACCCAGACCTTGGTGCTGCCATCAAGAAGGAGACCTTGGAACTCGCTCCACGTAAGTAAGAAAGTTTGTATGTCGACGTGAATAATGCATGAAATTCAGTATCTCATTACTCGGTAGCTTTTACTAGTATTATCGGATCACCGGTAATTATTTTGTCAGTGCGGGGAAGATAGACTTCACTCACATGAAGATAACACTGCATTTAATGGAGCCTCACCCCACGCTTACTCAAAACCGAACTACAAATCCTCATTGGTTGTACTAACATGCTGTGGTCGTGTGCGGCTCATAGTCCTCCTCGCGATCCTGGGCACCCAACGGGGAAATACAGCCACAGTCAAGAGAGAAGGCATCCACTACGGTGAATGGTCTTGGAAAATTTATGGAATTTCGGGTTGGAATTGGAAATAAGGAAAACCCTTTATCTATCAACGACAATTTTGTACTCGTAAATTAGCTTTCCCGTGGCGGTTCGTTTGGAGGTAACTCGTTGCTCGACAATTAACCGAGGAACGAGAATCACCGTGGATTGGCTGTTTTTTGAACATATGCCAGAGACCCAAGCATATGTTTAATTGGCTCGAAAGACCGTTTATTTTTCCGGGGACTAGTACCGCTGGTTTTGTGATTTATTCAGCGTTTCGTTCTCTGTATTGAATTGGTGGCTGCAAATTTCCAATTATAGACTGGTTGTACGCTGGCCCTACCTTGTTGCAAAGTGCTACAGTTCACTAAGAGGTCTATAAAGTTAAAGATTATCGTGGAAGTATTGTTCAAATTGTGTGCTCTTTCTAGAAGCAGCTTCTTCACAATGGACCTGTCAACCCTTCTAGACTACCTCTGCCGAAGTACAAACCCATTTAGGCATCTGACGCTATCTGTCAGAGATAGTTGCACTAAATCGGGATCTCATTGTGTTCTTATCAGCGATCCGATGAGTTTTTCTGAGGCTGATACTTGTCTTTGATTCTTCACCTCACCTTTCTCAGGCTTTTCCCTAATGTTCTCTCTGATCAAGCTATCAGTCTTGTCCCACCAACACATCACCCGCCAACACATCACCCACCTTCACTCAACATCCACAATTTCCCCACATTTTCTACATTCAACTCGTCGTGAAATCTCATATTCTATAACCAAAACCTATTCATATCTTAACTGTAGCTGCTTAGAGCTTGGTGGTGTTGCAAGAAGCACACTGGCAGGAAGACCCACATTTGCAGGAAGCACCACAGCAGTTCTTGGTAGGCTTCTCAGTTTTGGCAGCGGTCTCGTTTCTGACTGGAGCAGCAGTTTTAGCTTTAGAAGAACAACACATAATAGTTACTAGAGAAAATTCATGGGGATACTGGTGCCTTTTTATACTTTCGTCGAAAGATAAGACGAGCGCTAGATGCGGGATCTGGGAGCGACGAATTCTGGCGGTTGCCTAATGCGGGAGGTCTGTGCGGTCTGGGGAAAAGGGTCCCACCAAATGGCGTGAGAATGGTAATGTGGGGATCAGTAAGGGAATGCTAGATATATATTCTGGAAATTTGAAGGTGAATTGGATGTAACATTTGGGGTTTAGAGGTTTGTTGTATGGGATTTGGGTGCTTGTACTGACTAAGTTCAACCATTTCGCAGCCATTTCGCTACTTGGAAAGTGTGCTTATAAACTTTTTGGATAGAAGTAGCCAACAAATCCAACACGGCTTTTTGATTATATCATTGGGGTTGATTGCTTATTCTTAGCTCCTTTTTCTCTGAATCCATTGAAATATGCATATCATTCCACAACTTACAGAAGTAATAAAGGATAGTTTGTATTCCTGGGATTATTTACCAAGTGGCTATACCAAACGAATTGAATATTATCTTAAATCATATACTTTTGATCGGCATAGACCAGCTAAAGCCGATAAACAAAATAGGGACTCTTGTCACCCATTGCCATGAGCTCCTCCGGAGGAACGTCATCATACTTGCCCTCTGCAATCTCTCTCAGTCTCTTCTTGTTGATGAAAACATAACTTGCTGCAACCGCTCCAGTTACTAAAATTCCCATACCAGCAAAGCCAATTCCTAAACCATGACCAAGCTTGTAGTAAGGAGCATCTTGAGTTCTGTAGAAGTTGGATGCAAAGACACCACTGAAGTTACCAAGTCCAATCTGGAAGGCCATACCGATAGCTCTCTTGTAAGAACCGGCCAAGTTGTTGGAAAGCCAAATAACGACAAGGGGGAAGGCTGCTGTACCGATGGAGATTGGGTAAATACCACCGTAAACAGAAAGTGGACTGTTGACTGGATCACTTCCAAGACAGACTGCAAAACCAATCGCAATACAAACAAGATCAAATGCCATGAACGGTGCTCTAATGCCGCTCTTGTTGGAGATCTGAGCTTGAGTAACACACCAAATGGATGCAAAAACGAAAGGAGGCACGCCCATAAGTTGAGACTGGGTGGCAGTGTAACCCAAACTGTAAATAATAGTAGGACCGAAAAGGGAGATAGCATTGAGCGGGACGTTACTTCCATACAAGATCAAAAGCTGGCAGTAGACTTGCCAATCCTTGAACACGGCCCAGAAGTATGACTTGCTACGGCTATCATCTTCAGCCAAAGTCTTAACAGGAACATCACCGCCAGTAATTCTCTTAGTGTCTGAATTGGACGAGTACTTGACTTTGTGGATGATGAATCTACGTTCCTTTTCAGTAAGGAACTTGCAATCCTTGGGGTATGATGGGAAACAAGTGAATGCGTAAACACCAACGACAAAGGTAAGCAAACCTTCAAGAATGAAAATCCATCTCCAACCTTCGTAACCTCCAACACCGTCCATTTGAGAAATAGCAGCAGCCAAAAGACCAGAGAAGGCACCGGCCAGGGAAGCAGCACTAAAGAAAATAGCCTGTCTAACCAAAATTTCAGACTTTGAGTAGTACATCGACAAAAGGTAAGAAATACCAGGGAAGAGTGGGGCTTCGAAAATACCCAAAAGCGCTCTTGTAGCTAAAAGCTGGTGGTAGTTCTGGACAGTACCCATCAAGGTCATAACGATGGACCAAATCACCATAGTAGTAGGAATATAGATCTGAGGCTTTGTACGATGTAAAATCATATTTGAAGGCACTTCCAAAGTAGCATAAAACATAAAGAAAATCAACAAACACATATTAAACTGGTTACCCACAAGGTTCAAGTCCTCAGCAAGGCCTTCGATTTTGGCATTACCGATATTACCTCTATCCAAGAAACTCAACAAGTACAACACGGTAAAAAGTGGAAGAAGTCTCCAGTCAAGCTTTCTGCGCAACTTCTTCTCATCGATATCAGAAAAGTCTTCTGTTTCAGGCTCCTGGCTGTTCACAGATTCCGTAGAAATGTAGTTTTTCTTTTCGGTATCGTTCCATTCGTTGGAGGCCACTTCGACCACCACTGCAGATGCGTCTTTAGACATGTTGATGACTATACTGATGAAAAATTAACTTTCCATGGAAACATACCAGTTTTATATCCATCCAGCGATGAGCAGTCGATCTTCGCCAGCAACGCCTTCACCAGAAGAGGAGAAGATTACGAGACCGTTTTCACCCGCCCCGAGTAACTTTCCATGATCTTTCCGGAGTGGGAGGAGTATGGGGGTGGAAAAGGTAAAAATATTATCAAAAAAGAAGTCTATCTCCAATCGGGGCCCAGACAGGAATGCCGTATGGCTGCAAGTTTTTTGCAACCATTCCATTGTAAGTAAGAGATGCGAAACACCACTCTCTGGAGTTCACCGTAGATTCCGCTCCCAGTAAGAAAATGACCAATAACGTGCTTTCAAATCACCCTCCTCTTTCTTTCCTTAACTTCTTAGAACTTCATTTCATGCGGGAGTGACGGTGGGGAAACAACCTCTCGTAAACGCTAAATGTAGATTTCTGGAAGCAGTGCGGGCACTCCGACTCGCTTGGCTTGAATATTATTATAATCTACCACAAACACCGGGATGCCCATCTGGGCATTTCATGAATTTTCCACTCTCCCCTCCATCATAGAACACCATTCACCCATATTGCCCCCATTTTTCCTTCTCTTCCTTGCTTCTTCCCCATCTCTTCCCCTTCTGGAGACTCATTCCATTACCGCCATACAGAGTGTGTACGCACCCTTGAGTCATGGATCTTGCCTTGCCTGATCCCCTCCAGGAACGGCTGGTCTGGGCAGCACCAGAACATATAATATTTGTTATTTTTTGGTCTGCCTAATTCCAAGCGTATTTTGGCCTTTAATTTCTGCCCGTACTTTCATTTTCTTCATCTTTCCTTCTCCATTCCCACCTCTACTGACCTTTCCTGGCCATTACTGGGCCAATTCCGCACTGCGATTTGCACCCAGGATGCCACTTGGGCCCCCGCGTTTGCAGCCATTTTATATCAAGCGATGTTCGTCTATTTCCTACCTTTCGCCCCTCGTCAACCTGGTGGGGCATCTCTAACAATAACCGTTTTTCTCTGATCACGAAGATAATAAAGATGGTATTAGTGGAAGAGAAGGTTGGAGTTACTGGTTCCTGAGAAACCAATGGCTGGCGCGGGCCGCCTCGAGTTAAGCCGTATTTTCTAGGTTTCCAGCTTACGCCGCTGCCGCCTCGGACTTGGTACTCCACGGAAAGTTCGTTTTTTCCACCTTCTCTGTATTTGGCCCCATTACGGTTTGATCTTCCTGTCGTACGATATGCTTAAGCTTCTAGTTTGTGGGTCTCTGGACATCCAGTTGTCCGGTGCGTAGAGCTGGAGGTTGGTCAAGGTAAATGCTTGGGCTTTGGGTCTTTGTGGGGATTAGTTTGGGTTGTGCTTAGATCCGGGTTTCATGATACTCCACCCAATTAGTCTTGCACTGTTTGGGGCAATCCAGCGAACCGTAAATGTACGTTGGTGGTTCACTGGGGGAACGATAAGAGAAGGTTTAGTAAGCAATGGGTGGTTATCTGAATCTCCTTTCGTCCTGGAAGTCTGCTTGGAGGTTAAATTTCATTGAGGGGAGTCAAGTGGATGGGTTGGTCAAAGTCTGCCATTCCACCTCTAAAACTGCCAGAACCAACTTTCTCCAATTCTTCATCAATGGAATAAGAAGATAGGTGGTTTAGAAGAAGTTTTATGGTAGCGGCATTGGTCACAGTTTTATATCTATAGTTTCTGTGGCTCTTGGGGGATTTTTCCGACGGGGAATTCAAGGATTGGCAAAGAAAGTGACCAATAAAGCTTATACCACCGTGAAAAGGTGAATTCAGCTGGGCCGAGGGTTTCCTTAAGAGAGACAGTTGCCTGTTGGTTTGTCGGGGTTTGAATAATTTGTCTTTTGCTGTTTTGTGGGACTAGAATGACAGAGAGAGTACAAGATCGAATGGTGCCAAGTACATGGACCAGGTAGTATTCCTTGGCTGCACTAAGCTAGAGATATAACCTCCAAAGAGATGTAACTACTGAAGCGTTGATGTCGTTTTGAGGTTTAGTGAGGAACAAAGCCCTTCAGCAAAGCGGTAAAACACTCACTATGGGGTAACAGTGTATAGAGAAGCCTCCTTTGGCTTTGACCAAAGTCGATCTCTCTACTCAAGCGAAGATTCCATGCTTAAAATGACTACTGAGGCTTGAGTTAATAGCTTGATCGCCTCAAGCCAGGATATTGAGGGCAGGGTATTCAGAACCAGGAAGAGCTTCAGACAAAGAACAGTCTCAAACACAGATCACATACCCAGATCAGCTTCAGACACACAAGCTGGCAGCCAGTATACATCCATTACCGACTATCTCTGCCTCTGCCAGCATAATAACTCATTTCTCGTCATATCAAGAACTACGAACGCCTAGAGCAATCTGACATAGAACCTCATCAGAGCTCACCAATGAGGTCATACGTCCTTCCTCCATCCTACATATCATGACCAGCCCAAGGCTTCTAGAGCTACGAATGCTAGACGATGCCGCCAATAATTGCCAGTCTACCAAGCAAGTCTAGCTCTACTCCCAGTCTGGCCCGAATATGGGGCCAGATGCGATTTGGGGTTGCCTGAACCTATCCCCACAGCAATTTAACCTTCAGTGCCTCCAATCAGCCGCCCTGGAAAACCTTGGAACCTTGGAATCTTGGAACCCTGGTCAGCCTTACAAAAGCTCTGTTCTTTATTCCACAAAACTCCAGTGGGGGGTGAACGCCTCAGTTCTCTGCTTCTCCAAGCCTCCAGACCAGATCGTCTTGGCTCTGTCGCTTCTCCCAAAGCAGTGGCGTGACGACTTCTCTTTGGGACCAAACCGTAGCTTTTTGCGACGCGTTTCATCACAAAAGTCATGTTTCTTTCTGTTTCTTTTTTAAGAGCAACCGCCTGAAACTATCCTTGCTGAGTTTTGTGCCCTTGCTGCTTGTGTCTTGGCTGCGAAAGAGGCTCAGACGCACCGAACTCCACAACCGAGTCCAAGCGAGGTCCCACCATAGTTGGTCGACACGGCTAGGCAATGATATCAGGGAAAGAGCATCCCTTGGGAAGCTTAAGTAGATATTTTTATGGACCCTCTTTCCCTCCAAATCTTCATGCCCTGACGTGTCTTGCTCGTGGGGTTCCCCTTGCGCTTTGCAGCCAAAAAAAACTGAGCACACCCCATCCTTCGCTGCTCAGCCCGCCGGACGAATGCCCTCCAAATTTACGGCTGCTCTGGCCACAGAAATGGCCTTCATCGAACGTCCTCCCCTATTGTGGAAAAACCTGTGTCTTTGTGATGCCTTTTTTTGTCACTTATTGTGCACATTCTCATGCTCCCGTCCGTCACCCCGAGGCGCGGTAGCGGTAGCGGTTGCTGCCGATGCCTATATAAGGACGAGACATTTCGCAGCCATATACTTCTTGCTCTCCTATCTTCATCAACCTTAACGTTAATTATTAATCATGGCTGATATTGTTTCTGGTCTTAACGGTGCTATCAACACAATCACTTCTGGTGCTGTCGGCGTTGCTGACGGTATCACCGGCAATGCTGTGAGCATTGGTGAGGATATCACGTCTAGAGGCGGTCAGTTCGCTTCCGACGTGACTTCTGGCGCTGTGGGTGCTTTCGACACGGTCACTTCCGGCGCTGTGGGTGGCTTCAACACTGTCACCTCTGGTGCTGTTTCTCAGGCTAACCAGATCACTTCTCGTGCTGGTTCTGTGGCCCTGGGTGCTGCTACTGCCGACGAGTCTGGCTCTGCTAGCGCCGCCACCGCCCTTTCTTCCATCAACTCGGACCTTGACTCCTTGGGAAACTCTTTCTCCTCGGGCCTTTCTTCTGCCAGCGCTGCTGCCTCTGGTGACACCTCGGGCTCTGCTTCCGCTTCTGGCTCTGGTTCTGGTTCTTCTGCTAGCGGTTCTGGTGCTGCTGGCGGTGCTGGCGGTGCTCGTTCTTCTGGTTCTGGCTCTAGCAGTTCCGCCTCTGGTTCTGGCTCTGGTTCCAGCAGCTCTTCCAGCGGTGACTCCAGCTCTTCTGGCGACAGTGGTGCTGCTGGCCTTGACTTGGCTAGCTCTTGGAAGAAGAGTGCCGCCGTTGCTGCCATTGTTGGCGCCTCTTTCGTGTTCTCTTTGTAGATTTAACTAAAAGACAATAAATAATGACTGATTTGAATTCTTGTAGACGCGTTGCCGAGGCTCTTCGTCTGGGCATACCAAGACCAATGCTTGCCATACCTGAAGTTCACCAGAAACTCAACGTAGTTCGCCTAACACAATGGAAGTATTTCAAAGAATGTTACCAAAGCTGGTCCCTCCCTCTGTCAACACATTCAAGTTTGTCACTTTCGCAGCCAAAATAGACTTCCCATAGTTAAGCATTCGCAGCCAAATACCAGGTACCACAAGACACACAAAAATCACCCAAAACGATGCATTGAATCAACCGATAATTTGCCAAGAGTCAGTTCCCATCGCATCGCTTCGTTCGATCCTGTCAGGCGCTTTCTATGCCGAGGAGCCCTCCGCGGATGGTAATTCTGCCAAGTTTAAGTACTACACGGTTATACACGGTTTGGCGAGAGAGGGGAGCTTTTTCGTTTCGCAGCCACCATTCCAGACCGCCAGATGTAACAAGAGAACGCGAGCACAAGACGAGAAAAAGGAAAGAGAACAGGGTGAATGGAGAAAAGGTAAAAGCCAAAAGGCCAAAGCCAAAGCCAAAACCAGCCGTAAGGAATCCAAACAACAACATAACCAGCAGAAAAAGCATTGAAAGTACCATTTGCTCTTGTGACAGTATGACGTAGGGTACTGGTCTGCGGGTGATCGTCCTGGTTCCCTGTAACAAGTCTCCAACCAGAAGCAGTCTACCACCAAACCAGCCCCAGCAAACAACCAACCAAAACACTCAACCAAAACAACCAGGGGCTTCCTTTACAGCCCTGTTAGCCGCTCGTGGAACTCAAAATCAAGAAAAACCCACCACCACAAAAGGAGCCATTAAACGTCACATACTGGTCTGTAGCGCGTCTAGTCTTGAGAACCAGATCCACGCAAATCACATCCAATCTTCCTCTTGCTTGCTGTTTCAGTTCACCCTCTTGACGTCACATACACAATGATCGATCCCGATCAAGACCCTGGCCGATTGACCTCTGCTTCGAGAAAATACCAATGGTGAATGTGAATTGTTTGCACCCATTGCGTTCTGCGGTACCTGCATTTTCTGACTGCCGTTACTCCACACAGCGAAAACACAAATAATCCAGCAACCGCGAGAGATCGTTCACCCTCCATACAATCCCACCCACACCCGCTATGAAGGGCTTCACATACACAGGCCGGGCCCAGCCGAGCCGTTCATTGGCCATTGACTTGTCACAGCCATATTTTGGGCTTTTATACATGAACCCTGTCAAAGCCTACCCAGCGCCGTGTTGACTTTTATCCCACTGCCTCGTTTCGCGTTGGAGCCCACTGGCTGCAAATTGGGCCTAGGAAGGCCTTTGGGCATTTCGAGTCGACCCTTGGGTCGACATTTGAGTCAAGAGCAGTAACTCCTCCAATTCAACCTCCAATTTCAGTCACTTCCTTCACCTACCCCTTCTAAATATATCGCTTCTATAAATTCACCTTCCACATCCGTCTTCTTTCCTGTTCTATTCTCGAAAACACAGCCCAGCAATGGTGGTGTTCTCAGCCTAGCCTGTCTGCCATTCTTTTTTTGGCGCACCGGTTTTTCCCCTGCGCGAGATTCTGGCTGCGAAACCAGGGGTACCTGAACCCAGAAAGCTTCGATATTACTCAAAATCAGGCCCAGCTTTTTTGACATCACTGTTGAAAGCTGTCAAAGGGTTGGAATAGACCAGCTTATTTAATCTTCAAAAACACCTTTGGGCCGGAAACTGGCGGTTTCCTGCTTCCACCTAGGCTGTGTGCCTGCGTGTATATGGTGATATTTGCAGCCTCCACCCTACTGTGCCAGAATGAATGGCTGCGAAACCAGTCTCGCTTGAGTATATAAGGGCGCCGTTTCTCTCCCCCTGGTTCGTGTTTTTCTCTTTAGTATTTCTTTATACTTTTACTTTACTACTAATACTAATAATAATGGGTTTCAACGCTATCAACTACGCCGTTTCTGACGCTCCAGGTGCCGCTGGTGCCCCAGGTGGTGGTGGTGCTGCCGCTACTGCTTCTCCATCTATTCTTCCTGGTGTTGGTTCTGGCTCTGGTTCTGGTTCTGACTCTGGTGCCGGTGCTGCTGGTCAGGATGGCCAGGCTGGTGCTGGTGACCAAGGCATTGCTGCTGCTGCTTCTGGTGACACTGCTGCTGCTGGTGCTCCAGGTGCTTCTGGCGCTCAGACCGCTGCTGCTTCTTTGCTTGGTGGTGCTTCTGGTGCTGGTGCTTCCGGTATTGCTGCCCTTACTGAGGGTGGTGCCTCTGGCGCCGCCGCTGCTACTGGTGCCGCTGGTTCTGGCGCCGCTGCCGCCTCTGGTGCTGCTGCTTCCCTCACTTCTGGTGCTGGCGCCGCAGGTGCTTCTGCTACTTCTGGCCTTGGTGGTGCTGCCGGCTCGGCTGGTGCCATTGGCGCTTCTGGTGCTTCCGGTGCTGCTGCCTCTGGTGCTTCTGGCGCTGCTGGTGGTGCTTCTGCTGCTTCTGGCTCTGGCGGTGCCGGTGGCATTGCTACTTTGTCTGACTCTGAGGAGAGCGGTTCTGCCTCTGGTGGCTCTTCTGCTTCCGGTGGCTCCTCTGCCTCTGGTTCTGGTGGCTCTGGCTCCTCTGGTTCCGCTTCTGGTTCCGGTGCTGGCGGTGCTGGCTCTCGTGCTACAAGCTCTGGCTCTGGTGGTTCTTCCGCCTCCGGCTCTGGTTCTAACTCCAGCTCATCTGGCTCTGGTGGCTCCAACTCCAGCTCATCTGGTGACTCTGCTGCTGCCGCTATCTTCGAGCAGGGCTCTTGGAAGAAGGGTGCCGCTGTGATGGCCATCGTTGGTTTCACTTTCGTTTTCAACTTGTAAGAGTAAACCTAGAAAAATGTTTATAAGCCGGGCTTAAATGAATGAATAATAATGGAAACATCGTTGTAGAGCTCTGACGCGTATGGTTGCAAATTGATGCGACTGCTTAAGATATAAGGTACGAACTGGTTCCCAATCGACCAGAAAAAAAAGGACTGAAACCTGACACAGCCTATAAGTGAACGGCCAACCTTATTCTGTGTTCCTCTTTTTCTATTCCTCTCTGTTTTGTGCAACATCCATCACCTGCCATAGTTTATCAGAGTGGACTGCATTAAGCTGGAGGGCATCAACTTTTATCAAAGACTTGATACTTCACTTCTACCCAGCGTAATCATCATGGCTCGCCTTGCTAGACAACAGATAGATCCAGATGATATATCTGATGACGATAAACCTCCTCAGACAGGCCATACTTTCAATATATGGTACCATAAGTGGGCTGGAGGAGACCGGTCTTCGAACAACACTGTAAGACTGAAACATCGTCTTAACGTGCTGAAAGATTCGGGTCAGACCAGGGGAAACGATTTGAAATCACCTATTTGTCTATATTTTGCTCGTGGATGTTGCTATAAGGGGAAAAATTGTCCTTTTTTGCATAGACTACCGAAAGCTACAGATAATGTGATTCCAGCGAAAGACTGCTTTGGTAGAGATAAGACAGCCGATTATAAGGACGATATGAGTGGACCGGGTCTGTTCAATAGAGTCAACAAGACCCTTTATATCTCAGGGCTTCATATAAACGATGACATTGAGGAAACGCTATCGAACCAGTTTGGGGAGTTTGGCTCCATCGACAGAGTTCGTGTTCCAACCCATAAAGCAATTGGCTTCGTCATGTTCAAGCATGAGCTGGAGGCACAGTTTGCCAAGGAAGCCATGGACGGCCAAACCCTTGATGGGACCGATACCTTGACTGTTAGATGGGCCAATAGTGATCCCAATCCAAGTGCTCGACAACTGAGTAAAAGAACGGCCGAAGACGCTGCATTAAGCACTGTTAAGAAGTTGCTTATAGCAGAGCCATCCAACAAACGCTTTAAAAAGGAGGATTCCCCGGCCAACGTGTATTTCATTAGGCCGGTGAATGACATCCCACCACAAAACGACTCTGAAGAGAGTGACAACGAACCAGAGGAGGAACAACCTTCTTCTAGGGGTCTCTTTGGATCTGCTAGAATGGCGGCTTTGACGAAGTTGCAGTCACCGAAGCCAATGGGTAGACCCAAAACGGCTGGAAGAAAGCCAGATCCGAGAAGATCCCGCAAACCCCAATTCCAGTCAAAATCTGCAATCAACTCGCATTTTGGTGGCTATTCAAGTGATGAAGATTAAGTTGCAGCCGACGATAAATACCTCGTTGCATCTCTTAACCAATCAGGCACTTTTTTGCCGCCTCTACTCAAGAACTTCTTGAGGTCTATAAAAGTATCCTTGTCGCCATCATCGATGAAAGTATGACTGGCGCCATGCTCCCCAGCACGTCCCGTACGTCCAATCCTGTGGATGTATTCTTCGAACTTGTTGCTCATTTGAAAGTTAACAACTAGCGAAACGTGAGGGATATCTATACCTCTAGCGGCCACGTCTGTCGCTATGAGAATGGAAGCAGTCTTGGAGCGGAACTTCTCTATGGCAGCTTCTCTGGCTTCCTGACTCTTGGAGCCATGAATTGTAACAACACTCTTTAGATTCTTGTCCGATAGGTCTTCAGCCAACAGCTCAACCACCCGCTTGTAATTAGCAAATATAATCACTGAGAAGTTAGCATTCCGCTTGTGCTTCTCCAAAACCTGAACAAGTTTCTGTAGTCTGTTAGCATCGACCTCTTGTTTATCTGAGAGTGCTGGGCCCATGTATTCAAACAGCTGGTCAATAGTATCCACAAGCTCGTTGGCGTTTCCAATGAAGAGGAACCCTGGATCAACCAAGTAGTTCTTGGTCATCTTCTCGATAGTAGGAGTGATTGTGGCAGTAAACATGACAGTCGTTCTTTTAGAAACACGTAAGATTCTCAGGTCGATGCTCTGCTGAAGGTGTTCTGTCGTTGGCAAGTACTTGAGGATCTGGTTCAAAGACTTCTCGAACCCCATATCGATCATCTTGTCTGCCTCGTCCATAGTAACATGGTAGCACTTATCGAGGCTGATAATACCTCTTTCTAGGGAGTCGACAAGTCTTCCGGGAGTCGCCACGACGATATGAACGCCGTTTCTAAGGGAATGGATGGTTTCCTCATACTTGTGTCCACCGATCACAGTCACCACAGAAAGCCCCAAACGGTCAGTAAACCGCTGAGTTTCTCTGGCAATCTGAAGCGCCAATTCACGCGTAGGCGCTAGGATAAGTCCTAAGGTTTTGTTGTTGTTTGCTTCCTGAGTATGTTCATGCTTCATGTACTCAGGCTCGATATTTAAGATGTACGATAGAAGGGGAACCACGAACGCCAATGTCTTACCTGAACCAGTCTCGGCGACGCCCACGACGTCTCTGTTTCGTAGAACCAAGGGAAGTGCAGCTCTTTGGATAGGCGTGGGTTCCTTGTACTGGAGATGGTTGACTAGGATGTCAAGTATGCTTTTCTGGATCTTAGGATCTTCGTTCCAAAACCGTAGCGGGTCGCCAATATCACGGCCTTTACTTGATATATTATAGTCGTCTCTAAATATCCTCCAATCTCTAGCAGTCATATCTTGAAGTGGTTTCTGGGACCAGTGTTTCTCAGGTATCGTCTCCACGACACGTCTGCTTGGCTGCACTGTTACCAAAGGCAGGTAACTCGCCGAAGTATCTTCTTCCTCGTCCCAGTCAAAGTTATACTTAGGTGCCTTCTTTACCTTTTTCTCTTCCTGTTGTAGCTTTGGTTCACTCTCTGGTAGAAGACGCTTCTTTTGCAGTGGAGTGGTGACATTCTGAGTCCCGTTCTTCTTCAATTGCTGGCGTTGTTTTTTTGATAAGAAGCGTGGTTTTCCAGCATCTTCACCCTGCTTTATCAAGTCTTCCACGGAAACTGGACGGGACATGGCTGCTGGAGGATGGTTGTTTAGAGGGCCAGTAGTTAAGATCGATGGGTGCGAAGAGCTAAATCTGGGGCTGCTGGAAAGTGAACAGCGTGGGGGAGTACAGGGTATTGATGGGTTAATAGTGGGTTGGTTTGATTCTATGGAGAGTGGAGTTTATGGATTATGCTTTTATGGAGCTTTTTTGGCCTTTGTTGGTGGATTCTCTCGGTTTATACGGGTAGACAGTTGATGGATTACGGTTGCGAAACCATCCACAGCGTATCATGGGAACTTCTCCGTTCCATTTACATCTTTTTTATCTAGAATGTCATTAGTAATCTCTATGGATAAAATCTCGTGAATAAATAGTCTTGTTAGGTTCTGCTGGGCCACTTCTTGTGGAACAACGAAACGCCAATAATCGCCACAACTAGGAACAAAGCGAGTGGACCGGTTACCGAAAAGGTACGATCGTAACACTTGTATCCCTGGGTGCATACCAAAGAGCCATGCTCGACTTCAGAGTGCTTGTCGTAGTTATAGCCAAAGAACTTTGTGAAGAGAGTAAGACCTGGTACTGTGGAGGAGTACATGATTCCCCAAAGTAACGAATAGTTCTTCATGGAGAAGAGGTCTGCAATGATTGCTGGTAATGATGTGAAACCGAATCCATAGGCATACCCGATAAGCGTGGAAATGAGTGCCAAATGGATATTAAACTGGAAAAGCAGCAGCGAGTAGCGCTCGATGGGGAATATAAGTGAAGAGTGACCAGCACCCATCAATACCAAGGCAAGCACAAGCACAGAGTGGCGCTTCCATCCATGTTTATGGACCAAGTAGTCAGCGAGTGGTCCAGAAGAAAGACGTCCAATAAAAGAGCCAATGGCAATAAGCGAGACGTGAAGCGCTTGGAGCGAGCTGAACGATGGAATGTCAGATATTTCACTAGCTTTGATTTGAGCATGGGTGAAGTAGTAGTACACCGCTTTAAGAATGTATCCCACTGTGTAAATGTACATCTGACCAAGACCCTGGAACACTGCAATCAAAACAAAGTGAGACCAGAAAACTCTATGAGTAAGAATCTCCTGAAGTTCAAGGTGGTGGTAAGGGCCAACCGGGCCAGCCTCAGGAGCCATTCTTGAAGGTTCACCCACTGGTCCTTCTGCTTCATCCAAAAGCTGGGAGAACTCTGCACCGATCTTGTTTTCTTCGTGACCTGGGATCAGAATGAAGATAACACCCACAAACTGCATCACAAACGAAGACAAGGCCAATACAAGCAAGAAGGCGGCGATGTCTCCTTTCAATATATGCGAGCAGATGAATGAGTAGAGCAAACTTGCAATGGCAAACAGCGCAATGGGCACGCTCTGAGCCAGACCCTTATACTTTGGAGAGTTGACAGTGACTGCTTTAATAGAAGCAAAGTAGCTTGCCGTGGAGCCTGCGCCCACGAGGAACATCAGGAAAATAAGCATCCAGTTGTGTGCTGATTCACCTTGAAGAAAGAGCCTGTGAAGCCAGAAGTACCCAGAAGATACTAGCAACCAGCCACTGGCGACAGGGATCCTTGAACCATACGTATCGGTGATGTAGCCTCCTACCAAACCGCCCAATGCCGAACCGACCGTAGCAGCGATGTTCAAGTTAGCAGCCAGAGACGAATCAAGACCACATTGGTTAGCAAGCTGAGGGCCATAAACTGAGTAGACAAAAAGGGCTCCTGAAGAAAGGCCCACTGGAATGGACGATGCAATTACCAGTGCCATGATAAGGTGTAACTGGAAAGTGTGGAATTTGGTTCACCAGCTGAAGGTGTGGACGGGGTACCACTTGACTCTTCTCAGAACGAGTCAGAGCAGAGTCTAAAAAAAAATTATCAACACAATGTGTGCTTGGGGATATTCTTAAACGGAAAAGTCGTAGATCTAAGCGAAAACTCTATTTGTTGTGGAAGAAGAAGAAGGAATTTAGTTGATATTTCCGCTTATCTATATCCAGCGCGCCCGTGCCGTGTGCCAAAGCTGGAAGGGTGAATTAGGGGTTACATTGTGGTGAAGTAGCCATAAATGAAGTGAAGTACAAAAAGGGGATTATAGGTTTTCGGTAATGGAAAAACTTGCCTCCTTATTTCAAGAAAACATGAACAAGGGAACGAAAATGGCTTATGCTTGGCTGCGAAAGGTGGAGCTGTGGTTGCAAAGTGTGGTACAGGGGTAACAGCGGCTGTGAAGCTTATTTACGAAAGAGAAGCTGTCAAGTAGGGAAATGACTTGGTTGACGTAGAATCCAAAAGATGACAGTTATCGACCTTCTTCAGCGTCTTTCTATCTTTAACGGTAGACCGTGTGGCTCATGCACTATGCGAAGAGTATCATTCCGTTGTTTGCTTGGTAGTGACACAAAACACGGGGTAGATTTCTGGGACCTGTCAAGGAAGAAAGTGGCAGGTTGACGTGTAGACTGGATGGAAGGCGGTGAGGAAGATTGGAATGGATAGTGTTTTGGCTGAAGGTGTACTGGAAGGGGGCAGCGAAGGGGTTGGGACAGCCTGAGTACTCTGACTCTGTCGTGGTACTTGAAAAATGGTCTACTTTCGGTGTGAAGGTGATCCTTGAGTATTGGAAAAGGCTTTAAGATCTCTCTGGTGGCCGTTAATATAGCCAAGAAGAGCTTGGCTGTTGTTTGTTGTTTCCTCTTTCTGCTCAGGCCACCATCCTTCATCTCCAAGGCAATCCGAACGCTTCAACTTCCGTCCTCCAGCTGGCTATGCTTTAAACTCCTCTCCCAATCATCACTGCTTCCATCCCATAAACTTCAGTTGATGTTCGACGGAATTGTTGTTCCCTCACAGCTTGGCCTCTTCTCAGAGAGTGTGTGATACCAGGAGACACCAAAATGGCATCCGAAGTGCTTTTTCGGCTTCTTTGAACGGCACGGCAAATATGATAATCAAGATAATAATATAAATATTATTTATCTAAAAGGACCCTCAACGTCCTAGTAAAGATACTTTCAAGATTCATGCTTTAGTCGCCCTCTAATTCGTGGTTATGGAAGTAAGCGTGCTCTTGAGTGACATGGGGCCATTGACTTCGGCTAATGATTCGGCTTAATTAACTGGGCATATTGTGGTAAAATTGGATGTTTTTTGATGGTTTCTGTATCATGGGTTATTATCTATTTGATCCACTGCAAGTGAACTTCTCACTCCCAATCCTGGACCCCAATAGGCTATATTGCTTGCAGACTACATACGTCAAAACGTACGTTTATGCTTCTTTTCCGCTCTACGGCTAATGACGGCTATTGTATTACGCTGTGTGCTTCCCCGCTTTCTCGTAATTGTGTGTTTGTGCACCAGCGAGCTCTGAGACCAAGATTTTGCAGCCATTAATTCTAACCTCAACAGAGCTATAATTAAACAACTTGGTCTCTAACTGTAGATAGAATGCTTTTTGGAAGCAAATATCGAAAATTCAAGTCTCCAGCTTGTATGTGTGTTGCGTAATTGTAGTCCAAACTTTTGCTATTTCGCAGAGGTATACCGAGTTTTCCCCCCTTTTCTCGGCCTTATACTTTCCTAAAATTATTTGCCGAACCAAAAATTGGGGTATTTAAGGGCGCCCACCCCCCAGTTTTTCTCATCTTTTTTCTCTACCACTTTCTTTTCCTCCTGAGAGTTTGAAACTTGCCTGGCAACAACTTTCGAACACAAACTCAGCAACGCCATCTACAATGGCACAACTCTTCACCATTCAGCTCCCCATTAACCAAATGGGTAGCTTTTCTAACAACAGTATCGACACTTCGAAGACGACCTTGGATATCCAGTTGGATAACGAGGAACTCCAGAAGTTCTTTCTTCATTATTCTCAACTGACCTCTAGCCCTCAAGCTAGAACCCTCTTCCAGTCGAAGATTGACGCCCAATTGGCCGAGCTTGTCACAAAGCCCGTTTCTTCGACTGAAATTATCCCCGCTACAACCACTGGGACGGTTGTGAGCGACGAATCTAATGTTTCAGGCCTGAGCTCTGGAAACGGCGCTTCTGAAACCTTGGTAGGCGATATTCTCGTCCCCAAGAAGCCAGTTTCCGACCTCTTTGCTTTAAAGAAGGCAAACCATGTTCCATTTTTTGGCCCTGACCAATTCAAGTCTTTTGTGGTTCCACAGGAGGTCTTGGAGTTTCCCGGTTCCAATTTCTGGTTTGATATCTTCTCTAAAAAGCAGGTTGAGCGTCCTTTGACCTTCAAGCCTACTCGGACAGCCCCCAAGATCACCCTCTTGGTCGAGCAGTTCTCGAGAGAGTACGTTCGTACTCAGAAGGCTATCAGAGCTCCTGATGTTTCTCTGAAGTTGGCCATGTCAACAGTTCAGACGAAGACGGATGCCTCTGAGAAGGTTCAGATGGTCAACTTGCAGCCTGGTCTGTACTACCACTTTAAGAGACTTCTCAAGTTTCAAAAGTACTACGATCAGTACAAGGACTACTTGCCTCTGGTTGAAAGAGCAGAGAAAGCTTATGGTTTATCTGGTGAACCAGTTACTGCTCCAAAGCCAAAGACTGTTGCATTGGAAGAGGCTCCTATCGTTAAGGTTTCACCGGTTGAAACCAAGAAGCCTTCTCCCAAGACATCGCCTGTTGATGTCGCCAAGCCATCAGTGACTAAACCTGTGTCTGCCAAGGCACCCAAGTCATTTGCAACTTCCATTCCAGTTGTTCCTAAGGGACCAGTTCCTTCCAAAGTACCCAAGGTTTCTGCTTGGGGAAAGAAGGTCGATTACAAGCAATGGAGGTTGTCTTCTGATGATGATGAGGAGGAGGAGACTCAATCTGAGACTCCTAAACCCGAGACCACCGTGGTTTCTGAGGCCCCCAAGACTCCTCTGGCTTCTTCCACTGAGGAAGTGAAGCCTGTTGAGCCTGTCACCTCAAAGCAGCCTAGCAGCGAGGAACAGAAGCCCAACATCACTGGCGGAAAGTTTCAGCCAGGCCAGTACACTCATTTCAGGAACCTCCTTAAGTTCCAGAAGTACTATGACTGCTACAAGGGTTACATTCCTCTTGTTGAGCAGGCCGAGAAGGACTTTGGCTTGACTGACGTTGCTCCAATCGTCAACCCTTCTTCCAACAAGCCAGTTTCTGTCGCTGAGCCCCTCCAAGTTTCTGAAATCAAGGAGGAGCTTACTGAATTAGTTGAGGAGTCTGTTGTTGTTGATCTGCCAGCCAACAACTTGCAAGTTAGCAGTTTCTCATACTATCACCACTTCACAAAGCTCCACAAGCTTTGTGAGTACCACCACACCTACCATAAGTGCATTCCTCAGGTGAGTCAGGCTGTCAAGGCTTGTTACTCGCCCATCGTTGAGATCTCTCCTGTTGAGATTAAAAATGCTTCTACTAGGTTGGTGTGTCCCGCCTCTGAAGGCACTAAGAAAGCCTGTGCTTCTGGTCCTTCTAAGGCTCTCAGGCCTTCGGTTGAGCTTAAGTCGCTTCCTCCCTTGGATGTCTCTCTGTTGGCATCCCTTTTGCATGCTTCTGGTCCAGCCTCAGCTGTTTCTAAGGCACCCGAACCTTCTTTGGTCGCTTCTAAGTCTTTGGATAAGCCCACGTCGTCTTTGAAGGCCCCCAAACCTTCGGCTACTCCTAAGTCTTCGCCAAAGAAGCCTTCTCCACCAAAGCAGCCTTCTCCTTCGAAGGTGCCTAAGTCTTTCTCGACTTCCATTCCAGTTGTTCCTAAGGGACCTGTTCCCTCAGCTGTGCCCAAGCTTTCTGCCTGGGGTAAGAAGACGGACTTTAAGCAGTGGAGATCTTCTGACGATGAAGAAGATGATAAGACCGTTCCTGAGACTGTTGTTGTCTCCAAGACTACTGAGGTGCCTGAACCTCCCAAGACTTCTTTGGCTTCTGTTCCTCCTAAGGAAGAAGTCAAGCCAGTGGACTCTCCACTGAAGACTCTGTCCGGTAGAAGATTGCAGCCGGGCCAGTATACTCACTTTAGGAACCTTCTCAAGTTCCAGAAGTACTTTGACTGTTACAAGTCGTATGCTCCACTTGTTGAACAAGCCGAAAAGGACTACGGTTTGTCTGACGTCGCTCCAATTGTGGATCCTTCTTTGAGCAAGCCTGCTCAGCCTGACACTGAACTCCTCCTCCTTCCTGACCTTAAGGAAGAGGTTGAGGTTGTCGAGAAACCTCAAGTTGTTGATCTTCCTACCAACAACTTGCAAGTTAGTTGTTTCTCCCATTACCATCATTTGAAGAAGCTTTTCAAGCTTCTTGACTATTGTGGGACTTACCATCAGTATGTTCCTCAAGTGACTCTGGCCGTCAACGCTTGTCACACTCCTTTGATTGACATTCTTCCAGTTACACTTCAAGGAGCTTCCATCAGCTTCAATATTCCCAAGAATGTCATCTTTCCCATTCATAAAGAATTGGTACTTCTTGAATGGGCCAAGATTGATGTACCGGTTGCATCCCTGGATGAGTCCTCTTCAAACTCGTCCCCTGTTCTTTCAGACGACAATTTAATTCCTGTGGTTTCCCTGTCTCCAGATGCTGAATCCCCCAAAGCATCAAAAGACGAAGCCCATTGCATTGAGACCCTGGTGGCCTCTCCCGTCCTGAAAAGACCTAAATCGCCGTCAGCCTCCAAACTCTCCTACCCTAGTCATATGTCTTCTAAGGAAAAATTAAGAAGGGAGAGAAGATTGAGAGCTGCGGGAAACAAAAAAGTTCCTGGTTCTCCGTTGTTGGGAGACCTTTCGCCACTTCTGATGAAGACTGGTTCTGTTAAGACATGATATTCATGCATAAGAGGCGGTGCCCCTAAGTTAGCACTCGTCCAAGAAAATAATAGGTAATAAAGAAATAAATAAGTAAACTGTAGAAGTAGAGAAAAAAAGTGGGAAGTGGTTGTGACAAATTAAAGTGGAGTTGGCTGGTCCATGAAGAGTTCGTCAAGTATTCTTCTTAGTCACTGTTCAGCTAAAGCTCTTGGCCACAACTATAGAAGGATCTATTGTAAGCTTTACGATTTTTTTGCAAGATTATTAAAGTTTCAAGCACGAAATCATCAACATCGGTACTACTTCGACACCTGGTGTGGCTGATTTGCACCCATTTAAGGTCGCAGACGAGATCCCAAAACGAACAGTAACAAACACAGCAGCACTTGTAAAAGATAGTCATGAATTCATCTTATCAAAGGCATAAACCTACCAATCGTTCGATTATTGGTATAAAAAAGGAGAATTATCTGTTTATTCAGCTTAATGTTGGCCCACAAGTGCACTGACTGAGACAAGATAAGCTCTCCACCTCCACGCTACACTGAAGCCTTTCTGGCACCACAGCCACTTCCCAAAACCCAATTTCCTACACTATCAACAACTGAAAATTTTTTACCGTTCCAATTTCCAAAGAAGGACCAGAGAGACCCGAATAAGGTTATATTGGAGTGTGATCACGTGATCGTTTTCCCAAATCTACCGGTCGTGTCCACACCCGTATGTCGAGAAAATTTCAACACTGACAGTAGAAAAAATCCTTTCCCCAGAAACTTCCCCAAGTCCCGAACAAACATGCCAATTGATCCAGAGAAGTTAGCCAAGTTGCAGAAGTCCAACCCTAAGAAGGTCGGTGGTGCCAGAGTTAAGGCCAAGAAGGTCGTCAAGGAGGTGGACGACGTCAAGCTCGTTGAGGCCTTGGGTAAGTTGAAAGCTACCAAGGTCGAGGGCGTTGAGGAGGCCAACTTCTTCAAAGACAATGGCAAGGTTTTGCACTTCAACAGAGTCGGTGTTCAGGCTGCTTCCCAGTCCAACACTTTTGCCTTCACTGGTTACCCACAGGAAAAGGACATCACCCAGTTGATCCCAGGTATCTTGCCTCAGTTGGGTGCTGAGAACTTGGAGGCTTTGAGAAAGTTGGCCGAGCAGATCCAGGGCGGTAAGGCTCCTACTGAGTTGAACGCTGGTGCCGAGGGTGGTGACGAGGACATTCCAGACTTGGTTCAGGGCGAGAAGTTTGACGATGTCGAGTAAGAAAAAGGAAAGATGTATATACGATACAGCAGAGGGTTGACGCCTGCGGAGGCTCTCTGGCGTAGCATTAATTCACGAAATGCAACAAGACGACGAAGTAGACGATGATTTTGAGGAATAGCCGCTGGTGGTGCTGATTATGCATGAACTACACCTCTGATCTTTGATTCTGCCTATTATGTATATTCCTTGGTTGTTCTCAGTTCTTCACGGACAGTGTTCGGGTCTCCATGGCATGGTTCCTGCCATTGCTCGCCTGAAATGCTCTTTATTTCTATTAGTGTTGGCATGCCTTGCATGTCAGTTATCATGGTAACATAGTGTTTAGCCTGTTTATGGCGCATGGTCGCCAGCGTTATGTATGGAGATATCCAGCTCAGCCTTCACGTCCACGAGGTCCAGAACGTCGATACAAGCGTCCACGCTCAAGCCCTTGGTCACTTCCTTCAATCTCTGATTCTGTGCTCTGATCTTCTCCAACTCCTGGATGTAGTTGTCCTCTGGACCAGTGATGTACTGACCAGTGAAGACACCAACCTCAAAGGTCAGGGTCTTTTCGCTTGTACAACAGTCGATCAAGTCTTGGAGATCCTGGTAGAAGACCTTATCGGCGCCAATGACGTCGGCAATCTCCTTCTCGGTTCTATCGAAACCAACAAGAGCCTTAGTATCAGCCAAGTCAATACCGTAGATATGGTTGAAACGAATAGGTGGGGCACAAGAGGCGATCATGACCTTCTTAGCACCGGCCTCACGGGCCATTTGAACGATTTCCTTAGAGGTGGTACCTCTGACGATAGAGTCATCGACCAACAAGACGTTACGGCCGTTGAACTCAGACTCCATAGCGTTCAACTTTCTTCTCACACTCAGGCGTCTTTCTTGCTGGTTAGGCATGATGAAAGTACGGCCAATGTATCTGTTCTTAACGAAACCCTCTCTGTAAGGAACGTTCAAAGACACGGCACACTGCAAAGCAGAGGTACGCGAGGTGTCTGGGACAGGAATCACCACATCGATCTCGCCCAAAACATCGTGGTTAGGGAAACTCTTACGGATCTTAGTAGCCAAACGGTTACCCATTTCGATTCTGGATCTGTAGACAGAAACACCGTCCAACACAGAGTCAGGTCTGGCGAAGTAGACGTACTCAAAGATATCTGGAGAGAAGATCTTTGGTTCCACAACCTGTCTGAATTCAGGCTTGTTCTTGGCGTCTGGGGCCTTTGGAATGATAACAGCCTCACCAGGACCAATGTCTCTGAACTTGTTGTAGCCGTGAGCCTTCAAAACGACAGACTCAGAGGCAAGCATATAGTCGATCAGACCGTCTTCGTTGGTTCTCTCACCAAACAAAAGCGGACGGATACCGTTAGGATCACGGAAACCAATAACACCATAACCAGCAAGCATAGCAGTACAAGAGTAAGCACCTCTAACGAAAGACATGGTCAGGGTCAAGGCAGCGAAAAGATCCTGGTTGTTGACACGGCTCTTGTTGGACTTGTCCAACTCAGAAGCGAAAATGTTGAGCAAAAGCTCAGAGTCCGAATCCGTGTTGATGTGTCTGTGGACGGTCTCGTCCAAGTACTCTCTCAACTCCAGCGAGTTGACCAAGTTACCGTTGTGGGACATGCAAATACCATATGGCGAGTTGACATAGAACGGCTGGGCCTCACTGCCAGCACTAGAACCAGCAGTAGGGTATCTCAAGTGAGTGATACCCATGTTACCCACGAGGTTGACCATTCTCAGCTGGGTGAACACATCTCTAGCCATACCGTTACCCTTGCACTGGTAGAAACGGCCTCTGGCTCCACACGTCACTATACCAGCAGCGTCCTGGCCTCTATGCTGAAGGAACATGGCACCTTCAAAAAGCTCGGAAGCAACATTATTCTTCTGGTTGGCAAGCACCACGGCCAAAATTCCACACATGGTATGTTTTGTAGGTTAACTGTTAGAGCACAGTGGTAGTTTTGAGAAAGTGGTAGAGATGAGCTTCGCGGGTCCGAGTCAGAAAAAAAGCGTACCGTCTGGATGAGCCACAAATTGGTGGGGCGCCCTGGGGAAGCTGATTTGCGCTGGAGATTTGATGATTTATGTGTTTACTGTGTTTATGGTGGAGAGGAAGAGAATGTAAGTAATTCAAAAGAATTAGTCTTTTCGGTTGAGGTTTAGGTTTGGTGGTATTTTCTTTCTTTCTTTTTTGTGACTTTTTTTTTTTTTTTTCACCTCATACTTAACGCTTTTTCGCAGCCAAATGGGACCAAATTGGCCAGCCCAGTAGAATGACTAAGTGTCGTCTGAATGGGACTAAAAGTGGACTAAGGAGAGGTTGCTTGGGTAAATTTAGTGTAGTCTGGTTCACTCTGTAAGTAAATCAGTGCTCTTGAAAAGGATTTCTATGTTAACGGTTTATGTGAGCCATGTTGCTTAGCCAATTGCAGCCCCACAAATGTCAGATAAGAGTCATCCTGAAGTTGTGGGTTCTGAAGTTGGGATTTGGATCCTTTGGCTTGACTATGTTCTACACTTGTCATTAAAATTTAAATAATAAAACAAAACTATGAAATGAAAACACCATATGAATACAACCCATAAATCGGATGATGGAATATGAAAAGGGTTAATGAAATCTATAACTGGAGCAGATTATCCCAAACAAGCATCAGGAAAAACTGAAATCGTAACTCGTAAAAATAGGCACAGGACAATGAATGCCACCGGAGTGGTGATGAATGATTTGTGTTGAACTGATCGACAGGGCCTGTCGTTATCATTATTAATGAAACATCAAAATGCTAGATTCGTGACAGCAGAGAGAACACTGATGCTGTCATCCTGTCGACTATCGATTCTTTGACTCGCTCGAAATGCACGTTGGGTCTTCTCCAGATGGAAGATAAGCTTGCAATGATTGCATGAAGGGAAATTGGACTTTTTTTCTTTTTTGTGGATTTTTTTGATTTTTTTTTTTTTTTTTTTATTTTCTTTGTAAATCTTTCTTTTTTAAATTCAATAAGTAACAACAGATTTTCGGTATTTTCTTTCAAATCTAGATACCGTTGCTGATGAGTTCGACGGAGTCTGTTGTCTGGGGCATGGTGCAACTCAGCTATTGCTGTTGCTGCTGCTGCTGGGGTGGTGGACCGCTAAACTGCTGAGGGTGTCCATTAAATTGGGGTGGACCTTGCATGTGAGGTGGGAACCCGTATTGAGGAGGGAACTGGCCGTATTGAGGGTATTGAGGAACACCTTGTGGACCACCTTGTTGGCCGTTAAATTGTTGGCCCTGGGGTGGCTGTGGAACTTGCTGAGGTTGTTGCTGGGGCAGCTGCTGAGGCTGCTGAGGATGCTGTAAGTGTTGTGGAATAGGTTGTTGTTGGAGCTGTTGGGCTACCTGTGGAGGGACGCCTTGTGGGAAGCCTGGTGGTGGAATTTGAGGTTGGCCCTGGTACTCGTAGCCATTCTTGGTGTGATCCTTGGTCTTTGGCAACTCATCGAGCTTGAATGGCTTTGGAATGGTTTCCTCGTCTTCGTTGACATACAACGATTTGTCAATGTTAGCTGGGATAGGCTTGATTTCGGTACCCAATTCCTGCTCGATTTTATACAAATTGTATCTGTCATTCCAAGACATCAAGTTGATAGCCAAACCCAAGTGACCGAATCTACCGGAACGACCAATTCTGTGCAAGTAGGTCTCGGCGGTCTTAGGGAAATCGAAGTTGATAACAACATTAACGGCTTGGACATCGATACCTCTGGTCAACAAATCGGAACACACCAAGTTACGGACCTTGCCCTGTCTAAATTCGTGAAAAACCTTGTTTCTGGCTGATTGAGGCATCTTGGCGTGGGAGTAGTAACATGAGTAGCCCAATTCGGTAATCTTCTTAGCCAACAACTCCACTCTGTTTGTAGAGTTACAGAAAATGATCGACTGGTTAATTTGCAACTTGCTGAAAAGAGTGTTCAAGCAATGCAACTTCTGCTTTTCCTCAACGAAAGCGTAAAACTGAGAAATACCTCTCAAGGTCAACTCGTCCATCAAGTTGATCTCGTAAGGCTTCGTCAAGTGCTTATCCATAAAAGACTTGACAGCATAAGGGAAGGTGGCAGAGAATAAGAGCGATTGTCTGCCGGCTGGGAAAAATGAAAGGATCTGTTCAATGACGTTTCTAAACTCTCTCAGCAACATCTTATCGGCTTCGTCCATAACAAAAAGAGGACATTCGGACAAATCGGCAATATCTCTCGAGGCCAAGTCCAAAACACGGCCTGGGGTACCCACAAGCACGTGGACGGTTTCGTGCAATCTCAAAATATCATCTTGCAAGTTGGTACCACCGGTGGTGACCATGCACTGGATACCCAAGTGCTTACCCAAAGTTCTGACGACCTGAGACGTCTGCAAAGCCAATTCTCTAGTAGGAACGAGAATCAAGGCCTGGATCTTATTAAGTTTAGGCTTAACCTGCTGCAAGGAGGGAATGACAAAAGAGGCAGTCTTACCAGTACCGTTCTTTGCTCTGGCCAAGATGTCTCTGCCCGCAAGAGCCATTGGAATGGACTCTTCCTGGATAGGAGAGGGTTTTTCGAAACCAGCTTCGAAAATGCCCATCAATAATTCTCTCTTCAAGTTGAAATCTTCAAAAGTCTTGCCATGTGTCGTCAAGACATCTTCTGTCTGTTTTCTTGTGTCCTTTGCCGGCACGTTTAGTTTGCTTTTCCAATCTGACATTGTTTGTATAGTTTGTGTATGTGTGTAGGGATGATAGATGTAGATGAAGTAAAACCTAATGGTGTTCGTTGAAAGCTTTCTAAGGCGTGGTGCGTGCACGCCCTTGGCCAGACTGGTCCAGGAGCTCCAGGCACGTGAGGCCCTTCCCAGCAGCAGCCAACGACCCAGGAATTAATTAAATGGATTTAAACAAAAGAAGGTGGTCAATTTGATGATTTGGGCTTGTTTTCAGAAGTAAACTGTACTTGTGTGGCGAAATAGTGCTGGGGCTGTCGTTTATAGCTGGCTGCGAAATCGCCTCTCCAAGTGTCAAAGCCTTGCTTAAGCGATGAACACCACCGGGGCCTCTAAATGGGCTTGTTTTGGGCAATTGGGTTGAGTTTGGGGAAAGATTGCTGATCTAGTGTTTAATTATTATTTTTATAAACTAAGTGTATTTTATCTATAGACTTCTTTAGATTATTTTTCACTAAATTCTGGTAAAACCGTTGAGAAACCGTTATTGCTCGCTAGTCTCAGGATAGCAGGAATAGTGCAAATAGTATAAAAACTAAAAAAACCGAAAACTTTTATTATTTATGCTCTAATGCTGGATCTATAAAAGCGACTACTTAATGAATTACTTTTTGGGTCTTAGTCTTCGGTTTGCTGGATATAAACTGGTGTGGGCCACTTGATGCTTGCCCAGGCAACCAGTCCTAGTAGAAATAATGTCTAACATATCCAGCAAAGCCAGCTTCATTAGTAATAAATATAGATACCCTGAGATTTGAATGCTCTGAAATGATGCCTTTGTTCATGGATTGAAGGTTGGAATAGCAGTGTAGAAGGAAGAACTAGTCCACCAAAAGAGCCCTCAAGCCGTGAAACGACTTTGAGTCCATTTGTCCATTCCCGACACTTCAAGACACTTATGGACCTTGAAAAGTAACAGTTAATGCTTACGTTACTTCATAGTCATTGTCGGTATGCCGTTTCCATACCATGATACACTGCTCCAACCGTTCTCCTCTTCTCCTCTGATCCCTCCATATTCCCAACAACTCAAGCATCCCCTTACTGAACAGCTGGATCGGCTTTCAGCAAGAATTTCACCATCTGATCCTCCACGCCAGCGTCCTCAAGCTTCGTCTTCATCTGCTGCATGATCTCTGCCTCATCGGTTCTCACCACCAACTCTTTATCCATCAATTCCTGCTTGCTCAAGTTGAAAGGAAACACACAAGTCTCCTTACTGCAAACCAAAATCGCCACTGCCAGCAGAAGCAAGTTCTTCTTTAATGGTGAACAGCATAAGGGACAAAGCATGGAGTAAGTGCCTGATGAGCATCGCACTGCGACTTATGTATATAACTGCTGATCAAGCTGGTACTACTTACTCATTACCAATTACCACTATAAAATAGCATTACCATGAAGCTTTCTCCAGAAAAGGTCCGTGACCTTCAAGCTTCCACGCCCAATGTCCGGAACATCTGCATTTTGGCCCATGTTGATCATGGCAAGACGTCGTTGAGTGACTCGCTTTTGGCCACCAACGGTATAATATCCCAGCGAATGGCTGGTAAAGTGAGGTACTTGGATTCCCGTGAGGACGAACAGCTTCGAGGCATTACCATGGAGCTGTCTGCTATTTCTTTGTATTTCAAGGTGATGAGGAAGAAGGAGGGAAGCAACTCAGATGAAGCCGAGGTTAAAGAACACTTGATTAACCTTATAGACTCACCTGGGCATATTGATTTCTCTTCAGAAGTGTCCACTGCATCTCGTCTTTGTGATGGTGCTGTGGTTTTAGTTGATGTCGTCGAGGGAGTTTGCTCCCAGACGGTGAATGTGCTCAGACAGTGCTGGGTGGACAGATTGAAGCCGATTTTGGTGCTTAACAAGATGGATAGGTTGGTGAATGAATGGCGTTTCCTGCCTTTGGAAGCATATCAGCATATTCTGAGGCTTGTGGAGCAAGTGAACTCGGTTATCGGCTCGTTCTACGCTGGTGACAGAATGGAAGACGATATGAAGTGGAGAGAGTCCGGTGCGGAAGGCGAATACGTTGAAAGGTCTGACCTGGACCTTTATTTCTCTCCTGAGAGCAACAATGTCATTTTTGCCTCGGCTGTTGACGGCTGGGCTTTTTCCATTAACACTTTTGCTCGCATTTACCTGGCAAAACTTGGATTTTCTCATGCTGTGTTGTCTAAGACTTTGTGGGGTGACTTTTACTTGGATATGAAAAACAAAAAGATTATTCCTGGAAACAAATTGAAATCTTCTCAAGCATCACTCAAGCCGCTTTTTGTCTCCCTTGTTTTAGAGCAAATTTGGAACATCTACGACGCATGCCTCTTGAACAGAGACGATGAGAAACTCGAGAAAATTACCAGTAAACTAGGTTCGAAACTTTCCCCTCGTGACTTGCGTTCTACCGACTATAAGAGTTTACTTAACTTGATTATGTCCCAATGGATTCCGTTGAGTCATGCTCTTCTTGGTGCCGTGATTGAGTACTTGCCAAACCCTTCGGAAGCTCAGCAACAGAGAATGGAAAAGATCTTGGATGAATGTATCTATAGCGCTGTTCCTGAAACACCCCGTGAAGAGCTTTTAGATGAATCTTTCAAGAAGGCTTTGGAGGCTTGCGATGCTTCGGACCCCGAATCCCATACATTAGCATATGTGTCCAAAATGCTTTCCGTTCCAAATGCTGAGCTCCCCAAAGAAGCTACAGTTGCACCAAGTGCTGAAGAGCTCCAGGAAAGAAGTCGAAAGGCCCGTGAGATTGCCAAGAAGGCTTCAGACGCTGCAGCAGCTTTAGCTGATGCTCGTTTGGAAGAAGAAGATGGTGGAGAGATCTACCTTGAAACGAAACCAGATCAGTTCCAATGGGAGTTTGAGGAAGATCCAGACGAAGAAGAAGAAGAGACGGAGGTTGAAAAAGAGACTTTGGTCGCCTTCACTAGAGTCTACTCTGGTACGTTGATTCGTGGCCAAAGCGTTTGTATCGTCGGTCCCAAGTATGACCCAGCGTTGGGCAAGGACCATCCATCCAACATTGAACAATTCCGTGAGAACGTCGTCATCCAAGATCTTCTTTTGATTATGGGCCGTGAGTTTGTGAGAGTTGGTTCTGTACCTGCTGGAAACATCGTTGGCTTGATTGGCTTGGGTGACCTTGTCTTGAAGAATGCTACCATCATGTCAGAGTTACCAGAAGGTAAGCCATACTTAAACTTTGCATCGACTGCCACTTTAATTCACAACAAACCAATCATGAGAGTTGCCATTGAGCCTGACAATTTGCTTAAATTGCATAAGCTCGAGAAGGGATTGGATTTGCTTACAAAAGCTGATCCTGTTCTTGAGTGGTACATTGATGATGACTCTGGAGAACTTATTGTCTGTGTTGCTGGTGAGTTGCATTTGGAAAGATGTCTTAAGGATCTTGAAACCCGTTTTGCACCAGGATGTGACGTGGTGATCAAAGAGCCTGTGATTCCTTTTAGGGAAGGATTGAATGTCGATGCCAAGCCTTCAATCACTAAGGAGGAGCTTGAAGAAGCCAGTGATGCCGAAGAGGAAGAAGTTGAAGAGGATGAGGTTGATTTGCAAATTGAAGTATACCCATTGCCAGATGAAGTGACCAACTTCTTGACCAAGAGCGAGCATGAAATCAAGGACTTAGTAAACTCAAGACTCACCAACTCAGCAGAAGAATTCGAGAAGCATGTTGCTTTGTTTAACGAAAAGTTCCTTGGTGTTCTTGAAGAGCACACACTTCCTCGTGAAGTTCTTGAAATATTCCTGACTGCCAAGGACTTTATCAACAATGTCATCAGCTTCGGACCAAAAAGAGTCGGTGCTAACGTTTTTGTTGAGGACCCAACCAATGGCCAGCAGTTCCGCAGAGCATTGGTGAAGGAGAATGAGGAGGCAACTAGGTTTGAGTTTGAGTCCAACGTGTTGGGTGGATTCCAGCTAGCAATGAACGAAGGCCCCCTTTGTTCAGAGCCGGTTCAGGGTACCATTGTTGTGCTCAAGCGTACTTACAGACCTGATACTGAAGAGGTCTTGCTCAACTTGGCAGGAAGAATTTTGAAGCAAACCAGGCAGCTTATCCACAAGGGGTTCTTGCTCAATGCGCCTCGTCTTTTCCTTGCCATGTACACATGTGAGATTCAAACATCTCCTGAAGTACTTGGAAAGGTCTATGTCGTCATCCAGAAGAGAGGTGGATCGATTATATCTGAAGAAATGAAAGAAGGTACGCCATTTTTCACCATCAACGCCAGAATCCCAGTTGTGGAAGCCTTTGGATTCTCAGAAGAAATCAGAAAGAGAACTTCAGGTGCTGCAAGTCCTCAGCTTGTGTTCGATGGTTTTGATATGCTTGACATTGATCCATTCTGGGTACCCCACACTGAAGAAGAGCTTGAAGAGCTCGGAACATTCGCTGAAAGAGAAAATGTCGCAAGAAGGTACATGAACAACATCAGAAGAAGAAAGGGTCTTTTCGTCGACGAAAAGGTTGTTAAGAATGCAGAGAAGCAGAGAACCTTGAAGAAGGATTAAACCACCAAAAGCCTGAGGAATCAAGTATCAACACATTGATGGAATTGTATTTTATCAGAAAAGGTTGATCTTGACAATCCAACATAAACTACAGAGTGTGATTGGTGCCTCTACCTAAATAATTTTATTACCACGGCGATTTCCCTATATTTGCCTCTTTCGTCTCTTGTAGATGGTTGCAAAATCTCGTGTAGTACACTTCGCACCTTAAGTAAAAAAAAAAATTAGTAAGAGCATCTACAGATCAGTTCAAGCAATGAGCACGGAAGAAGCAATTTCCGAGCGACAAAAACAACCAGAGAAACTTCAAGAGGCCCAACGAAAACTGGATACCCAGCGCAAGTTGGAATTTATCACAATGGTCAGACGAAACATGGAGAACAGGAAGATGAAAGAGTCTGGCAGTGGGTCCTTCCTGCCGTTCCCCAAGGAAGAAAACCCATTTAAGATGGGCTTTGGGCTTGAAGAGATCAAGCTAATAAAGCAGGAAATGGAAAAGATGATCCTGAAGATTGGTCTCAAAGATGTCGTTAGTCTAAGAGACAATGATGAGATAATGAAGCTTCAGCAGAAGATTGCAGAAGTGGAAGCAGAGAGACTGGCAGAGTCAGGCTTTTCTTTATACGGAACGAACGACGAAGAGGGTCTTCATGAAGGGACGATGGAGGATTACGAAGAATACGATGATCTAGAACAGGACGACTACGATATTGGAGAAATTCAAGGTGACCCAGAGTTTCTGTATGACTACGGTCCCACGCATCACATCGAAGTAGAGCTTAGCGATGGACCTGCTGGCGAAAGCAGAAATAGAGACGATGAGCCATCGTGTGAGTTCACGTTTGAATATGACAGGAACGGGAAGCTCGTGCCCACATACTGTAATGTGGAAGAGCAGCTTCGATTCATGAATTTGCATCTGCGAGATAAGCAGGGCCGTGTTGAAGCGCCCCAGGAGGTGGCTGAGACCGGCAAGAAGAAAAAGAAGAAGAATAACAAAAAGAAGAAGAAACAGGAACCACAGCGTGCTATTGACGAGAACACCGGGTGTCTCTTTTGCCAGTATGAAGCGTTCTTTGGCGTCAAGCCCGTGCATATGATGCGCTGGTACGACCAGAAGGTAATGGCTGAAGAGAGACATAGGCAGAAGGTTAGAGAGAAGCTCGAGAAGGCTAAGCTGAAGGCCCTCAGGCGTCAGCAGCCAGGGTACAGGGAGGAGGAACTCGCCAACGAGGAAGCAGAGGACCTGGACGGCAGCAGGACCACGGTGGTGGACCAAGGATAACGAAAAAAAATTAACTTATATCTACATATCACGAACCATGATTAATGAAATGCGTCCTCGGCACCAGCCAGGACCGACACGAGCTGGATAGGTGTAGCTCAGTAGTAGAGTACTATCAACACCAGAGCCCATGAACCTCTAATACCCCAAATAACCAATTTCACTTCCTCTAGGACCACAACACTCTCTGTTTATTCTCAGTCTGCAATCTACCCTCTCAATCTGTCTCATTCTCATTTAGCACACTGCCAGTGGTAACAGTAGGTGCGCACCTAAACCATCACCAACTTCCAGTACTACAACTACATAACACATCCCATATGTTCGCCAAATCAGCTACGCCGGCTACTCCAGTGACAAGACCAAAGTCCCACATCAACGACTCCGTCACGTGGGTGAAGGAATGGTACAATCCACTTGAATACGGTTCTGGCGGTCCAGCCAACTTGAAGTTGAAAGGTTGGGTGAAGACGAACGCTTCTGCCGCTGAAGATGCTGCTCCTAATGTCGACTCTACGAGCGTGTACAACTTGGAGTCATGCCAGTACTTGCAAGATCCAGTTATTGTTGAGGTTGTCCAGGAAGCTCCTCCAGACCCACAGCAGGACTCTGACTTGAGACTGGCTTTGAGTATGGACAAGAAGGACGACCAGATTTCGTCGCTTTCGGGCTTGGGTATGTAAGGAGCTGACTGCTGGATGTCTACAGACTGCCCAATTGACCTTAGGTTATGTATACTAGAACGAACCATTGACCTTGGTGGTGTGTAACAATATTATCGAGAATCAGGTACTGCCTTGTAGGGAATGTGGCGAGGGAAGCTACAGTGTTGTATCATAATCATGCAAGGGCTGTATATGCCTATCTATAAACTAATGCTGTTCTTTGGACTCAATCACTTAAGAAGCCTTCACGGCAAGGAAACAGGCGGACTCTTTGGCTTTCGCTACCAGACTCTTGAGCTTGGCAGCCTTATCGAAGTCCCATACTTGTTCGGGATCCGTTACTTTCATACCTTGCTTTTGCATCCAGTTGAACTTCAGCTTGACTCTTTGGAGAGTATCGATCTCTGGATCAACAACTGTTCCGCAAACAACGATAAATATACTATTTTCTGGCAACGTCTGCCAGATACTCTGAAGTCTTGTGTTAAGTTTCAGTTTCTCGTCGTCGTTTCCGCCTTGTGGATACTCGGAAAGCTTACAGAAGACTGTTTTGCTAACCTTGATAGCATCGGCAATCTGCTTCACAGCCTCATCGTCATTTTCAACCAAGTACTGATGCAATGTATGGGCCGAAGTATTGGCAATCCGCCAATCGGACATCAGAGTATCAACCAATGCAACAGGTTTCTCTGCTTCCGTGTTAAGAGCGACAGAGATTGGTTCTTCATCAGGTTCTTGTCCGAATAGCATACCTTTCGACAACTTCAACTTCAACAAGTCTAAACATGCAATGCAGTCTTCCACTGAAGAATGACCAGCATTGTTTTCCTCCCCCTTTTGGATCTTTCTATCAAGATAAGTCTCACTCAACCATTTGAGGCTTGCTTTAAATGGCTTTTTACGAGGATGATCGTAGATAGTACAAGTGTCGATGATCTTAGAATGGGACATCTTCAAGACATTGAGATCAAACAGCAACGAGTGGCCGACAAGGAAATCCGACGCCGAAATCAACAGACGGAGCTTTTCACGAACATCCTTCTCTGTGGTAGAAGCGTTCACCATGAGTTCTTCAGTGATTCCAGAGAACTTCGTTTTGTAGTCAATTATCTCCGCCTCTGGCTTGACATACTCATCGTAAACAACGTTATTGTCGTAGTCTACAACAGAAATCCTCGCCAACTGGCTTCCTGCCTTAGTTTGACAGAATTCACAATCTAGCGCATACACCTTGGGTTCGCCTTGGTTGAGCTCAACCGTCTCATACCAATCCTCAGGTACAGTTTGGCCTGATCCAGGGAAAAACTTATAATCGTGATCCATCCAGTCAGGCATCTTGATAAGAAGATCATCAAGTTTTATAGCCGTGTTCGCCAGATGCTCAAGAAGTTTCCTTTTGACGGACTTCTCAATCTCTCTGTTCACCAACGTACGCTGTGGAGAGAACACCTCGTTAGCCTTTCCAGGGTACGTCAATGGCACCACTTCTGGGAAAGTATTCCAAAAGAATGTAAGCTTTTCATCTTCCTTCGCTTTTCCAAGTGCTTGGGTTCCAGTAGCTTTCTCTGCATGGAAGTCACTGTTAAGAAGACCAGGAACAAGACAAACAACAGTATTAGGCACCTTTTCAGCTTCCTTCACCTGAATCCGCTTCTGGTGCTTCTGACTCACTCCTTCTGCCAACTCAATGACAAGTTTTCTGATGGCTGGAAGGGGAACAGGTGCTTCTATGTTTTGTATGGTAGGTTTTGCAAGCATCTTCTTGAGTTTTCGTTTATGCACTTTCTGCTTTTTTGGTTTGTCGAGATGTGAGTTGTCTCTTTTCTGTGAATTATCAGACGCCACTGGGGGCACTTCTGACTTTATATCTTCACTGGCCATGTAGCATGTGTGTTCTATGGGGGGAGATGATCTGTTGAGAACGCGAATCGATGCCTTGATATGTAGTAGATTCTGATGATCCAATGATGGTACATTACACGCAGATGACAATGTATAGAGATGGAGAGGTAATTTAGAGATACTTTTAAGAGGTTTGGTATGCTTGTTTCGTATTTAGGATGCCTAGTGAGAGGGGTGTGTAGCAGGGGAGAGCTGTTGTAGCTTCCCAGGGCATCGTGAATGTACCAGTGAGCAGTATAAGTAGAAGCTAATCGATACGAAGCACTTGCTTTATCTTGCTTGTCTTCTCCCTGTGACTCTTGCTGTGTCGGGTTTCAGACTCCGCCGGGAGAACAACGAATACTCCTCATGATGCAATGTAATGCGTCTTGTTTGACGAAACTAGACGATAGATCACGTAGATGGATGAAGCCACTCTTTAGCTGCCTTCAAATTATTTCGTGGCTCTTATTTCTGAAGATGAAAGACTCGCTCCTCCTCACCTTCTATCATCCCAGAATGGCTTCCTCGAGCTTCTTAATCACATCGTTGTACGTTAACATAGGCGGAGGCAGAGCCTTCTCGGGCGGTTCCTTGAATCCCACGATCTCCTTCGCCTTCCCAAGAAAATCTTGCCCCTCCTTCCTCAAGAAAGCCTCGTAAAGGTCGTCTAGCTCTGCCAACTTGACTTCTTCATCTAACAAACCCCAATCGTCTCGTCTAGATATCAGTCTAGCCACCATTTGTATTTTACTCCACAGATCCCATCCCAAGGCGATCCGCTGATGCAGGTTGATGTTATCTGTGATCGGATCGCCTTTGGCTGTGAATATATGCTGTTCCTCTTCCTTGCTCAACCCGCCTTTCAAAGATAACAAGAATAATTGACACGTTTCTGGGTCCTCCAATTCTTCGAGTTTACCTGAAATTGCACCATAATAACCACCATGCTTTAAAGCTAAGAACCGTAGAAGCTGCTGTTTACCGGTATTACTTTCTGACAAATGATCCAGCGGTTCAAATCCAGTTGTATCAAAGATGAAAAATGTTTCAAACCCTAGCGTCTTATCTGAATGGCCCTGAGGCAACTTCACATCGAAATCAGTGTTCAAAGCACCTCCAGCTCCAGTGTTTCCCGTTACAATAGCCAATTGACGCTTGTACAGCAGTTTGTAGTCATTGTAAACCTTTTGTTTCTTTTCTTCGTTGCTTTCCTGATACAAAAGCTTCGTTGCCTCAAGAAGAGCAGGCAATTGCTTGTATAGAAGCACAACACTGATCTCACCGTTCTGGTAGTCCTTTAGAAGTTTACCCACATGTTGATGTAGAAGTGAAAAGTTGTACACCACATACACATCAGTGTCTTTATTGTAGGAGTAGTTTATAGCACGGCCTGGTTTGGAGGTACAGTGTATGACCAAACACAAGTTCTTCATGGAATGTGCTTTAACTAGTAGTAGTGTGTTTTGGTCTCACCGCGTCTCAATGTATGTGGGATATAGTCAAGGCGGGATGTGGTACTCAAAAAGTGAAAAAGAGAAGGCAATGAAGGAATAAGAAAGATACCTGCATTCTTCATAAAATGTCAAGATTTCATCAAAAAATCAGCATTGGGGCTATAAATGGGTGGCCCACTTGGAGGGCTCCAGTACACCCGTGCACCATCACCAAATACACCAACCTTCCTACTTACTACTACAACATCAAGGATTCTCCATTTAAGTACCACCCAACGATGGCACCCAACGGCACCAACGGGTCAGTGAGGTCCAAGAAGTCAGGAGAAGGCGACGGCTTCTACAATTCGCTTGTTCAGGGCGATGTAGAGTTGCCTGATGAGAAAGTTCTAGATGAGATATTCTCGGAGAGAACGACTCAGCACGCTGATGATGCTATCGATTACGAGGATATTGATGAACTTGCAGATGAGAATGATGATGCTGAACTTGCTTCGGTGGCAGATGAGTCGAAAGACAATCTTGCTCAAGGACCAGGAATGGATGATGAAGAGGATCTTCAGAACCAAGCAAACGACGAGTTTGATGCTTTCTTTGGTGACGACGACGCTAAACCTGATGATGGCAACGATCTTGGACATATGGGAGGTGAAGATATGCACATGCTAGATGATATGAATAACCAATTCGGGTTTGAAGATGATGGTCTTGACGATTTGGATTTGGGCTTTGAGGATGAAGAGGATAACCGTGCAGCTCCAGACTTGAAGACCTCAAGAAAGCGTAAGTCGCCGGAGGAGTTGGCTCTTAAAAAGGCAAAGCTTCAGAAAATTGTTAAGGATATGGAGTCACGACAGAAAACCCGTATGGTGGCAAGACACTTCCCTGATTACCACCCAGATAAACCAGTCAACTTCCATAATATGTCGCTTCCAGCACCAAAATACTACAGCCACCTCCGGCCGGGCATTGCATCCAGAACGAACATCAAGCCACTAATACCTATGAAGCTTAGTTTGGAGGTTGAACCCGATCAGAAAAAAGCATTTAAATCAAAAAGAGGCGTTACCTCTGTTCAAAGACCAGGCATTGTTGAGATTACACAAGCTGATCTCGACCTAATATCAGACTTCGAAAGCAACAAGGAAAACGCCGTCAAGATCAAGCTTTTACCATTCATTAAATCAGACGGAGTTGAGAACGATAAATTCGCTGAATTCAGCAAAGACCTCGTCCTTGCCAGTGCTGATTGGGACGACGCCGATATTCTAGATGCTGGCGATTCCGACAAAGAACCTTCAAAGACTAAGGGATCGGCTATCTCCAGCGATAGATTTGTTGATGATGATTTGTATTATGATGACGAAAATATCTTCAACGGTCAAGCTGCTCCAGAAAAGTTCGAGCTTAATATGAACGATCCAAACCTTCTATTTGTGCCAGACAAGAAGAAAACTGACAGCACCAGATCCAAAGCCCTTATCCCTACAGACAAGAAACATTTGCATATGAAGTTCAACATCTCGAACGACAAACAATACGAGATCTTGAGAAACAACTATAATACGAAGGTGAGAAGTCAGTTGAGTAACTTGAACATCGAGCATTCCGTTCCTGCTATGAGACTCCAGACGCCATACTACAAGATAAGAATGTCTCCAGAGGAGGCAAGAGCTTACCATAGAGGCAAGTTCCAAGTCAGACAAGGTTCTTTGATTTGCTTCTCTAAACTCAAGGTGCGGAAGAAGAAGAAGGATAAGGGTAAGACGCAAACCGAGATATTCAGAAAGACATCGGACTTGACTTCGGTCGATTCTTCTCCTTTGATCGCCATGGAATATTCGGAGGAATACCCAAGCATATTGTCTAACTTCGGTATGGGAAGCAAGTTGATCAACTACTACAGAAAAGAAAAGGAAGACGATAACCTGAGACCTAAGGCGCCACTTGGAGAAACACATGTCCTCGGCGTAGAGGATCGTTCTCCGTTCTGGAACTTTGGTCATGTTGCTAAGGGGGATTTCGTTCCAACCCTATATAACAACATGATTAGAGCTCCCATCTTCAAGCAGGAACCAAAGAACACCGATTTCCTTCTTATAAGATCGCTGGGTTGCGGAAACCATCAAAGACATTATTTACGTGCCATCAACCATTTGTTTGCTGTGGGTAATGTGTTCCCAGCGGTCGAAGTGCCTGCTCCTCATTCCAGAAAGGTCACCAATACTTCCAAGAACCGTTTGAAAATGATTGTCTACCGTACCATGAACAAGAACGGTAATGCTCGTCTTTCGGTTAAGGACATTTCCCTGCACTTCCCAGACCAGAATGATATGCAAAACAGACAAAGACTTAAAGAGTTCATGGAGTACCAGAGAAAGGGTGATGATCAAGGTTTCTGGAAAATCAAAAACATGGATGTCGTTCCAACAGAAGACGAAATCAGAGCCATGATTACTCCTGAAGATGCCGCCCTTTTGGATAGTATGCAACATGGACTGCAAGTTCTTGACGATATCGACTCATTGTACAATGACGACTCTAGAAAGCAAGATCTCAAGAGAGAGAAGAGGGAGAAGGAAGGAAGCAAAGAAATGGAGGAGCATGAGAACGAAGAGAAGGAGAAGGCTGCCGAGAAGAAGAGAAGAGAGAAAGATGGAGAAGCCGAGGAGACGATTGATGAAGGTCTTTCACCATGGAGTCTTTCGAAGAGTTTCATCTTTGCGAACCAGACAAAGGCCATGCTTCAATTGAATGGTGAAGGTGACCCCAGTGGAATTGGCCTTGGTTTCTCTTTCTTGAGAGCTACCCAAAAGCATGGCTTCAAGCCTCTTATTCCTCCTCCAAAAGATACTGTTCCTAAGAACACAACGGCCGCATACCAGCAAAAGCTTTATGAAAACGAAATCTCTAGGATCTGGTATTCTCAGAGAAGTTCGTTGACCGTCGACAATAGAGAGGGTCATAACCTTGATGATATCTACAGAGAGTACAAACCTCTTGATCACAAGGATTTCATGAAGCAGAAGTTCGCTAAAGAGAAGGAAGACAAGGTCAAGCAGGAAGGTGTTCAGTCAGCGAGAAGAAATGTGTTGAAGATCACGCGTCTTGTTAGAGATGAAAACGATATCGTTCAAAGAAAGGTTGAGTTTGTGACCGATCCACGTCTCATCAAGGCTTACATTAAGCGAAAGAAGCAGATTGAAGGCGACAAGATGTCGATGGTGAATGCTAACGAGATCTTACCAACCAATGATATCGAGATGAACAAGATTAGAAGAAAGGCATTGGAAGAGAAGATCGCCAACTTGACAAAGAGAGCCAAGCTTAGTAAGGGAAGAAAGCCGAGCAAGGATCCTCTTCATCTTGCAGCTGTTGCAGGAGGCACCATAATAGACGACAACACGGTGATGTTGCCAGATGGATCCTACGCTTTCGGTGGTAAGGGTATTGGTAAGGGTAAGAGCAGAACAAGAAGATGTGCTTCTTGTGGCGCTTTTGGTCATATCAGAACGAATAAGACTTGTCCCTTGTACGAGGCCACTAAGGGAGGTAAAGTGAAGATTCCTGCTGAGCAGAAGGAGATCTTAATGGCACAGGCGAAGGCCAATGAAGGCAGTTCAGAGAATGCCGAGCCCGATTCTAACACAGCACAGTCGCCAGCCTAGGCTACATCATACATAGCACATCAAATTATTCATTAACATAACAGCGTAAATAGTGAACAAACTATCAACACCAGAATCTGTATACACGGTACCAGAAGCTCTTTGCTGCTATACGAGCTCTATCATCAGCAATTTCCTGTTTCAATATCTCAACGTCAATTTCACGTCGGCCAGTATCGAGGTCAACCTCGTCCAACGGTATAAGCCATTTCGTCAATGTACCTTTGTAAGCCTTGAAAGAAAGTACCAACACAATAATCAATGGCATCGAAAGGCAGTTCTTAAAGAACTGCTCAACGTCTGCTGGGGAACCGATTGGCCAGATAGAGACCCAGATTTCGCCAATAACAATCAAGATCAACACGATCATACCAGCGAGGGAGCCCCAAACACCCAATGGAGAGGCAAAGATAACTTCGTCAGTGTTACGGCCTTGAGCAGACAAGGCCCATCTGAAACGCAAGTGGGTAAAGCAAATAGCGATCCAGGTGAAGAAGGCAGCCAATGAACACACAGAGAAAAGCCAGGTGAAGACTTCACTCTGGTTTCTCGAGGAAGCCAAAAAGCCCAAAAGTCCAAAAGCGTTTGTAATAAGGATAGCCACCAAAGGTCTACCGTTTCTGTCAATGTAAGCAATACATTTAGGAAGCAAACCTTGGACAGCCAAAGATGCCAAGGAACGAGAACAACCATAGACAGAAGATGCACCCACAGAAACGACAGCCACCAAAATGACGGCATTCATGATATCTGGTAAAACGTTAATACCACCATTGTTGATAGCAATGACGAATGGAGAAGAGGTGATATCTTCACTGGATGAACCGTTAAGCAATCTGTCGTCAGTGTATGGCACAAGACAGCCAATGACAACCGCAGTGGTGACGTAGAAAAGGGTGATTCTCCAGAAAACCTGTTTGGTGGCCCTTGGCAAAGCTTTTCTTGGGTTTGCAGTTTCGGAAGCAGCCAAAGCCACAAGTTCCACACCGCCAAAAGAAAAGGCAGCCGAGATGAAAGCTGAACACACTCCTTTGAAACCGTGGTTGAACGAACCAGGATTATGCCAGTAACGAGCACCAATGTACCCCTGATCACCCACACCACAAATGATACAAATACCCACAATGATAAATCCAATCACTGCAAGCACTTTGATAATGGAAAGCGTGAATTCAACCTCACCGTATCCCTTAACGCCAAACAAGTTGATGGAACTGATAGCCACAAGGAATACAGCGACCCACACAGCAGGGTTGACCCTATCATCCCAGTAACTGATCGTCAACGAACAAGCCACCAACTCGGCAGGAAACGAAATCAACCACGACAACGAATACAAAAGACCAAGCGTGAAACCCCAGGCTGGGTCCACGAACCGTGAGAAGAAGGCATTAAACGAACCGGACACTGGGAACTGAACAGACATTTCACCCAATGCCATCACCACAGCAAAAAGCGAGTAACCCACCAAAATATAAGAAATCAACACACCCGCCGGACCACCCATGGCCAAAGCATAGCCTGATCCAACGAAAAGCCCAGTACCAATAGAACCACCAATAGCAATCATCTGCAAGTGTCTAGCCTTCAAACGACGAGCCAAAGGGTGTCTGGACGTGGCGTAAATGGATTTCTCCAACTCCGTCATGTTCGTCGTATCCACGCCATCGTCTTCAAGATCAATAGGTTTGAACGAGTCGATGGCTCTCTGGACAAAGTTTCGATCATCCTCGTAGTAGCTGGACTGCTCAGTACCCGTATACGACGGCGACGCCGAGGCCGACACCGGCTGCTGGTACGGAACGTCCGAGCCCTTTTCAGACGCAGCACCTATATCTGCCATTACTAACAGCTTCTGAAAAAAAAGGGTCCCAGTCCAAGGGGTATATAAGGAAAATCGATAACAGGGATTAAATAATGGGTGCAAGGACGTAGTGCACACGACAAATGCAAGGAATGCGCAGAGGTGTAACGCCCTGCGTTGTGCGTCGAGCCACAGTGGACGTTAGAGGTGATGCCGTGGGTAGAAAGACCGTAATGAAGGCTTTAGAGGTAGAAATTGTTGGAAAAAGGGCGAAAATTGGGTCTGGAGGGAAGTTGGGTAATTTCAAGTATGGGTGTTGAAGGAGGCACGGCTGTGGCGTGCAGGTCGTTAGAGAGCACCGTTGACAACCACGCATAGACGAAAGAGGCTCGAGAGGTGGATGAACCAGTGGGTGGAGGGAAGAGAATAGCTAAAGACTTGTGGACAATTGGGAAACGGCCGATTGACGATTTTACGTTTTTGTGGATTTTTCAGATTGGTGGCCGATCAGCGGGCTGGACCAATTATGGATGGACCTAGGCAAGTGTAAGAGGCTTAACCGGAATGGATCAGAAGCCAGCTGGCTACACCTACTTCTCTACTATTACAGTAATACACTTTTTAATCAATATCATGCGGCAAGTGTCTCCACAGGCAACGCACAGCGACACGGCTCTGAGCGGAGGCTGTTGGAGGCTGGAAGTTGTTGGAGAGGCTGGTGGTTATTGGCTGAGGCGTTTCTCGTCTAGCGGTGTTTTTCGCAGCCACTTTAGCCGAGCCAACCAGAAGTTACCTGGAAAACAGGCTTTTACTTGCTTTCTGTTAAGTCTTTCTCATTGGAACCGCCACTTGTTGGTGGTATTTTTCTATAGGCCAGCGGCTCATAATTGCAGCGGTGAAATTGCACAATATGCACTGGCACCTAAACAAATTAACCAGATTCGACGCCATTAGCGCTAAACCTGAGCAAGACCAAATCACAAGTGAAAAATTGTTACACGAGCAAGCATTTACCCGGTAAGCCCTGTTTGGTCTGGAAATGTGTCACTATAGCCACTTTTGTATGGTCTGGGTGTTCAACGGTTTGGTGAAATTATGAGCCTCACAAGCCGAACCGGCGATGGAGGTTGCATTTACGTCGTTGGATGAAACCTTAAGTAGTGTGCTTGAAAAAAATATTATGAACCTTGGGACGTGGCCCATTTTTAGCGTTGAAATTATTATTCGGGTACTGGATTTGGGTAAACCGCCAAGTCCGAAGAGAGCTTGAGGATGGGATACGGCTTTGGCTTTGAGATGGCATTAAATTTTTCACCATTGTGCATTGTTCAATATGAATGGTTTACTGGGGAAACAATGGCCACAAAAACGGTAGGGCGTTGAAAAGTGATGATCTGGCATAAACCTGAATTCCTTATTGTAGGCGTGGCAGGCGTAGCAGCCGTGGCAGCCTTTTGTCTCCTTTCTTGACTTAGTGGTTGTAGTATAGGCTCATCTCATGGTACCCGACTGGGCCCGGGCGCACAGGGTCCCCATACTTAACAGCCCATACTAACCGAAACCTCCCACCTTCTATTATCCATGGTCAAGGCCACTCTTCTATTACGAAACAAAACAAAAAAAAACCACCAAACTACAACCTAAAGCAGCCTTCTACAGCTTCCTCTGAATATAATATATTACTGACCTATACAGTCCTAGGGGCAGACCTTGCCGGCTACACCGACGCCTGCGTTGGTGGGTGCAAAATCTTGACCTTGTCGTAGTTCTTATCAGCCTTGACGTATATCTGTCTGAAGGACGATCTCTTGTAGTAGTTGGTGAACATGTAAGCAACGCCGCAGCCATACAAGGCGCCGCCAACGAGTAATGCGTGTTTTGGGTTAATCATTGAATATGTGTTTGGTGGAGAGAACCTACTTTCTAGCTGGGTTTGGCCCTTTTATATCAATTCAGACTCGTCTGTAAACGGATAGTGGGACGACTTTGGTTGTTCTGGAAGTAACACCACTTTGCAGCGCGAGACTGCTATTCTTCGCTTTTTTTCGCAGCCATTCTTGATGACCAGGGTATAAACTAAGGAGAAAAAGGACCAGTAAAAAGGCTATTTTTTGTAGGTTTATGGAATTCAATGGATTCCCAGGTTTTTCTATATATTTCACATTCCAGTAAATGTCTTCTTTTAATTTACCACTTCCCTTTTTCTCTGTTTATCTGGGAAACCTCGTTTTCTGCTGGGCGGGAGAAAAAGTTGCACCACTTCGTCACGGCTCAAACTCGCGCCACGCCTTTTTTTTAACTATGAGTGACAGAAGGCTGGTCAGTTATTGGCGGTGAGTTCTGGGGAGGAAAGTGGAGGGGTGGAGAAATACGGATGAATTAGGAAGAGTCGGTTAGGGAGGTTGAGGGATTTAAATGGAGGGGAAGAACGTAAATTGGGTACGGTTTAGGCCATTTGTGGATTGTACTGAATGGGTAGTCGCATGGTTCTGGTGTTGGGCCAAATGGACTCCCTATGTCTGTTTCTATGTCTTTTGCCAGTGACCGAAAAATTTGTAAAACACGAATTGCCTTGGTTGGGTAACTGAAATTCAAGTCCTTGGTTCTCGTCAGTATCGTACAATGTTCACTGGCTTTGGGTCATCTTGGCGTCGGATAAACTTTTTCGCAGCCACTGGATGCTTGGAGTAGGGAACATTCGATTTGGTAGGATCGTCAACATTACGCCATTCCAGCGTCTATGCACTTAGATGGTTGTTTACTGGATTCTACAGGTCATGTGTGGAATAAATAAATACATATTGAAGCTATCCTGGTGCCTGACCCTGGATGGTTCTTTTCTGGTAGAGGCGCTAGTACGTTCTGATACTGTCGCTGGTGGGCAATACCGGTAGAAACTGGCCCACGATCATCATGGGAATGTCGAAAAGGTCTCTTTTGACCGTCCACGCTGAACAAAATTCAATATAATCACAGTCCCGGATTCTGGTGTTGGTACGTGCAATTCTTTCGTGTTCGGTTGACTTTTTGATGAGTTTGCAGCGTGTCACAATGGTGGAATGAAGGTTTCCCACAGCAACCGACTTGAATAAACGGAAATACTCAACGATCGACTCGTCATCGTACATTAGTTCGATGATAAACGTTCTTTTCGATAAAATATCAGACGAACTGAGTCCAAGCAAGTTCACCAAATCGTTCAGAATGCTGACGATTTCTCCCGTACGACGCCAGATTATCGTAGGCGATGCGTTAAGCTTGGAAAGGTTCTCATAATCCAAAAGACACCGCTGGAAAGACATCTCCAAAAACTGAAAGTCAAACGGCTTGAAAAGCGACTTGTGAGCACTGATAAACGTTGGTCTGTAGGAGGCAATAAGCTTCAAGATTATTAGTAGGTTGTTTCTCTTGCGTGCGTTTTCCTCCGGCAGCAGCTCGTTATCGCTTAGAGCAAACCGTTTCTTCAAGAAGAACGTAAGCGAGTGGTACGACAGCGGATAGTCAAACCCAATGATCTTATTCGAGTAAATGTCCTGGACAGTCTGGTAGATGTGATGAGAAAGAAGCGGCAGCACGTACTGGTCCTCTGTGGCTTTGGAAAACTGGAGCGAGAAATCCAGCCCCAGGTCTTCGTCCCTGTTGTCGCCCAAAGAGATAAACGGACGGCTTTCCTTTTCTGTATCGTGATCAGACACGATGTTGGGCGAAACCATTGGCGGTGGCATACTAAGGTTGTCAAACGACAGAGACGGCAGCAGCGGTTTCAGGATCAAGTCCCCGAGCATCATATACTCCTGGTTAAGGAAGTTCGAGTTGAAGTTATGCGTAGATGGCGTCGACCCGCTGGAGTCCTTACCCAAGGCTGATTCGATGCTTTCTGCCAAACTCATGCCATACGACGTGCCCAGTAGATCTGCTCGAAGATTACTATAACTCGGTGGCTCCTGCTTTGGCTGGGGCTCAGGAGGCGCCAGGCTACTCTCTGTCTCCAGTTGTGTCATGTACTTGGCTCTTTTACGAACCACGTCTTGACATCCATCAGCTATACCACGTTTGATGCAATTCTGACACGGTCTCGTGTTTGAACACTGTAAATGCTTGGAGTGACAGAACGTGCATGCTCGGGAGGCAGGCCTGCGGGCCTTCTTCTCCTGGGGAGTAAGTCTTCGTGTCATTATAGACGGTAAAGTATGGACTTTGGCGATGGAGTATTGAAAAATACCTGGGGAAGAATCCGGGGTACCCCGGCGAGGTCGGGTGACCCGGGGAGTGCAGGGACCGCGGTCCAAACAGTGGACGAGAGAGAAGAGACAAGGGAAAAAAGAGGAAAGAAGAGGTGGGTTTAGAAGACGAAGAACCTTTTTGGTGATTCTGGAGACTCCAAAATGTCCAAGAAGTTGGTCTTTTCGTCTTATCATCCCGGATCAAAATCAAGGTTTTGCGAGGTGGGGCTGCGGGGCTGGTGGGGCTAAATGAAGGACGTTTTTGCACCCATTGATTGGACCCTTTTCCCTGGAGAGATGAGTAATGGATAAATAGATGATTTGTTGGGTAAAAAAAAGCCTCTATACGATGATGTGTTCTCGGAGCGACATCACGTTGAACGCGTTGAGCATTGAAAGTCTAACATGGTAGCATGGACTGCCCCCTCTATGTTTTGGTCTAACAAGATTCATCTAGAGCTTAGGACGAACGTGGCCAAAGTAGTACAAGCCCTCAACGTCAACAGCTTCCAAGTACTTCCATTGCTCATTGAAGATCTTCTTTCTGTCGCCGTTGTACTTCACTTCAGGTAAGTTCTTTCTGTGTTCTTGAACGAAAGCAGCACGCTTGTCAATGAATTCGAGCCACAACTTGACCAGCTCAAGTGGCTGTTCACCGTGAACCAAGTGACCACCCTTTGGCATGTCTGCGGTCTCGAGAAGATGCTCAGGAACCTCTTCTCTGATCCAGTCCACAGACTCACGAGGAGTCCAGACAGCGTCAGCACCAGTAATATGGTAGAATGGGATCTCGAGCTGGTTCAAAATACCCATACCTCTTTCGGCAGAGTAGGAAACACCACAGTAGGTGGCAACCTGGTGCAATCTCTGGGCCTTAACTCTAACAGTACCGTCCTTGTTAACGACCAATTCGTCATCCACAAAAGCGTCAAGAACGTTCTTCTCCATGACATTGTAGAAACTCTTCTTCTTCAAGTGCTCATGGGCAGCTTCCACGCTAGGGTACTCGTTTTCAATAAACTTACCAGCCTTGATCATACGCTTGAAGAACCATTCGTTCAAAGCCTGAGTGTACTGAACAACTGGCTCGACGGAAATGATCGAATCGAAAAGCTGTGGCTCAAGGAAACCAGCCCAGAGCACAGCGTATCCACCCAAAGAATGGCCAATAAGGATGTTTCTGGTATAACCACTTGGCTCAAAGTCACCGGTGGTTCTAATTTCATGTTTGACAACCTCAACCAAATCCTTACCGTTGTCACACCAATCAAAAGTCCAGCCAATCTTCTCTCTGTTAAGCTCAGCAGAGTCTCCGTGACTGAAGTTGTCCACTGCAATCACATTGTTAAGCTTCCAGCTAGAGTTGTTCTGGTTGGCCTCGTAGAGTTTCTGGATATGGTAGTTCCAAGTACCTTTGTTCATACCCGAGCCATGGGCGAAAATAAGGTTAATCTTGGTGGCATCTTTGCCAGCTGGGTTCTTTGGAGTGAACTTGTTATAGACAAGCTGGACCTTATCCGAGGATAAAGTAGTCGAGCCTGGGGCTCTAGGAAACACGCCTGGGGCGACCTTCTTCTCCACTGAGTACATGATGAAAGATTAAACGAAGATACAAAACAGGAAAAACAAAAAGATGTATGTAGCTTTACCTTCAAGTGGTCCTCGGCTCTTATCTTCTTCAGATTGTGGGGTCAATCTTGTGGAAAATAGTGTGGCCGCGGCTGCGAATTATATATCCTAGTATCCAATAAGGGGCCTCCTCAGGGACACAAAAAGGCCAATATACTGTAGAAAAAGTGCCTTCGTTTCGTGGGCAGCCAAATTGGCCCAGACGTACGGTTTCTTAACTTTCAGCCTTCGCAGGCATCTGGAGATTTGCAACCTTCGCAACCGGTTCCCATTGTGGTATTGTATTTTGCAGCAAGCGAACAAGGGACGTTGAAGAAGCGAGAACAAGGGACGTTAGAGAAGCGAGAACAAAGGGAAGTATAGGGTAATGATGGGTTTGGTGGTGGAAGTTAGAGGAAAGTAAGATTAAGATTTGGTGGCAGGGAAGGGTGTTTTGCACATGAAAAGTGGAACGTGGATGGAGAAAAGGTGGAAAATTGACCACGCTTGGCAGGATACGTTATGTGGGGCCGTTTTTGGGACTTAGATTGTTATAGAAGGTTGGTTGAAGTGGCTACTACGCAGTATTTTGCAGCCACTGGGTGGAAGCTGTAGTTGAGTTATTCGGTGGGATTGGAGATTCTAAGTGGTCTGGTGGTTGGGAGCTAGGAGAGGGCATTGGCTTGTAGGTGGATTGGTAGAGCAAAGAAGGCAGAGGGTCTTTGTTTGGTGGTTCAGTATGTGGGGGCAAAATTAAGTTATAAGGGTGGATTCGAAAGTGGTTTCGGATTTTAATACTACCAATCTGACCATAAGTAATGGTTGTTTCCTGGGGCTTCACTTATACTACTTGTAAGTGGCATTGATATCGTATTCGTTGAAGAGAAGTTCTCTATCCAAAGACAGTGCTGGAGGTATCTACTGGAAAGCAGCTTGACGGTTATTTATCTTAAAGTCCATTTTTGAGTGTCTGGCTTTTATTTGCTCTATGGTAAGCTATCGTTGTCTGTTCTCATGCTTTACATATGAGCATGAAGGTTGATATCTTCAAAGATCTATGACGACCCCCAAAGAACAATCCACTTACCATGGACCTTAGTTTCCATTTATAACCCCAAAATGCCCCAATAACTGCCCAAATACACCAGTATCAAACAGCCACAGCTGGTTCACTATGACGATCTGAGACTCCACGTTAGCTCCATGCCTTTCCACACCACAAGCTCAAAACTCCCCAACTAACCAAACCACTGTTACATTAACATCCCAATTAAACCCCCTTCCCAATTTCACTGTTCTTCCTCCAAATATTCCCAACTTACCCCGGGCTGGACCGTCCTAGTGGTACTCCTGGATCAACGCACCCGTGCATCCCCACACATAGTATTATCGCCTTCATCAGGCTCACCAGATTACCAACTCTAAAGCCTCATGAGTAGCCAAGACGAAGTATGTATTTATCAAAAAGAAACCTTACTTCAGTTTATTACTAACTATTCCAGATCCGTGCTAAGCGATTGGCCCGTTTGGCGGCGCTCCAGCAGTCTTCCCAGCAAGAACTGAGCAGCTCCAGAACTCCTCCAGAACCTTCTACTCCAAAGGAGAAGCCCCAGCCTGTAAAGAAAGAACCGGAGGCTCCCAAACCAGCTCCAGTACAGAAAAGACCTGCCGAAGAACCTCTGACTTCTTCTGCACCTCCTAAACAGACTCCACCTGCTGAATCTAAGTTACTGTCCCCAGAACAAGTTGATAAATGGCTCCGAGCAGAGATCCCAAGAACTTTTGGCGTTGGGTTTTCAGGTAGCCCTAAGTTTTCTGATGTGGGATCATCTGGTCCTCTTTCAGCTGATTCCATCGAGGATGTCTTCGTGGAGATCTTAACTGATACGGGCACTCCAGGGTCTACGTTACCAATCGCGTATCTCTTTGATGTCTATAAGAAAGCGTTCCAGTTGAAGCGCATTTTGCCTAAGAAAGACCAAATCTATGACCAGAAGTTGGCCATAGTCAACACTATTATCGGCTTTTGTGCTTCCTATGGTCTCATTTGCTTCCAGATCCCAGAAATGGTACTCAACAACGATATAGAAAAGTCCGTTGACATATTCATTGAGCGCAGCGACATGAGCCCCTTTTTGGTGGATATCATCAACAAGGCTATTGAACTGGACTACCTCTTGGATTTGATGAACTTGCTTTTACCAACCATTAGCGCCAAATTGCATGGCCTTAATCTTCACAAGCCAGAGTACAGCAAGTTCCTTTCGATTTGGGAAAACTTGGTTTCAGTTAAGCCTGTTGCCGCCATCTTCTCTCAGGTGGATGGCTTTCGCCCTCCAGATTCGTCGAAGGGTCTAGATTTTGAACATAAAACTTTATTAGGTTCCTTCTTGAGACTTTCTCCATTAGCTGGCGAAGTTGCAACATTCTACTTTGCCGGAGGTGCCAAGTCGGACGCCCAGCTCGAACTTTCATCATCTCAGTTGATGCCTCTCTTTTCATCGGCTCAAAACGAGATGAAAGTCGTGTTTGATAGAATTTGGTTTATTGTGGATAAACTCATTCGTGGTTCTCCTCAAACCAGACAGGATATGATGAAATGGTTTGCAGACTTGGTTAATGTTTCCCATTTGAGAACAGGTTCTCATGCCAAGGCGTCTAAGTTGCCCAGTGACGGATTCATGTTTAACATTTCATACCTTTTGATTCGTCTCAGTATGCCCTTCTTAGACTACCCTATGTTTACCAAGATCAACAAGATTGACCCAGACTATTTCGGACCAAAGAACAAGTTGTTGGATGTCAAAGAGGATGCAAGAATGTACTCTTCGAGCTCTGAAGCGGACGAGTACTATAGCAACTCAATGGATGAGGACACAAATTTCATCTCGGACTGTTTCTACTTGTCTTTAACATACATGGAATACGGTATTGGCGGTATGATTACGCAACACGGAAGATTAAAGAGTGAATTAAAGAGGTCTACTGAGATGATTTCTCGTATGCAACGTGATCCAGCGGCTAGAGGAATGTTACCTCGTATCACAGAGTTCTTGAACACTTCCCGTTGCAGGCTCTACGCCATTGATGCCGTTTCCCTCGACCAAAATGTCAATCTGGAAATCTTTGACTTTGTGATCGGTGCTTCCCAATTCATGGTGCGTACCATCGACCCCCAGCATAAGCATCCATTCCCAAAACTCGAAGTCCCCATCTTCCAAATTGAAAAAGTCAGTCAATTGGATGACCATGACTTCTTGAAAACCAAAACACCTGTGCCATGGAAATTCTTCCCAGAATACATGTTGCTGGGCTTGATCAACTACTGCAAGTTTATCAGTCGGTACGGTGTCAACGCATTGATGAATAATGAAGAGAAACTTTCAGTCTTCGTTGAGTTCGCTACCATCTTGTTGAGATGTCCTGAACTTATCGGAAACCCACATATGAAGGGAAGCATCGTGGAGATTTTCTTCGGCGGCTGTCTCCCAATGAGAAATGGTTCTCCCGGATACATGGCAAACATTTTCAACACCAATAAGTTGGTCTTGAACAACCTCCTTTACTCGCTTTTGGATATCTACGTGATGATCGAGAAGACTGGTGCTTCCTCGCAATTCTACGACAAGTTCAACAGCAGATTCTACATCTCGATGATTATTGAAGAGTTATGGCACAATGATCATTACAGAAACCAGTTGACGGATTACCTGAGACATAACGTTGAGTTTTTCATTCGATTCATTGCTCGTATGTTGAACGATACCACCTTCTTGATTGACGAGGCCTTCAACTCGCTTAATTCTATCCACAACTTGCAAGTTGAATTCAACGCTAGAGAAGCTGGTAGCGAGGGTAACACCGACGAGTTTGGTACCACCGAGGAGCTTGAGTCTAACTTGCTGACTGAAGAGTCCAAAGCCAAGTCATACATGGGATTGGCAAATCAGACTATGAAGTTGTTCAAGTTGTTCACAAAACAAGTCCCTGAGGGTTTCACAATTGGTGAACTTGTGGACCGTCTTGCAGGTATGATGGATTACAACTTGGCTCTTTTGGTTGGTCCTAAGTGTTCGACTTTGAAGGTGAAGGAGCCAGAGAAGTATGATTTCGATCCTAAGAAGACCCTTGGTGATATTTGTGAAGTGTATGCCAACTTAAGTGGAGAGAGTAAGTTCAAGCAAGCTGTTGCCAAGGATGGCAGATCGTTTGACGTCAAGTACTTTGAAAAAGCCAAGAGGATTTTGACTACAAAAACCACTCTCGACGATGGCTTAATCAAGGACTTCTACCTGTTTGGTCTCGCAGCCGACCAAGAGCGTGTTGCCTTTGAACAAGAAGAATTGGAGATGGGTGAAGTGCCTGATGAGTTGTTGGATCCATTGATGTTTACTTTGATGGAAGATCCTGTCATCTTGCCAGGTTCAAGAATTACAATCGACAGATCCACTGTCAAGGCACATTTGTTGAGTGACCCTACAGACCCCTTCAACAGAATGCCATTGAAGCTTGAAGATGTCATTGATGACGTTGAAATGAAGGAGAAGGTGACCCAGTTCAAGCAAAGTAAGAGAAAAACCGGGGCATAAATATAAGAATATATAACCTACAGTTAACAAGATGATGAGTAGCACTCTCAATACTTTACACGAATATTACCATTACTTTATTTAAGCCTTGATAGCGTAGACTCTCTTTGGGAAAGCGCCTCTTCTCTTTCTCTCTCTTGGAGTGATTCTGGCAGCGTCCTCCTTAGACAAAGCTCTTCTCAAAGCTCTGGTCTTCTTCTCTCTCAAGTCCTTTGGAATGTGCTTCTTGCCGGCGTAGAAAGCTCTGACGTTCTCTCTTTGGAGAGCGTTGATGACGGTCAAGACTCTGGCAATGTCCTTTCTGACAACACCGATCTGAGGAACGGCTGGTCTGGTCAACTTCTGGACCTTCAAGGAGGCCAACTCCTGCTTCAAGGAGAGCAACTGCTCCTCCAACTGCTCCTTAGACTTGTTTCTCAATTCGGCAACCTTAACTCCGGCCTGATGGTTAGTATTTAGTTTGATGGATGCCACACATAGCGTTACATGGATGTACAAGAATTGACATTATTTGTGGATAAACGAACATGGAAAGTGGGTTTACTCGGATAACATGGATGAATGGATACATGGATTTCGTTTTATGACTTTCGATGGGGATGGCGTTGGATGGCTTGTCGTCGATGGATATTCAATGTTTGACGAACTGGATGGACATAGGTCTTATTGTTCTTGGGGAAAAGGATAATGGGAAATTAACATCTCTTTATAACGATACGAATGTGCTGGCGATATTGGTGGACTTTGGTCGTCTTGACGGCGTCACATACCATTTTGTTGTGTGATAGTCTGCGGTAAAGAGAAGATTTCCAGAAGAAATTTTTTTTCAGAGTGGATGGAGAGTGAGGAGGTACTGCAGGCAGAGGGGGATTTCTCACTATTAGTTTTTTTTTTTTTTTCGTTAACTATGGGAAAAGCTGGTTAGTTTAGTGTGGGTGTACGGATGTGCGACATGGGACCAGTGGTCACGTTATGACTGACCTGATATGAGTATCACGTGGTAGGGCTGGAGCCCTAGCCGGATCAGTGGTAAATGCTCGGATCAGGCTCCGGATCAGCTGAATTAATAGGTGGCGTAATAAAACCTATGATGCATCAGCCTTTTGGGTGGAAATTACAATTGAGCTACAATTCTGACGATTACAATTCCATGCGTTCTATACCACAAGGGCACAAAAAGTAAATAAGCATGACTTCATAGCGAAGCGACAACTAAAAGAGTAGGACATCGTAGGCAGAAGAATACAGATACCATTTTGCCATTATTTCAATCGAGGGAAGAAGGGTTGCAATTACGAGGAGTTCTTCAAGTTGGTAGACAACCATTCCAAACCTTCGTACAAACCGTCACCGGTGGTGGCACAGGTGGACTGGATGAACCAAGGTCTCTGTCTGATGGAATGCAAGCCCAACTTCTCGGTAATCTCGGCAGCGTTCATGGCGTTTGGCAAGTCCTGCTTGTTGGCAAAGACCAAGAGCAAAGCGTCTCTCAACTCGTCCTCGTTGAGCATCTGCTGCAACTCCTCTCTAGCCTCGGCGATACGGTCTCTATCGTTGGAGTCAACAACAAAGATGATGCCCTGGGTGTTCTGGAAGTAGTATCTCCACAAAGGTCTGATCTTGTCCTGTCCACCGACATCCCACACGGTGAAAGAGATGTTCTTGTACTCGACGGTCTCGACGTTGAAACCAATGGTAGGAATGGTGGTGACAATCTCACCGAGCTTCAATTTGTACAAGATGGTGGTTTTACCGGCGGCATCCAAACCAACCATCAATATTCTCATCTCTTTGTTACCAAAGAGGTTACTGAACAACTTGGAGAAAGACAATCCCATGGTGACTTAAGGAAGGGGCGAGGTTCTGTTCTGGAGAAATAAACCAAGGGGGGTAGGTTTAAAGGTTCTGGAGTGGGTGCAAAAACTCAGGCTTCTATAGGGGAAAAGGGTTCAAAATCTGGACTGATTTCGAACGGCTGGTGCTATCAGAAGTAAAACGTGGGTTGTTGCAACGATTTCTTGTAGAATAGAAAGGAAGGTTCCCGCTGTGTTGTGGAGTTTATTTGTCGAATGGGAAAACTGAACAGCAAATCGCGCCAAGTGACGGGTCGTGCGCGAGCCGGAAAAGCACGCCTTGCCCTGGGACAGACCCGGCTTGTTGCAACACCCAGGCGAAGCTCCAGTAGAAATTGTAGAATTTTTTGGAGATAATAAAACAGTCGGCCCCGTCCCCGACACAGTCCAGGCACCTTTATTAAAAAAATCCCTGTCTTTCCATGGGGGAAACTCCACTCTATTTATACCCGTGTGCTCGGTCTCTCCTTTCCTGCAATAAGATGTCAAGAGACGCTGAAGGAAGGCCTGAGCCGAGGGGAAACGGTAGAGAAAGAAGAAGAAAAAGAACAAAGGTTGGGGATTGAGGGGTGACTAAAAAAGATGGCAAAGAGGGGCAATTACATGGTACTAGTTAACTGACTACTCAATTGGCGGTGAAGTGGCGGTACATCTGGCACAGACTCACGTTCATGCTCTGGCTCTTACCCAGCCGCGATTCATTTGGGTGCAAAATAGGACGACCATTCGGCCAGCCAGGGCATGTATTAGAAGAAGAGGTAATGGGTTTTGAAAGTATAGCATATTAGCCTAAGACTAATATACTTCCCTTCTACATCCTTTGATCCCAACTTTATATAAATAGCCTTTGGTGATTCGTATGAGGTGGTCGCTTAGGAGCACTGGCATGGCTTTGTTCGTACACAAAAATGGCTGCGAAAAAAAAAAAAAAAATGGACCCGGGTCGTCGTGTGAATTATCGGAACGAGGTTCGGTGATCTATGTATTTGTGGGGGATTGAGGGACATGGAGGCCTCGTGCGGGTGCAATTGCTACATTAGTGGTTTCCAGAGAGTTTTGTGATTCAAAGATCTCAATTGGCGAAAGGGGAACTGTGAGTAGTCTAGGTTCAATCGTTATTGGCCAATTGAGGATGCCAGCTGTATAAACTTTGGATTGCTAAGAAAAAATTGGAATTGGGTTTTCTTTGTTTTTTTTATAGAGTTGTCTTTGGAAGTGTATTGTTAGTTTTCTTGCTGTAGTTGCCTTTGGTATTGGCTTTGGATGCTGTTACATGGTGCTCTGATCTGCTGATCTTTGTAGATAGCCGAAAGTCTGATGATGCAAGATGGTTTGAGGGAGATAGTGGATTTGGATGGTTTAGACTTTGCTGATTTGTAATAAGCAGGAGATGTTGGGTTAGGTGACTTTTGATCTTCACAGGCCGTGTGGTGTCGTATTTGTTGGTATGAGTGGAGGCTGGAGGCTGGAAGAGGCTGGTTTGGTGTATGTTAGTGTAGATCAGTGAATCGGGTGAACCAACAGTAAAATCGTACTAGTTTGATTTGGACTATGCATATGCTGTAGACTTATTCCTAATGAACGATTTTTTCTTTTTTAATTGGGTATTTTTACTTTGTGTAGCATGGAAATTGACTTGGTTATCACTGTTTCCAACTTTTTCGCAGCCATTGATAAAACATGCAAATTACTATACCATCACAAAATATTCATAGAAACATAAAAAAGATAAGAAAAGTTATGATATGGGTATTTTTAGGCAATTTAAAGCTATCTAGTGCCTCTTATTGCCCTAAACAGCTTTCTAGGTGATATTGTAGATTGCTTCTCGTTAATTGTGATGTCTCAGTCTGCTCCACCAACCATACTGTACCAAACGTAACCTTATCCTTACACAACGTCCTTCAATACGCCACACAACCTCTACAACTCATTACCAAGCATATTATATTTCTATCAAGCTCCCATCAATTCGAAGCCACGCGTGCTAAACAGCCGCCTTTCCTGGTAAATCCCATCATTAATCAAACTCGATGCCATCGGGCTAATGCATAAAATAATTAAATAATCGGTAGCCCGTCTACTACTTACCCACATTCACCTTACAGTTGGCAAACTGCCTCAATGCACGAATGAACACTGGGTAGCCAACGCTATCGTTGTCTGGATCCCAGTACAACTCGCTCAAACGAAGGTGCCAAGGTGGGTAGTCATGCAAATCCAAAACAGGATCGAAGCAGATGAGGAGGTCGGGCTCCGGGCCCACAAGCTCGCTGAGTTCCTCATCAATAAGCTGCACTGTGATATCCTTGACAGACAACTCCCGGTTGGCAGTAAGCTCGCTCATGGTCTTGGTAAGCTCCACAATAGTAGGCTTGCCGTCGACACGAGAAAGCAATGAGATATCCAACGTAGGCTGGCCGTCTGTCTTGGTGCCCGATGCAACAGTGGTATTCGAGTGAGGCACCCTCAAGGTGAATGCTGGAGTAGGGATACCAAAGTAGGCACGAAGGTTCTTCGTAATATAACGATCCAACTCAGCCAAGTGTGGTTTCACAGCACCCGTCTCCTCATAGATAGTCAAACTAGGAATACCAGCACTCAAGCACCAGGCGGCCAACTCAGCGATGTCTGAAACAGCACCTTCAATACCACCATTCTCGTTATCCTCGCTACGCATGCTGATAATACAGCTCAAGCGCTTAGGGATTTTCGACAACTGGGTCACGTCATTCCGAATAACCAGGGGCAGCTTATTCGGGTAGTACGTGATGGAGAGGAAACGAAGGTATGTCTTGTGGTAGACGTACTCAAGGTTTCGTATGATGGACATGAGGAAAAACAATGCAAGAAGCACCATGTGGGAGACGCTATGCTGGGCCCAAGAGACCACTTTTGTTACTTCCAAGGCCATGATGATAAAGGGTAGAGAAGGAGGAAGGGACGTGGATTGAAGGGCAAGATATAGTGACGTGAGGTGCACGGGTGTGGCTGTCCCAAGCCTAAGGAGAGCCAAAAGGGTCAGCCAAGTCGTGGGAAACTGAAGATATGGGGATTCCAGGATAATAGAGATGAAGATAAAAGATATTAGGTTCCGTTTATGTGTTTTTTTTTTCTTTTATTTCATTGGTTGTGTGTGTTTGGTTGATGGTACTGGCAGTGAAGAATGGCTGCGAAATGGGATAAAGTGGGATGACCAGAAGGACGAGGTAGATGGATGGGCAGGAAAAGGCATGGGGATATTTTGAGGTTTAAGGTGTTCCTTAATAAGGTAGGTTGTTGTTTGGAGGGATTTGGTGGTGGCAGTGAAAGTATGGAATGGTCTTTTAACTGGGTGTTTCACATACTTGTAGTCCTGAGACAGCCAGATAGTGTCTATAGATAGTTACCAGTACATGAACTACGTGGGAGCTCTTTCTGACCCCTTCCTTCGAGTTTGACAAATGTACCCAGGTTTGAACCAACCTGACTTACTTTACCATTCGCCACAATCTTATACCCCACAAGACAAATAACCAAAATACCTCATCCTCCAATGCCATCATCAACCAATCCTGGGTCTTTGTGTCACTACGGTTTCTCCGTGCGTGCATAACCTCAGACTGACAGCCACGTATGACTTGACAGGTGGCAAACTGTGGAAGAAGGAGGTTGATCGTGGGGAAGGTGCCGAACTTACCGACATGGTATGTAGTAGAGGAAGAGCTGAAGTAGCTGTTACTGAGAATACTTGGTCCTAATCGAGGTAGGCCAAGGAACCACCACTTCAACTGGTATCCATGACTTCTTTGATTTTTTTTTTAAAAACTCATTTTTAGCAACATAGGCTCCCCTGACAGCCCCTATAGAGTCGGAAATGGACGGTTTCTATCCGCTGATATGTAATATGGGTTATCCAAAGACGCAAAATTCCATATTGGGAGTATCTCCGGCGAGCATGGGAGATTCTCCGAGCCAACGAGGTTCCACAATTGACCACCACAAAGGTCTCTATGAGGGGAAATCTCCAATTTTTTCAATGAAGTCACGTACCAAGAAAGCCACACTACTCGAAAATGCTTATTAAACATCAATCTCATGGTTATGGTGCTGGTTGATTGGATACTTCTCGCATGGTGACCTGCACGGCTGAGGAAGAGCCATGTGCTCGTAATAACGAAAGACAAAGCAAACAATGGACGTAAATGGTGGCAAAAAGGGCTGGGACATGCCCAGCAGCAGATTAGTAATGTTTTCTATAGGCATGTTGATGCTTCTCTTCGGAGAAACACCGGATTGGGTTGTTCTACGTGCATGGCGCATATCGCTTGCACGGAGAAATTCCTCATTGGTAGATTCTCCGGCACTTGATGGCTGCGAAAAACGTTTTCCTCGGAACCGTGTTTCTTCACCTGCCGGGTATAAAAGGGACCGTGATTCCTTCCTTTCAGAATCATCAATTGATTCAATTATCTCAATTACAATGTCTTCTACTACAGTTTTGGTTTCTGGCGCCTCCGGCTTCATCGCTTTGCACACCGTTCAAAAGCTCATCAAGAAGGGCTACAACGTTGTTGGTTCAGTGAGAAGCGAAGAAAAGGGTGAATACGTTAAGAAGGCTTCTGGCAACCCTGAAAAATTCACTTACGAAATCGTCAAGGATATCGCCCAGGATGGCGCTTTCGATGAGTTTGTGAAGAAACACCCTGAGGCTACTGTCTTCTTGCACACTGCTTCTCCTTTCCACTTCAATGCTTCTGACATTGAGAAGGACTTGCTCTTGCCTGCTATCAACGGTACCAAGAGCGCTTTGCAGTCGGTGAAGGACAATGGTCCTAACATCAAGAGAGTCGTTGTGACTTCTTCTTATGCTGCTGTTGCTTCTGCTACTATGGACGTTCAGACAGACAAGGTTTGGGACGAGTCTACTTTTAACGACATCACCTGGGACCAGGCCTTGATGGACCCTGTTCTGGGATACTACGGCTCCAAGACTTTTGCCGAGAAGGCTGCCTGGGAGTTTGTCAAGGAACACAACCCAAACTTTGTGCTTTCTACTGTCAACCCAGTCTACGTTTTCGGCCCACAGCCCACTGACGACTTCAACACTGAGAAGTTGAACACTTCTTCTGACATCATCAACGCCAGCTTGAAGATCAAGAGTCCAGAAGATAAGGCTTACCCTGTGAATGGTCCTGCCGTGGACGTTCGTGATGTGGCTGACGCTCACCTTGTTGCTTTCGAGAAGGACGAGGCCAAGAACCAGAGATTGATTTTGTTCGTTGAAAGATTCACCCAGCAGACCATCTTGGACGTTTTGCACTCCCAGTTCCCTGAGCAGACCAAGAACGTTCCAGTTGGTACGCCGGGCTCCACTGCCGAGGAAATCAAGGTCAGAGCTACTATCAACAACGAGAAGACCAGAAAGATCTTGGGCTTTGAGTTGATTTCTGCCGAGCAGTCTATTGCTGACAGTGCCAGACAGATTCTCCAGGTCGAGGGTAAGATCTAAGTTGATGAATTATAGAGACTATGCGTATATGAATTGATAGAGTGTTTACGATTAAAATAAAAACAGAAAAAACCCCAAAAATAAATAAGCAGTAGTATAGTAAACACTGTGATTCGACTTGGTCAATAGCCTACGCCCACAACTAACTGGAGCATGCCACAAAGCTCTATTTCAGTAGCCTTCACCCACAGTATTCTCTTAAATTGGAAAGTCTAAATGATAGATTTTGGGTTCAAGCTCCCAAGAATGTCAATAAGCTTCATTTTACCTTCAGAAGCTCAGAGGTGCTCAAAAGTTTGATTTTATAGTACAATGGTATACTCCTATGTAACTGAGGCTCCACACTTGGAACAACTACAATTCACAACACATTGTACCACCTTTTCCCACTTAAGTCACCAAAAGCACCACTTCGCCGGACATACAGATCCCAGCTTCACCACCAATTTCTATTCTCCCCTCCCAATTGACCATTTCCATATTCCTCCCTCCTCCACCACCTCTATGGCACTTTTCGCAGCCAATAGAACTGTACCACTTACGCCACAAATGCACCTCAATTGCACGCAATTCGAACAAGAACAAAAAGCAACTAACCAAATATCTTAAAAAATAAGTAGAGAAATAAACGAACTTCCTCCTTTTTTTCCCCCAGCTTTGGGGCCCATCTGAATTCCCCATCTAATGGTTCTGTCAACCAGACCTGCACACACACCTACTTGGTTGCCATCAGTTTCTCAAAACCTCCCCTTGAAACCTTACTCCTCCTTCAATTCCAACCATGTCCAAACGTGTTCTCGACAGAATCAGCAGCCTTGCCATTCCTGCAGGTCTCACATTTGCTCTTGTTCAAGCATCCATTTACGACGTCGAAGGAGGCAAGAGAGCTGTCATTTTCGATCGTCTTAGCGGTGTCCAGTCGAAGGTGATTGGTGAAGGTACTCACTTTGCCATTCCATGGTTGCAGAAGCCAATTATCTACGACGTGAGAACGAAACCTAAGACTATTGCTACTACTACGGGTTCTAAGGATTTGCAGAATGTGTCATTGACTCTCAGAGTGTTGCACAGACCAGAGGTGTTGAACCTTCCTAAGATTTACCAGACTTTGGGTTTGGATTACGACGAGAGAGTGTTGCCAGCCATTGGTAACGAGATTTTGAAGAGTATTGTGGCTCAATTTGATGCTGCTGAGCTTATTACTCAGAGAGAGGTGGTGAGTGCTAGAATTCGCCAGGAGCTCTCGAGAAGAGCCAACGAGTTCAACATCCGTTTGGAGGATGTGTCCATCACCCACATGACTTTCGGTAAGGAGTTCACCAAGGCTGTTGAGCAGAAGCAGATTGCCCAGCAGGACGCTGAGAGAGCCAAGTTCTTGGTCGACAGAGCCGAACAGGAGAGGAAAGCTTCGGTTATCAGAGCCGAGGGTGAAGCTGAGGCCGCCGACACAGTTTCCAAGGCATTGGCCAAGGCTGGTGACGGTCTTTTGAAGATTAGAAGATTGGAAGCTTCTAAGGAGATTGCCCAAACGTTATCGGGCTCGCCAAGTGTGTCTTACTTGCCTTCTGGCAAGGCCGGCGAGGAGTCTAAGAACAGCTTATTGTTGAACATCGCCCGTTAAACAAGGGAAACCGGTCGAATGGCCCTCACGGCCCTACATCTGTGAATAGTAACGAATGACGTTTGCACTAAATGCTCTATATGCTGATTTCTACCGCTTCGTCGTGGACGCCTGGCGTGGTAGCCTTTCCCAGACGAACAAGCAGCTCCACGTCTGCTACCTCTTTAGCGCAGAGACTTGTCAAATTAAGAATGTCGCTGGCTGTGCTTCCCACTGCTATATCATCTTCCACTCTCACACCAATTCCCTGGTAATGCTTTGGCCATTTACTGTCGAATGGGACGTAAATGCCTGGTTCAATGGTGACCACATTACCTTTTCTTAAACGGGCAAACCTTGAAGCTGAAGGAACATCATGAAGATCAAGTCCCAAATGATGGCCAATGTAATGAGGGAAGAGTTCACGAGAGACTTCGCTTCTGGTAACCTCAGAGAGTCCTGGAAGGGAACGAAGGCCTTGAAGTAACGTTGTCACAGAAAGCTCATGCACATCATGAAGAGACATACCGTAGTTCTCATTACACTGGTCAATACAGACTCTGTTCGCGTTGAGAACCACTTCGTAGATATCTTTTTGAGCGTCAGAGAAACCATTAGGAGAGTTTGGCCACGTTCTGGAAATATCAGCACAGTAGCCACCCAATTTACCACCAGCATCAACAAACACAGTCTCGTCTTTATAAAGAATATCATCGTTTCTGGTGTAATGAATAGTCAAGGCATTAGGACCACTAGCAACCACAGGAATGTAAGCCTCTCTGTCACAACCACCTCTGACAAACGCGTAATCCAAGTACTTTGCAAGAAGCTTTTCTGTCATGAATGGTTCCAGACTGCCAACGCGAGCCATGGCTGTGTTGAACGCTCTACTGGAAATCTGGCCAGCCTTGTGCATCACCTTAATTTCAGCTGGCGACTTGAGTGCTCTGTGGTTTGCCAAAACCAGCTTCAACAGCTTCACGTTCTTTCCACGGAGCAATTCATCAATTGCATCGGATTGTCTGTGGTAGCCCAAACTGAAAAAGTTGCTGAACTTCGACAGCTTGGCGCCTTTGCTCTTACTATCAAAGTAGATATGGTCGTTTCTGGAGATGATGCCTTTCAAGTACGCATCTAGACGACCGACCTCGGCAACCTCGTCTGCATTGAAGTAGTCGTAGGCTCCTTGGAGACCAGTCCTCTCACCTTCCCAAAGCTCTGTTGCTGGATTCTTTGGAGGCACAAGCATATGGAACACGATATCGTCGTCATTCTTATTATCAGCAACCTTTTCAATGACAGCCACAGAATCAGGCTCAAGCCATCCTGTAAGGTAGTAGAAGTCAGTGTCCTGTTGGAAATGGTAGAACACCGATCCCGAGCTGTGAACCACTTTATTACCCGCCACAATGACAGCCGACCGAACCGGAAGGTCCTTGGCTAGTCTCATCCTCCTATCATAGTATTCTAAAGCTGTGATACCTGGAGTGATGAATCCAGGTTCCGGTAGGTAATGGGACCGTGTTTCATGCATTGGCTGTCCCGTCTTGTACGGAATGGCCAACGAGGGCCTGGAGGCATAACTATGGCTGAATCTGACCAAATTCCTCGTCCACAAGCTTCGCATGGTGGTAACCTTTTGTGGTGTGATCGTGACGTCAAAGGCCCTTTTCGGATGCGAATTTTCACTCTGATGATAAGGCATAGAACCCCACACTCAAGACATCACCAAGTCCTGGTTTCCACAGCAATCGAGTGGATCGTGAAGTCATGATTGTTTTGGACCCCCACAGAGGGTTTTCGTTTGTGCCCAATCAGCACACGAAACAGGAGAAGGTCCATAGCAACGGTTTTGACCGGCTTTGCTGGGATGAGCATCTCGATCCTCAAGAGGATGATGCGTCTGAATCGTCTGCAGCTGCCACCAGTGTGAGCGAATCAAGCACTCAGGCCAGTGACGTGACTGAAAGTGAGGATGTGCTGAGTCCACGGAAACTCACACGGAAGATGAAGAAGGAATTGAAGCTGCAGAAGAAGGCTAGCGCAAGAAAGCTTCGCCTGGCTAAGAAGGGCTTGACTGAGGCTTTCATAGATACTGACTTCAATGAGTATACGGCACGGCAGCAGATCAAGAAGCTTCACGACCGGATCTTGAAGAAGAACGTCCTGCCAGACCCAACTGACTTCAAGGTGTTCCACTACGAATCTGTGGCTTTTTACAAGTCAGACGTAGACCATCTCGTGCCTGGAGAGTGGCTTAATGATAATAACATTGCACTTGTGTACGAGTTGCTTACTCACACGTTTTTGAAGCTGATCCCGTTTGGCCACGAGATTCTTTTGCTTTACCCTTCGTTAGTGCAGTTGTTCTTGCATTATCCTGTGATAGAGGAGGTCCTGGCGATCTTGCCACAGAAGGAGTTGGCCAAACTGAAGTTTTTGTTTATTCCCTTCAACTTTGTTGATAGTTCGATCGATTTAGAAGATGCTAATAATGGCGATCATTGGGCATTGTGCGTTTTGAGCATCATGGAGAAACGCTTGTATGTGTTTGACTCTATGTCATCAGAGGACGACCATGACGGCGAGAAGTTGCTAGCGCAGCTTGCTAAGCGTCTTCAGGCTGCCATTTTCAAGCCACACGATACGCTTTCGGTATTAAAGATGCCATGTGATCAACAAGACAATTTCGACGATTGTGGTGTGTTTTGTATCATGTTCACCATATACCTCGTGTCGTTGCTCATTTCCGAAGAGCCCGTGGAGTTAGATTTGAGAAACGTTGTATTCAATCCCCTCAGTGGACGGTTATTTTTGATGGAGTTGGTGAACAAACTCTCAGAAGGAGACTAATCATGCGTCAAAGTGTTTTTTCATAAGCAAGGACTTGAGCATACTTGCAGACGCCTCAGCACGTACATCGTGCGTTAATTCTTCGACACTGCTTTGTAAATCGTCGTGCCTTTCCGACTCTAGCGACGGTTTGTAACAGAACAGGTCGGATGCAGATTCATAGACAACTTTAGATTCCCCCAAGTTTAACACAGAGATTAAGAGAAGCAATTTATTGGACACTTCATCGTAGGTTGCTGAATCTCTTGGAAAGTAGCCCAATAATCCTAGCAACTTCTCTCGCAGGATCCTCTTTGTGAGCGATAGTATCAAGAGGAAAGCTTTTTGATCTATAAGTCTTGTGAGGCGTTCAAAAAAGACAGCTTTTTCGTCAGGCAATGCAAATCCTAAAGAAGCAAATAGCTTTTGCAGTGCTTGTGGATTAGCTAGAGCTGATTTGGCTGCATGGAACTCGCCATTCGACAAAAGCGTGAGCACTTCGAATATACCTTCCTCCAAAGACCCAAGATCTGAAGTATAAGAGTCAACGAGAGCTTCGTTCAGGTTCATATTAAGCTGGTTGAATGGTCTAGTAGCAATAGAGGCCACAGCGTACATGACCAACACTTCAGAAACAAGCCCAAGGCTTTCTAGTACCTGAATATGCTCATAAAGACGATCAAACTCTTCAATAAACGCCTGTAGCTTTCCTTGAGTGAACTTCACCAACGCACTAAGCCATTGTAATAGCAAATGATACTGGATTTCAGGCTCCACCTGGTTCCTTACAGCTTCTGGCTTCTCGTCTAGCGCCTTGAACAAGAACGAGCACCGAGTATGGTAATTATGGTTCCGTTTCTCAATCGAAGCAATATTCCGAGGCCCCGTAGGTCCCTCAAAAGTTTCTTCGTTCTCCTTTTTCGGCGTATTCGCCTCTTCAAACCACACACGGCCAAATATCAACGCCACGAGCTGGTAAAAGAGATGCTCATAGTACCTATTCTCAGCAAACGCCTGGTGGCTCGTTACCTGAGCAGGAAACTGGGCGATATTATCAAGCTTGCCCAAATAAAACTGCACCATTCGAAAGTCACACTGGATTATCAGCACGGCAAACACTTGCTTGAACTCATCCACCGCATGCTGCTTATCTGTAGAAGCACCATCGTCCAACTCGACCAAATACGAAGATTTCGGAGCATTCAACTCGACACTTTTCGCCCATTCGTCCAGAAACTTACCCACCTCGGCTCTTCCAGCCCTGGCCAACTGGGCCTGGAAACCAGCATACGCTGGATGAAGCGCTTGGTAAGTGTCCATGATCTGAAGTGCATCCAAAGCAATTGCCGTGAGTTCGTCTTGGGAAAACGCCTCTGGGTGTTTGAAGCGGTGGGCCAAGAAATGGACCCTGAGGAAGTCGACGTTCATGGGTTGGTGGAAGGAAAGAGTGGGTTCTTTAGTCTGGGGTAAAGTGTTGATAGTTAGTGAAGTACAGGATTGCGGGAGGACGAAGAGGGTGTGACGAGGGTGGGGGTAGTTTGGAGGCGACTATTGGGGAAAAAAAGTGGAAGAAAGAAATAAAGAAAGAGAAAATGACGTGCTGAGTTTTGTAGACTGGTTTTTGAGGGTATTTTGTTGGAAAAGTGGCGGATTAATTGGGGGTTTGGTGGATTTCGCAGCCATTAAGTACTGGAGAAGGATGTAGTGGGATGGAAGGAAAAAGGAGGTCAAGGAACGAAGGAAGCTTTATAAAATAGGTTTGTACTGAAGACGTTCATGGTGAGTATATTCTTTAAAAAGGATTAAGAGGTTTATTTGTGGTAGGCTGTTGATGTAATAGCACATTGAGTGCTTCTACTGCAAACAGACACTTTAATGATGGTATCTTAAAGTAAGGATGTCCATTGAGATTTGGGAAATAACTAAGAGAAGATTTAGAATAAAGCTAGAGCACTAAGTGATTCTTTTCTGTCTTCCTGAGAATATTGAGTAGGGTATATCGAACACTGATATTCTCTGACGACGTGCGAGACAAGTGATGATCCCAATGAAACTTATGGCTTCAAGAAAGTAAAGGTCTACGTTAATAAAAGCTTTCAAATTGCCAGCAGGAACTGAACAGCTTCTCGGGAGGCCCTCTTCACTTTAACTTGTTCCCCATCAATATCACCCTAACCTTCCCTGCCACCTACACTAACCCAGAGATACATTATCCTTTTCTTATTTCTATTTAACCATCCTGAACCAAATAAACCTAACCTGTTGGTTCCTTTAACATAAAAACAATCCCAAATCCCAAGAAGACGCTGCCTCCAGCGTCTACATTAACAACAGACTCGTCGAGTACGACGAGCAAATATGATACAAAATCAGCGCCATGCCCCAACTAAACGGAATCCATGTACTCATTGCAAGAGCGCCAGCACGGTAAATAGCCGCTAAAAGAAGCCCAATAATCGCTCCCAGCATAAAACCCTGGGCCACTCCAGCAAGCAAGTACAGCGCTGCCACTATCACCAGCTGTACAACCACGGCTTTCTTTTTTGATGCCACGATCTTCCGTTCTCTATAAGCTCGTAGGTTCATCGAAGCAAACGCAGCAACCCCAACTAGAAAGTACGCTCCACTGAAGAAGATGATCACCCAGTAGACGGTGAATTTCCAGATATCCACCGAGTAGTACAAGAACAGCTCGTTGTACCTGGGCAGGGTTATGCCCAAGGGCCAGAAAATGGCGGGGAACTTCGGCGTGACGTAGCCAATGGGCACATCCAGCGAGCTGACGAAGATTTTCATGGGAAGAGCTTGGAGGTGGTTTGATGGAATATGGAGAAACTGTTTATGGGTATGCAGGTCTCACCAAAACATGGCAGTTGGAGAAGGACATAAAGGGACTTATCTGGGAGGTTATGAGGATTTGGAAGAACTTTTAGGGAATAGGGGTAGCTGGAAAATCATATGTGACAAATGGGTTTATGTTCTCTTGGGTGCTTTTGGCTGGTTATTGGTAGATTGGATGGTCTCTTGATGCTGGTGCGGCGTATCCAGTGGTTGGCACTGAAGATATGCCATAAGCTTCGAAAGCGAGTCAAATCAGAGAATAAGGTGATTACTATAAAGTAAGTAAATATTAAGTGACTACTTAATGCCTTTAATATGGTAGGTTTTAATATGGATTGGGTTGCTTGGGGTAACTTGTGCTCGCCAAGTAGACATGATACCACCCTAACGAGATACATATCAAACTACACTTTCAAGCAAGTCTTTTGATTTGGAATTGGAAAATATCACCAATTATTCGATAACCATAATAGGTTTGTTTAAAGCAAGATAATGGTCGATTCTTGAAAAGTCACGTGATCAGATTACAAATCTCGGGATCCACCAACTAGCCTTAAACGTGAAACAAAAGCAGCCAGTATATCTCTTTCAATTGTTTATCGTTTTCTCCTTCCTCGTTCACCTACTCCCAATTACGTTGGTGGCACTGACTTAGGGGGAGTTGGCTGTTGGTGGTACCTGCACACAACCCGATCGCCACTGCTCAATGTCAAGCCTAGAGACTCCACCACCAACAACTAACCCACATTGCCATGTCCAGATACGACTCCAGAACCACAATCTTCTCCCCCGATGGGCGTCTTCACCAGGTGGAGTACGCTCAGGAAGCAATTTCCAACGCAGGCACTGCCATTGGCATCTTATCACAGGATGGTGTTGTGTTAGCGTGTGAAAAGAAGTTTACGTCCAAATTGCTTGATAACGACGGCAGCGCAGAGAAATTGTACCATTTAAATGACCAGATGATGTGTGCTGTTGCTGGTATGACGGCTGATGCATCGATTCTTGTCAACAACGCCAGAGTGACTGCTCAGAGATACTTGAAGACATACAACGAGGAGATTCCATGTGAGCTTCTTATAAAACGGGTTTGTGATGTGAAGCAAGGTTACACGCAGCATGGTGGTTTGCGTCCATTTGGTGTGTCGTTCATTTACGCTGGCTACGACGATATCCATAAGTTCCAGTTGTTCACATCCAACCCTTCAGGTAACTATTCTGGATGGAAGGCCATTTCCATTGGTGCTAACAACTCGGCTGCCCAGACATTGTTGAAGAAGGACTACAAGGACGAGTTGCTGTTGAACGATGCATGCGAATTGGCTGTGAAGGTGCTCTCCAAGACCATGGACGCCTCGAACATGAACAGCGAGAAATTGGAGTTTGCTACGTTGAGTGTGGGAAAGGAGAACGAAGTGGTGGTAAGAAAAATCTGGAACGATGCTGAGATCGATGAGTTGATTAAGGTTTCCGGTGTTTTGGAAAAGGCCGACGAGGAGTAAGGCTGAAGCAGTCCTACGTGTCATGACGAAGTCTCAAAGCCTGGTTTGATCAGTCCAGGGTGCTGGCAGTGTGTCAGCTGAATAGATCACTAGAAGAATATTAATGATTGTGATGTAGAGCGAGGGTGATGAAGTTGGAGGGGAGGTGGCAGTGGGGCATACATTATGGGGATTTCAATGGTAACTGGAACTCCAAAGAAGAAGTATACAAGCGATGTAAAGAATACAGCTCTCTAACTGTCGGTTGGTTGAGCTGGTAAGGCTTGTTTCTAACAGGTTCTGTGTTAATATTGACAATTAACTGATCCCTTACCATCATAATATCGTCGCCCACAACCATCCCAAACAACTCAATTGCCCGAAGAAATCATAAAAATTGAAAGCCCAAATAAATAAAAATCTTCCCAGTTTGTTGACTGATCATATACTATACTGACCATGCAACCAACTCCAGTGTGACAGTTATTACCATCCACCTACCTTCTCTTAACTTCAGAAAGACGCTCCAAACTCCTTCGAACCGCATCCTAAATAAACCACTCTAGTTACCCTTACCATCCAATTCACGTTCCCATGCTTCATTCTTCCACCTCCTCTCCTTCTTGTCTTTGGCTGCGAAATACCTATACCACTAGCCTCCACCAACCTCCATCAATTCCCACCAACCTCCCCCAAATCCCCCAAAATTCAACCCAAAAGCACCAGTAACCCAAAACACTCAAAAGAAACACCTTCTTAGCATTTTTCAAATTACCCTTATCACTTTCAGTAGTCCCTCCTTTCCCTCTCCTCCCAACTGTCCTATACACATTCGCGGAACCACTTCTCAGTAGTAGCAGCAACATACTACCTCGGTTCTTTCTTCCTACCAACTGTTTTTCCCACGATGGTCTTGCTAAAACCGGGCTTGCCGGCGAAAACGCTTCGTGAAATTCGAGCTACCAATACGATTTCAGCACGTTTGCTTGAGCAATTGCAGAAACTCAATGAGGAGACTGCTGTGTTTCTCCAGACGGCGCTGGTGCCTTCTGAACCAACTGAGATCCAGCACATTTTCCAGGATTTCTACTTTTTGGTGGGCGCCAATACGCTGAGTAAGAACCTTCGGTTTCCTGAGATTCGCCTTGCCAAGTTGAGACAGGTGGCGAGGTCGTTGGATAAAGTGGTACCCCAGAACGAGATAGATAGTGCTTTGGTGAATATCATTGATCGGTACTTGGTGGTTTTGGGAGCACACGAATTGGCCAATCTGTTTATTTTCAAGACAATTGTGCTTACGAACCAGGGCATTTACTGGAGTGACGTGAAACTGCTGAACTACGGGAAGTTGTGTTTTGGAGTTCAGACATTACCTTCGAGAGTCTACGATTTTGCGTGCCGTGGCGTCCACAATGCTACATTTGTGCAATTGAATAATCAGGGCATTTACCAGAGGTTTAAGAATGCTTTGCAGGCGCTTTGGGATAGTTTCAGCAGAGCTGGTGCTCAAGTGTATGGCCATTTGAATAAGAACTTCGTGTTGAGAGGTTCCAGGCTTCGTTTCTTGACAGTGCCGCTTTCTTTCATTGATGCAGAGATTAAGGAGAAGGTGGACGCTGTTCAGGCTCAATTGGATGTTCATTATGGCCAATTGGGCTTGTTCATCAACAGTTTGCCTGTGGATATTGAACTTTTAGGAAAGCTTCTTGATTGTGATGCCAACAGATCTACTGTGCTCCAGAAGATCGAGGATAAGATGAACGACGACTCTGAGTATAAGAATACTCGTGCTCCTGGCTTCATTTCACGTTACTGGCCTGTTCTTGCACTTTTGGTTAAATATGGTCCTTCCACCTCCGTTTCCATCTACCAGAACCGTTTGGCAATCGTTGACTGGGTTAGACACAATTTGGTTGACACAGTTGTTGGGTTCTGGAAGAATTGGGTAGTGAAGCCCATTTGGGATATGTTAGGTATTCTTCGTGCCGATGACCAAATGACCATTACTTCCAAGGAATCTCTACAGTCCGACCTCAACTCTTTGGAAAGAATGGTGACTGACTTCATGAAAGATAATAACATGACCGTTGATGCCAACCAGGTTCGCCAGGCAGTTTCCCAAGGAGACTTGACTATGATGATGTCACAGTATGAAAAAGAAATCAAGACCCCTTACCGACTGATTATCCAGGGACTGTTGATCCGCTCTATTTGATCCAAATCCAAAAGACTAAGGTTGACGGTGCAATTGCTATTGGCGGTATTGATAAATTACTCAAACTGCAGCAGTTGCTTTTCGGTATGCTTTCAGTGCTGCCATCGCTTTTTATTCTTTACCAGGCTAACCAAGCGCTCCATTCAGACGGTACCTTCTCCAAAAAGAGTCAGCGTATTACTTGCTTGAAAAGTCTTAACAGAGTTGGAGCACTTGTCAACCGTGAAGTTCATGAAGATAAACTCGTTGGCGACGGTAAGCTTTTCGTGGAGATGGTCAACTTGACACTTCTTCTGAAGTCGTTGATTCCTAAGAGACTTCTGGAAGACTGGCTCAAAGACCTTAACCTGCTTATGGTGGCCAGTGCCGAAGACAGTGAAAGCGCTAGCCGTGCCGTGGAACGGATCTGGAACATGTACCTGCCATTCTTCAGACGGGGAGTGTAGAGGGGAAGACAGACAAGGGAATTTAAGAAGAATTGAAGATTTTCAGGCTCTTTGACGAATTGCTCGGTGGGTCCCCTCCTAGCATTAAGCGAAAGTGATACAGACGAGATTAAAGCAAAAAGAAAAGAGATACTTTCAAGAGCAAAGGGAGATCGAAATTGATGTACCAAAAGAACGAAGGAAGGCAGAAAATAAAGGAATCTACGGAAAGATCGATCATCGGACGGTTACCGAAGATGAAAGAAGGAACCCGGCAAGACGGAAACTTTTGTGGCGCTCAGATGCAAAACTTGTGGAAAATCATCTCCGTGAATGGAACATGGAGTTTAATACCCGGGCAAGAGGGACCCCTCCGTTGTTCCAAAGCAAAAAAGGGGAAAGTTGGAGAAGCCAAATGGCGATTAGAGAAATCATCTTCACCAATTTGGAACAGCCGCTCGTGGAAAGATAGCCTGGCGTCAGAGGGGAGTCGGTGGGGAGAGAAAAGGCAGATTACCTTAGGAGAGGGACAAACGGGAGGGGAGATTACAATGCTGATACAAAACCTGGATTACGGCAAACCGCTGCAGTATGTGAGTGAAGGGTGCAAGAAAAGAGAGATGGAAAGAAGGAGAGGTTGGATGAAAAAAGTGAAAAAATCAGACCCTGGGTTGGTTGTCTACCAGTTGGCTGCAAATGAGGCGGCAGAATACGAGACTTTTATCGCCAGGGAGGGGCCCGCAAGGGAAACACTCAGATGGGGGAAGGCGGGAGGGGAGACGAAAAAGCGGCTTATAGCAACGAGAAGTCAGAGGAGGAAAGGAAGCAAGGAAAAAAGGAATTCTTCACGATCACAAAAAGAAAGCAATGAAAGAAGGTTTTGCAGAACGGGAACGAGGAGAAGTTTACCAAAATGACGGCATTCTTTTTTTTTTTTATATTCCTTTTAGGGGGATTTGGTTTTAGTGATCGTTCTTTGCCTGAGTCAGTTCCTGCCCAGCCCTCTTGCCTGCCTGTACTGCCACCACTTTGGCTGCGAAAAAAAAAAAAAAAAGAAGTACAGCACCTTTCAACTCTAATTTGCAAAATGGATAAAGCAAGGCTTCTTAAATCCTCAGTTTCTTGTCGCTTTGCCCCTTTCCTTGAGTTTCCTGATCCAATCATCTGCCTGGTTCCTCTTCTGGTATCGTCTTTTGACGTGCCGCCTCACGGAGTGTGAAACTCCGAAACCACTGCGACACCTCCCCCACCGTTCAGTGCCATGCCACCGGAAAACCGGCGCCTTCCCGCTTCCATGCTTGGTTTCCATTCCACTGGGAAATTTGATTGTGTTTGAGGTGGGGAGCAATTGCCAAATAATTTTTTTTTTTTTTATTCCTTCGATTCTTGCAAGGTCCCACTGAGCAAGGTTGGTGTGTGGTTTCCCTTTGCGGGGAAGCCTGCCCCAACACCCAGCTATTTTGGCTGCGAAGAAGATATAAAGAGCTGCAATGCCAGTTTTCGCACTTCACGCCCAGGCAACTTTTGCACTGACTTTGGCATAAAGCTTTTTTTATCTTTGGGTTCTACGGCTCTTGTCGTATCACGTTGTCAATTCGAGGCAGACACTGTTTCTTTGCTTTCTAGCTTGATCTACTCGCTACCTGCTATACTAGAAGGCTTTCTAGTGACTACATCGCATCTACAGCGGTTCATTTATTCATCCCAAGCTTTTTTTTTTTTGGGCGGTTCCAAGTTTACTTGGCTTTTTCTTCAACTCCACCATCATCATCACGCTGCATCCAGCTTTGCTGAATTCAGCTCATTTATTCAAAATTCCTTACCATCCGTATGTCCTCGCCATGGCTCGTGGGTCCAACGAGCCAGTGGGTACTGAAGAGCAAGGACCACTCCCGGAAGAGTCCCCGCCACGCCGCGCGCCATGGCACTAGATCTTCCCCAACGCAACCTGTCGAGCCTGGGGTCGCCAACTCTTGGCTCCACTTCGCCGGGCTTTCACAATGCAACAACTTTTCCGCCCATGGCCCATGGCGGCTACGGCACCAAGACGGCTACGGGAAACCTGCGTATCTTCAATTGCAAGCATTGCCAGAGAGCGTTTACCAGGGAAGAACATCTCACAAGACACATTCTTCTGACTCATAACAAGCTTAAACCCTATATTTGTGGGATTTGCCTGCGTCCCTTCTCGAGGCGTGATTTGCTACTACGGCACGCAAAGAATCTTCACCAGGGCTCCGAGGTGGCCGTGCTGCGGATTCGTAAGCTGTGTAAGAAGGCACCTGAAGAGGATGAAGATAAAGGCGAAAAGGACGACCAGCGGATGAAGATGTCTGTGAACATGCTAGTGTCGTAAATGGACTAGATCTCAATGGCTGCAAAATGAGAAGGGATGCGCCCCTAAACATACTTGGAGGGGGGAAAAGGTTGCCAAAAAGGCGACGCAAACATGCCTTTTACGGAATGGAATACCTACGAAATGCTTGCCGACATCCACGGAATGCTGTGTTCAGAAGGCCCTGCTTTTTCCCCTAACAGGGCTCATGTCTTACATTTTGTGGCTTGCGTTTTTGTGGCACGAAGTCTGTCGTCGTCTGCTGGCTTAAAGCACGGCTGACAATTCTTGACCCTTATCCCCCACGAAACCCCACTATCAATTAGGGGTTATCTTTCCATTGCTGTCCGGAAAGCAGATGCCTCTCGTCCTTAGGGATCTCCAATTGTTCTCCTATTCGAGGCGCTTATTTTTTTTCCCCTTCCCCTCATCGCACCCCTCCACGTCAAGAAAATGTGACATCCAGCACAAAGAAGACTCCCTTTCACGGACTAGCAAGCACAATTCCATACCTTACTAAGCTTCACGTTCAAAGAATGTCGCCTTGCAAACCTTCTTTACTGCTTTCGGGCAGCAAATCTCTCCGCCTGAAGAATGCTGCTGCGTCACGTGATGCGGCGCTCTTAAAAAGTGCTTAGCATGCGGTGGGGAACACAGGGGGAAGCTTTTCGGACTTTTTTGAGGGGACCGGGGTTACACTTTTGTGGAGGATTTGCGCCCCTCCCATTCACCAAAAAGGCTATCTTTTCTTTTTTTCAGTCGAATATTTTTCACTTCTGCTACAGTCTAAATTATTTGGACGACAGCCAATTTTGGCTTCAAGTTTTGTAAATACGAAGGGTTCATCAAAGAACCTGGCCGACCTGGGGGACTGGCATCTGCAACGGAATCATGGCGGAAAAATAATATGTTGGATTTGGATACTATTTATTTTTTTGGGCCCAAAAAGCAAAGTGTCTTATCTGGCGCCAGCGATAATGTCAGGAAGTTAAAAAGGATACTCCGCTTCCAGATAAACTGTGGTATCTTCCCCGCCAGATGGAAGTTTAATTCGTTGAAGTTGCTGTTCTGTGGTTGAGCCAAACGCAATTTAAGTTTTGCAACCAAAAAGGGGGTTTCTGGAGCTTTTTTTGGTTGTGTTTAAAGAGACTTCTAGTCATCAGGGAAGGAATGTATAGCTCTGGTTGAGAGCTGTCTGGGTACATTTGAATTGGCCGTCTAAGGTTGCCAGTACGGTAACCTTAGCGGCTTTTTATAAGCATTGCTTGGTTTTAATGTTACAAGGTTTTTTTTGTGGTTGGGCTTATTGTAGATGGTGATTGCTTTTTCTATATTCTTGTCGTTAATTGTGCTTCGTGGGCTACTGGTTAGTCTTGTTTGATGCATGCCATTGGCAGGGTCCAATTGATGTTGATGGATCAAGAGTCCTAAAGTTGATAGGTTAAATGAAGAACAGTTACAGGCCTTGGCTAAGAAGCAAATGCTATAAGGCTTTGTTTTACTTTTGTGCTAAATATCTTGATAACAGATGCTTCGTTGGAATATAAATAGTTGGATGGTAATTGGAGTTCATTTCACCAGTCTCTATCAATTCTATCATTATTTTAAAAGTTAAGAAAATCAATTTAGCACAGAAGGGAATAAATCCATATTAAAATGCCAGTACTTTTAATTTCTTTCGGCTTCTTTCAACCTTGGAGACGATATTGGGAAGTTGGACCTCGAAGTCAGCTTCCTTACGTCACCGTCCACACTGAATTCCCAACTTTCAATTCAATTTAGTAGGATTATTTTGTTGGGATTAAGAAGCCCGAGGAAAATTAAAACAAAAAAGAAAACGAAAAGAACTTGAAAGGAAACTAAAAGGAATGGTAAGTGTTGATGGATGTAGCCATCTCTATGAACCTCACACTGTGTTCATTCTTAAACCTTCTAAAAACACAACGAAAGCAAACTTGCATTACTTTTTGGGCCTCAGTAAAAATAATCACACTTATCATTGACACTTTAAAACGTTTGCACTTCTTCATGGAACTTGCTGATTCGTGGGGAATGTACGTTTCTTGTCTCCTCACCACCAGAACCATCCTCATCTCGTAAACCCATAAGACACTCGGAAACAAAAAAAATACCAAATCAACAAACCCTTTTCTCCAAAACCTTCACAACAGAATCGCCCTTTTTATTCTCCACCCACTTCCAAATCACCTCTCTCTCCCACTTCTCTCCCTACATAGTGGAATTTTGCACCCAAATCGCGAAGACATCAACAAACAAGCTAGGAGATCTGCAAGAAACCACCAACCACCCAAAGCACACTAATGGCGCCAGGAAACGCTCTTTTCGTGTATTCTGTGCCGGAAACGCCATGGCACGTGGTTATCACGGACAAATGCCACCATTTTTACTTCAATGCCGTTTCAAAAGCTTCCGTGTGGCAGATCACCGAGACTGAGGAGGGTCTACTGGAGAAGCTTGATTATAATGAACTAGCTGTGCTTTTTGCAAAGTCCCGGGGTTTAGTATGAGAGGAGGAAAGGAGAAGAAGGAGAAGGAGAAAAAGAAGGTGGTTGAACGGGAGGTTGAAGAGGAGGAGGATGAGGCTGCAGAGGGAGTGTCTGAACTGGAGCCAGAGGAAGTGGAGGTGCCTCATGATCTTATCCAATCTGTGGTCGGCGAGATGGGACCGTTGGATGAAGGTGAGGGAGAGAAGGAAGAGGTGGGGGAGAAGGAAGTGGAAGAGGAGAACGTTCAACAGCCAATTGGTGGAGGTGTGAGTCTTCTACAGGGCTACCTGAGTGATTCAGGTGATGAGGATGAGGGTGAAGAAGAGGCTGAAGTGGAAGCGACTCAAGAGGTGGTGGTTCCTCAGGATAATGTTGCCGAGGAAGATGTTGCCGAGGAGGAGGAAGAACAGCTGGGCGAAGATGATGCCCTGGAGGGACTGGTGGATGTGAATGCTGGGTTGGAGCTTCTGCTTTCTGACGATGAGGCTGGTGAAGTTGAAGCAGACGAGGGAGTCAAGGAAACGTTTAAATCGCTCTTATCACAACACGAGGGGTCTTTCTCCAAGTACGATCCATGGTTTCTTGTGGTCGAGGATCTCGTGCTGGTAATGGCCCAGGAACCGGCTTTCTACAGTCTCCTGGATAAAGAAAAGGAAACGGCGTTCAATGAATGGGTTGCCGAGTCTTCTTCAAACTTCAAGCAAGCACCCAAGGGCCGTTTTCCTACAGCTAACCTTCTATTCTACCAGGAGCTTCAGGAACACAAAGCTGAGATACGAAAGCTTCCTTATGTTCAATACAAAGAACAGTTTCCTTTCAACACAGATGGTGAAGAACCTGACCGTTTATATAGGAAGCTACGGACGACGTTGGTTGATTTTGCTGATTACGAGAAGAAACTCAAGAAAGGCGGATACAAAGGTGAAAATTTGAAAGTGAAGAAAGTGAACGAATTTGTGGCTAATGAATTGGCCAGTTTGCTGGTTGAAAAAGGAGAGCACGAGCTGCTGGCAGATCTGTTCTTCGACAAGTGGATCGACTTGTGCAATGCCTTTAATTTGCCATTATCCATGGTTGAAAGTCCAGAGAACTTCATCTTGGGCGATGAAAAGAGGTACCTCTGTTACAAGGATGCTCTCATGAAGGAGGGTTCAGATTAGGGAGTGATGTCGCCATGGTGACAACAACAGGATATTTATAGAAAAGTTAAAGTGTTCACTGATACTATAAAGTGGAACGCTGCACATTTGATAGACTCTAATTCTGGAAAGGAAGTAGGTTATGTATTACTCAGAACCAATGGCTGCGAAAAGTCATAATGATTAATGGAACTCCAAACCATGTGTCAACAACAACTATAATAAGTTCCTGTTGAACTAGTACATCCCTTTCTTGTAAATTAGCAACATAGTCAAAAACTGTCCAAATCCTAACCTGTCCTTAGTATATCACATAGTGTACCACTTGCCCTTCTCATACTCTTCTCACCACAAGACCCAACCATACCTCCACCACGCAACAAAAAACACAGTAAAAGTACATTATCAGCATCAACAAACATCACAAAACCCACAAGTACCACCCAACCGCCTCTTCCTTTCCTTTAACTACAATCCATTGGTACCTCTTCCACACCCGTGCACCTGGCTTCCCCAGATTCCAATTTCCACTCATCACCACTTCCCTACCATCCAATGTCTCGAGTCGCTGTCACGGGAATTGGCCTTGTCACGCCATTAGGCATCGGCACGAGGTCCTCCTGGGCCAACCTCATCAAGGGAAAGTCAGGGCTCGTATCTACCAAACTGCTTCCAGACTACGAATCAGCAGGCTGGGATAAAGTGCCTTCCAAGGTCATTGGAAAGATCCAGAACTGGGATCCAGAGAGATGTGCTGATAAAGATGCCAGAAGATGGGCTCTTTTCACGCAGTATGGCATTGCTGCTACGAAAGAGGCGCTAGAAGATTCAAAGTTGGATTTGGAAGGCGTGGATAAGAATAAGGTTGGTGTAGCTGTGGGATCTGGTATAGGCTCTTTTGAAGATGCTTATGCCAACTCGGTGGCTTTCCATGAGAAGGGGTACAAAAGAGTCCAGCCGTTGTTTATTCCCAAGCTTTTGAATAACATGGCGGCGGGCAATATCTCCATCAAGTATGGTCTTAAGGGCCCTCTACATTCTGTGTCTACCGCTTGTGCTACTGGCTTGAATGCTATTGGTGATGCTTATAATTTTATTCATAACGGTTACGCCGATGTGATGGTTTGTGGAGGTACAGAAGCTTCTATTCATCCGTTGGCGTTGGCTGGTTTTGCCAGAGCTCGTTCTGTGGTTACCGAATTCGAAGATGAGCCTTGGAAAGCGTCAAGACCGTTTGATGCGGACAGAAAGGGATTCGTGCTTAGTGAAGGGTGTGGTATTTTGGTCTTGGAAAACTTGGACGCTGCTAAGAAGAGAGGTGCTAGGATTTATGCTGAAGTAACAGGATACGGCTTGTCTGGAGATGCTAACCATATCACAGCACCTTTGGAAACAGGAGATGGAGCCTATTCGGCTATGAAGATGGCGCTAGAAAGGGCAAAGGTAGCGCCTACGGATGTGGACTATGTCAATGCCCATGCTACATCAACTGTCATTGGAGACAGAGCAGAAAATCACGCAATACTGACTTTATTTGATAAAAACTCTAACCTTGCCGTGTCTTCAACAAAATCGTCCATCGGCCATTTACTCGGAGCCGCTGGTGCGGTCGAGGCGGCCTTCACGTTGAAGGCTATCGAAACGGGGCTCTTGCCGCCCACTCTTAATTTACAAAATGTTGGTCGCCACAAGGACGACGACCCGACACAGTTCGAAAAGTTCGACTATGTTGCCAACGAGACCAAGGAGAAGCATGTACGCCATGGCTTGTGTAACTCGTTCGGGTTTGGAGGCGTCAACTGTTCCATTCTTTTCAGTGGGTTATAATGCCCTTGAATGCCCATAGTAATTTTTTTTCTTTTTCTTTTTTATCGAAAACTCAATCTCATCATAAACCGAATAAAACGAAGGAAAAGGACTTAACATCCAGTCAACTTGTTCTTAGGGAACTTGAATCCAGCCATCTCCCAAGAACTATGATTGTTGTTCATGTAAGCAGCAATATGGTTCTCAATGTAGTCGGAAGTTGGATGATCATCAGGGTCACAAGTCATACTGATAGCATTTGGAGGCTGGTAGATTCTGACGTAGTCAACTCTCATATGCGATGGGAAAATGATAGAAGGCCAGTCAATGTAAGCCCAAGAGTTGGAGATACCCAAGTTAATAATGATAGACATTGGCTCCTTAGAAATTCTTCTCCAACCAATGTTACCGTTAGGACTCAAAGCATAAGCATTCAAAGTAAAAGCAGCACCCTCTTTACCCTTACCGACGTACCAAGTAATGTAACCTTCGTCATCATCGTTCATGTACTCGTAGCCGTATTCTTGGAACTTACCGGCACCTTCACCACGCTCGTACCAGGTGGTGTTCAAGGTGACAAGACCAGAAACGGCCTGCTGGAATGGACCACCAGTGTATGTGTTCATGGCACAAACCTCGTTGTTGTGAATCTCAACGAAACTGTAGTCAGGGTAGTACCAAACATCGTATGGAGCAATCTGGTAAGACATGGACACCACACCGGTCTTAAGCGTGTCATCAATAGAACCTTCAATGATATCGATTTCTGGAGCACCTCTACCCGTGCCGGCGTTAGGGTGGTCCTCTCCGGAACATGTACACGCGTTCAATCTCTGGCCAGGCAAGTATGAAATACCATCTGGAGAAGACTGGTTAGCAGTGATACCAGCGTCACAGGAGTCATAAGTATATGGCCAAACACCTTCAGTGGAAGCCAAGTAACCAGGACGGGCCAAGTTACCCAAAGTCCAAAGACCTGGCCAGAGACCCATCTTGTGACCATAGTTAGGCAAGTTGACAGAAGTGACAATAAGACCCTGAGAGAAACAAAGCTTGTTCCAAGACTGAACCATAGCGGAACGGTAGAACAAGTTGTGGTTCTTGTAAGCATCCAAAGTGATGTGAAGAGTACCATTGGCGGTGGTAGCAGCATCTGGGTCGTACCATTCCAAATCCTGAGTAGCTTGGTAGTGAATGTCGACACCCTGGAAGAACTGGTCGTCACCATCGTAGAAAGTTCTGCCCTCAGCGTTGAATTCATCAGAGAAAGTCAAATCCCACTCTTCACCGTTAGAGCTCACACGCTTGTATTCTTCTTCAGGAGTATCAGGGTCGATCAAACTCGTACGGATAGCACTGGAAAGAGGGTATCTGTAAGGAGTCAAAATCTCATAAGATTCTGGTCTGGCCTGGTTGGCAACACCAGAGAAGGACACCACGGGCAAGATGATAAACACGGCGAGGGCACCCAACAAGAGGAGAATGAAACCAACAAGACCCCAACCCACACGTCTATCCATGTGTTTAAGATCATGCCAGAACCTATTTTTGTCGTAAGCAGCATCAGCGATTGGATCTGGGTTGTGCAAGTAGTCATCGGGCTCCTTTTCGTCAATGTGAAGTGGGAACTGGTGGGCAGGGTAGCCGCCAAACGGCGAGAGGTCCACCTTGGCCAAGAACGGGTCCAGGACGTTTTCACCATTGGAAGAAGCCGTTTCCAGGCCGTTCTGGGTCAACTGCATGTATTGGGAGTGGGAACGCTTGAACTGGGACAGAAGGGAGGTCAGCGAGTGTTCTCTGGAATTGGCAAGACTAGGGTACCTGTTGAACTCAGTAGGAGCCACCAAGTTGCCGCCGCCCTGCTGAGAAGGCAGAGACATGTGTCTTCTGGAGCGATCGTCGTAGTTGGAGTAGTAGCCGTTATAGCTAGCTCTGTTGGCAAACTCAGCATCGGGCGAGTTGGAGGAAGGTCCCAGGTTGAGCAACTCGTCAGAAGCCGCCTCGTCAAAATGGCTCAGATCGTACAGACCAGAGCCATCGTCAAACGGGTTACGAGGGCTGTCTGGGTAGCCGTTATTGGTCAAGTCACGGTGGGACATGGAAAAGCAGTAGTGGTTGTTGAAGTTTGAGTTGGAGTGGTCAGATGAGATTAGTGTTTGATTTTCTCGCAGGCTGTGCACTCGCGACCAGGCGGTGAGAAATAGGAAAGGAAAATAGCCAGGGCCCGTGGAGGAACGACGGGGAACGGAAGGTAAAAGAACAGGAAATAGGTTGTTACCAGAAAAGCAAAGGAGGATCAGGACGCTTTTGGAAGGATTTTAGGCGGTTTTGTGGGCACGTTGGAAAATGGCTTTTTTTGGAATGCTTTGGTACGCGAGGTGAGCAAGGAAGAAGGGACACTCTTGGCTGCCAAGACGCAGGAAGCAGCACTTGTGAGCGAGCACTTGTGAGCGAAAGCGAACAAGTGCAATCAACCTGACCACCCATTTCTGCCTCAGCCTTCCACTTTCCCTTAAAAATATCCATGTATTAAAAATACTTCATATTTGGATCTCCAAAAATGTATACTCAAATTTCCCTTTTTCTTCCTCTTCCCTCCACTTTCCCTTTCCTTCCTCTCGCCAGGCTTTGGCTGGGTGTGCAGCTGGGACGCACTGGCGGTTAAGCTAGGCAAGAAAGATGAAGGTTGGCAGGGAAGGGTTGAGGTAGAAAGTGGACACAAAGGAGGGGCGAGGACGGTGAAGATGGACGGTGATTTGGACGGCTGGGGGAACTGGGGAAAGTGAATTTTGGGGGATTTTTGGTCTTTTTGGGTGGAATATCTGGACATGTTTGGTACTGGAAAAGGCTATTTCTGGCCCTGGTGAGGCTTCGCTAGACCGCGGGAGGAACGGTATTTTTTTTTTTTTTTCTTTGGCCTGCCACAGCAATGAGACGCAGGCGCCAGACAAGACAAGACAAGACAAGACAGGGAAGAAGAAAAACCGGAAAAATGGCACAGCTGGCACGGGGAAGAAATTTGGATCTGAGTATTTTCTTAGGCTTCTTTTTCTTGATTCTTCTGGTTGGAAGGTGGAGGGATGCCTTGTTGGGAGACCCTCTGTGGCTGCGAATTTTCTGTATTTTTTTTTTTTTTCTCTGTTTACCATAGCCTCATGGCTTAAAATAGAAGCACCAGTAAATACCACGATGGTCAGATCACGTTGCAGTTTGCAGTTATAAATGGACCATGGTGGAATGCTGGTTCTGGGATTCTGTGATTTCGGGATTCTGTGTTGGTGGTTTCACAGGATCGTGAGCAAGAAACGCAGCTTCGCCTATGTCCAGAAAGCCAGTAACAAAACCGCGAGTCTTCGATGGACTAGACCTGGTCTGGCTCTGAGACAGTATAAGGCTGGTAAACGGTGGGAAAAAAATAGAAAATACTGGAAATGGAATGTTCACGTTGGAAGGACTGGAGGGCGGTTGGCAGTTGAAGGATGAAGGTTTGGTGGGTGGTGGTGCCAGAATCACCAAATCATCACCGCCAACACCAACGCCAATATCAATATCAATGTCAACCCAAAACGTCCTTCTCTGCCTCTCAAGCTGCAACTGCTTCCGTACGCCACAATACAGCCAAAATCCAACTTAGCAATGTAAAATGATGCACAACCGCCTAAACGCGTTTGGGCAAACCATAGCCCATTCTTGCTAAAAAGACAACCAAAGCCAACGCACTTCTCACGAATAGGCGCCTACCAAGTTCAAGGCGGCTTCTCACGCTGGCCAGATCATCTTGTTCACCAGCTGGATCAAGCCCAAAGCCAGATCGCGTCCAGATCAAGAAGCAAGAACGCTTAAACGCGGTTGATCCAAGCTAAATCAGGCAGTAAGAGGCATGTCAGGCGGGTTGACGCCAAAACACAAGCTGGTTAAGCGACACAGAGATGCATCTGGAAGTTTAATTACCCTTCGTTAACACTTATGTGTAAGTTTGTTCTTGGGCAAGCTGTATTTGGTTTCTGACCACAAGGTCAAGTTAGGGTTCTTGTATGCTTCCAAATGCAGCTCAATATAATCAGAAGTTGGGAAATCGTCTGGATCACAAGTAACGTTGATCTGGTCTTCTGGCTGGTACACTCTGACGTAGTCCACACGAAGATGGGCTGGGAAAATCATCGTGGGCCAGTCAATGTATGCCCACGAGTTGGAAATACCAAGGTTCATCACCACCGCCATGGGTTCTTTGGAGAGTCTTCTCCATCCAATGTTACCGTTAGGCCCAAGTGCCTTAGCATGAACAGTAAGTGTTGGATCTTCACCAACGTACCATGTCAAATGACCATCTTCATTATCGTTAAGGTACTCGTACCCGTAAACCTGGTACTTTCCAGCACCGTCACCACGCTCGTACCAGGTGTTGTTTAACGTGGTAACTCCAGAAACTGCCTGTTGGATCGGACCACCAGTATAAACGTTAGCACTGGTAACTTCCTGGTTGTGGATCTCCATGTAATTGTAATCTGGCATGTACCAAATATCCATAGGCGCTATCTGGTACGACTGGGAAGCCAAACCGAGTTTCAAGTCGTTGGTATCAGTCTCAGCTTCAATGATATCGATTTCGGGTGCACCACGGCCAGTTCCTGGATTAGGATGGTCTTCGCCAGCACAAGTACAAGAGTTCAATCTCTGGCCAGGCAAGTATGAAATACCATCTGGAGAAGACTGGTTAGGCGTGATACCGGCATCACACGAATCATAAGTGTATGGCCACACACCTTCAGTAGATGCTCTATAACCAGGACGACCCAAGTTACCCATAGTCCAAAGACCTGGCCAAAGACCACCTTTGTTACCGTAATTTGGAAGCTGGGCAGAAATAAAGATCATGCCTTGGGTGAAACACATCTTGTTCCAGGACTGGACCATACCAGAACGGTAGAACAAGTCATGGTTCTTGTAAGCGTCCAACTGAGAAATCAAAGTACCGTTGGCAGTGGTAACAGCGTCAGGATCATACCATTCCAAATCTTCTGTACCACTATAGTGAATGTCCACAGCCTGGAAGAACTGGTCGTCTCCATCGTAGAACGTTCTACCTTCAGCGTTGAACTCATCAGAAAAGACCAACTTCCATTTCTCGCCAGAGTTATTCTCCTTAAACAAGGCATCTTCTGGAGTGTCTGGGTCCACCAAGTCTGTACGGATAGCTCCAGAAAGTGGATACTTGTACTGGGACAAGATTTCGTATGACTGTGGATGGTAATGTTCTGTGACGCCCGAGTAGAAGAAAACAGGCAAAAGCACAAAGACAACAATGGCTCCAAGAAGCAAGAAAAGAACACCAATGGCACCTCCAGCAGCACGTTTATCCATGGTCTTCAAATCGTACCAGAACCTGTTCTTGTCGTAGGCTGCATCGGCAATAGGATCTGGGTTATGCAAGTAATCATCAGGCTCCTTCTCATCAATGTGAAGAGGAAATGACAGGGCTGGGTAGCCGCCGAAAGGTGAAAAGTCCACATGTGTCATGAAGGGGTTTCCACTCTTCATCAGTGCATCTTCGTCAGGCGTTGCCAGGTCCAGAGTCAGACCCATATTAGGAGAATACTCTTGTTTCATTTGGGAAGCCAAAGAAGTCAGCGAGACCACTCTAGAGCCCGCCATCAGCGGATACCTATCGTATTCAGAAGGAACTTGAATAGGGTCCATGCCGTTATCTAGTGGAGCAGAAACAGCCAAAGCAGGAGCCTGATCTCCAGAGCTCTGGCCCAGTAATAAGTTAGCAGAAGTACCGTTTTGCGAGTAGTAGCCCGAAGAAGAGGCAAAACGGTTTCCGTACTGTGAACGAGGACTCAGGTGAAAGTTTGCTTCTTCCAGAGATCCAAACGACGAGTTAGAGTCTCTGTACCTGTTCTCGTTATCCAAATCCGAAGCGAAAGGGTTCTGAGGCGTTTCGTAGCCCAGCTGAGGGGCGTTCAGGGTCAAATCACGAACCATATTGGGGAGGCTTTCGGTGGTTGCAAAAAGTGTAGTTGCAAGACAAGAAAAGCTGATCTGTAGTCAAGAAAAATGGTGCTTTGACAGACGGCTAAATTTGTCTAATGTTCAAGGGGCTTGCGTGGAATCGAGGTCTTGGCACTGGGAAAATATTACACAACAGGCAATCAGATGCAGATTTTAGTTGGAAAAAAATCGAGGATAGCTTGATTTGAGGCGGCCTGGTCGGAAAAACTAGCTTCTCTCGAAGTCTGAAGGTAAAACGATGGACAGGGAAAGCTTAAAGGCAGAAGAAGAGTTGGTATTCTCTGTAAATTTTTTTACCACAGCTAGGAGCAACAGGATGTCGAGACTACACGTATGTACGATTTTTTTTTTTTTTTAGTATGCTACGGTTCGGATATATGCCATTGCGGCTATGTTGTCTAATACAAAAGAGTCTATTCAGGGTGTTGTCCTGCAGGAACACCCACTTTGAAAAGCAGAGCCTACACGGGCAATCCACCCTGGCGACCCAGGCGACTGTCTATATACATTCAGAGGGTGAAAACCAATGCTGAGAATAAGTCGATTTACCATTTTTAGTGTTCAGGGCCTCCTGGCAGATGAGCTGTTGCAAATACACGTACCGTTGCGGAAGGTGTGGACTGCACGTAAGCCGCACCGCCCATGTCAGCGACAATGCCACAAAAATATTGACAGGTTTTTGGCACATTGGCACAGCTAACGGGCAAAAAGGCGGTAGTAGTTTATCCGAGAGCAAGGTTAAGGAAGGTTCTTTGAGTATGGGTGTTTATGAAATGTGAAGAAAGTGGCGCTTGCTGCGGTGTACTGCTTTGTACCCAAAAATAGGAAAAAACCATAATTTGGCCCACGCGTATGGCAATCGAGTGAACTTAGGCCTTAAGGCATGAGGAAAGAGGTCATCTTCAAATAGGGGGCCAGGAGCTATCTTTTACAAGGCGTGCCAGTATTAGTAGGTATATATGATCCACGCTTTTTGATTATCGACGTGTGTTTTCCTTGTTGCCTATTTACTCGAGGGACCTTTGGATCCATCAGTGCTGCAAATCTTCATATAGACCATGCCGTATAGAGTGGCTATGTGGTACTTGTCAGCAGGAACCCCTGGTACCTGGAAGGAACGTTCAAAGGAGGCTTGGTGTTTTGTATGAGACGTCCTGGGCTGTGAAATAAGGTTTTTAAGAGAAGGGTAGGTTTTACTTTGGTGCTGCTTGTGAAGTTAGGTCTTTTTCACCTGTAGATCCAACCACTGTCTTCCAGGGACACTAAAAGACTTGTAGAAGTAGGGCACTGGTGTTTTCTGTCATCCTCTTCGTTTTTTCTTTCATTTTTAATGTTTATTTGATTTTATTGCTTGAGTAGTTTACATCTTTCGGTTCTGATCCCAGGTTGCGAAAATAGTCTCACCTTATGAACTCTTGCTGGGTAGAAAATCCAAGAAACAACAAAAATGCATTTTAAAAATATCCAAAATCTTCCTACAATCATTCTATTTAGCTAAAGATTCGTGCCTCGAGAGAAAGTAAACAATGCCAGCGACACACAATGCTAGACAATGGCGATCGTGTTCTATGCTTTGATTTGCAGCGTACATTTAGACCATACCACGGTATTTCCTATTTCAACAATAAAAATCGGTTGACGTCATCTGCCTAGGTACTGTTTAGTTTGGAGATCGTCTTATAGAACCATTTGTTTAGGCACTATGGCAAGCTATACTATAAGCCAACAGCTTCGGGTAGCACCATCAATATCTTCTCCAGATCTAATCATTCACCGCCACTTTGACCGCTTGGCTCTTGTCACTACAAAATATCATCTAACATCATTTCATGAAAAGTCTATGTACGTCTAAAACATTTACAATTGCTGGTGCTTGGAGTTAAGATCAGTGGTCTTAAGCTTGTCCTCAACTTCAAGAATCTGCTTGGCGCTGTCAACAATAGATTGCTCCACAGAGATCAACTCAAAGCCCAAGATCTTTCTGGTCTTGTCGTTCTTAGGGGAAGCTGTGGTCTTGATCTCCTCTCTGTCAGAACCTGGCTCGCCAATAGGAACATGCTGGGCTTCGCTTGGGAAGTTGACATGCAAAACGTCCAAGACGGTCTGCTGGGTAAACTTGCCAGAAGACAAAAGCAATCTCTGTTCCTTGGCCTCGTCCTTCTCGAAAGCAACAAGGTGGGCCTTGGCGACGTCACGAACATCAACAGCAGCACCGTTGTATGAGTTGACCTTAGCCTCGGTGTCCTTGATCTTCAAGATCGAGTTGATGATCTCAGAAGAGGTGTTCAATTGGGTGGAGTTGAACTCGTTGGTTGGCTGTGGGCCGAAAACGTAGACTGGGTTGACGGTGGAGAGAACAAAGCCAGGCTTTTCTTCCTTAACGAAGTCCCAAGCAGCCTTCTCAGCAAAAGTCTTGGAACCGAAGTAGCCCAAGAATGGGTTCTCCAAAGCCTGTTCCCAGGTGATGTCGTTCCAGGAGGACTCGTCCCACTCTTTACCGGCCTGCTTGGACTTCTCTGGGGAAGCAATAGCGGCGTAGGAAGAAGTAACGACAACTCTCTTGATGTTGGAGCCGTTCTCCTTAATGGACTTCAAGGCGTTCTTGGTACCGTTGATAGCAGGCAAGAGCAAGTCTCTCTCGACATCAGGAGCAATAAAGTGGAATGGAGAAGCGGTGTGCAAGAAGACAGTAGCCTCTGGGTGCTTCTTGACGAAGTCATCGAAAGCACCTTCCTTCTCGATATCTTCAACGATCTCGTAGGTGAATTTTTCAGGGTTACCAGAAGCCTTCTTGACGTATTCACCCTTTTCTTCGCTTCTGACAGAGCCAACAACGTTGTAGCCCTGCTTAACAAGCTCTTGGACGGTGTGCAAAGCGATGAAGCCAGAAGCTCCAGAAATCAAAACAGTAGTGGAAGACATAATAAAGTAGTTGAAGATTGAAAAAATACAGGGAAAGGAAAGGCCCCTTTTATAGCCACACTTTCTAGCAACAGCTGGAGGCCATGGCAACTGTGGTTTCGCAGCCATTGACCAGAAGTACCCTACATGATTACAAGACGCTTGCTTTACACGTGCGGCGACGTTTCTAGAATCGTAGCTTGACGTAATGAAGCTAAGGAAAGTTGGGTCAACGTTTCATTTGAGAAAAATAGCCGTTGCTTTCTCGCAAGGTTTGTCAAGTGCCGTTTAACGTGCGTTTGAAGAGCAACTTTATGCAAAGTGCAGAAAAACAGCAGGTACCATGATGTAGGATCGGTTTTAATTAGAGTATTCGCTTGCGATAGGGCCTGACATGATCCAGAGGCTTTTGTGGCGGTTTTGGAAGCAGGGTTCCAGAGAGTTCTATGTGGTAGTACTGTGGCTGTTGCATATGAAGGTTGGGAAGGTTAGGAATAGAGTTTTGGCGAGCAGGCTTGCTACGTGGAGTTGTAAAGGGGAAACATTTGACGTGGGCATTTAGAATTGCTCTTCGTAGAGAAACATGCATTGAACAATGGAAACGTAGTGATTTTAGTTTATACTAGGCGGTCGTCGAGGAAGATTGCTCTTACGAGAAATATGCATAAGGTTTACGCAGGGCGACCGATGACGACCCTAGAAGCCTGAAATTTGAAGGAGACAGTTTATTGGCTTTGTGAAGGTTTGTGGATTAGTTTTGGCTTATCCGTGGGGAACCTGGCATAAGCGAGGAAGAAGCAACGAGACGAAGCTACCAAGGTGGGCTAAACTGGGGGTACATAGAGGAAGGGAGGGACTGTTTGGAGGTTTCTGGTGGGAACTTGGAACATTATAGGACTGGAGTGGTTGTAGGAGGTGGATCCACTGGCTTCCTTGAGTAGCCATGATATAGAGTATATGGGTACCTTTGCATTTAAAGCACACAAAAAGGGGCCCTCGTTGCTCTGGAATCCAAGTAAAGTAACGCTAAGCTTCCAAGTAAGCAGTCATTCAGTATGAGACTCGTTTCATGTCCATGGCCTGATTCTGCCCTGGCCTCTAGCTAGGCATCCACAGTTGACGTACCAAGAGCACCCAAATAAGCAGCGGTACATTCCATAAAACCCGATCCAAACAAACCTTTCTCTAGAATCACCCAAATCTCCAACCCAACTCAGTTACCAAAAACTACCACCTTCACATTCCACTCTCTACTTGACAACCTAACTGTGGACCACTTTTCGCAGCCATTCACTGGGGTTCAACTACCCCCACTACAACCACCAACCAACCAAAAATCCACCAAAAAAAGACCAGAATACGCTCTAACCCCTCCAATACGAACCAAATAAACTCTTAAAAACCGTAACATCCCCTCCACTTTGTCTCTCCCTGGCTTCTTTATCTGGCCTCGATAAGCGGGTCCCTACATATAGCCGCAGCGCTATCAGTGACCCACATAATCTACAACCCAGACATACATCCATAACTACCGTGTTTTCGCCACCATCATGTCTTTCTACGAGGGTATCGGCTCTTCCAGGCACAGAGACCGCTCCCAGACGTCCGACACGTTTTTGTCCCGGGTTTTTGGCCTTCATTCCATCTATAACAACTTACCTGAGAACTACAACTACTATGGCCACGATATCGATCAGCTAGACGAGTCCAGACAGGCTGAGAGTGGGCCTTCGCTGGCGATTCTGGACCGGGGGAGTGGCGACCAGCCGGCATTGGCTTCGCCACACGAACCGCTTCTTCAGTCTGAGCTGGATCTGGACCTTTCCCTGGATTCCGAGTCTGAGAGCCAGCAGTCGCCGTTTTTGGCTCCACGGCCGCTGCCGCCTGCTGATAAGCTTGAACAGCAACAGGGACATGTTAAGTGGGGCCAGGAAGTCAGCAGGTACGGTAAAGATAGCGAAGAGCAGCCGTCGTTTGTTCATGAACCAGAAGAACCAGCTCCAGAGAGGAAAGGAATCACGTTTAGAATGCCACTGGTGAGTCCACGGAAGATCTTCTCTAGGGGTGCTCCTCAGAAACTGCTGCAGCCAGAGCTTTTGCCTATGTATGACGTGAAGGAGCCTTCGTTGCAGCACCGCAGAGAACCAAAGACTGAACCTGCTCCTTCGTTCCATACCCAGTACCAGAAACAGAACTTGCATCGCAACAGGGTACTGATTCCGCCCCGTGAACGTGCCTTGTACCTTTGGGCGAATATCGTGAACATGGACGAGTTTCTCATTGACCTTTATTACTATTATCGCGGTAAAGGGTTTGGCAATATCATCGCTGGTCGGTGTGTTGACATTTTCATCCTTATATTTATCTTGTCGTTCACGACGTTTCTTAAATGGGGTATTGACTACGATTTGTTCTTCAATCGTTGGTCCTCCCACTCTGAAGTTTCCCTCACCTTGCTGGATTTGGTGATTAGTGGGTTCTTTTGGAGTAGGGTTCCGTTTTCTGTGAAGCTTCTTTTGCTAGGATTTTCATGTTACATTGTGCTTCGAATTGTGCAATTGTATTTCGATTATCGTTACAAGTTGCAAGAGCTCAGGAACTTCTATGTGCAACTTTTGAATATTCATAGCGACCAGGAACTTCTGACGATTCTGTGGTCGTCAATAGTCGGAAGTCTCATGCTGTTGAAGGATTATAACTCATTGACTTCAACAACACCTAACCTTCCTCCTCATTACGTGAATGATCTCAGTTCCAAAGTCAGGCTCAATGCCCACGACATTGCAAATAGGATCATGAGGAAGGAAAACTACATGATTGCATTGATCAATAAGGATGTGCTAGACTTATCCATTCCAATGCCATCATTCTTGGGGAACATCTTCTCTAGTAAGGCTGTGCTCACGCGTACTTTGGAATGGAATCTCAAACTTTGCATCAACAATTTCATTTTCAATGAGAGTGGCCAGATCAAGCAGGCGATATTGAAAGAGGGTTCAAGAAACAGCATTTCCCAGGAGCTTAGTGCTCGTTTCAAGATGGCAGCCATCATCAATCTCTTTCTTTGTCCCTTCATTGTGATATACTTTGTGTTGTTGTACTTCTTTAGGTACTTCAACGAGTATAAGTCGAACCCATCGTCGCTTGTTGGGTTGAGGCAGTATACGCCATGGGCCGAGTGGAAACTACGGGAGTTCAATGAGCTTCCTCATTTCTTTATGAAGCGGTTACAGCTCTCTATCGGTCCTGCAAGCACGTATATCAACCAGTTCCCGAGCGGATTCTTGGTTGTGAACGGTATGACTGTTGTGAACTTTGTTTCGGGCGCCATAACTGCTGTCTTGGTTATCATGGGCTTGCTTTTTGACGATGAAGAACATAACTTCTGGTCATTTGAGCTCTCCCAAAACAGAACGACCTTGTTCTACATCAGTATCTTTGGTACGCTATGGGCGATAACCTCCAACTCGCTTAACACGTCGACTGTGAGCCATTCTACTGAAAACCTCAACAGTCAAGGAGCTACGTTCTTCTATGATCCAGAGGCCAGTTTGCGCTATGTTTCCCAATTTACGCATTACTTGCCTAGTTCATGGAATGGCCGGTTACATTCAGTGGAGGTTAAAACTGAGTTCTGTGAGCTTTACAGCTTGAAGATCATCATCATTCTTAACGAAATCTTGAGTTTGATTTTGACACCGTTTGTTCTTTGGTTCAAGGTTTCGAACAATTCAAGTGCCATCATTGACTTCTTCAGAGACTACTCTATCCATGTGGACGGTTTGGGATACGTTTGTTACTTTGCCATGTTCAATTTTGAAGAAAAGGATAAGAATATGATGCACAACATGAACAAGAAGAAACAAAAACCGCACAGAAGCAAGAAGGATAAAGCTCACGGAAAAGCCAAGCATTCAGATCTGGAAGAGTCCAGCGACGAGATGAGCGATCCTGATCTCAACAGCTACTACCAAGACGACAAGATGATCAAGTCTTACATGTACTTCCTCGAGAGCTACGGTAATGGAGACCCCAAAAAGCGCAGGCCGCAAAGAACGCAACCACTCAACCAGAGCCGGTTTCCACGTGCCGCTCCAATACCCCAAGAAGGCCCATCTTCATCGCTACACACCTCCAGAGGCCCCAACCAATGGAACGGACTGGCGTTGGACAGTGTCTACGAATCCACATATGCCCTCAACGGTGAAGCAAGCGTGCACAGTGAGCCACAAAGCCGAAAAGGAGTCTTAGGCATGATCAATCAATTTTCGAAACAGCAGGCTGGCCGGTAAAGATAGTACTGAATCGTTGGTGTTGGTGCTGGTGATGGAGGTGTTGATAAGGCGAGGTGCGCAGCACAAAAAGTACATGATTTTTTGAGCAGAGCATCGCATCGCGCATACTCAAGTCAACTTTACTAGTCAACCTCCACCATCGGTTGAAAAATAATATAGATATATAATCCATGGCAGGTTCTCAGCTCAAACAGTTGAAAGCCGCTCTCAAGGCAAAAGGCCTTGTAGGTCAAACCAACGTGAAGAAGAAGAACAAGAAGGCAGCACCTTCCGAAACGAGAAAAGATCAAGAAGAGAAGAAGAGAGCTCTTGGCAAGATCCACGATGATTTCAACCTTTTCGATAACCGTATAAACCGTGCTAAGCATGACTATACGATCATCCAAGGAGGCCAGTTCGTTAAGGCTGGTTCCAAGCAGCATAACGAGACCGCTAAGACCCGTTCTGGGGTTGAAAAAGCCATGCAGTTGGACTACGAAGCCGATAAGAAGCTTCGAAACCGTGCTGGTGGACTTGTGGACCGCAGATTCGGTGAGAAGAACAGAAACTTGACCGAGGAAGAGAAGATGTTGGAGAGATTCACCAGAGAAAGACAGAGCTCGTCGAAGAAGAACGTGTTTTCCTTGGGAAGCGACGACGAGTACGGTGACGACGATGATTTTGCACTTACACACTCTGGTAAGACCATCTCGTTCGAGCAGGACTTTGACGAAAGCGATTTGGGCGTTCCAGAGAAGAGGTATGTGGATGAAGACAGTGTGCAGCCACCGAAGAAGAAGTCTAAGAAGGATGTGATGGCAGAGATTATTGCCAAGTCTAAGTTCTACAAAAAGCAAAGACAAATGGAGTTCCAGAAGACCCAAGACGATATCATGGACTTGGACGATGAATTTGGTGATGTTCTTGGAGAAATGCGCCAGCTGCAACCCAAGCCTAATGCTTTTAAGCAAAAGTCACAGGAGGATATTGAGTATGACAATAAGGTTAGGGAATTGGTTTACGATAGAAGAGCCGTTCCAGCCGATAGAACCAAGACTGCCGAAGAGCTTGCAGAGGAGCATAGCGAGAAGATGAAGAAACTTGAAGCTGACAGATTGAAGAGAATGGACGGTTTGCATGATGATAGAGCTGCCGATGGTGATGACTTGGATGACGAGTTCTGGGCTGGTAGCGATGAAGAACAAGAAGGCGAAGCCAGTGGAAGCGAAAGTGAAGGTGAATCTGATGAAGAGTCTGAAACTGAAAGCCGTCGTCCTAGAAAAGCACCAGCCGTCACTATGCCTCTTAACCACAAACAGTTCATTGAACAGGTGGATGGCAAGAGCGGTGATCAAGTCGTTGCATTCATTAAGAAAGTCACCGAGTTGTACCATCCACGTCTTGCTGAAGGTAACAAAGACAAGATGGATAACTTTGTGGGTATGATTTTCGAGCACATTTTGCATATTTCTAATGAGGAGAAGGTGGACTCCAAGCTTGTGGACGATTTGACCAAGCTCCTTCGTTCCATGGCTGAAAAGTATAACCAGGCATTGGTGGAAACCGTCAGAAACACCATCGACGAGATCAAGGAAAGAGTCGTCAAGAACCAGCTTCGCAAAAGCGATCTTGTCTGTTTCGTTGTACTCGGCTACGTCTTCTCTGCATCCGATCACTACCATCTTGTGATCACCCCAGCATTAATTGTCATGAACCAGTTCCTTAATAACGAGATTGGTGTGATTAACGTTGACAATATCGGTAAAGGTTTGTTCTTCTGTGATGTTCTTCTACAATATCAATCGTTTGCTAAGAGATACGATCCTGAAGTGACGAAATACTTGGAAAGAGCGCTTCTTGTGCTTCTTCCTGAGCCAAAGAGGATTATCGAGACCCTTTCGGCCAGACCTGTTGATGGAAAGAGCAATCTTTCGAAGAAGTTCCGTCCGAAGTCAACTTCCGGTCCAATTAAGGTCCTGGAAATCTTCAAAGCTCCTAACGATGAAATGAAGTTCCGCTACATCAGCCGTGCTTTCGCTACCATCGACAAAATTGTCGGTCTTTGGAGAGAAAAGTCTGCATTTTTGGAGGTCTTGAGGCCCTTGACCGTCATCACCAAGCATGCATCAAGATACTTCAGCAACGAGATCCCACAATTACAAAGCTTATTGGAAAGAACGAGCAAGCTCGAGTCCAACCTCAGCAAGAGCAGAAAGCCATTGACCTTGCAAGAACACAGACAGATGGCTATCAAGACATTTGCACCTAAGTTCGAGGAGAACTTCAACCCAGACAAGAAGCTGTACGATGAAAACAGAGACAGACAGGAGTTGAACAAGATGAAGGCCCAAATCAAGAAGGAAAAGAAGGGTGCACTCAAGGATCTCAGGAAACAGACCAAGTTCAACGCCAGGCAGCAGATTAACGAGAAGAAGGACATGTACGCTACCTACCACAAGAAGATGGCCAACATTGTCAATACGATTTCTACAGAAGAAGGTGCCGAGAGGAATCTGTACGAAAGAGAGCGCAAGAAGCGTGCCAACCAGAAATAATCAGCAAGGTCAGGTATCACGGTCATTTTATAGAAACAGGTTCAAGAACGAGCTAGAATGTAGAGGAAGGTCAGAGCTTCTTAACAATGACCGAAGTATGTTACTCTACTGCACTCCAACGGTTTCTTGGACGTTGACCGTTTGCAACCACAGCCACGAGCCAAGAAACCAGCGATAAGAAAAGTGGTCTGCTGTTTCCAAGAAAATGGAGAATTAAGTGGGCTCTACTGTGAAACGCAAAGAATGGGTGATTTGGTGGCAAAGTGTTGTTCTTGGTTGTTAGCGTTTCTTGTATTGCTCCAGAAGGTAAACCAGTGGGAGAAAGAAGGACATGCAAAGAAACACTACTTCACAAAAAACCAATAAAAAACAACCGAAAACGAGTAATTTAAATAAAATTAACCCTTAAAGCGATAAATCCTCCATTTTTCTGCATTTTCTAGACCCTTACGTTACCCTCTTCTTCTACCTCCCTTAACTATGGCCACTTCAAGTGTACCATCCACAGATTAGACCGAAGAAGCCGAAGTTGTACAAATTTCACTTAAAACCAAAACCTTCCAAATCTCCACCTCCAAACTTCGCCAACCCCCTGCCATTGACTTTTCAAGACTTTGTGGCATCGAAATACCAGTCCTTCTGTTTTGTTTTTTTCATGGGCATCGGCATGAGAGTTGCTAAACACACAACAGAAAATTACTAGATACACAATCTACAGGCAATGCCTGCATACTTCTTAGGTTCTTAGGTGTTTTAGACCTTTAAAGCTCTTAGTTTCTTAGGTAAAAATCAAAGAAATAAAAAAAAAAACACCTAACAACCTAAGAACCTAAAAGAAGTTTTGTCCTGGCAGGTTAATTTTGTCTTGTGTATTTAGTTCCATCATCTATCGTGCTTTATTTCTTAGTTTCTTAGGTTTTTGGTTTGAAATCTTAGTTTCTTAGCTAAAAAAAATCGAAAAAAAGGTATGATGCTAATAAAGTACCCAACTAAAAGAATCTACGGTCTATTTTAGCTTATCTCTTCTTCATTACTTCGTTTTTATCATCTTTCTGATAATTTGATGTGTCAAGTACAGGCATTACCTGTACATTGTGTGTTAAGTAAAAAGTTGTTGTGTGTTTAGCAATTCTCATCGGCATCGGCACTTTTTTTTTTTTTTTCGCAGCCAAAACTCGAGGTTGCTAAAACGGTCAAAAACACCTACAAACTGCCGAATCCGTCGATAATTGCAATAAAAGGATCTTCCAGAAACTGTCAATTGGGGTTCCTTTGGATTATTTGAGTTTCCAGTGGATTTGTTTAATCTTTCTTGTTTCTACTTCTCTACGAGCCAAGCCAATGGCTCTACTGACGTCATGGAACGTTGCTAGTTTGCTGTTTCTTCAAAAACACCAAAAAACATGAAAAAAAAACATCAAAACTTTATTATAGTATACTTTGAAGAGCCCAAACGGGCCTTGTCATAACTCAATTGAACCGTCTGGCGAGTTTCTGGTCAAACGGCGCTTGGTACTTGTATTTTTCAGCTGCATCCTTCTCTATCAAGTTGCATCAACTCGTCTTCTCTTGCATGTTGGGGCTGGTGTAGCGGGCGTAGCAGGCGTAGCCAGTGTGATGAGCCATCGGGGGTGTTTCAATGGAGTGTAGATGTTGATTTCATGGAATTGATTGACATCGACTTCTGCCACACTAACCAGGCCTGGTAGGCCTGGTTCGAATCCCCATCAGAACCAGCTAACCTCGCTAGCGCTCGGTTAGCTCTACATCACTGTCGGTACAACCGTATATTACAAATACGTAGGCGCAATTAAACCAGGGCGTCACTGGACATTAAAAGCAGGAAAGATCACAGACCTCATTAAACCTGGGAAACAGATGGCACGCCAACGCCTCTGGAACGAGAAGAGCCGCCAAAGATGCCGCCTCTACCGATGGAAATACCGGAGAAAACAGCCGAAGCCAAAAAGATGAAAAACGAAAAGTAAAGGAAGGCAGTGGAGGCCTGGGCCTTTCTGCATCTGCCAGTGGAACCTTGCGTAATGTTGTTGTTGTCGAGGTACTCCTGGTTGTCACAAGAGTGGACATTGATGCCGGCAGCAATGGCGGTGGCAGCGGCAAAAGTGAAAATAGTGTTCAAGAAGTCAAACAAGAACAAAACCACAGGCCAGGCAAGGGCGGCAACAAAGTATGCCAAAAGACCGTAGAAGGAGGAGAACAAAATGCCGAAAGCAGAAGCGAAAACAGCAAAGTTCACCTGAGGGTTGTCCTGCCACTTGGTGGTGGCGGCAAGGGAACCAGTCAAACCCAAGGCAATGACTAAAAACACAAAGTTAGTGATACGCAAGACAGCGTCACCGATAGCCAACATTGTATAGATATAAGGGGTATGTAAATATGAAGGGGGGATAAAGAAGAGGAAAGGGAAAAAAAAAAAGGAAGGGAAAGGCTGGGGATTGATGTTTTATATAGGGAGGTGACTGGGTCACAGCAATTGTTAAAAGTCACAGCAATGGGGGAAGATGAAGGGTGCGTTATGCATGAAGAAGGGCCGGTTTCCGGATGGGGGTGTTGACAAAAGGGCCGAATGGGGGTGCCCTCGGTGGTCACACCGGGGGTCTGCCGAGGGTTCACCGAGGGCCCACCGAGGGTGATAGCCCGAGGTGTACCGAGGTATACCGAGGCCATAACCGGTCATCTTAAATACTCAAGTCACGTGACGTATATCACGTGCATCACGTGCCAGCAACCCACGCTTTCACCGGAACTGCCGGCTGCCTAGCAAGCCTGGCCGGTTATCTTGCGCTCGCTCACTTACTACCAATTACCCTCGTAATCCGAATCCGGCTAATTACCCTTAGTTGTGGCGGTGACGGTGCCAATTTCAAAAAAGACGGTAATCTACGTCATTCTGAAATTGCCAGTGCCTTCTTCCCGTTCCCGTTTGATCCACCGGCTCAGCAAGTGACTGGTTTGTCTTGCTCGGTGTTTCACCGTTCCGGTTCCTTTGCAGAAGCGCCGCAGAAATGGCTGCAAATTCATGCTTGGTTGGAATGGAGAGGAAGAAGAAGGAAGGAAGTGGAGGAAATATTAATAAGGAAGGGAAGGGAAGAGGCGGTGGGGAAGAAATGGATGACGTTGGGGAACTGGAGGAATGGCTGGAAAGAGAGGGAAAGAGAGAAGGAGGAAAGGAGGGGAGTTGTACGAGGAAGCGAAGAGGAAGAGAAGAGGAAGAACTGGAAGGGAAGTAACTGGGCAATTGAAGGGGAAGTGGTGGAAAATGGAAGGGAGATGGTACTGAAGGGACTAGAGTTAAACAGATTGGGACGTTGATTGGAGGAAGTGAAATGTAGTGACTGGTCGAAGAGTGATGGTATCTATGGGTGTATGGTCAGTAAGAGCTATGCTATGTGAACCCATGACTACTCAATTGATAAGAAAGTGATATATATGGAATCTAGGGAATCAGAATACCCAGATAAATCATTATTTGTTGAGCTTTGAAGAGACTATTAGATACTGCTTGTCCTCTGGTGAACACTGTCTATATCGAAGGAAGTACTACTAGCATAAACATCAACCCACTTAAATCTTCTTCTACTGCCATAATCCAGTGCTCCTTTTCTTTTTACACTTCTAGAAAGCCGGATGGTGGCAGACAATGGAAGGGAGGTGGCCCGGGTGGCTTGGAGGCTTTGGGTGGCTCTTACATCATTGGGGCTTTCCAGGTACAAAAGAAAGAAGTGGCTTGGAGCCGGCGACTCATGGGGAACCCATGAGGAGCCAATTGGCTCGGAAGGTGGACTGAGGAAGTGGAAGTAGGGATTGCAGAAGAGTGAATTCTCTCTCCAACGACATTCCAGCAAGGGTCTATTGTCGTTGGGTGGACATCTACACGGGGTGGTCTCCAAACTAACTTTAAGGAACGATTGTTTCCATGGATCAAGGACTCCTGAGCCTGGTTCCACACAATGGTAGAATCCAAAGTGTAGACGTAGCTTAAGGGAAATAGACTTTTTAGGCTTCCTCTTTATTGCAAAGCCGAAAACCCGGCCCAGTCTGGCCAGCCTGATCAACCCTTCCAGTAGCCCCTGCCACAACCACAACCGATGACTATAATTGACTCACCCGGCGGGTTTACGGTTTCGTCCCGTTAGAGCCGATTTGCCAGAGCACAGTCGCCTGAAAAGAACACAAAACAGGATTCGTGAGTCCACTTGACGTTCGTTGCTAGTCTAGAGAAGCGTCTGCCAAGGTATTACAAGAAGGCCATTTTCATTGAGCAAAGCAGGAAACACTGTCCTTTCAATTGAACTCCAATGACCAGTTACCCTTCACTTCACCAACCACCACATTTTCCTTCCAAAATTCTTCTCTTTTTCATTCTCGAGAAAGTACCACAAAACCTGTAGCGCTTCCTCTAGCACCTTCCATGACGTAGGCCATGTAATTCCAAGCTTGCTTTTTTTTTGCACCCAAAAGGTAAAAATTTAAACGGTCCAGCCGCATAGTAGCAACACTGGACCGGTTTGCTTTTCTTCCCTTTCCATCATGACTGGTTTTCCCCGGAACTCGCCACACCAAGCTAGATTGCTGCATTTGAACTTTCTTGTCTTGACCCTCGGAATGTCAAACTACTAGTTTGTCTGTCGTTTACCGGAAAAACCCATTGATCACGTCCATAGGTATTCCTCACCTGATCTATGGTCACTGGAAGCTTAATTGCTGTTGATTTTTCCGATATCTTTTTCGAAATCTCGCCATGCGGCCGACCTTATTCTGTGATGGAGGTGTTATGAACCCACTGGAGAAGAAACGTCTGGATCTTCCATATATGGAAAAATCACCAGGGGCCATTGGAGACGTGACACATGGGCCAACTAACCTCAATGTCAACCAAACTTTCTTCCATCACGGACCGCTCGGCAGTCCTACTGTCCTTTCACCTCCTGTCGTATATTCGTTTCGTTATGCATAGTTGCCTGGCAACATTAAATTTCCCATCAGCTCGTTCTCTCCTCAAAGTACCGTCTCACGCCCTCGCTGGCCACATCCACAGGCTTCTCTCCACTGCCTGTCTCAGCATCCTTATCAGCACCCAACTCCACCAATAACACCGCCACGTCGCCGTGGCCTTCGGCCATTGCATGGTGTAAGGGCGTCCAGCCGTCCTTCTCGGTAGCATTGAGGTTTGCCTTCGCTTCCACCAAAAGCTTCACTTCTACTCCACTCCCCACAGCTGCTGCTCTGTGAAGAGGCGTCTGTCCTCTAGAATCACGTACACGGGCCAGCGCCTTATACGATTCCAAAAGCTTCTTTACCAACTCGTAGTGGTTTTTACTGACAGCAATGTGAAGCCCCGTGACGCCTGTAGACGTTGCAAGGTTGATATCTGGCTGAGGCTCGTGAGCCATCAACTTATCAAGCACAGCGTCGTTTCCCACGCCACAAAGAATGTGAATGGGCGTCCAGCCTCCGTCGTCAACCAAATCATCAAGATCCACGTTTTTCATATACGGCAAGATCAAATCGACGATTTTTTCATGGCCCATGGCACAGGCCCAGTGTAAAGGTGTTCTGCCGTCTGAGTCTTTGGAAACGGCCAATTTTCCGTTTTCGGCAAGAAGACCTTGCACAATTAGCGGTTTGTTATCTCTGGCTGCTTCTTGGACTGGGAAAGATTGGGAATTCATGGTTTTTTTGCAGCCAAATGGAGGTTCGAAGTGGTAATTTCAGTCTGGGGGAGGGATCAGGTACCAGGCTTAGACCCGTGCACCAGAGGAAATTAAGCTCTGTCTTGGAATGGGCCCATTCTTTAGAAAAAATAAAACTCGAGCAATCTGACAAATGAGGGACTGCATATAGACCCAGGTCGGTCTTCGTTTCCCAGGCAGCAATCTCAGGGCAAGGCAGTTTCTTTAAATAGGGCAAGTATAAAGAAATAGCACAATAAGCGGCAAGGGATCTTAATTAATAAAAGAGAAAGGCATTGACCGGAAGTCGTAGTATGACGAACCGGTGAAACAACGAAATTCCTTAGCAGCAAACGATGTGACCGTCAAAAGTCAAGCCTCAACCCCCGGTAGGTGGGACTCCCGGTGGTGGGCCCCTCGGTACCCCCGGCACCTCGGAATGTAAAGGCGCACCGTCAGTCAGACAACCCTCGGTGAAGGAAAGAGAGAGCCGGGGGCATCGCATTCCGGGGGAGCCGTTGGAAGGGCATCGCAACCGGAACTACTGGAGCCAACCCAGAAATCCCTGGGCAGTTTAAAGAGTACGCCATTGACCTGAGATTCCGGCCAATTGATTCCACCCCTCCTTGTCCCATTGGCTCCGGCGGATGATGGATTATTCCGGTGGACGTCCGCATCACGTGAGGAGGGCCAGTGCGCATTTTTAATCATTCCGCATCACGTCATTAAAGCCCAATGGAGCCGAAATGAGCCGCTTTTCCCGGAAGTCATGCCTATCGGAAAATAAAACAGGCACCACTAGATAATAGTCGATTCGCCAAGGTCCTGTAAACCTCGAAGTTTACCGAGCACAGGTACATTATTCTTGATTTTCTTCACGATTGCCTTTTGCTGTCTTACGTTTGCTCAAGGGGCTGCCTGCTGCTGCCTGAGGCCTCTGCAGGCGCCGCCCTTCCCCTTTCGGCATGGAACAAACCCAAACAAGAAGGAAATTTGTAAACCTAATGCGGCATTACAATAGCAGTTGGAGCGAAGAAGCGGCAACCTCGCCTTCTGTGCAGGCCGCGTTCGCTGTGAAGAAACATTCTGTGATTATGAATTAGTACTCATTGGGAAACATCCGTACACCACAGCCAAACAACACACAAAAACTAAGTGTGCTTCTGTGCACTACGAAACCGCCAGTGTAGCACCCTGTCAAAAACGTAAACAACAAAATATCACTGCTCAATCAGTATAATAGAAAAATATGCAAGCGAACAAAACTTTCAAAGCACGCCGTTACCGCGTTTCTTAAAGCCTTGCCAAACAACCTTTTCCAGAAAATCTTTAAAACCTTAAGAGTAAAAGTAGAGTAGTCTTTCTTTTCATCGTCCTAAAACCGTTTATTCATTTTTTCCAACGTCAACAGAAAATCCCTTTCCATTGTCAAACCAAACGATCTGTTGACGTTTAATTCGTCTTGATCCAATCTGTTGGGCGGCTGTTTCGTTGACCTTTTTCCTCTCTGGTAACACACGGGGAGGCTCCTAATTATTATGCTTATCGTCTTCCAGGGATTCTGGTTCGTAATTGGTCTCTTTCTTCAAACCCTCGGTTTTCGCTGCATCTCCCGTTTCTTCTTCGCCGTCTTCATTCAGGTCGTCGCTATCTGAGTCGCTGGGAGGACTGGCAAAGAACAGGGCTGCGTTCACAAGCCCTCCCTTCTTTCCAATACCTTCCTGTAAACTAGTGCTGGTGTATGAACTGCCTGGGTTAGGTATCACACTGGCTTCGCTCAGCTGTCTCTTAATCGGTGTAATCTTCATCTCTCCATTTCCAGTCTTAGAACCACACTTGTATAATCTGTGGGTAGGTGCTGAAGTATGGGAGGAGCTGGTTCGGCTCACTTTATCGCCAGACTGCTCCCTCAACGTCAGAAGATACTTCTGGTAGTCGGAAACACCTGGTGTAGACATGGTGGAGTCTGGAGACGACTCGCTAGACGTGTTGCTGAGTGTTGGAGCCAACATGTTATCGTGAGCAACGAGATGAACGTTATTGTTATTATGATTAGGCGACCGTCTGTGTCTGAGATCGCTCATCTCCATGCTTGAATCTTTAGCGAAGCCAACCCCACCTTCGCCAGTAGAAGGCGACGAAGAGTCTTTTCCACCTCTGGTTGCAGTTCTAGAAATAATGCCCAGGTCAACTCCCGTAGCAGTACCATTTGGCATGGTCGAATAGTCGATAGCACGACTGACAAACTTTGTGGATGCTCTGGAGTTTTCACAATTCATATACATGAAATCGACCTCCTCCAATTTAAGTCCCTTGGTTTCGTAAACCATGAAATAAACAAAAACAATACCAAGAGCGTTGAGTCCACCCCAGATAAAGAAAATCCGATTGCCCAACGCCGCCGTGTGTTGCCCCGTGTCTATAAGATAAGGAGTGATGAAGGCAAACACAAAGTTAACCAACCAGTTGGTAGCGACGGTAATGGCAATGGCTTTCTGACGAATACTGATGCTAAACATATCGGCGGAAAGAGCCCAAGTGCAACCACCCCAACTCGAGGCAAAACATGCAATAAAACAACACGAAAAGACAATGCTGACAATGGAACGGGTCTGTTGAGCAGCCACCAGAACACCGACAATGGCGATAATGAAGTTACACACGCTCATACCGACACCGCCCCACATTAACAATTTGCGTCGACCAACCACTTCAATTAGAATGATGCCTGGAATAGTGAATACCACATTCACCAAATACGTAAAGAAAGACATGAGGTAATAGTTCCCAACACCAGTGCTGGAAAAGAAGTTCACCCCGTAGTAGAAAATGAAATTAATGCCTGAACATTGTTGGAATGCATGGACGCCCATACCTGTGGCCATCCGAAGCTTCTGTTTGTGTCGACCACCGCCCAGACGAAAGCAGTCGAGAATGGAAGTTTTGCCGAAACTCATTTCGTAGTCGTAGTTGGCTTTGATTTCAACCAACTCTTCGATGAGGTCTGCATCGTCGTCTGGAAGACGTCGAAGTTTGCTTAGACTCTGTAGAGCCAGCTGGATATTGTCTTTTTGAACATAGAATCGAGGGCTTTCTGGAAGGAAAAGCATACCGATGCAAAGAACTATAGACCAGACGAACTGGACGCCAATAGGGATTCTATAACTCGCAGAAGACTGAAGTTTCCGCGTGCCCTGGCAAATGGCCGAAGCCAATAAAAGGCCCCAGGTGATGGCCCACTGATATGTGAAAACGATAGAACCTCTAACCCATTTCGGAGAGGCTTCAGCCTGGTACAACGGCACAATAGCCGACAAAATGCCCACTGAAAGACCAGAAACGCCTCTTCCAGCGCAAAGCAAGCCCACGTCAGTAGCACTGACTTGTAGAACATTACCGATATTAAAAATGATCGCCAGACTCACGATAATCGACAGTTTACGTCCGTACGAGTCTGAAATTATAGGCGCCACAAGAGCACCAAAGAACGTTCCTAGCGACAAGATCGCCGTGATAAGAGCCCTTTCGTGGGTGTTAAAGTCACCCTTCTCCAGCGGGATATGAGCTTTCACGTATTGCATCTCCAAGATATCATTAATAAGCCCCGTATCGTAGCCATAAAGAAACCCACCGACCGCAGCCACCAAACCGACTATTATAGCCAGCAGCAGCAGCAGTTTCTGGCGAAGCTGGCGTAGATGTAGCTCTTCTGAAGAGTTCGTGTTGGTTTGAAGAAGCGGTACCGTCATTGCATGGCAGAAGGAGGCAGTAAAACAGGAAGATTCAGGGTGGTATGGATTTGTGAAAGACGCTGGATTGCTGGTACTCTTTTATATGTAACGTTACAGTTGCGTGGGTGGCAGGCGAAGGTTCCAGCTGGACACAAGTGTAGATGGTGGAGGTGAAAAGATCAGTGAGGGAGTACATAGTAGGGTGGGCGGGCCGAAAGTGGTGAAGAGGGAAGTGTGAAGAGAAGGAGAGATAAGGATAAAAGAAAGAGGGGAAGGAAGGGGGATGGGTATATAAAGAGGAGGAATTCCCACATTTTTTTTGGTTTGGGTTTTTTTGGTTTTTGGGGTGGACAGTGCTGGTGATGGATGGATCGTTGGTTTAAAGTTGTGTGTGGGTGGGGCTGAGGATCGGCTAGAGAAGAAACCAAGTGGATGGAAATGGGAGGTGGTGGAGAGGGAGGAAAAAAGGGGGACAGTGGGAGTTGATTTTAGTGGTTTTGAGACTACTGATAATCTTTTTATTTTTTTTTTTTTGGCTTTTGTTTGGTGGTTTTTGGTGGAACTGGGAGGATCCATCTGTGGTGGCTTGAAATGGCTGCAAATGGGGTGACTCACGAAGAGATCATGTGGAGGAAGATGGAAGGGAGAGAGAGAAGTTACAAAGGGGAGTTGTTGGACTTTTTAGAACATCAAAGAGGTGTTTGTAGAGTTCTAAAGGGCTCCTTTGAGGTTTATGGTTTGGTGGTTGGACGGTTGGTGGATGCTTGATGAGGTTCATAACGGGCCGCTTACGGAGACACAACTGGAGGGTATAATTTACAGAGGTTTGGGTTGGGGGTTATTGGTTACGTTTTGATGCTATACCGGTGGTTTTTGGGTCGTTCATGGCTCTGGTTGGGCGTTTGTGTGTTCTTTCTGCTCGCCATTTACAGTTATAGAAGGGAAGCACTGATATCCACCTGGAAGAGAAAGAAGCAAAGTCATGTTTTATCGATTTAAAGGAGAACTCTGGGCCTTAATAAAGACCTTAATTCGTCCTAATTATCACTTTTTGGTGGTATCTTATTACTTGTCAAAGTACCAGCTAAGGCTTCCATCAGGTACTTGTTACCTACCTTTGGTTTAACAGCCCAACTTTTATTCCCTTCTATCTCCACTCCGGTTGCTCCTTTCCGCTTCACCTCCTCTACGCCGTTCCCTCCTTCCTCCTTCCTCATTCCCCATTGGGCATCCTCTGAACCTTCCGAATGTCTTTGTGCTACTTTTGGTTTCTTTCCCTTTTTGTGTTGCTTCACTTGCTTGTTCTCTCCACATTGGCCATTTCAAGACTTTCACGTTCATTGCCATGCTAATCTTTGACTGCTTTCTTTTAATCTTATGTCTAATCGTTTTGACAAGCACTCGACAAAGAAGTGACGAAAGTGTGACAAAACTGGGACAATACGAAGACAATGAACAAGTGAGACATACGTAGATCACTTACAGTAGACAAACAGCTCTAAACATTCCTTCTTCTATGAAACTTCTTCATTATGGGTAGATCAAATAAACCAGGAACATTCCTTCCATGGTGGCTTTGCATCAACAAATCAAAAGCTACATGCCAATGAAGGCTTTGCAAGTACGCTACTACAGCTGTTAGTTGTCTTTCAGCGTAGCGCTGGTATTATTCTAGTATACAAGGTGTCTCTGGAAGCATAGCGAGACACGGAATTACCTGATGCATTTAAAAACCCCCATTTCGGCATTGATCTCCAGACTTTTTTACTTTCTTAGTTGTCAATGAAGTAAACCAAGGTCCAGGCGGCGCCAGCAGCCACAGAGCCAATGGCCACCATTTGGAGACCTTCAAGGATCTTCCTGCGGTAACCGCAGTCCTCACCCAAGGAGACAATGGTTTTAACGTAACCGAATATGAACAAGGTGATGAGCATGACAATGACAGATATAATGAGACCAGTCTTCACCACGTTGGTGAAGAAGTAAGGGATCAAAGGCACAAAGCCACCGAAAAAGTAGCCCGAACCAATGGTCAAAGCAGAAGTGAATTCACGGCCCTCCGCAGGAGCTTCCAAGCCCTTGCCAAAGCGAATGACAAAGTCAATGAGGTTCTTGGGACTCTGATCCAAGTCCTTCAAGAACGATGCGATGGTGGTTTCAGATGCGCCCAACTCCAACATGATTTCAGCGGCATCCTGGTTGATAAGCTCGGGTTTCTTGAAAAACTCAAGCTTCTCCTTCTTCACCTCAGACTTATAGTAGTCGCCTTCCGACTTGGCTGCCAAGTACCCACCAAGACCCATAGAAATGGCTCCCGACACCAATTCGGCCATACCACCAGTAATAACAATCTTAGACGAACCCAACGATGAAAGCCCCGCAGTCAACGCAAATGGCACGGTCAATCCATCCGAAAGACCAATAATGATATCACTCATCACTCTGGGGTCAAAGCTGGAAAAAAGCCCGCTTTGCTGCTCTCCATCGTCGTCCAGGTGGTTATGGTTCTTCACGGCATTGCCGATTGCCTCCTCATTGGCCACTTCTTGTGCTCTGTCTGACGACTGTGTGGCGCCGTAAGGCGACTGGTTGTTCTCCAAGAGTCTTTCAGCTCTGGCCAAATCTTCGTCTGACTGGTCTGGCTGGAAGAGCTTGCTGACGGCGTTTTTCGCTTGCACCAACATGCTTTCAAACGATTAAATTTATGGGATTTTTGATTAAATGCCGTAAACGCCAAAAATACGTGGATTTCAAGACTTGAGGGTTGCGCAAGCCTTATATATGAAGCAAGCTTAGGCATTGGGTTTTTTTTTTTTTTTTGCCTTAACTGCTTACGGCTGCTGTCTGTACTGCATATAGCGTAACCTGTCCTTAGATAGTGTCTCGCAGGGTGTCTCCGCGGCGCGGGAAGTAGGAGCTGTCAGTGCGAGCTGACAAATGGGATGGTTGTGATTGGTCCGCTTATATGTGGTACTGCACATAGGCCGCTCCTCCAATGTAAGCGATTTCTCTAAAACGTCCAATCCACGAGCTTTTTACGTGGTTTTTGACTGCTATGACTTCTCCGTCGCCCTCACATATCGATGCCATAGACAACATTCCCGAACACGCCCCGCTGGCGCGTCGCTAGGACAACCCCGAGATCGGAGCCCCAGTGTGGGTACTGCATATAGTGGGATTTTCCATTCCCTCTACCAAAAAAAAATTGATAACGTCTAGGGTGACACACCCGTACACCATTATCATCCACAAAAGTCCAGGCACCTCCACTGTGGATAAGCAAAATATGTGGATCCCTAGTAGTGAAAAATACCAAAAACCCAGTATGTTACGTAAGCTTCCTTGGCAAAAGCTCCATTGGGTAAAAGAGAGATTTTCAGGGGCAAAAAGAGGGTCTCCAAAAGACGTGCTTACTAATTTGATATGATGACAAAAGGGAAGTATATGATTGGATAAAGAGGGAAAGCCGCATGGTTTGTTATCCAGGCGAGGTATGTGAGGCTGTAGAGGTGAATGTGTTTTGAGTTTCGGGATGGCAAACGGAAGGTGGGGAATTCTCGGGGTGGAAAAGGAAAAAAGAGGTATTCCGTGGTCGGCTCCGAGAAAGAAAAGGCAGGATCTGATTGGCTAACAACGTGTGGGAAGAAATATTGGTGGTTTTTTGAGCTGGAACGCTGGGTTTTCCCTGCCGTGGTGGGTGCTAAAAGGCATTTTGACGCGAGCGAAGGTGTCAAAAAATAATGGACCTGTAAGGTGCGAAGTGAGGATTTTGCAGCCAGTGCGCCATCGAGAAATCGTAAAAGTAGCACAAAAAGGGAAAAGCGTTTATTTAGATTTTTTTATTTTTTTGGGAGATGGCAGGATGACTTTTTGAATTATGCAGCTTGACATTGGTTGGATTTACCGGGATGGAAAGGAGAGGGAAGGTGGTGGAGGTTTGGAGGTTTGGAGAGAAAGAGGCCTGGTGGAGTCAGAGAAGATGGTTGGAGATGGGTGGTAAAATTGGTCTTTAAGGGTTGTCTTGGTTTGAAGAGGTAGTGGGTTTTGAGGTTTAAAGTGGAACTGTGGTTCTTTAAGGAGGGGAATGGGAAGAAGTGGTGGGTGTTTGATGAGTTGTAGGTGGAAGTAGACAGTATGGTAATGGAAGTAGTCAAGAGGAAGTCTCCTTTTTTTTTTTTTCTGGTTTACAGCTTCCAGGTGGTTTCTTGAACGATTTTGAACGATTCCATTAGTCGGATCTCTGGGGGTACCGTTTATGGAGGGAGTTCGGGACTCCATGTTCGCATACATTTAGAAGAACCAGCATAACCCTTCCAGCATCGGCTAGGAGGAGCAAAAAGGCCGATGGAACGTATTTGTGAATGTAGGGAATTAGGTGGATGTTGGGTAACTTACTTTTTATGTAAGTTTGGGATTTTAGTGTTCAAGGTGGTTTGTGAAGAGTGCTCAGTTCGAGTAATGTTCGTCAGAATTGTGAAAGTTATGGAAATATAGAATATCTACAAAAATTGGGAACGCCAAGTAAAACCAAGAAAGAAGAAGATATCTATGAACTCATTTTTGGGCTGATCTTTGAAGTATCGCTTGCTGGCTAAGGGTAAATCACTGCCTTTACTTTCTCAACAACGTAAAGAACCAACACCAACACCAAAGTACACTATTTACCAACATAACATACCCCTCTACAATCCAAATGGGTAAATCATCCACTTCATTCCCAGAAACCCTCAAATACAGTCCTCTGCCACTACTCCCCCACTTAATACCAAAATCATTTTATCTATCTATGTACCACCCCCCTAAACCTTCTGGTTGGCCTGGATCTGCTTGACAACGTCCACGATAACCTTCTCGAAAGGCACAAACTCAAACAGAAGCAACTGCCTTGTTTTCTCGTTATTCTTCACCGCCAACGTCGAAATATCATTCTCTCCCGATCCTGGCGTACCCTTAGGCAAACTACCAAACTCAGGGAAGTTCTTATGCACAGCATCAAGCATCATTTGCACGCTGAAATTGCCATTGGCCATAAAAAGTCTCTTTCCAGCGGTCTCCTCCTTCTGGAAAGCCAATAAATGGGCACGAGCAACGTCACGGACGTCAATGAACCCACCTGCGTCATTAGAAAACGAGTCACCTTCCTTCAACTTCAAAAGATCACGAATCATCTCATTAGACGTGTTCAATTTACCCTCAGCTTCGTTATCAAACGCCTGAGGACCAAACACGTACACTGGATTAACAGCAGCAACCACAGGAAACCCATCTGTTTCTTTTGCAATCTCCCAAGCCTTCTTCTCTGCAAACGTCTTGGCTCCATAGTACGCACTGATTGGATCCTTAATAGCATCTTCATACGTAATACCATTCCATGAAGACTCATCAAACGTCAACTTCCCATTCTGTTCATCGTCAGCAGAGTACAAAGCAGCGTCACTGGACGTCACCACGACCCTCTTTATACTCTTATTACCAGCCTGAACCTGTTTCTGGATACCTCTGAACACACTTTCTGTTCCTCTGATAGCAGGCACCACCAACTCGTTCTCTGGATCCGTAGTATCGTAAAAGAACGGCGACGCCGTATGAAGCACAATATCCAAATCCTGATGTTTCTCAAACACCCCATCGAAAGCATTGGGTTCACTGATATCTTTCACTATCTCATATGAAAACAGGCCTCCACTCAAGTTCTTCACAAGCTTCTCTCCCTTGGCGTCCAGACGAACCGTTCCAACAACCGTGTATTTCTGCTCAATGAGCTGCTTCACTATATGCTGTGCAATGAAGCCAGAGGCTCCTGTGACCAAGACTTTGACCATTGCTTGTGGTTGCAAATGTTGTCGACGTTAGTGCGCACATAGATAAGATAAGGTGGAGGGAGGACAACAGCTAGGGGAGCAGATAAAGGTGGAGGAAAGTAGAAATAAGGTGTTTTGGGATGGAGGTGGATGGAGGAAGGGAAATGGGAAGTTTGGGTGGGTTTGGATGAATTGGCGTGGGTTGGTGGTACTTGGTTGGCTTTGGGGGGTATTGGTAGAGGAAGGAAGAAGTGGGGGAGCAGGTTGGGTAGGTGGAGAGAAGGAGAGCGTCAGGGGAAATTGTGGATGGATTTATGGAGGTCTGTTTTGGATGTTGGTTTGGTTTTTCAGTGGATTTAGTGGAAGTGGAGACTTATTGACGTTGGCAGTGGTGGTTGGATAGAGTGGTAGATCTAAGTGAGCTATCCATATTGTAACTACTAATTATAACAGCTTACAGAGGATGATTTGAGGTAATTGACAGTTTTAACATTGAGATAATGCCCTAAATATCTTTTTCTTGGATCAGTTAGGCCATTGTTTTGATAGCTACAGTGTAGCTCTTGAAGTACACCATATATCCATACTATCTATTCACCTATCTTTCCCTTCAATTCCAATCACTCTCTAAATTCCAACCAAACGGATTCCTTCCTTTCCTACTAATTTCACTCAATGGAATAATTTAAATTACCCTTTCATTGTTGACTTTTGCCCAACGTGCTCCAGTATAACCATTGCGCTTGCATTGGTCAGCAGGCTTACAAAGCTTCCGTTCAGCCTTAAACAAGCCGTGACTCAGAATTCTCTTTTGAAATCTAATCAATTCAATTAGGAAGCCAAGCCTGACAGATTCAGGCAAACTGTAATCAGAAAGCCTCTAGCCATTCTACAACCTACCCTATCTTCTTCAATATGTCAGCGGTAACAGACTGAAGCCTCCACCTCCAACATTCAGGAACCTATTTTCTCTAATACCAATTCACCAGTCAAATACTCCCAATACTTGCAATTGAGTACAAATGAGAAAGCACCACTTCTACACTGCCAATTGTAGTCCACCAATTGGCCATCTCTACTCTCCAGCCCACCACCACCTTCTGCCTCTTCGTCCACCCCCTGTCCACCGTTTCAGAGGGGCAAATAAAGTTTCGTATTTCCATCGGTTAGCCCATGTTTACTTTCTTCCCTGCCTCCATCCAGCCAGGGCCCACTTACTAACCAACTCTGACTCTGATCAGCCCACGCAGTCAGATCCACCCCAACCCGCCAATCAAATCCACGAAAAGCACCAGCAAATAGTTAAAACCACCAACTCTGCCATCCCTTTGTCATCACGATCCCCAGAACAAAAAAAAAAAAAAAAATAAGAACAAACCATTAACACCAGCCCTTTCTTAGTCAGCACCACTTTTGGCTGCGAAACGGTCCCCCACAGTTCCCCCAATCCACCAATCAAACCTTCCAAACCTTCCAACCACCAAATCACCAAATCTACCTGCCACGCCTTTACGTCCCAATTTGGAAAGTCCACCCTCCATCGCCCACCGCCCACCGCCACATCACCTCATATCGTACCTTTTTGCAAATACACTGGTCCCAATTGGGCAGCTGACTCATGCGAGATAGCGCGAGAGATAGCGCATATAAAGAAGGCCTTTTGCAACCACCCTTCTTCTTTTTTTATCTATTCAACAACTCAACAACTCAACAACTCAAAATGTACATTCCTAAACACTATAACGAGGATAAATGGGACCAGAAGGAACTGCTTATTGTGCACCACCCGCTTGGAACGTTGGTGACGTTCGAAAACGGCAGGATCATCGCTAACCATATTCCTTTCTACCTCCACACCGATAAGGAAACAGGCAAACGGTACTTGCAAGCGCATTTGGCGAAGAAGAACCATCAGTTGCCTTCGCTTCAGGCGAACGAACACGTTTTGGTGATTTTCCAGTCGCCAGATTCGTATATTTCACCGTCTTACTACCCAGAGAAGGAGAGAACACACAAGTTTGTGCCCACATGGGACTTTGCGTCGTTGCATGTTTACGGAAAGCTGCGTGTGGTGGACGACTTTGACTTTGTTAGGCAGCAGTTGGTGAATTTCACGAACCAGAATGAAGTCGGGAAGGAGGTTCCTTGGAAGGTATCTGATGCTCCAGAAGGGTACCTTAAAATCATGCAAAAGGCAATTACGGGGCTTGAAATTGAGATCGAGGAGACCGAATGTAAGTATAAGTTTGAGCAGAAGATGTCCAGGGAGAATATAGATGGTGTTGTGAACGGTTTGGCTAAAGATGGGGTTAGTGAGGTTTCCCACTTGGTCAAACAGAGCAATGAAAATTGATGGACGGGGTTGAGAGATGCTTATTTATATGGATTGTTTGGTATTCTTGTTGTTTTTGGAGATAGAGCTTTGGTATTGGTGTCTAGCTTTTAATTATTGGATATGAGGTGTTTCCTGGGTGGTTTTTTCACTTTTGTAGAAGTAGCAGCTTTTCTTCTTGAAGGGCTTCCTTCTACTCGTCTTCTACGCCTACACTATCATTATCGTTGTCAATCTCGCTCGTACCCGACGGGACCCTCGAGACCCTCAGGCTGCGACAGTGTCAGTATTTGTAGTCCTATTTGCGCCCTCACGAGTCTCCTGGATAGCTAGTCTGTCTGTTTAGACTCAGTAAGGGTTGAATCTTCCGCCACGGAAGCCACCGCCGCCACGGAAGCCACGTCCACGGCCCCTATGGAAACCTCTACCGCGGAATCCACGTCCACGTCCACGTCCACCGCCTCTAAAAAATCCTGGAACATTTGTTCTCTTCAAGTTCACCTTCAACGTTCTGCCACGGAAATCGTGCCCATCGTGGACTGCCACGGCTTTGTGTGCACCTTCAGGCGTCTCAAACTCCACATACGCAAAACCCTTCGGCTGGCCAGTGATCTTGTTCGTTTGAATGGTTATACGCTCCACAACTCCACAGTCAGCGAAGAACTGTTGCAACTCCACAGGGTTCGTGCCGTAGTCCACATTACCAATGTAAACAGATCTGGAATCAATCTCAGCCTGCTCAGCAGCTTTCTCTGGGTCATTGGACCGAATGGATGCACTGGCTTGCGTGTTGATCTCATTAAGAGCATCGGCTTCTCTTTCCGTTTGCTGTAACCTTTCCTCTGGAGACTGTTGTTTCTGTTGCTGTTGCTGTTCTGGGGCTCCAGCTGGTGGTTGAATGGTTGTCTGAGCACCTTCGTCTATCTCGAAATCTTGCTGCATCTCATCATCTCGCAAAGCCTCGCTTTGGGCATCCAACGGCACCGGTTCCGACATTTCTTCCTTGTTGCAATTGAAACTTTTTAAAGAACAGTAGTAGTGTCTGCCAGTTTGCGACTTTTAGTGCCCCACTGGTTACGATGATGCGGCTACACACAGGTCGCAGCGTTATCAACACCATCAAGACGACATCTTAAAGAGGCGGTAAATTACGGTCTCTTTTTAAAGACAGCCGTGTCGCTTTGATGCTTCGGGGCGCCGAAGGTGGAATATCCTGCGGCTTGTGTCCTGGACTCAAACTCATGCGTTCTTCTCGAATGGAGCCGTACCCGCGGCGACCTTTCTTTCTGAGCCCAGACGCCAGGAGAAGCGATGCTGTTTCGTTTCGGTTGAGATCGTCGTCGCTTTCGTAGCCGTTGTCAAAACCTCCAAATTGTGTATCTTCGTCTGAAGTCACTCTCATGAACGTAGAGCCTGGAGGCATGGGGAAACCATTAGGCGTGGTGAGTGGTTTAGGAGGCTGCTTTCTAGGACGGTTGCCTAGGAACACGACAATTGTGGTGAAAAGAATGCCAAGAAGAAGGATTCCGAAAAGTACACCAAGCGCCACGCTGAACCAGCCAATGTGAATACGGAGGAAATCGTCATCATTCGAAAACCAGGCCAAGTTGATAGGCTTCTCGATTAAGAAGACACAACTGGCGTTCTGGGCCGCAGAGGTACATCCATGTGTCACGATCTTGATCTCTTTATCTTTGTTGTATCCAAATGCTGAAAGGCTGGACGAAGGTTCCTGGGGCTTCAACTTCAAGTACGTCTTGCCATTATCGTGGTTCTTGCGACAACTGAAAATACCATCAGAGCGGTTAGTCTGGATTGTGAATGTTTGATTCGTTTCAAATGGCTGGTTAATACAACGCTTGAGCGTTAAGGCGTCTTCGTTACGTAACAAATGAAGTGCAAGAAACTCTGGAAGACGTCTGAAGTCAGCAGTAATGTTCATTGACTCAAGCAGCTCAGGCTTAGGTGCTAGAATTGAAAAATTAGATGCCACATTCTTCTTATCAAGGCCCAACGCGTGATTGATCTCTGGAAATTGTTCGATGAGCGACACGAGAGAGTACTTCTTGTTCTTATTCTCGGTGGTTTCAAGCAAATCACGCACAGAGACGTGAAAGTCTTGAGGTAAGATAAGTTTATCGGTGATATGAATCACGCCCTGACTGAAGAGAACATCCGAATTGAGAGGCACAGAAAGGGGGGTATCGTTTAACTTGATCATGTGGTTAAAATCGCCCATTCTGTAGCTCTCACTGATATTCAAGACATCTCCACGGAGAGTTTTAGCAATCCTGGAAGTCTCGATATCGTCTTCGAGGCCAAAATCCGAATAGATGACATCCTCAATAAATAAACCCTTGAGTACATCCTTCATCTTCTTTGGATGTGCTTCCAAGTACCTTAAAACAAGCCCGAGATTCTTAATGGACACTTCTTGTGGACTATCCTTCATACCAGAGAAAGGTTCCCAAAGAGTGTGACCACACGGAAGAATGACAGAGTAGCCTTTATAATTATCCTTGACCACATTAAGCCCATGAGTGCTTAAGTGCTCCAAGGTCCACATGCAAAACTCCTTATCAATCTCAATATGTTCTAATCTTCCATTGACAGCGCCGTCTGTGAGAAGTTCTGCCAATGTATGCTTGAGAGACGAAGGCGGCGAAAGCGTCTTGTCTCCAATATAAATGGTGGTGTTTCCAACAGCTCTGTAAGGATCGCCGTATGCACGGATATCATTATTAAAAGTGGTGATTATCTTTCCTTCATGGGAGCTGCCGGTTACCTTGACCTTGAAACACAGACCGATACGTTTGTTCAGGCAGAGCTTGGATGTCAAAAGACGTTGGTACCTTTGAGTGGACTGTAAATCCTGGACGGTATCCAACTGACCCTCCATGAACTTGTAAAGAGCATTCTGTTTGTTGCTGAAACCTGCAATGGCCAATTCATCGTCATCCTGAAAATCGTCACGATCAGCCACATCCAATAGAATGGTCTGGTTGGTGGTCTTTCCATTTATGAGCTTACCAAGCTTTCTAAAATTAAGTTCGTTCACAAACTGTGAATAATGCAATGAGTAGAGTACCTTGTGCGGTACAAGAGCTGGAATGGTGAAATTCAATGCTGTGAAGAAGGAACTCTCGGGATCATTACTCTCCGCATCGAAAATATGAACAATTCCGTCTCTGGCAGTAAGACCCGTCGAGTTGAGGGAAGATGCAATAATACCATTGACGATAATCTGGTTTGTTTCGTCATCAAGGGCAATGTCGTACTTGGGAGGCTGCACAACGGGCTTCTTCGGTTTCTTCTTCTTTTTCTTACCCGTAGAATCAACCACCGGATGCGTTCCGTTGACTCCATCCACAAGTTCTGGTATAAGCCATGCCCTGAGCATTTCCAGAATGTCAGCGGAAATCTCATTGATGGCATCTCTCGACGTATCTAGATGTCTATCCATGAGAACTCTGTGTAAGGACGTATAGTAGCGGATTTCCGCCTCCAGAAGCGACTGTTCCACCAAAGCATCCAGCGGTAGAAGAATCGTAGATGTGTTTCCCAAAAAGTCCACACATCCCGGGCCATGGACCTTTGGATGCAAGAAGACCAGCTGAAAAAGACCCTTCACAAAGCTCATCTTATGCCCATTAATATAATCCGTACTTCCGTCCAACAAAAGCTCACATATGCTTGGCTGGAGCGGGAGTAGCTGGTCGATCGCCTGAACGAACGAATGCTGGTGTTTGGCGTAGAAATCAAACTCCACAACCTGAGCAACGTCATTAACATAGTACTGCTGCTGTTCAAGATCTGCGGTCAACTTCAACGGGAACGTGATATTACGGCCATGACTCTCCCTCAAAACATACTTCGAGTCAGCCACAAGATCCCGAGTATCCAAGTACCCAATGCGTAGTTTCTGGTCTGCAAAGTACCGCAAGAGGTTCTCCCTGGTATCGTTTCGAAGCACCTCATCGTCCACAAACGCCAGGTTCACAGGAGCAAAAAGCGTCACGTTTTGTAGTTCGTTCACCGCAGGAATCAACCCGTTCCGCTGGAGATGCCTAAGAAAGTATGAATATTGAACCTCGGAAGACAAATAGTCTATTATAGATGAAGGAGACGGTTCAGGCGGTAGCAGAGAGGTTGAAGTTGGTTTGGATATCACGTGGGAGGGGAATATAGCAACGAGAGCCCATATTAGGTAGAAGACGAAGGGGAGCATTGGGAAGCAGTAGGAGGTGTAATTAGATGGAAGGTGATAATGCTCGTGTTGATATTAGGGGTCTTGTGTGCAGTACTGGGCTGATAAGACGAGATGGAACGATAACAAAAGGAGGATCGTAGAGGCGGGGTGGAAGGTAGGAGGGTTGATTTGGGGTTGAATTGGGGAGGTTTCGGTGGAGGTTGTTTTTGGCTGGAGAAAAAGGGACATGTGGGGAGTTAGTAGGGATTTGGCAGGGTGAGGCTGTTTCAAAGGCTACATAGAGGTAGTTAAAGGGAAGAGGTAGTGGGAGGAAAAGGGAGAGGTTGGGAAGGATTGGGAAGGGTTGGAGAATGGCTGGGAGAGTGTTGGAGTTGGAAGGTTGGTGGTTTCTTGGTGGAACGGTATGGTTATTAGTGGTGAGAACGTGGTGAGGCTGGACTTAGAAGGTCATTGAGTACTGGGAGTATATTATAACATAAAGCGTCAAAAGGTGCTGTTAAGAGGTTTCGATGAGCCTTTTTGTACAACTGAATATGCCTGGGGACACTTATAGATGTACTGCTTCTGCTCTTATCTCCATTCGGTGCCATATGAAACATGTATAACAATCGTTCTGACACATACCAGGCAAAGCCTCCAAACACGAATTCTCCAAATACGAGCCTAAATTCTCCCAACTCTCCATCCAATCAAAGAACAGCTTTCACCTTCTTGTAAAGACTAATCCAGGAGACTATCCAATGTCACAGGATACTTTTCTGGAACCAACGCACACGGCCGACTAAAACGGCCTATACTTAAAAGCCTGACACTCCCACCAACCGTAAATATAACTCAAAACCCAAAATCAAGCTTCCAGAACGTACTCCAAGCCACTGGAACGCGATAGCCAGAGAATGCTGATCTGAATAATCCTCCAAAGATCACCCATAGAACAATTCACATTCCTTGACCTACCAAGACGTGTTTCACCTTTCTTCACCACCCTCCCATTATATAGACAAGAATAACCTGTAATAAAGAGCCCATTCAAGGCAGCGAAGAAAGCTTAATTCGCCCAAACCCACTTAAACTTCAAACTCCCACCGTTCTTTGTTCTAACTTCTAGAACACCCGCCCAGCAGCCCGTCTCCAGCTGGCTCTTAACCCAAACAGCTCTGGATTCATCCATTTTAGCAATTTCCAACTCCACTCTTCTAAGTTATTCCGTGAAATGTCCCGTGTGGCTCGCCCTGGCCCGTTTCGAGCGGGAATTTCAAGCTGCCCACCAACCTTAGCCCTCCCACACGTCTCCCGCCCACCTCGTATTTCCCACAAAAGAATCGTTCCTCCCATATCCATGTCTACAAAGAAAGACAATCTAGAGCTGTACCGGAACAATTCACCAGGCAGCTTGATGCATTGTGAGCCCTGCAGTGGTGCACCCCAGACGAGGGGAACTGCAGCCGTGAGGTCATCGACAGGAAAATACTGTGGGGGGCTTGTAAGAGCATGAGGGGAAATATCCACGACATTTCGGCTTTTCTTCGGAGAATAACCAGACTAAACGAACCCTTCTGACTTGTCTGGCCAACCCAATTTACCTATATTTGGTTAATTTGTGGTTTGTGTTAAGCCCAGGAAAGTAAGGATCCTGCGAGCATAAAATGTCGCGCGGCGGCTGGCTGCAAATGGATAAACTGGAGACTTGTCTGTGGCGGGTGCTAATTGGCCCAATTCCGTGGTAAACCAATAAGGATATATCCCTTGTCAGGTGTTATTCGCTGGTTTGGAAGTGCCGTATCGGAAATACCAGTGGGGGGCGTTCAAAGAGTGACTCTTCGCTAAGTAGAGGGGTTCGGGAAAACAATACTGTAATCCGGCAATCACGGCAACTGGAAGAACGTACCGAGCTGCCCAGTAGGGCTAGGTAGGTCACCAAAAGGTGGTACTATGTTGCAATGGTTGTGTTTTGGTGGTTCAAGTGGAGAGGAGGTTACAATTGGAGAGGTTTGGGGCTTTGTGTGGTGATAAGTGGCTGGAGGCAGTGAATGGAAAGGCAGGTCTTGTTTAGACCTGTTTGGCACTTTTTGATACTTGGACGTGTTTGGCTTCGTGGGAACTCCTTGTTTAACAACCCTCGACACCAGACACCTTCGGTGCCAGGTGCCTCGCTTCTGGTTTATCCGAGTCAGGTCTTGGCTGCCAACGTAACTGCAAACACAAGAACCACTGGAACCTCCAACTGCCACGAACAAACAATTCCCACTTCTTAGTTCCCAGTTCTTCCTGGGATTGGCGTTTACGGAATAACTGGGCTTTCAATGGCCCAGCCTGCCCAGCCATCCACCTTATGTCCATTGTCTTAAGCAAGCCCCAAGAACCGATGTTTCTTGGACTCCACCCCAAGAACAACCAAATCTCTACTTTCTCTCTCTTTCTCTTTCCTCTAATCTGTCTCGGCCCGCCGGGGCTGGTTTATCCGGAACCTCTCTCGGCCCCCCACCATCTTCCTCATTTCGGGTTTCGATCTTCTTCTCCACCTTTGTACATTCTCTTTAACCTTCTGCAAGCCTTGCAAAACCATCCCTGGATCCTTATCCAGAAACAGGCTTTGCCCTCCCACCAATCCCAGGCCTTCTCCTGCTTTGTGCTTCTCTTGGGGCCGTACGTCACTTTCCATTTGCAGCCATTATATGTCAGCCCACAAGGCTTCTCCACAGACCTAACCGTGTCTTGGCTGCCCAACCGTTACGAAGCTATTCTCGGTCAGCCACGGCAACAGAGCCGCTACACGGGTTTCCATTGTCTGGGCATTTCCAGTGGAGAAGCTTTTAGTATAAATACGCTCCCTCTCCCTGGTATCAACAACCCTCTTTTGCAACTACATCTCTAACTATGCGTTTTTCTGCGTACGAAGACCGTATGGTCAAGCCAGCTTTGGCCTTCAGACGTTTCCTCGATCGAGGCCCCAAAATCACCAACATCTACTTTATTGCTTGTATTTCGTGTATTTCAGGCTTGATGTTTGGCTTTGACATTTCGTCCATGTCTGCGTTCTTGGGCCAGAAGGCCTACCTTCGTTTCTTTGACCATCCGGGCTCTGACATGCAAGGTTTCATTACTGCTTCCATGTCTTTGGGTTCGTTTTTTGGCGCCATGACCACTTCGTTTATTTCAGAACCTTTTGGTCGTAGGGCCTCGTTGATGATATGTTCCTTGTTGTGGATGATTGGTGCTGCCATTCAGTCTTCTTCTCAGAACAGAGCTCAATTGATTATTGGGCGTTTTATTTCAGGTGCTGGCATTGGCTTTGGTTCTTCCGTGGCGCCTGTTTACGGTTCGGAATTGTCGCCTAGAAAGGTCAGAGGGTTTATTGGCGGTATGTTCCAGACCAGTGTGACTTTGGGTATTTTGGTGATGTTCTATATTTGCTTTGGCTGCTCACACATTGACGGCGTGGCGTCTTTCAGAATTGCTTGGGCTATTCAAATCGTGCCAGGCTTGATTTTGTTCTTTGGCTTGTTCTTCATTCCAGAGTCTCCAAGATGGCTTGCTAAACAAGGCTACTGGGACGACGCAGAGCAGATTGTCGCCGATATCAACGCCAGAGGTAACCGTGAAGACCCAGACGTGATGATTGAAATCTCTGAAATCAAGGACCAGTTGATTGTGGAGGAAAACGTCAAGGGATTCACGTTCGCTAACTTGTTCTCGAAGAAGTACCTCCCCAGAACGTTTGTTGCTGTGTTTGCCCAGATCTGGCAGCAAATGACCGGTATGAACGTTATGATGTACTATATCGTTTATGTGTTTGAGATGGCAGGTATTTCTGGTAACACTAACTTGATTTCCTCGTCCATCCAGTATGTGCTTAACTTTGGATGCACTGTGGTGGCCTTGTTCTTGATGGATAAGATCGGAAGAAGGCCTTTGTTGCTTGGAGGCGCCGCCATGATGGCTACGTGGCAATTTGCCGTTGCTGGTATTTTGGGAGACTACTCGGTTCCATATCCAGACTCAGGTTCGGAATCTGTCACCATTCGTATCCCAGACGACCAGAAACTGGCTGCAAACGGTGTCATTGCGTCGTGCTACCTCTTTGTCTGCTCCTTTGCCGTTTCCTGGGGTGTGGTTATTTGGGTTTACTGTTCTGAAATGTGGGGAGACTCTGTCTCCAGACAAAGAGGAGCTGCTTTGGCTACGGCTTCGAACTGGATCTTTAACTTTGCCATTGCCATGTTCACGCCTCCCTCTTTTGCCAACATCAGCTGGAGAACATACATTATCTACGCTTCGTGCTGCGTGGCCATGTTCTTCCATGTGTTCTTCTTCTTCCCAGAAACCAAGGGTAAGCGTTTGGAAGAAATCGACCAGATCTGGACCGAAAAGATTCCAGCCTGGAAGAGTGCCTCGTACGTCCCCAGAGTGCCTATTTTGCCAGGCGAAATCGACGACAAGGCAGCCACAGAGCATGCCGAAGACGCTGGATACCGCCATTCCTCTTCTGCCTCTGAACCAGAGAAGGACGCCAGTATGGCCGTCTAAGCCCTACCTTAATGTTTGCTTAATACTATAACGAATATACGTCTTACGAAACTAGACCAAACTAAGCCTGGAGCCCTAAACTCTATCTACGTTTACACTGGTTTAATCTTAGTCATGTAACTATTACCTAAATCGTACACTCGTTAGCATTATTGTCCAGCCAGCTAGACGCTGACCTCCTCGATGGAAATGGCTTCCGCCTTGGTATCGCTTCTGGTGTCCACATGGACGGTTTCTCTGAAAGCGTGTTCGGAAGGAATGAAGCCACGAGATCTCCAGGCGTGGGGCACCTTCTCGTACAACTCGTCGATCTGTTCCAAAGAAAGACCCTTGGTTTCGTAGATGGAGTACCAGGCAAAGAAGAAACACAAGAAGTTGCATCCTCCCCAGATGAAGAACACATTGGTTCCCAAGTTACCCTTATCCTTGTCGACCATGTAAGGCGTAGCGTAGGCAATACCCCAGTTCCACAACCAGTTGGAAGCGGTACAAAGAGCAACCGACTTGGCTCTGGTTCTCAATGGGAACAACTCGCCAATGACCACCCAGGCACAAGGACCCCAAGTGGCAGCAAAGAAGGCAATGAAAATACACGAGAAGGCCACAAGCACCTTCTTGGAAGAGTCTGACGAAGCAGCAACGCCCACAATGGCCACAATAAGCTGGGAAATAGACATACCGGCAGCACCACCAAGCAAGATGTTTCTTCTACCGGCAACTTCCATCAAAAGAATACCTGGAACGGTAGCACCGACATTGACAATGTTGGTAGCCAAAGTGGTAACGAAACCGTCAACACCAGCGTCGTTAAAGAAGTTGGTACCAAAGTAGAAAATGAAATTCACACCAGTCAACTGCTGGAAAGCCTGACACAAAACACCAGTAGCCAAACGCTTACGCTGGTGGTTCTTGCTGGACAAGACCTGGCCCCAAGAAGACTTACCGTACTCCTTCTCAAACTCGTAGGCGGCTTTGATATCGTTGTACTCTTCAATCAAGTCTGGGTGGTCGGTAGGAAGCTTTCTGAGCTTGGAAAGAGCCTCCATGGCCTTATCCTCTCTCTCCTTGGAAACGTAGAAACGAGGAGTCTCTGGCAAGAAGAACATACCAATACCCAAAATCAACGCCCAGAGGAACTGGAGAGCAATTGGAATTCTGTAAGAGCCAGAGTCGTTTCTAGCGTGAGAAGCCTGGTTGAACACAGCTGCCAAAAAGATACCAATAGTAATGGCCCACTGGTAACAAGACACAATGGCGCCTCTGATCCACTTTGGAGCAGCCTCAGACTGGTAAAGCGGAATCGTCGACGAGATCAAACCCACACCAGCTCCAGCAATAGCTCTACCGGCGCAAAGCAATGGAATGTCAGTAGCAGCAGTCTGCAAGATAACACCCAAGTTGAACACAATCAACGAAGACAAAATCAAACACCACTTTCTACCCAAAGTGTCACTAAAGAAAGGAGCAGCAAGCGAGCCAAAGAAAGTACCCACCGACAAGATGGACACAATCAAGGAAGTCTCAGAGGCAGTAAACTCTTCGCCATTCGAAGGGAACGTCTTCTTGACATAGTCCATAGCCATGATACCGTTAATGGTACCCGTGTCGTAACCGTATAAAACACCACCAAAGGCAGCGAACACACCAACCACTATACCCATGGTGGTGGAACCAGCTTTCTTTTCACCCACATTGATGAAACGCTGGACGAACTTGTTGTCTTCGAGACCCATGATGGAAAAGACAGTGGAGGAAAAAGATGGGGGAAAAAAGGGAGACAAAGACGGGGACTGGGGGATATTTATACCAATTTTTTGGAACCACCCAGTAGGAGGCTTTACCAGAAGATTAGGCCTTGATGCTGGTGGACAACAAGTCCCAGGGACAATTTTAGCACCCAAAATGTCGTCAAGCCTCGTTCTATGCATGTCGTGCATGCAAACATGGGGTAGACGCCATGTAAGCTCTGTTTACGGACAATTTACGGCTAAACAGCCCCGCGGCACTTTAACATTTCCCGCAGCACGTACCCCACAGACGCCGCTTATATCGCGTCGAGACGTGGTTAGCAATGATGGCGAGGCGAGGTTTTGGTAGAGAGGATTGGATTTTATGGTCAGGTTGACCCGCTGGGCCGGGTTAACTATGACAGCCAATGTCGCGACATGTGCACTGAAAATTCTCCAGAAAAGCAGTATAACGCGGTACTGTATATAGGCCGCTTTGCACCAACAGATCTTCCCAATCAGCCGTGGGAACCAAATAAGTCCATCTAAAACGCCCCTCCAGATTTCCCCAGTTGGCTTCCAAGGATGTGGGGCATCGCACGGCAGCCCATAGTAAGTGGCACTGGCGCTTGCTAGAAATGTCACCCCGTGCATGAAAAGGCACGTCTACACCCGTACGCGAACAAAGTCGCACCGGCCTATATGCAGTCCGTATACATACAAAACACAAAATAAGGCGTTCTGGCGGATAAACCATTTGTTCGGCCCCTCACGGCTCTATATAAGCCTCTCGCCGACCAATGTTACATTTTATTGTCAGATAACGCCTCGAGTGGAGGCTTCCATTGGCCGAGCCAGGGCCTTCTAAATATACGAATCGACAAGCCAGACCCTGTAATGTCGAAAATTAGGGCCCAAAAAAATTTTGTCGGGGGGTTTTTCCTGTGCGGATAAACCATCATGCGTGTCTCACGCCACAGCATGCGTGCTTGAGGCGGTTTCGCCGAAACAGTACCCAATTCGGTCTGGGTTTCTCCAGCAAACTACGGCTTCTTCCTGTCTTGAGTGAATTTTTCTTAATTCTATATACAAAGTTTACGATGTTTCACCGTAAAGCGGCTCGCCGTATGAGCAACATTAATCCGCTCCTTTCCCCCGGTTGGCCAATTGGACTGGTTGGTGCATTAATCCGGAACGGCAGCAAGGCAATAAACGAAAAATAATCTTAATTAACCGAACAAAATACCCGAGTCTATGAATCCCGAAGGCATCGTCCTCGGCCTCGTCCTCGTCCTCATCTCGTATATCCAAATGGAGAATTTTTCTCCATCGCCTCACAGTTTTTCCTAACTTCTCTGACTCCTAATTTCCTCATCCACCTCGCCTGAGCCGCTGGCTTCATCTGAATGCTCCTTCAGACTCTCTTCGCTCACCTCAGGTGCATCCTTTTCCTTGATCTCTTGTTGATTCTCCGCCAAATCCACATCTGGCAACCTGCGGTTGGTCTGGAAGACAGTAAAGATCATGGCAATTGCAGAGAAGCCAAGCGCCATGTAGAACGTATCTCTAATAGCATTCATCACTTCACTCTTGACGTATGCCCTAGCAGAAGGACTGAGGTCGCCCAAAAGGGTTGTAGAAGTAATAAGTGACTCCAAATTGACCCCACTGAGTTCTTTTGCAACTTCTGATCCTTGTTCAGGCAAGGTCTTCTTCATATGGTTGGTCAAGGCGGCACTATACACGGCATCAGCCAAAGCACCAGCCAAAGCACCTCCAAACGTTCTGCAGACATTGACCAACGTCGTAGCCATGATGGTGGAACCCGGTGATTTCGGTGCTGCAACCTGGGCGCCCAAAATGGACAGTTGCATTTGAAACCCGACTCCAATGCCGAGAGGAATGAGGAGTCCAATTTTATTGGCATTGGACGAGTCAACGTCCAAAAGCGTAATAATGCCACATCCTACCATGCCCATGGCAGCGCCAAGGATAGCAAATGGCTTGATGTGGCGGGTTTTCTTGATGAGAATGCCCAGGGCGATGGAGGTGATCACAGTACTGATGATCATGGGCAAAAGGTGAACACCCGACTCCCAGGCACTGGCGTTATGAACAACCTGGAAGTAAATGGAGATGTAAAGCACGCCAGCCATAAAATACGCAAACGTGCCGAACATACTGAAAGCAGCAGCGGAAACCTGGATAACCTTGACCACTTCCCATGGAAGAAGTGGGTGTTTTGAGTAGATGAAGTTCCACACGCAAAAGGCAATAAAAGTAACGCCTCCAACGACAAAACATGCAATCACAGCACCCGAATCCCATTCATACTCGTTTCCTGAGGCAAGCGTAAGTGCCATAAGCAAAACCACAAACCCTGCAGTCATAAGCACCACGCCAATATAATCAATCATCAAGATTTTTTCTTTCCAGTTACCCTTGGTTTTTGGCGGGTTGAAGCAGTAGATGAAAAGCACACCAGCAGCTCCACCGACTGGCAAATTAATATAGAAACACCATCTCCACGAAACATGAGACGTGAAAGCACCGCCAATAAGGGGACCCAAAACAGAAGCCACAGCAAACACACAGCCCAAAAGCGCCATTCCAAGTGGTCTTTTCTGGATAGGCAAAATCTCAGTAATGATAATAAACGTCATGGTCTGGATTCCACCTCCACCAACACCAGCCAACACTCTGCCTCCAATAAGCACATCCATGTTATCAGCCAAAGCACACATCAACGAGCCAGCTTCGAAAAGCACAATGGCAACTATCATCGTCAGTTTTCTACCGAAAATAAGTGAAAGCTTACCCCAAACAGCCACAAGGGCAGCCATGGAAATCAAAAACCCCGAAGTGAGCCAGCCAATCCGGTCAAAAGCATTGAACTTGTTTCCCACCTCGGTCAAAAGCGTCGCCACAATGGTCTGGTCCAAGGCGAAAAGGAATAAACAGAAAAAGATCGAAAAGATACAAAGAATCAATTTTGCACCCAGAAGGTACTGTTCTTCTCTGGTTGTACCGTCACCAGCATCTGATTCTATGAACTTTTTGCGTCTTTCCTCGGCCACTGGCGAGACTTGTCTGTCGATCTGGGAGTCTGTCATTGTTAGTGGGGATGGGGAATTTTTTTTGATGTGGATTTGTCTGACTTTATATATGTTGCAAAATCTGCAGTGGCAAGGCTACTACTGACGTGCATTCGTAAAGGCGTAAGTGGTACGGAGAATACAGGAGGGCATAGAGACACGGTAGAAATTCGGAAAACGGGCTGTAGACGAGGTAAATTCTCCGCTACACGGTGAACTAATTAGTTTTTGGAAAGTCCCCCTGGAAGATGGAAAACCAACGGGATTCAGTGCTTTAGGAGATGTGTCGTGCCTGCGTAGAATCGGCAAAAAGCTGTCAAAATCGAGTTCGTCCTGCACACAGTACCCTCCCTTGCATTAACGCCATTTCTCCGTCTTCCGAACCTCATTCAGCCGAATCTCCCGTTCCGAATTTTCTTAAACGGCTGCAAATTAATCCGTACAAAATCGATATCTAAAACATCAGAAACGTCACAATCCAAACTTCCTCCGTCTAAGCGAACCCCCAAGAAATCAGCCCCTGCAAAAATAAACAAAAACCCTCCGATCTCGCACTTCCACGGCCGTACCATAGATAGGCCTTATTCTCGGGAACACTGCCTCCATACGGCTACTCCCGAAAAAAATGGCTGCAAATGTCAAAAGGCAATGGCTACAAATGTCAAAATGTTTGTAAGCAGGGGTCTTAGTTACGGTTTGGATAAGTTCCGGAAGCCGAACACCTCCTTCTAGGTGTTTATTGTTGGCAAGCTGTGGTTCTTCCAGAGTAACCACCATATGCTGTGATACTTCAAGGAGAGGGAAAGGACCAGGCCATGAACAATACTTTTTGAAGGTACTGAATGAGGAGGTAGATTTTTCGGGGTTTTGAGGTGGCAAATGTGGAAAGGTCTAAATTTGATGACGTTCTCTGAAGATGGTTCGGGTTCGGAACGAGGTTAGACGGTGAACGGTGAACGGCTGGAGGGCTGGAGAGTTGGACGGTTCTTGAAGAAGGGATTTCTTTTGAAACGGGATCTTTCTTTCGGTCTTCGGTCCGAGTCCACAAAGCGTCATTGTTGGGTGGTACGGAGAAATCATTGTTGGAAAAAGGAATGTGAGTAATGGAGGAAGTGGATGGTGGATTGGTGAATTGGTGGATAGGCAGTCGAGCTTGTGGTTGCTAACGGAACAGGAAGTTTTGACCGGGTACGGGAAGGTGTTTCGGGGGTTTTGGTGGTTCTTTGGATGACCAGTGAAGGGAGTGGTGCTTCTTTTGAAGTCTGTGTTTCAAAGGATAACTTCCTGGTAAGAGTGTACTGGTAGGACCAAGAATAGGGTTATTTTCCCAAGGATACATTTAAATGAATATCCAGTTTCCATCAGAAGCGTCTCGTTGGCCTTCTTTATTCTTTCTTCGTCCTTGGGACCGTTTTTCATCCTCCTTCCTTCTCAAATCAAGGAACCTCAATCCACACTCTTTGGTATGCCAAGTAGACTCTAATTCCCAAACAGCTACTCAGTGAAAAGCCTTTGATTGCTCTTTGGATATTCCTCTCTCCAGTGCCTTTCACTTGTGTCTTTTAATTGCCTCGTCGTTCACTTCCCACTTCCCTCTGTCTTACCAGCACCATAACTGTCCACAGCCTTCTTGTGTTCCTCGGAAACACTTCCCGTCAGCCATCCACAAGAAGCTTTTCTTGCAGCACTCAAGTTTGCCCATTTTTCAGCAATTGCTCGGTTTAGTTCAGTAGCTGGACTGGTAGACTGGTCCTTTCCTCGTACTTCCTTCTTCATCACGAATACTAAGTAACAGAATACTCAACAGATCTCAAAACACATTCAACCTCCATCCTTGCCTTCCCTTCTCCCACCTCCACCCATTTCCTTCTAGATCATCCTCCACCCCTTCCACTCGTGCCTGTGGTCTTCCAGCCAGCCAGCCTGGCTTACCACAAACACCAACCTCACTACCAATCCCATTTACGCCCGATCTAGAAACCTTATGACACGCCTACTTTTCTTTTTTTCGGCTGTGAGTACTGCCATTCTGTCAGATCTGAAACCTTCCAGGCACCAACCCAAAAGCCTACCTCTTACTCGCGTATGTTCCTTCCGTAGTGGCTATGACACAGCCAGCACACCCAAGAATCCACAAGTTCTCAACCAAGAATAACCTGAAACTGGGCAAAGAAAAACCAAGACTACCTTCACTTTCTTCATTCCCTTCTGCCATCACGCCGGTCTCCGATCGGTATTTGGAAAACCGTTTAATGCAATGTGCCTAAGCCTTGCTCTCACAACCAGAAACACGGTTTTATCAGATTATGGTTGGGCCAGTTTCTAGATCAATCTCTAACGAAACCTTGAATAGCTGCAAATCTGCCAAGTCTTACGCACGGTTTCGTCACCGCCTCTCGTCAAACGATGATTTCACGCAGGGGTAGACTTAGTTGGACAGTTGAAGAAATGAGAGATGGTACTGAGATGGTAAGTTGATACTTCTAAGACTTGGTTTATAATCAAATCTCGACAAACCTGCCTTTCTCTTTCTATAAATCTCTTTCTTTAGGTGTCTACCTTCTTCCCCTGCTTCGTCCCTCTCAGGTTCCTGGATCAACATCGGCACCAGCCAGCTATTTGGGGCTTTTGCAACCACTGGAAACATCGAAGGCTGTGACGACCTAGACCAGGGCGCCGTTCTCCGAGGTTTCTAGCATCCAAATCAATATAAATACCTGCTCAAAGTCCTCTTCTTTTCCATATCTTCATCCAAAAACTCATTCTACAAATTCATACAATGCTTTCCTTCTTCACTTTGCTCTCTGTGTCCTTGTCGCTCACCAACGCCTTGACTGTTCCTCAGAACGCTCCAACCACTTTACAGACATCTTTGGTGGGCTCTCCAACTCAGGATACTGCTCCTGGCGTCCAAGGTGGTGCTCCAGGTGGTGCTCCAGGTGGAGGTGCTTCTCAGGCTCCACAGGCTCCACAGGCTTCTCAGAACCAGGGCTCTCCAAATGCTCCACCTCAAGCCTCTGAGGCCCCAGGCGCCCCAGGTGCTCCACAAAACGGACAAGATGCTCCTGAAGCTCCCTCCCAGGCCCCAGGTGGCCCTGGCGCTCCCTCTCAGGCTCCTGGAGTTCCTGGTGCTTCTCAAGCTCCTGGCGTGCCAAACGCTTCCCAGGCTTTCCCTCCACAGGCTCCTTCCCAGGCTCCAGCTCCTGGTGCTCCATCTGCTGCTCCATTTTCTTCGTTCCCGGGTAACAGCACTGTGACTCCATCTGCTGCTCCAGGTGCTCCAGGTGCTGGTCCATCTGCTGCTCCTGGTTCTCCATCCCAGGCTCCTGGCGCCGGTATCTCTCAGGCTCCAGATGCTCCTGGAGCTGGTTCTCCTTCTGGTGCTCCTGGAGCTGGTTCTCCTTCTGGTGCTCCAGACTCTGGTTTCCCAGGCCAGGACGACCAGGGTGGCCAGGGCATCCAAGGTGACCAGGGCCAGGGCCAAGACCAGGGCCAAGACCAAGGCCAAGGTGATGTTACTGTGGTGAAGACTGCTACTTCGACCCGGGCGGTCGCTAACGCTGGTCAAACCGCTTAGATATCTAGTTAAATGAACGATTGATTTAGTATACCAGCTGTAGTACCAAGTTTGACTTTCTTCAATGTGGACATCGCTTTAGGTCTTCTGTTACTATTACTTCTACAATCCAAATCTGGGTACTTCCGTGGCCGCCTAGGCACTACTTCTTGTATCCTTCCCAAGTATGTATTATGATGTGAACTGTAATAACTACTTACAGATATGCTTATTAGTTTTCCCCTGCGTACCAATCTTCGTTGTCGACCTTCTTCTTGAGGATATCATCGTAGTAATCCCATGCATCCTTGCGGAGAAGAGGAAGCTGCTCCATTGCCAGTGGATCGTAGTCCACATACTCGTCAACGTTGTAATTGAGCTCTTCGTGCCTCTGAACGTAAGGAGTGATCATGTTATACTCATCAAGAAGCCACAGCCTGCCGCAGGACTTGTACCAGGACTCACGAGGCTGTGAAGGGTCAAAATCCTTCTCCAGAGGCTTGCACTCATTTTTAGGAACCCACATGGCGAGATCCTTTCTGTATTCGTGGTCTTTGAACGTAAGTTTGGTGGTGTAGGAAGTCTTACCGTACTTCTTGCCCAAAAGCGACAGCACATTCTTGGGAATGTAGATTGGCAGGCCTTCGAAGTAGGTATGTCTGAGAGGGAGAAGCTCGTCAAGACGGTGCCAGTTCCAGTGCTTACAATGCACAGCCATGGTTTTAAGCTTGGTCATATCGTTATTGGACTCGTAAACTGCTGGTGGAGGCACGTCGTTTGTATGGGACAAGGCACTGATATCAATGTAAAGCCCCAGGTTGATGTCGATGAAACGAGCATCGATGAAGTTCTTGCTATTACCCTGTTTCACGTAGGTAGGGGACACCTCAAATAAATAAGCAGCATTGCCGTCTCTTGGGTTCTCTAAAATGAGGGTGTTGTTGTATTTTCTGGAAAGACGGTCGAGCTGGACAATGGGGAGCTGGACATCGATATCTGTGTCCCAAGGCATGTTGACGCCGTTGTAGGCCCAGCCTAAAAGGGAGCCATAGTTGACCCAGGAAGCCACATTCTCAGTTTCGGCAAACTCGAACCATGCTCTAATGATATGCTGCAAAATGCTCTGGCGTTCACGGTTGGAGATGTACCGTTTGAAGAATGGGAAGTAAAGGTGGTGGGAACGGCGAGCCACGAGATCGCTAAAGATCCATGGATACTTAAAGAAACAAGGCTGAGTATCGGCAGCGACATTGGCAAACTCTAAAAACTCCAAGTACTCCAAGTCCAGATCCAGGATTCTATTCTCGTTAAGACGCTCTTTAAGGGCAAAGATCTCGACCTCGGGCTCGAAAATGAAGTCCTTGGCGCTCACGCCAACATTCTTCTGCATTTGTTTATAAGGAATAGCACGTAGAAGCAGCGATGGCTCGTCCATAGGCAAGTCCAACTGTTTCGTCTCCTCCATGGCCAGGACAAGCTGGTTCTTGGGCACGTCTCTCAGAAGGTTTTCCGAACCCACACGTTTCTTTTCCACCACAGGAACCTCGATATAGCCTTGGTCGGTGGTAGCTAGAACGCGTCTGGGCACATCCTTGATGCAATAGAGGTACGCCATGCTTCGAAGCACCTTGGTATGGTAAGTTTCCATAAAGTAAGCGTCCACAGACGCAAGTCTATCCACATGGCGATTGCACGTCCCCAGCGGATAGCGTTCACGGAAACGATGCAAAACAGAGTCGCCTGCCAGCAAGTCGACCCAGTCGTCCCAGTGAAAGTAGATGCCTTCGGCGTTTCCTAGCGGATGGACAAAGTCAGGGTTATGCGACGCAGCCAGGCGTCTTTTGATATAGTCATACAAAGCCGTAGCAGGCGTTCTGGGCTGGAAAGTACTGCGCTGGTGCATTCTAAAGGCATCGTTGGTGAAGTGGCTCTGTGGAATTGGCTTGAAAAGCGTATGGAGCACCAGAAGCGCTATACACACAAACGCTATCACCAGCAAAGCAGCTACTCGGCGGTAGCGCCTCGGGAGGGCCATGTGAGGGTTGAAGATGATGGGTTTTTCGTCCATGAGTGTTGATGGCTGCGAATCTGAGGGATGCCAGAAGGAAGGAAAGTGGAGATGGATTGGATATCTTTGGATAGTCTGGATAGTATATGCCTTAGGGTAAGGCAGAGAATATGTTGGATAGCAAAAGACAAGAAGCAGAAGTGGCAGCGAGGTGAGGTAGATATATACTGCTGGGGCTTATGCGAGCAAGGCTGAGCGTAGCGCACAAGGTACTAAGGACAAAAGAGCTCCTACAGGGAACGAAAAAGCCTGAAAAGACAGGGTTTGGGAAGAGGAGAAGCGGGAAAACGGGGTGGGAGGTGAAGAAGATGGTACTAGTGTTGGTGGTGTGGAAGGTGCCATAGCAACTTGCCAGTCCAGCAGATCTGATGGGCCGAGTCACTATGTAGGGAGGGAGGCTGCAAGTGGACTACAAACTCTACTTAAAGATAAAATGATGACTTTTGGACTTTCTACCTGGTCTTGTGACGAAACAAGGTTTTTCCTCGGCGCTTTCTTGCTGTTTTTGTCCGTTTGCCATGCTTTTTCCTCGTCGTCCAGTGTCTCAGTTGTAGCTGTGTAACTACCGCTTTGCATGAGGTCCAGCAAGCAAGCAGCAGGGGTTTTGCCTCGAGCGACCCAGCAGGTCCAATTAGAGCATCTGAGGAAGTCTAACTATATGCTTGGATCTGTGGTGCTGTAGCTTATCTGGGTATTGTTGGCGTTGATCGCCGTGCGGTAGCTACTGTTAGTTTGCTACATCCCCCACATGACGTAACACAAAGCTGATCTGGCTAGTTGGGCACGGGTATGTCGGGGTGTGCCGGGCGGTTATCTTATGTTTTGACTAGTGTCGGTGAATGACGCCGAGGCTGTAATAGGGAGGGTAGTAGGTAGAGCAGGTAGATATGGCGAGTGGCTTTGGAGAGGCCAGGTATGGAGGCTCTGTGACACGAAAGATGGGAGCGGCTGCGTTACGTTCCTGGACCATCAACAAACAAAGAGAAGGGAGGCAGAGGGAGAGGAGAACAAGGAATCCAGTTTGGAGCCTATTTGGGCACACTGGGGAAGCTACGTAAGAGTCTGGGTAGATGTCTACGTAGCAGCTACAGAGGTGTTTCTGGATCTACTGGACGTCGGATCCTTCTTCGGTGCTTTTTCCTTTTCTTCACTTTCGTGTTGCAGGCTGGTGGTGGCTTCAGCCCAGTGTGCCATGGACCACTAAGCACACCGGCGACGAGCAACGGGCACAAAACCAGGGTCCTGGACAGTCACTACGAAGTGTGTGGGCGGAGTTCCACACATTAAAGCCCAGGGAAATGCTTGGGTAGAGGGGATGATGCCAGGAATAAGTGGTGATGCAGAAGGTCATGTTGAGTAGCAGCCGTACTGGCCGACGAAGGTTGAGGTGAATCTGTGACTGCCTAGGAGGGCCCTAGGGCCCTAGGCCCTAGGGCTACACGGTGCCTCCGCCTCGAGAGCCTTTCTGCATGGCATGGATCCGTGTCTAGTGGCTTTTCACTGGCTTTGAGCCAACCAGGGCCCTTGAATCGTCCCACACGACCGCAAAAGCACCAGGAACCGCCAGAGAACCATGGAACCCCCAACCAAGCCTCGTCTTGCCCCTACGTCATTGTCTAAATCAAGGCACACATTCATGGAAAGTCTATTTATGTACATTGTGGAGGGCAGTGCCAGGAAGGCATTTTTCGCAGCCACCAGTGCCAGAAATCAGAAGTCAAGGTTAGAAGTCAGAGCAGAACCAGAACCTGAACCAGTCACTTCCTTTTCTCCTTACACCCCAACGCCCTCCATTTCTCGTCTCCTACAGCCTCTTTCCAGTCAGCACCGCCTGGGTCAGCCACTCCCACTGAGGCGGTTCAGCCTCGCCAGCATAAAGGAAGTTGGACACAGTGACGGTCGCGGGCGTGAATGTAAGTCTTCTGCCAGACATACAAGATAGTAGTATACTCAGGAACGGCGTTTTGGTTCTTTGTCTGGTTGTTGGTCTTGTGGTTTTTGGTCTTTTGGTGTTTGGTGGGATGTATAGGGGAAGTGGTGGCTGAGACGGTTTTTGCGTGGTTTTGTGATTTTTCGTGTTTTGCGTTCTTGACTTTGTCTTTTGGAGATTGGTCTTTTTTGGGAGAAGTTGTCTTTTTTAGCTGTGTTTTGACTCCGATCAGGGGTCCAACGGTGAGTGACGTGACGTTTTGGTTGTGGTTTTTGACAGCTGGACTGTCTTGGCTGGGGGTGCTGGGGGTGTTCGTGATTAGATGGGGTGTCTAAATTGTGGCTTTTCGGAGATAGGAATAGGGAGTGGGTTTAGTGTTTTGTGGGACTTTATTGGTGTTTTTGTGGATTAAGGGTGGATAGAGGATGGAGGTTGAGTCTAGAAGTGGAAGTTACTAGGGAGTGTGGAAGGTTGTAAGTGTTGAGGTGGGTAAGTAGAGGTAGGGTGGTTTGGGAGAGCTGTTTAAGTGAAACTATTGATGGTACTGGCGGTGCTGGCTGCTTGTGGTGGCTACTTGTGGTGGCTTCTATACGGTGATGTGATTGGCTGGTGAGAATCAGAAGTATACTGGTTTCTGTTCGTGATATACCGTTGATAGAGGCTCTGGTGGGTGGATCTACTGGTCTTAATGGTTTACTTTTACCTCTGGTCGTCTAGGTGGGTTGTTTGAAAAGACTAGGTAGTGGTTTGAAAGCCCAGTTTGATGGCACTTCGCTGGATTGTCAAGATGGCTAAGCTAGGCCAAACCGTATCCAAAGGTTGTTCTCTTGAGTTGTTCTCTACTCTAGAATCATTTGTAGTATCCCTCTCTCCTGCTTTCCTCTTTCTACGTTCAGTGAAGTGTACTGATGGAAACCACTACGGGTACTACTCTTCAAATTCTTGCACCAACGGCACTTCTATGTGGCTTTGAATACAGCAGTCGCCAAACTAGCAAGACCAATCATTGGCTTAACCTCTTCTGGCCATAGGATCTAGAGGCTTGTGAGTGGAGTAGAGAGAAGTGTACCAAGAGCTTCTCGGTGGTTGATAAGGAAGAGGTATACATTCCTCAAACAGCTTTGTTGATCTCAGATCAGCCATTGATTCCAGGTGGAGACGTTCTGAGAAGTGGAAAAGTAGTTCTTAGTGGAAGCAGACAACTATCACTCAAGAGAAGCGGTTGGGAGACTTTATGCTAGTAGTCCACTGAGGAGAAGGAAAAGAGGGGAGGTAAGCCTAGATCAAGAGGTGAACGATAAGCATGAAGACATTCTTTATGACTGAACATTCGAATTGGGTAGTCAGACGTAGTACGGCAAGCTTGGGGTGCCAAGTATGGGTTCGACGAAGCTTATCGGGTTCATGCGTCAGAGGTAGCAGGTAGTATTCAAAATCTGGCTACCTTCCTTGTCCATTATCCAGCCTACCCAGCTAAAAAGCCCCTCATCGATCAACAACGGTCTTTTAGTCGACGCAGACACTCATAGCCAGCCAACACTATACTCTAAAAGACCTCCTCAATCCTTCCCACCCACCACTGTCAAACTCCACCTACCGGCCTCCAAAGTCTGGGGAAACCTGTCAGCCGTTCAAACTCCCCTCTTTCCCATCCAAACCGTCATTTCCTCACCATTACCAGGCTCTCCCTATTGTATTCGTACCACCAAAGCCTGTGCGGGTTTAAGGTATCACCGCTTGTGTAACCCCATAGCCCATAGCAACCCAACCCACGAATCGTTCGATACGCTTCCATAGCCTTTCTTTTCTCGCTTATTCTTCCTCCAACCTCTCCTGGCCAATTCCACTAGAGCATACCTCAACCAACCTCAACAAAACAGACCTCAAAGAGTAGACCTCTCAGGGCCACCAAAAATCCACCAACTACCAAACAACAGCAGATATCCTCCAGCCTGGAGACCAGGGCCCATCTGTCTTCTCCATTCTTCGGTGATGATCTAAACGTGCAACCCTACATAGACATCTGCAAGGCGCTTACTACGGCGAATGGAAGCCGTGAAGGCTGTACGCTGTTTGGAGCCCAAACGTTCGAAAAGCTTCTACTGATTGGGCACCGCCGTTTCCCCAGCGTCCCAAGAAGGGTCCAAACCGACCTCTATTGATCAATTGTCTTAGAAGTAACCGTAAACAGGCGCAACCCGTTGGTCTATGGTTATGTACCACCAGTCCACGAACCACCAACCATCAGTACCACCGGTGATGTAACACAAACATTTAAACAAGAACTTACAATTACTCTATGTTACAGCAACCCAGGAATCCACCTCGCCTGTTTCACCTTGGACGGGGCCACGGTGGTTCAGCGTTCCGAGCCTCCATTACTAAGCATGCTCTGCTTCCTCGGACTTCAACAAAAATACCCTACAGCTGAGCCCTGGCGCCGTTCGATGACATTGCAGCCGCAAGTTCATAACGGTGAAGAAAAACGAACAAATTTATCTGAATTGTCAGTAACCCTCATTTCACCATCCACTGTTTCCTCTGCCCCAGAGCAATAGCAATAATTGGTGGTTTCATGTAAGGCTCTTTTTTTCAGCATCTCTTGGGTTCCATTTTTTTCTCTCCTTTTTTTTTTGCACCCAATGCGGGTTTGGCGCCCTGAGTAACCCGTAAACCGTACTTTTCATCTCCAGCATGGGCCCCTTTATTTTCCACTGCCTTCGAATTCGATCAACTATTGTTTCTTGGTAAGTGGTCTTAGTAAGCAGCAAGTTTAACTATGGGAGAGGTCCGCCGGAAAGTTCGCGGAAAGTTCACTCTCGGGCTGAAAAGGTACTTTTAGCCACCGGTACCGAGTTGCACCTCGTTTTGTGGAGTGGTGGATGGGCCCCTTGTGTGCAGTCCCCAGCCTTTAGCAGCCACTATTTAGCAGCCAAGATCGCCAACCATTCCACCTCCAATTCATCCAAAAAATCACATTTCACTACCATGTCTGAGAAAATCACCCTTGAAAACCCTCCAACCAGCGTCGTCAACTTCAATTGGGACGAGCCTTCCTCCACCTTCAAGTTGGAAAAGCACACGCCTACTGAAGACGACGTTCCAGAGGGCCATGTGTTGGTCAGTGTCCAGTACCTCTCCAACGACCCTACCCAGAGAACGTGGATCCGTGCTGACCAGGACCCAAAGCGTTCTTACCATCCACCAGTGCAGAAAGGTGCCATTGTGGAGTCTTTGGGCTTGGGTGAGGTGATTGCTTCTAAGTCTTCCAAGTACAGCAAGGGCGATGTGGTTGTGGGTCTTTTGGGCTGGGCCAAGCAGATTGTCGTCCACGAACAGGCCATTGCCAATAAGGTCGACACTTCTTTGGGTCTCCCATTGCCTCTTTACTTGGCTTCTTTGGGTATGACTGGTTTGACTGCTTTCTTCGGTTTGACTGAGGTTGGCCACATCAAGGAAGGCCAGACTGTGCTTATTTCTGCTGCTTCTGGTGCTACCGGTTCCATGGCTGTCCAGCTTGCCAAGCACGTCTTTAAGGCTTCTAAGGTGTTTGGTATTGCTGGTAGCGACGACAAGTGTAAGTGGGTCGAGTCCATTGGTGCTGACTACTGTGCCAACTACAAGGAAGAGGGCTGGAAGAAGAAGTTGTCTGAGAAGATCGGCCCAGATTTCGTTGATATCTACTTTGACAACGTCGGTGGTGAGATCTTGGACTTCTCCTTGTCCCACGTCAAGGGCTGGGGCCGTGTTATTGCTTGTGGTGCCATCGCTGGTTACAACGACACCTCCAAGGCCAGAGTCAACAACTGGTTCCAGGTCATCTCCAACAGACTCACCGTCCAGGGTTTCATTGTGTTTGACTTCAAGGACAAGATTCCTCAGGCCGTGCAGGCTATCTCTGGTGCTTTGAAGGAAGGCAAGATCAAGTCCACCGAGGGTGTCTCCTTGGAGGATCTTTCCGACAAGCCATTCACTGACGTGCCAAAGGTCTGGAACAGATTGTTCACCGACGAGAAGCCTCTCGGTAAGTTGGTGACCAAGATCGCCTAATGAACTTATGAACTATAAAATATAAGAATATGATACAATATGATAGAAGAAAGTGTAGACGAGGAGGGGAAGGCGATTATGGGGTGTAATTGGAAGCTGGAAGTGAATTTACCTTGTTTTTTTTTGTTTTTTTAGTGTATTTTGCATTTTTTATGGTTATTGGGGAAATAGAGAGTTTCCAGAATGGCTGCGAAAAATGTAAAAAGCCACAAAATCTGCATGGTCTCATCAGTACTGGAAAACTGTAAACTACGCCAATAAATCGAAAAAAAGGTATTTTTTAATAAAAGTGAAACCAGGGTAAACCTTGTGGGCTAAAAAAGCTACCTTGTTGATTTGAGCCAATTTGAGGCTTCTAGCGTGAAAAATGGCCTATTTACCGTTTTCTGAAGAATTACTACCAACACAGAAGCCCAGAGAATCTCCCAATCCAACCTTCTGTCTTTTTGAAGTAAAAAAGCCATTAGTAAAGTTATAAATACACCTATTATTGAAAAAAAAAGCCCTTGGGTCATCTACTTGGGACTCGTTGAAGGTTTGGTCAGTAAGTGGTACCCTCTACTACCGAGGAAGGCTCTTACCGAGAGTGGACTGATGGGCAGTAAGAATTAAACTCCATTGTCCAAAAGCAATTCAATGATAATATGTAGATGTGGCTTCAATTTTTTTTATTGTTCTTTTACAGAAAAAGAGGCAGCAATCGTCATACCATGGATGGCTTAGGCTGCAAAGCAAGCCTCTAAAAAGCCACCACCCAAACTACCGGGCTTCCAAAGAGCCGATATCATTTTAAAAGCAGAATATAGAGCCTAAAATAGATTGTTACGGCTGGAGTGTTGAAAAAAGGTATATTAAAATAGTACTAAAAATCAGAGCGACCAATCGTCCTGGCAAGCCAAGACGATACCGAAGGCAGCTACTTACTTACTTAAAGAAGCAACAAAGCAACAGCCAAACCTCCAGCGCCAACGCCAGCGGCAGCAGCGCCGCCCTCAAAGATAGAAGCGACAGGTGGGTGGTCAGCCTTAGCAGACTCCTCTGGAGCCTTAGACTCAACTGGTGGCTTTTCGTCTTCAGCTGGAGCCTCTCCAGTAGGCTCAGGCTTCTGTTCCTCCTCAGGCTTCTCCTCAGGCTGCTCAGGCTCAGCGTCTTCATCCTGTGGGACGTCTTCAGCATCAGTAGGAGCAGCACCGTTACCCATCCAAGTGAAGAAGGTCTTGGTGTGGGTGTGGTGAGGACGAGCAATAGTCATATGGGTAGTGGTAAGATGCTCTGCCTTTTCACCGTAAAGAGTCTTCGTGTAGGTGTGGTGGGGGTACGAGAAGATGAAGGTCTTGGACTTGTCTGGAAGGGCAGCAGAGGCGATTCCGGCGAGGGTAAGAGTGGTAAGCAACTTCATTGTGATTGATATGATAATGGATAATACAAAAGAAAAAAAAAAGAAGGCAGAAAGGGTCCTATTTAAGCTATTCAGAATGTTAGCTGGGGAGTATCTGGAACTCACCCAAGATCGGCGATGTAACTAGCAATCTCTGGTTCCTTCAAACATACGTTCTAGTATTGTTGCTTTTTGGGTTTCGGAAGAGCCACCTTGCAAGCCGAACAAAGCCGAGGATGGAACGACAGATCTACAAATTGACCGAATTCAACTGGGTTTGGCCCAAAAACAGATAATCCACTAATGCCAGGGCCTCACACCACCCATTGTGCGAATGGCTGCAAAATACCAAATAAGGTTCGGTGCACCATCACGTAACCCATGAAACTGGATTGGAATGGGCTTAAGTTGGTGAAATCTACGTTTTGGGGCTTTTGGGCTGTCTATGTGGTCTAGTAGAGGTACTTTGTCTGTGGCTTCTCAGACTCCCCAGTCTTCCTTCCCAGAATCGACCCATGGCACCATGAAACATGTAACCCACAATCTGATCACCCCAGGGTCCCACGCCCCACAATGTCATCCTGTGTTGGTGAGATCTTCTCTGGTATTCCGTTCATTTAGGGGCTGTTATGCGTCAAAATCGCATCACCATGGTTTCTATTCTTGGAAACCAGTAACTTATGGCACGATGGGTCGGACCCCTAAGATACTTATTTTTTTCGGAGAAGTTCGGGAAACACTTGGTTTTCATGTGAGCAATGACAAAGTGGGCCGTCAAGCTTATGGGGGTTGGTGGTTTGAGTTGTAAGGCGGGCTCATCACTTGAATGAGAAATGGGTAGAGTGTGGAAGGAGGGGGAAGAAGGTTGGGCGGGTTAGAGGATGAGTTGATGGAGTTTGCTGGTTCTTTAGAATTATAATTATGGCGAGAGCAAAGATGATGGTTGTGTTAAAATTCAAGATGTGCCATCAGCTGATGGTGGGAAATGGGCCATCTAAAAAGATGGAACAGAAAGCAAGTTTTTCACTTGTCTTGTAAAATTTGCAAATTTCATCTGAACAGAACGTAGTAGGTTTGCAAAAGCCAGGAAACCATTTGGATTATTGTAGCAGGTGAATAGGTAGGTTGGTTATTACCAAACGATCTTTAACATTTTCATATCAAGTCAGGTTCTCTCGTTCCCAGAGCTAAACGAAGCTCCGATCTCCATCAAATTATTATCTGAAATTACTGTCGTCTTCATTGGACCAGTGCCAGATCTACCAGTATTTCACTCCAAGACGGTCACTCCCCAGAGTAGACGACACAGAAAAAGTTAGCCAATAACAGAACTGACCGCTCTTGGACCCCATCAACCTTCTTTCCTGCAAATTTCATCTTCCCTAGTCCAGCCGTATCATGAGAGCCGCATGCTCTTAAGTTGTACTGTAACATGAGCATCAAGAGGTTTATTCATATAACAAACGTAAGCCTATGGAGGAAAAAGAGCCAAAAAATTAGTAGATACCCAAATCACCCTCGTCTTTGTCTTTCCATAGAATATAATATTGTTCTTCCTTTTTTCCACCGTTTTCGTGTTGTAGTACGATGATGGCCATCACACGAGTAGTACGACTCATGCGCGGTTAACATGGTGATAATAGAACATTACGAAAAATGGAGGTTTCGCTGGGTAAAGGTGGTGGTAGGGGCTTCGAAGGGTTTTTGAATATTGTAACCAAAGGGCATTTTTATAAGTCTTGTTCTGTTCAAATTTCACCTGAAATATCCCAACTAAAACACGCTTTGCAATGAAATAGTCCATACATTTCGTCAACTTCAGATGCATAACCGAGATCAGGCAACTCCGAAGCCGATGAAATAGATCTTCCATGCTTCTTAATATTTGGAAGGCCATCAGTTGAGAAACGTTTACAGGCTTTTCATATATAATGTTCAGCGGTCTCTGCTACGTCGACTTCACCCTTCAGCTATGTTGTGGAGTTTCTACTATTTCATAAGCATAGTGGCAGCCTCTGTTACCTTACAGGGTTGTCACTTTGACACCACCGTCAAGTCTGGCGGTATGGATGTCTCTTTCTTTAATTATACTCGAGGATCTGGCGCTGGTTACAAACCAGGCTTTTTTGAAGGCGACTATGCCAAAGGTGGAGCTTACGAATTCACACCAGAAGTGCCTGTTATTATTTTTGGAGTACCCGCTGAAGGCAACGAAATGGGTGATTTGTTTGGCGTTCATATGCATAGGGCTAACTTTACTATGGTTTTCGAAGGTTTCTTCAAAGCTGAAGAAACAGGTCCATACGAATTCCGTATCAAGACCATTAATGGTGTTATGGTACAGATGGGTGCTGAAAGGGATTGTTGTGAGGACCCTAAGTCCAGTGTTGGAGACCGTGAATTATTCAAGTTGGTAAATGAACCGGGATCGGAAAAAACAATTGAAAAGGCAAGTATTCTTAACCTTCAGAAAGGCGAGTATTATCCATATAAGGTTGTTTGGTTCAATGATTATGGAAGATCGTTGATCTGGTTTCAAGGTACCTCGCCATCTGGACAGACTTTTGATGTTTCCAAGCACTCCTATAGAGCTGTGCAAAAGAAGGTCTTTCATGAAGACTGTCCTGTTCCTGAGACTTCTTCCACTACCGTCAGAGGAGATGTGAAAACGCCTGTTACTACTGTCACCACCATGGCTCATACTCCAGTCAAGAGGGTGACTATTCCATGGGATTATACCACGTCTTCTGGAGCTGAATTCACTACAACCAGAAGTTACTTAGGTTCAACAGCTCGTACTACTACCATTGGCGGCACTGAGTTGGTTGAAGAGCCTGCTCTGTTTACCACTATCACCTCCACTTTTGATGGCTCCAAGGCTCTGACTATTTCACTTCCATTCAATTCAGAATACCAGACTATAGTGGTGGCTGTTCCAACCAGCATGTCTTCTTATACAGTTACTGGCGACGTCACAGAGACCAGGACACTGACGGTAACTTACGATGGAACCGTGGTGGAGGTTGTTGAAGTACCTTCTCCTACCGTTACTTTTACTCAAACTTGGACAGGCTTAACGACTCGAACTGACACTTACCCTGGTGATGTTGGAAAGACTGCTCATGAGATTGTTTTCGTACCCTCTCCAAGAACCACCATTACAGAGATTGCTCCAGTCACTGAGACATTTACCAGAACTCTTCATGGAGAAGAAGGTGGAACAGAGACTATTGTGGTTATTGTGCCTACTCCATTATCTACAACAACATCTGCTTGGACTGGAGACTACACCAAGACAAAGACAGTTAGTGGACTTGACGATGACCCTGGACTCATTCTTATTCAGATTCCAATTTCCTACACCACCTTGACTTCCAGTTGGACTGGCACGTACACCAGAACAGAGACTTTAACGGGTTCAGAGGATGATCCATGGACTGTTGTGGTGGAGCCTCCAATTTCGTACTCTACTTTGACGTCCACTTGGACTGGTACGGAAACCTTGACCACCACTTTACCAACAGGCCCAGACGGTTCTGGAACTGTTATCGTTGCACTTCCCACTTCTTATGCTACAACTTACACTACCACCTTCTCGTCTCAAGTGGAAGATTCGTGGGTTGTTGACTCTGGCGTCGTTGTGGTGACTTCTGAAGATGGTGCTTGGACAACCAAAACCACCACCTTCCCTCATTTGACAAGCTACACTTACACAACCACTGCTACTGATGACCTGGGAGAGGTTCAGACTGATTCTGGTATTATCGTGGTGACTGCCTCTGATGGTACTTTCACTACCATTACTTCCCAGTTCCCTCACTTGGGTACTTCCACATTTACCACTACTTCAGTTGGTCCTGATGGCTCTGAGCAGACGGATTCTGGTGTTGTCATTGTTACTGCTTCTGATGGTGTCTTTGCTACTGAAACCTCGATGTTCCCCCATATTGGCAGATCTACATTTACCACGTCTTCAGTTGGTTCTGGTAATTCCTGGGAAACCGATTCAGGTGTTGTCATTGTGACAGCTTCAGATGGCAGCTTCACCACAACTACTTCTATGTTTCCTCGTGTGGGCAGAAGCACTTTTACCACTACTTCCACTGAAGAGTCTGGAGAAGAGGTTACTGATTCTGGTGTTGTGATTGTGACTGGCTCAGACGATGATTTTACTACGTTGACTTCTATGTTCCCACACTTGGGAAGAAGTACCTTTACCACAACGAGCTCTGACGATCAAGGAGAGGAAAGCACTGATTCTGGAGTACTTATTGTGACAGCATCCGATGGTGAGTTTATCACAACTACTTCAATGTTTCCCCATCTTGGAAGGTCCACTTTTACTACTACAGCAACGGATGGTTTGGGAGAAGAAGTTACAGATTCTGGAGTAGTAATTGTTACGGAAACCGATGGTGAGTTCTTTACCACTACTTCCATGTTTCCTCACCTTGGGAGAACAACCTTCACGACAACAGACACAGATGGTTTAGGTGAAGAGGTTACAGATTCTGGCGTTATTATCGTTACCGAAACTGACGGTGAGTTTGTAACCACAACTTCGATGTTTCCACATTTGGGTAGATCAACGTTTACCACAACTGATACTGATGGTTCCGGAGCCGAAGCTACCGATTCTGGAGTTGTCATAGTTACTGAGTCAGATGGTTCTTTTGTTACTACAACGTCGATGTTTCCTCATCTTGGAAGAAGCACTTTTACCACTACCGAGACAGATAATTCTGGTGTCGAGGCTACCGATTCTGGAGTTGTAATTGTCACTGAGTCAGATGGTTCTTTTGTTACTACAACGTCGATGTTTCCTCACCTTGGCAGAAGCACTTTTACCACTACAGACACAGACGGTTTGGGAGAAGAGGTAACTGACTCTGGAGTAGTAATTGTTACTGAGACTGATGGTGAATTCTTTACTACCACTACTATGTTCCCTCATCTTGGAAGAAGCACCTTTACAACTACTGGAACTGACAGTTCTGGCGATGAAAAGACAGATTCTGGTGTGGTGATTGTTACTAGTTCGGATGGCTCATTTGTTACTACTACCCTGATGTTCCCTCATATTGGAAGACTGACTTTTACAACCACCAGTGCTGATAGCTTGGGCGAAGAAAGTACCAACTCTGGAGTAATTATTGTTACCGAGTCGGACGGCGAGTTTGCTACCACGACCTCGATGTTTCCTCATTTGGGTAGGTCAACCTTCACTACTACCGAAACTGATGGTTCTGGCGTTGAAGCTACCGACTCTGGAGTCGTGATTGTCACTGAATCAGATGGTGTGTTCACAACAACTACTTCCATGTTTCCTCACATTGGACGGTCTACTTTTACCACCACTGAAACAGACAGTCTCGGGGAGGAAGCTACAGACTCAGGAGTGATAATTGTGACAGAATCAGATGGTGATTTCTTTACCACTACTTCGATGTTCCCTCACATTGGCAGAAGTACATTCACAACAACTGAGACTGATGGTCTGGGAGTGGAAAGTACTGACTCGGGTGTTGTTATCGTTACTGGTTCAGATGGAGAGTTCACTACTACAACCTCGATGTTCCCACACTTAGGCAGATCGACTTTTACTTCTACCGAGACTGATTCATCTGGAAACGAGCAAACTGATTCTGGCGTGGTCATTGTTTCAAAGTCTGACGATACCTTTTTCACCACTACTTCTTTGTTTCCACATGTTGGTAGGTCCACCTTCACCACAACCAGTTCAGGTATTTCCGGCGAAGAAGCTACTGATTCAGGTATTGTGATAGTTACAGAGTCGGACGGAGAGTTCACCACTACTACTTCAATGTTCCCACGTTTGGGAAGAAGTACGTTTACTACCACTGAGACAGATACCCTGGGACTGGAAAAGACAGACTCTGGTGTCGTCATTGTGACAGCTTCTGACGATACTTTCCTCACCACTACGTCTATGTTCCCTCATCTTGGAAGGTCTACTTTTACCACAACCAGTGTTGAAGGAAGTTTGGGAGGAGAGGTGACCGATTCTGGAGTCGTTATAGTCACAGCTTCTGATGATACTTTTATTACCACGACTTCCATGTTTCCTCGTGTTGGAAGAAGTACGTTTACTACTACTGATGTGATGAGTCTGGGTGAAGAGATTATTGATTCTGGCGTTGTGATTGTCACTGAGTCTGACGGTGAATTCCTTACTACTACTTCAATGTTCCCACATTTGGGCAGATCCACTTTCACTACAACTGATACGGATAGCCTGGGAGAGGAAGCCACGAAGTCAGGCATTGTCATTGTTACTGAAACCGATGGTGATTTTATTACTACAACCTCCATGTTCCCTCAAGTTGGCAGAATTACCTTTACTACTACTGAAACGGACAGTGCTGGCGATGAACAAACCGACTCTGGAGTGATAATTGTCACTGGATCTGATGATACATTTGTTACTACTACCCTGATGTTCCCTCATATTGGAAGATCGACGTTTACTACCACTTCAGCTGCTTCTGATGGTTCTGAACAGACAGATTCGGGAGTAGTAATTGTGACTGGTTCAGATGACGAGTTTGTTACTACCACTTCTATGTTCCCACATATTGGAAGACTGACTTTCACTACTACTGCCACTGACGAAGCTGGTGAAGAAAGTACTGACTCTGGAGTGGTAATTGTCACAGAATCTGATGGTGATTTTATTACTACCACATCTATGTTCCCACATATTGGTCGCTCGACGTTTACCACAACCAGTGCTAATACCCTTGGAGAAGAGTCTACAGAGTCTGGAGTGGTGATTGTTACGGAATCCGACGGTGAGTTTATGACCACCACTTCAATGTTCCCCCACATAGGAGTCTCAACCTTTACTACCACAAGCACTGAAGATCTGGGAGATGAAATTACCGACTCAGGTATCGTTATTGTCACTGAATCAGATGGTGAATTTATGACTACAACTTCGATGTTCCCACACTTGGGAAGGACTACTTTCACCACCACTGCAACAGACAGCCTGGGTGAGGAGCTCACTGATTCTGGAGTTATCATCGTTACTGAGTCAGATGGTGAATATGTTACCACTACCACGATGTTCCCACATTTGGGTAGATCTACGTTTACCACCACTGACACTGATAGTGCTGGAGCTGAAGCTACTGATTCTGGAGTGGTGATTGTCACTGAGTCTGATGGTTCTTTCTTGACTACAACTTCCATGTTCCCTCGTGAAGGTAGAGTGACGTTCACGACCACTGAGACTGACACTTTGGGTAACGAAGTCACTGATTCTGGTGTGATTATTGTTACAGGAGGATCCGATGGTTCTTTCGCTACAACCACTTCTATGTTCCCTCACATTGGAAGAAGCACATTCACAACTACCGACACGGATAGCTCGGGTAATGAAGCTACTGATTCTGGGGTAGTTATAGTTACAGAGTCTGATGGAGAATTTACAACTACTACTTCGATGTTCCCTCGTGAAGGCAGAGTAACTTTTACAACTACCGAGACGGATAGTTCTGGAGATGAAAAGACTGATTCTGGTGTCATTATCGTCACAGGCTCCGATGGTGAATTTGAAACTACAACTTCCATGTTCCCTCATATTGGAAGAAGTACATTTACAACTACCGAGACGGACAGTCTGGGACTGGAAATGACTGACTCTGGTGTTGTCATTGTGACCGCTTCTGACGATACTTTCCTTACCACCACTTCTATGTTTCCTCATCTTGGACGGTCTACTTTCACTACTACGGAGACAGACAGTGTGGGAGAGGAGGTAACTGATTCTGGTGTCGTGATTGTAACAGCTTCTGACGGAACCTTTGCTACAACTACGTCTATGTTCCCCCATCTTGGACGGTCTACTTTCACTACTACACAAACAGACAGTTCAGGAGCAGAGGCTACGGATTCTGGAGTCATTATTGTTACTGGAAGTGACGGTGAATTTTTGACAACTACTTCTATGTTCCCTCACGTTGGCGGATCCACCTTCACTACTACACTGACTGATAGCCAGGGAGACGAAAGAACTGATTCGGGTATCGTTTTTGTCACAGAGTCTGATGGAGAGTTCATAACTACAACTTCCATGTTCCCTCACTTAGGAAGGTCCACTTTCACGACTTCTTCAATGGATTCAGACGGTCTGTGGCACACTGACTCTGGTGTGGTTCTTGTGACTGCAACAGATGATATCTTCACTACAGAAACATCCATGTTCCCACATTTGGGTGTATCTACCTTCACCACTTCTTCTACTGATTCACATGGTGTTTGGCAGACCAACTCAGGTATTGTCGCTGTTACTGCTACCAATGATACTTTTGCAACCACGACTTCCATGTTCCCTCACTTGGGTAGAAGAACATTTACTACTGAGTCGCTTGGTACAGATGGTGTTGTTACTGAATCTGGTGTTGAGATAGTTACAGTTTCCGATGGTGAATTCGTTACCACTACTTCCATGTTCCCTCATATTGGTAGGTCGACTTTCACTACCACTTCAGTTGCTTCTGACGGTTCTGAACAAACCGACTCTGGAGTAGTAATTGTTACCGGTTCGGATGACGAATTTGCTACTACTACTTCTATGTTCCCACATATTGGAAGATCAACATTTACTACTACTTCGGCTGCTTCCGATGGTTCTGAACAGACTGATTCAGGAGTGGTAATCGTTACTGGTTCGAATGGCTCATTTGTGACAACTACTTCTATGTTCCCTCACGTTGGGAGATCAACTTTCACTACCACTGCTACCGATGAAGATGGTTCTGAAAAGACCGACTCTGGAGTGGTAATTGTTACTGGTTCAGATGACGAATTTGTTACAACTACTTCTATGTTCCCTCATATTGGAAGAAGCACTTTCACAACCACCAGTGCTGATAGCTTGGGCGAAGAAAGTACTGACTCTGGAGTAGTAATTGTTACAGAATCTGATGGTGATTTTATTACTACGACATCTATGTTCCCTCATGTGGGTCGTTCGACATTTACTACTACTGCAACCGACGAAGCTGGCCAAGTTGGAACCGATTCTGGCGTGGTAATTGTCACTGGTTCAGATGATACTTTCACTACTATGACTTCAATGTTCCCTCGTGTTGGAACATCTACCTTCACCACTACTACTGGAGATTTGGATGACCTCAAGACGGAATCTGGTGTGATTATTGTGGAAACTTCAGATGAGACGTTTGTCACTAGAACGTCTATGTTCCCTCATGTTGGTGTTTCTACCTTTACCACTACTGCTACGGATAGTGCTGGTGATGAAAGTACTGATTCAGGTATTGTCGTTGTGACTGCTAGCGACGGTTCCTTTACTACATCAACTTCCATGTTCCCACACTTGGGCAGATCGACTTTTACTACTTCTTCTGAGGATTCCGATGGTACCTGGTCAACTGATTCTGGAGTTGTGATTGTTACAGGCTCTGATGGTGAATTTGCTACTACAACCTCCATGTTCCCACACTTAGGAACATCTACATTCACCACAACCGCTGCTGACAGTTTGGGAGAAGAACAGACAGACTCTGGCATTGTCATTGTGACAGCTAATAACGATACCTTCTACACTACCACTTCTATGTTCCCACACTTAGGAAGAACCACGTTCACTACTACTTCGAAGAACGACTTGGGAGAAGATGTGACTGACTCTGGTGTTATCTTTGTTACTGCTTCTGACGGTTCTTTTACTACTGGTACTTCCATGTTCCCTCACTTGACGAGATCGACCTACACCACTACTAGAACTAATAGTCAAGGCGAGGAGGATGTTGAATCTGGAGTTGTCATTGTCACCAACGAAGACGATACCTTTGCTACTACGACTTCCACATTCCCTCAGGTCGGAAGAACGACATTCACAACTACTGTGGAAAATGGCTTTGGTGGAACCGACACTGACTCTGGCGTCGTTATTGTCACTGCTGATAATGATACATTTACTACCATGACTTCCATGTTTCCTCATGCTGGAAGACGGACTTTTACTACTACTGCAACTGATAGCGCTGGTAACGAAGTTGTTGATTCTGGAATTGAGTATATTACAGCTACTGAGGACGACTTTACTACTGTCACTTCTATGTTCCCTCATATTGGACGTTCTACCTTCACCACTACAGGAACAGATGCTTTAGGCAAAGAAGCTGTTGATTCAGGCGTTGTCATTGTTACTGCCACTGATGATTCTTTCATCACTACCACTTCTATGTACCCACGCTTGGGCAGATGGACATTTACTACTTCTTCTGTTGGACTGGACGACTCTTGGCAGACTGATTCTGGTATTGTGGAAGTGACTGCTTCTGGTGATACGTTCTACACTACTACTTCCTTGTTCCCTCGTGTGGGCGTCAGCACTTTTACTACCACTGCCACTGATGATTCTGGAGAGGAAAAGACGGATTCTGGAGTTGTAATCGTGACTGCTTCAGATGATGAGTTTACTACGTTGACTTCGATGTTCCCTCATATTGGCAGAAGTACCTTTACAACTACTGCTACAAACGACGAAGGAGAGGTAGGAACTGATTCAGGAGTAGTGATTGTTACTGCTACTGATGGAACTTTTGCAACTACTACTTCGATGTTCCCTAGGGTTGGAAGAACCACTTTTACTACTTCTTGGGAAGCCTCTGACGGTTCCTGGCAAACAGAGTCTGGTGTTATTGCAGTGACTGGATCTGATGAAACGTTTACTACCGAAACTTCGATGTTCCCTCATGTTGGTGTTTCAACCTTCACTACCACTTCAACTGACTTGTGGGGTGAGACTGCTACTGATTCTGGTATTGTAATTGTTACTGCTGTTGATGATACATTTACAACAACCACTTCTATGTTCCCACGTATTGGCAGAACTACCTTTACTACTACCGAGACTGATGATATGGGAAGCACAGTTACTGCTTCTGGTGTTGTTGAAGTCAAAGCTCTGGATGGTTCGTTTGTGACTACTACTTCTATGTTCCCTCAGTTTGGAAGAACAACGTTTACTACTACGGCTACTGACCAGTCTGGAGATGTCGAAGTTAATTCTGGAGTTATCATTGTGACAGAACAAGACGACCAGGTTTTCACCACTACTTCTATGTTCCCTCATATGACTCTTTCGACGTTTACTACAACTGCAACTGCAGATGATGGATCTGTCCAGACTGATTCTGGTATTGTCTTGGTAACTGTTTCTGATGGAGTTTACACCACAGAGACCTCCATGTTCCCTCATTTGGGCAGATCTACATTTACTACTACATCTGTTGGTACAGACGATTCGTTACAGACTGATTCTGGTGTGGTTATTGTTACTGCTACGAATGGTTCTTTTGCAACCACCACATCCATGTTCCCACATATCGGTAGATCAACTTTCACTACTACTGCAACTGACGAAGCTGGTGAAGTTGGAACCGATTCGGGAGTGGTGATTGTTACTGGTTCAGATGGCGAGTTCGTTACAACTACATCCATGTTCCCTCGTTTAGGACGTTCTACTTTTACCACCACTTCAGTTGCTTCTGATGGTGATGAACAAACCGACTCTGGCGTTGTAATCGTTACTGGTTCGGATGGCTCATTTGTTACTACTACCCTGATGTTCCCTCATATTGGAAGACTGACTTTCACAACCACTAGTGCTGATAGCTTGGGCGAAGAAAGTACTGACTCTGGAGTGGTAATTGTCACTGGATCTGATGATGGTTTTGTTACTACTACTTCGATGTTCCCACATACTGGAAGACTGACTTTCACTACTACTGGAACTGATAGTTCTGGCGATGAAAAGACAGACTCTGGTGTTGTCATTGTGACCGCTTCTGACGATACTTTCGTTACCACCACTTCTGTGTTCCCCCATGTCGGAAGAAGCACCTTCACTACTACTGCTACTGACGAAGAAGGTCAAGTTGGAACAGATTCTGGAGTAGTAATTGTGACTGCTTCGGGTGATGACTTTGTTACTACCACTTCGATGTTCCCTCGTTTGGGACGTACTACGTTTACTACTACCGCTACTGACGAGGATGGACATTTGGCAACTGACTCTGGTGTCGTCATTGTGACTGCTTGGAATGATACCTTTACCACCACTACCTCGATGTTCCCACGTCCTCTGGAACCACTTTCTTCGCTGGCTGAATTGACCAGCCAAGCCGAGAGCAGTTCGATGGTTACTGATGTTTCTGATGTTGTTTCTTCTTCCGCTTACAGCAATACCACCGAATCTGAAAGCTCTTATGTTACTGAGAGCCTGGCTTTGGAAAGCAGCTCTGTTCATCTTGATACTGGCAGAACTACGTTTACCACTTCCTCTGTTGGTGCAGATGGTAACTGGCAAACTGATTCTGGTGTTATAATTGTGACTGCAACTGATGATTCTTTGACTACTACAACTACCATGTTCCCACACTTGGGAACTGTGACTTTCACTACTACGGTTGCTGATAAAAATGGAGCGCTTGAGACCCAGTCTGGTATTAAGATCGTTACTGCTTCAAATGGTACTTTCACAACTACCACTTCCATGTTCCCTGCTTTGGCAGAATCATCCTCCGCTTTCGTTTCAGAAGAACCAAGCTCTTCCGTTGAAGCCTCTTCTTTATCTTCCCTGGCTCCTATCTTGGGAAGAACGACGTTCACTACTTCTTCAGTTGATGCCAACGATTCATGGCAGACCGATTCTGGTGTGATCATTGTGACCATGTCTGACGATACTGTGATAACTACAACTTCGATGTTCCCTCACTTAGGAAGATCCACTTTCACCACTACTGGAACTGACGATTTGGGTTCTGCAAGTACTGACTCTGGCGTGGTTATCGTGACAGCCACAGATGGTTCCTTCACCACGACAACTTCCATGTTCCCTCATGTTGGAAGACAGACTTTCACTACTACCCAGACAGACAGTTCAGGAGCTGAGGCTACTGATTCTGGAGTCATCATCGTTACTGAAAGCGACGGAGAGTTCTTGACCACTACTTCTATGTTCCCTCATGTTGGAACTGTGACCTTCACTACTTCTTCAGAAGGTACTGACGGTTCGTGGAGCACTGATTCTGGTGTGGTTATTGTGAGTGCTACTGATGAAGACTTTACTACTATTACTTCGATGTACCCACATGTTGGTATTTCTACTTTCACCACGACTGTTACTGACAGTATGGGAGGAGAAATGGTTGACTCTGGTATTGTGGTTGTCACAGATAACGAAGGAGAATTCACAACACAGACTTCGATGTTCCCTCATTTGACAAGATCTACTTTTACGACGACTAGAAATGGCGACAATGGAGATTACGAAAGCGAATCTGGTGTGGTCATTGTGACTAAGGAGAACGATTCCTTTATCACCACTACGTCTATGTTCCCTAAACCTTCAGCTTCTTCAAGTGATATTCAGAGCAGTTCCGAAGCTGCTGTTTCGTCCGTTCCTTATTCCAGTTCTGAAGAGCTTCCACACTTGACGAGATCTACTTACACTACAACCAGAACTGTTTCTGGGAGCGAGGAAGTTGAGTCTGGCGTTGTTATCGTTACTACCACAGATGGCTCATTTACTACGTTTACTTCCACTTTCGACCTGGTCCTTGTTCCTTCGTTCAAGTCTTCATGGCACTATACCAATACCAGTGCTGAAGCTTCTTCTTCGCTGTTCGAGTCCATGACTGAACCTTTGCTTACAAGTGTGGATGTCGTTGTTTCTTCTGTTCCAGAGACCTCTTCAATTGAGGTTCCTCAGAGTTCTGCTCCAGTTACACCTTCTGAGCTTTACTCGTCTGAAGAGCCAGTTTTGGTTTCTACTGAGTCCGTGGTTTCTACTGAGTCCGTGGTTTCTACTGAGTCCGTGGTTTCTACTGAGTCCCTGGCTTTACCTGTTTCCCTGGCATTCCCTGCTTCCCTGGCATTCCCTGCTTCCCTGGTATCTGACGATTTTGTGACTTCCATGGAACCTATTGTTTCTGCTGAGCCAACTTCTTCCCTGGCCCCAGTTGAATCGCCTAAGGATGGTGTCGTTTCTTCGCTGTCTTTGTTTACTTCTGCTAGCGCATCGCCTGAAGGTTCATCTTCCACTGTTTCTTCGACTACTGAATTGAGCGATGCTGTTGTTACTTCTTCCTCCAGTTTGATCGACGAATCTGCTGACTCAGGCATGCCAACTTCTTCTTTGAACTTTACTACAGATGGTACGCCTGACGTTGTTTCATCAACCGTTGCTGCTGGTGTCTCTAGTACACAGAGTGTTGATGATGGTGCTTTGGAAACTCCAATTGAAACGTTGACACATACTTTGAGTGGCCCTCACCAGCATGATACCCCAGTTAGCACTGCTTCTGGTGGACAAGGACAAGAGAAGCCATCGCCAAATGACGTCAATGGTCATAGTGATGGATCCTTGCCAACTGAAGCTCCTGGCTCAGATGAAGAACGTCCAGGTAATGCTAGTCCAGTAACTACAGCCTTGGAGCCAGAAAATACCCATAATGCTGGCACTGGCTCTAACTCTGGAAACGGTTCTAACTCTGGAAACGGCTCTGGAAGTGGTACTGGAAATGGTACTGGAAATGGTACTGGAAATGGTACTGGAAATGGTGCTGAAAATGGTTCTAATAACGCTTCTAATAACGGTCCAGGCTCTGGTTCTGAAAATGGTTCTGAAAATGGCTCTGGCTCTGGTGCTGATTCTGATTCTGATTCTGGTTCTGGTTCTGGTTCTGGTTCTGGTTCTGGTTCTGGTTCTGGTTCTGGTTCTGGTTCTGGTTCTGGTTCTGGTTCTGGTTCTGGTTCTGGTTCTGGCGTTGATTCTGGAAACGGTGAAGGCCACAATGGCAATGGGTTGCAAGGTGGTAAGCCTGGAGTATCTCCTGGCAATGGCCAAGCAGCAAACACTGTTGAAGGTCAAGATGGTATGACTACAGCTGGTAATTCACCAGTCCAAACTGCTTCTCCAGGCTCTTCTCAAGGAAATGGAGCTGCTGGAGATGGTAATGCTGGTAATGCTGGTAACGCTGGTAATTCTGGTTCTGAAAACATTGAAGGTTCAGAAAACGCTCAAGGTTCAGCAAACGTTCAAGGTTCAGAAAATGCTGAAGATTCTGGTAACGCTGGAACCTCAGGCAATGCTGACAACGCTGTTGACGCTGGAAATAATAACGTTCCAGGCTCAGAAACCGTTGAAGGTTCTGGCAACGCTAACGGCGCTGGTCAACCTGAAGGACACGGACACAAGTCTGACGAGTCCAACTTCGTGTCTACTTCGTTGAGATTCAAGACAACCATCACTAGCTCATCTTCTGAAGCTAAAGATACCGTCCCAACAGTTAGCACTTACAACGACAGTGCTTCTGGATTAAGTGGAAGCCCCTTCCTTCTTTTCATTGCTTCCATCATGATGATGTTCGTTTAGATTAATTAATTGTTGATAGTTAATATACTATAGAGATATAAACTGGTGTGGAAAAGTTAGTCCAACGTGAATATTGACATGGAAAAATCACTGACCTTCTTTCATCAGCCCAAGAATTTTCAATCAATAATAGAAACATATTCATTTTAAGCCGTTCAGCAGTTGGACCTCGACCATGCATATCACGCAACTTTACGAACTTCACCTCAACGTGTTAGACTAAGCCCACGTTTTCTGTAATCGTATTACCTGACTAATATAATGTATTGGTAGACTTCGTTTGCAGCCGTTCATTCCTTGCAGATGCACCTTTGGAGTATGAGCATGAAGAGCATCGTGGCCAATGGTTCTTCAAAATGGTCTACGGCGATTTGACAATTTTTTATACTGGAATAGGGGAAGAAGATTAATTCAAAGCGTAGTGTGCTCTTCCGTTTATCCTGTTGATAACATACATAGCACTACTGGTTATAGCCTGGGAACTAGCACCAGCCAAACCGTTAAAACTCAAACTATAGAAACAGGTCTATTCCCAGAACCCAGAGGCCAGGGTGGCTCCATTATACGCCATAAGGTTAACCGTATCCAGACGAAGCTTTCTGAGCACATTTCTAGTACCATAGTTAAGAAGCCTTCTCTTCATCTCTTCTGGTCCCACAAGTTCACCGCCAAACTCAGAGCCTAGACCTGGACGCATAGACAAGAAGTAAGCAAGCAATCCAGTGATATGTGGAGCTGCCATGGAAGTCCCAGACATGACTTCTGGGCTTCTGGAGAGACCAACAGACTCAATGTCAACGCCAGGAGCATGGATATCAACACATTTACCGTAGTTAGAGAAATTCGCTTTCTGGTCGTTATCGTCCACAGCACCAACTGTAATCACTTTGCTGGCTCTGCTTGGTGAGTAGTCACAGGCATCAGCATCGTCGTTTCCAGCTGCTACTACCACATGGAGACCAGCATCAACAGCAGCGTTTGCAGCAGCATCCATGGCACCCAGAGCACCTCCTCCAATAGACAAGTTAATAGCCGAGCCTCTGAATCCTCTAGTTTCTCTTCTGACGTTTTCTTGATGTTCTGTGACAGCATACTCAATACCTCTAATAATGTCAGAGGTTCTTCCAACGCCAAAAGGTCCCAAAACACCAACTCCCACAATGTTCACCTGTTTAGCTACACCCCATGTTTTAGACCCAACCGTGCCAGCAACATGTGTTCCATGGCCATGCATATCCACAGGAATCCGGGGAAACGCCAATACTTTATCGTACTTGGCTCTTCCTTCAAAGTCACTATCCCAAGCTCTTACTCCAGTATCAAGCACATAAGCGATAACTCCACTTCCTCCTTCAGCATCGTGTATGTATGCTCTAGAAGTAGCGTTCAAGCCTCTTTTTGAAAGACGTGAAAGACCCCATGTAGCGTCTGTCTGGTAAGAAGTATCGTAGGCATACACCTGAGCGTCTTCTTCAATGTACTTAACCTGAGGGCTGTTTTGAATCGTGTGTAAGATATTGTCAGGGAACCAGCCCAGGTATCCTCTGAAATGGGGCAATCCAAAGAACTCAAGTTTACGTTCGTCGTCATCCTGGTCGGATTCCAAGTCTCTTTTGGCAGAAACAGACGATATCCAGGTATTATGGGAGTTCACATCTTCCTCAGTAACCTCATCGTTGTAAACGACAATGTACCTGTTACTAACAGCGTTATTTACCCTGAATAAAGGTGCTGGGTCGTTTCTGGGACTTCCATGTTCTGGTCTTTTGGAATGAAAAACGTCGTCCTGGAAAAGAGAGTCAAGGTTGAACCTACCTAACAGTGGAAGCACCATAGAGGCTGCGTGCTGAACGAACACAAGCAATAGAAACAAGCGAATGTGCATTTTGGGGTAATAAAATTTGTTTAAGCTACATTTTACTAGCAAGACCCAAGGGCTATATAAGTTGTAGCCATGGCTTAATAAGGCAAAACATTGGTCGTGGTGTAGCTGTGCCAAGTCCGAAGTGCTGATATTAACAAGGGGCAGAGGAAGACGAACAATGGAAGAACAGATACAAAATGAGAGGGGACTTGTAGTATGTATAGTCTCGACGTTGTTTTCACCATAAACAAACGCTTCTACCGATTAGGTAATTTACCGAAACGGAAGGGTTTTCGACAAGCTTGGGACAAGTGAGTTGCCAAGTTGAGGTCGAGGATGTTGGATAGGAGACCTGGGTATCTCAGGATAGGGCGGCAGGGGGTATGAGGAAGCAAGGATAGGCGAGGAAGAGTTGGATTAGAGCTGTTGAGTAGTCTGGTGAATTGTGCTGGATGTTCATTGTTGGTTTATGACAAGTCAAGTAGTTGTCAAAGATGGGGCTTAGAGGTTTTTCATAATCCACAAATTAACTGGAATTGTTAATTGTCTTTTGAATATCCAGATATCTAAATATCTCTTGGATAGAGCTAGAGGCTCTGGTTGGTCTGTAAGTAGATACACCACTTGAATTTCCAGCAGTGGGAGGATTCACCCAAACCAAAAGAATCAATAACCTCGCCTTTCTTCAATTAACCACCCATTGGATCTAATTGCCCAAAGCAATTCAAATCCACTCGAAAAAGTCCGGAAAGAGTGCCCAAATACGTGTAGAAACCCCGTCTGGTTATCTCCTACCCCTATTCTTCTAAGCGTCACAAGCCTCTTATCAGCCGTATTGTTCTATTATTATCTCTTCTTCCCCACGCTGAACCATTCGTCCATATCCTCCAGACCTCTCCAACCACCCACCAATCCACCCAGAAACCACCGTCCGGCGATCCCGGCACTTCCCATCCCTTCACCATACTCTCCCACAACCGCCCCTAGACCCAAGAAATTCTACAAACACAAGCAAAGAAACCGTCCTCAAATAAGCCACCCAGCGGCAATGAAGGCGACCGTGCATAACTCGCTTCTCCCACATATGCCACGAAAGTGTATTGGGCCCACGTTGTTGCCCCTCAGCTCCGTCCCATCCCATTTTTAGCCGTTGGAGCAGCGTTCTGTTCAAAGAAAGAGCTGGTATACTCTCGTTTTGCAGCCGTTCCTACTTGCAGCGTATTCCTGAGGCTAAGTTCTAAGCGAGAAGCCCCACGAAGAACGAAGCATTTTACGAAGCGTATCCAAGTGGCCAGGTAGCCAGGTAGCCAAAACAGCTTTGAAGCCAAACAGCTTTGAGGGCTGAACGTCTACTGTCCCTTTGCTGCCAAACAAAAAAGTGGCCTTTACTTGCGGAGTGCAACCCAGGCTTACAGAGAAAGTACAGTTAAGCGAGGGTACCGAAAAAGAAAAGACCCACACCCGAAAGCCTAACCTTAAGACAGAGCAAAAAAACAAAAAACACGTAAAGCCCAACGGAGCCCCAGATTTAGCTTTTTAGAAGTCAGGCAATTCCCCAGAGTCTGTATTTCCTAGATTCACGGTCCATGCGGCGTTTGTGTCGCAGACAAGGTAAATTTTTCACCCACGCTTATTGGTAGAAAAAGTCCATATCTGCGAAACTCACGAAGGCCACAAGAATTAGTTAACTGGTAGTGTGACTAAAGGGTGGACTTGGCTGCCTTGGAAAACGTAGAAAAGTGAAAAAGTGAAGAGGAAAGTGGAAAAAGGAGAAAACTCAGCAACCACGTTTCCACCTAATATTCAGTTTCTTCGTACAAAAGCAGAAACAGGGAATAGGGCGATTTGAGCGACTGGGGCAGACTGAAGAAGGAATGGATATTTTTTGGAGTAACTGGCAGGAACAGTGCCAGGCAGGACAATCCATGGATCAGTAAAAGAGGAGAGTTCTTGTTCCTTCCTTCCATCCGCTTGATTTTCCCATAATCTGTTTGGCCAATAAATTACCTCAAGTGTCACAATACGAAAAATAGCTACTTTTTTTCAAGGCTTTCCACTGGAGTTTGTGATTCTTGATCATCCTTAGCGTCTTTTCGCAGCAAATAGAGAATGTAACATTGCGAAATGGCAACGCCGTGCGACGAAGTGGGCCAGAAGACCAAGGGAAGGGAAGACTTAGCTTGGAAGCTTGGAAACGTAGAAAACGTAGAAAACGTAAACGAAGAAACCAACCAGAAAATGAAAAACGCCTAGTTTACCTGAATCACTGTGCCCCACAAGGCGCTGGGCGCGAGGTAATACCTGTTCCCTGTTTTGTGCAACTTAAGCAACAAAGCATCACCGCACCTCAGAAGACCAAAGGCACTGGAAAACCGGTATGTTTCTGGAAAGTAGATTGGCAGTGCCAAGAAATGGCCATAGTTAAGCACCTGGAGCCAGAGGCCCACATGTCTTGATGGTAGAGGCAACGCTGCAGCCTCACTTAAAGGGTCTGCTTGCAATTATTCGTTTACTATGAGACGGCTCGATGCCAAGACAATCGTGGAGCATTACGCTTTAAGTGGGGCCCACATGTCTATTTATTATTGATATATAAGAGACAATCACGCTGGTACGGTTTTCCTGGTTTATCTTCTGCTCTACCAGATCATGTCCTTGAGAGACTTCCCCCATTCTTTTAAAGAAGCCGCTTGCGGTTGGTACTATAAGGTTCCTGGCGAATTGGCCTTGACTAAGAAACAGAGGGATAATGTCAAGGTTGCCATAGAAGAAGGCGAAGAAGAGCCTCCTACGAAGGTCAAGTTTGACAGTTTGTGGCCTGCTTTCACTGCTGGTGCTGGTCTTTTTTCGGATGGTTATGTGAATAACTCCATCGCCACGGTGAACATCTGTTTGACACGTATTTATGGTGACACTTACGCTGAATCTGAGTCCATGTCCAACGTCACGGCCATCGCTTTCGCTGGTATCGTCTTGGGTCAATTGTCTTTTGGTTACATTTCTGACCATATCGCTAGAAAGGGTGGTATGATGGCTGCAAACATCATTCTTGTGTTTTTCACCATTTGCTGTGCTGCCGCTACCTGGGGTGTTACCCCAGAAGGCATGTTCGTCGCCTTGACCGTGTTCCGTTTCTTCTTGGGTGTCGGTATTGGTGCTGAGTACCCAACTGCATCTGTCATTGCTTCTGAGTTTGCCAACCAGTTGCCTGTGGGCCACAGAAACAGATACTTTATCTGGTTCACCAACTCTTGTATTTGCACGGGTTACGTGACTGCTGCTTTTGTCCCTATGGTCTTGTTGTGGATCACTTCTCCTTCTGACAGAGACTTGCACATCGTGTGGAGATTGACTTTGGGTCTTGGTGCCATTCCTCCATTTGCTCTTTTCTTCATGAGAAGAAAGATGAAGCCTTCTGCTTCCTACGAGAAGACCAACATGAAGTCCGCTAAGAAGTTCCCATGGTGGCTCGTCATCAAGTTCTACTGGTTCAGATTGGCCATTGTGTCCATCGTCTGGTTTATCTACAACTTCTCTGTCTTTTCCTTCGGTCTTTACTCTTCTTACATGTTGGATATGATCATTGACGGTGATGACTTGTACGCTACTTTCGGCTGGAACGTTGTCTTCAACTTGTTCTACCTTCCAGGTACTTTCATTGGTGCTTTCTTCACTGACTTCTTTGGCCCTAGAGTCACCTTGGCTTTTGGTCTCTTCTGTCAGGCCATTATTGGTTACGCCATGACTGCTGAGTTCAACACTTTAAAAAACCAGGTTGCTGGCTTCGTTGTTGTCTTTGGTTTCTTCACTGCTTTCGGTGAGATTGGTCCAGGTAACAACGTCGGTTGCTTGGCTTCCAAGACTTCTGCTACTGCTATCAGAGGTCAGTACTACGGTATTGCTGCTGCTTTCGGTAAGGTCGGTGCCTTCGTTGGTACTTACGTTTTCCCTGTCATTATGAGAAACCACGGTGGTGAGGGCTCCCCAGATGGTATCAGAACTGCCTTCTACGTTTCCTCCTCCTTGTGTCTCTTCTCGGGTATTCTTACCTTGTTCTTCTGTCCATCTGTTGGCCAGGAGGCTATTAACGAGGAGGACAAGAACTTCGTCCAGTACTTGAGAGACAGTGGTTACGACCTTGCCAACTTGGGTGACGGTTCTCTTGCCATCGAGTCCCAGGACTCTATTGAGAACGATGATGAGAAGGTCGGTCACCTCCAGTACGAAGTGTCTCGTGCCTCCAACGACTCTGTCGCTAACAACACGTCGTCCAACGGCTCTGTTACTAAAACGGAAAAGAGATAAGGGGCTATGCCCTGCGGTTATAATTCAATTCGTCAGACCGGCTGTAATATGAGACCCCGGATGTGGCGGTTCTAAATGTCGGTCAATTTTTCAACGCTTAAGGCTTACGGATTACACACTGAATTCTATAGAGTTCCAAATACAGATAAAAAGAAAGTATACCTTGTAGGTTGTTCGTAGACGTCAATTCACTTGGAGCAAAGTACCGGAAACGAAGTGCTACTTATGATTAAACTATGTCAACGTAAATTAGGAACCCTTTGGTGGCTTTTAAAACACAGCATTGCTACCTGGCACACATTAATTATCCTCCTTGTAGTCCCTGGTTTTGACCCCGACCAACCTCTTGAGCCAGATCAAAATATAGTCCTTATCGTTCTTGAAGACAATCTGTGCCTTATCTCTCTTTGCAACCTTCATTGCCTTCTCTTGGTCTCCAATATCGCCAACTGCCTTAAGATCATCCAAGTTCTGGGTATCCTCCAAGCGATGGTCTCTTAACAAAAGGATGAATCCAAGCATGGGCACACAAAGACAAATAGCTACTATGCATAGCTTCCGTTGGACTGAAGCGTAAGCAAGACTAACTGCTTTTCTTGGATCAGAACCCCAAGCGTATTCCTTAATAAAGTCATATGGCGTGGCGTAGGCACTCATTGCTAGGGAAGTATCGACATCCAACTTTTCCATTTCTGAGTAAATGGCTGAATACATTTCCTGGGTCCAAATGGCTCCAGAGATACTCCTGGCAAAAGCTGATCCAATGGTGATGAATGTACCAAAGATGGCTGTCACTGGACCCATGTATTCGTGATTAGTGCATGATTGGACAGAAGTCGTGGTGAGTCTGTAGAACATGGCTTGTGCTACGCCTGAAACACACATAGCAGCAGCAACACCATCACGGTAGTACTTAGCGTTTAAGCCGTCGTTTGATCCTCTGAAGTGAACAAAAAGGCCCATAGCAATGAGCATAATGGCGTCTCCAGACATGATAAATGCCTTGGTTCTTCTCACCTTGGTCAACATGAGACCAACGATAGGAACTGTAATACCCTCAGTGAACGAGTTCAAGGTTGGAGTTCTCGTTGCAACTGTGACTGAAGCATTCATTCCAACGAGCAAAACGGGATAAGCATAACTGCCTGGAGTGTTGCTAATCAACGTACTGAGAAGACTGACACCGAAAGCACCCCATATACCTCTATCCTTCATGAGTGTCCAAGGAAGCAATGGTCTTTTGGTGAGTTTGCTTTCCCAGAGAATGAAGATAGGAATAGTAACGAACCCCATTACAAGAGGAACAATTGTTGAAGCTTGTTTCCATTTGGTGCTTACACCTCCAGCAAGAGTCAAAGGCACCAAGAAAAGCCCAAGAATCACACCGATCAAAAGACACCCAATAAGATCCATATCCCAAAGCACAATCCGTAAAGTCTTCACGAAATGGAGCATGAATATCTTCACCCTAATAGGCAACTTGCGGGTTAACGACAGGCGAGTATCGAGTTCGTTGTAGTACCTTCTTGCAGTTGCACTTCCTTCAAGGAACTCATCCTTCTTTTGGTTGGAGATTTCTATCCACGTCTCTGTCTTTCTAGCCTTCCATACCACATGGGCATAAGTCACCATATATGGCATGCATACTAACGGAGTAGTAAACGCCCAAAGAGCAATACCAAATCTCCATGAGTGTCTCAGCAAGATAGAAGAGGTGATTTCTCCAATAGACCAAGTGTTGATAACCGAGGCCAAACACAAGGCAGAAAGTGCCATGAATCTCCATTTCAAAGTAGATGCATCTGCAATACTAACCTGCCACACAAGCACCATTCCAGAGCTTCCAATAGAATAGAACACTGTACCAGCAGCAAACCTTTGGATATTCACAGCTTGACTCTGGATAATAGTGCCCATCGTTTTAAACACCATAGCCACAAGAAACATCTCAAGACGACCAAACACATCTGAGGCTCTGGCAAAAAATGGCAACGATGCCGCCATAGCCACTTGGCCTATGGTCGTAATAGTGGACATGAGCGAGTGCTCCTTGTATGAGTTGGTAGCATAACCGATAAACACGTTTTTGGCAAACATCTCCACCACCATCACATACATTCCAACGAAAAGCGTGAAGAAATAGAAGAGCTTGTGCCAGCGGTTGGTCATTTGGGCAAGTTCGAGTTCTGCCTTACGGATACCAAAAGACTTGACAGCCACAGGCTGGCTTGCAGCTTCCGAGGCGACGTCAGACTCTGCTGCCTTGTCAATCTCAGCTTCTATGCTGTTTGATTCATTTTTTACAATCTCCTGAGTGTCGTAGACTTTCTCTTCCAGCACTGGCATGGTGGAAAAAAGCCGATAATCGTCCAAAATGTCCCATTATTAAGTTTATATATATAGACCCCTTCGTAAATGCCTTTCAGATGCTGCTTCTGCTTGGCGGCTCCCAGGTAACCAATCTGGTCTAGAAACGAACCGCATCCTAATTCAACCGGTTGAACATGTATGAAGGGCAATTATCCACTGCAAAAAGTACCGCCAACTGTCTGTAACCAGTACCAACCCTTCAGGATACACCTTATTACGTCCTGTCTGAAAGAGCCGTAACAATGTAGTAATTACGACGTCAAGGGCCGCATTATTGACAGGGCCAATCACGTTGTAAACCAAGTTTCGGGCATCAATCGATTTGGGCCTCCGTTGACCCTAAGCATGTAAGCCTTGTTCTCGCTGATTTGCTCGTCAAAACTGGTATATGCTCATTGTCAGCTGGCAGATCGGCACGGCTGTTCACGAATACCCAACTGCCCAAAGAAAACGATAAAATCAACAGTTTTCTTTATCTAAAAGATCTTGCGAAACACTAATACCCACTTTTTTTCCGATCAATCTTCCCTAATTACGAGCCAGGGTCCTTCGTCAGCCGCACCGTTATAATGCAATAAGGACTATTCTCCTTAGGCCTCCGTCTCTGTTCCTTTCTTGTATGCATCCTTAGCCATATCCTTGCCCATTTGGAGCTTCTGGTGGAGTCAAATAAAGCATAGCGGCAAGTGTCCTCTTAAGGTTCATACCGATCTCTCCGCCATGGACCGTTTTCCCGTTCTTCTTTGAAGCAGTCTTACTACAACGGTATAATCACCGACTCGCTTCCTCGTCAAAGGTGCTGTTGGGCAGTCATCCAATATATGGCTCTCTTCTTTACACTCTGAACATGGTAGCTTAGGGCATTGTCTGTAGCAATGACTGGTTGTATGGCAGTATTGGCAAAATTCCACACAATACTTCACGGCACAGCTCATGTCGTACTCGTCGTAGATGGGACGCAATGACCTTGCTCTTTGTATCAGTGAAACCACCGCAGCCAACTTCTTCTTGTGTGGTTCCTGCTCGAGCTGGTGCTCAAGGTTTCTTCTTACACGGTCTACGATAGGCCGTTTAGGAGGAATCATATCCAGCCCTAATGCGATCCACGCATCTGCTTGGGCCCATGTATCGTTGAGAGGCCTTTCTCGCCATCTTGTGATCTCGTCTGAAGGATGCAAAAATCCGTATTTGAATAGAGCCTTGGCTCTTGGCGTTGGCTTGTAGATAACTTTCATCCATAGAAACGTCTCTGGTGCTGCCTCGTTAATGTGCAACAGAAAGAACCTAGCTTCATCATCAGGATCTTTAAAAGTTCCCTTTAAATATTCATTAACGAAGTACCCGAGCGGACGTTCTCTGTGAATGACATCGAGCAATGTCATCAGATCGCCAAGATAGGCTGCCTTTCCTCCAAGGAGAACGCATGAAGCCCTCTCAATATACGCCATATTTCCCACAATACGACACTTTTCGATTAAGTGGTATGCCTCAAGCTTTGTCCTCCGATCGTTGATTTCTTTTACCAAATCACGCAACTCAACCTCCTCTTCGGCGGTAAATGCAAGTGATTTATCTTCTTCCAGAAATTCTCCATCTTTCTCAGCTTCTGCCTCTAACTTGCATTTGTAGTAGTAAACCTCAAGCTTGGAATAGAGAATTTGCATATCCAAATCCGGTTCCGCTTGCTTTCGAGCGTACTCGTTCAAAATTGCAGTCATTTCACTGTCAGACATTCCAGAGTCATTGACCACGTCCATCTTATGTGTCCGCCATAGTGGGATAGTATTCAAATCCTCGATAGCAGCTTCACCATCCGGAGCATCTCCTACTACAGACATCACCAGCTGCTCGACGATATACTCGGCTCGAAAGCGGTTAGTGATTGTCTCAATAAGATACTCCAAGTCAGTTTCTCTCTCCCCTTCCGTTCTCTTGATCTTCATTATAAGGCTGTTATTCTTCTTGATCTTATAGTAATCGTCGGCGAACTCACGATACATATCATGTACGTGATTGTGGGCATCAAAGTCGGTACGGTTCCTCTTGGGGACTTCTAGCGACATCCTATGAGGAAGAGAAGTATAGTCAAACCCATCGGTAGGTATAGGTTCGCCAGGACCATTGAGAATACTTTTAAGTGAATCCTTGCTATTGAACCGTCTTTGCCTTTCGAAATCGCGTGTTTCACCGCGTTGGTCGCCTCTTCTGCCCATCTAGACTTTTCAATGAGCTTGGATGAGCTGCGATGGTGGGTGACTGGTGATACGATCTGTGGAGACGATGCAAGGAGTCTGTGTAAGGATTGTGATTCTGCCACTTCCTGTTCTTTTCTGTTGATCTCTTGACTTTGTCGTTGCTTATCTGGTGTGGATTTTTCACTTCTTCGATATATCGCGTCGCTTGATGTGCTATGTGTTAAGTATGTAATGGAGGAGTAGATAAGACCCCAACTGCCTGGTCCTTCTCCACGAGGTCGAATAAAAGGAAACTAGTAATTGGAAGGCCACGTCTTTTTCGAACTTCGCTTTTTCTTTTTTTAGCTTTTCCAATCTGATACCTGCCCTGGTTATCTGTTCTCACTCAGTGACCAAGCTAAGTTACACAAAATGTCACTTAGTAAATGCTGACAATATAGTGGACGCTATCGATGCATCACAAGCAAAATACCGTCAAACGGCCTTTGGGTACTCTTCTCCATTACTGCAGTCTAGGTACGTTACAGGCAATGACTACTACCTCTCAACTACAACCAGGAAAGCCGTTTACTGTAGACGCCAGGCCCGAAAAGGCCTCTTTTGCCTACTTGTGGCTTTACCACGTGGATCTCCACAATCTAGAAAACCATATTTATTAACCCCTATGGTAAGCGAAGTAAGCCAAGCAAATCAGATAAGAACCCCTTCCTTAGAAGCTCTGCTTCCACTTACCATATTCCTTATTAAAAATCACGCTATCTCGCTTAAACATGACTCTCCTAAAGCTTCTCGACCCTTTTCGTGCTCCGGGGATATAACTGCCGATGCACAGACACCACAAGCCTTCCCTGTAATAGTTTCCACACTTTACTTCAAGCTTCCCTACGTGTAAAGACTAAATAAACAGCTATTTCATCATGTACTTTCAACCATACATCTGTTTTCCTGACCTATCTAGCACCTTCAATTGGACAAGCGAAGCCATAGTAGAATAAAACAATCAAATCAAATACCGTTTATTCTTTCCCCTGGTTCTCGGTAGTCAGTTTTGTGTAACTTTAGAAAGTACATATTTTGCGCCCTGGACTCCCGAAAGTCGACTAGGCCAGAGCATATAAAGCCCAGGTATTTCTGTCATGTTGAAAGCTCATCAATAAAAGCAGAGCTCCATGGCTTCAGGTCTCCTCCTGTCACTTCCTTGGTGGCTGTGGGTGCCACTCCTCATTGCAGTCTACACTGCTTGGTCATATCTCAGCTACTACATACGTCTATGGAAACTGGGAGCTTATGCGCCATTGTACCTTGGTGATAACCTCTTGGGTTTTAATAGAATCAAGGACATCTTGAAAAAACAGAAATCAGGCGAGTTGCCTAACTACTTCTACGATTTGTTTGCAGAGGCAAAGAGAGATACCCTTGCGATCCACACTACTGGAACTATGAGATATTGCACTAAAGATCCAGCAAACATCAAGGCCATCTTGGCTACCCAGTTCAACGATTTCACAGTAGGCCAGCGTCTCACTCAGGTTGGCGTTCTTCTAGGAGATGGAATCTTTACGTTAGATGGAGCTGGCTGGAAGCACTCTCGAGCCATGCTCAGACCACAATTTGCAAGAGAACAAGTCTCTCATGTGAAGATGTTGGAACCTCATGTTCAGCAAGTTATTCGAAGGGTCAAAGATACCCAAGGCTCGAAATTTGACATCCAGACCTTGTTCTTTAAATTGACAGTTGACTCAGGAACTGAGTTTTTATTTGGAGATTCATGTAATTCTCTCCAGGATGATATCGTTGATATTTCCAAACTTAGCGGGCCAAAAGAATCAGGAGAGTTTGCTGAAGCATTCAGCACTTCTCAGCTTTACCTCGTGAAGAGAATGAACTTCCAGAGCCTCTGCTTCTTGGTCAACAACAAAGAGTTCAGAGACTGCAATAAAATCATCAGTGGCTTCACTAACTACTACGTCAACAGAGCTTTAGAGCTTGAGCCTGAAGACCTTGAAAAGCAAGCAAATGGAAAGTACGTGTTTTTGTTCGAATTGGTCAAACAGACCAGAGACCCTAAGGTTTTGAGGGACCAGTGCTTGAATATACTTCTCGCAGCTAGAGATACCACTGCTGGTCTTATGTCGTTCATTTTCTTTGAGCTTGCAAGAAATCCAGAGATTTTCAGAAAGTTACGTGCCGAGGTTGTGGATGCTTTTGGAGAAGGCGATTCAGCAGATCTCAGTAAAATGACCTTTGAGTCACTTAAGAAACTCGAGTACTTAAGGTGGGTGCTTAACGAGACACTCAGACTATACCCCTCGGTTTCACAAACCTCCAGGACTGCTGGCAAAGATACTACATTACCAAGAGGAGGTGGACCAGACGGTGAAGATCCCGTCTTTATGCCAAAAGGAATGATTGTTCTTTACTCCTTCTTCTCAATGCACAGAAACCCAGATATCTATGGTAAGGACGCTTCGGTTTATCGTCCAGAAAGGTGGGGTGAGCCGGAACTTAAGAAAGTCGGTTGGGGTTTCCTTCCGTTTAATGGCGGTCCACGTATTTGTCTCGGCCAACAGTTTGCTCTTACGGAGGCTTCTTATGTTACAGCAAGATTATTGCAGACGTTCAAGCACATTGAGTCGTTTGACGGCCCAGGCGAGCCTAAGACAAGCGCCCAATTGACCTTGTCTCTTCTCAATGGAGCAAACATTAGGTTATATTAAAGCTGCCTTCCATGGTTAGAAGAAGTTTGAAGTACTTTTTCAGCTAGGTTCCAAGGTTCTCAAAGGAAGATAGACAACTGGTATGTCACCAAACCTAACTTGAATCACAACATATGGCTGCTGCCATCTAGACCTGAGTTATTCCATTTAAATAGAGAGAAATAGACCATTTTGAGTACCTTCTGTGATATTTTATGACGAGTCAGGGCGTTTGTACTGTTCTTTTAGTAAAGCAGTTGAACGGAAGCTGTGAAAAAGATCCACATTTTGCCACAATACAGACCAAAATTTTGTTTCTACATGTTAGAGGGTCTAGGATAATTACTATGATTATATTTTAGACTTTTTTTGAAGGGTTTTCCATTTTTCACGGCGGTTTTAACTTTCCAGTTTCCAGGTCTTTGCCAGATACGATGTGCGAACACAGAATTGTGAGCCACTCTCAGTCTTTTTCACCAAAAGTATGAACATGATAAGTAAAAAAAAAAAAAAAAATGGAAGAAGAAACTCAATATCAATAATTTAATGAGAATCCCCCTCTCCCCATCGACTTCGCTTCGTTTCTGGTGCTGTTGAAGTTTACCGAGGTCTTGAAACCCAGCGAGTGTACCAAACTACAGTCTACACAAATAGCAACAACATTCATAGTCAACTCCCCAAAACTTTTACATTTGTGACTCACGGCCGAAGAAACTTTCCGCTTTGAAACCGCCAGGCAATTCTCCTTCCAACTTCCCCTATCCCTGATTGGGCTCTCTGTGTGCCCAATATGGTGGAGTCTGTATGAAGTAGGTTCAATGCTGCAAACTAGCAATCCAAAGTTTGATAGTGTTTCTCCTCCATTAAAGCTGAAAGTGAACCTCCTAACGACTTTTCAGGAACTCTCACATGCCCTCTGCCCAACACTCGGCTCCACGCAACGTACACGGCAATTACATGGTTACGTACTCATGGTAGTCACATAACCTACCGGCTGAAAAACGTTGTTTCCTTTGACGCAAAATGACCTCTTCCTACATGCTGAACAAGAGTAAGTACCACAATGGGCCATGGCGAGAGGAGTAGTAGTTAGACTTTGGGTACTTTGGGGTCCACAGTGCCCATGAACAATGTGTAGCCTATTCATCACCAAAGCACCCCCACACCATGTTCTGCAGAAGCCAATCGTGGAACAATGACCTACCGTCGTTGGGGATAATGGACCCCCACGTGTAATCGTAGCGGGCTTTTTATGGATGCAAGAATCAAGCACTGGCTGGCGCACCGAAATACCTTAATTGGCTTGGCGAAGAGCCGTCAGTGGTGGCTGCGGAGTAGTCGGTGTATTTCCCGTTGGACTCTACTTTTGTTGTTGAAGAGTATCTGGTTGGTTTGAGAAAGCAACATGGCTGGAATTCACCCTCAAGAAGACCAAGACGTGGTTCGAACATGGAAACTCATTCACCGATTTAGTGTAATGTGTTATGCATGGCCTAATTTATTCGGCTCCCTCGTGCATCCTTCTGCGCATCTGGACCCTGGTTCGCTTGCAGCTTCCATGTGACCTCATTCATTGTCCAATTAGAACAAGTACCGTTGGTGTTGCTCTATCTGCTTTTTAGTAAGATTATAAAAAGGCTTGTGTTTGCCAAGATGCTGTGGCTTATCTGATTTATCATACCTAAGATGAGGCTTTTTTCGGTATTCTCGTTATTCACACAAACATTGGCCCTTTCTATAGTTAATAGAGATGGAAAGGGTTCAGCCTGGGATTATGAAAACAAGAAGATTCATGGTGTCAACTTGGGCGGCTGGTTTTTGCTTGAACCTTACATAACGCCATCTTTGTTCAAGGCTTTTGAGCCTGAAGAGATACCTGTTGATGACTACCATTACCACAAGACACTTGGCAAAGAGGAGGCCAAAAGAAGATTGGAACACCACTGGGATACTTGGTACACCGAAGAAGAGTTCAAGAAGATGGCCGACGCTGGTATCAATACCGTGAGGATCCCCATTGGATACTGGGCATACGGGCTTTTACCTGATGACCCATACGTCCAAGGGCAAGACTTCTACTTGGAGAGAGCGCTTGGATGGGCCCGTAAGTACGGAATTGTTGCCTGGATTGATTTGCACGGTGCTCCGGGCTCGCAGAATGGAGGAACCAGTTCTGGTTTGAGAGGCTCGTTCAACTCTTTGGAGGAATTGCACGAGTCAATTGGTTACCAGTCAGACGAGAACATTTCCCTTACACTTACTGTTCTCCAAAAGATATTCAACAAGTACGGTGCTCCTGAGTTTGAAGATGTCGTCAGTGGGATTGGTTTCTTGAACGAGCCTCTTGGCCTTGCTTCCAACATGGACTTGCTCAAGGACTTCTATAAGTGGGCTTATGGAAACATGCGGTCTGTTTCCAGCAACAATGTCATCATAAGCGATGCTTTTATTGAAGAAGATGGCTACTGGGATGATTTCATGACCGTGGACCAAGGGTACTGGAAAGTCGTGTTGGACCACCACCACTACCAATGGCATACACCAGAGGAGCTCAACATGAACGTTGATGAGCATGTTCGTACCGCTTGCAACTTTGGTATAAAACACACAAGAGAGTACCATTGGAACGTTATTGGCGAATGGTCTGCTGCCATGACTGACTGTACTCCATGGTTAAATGGTGTGGGAAGAGGCGCACGTTACACCGGTGATTACCAGAACTCTCCTCCATTTGGATCTTGTGAACCATACCAAAGCCTCGAAAATTGGACAGAAGAGTACAAGAAAGATGTCAGGAAGTTCATCGAGGGCCAAATGGATGCATACTCGACCGCCAGTGGCTGGATTTTCTGGAACTGGAAGTGTGAAGACGCCGCTGAATGGGATATGTCGAAGTTGATTGAGCTTGGATTGTTTCCCCAGCCTTTCGACGACAGACAATACCCAGACCAGTGTGGATATTGATATTGTTTGATTTAATAAGTATCTTTATAGGAATGCAGGTGACTTATCAGCCATAAGTCGTAGCTTGTAGTTCACCAAACGACTAAACAACCAAAAAGGTGAAAGCTCAGACGTCCCTGGAACCCTTTGACAAGACTTCTTCTATTTTCCAGTACATTTTGCCAATGTCAGTATATGGTCCCTTGTTGTATACTAAGTGCGCCTACAGACCTGGAATAGCCAACAGTGGTGATGTATTCGCAGTAAACACGAAGAACAACCACTACTGATCATAGTCATTCCGTTGTATCGTTTCCATAAAGAAACCAAAGAATGCAGTCTTTCTATAAAAAGGTTGACCAATGAGAGAGGTCCATTCCTCTGTCTGTCTTTCCCAATGCTTTTCGTGGATCCAGAGTTGAGGTGGGCTGAACAGTCACCGGATCCATCCTTGTTTACATTGACCGTCTACGCGTTATGTACCTTTAAAAGTTGATATATGCCTCGCTAGCGTTGGTATTTTCTTGGACAGCGACGTTTGTTTTACTCAGGTTGTTTGGCCAGCATGGGCGGGACGGCTACACGATAGAGATTGATGGGCAGATCACTACAATCTCGTCAAGGAACGAATAAGGTTTGCCTTGGCTTTTTTCTTGATTCGAGGAGGCATTGGCGTTTTCCGGTAGCTTGAAGGTTGCGCTGGTAGCCAGAGACGTTGTGGTGACTGCCAGGAACAACTAGAGGTGAAACTTCGTTTCTAATTGCTTGAGACTGTTAGAGATTGATGCTGTATCAACGAGCCCATGCAGTTACGGTATCAACAGGTTCACTATTTTCGTCTCCACAGAAGGTCTCGTGCATCCCATGGGCCCATTTAGACGATCTTGACGGGTAGGAGCCGCCTCAATGAACCTCCAGCCCAGCTGACCCTCAGTGGCTTCTTGTTAAAGTGAAGAAGATTTCACGAAGCTTAAATTTCGCGTTTCATGGAGAAGCCGTTATCGTCTGAAATCAGCTAACTAATGATATGCGCTGATTTTTGATTTACGACAGTGAACATTTCTAAGCGATGCAATATACAACGCGTGCGTTACCTAGCGTATATCACTGTGAGAGCTATGTCTTTGACTATGAATCTTCACGAGACCATTGCTATTGCTAGGGCGATCCAGACAATCCATTGAGTATCAACGCATCTCATCTCAAACTCGAAGAAGACTTATGCGGCTTTCAGCTTTGCGTCAATGTACATCTCAGACATATTGACGAAACCTTCCCATGCAGATCATCCATACCTCCAATGCAAGGTCTAACGGGGAAGAGTGATGAAGGGTACCTGAAAGCCCTTGAAGCCGTAACCTTTGACTCTCTTCTTAGTTTTCTACAACTGCTATTGGTAGCGGTGAGAGTTAGATATCTGCTTCGTTGAAAGGTCATTTATTTGCAAAGATGCCAATTCACTTAGCGTTTAAATGATTTTGACGAGTCTGTTCAAATTACGCTTCGACATTGATTAGACGAGTCGGCAACTTCAAACCTAAACGCGCCCATTTCTTGGGAATCGTGCCGCTTCACGTTTCCACTGTTGTCTGAATTGTTATAAAAGGATGTCTATTTCCCACTGGTTTTTCTAATCCAGCAGGCTGACTTTGATGATTCTATCCTACTTTTATCTTCTTGCGATAGCGACCGCTAGTGCTATCAAAGGATGTGCTTTCCAGAATGCATTCAAGACAGGAATGGATGTTACAATCTATAATTACACTCGTTACTCCAAGGATGGCTGGGAACCTGAATTTTTCGAAGGCGGCTATGCCAAAGGCGGTGCTTTCGCTTATGTGCCACATTTGACGGATATGGCGTTGTCGCTTGACCCATTCGAAAACGAGATAAGAGACTTTTTTGGAATTCATATGCATCGAACCAATTTCACACTTCAGTTTGATGGATACTTCAGAGCTAACGAAACAGGTGAATACACTATACATACGAGAACAGTGAATGGCGCCCAGGTCCGCTTCGGTGCCGAGGGACCGTGTTGTGAAGATCCCAAGTTAGGGCTTGCGAAGAAAGAACTCTTTACTATTATGAACGAGCCTCATAAGCATGAACACCTCACCAAATCAGCTAAAGTCAACTTGGTAAAGGGCGAATATTATCCTTATAAGGTTGTCTGGTTCAATCAAAACGGAGAATTTTATCTCGATATTCAAGCAACCACTCCATCAGGAGAGAAGGTATACGTCCACGATCATTCATATACTGCTCAAACCGAGAAAAGCTTTATCGACTTATGTCCTCAGCCTCCTATGTCTTCAAGAACGGTTACGGGTAACGTCAAGACTCCGCAAACCACTACGACTACGATGGATCACACGCCTGTGGAGGTCGTCACAGTACCCACAGTTACTACTACTGTCCTTCTTACGGAATCTTGCGATGAATGCTCCCGTACGTCTACCATGCTGTCATCCTCCAAACCGCAGTCTCCTTTACCTACTGAAACTGTTACTTACACTGAGACTGGCGATTTCCTGAGTACCTTCACCAAGACAGCATTACACAATGGCAAGGTTATCGAAGTTATTGCTGTTCCCTACCCGACGTCATCTTCGGCTCCTTCAGGGCCTGTTTCTACTACGAGGATTACCAGGACAGGTACTGTTACTGAAACCGTCACAAGAACAATTCCTTGCTCAAAAGGCGGGACTGAAACCATTGTTGTTGAAGTCCCCACTTCTTATACTACGATGACTTCTACTTGGACTGGTGACTACACAAGAACTGAAACTTTGAGTGCTGGAGACGGTGAAACTGCAATTGTTGTTGTTGAGGTCCCAAGGTCGTATACCACTATGACTTCCACCTGGACCGGTGAATATACCAGAACCGAAATTTTAAGTGCTGGTGAAGGTGAGACCGCAACTGTCGTTGTCGAAGTGCCAACGTCTTATACGACAATGACATCTACCTGGACTGGTGATTATACTAGAACTGAGACTTTGAGCGCTGGAAACGGTGAGACACCTGTTGTTATTATTGAAGTTCCTGCTACTTATACTACGATGACTTCCACTTGGTCAGGCGACTATACCAGAACTGAAACTTTGACTTCTGGTCACGGCGAGACTCCAATTGTCATTATTGAGGTTCCTACTTCTTACACCACAATGACAAGTACTTGGTCTGGAGAATATACTAGAACCGAAACATTGAGTGCTGAAGAGGGCGAGACTCCAGTTGTTATTGTCGAAGTACCTGCTACATATACTACGATGACGTCTACTTGGTCTGGAGATTATACGAGAACAGAAACTTTGAGTGCTGGACACGGCGAAACCCCAATCGTCATTGTGGAAGTTCCTGTGTCTTATACTACCTTGGTTACTACTTGGACTGGCACAGAAACGTTAACTAAAACTTTGCCCACTGGCTCGGACGGATTTGGCACTGTGATAGTGGGCATCCCGACATCTTATTCGTCGATTGACAGCTCCACTCCTACTGTGCTGGCCTCGGATGTTGTGAATCACGGTACAACTTATACCACAACATTTGCCTCAACACAGGGTGATGGCTCTATTCAAACTGATTCTGGCATCGTCATTATTGCAACTCTGGACGGCTCCTGGACGACAACAACTTCTGTGTTCCCCCATTTAGGAAGGTCTACGTTCACCACTACTATCACTGATGATCAAGGTGAACCAGAAACTGATTCGGGCGTTGTCATCGTAACTGCTTCCGACGAGCAGTTCACAACTATAACCTCAATGTTTCCCCGCCCTGCGTCATCTACTTCTTCTGATTTCCCAGATTATTGGAATATGACTAGTTCTGAAATTGTCTCGCAAGAGATGGCTTCCTCAATCATTTCAGAAGAGCTGTCTAATGTCGAAACCAGCTCTTTGGCACGGAAATGTCACAAATCCAAGACAAAGACAAAGACCACGACCAAGAAGAAGACCACTTGCTCGAAAATCATCTCGACTTCGTCTGAGGTATCGATTGAGCTGAGCAGTGTGGTCAACCCTACCACCATGGTGACTTCAAGTGACTTCTTGACCTCGTCTTCCTCTGCCTCCTCGAGCCCTATCCAGTCTTCTACTACAGAGGAAGAAATTATCTATGATCCTGTCCCCGAGAGCACTCCAATTGAATCTTCCGTCCCAATTGCCACCACTTTGTCATACTCCTTTATTACTTCCCAGAAATCGTCCATGCCTCACCTTAGTTCGTCCCATAGCACCTTCCTTTCCTCCACTGAATCCTCATCTGTGGCAAGTGAAAGCATCACAATTAGCTCACACCCATCTTCAGATACGGACCAATTGTTCAGTTCAGTTCCATTTGAGAGTTCTACTAGAAGCTCAGACCATGAGCTTTCCTATAGTTCCTCTTCAAGTGTGCATTCCCAAGAAAACACCTATTCCAGCTTCTCCACCGAGATGGAAACTGGTGTAACATCGAGCATTATTTTGTCAGAATCCACTAGAGCTGTACTGCTGGTTCATCACTCGCAGCCAAGCTCGGCTAGTTCTTTGCTTGACATTTCTTCGAGCTCAGTGGTTCATGCGACAATCGAAGTCGTTGAATCAGGATCCTCCACTAATGATGCTGCTACAGGTTCCTCGAATCCTCCAATGAGCTCTGCAACGACTGAATCATCTGGAGTTACAAACGGAAAGGCGACAGAAAGTGACATTCACTCTACCAAGATACTGACTGACATTGGAGACCACCTCAGTTCGTCAGCAACTGTTATGCCCCATTCCTCGAATCACGACATTGCGCTGGAGAAGAAGACCACTTCCATGAGTGTCCCTCAAGAGCTGTCTTCATACATTCCGGTCCATTCTTCAGGCATTCCAGCCTCTTCAGATATCGCAGCCAGCTCTTCAGATGCCCCAGTACGCTCTTCAGACATTCCAGCTCATTCCTCGGACGTTCTGTCACATTCATCGGACTCTCAAATACCTTCATCCTCGAGCAAAGCTTCTGGGCCATCATCTTCTGCTTCCGAAGCAGTTTATTTGAGCTCTGCCGCATCGATAATTCCACAGCCAAAAAGTGACTCCTCCATTAGTTACGTTCATAGCGCCAGCTCTACTAGTGTTAGAGAAGAGGATGAAACCGTCACCTTGTCTCGCGACGTTACGATAACGATGCCCACAGACGGAGAGCCTACCGCTTCTCCACACATGAAGTCTCATTCTGATTCGTTGAGCTCGTCTTGTTTCGGAGAGAACTGCAACAACCTGGTGCAAGAAGCTCATACTTCGAGTGGTCTCACTTGGGGCTTGCTGGCTCAGAATTCGACATCCTCGTCCGCTTCAATTGCCCAATCTCCGGCTATCAGTACCTACGACGGTGCAGCTCCTGAGTTCAAGCTGAGCCTTTTTGTAAGCATGTTTGCTTTGCTTATTCTGCTGTTTTTCTGAGGGCACTAACTTTATTTTGTCCTCACAAGCTTTACTTCCTTTTGATTTCGCCCACACAATACCTTGTGTTTAAATTATTGATTCTTCATATATGATAATACCATTTCCATTCTTTTATTCCAAACAATTGCAGTAGTCTTTTGCTATGGTAACAGGTACTCTTGCCGTGACAAAATAACGGTTTCCCCAAGACGTTATAAATTGAAAAGAAATGACGATGTGATAGAACCTTCTTAACTCCTTAGTACAAAATGTGGGTCCCACATTTGGGATTTCACAGTCATAGAATCGCAGCGGAATAAGGTATGTCAAGGAGCCATTTACCCAGCGGTAAAGCAGAATATTCTCTCCAAACTGCTTTTTCAACATACTCTGAGTCTTTTGTGAGGCATTCACCAGGGGCTCAGGGTTGGCTATTATCAGCTCCCAGAGCTCAACATCAACAGCTATAGGATTCATGTGGATCTCTAAGGTACCACTATCCCTTATTGTCACTCCTATTGATATAAAGTCTGCTAGTCTCATTCCAGGAATCACAGTGTTTCCCACATAGTCATGAAATAAACTAGTCTTCTTGAACAGTATCCATAATCTGCATCGGTTGCCAATAATCGGTATACTAGAGCATCCAATGGGTTGGCTTATCGAGCAATATTCAGGGATACCCGGGGCAAACCCTGTTCCTATTCGATTTCCTTCGAATCTTAAGAATAGCCCTCCCTGTGGCGTTTCATCACATTTTGGGAATTCCAGTATTCCAGAGCCTTTTACCACCTCAGAAATTAAATAACACTCTCCATGATCTACCTTGGGTTCATTTCCAAACCGCTTGAAGCCATATCTCTCACGCAATGCAACAGAAGATGTATTGGGTAATGAAGAGGGTACAATTAGCCTTTGACAAGACATCACATATATCATTTTTTCTGTTTGTACTGTGACGTAAGATGCCTTTGCAACTTTGTAACATTTCTCAATCCATTTACTACTTGTATCAAGATCAAGAGGCCTGAACGAAGTTTTTGGAAAATGCTGGATACAAAATGTGCTGACCAACCATTTGCTGCTAGATGTTGGCCTTTGGAAAGTCTTATCAATGGAAATTTCCTTTCTGTACCTCGTTGTAGCCACTTTTAAGTCAGCAAAAGATATAAGGCTTATCTCACTACCATTTACCAGGAGCTTAACATTGACTTTGACTGCGTAACTCCTCATCAACGAGCTTGTGAAGAATGTTGGCCCAAGAGACGGGATTGGAAAGCTGTAAGAAGAAGGTGAAATTTCAAAAGTAGTCAGGTTACTCGATCCTGATCTTGCCAGCACTTCATGAACTTGAAATGGGCCTTTAGTCACAAAAACCACTTCGCTGTTCATTTTGTTAAAACGCTTGATTTTAGAGCCCTTTTTAAATTTCACCGCTGTTATTAACTCCAAAAACTCCACTGAAACTTCATCCACTATTGGCTTACCGATCGGAAGTTCAATATTCTGTGATTTTCTAACTGCACTCACACTTATATTCAAACAAAATGCTGAGGAAAAATCGTTGCCTGGAAGAACCACAAAGGGTTCAGCTAAAGCGGGAGAACATTGGTCTGGCTCAGGTCCAGTAAGCTTGAGGGAGTATTTCACATTTTTGTCCTCTGACTTGACAATGTCCTGGTTGCCATACTTAACTGTTAGTGCATTCATGAGTGGTGTCCTAGGAACGCTGTAGTAAGAGTCTTGGAGCTTGTAACGCAAACAGCAATTTCCTGAGGCAACCTCTGTATACCTAGAAAACTGCCAAGGGGTAGGTGCATAGTAAACCACCGGCTTTAAGATGGGTATTGAAGTCTTCCCCAACTTCCTTTCGCTGGGTCGGGTGTCACTTAGTAGCGATAATACACTGTTTGAATCGTCAGGAAGCAACACTATCTGTGTTACAGAATAGCCCAAGCCCCAAAAGCTGATAGTTTTCTTCCAGTGGCTTTTGTATCCTTCTATTTGGGTTGGATCTATATTTTTGTTTGGGTTGTTGTCAATGACAAAACCTATTTCCTGTGACATTTTTATACTACTTTTGTTGGAAGGGTATGTTGCACAAGTTGATCTTTTATATCCTCACTTCCTTAGTGGGAAAGTTGAAGGCATCATGCTTTCAGGAACAAACGTTGCGGGATGAATATAAGTTTAAGGCAACTGGAATACATAGTACCCCAATAAGCGTGAAAGAAACCTAATTACCATACGTGGATATCTGTACTCGTCAATCACAGAAGGCGTGTGGTCCTGTCACAGCCATTGATCAAGTAAGTCACCTACAGTGTAAGTTATACAAATGTTTATTGATCTAAACAATAGTACACATGAAAGGAACAGCACCACGTCCAGCGTGCTTGTTCAAGTTGTTGTCCTTTGGAGTGTTGTTCTTGTTCTGAGTAGTTTGAGCGGCCATTTTTGTTTGATGATGTGGGAGAAACAGGGGAATGGACTGTCTTTATATATTCTTCAAGAATAAGAAACAAACCTTTGTCTTGGCCAATATGTGTCATATGTTTTCCTATTCAGGGCTATCAATGGGTTTTGATGTTTGAGAGCCTTGCCTATTTAGGTGTTTCAATGGTGGTGATGTATGGTATTCCCAAAGAGACTCTCGAGAGTCCAGAAGAGGAAAGAAAGCAAAGTTTTACGTATATGTATTAAGGTTTATTTCTCTTGTAAACCCCTTTGACTTGATGATTGGTTATGGAAACAAGATTTCGATCAAGGTACAGAGGATGCTCTACTAGTGTGAACCTACAAGAGACTAAAAAAAAAAGGTATTAAGACCTATAAAAAAAAACATATAAACTTTTGGTAGTCGCATATGACTAGCATGGACTTTTTCTTCTTCTTCTTCTTCTTCTTCTTTTTCTAATTTTCTCTTTTTCTCTTTTTCTCTTCTTCTCTTTCTCTTTCTCTTCGTCATCTTCATCTTCTTCTTTTTCTTTATGCTTTGGCACCGGGAACTGCCTTGCCCTCACGAACAAGATCTTGTAAATGGCCTTCAATCGTAACCCTGGTCCTCTCAAACGGCGTCATCTTGTCAAGTTCATCCTGAGTAAACACCTTCCTCTTGGGAGCCTCAATCCGTGGAGGTGGAGCCGTCTTCTTCATAGGATGAGCAGAGAAGAAAGCACCAAATGCCTTTCTCTTATCTTCGAAAGATCCATGGACACACTTAACACTGGGAAGGTTCTTCTTCTTCAAGGGAACATTCAGTGGAGGAGGTGGTGGTCCAGCAGCGTCCATAAGGAACCCTGGCGGGGGTGGAGGAGGAGGTGGTGCTGCTGAATTGGTAAGGAAAGCTGGTGGTGGCGGTGGTGGCGGTGGAGGTGCACCACTGGCCATCAAGAAGGCTGGAGGAGGTGGTGGTGGTGGAGGTGGAACATTACCATTGCCATTCCCATTAGTCAAGAAACCAGGTGGAGGGGGTGGTGGAGGTGGAGGGGCCGTGCCCAGGCCAGCAGCTGGTTTTGGAAAGTTAGGATGGGAAGGAGGAATGAACACTTCAGTCAGGTCCATGTCGATATGGAACTTGGACACTTTGGGGGTTTTGGGTTCCGCAACACCATTATTCTCGTCAAGGCGGTCTTTGAAAAGACCCTCGAGTTTGTTCAAGATGGCAGCGTTCTTGCCGTTATGTTTCTTCTTAGGCACCTCGTCCTTGGAAAGAAGAGACGCTTTCTTTGGCTTGGGAAGATTCATAGGTGTAACAGGACCATCCACAGATAACCTACCATCAGCGAGAAGGAAGGCCTCGAGTTTGGAAGCCATCTTCAGCATCTTTGAAGAAAAGTTCGTCTTCTTCGAGTAGTCAGGAATGTGGTCGCTGATGGTAGATAAATCGACGCTCTTCTTCTTTTTGGCAGAAAGCTTAGCTTCCAATTCAAGGTAAGCTTCAGAAGGAGCCGTTGGATCTTCGGGCTCATCTGGAGTCTCAGACGCAGCTGGAAGAATACTTGCTGGAAGGGCAGGAGGTGGTGGAGGACCAACAGGAAGCAAAGATGGAGGTGGAGGTGGTGGAGGTGGAGGAATCGATGAAGCTGGAGGAGGAGGGGGACTAACAGTCTCCAGAGACACCGGTGGGTTCACATCCATAAGTTCTTTGGGCAAAGGAGGAGCTTCCGGAATGCTCTCCTTGCGTTTCTTTGGTTCATCTTTGCTTTTAGTAGTACCCTTTGATGGGGCCTCATTGGCCATTTTATTCTTCAAGGCGGCAAGTCTCTTCTTTAACTGTGCCTTCTTCTCTTCTTTAGAAAGGCCCTCAGTCTGGGAAGTAGAAACATCAGACAGAGGCTGGACAATTGGAACAGGAGAAGAAGGTTCATTGGCTGTAGATTTTGGAACAACAGGAGGTTCAGAAGTAGCAGGAAGACCAACGGGAGGTGGAAGAACTGTTTCGAAAAGGTTGGCAGGTAAAGGAGGAGCTTCAGGAACCTTAGGAGCAGCAGGTTCAGCTGGAGTATGAGCTTCCTTCTTTACAGGCTTTTGAGGAGCCTCAGCTGCCATTCTTTGTTTCAAGGCAGCAAGTCTTTTCTTTAAAGCAGCCTTCTTCTCTTCCTTCGAAGCTTCAGAAGCAACTGGAGTTTCGGTAGTAGGAGTGGAAACAACAGCAGCTTCAACAGGAGTGACAGCTTCAACGGGAACATCAGAAACAAGTTCAATAACTTGGACAGGAACCTCTGGGACTGTGTCAGACTCACCTTTATCCGAATCAAAAAGACCTTCAGGGAAGGCAGGAGCAGGAGGAATAACAGGGGTCTTAACAGTATCAGACAACAAAGAAGAGGTTTCTGCTTTGGTTGGTTTCTTTGGAGCTTCAGCTTCCATCTTGGCCTTCAAAGCGGCGAGTCTTTGCTTTAATTGAGCCTTCTTCTCATCCTTAGAAAGAACAGTAGTCTCCTCTTCTGGAGTCTTTTCTTTTGGAATAGAAACAACTGGATTAGACACTTTAGGAGAAGATTCAGGCTCAGGAGAAGGATCAAGTGAAGAAGGCTCAGTGGAAACGGTTCGTTGGACTTCTGGTTCAGGAGAGGGTGAAGGAGAAGCCTCCAGACTCAGACCGTTATCCAGAGAAGTCGACAAGACACTAGACTCACGGGAAAGCGAAACAGATTTACCAGAAGACGATTCAGAGTCACAAGGCTCTGAACAAGAATCGAAAAGGTCATTTGGCAATGGAGGAGCAGGAGGGATCTCCTTAACTGGTTCCACCTCCTTCTTAGGCAACGGCTTGGCTGTGTCAGAGTCCATCTTCTGTTTCAAGGCGGCAAGCCTCTTGGCTAACTGCTGTTTCTTCTCAGCCTTAGCACGAGCAGCAGCCTCAGCATCTCTTCTCTGGGCAGAAGGCTGCTCAGGTTCGGAAGTAGGTTCAGGTTCGGAAGTAGGCACAGGCTTGTCAGCAGCATCAACAGGAGTGGCATCAACAGGAGTGAAATCAACGACAGGAGACAATGGAGGTACCGAAGACTCTGGAGTAGAGGGAGCCTTTGCTGGTTCCAGTGACAGTTTCAGTACAGTAGGCGCCGTTTCTGTCTTTTTAGATGATGTCTCTGTCTTGTTAACCTTTTCCGTAGTTTCTGCCTTCTTAGTAACCTTTCCAACGTTGCTTACCTTATCAGTCTTCTTCGCCAATAACGATTCCTTTACCTCGGGCTTTTTCAAACCACCATCCTCAAAGAAGCCATCTAAGCTGCTGATCTTGCTCTTGATCAGGACTTGCTTCGAGTTGGTATAAATATGAGCCTTGCGGACAGAATTGTCATTAGCCTTCTCATTGAGCTTCTGCTTCAAGGCCTCAACAGCCGAAAGCTTCTTTTCTGGGGAAGCAGCAGGAGAAGGAAGAGAAGAAGGCACTGGAGCTGGTTTAGGAGTAACTGGCTCGGTAACGGAATGTGACTTCTTCTTGGTAGAAGACTGAGAAGTTGACGGACTGGAAGGAGAGAGCTCTGGCGAGGGAAGAGTCACCGATGAAGAAGCTTCTTTCTTATCCTTGGAAGGAGTTGTCTCTGGAGTAGGAACCTGGGAAGTTTCAACCTTCGAAGTCTGAATGGCACCAGCGGCCTTCACATGAACAGACTTAGAAGAAGATTTAGACTTCTTAGGAGGAGTAAGAACAACAGATGGCTCCAAGTGTACTGCTTCAGCAACAGTACAAGGCTTCGACAGCTTCTCGGGTTCCACGGCTTCACTAACCAGGGCAGAAGGAGGCAGTAAGTCGGGAATAAAAGAAGCATCAGCGTCAACGTCAACGTTAGTCTCTGCCTCTGATGGAACATTGAAAAGTGTCTCAGTAGCCTCCTTAACTACCTCAATGGGCAACGCAAGAAGAGAGGCAACATCAGAAGCACACAGCGATTCACATCTTGGGACTTGAAGACTGAACGTCTTTTCCTCAGGAACATCAACAACTTCAACACCAGCTGACTTGGGCAGAGAGCACTCGACAGACGAGTAAGGTGTTTCTACTGCAGTGTCAGCAAAGACAGGTGGCGAAGGGCGTGGAGCTGAAACAACAGAAGTCCATGGGTTTGCAACGAGATCGTTCAAACCGTCAGTAAAGTAGTCGAAAGCCAGGCAGGCGGGAGGCAACGACAATGGCAGCAGCGACGCAACCGGTGTCTTTGGAGAAGGTGAAGGTGACGACAGTTGATGTGGTGAAACGGAAACAGGCTTGGGCTCTGGCGAGGTGAAAGGAGAACCAAGAGTGGCAATCGAGACCAACTTTGGAGACTCTGGGACCTTGGAAGGTTTTGGAGACTCTTCTTTAGTGGAATTGGTTTTCCTTTTCTCTTTCTTGAGCTGACTCTGGGAAGCCTTGGAAGATCCTGCTATGACAAGCCGGGAACGCTCGACTTCTTCAAAAGAACTGCCAGCATCATCTGGCGAGGAAGAAATACGAGCTTTTCCAAACTTCTTAGACATGACAGGAGCTTTCTTAGGCTTTACCAGCTTTTGCTTTGACGACTTTGACGACTTCGACTTCTGCTTAGGTCTTTCCATGTGCTTAGAGCAGCCGAGGCCTGAAGGACCTTGCTCTTCGGTGATGTACCTGCTGTACAACAAGTGTTCAACGTTAAAGTCAGTCAAAGGAACAAACCCGTCCTTGGTAGACCAGTAGTAAGGCTGTTTCAGAAGGGCAGTGATGATGGGAACCCTAGTAGAGTTAGGAACCTTAGGAACCTCCAATATCTGGGAAGTCTTCGTTGGCCTTGGAGCCTTGACTGGTTTAACAGGAAGAACTTCTGTAACCTTAATTGCCTGGGGCGCCTTCACTGTCTTTGGTGGTTGAGTCTTAACAGCCTTGACATCCTTCGTGGTTTTGACATCCTTGGGAGTCTTACTTGCCTTGCATGCCTTGATCTTCTGAGCAATCTTGGAAGCCCAAGTAGTCCCAGCAACAGGAGCCTGTGAAACCTGTGGAGCCTTCACTGGCTGAGTAGTCTTGGCAGACTGGACGTCTTGAGGGACATTAGTAGTCTTGGTAGCCTTAGGGGCCATAGGGGCCTTAGGGGCCTTGGGGGCCTGGGAAGGCTTGACTGTCTGAGAAGGCTTGACTGTCTGAGTAACCTTAGGAGCATCAGCAACCTTAGGAGCCCTGGCTTTCTGAGAATCCTTAATCTTCACATTCTTCCCTGCTTTAGGATTCTTCGACACCTGACTAATCTTAGGAGCCAGGACAACCTTGGGAGCTACCTGGACCTGAGGAACCTTAACTGGAGCCTTCCTCTCAAGTGCAGGCCAGCTGCTCTTATCAAGAGGTTTAATGTCGCTAATGTCGTGAACCTTCACCTGTGGCTTCTTCTCTCCTTCAAAAACATCCTTCACCAAATTCTTCTTCACGCTGGGTTTAGGAACCAGCCTTTTTTCTGAGGCGCACGGAAGGTTCTTTACATTATGCTTAGCGGCATTATATGGCTGCTGTGGAGCTTTCGCAGCCAAAATGTCGTGCGAACGAGACATTTTACCTGCCTTCTGGTCTACCTTGGTGTTAACTATAGGGTTCGGAGAATCCTTGGTTTTGACACCGACTTGGAGGTAAACCTTAATTGGAGCCTTGGAGGAAGGCTGCTTAGTGGTAGCTTTGCCGGCGGCTACTTCTGAGTATTTTGGCGCCTGTTTGGGAACCTTCTGGGCCTCCTGGGCTTCTTTTGCATGCTTAGGGCAGATAATGTGAAGCTTTGCCTTGAAAGGAGCAACAGCAGGTGCTTCTTTTTTGTTGCTGTGGGCGCCGTAAGCATGCTGGGCAGCCGCCTTGGCATCAGGATGAGCATTGGCGGTTAAAAGTGGTTTGTTCTTGCGGTGGGAACTCCTCTTTCTCTTTGTGTTCTCTGAAGGTGATAAGCACTCGAACTGGTTCTTTGGACCTTTGGAAGCAGCAGGAGCCTTGGAAGAGGTCTGCTTGCCTCCGGCCATGCGGCCGACACTCGCCACCTTCTTTGGAGTGACCCAATCGGACGGTGTGGTGTCATTTGGCGCCTTATTCTTGTTGCGAGCTTGTTCACGAGAGAAAGCGTACATATCGCTTATTGGGACCTTCTCTGCGGCGGGAGGGTCAAAAGTAACGTTTTTAGGCTTGGTCGTCTTTGGTAAGACGTTTTGTTTCTTCAAATTCGATCGTATCTTGAAAGCCATTTTTGTAGTAGTGGTGGGTAAAAAGTGGGAATATTGGGAGACCCTCGCTCTATGAGTAGTAGCTGGTGAGGCTCCATGCAGGCCACAGCCTCCAAATAATAATTATCTAAGGGCGGTAACTCAACGAGGGAGGGTCCAAAGGGGGGTGCTCTTCTATTGGAGGTCATATATGAAAGGGATGCTGGGTTTTCGGTCCATTTACTGTCTGTGTGCTTGAAATAGTCCTGGGGTGGCTTATGTGTGACAGCTTCGTGCATTCGCTAAACATACGCTGATGCAGGGGAATGTAAACAAACCCTAAAATCGTGCAGAGCTTATCGGCAGATATTCCTCATTGAGCATTAATTACAGGCCACGAGAAAATGAAATGTGAGATGTATTTGGTCAGATGGTGGAAGTATCTGGGACTTGTTGGGTGGTTTCAGGTATGAAATGGGGGTTGGATGAAGTGGCGAGAGGTCAGCTTACCGTTAGGGTAGGTGATGAGGATCTGTTTTTGAGGAAGGGATAAGCGTTTTATGTAATTGTGATTAGAGAAATGGTAGAGGCTTGTGGCGTCTATTCATCAAACAGAGTATGTATTTCGATTCGAGAGGTTGTCATGAGCGCTCCATTAGCTTCACCGTCTGGGTCGAGCCAAGGCTGGGCGTAGGTCACAACATGTTGAGTGCCTTATTTAAAATTGTCGCTTTGGTCTGGCTCGAAAGCTTTCTGTGGAGGTTTAGAGGAACTCTCGCTTTGTTTGAATGTACGCCCTAGTCAAGCACTCTGCTCCGGTGGAGTGTCCTCCGGATCCACGTCCAACAAATCTTAGATATGGAAGGCTTTCTCATTAATGGGCATATCGATTGCAACACTCTTGGCTGTACTTAGCCCAGAGGCTCTAAAGACGTTGCAAGGAATACCTGAACATGGGTTACAACTCCGGTATTCCAGCCAGGACCAATTAAACAGCCTCGTGGATCTGATTGCCAGCTTTTGAGGTCACAGCCCTCAATCCTTCGATATGGAACGCATTTCTAGCCAGTCAGCGAAAGGAACAAGACGTCGTTGTTGGGACACGTCAACCGGCTCATCTGGTACTGGGTTTGCCAATTGCTCGGCTTCCATCATTTCTTTGACTTCCAAGTACTCAGCCAGATTCTCATAATCGTGCAAGTATTCACCTCTTCTTCTAACGGAATCTTCATTGATGTCTTCTTCGTCTGGACCGAGGTTATCAGACAATCTTGGATCAACAATAACCCCAAAGGTTTGTTGAGAAATCAGTACCACACAGCGGCCCAAGCAAGTTTGCTTCTTCTCTCGTTCACTCACAGTGTTCTCGTTCTTTCTGTTGTACAAGGTGAGGCCATTCTGTGCATTTAACTTGCAAACATACGAGGTGTTGCACAAGCGATTACATCTTTCAACTGCGTCCCTGAACTCGAAAAGCTGTTCTCGTAAGCTTCCATCGTCATTATAGCCAGATAAAGGAGGAGCTGGTGACTCGTCCTCGTATGGATTTGTGTTTATCAGATTAGTTTGAGAAGTCTGACCAGTGCTGGCTTCCTCGTCAGATGCATTCAGACTTCTCGCACCTGCTATAAGCGCCGCCATTAGCAAAACTATGGACCATTTCATCTTGTGTGTGGAATACTGCAAAGGTATCCAGTTATCGATACATTGATGTCTTTTATATGTAAAAAGACAGTGCCCAGCAATGCAGCCGCTTATATAGTGTTGTGCCAAGAAGATCGCGTCCGCTAGGGTATATGGCCATTCAGCTACTTTGTCTCACCAAGTCCACGAACAAAGCCAAGCGTATGTAAAGAAATTGGAAGAATACATTAGGTTGTTCAAGCTTTGCTTGGTGTTTTGGGTCGGCGTAAGAAGAGCATTTCATTTACATTGTTGCAATTTAGTTGTATGGGGTTCGCAATGACTGTTTTGCGACACATTTAAGCTTATGAACAAATGAGCAGTAGTAGTATCCATGAGTCATCGGTCCTTGTCATTTGCTTTCATTGATGAAGATTGTCATTTTATGACGGCAAGAAAGGGTGGGAGTGAACACAACTGTTACTTCATCATTGGGCTACTTATGACTCAATGGTAATGAAATCGGCCAATTGCCGAGATCGGAATATGGAGTAACGAAGACAACCAAAGTAAGGACCCTTCAATATTTTTTATCTGGCTGCTTCTCTCTTGAAAGTCAGACCTTGAAAGAGGTTGCAATACTTTATAATAGGTTTTCAACGTAGGTTTAGCTGTGCGCTCTTTGTTGTATTATAGTATAGCCCTCATGATGATAAGGCTTTAGTCAGATCTCTGATATTAGACACCTGAAACATCAGTATTTTAGCTTACATTTGACAACAGCTTGCAAGGTTAGCTTCACAATGGGCACTTTGATCATCAGTTTGATGTAGTTCACTCTCAGCGAGAAGAGTTGCGAGAAGGCAGGATGTGGTAGCAGAACAACGAGAAGCATTGACGGAGTAAAGGAGATCTAATGATGAAAAGGAAGCAAATGTATCAGAAAAGCCTCACTTTCCTCTGTTTACAGGTGCTCTTCAATCAGAAGACTACTTTCTAAGCATGCGACGCGTCTTCGATTATGGCAGATCCTCCAAAATACCCCTTAAAGCCCACACAGGCAATGATTTTGGGCAAAAAACTTAGATTTCTTTAGTAGGAGCACTAAGGAGCTTTAATATGACTCTCGCCTCATTTTTAACCCTATTTTTGATTTTTAACAGTGTGTTAAAGTTTGTTGATTTTGCTACCATTTGAGAAAAACGCGTTTAAACTACAGACATACCCCAGATTTCCAGCTAATCCAAATTGAAGATGTACCATAATAATTCAAAATAATGCTCAAAAATACTAAATAATATCTGCAAGATATAGTCTGAATCTGTAAAGCTTCTTTAGAGCAGGTAGAAACGTTGGGTTCGGTTTTGGGATGTTCTCTGGATATGCAGTGTGAAGCGTAACTCACCAATGAATAGGGGAAGAGATGTTTGAGAAAATGAGTAAGATAGCGGGATGTTACGACAGATGTATTGAAAAGAAGTAAGTAAGCAGGTTTACGATGAAGAAAGGTGCCTTTACTACACGAATACTTGTAAGCGTTCATGCGACAACCGTCTACTACAGAAGAACTTTCTAAATGTATATATTGACTATATCCGTTTTTCCTAAGCTACTCTACTCCTACTCAACTCCTACTCAACTCCTACTCGGCTCCTACTCTACTCCTACTCTACCTCTACTCTACTCCCAATCTACTCCTTAAGTGTGTAAGAAGATATAACTACGTGTTAAGCACTACAATGGGTTTCGTCGTACTTGGACGAGTAGGCAAAACTAACCCAGCTACAATAGCTACAATAGCTACTTGAAGAGGTCCCATTACAGAGAAAAAGTGAGTTGTAGGTAAAAAAAGTCCACATCACTCGACTCCACGGGAAATAAATAGTGCAGAATTCTCCCATAAGGCGTTCTGTATGACAACAGCTCACCAAAACGGAAAGCAGAGAGGCTCTGAAGAAAGAATGTTCCTTTTTGTTCCACATAGAGAGAACAGGGAAGGTCCACTAAAACACACCAATATACTTTCCCCAAAAGCCCACCAGTGACAATATTACGAGTCCCTGTACGGCTTCTCACAACGTATAAAAAGTGAAAGAACAAGGCGAAGCTCCAACTGCCAATACAGCCATTTGTCACTGTATCTTAGAACCATGGATGACCCCCCCTTCGATGTAATGGTCACGTCTGCCATATCCTTTCGAAATATGGAAGGTTTTCCAACCACCGTCGGACAATGACCTCCGCTCGTAACTTATGTGTCTTTGTACTTTCTACTTTTTAGAGCCGATATCTCTATAGTTTCCTTTTCTGGTTTTCTGCTTATGTAAGTGCTTATGTAAGCGGTTTATGCGACACAAAGACGCAGGGACAGAAAAGTCCATTTTGCAGCCATTAGGAATCCCCAAAACCCCACACTTATGGGTCTCTAAATGTTCGTAGTATAATTCTCTTTTCTCTCCGTTTCCAAAAAGTCAATTTTTATTGCAATTGAGTGAGTATACATTTTTTTACTGGACGTTCTCCTCCACCATAATATATGCGCACACTGGACTTACTCTTTTGAAGCTTCCCAACTTATACCAATTTACCACTTTCCCTAGAGCTTCCCAGTCTCCCACTTTTTGAATATAAATACCTGGCCTTTTTCCCTCTACCCTGTTTTCTTCCCTACCACTTTTTTCTTGTTCTTTATCCTTCAGCAACTGAAAGAAAGAGAACCTACCTGAGCTTATACCACCAGTCAACCACCGCTTGACTACTACTCGATTGCAATCGACCAACGAGCTCTACTAAGTAAAACAACTACTAGATAACAATGACCGAGCTGATTCAGTTCGATACTTACCAAGGCCCAGCAAACATGTACAACTTCTACCCGCTGTACAACCCGTCTGCTGACGCCCTTACCCCAGGCACCACCTACTATTCTTCTGACCAGAAGTACTACTACAGCCATTCTTCTTCTGAGAAAATTCCGGTTTCTGAGCTGAAAACAAATATTTCCTTTGTTCCAGCTGCTTTGGCCGCGAAGAAGACGCCAGCGGTTGAGGAATTCAAGAGGAAAATTCACGAAAAGGCTAGAGAGTATAAGAAGAAGAAGGAGCAGGAGGCTAAAGTAAAGAAGGCCCTGTCTACCAAGGCAGTCAAAGCAGTTAAGCCAGCAAAGGTTGCCAAGGTTATCGAGGCAGTCGAAGCTGCTATTGCTGTTACTGCAGCTCCCGAGGAGCCTGCAAAGACTGAAGCTCCCAAGGTGGTGCCAGAGGAGAAGGCTCCAGTTACTGAGCCAACAGTTGTTGAGCCAGTAGCTGAAGCTCTTCCAGTTGAGACCCCAATTGAGGCTCCAACTATGGAGACTATTGGTGTCCCAGCCACCACTGAGACTGGTCCATCCGAGGCTGTCTCCAATGCTGCTCCTGCTGAGCAGAAAGACACTGTCGAAGAAAAGGTTGAAGAGACTACTGGTGAAGATGAGTCTATGGAGAAGGCAGTTGACCTTTCTTCTTTCTTTGACAGATTGTCCAAGTGTAAGACCATTGAGGACCCTTTCACTTTCCCATACCCATACCCACAGGCTGGTGTTGATGCTAGATTGAAGGCTGGTGAGAAGAAGCATAGATACGACACGCAGTTTTTGCTTCAGTTCCAGGAGTCAGTTGTATATCCAGCTGATGACGCTTGGAAGGAGAAGCTTGAGGGATTGGGTATGGTGGCCACCAAGGAGTCCATCCCAAGTGGTCCTCGCCATGACAACACTCAAGTCAGAAAGACCTACAAGTTTGAGAGAAGAAGTCCTAAGGAGGAGACGCCAAAGGACAATTCTGTGAAGATCCCAGTGGAGAAGGAGGAGACCCCGGCTAAGCCTGTTGAAGATGTCAAGCCATTGGTTCCTTCTGCCAACAGATGGGTTCCTAGATCTAGACAGAAGACCAACCAGGTCAAGACTGCTCCTGATGGTACCGTTCTTCTTGACAAGGAGGATGTGGAGAGAAAGGTCAAGTCTGCATTGAACAAGTTGACATTAGAGATGTTCGAGCCAGTTTCCAACCAGATGTTGGACATTGCCAAGCAGTCCTGTCACGAAGAGGATGCTGCTACCCTTAAACAGGTTATCTCTTTGACATTCGCCAAGGCCTGTGACGAGCCACACTGGTCGACTGTCTACTCCAAGTTCTGTGCAAAGATGGTGAAGGATATCCCTGATGACATCAAGGATGTTGGTATACCTACCAAGACTGGTGAGCCTACTGTTGGTGGTGCTCTTGCCAGAAGACTCTTGTTGCGTACTTGTCAGACTGAGTACGAAAAGGGCTGGGTTGACAAACTCCCTACCAACCCAGATGGTTCAGCTTTGGAGCCAGAGATGATGTCTGACGAGTACTACGCCATGGCCGCTGCCAAGAGAAGAGGTCTTGGTTTGCTCAAGTTTATTGGTAACTTGTACATTTCTAACTTGTTGAACGATAAGGTCATTTTGCATTGCTTGAGAGACCAGTCCAAGAATGTCACCGACCCATCGGAAGACTCATTGGAGAACTTGGCCCAGTTGATCAAGACTGTTGGCCCAAGGTTCGAAGCATGCCAGAGAAACAAAGCTGCGTTGAATGTGGTTTTCGACAATGTCCAGAGTATTTTGGACAACTGCAAGCTTTCGTCGAGAATCAAGTTCATGTTGATGGACTTGCAGGACTTGAAGAAGAGCAACTGGAAGTCACTCAAGCAGGAGGCTGGTCCAAAGACCATCAAGGAGATTCACGATGAAGCAGAATTGAAGAAGATGGAGAAGAACAAGGCTGCTGAGAAGAAGAGAGGCAGCAGCTACGGTGGATCCAATTACACCAGAGGCGGTGCTCCAGTCAAGAAGTTGAGAGCACCTACCAGGGAATCAAGAGATTTCCAAACAATGCCCAAGTCTAACAGACGTACCCCAGACTCTGGTGCATCCCGCCTGCCTCCAAGAAAGAGGACTAAGGGAACAGGTTTCATGGCAACGAACATTTTCGCTGCCTTGGGTGGCGACG